GTCAACGTCGTACATAGGTTGACGCATGGATGGCAGTTCAGGTTTCTTGGTTTTCTTGCTGTCCTCCTCGTACTTCCAACAATCTTGCCAGTGTTCTGAGACATGTTGTACGTAGTTGTCTCCCCATAGGTCTAAGACTTCTGTTTTGGTTTGATTCGTTTTCCAATTACCATCTGCTGTTTCGTTCGGCAGATCCAGTTCTTCAATTTGTTTAGCGAGTTCGTCATCATCGTATTCGATGGATCCTCTCGGGCTATCGGGTTCCTCAGGAGATAAGTACTCCTTTTCCGAGTCTGATCCGAATCCCCGTGGATTCTTCGTAATGTACATCTGTTTAGCTTCTGGTGGTGCATAGTTCCTTGACGTAGGATTTTCAGCCCAGAACTGCTGTGTCAGACGTAGACGTCGCTTCTCTCGTCGATCATTCCTGCTTCTTGCAGCAGCTTGTCGGGCGTTCCGTTCCGCTCGACGTTTCTTAGGTGGTGGTGCATCTTCATGATGCTCGGGACCGCTTTCCGAATCTGGGTCATCCACCATGAGTCGTCCTTCACCCGGCGTGGGTTCTAGGATTTCCCATTCCGATTCGCCTTCATCCCCCCCGGGGCATGAAGACTTGGTCGTTACGTTGACAAATCGTGTGACCTTGTTCTTTGATCGACAGTTCCTAGCTATGTGGCCGGTTTTACCACATCCGTAGCAGGTTATCCCCTTAGGGTCCTTGCTCTTCTTGTCATACTTCTTTCTTCCATTGTTATCTCCAGCCTTGGATGGAAACGTTGCATTAACGTCACGTGTCCAGTCCATTTCCTCGGTGTATCTGACCCTGGGTCGAACAGGGACGCTGCGGCCTCTTCCCTGGGGAAAATAGCGAACAGCTTCCTGAGTCCTTCCGTAGGCAGATTTATAACCGTGGATCCCTTTCATTTCTTCGGCTAACTCAAACAAGTCATTGTCAATGCGGATAGTTTCCTCGTAGAGTCGTTCTAGTGTGTCCATAACCACACCAGACCTCATGAGTTCTTCCTTGACCTTGGGTTTGAGTCCTTGGCGATACAGTGCCATGAGTGCGTTGTCATCCCAGTCAGTCTGGACTGCGTAGTGTTGGAACTTCGCAGCATAGTCGGCGGCAGACTTGAACTGTTTGACGCGTTGAATTTCACGCACTGCCTTATTTTTCTCGTTGGATATTCCGAAGACCTGGCGGAGCTTGGTCTTAAACACTCCCCAGTTTTCGAACAGAGTGGTGTTTTCGTCGTCTTCGATATCGTCGTCCAGATATTTGGTGAGCTGAGGCGCGATCCATTTATGGGCATCACCTCGCATAAAAGTCGCAGCGTAGGTGGCCTTGTCGTCGTTCTCGATCTTTTCATTGAACTTGAAAAGCAACTCGAGTTGCAGGATCCATTCCTCAAGCTTGACACGTTCCCCATAGTAGGTGTCAGGTTGTTTGGTCTTGATGCTGACAGGGGTGTCGTTGTCCATATCGGGAGTAAGGGTAGGCTGGTCAGTGGTACTGAAGCTAGACATCTTAAGGGTATTCACAATGTTGAGATCTTGGAGAACTCTGGTTGGGTTTCGCGGATGACTAGCGGGTAACACTGAAGTAACAAAGGTAGAAGTATAAAGTAACAACTAGATTGTATTTCCAAGAAGTGGGTTGTAACTTAGAGTGAATACAAGAACCATAAGGTCTTCTTGTCTACTGACTATATACATATTTTGTCCCATAGTTCCCATATGTCCCATAGGGTTTCATAGATGGGATATCGTGGGATCTCGTAGGACCCTGTGGGACACACGTGACTTGTCCCACAGCAACTTTCCGCCAAGACTCGTGGGACCACGTGACGTGCGGGGTGGCGAAGTCTATTGGTTCATACGTAGTGTCCTGTTTGCTGACCGTGAGTGTTCTTGTAATTACCTTCCTTCATAACCTGTGCATCCCCATTCTTAGGTTCGTAACAGGACGCTGCGCGGAAATCCTTGTTAATGCTATCTAAATACTTATCTAACTAAGATACCTGTTTGTAGCGCTTATACAACTTACGCCCTGTAAAAAGGCTAACGTTAACTGCTATTGTACGCTATTGCTAAGCGTTGTTAGCGTAGGCGCCTAGAATCTTACGTACAAAAAGCTTGTTGTTGTTAATTTCTATAGTGTTGTTGTCCTTGGCATCTAGGTATTTCTTAAAGACGGCGTAGATAGACGACTTAGCCTTTCTGTGCCAAATTTTGTAGTGTTTCTAGTGCGTTTTAAACTAGAGTAGTTGTAATTAAGGATGTAGAGCCGTCGCGACACAATATAGAGAAAGCGATAGGTAGATTACAAGCTTTTTAAAGTACGTAATAAGCTTCTCCTGCGCTAGGTTAATACCCTGCGTTAAGTACGTAGAGTGCTTAACGCCTTTAATTAAATTGACGTCCTCTGTAAGAACCTTATAGATTTCTTGTAAGTTAATAATTGTCTGCTAGAGACTGCTAAATCCACTCTGGCTAGTGTTGCCCTCTAAAGATTTATAGTTCTTGTAAAACAGCTGTAGCACTTTGATAATAGCAGAGACCTTATCCTAATTGTTACCTAACAGGGCGTTAGTTGCAGCGTTGTAATTATTGTTAATTGTTGCGGCGTTAGTGCGCAGAGCTTTAAAGTATTTTTAAATTGTCTCTTAAAGCTCCTCGCAGCGCAGGAGCATTAGGTAAACACTGTGCTATTGTATTCTGCCGTCTTTTACTAAGTTAAGGGTGGCGAACTTAATAAAGCCTGCCTTGTTAAGCACCTCGCGTTGTATAGAGTAGAAAGTGCGACGGCGTTTGTGTGAGTTGCAAATTGAATTCACAAAGTTGTAAAGCTTACTAACAACGCTGTGACGACGATAAAGCTTGTATTGCTCCTGCGGCGATGCCCTAGCCAAATCTTCCTTAAATTTGCTTACGCCGTTGCTGTAAATAAGAGCCTTTGCTAGCAGGTTGAGGATGTAGCCAGCGCAGCGAATTCAGTAGTTGTTATCTATAGAAATATTAGGTTCATTTCCAAGGGCGACGGCGAGGGTGTTGTTATTAGCAGCATTATCGCCCACAAAGCAGTGCAGCTTTCTAGTAATTTAATAATTGCAGAGAACATGTGCAACGATATTAGCCTGGGCAGCGCCTGTGTGGTCTTAAAACAAGGCTTGAAAAGCAATAAGGATGTCGCGTTGTTGGTGTTTCTTATCTATTGTTAGTTAGTATTTAGTTAATTTTTAGTTAATATTCAGGTGCGTTAAAAGCTTTAAAAGTTCTGTTAGCTAATCCCTGGCACTACTCACCTACAAAATGAGCGACAATCCCTAGAAAATCTATATGATTTGGAGAGCTCCATACGTCGCAACTTACGCTGATTTTGCTTTTAGACTACTAGAGGAGCTTTAAGACTGTCTCCTTTCAATCCGTTAACTTTGAAACCACGTATTTAGATAGGGTGGTGCCGCTACTGGGGAGGGCGCGCAGCAGGGCAGTTTGATTCCAGGTTATAAGGCCTCTTGTTGAAGCGTTAGCTCTAAGCTTGAAGCTCAAATTGTTCAACACCACCTAGTTAACTAACGCTAACAAAAGCTCCTCCTCCTGCCAGGGAGCGTGATTGACAATTAACGAGACACCAGCAACGCTGGGCGTACTGGGCGTACTATTGGCAAGACTATGGCCTGCGGCATCCCATGGATTTAAGGGCACTAGGGCTTGTAGCATCAACCCTACGTCAGGATCAATTCAGTGAGCGTTTTTCAGGTGAGTTTTTATATAGTTATAGCCATTAACAATCTAGCAACACCTCTGTTTCTTTTGTAGGTAACACTCACTACAAAGAAACAGGATACAGGCTTTTAGGTTGAGATCGCCGCCATATTTGAGCTCAACGCCGTAACGCTAAATTGTCGCCATCCTACGTTTCCCCGCTAGTTGGGCGTTGCTCTTCACCCGACGCTGAACAAGCTCTCTCTAGATAGCGACGCCTTTTGTAGTTGCGAGCCTATCCCAGTCAATATCCAGTTCAACACCAAGAGGGCCCTCGACGCTCTCTCTGGGCGACAAATACGTAGGATCCTCATACAAAGGACGCCCAGCCATAGCGATAGCTGCCCTCTTTGACCCGGCATGGTAATAGGGCTCATACTTAGTAGCGAAGCTCGCCTGCGACGACGACTGCGTAGAGAGCTGAGAGTTACGGGTAACGTAGTTATCTATAGCAATTACAACAAAAGGATGCGTACAGCAACACCAGGCGTAGAGAGCTAACATAATTTATTGTAGAAATCTCTGCTCTGCAGTGTCACAATACCTTACTGTTTCAGTTGTAAAACGTGACTGAATCGGGCCAGGCGATTTTCAACACCAAGGATTTAACAATACTAGCCAATAAACGCCTTTTCGCCAGCCTTACGTGTTTTCATTCGTATTTACAACGTGAAGGTTAAAAAAACGCTACGATTACGGCGACTTTACGACCTCCAAAACAGCCCTACGATTACGCCAACTTTACGACTACGAAATCGTAAATACGCCGTACACTACGTTACGTTGGTTACGCTGGTATGGCTTTTTTGGAGCTGTCAATTGAGAGTGGATCAAATGCGTCAATCCGGATGAATTACGCTGGCTAATATCGTGAAGGAAGTGACCACTCTCTTCCTCTCAAGTCTTGCGAATCCGTTCACGCTTCGGATATTCGTCAAGGGGAAGGGTATCTCCGGAGCGACACTGAGGAGATCTTCTGGCAACTCTTTTTATACATCCATAGTTACACATTCATTTTCATGCTGACATTTCACTTTATCGCATATCTAATTTTCATATCCCGTCAAGTTCTACACTAGGAGGAGGTCTTATAGTAACAGCCGCAAAATATATATTCAACTGAGACATGCGTACACAATCAATCGTTTGTAATAGTTACCACACTCTCTACGCACATTAAATGAGCAGTAGATAAAAAGTATTTTTCTATGCCGGATAACATCTAGAACTGTCTATTGAGAGGGATACTCATGCTGGTGGGGGTGATCAATTTCCTGCTTCGGTGCCCATAATTCGTAACACGCGTTCCCATCGACTTCTTGAGGACAAGCAGCAGCACTCAACTCTGAAAAGCTCGCATCTTTATTCAGAGAATACGATCTTTTACTATCGATGTTATCAATATTGTGATGTGTCCCGGTATATTCTGATGAAAGCTCATGCCGCCGCTGTAGCTGCCGCTGCCGCTGTCGTTGATAGAAAAATATGGCGATGGCAATAGCGAGGAGGAGAGGTATACCCAGTCCAAGCCCCAATCCTAGACCCAGGTTATGTAGTTCGGCTGATGAAACTGAGTGAGGTGTTTGCCCGATTCCATCGGATGGTTCCTTCGATTCGATAGATTTTGGAGAGTCTGGTGATGAGATTGCCGGTGTTGTTATTGAAGATGACGATGTACTTTTTGAAGCCACCAGAGTAGGCGTTGGAATGGTGCCAATGATCGTAATTGTTGAAGGGGATGCTGGTGTCTAGTCAACGCCAGCTTTCCACGAGACATAATCGGAAAGACTAACCAGAGGACTCGAAATAGTATTCAGAGTTTCGGCACAATTCCGTATTCGTGACATTTTCAGTCGCTTCCGTCGAACAGTAATAATGATCCGTCGTATCCCCCATCCCGCATTTAGTCACACCCAGGCCGCGAATCCCAGAGCCGTCATTATTTGGGCCTAAACAAAATCTAGGGCAGTTTGGGCTGGCGAAGGTTTTGTCGGTGCAACTTGCTTGGATGTACTTGTGTCTCCTTGCCTCGTTATTGCCGGGCACATGTTCTGTGAGAGCGCAAAGGTTGTTAGACAAGCATGCGTAGCCGAGGCCGCAGCAGGTAGAGTCTGGCGCCGAAGTGCATGGTGTGTCTTGAATGGTACTGCCGTCGGGATAATAGCATTGAGTCTCAGCGTGACTGAACGATGCGAAGAGTAACGACAAGGCGTATATGCGATTCTTCATCTGGACGATCAAAGCGAAACGAGAGGTCTCGGATGCGCTGGTTGACCTGCAGCTACGCACACGGGGCGTACATCCCTCCATCAAATACCATCTATGGAAATTAATAGGTGCTTAGTATCGCATACATTCTTGGGCGCTAGGAATCCTCTACCAGTCTGTAGTCGTCATTCCCTAGTTCAAGGATCGGTATGTAAGACAACCAATTGATGTTGTGCGTATTCAACCTTGGCTTTGGGTTCTCCACCAATCGTGAATTATCTTATTTTTAAATTAGTGGCCGGGCTCAACCTCGTACGCACGAGAGAGAGCCAGTTGCGCGTAATCGGACACCGCGCTCCAACCGAGCGAGCGGACGATGCATGCAGTTGAAACCGCCCCCCCATCGTACTCCGTGTCACATATCATCACGTACCGACAGCCCGGAGCTATACCATATAACCGATATCAGGGAGCGTAATAGAACATTAGGTTCTAGCTTAACTTGATCGGTGAATCGATAGACAGCGCGATTGAGACGGGAATAAACACTTCACTGATCTTGCGATACGATGTATCGCAAGGTTCCTTTTCAATTCAACCATTTTCCACGCTCATCTCCTTATATCGTCTGCACAGCAGTGCGCTCCCTTGCTTAGAGTCTCCAAAAGCGCATGTTCCGCACTCAAAAGCACACAAGGATAACGTTTCAACTCGGCTAACGGGCTGACTTGCCATTCCGCAACGTTCCGCAACATTCTACAGCCACTAGTATTTGAATGCAGTCGACCGGGATTTCTTCTATGGAATACTTGATTGTAATCTTAAAGTGCGATGTCACAATAGCTTCTGGTGGGGCATTTGTCATAAGCTTGGAAGAGCCTCTAAGCAGCATATACGTATTCTGGTACAGAATCAATATCGAATACAGCTGATAGTCGCATGAAAGGATAGAAGCAGTTTACATTGGGGGCTAATTAGCTTGAATAAATCAGTACATTGAGACAAGAGAGAAATCAGACATGCGGGCAGCGGGGCGCATCCCTGCCCCGCATCCGAGTTAATATCAACGATCTGGTACGGATAACAAGGGGGCAAGAAGACGACAGTCGGGGACCGAAGGCGTAGGGGCCATGGAAAATTGATAACGGTTTTGTGATATCATAACAGTTTCTCCAGATACATCGCACATTCTTCTAGGCACAATTGTCCTTTTCGCCGTCTTTCCTGTTATATTCACGTTGACAGGACATAGGCTTCAATATGATCAAATATTATCCCAAAATACTGCGAAGAGCCTCTCACAACACCTACATGAAAATAGGTATGATTAGCAATTAATGCCGCCTCTCATTTGACGTCAACTCATATAACACCCAAAGCCATGAAAATACGACAGAAACGGGGTGTATGGGCCACACCTGCATCCATGGTTGGATTTTTTCTTGGAGGCGTCTTGTTCGCAGGGTCGCATCATTTCTATTATCGAAAACTGGATGATACACTTGTTGGTTCAGCAGGACGTCAACAGTGGCCGATTAGGTATGCCCGTTTGCTATTGATAATTGGATATGATATTGAGTGTCTTTAGAATTGGTACCGCTTTGGCATTCTTGGTCCAAAGCTGTCTTGCAGCAGCAGCGAGCACAGCATATACCCAGTGGGTTTGGCGCAAATGTCGACAACAAGCTATCAAGATCGGCACAATCGATATCGCCTTTGACATAAGCCACAACGTTTTCGATTTCCTGAAGATCAGTTTTGCCCGTGAATTTGGACTCGTTACACTACTTGCAATCGCTTTTTGGTACGTAAAATGACAATTTGGCGATTCATGCGGCCTTGTTCCAACTTAGCTTGATAGGTGCATGCCGTTGGCCTCTCTAGTCACGCCAGGTGCCTTGAGCATATCACCTAAGCCAATTACAACGACTCGTATTGTGTCCGTCAATGTTCCTAATATCAATGACCATCGCCGTGTTATACTCGACAGCTCTCTCCTGAGACTTGACCATATGCTAGATAAACTCGCTACTGTTGGTGAGCTACCTCAGTTTGATCCTCCCGAAAACCTACAGAATGTTTCTTATACCTTGGAAATGACTGTCCCCAGCCTGAGCTGTAGCCCCAGCGATGAAAAGGCTTCATTAGAGGTAATCTTATCTGCGTTCAGACGGGCCTTCTCCAGGTCTGTATACAAAGCGGATGCCTACCAATGCGAATGGAACACACAGGATTTGACATTCGCCTCTAAAATCGCTCCTGCCAACACGAGTGTTTTCAAAGGACACTTAAGTTACTATAACACACCATTCCCGAATGACAAAAGACATATTGGGGTTGCTTTCCGCCATAGGAAAGATAAAAACAGCCCATGGATAGTAAACTTCCACGAATGCTGGCTTGGTAGAGCGTCCGTCACGGTGGATGTTGCCTTCATCAATAGTGGGCAATCCATCAAAGTTTCTACTATCAGCAACAAGTATGTTTGGGGGTCTTCGGAGCAGACCGAATTAAGTGAAGCTGATAAGAAGTATCTTTCTTTTCATCTTTCAATGATGGAAATCGTTGGAGGAATCATAGTGACGTATAATTCTACTATGGCTGACGAGAGCGAAGATCTAATATATCCGAAGTCGAGCGTGGGCACAAAGACAGATCACACAGTACTTGGCAGAACTGCCGACTATGCTGCAATGAGAGCCTCCATGGGTGATAAAATGGAGCTCGATTCCGACCCTGACTCGGGAATACAAGAGAAGAACATGACAACTGTGATGGAAGAACTATGGTTAAATGCTTCTTTAGCGCTAATGAGCATTCCGGGACTAAGGTAAACCTTGTGATCCCAGTACGGATTTGCATCATCAGCTAACATAGAGCGATAGCAATAAGGTTCCGACGCAAGTAAACCAGACATTGTGGCTGAACAAATACACATACGACCCAAAAAATCTGATTATAGCGTACGGGTATGTGAGAAAGAATCCAGTCCACTTGCAGCCGACTCATCATAAGCCAGATGCACCATATCAGCCTGTTTGATATCGATCACAGCTGGGATGTATGCGATATATATGAATGGTCAGAGCTACGACAACAAATTCTCCTCGATCAGTCAGGCTATGCAGGGTCCCTGTATTGTGGATCTTTTTAATTCTCAGACGGCATCAGGAGCGAATGATAGAAAGATATGTGTCGCGAACACGAAGATAAGACTCGATGTGAGTGAGACGACGCAAAGATTTCGTACGCATCTGCGACATGTAGGACTTGGGGCGGCGCAAGAGTTTTGAAGTTTTGTGGTTTTTTTTTAATCTGTGTGTAACATGTTGAAGCTAAAGTGCCAATATCTGGAATATCAGTGCTTAAAACAACGTGTGCATATAATATGGTTCAATCACGTGATATCACAGCTGGATACATGTAATTAAGATAAAGAAACCACATTCTATCATTCCGCTCGTATCTCATAACTCCGATGCGTGAAAAATACAAGCTAATTCTTAGGTGAAGCACGCTGGGGTATATCATTTCGTGCTTCGTCGCGCAACCTGGCCAATCTTCCCAAAAGGCTTACTGGACAATTATCATATCGAAGTCTGCAATATAAGTCTTGCAGTACGTCCGAAACCTCAATAAACATCAGATAACGGAGAACGTTCCCCGCTTTCGCGTGTGCTCGTATTGCACAGCTCTCACACGCCAGGCATTGGGCGTAGCTACCTACATTCGGTGATGTACGAAGCCTGCAGCCCCCCTATACTTGCTTGGCCTTTGTGCCATCGTCAGGCTTCGTCTGAGGCCCCGCATCTTCGGTGGATGTGTCGCTTTCCACTTTTCCGGTTTTCGCAAACGCCGCACCGACGAGCGCGAACGGGTTGTTCATTCTTGTCATCATGACATATAAGATTGTCAACCCGATCGATACGACCTCGTCGCGAACTTCTTTCGGTAGCGTAGCAGCACTCTGTTCGAAATAGAACTTGCCGACTTGCTTGATCGCCCACCAGTTGGCTGATAGTTTGGCAATAGGGTCCTGCGTTGTGGAGTCGATGCATACGAAGTCCCACGTCTTCATGTCGCTGGTGGCGACCCAGGAAATAGGAATGGGTTTCCCTGTTGATGACAATGTCGTGGAAAGGTAGTTGTATGCCGTCTTCAATTTCCTTAGTGGCTTGATTTCGATGCTCTTGCCGTTGATTGAACATTCTGCTGCAATGGAGATGTTGTTGATGACTGAAGTAGAAATTTGTGTTTTTGTGGCTACATCTTCGACGCGAAGCTGAGGCTTGAATGGGCGGAAATGTTGGATGTAGACTGGTGTGAGCTGTTTGCCATTCTTTTCGCTCACGATATTCCGGAACTTGCTCCATGCGAAGTCAATCTGAAGCACGGCACCGGTAGATGTCGCGGAATCCTTCAAAGGGCTTTCTGGAGGAGGAGCAGACTGTGTGGCCATTTTTTCGGTAGTGTAGATGTAATTGTCAACCAAGGTTTGAGCAAAGAGTGGAGTATCTAAGCTTTCGATATCTGCTGTTGTAGTGTCAGAAGCGTGAGCTGGGGCGCGGGTGATAGTTATACGAACTCACTCTGATGATGATCATCGAAATCCGGAGCTATAGGCCTACGCCGTTGAGTGGGTCCGCGCTTTTTGATGGGGCTTGGCTAAACTTCCAATTACACTGCCTCCACTGCGCCTTGGGCGAGTAAGCCTTGATGGCGAAGAATGTCTAATTATCCAATGTCATGGCTAGTAACTAGGTAATAGCGAATTTCAGCGAGAAAACTATTGCCAGGTTTTACGAGGTATATAACATATGGTTGAACCATTGAAATGCTAAGGTGTGTATGGTGGTGGTATGTCACTCTTTACCGCACGGTACAACCACTAGCTATAGCCTCAAGCCTGATTTTGACGTGGACAGATAGCACCCAGGGATCACTCTTCACCTAGTAGCAGAGTTTGCCCTTGTCGTCAAGCGTGAATGACTTTGCATTACTCGCGCGAAGCTCGAATTGTTACTCCTCCACTCATGCGAAGGTGGTGTTTACAAGTTTCAACGTTGGTGAATGTCACCGGGCTTAGCTACGGTTTTATGACGTCACCATGCATTTCGTCAGCAAATTCCAAAGAACATTTCCCCAAAGCATATCTTAAAAGATGATTTAACGTGCATATATCATATTCCGGCCAGGGTTGCTGCAAATAACATTCCCAAGTTGTCCAGACCCGCATGCCAATCATCCAAAGCGTCATCCGGTGAGTTCCCAGCTCGGCCATCGATCTTGCTGCCAAACTTGGCGATGGCCAAATCGCTCATAGTCTGTATGCCCAGTGGAGAGCCATCGATCAGTGAACGGCTATACTCCATCTCCCAATCCCATCGCGTCCTTGCTTCCCAAAGTGTCTTCTCGCCGGGAACATTCATCAATCTCGGGTCCGCGAGAACGTTGCACGGATCTGAGCCTATAATCAAAGAGAGCAAAAACCCCACGATCACAACTCTGTGATGGCGGATCAGCGACATGCTACACCGACCATGTATTGATCGGGGAAATGGGACGGAGAATAATTACCTTCGCTGTGTCTCCTCGAAGATCCACTCCTCCCACGTTGGTCGCGATGCTCGAATATGAGAAGGGCTATGTGCGCAGATGTTGGGTCTATGCAACCGCAAGCAGGACGTCTGCGATGAATTTTAGTCAGCCACTGCATCATGCCTTGATGCTGGCGCATGCAAAACGATTATCACTGAGCTCCTTCTGACGTACCTTGGTCAATTTTTGCAAGTCCCGGTTTCGTTCAAAGTACTCAGGGCCAAAACTCATGAGTCGCATGATGACATATATAAGAGTGGCTTGCATAGCAGCCAGAATCTCGCCTTTCGAAAATCGATCTAGCTCGTCTGCAATCCGGCGTTGTTCATTATCGATAGACCTCCACAAAAATTCATTTGACGTGGGATTTCCCGAGCAAAATATCCGCGCGATATCCGCGCAAGCTGCGAGAGGACTGAGGGGGGCAAATGAATGATTGTTTCCATCTAGCGCAGTCTGTTCGCTGTAATGGAGACCGCATCCGACTCGATGTATAAAAGGTGGCAAATTATTTGATCTGGTCATCATGCGTGGATATGCGCGTAGAGTTGACATGATGTGCTGACGACATGCTCTGGTCAGGTATTGCTCAGATAATGGCGTAGATAAGTTGGGGGTGAGTGTCGAGTGCAATGCAGTCGTTTCCAGTGGACGCGATGACGCCGAGTCTTTGTTCGATAATAATGGAAGTTCATTGTATGCAGAGAAGTTGATAAGATCGAGGGGTGCAGAGAGATCATTTATTGTTTTGTTATCAAATGTGAATGATGCGATTGAGGATTGATTTTGTGCTTGAACGATGGCTGAGATGGATTTCGAGAAGAGAGTGGCGAAGCTGTCTCCAGACACCAGAGTAGACCTGTACCAGCCTTCGATGTAGATGAAACTTGTTGGTCCAACATTAATAGTCTCACCCAGGTTTGCTTGAGAGCCCTGGAATACCTCCATGTCTAAGCGTGTGATAAGATCCAGCTGTGACATAGTGAAAGGAATGATCGCTTTGCTTCTAGAATCGTCTGGATTATCGAGAGCCTTATCGGAAGTTCCAGCATCCCCCATAAGTAGAGGAATATCAGCATCGATAGTGAAGCCCCCTTTTTCGTAAGAGCAGACGATTTGTCGATTCGCACACCGAGAGCAAGGCCATCCAAAGTTACACTTGCTTTTGGTTTTTCTGCATGGTCCGCAAGCCTTGGGGCGCGGTGGTTTCGTGGCGCGTCGACGACAGTATTTCTCGTGGCGTGCATGAGATATTTCTAGTATCCTGATATAAGGCACAGTTCATCAATATTTAGTTGTTGACCCGGGACCATACCTTCAAAACATATCTTCGCGCATACTGAACACGTATAAATATCGTCCATAGTCAGTAAATTTAGGCTTATTTACTTCACAACATACTTCCACTCGCCCACATTTGATCTTGATATGGAAGTCTCTGAAATGACCGTGATGGCTTAAAAAAACCCGTAGAAAGAGTGTTCGACTAGGTGACATTTGTAAGCGGTGGCCGGGAATTTTCGATGGACGTCAGCGTCGGAACCTTATCTCCGGTGCTCCTCCAGAGTTGTACACTGTGCACTTCGCTGTTCAATGCCAGACGACAACGTAATAATAGTCTGTTCAACGCTGAGTTCTTGGCTTTCTCACCTATGATAGTTAACAAGGAAGTTCATCCAGCCAGTCAGCATGAGCTCTACATATGTAGTCACCCTAAAACACAAACTCCTAGTTGCCTTCATGCTGGTAACTAAGAAGGCAAAAAAAAAAACCCCCCCTATCAGAGAATTTGGATAGTTTCAATTGCCGTTTTTGAAATTTGGAAAGTCTATCTATAAAGTGACAGAGCAAGGCGCGCAAGAAACGCGTTACGCGCGCATCGCAAGGGTCTCAGAGCATTTACCCGGGTGTGGGGCGATATCTGTGCTTATGCATCCTTTTCCTACAGGACCTGTATAAGTGATGAGTTTAATCAGTTTCTGCGTTTCTTACATTAATGGGTTCGTGGAATAAGTCAATCGGCCTACGCATCGCGTGAACTCTTGAAATTGACTATACGGAGCGCTCGAGTCAACAACCTAAGCGACCATGGACGCCGAGGGATGTAAGTCCTACGATTTTTGGGCGAGCACGACGTCGACGACGATGCGACTCGCTGGACTTTGGATTCTCTATCGCGTGGCTCTCGCGCTGTACAATATATCTCCATTCCACCCGCTCTCCCGATTTCCCGGCCCCAAGCTGGCGGCCATGACGTTCCTTTACGAGTTCTGGTATGAAGGGATCCGCTGGGGAAAGTATACCTGGGAGATTCAACGAATGCATGAGAAATACGGTACGTCTTTGCATTTCCACCATCGATGCATTATTCATCGTGATTTTACAGCGATCTACAGTGAAGTCAGCTGAGCTAATGATCATGACCAGGTCCAGTCGTGCGAATCAACCCCGAAGAGCTTCATTGCGACGACGGGGATTTTATCGACGAGATATACGCCGGTGGAGGGCGCATTCGCGACAAGCATCAGCATTTCTTGACCACCACTGCCGGTGCGCTTTCGTATTCGAGTTTTGGCAGCAGACACCACGAAATCCACCGTACCCGGCGCAATGCAGCGAATAAGTCCTTTTCGCGCACTCAGATGAAGAAGCTGGAGCCTGAAATCCACGAACTGTGTCAGCAATTCGTCGAAAAGCTTTTGAGCTGGAGGGAGCCTCTCAATCTTACCATGGCGTATGGCTGTTTCACTGCCGATGCTATTACGAAATACTGTTTTGGTGAAACTGCCGGATTCGTATCTCAAGATGGCTGGAAAAAGAACCATAGGGCGGCAGTGGAGGGCTTTACTCAATCAATGTACATCCTAAGATACGCACCATGGACCAGGCAGATGGTCTACGTTGCTCCATACATCCAAGAGTACGTACTTGACAATCCTCATTCCTATAGGCACGGTGAGCGCTGCTTTGGGATTCATAGCGCAAACAGTTGCTGAATATGCGACATATACAGCTACCTACCTGAGCACATGGGCAATCTCTTTAAAGAACTAACCGTCAAGATGCCCCGCTATGTCCGCGAGGCTACCCAAGGCGAAACACAGGGGCGTGTGTTCTCTCATCTGATTGAGTCCGACATGCCCGACTCCGAAAAAACGATTTTTCGTTTGTCCGGAGAAGGCTTCTCGTTCATAACTGCGGGCATGGAGACGACCGCGGTAAGGTGACCCTCTTTCTGGTATGCAGAAGATTGAATAGGTTGTGCTTATCATGTATAGGCCATCATCGCTTTCATTACATACCATCTCCTTACAAAGTCAGAAGTTCGAGAGCGACTAGAGGAGGACTTGATGGACGTGGATCCCTTCCACCTCGATTGGCAGAATCTCGAGGGGCACCTATATCTCTACGGGGTGATCCAAGAGGGTCTGCGCATGGGGTACGGTATATCTCAGCGGTTACCGCGCATTGCCCGAACCGAAGATCTTATTTATAAATCGGAGGACGGAAAATACCAATACGTTATACCCAAAGGAACTCCGATCGGAGAGAGCGCACGAATCGTGCACCATAACCCTAAATATTTTCCCGATCCGTTCAAGTTCAAACCTGAACGCTGGATCACGGAAGACGGAAAGAGGAATTTGCATCTGGAAAAGTATATTCTGAGCTTTTCCACTGGAAGTCGTCGATGCTTGGGAATCAAGTACGTTACCTACTATGGCACCATTTCTGTTTCATTGGCCACTGACCTACTTTTTACAAACAGTCTTGCATTTTGCGAGTTGAACCTCATGGTGGCAGCACTCACTCTACGCGTTTTTCCCAAGATGAGATTATACGAGACCACTGCCGACGATGTCAGATATGACCACGATCTTATGATTCCAATGCCTCGGAAAGGCTCCAAAGGCATCCGAGCTGTCGTTCTCCCGTGAATGACCCAATGTGTCTAGCTGACGACGGTCGACTGTGTATGGTGATTGGGAGATGTGAATTCAGGCGGTCATGGCTTTCTTGATAGTTAATATTTGCAGAGCAATCTGCAGAATAGCCCGTACTATCCGAAAATTCATGCATGACTGCCTCGATTGCTCGCGTGTCGGGAAGTGACTTCGGTGCCAAAACAGCTAACTGGGTTTTTCGGTCTCGATTGCTCGTTTGGAGCCGAAAACAAGCTTGATTAATGTCCAAGTGGGAATGATGTGCTGAATGTACCAACGCCAGTTTTTGAATTTTTGGTTATCGCCTGTTTGCTGGTTCCTCTATCGCCGTGAATATCGCTGTGTGTAGGATCACCCAAACTCCAACTCGGAATTAATAATATTAACGCCAGACGAAGCAGATTGGACATGCCTCATGCCCCATGATTGAGGGATCATTGGGTCATCGCATTTACAAACATTATTATCGAAGAGGTGACGTCGCGGGCCTAAATCGATAATCAACCCACTTGTGTACACTGCCGAAGGAGTATACGCACATAGCCGAAGGCCCCATGAAGTCTACCCGGAACAGCAAACGTAATCCCTGCCTACTTTTTGTCAAATCATTTTTAACGGCCTTTTTGAGTGTAGGAAACACTGCGAATTCCAATCAAGAAAACTTAGAAGCAAATGTAATCTCAAGTCCGCGCTTTGTGACAATCCAGAATCCAAGGGGATTTTACTGTCTGTAGACGCGACCCGGATCATGTCAGACCACCTGGGCATCCAGTCAGCGCATGAATCGTGCGTGCGTGCACAATCCTCTTTTATCCCTACCCTCCCATATCATTATGCGGGACCTGGTTGTCCAGGACTTGAGCCGCAAAACGGTCTGCGCCCTTTTTACTCAACGATCACATGAATTGTCTCACTCCCTCATCGTTCGAAAACCAGAGTTTATCGCTCCTTCGCACAATTCTCTTTCAATCTAGATATGCATTCCAAATACATCATCGTAGAAGGAACATGCACGATTTTCTTTATTCCCATCAGTCAATCTTGACTCGAATCACTCCCTCACGCTTGAACTACGTAAAATGATGTCCCGTGCGCGCGTATCCCAAATCCAACATTTCCCCGACTACCTTTCCGCCTACGAGTCGTTCCAATATACAAATAGACAAACCCCCCAGTCTAGCCCCCCAAAACCCCCAAACCTGCAAATCAAAAGCCGCCGTAAGACTACCAGCAAATAAAACCAACTTTTTGTTTGATCAAGAACAAGGAGTGCCATCGACCCAATTCTATAACGCGCTAAAGCTCGCAAGGGTAAAGTATCGTCAGATTCGTCACACAATGGTAGGCGTTGGCGCTGACAGACCCTGCTGATGGGGAGGTCCCGGGTTCCCAACGGTCCGATTACCCTGCTAAACCCAGGCACCAAGGTGAAACTACTGGGGCGAGCATTAAGTTTAAACTTTACTGCGTGTGTACTGTATAGATAAACGGGAGTTTGTTCCCGGCTGTCACACGTCAAGACGGGGGAGAGTGGCTTATTTACTTAGCTTAGCTGGGAAAAGATGGAAAGGATTGGACTTGCGCTTTCGGGATCCAGGCGGGAGCTTAAAGGAGGGCGTCATCTTGTCTGTGTGTTTTGTTCTTTCTGGGGGAACTTTTTGTGGGTAGGATAGCTTTGTGCTCTTTTGACCTATTGTCTTATTGTCGACGACTACGAAGGGGTTTGCTCCTCTCTTTTGGCTTCGAGGGGGTATTGTCAGAAGGAAGCGGGGATATTCACCACCAAGTCTCTCCCTACTTTGTCTTTTCAGACATCGATCCATCATGTCACTGTCAGTGTTTCTCTCTCTCCATTTCATCCCATCTCGTTCACGACTAACGTTCCCCAGAATCCGTCGCGCCACTCCTTCCTCCACATCGACATCATGCTACACACTCAACAAGCAAAAAGCGCCCTCTGACAGTCTAAGCTATATCCCATGCAACGCCACAGCCATCGCAAACGGCGAACACAGTGTCTGCTGCGCATCCAACGATCTCTGTCTTGAGAACGGGTTGTGCAAGTACAACGCTGGAGCGGACGCGAGGCCGTTCAACGAATATTGGCGTACGTATTACCCCTCGCCCAACTCTACGCGTACACAGATATAGGATAAAAACGGTCAAGTCGCAATAGTTGACGAGAAGGATTAATATAGGCATCGGCTGCACCGACCCAACTTACAAAGACCCATCCTGCCCCCAACAATGCTCAAACATCCCAAACGACAGAGCAACGCAACTTGTTTTCCAATGTCCCGGAAACGGACGCTGGTGCTGCGGAACCGGGCATATCGAAACCTACAAAGATCACGGGACTATAAACACCACATGCTGCGACATCGACGACTTGGCGTTCGACGGAGGCGAAGCCCGCGTCTTCGCGACCGCGAAGCTGGAATTGAAGGATGTTTCCGGGACAGCGGTTTCCACTGGTATTCCCACACGCACCTCGGGGTTAGGGCAGGTTTCGACGACCGTAGGCACGATTGCTACGTCGACGTCGTTGGGGGAGGGAAGAACAGCAGTACCAAGCGCTTCAGACAACATCTCGCCACCGAAAGCCCCGGATAACCTTTCGACAGCCATTGGAATCGGTGTAGGGATCCCAGTCACCATTGCCATATTAATCGGGATAGCCGTTTTCTTCGTGCTGCGGAAGCGTCGAAAAGCGAAAGCTGCAATGCAAGATCAAGGCACCAACAATAGCCACTTCGATAACAAACCGCTGACGTCCCCACCAAATCAACCATCACCAACACAGCAATCGCAGTCAAAACGTGGTGCCTTTGCATTCTGGAATCGCTCTCGAAGTGTCCAGCAATCTCCCGCGTCGCAAGCGAGTTTAGATAGCCCGGATATAAGAAGTACGAATCCTCACGCGTTCTGGACAGAGGCGCATGGAAGAGAAATGGCAATGGAGATGGACTCAGCGCGGGCGCCAGCGGAAGCGTGGTCGCCAGATGCAGAACGAGGGACGGGGTGGGGCAATACGCAGGACGGCAGAGATATCAATGCTGTGGAGTTGAGGGGGACGAATGCAAGGGAAAGGTTTGGGAACTCCGAGTTGGAGGCGAATGAGTCCAGGAGTCCAGAGTTGCCGGCATATGCGTACAAGTACACATAGTCGAAGTTGGAAAGGCGGAAGCGCGACGATGACACTTAATGAATTGAAAGATACCCCCGTTTGTTCACCATTTTGACCACGAGGGGTCGTGAAAGGATTCCGCGACGAAGGAATATATTGAGAGTGTATGCACTCTTGGGTATCATGATTGACTGCGACCATACATCTAGCCCTGAAGTTGGCCTTTTAGTCCCTCCTTTCCAATGTTCATGGCCCTCTCGATCTCCATCTCCTCCTCCCGTAGCCTGCCCTTCCCGTAAGCTAAATCTCGCTCTTGCCTTCTTTTCTCTTCCCTGACCTTCCTCTCACGCTGTGCAAGTGCCTTTTCTCTACGCTTCCTCTCTTCCCTCTTCTTTGCGGTCTCAGCGTCTTCTTCTGCAGGATCGAGATTGCCTTCGGGTGGTGGTGGCAGTGTGGATAGGTATGTTTCGATGACGGGATCGCGCGTGGATGATGCGAGGGATATAAAGCGAAGATCGCTTAGTATAGTTTCGGGGAGAGTCGATAGCGATGTGGAATGGTTGAGCGTAGAAAGAGGTTGAGCGCGCAGAAGGGAAACGAGGTCGGACTTCAAGTCCGAAGAACGCATACCTAATCGCTTGATATGTTCACGATAAAGTTTTTCCTTCTCTTTCTCGGGCAATTTTGTATCTTTCATCTCCGGTTCTTTCCGGTATTTGCGTTTGAATTCGGGCCAGTAGAGCTTCGGTGTCGCGAAACGATCGAGCAGAGCTATGTATGGTATGCGCGGATCGATCTTCTTTTGCTGGGCTTTTTGTTCCTTTAGAATCTGCGATTTTTCTTTTGCCCACTCATTGAAGCAGTCTTTGCGCGCGCTCATGCTCGTCAGCGCCTTGTAGCGCTCGTCATCATACAGGGCACCGCTTTCGAGCACTTTGTCCCAAGGTGTGTAAGGACTTGTGTTTGTGTCATCGAGTAGTTCCTTGAACAACGCTTTACAATCCTCCTCTGAGAGTGGCGGCTCGTCGTCATCGTACTGATCATCGAACCCGCCTTCCATCTCTTCCATCTGCGCCAATTGCCATGCGAGATCGTCATCTTCTTGCGCACCCATATCTTGATCCTGTGCGTTTGCGTCTGTTCTTTGCCGTTTTTGAGGATGTGATGTATCTGCCACTTCATCATCTGTCACCTCGACCTCCTCATATTCTTCCGCATCCTCCATACCTTCTTCGCCGTCCACCTCGACGATCTGTTGTTCGATTTCCTCTTCCGCGGCGGCCAGTTCCGCTTCAAGCTCGGCCATTTCCATCTCCGCTTCATCATCGCTGGGCTCACCACGTTCTCTACGCTCCTTCTTCTCACGTTCCACACGATCAAACTCGACGACGGCCTTCATGACGTGGGGAGGAAATTTCCAAAAGCTTTCATTGGTTTCCTTGTTCCAAACAAATCTCCGGCCAAGCTTTGTCTTGACAAGAACCCAAGGGGCACAACCGGGGATATCATTGCGATGTTTGGGACGATCATGGACATGGCGTTTCCTGTCGGGGAAATTATTGTGTCCACCACGAGCTCCACCTCTGGGCGCGCCGCGAGAAGATTCTTGGCCCCGCTGGTTGTGGAACTGGCGTGTTGAATGAGAATCTCCGAAGATGAGATTCTCAACTTGCTTTCTTGGATCGAAAACATTCTGAGGGGCGGGTACGTGGTAGCTCTCGGCGGATGAGCTTGCGCCGAGGGATGAGCTCTTGTACGGCTGAGGTGCGGCGGGGGGAGCAATGGGAGGAGCGATGGGATAGTGAATGGGGGGTTGAGCGATGGGGCGGACATAGGTAGATTTCTTCGTTTCCTTGTGATAGTAGTAGGAGTGGCCTGGCGATTGTAAGTTAGTATGATGGAGACGCGTGCATGGGGAGTGTAGCTACCTGATGGCGCTTTATGTTCGGTCCAGCCAGCAGGCAGCGGCGGTGGAGGCGCAGGCGGGCGCACGGGAATGTCAGACATATTTACAATATTAACCTGCAATTATCGTGTGTTTTTGCTTGTCCCTTCTCCCTTCCGTCGAGATACCGAGCGTCAGGTGCTGAGGCGGCTGTAGAGATACAGACGGAGCTCAAAAAAGTGGTCGGGCTTGGCGTCGAGGTCCCGCCGACCAAGGACGCGTGGGAAGCTTGTGCCTAATGGAGCTCCCCCAGTCTATCCCAACTGCATCACATCTCCGCCGCCGTCATCCACCCCTCCACGCCTTTCTTCGCTCTCTTACCCGACTACGATTTCACCTTCCGAGGACCTCGTTGACATCAATTCCGGCTCGTCACCATGTCGCGGCGGTACGATTCAAGGGTAAGCCCGCAGCACGCCCCACACCTGCAATCACATACATACTTACACTTCGTGTACATGACAGACGACCATCTTCTCGCCCGAAGGACGTCTCTACCAGGTCGAATATGCCCTCGAGGCCATCTCGCACGCCGGAACCGCTCTAGGCATCCTCGCCCAAGATGGCATTGTGCTCGCCGCCGAGCGGAAGGTCACCAGCAAGCTGCTCGAGCAGGATACGTCGGCTGAGAAGCTATACATCCTCAACGACAACATGATCTGCGCTGTCGCCGGAATGACCGCTGATGCCAACATCCTCATCAACTACGCCCGCCAGGCTGCCCAGCGCTACCTGCTCACCTATGACGAGGACATTCCCTGCGAACAGCTCGTACGCCGCCTGTGCGATCTCAAGCAGGGCTACACCCAGCACGGTGGTCTCCGTCCTTTCGGTGTGTCATTCATCTACGCAGGGTGGGATCCCCAGAGGCAGTTCCAGCTCTTCCAGAGCAATCCTAGTGGCAACTACGGTGGCTGGAAGGCGACGAGTGTGGGCGCCAACAACGCTTCCGCTCAAGCTCTGCTGAAGCAAGACTACAAGGAGGAATGCGATTTGAAGGAGGCTTGTGGTCTGGCTGTAAAGGTGCTCAGTAAGACGATGGACTCCACCAAATTGAGTAGCGAGAAAAGTACGCGCACCAATTGCCTGCCCATATTATTGTATATGCTAATTTTCCCGCAGTTGAATTCGCCACCGTAGGCCGGACGAAAGCTGGAAAGATCTACCACCACCTGTGGGGAGCTGATGAGATTGATGCCCTGCTTAGGGAGCATGGTCTGGCTAAAGCAGAGGACACTGAGATGAGCGAGCTATAAGCGAAAGGGCAGTAGTTATGCTGGGAAACAAAATCGAAGGCGTTCATGAATCACACATCACACTAGAGGTGGCTTGTAGTATACCATATCCGGTGAGGCTGCCATAGATCTTGGTAACGAATCTCACTTTATGACGACCACTACACCACGTTTTACATCCTCCACACGTTACGGCTTTGCAATCCTTTCCAATCCTGAATTTTATGCATGTTGACCAGCCATGACTTTCTTGCTCCTGCGCTGTTGTTCCTTCCTCAAATTTCGGTTCAATTACTCGTGACTTCCTTCTGTCCCCAAGGTCAAGAACGCCATTTTGCCCAACATACTTCACCATGCTTCCTAGATCCTCACATCATCACCCCGTGCATCTCATACCGTCTCCCAGCATCTGTCGTTGATCATCGCACATCCGTCCAGGTTCCGCACGAGCATTCCGTACCCTGATGTCCTCTCCCTCGTACCCGCAAGATCGCTTTTCGACTGGTGGCCCCTCACAGTCAGCCCTGCAAAAATTATTGGAAGAGCTTGCCGATAGTTCGCGGGCAAGAATTCGGTCTCGCCCTGACCACGATTCCTTGAGCTGTTATAAACGCTTCTCCCGCCCTTCTCGCTCCATTGTCTGGGACAAGCCTTCCGTATGGGTGGGCGGCGGTATAGACGCCAAAGATGCACGGAACAAGCTACGCGCGCACGACGAAGCTCGTCAAAAGCGGAAATTGGAGGAGAGTGCCAGCAGTTCCATGCTGAATGTCAGGCTTGCGGAACCACAAGGATCCGGTCGTTTTCCCGCAAAACCTCCCTCGAGTCTTGGTTTGGGCTCCACACACGACAGTGCGATAGCTTTCGGTGATGCCCAATTCAGTACCCGTCGCACGTCTCCGGCTAGAAACCAATGCCCTCCTGCGTGGCCATCACCAATTTTGCCCGGTATTGTGCTGTACGCTAGGCGATCTGGTTCGTAGGCTGATCGGGGGTACAGGCAGCAAAAGAAGTTACAGCCCGTGTGATCCTCTTGAATTGAAAAGATATCCACGAGCAGAGACTCAGAAAGAAACAACCGGTACTCTAGCAAATTATGCATCTAGCGCGAGTAGCATCGCACCAAAAGGGGGCGGCTCAAATACCACTGCGGCTCTCTACAACCATGCCGACTACGTAGAACGATTGCCCCCTTCTCGGACACTATCTGCCAGCCTTACACCTCTCGATGGCGTATCATCGTTCCGTCCTATCGAACAAAAATATCGTCAACCTCCTACACCCCCGGTTCCACGACACTCATACGTATCCGCCAACATTTCTCCAGAGACGACCACACCGGTTCCAATACGTCCACTACAGCTTACGCTCGATATCAGAAGATCGTATAAACAACCCTCTGATCCAGTTCGTAGAAATATACTGCTCTGTTTTGGATGCTATCATCAGCACGGCGAATTCAACGTCATTCTTGAACACGGATGCGAAGTCTGCGGTGGCTCAAATGCCCTCACACACCACTATTGGGAAAGACTTTGTCGTAGATAGATATTTCCGTATGGGCTGCTGTTTGAGGTTAATCTTTTCAGGATTCCGCTACATTAACTACCTTTATCGGTTAGGATACTGTATACCCTAGTTGTTATGGGATCCGGCTGTGGGTAGACTCGAATGAATGCGAACCTTCCTCCATTTTGACCTTTGATGTTCATCTTAGATCATGCTCAGCGTGATTCTTCTCTCGGAATGCATTACGAAAATGTTATATATATATATTTGGCCACAGCGTTCGAGGGTTCACCTGTCAATATTAAGCCGTCCTTCCAGTTGTACACATGTTGAACTGCTCGAATACTTGTGAGAAAGCATTTATATTTGTGTAGTGTAAGATATTACAAAGATATAATCTACACCCCATCATATTTAGAAAGAAGAAAGGAAATAAGGCGTTAAAGAGCGTAATACCATCCTCCCACCCCCGTCTCCCCTAAACCCTACTCATCAAAATTTTCCACAAACCATCCTCCCTTTTCATCCAATAAAATCCCAAAAGATAACAGCTCCATAAAAGGGCAAGAAGAAGCTCATCAAACAGTCAACCGCCCTACAACAAAACAGCAGCAGCGGCAACCACACCCACAAACCCAACGCCACCCTTTCTAATCACCTCAACACGACCCGCAGCCCCCGTATACACAGGAACATTATACGGCGCAGTCGTGGAAGGGCGATACACGGAGCCTGTTCCCACAGTGCCCACGCTGATCGTTGGAGGCTTAGAAACTATCGGGCCAGATGGCACGACCTTTCCGCTTACCGGTGAGGAAGCAGGAGGCGTTCCCACTACGACAGTGCTATCCACAACCTTGGTAGTCACTACTGGAGAAGTCGTGACGCGGAGAGGCGTGGTGTACGTCTTGTAGCTAGTCAGCGTGGAAGTAGTTGAGCCGCCTGGACAGCCGGGGCACGCAACGACGGTGGAGAGGAGTAGCGTTGTGGTCTTCGTGACTGGAGTCTGCGGTGGTGCTGAGGCTGGAGGTGGAGGAGGGACGCTGGCGACGGAAGTGTATGTCGTAGTGGTGTATTTGGTGACCACGCTTGTGGAGGAGCCGCCTGCGCACGCCGTGCAAGGGACGACTGTTGTTACGGTTGTGATTGGGGTGCTCTTTGTAAGGGTGACGGTCTTAGGTGGGGGAGGTGGTGCGGATGACGCGGGTGTTTGCGTGGTCTTTGTCAGGATCTGCGTCTTTGGTGGTGATAATGGGGTTGTGCTGCAAGGAATTGTGAGGGTCACGGTTGTCGGGGTCGCGGCGCAGACGGTGCAGACGGTGGTTGTGACGGTCATTCCTGGTGGGGGCACGTAGATGGATGATTTACCCGTAGGCTTGGAGGATGTGGTTGTTTCGGGGCAGTATGTAACGGTTTGGGTGGTCGTCTTTGTGGTGAAGCCCGTGGAGCAGATATCGGTGTAGGTGGTTGTATATGTTGTTGTCAAGGTTTGTTTGCTGGTTGGGACTGCTACGCCGTTGACTGATGCGTCTGTGGTTAGAGGTTTGGAAGACGAGGAGGCCCTGGAGGTGCCAGCAGGTGTAGAAACTGAGTCGTGAGCACTGCCAGATGCGGAAGAGGCAGTGGAAGAGGCGGAGACTGCGGTTCCAGAGTTCACTGGGGTGTGGACGAGTGAATCAGTGCCAGTAGCGGACGAGTTGGAAAAAGGAGCGCTAGAGCTGGGGTCCAATGTAGGAATGGCCGAGCCTCCTGAGACATGCGAAGATGTCCCGGTTCCCACGATGGATGGAGTTTGGGTGGACGATGCGATAATAGTTTCATTGGAGAGATGAATAGAAGAGCTTGAACTCAAAGTTGGGACTGCAGTTCCACCGGAGATGTGCGATGGAGCGCTGATGGAGTCGGTCGCAGATGTTCCATTGGAGAAGGGAGCTGACGAGGCACTAATGGCAGGAAGCGACGCGCCTCCTGATACAGCGGTACCGACGCTGGATCCGGTTGGAGAAGTGGCATTAGAGAAGGGAGCCGACGAGGCGCTAATGGTAGGGAGCGATGTGGCTCCTGATACAGCGGTACCCATGCTGGAGTCGGTTGGAGAAGTGGCGTTAGGGAATGGAACGGACACGGGATCAAGGGTTGGGAGTGATGAAGCTCCCGATACAGCAGTGCCAACGCTGGAACTCGAAGAACTTGATGACGCTGAAGAGGTCGAGCTGGAGCTGGAGGTTGGCGTAACAGCGGTGAAGGTTTTGAAAGAGCTAATGAGCCAGTAGGCCTGCGAGAAGGCCGAAGGATTCTGAGCTACGAACCTCTTGCAAGAGTCCATACCACTAAGACCCGGATACTGAGGGCAAGAAGATTGTGCATATACGTTTCCTGCCCAGTCACCACAGAATGTAGTGTCAAAGACGAACTGCTGGTTGATGAATCGTTCGTCAAGGTTGCAGTCACCCTGGAAGCTAGAATCGGGAATCCCAAACTCGGCGACATTGGGGGATTCGTTGGTAATGCTGGCGGGAATTCTGTTACGAGGGAAAAACCACATCTTGATCGCGGAGGACGTCCATTCCATAGCGTATACTCCTCCACCGTTGGCGTTGAATCCAGTACCGAAAGTGTTGGGCTGAGCAGCATTGACGTCACAGCCTGAGGCGCCTGATGGGCTGTCTAGAGCGCAGTTGTATAGCCCTTGCGTGCCGGTTTGACCAAGTCCGTTCACCGAACATTGTGTGTCAGTGTGAAGTACCATTTTGTTGGCGGTGTTGAGGTTCACACCCTCTATGATGTCGATTTCTCCGCGAACAGGCCAGTTCACTTCTGTGTTGTATGTCCAGAAAGCTGGCCAGGTACCGCATATTCCTCCGGGCATGTGCTTAATGTCAATGATGAAAAGCCCATGGTTGTACTTCTTTGCCGACTCAAGACGAACACTGTTGCGTCCAGGCCCCGAGACCGTCAATGGGCTCGTAAAGTCCACACCTATGTACTGGTGCCCATTCACTTGCCTCACAAGTTGTTGATTCTGGGCAGCAGTTTTGGAGACATACTTGACGAATCCATTGGTGGGGTCCGGTTTGTCGAAGAAAGTGAAGCCATCTAGAAAGCTGTCGCCTTGGTAGGTGTCTTGGATCTGGTAGACAGTGGCGGAAGTAGTGGCTGAAAGAGCGGATAGGAGCACACTGGCCTTCAGAAAGAATGATGAAGACGGCATCCTGTATTAAGTATTAAGTGTCAATTAAGACCAATATTAAGACGAGTAAACGAGTGTGTGTAGAAAGCTCTACCGGTGTTGTAAGGAACAAACTGATGAGTCGTTGGAGAGCAAAACGTGAGGGTAGAAGCTCGACATAAGTACTTCTTCGGATCGTTCAGTTTTTTCGATGGTTAGATTGCTTTTTACAAGAGTCACTGTTTACGTCTACCGAATTGCACTGTACGCAAGCCACTGAAGATACTAAGATGGAGCCACTAAACCAAATGAAAACATCAGCTGCGCCCGGAATCCCTTCTCACGTTCAGTTAAGCAAGTGTGAGCGACCGTATAATTGAGCACTTTCCCTCATTCGGTAGGGCGGGAGACGTGCTGAAGATGCACCTACGCGGATACCGAAAATAGGGTTCTTGGACGCGAGGGGCTGGTAGTCTGGTACCTGCATATATGGCGTGACACTGTACAAAATACATCCCCACGAACTCCACGTGGCTGAACTCACGATGCGAAGTTGTGTTTATGAGTGGTCAATGATGAGGTGGTCCCCACGTTGTTGGTGCCAAGCTTCGCAAAAAGCATTGTTGTTGAAGCTTGTGGCGTTCCATCAGGGGTAATGAAGATCCAGACCGCGATTTCTAGTTGACCATGACAACAATACGACACCTTACGCTGGCCCATGAAAGCCAGATGCCCCAACTGTGGCTGCGCTAATCATTTTTAAGGGCGATTTTTGCTGCTGAATTTCGACAACACATTGAATAGTCTCTTACCAGCCGCAGCGCCTTTTGGTCAAGCGAAATGAGTGACCCACGATCTATACGAAAGCGCGATTTTCCAGCGATACTGGTCGGAGACTCCGACATGCGTAGTGACTACGAAGCACTGAGTTGGTTCTGATCATGATTACAGGGGTGCGCAACATCTCCAGAGGTATCTGGGTATGAGGGTAACACTGTCCTTGTAGTCATGGATGCGACAGGCAAACATGAACCCAAGAACTTGCCAGAAAAGCAAAATCCATGATTGTAGTGCTACCCCAAAATCCGAGACGGGAGAGCTAAATCGTGAGCATTTCCATTCGGAATATTGGACATCTTTTGTGAAGGAGAACGACAACAGTGGTGATCAGGCAGAGGAGAATGCGGCGATTGAGCTACCCAGCAAATCAAGTAGCGGAACGGACTAACTATAATGCGCGTGGTATCTCTGCCTGGGCCCCAAATTGATCAACCGTAGCAATGGATAGTGTGCACGTTTCACTCAACAAGAAAAGATAATGAATGGTAAGAGATAGATTGGTGTCTTTTTATCGCATTCAAACGACATGTGGGTTGGTTCAAAGATCGAAATCAGGCGGGGATACGATGAGATGAAGATATTTATCAATTGCACACCTGCGTGCGCATTCGTGTAGTGCAACATTCATTCGACTGCTTGCTCGTTGAAATATACCAAAATCAAGCTTCAAACGTTTTCTCATACATTTCCTGTGATTCGTTTCGCAGCCCGACATATCAGACGGGAAATGTTTCAATGACGTAACGACCGCGTTCCACATCTTTTGTCACCAACTGTCCTCAATCTTTCATCAACATATATCGTCCCAACGTATAATCATCTCTCAGGTGTCAATCATAACCAAGATCTCCACATTTCGCATGATATTCCCCAACATGGTCGACCTTGCAAGCATCACCGAGCTTGCGAATCCCCCGCAAAACATCATCGGATCTGCAATATTCCTTGCCTATATCGTTCTCGCCCTCTATGGCACCATCAATATTTCGGGATCGATATACTCACAATACAGCTCAATAGCCAAGCTGAGCAAGAGCAAGAGCAAAGAAAAGGGGAAACTCAAAGAGAAAGAGAAGAAGAGAAAAGGGAAAGAGGAGGAAGTCCAGATCGCTCAATCGAGCGCGATACAGAATGCACGCAAGCGACACGTCAAGATTTACGCGTTTCTCGCGTCCATCAGCTTTGCGACTTTATCTTATCACATGCTCTCTTTTCTCATCATATCATACAGCGCGTGGGCTGGAAAGCGAAAGTTGAGTTTAAACGATATTACCGTAGACAGCTTGAAGGCGTGGATGCTGAACACCTCGCTCTTCGACTCCTTCGCTAAAGAGCTAGTCCATGATGGACCCAGCGCGGCATGGACGCAAGGTGCCATTCTGGCCACCTACTTCTGGAACATCTGGATGGCGGACAAAGGTGAGGCAACTCATTCTTCAATCTGCTAAAGAAAAACGTCATCACTAACAAATCCCAGTACAACAACGTGGATATTCGCTTAAAACTATGTTCCCTTATGTCATGCTCAGCCAAATTCTACCAATCTCCCTGACAGTTTCGCTCTTCATCGTTCAACTCCATTTATCCGCTATCCTAGAATCCGCCAAAGTTCCCACCTCAGATGGCCCACAGCCTACATCCGCGAAGAAGGCTTATAAAAAGACCAATCCCACCTTGCCGACCATAATCCTCAACGCCGCGCTCCTAGCTCTCCCGCCCCTGCGAAATCACCCGGTCTTCATTCCGCTAGTCCTCCTGACTCGAATCATTCTTCTCGTTCCATTCTCTGGTCGCATCAGTTCGCGGGAGCAGCAAGTGGTGCAATCCATTTCCATCTCAGCAGGTTTTGTGTTTGCCCAGCTGTTCATGATGAGGTCGACGACCTCGCTAGGTGAAGTGGTGAGGGGATGCTGGAGTGGCGGGGAGGCCGTGAAGGCATTAGGATGGGATGCACAGTTGGGAGCGCTGGTGCACTTGGTGCTGAGTTGGGGTGGAGGCGTGTAATCGAGTTCTAAACAGGATATGTAATGCTAGATTATGCGCTGGTAAAATTGATTATGCAATTCTCAATATCTAACGATGTGCGCTCCGCCATGTGAACTTTTGCGTAAGTCTTTATCGTGGCGTAACTAAGAACGAGAAACGACCAATAGGAAATCTGGATAGTTGTTATGCACTTGATGGGACACAGCTGAACTAGGTTGAGATCTGGATACCGATTTCAGAACTGCGAGCACATGGAGAACAAGCATGATCCACTCGTACACGTGGAAGCCACGTGAACTGCGTGCAGTGGTAAACTAGTGTGATCCTTAAAGCCAAGCATATATCGCAAACATTGAGCGCTCTACGCGTGGCGAGAATCAAGTTATATGACTGTAAAACCCGTCCAAATATGAGCAGAACCCGAGCTGCGCAGCAGAGCACACGATGCGCAGTACCTCGAGATGCCACTGCCCAATCGGAATTTCGTCCAATTCCAGCTATCACCAACTGATCGAGCGTTCGTTGATGCGAATAAGCTTTACGAGCCGGTACCCTGCAGTGGGTTAAAGAATGACGTGCAGCTGCGGAATGGTTCCGATTACACAGAGACAACATCAACTCATCGTGTCTTGAGATGGGTTTAATACCTATGTGCTCATCACCTTATTCCTACCCGATCTACTCACGTCATGAGTCTGTGGACAGGCGCAAAGATAGACGCCTTGGGTTGAGACAGTAGTGCTCGTGTCGGGTTTTCAAGGGGGGAATCTTCACTTCACTCCACGGGTAATTGATTCAATCATACATACATACATATGTATGTAGATTGAGCAACGAACACCCCCATTTTCGCTCAGTGCTCACACAAGAATCACAAAAAGCAATGTGGCAAACCACATAGCGTTGAATTCAAGCTGGTTTCTAGTCCAAGGTTATTAAATTAATGGGTTACTCTTGTTCCAAATACAAGATACATTTTAGTCTTATACAGACAAATGAGTCGGCTCAATATTAAGCCGCAGAAAATACCTTTCTCCGAGCTTTCTCCGAGCGTATTTCGTCCAAACCCAGCTCTGTTTAGAATCTGACACAGGAAAATGAGAATGCTTTTCTTAACATATAGCATTGGGGAACTCAAAACAAATCAACTCAACTTTTGAAGGATGGAAGTGGATTTAACGCTTCTTGTTATAGAGCTTTTAGAGACTTCTTTTTTTAATCGGATTGCAAAGAAAGGAAGGACATCGCAAAATGATGTAGCAATGATGATGGAATCCACTGACGCCGGAAAAGGACTTTACCCAAGAGCGGAAAAGAGCGACACCTTGCCATAACTAATCATTTCAGGATTTGCAACATCGACGCCCATCCCTTGCGATTATTAGAAATCAATCATGACATCCCATCTTGACTGCGCCGTATTATCTAATTTTTCCAGTTGTATGTATATATTCCTTCTCGATGAACAGTCCAAGACCGCTTTTCTCGTGGAAATATGATAGCGCATACGAAGAGCGTCATCTCATTGACTTGTTAGCGCATTGGTATCTTGAGTCAGTCGCGCTAGGTGAGACCCTCTTTCGGCAAACGACACAGCAACACCCAGACTGCTCGCAAACCCGTGCTTTGTAAGACGGGTGAACGGGAAGACGCGAAACGGATCGCGCTTGCATTGTTTGGATAGCTCCTCCCTCTTTCGTTCCTCATGAGCTTGGCTTCTGCTTTATCTTTGCTAGCATAGCCAACGTTTATATAATCTTTCAGGATCCCGGAAAACCAAGCGACTAAGAAAGAAGAAGAGCCGGATAAAGTACCGTGAAGTGGAGACAGGCGATGGTGAAGATGGAACAGGAGAAAAATATCGTCGACGACGCTCGACGCAGCGAGAGCACGATGCGAGATCGGGAAACGCTTCAAGGAGAAGAGAAGAGTGGCAAGGACTCGATATCCCTGCATCTAGATGAATCAGGCCAGAAAAGAGCTGTTGGAGACCATGCAGGACATCACAACACACACGAGTACTCCGCCAACGCCAGAGAGGAAGAAGTAGAAGCAATAGTAGAAGAGGACGACACAGACGAAGAGAACGGAACCGCAATAGCACCTGTCCACTCCAATCGCAAGAGTCTGCGATCTGTGAAGTCGCATCATTCTCACGCCGGCGCGGATGGATATACGTATTTCGCCTCCCATGAGGATGAGGAGGACCATCGTCGTTCCTCGAGAAAATCTGTAGGTGAAGGAGCATCGGCTCAGAATGACGAAGATGACCCTTTCCTCGTCCGTTTCTCTGGCGATTCGGACCCGATGAACCCGCGCAGCTTGCCCAAGTGGAGACGATGGTCAATTGTACTCATTTGTGCGGCGAGTTCGCTCTGCGTGTGAGTTGAATTTATTTTCCTTGAATTACAACCTTGATTCTTTTATGTCTAGACGGTCAGAGACGTGTGTATTGTCCCAAGAAAGTATTTGAAAAGCGAATTCGTTCGTTGCTGCTGCTGCCACGCCTCTTGCCACTATTGTTCGAAGAAAGAAATGTTGGGTTTAACAGCGCGAGTCACTTTGGACCAAACAAAAAACGGGGCAAGGAAAGGATATTGCTCAATACTGCGGGGTTGTATTGAAGTATAACATCACGGGCCGAACACCAATCGCAAAGGCGAAAGGAAAAGCAAGATGTCACAGCCTTGAGATGGAATAGAGGTGGAATCAGATAAAAGAGCAAAACCAGCTGAGTCGAGATGCCACTTCCATCTATGTCAGGAAGGTGAAGTCCGGTCGACACGGAAAAGAAGAGAGTTGACCCAAGTATCCGATTGCAAGAATTCAATGGCAACGACAACGACAGCAATCAAATGTCGACCATCAATCCAAGCAGTAGCGAACCTTGAAATCAATTTCAGGACATGCCGGCAACTATTCACCCACCTATTGAGGAAGCCGGGGACGATACTAAAATACAGCAAGGCCGTCAAATATGGAACATGAGGAAGAGCAGCATTAGCACCAATGGCAAGCATCTTTGACCCTTGAAAGGACAGAAGAAAAATTGGCCACAACAAAAACAGCGGAGACATCAACTCACCTATGAAGAAGCCAAAGCCACGCGAGAACACACCGAACTAACTCTTTCTCTCTCTCTCTATCATTATCTCTGACATACCCACTAACCCAACTCAATTCCTCAGGACATGTACCTCCTCCCTATACACCTCGACATACTCGCAGCTCATCCCCGACTTCCACACCTCCCGCATCGTCTGCACCCTCGGTTTATCTCTATTCGTCGCAGGCCTCGGAACAGGTCCCATGATTCTAAGTCCGCTGTCCGAGGTAAGTTCGACTCTCCCCTTTCTCTTCTCTATTCAACCCCTACTTTTCTCTAACATTTTCTTGTGATATAGTTCTACGGAAGAAGACCAATCTACATCGTCTCATTTGCCTTCTTCTTCATCTTTATGATCCCCTGCGCATTCGCCCAGAACATTCAGACTATGCTGGTCGTTCGATTTCTGGACGGGTTAGCTGGCAGTGCGTTTTTGAGTGTTGCGGGTGGAACGGTGGGCGATCTGTTTGCGAAACATGTACGTTTGGCTTGATTTTACTCCTACTGTTGTTCCTGATAGTCTCTATTGCTACTGATGAGGCATTCAGGAATTGTCTGCACCAATGATGGTATACACCGCGAGTCCATTTATTGGCCCTGAGATAGGACCGTTGGTGGGTGGGTTCATTATGGAGAATACATCATGGCGATGGTGAGTGCGAGAGAGTAATCCTTCGTATCATTGTCTATGAAACGTGCAGGCGAAGTAAAGACGATTAGATGAAGGAGGGAAACATCATACCACTGACAAGAAGAAACACTTACTAACTCCACTCCTTCTTCAGGTGTTTCTACGTGCTCATGATATGGTCTTTCGTTCAAGTAAGCCATCCATCTATCCCTATACTTTTCTCTCCTGCTTCTCACTGACAGCGTACAAAGCTCACTCTGATAACCCTCTTCGTCCCGGAAACCTACCATCCAGTGCTCCTCCGCAACAAAGCCATATCCCTCCGCAAAGAAACCGGTGAACCTTCCTACATAGCCACGATCGAAAAGATGAATAAATCAGTAGGAAAAACGATCCTCTGGTCCTGCGTCCGCCCATTCCAACTCCTCATCTTCGAGCCAATGGTAAAATTACCCTCTTTCTCTCTATCTCTAGTTGCCCAACGCTCTGCAATGAATTATACTGAATATTGATTGTAAATAATGTAGTGTCTCATGTTATCCCTCCTCTCAGCCCTCCTTCTAGGAATCCTCTACCTTTTCTTCGGCGCATTCCCGCTCGTCTTCCAAACAAACCATAATTTCACGACTTCTGAGATTGGACTGTCATTCTTGGGGCTGTTGGTGGGAATGTTGACTGGGATTGCTTGTGATCCGTTTTGGAGGGGCAGGTATGAAGAGTTAGTTAGGAAGAATGAGGAGAAGGGTGGGGGGAGTGAGCCTGAGTATAGGCTGGTCACCACGATTGTCGGGGCCTGGGTTGTTCCGGTGGGGCTTTTTGGTATGTTTGTTTTTTCGTCTTCTATCTTTCTTTCTTTCTTTCTTTTCGAGTAATATGTGTGGGAAGGCGGAAGAGCAGGGGTGTGATTGAGTGCATGACTGAGGGAGATTTGTGCTTTCGCTCTTGTGGAAATGCTTGGACAGCGAGTAATCTTGTGACTGACCTTTATTTTTCTTGTCTAGGTTTTGGATGGACCACGTATACACATGTAAGTCCACCGCCCCCCTGCCTTCACGCTCCCATCACCAAACAGCAAAAAGAAAAAAAGGGCGAAAGGAAAACTCTTGCAATGAGTCAACCCCTCTCACCCTTCCCCCCTCAAGTGTTCTACGAAAGGAGATGAATGAAGATCGACGTTTCGAATGTGATTAACCCATGACTGACTCCCTGTGGCATAGGTCCATTGGATAGGTACGTAACTCCAACGGGGCAGTCGCATACTCATACCCACCCACCCACACCCACTTACAAAAATACGTATCCATGCAATGCAATGCATGCATGCAGGCAGTCTCCTATTGCATCTTTCCCTTGAGTCACACATTCAGGCTCAGCTACCCCCATCAGCCCAACGCCCCTCCACCCCCTCCAAGAAGAACAACGAAAGGACCCAAAAGAAAAAGGAACGTTGGCTAATCACAAACCATGCAGTCCCGATCATCTTCAGCGCCGTCTTTGGAACTGGGTAAGTGCAACTCCCCCTCCCCCCAACAACGACGATGACGCAGGAAGTATCGCGAGGAACAACGCAAAAAAAGAGGGACGTCTGACTGACTGCATGCCTGTGTGTTTTTGTGTTGGTGTAGTGTGATATGGGTATACTCTGGAGTATTCACTTTCCTGGTCGAAGCCGTACGTCCAAACAAACCCTCCCCCTCCTCCCCCTTCGACTTTCCCCATCACGCGCACACGCATACACGTTACGTCGCCGACATCGGATAACATGTATACTCTACATACCCTCCCTCACCATCACCATCGCGCATCGCCCATCAACCAACCAAACCAATCCAACCCTAAAACATTGAAACTGAAAACTGAAAATACCGTGACAAACAGTACCCGTTATACGCAGCAAGCGCCCTCGCAGCAAACAGCTTCGCGCGGTCCTACTTCGCAGCCGCATTCCCGCTGTTTGGCGTGCAAATGTATAATCGTATGTTTTCCTCTTTCTACCTTGGTTATACCCTGACCCCCTAACCACAAACTACTTCCCTTGTAAATTATTCGATCAACTAATCTGGGAGTATTTGGAATTTGTAGATCTAGGATATCAATGGGCAACCTCGCTTCTAGCGTTTCTGGCGCTGGGTATGGCCCCGTGAGTTTTACCCCCCCCCCCCCCTTCCCCTTTCATTACCTTTCCCCCCTTGTTTTCTTTTCCATCAATCGCGCGGATTGATGTTGTGATGGGCATTTTATAAATGTTACAATGAACATCAATGGGCAAAGTGTGTGTGCTGATCAAAGTATGAACCTTTTGAAATTATAGATTCCCGATTTTCTTCTTCCGGTTCGGAAAGAGGCTCAGGGGGAATAGTCGGTTTGCTTCGACGTGAAGGATGCTGGGGGAGGGAGAGAGAGAGGGAAGGGTAGCGAATAGGACAAGTTCTTATTTCAATCGAAATGCAGAAGGTAGGAAGATGAAGGAGAGGGAAGGAGAGGCATGGACAGGCGGTGGGCTGATGAAAGTGCGTGGTGGGTTGGGTTCCCTCAAGGTTAGCGCATGGTGGGTCGGCAGGACTCGAGAGAAACACAGGCGCACACACGTACACATGACAGAGAGACAAAGAGGGAGAGGGGGAGAGGGCATATCTGGGGGGAGCTGGTGCTGGGATGTAGCTTAAATTAGGTACGTCACACTGCATCTACACAAGTTACCCAAATCTTCAGAAAGAGGAAAAACAACTAAAAATGAAATCCATTGGAAAAGTCCAATGCGGGAATATTCTGTATCCCCCCATGTTCCCAACTGTGAGAATCCTGGGATAGAAAAAGGGGTCCCGGCTCCGCTTGTGGCGTTTTCATTCCAATTTATCACGCATCATTCTGCGATTTCCCCTTTGTGTTTTGTTCGAGACTGTTGTTATCTGTGTCTGGTGATTGATAAGCCCGGGATTGGAACTTGGAAAAAGCCGGGACTTTGCCATGAGTTTTGCACTACTGCTGCGTGTAACGGGAGACAAAAGCGTGTGAGGCCACGAGGGAAATCATAGATGCCAGGGCGCGAGGAGAGGGGGGAAGGGGGGAGGGGTCAGAGGTTGTAACACATTGTGCTTGTGCAAGGAACATGGGATTCGATAGGGTCGGGTCGCAGAAGCGATGTACATGTACAGGTTTGCATACATAGGTACAGAATAGCAAAGAAAAGTGAAAGGGCGGTGGGAGACGTTTTGGTGTCAAGTGGGATGATCCATGGAAGGAGGGCAAGTGTTGGGCGAGGTCGGTTTTGGGAGATGATGGTGGGTGGGACGAGAAAGAGCGTGTTGAGGAACTCGAGAGCAGGTAGGTGGCTAATGAGGACGGACATTGCATATACGAGAAGATGGGTAACCGAGCCAGTTCATTCTGATCCTGTAGCCAGGCCCCATGTCCATGTATTGTTGTATGTACACGGCGTCCATTCCAAACTATTGTTGTCGTATCTGTGGGTAATTGTTATTTGTGTATCTCACGCTTGCTTGCATCTTGATTCGGCAGATGATGATGTTGATGATTGATGGTGGTGGTGTTGGTGCTGACGACGACGACGATGATGCTGTTTTTGGGAGATGGGTGGTGGTACATGGGAAATAGACATGTTTGATCTGAGATTTGAGGGTCGGACAGTCAGTGATTCGGTCGCGAGAAGAGAAGCAAAGCAGAGCGCTAAGGTGAAGGCAGGCAAGCGGTGACGATTGTTTCCTTTTTTGCGTGCTTGTCGAGTATTGTTGCTTTTTGCGTGGTGACAGCAGCCACCGCAACGGTCAGAGGGCCATCCCGGGGAGGCTGAACGGTGTAGCGGAGGACTTGTATATTCTAGGTACTTGCGGATTGACGGTGTGTAGATGGATGTTGCTGCTGCTGCTGGTGTTGTTGTTATTGTGGTTGCCGTGTTGACGCGATCTGATTATTGTTTGAGGATTCATAATAGGACCCCGCTGCTGGATCCGATCTGCAAGGAGTAGAACATGCTCGTATCATGGCCATCATCAGATAAGGGGGCCGTGGTACAAGGCAAGTGATGATGCTTTGATTGAATCATGTCGTGATGGGATGGGATGGGTGGAGGGGGGAATGGGTGGACGGCGAGTGACAGCGGGCCCTCATCGGCTGGTGAGCGCGAGCAGAGCCAATCAGCGGGCGTGGCTGATCAGGATGGCGCCTTCTGGACGACCCATGATCCCGGGAGCGGGGATAACCGCATTCCCTGCTGCCGCAGCTCTTTTTCCCTCACTCACTCAGTCACTGACCCTTTCCATCCATCGCACACGACACACCAACATCACCACCGACCCGCTCGCTCCCTTCGTGACGACGCCGGCCTGCCTCTCGACCCAGCTGTGAGGAGAATAGCTCTGCCTGTTCAGTTACTGCCCATCGATTGATCCCAGCTCGCCGGCCCGCTTCCAATTCGACTCGGATTCTCTACCCTGTGCAACCGCACCCGTACCGCAGCGCATCGCCTCGCCTCGCCTCGCAGCGCGTCGCATTGCAGCCCATTGATCACCATCTCGGTCGCAAATCCTCAATTTCCCTTTCACCGAGTCCAAATTGCTTGCGCTGTTGTCCATCCACCGTAGTCTTGTCGATTGCCCGCCGCCGTCCCCGTAACTATACCCACATACCTTATACCTGCCTTCCATCCCCGCCGTCACCGTCTCATGTGCTCATTCTCCTACCTTCTGCGTATATGATTGATGATGATATAAGAGAAAGAGAGGAAGGAAAGCATATCATCTCCCCTCCGGTGTAAGCGCTGTATCACGGCGTCATTGGCTGTGAAGTAATAGCGCTTGGCTTTGCCCGCATGCTCCCTATACACCTGCACCACACTATAAACTAGCTACACTACTTACCCCTCCCTCGTCGCATCCACCTACCTACTACTCGACCGTCTACCTATCGTACCCTCCCATCTCGACGTGTTGCATACACAGCAATATAGTCCATTCTTCTTTCGTCTGATCTTTCCATTCCATCATCCATCTATACACCACCCCCCCCCCCCCCCTGTCCACTTCACCCCCATTGACGTACCTCACCACTTGGATCTTGGACATCTGGACCCTCGACCTGGGAACTTGACCTGACCTGACCTGGACCTGGACCCATTTGCCGCAGATACGCACATCCACCAGCCAGCCAGCCAGACAGACAGCTGATCGTCTCTACAGCTGTTCCTCCCAGCCTCCACGCGTTCCATACCGCAACAACTCATCTGCTCTCCTGCCCTATCCTGCCCCCACTTCCGTCTACCACTTCACCTCACATCGTCTTGCCGCTTCCCCCGTTGCCAACCTCGTCCAATTGCACGGGAATGGCCGCCTGCTAGACGCCCCTCAACACTTTCGCCTGCTGCCATGCCATGCTATGATGCATCTGCGGGCCCCTGGGATGATTGCTGAGTTCTGTCCCTCTCCATTGCGTATCCCCCTCTGGCTGCTACCCCAGTTCTGTCCTACGCCATCCTCGCGCCGCTGCCCTTGATCTCCAATCGCCACCCATTGGAAGCCCCATCGCGAGCAAGCCACCTGCCCTGGCCAGCCTGCGTGCCACGGCCGCCAGCCCCTGTCTCGACCAGCCAGCGCATTCACATTGATTTCCACCGCCGCCTCTGGATTGCCTGCACCGTTGCGTCGGGCCCCCTTCCCCCCTCCACACACCCTTACACCCTTACACCGACCCTCGTCTGCACCCCCAGGAAACGTGCCCTTGTTGTGCACTCGAGCATCGCCAGCTTGGCGGGTCCCCTTCATCCATCACGTTAGCTCGCAACTGCGTGCGGTGTCCACCTGGTGTCGTGCAAGCCTGCGCCCGCCGCCTTTTCTTTTAAGATTATGTCCACCCCAGACCGTCGAGATGCATCTTCCACGCTTGAAGAAAGCCCTGATCGCGCAGTCCATTCCGACTCGGACGACACCGACGAAGAAGACGAAGAAGAAGACATGGCTGCCGAAGAGAAGAGCGAACCCGCCTCTCGCCCCAACTCCCCAAGCTCCAAAAAGAGGGGCATCAAGTCCGATGCTCCCAGCAATGCAAAAGATCCCACCAGACCGCGCCGCAAGAAGGCCAGGAGAGCTTGTCTGGCTTGTCAGAGAGCGCATCTAACCTGTGGTAAGTGCCCTCCTTGTCCCTCTTCTGCGCCCGAAGCCCCATTCTCATCCTCCATGTTACAGGAGACGAAAGGCCATGCAGTCGATGTGTAACCCGCGGCCTGGGAGAACAATGCGTAGATGGGCATCGCAAAAAAGCAAAATATCTTCATGATGCGCCCGACCACGCCTTGGAACCGGGCGTGAACGGCCATTACCCTGCCATGCCTCCTCCTCCTCACGGCCACGGAGTCGTGCCTGTGCCACATCAGAACTACTACGGCCCCGCACCTCCAGCCTCATATTATCAGTCGAATCCCATCTCCGGTCCGCCAGCGCTGGCACCTGAGAACTCGTTTGCTGATGCTTCTCTTCCCATGTCTCCATCTTACAATCAAGGCCAGGCGCCTGGCGTCAGCGCTCCCGTCACTGCCTCGCAGGCTTCGCAGCCGCAGCTGTATCAATTCGGTCTCCCATTTGACCCAAGCGACCCAGCCTTTTTCAACTTCGATCTTCAGAGTCTGAACTTTGGAAATACTTACGGAGCCTTGGAGCTCGGGATGCTCGGCCACATGTCGTCGGGCGCTCTGGAAACCCCAAGTAACGAAGCTCCCCTAAATCGGCCGCCTGGTATGTACAGTCACCAGATACCAACTGCCCCCTACAGCGATCAAGGCGTCTCGGCGCAAACGTCCTACGACAATTCGCCGGTGGATTGGCAAACAGCCCACTCGCGGCACGGTAGCATGCAAGTCCACACTCCCAATACTCCTGGAGCGGTCAATATGGACCACAACAGCCTCCGTCACGACAGTTTGAACGGCCCGCATGCCTACGCCATCGGTCAGGGTCCTTCCAGCCTGGCAAGCGCCAGCCCCGCGTCGACCGACGTCCATTCGGGCCACGACACCAACGACAACCCCTTGACATCCGCGAATTACTTCGCAAGCGTGAACCAGCAGAGGGCACGGAATTCGCCAATTCATGGGCAGGTACAGCTAGGCAATCGACACATGGCCGGTTCTGTCCAGCCTCCGCAGCCGAATCTCTCTTTGCGTCAACGCGAATTCAACTATGACCTGGTCACCCAGCCACATGACTACCCCAGAGCTTACCATCAATTAATACGGATCCTCGAAAGAAGATTCTCTCCCGCCTCGCTGCAGAAGGCGAAGCGTGCCTTGGCCATTTTCAGGCCTGTCCTCATGTCCAACGCCTCCGATCTCTCCGGTCGCGATCTCGTTCATGCAGAGAAGAACCTGCAGAGATCACTCGTCACCATGCACTCAGCTGTCACTGAAGTGGGCACTCCATGTCTCATCTGCCGGCGTACCGGCGAAATCGTCGGGATGAACAAGGAATTCGAAATCCTCACCGGTTGGAGACGAGAAGTGCTTCTGGGCCACGAACCCAACCTCAATGCTAACTTCGGCCCGCGCATCGACCGATCCAAAGATGGCTCAGGCGAAGATGCCGTCAACACAACGCCAGTCATGCCCGGGCAACAGCCTGACGATGGTCCCCATGCTGTAAATCTTGTCGAACTTCTAGACGAAGCCGCAGCCGTGCAATACCTCGAAGACTTTGCCGACATGGCCTACGATGATACCTTTGGCAAGGGTCATCGTCGTGTGAACATGCTGCGATATACCCCTAAAGAAAATTTGGGTCGTCTGGTAGATCGTCAATCGACAGATAACCAGAACGTCAACAACGGGACAAAAGTCAAGACCGAAAATCCTTCGGCCTACCAAGGCGAGGCATCCATGAGACGCACATTAGGTGCGACCGGTATCATTGATGTCATGATCATGTGGCATATTAAACGCGACAACTTTGACATGCCCATGTTGGTTTCTATGCAGGTTTGTCTTCCCTCATTTTGGAGCTCCCATCGCTTGTGCACTTATCTGACGTGTTTGTCACAGATTATGCCCATGCTCAAGGCTTGATTTGAATTCACTGTGTCGCGGCAATACGTACTTCCCGCGCCCGATACCTTCTCCTTTGGGGCCGTGTCATTTCTCTTGGTGAAAGCATCTGCTCGTCGTACTCGATACCCATACAGTGGCATCTCGCATATCGCATCGCATTCCTTGCGCCTGGAAGACATATACCCTAAACTCATATTGTATCCACCATCATATCGCTTCTAGCGCTATGCCATCATACATCACTCACCGATATCCACACGCCCGCACAGAGCGTAGTCGTGCGATTCAAGATCTTCTTCTTACTCTCCCGTTATCTTTGCTTTGTCTATCTACTCTGCTGCATGTCCATATAGTGCATTGGGGATCGCTGGTTCCAAAGTCGGCGGGGAGGAAGAGGAAGATCTGCCGCGTGGGTTGTTTCCGATTGTCCTCTCTCGGTTCATGGACACCTCCCGCCTTGGCCCCTAAAATCTCTTGTCGTCGGACACATAAAAGGAGTATACGGTGTTTATTTCTCCATTGTTAGTTTCAAAGGCGTACATAACCATCCTCGGGGTTTTTCTTCTTCTCCTTTTTCACACTTCCAACTGGAGTTTACATGCGATTAGGGGCATACAAAAAACTCTTTTTCCAAGGGTAAGGGGGGAGGTTTGGGCATTATCCCGTTTTTTCTTGTTTGTCCAAGTCGTGAGTTTAGAAATTTGGGTTTGGTTCTTTTTCTCATAGATTCATATTCTATACGATTGCTTGTGCTATCTTTCATATGCTGGCCGTCTATTGCTTTGTGTCGTTGTGTCTTGAGTTGAGATCTATATCTTCTTAAACGGAAAGGAGAAACAAAAAAGACGATGCTATGGTGATAAATCTTGATGTGATGACGAGAAATCCTATTCCTCCCTTCTTTTGAATCCGTCTTTCCATCACATCCGTCTGCATGAGGGGCACGGCACTCTGGCGCAACTCTTGCGCATCATCCGCAACCCCATCAAAACCTCTTTCTTTCCTTTTCCATATCGTAAAAAGGCCCCACCTCTTCATCACGCCTCCCCAACCAACCACTCATCCCCCGCAAACCCCTTATACGCCTCCCTCTCCAAACTCCTCTGCGCAACCCTAATATCCTCCCTGATATCCTCCACCAGCGCCTCTTTACTAACATAATCGTACTCCGGCCTCACATACCCCAAAATGACCAAACTCAGCGTGGCGCCATAAAAATCCCTCTCAAATGAATGCAAAAGATGAATCTCAATGCTGCGCTGCGTATTCTTATAATAAGGATTATACCCAATCGACAGCACCGTCGGATACACCGTTCTCCCTTTCCCTTCTTCCTCTCCTCCTTGTTGTTCCTCTTCTAGATCCTTGACGGCGAAATTCCGACTCCCATCCACAGGCACGCTGGTATCGTCTGTAGCGCTGGGCACGGCGTCGTTGCTCGTCAACGCGGGGATGCTGCTGTGGTCCAGCGCCGCGTAGCCGTAGTAGATGCCGGACTCGAGGTCCGAGTTTCCGCCAACCGACAGCCCTGAGAGTGGGATGTTTGCGGTCGGGATGCCGAGTTCTTTGCTGCCCCGGCCGAAGCCTTTTATTACTGGGCCTCGGAGCTTGAGCGGGTAAGGGGGGAGGACGGTGGAGGGGCCGGCTAGAGGGGGGCGGGTTGAGGGGCGTTGGGACATTGTTCTTTTTTTCTCTTTCTTTTTTTGCGTTTCTCTTTTGTTTTCGTTTTCCTTTGGTGGTGGTTTGGGTGGAGGAGGTTTACGTGATGTAGGGGGTGGGGGTTCGCGCGGGGTGTGTTTTGGTGGGGTCAATTGCGATGATGGACGGCGGCGGGAGTCTGTGTGTGGACTGAGTAGATTGTTCGGTAGAAAGGGTTCGTATGTTTTCTGTTTTGGTTCGTGGGAGAGGGTGGCGAGGTTGAGAGTGTGGTGTGTGATGTGTGGTGTCTGTGAATATGTCGTGCAGATGTGCAACAGGTACAGGTTGATTATGAGCGATGGCGCAACCTGATGTTCTAGCTGCTTCGAAGCTACCCACCTAGCTAGTACCGCTACTGTACCACGGCTACCTTCCGCGCGGGCTGATGACATAATCTGTGCCTGCCCTCCTCTCGCTGGTGACTGCAACGTCACTTGCTCGATTCACACTGTCCAGATATTCGAATTATTATGATCGTGTCATCGCCCTAGTCAACTACAAATATCACGGTAATGACACTCCCTCCCACCAGAATTGGACGGTCGATTTACTTGCAGCTTTGTCCTCGTATCCAGTCAACCTTCGCCTACAAGGGCATTATTCAGCCACCCAATCGCAGCATGGCTTCCTCAGCTAAGGCGTCCTCGAGGCTGCTTGATGTAAAAGACAGCGAATGGAAACCTGCCTTCATCTACGGAACGGCATGGAAGAAAGAGAGAACAGCAGAACTAGTCAAGTTAGCAGTCCAGAATGGCTACCGAAGCATCGATACTGCCGCACAACCCAAGCACTACCAAGAAGACCTGGTCGGAGATGCCCTGAGGGAAGTATATGCTCAAAATGTGGTGGCGAGGAAAGATCTCTACGTCCAAACCAAGTACACCACCCCGGCCGGTCAAGACCCCAGCAATATGCCTTACGATGCATCTGCGCCTCTCGAAGATCAGATCCACACTTCGGTCGCATCATCTCTCAAGAACTTACGGCCAAGTCCAAGCTCCGAGGAAGACTCCTATGTTGACGCCTTGCTTCTGCACTCGCCTCTTCCGACGGTGGAGCAGACTCTGCAGGCATGGAGTATCCTGGAGTCGTACGTGCCAGGCAAGATACGCAGTTTGGGAATCTCGAATGTGACGCTGCCAGTACTCAAATCCATCTATGAGAACTCTACTGTTAAGCCTTCGGTCGTGCAGAACCGTTTCTATCCTCAAACCCGATACGACGGTCTTTTGCGGGCCTTTTGCAGTCAGCATGGTATTACTTATCAGTCGTTTTGGACATTGACGGGAAATCCTCGCTTGCTCAAATCGGAGCCCGTGGTACAACTGTCTAACGACGTGGGTGTGAGCAATGAAGCCGCCCTCTACGCGCTGGTAATGGATCAAGGCATCGTCGTTCTGAACGGCACAACATCGGTGAAGCACATGGAAGATGATGCGAGTGGAATCAGAAAGGTTCGTGAGTGGGCTCAGAGTAACGACAGAGAATGGTCTGCGATTGTCGAGGCGTTTGGCAGGGCGATAAGCTCTAATTTGGTCTAAGTTTTCTGTCGGAGTTGATAATCAATATCCCCCACCCCAGTATGCAGTCTATGATTCGCCGAGCTTCTATCGATGTGTTCAAATAACACTGACCGAAATCTGCTGGTTCAGCCTTGTGGACATGGTGAAGAACGGCTCAATATTATTGGAGCAGGCAGAATACTGACAGGGTGCAGAAAGATGACCGCTCCTCATTCGCCTATGTAGCGATGCTATGTGAATACGATAAGTGGGGCTGAGTTGCTTCAGCCTTCTATACAGAGAAGTGGGAAGTCGGACAGCGTCTGCATCCAATACTCCTTCACTCCATCGCAAGAAGATTCCCATATAGAGCGCAGCGAATACACATCACTGTTCTTGATGGCTGGCATCCGGACCGCTCTTGCCATCCCCACCGAACCATGGGAAGCCGCGAAAGCGAGATTTCTTCATGACTTGACGCCTTCTGAAATTCAAACATTCAACGACGCGACACTAGAGAATTTGTTCTATGATGCAAGCACAACTCAAAAAAAACATGCAACTGATAGTAGAACCCAGATCGTGCTGGAGCGCATCACCTCTTTTGTCGATGGTATCGAAGACTATGGCAAGGCACTAGATGTATTTGCCAATACCTCTTCGATGATACTGTGTCCCCTCTGGGGAGCTATCCGGGTTATCATACATGTAAGTACCACATTAGAGTTTTTCTGCTTGATTTGCTCTATAGTTATCAGTTCCGCAATTTGGTGCTGACAGCTTATAGATCGCTGGCGAGGCTGGCAAGTTCCAGGAGAAACTCATGGACATGCTAGCACAGATTGGCGATGTTATTCCACGTTTTCGCATTTACCAAGTACTCTATAGAAAACACGAGCGCCTTCTTTCTGCTCTGACCGAAGCATACCTGGATGTTCTCAAATTTTGCACGATGGCCAAAGCTTACTTCAAGCGTGCAAAGAAATCTCGTCGTGCGTATAGAGCCCCAAACAGTATAATTAACGAGAGCTGATCTTTCGGCAAGTCCCTCTCGCTATCGTCCTCCAAGGATGCTGGAAGCCTTTCCGCCTAGATTTTGAAAATACCATGACCAAGTTTCGTCAACATAAAAAAACAGTCGAAAAGGAGGCTTACCTTTCACACCAGATCGAAGCAGCAAGATCTCGTGAGATTGAGCTAGCTCAGCGCATGCAAGATGATAGAAGACGCAGGCGTTACACTGTGCTTTCAGCCCTGCGCGCTGTTGATTACGAGGCTAAACACGCCAAGCTGCTATCTGCAAAGCACCCCGGAACAAACGAATGGATACACTCCAATGCTTGCTATGATGACTGGATAAAATCATCAAAGTCTACATGCTTGCCCTGCTACGGAATTCCCGGCTCTGGGAAGTCGGTTCTAGCAGCAAGTGTTATTGATTCGCTTGCCGGCGATTTTCCTGTAGGTTCGGTGCTCTGTTACTATTACTGCGATTACACCGATGTAGCCTCTTTGGTTTTTGATCATATTATTGCATCACTGATCAAACAGGTGATTATGCAATTACCACTGGAGAAAATTGGCGACAACCTCAATTGTCCCTTCAAAGGAAATAGTCCCCCGCCCTCCTCCACTGTTAGCAGAGCCTTTCTCACACGTATTTTTCGGGAGTTTAAGACTGCATACATAGTCATCGATGGAATTGACGAGCTATCATCGAATAGCCAACGCCATACACTTGAATTGATTGCTGACCTGCTGAGCGCATCACATTCGACGATTGCCAAGATTTTCGTCACAAGCCGGTCTCAGGAACATCCCGTCAGAAACGCATTGAAAGACTATAAGTGTCTTGATCTCTCTACCGTTGACGTGGGTGGTGATATCTCCACATTCATTGTTGGGGAGATGGACATTCTGATGAAGCAAAACTCGTTACTGGAATCAGATAGTATCAGGCAGGAAGTTCTCCGCGCTCTTACTGCTGGAGCTGAGGGAATGTAAGTGTTATGAAGCTACAGCTCATGCTGCATACAGACTGATTTTCGTTTAGGTTTTTGTGGGCGAAGTTCCTACTGTACGAGATAGGCGAAGCACTGTCAGAGAACGACATTAGGCAAGCGCTAGACAATCTCCCCAAAAACCTCAGCGAAGTCTACTCCCGCATCATTCTCAAAACCCACAATAAAGGCGGTGTTCAACGTATCATCTTTCTCAGAAAGGTTTTCATGTGGCTTGTATGTGCACAGCGACCTTTACACATTGAGGAGCTCCGAGAGGCGGTCGCACTAGAGAAGACAGATGCATACTTGCATACGGATCGGATTGCCTCTGGTTCGGGGGATCGACTTGTGGGCGCGTGCGAAAATCTCGTTACATTGCACGAAGATGGGACAGTTCATTTTACACATCACACTGTAAAACAATTTCTTTGTGCGGAAAGCACTAAAACATCTTTGGTAGGGGAAAACTTTATTTATGTTAATTTTGACGAGGCGAACCACGAATTAGGAGAGATTTGTCTGGCTTACCTCAGCTTCTCCGACTTCGAAACCAAGGTAGCTACGATACCAGCTCCATTGAAGCTCCCACCTGGCTTCAGTGAGAAGCTCATATGGCGCGGGGTACCTCTGGGCAAACATATCGCATCATTGATTTCGAAAAGGCATTCGACGACATCGTCAGCTGAAGCATTGAATTTGGCTTCCGTCAATTTCCCCGTTCCATGTGAGAGTAACTCTTCACAGATTCTCACAGCGCAATACATTCTTCTGGAATATATGATCCTTTTCTGGCCTTTTCATTCTGCTGGATTCACACCTCAGCATAGTTCCTGTTGGTCTGTTTTCAGGGAATTTGTATTGGAGCAGAAGCGTCCATTCAATTTTCGCCCTTGGACACAGTTAACATCCAAAGACAAGAAGGAAAATCAATTCGAATCCGTTCTTGATAGCGGTGGGAATGAAATCAAAGTGTTTAATGGTGACACGTGGTTAATTCCAACGACATGGAAGGAAGAGTTTGGTCTATATACATGGAGCTTGAAGCATGGATACAAATCACTGTTGCACCTTTCGGACACGAAATTGCGTGGATCATATTTCCAAGAGACTCACTACTCCTCTTTTGCCCAAGACTATTTCAACACTCTCTTGGGTTATCCGGATAAGACGGAGGAGTATGTAGCACTCAACTTCTGGTCCCCCTTCAATATCGCATGCAACGACCACGCGTATTACGCTGGAGGATTAGAAAGGATTAGGTTCCTTGCCGATGAACATAGAAGATGGGTGGACCCGAAAGGTGGAGTCTTCAAGTTACTGGTCATGGAAGCCATTATTATCTTCCTCAGCTCTCATCGTGCAGTGCATCGCGAGTTCTGGACGTCTCAATTTGTAAGATATTTTCAGCTCTATCTTGGCGATTTTGAGGAAATTTATGACGCGATGCAAAACATTGGCTTATCACCTGAGATGTATGTACTACAATAGGCCCCCAACTACCTTTCTCAAACACACACTTCCCAATGTGATCTGTTCCTTCCAATCGGGGTTTTTTTTTTTTTTTTTTTTTTTTTTTGGATAGTTATAGCATCTAATCGAAGAAAAGAGGAACCGCTTTCATGCATATAGCAATCAACTATGTAGATGTGAAAGTCTATATACCAGGGGTTACTTTTTTTTCTTTTTCTCACAGCTGTAGATTCTTGCACAGTACTCACTCTCACTACACAGTTCATAATCACGAGAGGTTATGATAAAAGACCCACGCACTATCCATACATTGGTAGCTGCAGGACATCAAATTTCGGTTTTGCTTGTAAGCAATGACGAAAACGTACGTTTCCCTCACATATGCCCATACACACAGTCCAAAGTGACAAGATAAGAAAACATCAGAGAGGGAGCGAGTATGTACACGCAGATTACCTTGTTCTTGACACTGATATACATGGTAGTTCACAACAGCCAAAAAGACAAATTTCCCTCTAACATTTACCAAGAAGCAAAAATGACATGGAAAAACCTTGCTCCTACACAGAACAACTAACTGAAGGAAGCCATTCAAAGAGAAGTAATTTGGCAAAGTAGAGTTTATTAATTAGCAATTCACATTCCCCCAACTTCCAACAAAACCATCAAAATGGGAGGAAGGGAAGGAGCAGACATTACTTCGACTGTCCCTCCGACCCTCGTAGGCATACTGCTGCGCTTGCTAATCAACCGCAGGAAACGTAATGTCAAAACATTATCAGTTATCAGGGGCGACGACGACCAAGGACAACAAATTTTCAGATGCCGGGAAAAGAACCGATCCATTTGGTCGGGATGGCGATGATGATGCTTTTAGAAACTACTACTACTACTGCCATGCTGTCCCATTCATAGATACAAGGAAAAAGAGATTGAAGAAAAAAGGGGAAAGACCAAGGAAATACGGAAACGAAGAAAAATAATTCGTACACACTTCGCCCTCTTTTTCCACACGCCGACGCAGATTAGTGTCTGTATGCCGATAAATAATATCGTATACCAGCCCACCAACTCACACCCGATGATGCTTTCTATGGTACAATGAAAATCCACCACTTGACGCTTTGTCTTGAAAGTCCAAAACTATGAACCTCCGCGAAACCATCCGAATATAGTTGCGACACGCGGTGCGGCGATGGACAGAGCAGCCGTGCTATCACCTGGAGAAAAGACCCAAGATCAATCAAGGATTCAACGTCTTCATGTTCTACTCACCGCCTAGCAGCGGCTGCGACTCACTGCTGGTGCCAGCGTTGCTGCCCTTCTTCTTCTTGTTCCGCTTCTTACGCTTCTTCTTGCTGCTCGCCTGCGCGCCGGTTTCGGTGTTGGGATGTGCCTCCGTGCCATCCGTTCCCGAGCTCGCTAACCGATCTTGAGCACCGTCAGTATTCGCAGACAAGGTTTTGCTTTCAGAATCACTTGAACTTGTCGTCTCAAGCACAATCTTCCTAACCCCGTTGACGTCTACCACATTCTCAGAGATGCTACCGCTGCGTGCGGTGTGTCGTCTCCGCGGCGGTGAGTCAGAGCGTGAGTGAATAGAAGGCAAAGACGCAATGGTACTGGCCGATTTAGATCGTTGCATGGGTTTTCCAGAGTCTTCAGCGTTCTCCTTGGGCTGATCGTCCTCATTGCGGTTGTCGATGACGATTTTGGTGTTTTCATCCGCGACGGGGGATTTTGGTGACCTGGGTGCATCTTCTTCTGCGAACTTCGGCTTGGAACTGTTGGACCTCCATGACAACCGACGATCGGATGCCATGGTACCGTATCCCACAGCTACACTGTGTACACCATCACTAGCTTCGCGTCCTGCCGATTCGAGAAGGCCTTCACCAACACCTCCCTGGGGGGCCAGAGAAGGAGTGGCCAAAGTACTACCGGAAGGTTGAGGCTGCTTGTTTTCGGGGATTGTGTTAGGAATTCCGGGCTTGATCTTGACAGTAGGGATACGCGTGCTCTTGGGCCTAGTAGCAACATTTGAGGGCCCCAAATGCTTCAGATGTTGTTTGATATCCGGGTCATCACTTCGAAGCATGACCTTGCTCCGTTCCTGAGGATGGCCATTGCCGCCACTGTGGCTGCGTCGCATGTGGAAGGCGGTGGGTTTCGGTTGTGTCTGGGGTTCTTGGAGGGAAAGCTTTCTCAGGCCATTCGCGCCGGGCTGCTCGCCTTCCGTTTCATCGTCCACAGCGTTTGTTGATTGTTTTCGCGTATTAGGATCAGCAACGATCTCGCCCTTGGGAACGCGGGTGCGTGGGGCTGGGTGCAAACGGCGGATAGCTTTGTGAACGTCGACAAAAACGTCAGATTCGTCAATGATTTCTTCTCCAATGAGTTCTTCGATGACATCTTCGAGAGTGACAACACCCACGGCACCGTGAGGGTCACCAGGAAAGTCGGACACGAGAACCATGTGAGATTTGCCTTCCTGGAAGAAGTTGATGATGTCCAGACAGCTAGTCTCTGGGCGGGTTTCGGGGAGAGTAGCCAAGGCGAAGTCGCTGACGCGCAGAGCATCTTCGGGGTCGTAAGTGATGAGCATCTTCACCAAAAGCATACCGACAAAGTTATCCTCGTTGTCAGGGGTATGAATAGGGATACGCGAATAGCCAGCTGAGAGGATCACCTCCATCATCTTCTCGTCCAGAACGGTGTCGGACGACATGGTGAAAACATCGTCCATGGGTGTCATGATGTTGCCCACGGGCTTGGCCTTGAGGTCCAGCACGGCAGATATGATTGTGACCTCGTCTTCGTTCAAACGTTCGTTGGGATTATGGCCCATAGTCTGGTGCAGGGTTACAAGCGTCTTCAGACCGGCTTTCTTGTAGGTGGTCCCGTGATCTTCACCAAGAAGATAGTCCAGCAGCTTTGCGGTTGGCCAAGCCACCGGAGCCATGATGTACATCAGGCCGAGAACGACGGGTGACATCCACGCACCGATAGGCAGGCCGTAACGAACGCATATCGACTGGGGAACAACTTCGCCAAAGATGACTGTTTACCTAGTTAGACAGGTTCGACCCTAGGGAGATGTTCATGGCAAACGTACCAATGAGGATTGTGGAACTCAGCACAGCAGGCCAACCACCGCCAAGTGACCTATCGAGAACGATGGGCAATGTCTCGTTCGTGATGACGTTGCTCAAGAGCAGTGTGACAAGAACCCAATGTTTGCCCTTCTTCAAGAGCCGGAGGACGCGTTTGGCGTTCTTTCGCTCGGAACCTTCACCGGAGGAGGCAATTACTTGGAGATAGATTTCGTCTTGGCCCATCAACCTGAGAGCAGTCAGTATTTTAATAGGAGATATAGGCGAATACTATAAGAGAAAAAGAGTGGTGTTGTAAAAGGAGAGAAATGACGTACGCGATTGTCAAACCCGCAAACACGCCTCCGGCCAAGACGAGAATCATGGCGACGCTGAGGTAAATCCATAGCGAAGCATCCTGGGGTGACTTTGGCAGATCTTCCTCCAAGGCATTGACGGTGCGCTTGACCAGCGGGAAGGCCTTCACGGCGGGGATACAGGAGTGGAAGAGGTAGACGAGAAGGGTGCTCAGGCGGGCCTGGCGGCTGGTGAACAGGGCATTGGGATGAGAGACGGGCAAGCGAACGGCGCTGATGGCGGAAGCCATAGCTGAACAGCGGAGGGCGGTTGCGGTGTCGTGGATCACACGCGCAAGAGAATGCCGGGCTGGCGATGGGGGAGGGAAGTTGGTGGACAGGCAATGGCAGGCGAAGGTGAGAGCAGAGATGTCATGGCGTGAGGGCGCAAAAGGGAAGAGCGGGACGGCAAAGTGGCCCGTGCGGGGAGTGGAGGTAGGTGCAATCAATAGTGCATCCAGGTGTTTTTTATCTACATTGCCTGGCCACATTCACTTTTGGATGATACATTCGATCACTGTTTCCATTGTGGTAATTGAAATGCATATATAATCAACGCAGTACGACAAGTTCCCAGCGATTGACTACCGGTGGTGCTAGAATGGTGTGCTCGATGTCCGTCTGGGCGCCTGCATACCAAGCTTCAACGGCTGACGGCTGGAGAAGTCTGGTCAATTGAGTTTGGAAGCAATGGTCCCGCCAGAGTTTGAAAATTTTGAACGTTGCAACAAGCCTCTCGCGGCAGGCATTTCACAAGTGGGTCGTTAAACGGAAGCAGAGACCCAAATGGGCTTACTTGATGGCAACCCCACCGGTGAACCGCTGCCAAACTTGAACGAAGATGGAGTGGAGAGGCGGGCGTCATTGTGCGTCGCACAGCGTCCAAGCTCCCATCCAGTCTGGACCAGCACGAGTCACGTGTGCATCTGACAGATCAGATCAGATCCGATAAACAGCCACAACTGGAGCCACAGCACCAGCCACATCTTCAGCATTCCAGTCGGACATAGGCCGCGTGGGCGGGGATATCCGCCACAAGTCTGGGGTACAACACCAAAGGCCGCTGGTAGCCGCCATTGAACCTCATAACCGAGTGGGTAACCATCGCATCCCCCACAAACATCAGTCTCTGAACCGCTGAGCTACTCTATGATTCCTATGTGATTGCTTGCTTCCAGCCTTTAAACTGCCCCAGCTTCGTGCCCTCACTCCTCGCTACACCACCAAAGCATAGTCTCGTCCTATCCAGCTCGTACCATCCTTCATTGTACTCACTTGCACACTCACACACATGGTAGGAATAGTATAGTCGTATACTCGCTCATTCTGCCTCTCGTTGCTTTTATCTACTCATATATATATCTCTCTCCACCAGTCATGGTCGCTACTACAATACCCCCAATGCGTGCCCTTTGCCGCTACCTTCTCCGCCCTCAAGCGCCCGTCTACCCCCGCTGCCACCACCTCGTTCGCTCTAAAAGACACTCGTCCGCCCCGGCTGGCGCTCGTCTCAACAATACAGTCGAATATGACACTACTCCGATCCTCCACCACACTTCACGTACCGCTCTTCAGAACCCAGAACTCCCAGAAGACGTACGCAAAGGCCAAACAAAGCGTATAAACTTATACACCGCCATCAACGAGGCCCTGCGACATGCTCTACAAACAGACGAGAGAACCTTGGTCTTTGGCGAGGATGTTCAGTTCGGCGGCGTCTTTCGATGTACCATGAACCTCGCAACAGACTTCGGCACTGAGAGAGTCTTCAATACTCCCCTGAGCGAGCAAGGCCTGGTAGGATTCGCAATTGGCGCTGCCAGTGAGGGAATGCGACCTGTAGCCGAAATCCAATTCGCAGATTATGTCTACCCTGCCTTCGATCAGATCGTGAACGAGGCCGCCAAATACAGATACAGATCGGGTTCGAGCGGTGTCAACTGCGGCGGGCTCGTCATTCGCATGCCCTCTGGCGGTGTTGGACACGGAGCTCTGTAAGTGACATTTCCAAGGAGACCCAATCGAAATCATTGGCATACTAACACTCGCTGTCCGAATAGCTACCACTCCCAATCTCCCGAAGCCCTCTTCACCCACACCCCCGGCCTCCGCGTCGTCATCCCCCGCTCCCCAACCCAAGCAAAAGGCCTACTCCTCTCCTCCATTCGCTCAAACGATCCCATCATCTTCATGGAACCTAAGATCCTCTACCGCGCCGCCGTCGAACAGGTCCCAGTCGCCCCTTACTACCTCCCCCTTGACAAAGCCGAAGTCCTCAAAGCCGGCAAGGACGTCACCATAATATCTTACGGCACTCCTCTGTACACATGCTCCGCCGCCATCAAGGCCGCAGAGAAGGATTTTGGCTGCAGTGTCGAACTTATCGATCTTCGCACCATCTTCCCGTGGGATCGCGCCACGGTGCTGGACAGCGTCAAGAAAACTGGAAGAGCGATTGTCGTGCATGAGAGCATGATGAATGCGGGAGTCGGTGCCGAGGTTGCTGCTACGATTCAGGAAAAGGCGTTCTTGAGGCTGGAAGCTCCCGTTAAGAGAGTTACGGGATGGGCCACGCATACGGGGTTGCAGTATGAGAAGTTCATCATTCCGGATGTGACTCGTAGGTTATTTTCTTTCTCCTGGTTTTCGTAATCATGACCATTGAAGACGTGCTAACATTTTACATCCAGGTGTGTACGACGCGATTAGACAAACGCTAGATTATTAGAAAGATACGCAAAGACACTTGAACGACACGAAAAACGATATCCTAGCAATTAGACGGAGTCGATCCTCATCATAGCATTCCCAATTTTATTCATTGTACAAACATTCGTCTACATTATATTTATCCCTTTACTTTTTTTCTTCGCCCTCGAGACCGAGAGACTAGGTCGAGATTGACAGACCTTTCTTTCTTGCGGCCAAACCCCTTTCAACATTTCGCCTATCTTGCGCGGTTGAACCATGCGTGGAACATATACCGGTTTTTGTCCGCCTAGGAGCCTCGTGTGATGTAGTATTTTGATGTATCGGCCGCGTACCAAACTTTTCACAACGTAGAGGGCAAGCCCATCCACCTCCTCTGACAGAATGAAGGAAAACCAGTGTGACGGGTAGAGAAGCGATACAATAGTGGCTAAATGGGCGGTCCCCTCACGAAGTCAGTGTATATCGCTTCAACTTGTCCTGCAATACCATGAACGAACTGACGTGCGACACCATCCAGCACCCTCTCTACCTCTTGTATCCACCTAGTTAGATACTAGGCTTCCGAAAGGATTTTGCCATAACATCCGTTACAGCGGAGATCATCCCACCGACCACAGTTTGTAGCGACTAGCTTCGCTTTCTTCTCTTTGTTGCAGCGACTGCATGTGAAAGTGGTGGCTGAAGAGAGGCGATGGAGCGTCAGCGCGCCTTTGGATTCTTACTTCTTGACGATATCGAAGCTGGATGGCGGTTCTTGCGTCTGGTTACCGTTCTCCTGAGACATGGTCGATGCCGAATGGTGGTTGCTGGATTCTAGAGCCATTGCTTCCGCGCCGTTCAGCTAGTCTTGACTCTGGACGTTGATCTTGCAGGTAGTGGAGAGGTCTTGAAAAGGTGCTGACAGGAAGTTTTAAATAAGGTGAGGGAGCAGCCTATAGCAAACAATGGGCAATCTGAAAGTCCAATTGACGTTTGTTATTTGTGCGCTCCAGCTGAAAAGAAGCTTTCCATTGTGTAATGACTCTCCTCGTGCTGTTGTTAGACCCGTTCTTTCCACAAATCACCCGAAACTGGGAATGTACTCTAGCTTAATCGGGTATGCCACACGTGCTACAAGCTACTATTCACTGACAGGAAACCACCCTATAGATTGAAAGGTCTGTTGGCGCGGAAGTCAGCGACATTCCTCCCTGGACAACGAGCGCTCGAAGCTGCTGGAAGATGTTCCCAGTTCGAACCGAGAGGAAGATTAGGAAAATAGAACCAAGGATGTTTGAATCACAGTCGGTCGGTGCAACTCAACACGGATCTAAGCCCTATAACGGGCTATGACTTGAGACGTTCTATTCGGAAAATTGCAGGAGTGGTATGATCAATTGAGGGCCTGAAAACTTCGTTGAACCTCGCACCGTGGAATCGCTTTGGGAGAATTTCTGAGATGTATAAGCTGGTCCAATTTAATCCCGTCCGCACCCAGAAGCATGGGGACCAGAATAAATGGAAAAGAACGACAATCCTCCCCAGTCGATTGCCAGCCTTGCTTAGTCCTGATTCAAGTCTCGTATTCAGGACAAGGAAGTAAGCAATTTGCCTGTATCACAAAAATCATGTCATTGGTGTATTGGATTAATCAACCCACAAAACGGACAAAACACGTTGAAACAAGCACTTTCTAGAAACGCACTCTATTTTCGTCCTCTATTTCGCCGATCATCACAAAACACAACTCCAAATGCGCTGAAGGACGTCATCCAAGCTTTCTCTACCCGATCACTAAGCTCTCCATTTCCGGCGAATGTGGCGTTGGACAAATTCTCCGAGTGGTTGGGGACTTCGTATCCAGCGTCTCAGCCTTGGAGTCCGACCTCGTATTTCTGCGATGATGGGGTGTTTCTGAGAAAGCTATTGTATTTCGCATCATGCGTACTAATCTGGGAATGGGAGGAATTCTGGGGATCTCTGTATTTAAAAGATACGGGTGCGCCATTGTTCAACGAAAGCATCATCCTCGCATTCGCTTTATTCGTTGGTTGCAAGAAGTGGGATTGGACGCTCTTTGATTCACCCTTTTCTATCTTTTTCGCTCGGTTTAAAAAGGGGAAGTTGTTTTTATCCTATCATGAAGTCTTCGGTGCAAATCGTTGCTGTCGCGGGCATGGCTGCGTCGCTCGTCAGCGCAGCCAGTATACCTCAGATATCGCCAAATATCAATGTCTTCAAAAGAGGTAATTCAAACACATCCTTTCTCTCCTCCCCCAATCCAATCTCAATCTAAAAAAATCAAATAGCTCCTTCGGACCTCTTCATCCCCGCAAACACTCTTTCCACAAACTGCATATCCATTGGCTTTCTCCCCTGCGAAGGCGAAGCCCCCGAGCTCTGCCCACGCTACACCATGTCGCAAATCAACGACAAGCTCGGCAGTAAAGCCGGAACATACGGATGGTACGCGCAGATCACCGAAAAAGGATTCGACGGTTCACAACTCCTAGCCGTGAAAGAAGATGTCAAGAAAAGCGGAGCTGTGTTTGTGGCTTCCGTTATGCCTAGCATCAACTTCGACAAGGTCACGGTGGAGGTGGCGAAGCAGGTCGGAGCAGTTATGAAGAAGTTTACGGACGAAGGGGTGGCGGTTTGGCTGAGGTTTGGGCACGAGGTACGACATATCCCATCTCAGCTGAGAGACGGTGGGGCGGGAGAGAACTAACAATGGTGGATGTAGATGAATTACTACGCAACTTCAGGCGTCTACCACGGCACGCCCTCCGCCTTCCAGACCGCTTGGAAAACGATCCACACCTACGCTTGCGCCCCTAACCCCCGTGTGAAATGTTTCTGGAGCCCCAATCGCAACGATGACGTCTCTCAGCTCGCTCAGTACTGGCCAGGGAAACAATACGTCGACATCGTCGGCATCGACGCCTACCCCGGCTCTGGAGAAGACGTGACCTCTATATCGCTCTTCGATAAAATGTACGGAAAATTCTACAACACCTATGCAAAAGCCAACAGCCTGCCATTCGTGATTGGTGAAACAGGCGCGGATGATGCGAGAAAGGAGGCGTGGTTGAAGACGGTGACGAGTAGCGAGGTGAAGAAGAAGTATCCAGATTATGTGGCTATGATGTGGTTTGAGTTCAAAAAGAGGGAGAATGGCGGGGTTACCGATTTCAGGGTTGTTATGAAGGATGATAAGTTGAGTCAGACTAAGGAGATCCTTTTGGCTGGGGGGAATCAGGGTTGTGCGGCTGGGGGAGGGGGCGGGAACGGGACTGAAGTGGGGAAGGGTGAGAAAACGGGGGGTGGGAAGTCAAGTTAAGCTTTTAGGACCGATCCTGGGGGGGGGATTGGTTTGAACTGGAGGGTTTGTGAATTTTCTTCTTTTTCTGTACAACTAGACTACCCTTCCAGACTTTCGTTAAACATCTTCATGAATAAACTATGCATATATCACCCAATACCCCCGATCCGCACCCTTTCCGAATCCTGAAAAACTTACCTCACCCTAGTAATAGCAGCCTCAAACTCACTATCACTAAACTCCCACGGCATAAGACCATCATCATCATAGACAGTGTCCCCATCGAAGCCCCTGACACGGATCCCGTCTTCCGTAAGCCCTCCATGTTGGGAGTACGGATCTACACTTTCTCTGTCTGTTATTAGAGAATGAGCACGCTTGGGTTTTGCGGGTTTCTTATTATGTTTACGGTTGCGATTCGCGGGTTTGGTGGTACTGCGTTCGGGTGTATTATCATCACCTCCATACTGTTGCGATGAGACATGATGATGGGAACCCTTTTCGATCTCAGAGCCCGCTTGTCTCTTGTCTACCTTCTTCTCTGTCGCTTTCCCCAAACTCGGTTCTGGTCCGTGTCCTACTTCCTTGTTTCCTTCCTTCCCCATGCTCCTCGTCTCCTTCTCCTTCTCCCCCTTCTGTTTCTTCCTCTTCTCCTCTTCCCTGTTGATAAGGCTGTTGCTGATATTGTTGTTGATCATGTGTGGTTTGCTGTTGCCGAGCTTGATATTGCCCTGTTGATTCAGCCTGTTGCTGTTGTTGTGGTTGTTGGCTTTGTCCCGGTTGGGGACTAGCTATGCTCAAAAGTCAGCTATGAGATAATTTCATTGTGATTATGTGATAGGTAGCATATACGCTTATCGTCCTCCTTCTTCTCTGTGGGTGTCTCCATTTTCGGTCCTTTCCATGCGCGCGCGAGCATGCTCCAGTAGCTTTCTTTGTGGGGACGGGTCCAGTGCGTTGCGCGATGTTTTGCCATTTTTTATTTATTTGTTTATTTTTGGTAGAGAGAGTTATTGAGTTGAGGGCTACGATTTGATTGTAGTGATTAGAAGACGGGAGTGTGGAGAGTTTGGGGGCTTCCATTCAAATAGTAGGAATGAGAGGCAGAGCTTTGTTCTTTAAATCCTTTTTTCCCATCATGAATATGCGTGATGTTATAGCATTGACTCATATACAGTATTGAAGAGACTGTGTGACCGTACGACCGGAAAAGACTGAAATTGTGTTTGTGGAGGGCAGTATCACGAACTATTCATTTTTGTAATTCTAGCCTAATCTATCTACGGAATTACTATACGGATCATCAAAATGCTTTGTCAATATCAGCAGTTTCTGTTATGTGTTACAGAATGTTGGATATAGTGACTGAAGAAAGGTTCAAGTAGCAGTCCTTGTTGTGTGTTACAGAATGTTGGATCACAGACTGTCTTCATCGAATAGTGACCCAATATTACTGAAAAGTTTCGGCCAAGTCAGTCTCCATCACATCCAACCCATCATGATGTGGGTAGAAGGAAATGAACAGCTGATTTTGGTCAGTACAAAAAACTAAAATATATATGGTTCACGCATCTAGGTATGACTTCAACTGGGTATGTCACTGACTACCACATCAAACTCTCACAGTTGTCAGATTCTAGGTTCTATGTGCTACGTTGCAATGACGCATTCCGGTGTCTTTATAATGCATCAATATCGTTTTATAGTCGCAATTATTAGTCAACGTACAATCAAGGTTGATTTTCAAGGCGCTTTCGTGCATCGGTAGGCCCCACACCCTAATTTCTTAGATCCACCTCAGTCCGTCCTTCCTTCTAACTAAGACATGCATGGCACAATATACAACGACACCAAAACCAAGCATGCCACTGATGACACCGAAACCCAGAAGATACTTTGGTTTGTCGTCTGCTGGAAATAGATAGGCCCCGTAAATTTGTGCCAGGTTACCCAAGGCATTTACCAGTGCGAGAGCGACAGCCCTGACTTCGGGTTGCATTGCTCCAAATGTGGCACCAGTGAACGATAATGAGATCGCGTTAGACGCCCAAAGCCCGGCTGCCATGAGCACCAGGAGGACGTAGCGGGCTGTGAAGTTGTAGATGACGCATACGAGGATCGACGTGATAAGGCTGAAAGTGAGCTAGATGTCAATTAGTATGGAAGTTGTGGAGGTGATTTGTGTCGATATTGAGACAAAAATCTTTCACTCACCCAACCAGCAATGATAAGACCCCGGTGCTGAGGAACTCTATCTGCAAAGAATCCTGTGATCAAAGTGCAGACAAAGGCAACTGCATAGATAGGGACAGTCATATACTGTGCTTGAACAGTAGAAGTATAACCGAGTCCGTTGACGAGGGTAGGATAGAAGTAGGACAGGGTGGAGGAACCAACAATAACCTGAGGGGTTAGCATGTATAACATATAGTCGTGAACGAACGTACCATGTATCCGAGAATAAAACCAATAGTGCGCCAGTCTCTAATGGCAAGAAGGAAAGATCTTCCTTTCCCCATTCTTTCTTCTCCTTCCTCGCTAGTGCAAACACCACCCTCTTGGAGACGCGCCACAGCAATGGCTCTTTCGCGCTCAGTGAACCTCTTGCTATTTGCGGGGAAATCTGGGAGAAAGAACATCGCAAGTCCGGCAATCCCAATAGTCGCCACGCCCTCTACGATGAACAGCCATCGCCTAAAGATAAAGCAAGAAATCAGTAAATGTTCCAAGATCCGAATGTGCAAGTCACCGAATTGTAACGCACCAGCCTCGAATCCCATGAGCACCTAGGAATAATCAGCTATGATGGCGGAGAATGGTTCAAAACGATGACGTACCTTCTAGTCCCCCAGTAATAGCCCCAGCCAGTAAACCACCGAATGCGCCTGACAAAATGGCGGCAGATATGTACACTGAAAACCGCTTACTCTGTTCTTCGCGTTTGTACCACGACGATAGGAGCAGTAACATCCCCGGGGCAAATCCAGCTTCGAAAACACCAACGAAAATGCGCAAGACTAATAGATGGTGATAATCTTTGATGGCTGCCATGACGCAAGTCAAAGCACCCCATATTATCATGAGAGATGGTAGATATATGCTGGGTTTGATGCGTATGAGTAGCATATTGGAGGGAGCCTCGAACACCACATACGTAACTACATGAATCAGAGACAATTAGTTTGAAGAGAAAGGTATAGTATACCGAAGAAAACAACTAATGCGACAGAGTATTCGTTGCTTGAAAGCTTCAAATCATCTGCCATTCCTGCAATCTTTGCATTTCCGATGTTGGTGCGGTCCATGTACGATAGCAAGTACATCAACCACATGGTTGGTAAGAGATACATGTCGATTTTGCGAACTAAATTTTGTTCCTCATCTGGCGTCCATGACAGGCTCGTCGCAAATTCCATATGTTTGGTGGTATCCATGTCTTTGACATCGACCTTTGCAACGTCAACCGAATGGCGTGTGGAGGTCATAGTGGCAGGATCACGTGCAGTAGAAGGACGAACAACCCCAGGCTAATTAGCTGGTGGTATAGTCTGATGGAATCTCGATAGAGCTTTATACATGATGTTGTGTGTTGCGATGTTGTTTGGAGGTTGCGGATAAAGGAGTTCATGTTCCAAGCTTCTTTCGGTCCTACTCCAGACTACCCCAGCATTATGCTTCTCCGCGTGGGTCAAAGCGTCTCCTCCGTGTAAATCCGAGCAAGTAGCCCAATGGTCAGCCAGTGACGAATTGATCGAGTGAATTGATTGGTCTTACAATACATCACTCTGCTGATCTAGGGGCCTAGTGGATTAGGCATGAAGAGCAGGTTAGCCGATGGTGCTCGAGACGAGGCAGGTCATTCTGCGTGGTGCATGAACACTTGCCACAGGGAATCAGGGCTCTCGTCTCGAGGCATTGACGTGTACCATCATTTCTCATCGCGTCACCTCGCTCTCAGTAACTGGCTACACTGTGATCAACCTACAGATAAAACGCGGGGATGGGTGTCGGGCTCGCCGATGAGCTAACTCGGTGGACTCCGCGCTGTGTACCTATTAAAGTCATTGAAGTCCTGACCTCGTAACTCTCAATACCAGTCATCGATCCCTCAACTTGATCAGTGGACTTCTCATCACATCAAATCTCTTCCAAGATGTCTCCTGCCGCGGTCGCCTCACAAGATACTGCTACCAGCAGTGTGGTCGAGCAATCAGTGCCTAACCCAGTTTACCTTTCCACCGAACCAGGCCCGGAATTCGACTGGAAGATATCTCTCCGTGGAAAGGTTATCGCAATCACAGGGGCAAACCGGGGCATCGGCCTGGGACTTGCCACTGTATGTCTAGCCAACGATGCTCTTGAAGTCTACTCGTTGGATCTCTTTGAACCCGGAGAGGAGTTCCAGGCCCTTGCAAATGCGAACCCCAAAAGACTACACTATCTTCAGTGCGATGTGACTTCCGAAGAGACAGTGATACAAGTCGTGGATCAGATTGTTGAGCGATCGGGCCGGATCGATGGCATGATAGCCAACGCCGGCATGACCAAGCACCAGCCCGCCCTCAATTTCGACAGACCACAGCTCGAACAGCTGTTCAACCTCAACGTATATGGAGCGTATTTTTGTGCGACTGCTGCTGCAAAGAAGATGATCGAGCTCGGCATCAAGGGTTCCATAGTGTTCACCGCATCCATGACTTCGTACAGACCAAACCGTGCCGCTCCTTCAGCACCTTACGGGGGGACGAAAGGTGCGGTGAGGAACATGGCCCATACACTGGCGATGGAATGGTCACAACACGGCATTCGCTGCAACTCGGTTTCACCCGGCTTTGTGAGAACAGCAATGACTTACTATGTTGAGAGGGCTAGCGATTGGAATCTGAAGATGCAATATTATGGCGGTATGCCTAGATTGGCAGATCCAAAGGAGCTTGGAGGAGCTTATGTCTATCTATTATCCGACTGTGCCAGTTATACAACGGGTATTGATATCCCCGTGGCTGGCATCGTTGGTGCCTGGTGAAAGTGGCTTGGTTTCAGGAAACAATTTGCGTTTATAGCTGCATTTCAGGCGTTTGAGCTGGGGTTTGATACGCGAAGAGAATCAACAATAATAATTCTTTGCTTTTTCAACATTTAACATCCTGGCTTCTACGTCGAGAGATTTGGACGAGCTGAAGTTGAGCGATAGTCAACAATGCCTAACTGCATACTTAAATTCATACCTCATACCTAATGTACGCGTGGGTGCTACCATCTACGGGATTCGCGCGATTATGCGCATATCTTCCAGCAAGTATGGATCTACCTTGAAGCTCATTCCAATACAGTTGCGGTTCTGAAAAGTAATCAAGGGTCCGAGAGCATTCAACCGGGTGTGATGTCGTGCTGCCCAACAGTACCTGACTCGCACATGCGTACATCGCATGGTCATAACATGCCAGGCATGTCAGGAATATATGTAGAAGTATGCGATTCGGCCTTTCTCTTATCTCTTCGCAGACATGTTGGTATTCCACTCCATCCAGGTTGAGGCTTGGAAGTCAAAGTCACGTGCTGCCCTCCGCACTGAATACCGCCGAAAAAGTGGAGCACTCGGGTTCTGATCCAGCCTCCCGCGGCACTGAGCTACTAACAGAACGTTGTCCCAGAATCTTTGTTCATTGCGATTTTCTCTCCTCGACGCGAATCTTCATGCATCCAAATAGACATGTCTCCACAGACAGCTCCATCTAAACCACGCAAGCCGCGACCATCTCGGGCGCGCGGCTTGAGGACCACTACTGGCTGGTAAGCTAAACCTTCTGCCCACGTTGCTACCATATCATGCAGGCGCACAGCAAGTCGGCCAGCATTCTTATCGCAGATTGGTTACATTTTGCGTTCGTGGTTGTTGACATCTGATAGTTTGACGTGTCGCAAAAGACGCGTGAAGTGTGATGAAAGCAAGCCTCATTGCGGACAGTGTAGCCGGTCGGAAAGAGAATGCGTGTATGCCCATGCGATTAACACAGCAGCGGTTCATCCCGAAAGCGAAAGCAATGGCCAGAACACCACCTGTCACGCAACATTTTCGTCACTGGTTTCGCCTACTTCTGTTACGGGATCTGCCTCGACGAGGACTCTGGGAGACATCGATCCTCAGTTGTATTCTGAGTCGTCAGAGTTAAGATTTGATCTTACACCATTGACCCTAACGACATCCGTCCCTTCACCAAATTCTGCGCCGTATGAGTGGTATGACCTGCTTGCAGAGGACGCCGTCAACAACATTCGGAAGCACAATCTCGGATTTGATTCGAACATTTTGTCGAGACGACAAAGCCCTGTCCCCAAAGCAGCAGACGATGATGGCACGGCATCGCCCGACCGCGATTTCTCTGAAGGGCCGTCTGAGGAACCTTGGCAGTCCCTAGAGCCCATTCATATGGCGGAGGATGATCTTGCCCTTTTCCAGCACTTCATTGACACTGTTGCGCCAATCCTAGATTTGTTCGATCCGTGCAGACAGTTCGCACACGTTGTCCCGCGTCTTGCCGTACATAATGTTGGGGTACTCAAGTCTTTGCTCGCTGTCGCTGCCCGACATGTTGGGCTCTCTTCGAGTGCCACTATACAAAAAGAGGCCCTTGTGCAGACTCCCGGATCCAACGCAAGCCGGCATGACTCGGGCGACTCAACAAGTCGCTGCCCGGAAGTAGCCACTCGATACTACTACGAGACTCTGCAATACCTGTCCCAAAATCTTCTGTACCCATCTTACACAAAGTCTAGGGAGATCCTGGCGACTGCATCACTCATCTCCACGTTTGAGATGCTCGACGTGTCGAAGAAGGCGGGGGAGGGTAACTGGGAAAGACACTTGCGTGGAATCTTCTGGATTCAGAGATCCCAAGACAACAATGGGGAAAAGCGGGATGCGTTGCGACGAGGTGTCTGGTGGTTGTGGCTGCGACAGGATATCTGGGCAGCTTTTCAAGAGAAGCGAAGGGTGCTGACCATTTGGCGGCCCAAGAAACGTCTGATGGATCTCACCTCGAATGAACTCTCCACTCGGATATTGTACATCTGTGCACGATGCGTCGACTTCGCTGCGAACGAGAAACAATACGACATCGGTATCCGGATCAGCCAGGGGGAGAAGCTGCTTCAGGCCCTCGACGACTGGTGGCAGATCCTCCCGGCTTCGTTCCGACCAATTTACAAAACAAATAATGCTGGATCAGAGTTCAGCTCGAAGATATGGATTCACCCTCCTTCTCACTCTGCAGCTGTTCAAATGTTCCATTTCGCGCGCATAATTGTTCTGACCAACCAACCTTCGGTGGGTGGAATGCTCGAGTATTGTCAAAGACAACGTCTCTTAGATGAGAGTGTGGAGACCATCTGTGGTATAGCTATGGCGCATCAAGGGAAAGATCTACCCAGTGCGTTTGTTAATTTCCAAGCATTGTATGCTGGTATGTACCTGTCTGATTGTTTATATTCCTTCACAGCTCTTGGGGGAACTACCAACAACTGCTGACACGTTACAGCCGGACTCTGTGTGCAGATACCTGCTAGACAGAGTGCAATCTTGCAACTTCTCGAGGCAACACTAGATGTCACCAATTTCCCCCCGAAAACATTACTTGACGATCTCATTGCTTATTGGAGAGCTGCACCATAGGGGGACATGGTGAAGCGATGCAGTTTCCGGGATAGCCGATCTGTTCGCCGGGCATGCCCGGGCATGCACTTGGATCGTGCCATTACTTGTGGGGCTTGCCCGTTCTACATTCTACAACGTCTATCGTGCCATCCGGGGAAAGTGGATCATCTGGGGTAGTTGCCGCTGAGTTGCGGTCCAAGGTGTAAGGTGGCGTGCAGTCGCCTAAAACGTCACTGTGCCTCGAGACGAGGCACATTTGGACCCTCTTCCGATCCGTGGCCGACATGTGCCCGCGAAGCACCATCGACGCGAGGCAAGACAACGTACTCGCACTGCATCCCAGTTCCTTACTCAAACGTAGGAGTTGCTTCAATTAGAGCTTGCCGGACAGTATCCGGATGTTGGGAGCCTTTTATCCTCTTCTATCGTCGCTTCTCTTCTTCAGTAGTGTGCTGCAGCTACGAGAGCAGACTGTACTCCAACTATCGCCATGGCCCTCAATATGAAGGACAATCGAACAGTCCAGATATTGGCAGGCGCTGCTGCAGGAAAGTACGGCGTTCTGGCAGCGATAGCGTAAGAGGATCGGTAGACACTGCGCGCTCAAACACGACTGAGGCTCTTTAGATACAACATCGAACAGCTCACGGCGCTCGTACGGGCCGCAGAGGCAAAACGATCGCCTTTGATCATCCAACTCTTTCCTTCTACTCTAAAACAGCTGCCAACTCTTGCTTTCGCAGCTGCAGCAGCTGTCTCTCAGGCTTCGGTACCTCTTTCGTTACACATCGATCACGCCCAAGATGTGGATCACATCCGCGAGATCATCGCAACTTTACCGGTGGATTCGGTGATGGTCGATATGTCGCACTACGAGGAAGCAGAAAATCTAGAAAAGACGCGAATTCTTGCAAAAGAATGCCACGAGAAAGGCATTGCGGTAGAGGCTGAAAGTGGGAGAATCAACGGCGGGGAAGACGGCATTGCAGATACGGGGGACCTCGAAGGTACAGTAGATTGGATGTTTCGACCGATTCGCATATATTAACGCATCGCAGCTCTGTTCACATCACCAGAGGATGTGGACAACTTCATTGCAGCCGGGATCGATATCCTGGCCCCATCAATTGGTAATGTGCACGGGGACTACGGACCTGCAGGGCCAGCTCCCGGGCAGCTGCACTTCGACCGACTGGAGTCGATAAATAAACAAATCAGCGATCGAGTGCACATAGCACTTCACGGTACCAATGACTTCCCACCTGAAGTGATGAAGAGATGCATCGAGAACGGAGCTCTCAAACTAAACGTCAACAAGCTTCTACTGGAAGTCGGCAACGAGCATGTGCGCAAGCATGCTGCTGATACGCCTCTGGTCAAGCTGCTAGACGAAGGCATACGGATCGTCCAGCAGGAAACAGAGAAATGGATGGACATTTGTGGAAGCAGTGGGAAGGCATAGGGGTGAAGGATGCTGCGCGATGACGCGCCTGTACAGAATGGCGATAGCTCGCTCATGAAACTGGGTACCTGGTACATGTAATTACCGGCGGTGAGGTTGCTCATGCACTGACCCTTTGTCGCGAATTCAGCTGGATCGATGCAAACGCTTCCCAGGCGAGAACATCAGTGCCTCTCGTGATGCCACGTTCATTGCGATGGCGTAGGTCAATGAATAACGCAATGAAGGATGTTTTGCAGTCCGGGGCTTGCCTCGTATTCGTCGGCATTTGCAGCCACATTTCATTTACGTACACTATGTGACTCTGTCCAGTAGATTGCGCCGCGTTGCGATCCTTGAAGCAATACTGACGGAACCCATCTCATAATGAGATCCTTCGAGTCGTCAGGCAAACCATCCGCTAACCTGATGATACATAGCACATGGGCAAAGGATTACTGTCACACACAGTGCCACACCTCACATACGAGGAGTTGAACGCAAACCGCCATGTGCCAACGCGCCCCAAATCCTTCACGATCAGAATGCGGGGAATACCATGTCAAGAAGTCCTGTCTGATTGGCGCATCTGGAGCTCGACCTTCCTGAACGGTTTTTCCATTGTCGATTTTATCCGGTTGGGTGGGCTGCTCACGTGTGGATACGCCGGCCAACATCACCACTCGCCCACCTCCTTTCCTCTGCGTGTAAAGCGTGTGGATTACCGCGCAGAAATGATTGATTCCCATCCCTCCAAGTTCAAACTTTATTGTCCGAAGGATCAGGCTTGCGCTCCAAGGTTTCGCTTGCGTCTAATAGTTGACTCGCTATGGTACAAGGGATCCTGCGTAAGCCAGGAAGGAGGATTGTCTGCTGCGACAGCTACGAAACCTCGCTCTCTCGTTCTCGTGTTTATTTTTTTTTCGGGGAGAAAGAGGTGGTCCAACAGTCGACTAACGAACCAGTACGCCGCCTGCACCGCAGCAGGCCGGAATTCGTAACAAGGCTCTTCGTTTTCCAGGGATCAGCGTAGTCGTGTTGCGAGCCTTCGCTCACCGTGTTCTGCACCGAGACAACCATTTACCCGCATAGACGCCACTCGCTCGCCGACGTTTCCAAGCCAATGAGGGCTGATATTACGCCCAGAGCTGGGCCTTGATGCTGAGTTGCGCATGGTGCGCAAAAGGCCCCCTCTTCGTCCTGAGCGCCTCCCAGCGGCGATCCGAGCAGCTCGAGTCCACAAGTTCGGGTTGGCCGGCAATGGAAGCTTCCCCGGTATTGCTGACCCCAGGCCCTGCGAGGGAGGGTGATTCGTGAATCTGGGGGCCTTTGCCTGCTTGTCTGCCTGCTTGTCCATCCAATCCGTTTCTGTATATTAAAACATGGTGGCCCCCGCTCGCGATTGCGGATGACTTGTATCTCACCGACCTCCACCTCACCCGAAATACCGGCCACTGCGACTGAATGGGCCTGTGTTCATCGAAACCTTGCCCTACAGCATCCATATCGAATGCTATAGCGACATAGTACAGCGCCGACAACGCCGCGAACAGCTTTTGCGTCTGGAGATAAACAGGCGGTGGTACGAGGCATGGTGCCCGTTGGCAACCCAGCGAAGGCCAATCAGGTCGAACCGGTCCTAACACGACTCGTTGAGCAGGACACCGTGAGTCGTGCCCGATTGTGAGAATGAAGACATCAGACTTCATAGAATGTCATCGTGTCGCACTTTATTGCCGGGCTGAGCTGACCTCGTATCCGCAATCAGGTACCATGGTGGCGAAAGAGGAACCTTAGAATCCTTTACGCTCTTCTACTCCCAACATGTATTGGGATAGAAATGACGAGTGGGTTCGACTCGCAGATGATTAATACAGTGCAAATTGCACCAACATGGCAAGAGTGTACGTCAAGTCAGGCTGGAAGGCGTCGTCTGGGAAGACGTGACAACTAACTGGGAATCAGACTTTCATGAACCCAGAGGGGCCTTGTTGGGAATCATTTCGGCTGCGTACAATCTTGGGGCTATTTGCGCATTGCCATTTGTACCTTGGGTTAACGATACATTCGGACGACGATGGGCAATATTCGGAGGAAGTTGGGTTATGGTCATGGGTTCTTTTGTTCAAGCCTTCTCGGTCAACGGTAAATATTGCCTTCTCACCTGCAGCTAAACTGCCAGAAGACTAACCCAAACAGCTACAATGTATGTTTTGGCACGCTGGATCCTCGGATTTGGAATCCCCTTCTGCATCATCGCCGGCTCCTCATTGATGGGTGAACTCGCCTATCCCAAAGAACGCCCGATCATGACCTCTCTCTTCAACGCACTATGGTTCGTCGGTGCTCTTATCGCTGCAGGAGTTTCCTTCGCAACCCAAACACTCAAGAATGATTGGGCATGGCGTATTCCATCACTCCTACAAGCTGGACCCTCCATGATACAAATTTGTTTCATTTTGTACGTTCATCATTTGTGATTCCCATCGATATGGTGCTGACACCATCTAGCTTCATACCCGAGTCCCCTCGTTTTCTAATCTCGAAAGATCGACAAGAAGAAGCATACCACATCCTCGTCCACTACCACGCCGAAGGCAATCTCCTATCGCCCTTTGTCCGCGCCGAGATGGCCCAAATCTCGAGCACCATTCGCATAGAGCTCGCCAACTCGAAACGATCCTGGCTTGAGATGTTCTCGACACCTGGAATGCGCAAGCGTGTGATCGTCGGCTCTTTCCTGGGGCTATTTACGCAGTGGAGCGGCAACACGCTCATCTCGTACTATCTCAGTGACCTTCTCAAGATGATCGGCTTCCAGGACCCGAACTTTAAGAGCAAGTTGAACGTTGGATGGAACAGCTGGAATCTGGTCAACGCCGTTTTGATCAGTTTGCTGGTGCGGAGATTTCCGAGACGAAAGATGTATTTGATATGCGCGACCTCGCTGCTCTGCTGCTACGTGGGGTGGACGGTCAGCATGGCACGCTTCATGGTGACGTCGAGTGCGCTTACGGCCAAGATAACGATTTTCTTTATATTTGCTTACTCTCCTTGTTATAATATTGGCTATAACGCCTTGACCTATAGTGAGTCCTGCCTTTTCTTCTCACCAGGAACCGAGTAGAGATCAAGAGAAATGCTAACGAACGTGATCAGCTTTCCTTGTCGAACTTTTCCCATTCGCACAACGTGCCAAGGGCATCACCATTTTTCAATTCTTCGGTCGGGGCGCAGGGTTCTTCACCACGTTCGTGAACCCCGTAGGACTCGATAGGGTCAGCTGGAGGTGGTTAATCACATATTGCGTAATGCTGGCGTTCGAGATTGGTTTCATAGTAAGTTCTCCTCCATCTTCTCCACTATCTTACACCAGACATCCTACACGAAACCTGCAAGCTAACACCACAACTCCAGTACTTCATGTTCCCCGAAACCTACGGTCGCACACTCGAAGAACTCGCCTTCCTCTTCGAAGACCGCGCCCTCGCCGAAGAAGCCGCCGCAAAAGTCGAAAAGCAGATCCAGCAGGAACTCGCCGACTGGGGCAACGGCCCCAAGAGCGTCGTCACGCACATCACGGCAGCGCACGCGAAATTCCCGTCGGACGGGGATCAGCAGTTTGACCGCTGGGTTTCGGCTGAGCCGGAGAACGGTAGCTGGGATGGCACCGCGAGCGGGGGTGTGGTCTGGCACGACGAGAACGAGATGAGGCGACAGGGCGGGAAGAAGGGCGGCGTCCCTGGGGTCGAGGATCGGTTTAGCAGGTGGCCTTGATGGCTGTTGATACCCCCGGATTTTTTCGATTATTCTTTTGGTTACATAGTGCTTTTGCGATGTTAGCGTTTGTACGGCAGTCATGTCTCTGTTCTTGCTGTCTTTCTTTTTTTGCCCGCGCCTATGTATCATAAAGTGACGCTCGAAGGTTGAGATATAATACTATTGGGATCCCATGCCCTCCACATAGCGGCTATGAATTGCCGGATTACTTATGCCCCCAACCTTGGTCTTTGATCTGTATCGGACAAGTACATTCGTCTCCCGCAAGTAAGTAAGCCCTTGCACGTATTTGAATCTAACCCTCCCTTCGTATAGAATATGCACCTTTCACGAAAATCTATTTCCTAACTCTTATTTACCACCGTTCGTTAAGGAATCCCAATATGTACTACGCACCGTGGCTTCCAAACAGACCTATCTCTTTCTCGCAATCTATCAAGGATTGAATAGGAAATCCAACATCGCTGCAAAAAAAATCGAAAAAAAAAAAATCACGATAATGTATTATGACACACCAGGACAAGATATGCACAGTTCTCATATCGAGTAACAACAAGTAGAATTGCGGTTCTGCGGCCACTCGGAAAGAAACACCGTAGGGCTTCTCGCCGCTGTTTCTATGCCGCCGCAATCCACAGTTTTAAAGGAAACCTTCCTAAAGAAGTAAGTTGAGCCTGTGTAGCAAGTTTTGCCGAACGCACACACCATCTTGCAGGGTGCGGAAGTTTGAACCGAGCGCTCCACCCGAGCTGTGCCAAAAATTTCTAGAGGGTGTTTTTTGTTACTGCTTCCACCTAGCGGATTCACGATTTTGTTTATAACACAACGCACCCACACACACATACGCTGAGAGAGAAAGATGCCCAAACGCAAGCGCGACTCGCCCTCAGAGGCGCAAACAAACCCCACGAAACCATCATCGTCCTCGTCCCGCCGCAAAAAGCACTGCACGCAACGCATCGCGGCCGCCCAGAAACCTCTCCTCTCCGCGCTGCGCCTCGCAGCGGGCTTCGAGCGACAAAAGTTCAGCCGCCGCAAGAAGGGCGCGAAATCTACAAACAACGACAAAGCGTCGCAGCGCCTCGAACTCGAATACGCGAAACTCAAGCAATTGGACCTCACGAAGCTCGCGGAGCAACACTTGCGAAGGACGATTGGGAAGGTGAAGAGTTTAAGGGAGAGCGAGGATATACCTGATGTAGAGAAGGTGGCGGAGAAGGGGGAACAGGATGTTGCGTTGCTGAATGTGCAGGCGAGGTTGTTCAAGGTTGACGCGGTTAGGAAGGTCGTGGATGAGGTTGTTGATGATTTGAAGGAGATTGTGGGTGCGGGTAAGGGGAAGAGCGAGGGGGATGGAGCGAGGCAGAAGAAGAGGAAGGAAAAGGAGGGGGGGAGTGAGGAGGAAGAATCTGCGAATGTGGAGGCGTTCGATAGCGATGTGATGGCTGCATTGGATGGCCTTATTGCGGCACCCTCTTCGGCGGACGACAGCGAAGACTCCCTCTCAGAAGGACATCGACCCCCGAGCGTTGAAGACAGTGGCAGTGAGGATGGCGATGAAATGGATTTGGACGAAGATATGGAGTCAGATGAAGACGAAGCACATGTTTCCACAAACGGTAGAGAGGTCGCAGATGGCTCGTCCGATTCTGGGGCACTGCACGACTCTGATGTGGAATCTATATCGGAATTCGAATCGGAAGCAGACGTCTCAGCGCCAACATCCAAGTCAAAGCGAAAATTGGCACCGCTGGAGAAGCCCTCCAAGTCAACGTTCCTCCCATCGCTGAGCCATGCAGCGTACTTCTCCGGCTCCGAATCAGAAGCATCTGATCTCGACGCCGATCTCGCGCCCAGAAAGAACCGCAGAGGACAGAAGGCGAGACAGAAAATATGGGAGCAGAAATACGGCGACAAGGCGAAGCACAAGGAGAAGGAAGATCGCGCCAAGGGGTGGGACGCGAAGAGAGGGGCTGTCAGTAGCGACCGGCGTGGGCGCGGAGCAAAAGCCCCACCGCGAGGCTACGGTCCGGAGAAGAGCGGAGAAAACGCGATGCCATTGGGCAAGCAGAAACCGGTCCCCAAGAGAGACGACGCTGGCACTCTGCACCCCAGTTGGCAAGCTGCGAAGGCGGCAAAGGAAAAGAAGAGCGGGCTCAAGATCGATCTCAACGCAAACACCTCCAAGAAGGTTGTCTTCGATTGAGCTTGGCGCTCTACACCTACTCGAGCGATTCCGTAGCCTTTTCTATACCCAATTCATCGTCTCCACGTTCACATGAAGTTCCCAATTGCATCGTCGTTCTGCCTTGTAGGCGACGCCCGGGGATTCGCGAAGGATGCTATTCAATGCATTCGCCACAATCCAGTAATAGGAGGGACCCGATAGCCAGGTAATTTCCCCAGTTCCTGCAGAACATGTCGTTTGTTTCTGCACGTGTAGTTGTGAATGGACAGTCGTTATCACCAGCACGGATACGCGATGCTCGAAGAGGAATGTGCCAAGCTGTCGCCAAGGGGTGAGATGCTGCTAGGGGAAACGATCTCTCCGGTGTTGCGCGCTCGGAGCATCCGCCACAGCCTGGTCCAGCGTCATAAAAGGAAGCGTTGCGCCGCGAGTTCGTGAGAACCTCAGTCCTTGTCCGGCTCGTTGTTTGTTTCTTTGTAGCTGTACAGTCTCTCATCATTCTTTACGTGGCATTCTTTGCAGTGTGAGATTGAGACGTTGCAAAATGAGGTTCTCGACTCTATCGGTGTTCGCTGGGCTGGCTGTGGCTGAGGATGTGCTCTACAGCAGTCAAAGGCTGCAGAAGCGTGGGATCGATTCTCAGGGAAATTACAACATTTGTATGTTTTGGCAGAGTTCAATTGTATATTCACCTGGAACAACGTTCTGATTCGCGGCAGCGTTCTTCCATGTCAACGATGTACACGCTCATCTGGACGTGTTTAGCAGCTCGGGTACCGATTGCACAAGACCGGAGCGTGGCTGCTTTGGCGGCTATTCACGTATCAAGGCCACCATTGATGAGCAGAGGGCCAAGTACGACGACAGTCTGTGGTCAGTAATCCCGAATGCAGCCTGTATCTTTACATTTCCGGATTTGGAGCGTTGAATTTCTATGCTATATTTGCGTTTTTTGTCAAAGCTAACTAGAGGTGTTGCAGGTTGAACGTTGGTGATGAATTCCAAGGGACCCTCTTTTACACATACTACGGGGGCGAGGTCATTGCAAAGACTCTGAATCAATTGGGATTCGACGCCATGACTCTTGGAAACCACGAGTTTGATGGTGGCGATGATATGTTGGGTGAGTTTGAAGAACCTAAAAAGTCCGTGCCAACAAGAAAACACCGCTGACCGAACAGGCGACTTCATTGCCAACCTCACAAATATCCCCATTATTTCTGCCAATATCCATTCGGATCATCCCAAGTTGAACAAGACTATCAAGCCGTACCAGATTTTCCCAGACAAGGGCCTTGCCGTCATTGGAGTCACGACCGAAACTACGCCTGGCATCTCAAAGCCGAGCAACCTGACGACCTTTTCTGATTCTATTGAGGCAGTTCAAAATGCCATCGATGAGATCAAGGCCACTACCAATATCACCAGGATCGCTGCCATCACCCACATCGGATATGACAAGGACAAGGAGCTCGCTGCAGCCGTCTCCGGTCTCCAGCTCATCATGGGCGGTCACTCACACACCCTGCTTGGCGATATGGAAGGCGCTGAAGGGGACTACCCTACCATCGTCCAGAACAAGGACGGAGACGAGGTCTTCATTGTCACAGCTTACCGATGGGGCGAATATGTAGGCTACATCGACGTGACCTACGACGTCAACGGCAAAATCCTAGCTTACCACGGTGCCCCACACCACATGACCAACACCACCAAGTACGACGAGACGCTCCAAGCGCAAATCGACGAATGGCGCAAGCCCTTTGCAGAATTTGCTGCCGAAGTTCTCGGCGTAAGCAACGTCGTTCTAGACCAAACCACCTGCCAACAACAAGAATGCCTCCTCGGAGATTTCATGGCAGACGCCATGTATTCCTACCGCAAATCCGCAAACGATAACGTCGCCTTCGCCATCATCAACGCCGGCGGTGTCCGCGCTACCATCGACGAGGGCGACATCACGCGCGGCGAGGTCCTCACCTCCTTCCCCTTCGGCAACGCCATTGTCGAAATCAAACTCCCCGGCTCAGACCTCTGGGACGTCCTCGAAGGCATCGTCTCCAAAGTCAACGTGCAAAACGGCCGCCCCGTAACCTCCTTCCTCCAAATCAGCCAGGGCATCAAAATCGAATACAACCCAGCCAACGCGAACGGCACCAAACTCGTCTCCGTCACCATCGGTGACGCGCCCCTAGACCAATCCGCCGAATACGAATTCGTCACCCTCGATTTCCTGGCCGGCGGCGGAGACAACTTCTTCACGCCCACAAAGGACTTTGCGATTCTGGATACCCAGGATCAGGTTCTGACGCAGTATATCCAGGAGCAGACGCCCGTTGATATTGCGCTCGATGGCCGCATCAAGATCGTCGACGGCACGGCTGAGCCCCCTACCAATGGAACTACACCGACCCCCACGGCTACGGCATCTGCTACCGAGACGGGGGGCTCGTACAGCACCGTCGCGCCTCCTGTTGTGCCGCGTGCTGTGAAGGCTTCTTCAAGTGATGCTGCACCGGTCGTTGCGAGGCAGGTTGGTGCTTTTGCGGCGGTTGGGGTTGCGCTTGTTGCGGCGTTGGTGATGCTTTGGGGACAGTTGTAGATTATTCTTTTGTTGGGAACGAAAGCTTTTGAGCGCTGATTACCAAAAAACGTCATGGAATGGATATTTTCTGTTTAGACTTTGTATAACAAAAAAATGTTCACGAGATCTGTCTCTAGTTACGAATCCCTGGCTCTGGCATTCCAGTGTTATGATTGTTGTTACTTGGATCGAGTGCACTCGGAAACCCCAAATCCGAATTGACATGAAGCTCTCTCTGCTAATCCAGCCGCTGCGTCAAATTCAGCGAATGCACATCTGACGAGGAGCACGTCTTCTTCCGCCCCATCACAGTCCATTTATAGCGCAAATCAAGGGCGATATGTGCAAGCCTTGGAATTGTATTTAAACCAATTCTAAAGCGACAACTCATTCCAGACCTTCCCCATATCGAATCATCGTCTAACGAACGAAATGAAATCTAGATTAGGCTGTATTCTTTGTCTCTACACGCTCCTCAGCAATCGAATTTCCCCTCTTCTCATCGAGTTCGCGCGCAATGATGGCGCCCTTCTCCGTAGCCGCATGGCCTCCCAGCAGCGCGGCGTCGCCGTCAAAGTATCGCGCGATTTCCTCGAGCGGCGTGTTCTTGGTTTCAACGTAGAAGAAGTAGATGAAGACGAGTTCAGCAGCGAGCCATGCGCACTAGTTGATTATCAGCGAAACGAGTTCCATAGGCTTGTATAGCGGAAAGAAGGAAAATGAGACTTACGTAGACAATGTAGTACTTCCACTGAATGTTGTCGAGGGCGATAGGGTTGACGTAAGTGTTGAAGAACAAGGCAATATCCACCATGGCAAACATGTAGCACATGCCTTTTGCACGCAGACTGTACGGCAGAATTTCGACCGTGTAGCTGACCAGCAGACCGGACCACGCGAGGTTGTAGAAGGTGTAGTAGAGGAAGATCATGGCGACGACTGCGCTGCCGTTTGCCTTGACCTGCGTGGCTTCGAAGCGCTCGGAGAGGATGGTCCAAATCACGAAGGTGACGCACATGCCGGCAGTCGAGATGAGGAAGAGTGGGCGACGGCCGATCTTGTCGACGAAGAAACCTGCGCGGCGGTGTTAGCGAATATGATCAAGAGATTGCTGAAAATTGGAGTGGGATCACGTACACATTGTCGTGGAAACAACAAAATTCCAGATATTGAGACCTCCGTTAATCTTGAGCTTTGTGTCTGCGTCGTGGATGCCGATCGTCTCTAATACACCCGAAATGTAGTACGATACCAACCCGTTACCGGACCATTGCGAGAACAGACCGGCAGAAATCAGGATGATGAGTCGGTGGCGGTTACCCTTGGTCTTGAAAAGTTCCAGCCAACCGGTTTGCTCAGCCTCCTTCTCGATCGCGATAGTCTCCTGAACCTCCTGGAATTCGAGCTGCACAATCTCATCATCGGCGTTGCCTTCAGCATGCACATGGGCAAATACATGGAGCGCCTTCTCGGGCTGGCCTTTGGAAATGTACCAACGAGGAGATTCCGGGACGAACCAGATGAAAGTGATTTGGAGGATGGAGGGGAGCGCTTGCACGATGGATGGAATGCGCCATGCCCATTCGTTCGAGACGTTGTTGGTTCCGTATGTCAGCCAAGCGGCGATGATGCTGCCGATGTTCCACGTGGTGTTGTAGATGGTCGTGAATATAGCGCGGTGTTGCGGGTGGCAGACTTCCGTGATGAGCAAAGGTGCCGAGCCATGTGCAATAGCAACGCCAAAACCCAGGAAGAATCGAGCAGCGATGAACATGCTGTAGTTGACCGATGCGCTCTGGAGGGCCACGGCTAACAGCATGATGATGGACCCGATGACAATGCCCATTCTTCTTCCCAATCCATCCGCAATATACGGAGTGACGGGGAGGGCGAGAAGAGATCCGAGAAACAGAATTCCGCTAAAGAGACCTTTGATAGACCCTGAAGGATCGCCCATATCTAAAATATTGAATAAGTCTATGCTATGGACGAGTGCGGGGGGGGTCGAGCCATGACTTACATTCAGTGAACTGTTCAAGCGTAAGAAGACCGTTGACCATGGATCCATCGTAACCATTTGTAGCACTCGTCAAGATCACAAAAAACATGAGGAAGTAGGTAGTCCGCAGGTTGGGACTCTTGAGCCAGTTGATATTCTTGAACTCCTTGCCTGCGACCTTGAAGTGGCCGGGCGTGACAGATGTGGCTTCCCTATCCGACATGATGGGTTTGAAAGAGCAGATCAACGTCCACAAGGTTTGAAGGAAATATCAACAGGCAGAGCTCAATGGCAAGCAGCTGCTGAATTCTGAAGCTCTCGCAGTGGGTGGACCGGTCTGATATAAACCAAAAAAAGTCCAATGCATCATCACCCAACCACTTTTAGCCCCCCCCCCCCCTGTGAGTTTACCCGTAGACCACCTGTGGCCGCCTGGCAACGTTCTGCCAATAACTCACCCCGAAATCTTTTTGGAATCATGGAAGAACCCCCACGTGTCAGCAGCCACCCAAGGAAGCCGCAAAGCTTGCCCAGGCAAGCACCAAGGTAAGGGAGGCGAACCAATGGAATCTGCCGAGCTACTGGTTAAAAGAGCGGATAAATTGATTGCGGCGCTAGCGATAGTGTAGCATTGGTCGATTCTGGGGATCGTCGACCAGGGAATTGAGGCGCTCGGGGGTCAAGCATCATTCACCGCGGGAGCAACACGATAGAAAGCTTGATTTGAGCCTTCGATATTGCGTGGATTATGTGAGATGGGATTCCGAGACTGTGTGGAAGTGACTTCGGAAGTACGGGCCAAGGGAATATCGATTTGGGCAGAAGTACAGAAATCGCGCAATGGTTTGTGCAGGATGAAGTCTTTTGTTGGGGTTTCCTTTAATGAACATGTATATCCGAGCTGAGACGCATGTAGTTTTTATTCCGATTCTGGCGTGACTCGACACATTGCGATGGGCTGGAAATGAGAAGTGGGTCGATGCTAACGTCGTGAACATTGCATCGTTGTTTTCATTCCATGTCGCCCATATAGAAGGTCTCTAGACGAAGGAGTTTGCACCGGTTGATTCAAAGTACCGCTCGGTTCAGCCGAGCGACGAAGTTCTGATCTTTACTGTAGGTGTTCGTGGCTCAGCATGCCTTTTGGTTCATCGTTTGCTCCCGTGCTTTGGTCAGGAATGGCCAGAAGGACATGTGAGGAGCCTCGGTATGTGGGGACGTTCGAGAAAATTAGTGGCAATGGAGAGTCCCGTGGGGAGGTGGAGCAATGTTGAAAACCTGGAGTTGAAGCGTCGACGGCGGCTCGCTAAGAACGGACAAGTCGCGTGGGCTTGCACTCCGCGGACGTTATCTCTTGGATCCACTCACTCTTCCAGGCCTATAAGATCCCATCATCACCATACATATACGCCAGGATTTTGTAAAAGTGTTTAGCCGTGGGCCTGGATCCTACGATGCCATCCGTCCGGATCAAAGATGGGGCTCACAGTAATTACATTCTTCCATCTGCTTCAATAATGTTGCATTCCTCAACAAAAGAGATGATTCGTGCACACTTGTCAAAATTGAGAAACTCATTTCATGGATCGCAGTCCGCGTATCTCAATATATTCAGAGTTTGTAGTATAGTGCAAAACACCAGGATACCTGGTTCGTACACAAATTTGATCGCTCATTGTCTCATATTCAACTACAAGAAAGTGGCAGAGCGCTCATTTCCTGACTTCAATCTTCTCAACGCCATCATCTACTTTTCCGCTCTGCTGACTTCCTGTGTCCACCATGACTGGACTTGCTCCTTGTCCGCGCCTCTCCGCAACGGAGCCCCAGCCTTCTGCCTCACCCCATCCTTCCTTCGCCACTCGCTTACTCCTTTTCACCACATCGCCTTCGTAGAACAACCAATCGATCTCTTCGAGCGTGAGATTTGTAGTTTCAGGGTAGCAAAAGTACTTTCGGTAAAACAGCATTAGCTGATGTGCGCGACGCGAGAACGATCAAAAGAGGGAGAAAGAGTGGATACGCCACCGGTAGAAGTACCCCAGAATCTGGATACCGGAACGGTGGAAGGGAGATAGTGGATATAGGCGTCTTGCGGTGTAGGCCGCGTCGGATAGTCGGACTGACGCGAGTGATCATGATGTTAGGAGATGACTTACGACGAGCGGCACAAAACAGAAGTTCAGCACCATGAAGATGAGATAGCCCTTCCACGCCAGACTGTTCAGAAGTGTTGGTGTAATCATGACCACAAAGAAATTCCAGATCCAGTTGGCCGATATTCCAACCGCTGTTCCCTTTGCGCGGACATGCAAAGGCAAGATCTCGGGGACATAAACCCACGGGATACAGTTTGCCGTCATGCCGAAGATAAGCATATACGTGAAAAAGAAGGTCTGTTTACCAGGGTATTGTGTCAGCTGAGAATACGAAGACGGTATAAACGTATGGTAAGGGGAGATACGAACCACACTGGCAGACGCGGTGGGCTTCTCGACGGCTGACCCGCGGAAGCTGAGCAGGATGGCGATCAACATCATCGATACACCAAGTCCGAAGGAACCCCACATCATTGGCTTCCGCCTACCAATCCGATCGAGGAAAAACGTGGGGTAGAGAGATCCGATGAAGAACATCAGATTGATGACGCCGCCGAGAAGCAAGGACAGGTTCCGGTCGAGGCCCACGTTGAGTTGTAGCACTGATGTGATGTAGTAGACAACCAGGTTGATCCCGCCCATTTGGTCTAGTCAACTGTCAGAAACCCACCAAGCCCGCAGGATGAACGCGAGTGGTGTCGCTTGGATGGATAAACGTACTCATGAACTGCATTCCATAAGCCAACAGTACTCGTCTTCCTGTTTGCACCTTGTCTTTCTTGAGTAGTTGACTCCACCTATACTCGCCATGCTCCTGTTCGACTTTCAACGCTTCCATAATCTCCCGATTCTCCTTTGCGATCTTAGGGCTTTCGGGTGTTCCGTCGTATACGTCGCATAGGATCGAAAGCGCCTCCTCGCTGCGGCCATGCTTGTACAGATATCTAGGTGACTCGGGTAGACCGAAGACCATGATGATGACGAGTATAGCGAATACCATTTGGCAGGAAATCGGAAGTCTCCACGCAATAGAGCCGGCCTAGTGATGCGGGTAGCAGCCACGTCAGTGTAATTCAAATGAGAATGCAAGTAAGTCATCGGGTCATGAATCGCCACCTAGTATCAGGTAAGCAACACTGAACTTTACGTACCGTGAAGCTCATGCCATAATCAAACCAGTATGCAATCTCAATACCGACTCCCACAAATAGCGGCTCCGAAGAAACTAAACGCCCACGCTTGAAAGCCTCGCAGAGTTCGGATTGGTACATTGGAACCGTCGAGGTCTCGATTCCTGTACCGATTCCGGTGATGAAGCGCGCGATCACTAGAATACCGTGAGATTTCACTCTCTATCAGAGGAGCAGCAGATCACCTACTCATATGCGGCACAGAGTAAGCCGTGGTCTGTAGAATCGCACCAACCTGCAATGACACGTCAACATCGCTGCATCCTTATCAACACAGACGTACGCAGAACTCACTATAATCCACACCATAGCTATCCACATGGCCAGTCTTCTCCCCGTTTTCTCGCAGAATGCAAAACTCAAAATACACCCCGTGAAGCATCCTAGATTGTAGATGGAAACGATGATCCCTTCCAATCCCGGAGAAGGGTGACCGAAAGTGTCCAGGAAATCCGCATTACCGACGATGCCGCTGAAGACGCCCTGGTCGTAACCGAAAAGTACAAAGGCGAGCTGGCAGGCAATCGTGATGGCTATACGTAGGCTTCGCCCTCGGCCGTACCAATTGAACTGCGGAGTTTTGAACATTTTATAGATTTGCGATACGTATTTGTAGGTGGAGTTTGCGCGAGTGCTTGGGTAATCGCGTTCCTGATCTTTTTCTTCTAGCTGAGGCGTTGTTCGACAGTGTCGCTGAGATGGCCTAGTCCAGGACCACGCCTGTTGTATGCAACTGATGCACCAAGTCGACGATGCAATCGTACACCAAGTGCAGCGAACAGATGAAGAGAATCGACACCCTGGTCGACAACCCGCAATTTCTTTGGGATACTAGGACTCAAGAAAGCCACACAAAAAAACAATGGGGCTAGAAGAAAGTCAGCAAAGCTCCCTTACCTACTTATATATAGCAAAGCCAGCCCTCCATTCGCGCACGGAAAATATCTATCGACGCGCCAGCGCCCGCATGTATGCAGGCCCAGAAACCGTGGAAAAGGTAAACAGGAACTACGTATGTAGCCGAGGTCATCTATCAAGTACATCACACCACACATAGCACACGCGCGATCCCGAAGTGCCAATGCCATGCATCCTTCGATACTAATTCTTGTTTACACCGCATCACTTATCATCTGGGCGACCGGGATTAAACAATTTCTTTTCCCCATAGAATGAATGTAAGGGAGGCGGTTTTTCGAGGGCGCTTGTAATTACCGTTTCAGTTCATTCCGCACGTTATGTACTGCCGATTCACGTAGTCGCTACCCCACAATAGCGAACGGTTTCAGACGGACATGAGCACTACGAGCGGTAATAATGTGAAAAACGGGGCTGTTGAACACTCCCGTGTGGAGAAGAGCGAGCGGGGAGGAGAAGTTGAAAGCTGGGGTAAACGTCCAAGACCTTCCAGAGAATGTGATTGGATGAAATAAGAGGTGACGTCACATGATGCGCCCGCCGGCTTACCATATGCGAGATAGCTGTCGATGAACATCCTTGGCTATCGGAAAAGGCTCTTGTTGGATAGGAATTTTCAAGTGGTTAGAAGAAAGGTTGGCGGTGAGGATGTGGAGCTTGGCTGGAGAGGGAACGTTGAGTCTTGTGCGAGGTGTTGATTGTGATTGGTGGAATCTGCCGAGAGAAGGATTCGAAGTTCGTTGGATTTGGGGAATAATAGGCACTGGAAGCTGAATGGGGTAATACAAGTACATGCGTATTTGACGATTAGACGTCTTGTCTTCTAGTCGCTTGAGACTGAAGACCTTGGGTTTAAAGGGGCTCGAGTTCCGATCGTACTTCATCGTGAACCTCAAAGCTGTTGGAAAGAAGCTTCATTCGCGGTTGCATATTGGTGCAATTCACGTAGATCAATCTGAAAATTCAGGATAGGGATCGCCCATCGTACGAATCTTATCACATTTCGGAACAGGTTTATGTTAAAACTCACTTGATACAACTGCGGTCAATCCCAGCTGAGTATGAATCACTGTTACGTCACGAGTCTGTTTTGATTGTTGCGCAGAGTACGGAGTGTTCAACCAAAGCAGATCAATTGTAGTTGGAACACTTGTTACAAGAATCCCGACAAATTGCTGGAAAGCTCTAGGTGGAAACCTGACTGGCAATGCTGCATGATGCTTGGCACGGATACCTTCATAAGTTTGATTGTCCTGTTAGAACATTACCGCACTATTTTTGCTGCAGTTGTAACGCTGAGATAGTCAATTACATCAAGCAAATGTCCACTCATTTGTCCAGCGTGCTATATTGCCTGCCATACCGTGTAAACTCGAGAAAAAAAAAGACGGGAGTCGCAAATACAATGCATATCCTGCAAATAACACATATTATCCAATATGTAGGCTGTCGCCAATGAAGTCTTAATAAGCGTAAGGCTTAGCATCGCTTGTCTTGATGTTACGAAGCTCCCCATCGGCCATTTTGTGTCACTATCTTCCACTGTCTTTCATCGGATATGAATCACAGTGGCCCTGCCCCCACAATCACTGCTTGTCAAGGTTTGATCACACAAGCGAAACTCGAAGAGCACAACGGAAAGCAAGCGCTCGCACCTGTAGCTTGTTGGATATATGAAAAGCCTATTGCTAGCAGATAACTGCCTGTATCACGTTAACATACTCTTCCCCAATTGGCTGTTCTAGTCTTCTCATATTTCAGGTGAAACGGGATGTGCAAGAAGCTTCCAGTGGTAATTCTACGGACAGTTTATGCTAATACGCCATTCTAACGAATTTACATGATGCTGCTGGTTTCCATATCATATGTCCACCTAGCGAAAATGATATAGGGATCAAATAGACACTTGAGTGCCTTAAAGATCAAAGAAGCGCGACAGGAATCAGGACTCTACTCTGTGTCAAGAACAAGTTCACTGATGACTATGAGTCTGGTTATATACACTACAGACATCAAATCAAGACTCATGATGACTGTTGCCGGGATCGAAGAGTCATTGAATACATTGCCCCAGGAAAATCAGTCATTGTAGCTGATTTTAAAGACCCTCACCCTCGCGCGACCTGTAGATGCCATATCAACCATAAGAGACCATACCCACGGCTTACTCTGAAGGAGATAAACTCAGCCATACGAGATACACCAAGTAGTGAAGGCTGTTTTATCTGAGCGAAGACCCGATGGTAATCTGGCTAACTACAAGATGCAGGCAGACCCACCAAATCGGAAGTGACGAACATAACAGAACCAAAAGAACCTAGGAGAGTGACTGCTTATGTTCACAAGGATTTGATATGAAGGCGTCTCCAAGATGTCATGTCTGTACCTCAAATCACACTCTTTCACAGGCGTGGTCCCGCAGATCCTGGATGAAGACCGTATGTTCGTTACTGCTTGTTCAACCACAGATCACAATGTGCGCTTGATTATCTGCAGGAGAGACAGCGAGCCACCGTTCGCCCATTGTATGACGCAGAGTATGAGCGTTATCGTCCACCGCAGGCGCATGATGTCAGACGTGTCAGTTCCAGAGACAAATCGCTAGATGAATATATAGAACCGCATATACAGCATCGCATCTAAACTATACTACGTATATGAACTAGCCGTATATCTTGAACGTACTCCTGTCTCTTGGGCACATCGTTCTCCTCAACTCATGGCGGGCGCCCGGTCTGTTCATATCAAACGCCACTTCACTTTCCTCCTCCTCCTCCTCCCCCGTTTGTTTGTCACCTCACTTTCCTCTCTTGTTTGCTTCCCACAAGCGCAATCCACTCAACGTAGATGAATCTGCCAAGACCTCATTTCACGTCGTACAACCAAGTCTATACACTATCAAACGCACAACTGGAGCCTGCGTCCGTGCCCTGCGAACGATCATATCCCTCGACGGCCTCCCTCCACCTTCTCCTCTGCTCTCCACCCCACCAAGAGAAATCGATCCAGCCATTGCAGACTTGCCACCAGCACACTTGCAGCCGCTCTCGACTTCAATTGACTACTCCTTATCACCGCTCAACAGCGACCACTCTTCTGTCCCTCTCTTTACAACCGCTGACCAGCGACCCCTCTTCTTTCCCTCTCTTTGAGTGACGCGCCTTGCGCCCATACACTCGTCCTTCACATCAGATCCTTCCTTGCTCCCAGCCTCTCGCGTCTGAACTGCAATGGCTCCCATCAATCCCAACGCCAGCAGGAGAAACGCGGGCCTAACGCACAGTGCGTTCCGCAAGAACGATCAGGTCCACACCAGCTCAGCCAGCATGAATGTGAGTTTGCTCCCCGAGTAGTCAGTCATGCGCAGTGCGCTAAGTCATATCCTAAAGGGCGGCGTTCAGAACACGCATAACTGCGTGCAATTCGGCGGGTCAGATCTCAAGTTGCCAAGGTCTTCTTTGGGTTCGACGTCTTCATCTGGCTCCGCTTCGGGCTCTGCTCCCTATGGCGCCGGCTTGGGTTACTCTTCCTCTGGATCCGGCCCGGGTTATGCTTCTTCTGGCCCTGCCGCTGGCTTCGCTCCCTCTGGTCCGACCACGGGTTTTACACTTTCGGCCATGAATCAAAGCACCCAAAACCAAATCGCACCAGCAGCTGCCCAAGTGAACAATACTCACTTCTACCAAAGCGGCTCCAACAATCTCGCGGGCGTGCAGGCTGCATCTTCGCAGGCCAACATCATCCCGAACCCGCCTTCAGCACAAGGCCAATCTGCCTTCCATGGAGCTGCTGGCACACCCTCCTCCTCCTCCACCGTACCTCAGACGGCATCTTCCTCCATTTCACCGGCATCTGCAAAGAAACCTGCGTTTTCACTGTCCAACTGTTTGCCTACCTTCGCCAACGAAGACGCTTTAGTCAAGCACCTCGCCAAACTGTGGAACGATGCCAAGGTTATTGTCTGCAGCTACGATGAGACCAAGCTCGAGCAGTTCTTCGAAGCTCAAGCTCAAGCCGAACACGGCTTCAAGATTGCCCTGAAGTTCAAGGTCAATATACTCCGGCAACTCATCAATAAGCAATTGGTGCCAGCGCTTGCACTCTTTCGCCAGTACCGCCTGAGCGAGGAGCAGCTCGTCAAGACCGGCTGGGACATCAATGCTCTGCGCTACTTTGGCAATCTCGTGTATTCTGCCGCGCAGTGGCACGAGGTCTTCGGCAAGATTGCTTTCGTCGTCCAGGACCTGTTGCGCATGCTGTGGCGGCCCAACAACATCCAGATGGACATCGACGACACATGTCCTGAGCATTGGTACCAGACCATCGATGCGAACATGCAGAGCATGCCTCGTCTCCTTGCTCAGTGGCGGCACAACTCCGGAAAGTTCGTTCCTACTGAGAACGCTTTCGCCAAGCGAGACTTGGAGATCACACTCAAGCACGCCGTCGACTGCTTGCAGGTTCTCCAAGAGTCCCATCCGGATGTCAACCCGGAAAAGCTTTGGAAGCGCGAGAAGCTGGTAGAGACAATTTTCGTCCTTGAACAAATTTCGCGCGACATGAACTTCGACTACATTGTCGACGATCTCCTGCAAACCGCCGAAAAGCTTCTCCAGGGTTACGATGCCACCGTTGACGTGGCCAAGCAGCGGCGTGAGCAATACCTCGCGGTGTTCAGGGAGCAAGGGCGTGAGTTCCATTTTCTCACGGAGGAGCTGGCCAAGCAGCAGGAGGTACGGCAAGAGGATCTCGAGCTGATCCACGATTGGTTTGCCCGGTTCGCAGAGACGTCGGACCGCCTCCAAGGTTCTCTTCACATCGACGAGGATGCTCAGGGGTACTGGAACGTGGGCAGGCTCGACGAGCTCCGCTCGTACATGCGGCAGATGGCACACCTCAGCATATCCGAGCATTACGAGCCTCTGATGAAGAACGTGGAGAAGGTCTGGAAGATCTTCAACTGAGTCAGAGGCGTGTACCACAAGCCTGCCGTCAGTATCCGCGAGCTTGTCCATGCCCTCAGCAACGCAACCATCTTGTTCGTATTGCCAATTGAGAAACCGCAATTAGGTACTCATTTACCGCCTATTGAGGCAGATTCATCATCTTCTCTGCGTCATCCAGCTGCACAATTCTGTTCAAGCATTGCAATCCTTCTCTACGCTCTTCTCACATTGAAATCCGTATCTCCAACAACACGACAAGCTACGAGATCGAAGCCACGCTCAAAAGCTACTGATACGAGCTGCGAGAACCTTTTCTCTTTTATCTTTTTAGCCTGACACACCCCAATGGCTTCATTTCATCTCAGACTCTACAACAATCGCGAGACGTCTAGATTCAATTCCCGACCTGCAAACTCACCATACCATATCGACACTACTATCCCGGAACGCACGAGGACAACGACAATCGCAAACTGCCAACGCAGCATCACGAGCCCCAAGACGTGATACAACTGCTCTATTCCCACCAGTCACTGCAGTCGTCTCGTGCGCCACGTCCACATTCAAGCCATGATATCCGACATCTTCAAACCCATGAGATCAAAGCCACGCTCTACAAGCCAATACCATGAGCGGCGATCACCCATCCCTCTTCTCCACCACCCACAACAGCTCCATTCCAAAGTTTCACTATTTTGTCATCTTCTCACTTCATCCACTTCCGCCTTCGCCTCCTCTGCCTCCCACTGCCATTGCCGTAAGCCAACTGCCAACTGCTACATGCCATCCGTCGCCAAATCGAATCGCACTCCCAGTTTTTTCGACTCGCAATTCCAGCAACATCGAATCGCACATTTAAGCATTCTCGAATCGCAATCTTGCAACCGCAAAAGCATCGAATTCGCCATTCTTGCATTTCAAAAGCATCAGAAACGCCATTATTCATCGAAACGCAATCTCCGCATGTTTCTACGATTATCCGCCATATCGACGCGTTTTCTCAGGATCAGAACCGCCATTTTCCGTGTCTACGAATATGACCGAGAACCGGATCATCCACACAAAGCATCGTGAGCGCAATTCAGCATTTTCCGCATCTTCCAGACAGCAGCATTCACAATTCTCCGCGTCTACCAATATGACCGAGAATGTGGATCACTCTCCGCACCGCACGCTTCTTCACACATCGTTCGAAAACAAAAGCATCAGCATCGCCAGCAGTGCACTTCCACGCATCGTTCAAAGGACCGCACTAGCATCATCAGCGCACATCTTCGCCTCGTTCGAAAACCGCATTATCAGCATCGCAACCTTACAAACCCGCGCGAACGCACTTTTCCGCAAAAACATCATCGACGCATTTCCACGCATTTCCACGCATCGCAACAACCAATAACTCGAATCGCAATATTCCACCGCGTTTCCGTTTTTCACACTTCTTTCTTTGGGATACAATGGCATTGGCAACGCCACAGCATCCTCCCTCAATGGCAACAACGAGATCGAGCGAGCAAGTGAAGTGGTCCTGGCAAGACCCTTCGACTCCTCCCATCTCCTCGTCTCCTCCAACAAAGGCATACATACTACGGCAACAAGATCGAGCGAGCAAGCGAGCGAACGGTTCTGGCAACACCTTTCGACCCATCAACTCTCCTCTCTCATCACGTACTACAAAGGCATGAGCAGACACTGCGGCGGCAATCGCAAATACTGTGGATGAATGGTCCTAACAAGACCTTCCACCTCTTGCTTCGCTCTTTCCTCCTACTTCTATTCCTCTCTCTCATGATCGACAACTCCACAAATGAGAGCAAGCGAGAAGACGAATAGACAAATGAGCGATCAAGTAATCATCACAATGAGAATGGACAGACAATCCATAAGATGACAACGAACACAACACGACAAGCACAAAACTTACTTCAAAAGACGAGCGATAGCTTCTCGCATGGAACTTTTACGTCAACTTCACACTGGGTGGTGTGGGAACAATACCTCATGGGATCGACATCTCATGGAGACACAAATCAAAGATCAAAAGGATATCAACTTGAAAACAACACGGCGACAACCCCTCCTCTAGGGAACAACTCAAACACGACAATAACGATATTGGTGTGCGCCTCTGAGCTCGAGATCACGGGTTTAGAATTTATCAACAGTCTTGCGAATACAATACGGGAATCACAGATGAAATAGAAGCTTTTTTTCGGTCGAGGGATTAATTCAGGCTACGAGAGATTGGAGGATATGAGTGTTCTTCTTGCACTGGTTTTCTTTCCCTGTGGACTTGTCGGAGACTCTTTTCTTTTCTTTTCTTTAATCTTGTTCTTTTTCCTGCTTTGCGTTTAACAATATGAGGGCCTCTCTCACACTGCAAATGCGGTTAAGGCTGTTTAGCGATTGCGACTCGGCCTTTGACTTTCGACTACGGTTGCGGGTTGGGCTGTCGCGATCTCTTCCAGTTTGAACTGCTCCTGCGGTTTGCTTGGCTCTGCAGCGATGTCTCTTCTATTTGCCCTTTTTCTTTGGAACTGCGGATGTGGTTCAGGGCTGTGAGATCTTGCTGTTGCTCTGCTTCTGATGTGTTTTCGATAAAAAGTGTATTTTCTCCTTTTCCTGTTTTTTTCTTCTGCGGCGATGGTTTTGGACTTGTTTATGCGTGCATGCAGCTGGATACTTTGTTTTTTGCTAATCACATGTTCGATTCAATTTCATTGTTGCTGAGGGCCCGAAACAAAACAAAAACGACAAAAACATTCGGAATATTAGAAAGACAAAAAACAATTGAATATCTTGAAAATCCTGATTGCGATTATAGTGTAGCAACGATCGTGATGCGGAAATGAAGAAGAAGCGTAATGATGGTAGTGGTGTGTGAATGATAAAGATTGACGATGCTGTGATGGTGTAGGGAAGATGCTGGAGAGTAAGACAGTGAGCGCATCACGACAGACGATAACAATATGGTGATGTAAGGTGGGTGACATTTTTACATATAATACAGTCTATTCTACGATACAACATATAAACTAGTCTTACAACTGCTTCTCAGCAGCTTTCCCCGTCTCCATGCGCGAGCGGATTCCCTGCGTAGGCACTCTAGGGGTGTGCGATTTCATGACCTGTCTCAAGATAGCCTGACGGGGCATCGATATCCTACTATACAGCACAGCGGCGCCGGTAAGTAGAGCTAGAGCACCGGCCTGATGCGCCGAAGCCAGCCAAGTGGGGACCATGTAGATAAGCGTGAAGAAACCGAGTGTGACCTGCATAGAGACGAGGTGTACGAGACCTAGCACGCCTTTGCTCGCGTCTTTCGGGATCTTGGAGCGAACGGCGCCGGAGAAGCGCGTGTATGAAAAAAGCGAAAGCACGGCTGTGAAGGTGGTGGTCGCGAGGATGCGGTGGTCGAGTTGGACAAGGGACGGGTTCTCGAGCATGTTGCGCCACCAGAGATCGGAGTGATCGGGGACGTGGCTGTAGAAGGGATCGAAAAGCTCTTTCTTGGGGGGTGTGAGACCCATGCCCATCCACGGGAACTCGTTGTAGATAAGACCGGCGTCGAGACCAGCGACAAGAGCGCCGGACATGGCGGTAGTGAAGATGAGGAGGGAGAGAGCGACAACGGAACCGCGGAAGATGCGGAGGGCAGGGTGGCGGAGAGCGTTGATCTTCTCAGCGGCTTTGGCGGGGTCGGCGAGCATGCGATGTTCCTTCAAGATGCCTAGGCCAGTGAGTAGCATGGAGCAGTAGACGGCAAAAGCAGCGCCCAGGTGAGCAGTAAGGCGATACTGGCTGACGCGGGGATGGCTGCCGGGGTTGAATAGGTCGTCTTTCAAGCCGCTCTTGACCATCCACCAGCCGATGAAACCTTGAAAAGCTATCATGGAACAAATGCCGCCGAGCTTCCATGCCATAGAGGGGGTGACTCGTTTACGGGCGATGAAGTAGACAGTAGGGACCAGGAAAGAGACACCGATGACTCTGCCCCAGAGGCGATGAGCCCATTCCATGAAGTAGATTTGCTTGAACTCGGGGAGTGTCATGGTGGAGTTGAGCATTTTGAATTCGGGCGAAGACCTGTACTTTTCGAATTCATCCTCCCAGGCTTGCTGGTTCGAAGGCCACAAAGATCCAGTAACGGGACGCCATTCGGTGATACTGAGGCTGTAGTAATGTGGTCAGCAAGACGAAGATGGCATGAGTCGGGGGCAAAGAGAGTTTACCCAGACTCGGTCAGGCGAGTGAGGCCGCCAAAGATGACAATTCCAAAGACACTTGCTGCACTGCCCAACAGCCAGTAGGCAACCGACTTGGAGCTTGTCTTGGGCCAGCTGCTAGCCCTGGCCCCACTCGATGCAGCCTCACCTGCTCCGCTATACACGGGCTCTGCAGTTGCAGCGGCAGCAGTACGCAGAGGTTGTGTAGATTTCCATCGCACGGCTTGTATCACAGATGGATGGCGAGCAATCGGCGATGATTGAGTCGAAGTTGGACGAACAGGGGAGGCGCGAAGCGGGGAGCGGGATTCGAGGTTGGCCGAGTAGGATCGCGCGCATGGCCGGCATACGAAAAGTCGGCGGGTGAGTCGGGGAGCGGCTGTGCGCAGCTGGGGGAAGGCCTGAAAGACAGAGGCCATATCTGCGGGTGCAATTGAGCGAGTGACGAGACTCTACGTGTACGGGAAGGGGAGCGTGCCCTATTATCAATAAAAGACCATCCCTGGCTCCTCCGCGAGCGATGGTGGTTCGATCGATGGATAGACGGGACACTTGGGCGGTGGCAGGGTTCGGCGACTAGTTAATCCGATGAGCCGTTGGCACTAGACAGAACGTGGCGAGCTAGCGCGCGCTTGTGTGGATTTTTCGCTGCTTAGATAAGACGGTTATCTCGACATTGGTCGGTCCACTGGCTCGTCATCGCCCCGACGATCTACTCCTCCATCAGGCGAAGATGAAGCTGCTCACCTGATGAGCTGGCTGCCACAGGAGCCGCCTCGTTGTCTCTCGCCCCTCCTCGTCACTGACCGACCTAGCAGCATTTTTTTCTTCTTCCTTAGTTTCTTCTGTTTCCCTTATTTCGCCCCGTGAGCCGCAAACTATATCGACAAACACACCCCCGCCCGTGCTGTCTGATCCCGCATTCTCGTGAAACCAAATACATCCACCGTCATCCATCACTGCTGGTTCCAGCGTGTCGCATCCTGCCGCCCCGCGTGCTTCGTCTCGGGCACCGCCGCTAACTGCCAGATCAACGCGACTGATTGAACTCTGTTACAGCCACGAGCCCTGGCACATGCGCCAGTCAGTCAGTCACCTCCATCTGCTACAGTCAATCTATACCTGTCCCGCCCCGCCGCACCCTCCTCTCATGCCCCTCCGCTCTCCCTTGCTCTCCCGCCGCCCATGATGTCTCGTTCGGCTTCTGCCGATGGCCACGAGAGCTCCAGTCGTGACACTCCGCTGTCTTCCATGCGCGATTCCACTTTCCAAGACGACGCGGCTGAGAATGCTTGGTCCCCCAATCCCGACGACCTCCCCCGTCAGACCGCCCGCCTATCGCTCTTCTCCCCCCATGTGCCAGCCTCACAATCCGACGATCCTGCCCAACATGAACCCGACGTGACTTCGCCCATCTCATCACGCCCACTGCAAACCCTCGCCGGCGTCGCCAGCATGAAGCGCAACTCACGCCTCAAAGTCTCCGGCGAGCAGTCCTCACCGTCCACCCATTTTGCTCGCCGTATACCCAGCGCTCAAAAGGACGCCGACGACCCTACCACGCCTCCCGATAGTGCCAAAGACAGAGAATCTCAAGGTCGCGAATACACTACCCTCACCACTCTGAGTCGTCTCTTCGCCGGCGATGCGACCATGATGAACACCCGAACACCATCCTACAACCAAGCAACTGGTCCTCTTTACGTGCGGGGTGGGTTTGATCTTGAGTGGATCAAGTAGAGTGCTTGCTGACAATGAACATAGCATCCGGCGAGTCTATACCCCTTCCCGACCATCTCTATACCCGCGGTCTACTTGAAGGTCGCCATTCCGATATCACCATCATCGCTTTCGGCCAGAGGTATAACCTCCACCGTCTGATCCTTGACCGCGCCCCGTTCTTCACCACTGCACTTTCCGAGCCCTGGCTGGAGAGCCACGCCAAAGAGGTCCCGCTGTACCCCGAAGACATCGATCCCAGCATCACACAGGCTTCGTTTGAGCTTGCCATCAAAAAGCTCTACGGCGTGGATATCTCCAAAGAGTGTGACGCTGAAGCAATTGGATTGTTTGCTACTGGTTGCTGGTTGGAGATGCAGGACCTTATCGATGCTTCCATCGACTCCATTCTCCGCCAAATGACGCCCTACCTGCTTGCGCCGTTGATCCGCTTGGTCACAGCCAACTACTACGGCCGCTCAGGAGACCGAATTCTTGAATCTGCCAAAGCCATGCTCAGCCGTAATGGCTGGGAAATGCCGCTTAAATACTGGGACGGTATGCCTGGCGACGTGGTCAGGGAAATGGTCGCATCGGATGGCTTCTATGTCGACAGCGAGTGGGACCGCTGGGTACTGGCAAAACGTCTCTTGGACCGCCGGTTGCGCCAAGCTGCGATCGAAGCTGGTCTGATACAGCGCGGTCAAAGACCCATCCCGAAAGCACCCAACTCGCAGTCTCTCATGGCTGTTCGCTTTGAAGGAACCCATCGCCAAAATGCCATGGCCATGCAACAGTCAGCTTCGGATGCACAGAGTGACTGGCTCGCCCTATACACAAATACTGACATTGAACGCATACTGGTTCTACTGGACGAGGGCATCCATTATATTCACATGGACTATGAGCAACTTGAATACATTAGAAATGCACGTGACATATTCGGCTTTCCCGTCATGCCAGACAAAGTCATATCGAATGCTCTATGGCAACAATTGGCGCTGCGCCAGAAAGTGCTGAACGCCGACGACTCATCGCAAGAGCTTGGTGTCTGCAAAAATCCACCAGAGCCTGCTACCATGAATGCGGGCACAAAGTCAGAGGGCTCGGTGTCAAAGGGCAAGCAGAAGGCGACGTCGTCCACACCCGAGAACGACGAGGAAGAGCATAGGCCGGGAGCATTGTTCGACGGCTGGAATGCTAACGGGAAGCCCCGAAAATTCTGGATTCCAAGCTCGGATTGTAACATTGTGCTAGGAAACGGTGCTGATCCTGTTATCACGACATCGAGCACCTTCCAACGCCACGCTGCCCGCCTCTCCGCCACCCTGCAGCCCGAAGATGCCCAGTGGGCCACCGATTTTGCATCTTCCCCGGGCACCATGGCCAATGCAAACACCCGAGCCGAGTCAGCCAGGCCCCTCTCCGCTGGTGGGAGCAACGCAGGCCAACCGAAACCCATTGCATATACCGAATTCCCGCCATTTCGCTTCTCGGCTGAATTCCCCAATCCCCGTTTTCTGAAAGAAAAGAAAAGGGTGTACTCCAAGACCGTAGCCTACGCTGGATCACTGTGGAATATATACATACAAAAAGTGCGATCGGCAAAGAATGTCCAGTTGGGTGTCTACCTCCACCGGGCCAAAGAGCGCGACACCGAAGACGCCGCTCAAGGTAATACCTTGAGCCAGCAAAATGCGGGCTCGGTGGACGAGCGGATAGGACAGCTCGAACGAGAGATGCACATGCGTAATGAACGCCGCGAACGTCGACGAAGTGGACGCATCCCAGTTGAGCAAACCGAAGACGATACAAGCGGAAGCGGAGGCGATCAAGACGGAACGCTTGTCACCAATAACCCGCGAGCCTCTTGGGCGTCGACTAACACATTGGTCAGCCGCAGGAGTGGCACCGTTCCGCGTATAAATACAGTCCGTGGCAGCAATGCTCCTTTCCAATTCCCCATCATGTCTCCCCCCAGCGGCGCCGAGGGCGACGGCCACACTGACTCACCTTTCTTCCCTCCTACGTTGGAAGCTGATTCCGATGACGAATTCGAGGAGTCGGACGCCGAAGATGAGCCAGCATCCGCCTACCCCAACCCATCCCTCTCTTCTCAACGAAAAATCCGCGCCGCTATTTCCACCCTGCCGTCCTACGTCGACGCTCGCCCCACCATCAAGACTTATTTCAAGATATACAGTCCTTCCAAGGGTGGCCGCATGTTGAGTATCTACGAGAGTGCGCCCGACCGTTTTAATTTCAGTCAAAGCTGGGGCTGGAAGAGCAGTACCTTGATGCTGGACGAAGGGGCTCTCACTGGCGGAATTGAAGACGGACCTGCCGAGGGATTGCCAGGAAAGAAGGGAGACGGAAAGTTGCGTTTCATGGTCGTTATTGGCAATTTGTAATAGTAAGGAAGGTCATGAAGGGGCTGGTTTATTCCTTTTGGCGCTTTTGGGATGGTACGGATGCATGGATGGTTTTCAATAACGTACTTGTTCACTGTAACCTATAGTCTTTTTCCTTGTTGTTCTGCATTTTAAGAGATATCCGGGTACAGCCCTCATCCGTTGGGGGGGAATTGGCGTAAATATCGCAGCGTTGTGACAATTCATCGAACAGATGATGCATGAGGATATCTTCCCGGGTTCAGCTGGTTGATTCTTGTTTGACTTTCTGACCCTGATCATCTTCACTACTGACGGATAAGGAAGGGATTTGCGATCGATCACGGTATAACGTGTAGTTTGAAGCTTGATATTGCGTATTTCGATCGCAAACTGTCCACTTTCTACGTCTTTGATTACCATAATACTGGCTGCTACCTCTCATAGCATATATAAACGCTGTCTCTACCCAGCAACCGATCCATAAAAAGCAGCCACGCTCTTGAAGTTATCCGTAATACGCTCCAGAGTCCTAGTTCTACACCCTTTCTCGACGGGTTTTCCATCAAACCGATTACGAATCCACTCCATGAAATCCGGCTGCGATATCAGCGCCGCCATGTCGTGATCCGCCTCAGGATACAAAAGCAGCTCAGCAGCGCTCTCCGGATTTGTCTCGCACGTCTGATTAAAGTCCCACTCCGTATTATTAGCATACGTCAAGATATCCGCCTTACCCTGAACAACCAGCATCGGCGCCGCAAGTGGATGCATTCCTGCTCCATTATACCTCTTCTGCCAATCCACAACCACAGGCAGCTTCAACCAATCCAAGCTTTTGAACAGCTCCTTTGCCGTCAGATTTCCGAATAACGCCCTCGCTACTCCAAGACACCCCGTATCCGCCAACGCGAGCCTCCCGAGCACAACATCAGTAACCCAATCCTCGATCTTGAACTGTCCCGGAAACAACCCCGCCAGACTCTGCAAAAAAAGCACCGACACCGCATCCCCAACAGCCCCTCCATCCGCGCGTCTCACAGACTCGGGAATCAAATCCAAAGGCCGCAACGCAGGCGCCTCCGCCACGGCCCCTAAGAACTTGCCGGCTTTCAATAACTCTTCTTGTCCAGGCATGGCGAGTCGTTCGTTCGTCCGCCACGCTGTCATGCCCCCCTCGCTGTGCCCCACGACAACATACTCCTCGGACAACAAACTCCCAAGTACCGCTCTCGCAGCGACCAAACTGTACGCTGCATCCGCGGCGTGCAGGTAGCCGGCTTCATACATGAACCCCTGCGGGATATCTGACCCTTGGCCCGCGTAGTCTGGCACAATGACCGCGTAGCCTTGCTGCGCGAGCGCGTAGGGCCCTTGCCATTCGTACCATAAGTTGCGGTTATTGAGGGGCGTGCACTCGCGGAGGCGGCCAGCGGTGCCGTGGGTCCATACTACCGTTTTCAAGGTCTTGTTTGCCGAGTCGGGGGATTGGGAGTGGTACGGTAAGAGAATAAACGCTGTAGCTGGGATAGGTTTCCTGTCTATATCTTCTGTTGTGTAGAGTAGACGGGACAGCGTTAGACCTGGTGGGATGGCGTATTGGGTGTTTACTATCGAGCGGGGGAGAGACTCGTAGCGGAGCAGGGTTCCTGGGGGTAGGGAGGTCGTGTTTGACGGGGTGCTGTAGAACGGGTCGTCGGTTGTGAGGTTTTGAGTTACCCAGTTACTTGTGTCTGAGGCATGGGCGGCTTTGTAGGCGGTTTGACAGAGGGAGTCGCAGGGTTCTTGGGCGGAGATTAGGGGGAGCTGAAGGAGAAGGGTGGGGAAGACTGAGAGTTTCATTATGGGCGTAGGTTGGGGAGGAAGTGACAAGCAAATGGTGTTGTGGGTTGGCAGTGGTGTGACAGGTACATTTTTACCTTTTATAGTTGGATATATACGGTCTTCTGTATGCCATGACTCATGGTGTACATAAAACCTACACATGTCGTTGAACGATTCTCTTCGGCAGTTCGTCACTCCATCTGCCGTACCATTCCCTCCCTTCGAGAACGTGATCAAAAGCCCTGACTACACCATCACAGTCGATCAACGAACCTCATACCCCGGACCCCAATGCCACTAAAACTAGTCCCGGTTGAACCCCCACGCACACTAAACAAACCCGCACCTGCATGACATCTAAGCCAGCCATATTCAGCAACTCCAGCCCACAAGATATTTCCTATTGGTCTCGCTTCTTCTGCATATGTCCCAAGGTATAGAAACGCTCCGATGCTAAGTGGATATTCTCGGAGTCCTTGCGATACAACCCCGAACCCCGCATTCGTAGATGCTGATCATCTAACTGCTTCAGTACTTGCTTCTGATGTCTTCCATTTGCCGAGATCGTGTAGAGCACCGCCATTACATACTCCCTTGGCATGGTTATGTCATTAGTGTAAGATCAGTGAGGCACAATCGGGCCTGAATGATGTCGGGGTATGCGATGAGCAAAGGAAGTGTAAGGGATGGGCGCTTCCTGGATTCTGCTGTTTTAGATGTGCCGATTTCAAGTTCCGGTGGTTGATGGTGATAGTCGTTTGATTCGGACCGTTTAATTATGTCTTCTTAGACGGGCTAAGCCGTGACTACGCGCTGTTGCTGCGCTTTTGTTCAACACTGGTAGTTTGTTGCTAATTTGCTGATGATAGAGCAGCATCGTTCTGTTTGGAATCATTTGCATAAATGTTTTGCGCTGATTTGAACTGAAAGCAGCACTTGTAGAATGATCAACACTATAGCACGGGAGGCCGATCGTATATTTATGATAGTCTGCGCTCCTACTCCTGCCACGTTCGGCTACTGCCACACATTCCTCGCATGTTCGCCTGTGGCACAGTCCTTCTAGCTGACCCAGCACCTCACACAGCTGTGTCCACCCTTATCGTCTCGTATGCCTCGCCAGAAGTCGTCCACCGGTATCCCAGAGAGCCCAAACCTCTCCGATGCCGTGCACTGCATCATCTGGTGCCTCTGACACTCGCGTGATCCCCGGGGAGAAACATACATGTACATATGTATGTACATATGTTTAGGTGCTCTGATATGTAGGCGCTGGATCAGCTTACTTGGGTACCCCGCTCTCGCGTACATACCTAGGTAGGTAAGCAAGCCTAACCCCAGCATTATCCTTATACATACGTAGGACCCACTCAAATCTACTCCATAAGAACCTCCACATACCGGTTATGAATTCTGCTTGGCCAGCATTTCAATGATGTGTTGGCCAGTACTCATCAGCATTTTGACGCCAGTGATTGCGTGGGTCATCCTCAGGATCATTATCGTATTTTCATCTCCGCTCCGTGCGATACCAAACGCCCACTTCACAACGCCTGTATCGCGAATTTGGATCCTTTGGACGAGATTTACGGGCAAGGAATTTTCCAAATGCCTTGAATTGCACAACCGTCTTGGTCCCGTGATCCGAATTGGACCGCGTGAGATCAGTGTCAACTGTATTGAAGGTGGAGTCCGAACCGTATATGGCGGCAACTGGGAGAAGTCAAGCATGTATGATAACTTCACACAATTTGGGTGAGTTTGCACACAAGCCTACGGTGTCAACGTTGACACATCAGTTTCTCGCCGCTCTTCGCAATGCGTGACACGCATGAACATTTGGAGAGGAAGCGTCTTTTTACTTCCGTCTATTCGAAGTCAACCATTAGCAGGTCAAGTGAGATATCCAAGGCCGTGAGCTCCATTTGTCACCAGAGGCTGGTACGCAGACTCCAAAAACAGGTCGACGAAGGCAAAAGTGTGGATGTATACTCCTTAACCAAACAGTGCAGCATGGACATCATCACTGCTTACATCTACGGCGAGAAGAACGGAACGAATTGGGTCGTTAATCCAAATCAGGCTGCTCCACATCTATCAGCTTTTCAACGTGCGGCCGACCCATGGTCGTTTTCCGTTTCTACGGAGGTGCCGAAACTGGTTGCGATTTTAAGTTGGTTTGGTATTCAGTTGATACCGCCTACTGTAGACACGGCTTTTGCCCACATTCAGTCTTTTGTCCTGGGTATTACGACTGGAGCAATCGAATCATGTTGTTCGAGCGTCACTAAAGGCAACGATACTGATGAAGTCACGAAGCAAGTATGGCAAAAGTTAGAGGATATTCCCGAAGCAGAAAGACTCAAAATGATTGCATCTGATATGGTAGATCAGCTCCACGCCGGCCATTTAGCCACTGGCGTCGTGTTGACATATCTCATGTTGAAGCTTTCACGGAATCTAGACATTCAGGAGAGACTCAGGATTGATTTGACCACTTCGGCTGACCCTCAGGCGTCTGAGCTTTTGGATGCCGTCATCATGGAAACGATCCGGATGTATCCTGCTGGATTTGGCCCCTTTCCTCGCGTGGCACCAGCAAACGCCACAGTCGCAGGTTTCGCGATTCCGAAGAACACAATAGTCACTGCGTCTCCCTACATTCTCGGCCGCAACTCCGAAATATTCCCTCAGCCCGACAAGTGGTATCCGGAGAGATGGCTGCAAGCTGGGCCAGACCAAACGCGCATCATGAGACAATGGACTTGGATGTTTATGAGCGGACAGCGGATTTGTATCGGGCAACATTTGGCTCTGCTCGGTAAGTGATTCAATTCGCAAGTCTATGTGTATCTTGACCGGCGCTATTACTAACCTCCGTAGTGATGAAATCGGTGACGGTGGCGATTTACTCTCATTTCAAAACATCTATCATCGGGAAGCCTAACTTGAAGCAACTTGAGTCATTCTTCTCGATACCAGCGGAGGACTCACTGTATCTGGGTTTTAACGCAGTCTCTGGCTTGGAAACTATAAAATGAAGACTAATAAGGGTGATTTTACTCGGAATAATTATTACTACACTAAAAATCCATTGAAATCAGTTTTCTTTTCCAGACTATCAAAAATCCTCGAAGACATCTCAAACTCCACGAGCTAGAACGGAATAATCCCAGTAGTCAAAGAAATCTCGACGGTCCAGTACTAGAGGCAGAAATTTCGATTCCCATTCTTGGCCAATCCGCGAAGTCCACCAAGCTTTGCAATACTCCCAATAATCCGGATACCATCCCGAGTGATGCCAATTGATGATTGCAATTATCTGAGGGTTGTAACAATAGGACACAATGATATTGCTGGGGTGTAAATCAGCGTGTGTAAGCACAATGGGAACATTGTCGGGGAGAAAGGAGCGGTGTGGGTGTGGTGATGCATCTTGAACATCCTGGGTTGGACCAAACGCGGTCGTGAACCAGTCGTGGAAGATAGAGACGCCCTCGAATGGCCCTGCAGTTGGAGAGTTGCTATCTGTAAAAATGATGTCTAAAAGCGGTTGCTTGCCAACATGACCTGGTCGGGGAATTAAACAAACGCTGTATAAGAACCAGATAGTAGACTAGAGCTATTGGGATTTAAGATTAACCAGACAACGTTGAACTTACCAATGAATGAAGAGTCCTGCTTAGCAGCACGCAATGCACAGATCATGTGATGTAACTGTTGACAAACGGACGACTTTTCTTCTGCCACAAGTGTGTTCAACAAACAGTTCACGCGTGTAGTTCGCGAGATTTGACCCTGGTGCAATTAATTCTTCTGCTATGAACGCCTCTCTTTATCCAATAGTACTTAAAATTATTATAAGAAAAAAAAAGGAACTCACAAAACACGCTGGACTTCTTCTAATACTAAGTACGGGTTTCTACCTTACACATATATTTATCTACCTTATAAGAATTCTGGGATCTAAAAAAATGCCAAAAACAGAAATCCTACAGTCCTCTTCAGAAGATCTGAAGGTAAACTGAAAACCTCTTTGGGTTTTTTTAGAATTTTTTTGCCCATCGAGCAAGACAGAGCTAGAGTTTGACCAGACTCGAACTCCCGCACTGAGGGCCATTTTTTCAGTGCAGTTGAACGCGATGCCTTCTCTGCCATCTTGCTTGATGTTTAATATTTACTGATTAACTACTTATATAGTGATCCTTAATTGGGGTCCTCTATTGGGTGGTGTTAAGCAGATTGTCCTTTGCTGTGGATTTGATTGAAGCTTTGAGGTGACCCTACGTGGCTGCCTGAGGGCACGGACTTTGTTTTGGATGAGGTTGACAAACATACGTGGCGGCCAAGAAGAAAGGGAGCTACGTCATGGGCGTATGTCTCGTCAAAGATAGACGGGTTAAAGGTAGACTCCAGTCGCCCAGTCCCTCGCTTTAGAGCTTACATCAGGCAGTAAGCGACTCAGAAAGGCTATTGGACTAGATATATATGATCACATAGTTTTCAGTGATACTTCTTCAGGTATTTCCCTCAGTTGCACATGGCTGTAGTGGTTGGGTGGTGCATTGCGGCCATTCAGATACGTAAATGCCGTATCGATGAGATGCAATCACACACATACCATCGGACGGTCTGCGGGTTCATATGTTGAACTGTTGAGGTCCTCAGACCCAATCCGCACTCAGCTATTCAGAAGGAATCTGAAGGATGACTCATCAGTTTCGTGATAACCACGGAACATGTGTCCTGCCTAGAGCTCAAAGGCAGATTTATCGTGTGATTGTTCAATACCCAGTGTTCGTGCCGCATGCAATATGCGATGATCAAATTATATACTTAGAAAGATTGGAGTAGAAAGATACCGGTGCATGTCTCTTGATATAAGTTCACATGTAAGTCAACGTTGCCAACTTGCCAGCTTGGATTGTGCTGGGGCTGATTTACCACGATGTTCCCATATCATGAAGCCAGACTGAAGAATTGAGATGCATCTTGATCACGCGAGTTTGGTTGCAAAGAATTATAAAAAATACTTATACATTCTATTCTAGTGTACACGAGTAATCTTGACGAACTTGTTTCGGGGCACAATGCCCCTCTCCTCCTCGACATTTCATCCTCCCTCTCCTCGTGCCCTCCCCCTTACCTCGCCACCCGACGACCACCAACCCTTCATCCCCTCGCGATCAGTGACGACCTGAATCACGGCGGGGGAATCGTGGGTTGGCGGCCGTGTACCGCGCACCCCCCGACGGCGCCTTGACAGTCAGCGTGCCCTCCTCGGAGGGACGAGCACGCTTTGGCGGTGACTGTTGGGCCGCCGGGTCTGTTGGTGCTTTGAGCTTGGTAGCGCGGGTGGGAGAGAGGGAGGGCAACACCCCCTCCTTCTTCTCTTCCTTCTTCTCCGCGACGATGGCGGCAGCGGAGGACTCCTCATGACGAGCCCGCTTGGCTTGTCTAGGCTCCTCTGGAGCCTCCTCCGCCGCCGCCATCGCCGCCTTCCTCTTCTTCCCCTTCTTCTACTGGCCCTTTCCCTTTGCCGGCCACACCTCCCACTCCTTCATGCCCGCCGAGAAGGCTTCATTGGCTCGGGGAGCTTTGGCGTCTCCCCAAGTGATGTCGCCGTTCTTGGCGACCGGCGGGCACTCTGGAGGGTCGGTGAGGCCGACCACCGAGATCTTAGACACGACCTCGGCTTCGAACGCAAGGTTCGGGAACAGCATTGGCAGGTCGACATCGCCGTCGTAGCTGACGGTTCCATCCCTGTGAACTTTCACCGCGGGGGAGACGGCTGATGAGTGGCTGATCAGCCGCTCCCCCTTGACGGACACAACCACCCCCTGCGCCGTTGCCGCCTTCTGGAGGTTGCCAGCCTGGATGTTGGCCTTGGCTTTGGCGCGGGCGAGGGAGGTGTTTGCTTCGGTGAAGCCCACGGTCTGGAAGCTTGATGAAGTCGACCTGCCGGAAGCAGGGGAAGAAGAGGGCACAAGATATGCCTGGCCGTAGCGGAAGTGGCCTGGGTCGTTTTGGTAGTTCTCGCGGGTGTAGCGGCCACGTCCGACGGCACCAATCTCGGTGTTCAGTAAAACTTCTGGGTCTCGTCCGTAGCAGCGCTTGAATGTGGATGCGTTGCCGATGGGTAGAGTCTGCATGCCGGTGTCTTGGTAGATGACGAACTCAGGCTGCGGTGCAGGCTTTGGCTCTGGAGATGCACTAGGCTGGGGGTCTAGCGTAGCTTCAACGGCAGTTCCAGTCTTCGCGAGTGTGGAGGCAGGTGCAGTGGACTGGAGTACTTCAGGCGAAGACGATGTAGTGTCAGGCTCTGTAGTCTTTATAGTAGATGTGATTTCGACAGGATCCTTTGACTCTTGGGTTTCGGAAATATCGGATGTGGTTTTGTTGTCGACGGCCTCTGCAATCTCTGGCGTGGATTTGATGATGGAAGGCTCTTTTATCTCTTCGTTCTCACCAACATCTGATGTGGTAGCTTGTTCTGTGGCGGCCGACGTCTCAACTGTATCTTCGTGAGAGGTATTGTTGTTTGCGGATTTCTCTAGCTCGAGCCGGGGGTTCTTCGCACGATGCTCACCAGCAAGCTCATCGTCATCGTCACCGCGAGGGCGCTTTTGGCCGGGGGGAGTGGAAGGTGGCTCCTGGGCTGCGCTGTGCTCTAGCTCAAGTCGGGGGTTCTTCGCGCGATGCTCACCAGCAAGCTCATCGTCATCGTCACCGCGAGGGCGCTTTTGGCCGGGGGGAGTGGAAGGTGGCTCCTGGGCTGCGCCGTGCTCTGGAGCCTCGGGGGTCTCGGCACGTGGTTGTTCCATTTCATTGAGTACTTCTTGAGCATCATGAATGGTGGGTGTATGAGGGGCCTCTTGGGCTTCGGAATGAGGAGTAAGAACTGCCTCTTGGGCTTCGTGAATTGGCGAAGGAGCCGCGGACCTCTCGTATGGAAGCGGAGTTGACGAAGGGATATCGGCCTCGTCCACTTTTGTCGGCTGCTCTACGGTAGCGGAAATATCTTGATTTAGAGTTTCCGAGGGAATGACAGACTCTTCAGTGGTGGAGATGGGGGATTTCTCTTTGATAGGAGTTGGTGGAGTGGACTCAGACTCTAGCATGGCGTGCAGGTTCTTGAGTGCAGGCAATGGATTTGGCAAGGTGGAAAGCGACTTGCGTGCATTGGGCGCCTTCATGACGCGAGCAGTTGCTATGATCCTCTTGGCTTCAACCTTTCGAGCGTACTCTTTCCTCTGATGTGCAAGTATATGATCTAGGTCTGCGTTTCGGCGAGCAGCCTTTTCGTTGATCAACTTTGCTACCACCGTGCGATGCGCCTGTAGGGCATGGACTTTTGCTATTGCGGGGACGATAAAAGGGACTTTCTCGTTTTTGGTATCATCGGACGGGGAGGATGTTTCGTGACTGGACCGGGCGACCGCGACATTGTCGTCGGACTGGGAGATGATTTGATCGGGGGATGCGGCCACAACATTGTCGTCGGGCTGAGAGGAAGTGTCGTGACTGGATAGAGCGGCTGCGACATTATTGTCGTCGGGTGGAGAGGATGTGCCGTGTGTGGAATGAGCGACTGCGACATTGTCGTCGAGCTGAGAGGAAGTGTCGCGACTGGACTGGGCGGCTGCGACATTATTGTCGTCGGACGTGGAAATGGAATGATCGGAGGAGGCCGTCTTGACTTTGTCATCAGGCTTGTATGAGGGGATTTGATCAGAAGAGGCGGTCTTGATATCTTCATCTGGCTTCTTTGAGCAGAGTTGATCGGAGGCACCATTGTTGGGATTGGTAGAAGAGCTATGATCGCAAGAAACAGTATCGGCGTCATGCTTGGTAGAAGTGATGTGATCGGAGGAGATAGACTTGAAATTGTTGTCGTCATTGTCTTTGGACTCAGAAGGAAGGTTGTAGTGGGTGGATGCGGTGTTAATGTTGTCGCCGGACTGGAAAGAAAGATCGTGGCTAGAGGATGTCGCCTCGACGTGGTCGTCGGACTTTGTAGAAGAGTCGTGGGTGGGGGATGGAGTTTTGTCGTTGTCTTTAGACTTGATAAAAGGCTCATGGGGAGTAGAATCGGTCTTGACATCGCCGTTGAGCTTGGTAGAAGGGTCCTGCTTAGACACATCGGAGGAGGCGATCTTGATGTCAGCGTCGCGCTTGATGGCAGGTACCGGCTTGGCATTGGACTTCTTGACATTGACATTGAGGCTGATAAAGTCTTCAGAGTCGGAGAGGGCGGCATCGTTGTTGTCTTGATTGTCATTTGGCTCGGAGGATGCGTCTGAATCGGAGTCCGTCTCGTCGTAAGGCACGCCGCTGCCCAAGACATATTTGAGGTCATACTCGGCCACGGCCGGCTCGTCAATCTCAAGCTCGGCGAACTCTTCATATTCTTCATAGGCATCGGCCGTGAAGATGTCGTCCATGACAGGCGCTTCAGTGCTCAAGTGGAGAGGGGTATAGTGGGTGACTTTGACGGGCGGCATGACAAACGGCTCAGTGACAGCTTTCGCGATCGACGCGACCGTCTTGGAGAGGTTGCCAAACATGTTGGAGGAGGGTAGTAGAGTTGAAGTGCAATGAGAAAGTTGGTGATTTGCTAGAATCAAGTGGAAATTGAGGTTGTGAGGGAGCTTTGAAAGTGGTGGTTGTGTCAAAGGCAGGTTGTGGTGGGGTGAGACAGAGGGCGGGCGGGTGCAAACAAGTAGACAGACAGACAGTTCTTGGCGCGGATTGAAAAAAAAAAGGTGAAGTCGTTGAGAGGAAAGTGAGGTGAATCACGTTTGACCAGTACGTGAAGGTGAATGCGCGTCAAGAATTTGCCAAGCCTGGCCATCACTGCGGATCTAGGTTGCCTGTTTCTTCGCACATTTGAGACAGATCTGCATTTTGATGTCACTCTTAATTGAGACTATATGCAAGCTATTCAGACATATCGTGCATTGTGGAGAAGGAGACCAATGACGTAGTGACGATATAGCTCCAGAAGATTCTACTTAGCACACAAAAAGTGCGCACAGGAAACCCACACTACGTGCAAGCATGGTTTTGGGTCAAATGTAACACCGTAAAAAATCGACCATGGTCTCTTTGTCTTGTCTCTGCACTGGCAACGTTTAAGCTACCGAGCTCATGGCAGCGTGATGCGCATTGATACGTCTACATGTACATGCCAAATCGTTTGAGGGTACTCGTTGCAGACCCAGCAGACAATCAACATCTCTGACACTTCATAAGAAAGAAATTTCATAGAGAATTTCCGGGATTCTATAGCTTACATTCTACCTGATACTGAAGGACTACCATGCTCCGAATAACCGCTTCGAGGGCAAAGTGGCTGCACTACAAGGTATACTTGCGTGCCAACCCGACACTATTTGAGACAATTGATCCAAACGTACAATTTGTCTTCTTGACTCTTGAGGTATTTTAGTTTACTCTGAAATATCTATGTGTTGACTTTTGATAGCATAAGTTGTGCACTATCCGTTGGCGGCGATTGCGTTAAGTCCGCTGTCACGTGGTCAGCTGCGACTCTACCTACATAGGTAGTGTGAACATTACCTACCTACTTAAGTAGGTAGGTAATGTTGGATACATCCACGCATGACATGAGGGATAACCTTAGATCTGGTCTAAACGCCCTTTATTTCTCGTATAACTACTGCATGCCATCTAGAACTGTTCCCCCCACACATTTTGCAGCTCAAGTCATATCAATTGATGTTTTCATATATTATATAGGTACCTAGGTATACATTAATGGTAAGGTGGCAGCCGTCCTAGCAAAGTGTTCGATATCGCGTCTATACCGCACAAGTCAGATCAATTGATATCTTGATATATGTAAAAAGGGTGCGTGGGTATGTGTCTACATATAACATTCTTTTAGACTGGCAATTCATTTCGATGTCGAAACAAGATTCCTATGTCGTGAAACAGCCTATCAGCGTTGGTGCTTGGGCTGACTCGCGCCGCACGCGCCTGAAAGCTGCGCCGATACCGCTATGCCAACCAACACGATCGACATATAATAACTCAGGAGCCCCCGATACTATACAACTTCATAGACCACTTCGAAGCGGGAGAATATTGATTTTGATGCACGTAAAGGGGGTGCAGCATTCGAGACACATTCAATCACTCGGTGGAACGAGAGGACGTGGCATCAGAGGCTGAAAGGGGGCTCGGCGCTACCTTTGCGTGGTATGTTTGTCAGGGCACAGAATCAGTGGACCCGTCGTCGACCACTCAACTTGCGGTACATTTGGTGGAGCATCAGCGGGGGACGGCACAGCCTGCGTGAGTTACTGGTCTGTCCCATGGGGAACATGGTACAACATTGCTCATGCCGCACAGCAGAGTTCGGTACGAGTCGATGATTAGCAGGACCCAACAGCGCACCTGGTCCATTGATCGCGGTGCCTGCGCCATATCCAGCTGAAAACCACTGACACTTAAAAGACTCATTCCAAGTGGACGTGCTCAACGGGGCGTAAAAACACTGCAACACCAATTTCCGCGACACCTCTTTGCCTCCAACATGGTTGACACTTCTAAGATTTTTGACAAGTGGCACACGTTCGCGCCTGCGAGCTCTTGACAAGAATCCAAAGCCACTGATAAATAGCCACGAATTGTGTCGCCATGGTGGTTGGTTACTCTGCGGATGTTCGACGAGTGGAACATACCAACGAAAAAATGCTGCACGGACCGTTCAGGCGTTTAGCCTGTCCAGTCTGGGGAGGATGCTGCTGAGAGACCAATCAAAATGCCTAAAGGTCGACTTGGTCCAAAGTTAGCGTTCACGACATCAGGGATGTTGACTTAGCCTACACTCGAAATCCAACACTATGCTATAGCCGATCAAGCACCTGTACTACCCAAACCAGGCATACCCATGAGCCACAGGCCCACAACTATGTTATTTCTAGAACGAAGAAACACGGGCTTAGACCTGACAGGGTTTGCTACTGGAACGCACAACCTATGGCATGCTTACAAAGGGAGGGGCGGCATTGCCCTGACTTCTGATAATATCTGAGCGATGCCGCTCGTGCGCGGGTTGACTGAAAGAGCTTATCCCTGGATCTTCGCTCGTTTCTACTCCTTCTTTGACTTCCCACGCACTCTGCACTCGACGAAGTCCAACTGCCTCAGTGTGATCGGCGAACATGGCACAACCTCAGCCAACTGGATCGGATCAGCACTTGGAAGCTCAGAGTCCGCAAGTCGATGGATCTGGTCGCTATGCCGAAGCCGTCAGCCCTTCTGTCAGCCCCGTGACAAGTCCAATTCCCAGGCACACGTCTCCTATGTCTGAGATGATGGTGAACACACCACCAATTCCTGTCGAGACCACACACAACGGGTTCCCGTGAGTGCTTCCAGCTGCGTTTCTGCTGGATCACGAGCTTATAATATAACAGGGCATCGCAGCAACAAAAGTACGCATACAATTCACAAGACTATTACTCCGCGCCAGAAGTAGTAGAGCAACTTCCACCTCAATATCCTGGATCGCCATTCCCACAAGACAAGAAAGTTATATCCCCCGATGTCCATCCGTCACAATTCTACGAGAGAGGGTTGTCGAGCGAGACCACCCCGGCAGCACCAGCCGCAGCCGAGCCCAAGATAATGGGTATGAGGAAGAAGATATTCTACATTGTGTTGATAGCAGTGATTGCAATCATCATCTTTGCTGTGGCTTTGGGTGCGGGCCTGGGCCTCGGTCTGAAGAAGAAGGAGAACACGCAAGAGACAGAAACCAAGACCATCGACCAACATCCATTCTGCAAGGATAACCCCCAATATTGCGTAGGAGGTTACCTCAATGCTGAGTACTACTCAAAGAGAGGAGCGTGTACGTATACAAAAGAGCGAAATGAAGCCGACGGCATAGTGTTTGAGGCTGTTTGATGTTCTTTGACCTTACCGAGCTTTACTGACATGAAACCATCGAATTTAGTCAACGGCAGCGGCATAGCCTTGGCGGGCGAATCTTGGAACGCCGGTCAACGAAGGATATTCACGCTTTACTTCCAACACCATTCTGGCGAAATCCGACACATGCAATACGGCACCGATCAGCTATGGGTTGGCGGTAATAGTTCCAATGTGGTAGCTACTGACGCAAAAAATGGAACTGCCATCTCCGCTGTGGCATACACTCTCAATCAGACAGGATGGGTTAGTGCATCGGTCCGATAACGGGAAACTTGTGCTGATGTCTTGTAGTTTCACATCTTCTATATTGGCAAAGACGGAAATATGAAGCAGATGTCGCAAAGCAACCAGACTAACAAGTGGGAAGAGGGAGCGCTCAACTCTCAGAATCTCAAAGCCTATGACTCCCCGAAGGTCGGTCTACAAGCGTGCTGGAAAGGCAACTTTTATGGGGATGCAGACTACGGTAAAATCATGCCCGGGGCCAGCGCCAATGCTACCAAGTCCCAATCCGCTTCGGCTATAAATCTTTGGTACGCATCAAGCGAGAACACTTTCGAGCAATACTCGTGGATCAACGGACAGGACAAATGGACCAAGCTCAGCCCATGGCAAGGCAAGAATGGACACGCCGGTGTGGGATGCTATAGTTGGGACGAATGGTCGACGAGCACGTACACAATGATGGTCAATCAGCAGAACGACCTTGAAATTTGGTGGCGCGATACCAACTCAACTGCCCCATCCAGCGATCAGCATCCTCTCAACGCATGGACAAACTCCAGCGGAGCTGCCATCAACAGCGTATCACCTATGGCCAGTATGGGATACACCACCTATTTCTATACGCAGATGGCAGATCTCGACATTAAAGGATTTGAAATCAAATACGACAGTGAGAAAACATACATTCAAGACAACGAGACCTTTACTTTGACGGACCCCGCTGGGCCGGTGAAGGGACTCGCTGGAACGCACTTGACCGCTACGGCGTACACTGAGTATAAGGACGAGGAGAAGACAGAAGAGGAATGGAACTCTTTATACGTGTTCTACCAGACAGTGTAAGTCTTGGCCTGATCGAAGCAAATGTCCGATGCTAATCACCACACAGAGGCGACGACATCACAGCATTTCAGCGCGGTATCAAGAAAGGACAATGGACGAGCGCCAAACTACAGATTCCCCAGGACTAAAACCCCCGATTGCACACCAAACCAGGGTGAAAAAAAAACAGCGACAACCCATCTATAATCTTGTATGTGAATCAGCATGCCCCCATTGTCGACTCGACGTTATTAGTCAAATATCCGCGAAAATGTCCACTCCCGCGAATCCCGTCGGACACCACATTTTAACCTCGCGACGTTTTTTTTTTTTTTTTTTTCCATTCTGTTGTTGCTGCCAACGCCCACTTCGACTGCATCCACCACGCTCGCTTCACCTTCTACATTTCAAGCGCTTCTTTTTCCGTAATATACTATTGATCGATTTATTCATTTTTGCTATTCGCGCGCGCAACGCTGTTTACGCAGAAAACAGGAAGATACCCTCACTCAGAAACACCCATTACTTTCAAATGTATATATCTATAACCCAATGAATTCTAAGCTATACGAATCGTGTTTCGCATGCTACAAACCACAATTGCTTTTTTTCTGTTTCCCCCTTTACCATTTCAAATTTGGCCAGAGGCCTTCGGTTTCACACAACAAAGGCGGCTCGCGGCTATAACTTGATTTGTCAGGCCTCAAGAATCTGCCTGCGCCGCGATTCATTGTTGCTATTTCCCCAAATTACGCGCTTAACCTGACAGATAAGTTTTACTTAATGGGTTGGGATTACGAAACAAGTAGTATCGCCAATTTCGATCCTAGCGGGTGCACGGTTCGCTTTATGATTGGTGGGTGGTGCTTGTGCTTTTGGAGATTCAGGGCAATGATGGGGATGGCTGTGGGGGCGAGGACTTTACTTTGGGTGGGTAGTGTGAGGGCTCGTTCAATGCATGTTTTTGCACAAAGGAGTAAGACCAGGTTGTGCTGCTGTAATCTGGATGGGGGTTTGCTGTCTTCGATCACTTTTCTATAGTTGTCTGACAAACTGTCGACAGTAGTGTAAGCAATACGAGTCGGACATATTGCACGATGCTGAAAAAAGATTTTCATCTCTTGAAACCCATAAAATCCAATTATTCACGGCCTACATAATGCGAACGGCAACACATCTCTCCGCTCGCCCACACATTCTAAACACGACATTGATAGAATACCTGAACACTAGTAGTATCACATCCTGACATTCGTCTGTTCTGTCTTAACATTCAATATTCGGCATTTGCTACACCACTCAGATGTCCCCACTCTTAGGCAGAGCCGTAATGTACAATACTGAAATTTGATGAAGCTGATCGAGTTACTTTTTGTCTTCGAGTTTGACACCAGGAGATAAAATATCAGGCAATTATGACATGAATTGGCCAAATGCTTCATGTACAAGAATGAGCATTTCCGCCCAGCCTTGTACATCAAGCATATGGCGAATTCCCAGTGGAAAAAATGGCTCAGATACAGATTTATCAAACATGCTCGTAGTTTATTTGAAAATCGTATTATTCCGAGACTATCAAGCCAGAACTTTAGTTCAGATAGAACGACGAAATAGATTGCTATTCTCTCTAAAGCGGCCCCAATAGTCTGTTAAATAGCTCACGAAATCATTCTATAAAGACAATTAATAGTGATGGAGTAAACAGATATCTTGACAATGATCAGCATCAAGGTAGTGGAGTTATCTTGGCGCGTACACTAGATTATCTTGAAGGAATGACCAAGTGAGCACGAGATATCTTCTTCATAGATTTTCGTTTTTATAATCCTCTATTTCACCCTTGAAACCTCCGAAATCGAAGGATGATTCCTACCTAGTAGCCTGGATATTTGGAGTCTAAATAATCAGCGCGCTCCTTAAACAGAATGATCGGTCACGTGACAGTTTCAGCATTGGAACGGTCTCCTACAGATGCAACAACTTGTTTCTCGGACGGTATGCCTTCTAGCTCGGTTGTATGAGACATGATCCATCAGCATGATACACACAGAAATTGTGGTCACATAGCCCCATGTCCAATATTGTACGCTGCGATTGGACTGGATGCCTTACATCTTCTATTTCACCTCGAAAAGAACGGGGAAGGATGAAGAAATGCGCTACCAGTTACTGGTTGCGTCAAGGTACTATTCTCAACTAAATTCTGTGCAATATTCGTGTCTCTCCTATGAATGACAGTAGTAGCAGTGTTTCGGAATGTCAATGATGATACATAATGCATTCTTATTTTCACACGAACAAACAGCTAGGGGGTAGCGGATTACTACATAATAGAGGGAGGCAAGAGCAGTCAGCCTGATTTCTCACATTTCTTTCTATCTGAAGGACAATGTATGCCCCCTAAGTGGCATGTCCATATCGTGTAAGCGCGCGCTTTTCGCCTAAGTACCTTTATACAGCCTAGCCCAACCCCTCTAATTGTGGAGGTTGGCACGACAACAGATGCCAATCAGGCAGAAAGGTTACCTCCAGCAATTGAGTTATGAGTTGAAACTTCACAGAAACGCGAACTGTGCAGTGTAAATATACCCTACGAAACTTCAGCCTTTTTTTCAATCGTGAAAGCGCGAAAATTGACCTGTGAGGTAGAGTGAGGGGAGAGCGGGGTGAACCATATATGGAACATTCAAGACAATGTAGAGTGATAAATGTCCAGACCCTGCCATCCCACAGATGAACGATTAGCGGAATCCTTCGCATAGTGATCAGGCAGAGAAATCCCGATACCGGTGACTTCGTTCCGAAAACCCAGCAAGAGCACCCCTCTCCCCTCCCCCCCACAATCGCACAGCAAAGCACTGTGCCACCCAAACCTCGGAATGCAGCCTTATTCAACTCCATCTCCGCGGTATGCGCTTGCTCGTGCCATACCCACAGTGTAGTCAAACTTTAATTGATAACTAAACGATCGCCCCATCTCACCAACGCCATAGTCAATAGCTGGCCTTGCTTCGACTCCACACCCGCACGTAGCCAGCTCCACTGTACCAAACACTCAAGGGAACCACACTCTTGTAGTTAAAACTATTTGGTAAACTTCGCAGCTCACAGTGTGGAACGAAAGACCTTCGGAAAGCATCGGCATCGTCGGCATAAAATGAGCCGGCGGTTTTTCCAGGAATATGCCTACGGTAAGTCTCAACGCAGATTTGGTAGATTTCGCGAAGCTCTGCAGACCATGTCCTCTGGGATGGACATACCGAGTATGGGCGTGCAAGAAAGAGCCCAAGCCCCATTGCCTCGAGTCTAATCAAAACAGTGAAATCTAGCAGTAGCATCATCCCGCAACCCCGCTGCTCCTTACAAATCCTCTTCTTGCAAAAACCTACTAGATTCTCGTGGTCTGAACGAATACCTTGGGAGCGTAAGCGACCGATAATTGAGTTTGTAAGAGAGCTGCTGTACAACCACACAGCCCAGCCTCGCATTATCTTCTCGCTCAACGCATGTGAAGAGCATCAGCTCAATCGGTGAGAGAGGAGTAGATCAGCATAGTCACTTTCCTCGCTCAACACACGACGTAAACAACGGCACATTCGTGATTGTTTGCAGTGTTGATATGCTCCTGCTGCATTTGCAGCTGGGCGTCTAAGCGAGGATTATAGTACAATGTACAGCGCCGTAGACATACACACCGAAACGAACGACATCCTTGTCGGTTTTCATCCTCGGGTTCCAGAGACACATGATGTGTATGTGGATCGTGAGAGCACACTGTCCATGATGATGAAGGCACGTAACGTCAGCAAATGCAGTAGTGTTCACAATGAGGCTTGCGATGTCTGACATCGGTGCTGACTCACTGTAACTCAACGAAAAGAGGCCGAAATCTTGTTTGAATAGAAAGTGGGGACAGGGTATTCTGTGTATGTAAGCAGGAGGGGCGGTCGTGGTTTCTGGCTCGCTGATGACAGGGCACCGAAGGTATCCGGCAGAAAGAGACCTATTTCTTCCCATGCCTCAATTGCGTATATGTGATGACAGGGGGGGTTTCTTTGAGTCATGATCAACCATAATTCCAGTAGGCAACCCTTCTCGAGCTCTCTTCCATCATTACTGACAGGGTATGATCTCAGTGATGGGTCATGGATGTCGTGAGTACTGTGTGATAAACCTAGCTGTCAACTACCCCTCCTTTCCACCCTGTCCTCTCCCTCTGAGTCTCTGTACCTGCAAAACCAGTTTACCCCCTTCTTCTAGGAAGAGAATGGAAGCATGGACAGCGAGCAATCAGAGAAAGAGGCACGCCCAGACTCCACCGTCCAACCACACTCAAAGAGCTGATGCAGTCTGCACCTAAGACCTCTCTTCCCCACCACAGGCCCAGCCATCCCTCCCATCATGCATCATGCTCGTCAAGCAGCAGCAAAAAACCCGTTCAACCAATCCCAAGCTCGACTCTCACCCAGCACTCTATTGCACACTAGTCCTCAGCCCAAGCGAGCAGCGAATTGGGTCCCACAACGCCGCACATTGTTCTCAGGTCTCGGGATCAAAATTGCGTGCGACCCGACGCTTTTTTCTCGCACCTACTCCACTTGACCATGTGCTTCCCGTCCTACCCAGCAGCGCCATCTTCTCACATGATTGACATTTCGCGCGGAGCCGCATGGGACAATCGTAGTAAATTCGGACGTCAGGTCATAGAATCAAAACGCGGGTGGTCGCGACAAAATGGCCCACCGGCCTCAAAATGGGCCAAACACGAGGTTTCCACGACGCGGAACGAGCAGTGTCACGATGGCAAAGAAATTGGCTCGAGGGAACAGAATAGGCGTAACGGAGAAGCAAGAACGGCTCATATTGGCTAAGATAATGGATGGGTCGGCAGGGTGCTATGTGCAAGGGAAGAGATTGCTAGCTGGGTGGTCGCGCAAGAGGTCGCTGATGGTTGTTTACCTTCAATGCCTGACCGCGGTCGTGCTCGACGCGAAGCCCAGATTGTCAACAAGTCGTCACCCATTGCATGAGCTCACAGACCTCTGCGTCTCAACCGTCGATGTCGATGATCACGCCCTACCTGATTTCTACGAGTACGAGTTGAAAGATAGACCACAATATAATAGCACAAACGTATTGGCTCGGCAAAGGCATGCTTGGTGTACAAGGCAGAATTGGTGTTGACGGAAGTACGATGCAGAGTCTCGCCACCGCATTGACTCGGTATCCACAGGCATTGCTTCTAAGAGCCTACCCATGTTGAATGAGACCGGTGAATGAGGAGTCTCAGACATTCTTGCCGTCTTGTGACCGTTCCCTGCAACCTATAGACGGGCGACTGCGGAGAGGGACCGGTTGCACAGTGCAGAAATTTCATGTCCCAATCGCTGTTGATTGAGAGACGGATGCCCGGATGAATGCTCTCCTCATCAATCAACCATACGGCGTCCGCCACGTCAGAGGATCTCCAACGGGGCATGCTTTGGTCTGTTCTAGCGTCGTCCCGGGGCCTGGTGATTGCTTCGATATGCAACGGGGGGCTAGGTGCTGCATGAGCTCCACGCCATCCTGTTATCTAACACACACATGCCTGTCAGCTGCATGGCCGAGCATTCCAGCAGCAGGATATCGAGCGGCAAATTGATCAGCTGAGTAGCAGCTCGGAGACCATGTAATGCATGCATGCAGTGATGGCTCGTTCATGGCAAAAGTGGCGACACGGTAAGACCGTATGTCATGCCCAGAGCAGGAACGTTGCAGCATGGGCAGATAAGGTGACTGGCTAACAATGCTTCGAGCCTGTCAAAGAGGGGTTGGAAACATTGTGTCAGCCGAGGGCGGAGAGGTGCCTCGCTTGGGTCGTTGACGGACGATCGAGACGATATCGAAGGGCGTGCTTGAAACTACACAAGATGATTAGCTGCACACTTGGGCATGAGAAAAAATTGGAGACACCCCAGAGGACAAGCACACGCCGCAATTCTCCCGAAAACTCAGGGATCCAACCCATTCTCTAGGTTGATTTGCGGCCTCGAGAGTCCAGCCATGCTACCGATTGCGTTGTACCCTCGGCAAAGGTCGACGTATTGCACACTTCATCACTGTTACTGGGGGTGAAAAAGCGGTAGGGATTGACAGCGAAGAGTGTCCTCGAAAAGATCCAGCGTTCCGAGTTGATGAGTATCGAAAGAAACATGAGCATCATTGGCCAATCGCTTCCGTGTGGTATAGACTGTCGTGTCGAAGCGGGATGTCTTCAGCATGGGCTACGCAACACGTGACTGTATTTCGCTTCTCAACTCCGCAACTTCGATATCGATGAAAGGCTCAGAACGCTCGAAAATTGCAGAGCTCGGGCTGGAGCGGCTAGGTCTGGCTGAGACATGGCGGCAAGGGGTCTTGAGCGATTTTCTATTACACGGGACAAGTGCAACGGTTCAAAAGCCACGAACTGGCAACCCCCTACCAGATGTGATTGTTCTGCACAGCTGGAACGCCGGCACGGCCTAGGGTATCAGTGCAGCCGGTGTATCCGCATTGTCTAGCGGCAGGACGAAAGGATGGCGTTGATCGTGGCGATATCGTTGGACGCGGCCGGGTGGGGTACTGCCATATTGATTGATGAACAGACCATGCCATCAAATCCATGGTCTGACAACGGGACAGGTTCGGGAACCAACGAGGGTGATCAATGGGATCGCAAATACCTCTCGTCAGAGGATAAATAGCGCCGTGCTCTCCGCCAGAACTGTCTCATCATCTTCTTCTCCATCTCTTTACTCCACCGAAAGCGAGAGACGACCAGTCAAGATCCTTCTTCTCATACACTGAAACTCCTTGTGCTCTTCCTTGAACATCACCATCGACCTCGACGGCCATTGACCATTGGCCCTCATTCAACCACGGTAAGTCGTGTGTAGGGTCTTGATATTGATAGGGCCTGAAAGACTGATGGGCCCTAGTCACACCAGCAGTCATTCAAGAAACCCCTTGCACTACCATCCCAACACCAGGTAGGTTGATAGAACATGTCGTCCAAACGAATTGATCTGAAACACTGACAAAAACCAAAGCACAAACAGCCCTAGCTCTTGAAACATGTGCTTCTTCGATCAGCACCGATTTGCATGCGGCGACTGGAAGTGGGGCCACTTCCGGCAGCACTGCGCCAAGGAGTACCGAATCGGGGAGACGTGCGGCATGAAACTGATCATGCAAACAATCGCCGTGGGGCAGAAGTGCAGATTGTGCGAGAAGATTGAGACCAAGATGCGGCGCCGAGCCACCGAGATGGATCGTATCGCTCGCTGGCAGCGCGAAGGACACAAATTCAAAGCCTCTATCGAGAAGTCGATAGACCAGGTCCGGAGTTTGGATTGCGAGATCTATGATCTCAATTGCGAGCGTGGTCGGAGACTTCAAGGCATTGGTAATTTGAGCAACCACGCTGGATAGAAGGCGACCAGGGAAGAGTTTCAAGTTGTGTTCTCGGGCTCGGAATTTCGATATAGTCCATTCATTTTTGGAGTTTGGGGATGGGATGATACGGAAAACACTGGCCCTTGGAATAAAGGCGGGTAACCAGGCAGCCCGGCGTCAGCTCTTACAGCTCTTGCCTTCCATTTATCTTTTTTCGGCAATTTAATGATGTAACGAAGTTGCGCTTTTCCTGTGATTGGCTCTGTTTCTGCTCACGGTGAATGTAACCGCCGCCGTACCTCGAGTTGACTTGGGGGCCGACGTCGACCAATCCATAGTGGTCGCGTAGCCGCGAAGCCGCAAATAGAAGCGCGAAGGTGATGGCGCACGGCCCACAAGCGACCGCACGGCGCCTCGTCGACTGCGCCGGAAGCCGAGATGGATAAAGGCGCGGAAATGAGGCGACACTATGTGGGTGATGGCAGCCCGCTATGAGGTTCCGTCTAGGACGAGAGCGAGATCTGGGGGATGAGATGGAAGGAAGAGCGGAGAGGTGGATGTTGTGTTGTCAAGACGTGAGGTGGGGTTTCCTCGCTTGCGCCATGCCCACGTGATGCGCAATCTGCTTACCTAAGGCGGAATGTCTGGATCCTTCCTGCCGAAGAAGCGCCAGACACATCGACCACCTCCTCCCCAGTCTCTTCATCCAGCACCGCATGTACATGTCCGACTGCATCTGTCCTTGCATCGGCAATGCGCTTCCACATCGTCCTTGATTTTTTCTTTCCCTGCTTGCGTGACCTGTCCTGTTCGGTGACCATGTGTGTACCCCTCTTCTCCCTTCCCGCAGTGACTGCCCCAGCAAATGTTGTCAATGCTTCGACTGGAAGTTCGCGGCTTTCAGCATAGCCTGGTCGACGACGACTTCGATGATTCATGGAGGCTCAGGTCTTCCATCGACCATCATCTTGTTGTTTCGGTCGAGGGCGAGTCTCGATAGAATGCGGCTTGTACGGCGTTCACGGCGAGTCTGAGGCACTTTTCCATTCCCGTCAATTCTTGCACAAAGTCTGGACAAAACCACGGCCATAGCGAAGGCCTTTTTCAAGGAAAGGGGGATACGCACCATATCATCTCTTGATAAGTAAACTGCCCGTCAAATCCATCAATCACACGTGGCAGTCGCTGAGTGGCCTTGTCCAGGTGATCAACTTCAGCCAGCAAACCTGCAGTCCCCTCGCAGATTGTACCATCAGCACAAGGCCCCCGACGTGTTTCGTATGCGTTGTTACGAGTAGCCCTTGCCCGTTCGTCTTTATGTCACTGTCGTGCGGCTCTCATCGATCCGATTCTCGAGGCGGGGCATCAATTCGGATGCGTGCGTGGGTGACGTTGACCTTTTCAACACGGAACCGATGGTCAACTACAGCATGGCGAGCAGGTCAAGCGCTTAGTCCGTACAGCAAACTCATCGCTTTTGTACGACTTCTACTCTGGCTCGTATGCTGCCAGCAGGGGACTTCAGGCCCAACTTTCCAAACTCCAGCCAATGACATGCCTGGACGTGCAGTTGGCGGGGCACACTCGCATTTCTGCTAGTTCATGGCATAGGGCGAGGAATCTTACCCAGTGCTGTATGTCAATGTATTGGGCATCAGCCAGTATCCTGCGCATATCTGCTACAAAAATAAGGCAACCCACCAACCAATCACATCGCGCAACTCACCTGTGGCTCTATCACGCACTCTGTCTATTACCCTTTCCATCTCGACCTGCCTCCAAGTAATCTCTCGGCACTGCGGAGCACTTGATCCAACCAATTGACTCTTGCGATCCCAGTGTTCCAACCGCATACCCGCGTGTATCTTACTTCTCCCGCCCGCTCCCGCGTATTATATGCATAGGGCTTTTCATGCAAAGCTTCTAGATCAAGCCGTGCCAATGACTTTGGTTGCAGGCCCTCATATCGATCAGTGGAGCGATTTAATTATGACGTTTGCCTTCTTTCGCAGACGCCTGAGAGCGAAATTTGGGGATCACAAGCGCTTCGTCGACAATGCACAAGCGTCTTTTTCGATACGACGAGCGTTCGTTTCTGTTTGCCTTTTCCAACGTTGTTTGCTTTGCATACATTGGATTTCCCTGTTTGGTTGTCCTTTGGCGCTAAGCCGAAAGCACGTGGCCAGAAGCAAGGGTCCTGAAAATGTTGGGTGCGTATACCTCACCACATCCAATATTCTTGCATTTAACTTCCCAAAGTTCAGGTTCAACATCTGCCCATTTTCCCTTCTGTAGCGCCTGGATCACGCAGGGCATGAATTCACTCGCTGGTCTAGTGCATACAATGAGAGCGTAGGCGCGAATCCTCGCCCTCCCCCACCATCTCGGAGAATAGCCTCTGGCCAATCACAGTCCGCATCGCCCATTTCCCACAGCGACACGTAAGAAAGCCACCAACTGGTAGAGGCAAAACGCGGATGGCGCAGCGCCAACGAGTGTGATGGGGAACTTCAACGGCGAGCGAATAGACTGGAGTACTCCAACCGTCGCGTCTCTTTAACCCAGATGCCTTTACGATTTTGGAGCCAGAGCTGTATACTTTCACCGAACCATGGCCCAGACGTGAACCACTTTGGAATCGGAAGATGCGGAAGTCTGCTCGCCCACTTACGTTATAAATAGTCACATGCTTTGTTCTATATTAATATGAGGACTGGTGGTTGTTCGTAGGCGTCTATGCGTCGACTGTTCTTCTCTTCCAACCAGTAGTACAGGATAAATCACAACCTCCATCTTCGATCTAACACACGCAAATTACACATTCGAGTCAAATTACTTTGGTCACGCCTTGATTCTGCTTTCACGCGTGATTATTCCTAGCAAGGAATGTGTGACGTATGATTCGATATCGGGCAGTTGATAGCCCGGATGGAGTGAGGAAAAGAGCATGCATACATTGATAGGTGATAAATAGACGTTAGTGTGCATTCAGGCAGGTCTAGAAGTACAGCTGAAACGATACGAAGTATGCCCAAACATATTTATACAATCATACGCTCGCAGGAACGATGAAGTGAAGTAAGAGAGGTATTCGATATGTATAGATTCATGACCGATGTGATGTACGTGATATATGTACTCATTCATATATATACACTGAACCTCCTCCACCCATCCCACTCCTACCCTAACCCAAGCCCAAAAGAAAAACAAGCATAACAAGAACAAGAAAGTAAAGAACAAAAAAGAATCACAAACTCCCCCCTCCAACAGGCGTAACCTTAACCCTCAACCCGCCCTTGGGCTTCGCCGTGATCCCACCCTGAATCTGCAACTCCCACCCCGGATCCTCCATCTCGACCTCGAACCGTCCAATCAGCGCCGCCATCAAGCACGCAAACTCCGCTTTGGCAAAATCCTTGCCAATGCAACTCCTGGGCCCGTGCAAGAAAGTAGTGATTGCGTAATTGCTCTCCGCGCCGCCGGTATTCGCTTTACCGGCGCCGAGCCAGCGCTCGGGCTTGAACTCGTGGGCGTCCGGGCCCCAGAGGGCGGTGGAGGTGTTGACGGCCCAGGGGCAGATGACGACGGTGGTGCCTTTTGGGATGAAGTGGGATTGGATGGTGGTGTCTTTATCCGCTTCGCGGAGGGTGAGGGGGACCGGGGGGAAGACGCGGGAGCTTTCGTTGAGGACGGCGTTGAGGTAGGGGAGGCGGTCGATGTCTGTGGATGACAAGGGGACCGAGGGGTCGGAGAGGGTGGGGAGGTTCTGCAGGAGCTCCTCGCGGAGTTTGCGCTGCGCGGACGGGTGCTTGCAGAGGAGGTAGGTGGTCCATGTCATGGAGGACGCGGTGGTTTCGTGGCCCGCGGCTAGGAAGGTCATGAGTTGGTTGATGAGGTCTTCGTCTGTGAAACCGCCGGATTCGATGGCCACGGAAAGGATGTCGACGTCGGTTCTGCTGCCTTTTTCGAGTTTGGCGCGTTTGGTTTGGATGAGCGAGTGTGAGACGCGGCGGATGGTTGCGATGGCGTCTTGCATTTCCGTGTTGCGTTTCAGAGGGAGAATGCGGAGGAACCATTGGGGGAGGAGGATTGCTACGACTTGGAGAAGGCGGGCTCCTGCTCCTGGGTTGAAGATGGTGCGGTAGGTTTCGTTTAGCTCGCTGGTTGGGTCCTGGAGGGCGTTGAAGTCTTGTCCCATGCCTGCGATGCCGATGATGTCTAGGGTCGCGCGTGATGCCCAGTCCCGGATTTCCACGACATTGGAGCCGCTTGGGTCGGTTTGGATGGCTTTTGCGATGGAGTCGGTCATTTCGGTTGATTTGGCCCAGAATACAGGGTACAAGTCCTTGATGTGTCTGAATGAAAAAGCGGGCATCAGTGCTCTCCGTTGACGCTTCAAAGATGTCAGTATACTCGTAGATGATCATGCCCTAAAAAGAACTCACCTTATGCTCGTTCCCCTCAGCCAGGAGAATCCCAACACCGAGCAATCTCCCCAACCCAGACCTCACGTTCTCGGGCTTGACAAACTCATAACTCCTCTGCACCAACACCTCAGCCAACGCCTTGGGACTCGTAACCAGAACTCTAGGCTCATTGAAAAACCACCGATAATACAAGACCCCGTCATTCGGTACGCTCTCAATCCAATCGCGCTGCGGATCCCCCGTAGCTTCTTTAAAGATGCGCGGGAAATGGCCCAAAAGGAGATTAGCCCCCTTGATTCCCATAGTCAGCTACAGTAACAAACAAGGAGAAAATTGGTAGGAAGTCTCACCTTTGGTTGCGGCAGATGCCTCAACGGCGTCAGAAATAACGGATACACAATAACCCCCCAAGCAAACCCCGCCAACATCTGCGCTGCGAAGAGGGCGGCTACATTCCACGCAAACGACGTCGACACGGTCAGATGCGGCGCATATCTCAGCGTAAACCAGGTTATCGCTACCGAAGACAGGAGTAACGCTTTCTTGGGAACCGCCATGACGGAATCGCTAGACTCTATACGTTCGAATGTGGTTGGAAGATGCGATGGCGATGTCGATCAGCCGGTATTTGCAACAATCGTCCACAAACGTTTTAGTCAAGGAACAGGAAACGCAGCAGAACGATGAGACGTAGAATGCGAACGAAGAAATGCGAGATATGCAATCAGGAAAAGGCGGAAACCGAGCGAAAGTATATACAGATGAAATGGAAGAGGGGACAGAGAAGTGTCCTTACACCACACATGTGACGTTTCGAACCAGCACCCACCCACACTCTCTCTCACACGGAGCGCAATGACGCGTGGGAAACTAGCGCGCGGCGGTCGGAGCAATCATTTGCGCCGAACTGCGCCAGCGCGAAAGGTAGGGTGTGTGATGCGAAGCTGTGGAGAATTCAACGGACGAAAAAAATAGGAAATTCTCAACACTTGATACACTTGTTGGTAGGTTTTGATGAGTTCACGGGTGCTTGGTATGCATGGAGTCTGTGATGTGTAGAGAGTCTCTGAACACGTAGTGGGCTTGCGATTCCGTGGAAGGAAAGGGTGTGAGCGCCATGTGGCATGGCCAACCAATGAGAGGGCTGCCATGTGTATAACGTGATGCTGGGGTCGGGACTACACCATTTTCAATGCCAACGTTCATAGCATAGCTCAGGAACAAAAATAAAGATAACAATGAAATATATCCAGTTCAATATCCAAAATTCCGTGGAAAGCGACGTGGTGCATGCGGGGGAAGACGTGAGTTGATTCATCCGGCTACGGTCGAAAGACAGCGGATAACCATTGACGCTTTCATCGGTATCATCACCTTACTGTTACACTCTGCAGAGATGCGGCGCTGGTATCACTGGGAGATGAAGACGAAAAACGAATACGAGGAGGGAATGGAACGGCACACGGTCTGTCTTTGAATGCCGTTGGGCGTTGAGCATGTGCTCGCGAGTGCTAGTCCGACCGGCGCGGAGATGCGCGGTCGTCGCACATGTCGGATTGGGCTTCGGATAATACGAGTTGGGAGGGGTCAATGCTGTTTTCTTGAATAGGTAGCCTTTGCGGGGGCGGAGTACAAGTTGGGTTTTTTTTGTGGGTTGATGCGGTTCATTGTGATGATACTTGTATTCTAGAGTATAGTAAAAAGTACAGCATGTTCCTCCGACGAGCTTGAACTGATTAAATAGGAAGCAGGCAATAGACTGAAACGAATGGCGATAGACTGAAACGAATAGCAATAGACTAGCTAGTATAAAAATACCAAAATCAAAATACAATCTACAATCTACCCAAACTTTTTCCGTCCTCTTGATAACGTATCCTCGTTCGAAGTTCGTTCTTATCTATTTTCTCTTACTCACCGACCCACCCCCATCCCCACCGTCGCTCTTACCAGTCGCCGTAGCTTCGTCCTGGTCCTCAGAAGGCGTGATATCAATCAATGGCTCACCCTCGTCCTTCACAGACGCAGCCTTGCTGCTTCCAGCCTTACTCGCCACAGCTGTTTGCGCAGCACCCGTCGTCTGCTTAGTCCAAAGCTCATAGTACTTCCCGCCATTCAACAACAACTCATTATGCGTGCCGCGCTCAATAATCTCGCCCTTTTCAATGACACAAATGAGATTCGCGTCGACGATGGTGCTTAGACGATGCGCAATGACAAATGTAGTACGACCTTTGCTCAGTTTCTGGAACGCTTCCTGGATTTTCGCTTCGATGGCCGAGTCGACAGCGGAGGTCGCTTCGTCGAGCATGACGATCTTCGGATTCTTGAGGAGCACGCGGGCGATGGCTATGCGTTGAAGTTGGCCGCCCGAGAGTCGGACGCCGCGCTCGCCGACTTTGGCGTTGTAGCCATCAGGGAAAGAAATGATGTCGTCGTGGATTGCGGCAGCGCGACATGCATCTTCGACTTCGGCGTCGGTGGCGTCGAGTTTAGCGTAGCGGATGTTTGTGCGGATGGTTTGGTTGAAGAGGGCTGGGTCTTGGGGGACGAGGCCGATGGATTCGCGGAGACTGGAGATTGTTACTGAACGCAAGTCTTGACCGTCGATGACGATGCTACCGGATGTTATGTCGTAGAAGCGGAAGAGGAGTTTGAGCATGGTGGATTTGCCGCCGCCGGTTTCGCCGACGAAAGCAACGGTTTGACCGCCTTCGGCCGTGAGAGTGGCGTTTTTGATAATTTGTTTGCGGGGGTCGTAGGCGAAGTCGACGCCATCGAATTCGACTTTTCCTTCCTTTACAACGAGGTCTTTTGCGTCTTCTCTGTCGGAGACAGAAGGTTTTGTGGTGAGGAGTTGGAGAAGGCGCTCGGCGTCAATCAGGATGTTTGAGATGTGGCGGAAACCGCCGGCCATGACATACATTGGGCCGGTGATGGTGCCCCAGTACATCATGAAAGTCACCAGGCTTCCAATTGGCTTCTCGCCAGAGATGATTTGTGACATGGCGAAGCAGCAGCAGCCCACGTATCCAAAATTGATGAGATAGTCTTGAGCTGCATGTCCACCCATGGACCGAAAGTAATAGTCATAGCCCGCTTGAATGGTAGCGCGGATGTTGGCACGATAACGCTCACGCTCGTGTCCCGTACGATTGAAGTAAGCCACCGTCTGCCAGTTGTGGACAGTCTCGTTGACTGTGGTACTCTCTGAGCGTGCCTTCTCCACGTATGAACGACGTTTTGGCTGAGTCAAGGTCGTGGCATAGACGCCGATCCAAATATAGGTCATGCCCATGAAGAGGAGCATAAATGCCATGTATACATCAAACAAATGAGTGACGTAGTACATGGCCACAAACAAATCTATCCAGATGGGAAGGATATCAAAGAGCACCAGTTCAACCAGAGAATTCAGCGACGAAGCCTGTTCGACTGCCTTGAGGACTTCTCCCGAGTCTTTGCTAGTGTGGAAATCCATTCCGAGGCTCATGACGTGGTTATAGGCAAGTATGGTGATCCTCTCAAAGGCTGAGTTTCCGATGTATATATCTGCGAGCGAGTCGATAAACCCAAGGCCGCCATAGCTGTCCAACCACGAGTAGAGAGCCCACAGGAAGATGTCGTGCCAAGGCATAACGGTAGCACCCATGGTCAGTTTGTTCGTGATGATACCGAGTTGACGTGGCACCAGAAGATTGAGTGCACGGCTCGCAAGAAGATGGACCAGGCGTATAGCCAGACAACCCATGACCTTCCAATCGTCCTTGGGCCACAGATAAGGGATAAAGACGGTGAAACTTTTGAGATAGCCGATCCAACCACCTTGCTCCGCTAGCCTTTTAGCCTGCTGCTCTTGCAGCTCCTTTTCGTACTTGTCTAGATGATTTTCATCTTCGTCATCCGAATTTGCTTGATCGATGGAGCCGTATTCGGTTGTAGAATTTCCGTTCGGGGCCGTGGAATCTGTTGGCTGCGCGCCCAGCAAAGACTGCTCTTCATCCTTCGTTCCCTTCTCCGCCACCTTCTTGATCAGAATAACAAACCCGTCGATGAGGAGGACCAAAGAGGCAACAGCTCGGAAGGTGCTCAAGCTGAAAGGTACATTGCTCCACCGGTCGTCTTGGGAAAGCGCAATCCTGCGGAACATACAGATGGCGGTCTCAAAAACGAATTGGCCAACGAAAGCCCCAAAGTATGGATGCCAGATGAATTCTGTCTTTCCAAGCAAGTTGGACGAGAGGGGGATCCACAAGAGCATGGATCCAAGGCAGCGAACCGCCGCGTGCTGTGGTGGGGAGTAGCGTGCATCGGCAAAGTGACGACTGAGGTAGTAGATTGTTTCGGCGAAGTAGGCCACGAGCAACGCAACGGATGAAAATGCTGCAATTCTCCTTGGGGTCGGACGGACTGGCTTAGCCTTGTGGAGCACACAGAGGGCAAATGATGTGGCGCCCAGGTAGTAGAGTGCTACAAGGGGGGCCTGCATGTAGTCCATGACAACCATTGTGGTGTACCACGCTGCGTCGCTCGGTGGTTGTGCCATGATGGTAGCAGTAGGACGCATGTGCGAGTGAACAGGACCCAGAGGTCTGACAAGGGAGCGCAAGTCTTTTATTGTGGAAGAGGCCGTTAGTTGGGAGGTAGAGGCACACTAGCAGAGGTTAACCGCTGCTAGACTCGGGGTCTATTTCGATCGCTGCCTCGAGTGCTGGGCGTGCGTGGGGTCCGATTAAGTAGGACAACAGCTGTGGCGGTGCAGTGAAGGATTGAGTACGGGGGTGGGACAGCATTCAAAGGACGATCGATTCTGGCCAACTGCCCGCAGTTTCGTTTTCTTCCGCCACGACTCGACGCTTGCTGCCTCCCACCCTCCCTCTGCACGATGCAGAGCTTACCATTCACAATGGGTAAATCGTTCGCGATTCGTGGAGAGCTTTTCAGCTGGGGAGTTTGTTTCCAGACCAACCAACTGCTTATTCCTTGTCAAGCTGAGCATTCACCGCCCATCCTCAGCCTTATCGCCCATTTGACTCCATCATAGGGTTCCTGACCCATAACTACCTTCATCACCTCGCGTGAATTGCCGGCCATCGAGAGTTGGATTCCATGCAGTCCACGGAACCGCCGGGATGCGCGACGATGCGCTCAAACGAAAGCAAGAGGAATGTTTGGTCAACCGCGAATGAAGAGGAGAAGAAACTGGTGCCTGGTCGCGCAAAAGTCAATTGCGCAAAAGTCTCTTTCGTTCCCGCGTCCGGATTGGGGTTAGCGTATTCGCCCCTCGAACATCTTGCACGTGCCACCCTCGACAATACATGCCCCTGCAGGCTTATCCATTTTTATAGTGTGCACCCAGCTCACTCTTTACGCACCGAGCAATGCGATAGGTCACTGTCTTTGACCGGCCAGTGGCCTCTTATGTGGCCGCCTAGATCATGCATAAGCGTGCAGTGGCGTACCGGTGGACCATCGCCTTCTACCTTGACGTCCATCAGACTACTGTCCATAGTATTATAATTGGGGTCCAGGCAGCAGTGAGATGACGTGGAAACAATGGTATATCCAGCTCACATACATATACGGTAGTTCCTTGCCATTAATAGGCACCTTGGTGATGACTACAAGTAACATGAGGCTTGGTCAATCCATGGTTTCGATACGAGGTATATGCATACCACCGTAGCCCCGTCACAAGGGGGAGAGGCAAGAGTATCACGAAAGGTGACAGAATCGTCAAAGAGAGTCCAGGAATTCTGCCTCATGGAACCCGTGTGATAGCTGCCTGTCAACCTACCATGGCATCCCGTCTTTATGCAACACTCAAGTGCCGTTACTTCAACAAGCGCTGCCGATCTTGCCATGAATACTGAATAGTTCAAGAAAAACCTTCCTTGATCATCCATATTGTTACCCCAGACCTATTGATAGCAATTCTTTCGCATCATCAAGTACTGACCGAGCAAAGTAGCAATGTATCGTAGCCTGCATGCACATTTGTTGTTGGCATCTACTGACCGGTAAATTGATTGTGAGTCATTGGCACTATGTCCTGCCAGGACCCCTCGTGCTCATCCATCGAAAAGTTGAGCAGGTTTCCAGTTATCTGGATCCACCGTTACATTGTCACCGTTTCAGACAATATCCAGCATTGTTCCATAACGTCACACATACTTTAGGGGGAACACCATGTTCCGCGAGGCTTAGCTGCGGCCGCCTGTCGATGTTTTTGCACCCATCATCACCATCATCACCGCCATCGTATAGTTATCTCGGAATTTATATTCTAGATTGCACCAGAGTGAATATGGAGACACAGCCATCTTGGATTTCGCAATGGAGAGAAAGGTGTGATGACAGTGAATTACTTAGTCGTGTTCATCATACTTTTCCATGACACGCGTTCAGTCCCGCTCTTTTGGAATCTACGTAGTACATATGAATGGAAGCGCCCAATGTGATTGTGCTCCTGCTCCTTTTCTACAAGCACGAGCCACACACCTCTACGTCTGAAACTTTGAAACACTGTCAGGCGACGGGTTTTGTCCGCCCTCTTCCCGGTATCGCATGCTGGCCCTATTATGATATTGGTGCTTAGCTCAAATTGATTAGTCTAGACAAGCAAACGGATGTTATATACTTGATTTTTAAATCCTGAGCACATGGGAGAAGTGGCGTAGTCATCCCCACATGTGATCGATAACTTCCCACTTCGAAACGATTCATGGCAAAAGCCAAGGGTACTACTTCACTCACTGAGGCACAGACTCCTACAGCACACGAACCAAAACAGGAGTCATCCATTCAATCGGTGAAATCAAGCGCACTGTCACGGAGCAAGATCGGTCTTCAGGCTGGCCGCGGACACCGACGATAACCCCAACGTCTGGGACATACTAGAAAGGCAAACACTCAACGCGAAAAACAAGTACCTTCCCTGTTCCACTTTGCCTCTTCCAGTCAATGCCTTCCCGTTCGTGAAAATTCGCGCTTGCGGGAAGTATGACTTCCCCCTTTCTGTTCACTTTTCCAACTCGCACTCTTACAGTTCCTGACTCACCAGCACAACACCGACTTTCTATTTCAATCACTTCCCCAAATCTTCAACCACGCTTCACACCAATTCAAGTCCCCAGTGCCCCCAGCGATTGACAAAAACGTGATAAATCTCTCTCTCCACAACTGACATAGCCGGCTGTCATGTCCATGGACCCCGTGACTTCACATACACGCGACTTGTATCTAGACGCATAAAAACGCACAACCTTTCATGCGTTCCCGGATGCCACTACATTGATACTTTACTATTACTTTGTACTCCGACAAGATATCACCATCGGCTTCGACGATCATCCCTGCTGCATGCGACATCCAAAGAGTGGCTAGCGTCTTCGATCAGTCACCGAAGGACCTTTTGCAAACTCTCCCTCCCCACGCATCCTCACCATTTACTCAGCATCATCAGCTACACCTTTCATATATACAGGTATATATCATTCTGGGGAGAGAAAGACAGAGTATTGCAGCTCTGCTGTGTACGTAAGTATGTCGAACCTCCATCCAACCCTCCTGCTACACCTCTCGCTATACTCAAACACCCCATCTCAAGCTCTATTACCATCCATACCCCTCCATTCATTCAGCCACAAAAACCACACTAACACATCTTCAACAGTCGTAGACCGAAGGAACCTCATACCGCTCGTTCCCGATCCAGCCCTCACACCTAACTAATCATCACTCACACTCCGTCTTAACGTATCTCGCGTTCACGCATAGCTTCGTTTCGATATCTTCCAAATCTCTCTCTGTCTCTCTCTGGAACGCACGTACGTGACGGCCTCTCTGTTAGTACAGTCGGCAGTGCTCTGTTAAAGGAAAACGCTACAGATCGGCTTTCTACTAGTCCTTCCATTCATTCGCCTCCAAGGGAAAATAGCCTTTTTCGACTAGCGGACTGCTTGACTAATCGCTCCAAATTCTCGAAACGACGGAACCCATACGCCTACTCCAAACACTCCTCGCAACCAAAATCAACACCGAAATCCGTGAGTCGCACGTTGACACGGGAAAGAAAAGAACAGCGGGACACAACGTAAACGGAGCAAGAATTCACATTATCTTTCCCCCAGTGTCCCCACCAACACAATTACCAACCAACATCTACACCGAGAACCGAGAATTAGGGAATCCGATCAAATTCACATCGAAGAATACTACTTCCCACGAAAAACCAACTCAGTGATAGAGAGACTGAGTGAAGTATTCCGTGGAAAAGTGGGAAGAAGACAGAAAGAAAGGGTTACAATTGAATTGAATTCCAGCTCGATTCAATTCCGACTGATATCAGCCCCGGATTCACATACATAGACCAAAAGCGTCACACCAGATACTCGGCCACGACGAGAAGGAACGAAAAGTTATCTCAAGAATTCCATTCTTGTTTTTACTTTAAAGAACAAACAGTAGAAGGTCAGAAAAAAGGCCGGGACATTTATACGATTCAAACGACTCTACACAACCTTTCTTTTTCACACTTACAGAATCTTAGGGTTCAAGAGGGTTACATATTGTTTTAGGAGTTTTGTGGGCTTCTTTTCGTCTTTATCTTCTTCCAACAAACTTTTTCACTGTTTATCTATTTCGTTGTATTTTTTCTTCTTATCTCCGCTTCGTTCACAACGCAACGTCCAACGCAACAAACGAGAAAGGTATCCGCAAAACGTTTCGATATAGTGAGAAAGCGGTAGCTGTTCTCCGATCCGCAACGTTGTGTGGCAACCGTCTTTTCTCTTGCCAGGCTAGACTGGCTTGACCCCCAATTAATTGCTTCAAAGGGAAGACAGGGAGAGGAAGAAGGGAAAGGGAAGAGGGAGGAGAAAGGATAAGACAGAAAGAAAGCAGGCACCGCTGCAATCCTCTAGTCTTCATCTCAACATACGTCACCCTCGCCAGCATCGGACGCTTACCTACACACAAAACAAGGCGAAGGCGAGAAAGAAACAACGCAGCTTGACCTCGACGAGCTTTTCCCCCGCACGCAGCTCCCTATTGTGCAGCGCAGCTCAATCAAACAAATTCGAGGTGAGCCAAGCAAAACACAAACACTACAACCGCGCCCGACCCACAAATCTCCCACTACGAGCCAATCATCCAAACCGCCGTGGTGTGAAAGGCACAACCCGGAGACAGTGGGCGCCCGGACGTTTATATAAACCCCTCTCGACCAACTTCCCTCACTTTCTTCTCCTACACTTACCCTACCCACCCGCTACAAGCCACCAGCACACACTGGCGACTTGAAAGACTCTGGGATATTTGTGTGCCGAGCCGAGCGAAACAGAGCACAATCAACACTGTGCGAGTGAGCTGTGTTGCTTCCTTTTGCGGGGATAGCGAGGTTTTCAGGTGGTATGTCCATGTCCGGTCGATTATCCGTCCGCCTTGTTGTCTGGAGATAGAGCACTGATCAAGGGTTCGTGAACAGAAAGCTTTCTCCGGTTGTCTAAAGCAACCGTGACAGGCCAAAAACCAGGAAGCGAGCTCGTCTCCCGAGAGACAACACCTCAACCGTCCGCAGCGGGCGTGTCCGTCGAACCAGGCGCAGACACAAAAGTGTAAGTTCAACCACAAGAAACCAAAGTCGGCTTGCCACCGCATCCAGCTCTTTATTTTCATCCTGCTCTTGTTATACATACCGAAATTTCCCAATTTCCCCAAACAACAACTTCACTACATTCTCTACCCCAAAAACATCTCTTTTTCCAACTCCCTACTTGGAACGACATCACTTTCACAAGCCCTCACCTCAAAACAGCAGACGAAATGTCATCCGGTTCAGGAGAGAACCCTCCGTCTGCGTTGCCCTCGCAACCAGCACCAGGCCAGAGTGCCAGCCCCAACCTCACGGTCGCAAACACGACCACAAGTGGCAGCGAGCTGACCAACACCGCAATCACCACGATGAGCCCATCCATTCCCCAACAACCAACTGTCCCCCATACAACCGCCTTCGCACCCATCACTCCAGCACCCGCAACCCCTGCTGCCGCATCTACCCCCTCTACCAACCCAGCAACGGCACAGTCCGCAAGCACTCCCACCCCCACATCCATGACTTCGAACACCGCCCAGCGCGTAACGCCAAGCAGCAGCGGATGCCCCACCGAAAAAGACAAGTACATGAAGATCTCGGTGCACACGGCCAAGTGCTCCGTCTGTGACAAGCGCAACGGCACGACCGAGATGCTACGTTGTCCGTTGTGCAGCTGGGAGATCTGCCATCCGTGCCAGCAAATCCGTGAGCGGGACGGTAACAACCCCATCGGCCATGGCAAGGTGGGTGTGAGTGGTGTGACGCGTAGGATTACATTTAGCAGGACGCCAATCAAGAAGGCTGGCGGTGGACAGGCTAAGATTCCAGCTTCGTCTCCTCTCGCGTCTGCTGCTGCGTATCCCAATGCGGCAACGGGAAAGGAAGGCACGCCACACGTGACCAAACATTCGAAGAAAAATGCGCAGCCCGAAGGCGGTAAGGACGTCGCTGGAAACGGCAAGAAGCGTATGGCAGCTGTCGACGAACCAGCGCCGTCCTCTTCTCCGAGCACGGGCGAATCGCGTAACGTGCGCATTGCGGCTACTAACAAAAAGGCTGCTGGTGTCAACGCTGCCACCAATCTATCCTCCGACACCGACTCCGAGGTCGATTACATGCCCAAGGACCTCGTCTTGCCTGGATCGCCTGCCATGTCCAACAAGCGTCTCAAAGTAGACACGGCGGCTTCTTCGCGTTCCAAGCGCATGGGTGGAGTCCTCCAGCTGAGCGAGGCGGCCCTCCAAGCAGACCGCGCAGCACCGGCAGCTCACGCAAATCCGTATCTCCTCAACCCGGCCAATAATGCGTACCAGTCTGTTGCTGAAGATCGAAGGAAGGTGAGGGAGCACTATGGTCCCTTGCTGGATGGCTATTCCAACGAGGGACATCTACTGGCACGCCGCATGCCCGTCATGTCCAACCCCACGGTACGTATCCCGTCCCGAATCGCAAAACTGGCATCCGACAAGAAGCGCCGCACCGCTACCGAGATCCACGAGAACCGTTATAGCGATCTCCAGGACAAGCGCGAACCGCCTTCTTCCAAGTCGAACAAGCCATTCCGCGTGAGTTCTTGTTGACGAGGTTTTCTGCATTGATTTTGTTGTGGCTCATTGCAATTTGCTAACTCCGATAGGACGCCGACCGGCTGATCGAGGACGGACAGCGATTCCAGACTATCCGCGAGTTTGTCTTCGAAAAAGTTCGGAATAAAGGCATTACGTTGACTCAAGAACAGGGTGGCTATCTGCTCTACCCTGTCTGCAAGTTCCTCGAGAATGCTGTAAGCCCTCCCAACTCCAACGTGAGGATCGAGAACCTTCCGACTCTGATCCTGGGTCAAAAGGAGAAGGACGAGCTTACCGTCCTTGTCATTGCCGAGTTGAAGGACATAGTATTTCCTTGAGTCCCGGAATTTGGCATGGCATGGGAATTGCGATGGAGTTAGTTCATTGGACAAATGCGGAACGAATGATACCCTAGAGGAACGGCCGGTGATTTCAAAACGGAGTTTCCATTTCATCTCATCCCAGGGAGTGAATCGGGTCGCTGAATGCAAGTTTTCTTTCTGGCTATACGGCAACAGGGTATATGGTATATGGCTGCGGTATAGAGCAGCATCCGGATTGGCTAGATAGCAGATCCGACTTGATAGACGAGGAACGATCCTTGTTAATACTGGAGGACTTAATGAACATGGTATTACGTGTATCGCGAGATTTGGTATAGCACCGACTGTGAAAGTGAAAAGTGAGTTGTGACACTTGTGCCAAGGATGAATAAGAATGAGAGATAATATGGGACAAGACCGGAAGATTACATTGGATCTGTACAACTAACTATGCTGATACCGAGGTGACAAATGAAAGAACAGTCAAAGAAAGGGATTCGGAAAAAGGGAATAAGTGCAGGGTATCAAAAGAGACGATGTTGTGTCAAAGAAATAAGTTTGAGAGACGACGGCGACACAAAGGAAATTACCGTTTCTTATCTAACCCCAGGGCGTCGCCGAACTGAATTGTCAGGGCCCCTGATTCTATGGGCTGGACACGTTCCCAGCTGCCCTCGGCGTCGTTCGAGCTGCCAATTATGTTGGCAAGCCATGTTGCCTCGTCTTCTTCCATGTCAGGATTGGCAGACGCTGGGCGGCTCGATGCGGCTGGAGGAAAACGCTCGTGAAAAAGGCGGTGGTATTCTGAATTTGTAGCTTGATCGGTGTATGTGGCGTGGGAGACGTGGATCAACTTGCTGCAAAGGGATGAGATGAGCGGGTGAAGGGCCGAGGAAGAGGGATGAGCGACTCACTCAGATGTCTGGGCACAGATACGCTCCAACGCGTCTCTCTGGCGTCGAATCTCTTCAGGGTCGGGCTGGGGGGTATGGTGCGAGTTGGGGCCATTGATACTGCCATATTGGGGCTGGTAGGGGTCCGCGAGGAGATGGGAGCTGTCGGCGTTCTGCAAGGGATGGGTTAGCACAACAGTTCCCGTGTCATCTGTCCTGATCTTGGTCACCTCAGTGTCTGAAGAACGCCGCTCCAGGCCTAGACAGGACGAGCAGATACCCATGGAATGGGATGCGCGAAGGCGTGAAGTGAGTGAGCGGCAATGCGCGGGAATGTAGACGTGCCACACGCAAAATAAGCAGTTTGGAACGCGGTATGAAAAAGGCCTCTATGCGCAGCCGCTAAGGCATGTTGGAATTGGAAATCAATTCGACGGCTGGAAGATGGGCGATGATGGGGCTGGTCATCATTGCTATCTATCAAAATCGAGGCTTCGCATCTCGTCACCTTGCAGGGGGGTTTTACCGAAGCTCACCCGGCCCGCCTCTTTCCGAATAACCTCACGAATTGTCCCATCCCTGTTCTCCACCAACGGTCACTTGCATTCCTTGTCGAGATACCAGCATTGGACCCTGAAACATGACTCAACTAGTATTTCATATTCTCTCCGAATGTAGTCGCAGTATCACAGTTACAGCAATAGAACAGTCGCATCTTATTCATGCGTCACCGTCCATTACATGTGTTTGGATGACTTGAACTGCTAATCAAGATAGGTATTGCAGCTGGCAGGCATGGCTCTCGTCCTCCCAATACTTTACCATGTCTTTGTTCGACCTTCTTCATCCTTCATTCGGTCATCAGTCGTCAATTCACCCAACAGTAGCGCAATTCCGGATACTAGCGTGACTCCTCCCTCACTCAATAAGATGGACGCGACGTGGGCAAAGGGCGCCTTGGCGTTCGCCCTTGACATTCCACACCTGAACATCCCACACCTTCGCTACCACGAAGAGCAGAATCAAGTAGCATTTTCTCCAGCGCTACACGAACCCATCATGCCTCACGCGATACTGCCCCGGCCAGTGGGACATGCCCAGAACACTATCTCGCATTGTTAATGCAGGGCGCGTTCTCATTATGGGAATAAGCTCGAAACCTTTGGGCACAGGCAAATTTCTGCCAGCCCATGTCTTGAATGCTCATTCTGGTTATAAAACCACTGTTCAAAGGTAGACTTTCATCCTACAGAACAGCCCCCTCGGGAGTATTACGCTTGTTACATAGGAGTACCTCTCACTCGCTCGAGTGCTCCGTCATGTACATCTCCCACCCATGGCTGGCTTCGGCCATTGCCCTCTCGATTCCTACCTTCGCCCATGCCCGGGTGGCTCAGCACACGCTTGATACTGGGGCGCGCAAGGGCACTGCTAAGGACGATAGCTCGCCTCCCTGGTGGCCGATCAAAAACATCTTCAAGCGCCAGTCAGAGATCGACTGCTCGTTTCCCAATTCTTACTATAGTATTTTGAACAGCACGGGACGTGGGGACAAGGAGGTGCAATATTTCTGTAACAGATGGCTTGCTATACCGCCTAAAATCGTCGAGACGGAAATAACGCCAACAATGTTAGTTCATCGGCAGCTTCTATGCGCACATAAACTAACGACTTCAAAGAACCATCACAACCACTGACCGCAGCACCAAGCTTGCCACCTCTACAACACGAACTACAATCACAGTCGAGCAGACGATAACAAGATCTTCGGTGCCGGCAACAGAAAGTACGAAATCTTCTCCTATATCAGCGGTACCGACCACTACACCTGCGCCGATAGTCCCGCGGGCTGCCAACGTCGAAGCCCGAGTAAACAAGATTATCAATTCAGTGCTTGAAAATGGCATGGCAACACCGACAGCCACGCCTGGTGACTCTATCAAGGATGAAGACGACAAGAAGCTTTCGCTTGCATGCTCCTGTGCAGATGTGGAGCCCACGTCGACCAGCACAATCACATCCACGGCTTCGCCTGTAGTAAGTCAAGTGTTCCCCTGCATAGACCCCGACTCAATTGCGTCTAGTCTACCACCACTGCGAGATTCTTCCTAGTTTTCCAAACACTAACGACAACGAAGACTGTCACGACGAGGATCAATGTCGACAATGCAACTCCAACACCTCCCATAATGCCGACTGGCAGTAGCCAGTCTCCGAATATTTCGACAGCAATCCTTACCCCCACCGTGGTGGCACCGTCTATCACATTGCCTCCTTCCATTGTGCTTGTCTCGACAGGTTCCATCGCCCCAACGGCTGGGCCAGTCGGACCTCGGCTACCTGTCGTTATTGGCTTTCCCTTCTCTTGCCCCAAATCTACAGATTCATCGCCCCGCTTCATCGTTGGGGACTTTCTATATGAGTACTCTTTACAATGTGACAAGGCAATCGTAGGAAGCACTGCCATTGTTCCTCCACAGGAGGTCAATGATCCAACGGCGTGCGCAGAGCTTTGTTCTCTCATGAATGAGGGTGCGCGAAGCTCACTGTGTCAATCGGCCCAGTTCACTCCTATACTTGGTTTAGAGAAAGGCTCTTGTGTGCTGAATGGACCTGCTAATAATCTTGTCGACCAACCAGGAAGCATTGCAATTGTTCTCATCAACACGTCCTCTCCAAATGCAGAGGGCTGCGATGCCATCGCGTCCAAGACCCCATCTTCCAATACCACCTCTGCTCCTGCCGCTGCCTCGATCCTCGCTTCTATATCATCAGCCAGCTACTCTCGCTCAATTCCAGGGTTCCAAACTCGATCAGAGGCTGGCGGTGCATTCAAGACCATGTTCTCAACCGGGTATACCGATTCATTGGGCTACTATTACTACAGTTGGTATGAAATCGAAGCCTCATCGACTGCTTGGCAAGAGATTTATCGGGCATCTTGGTCAGCTTGCCCGCAAAGTACCCGCACCCCCATCGGACTTCCGGCTTCGGTCACGGGAGACGGCGCCATTTTCTCTACAGGGTACTCCACAGCAACGACTTTGGCCACTGGTGGAGGAGGCGTTCAGCCACCTTCACCGGCCTCTAGTGTCACGGGTATTGCTACTCCAACGAGTGCCAGTTCCCGGGAGCCTGACATCTTTATACGCTCCGGAGAATCTACCTTCTATACCTCCAATGGAGGGTTCGGAGTGATCCCTCCTCCTAGCAGGACTGTAAGCAGCGCGCTGTTCGCCAACTCTACCCTGTCACCACCTGGAAGCGATGCGTTCACGCTTTCCAGCGCAACATCCACCTATAATTTCACAGGAGGTGCAAGATCTTTGAAATCTACAGGCGGCGAAGCCACCAATACCGGATTGTGGTCGAGTGTATCGACTAATTCCACGGGGGGGAATGGTGTGTACAGCCCTTTTACCACTTCTACTCCCATCTCGGAAGCTGGCCAAGCCTTTACTACTGGGGGAGCTATGTCCATCTTCAACTCTACAGGAGGTAATGGCGGAATACACCCTACTCCACCGGCCAATATAAGTGCTTCCCCAGCGACCTCGGGTGGTATTGAATTCACGATCAGTGGGCAGTCATCCGCCTTCTTCTCGACTGGCGGGTTTGGCTCCCAGGGCCCTATTCCAGGAACAGCGAACAGCTCTTTACCCTTGCCCACTGCACCTTCTAGTGAATTACCATCAAACAACTCTACGGTTTCCTTTCCAGCAAGTGCCACCTCTGGCTCTTCAGGTCTTTTGAATAGTTCATTGCCTGGAGGTTCAGCTGCTTTCTCTACTGGTGGTGCTTTCTCGACCTTTTTCTCGACCGGCGGAAATGGCGTGATACCACCTCGGCCTACCAACGCATCGCAATCTGTTGTACCAAGTCAGACGCCAAGTCTAAACCCGAATGAAACTGCGCTACTTTCGTCTGGCACTGGAGCTTTCACTACTGCTGGATCATTTTCGATTGCCTCGAGTACTGGTGGATCTGGGGGTACTCCACCGTCCTTGTCAAATGTGTCAGAAACGGCATCTGCTAGCTTCCCTGCTTCTAGTCTCAATAACACCTCCATAATTGGTACGGGCGCTCTCACAATTTCCAGTTCTGCCTCCATCATTCTGAGCACTGGCGGATTTGGAGTCATACCGCCTGCCCCTTCAAATGCATCCGGTACGGCTCCATCCATCCATTCTACGCCTAGTGCGAACACCACTTTGCCGAGCGCTACTGGCACCGCCAGCACAGAAGGAGACGTAGCAATTTTATCCACTACAGGAAGCTCGGGGATTATACCCCCACCTTCGCAGAACACTACAACCTCTCCACAAGCAAGTATTACCCCGAGTCCCAGTTTCAATGCCTCTGTTCCCATTGACACCGACCTCACCACGGCGTCTGCGACTTCCGTTCCTGAGGAAGATGAAGGAGGTTTCTCTGCAGTCTCAGAAGGCGTTCCACCCTCTTCGGAAACTTCGGAAAATGCTACAACGACAGTTGGGTCTAGCTCTCTCCCAACTCTAAGCGTAAATGCTTCCACTTCTCTCGTTGCTACAGGGCCCATTACATCTTCGAGTGGTAATTTCACTATCTCTGGAAGCACGGCTGTCAGCTTTTCGACGGGCGCATCGGGGGTTATCTCACCCGTTATGAACTTGACAACAGCATTGCCTAGTCTCACGCCCAGTCCCAGTGGCAATGTATCGTCGTCCACAGACACAGAAGGTTCGATCTCTGATAAACCCAGAACACCCAACACTCGAAACTCCACCGTCGTTCCTATCGGTACTGCACCAAGCACCGGATTCACCGCACTAGCGAATTCAACCACGACAACAATGGTACTTCCCTCAAGCTCGAAACCCCAATGGGGTGGTTACGGACCTCCTCCTCAAGTCACACCGACTACTACGGTGCAAATAACCACATCTTTACCAGGAACGCTTCAGCTTTCGATGAGCACACCTCCACTTTCTGCTAACTCCAGCCTGCCTATAATTAATTCCACCAGTTTGGGTACCCACAGTGAAGATGAAGATGATCGCCGGCGCAAGAGCAAGTCCTCTACCCCGTCTGCTCAGTTCCCTACACTCACAGCCAATACTACGATACCATTTGGAACTGGGAGTGGCTCGACACCCACATCAACAATCAACCCCACCGCCTCTGATTTCCTGCCACCGCCATCGTTCAACTCGAGTGGGCTGCTTCCCACGGGCACTGCACCACTCACTACACCTCTGTTGTCGGTAAACTCCTCTAGTGTTTTACCTACAGGGTCAATTTCCGCAACCTTGCCTCCTGTCTCATTCAATTTTAGCCTGACAGGCTCGACGGGCTTGGTTTCGTCTGCCGTCCCCACTGAATCTCTCTCCATCTGGTCAAATTCGAGTATGCCACTAGGAACTGGAACTACTGCGATACCGGTGTCCTTGAATGAAACGAGTTTTCCAGGTACTAGCTATGTACCAGTTCCCTCGCTGACGCCCAGCCCTTCGTTGAATAGCAGTCTATCGACAGGAACTTCTCCATCGTCTCTCACGCCCATTATCACTGCGAATAGCAGCTTACCCACAGTATCAGGGACCGGTGCATTCCCTATGGAGTCTGGGAATTCAACGGGCTTGTTACCGACAGGGACAACCTCTACCAACTTTCTCGCCCCTCTTTCTAACACTTCCAGCTACTTCCCTACTTATACTCCCATTAGTCCACCACCCTCAAGCGGTATCATCCCGTCGTCTGCGAACACTACAAGTCCACCGGGTACTTCAGAAGCATGCCCAACTGCGTCATTCTCCGTCGTTGAGCGCGTGTCGATCATAACAACAACGTACTACGAGACTGTTCCCGTCGGCCCTTCAACATGCCTACCCACGGCGTCAGCGTCTCTTCCGATCGCGGCGTTAAATGCGACGTCCTCTACCTCCCTCGTTCTTCCATCCAGCGGCGTTTCTCTCCCTTGGTCGCCGCGTTTCCGCCGATCCGGCGAAATCGCGACGCCAGAGCAAATTGAAGCCGCATGCAAAGATTCCGTCAACCTAGTGCTGAACCCCAACTTTGCTCTTGATGACACCGATGAAACATCGGCTTTGGAATGGACTACTGTCTCAGATGACCCATCTATCGCGTTCCGCCACGTGACCTCTAAACCACCCGCCGTCACGCCCTCCTTCGCACGCGTTCTTGCAACAACAGCAGGGCCGTATTTGACTGCTTCGCAGCCGCTGACACTTTGCCCTGGGCGACAATACACGCTCTCGAGTTTCAACAAGCAGGCGAATCTGCTCAATAGATGTACGGTGGAATATCTCATCGGCAACGACTTAGTCGCGTCGGCTAGCCCCCAGGAGGTGTTCTTGAAGAAGGAAGAGTTCTTTACAGCAGGTGCGACACCCGAGGCTGTAAGCCAAGATTTGAGGATCAGAGCAAAATGTGTGGGTAGTTCTGGCGGAGGCAACGCGCCTATGGAAGTCAATTTCCGAGAGGTGAAGGTTGCTTTGGTTGTGTGAATGTGAATTGACACTGTGAAGGCCAAAGTAATGAGAAGGAATTGAAGAAAAGAGGTTTGGGTCAAGTGGACATGAGATATTCTATGGGACGAGCATTTTCGGGAATGGAAACGACGGTGCGGGAGGATATCCAAGGTATATGGTTTATATGTATTATTTGTCTGCTTTTTTCTCCGTTCTTTTGAGTTTTCCTATCGCGGGAGTCTTGAATCATCGCTAGTTTTCTTGGTGGATAGTTGTTAGTCTCTCTCGTATCTTTCGACATCTTATGGTTGGGAATTCTATGCCTGTTATCATCCGCATTGGCATCATAATAGTCTTGCTACTATTTGTTGCAGACAGCATACGCGTGAAGAAGACGTTGTATTCCACGCCGTATTGGTGGATCGTTAGCTTCCAATTTAGTCTAGCCTTTACGACTATATTGATTCTTCGGGAAAGGGGCCGGAGTAGACAAATCGAAAAGACACAGTCCTGCATTGTGTTAGTACACGCGAGGCCGGATACGAGCGAGCTATTCCAGGATGGCGCAAGCGGGATCAAGGAAGCGAACCATCTTAGACAAATAAGCAGTCGACCCCTTAAACAAAAAGCACATCATCACTACCATCCAGCCCACCTCAAACCTCTATCGCGCATTCCGAAAAGATGCCGCGAATCACCCCCTCCCGGGCGGTGAAAATTCTCACAAGATTATGGCTAGTGATGCTCATAGCATATTGCTTCCTCCCAATAAACCCCGTCACCATCACCGAACGCGACAGCTACATTAGCACAGCACTCAACGCAGGCCAATCAATAGTAACAACCTACCCTTCTGAATTCAACTACACAAATAAGGATCCAGATTCTTCAAGACCGCGACCGGTAATCCGCTGGCAGCTACAATTCGAAGCTACCGCCACAGGACGGACGAAACTGAATCTACATCTCGATAAAACTATAATCCCTCTCACGGACATCAGCGAAGGCGCTTATGGATCTTTCAGTAAAGCACCGTTTCATTCTGACGGTTACACACCGTTCTTTGGCCCGATATTTGAAATAGAGATCCCGACAGCCGACGCTCATCCATTCAGTTTACCCTGGTTTCCTGAAGCCGATAAAGTCCTGCTTCAAGATACAGCCTGGAACGGCGTTTCCCAATCAACTTTCTGCGTCATTGTGCCTAGTCCATTCGAGGTGCAGATCTGGAACGGACAGCTCGTGCAGGAACTCTTTAGCAAGGCGATGGCTGTTAACGGGCTCCCGGATTTCCAGCACGTTTCCAAGGAGAGCGATGCGTACAAGAAACAATTAATGTATCTGGAGTTAGCGGATGACGAAGAAACGCTAGTTAAACGCGATGACGTGCTGCGCTCGACTTATCAAGCTCTGCGACAGTTGTACAGTACCAGCAATGTGGTGTCGCTGTTCGCTGCATTCTCCTCTGAGCTTTACTTTGGGCCCCCGCGTACCAGCTCACCCGAAACGAGAACCGTCGCACTGCGTATCCGCAACGGAGAATTGCCGTCGCAATCTCTCCCTGTTCGGCGCTTACTAGCTTACCCCGTCACTTTTGCGTACGTCGCTTTCGCCATGATAGTGTACTGGATCCTCTTCGTAATCCCCGAGAAAATCGCGTTCTTCTTCGGTGATTATGGATATATCATTGGGCCAATCGTACTAGTCATCCTGATTTCAAGCTCGCTGCTTTACCTCGTAGTCTTTGGGCTTTGGGTGCGAGCCGGTCGTCCAGCATTCGTAGAGTGGAGTGAGAATCATGCATACTTGAAGCACGGATGGAGGTATGCGTCGTATCTTCTGGGAGCGCGCAGGACAGAGCTTATTAAACATCGATGGACGTCTGATAGAGAGGAGAAGGGAATAGGGTTTGAGGGGGTTGAGGACTGGGTGAGGGCGTCTGAGAAGTCGAGTGTGAGGGGATCGCGGGAGAAGACTGAGTTTCAAAATCCTATGGTTGTTATTCAAGAACCGACAATTTCGTTGCCGAAACCGACGTTTGCAAAAGTACAGGATGGAAAGGGAAGGGGGAATGGGATGACTTGACGAGTTAGATGTACCCGCGCAGTCGGATCATCTTAGTTCGAGAGGATTGCTGTCATATAATGCAGAGCAAGAATCGATTGATGGATGTCAACACGCAACCTCGCAAAACAGACGTGTCCTTAAACTGCTCGTCAACGCATGCAAGCAGCGGCATTGTCCTCGAATGCAGAGGATTCACTACACAAGACACTAATCACTCCTTATATCTCTGATCATGAAACCCAGCCAAAACCTCCACCTTTCCGTCCCCTCTTTCAGCCCACCTCTTCGCCGCAATCTCCGGATTCAACTGCAATGTCTGCTTGGCCCTAACCCATTCCTCCATCGATACAATCTTCTCAAACCTCGGCTTCACCCCAGCCTCCTGCAAGACCGGACTATCCGTAATCGGCAGCAACTTGGTATCATTATGCGGCCGCGCAAAATACAGCAATCCCGTACGCTTGAACTCGCGCTGGTCTTCCGGAGGAGCAACAACGCGATGAACAGAGGACTTTAACCATCCGCCTGTCAAGTGGGAGATCGTGTCTGCGAGGTTCACGGTGATGGTACCAGGCTGTGCGCTCACCCACGTCCATTCTCCGTCTTCGCCGAGGATCTGGAGTCCTGCAACTGGTTGGCGGAAGAGCAGTGTTACAGTTCCTAGATCCGTGTGCCCGCCTGTAGCGCCATATTTTGCGGCTTTCCAGTCTTCTTCTGATCGTGGGTGGTAGATCATATATCTGAAATGGTCCTCGGATTTCTTGTCGTAGGTGTGCTGGCGCACGAGGTAATCTTCATCTGGAAGCTTGAGCACGATGGCGAAGAGACGGAGTAAGGGGAGTACGACGTTTGCGTGCAACGACTTTTGGAAGTTTTCGATTTCCGGGAGGTGTGCGGAGAGGAGGGGTGGGTAGGTGTATTTTCCGGCGAAGTCGGGAGTGAATTTGGGGATGTTGAAAATCTCTATATTGTCTTTTGCGTCGGCGACGGTGGCTCTGCCGGATCGACGCCATCCGTTGTCTGGGGTTGCAATGTTAGTCAAGCGCATGTGCAAAGGGGTCATTCTTTCCTCTCATTGACTGTATTAGTGGGAGATACATACAATCCGCGGCTGCGTAATCAATTTCATGCTTCTCTTTCTCGGAAACGGGAAGTTCGAAGAAGTGTTTCGCGAGTGTGAATTGCCGATCTACTCTTTCTTGCTCGATACCGAAGTTTTTGACATAGAACTGAGAGCATCAGAATCAGTCTGTGATTTGATCAGGAAAGGAGAAGGGAAGACTTACAAAGCCAACGTGGTGTACTGCATGTTCCAGCTGTTTCGCCAAACGCTCTTTGCCGCCTTCGCGATTGTAGTCTTCGAGGTCAAGCGTTACGAGCTCTGACCACGGAAGATCAGCTTTAGTCTCTGGAGGGTGGACATAAGGTTCGAGATTGGCGAAGCCGTATTGCGAAGAGTCCGTGCCTGACGTGACCTCTTGTACGGGCAGCGTTTCTGTTGTTGTGGTAGACATGATGCGGACTAGCGAATTGTGGTCTGTAGAATGGATTGGGAAGACGAATGTATTGACTTTCATATGCTTTATACAACTTCAACTCCATAAGCACGCGAAGCTTCGCTTGGGACCACAACAGTGCGGTTGCTTAATTCCGACAACTACTGCAGTGGAGGCGTGCTACTTGAGGCATCGCAGATGTCGTGATGTGTACCTAGGAGCACGCTACCACTGCATGGCATGATCGAGTCATAGAGTAGCATTGAGTTACCCACAATCAGCATCAATTCATATAGAATCAAGGGACATCTTCGGATATAAGCCGGAAGAGGGTATATACCCCACACTTTACTGAGTATCTTCGGCCAAACTGTAGTCGTTATCGATATGGTGCAATTCACTCCCTGCATTACGAACGCGTCTAGCGCCGGAAAAAGCGTCATGGTCAAACCAACATTGACAATCTTCTACATTCATGGATCGGAAAAATGTTCAAGTGTTTGATAATTATGATTGACTTCAGATGGTTGGATACCGTCAAGTGCATACGTAGGTACACATGTGCGTTGATGAATGCACGTGTGTACATTGGTAATCACGTGACTGTCTCACCGCGTACACATGAAAAGGTGTTCGTAGACGTTATGCAAGCAGCATAATCATGAACCGCGACTTCCATAAATCTATTGTCTTAGCTGTATCTTTATGAGTGCGTGGTTTGCCGCGCACCTTATCCGACGCCCAAGCTCCAGATATCTACAAGCACCTCAAGTGTGAGGCTGGCCCATGCCCGAAAAATGCGATCGCGTGCAAAATTGCGCTGCCAGTAATCAAATCATGCAATATTTTATGGAGATCTCTGGAACCGAGCTAGCTCTATTTACAAAGTAAGTGATCCTTTATCGGAGGTTGCTTTAGCGACATGACGAAAGTATCGTGCTGATCGCGACATGTTGTTGATTCAGGTTCAACTGCTAGAACCTTAAGTACAGCAGAACTGTGGCAACACGATATTGGTATATATCGAGCTTGCCAGCATTTGATATCTTAGTATCAGACCGGCAGCTAACATGGCATCCAAAGATATTGCCAATGCTGACACAAACCCAATTTCCGAGCATTTGACGACCAGTGAAGCCGGATCATCCTCTCGTGATCCTAAGCGAGGAGATCAAAATTCCGAGGGGAAAGCGCGTCAAGTATTTCGATCCATCCAAAGATATGCATGGGACGACCCAGACATCCCGAAAGAAAGGAAATGGTTCCTTTTCAAGCTCGATCTATTCTTGCTCACTTCGGCATGTCTGGGCTACTTTAGTAAGAATCTGGATCAATCCAACATATCGAACGCCTATGTCTCGGGAGTACGTGGTTTCCTAACAGAAGAAGAATATGGCCTGGCTCGCTAACAAAAAGTACAGATGAAAGAGTCTCTCAACATGCAAGGCAGCGAACTCACCTACGCCAGTAATGTGTTCACCGCCGGATACGTTGTCGGCCAACTTCCCGCTGTCATGCTCGCAACGCGTATTCGCCCATCAATCTTGATCCCTTCCCTAGAAATTCTTTGGTCAACATTGACTTTCTGTTCTTCCGCTGTCACTACATATAACCAACTCTATGCGATCCGCTTCCTTATCGGCCTCTGCGAGAGCGGGTACTTTCCCGTCATGATCTATTTAGTAGGCAGTTGGTACACCAAATCTGAGCGCGGAAAGCGTGTCGCGCTTTTCTACTGTACTGCGTCACTCGCAGGAATGTTCAGTGGATATTTACAGGCTGGCGCGTACAAGAATCTGGATGGTGTAAGTGGAAGAGAGGGGTGGCGATGGCTGTTCATCATCTGCGGGATTATCTCGTTGCCGATTGCGTTCCTCGGGTACTGGTTCATCCCCGACTTCCCAGAGACGACGAGAGCGTTTTACATTACTAAGGAAGAAGCGGAGTCTCAATGCGAGAGACTGAAAGAGGAGGGACAGAAACCGCTTGGACATAATCCGTGGAACCGAAAGAAATTGTTGAAAGTGATCAAGCAGTGGCAATTTTGGGTACTGCCGCTCGGATACTTCTTCGTACAGGGCAGTCACGCTGTCCACCAACCGGTCATGGCTCTTTGGTTGAAGTCGCAAGGGAAATCAGTATACGAGAGGAATGTATGGCCGACGGGACAGGTTGCCGTTGGCGTCGTTATCCAAATTCTTGCGGGAATGTTGTCGGACTCACCATTGCTGAAAGGTCGTCGGTGGCCTGCTATAATCGTTATGCAAGCGGGCGCTTTGTTTGGAAACGCTGTACTCGCGACTTGGAATGTCTCGAATCGGCTAAAGTATGCGGCGTATTACTTTTCGTTTTTCACTGCGGGAGTACCCGGGCCTTACTTCGCTTGGTATTCCGATCTCATTCCACACGATCATGAGATGCGTGGGTTTATCATTGCGGCGTCCAACATGTTTAGCTACATCATGGTTATCTGGTATACGCTTGCGGTGTGGAGGACAATTGACGCGCCGAGGTTTAGAGCTGGATTTATCGCCGCTGTAGTGCTCGGTTCAGCTATGATAATCTTGGTGTTGATATTGCGAATGCTGCAAAAGAAGGATGAAAGGAGTAGAGACTATGAGTCGGAGGGTGCTAACGATGTTGAATCATCAACTAGTGGAGGTGGCAGGGGGCTTACGGAGACGGGAGTGGCGAAAGATTGAGCACTACCTTGTATGCTATCGAAGAAATTAGGAGAACTAGTGAGAGCTACATCAACGACAGAGCATCAATATATCTCTTTAGACATACGGAGCGGGAGTCATCTTATCATTTGTCCCAACCTCCGTCCATGGCGGATTATTCTTCCAATACCGTTTCCCGTCTTGATCAATCCGGGCCTTTATATCTCTAAATTTGACATACTCTTCATCCGACGAAAAATATGACCGCTTGTCCCAGCCCTGGACCATCTTCTGAATCTGTAACAGAGCTGCATCTGACTTCCTCATCGTATCTTCAACTAGATATCTTGAGTGCATCTTCACGCCTCGTTGGCCCCAAATCTCCACATCCAGCTTGTAGCGATACCGGATCAGCTCGCGGAACTCGCGCATTTCCTCTGCTGTGATTTTTTGTTTTTTGTTACGGCTTTCAGGTAGCTTGTTTGGTTTGCGAACTACGGCCGGTGTCTCGATTTTGCTACGAGATGGTATGGCGGGCATGGGAGGCATGGGAGGCATCGGTGGCGGTAGTGCGGCCGGAGGCGGCTCCCTTAGAGATACCCTTGACTTTCGGGACGTTACTCTCTTGATCATATTCTCGAATCCCATCTTTTCGGGTTTACTCTGAGAAATGGAGTAAGCGGTCAGCTTGTTGCTAGGAACTCTGGACCGGAATTATTTACCTTGCCGTTTTACTCTGCCTTGTTTCTGTCGAGGTTTGGTGGGCTTTTGAAATATGACGTTTAATTTTCCATGACACTCTAGACCGGAAATGAGCGTGGCTGCTGGGAATGGGCGTCGTGAGATGGATATACAATCGTCAATGGTTGTAGGCAGTTTTTCCGCGGCCGTTCAAGGGATGAGAAGATTGATAGCCTCGCTCAAACGCGGGTCGCCCTGAACATCATAGCTGCAAGAGCCGCTAAGCTGTTTTAATTCACATGCAGCGGATGCCTCATTTTGACAACTCATCGGCCTTCGACAACCGTATGGCTAAAATCGGTTACTGCCGTAATTTTTCACTCCAGCCTAATCAGTTCACAGCAAAGATATGCAGGCTATCCAACACTTTAGTCTGTTCCGTTCAAGCGAGACTTGATGTTGTTGTGGTTCTGCGCGAACCGTAGTTTTCAAGCTCAGTGCATTGTGGTACTTCCAAGTTACAGACACACTTCCCACTTAATTTATGGTTTGCAGATGCGGATCGCCATGTAAAAGCCAGAATGTTGCCTTACACGAACATCTCAGATATTCGTGGTGTGTTCGACATGAACGCCTTTCCAACCACTTATCACCTCTTCTTTTGATAATTCTAGCCCTTGCGAATTACCTGTTCTTCTCAATTCTGGTTTTATGACCAGTTTCAGTTTTCCAATGCCTTCAAAAGGAGCTATCAAGAGGTCTTGAGCATCCGTGGGAAGTACCATATTGACCCTATACCGCTGAGAGCACACTTCGAGCCATAGTTGCCCGCACAATTTGACGAGATCGAGCAGATTTCGCTCAATATGGGCTTCCACGCTGGAAATCCTCCGTATAGCACCAGCAATATCCTCTGAGATCAGCATCAAAGATTCTTCCAGTCTTTTGTTTCGTGCGATGTCCTGTTGACTTGCGTTTTCACCCGCTTGGAATGCTTCTAGAAACTTCTTCGCAGTCTCATAGCGCTTTTTCTCCGACTCTGGCGTTGCAGGAGGCCAGCCTTCCGAGATAGACGATGGAAAATCTAGTGAATAGTCTCCTTAAAGCGTGTTCTTGTTGCGAAAGATGCGACTCACCTGCGCAAAATTCTCTCATCCACTCCTCATCCAAGTGCTTTCCTTGTGTCCCAACCACCTTGAAAGGGGTGCTGAAGATTCTCTCAAACAGAATTTGCCATAGAGTGTTCTGCACAATCTGCTGTCTTAGTTTTCTTGGATTTTCTGGATATATCTGTTGAAGCACATGTTCAGGAAATGGCCAGGATGATTCCTTTTCGCTGTCCCACGTAAGTCTTGATATGTGCTCAACCTGACCGGCGATTTTCTTAAAGCGAGCTCCAAGCTGCGGGTCAGTCAAACCACGTATGTGCTCCCTTCTGACCAGAGCACCTTTAAGGTTCTCGTTGTCTTTTAGAATGTCCTCAGATTCGGCGCGCATCTTGACGCGCTCGTCCTCTACCGTTTTCTTTGCTTTCTCGATCTGTTCCTGTGACTCTTGGAGTTGTGCCTCATGCGTTGCTTTCTCGTCTAATATGCGCTTCCCATACTCGTGTTTCGTGACTTCGATAGTTCGCCGTAGCATTGCCGTTTCATTTTCGTGTGCGAATCTCAATGCACTCAGCTTCTTTGTATGGTCTTCGTCCTGATCCCGAAGATCGGCAATCCTAAGATCTCTCGCCTGTGATAGCGTCTTTTCGTGCTCCTTCTCGAGATTGCCGATCTCACGTTGATGAGAGCCACGGATCTTCCCTAGTTCCGTATTGAACCATAGCTTGGCTTCCGCCCTCTTCTTCTTCGTCTTCGAGATCTTTGCTTCTAGTTTTTCAATTTCACTTGCGTGCTGGCTCTTCATACGAGCTATGTTGGATTCGTAACCATTTTCAATTTTCCGGTTTTCCTTAATTAGCTGGTTCCTTTCGTCCGATAGCTTGGAATAACTCCTCTCGTAAGCGGCCAGTTTAGTTCTTAGCTCTCTCATCTCTCTTCTCATCAAACTAGCACCTGCGACTGTGGAGCTTGCTTCTAGATCGCGGTTCGTGGAGTAAAGTTGATTACACGCCCTGTCCAAGGCCGCATATCCTTCTAGAACATGTTCGATTGCCGCTTCTGGATTATCTCTAGGAATGAGACTCAAAGCAGGAAATTTCTGAGCGGCCTCAGTTATCTTGCTGCTAATAGCATCCGCCACGGGCTTTGCATCTGTAGAGTGAACATGGAATTCGACATTCGACTAAGATGATCAGATACTTTCCTTAATGCTCCTGAAAACTGAATGCTACCTACCTCGTTACGATCACCAGCGAGCATGAAGTCATTTGACAGTCCCACGGGACCCTCGTTGTTGTTTGCCGACATTTTTATTGCAGAGCTTTCAATTATCTGATCCACTGGAATCTTCTCCTCGTCGCTGGCAGATGTTGACTGCTTTACAAGAGCTGTTGAACTGCCGGTGAATGATGAGTGGGTATACTTCCCATCATCCTCAATTTGAGGCCGTGACATACTGTCTGCCACCGGAAGTTTGGGATGATTGTGGACTTCATATCTGGTGTTTTGTGGTGTTTTTCGAGCGGATGCGACAAAATCTACGTCGTCTAGTGGCTTTTTGGGTGACGCCCCACCTTTCACAATGCGATTCCCCCTTTTAGAAGCGGAGAAGTTTGGCAATAGGTTCTTCATGAATGATATCGTTGATGGATAAAATTCAGCAGTATAGATGCAGTAGTAGAACAGTGGGTAAAAAACACCAACTTACTCAAACAGCCCTTCGTTACTTTGACGTCTTGCGGCTCCCGTCTGCTCTGATCTCGGGAAACGATAATACAATGCCAGCCTCGTGTGTACACACGACCGGTGAGTCTTATCACCCGTATCCCAGTCCAGTACAAAATATCCATGTCTACTGCATGTTGCGCATCCGCGAGGCTGACCAATGTAGTTTGTTTATTGAACAACGCCCCGCTGCATGAGACAGCCTCATTAGTTGCGAGCAATCAAATCGTGGTGATTTTATTGAGAAAATGCATTTACAGGGGAGATACAGAACAGCGCATCATTCTCTAGCATTAGAATCCGGTGAACTCATGTCGGCGCACCTACTCAGGACTCATATGCATGTCTTCAGGCATTCACGTCGGCCATGTTGTGTTGAGATTCTGCATTCGAACAGCCAGACATCCACTTCTGGCTGAATTCCGTACGAGCACTCCGCCAATCACATCCGCGCCCATGCTTTCTGCAATGCCTCATGATGCTTCGATGATTTTACTTCTTCACTCAAGTCATTGATGTGACGATTTGATATGTGTCGCGCGTCGCCAGAGTCACGTTTTATTTGAGCACTAGAACGAGCGCCTTCCCCTGAGCACACAACATGGCATCGTATGGCTTGCACGAGCGACGCCTTGTCATCGGGTTGGATTATGGAACAACTTTTACGGGTAAATGCACAAAGTTCAAGATTATTCGAGTATTTTGGTTGATATTGTCAAGGTGTTGCCTTTGCGACCCCCTATGGGAGAACATGCACCCTCGAAGAGATCGATGCAGTTGCCGAGTGGGGCGCGCAGATGGACAACCTCGAAAAAGTGCCCAGTGTCATCTCCTACTCTGCCCCAACTATAGCTATGGAACAGCAATGGGGCAGTAGCCTAAGCCCGAATGCTACCGCCATGGTGCACACGAAGTTAGAGCTTGACCCGAGCAGCTTGTCGGATGAGATGGATCTGGTACTGCAGTCGCTGGACGGCATGAAAAACCTAAATTTTAGGCACATCAAGGGAGCCATTGGATTCAATGGAGTACCAGCTTATACATATAAAAGTCCGGAGGAGATTGTAACAGATTATCTCGCGAAAGTATTCCAGTATCTGTTGAAGGTAGTAGAAGGGTTTTCGTACGAGCTAAGAAGCACCATCTCGACAGACATCGTGGTGACAATACCCACGGTAAGTTTCCGATCGGGATGGTTGTCGATTGTTCTCCAGAAAAGCTCACAATCTTTAGGGATGGTCGTATAGTGCTATGAACTCAACCTTTCGTGCACTTACCAACGCAGGATTCAATCAGTCTTATTTTCCCAGACTACGAGATGTGATCTTTGTCACTGAATCTGAGGCTGCAGCTATATATACGGCGCGGTATTTGAAGAGCCAATTGGGACGAGAATTCCTGAAGGTAAGTCATGAATTCCAAGCGACTTGAAGCTCGGTAGTGTTCTGACCAAGTTCAGGTGGATGAGTCGTTTGTGCTTTGTGACGCTGGCGGAGGTACAGTGGTAATTACAGCCTCCCTGTATCATTCGACTAGTGTGCTCTCTAACCGTATGCACAAATAGGATGTTGTTTCCTACACGGTGACGCAGCTCAATCCTTCTCTTCAGCTTGAGAAATTAGGCGAACCGACTGGCCGCAAGTGTGGATCTGTTTTCATCAACATGCATTTCAAAAAGTGGCTTCGGGATCATATCGGGGAAGCGAATTACAAAATGCTAGATCCAAACATGGAAGAGAACAAGATTTCTTCACACTCGGTGGAAGGAAAAGCAATGAGAGAGCTAATGAAAGAGTTCGATGATCAGAAACAGAGATTTGATGGAGAAATGAAGGAAGACATTCGTATTGATCTGCCTCATCCGTTGCAACACCTGAGCATAGCGGGGAAAGTTAACAAAGGAGAAATCGCGATACCATGGCAAGTAAACTTTGCGGACCTGATATTCACTAATTAACGTTCTGCAGTCTTCTAATGGAGCATTTTTTCGATCTTTGCGTGTATCAAATTGTCGACCTTATTCGTGCACATCAACGACAAATCGAAGATTTAGGATCAGGTGTTCGTACAAAGGTAAGCGCTCCCTTCTAATGACAGCACAATACTTACACTGCAATTCAGAACGTCTTTCTAGTCGGTGGTTTTGGCGAGTCCATTTACCTGCAAAGGCAAATAATGGAACATTTGAATCTGGCGGGGTTCAATCTGAGGATACCAGACACATCGTGGACCGCAGTAGTGCGTGGCGCAGTGATATGCGGAATCGAGAAGCTTTCCTCGCAGAACCTCATACGAGCAAAACCTTGTCGACATCACTATGGAATCAACGTGCAGAGACTGTTTAACGATGCTTACCATTCCCGCGAAGATGCCTTCAAAGATCCCAAGAGTGGACTCACGTTCGCACGAGGAGAGGTCATATGGTTCTTAAATAAAGGCGATTTAGTTCTTTCCAACACGCCACTAGAAATAAGAAGATCTATCAATCTTCATTTCTCCAAGGATGAAAGTAGGGTGAAGGTGATTCCTATCTATCGGTACTCTGATGATGACAGACCTTCAAAATTCTACTCGGCGCGAAAAGGTACGTACCCGATAAACTTCTTAGATTCCTCGCTAATTTCTGATAGAACTCACCGAGGTTTGTTCACTGAGCATAGATGTTTCAAAGGTTCCATCGAGGGATTACGTAATATTGCATCGGATGCCCAAGGTGTTTAGTTTAGTGATACAATTGGTGCTTTCTCTGTTTGAAGACAGACTGACAGCGAGTGTGTGGAGAAATCAGGATAAGCTTTTGGAGGAGCAAGACATTATGTATTAGGAAATAATGTAGCCCGTAGTCAAAAGCTCTGAACTGGCTACGACTATCAAAGTAAAAGACTCTACAGTCTGAGTGATGTGTGATTTCGAAAGCATCCCAGGCGACTCAGTTACCATCTTTCTAGTGGACTCTTTGACGATATCGTAATATGCATCCTACTATGCAGGCTCAAATTTATGATACGAACAGAGGGGTGATTGGCCTACACAATCCTTGCCTGCTCCCTCCTTCGATAGAGACAATGGTTAGCTCCGCCACGCTGTCAAATTTGATCGACGCCAACGGAACGTCTCTGCCCTCGTCATGCATTTTACGCGCTGAGGTCTTGCTCTCGGTGTCACCGTTGGGCCTACCGTATTTATTGAACACCTGAAGTATGACTTGCTCACCTTACTTGTTCCGATAAACCTTGTCGTCCTTTGGACATGGAAACGATCTTTGATAGCCATAGAATATATAGAGCTGCACATCTGGCCTAGCTAGGAATCAAGCAAATTCGAGGCGGAACTAATGCTGCGCGCGGAGTGTGCCTCACTTCGACCAATGTTCTGTTCATTCGGATTGTAGAGGAGCCGATCAGGCTGAGACATCGCCCTCTTACCGAATACGACACAGCCTTGAGCATCATCATCCCCTGTCCACCTACACCACAGGAGCCCAAAATGAATAGAAAATGTGCGGATGATGAGATCGCGTATATTGGGCAGCCTGTTTTCTGCGAGTGAGGAAACCAATTACCTGGGGTATCCGGCGACTACAATTTTCTGTATCTCAGCCTTGCCTCAAAAGTTCACCTTGCTTACCACCTTAAGATATTCCTGTGTCTGCATTTTTCTCATTCGTGCCATTTATTTTACTGAAGCTGGTACTGTCTGGCTATTTTCACGTTTGACCAGCGCACTGGCGTCGCCACTTGGAAATAGCATAACATGGCCACGATTGACTTTTCCTCAACCTACCTCCTTACAAACTCCATGCTAGGGTCTTCAGGCATCTTAGGTTCCACTCTCAACAATGATACCCTGGTTATTGAGCCACCGAAATCTAGCCAAAATCAGCTATGGTTCGTGACAGCCACCGAAGATCAAGGTTCTTATCGACTCCATACGGTGCAAAAGGGAGATAATTATGCACTGGATATTAACTACGAGACTCTCGACCTGCGCTTCTTCGACGTAGGCCAGGGGCAAGGAGGTCAAAAATGGAAATTCGACACGTCGGATGATGGAACCTTCAAGTTGAGCAACAACTACACGGGCCCAGACAAGCATTTAGAGGTAACGCGGTGCTGCTTGAAAATGATACTAGCAAATGGCGACAATCCGGGTCAGCATTGGGGACTACATAAGGTGGCCGCGGACCTATCTTCATCAACAACTAGCTCGACAAACATCACGTTTTCGACACCCACTCCAAGAATCGAGCCTTCTCCGAGTCCGAACGGAACGAGTAATGCATCGCCAACTCCCACGCCCACCACTAGCGACAACTCTGGCGCGTGCGACGTAGCTACGACCTCTTGTGCGGGTTCGACAACACAGCGGGGCCTCTCAGGTGGGGGCAAGGCAGGTGTTGGGGTAGGAGTAGTACTTGGAGTCCTTGCATTGGTTGGAGGAGGATATCTGGTATATAGACGTTGGGGAGGAAATCGCAGACCGCGTGAGAGAATCACCATGGGTGAACTGCACTATTCATGAGATGATGATGTTTTTATTCTTTAGTTGCGATACGCGTAACTTGATTTTAAGCACCATCATATTTCTGGCAATTGCTTATCCTGTTTGCTTGCGACCGATGAATGTACACAGTGATCAATCGTGGCTCCTCCCCATTCCGGGCTCGCTATAGGCGCCGTAGTCACGATTGTCGGCGAAGCTTACACTCAAGATGATGCTGGGATCTTCAATAATTTCGTTCTTCTACAGACGCTGCATGGCCCAGATGATAGCTCCTCGTCTACTCATACATAATAGTATTATAGTATTTAGCTAATCAGAAGTTTCAATAGGACCCAGCAAGATAATGATCAGCGTATCTTATCTGCTGGCTAAGCCAAGTAGATTGATTGTCCAAGCTGACAATCAGCGAGGCTCAGCAGTGGTGGCGGTGCAGAGTTCTCGATTTTATACGAGGGCACCGGCAACCAAGCCGCCACTTCTACTTCCGCTTGCGCATAAAGTGTTGTTGGGACACACATCAGCCCAACACATTTTCGCGACGATGGATTCCAAAGTCTTCCAACATCAGCCACTCGATATCCGCACACGCGAGATCAGACTTCTTACTGTTCTACCAACCGTCGACACCACCATCAGATGTCGTCTCAAGATCTTCAGCCTGGACGATCCCTCGATACCTGAATATCGTGCCTTGTCATATACATGGGGCCCCCCTCCCTCCGCATCGGCCATTCAAGTGAACGATAAGTCGTTCCTTGTGCGACAGAATCTATACAACTTTTTGGAAACCTTCAGGGCCAGGCTAGTCAAGTTCGCTGGCAATGGATACTTTGAAGGGGAAACACAGTGGCTCTGGATCGATCAAATATGCATAGACCAGAGTACAATACGAGAGCGAAATCATCAAGTTGAGATGATGGCTGATATATACCGACGAGCGTGCTACGTGTATCTATGGCTTGGTGCGTCGAGCGAATCGACAGAGCGTGTAGTGCGCGCCATGAAAGCCACTTTCCGGCTCTATCACCACCATACAACTCGATCTCTCATGAACCAGGATGTCCGATCTTCGCTAGAAAGCGCTGAACTACCACCTCTTTCGCAGAGAGATCTGGTCACGTTTTTCCAGAACCCTTACTGGGAGAGACTTTGGATTGTTCAGGAGGTGATGCTGGCGCGCTATATCCGTATCTTCTTCGGAGACAAAATGGTATCGTGGGAGGAGCTCAAACGATTTTGCACCATTGATCAAAATCTTCTCTTGACCGGGGCTTGCGTTCAGATCCCTGAAAAGCTGCTTTGGCTAGCCTCGAATGCCCAAACAGGCAAAACTTTCAGCTTTCCTGTTCTTTTTGATATCTTTGGCAGCAGCCTCTGCGCAGATCCAAGTGATAGAGCTTATGCGCTGCTGGGCATAGTTCATCCCGAAGAAAAAATCAGGGTTGAATATGGGAAGTCGGACGAAGACATGTTTGCTGATGCACTCAAAATGATTCTTCCTACCAGTACGCAATCGCCCCGCAGTTATTTCAATGCTGTGATAGACCAAGATTACACGATGCCAAAAAGTCAAATTTATACGAACGCCGCTCTTGCAATGATGGATGAAGCAAGACATGAGACTGGACTGCGTTATATGGAAGCTATAATCATATTGAGCTCGCAAATGGATATCCAACTACCACACATCGGCAAAAACGGCGACATGAGAGAAGCGTACGCTACTCATGCGATAATATACGCTGATGCCTATGATGCTGCATCCGAATGTACTGTTTCTGCAGATTCCACTCAAATCATGGAGGGCGCCAGATTGGAGGCTAGATCGAACTACGCAATAATAGACAGCTTGAAATATCAATCAAATCGGTTAAGAGGCCGTTGGGAGAGACTTGGGCGGAGTACATTCGAAGTATACCACGGAGACGAATCTGCTCGACCACGGGCCCAGGCAAGGATGAAAACGTGTTGTGAGTTTTTAGAAGCGGGGTACAGGGAAATCATCGGAGTGACGAAATGCTTCTTAGATACTACCTCGAAACGGTACTTGGGAGAAGACATCATAGATCTAGAAGGCATAAGAGGTAGATCCCACGAGAGTTTCTGGGAAAACATGCATGCCTTGGGCGAGAGGGCAGCCTGCTAGAGAAAACTACATTGTAGAATGCAATACCTCGGACTTTCTCCGAGTTGTTCATGAAATCATGAAACTTGCCACAAACAAAAGGAGTATGGTCGTCAGGATACTGTATTAGAACCGTCTCCCTCAGGCATCTACATATTACTGCACACAGAGAGTTGGAATCCATGCCTAAGTTCAATACTTAGAAGGGCTATTAAGTAAAAGCGTGAACTCAAGCCCCGTTAGCTAGCTTGGCGCAGCTCACACCAGCATTACCATGTCAGGATACATTCATCTGAAGAAAGGGGCCACGCGTTTCTGATACAGTTGTTCGAGATCAGAGCCAGCATGAGAGCTTGGAGAAAGCAATATTTAAAAAAATCCTATAGCAAACAAGCCTTGAAACAGGACCGGTGGCTCGAGAATGTACAATTTCAAACAGGCCCCCACCCAGCATGCCACTCGAAATTGTTCACAAAATTCTCATCACATCCACTCATAACGCTGTCAAAGAGTGTTGTATCCACACCCTGAAAGGCCCACTCCTCTGATCCAGCTAAACGGTCCAGCATTGGCCAGTCCCAGTTCTGGGATGTAGCTTGTAAATCTTGGGTATGTGTGGCCGTGTGGAAGATTGTGTGGGTAGCCAGTGGATGATCTCCACTCACATCACTCGGAAACCGTACCGACTCTATAGAAAGCAATTGCTGGTCATGGAGCTTTGTAGTAGTACCTGAATGAAGAGGGGTTGCGCTCAAATTTGGAGCAGGTGCAGTCGAGAGCTTGATGCATCCGAAGTATGGAATACTGAGATAAAGAAAATCTTGTGTGTTTGCTTCATTCCCATCACGCTCGTTGTCTCCGTCGACCACGTTGCAGACAACGTCATTTCCGAGCTTCCCCATGCTATCTTCAAGCTGCAGCATCTTGCGCGTCAATTTTGCCGTGTTCTCGGAAAGCTCATCGCCATTCAACCTCGTCAGCTCGTCGAGCGTACTCAAAGACCTGCTGATAAGGTCCAAGTCCTGTGCTCGCTGCTGCGCAAAGTCAAACCCTGCGGTCGCACTATTGCCATTCAGATATGCCAGAAGCAGTGTCATCGCGGCCGTAAAGGCGCAAAAGTCGACCGGACGACAACAATACACAACTTTGATGTGCGATCTGAAGGCAAGAAATCGGATCAACACTTCGCGGCTCGCATAGAAACACGTGTACCGACTGTACTCGAAACGCTGGTCGGTCGTCTCTTTGCATAGTAAATGCGGCAGGTGAAGAACAGTCAACATATTGAAATGAATGATCTGCATCTGCGCACTGATCATGCGAGACATCATTTCCTGGTGCGCCATACCTGGTGTAAAGTCTAGTGGTGACCACCAGGCCGTCGCCGTTTGTGCGACAACGGCGTTGAGATTTTTGTCGATGTCCATGGTGTTCGAAATGTCATAGTCGCGATTTTGATTCCTGCTGATTATTTGATTACATAAATCGATTTGCGATCTCTCGAACCACTCCTCGTCTCTCTCTGCATCTCTCTTCTTCCCGGTATCGAACCGAGTGCTGGCAATACTACTCGGCATACCAATGAGTAATGAGATGTAGCGTTCTAGATAGCCAAAGTGTACCCAGGTGAACTCACCCGAGACACAAGTATTCGGGTCTAGCTGAGCGAGAGGTATAGTGTGTGGTTTTCTATGCAGTTGCATCATTTGAGAAACTGTTGTAGCACGGCGCAAAGTTGCGAGTGCCTGTCGGAGGTTGCCGCCGTTGATCAAGAAGACAGCTTCGCACATAAGACATTCGAGCCCTTCCATAGAATTGAGCAACTCATCATGGCATGTAATTCTCGAAGCAAGTTCGTAGAAAGCGTTCATGGACGAGCGTACGTCTGTGATGCCGTGGAGTTGATTGCGATCAAACGAGGGATCCAGTTGTTGCATGCAAAGAGCAAGTTGAAGCAATTTTCGCGCGAGCAAGATTGGATGCGCCGTTTGCGGAGGGATTCTTGCCAGATCATTAGAAGATTGCTTGTTTTTGTCGGTGAATAGCTGCTGGTAAGGGTTGCAGAGGGCTTGTAGGTAGATTGATGCTCTCGCATCACCAAAAATCCGATCAACAACTTCCTGTGAGGGGAATGCAGCATGAATTAATTGGCATGATTCTGCATATTTTTCCTGCCTGGAGGAGTTTGAGCTATATATCGGACGCGATCGTTCATCAATTCGCTAAATCTCGTCAGCAAGCGCCAATCATGATCAATGACAAACATACGCTGACACTTTCCGCCCCCTCAACCGAAGCTGTCAAATCCCTGCTGACGTCGCCAGTTTCCAAAGCATCAAGGTTAAAATCTTGCACCAAGAATTTCTCGGTAAGGTCTTGAAGCATCTGTTCCATTCTTTTCAGCCTCTCGCTGTTCTCCCAATCTCGGGGCACAGAAGCCTCCAGCGAATCCTGGCTGAAACATGGTGTACCGCGGTTCAGACAACTAACACAACTCGTGGTAGAGTTTTGGTCGAAGAAACAGCGAATTTTACGCCGTTTGCCTGGTATGCGTCAACAAATAATATCCTTTTCTTATATAAAAATTGGCAAGTCTTACACTCAAGACAACTATGTGTTCCTTTGCGCAACGTTCGTCGAGGCAGAGTGGTTTCCATAGTTTTTTTCGGGTAGATTCCGAACTGTGTAGAAGATCAAAAGCTTGAATGTTGTAGTGGAGGGGCAATTATCGCAAGATTAGCATATATATAATTCGACAGGACTGAGGGGTGGGGGCAAAGCAGCTGAGAGCAGGGTTCGCGGCAGCTGAATACGAGAAGTTGCCAACAAGTTCACCAATGAAGTGCCGTTCCTCTATGGGTGCCCTGAATTACCGTTCCATGATAGGTTTTCAACGGATTTGTGCTGCATCAACACTCTGCGCAACGCCGCATTGAGCAAAAGACAAAAATGCCCCCCTAGATAACAATCTGACACGCGTTGGGTCGATATAACTACCCAATTCCCCAACAGATCGCGAAGGTCATAATCAACGTATATGCAATGAAACTAGTGGGAACCCCAAGCCTTTCCGAATTCAGGGACAGAAGCATACTAACTATATATTATTTACTATTTATTCGATGCTAACTCTAAACACTGCTGAGTGCGCACTTCGCCCAATAATTGAATGCGCCATATCAACAGACTACCCTCACGAGCTCACCTGAAAGCTAAAACCTGATAATTATCGTGTCTGACCTAGACCAATGCGAGAAGGTCGAAATCTCGCATTGCCATGTTAGAAAACTTTGGTTAACACGCTGAGTGTTACGCGCTACTCACTAGGAAGTAGAACCCCATCCGTTTCGGAACGTGAGAACAACCCACATTTGAATCGACCTGGAGGGGTTATTCTCAGGGTGCACAGACACGACAGTTGAAGCACTACAAAGTAGCGTCGCTACCGAAATGTTATGAAGGCAGTCATGGGTGTGGCAAGGCGTCTCAACCCGCTCGCAGCCTGTCTCGTCTTCGGATTGTTTGGCCAGAACAGAAGCAACAACGTGAATGAAGTCCATCTTCTGGCGAGATGAAGGTGAAGGGCCCATCTCGGCACTGGCAGTAATTTCGATACTTCCAGTGTTCTCGACCTGTCCGTTCCCTGTCTTGAATTTAATGCCCGGGACGACGAACTTTCTGTTGTTGACACACCCGCTCAGAAAACCAGGACAAATATAGTTTAATGCATCTGTAGTAACATTGTAGAGTGCGGCTCCTGTCAGCTCGCCAACGCCTATCTTTTTGACACTGGCTTCGGCCAAGGTGTAAGGCAAGTCCTGGGGGATGCGCTTCGGGATTATGGGTCGGTATGAATCGAATGGTATACGAAGCACGTTTCTGTCTGACATGTGCTGACTCTCGGGGGCTCCGGTAGGTGTGGGGTGCATGATGCTCGCGCGAGCCACCATGGATTCCCGCGATAGATCTACAGTTGCTTCGCGCTGACTCAGCAAAAGCACCCCAAACAATGGGAAGTGTACAAGATAACTCACTAATCTGCATAGAGGTCGGGGCGGTCGCCACCAGTGCCGCTAGGAGGATGATAAGGAGCTGCATGATGTTGAGTGACTGTCGTGTAGTAAGGACTGATCGTATATTGAAAACGGATGAAAGGACGAGGTTATCGGGGAATCGAGAAACGTTGGAATGATATTGCGGATCAGAGAGATGAGGGGTCAGTTCAAGAAGCAAGAAGTAGGCATTTATCTCTCAAAGTATTAGGAAGGCAGTGCTTTCTAATTTGGTATACAGGGCAAGTTGTTCCTTCCTCCTTCTCTCTCCATCCATAATATTTCTCGGGGATTCTTTTGTCTCTAGCCCATTATGTACGTATGACTGCATGTACAAAAATTGGAACAAGGTTTTACACAGTGTACGGAGACTTCAAATAACTTTCAGTGCGACATACTTACGTGGACCATAGCATTTTTCGAGTCGCAACATCATATTGATCAACCCAAACTTTGCACAAGTAAGCTACTTCCATGTGACAGTTCTCATTGTGAACTTATCACTTGAAGATACGGTTCCAGAGAGTACAATCACACTTGATCTGACCCTACATAGCACACCCATCACACACTGAGCATTGAGGTAACAGTATGCACAATTAATTACCAACGATTCCACCAGATTTGACAGCCGGTGACACGCTTGACAAAACGCACCAGCTTCTACAAGCCAGCCCAAAGGAACAGCGAGACACTCACCAATACACTGCCTCAGAACCTTTAGGGCTAACATCCATCCCACTCTCCATCGTTTTCCTTAAATTTTTCTTCCATGTAAAATCCGCCATACGCTTCTTCTCCCGTCTCGTAAGTGGCGTCTGGCCGACCGTCTTCCCGATCGGCTGAAGCATCTCAACAACAACTTCTTCCTCTTCTCCCCCGTAATAATCGTTATAAACCGGACTATTCGGATCGCGTCTGGCCTCTTCTCTCAGCTCCTTATCAACACTGTATCCTAGATCGAATACCCCGACATTGGGTATCTTAGGTTTTACAGACATGGAACCTTTGACGCGGTGCGTAGGCGGGAATGAAGGGAATTGGGATAATACGGCGGACGGTGAGTGACCAGATGCGATGCACGCAGCGCGAAGGTCAGTTTCGGTAGATTCGCGGAGAGTGTCGTAGTGAATTTCGAGTTCGTTCATGCGTTGGAGAATGGCTGCGCGAGGGCCGTCGAACCAGCCGCGCCAGATGGCTTCGATTTGGCGGGCGATTAGAATGAGGCTTTGGATCTTCTGGGCGAGGGCTTTTGAGAGTTGGAATGGATATCCATGTGTTGGGGAGAATGTTTTTGTTTCGGTGGTTGGAGTTTTGGTATGCTTCGCGCGGGTGATGCGCGCAGTGTTAATTGATGATGTGGAGAGCTTGCGCTTGGTGGTAGTCTTTTTGGGGGCTGGCCTTCTTGTCGGCATGGCTGATGTTGTAATGGTAGAGAACGGGGCTAATGATGTTGGTATAATATTTGTATTTCTTTGCGGTTGAACGTGTGTCAAACACTGTCTTGGGCTGTCAAAAGTACGTTTACCGTAGCGCTGTAAGCGTGGCTAACACAATAAATGAGTGTAAATGTCAATGCTGGAGTGTGTTGTATTCAATATCAGAGTCAAGAAGACAGGAGAATCGACGGAATAAAGGCGCTGTAAGACAAGAAAGGGGATCTGTCGTCGCAGCTCATTTATTTCATCAAAGAGATGGTCAAATCTATAATAGACAAAGGATAAGCGACTTCTCAGGGCGTCTTCCGAACTCCAACTTTTCTTTGTCTGCAGTCTATTTTTGTCATTCTAGTGGACGAAACATTGATTACAAAAATGCGGTGAATTCTTGTCCGTTCGATGGAAATAGTGGTTTGTATTGTATAAGCTCCAGTTATCTACATCTTGGCCATCAAGAGGCACGCCTGGTTGGCGCGCGACTTGAATTTCATTATCAGAATTTGACGATATCACAAATCGTGAAGAGGCAAATTTGGTCCAAATTCATACCAAGCATGAACATATCGACCAAATGAAGTAAAATTATACTGATGATTATCAGTTTCCCTGAATCAATGATAGATGATAGCACATATGATCTAGAATCACGTGGATGTGTATTTTGACTATAGGCTTTAACGCGCTTATGAGAACCCCATAACACGATACCTCATCCCGTCGCCATGTGAAGTCCCAACATCCGATCTACTATGTATCGTGTCAACCCAGATTGACCTAAAATATCACCTTGTGTCGTAGTGGATGTCCGTGATTGATTTCGCAATCACTCCAAACCGATTCTGACTCTTCGTTGAGTCACCATTCAGCCTGAGAAAACCAGCAATCGAGATTCGTAGTTGTTTCACATGAAGACTTGACCGGCAAAAATCTCATGAATTTTATACGGTGCTTCAATGGCCTTTGTTGGGCTGCTTTAGAAAAACAATCGACATATTAGTCAATTATCTCCATACCTTCCCTTCTTGTCATTCGCGTCCTCAATCACCACCTTTTAATGCTCAGGGACGCATTCCAAAAGCCAGCTCTCCAACTAGCCCCGACGATCTGATTTATCCGCGTGCAGACAGCGCTAGGTCCCACGGGTGAAAGCGTCAACAACATTGGCTCCCAACTCACGACCACCACCAGCCAAATCACAGACACATCGGATCCTCAATCCGCCCTCTCCACCGTCAAAGACGTCACACTTCCCGCCTTGCAACAGGGCGTCAAGATCATTACCGACAGCCTTGCGGCACGGGGTCTGGTCGACAAGTTGACGGGGAATGCTCTTGGGCCTACGGGTGAGGGCGTGAATAATGCTGGGGAGCAGGTTACGAATATCGTTGATGAAGTCGCGAACCCTGATAATGAGAAATCGGCGGTGTCGACTGTAGATGGTGTCACGCTGCCGGCTGTGCAGAATGCTTTCGAGATCATCAATAGTGCGTCTTCTGCGTTGAAGGAATAGATCCTGCGATTCAAGGGGAAGTTATGGGGCCCCGGTTTCTTATGTGGGTGATGGTAGATGGATGTGCACGAATATAAGATAACGATCCCGACTTTTTATGACTATCGAAATCGTTTTGCGTTACAGTGGTCCTATTGGTGAATTTGATAGATGGTGTTTAAGTGATATTGGGAACGATGAAAAAAAAATCCAGAGATTTCGCTTCTATGTTACATGTCTAGTGAACATTCGCGCATCTCCGAGCCTCGAAAGCTTACAGATCACGACCCCAGTGATGGCATTCCTAGTGCCATGCGATACGCCAATTGCATAGTTTGCTATCCCCGAGTTTTATTCGATTAGAAGAGAAACTTATGTATGCTTCCACGGGATATTCAACAAAAAGAAAAACTTGTTCAAGATCAATGGATGACGATCGGTAAATTGAAGGGCGCGGAAAGAGGGGAAGGGGGGAAGGGGCAGAATCCACTTGATGTTCCCGCCATGAATCTCAACCTCGAAGTTGGGAACATGCAGCTCTGAAAATAGCGTGTCCAAGGAGAATTGAGTCCACGACTAGCAGGAGCGAAATTGCCGATTGATTCAGCTTGGGCGATGAGATTGGCGAGAGGATCCCGGTGGGATGGTGTATCGGCAGGACTGTCCACAATGAAAACCGGCACTCGCAACACCCGTTGGGCTTGTTCGTCGTGTGTGGCATTTGGTGTAGGGTCTGGAGTCGCGGGAAGCAGGTCGAAATGTTGATACAATGTCCGAAAAAAGAATAGAGAATGTGTAAGATCCAATTTGAGCGCATTAAAAGTGATATTTGTCGTGGGGTTGAGGCTATGGCGATCGGTAAGATATTTAATGTACTTGGAGACCTGTACGCTGGGAAAGGATGCGTTCGGGCGGTAGTATAAAACTGCGCGAGTCAATGGTAAGGGCCGGAGAACAGCCGATCTATTGAAAGAAATATGCTCCGTGCCGCCTGGGTAACGGGAAAGTGATCCTGGGTGGAAAAAGCTCGTGCCTGGGATTCTTGGAAGGGCAGCTCACTGCTGTTCTTTTTTGTGTCTGGCCCAAAAATTTCGCTTCTCCCTCTGTTCCCGGGTCAGGCACCATCTGGCTAAGATCTTTTCAGCGTCGTTCAGCGTCCGCTCTATCGCTTTTCCATTTCCCTTTTCCCCCTTGGCGAGAAGAGATGGGTAGGGCGTGAATTTTTCGAGGATATAATCTAATGCCTTTGCGGGGGAAAGACGAGCAAAGCCGCGAGGGCTTACCTGCTCAATGGTTTCAGACACTACGTGGTCGATGAATTTGGATCTCTCTTCAGCGGACATTCCCGGATATCTTTTGTTCGTTTGGAATGTCAAGATTTGTTCAAGCTGATGTCTTTTTTCATCATACATAACTTGGACTAGTTCTTTGTACTCTGTGGGGACATACAAACCCACTCGCTTTGCAAATGTAGGCCACCTGTACAATGAATAGACGTGAAATACCTTGGGCGCCAGCTCTGCGCATTTTCTGATCATGTATTGATTCCCAGTGGAGACGAATGCATGGCCGGGTGGTGCAGGGAAATGCTCGAATATAAATTCATCAGCATCTCGCTGTCGGGACTTGCGCAGCTCGTTCTCGAGCGTCAGAGCCGACTCAGGGCGGTCCTTAAGTGCTTCTTTGTCATCGGTTGAGTAGCGTATAGCGATATGATGTAAGTACCGCCTGTCGGGCAAGCCATGTCTCCGATGCAGTGAAGGACAGGTCACGTTGTATTGCTCATGGTATGTTGCTCTAAACTTGGTAGATCGAGTAGGGGGCAAAGCTGCTAGCAGTCGGCCCCTCGGTAGGCGAAAGATCGAATGAGCAGACGTAGACATGTTTTATCTCCAGTCGAAATGCGGCGATGATGACTTTTTGCTTTGGTGACGCGTGGGAGGTGATGTGAATGGGAATGGCCACGACGCGTGTGAGCCAGGTACCGTGCGCTAGTCCCATAGGATGCTCAGCCAATCAGAAGATGCATACATGAAATTAGAACGGGCTACGGTCATGTGACATTCGGTAAATGTGATGCACGTGATTGGACATTTGGATATTTCGGACCGGTCGGAAATGGTCAGATTGATGCAGTGACCGTTGAACTAAGAAGACGAGCGGAGGACTGAGGAGTATGTAGGTCAGAGTTTTAGAAGTGAGATGGCGCAGCAGCTGTGCGCAAGCCTTCTCAGCCCACCCCTTGTCTTTTCTCCCTTGATTGACTGGTTTAGAACCATCCACGCATCTTCGTTTGCAAAGCTTGTATTCTGTGATCTGGATTGGATGGCGATGTGGAATGGGAATCTAACCAAAGCTTACTCACTGTTGGCCGTCCGTTGTGGTGCTTGGCCTGTCTCACGATGGTACACGTATGTAGAGAACATTGACGTGGGTTAAAGACGTAGGATACATACCTAGGTACCTAGGTATGTAGCATCCACTGATGACGAGCATGCCCTGACTTCTGCTGGCGAGGAGAAATTCCAAGTTCAAGTAAATGTGCAAACATTTGAATGTGAAAAAAATGATGCTATTCTTAGGTATCGGTTCATGCGAGATGAGATGGAAATGGGGAAACCGCTGCGGGTCATAGATCGACTTGGAGAGAAATAAGTGGGGCCCGTGCCCCCAAGTTTGACGTTTGCACACAGCCTCACCGAAACGCGCGTAACCACCGAGTTTGATATATATTTCAAACCTACTTCTTGACCAGCACCATTCTTTGCTCCAACTAGTCAAATCCCAACGAATCCAATATCTTGCCGCCCGCTCTACTGTCTTCGACTATACACCATTGATCCGTCGTCCTCACTCACTTGCGCTCCATCACTCGTTATAGTATGACGCTATGCTAGACGCCGCCCTCCCTAGTACGTCTTTCTTCTCTACTTGCCCACTCATCGACCGTATAATTTCTAACGCTGTTTAGCTTTCTTCCTCAAGCCTTCGGCCGACAAGATCAAGCACCACGAGTCCTTCTACTTCACCCAGCATGGCTCTGACCCTGAGGCTGCATACGCCCTGACGAGCGTGGATCCCGCCTCGCAAGCCGCTCGCAACACCTACGCCGTCGCTCTATTCGACTCCCATAACCCAGAAATCTTGTACGGCGAGGTTCTGTCCAAGCCAGGGTGGTCACAACCTAGCTTGTCGCAAGACGAGATACGCAGGAACGGTGGCGCCCAACCCCCTCCACAGCCCATTTTCCCCTCCGAGTTCGCCATCCAGCTCTACAACCCCGACCAACAGGTTCTCGTGAAACAACTGTCGACAAAATGGAGTGGCTCCACCTCATATGAGTTCAGCATGCCCCAAACCACGTTTCGCACCCCGAGTTCGTCAGCCCTCGATCGCAGCCAGAACGACCCCGGCGCCGACGCTTCGACACCCCAGATCAACTTTGCCTGGCGCAAGGAAGGTCGTCTGGGCAAGGACATGACGTGCTATCTCACGGGCAAGTCAACCGATCCCACGGGCAAAAAAGCAAAGAAGCACAGGGAGCCCGACATTGCCATCGCCATGTTTACTGGCCTGAAGGAGATGACGATTCTCGAGTCCAATTTACACCGGGTGGAAATGGAGGACTACAAAGGACTTGAGGTCGTCATCATGCTGAGTGCAGCCGTCATCCGGGATCTCTTCTTCACCAACCCCAAGGAAGCATACCACATAATCGACCCGTATTCGCGGAAGAATAGCGGCGGTGCCAGGGGCAGGAAAGGCTCCTCTCCACTTGAACCATCCGGCATCACGCCTCCCGTCATGACCCCCCAGCCAGCATCCCAGCAATCACAGCAACTGCAACGTCCCCCGCCGCAGCCTGTGCAGGCCAACGGCTTGTACAATCTTCCGTCTCGCACCGCGGCCAAGCGAACTTCCCTATCGCCACTGCAGACCGGCGGTCAAACTGCACCGCCACTGGATCCCCGAAGCCAGTGGGAGATCGACGCAGAAACACAACGACTCAAAGCGCAGGTAGAAGCCGAGGCGCGAGAACAAAAGCGCCAAGCCGAGATCCGCCGCAAACAGCAAGCAGAGGAAGAGGCACGCAAAACACGCAAGTTTCTACAAGAAGAAGAACGCAAGACACACGAGGCGGAAAAGGAGCGGAGGCGACGTCAGGCCGAAGTCGACAAGGAAACCGAGCGGTTGCGCCGTCAATTCGGAGATCAGAGCGGACTTCTTCCTCCAGCCCACCCACAGCAGCGGCACTCTTCGCCTCATCTACCGAATCAGCACCGCTACAGCCCATCCGCTCCATCGGCGCCTGCATCGTCATCCTCCAACCGTCCGCAGGGCCCGTACCTGCAGCCGCCAGGTCCCCGGCCCTCTGCATCTCAAAGCACATTTTTCAGCAACGGGCTGCCTAAGCCCGACGGCCAGCAAAAGATGAAAAAGAAGAGCTTCTGGGGTCTACGCAGCTCCAGTGAGTCGGGTGGCAGCACCCTGAAAAAGAAACAAAGCAGCATGTTTTGAAAGACATGACTTGATGAATACCCCATCTAGATTAGCGATTGCATTTATTCGGCGTTCGGGTTTGGATATACCACGGTTACCATAGTGTTGAAAAAGCATTATTCTCTTGATCAAATTCGAGCAAATTCTGGAGAATGTGATAATTATCAATTGATTGTTCAAGCCTAGATGTAGGTGGTGCAAGTCCACCCGTCCCCGCCCCCACCTAACGCCGGGTAACCTAAAAGCACTTGAGCGCATAGCACCATCTGCGCTTCCCCATGACCACCAAGTTTGATAGACCATTTACACTACCTCATTCAACCCAATACTAGCAATCCACCAGAGAACTCTATCATGCATCTCCCCACAACATCCTCAATCATATCTACACCAAGAACCCTCTTCCCCCACAAAATCCCCAAATCTCACCTGCATTCACCATCACGCCCATACTAACCCAACTGAGTCTAGCGCCCATGTGCACCTTACACTTTTCCAACCGCCAAGACTAAATGAGCACATTTGAGCAACAAAACAACATGCGCAACAACAGCCTCATCCTCTTTCTTTTCAGCGGGTCTCGACAACAGGGTTCGGAGCTATAGCTCACGCCACAGAGACATTGTTCGCAATGGCGATTGGTGATTGGTGCGGTGTTTGTGTTTGGTGCAGAGTTTATGGTGGAAGCGAGGGCTGGTTTGTGGAGATCCCGCGGTTAGACGGATGAGGGACCCTGAGGGGGAAGGGGAGCTGTCTGGATGGGTTAGGTTTGGAGGGAGGTGGCTGCTTGTGCATGCGCGTTTGTGGAAGTGTTGGTTAGATCGGAGTGGTTTGGATCTAAGGATCAGGAAGGAGGAGATGGGGATTGAATGATTGATTGATTGGTGGCCCATGCCGCCTTCTGCATTTCGTATAAAGAGTCTCTTCTCCACCTTCACATGTACTTCCCTTCTCTTCTTCGTATTGAGGATTCATTCACACACTCTCTCTCTCTTTGTGTCTCCCCTCCTCCCTAGGTTTTCACAACTTCGTGTTTTCTCGCAGACTCTTCTCTCGATTCAATTAGGATTCAAGAAAGAGGTTTAGAAAGAATGGTTTCTTCACTCCTAGCTTCGGCGCTGGCATTCAGCGGGTTGGCATCAGCTCACTACCGCGTTCTTGCGCCGGCATGGCGAGCCAATTCTCTGAGTACACCAGGGGCTTCGCAGTGGGTTTGGCCATGTACGACACTCCCTCTCCTCTTCCCCATCTCCTCTCCATAACTCAAATCACTCTCCCTGAATCCTCACTTAAGCTTGCCCTTCTCTACACACTCACTACATGGCGACTCTAACCCACCTCAGGCGCAAACGTCTCCGAACTCTCCGCCTCAAACACCACCGGCCGCACCGAGTGGCCGCTCACCGGAGGCTCCATCAAAATCAACGGATCCCACGAATACGCTCTTACCTACGTGAACCTGGGTCTCGGGACCAACGTCTCGGACTTCGATATCCCCCTCCTCCATGACTTCAACCAAACCGGCGCCGGCGTGCTCTGCTTGAAAGACGCGGTCAGAGATGCGATGAAGAAAGGACTCGAGGCGAATAATGTCACCGAGGATGAATTGGATGGGATGAAGGGGAGTTTGCAGATTGTGCAGATCGCTCATGGGGGTGGGGCTTTGTATAACGTAAGTTTTCATTCTTCCCTCTTATCTCTCTTCCATTCCTTCCCTGTAATTTGGATATCTCTCTCCGTTGTTGGTTTTCATTCTTGAGACAAGTGGGTTTATGGATAGCTAACGTGTGTTCTTGAATATAGTGCGCCGATCTTACATTCTCCCGCTCCGCAAAACTCCTCGAGGATAGCGATTGCCAGAACGCGACAGGTGTTGGTGGAGAGTTTTTGCATTCCTCGGCGATCGCGATGGATCATGATCACGGTGCCGCGGGTAGCAATGCTGCTAGTGCGTTGGGTGTGAGGGGCTTGGTTGCTGCGCTTGTTGCGGGTGGTGTTGGGTTCGTGTTGATGTAAAAAAAGACTTTAGGGTGGGTGGTTATGAGGGACTGGTTGTAAAATGTTTATAGTTTCTTGATGAGTCAAAAATGGAATGATTGAATGAATGCTAAATGTTTGTGTGCTTTGGTGTTGACTACGCGGCGTTTTGGCAGTGTTTGTTGCATTGGTGTAGGTGATGTGTAAACGTGAGTCTGGGCCTAAGACGCATTTTGCGCTTATCGCGTCTTTCTAGCTAGAGGAATTTGAGAGCTGGCCATGAGTAACTGACGTATGAATGTAATTATCTTCGCTCATTTGCTATGTGGTGTGGCAAAAATACTTGCTTACTATTGCAGCCGTTTGCGTGCCATTTGGTTTATTGGTGTAGTAACTTTCACTGCTCTTCTGAGTCGGAATAAGAAAACCTCAGTCATGCGCCGCCACCCACAGTTCTGCCACATCGCTCATTCAGTTCCGTGGTAATTTCAGATACATCGAATTCTATCAACAAGATTATTGTCAACGTCTGATTAGCTGATACAACTTCCAATCAGTTGATAACCCAGTAAACACCTTCGATGCTCTAGGCTACACGCTCCAACGAATCATAACTTGCAGTGGTGCCACACCGCGAGCACAGCCTCATGGCTGTGCTCGCGGTGTGACACCATAAAAACCTTTGTTTCACCCGCCTTTGAACATCTCTTAAAACCCTGCTAGTCTAAGAGTTGCTGTTCGCCGTTCGCGAATTACAGAGTCATTTCGCCTCCACAATGATCGGAGACCCAGAATTTGTCATCCTTAAATATCAATCCTGGCTGGATACCGCGAAATTCGAAAACAAGATTCTCGGCTCCGTTGTAAAAGAGTTTCTGAGACCGACAAATAACTATGTGTCTAGTATGTACAGAGTAGCTAACGGTGCTGTTGGGGGGCATCGTTTTGGCAGCCGGTTTACATGGCTTCTTCTGACTAGCTCTAGATTCACCGCTTGAACACAATTCCCACGATTTTCAAGAAGGTACTGTGACCGACTTCGTCCTCGACAACATCGGTTCGCAAGGTCAAGAAGCCAGTGCGAAGCTCAAATCCGTCGCCGGTATATCGTTCAAAGGGAACACCGAAAGCAGCTTGCAACTGAGCGGTAAACTCATCCGATATAAACGGCTGCAACAGCACGACCAGTTTTGGTCGAAGCTCAAATTGGATCCCGATGTCAAAGCTGTTGTTCCGCAATGGACATCGCGATTTCGCGCGCCAGTGTGTCTTGTGGTGGGTATCATGATGTGCGAAGACGTAGAGTTATCCTTCACCGAGACGCAGTCTCGGGAGCGCGAGGCGAACGGACAAATGCCTATTGGAAGGATCGCTCTCGCTGCCAGTGTACCGAGTGCCGTTAGTAACACTGGAGATTTGATGGCTGGCTTTGCCTCTAATCGTCAAGTTGCTACCATGTTTGAAGGAAAAATCAATGAAAGTCGCATTTTTGCCTTGGAGCTTAAAAAGGTCACGACTGAAGGATGGATCCGGAAAGACTTGAGACTGAGAACCCAGGGCCCTGACGTCGATCCCACGAGGGTTGCTGCTGGGTATTCCGACGAAGAGGAGGAGGACGACGACCAGTTGGGGATCGAGAGTTACGTGATTGGTAAACTAAGTGCTGAAGAGTATAGTGAGCTTTCAGGATGACCAACGGGATTGACTAGCCAAGAACGTCCTGGGTATGCATTTAAGAATTTTGTGCCAGCTGTTTTCTGCCCGCTGCTTCGGGAACATATGCCTTCAGCAATCGTTTAAGCCTTGCTTTTATTTCTTCCTCGCAGTTTTGGTCTCCTGTGAAGAACCAGTCTGGGCTCACCCAATCGTAGCCTTCTCTCTCGTGAGCCATCAAAGCAAAAATCTTGCGGGTGCCTTCTGGAGACAACGGGTTGATGTTCCAGCAGTGCTGTGGAAACTCCTTTCGTATATAATTTATCATGAACACAGCAACAGAAACTGCAACCGGTGTCGCAATCGATGTCCCAGAAAGATACTTCTGGCCTTGATTGTCATCATAATCGAGTCTGTGATTCGGCCAGAAAGACTTCATACAGTCTCCAACGAAGCTGAAATTATCCCTCCGGTGGACAGGTGACGGATTGAACGATGATTTGTTACCCTCTCCGGTGGCTGAATGAATGCAGAGAACGCCATCATAGTCGCCGGGATATGTGCGTGGTTTGTTCCCAGCATCATTTGAAGCCGATGCAAACACCACGATTCCCCCTTTGAGACAAGCCTCGATCTCTTGCTGCACTAAATCCGGATTATCGCATATGCGGAAGCCGAATGAAAGTGAAATCATATCTACCTTCCAGACCTCGCGTGCGTGTCTGAGCCCCTCAACGATTGGACGCCTATTATCTGATTTACTGGATTCAATGACTTTGCCAATGTAAAGATCAACATTCGTGGTAAGATCGAGTATGACACCAGCGATATGAGTGCCATGACCAGAATTATCGCTGGCTGTATTGTCATCAATGAAAGACTTGCTGTCATAGACACTGCCTATGATGCCTGGGTGGGCGAAATCAACTCCGGTATCTAGTACTGCAACTTTGATACGTTGCTCAGTGTGGATGTTCGTTTTATTCCTTCGGAGCCTCTTAAAATCTGTGAACCATTTCTTAGACGACCGGCGAAGGTCATCGAAGTATTTTCCGGTATTATTATCTCCAAAGAGCTCATAACTGTCGATAGAGGTCACTGGGCTATAAGTTATAGCTCCCGAGATTGCGTATCTTTCTCCTATTCCCTCGGAATTTCCTACTGCGAATCTGACCTGCTTTGATGTACTGACCCTGAGCTTTTTGCGGACACTAAAGTCGTCGGGTATCTCTCGCACGACAGTTAGCGGCAGGGAAACAGACGAGTCAATAGACATTCCAAGCCTCTCCGAATTGTTTAATGCCGAAGGTACATAACAGTTATCAGCAACCGGTCGACGGAGGGTTTTATCGAACGTCGATGATTGATATTCCAGGTCGACAGCCGTGCGAAGCTTTTGGATGATTTTGTTTAGGAGATTTCTTGCAGCAACGGCCTGTCCGCCTTCAACACCTCGAGCAGAAATGCGTTTATATTCTCTCCTGCAGTTTTGCTGGAATCTAAAACACATCTGAACTGCTTCAAGGTATGATCGCCTTGAGTCGCTCAAGTCGGTCGAGACCTGGTCGTAGATGAAGTCCTCAAAAGTATCAGTACTAGGACTCAAGCAGCCGGTAGTTTTTGTTTGCATGTGCTCAAGCGATACCCCGCATTCGATTTCCATGAGAAGTCTGGCAAGAAGAGTGAAGCTCGTTTCGTGCTCATTGTCAAACAGAAAGTGTGCACTGGCCGATTCACTCGGAACGGAAGCCAGACATAGGGCATATGGCAGGCTCTGTATACTTCGGCCCTGTGAGTCTGAGAGGAAATATACGGATTCTGGATCCCAGGATTTGATAAAATAGGCATCCTCTTCAATCATCGATGAGAGACTGAGCACTAGCGTAGCAGCTAATCTGCGTTTCTCCGTCTGTTCAAATCTTTTCACCTTAGACTGCCACCAAGCGTCCGCACCAAGGAAAGCACCACCTTGTATCAGTTGCTTCAAGGTTTTGGAGGGCTTTTTACTTGATTGTGCCGCAGAATCTGGGCTATCACTAGATCTAGCATAGACATAAATTTCACCTTCGGCGGCCGCAAGAGTGAGTCTTTCGCGATTACTGAGATCTTTGATCTCGTCGCAAAGATTGCGTGCTGGATACCAGTCGGAATTGTTCCTGCTCTCTTATCATAAACCAAAGCTTGAGATTCAGGGCGGTATGTTCCTCGCCGAAGTGCACGTACCTATTGGCGAGTTCATGCAGATGGCCTTCTTGCCACTCAGAGATTTCGCAGCGGGAGATATATAACTTCAAATGCGGATTTCGAAAGCAATCAAGAGACTGAGTTGCATTCCATTCTGGCAGCTGAAGTAGGACGTCATGGCACTTACTGCATGTCGTGTTCGCAAGTTTTTTCAGCCAATGCAAGAACATCTGTAGAGGTTTGGTATCTTCATGCGGTTGAGCGCGCGATTCCTTTGTCTGGACGTTCTCTGTTTGTTGCGCGTTGATAAATTCGAGGTCCTGTATCGCCGGTTGTGTGAGGCGGCTGAAAAAAGTGTTGAAACTGTCTACGTGGTCCCTGGCAGTCTTGGAATTTAAAGTCACGAACAACCTTCGTCCTTGGGATTCCGAAGCCATATGAAACTTCCATTCGGTCTTGCCAAGCTCTTGCAGAAGACGGTCGATCCTGGGATATTTGCTCTCACTCTCGGACAACAATGCAGTCCATAGATCCGTAGCAACCATGTTCTCAAGCGCCGCGCATAGCGAAGTCAGTAACGCAAAGGCTTGGTCCTGGGTGTCAGCATCTAGCCCTTCGTCGATTATTGTGTCCAGGTCATTCCTCCTCATCAAATTTCGTAGACCATCCTCTAGAAGACAGGAATCGTTCTGAGAACCAATCTGGCCTGACAGTAAATGCGAACTGTTGAGCGGTCGATATCTGGTCGCGTTTAGTAACCGGTGTCGATAGGACCTAAGCGATTTAAGGCGCCTCCATTCCTCACTGGTCGAAACCCCTTGCGCTGTGGGCATGTCGTCTCCCTAAGTCTGTGATCCCAAGTCATTCTAAGTGGGTGTTTAGTGCTGTTGTCCACTTCAATCTTCTTTATGTCGACTATACCCAGAATTTCAGCCGTCTGGAAAGTGGCTATCAGAACAGAGGCGGGGTATAATGCCACTCAGCCGCACTTTCCGCTTCAATACGAGGGCCCTGGGCATCACGTGTACGCGGGTGGGGCGACCCCTATGCCACTCTAACGAAAGAGTTGCCTCGACGTTCTCCCATCACACACCTACGAAAGAAAATCATCAGATGGTCTCTCTGTGCTTCTGAGGTGTAGCTCCCAGCGGAAATTATGTCACGATGAGTGCTATCTGCCCGGACGGCTACATTGACGATAATCTCGATGACGATGAGGCTGACGAGCAGCCTATACGCTGCATGGCCGGGGATTGTAACAAGCTGTTTGCAGAATGTTTAACCCGTTCTTTCGATTCTCACGAGCATTGGATGTCTCTGCAGATCATACATATGATCAAAGAGTATTATCGTCGCTTCGAAGGGTGGTGCACTTTCCTTGGTGTTTTCGCGGACGAGGTTGCTGCCCTAGACTATCGATTGCGAAGGCATACTGTGCTCCAAGATATGATAATAAGAATGCTGGATATGTTGAGACAAAATCTATTCCTAGGTAAATGACCTCATACGACAAGTCAAAAGCGCTACTAATGTAATAAGTTACCATCCACGACCTGCCAAATGCAAATGGACAAGTCACCAACACATCACCACCATCTCTTACCACGGAAATTTTTCCCGGGATCAGTGAGGCCATTACACGATTAAACAAGACTGGTGTTGCTATCAGATCTTCTTCAAGATCTATCGCCACAGCACGAGCGCGTAGATTTGCATCACAATACCCTGAACTCGTACCGTTATCCGAGTTTGAGGACCGTATATCCCTTGTTCTCGATTTTCTATATCCAAACTCAGCAGAGACTTTAAGAAAACAGCTCGTCGACTCAACGACAGACAGATATGCCAAGCTTCGTTACGAGGTATATCGGAACAAGGCGAATTCCAAATCTGAATCTCTCGCTACTGGCATTCAGAGTGTCGTCCAAAACACTGGAATCGAGAGCCTATCAGAGACCCAGGTACAATTCTCTTTCGAAATGGGGGGTGATGAAGCTAGAAAAAAAGGAAGAAAAGTAGCTATGGTCATTCCTGCGTCTTCGATTGATACTACGCTTTTACCTTTGGACTTGGAGCAGGTCATAGCTCCGAGTATTACTCAATCAAAGCCCCCCAAAACCTTAACAAGACATGTTGATCAGCCCAGAGAGCCTGATCTTCCCAAATTCAGATCAGGCGAGGATTATGCATCTTGTGAATGGTGCCATCAAGTCGTTGATCGCTCTGTTTTACATACCACTCAGAAGAGGTGGTCTGATAAAGGAAGACATCATTATCGACAAGATCTCCAGCCATATGTTTGCTTGGCGGAAGAATGCCGGGAGTCTCGACCCTCATTCGCTTCCTCAAGAGCGTGGTTCGGTCACATGAAATCGAGTCACACTGAGTCTTGGTCATTCAAAGTACATAACCAATTATCCTGGACGTGCGTCGCGAGTCATGAGAACAATTCGACTTACACCTTCCCTTACAAAGAGGGATTACTCGAGCACATCCGAGCCCATCAGTGCAAAACGTGGAGGTGCACTGGGGAACATGAAAAAGGTTCGAGATATGCTTACTATTCCAAGGATGAGTTGCTGCAGCATATCTCCGAATGCAAATTCAGTGGAAAGATTGATACGAATGGGAGTAATGACAAGTACCCGGAGAATCTCGCTCAAACCATGCGACAGGCTTCCTCCTGTCCGCTTTGTTTGTTCACCATAGATGAACAGCCATTGGATGAACGACTCGTGGCCAACGATTCTTCCGATCAGAATAGAAACACTTCTTGGGCCATGGGATCACACGTTGCCGACCACCTCCACCACCTGATGATAATTTCTCTCCAGATTATGTCGGCCATGCAGGTTTCGCACAATGAAGATCAAGACCAACGTCAAGGTCACCCTCAGAGTCAGTCGAGTGGTCCGAGCACCGCTTTCTCCGCTCTTGATGATGGTGAGATGAGAAAGCGTCTCAACGACTTACCTGACAGTATCTCGGGATCAATGAACATGTCTGAGTCATATCAAGAGACCGCATGGATATCTGTGATGCAAGAAAAATCTCTCTCTATGGCCGACAACATGGCGAGCCTAGCATTGACGTACATCAGCCAGGACCTGTGGACGCAGGCAGAAGTGCTTGAGGAACAGGTAACGGAGGCGAGAAAAGAGGTGCTTGGCAGTGAGCATCCCGACACGCTCGTTAGCATCAACCAGCTTGGAGTAATCTTTGCGAGCCAGGGCAAAAATGAAGATGCAAAATCGATGTATCAACAGGCACTTCAAGGGCGGATAAAAGTGTTGGGAGCTGAGCACCCAAATACACTCGCTAGTATGACCAGCTTAGCAGCGATATACAAGGATCTGGGCCAGTGGGAGGAGGCTGAAAAGCTAGAGAGGCTAAGACTTGCATCACATACATCTATTGGTCCCGAACGGGACGGCCATTCGCCGCCCTCAGGAACGAACACTCGTGTGCCATTAACGGATGCAACCCAAGGCCGCCGTAAACGGAGATACTCTGGCTCTTTGAAAGTGATACAACGCCCCCTCTCGAGCGATTCAGAGATTTGGAATATATCCGATCTTTCTAACGATTTCCTTGCTGAGTCGCTCCGTTGGCATCCTACTGAGAGGGACATTGAATCTCTCGCCAGCCCACACCATTATAACGTAGTGGCTGACGTGTCATACTCGATTCCTCTAATCTTCGGGTTTGGACCTGCGATCAAAGTTTCTGTTCATCCTCTACGGATCCGGGATTTGCCTTTCTTGTGTCATAATCACGTTATCTACGAGTGGCCTCCCAGTTCAGCACCTCCACAAACTTACAGTCACTTAGTCCTCCCCGCTACCATGAGTCAGGATTCTATGACCAATTTACCAACTGACCTGGATAATCACCTTAGCCTCCTGGTAAAGTCCCATTTCCGTTCATTTCCTTTGTACTGCTCGCCAATCACCGTTCTACGTGAGGTCTATGTTCTCTACCTTTCACTACCTCAGAACACACACGAGCATCTATTAGAGCAAGCACTAAAACTTCTTACACTCGTACACCTAAGCGGAGACATAACTATTCCATCACCATCAACGAATTCAGTCTTAGATGAGTTGATTGGTTCCACAATGACACTAGAGGAGCCATTAGCAACCACTCCTTGTTTTATCCGCGCCCAATTCGGGACGATCGCGCAAACTCTTGCTCTTTCCCTTATGAAAGAAGTCCTACTCTCTCTGGAAGAACTAAGTCTCAAGAACGGGCTGCGTGTATGGCCTGTCGCACTCGCAACTCTCATGCTGGTTCTTATGACCATCGAGTCAATACAATATCACGCCTCGAAACTGCCGTATCACCATAATTACGATTCCACGGAGTCAAAGCCGGGAAGCGAAAGCCAGCTCGAAAATGAAGATGCTGTCAAGTCTCTTCTCGCTTTTTACACCGCTCGTTTTGGAGACTACCATTCACGACTTCATGATATGAGAGATAGAACGGCTACCGGGTCGAGCGATCTTGATATGAATCCCGAGGACAAGTTCATTGAGAATATCCGTGAAATGATAAAGAAAATTTCGCTGGGGGAATATGCAGTGCGTAGAGCGGGTGCTGAGAGAGTAGATCAGGACATGCAGTGGTTCTTCGATCGGCTGGTTGCGCGCTTGCTGGTTTTGGACACGAAGTAATTGTTTGGAAACATACAGCCTTGTCTCTTCGTCCGAAAGATCCTCCGCAAATCGGTTTTCCCACCGCTCGTCAACTATTGTCGTTTTTTCTTTTCTTTGTGATTAGGATATCTGTGCATGTAAGATCTTCTCGTTCATATTAGCTCGTGACCGAAGTAATCCATGCTATTTTCACACCTTATCTCCCCCACTAGTGCTCATCGACAGCTTGGTGTCAAATCGATAACCACGACTTAATCAGTACCATGTGATTTCAAGCCAGAAGTTTTGGCAAGGCTGGAAAAGCTAATCAACGGTTCCGCAAAAGGCATGTTGTTGGCTTCATTGACAAATGAGTTATCCTATCCTGAACGTCGTCCTAACTGAACGAAGCTTGTTTGACACTTATTGTTGTGGATGCAGCCAGCCTACATCGAAGTTGACTAGCTCGTATGAAAGAGTAATCTAACTGTTAAAAATCGGTCCAATCAGCTTGCTAACGATTGAGCAATGAGGCGATGTCGATTCTAAGGGAGAAGAAAGCGAAATAAGGTATAATAATCCACCCGACCAACCCCAGCATCTATCTACCGAATGTAGATGATGATGATGAATTCAAGTCAAAAATAAGAATATGCCTCGCTAGTGATCAGATGGTCATGGATTCCCGCTACTTGAGACCACAGCGGTAGTCGAGCTTTTCTCCTCTGTTGCCGAGCTCTTCATATTAGCATCAAGCAAAAGTGCCGGACAAAACCTGTCCGACTGTGGGAAGCAGTAAAACGGTTTCTCTTAAAAGATCAGACAAAGCTACGCCTGTAATTGTTGAAGACGTAGTTTCGCGCTGATATATAGTTTGTAGCAGAGAGCTTACGGGTTGTATAATTCTATACATATATTTCTTCATGAAAAGTCCCTTCTTCGCCTCGAAGGGTATCTGATCCGGTACGCAGGAAAACAATCATGAAGTAGTGAAACCATCCAACGATAATAAAGCCATAGAAGAAGGTAAACAGAAATAGTACAAAAAGATCATCATTTCTCATCAACCCCTACTTCACAGCCATAACCCACTTCTTGAAAGCCCAACAAGCAACAATCAAATCCCTCTGCCTAATCCATTCTTTTCCTTCCCAGATACCATCCACAATCTTCAAACCCCCCTCCTGGTCTTCTCTCGCAACAACCGTCCCCTCCCCATCCACCCAACAACCAGTTTTGACCGTAAACAACGACCTCCGATTCCACTCCTGCTCACTCTTATACCCATACTTCTGCATCCTCGCTTCATTCGCCGGATTCAAACTATCCTTCGCCAGGCTCCTCGTATAATGCACAAACTTAAACGAGCGTTGCCTTTTGATCCACGACGGTGCGCCAATCTCCACCTTAATTTTACCAGGAAGTGTGCGGCTGCGATGTCCTTTTATCTCGTAATGATATGGGAGACCTACGACGTGGAAGTTGTCATACGCGGTGATGGAGTAGAGCGTCAAGTCATCGTCGTAGACGATTTTAGAAGCCGCAGAACGGGTGTCGTTGCTGCTGGAGTAATGAACAGAACATGATCTTGCTTCTGTTGGTAGCAGTTTTCGGATACTGAGCTTTCTAGCTCTTCCTTTTTCAGTGGTTTCCTGGTGCAGGTGGTAGCGTGCCATGGTGTTTGGTGAGGTCGTGTAGATCAAAGGAGACTCGTGCTTGAATGTTCGGATTTGGTCGTCGAGAGGGGCGTATGTGGGTGGTTTGTCTTCTGTGTTGTTGATTGTGATTGAGGAGGCACGGGATATATCTTCGGGGGTGGGTTCAGCGACTAGTGTAGAGACTGTAAGGGATGAAGAGCTTCGGCTGCGGTTCTGACTTGAAAGCGTATTGGACCGAAGGAGAGAAGAGACCGGGTCTGCTCTGCTACCTTCATGCTCGTCTGGAGTATATGCCGTTTCTGCACTCAGTGAAGCTGTGTAGGGTGGCGGGTCCATTGTCGTGAGCTTTATCTGTGTAGGTTTTACCTGATTTATGGATCCCGATGATGATGATGATGATGATGATGATGATGCCGGGCTTGCGCAGCTGAGTCTACCGTCACTGTAATTATTTCTGTTGGTCTTTATATGCCTACTTTTTATATTACAGCCAGATCTATCCAAATGACGAATATGCAGGGGTTTTGTGTTGTGAGTATGATATGGTCGGTTTCCGTGTTCTTTGGCGTTTACTCGAATGATGATAGAAGGCTGATGCGAGGGGCTGTGCAGAACACCACTTTGCACATCCTGGGCTCGTCTATTCGAGATGCATATGCACGTAGGCAACTTCATGATATGTTTTAGAGAATTATGTAGGCAAATGCCACGACGCAAGTGGATGTCCGAACCTACGGAGACCCTCTTCAAGTTAGGTGGGAGTTTTGCCGAGTCTAGTCGATGCGGAGCAGCCCGTATCTTGAATGTTGCTACCAAACGGATCTTAGATGGGGACATCGTGAAGTGTAGCTCACGTGATACTTTCTGGGGAAGAGAAGCGGCTCTGATTGGCCGCTATTCATGGCGCTTTCTTCCTAGAAACACCAGAAAACCATCCACTCGACAACCAGCCATATTGACTACTTCCTCACCCAAGCCACGACTCAATTCGTCTCTCCATGACACTCCTCAGACGCTTTCTTCTTCTCCCACTGATCCCCCAATTATCCTACGGCAGCGCTTTCCACACCGCCAATAAACGCCTCCCTACCTGCGCCAATCCTTTGTACCGCACCATGGCCACGGCCAACAACACCTCCCCCGCGGCGGACACGAACACGAACGCGCCCCCTACTGAAAACGCATCACAACAGCCTCTCGGCCTACCTGAGCCAGCTGCAGGGAGCGGAGCGATCGAACTCGACGTCGGCAGCGGGCAGAGCGTGAAGCTTGATCACCTAGGACCCATGGTAGTCAATCGCGATGGCACGCTGAGTCGCATTGGCAATTGGGCTGAGATGACGGAGATCGAACGGCGGAACACTTTGAGGGTTTTGGGGAAGAGGAATCAACTTCGCTTAGATACGATAAAGGCACAAGAGGGGGAGGATGCGGGAGACAAGTGATGGAGTTTCATCCTCGAAATGGAGATACGGTTGCGGGATAGTTGTACGTGTACGATAGCATGTGATACAAGATTGGATGACGAGAATTTCCTGTATCGAAAGGCAGAAAAATGAAATACAGGCCCGAGCCAACCAGCAATGACGTCAAGCGCTCCGCCCCGCGTATCCCCATAAACTACCCTTCAAAGGACAAACAACAAACCAGAATCCATTTCATCCAACTCGATACGAATCCCCATAGCAGGTTGCATTCGCCTGCCCCCGTCCTATTCCGTCCCAGACCGAAGCCGAGCACCGTCTTCCACCATGGCGCCCGATACAGCAACCGACAACACACCCGCACAGCACCCCAAAGACCACCCGCAAGACTTCCCTAGCTCCGATGCCCTAAAAGAAGCCGCCTCTCATGCCGAAAAGGCTATAGCAGCTCAAGGCATGGCCAACAAGCTGCGCGAAGCCGCCTCTTCCTTCACCGACCCCAAGAAGCGGGAACAAATGCTGAAAGATGCGTACAACAAGGAACTCGAGGCCCACGGTAGCAGCAAAAAGGCACGCATGCTGCAGAGTGGTGCGTTTCAGGGAAGCGTCGGTGGCGCTGGCATAGGAGGAGCGGTGTCCGCAGGGGTCGGCACAGTCGTCGGAACCGTCGTCGGGACTGTCACAGCAATTCCGGTAACGGGATTGGGGGCATTGGTTGGGGCCGGCGCGGGGGCTATACATGGGCCGTGGATTAAGTTGGGGTCTTTAGGCGGAGGTGGCAAAGATGGGAAAGATGGTGGGGGCGAGGAGAAGGGCGATGGCAAACAGGAAGAGGTCAACCCTGAGGACGAAGATGCTGTACCGAACCCAGAGGCACTACGTAAAGCTGCTGATATGCTAGCAGAGGAGAGGAAGAAGCAGGGCCTGCCACCGGATGGAGAGAACAAAGATGGCGAAAGTGAAGAGAAGAAGCAGGAGAAGAAGAAACCACGCAAGATCGAGATACGATCGCAAAAGGAGAGTGAGCAATGACCGAATTGTTCTGTTATCCCCCTTTTTGAATGAGTAGTTGAGCGTTTCTTTGGAATAGCTTTGTCGTTTTCTGTATCGGGATATACCCAGCATCAATCATCATCATTGAACTGTAGATTGTCATCAGATCCAATGATCCATCTACCTTGCTCTTCCCATTCTAACTTGAAAAGAGTGTGACTGCTATGTATCTGTTAGCAAATAAGTTGCTCTCGAGAGCGTACTATGAAGTACAGAGTACGGTGGTATGCCTATGTTTGAGATTCCCTTACTCTAGACGTTACGTGCCATTACCCTATATTCACTACCCAGCGTGAGTGTGGCTGGTGAGCTGGATCGATCCAGAGTAGTGGGATACCAGCGCCGCTGCACCCAGACCCGCCAAATTCACAGGTGTAGCTCACGCTTTCTAACACAACATTATTCGCCTTCTCCAACGCTGGCCAACTACTTAACCTTTGCCGGTGCTTATCTAATTTGTTGATTCATGTTGTCCTCCAGACGTAAACAGAGGGCGGCCCGCCCAGCCAAGACCCACCGCAGTGTAGAACCACCGACACGTAGACTGATGGATCCATCCTTCGAACACCCCCATCTCTAGACTCTGCCCTAGGAGAAAGAGACTCATCGCTGTGCAAAGCGTGCTGCCCGCGATTCCGAAATCCCATTGTCGCAGCCAATGTAGCCGTACACGTTGCAGCGCCGAACCGATCAGAACTGAGCGAGCGGCGCCGCATCTTCGCCGTATCGTGTCGCATCGCTCGCAGCCTCACGATGCCGCTCGTCACCCCTTCGAGGATCGTCTCTGGCGTGATCTCATTGCTGTTTCTCTTGCTGCTGTGGAGATATGGCATGCCTGAGGATATATCCTCGTACAAACAACCTATCCTCGGCCACGACGATAATCCGCATTTCCCCCTTTCCGAGTCGCTGGCGTCGTCGCATGATAAGACGGGAGGCTCTGGCGGCGAAGACATCATATCGCCGCCTCCGTTCGATTCGACACAATCGCCTTCTCCGCTCGGTTCCAATGCAGAAGCCGAGAAGAAGCCTTCCCACATCACGCCAAATACGTTGTGCCAAGATGTCCGCGGCGCATCTTCCGTCATGATCGTGCTTCGAACAAGCAAGGTCGAGCTCGAAAAGAATAATCTCCCAGCACATTTGACCAAGCTCCTTGAGTGCGCTCCAAACGTGGCAGTATATAGCGATCATGTCTCCTCCCTCTCCACTACCACAACCGGCCCGAGCATTCCCGTCCGCGATGCCCTCTCCACCATTGCGCAAAGCACAAAGGACAAGCACGACGAGTTTCGCCCGTACGACAAGATGCTGTCAGATAACTCCTACACTAGTTCTCCACAATATGCTTCAGCGCTCGACAAGTGGAAGTACCTGCCCATGATTTACGATGCCTTCACGAACTCTCCCAAGCACAAATTCTATCTTTTCCTCGAACCTAACACGAGCATCACCTGGACGAATCTTCTACAATGGCTCGACCGCCTCGATTCGCGCATCCACTACTATGCCGGCGCCCCCTCCACTAGTCCAGACACGAAAGTCCGTTTCGCGCAGTCCAGCGCCGGGATCCTCCTCTCGTGGGGCGCTCTACGCCGATACGCGAAGTCATACGAAGAGCGATACGCTACAGAGTGGGAATCACATGTAGGGAAGGAATGCTGTGGGGAAATCGCACTGGCAAACGCCATGACCGATTCAGGCGTCGAATTCATTTCCTCGTTTCCAATCCTACAGACCCAGTCTCCGAGCACACTTCAATGGTCTGAGCGGCATTGGTGCTCGCCGATGGTCTCATGGGGCTCCACCGAGGAGGAGGATGCCAGTAAGCTGCAGGATCTTCAGCAAAAGTGGACTGTCAAAAGAGGTTGGACAACGCCGCTCCTCGCGCGGGATGTATTTGAGGAGGTCGTGATGCCGCGGTTGACCAAGATCAAAACCGAATGGGATAACGAAGTTGGCGACACCGTCATCAGAGGCGAACCTGGATTCAAAGAGAAAGAAGAAGAACGCAAAAAGAACGAAGCCGAATCCGAAAAAAAGAAACAGCAAGAAAAGGAAGAGGAAGATCGCAAGAAGAAACAGGAAGACGACGAAGCAGCAGCGAGAGAAAAAGAAGAAAAGGGCAATATAAACCCGCTCCGATTTCACCGTCGCGCCCCTTCAAATACCACTTCAGTATCGTCTACCGCAAAACCATCTCCAACACCCCCTCCCCTCCGCCTCGCCGCTACCTCTGTCACCGCATGCGAAGAAGTCTGCCAACTTGCATCCGACTGCCTACAGTGGCGCTACACCCCCTCCGGCGAAGGCGAATGCCATCTAGGAAAATCGGTTCGCCTGGGCCGGTCTACTAAAAAGTCACCCCCTTCGCAACACGAACCGCGTTCCCCAGCCCCAGCTCACCCCGGCGTCGGGAAAGACAAAGACGAGAATAAGGAAATAGAGGATCTCAAAAACAGCGAGAGAGAGTGGACGTCTGGCTGGATCGTAGAGCGCATCGAAAAGGTTACGAAAGCCTGGAAAGGGTGTGAGGGTACAGCGGATTGGAGGTTTAATGGTTGAAATCATCGCGGGTGGTTTTGTATATGAAATGGGCCTACCTCCTGCTTTTTGAGGGGCTTCTCACAAGCGAGCATGCGGTGTTTTCCCGATGTAGAGGAAGGGTAGACTTTTGTTGCATATACCCTGCGGGAAGGCATGATTGGATTAGTGTCTTATGGGATGGTGCTTGTTTGATAGATAAGAGGGTTTGGTATACTGGAGTGCTTGGGTTCTGTTTTTAGCGTGTATAGGGATAGGTCAATGAAATGCCAATCTTTCGAATTCGTTATCTTGTATCATGTGTGTGACAGTAAATCTGCTCATTATATGCTATGCCTTCACTGTGGAAAAGACCATCATTCTCGTACAATCAGATAAGTTGAACAAGCTGGCACATAGCATAGCACGAAAGCTCTACCAGGGCTCCTTGGATGTAGTCTAGGGACTTTCTGCAGCTCCCTTTCCCCCGAATCCAACTCAAACGTATTTAATCATAGAAGAAAAAACCAGATGACGTTCCGAGGAGCTTCAGCTTAAGCTTTGGCACCAAGCCTTCCCGCCACGTTGAGGTCTCCACAGTCCACGTTCAAAATAAGCTACTTTTAGCTAACTAAACAGTTAGAGACCGCAGCGATCCGATCCGGCCTCGAATGCCGACCATGTCCGAAATTTCTCCTCGTCGTCACTATGAAACTCTGTCAATTGAAACAACCTCTTTGATTGGGAAATTCTGTTTTGGTACGCGGAAAAGCGGTTCATGCACAGATATGCATGCTTACGAAGCCATGGACACTTTCTGTGAGCGGGGTTGGTAACACACTTCTCCAACCCCCATTACAAAGGCTCCCACGAACTCTCGGATCTGTCTACCAAACCACCCCACCCCGATAACACGGTAAATCACTCATCCATGTCAAACGGCCACCCACCCTCGCAAGTATTCCTCCCCTCCCCCCAGTCCTCAACCCATGTTAAAAGGTTAGTCGTATGCGCTGACTACACCCAATACATATCATCGTGACGCAACCATGGTCTCTTCACATGTACAGCAGGTACTTGCCTGCTCTTACAATTGGATTGATTCGATCGTGGGATCTAAGGTTGTGATTTAGCTGCAGTTCGTAACATGTGGGGTTGCGGCATGACGAATGCTTATTCAAATTGCACAAACAAGAAAATGGGCGTTTTTGGTGTATCTGTCGCTGGGGGTGGATCTAGGATAAGTAGGTAGGTGGTTCATATGTGACGTCTAGCTCGTGCTGTTGGTTTGTATTTTCACGCCTACTCTCTCTTCTTCTTCTTCCCTTTTTTGTAGGGAGTTTTGGTTGGATTTTGTGATACCATAACTCGACTGTCTATCTTGAGCTCTTGTTAGTTGAATCGAGGCTGCTGTGTGAATTTTTGACATGGCGCCCGGAGAACCCCATCATGAGGTGTTCAAGCAACAAGGCGAGGAGCCTTGGTTTGGCGAAGAGAGGGAGGGGTGGGGTGGTTATATCGAGTGGGAGAGGGTACGTATACATCCAAACCCCATTCATCTCGCCTGTAAATCAACGCTCACGTTTTTTATAGTACCCCGAAAAGAAGAAGCAGGCAACAGAGGTATTGTCGAGATATGACTTTCCTGTGGTAAGTGCTCTATGTGAACAAAGTCTAGTAACGATGTAGGGATCAGTGGAATATTTTTTGATAGTTTTCTGTGGTAGCCACCTGAGTTCCAACTGTTACCACTGCCGAACAAAAATCCGATCTTAGAGGGGGTGAGATGGAAGTACTACCATTACGCAATGGGTCCTACGCTCCGCCGTATGCCGGATATCTCATGGGAGTATGTGAAGAAGGAGAAGAGTCCCGACATGATTCATGTCTTGCAGTTCCCGTATAATGGGGAGCCTCCGAGGGTGAGTCGTATTACCTACTACTGCTAAGCATCCCGCGCTAATTTTAACTCCAGGACAGACTGGTCAAGGTAAGATCTCGAATTCCAGGCATGAACTATTGTTATTGCGCGCGATAGATAGCCAGGAGTGTTCCACTGACCAAGCTAGACCGAGATCACTCCTAACAAGGATCATTTCGTCCGGAACCATGGCGGTATCCCAGAGATTGATGCAGGGGAGTACTACTTTGATGTAGAGGGTCTGGTGAATGACCCGAAACGAATCACTTTGAAGGAACTTCAGGACGAATCAATCTTTCCCCGCATGTCGAAGGTCGTGACGCTTCAATGCTCCGGCACTCGACGTATTGAACAGATTAACGAGTATCCGGGAGATGGCGATGAACTTATCAACGCGCCCTGGGGTGAAGGTGAGCTCTTTCTTGGAAAACCACGAGAAAAAAGAAACAGCTCCACTGACGCTACATCCTGAACCATAGGCGCCATAGGAACCGCTCGCTACACAGGTGTCAGCCTAAAGAAGGTCATCAAATACTGCGGCGGCCTCAAAGAAGGCGGCAAACACTGCGAGTTCTTCGGCGCAGACACCTATTTCAAGAAAGGCAACGTGTACAATTACGTCGTCTCAGTCCCGTACCGTAAAGCCAAAATTCACGAAGTAATGCTCGCTTGGGAAATGAACGGAGAGCCCCTCCCGCGCATACACGGCTACCCCCTTCGCGTCGTTGTCTTTGGATATATCGGCGCCCGCAGCTGCAAGTGGCTGTACAAAATCAACGTCATTGAAGAACCCAGCCTCGCACCCGTGCAGATGAAGGAGTACATCTATTATAGCCCGCAGATGGGGAAGCATAATGTGACGTATAGCAATGGGTTTAGTATACAGACTATGCCGGTGTCGAGTGCGATTATGACGCCTGTTAATCATCAGCAGATTGTGCATGATGGGAAGATCAAGTTGACGGGTTGGGCGTTTTCGGGGAGTGGGTGGCCGGAACGCGTAGAGGTGTCAGGAGATGGAGGCAGTATTTGGTATGAGGTGCCATTTGAGCAAGTCAGTAAAAAGTCAGTATACGCGTATCTTCAGTTTCTTTGCGGGACAGTAAGACCTCAAGACTGACTCTTACGATGAAGGTACTATCACGCGTGGCGCGTGTGGGAGTATGAGATGCCCGTCGACGCTGAGGGCTGGCTCGAGTTTTGTGTAAGGACGTGGGACAATGCACTCAATGTTAGTTCTCACATCTGGAATTCTTGTAGAAAAAGGCAAGGTACTAACACTATTCGAAGACTCAACCGACTTTCGTGAGAAGCGCATGGTACATCCCCACATACCTGTCCAACCTTCAACTTTGCCAACAAAACACTAACGCTTCTTAGGAACTGGGACCTTCACGTTACTTCATCATGCCAGTAAGTTCACTTCTCGCTCTCCTAACTCTTGTTTCCGTCGTTTCTCCTTTTTAGAAAGTAACGCTGATAAATCGACTTCTGCAGCCGCGTCAAAATCTACAGTGTCAACAGAACAAAACCAGCGACCGCACGCCGCTTGAAACAACTCGAAGAAAGAGGACAATCCATGGTTCCCATAACACAACCACCTGAGTTCGATCTCGAGACTGAGGAAGAATATCTGGAAATCATGAGGAAGAAGGGAGGGAGAGATCCCGAGGAATAGATGTTGGGAAGAAGAGGCGAGAAGCAGAGAACTGGTGGAGAGGGGGTATCTGTAGGAACAATGAGTGCATGGTCTAGCGTATGTGAATTACTTTATCTGCTTTGCGTTCTAGTCCGTCACGCGTCTTATTCTGCAATGCGCAAAATTTGATGAACCAGTAGCGCATCGTGCTTACTTTCATGTTAACAATTTGCTTTTACAGTCCAACGTCTCTTCATGCACCTATTCAACTATTCTCCTTCAATCGATACAGTAAATTAACTCTTCCAACATCTAGCCAACATCACAATCTAACAGTCAATGTAGACCGCCAGGCGCATAAACCAAGTCGCTCAATTTACCCGAGCCTCAACCCTTTCCAGGAACGATCCATGAAACCTGGGTTCAACCCCATCTACTTTCTCCGCATTTTCGGCTAATCATCGTCTACCCTGCACTTGAGACGCGCAAAATCCCATGCTGAATAGCAGAAACGCACGGCATTTACTGTCATGCGATGCAACTTTACCCCAGATTACACCCACTTTTATCCCTTCGAGAACAGACTTAGAAGAACGTTTAGGGAGGAGAACGCATGGAGACAAATAAATTTGTGGTCTGATGGGGAGGTATTGCGGGGTGGTTTGGGGGTGAGGCTTCGGAGAATATTGATATGCGGCTGAGAGTTGCTGGGGGAAGATGGGCGTTGGCCCCATGGGTAATTAGGTGGAATAGGTTATGGGTTGGTATATGAGGATGCGGATCTGCCTTCGATGCGGGGATATTTCGCAGGTTGATTGCGAAATCCCGCTTTCTCTTTTCTTTCGCTCGGTACAGGAAACACAAGCCATCTTCTTTCCCCTCACTTTCCTCAGATAGATCTAGCGATTGGGGTTCCAATTGAGAACCTTTACCTGATATGGATTATACGTATTCCTGTACTTGTAGGAATGAAGACTCAATTTGCAAGCTTGCTAGTTGCAGAGGACCGCAGATGGGAACTTTCTTGGGGTCATATCACTCAAACGACACAAACAATTGGCGCTCTCAGTATGTCCAAAGATTCCTTCGGTCAAAGCAAGTACATCCTAATGCTTTCTAGGTTGCAACAGACGGCATCAACACGTCATACTCGATACAGTAGACGAGAACCCACGAATTCACCAATTCTGAGGAGTAGCACTACATCTGAGTGTCCTCACAGGTCCGCGTCAGGATATCCCCACAGGCGTAAATCTCGGAATTCACCGCGGCATCGATCTGGAGCATCGAGAACCGCTGCAGCCTTCATTGTACCATTCCTAACCACACTGGTTGTCCCGGTGTCAACTGCGCCAGCAAATCCCAAACGATCACTTCACAACCGCCAGGCCATTCCCGATCAATTTGGACGAACTGGAAACGAACCAGCGCCCGTAAAACCAGACGTTTCACCACTTCCACCACCCTTCACAGTCTCATCATCAATTCCTAAATCTTCTACCAGCACCGAAACCATAATACCCACCATCACCTCCGCCTCGTCTAGGGTCCTCTCAATCTCCACATCGATTCCAACACCATCTTCCAGCGCCGAACCCTCAATACCCATCACACTCTTTACTTCATCTACAGCACCCCTCCCCACACAGACCCCTACGCAATCTTCCTCCGTAGAACCGCCCCTAGAAACCTCCTCCATCCCCATCCCAGACCCAACATCAATCCAACCATCCTCGCCCATCTCATCAGCGGCAATAGCGGGAATAGCCCTAGGCAGCATCGCCTTCGCCCTCCTCCTCTTCGGCCTCACATTCCTATACTTCTGCGCCCGGCGTCGAAATCCAAGCGGGATCACTGAAATCGTGCCACAGCGCACATCGCGATTCTTCAACTTCAATCGAAGACGGTCTTCATCTTCTTCGTCGTATCTGCGACGCACGAGTTCGTTCACGGAGGAGGTATCGTCATTTGAATGGACTTCTGCAAGGAAGAGATGGAATATCAGAAGAAAAGGGGCGAAGGGTGGCAGTGGGAGTAGCAGCGAGAGGGGGTTACTGCGGAAGAGCAGTATTAGTCATCCGAGGATGGTGCCGGAGGTTCCGGAGGGGATTGAGTGGCTGGAGAAGCCTAAGCCTGCTTTTTTGGCCGAGGACGGTGTTGTTGATGCCGGGAGGGGAGGTGTGGATGGTGACGATGGGAGGAATAGGATGTGGTTTGGTGAGTTCGGTGGGGCTGGTGGGGAAGATCGGAGGCGGTATCCTGTTAGACCTGTGAGAAGTGCGGAGCCTTTGGGTAGGTTGAGTGGGATGGGTTTGGGGATGGGGTTGGGAGAAGCTAAGTAGGGCTTTGTGAGATTGAAATCAAAGTATATATGAAGATATTTGCCTGGTATATACGCACTTCAGAGCCTTCCTTGATTTTACCTTTCTCGAATCTATCGTGTTTGATTATCGCGACTACTTTCACTTGTTCCTAAGTGGATAGCTTACGACAGGACAAAGAGCTGTTTTTGGGTCCATTGTTCTATGTTTCAAAACTTGGAGCTATACAACATAAAGGCATGTTTTGATTTTTGGAAATATTTTCCTTTGTTATTTTTTTTGACATTTCTTAATTTAGCATATGTACTTGTATGTTCTGCAAGATGTTCATGACATAGCGTGGCCGTTCATCTTTCGGGCATTACTAGTAGCTCGCCTGGAGCGGCTATTCAACGTCTTCGATGTACAATGAATTACACTCTCATCACATGTCTCCTTCTCTTCACATCGGCTCCGTTGAATGCCAAAAGATTGGCGGAGCCCTTAGGATCCTTGACACGGCCAGGTGTAGCCAGCTCAAGCACACGGGCCTTGATGGCTTCTGCGCTGGACGGTCCCTCGAGACCACGAAGGTAGGAAACGAGACCACCAACGTGCGGGCATGCCATGGAGGTTCCTGAAGCCGACTGAGAAGCACTATCCGATGTGTAGCCCGCAGAGAGAACTCCAGTTCCAGCAGCGAAGATGTCGACAACAGGACCATAGTTTGAACCTTGAGGGCCGTCGTTGAGGAAATCGCTCTGCTGAACACCGCCAACGGTGAGAGCTTCGGGGGAGCGGGCGGGAGATGATTCGGATGCGTCGCTGTTCTGATTACCAGCTGCAACGACGGCGAGGACACCTTGGTTCCAGGCGGCGGTCATGGCGGCGTCCCAAGTTGCACTGGCTCTTCCTCCAAGAGACATGTTGATGACAGCGGTAGAAGTGCGGTTCTTGGTGACGATGTCGTTTACGGCCCAGTTGAATCCGTCAATGACTTGGGATGCTGTTCCACTGCTACCCTCGAAGACCTTCACGGCAACCACCGTGGAGTTTTTGGCGACTCCGTAAGTGATGCCAGCCATGGTTCCAGCAACGTGTCTGCAATGCCTCGTAAGTATTCATTCCTTGTCCGACCATCCAGGTTCAGCTTACGTTCCATGACCATTGTTGTCGACCGAAATGTTGTTGACAGAATTGTATCCCCACACTGCACGGCCATTGAATTCATTATGAGTGAGGCGTACGCCCGTGTCAACGACGTAGTTGAACGTTCCGGTGCCCGCGCTCGAGTCGTAGACGTAGCTGGTGGCGTTGCCCGTGCGAGAGGAGATGCTAGCGAGACCCCAGGTAGAGTCTGTTTCTGTTCGCACCAATGTTAGCGCGCTGTTCAACACAAAGGTTGATTTTAACTCACGAGTGACGAATTCTCCGTACAAAGTCATCTCGTAATCTTCCTCGACAGTCATGACCTGTAATTGCGTAAGCAAAATGTCACGTTCAGCGTGGATTGAGTTTGCGTACCTCGGGCATGTTCCTGAGTTCGTCGACGGTTGCATCATCGAAAGCCCCAGCGTATCCTTTGAACATCCCAAACCCGAATTCGCGCTCAATGCCTGCGGACAGAGTGTGGATTTCACTTCGAGCGAGGTTGCGACGGTGAATCTCGCGCACATTGATCATGTGGGATGCGACGGTTGCGACATCGGCTTCGGGCTTCAATTGAACGATCCATTTTCCAGGAATCGTCTGGGTGGACACTGGATCAACGGGCGCAGCTTGCCCAAGGAATGGAAGCGCCGCAGCGGCGAGGGCGAGAACTCGAACAAAGGACTGCATGGTAGAAGGCTAGATGGAAAAAAAAAAAGAACGACGTATGAGACCCCGAAGTGTCTTGGGCAAGTCTGCAAAAAAGCGGCCAGGCAGGCTACTTTATATTGAAAGTCTTTATCGATCTACCCGACCCCTACCTGCTTGTCGTCGTACCGACAGACCCGCATTTTAGGCCTCATCTGGTATGTTGATGTTCGACCTTCCAATCTAGCATTGCATCGGCATAGCCGCTCGTCAATTTAGGAGAGTCGCAAGACTGGGAGGCAGACTACGTCGTTGCCAAGGGATTCAGGGGCGAGAAAGCGATCCGTGTGTACGGGGAGATTAATCAACCCTGGTGGATCTCCTTCCTATTGGGGCGGTCGATCAACGCGACGCGATGGAGAAATCTTGATTGGAGCCGAGCAGATTGCGTGCTGAAGATCTATCTGCTTTGCCACTGTCCCAATAGGATGAATGTTGTCTGCCATGTCTTGTATGGAGCAGTTCAGGTGTTTGGAATTCATCAAACAAGATGGTGATGTTCTGAAGGCCAAGTCCTAGATCTGACGAATGATGGATGAGCTACTGTGAACAAGTAGAAACTTATTGTCTGTAGCGACTCAGGGTATGCAATATTGAAACATAGTATAGAGAGAACTTACGATAATGATGGCAGAAAGGCATGATGAGAGGCTTTGGTAATGAAATTAAATATGCGCTTGGTTTCATGCTTTCAGCCGCGTAGTCTCATTTGTTAAGCGATAGCCTCGGCCGCCTTTCCGATCCATGTGGGTTCTGGCCACATCGCCATGACCTTCTAAATCAGTCAGCTTTTCCTTGGTTGAAGGGTTGGCGGTCGTTGATTTGTCGCAGTGTTCGACTGAGCTACATAGCCATGAGAAGATAGAGGTTTTGGCCGTATGTACGACCTCGCGTGCGATGCCGTGTGGCAGTTTAACCGATGGCGGGTAAGGATTAGAGAGCGGTGCGCATGACGACGTGATCTTGAAGTCCTGAAGGTTCAGAGGTGTACATGTGAATGAAGCGTTAGCGAGGTGAGCACCATTTGTCTAATGAGTTGATTATGCGTGATAGAGTCAACTTCGGAGTTGTCACTGCATACAGGATAGACAGCAAAGACAAGAAATGAGTCTGCAGTTTTCAGCTGGCTTCTAGCAGTTTGTCTTTGCCCAGTCAATGCAGCCCCAAAGGACCCAAACAACTGATTTATCTCGTACGCGCTAATGTTGCTCGCGACGATATTGCTTTCGCACAGTCTCTCCACATTCTACCTGACTGTTTTCAACTTGTCTCCAGATCTAATGTGGGCCTCTGATACATTTCACGAACATCTGGCTCGAGCTCCCGTGCCATACGAATGTCAAAGTGAGGCTAGCAGCCCCATCGGCGCTGTGTATACAGGCGCAACGTGTAGAAAATTGGTCCTTTGGAGTAGGAGGTGATCATCAGCTTGAATAGACAATTAAGGGTCTACTATTTCTCTATTCTAGTCGGATTGGTTCAAAGCTTGAATATACAGACCACTCAATTGTCAATTAGAGGCCTGAATGTTCGCTGCACCCCCACTGATCACCAGAGTCGTGTTCTGCTTGCGAGAATTGCCTCATACATGTCAGTTACCCTGAGAAAACATGCAGATCACTAATGAAATATTGTGTAATGTGTAGTTCTGGCGCGCGTCATGATGCAATATACCGTTCCAGAATTTCTTGTCTCGCCATGAGTAGCTCGAGTTACAAGTGCATCTTCTTACCACCGGAATGACGATTAGTAGCCAGGAGGTCGGACACCCTATTAGCAAAACGCTGTCTTCAAGCCATGGACTTGAGAATTATGTATTCGTATATGGCTATGCATTGTACCCTATATACACGAAAGAGAGTATAGCAGACATAATGTAGACAAAACGAACACACCGGATAGCGCACAAAAAGCAGCTGCGTCAAGATAAAACTCACGCCTAGGTAACCTTCATTTCACAGCTCACAAGGAGTTTTTCCAGAGCAATTGACCTGAGATGAAGCTTCATGGCGAAAGTTTGCGCTCAAAATAACGATCCGAACGCGGAACATGAAACACGCAGCTCAAGATCTCTATTCGCTCCCTCCCATTTGCTTCCTCAGGCGACGGTGATACAAGCTAATGTTAGCTAGCTTCAGAACTCAAGTCGACCGTCTACGCGGGAAAACCACAGTACTGTCGCACGATCTAATCTCTGTCAGGCAACGTTCTTGCAGTAGTTGCTGACGAAAAGCTTAGAAAGCGACGCCTGAACGCTTTTGCACTTCATCGTGGGGACTAAGGGCGTCAAGAGCCGTGAACTTGTAGATCACCCGCAAGATCTCCATAATCGTGGTTCCACCGCTTTTTTCTCCTGATAAACCGCTGAGTGTGTTCCGTAGATCATTTTTCGCACGAGAACACTGGCGTTGTAAAAAGAAAGAAAGAAGACGAAAAAATTATTTGTCAACAGATATTCTATCGCCACAGGTCCTGAGATTAACGAGGCCAAAATTAGCGATGCCGGAAACGCTCAAGACTCTTGGAAGCTTGTCATCAGGCATCGAAATGTCAATTTCTGCCTGCTGCATCGAGCGAAGGACTGTGTGACTACTGCCAAGAGCACAGAAGCGTTTCTAAGATGCTAAGCTTTGCGACGTGCTGTAGCAGGTGTAAGTCTTCTCCACGCAAGGGCTTGAAGTTCTATACAGAGATCACAATGGCACATGCGGAAACTGCACACTCCGTGTGTGTTGCTGATATGGCTATACATAGCCATTTTGGGAGGGCGAAATCCAATCTCTTTCGAATATATATAATGGATGGACTGAAGTGCTCCTTTTGAGTTTCGCATCACACAACTTCCATTTCTAGTCTTCTACCTTTCTGCGGCTGGGCTGCTCTTTTTTTGTACTCTTTTCACTTCAAGTCGCTCTTTTCCTGCACATTTGACATTTAGTCACTCCTTCTTCACGATCCATTCCTTCACGGTTAAACGTCCATCACCATGAAGATTTCTATGATCACTGCGGCCCTGGGTCTGGCCATCACCACGCAGGCGCTGCCCGCGCCCGGCACTGGCGTCGCAAAACGGAGTCTTATGCATGCCGTCGAGGACGTTCAAGCTGCCAGCGCGCACGCACTGGCGAAAAATAGCCTCGTCGACGCTTTATTTGATGGGGGGGAGGACGCTGCCGCCGTTGAAGGAGATGATGCTGCTGCTGAGGGCGAGCAAGCTGCGGCTGAGAAGAAGAAAGGAGGAAAGGGTAAAGGCGATAAGAAAGCAGCGGATAAGGCTGCAGAAGAAGAGGCTGCTGCTGCTGCGGGTATGTTTCTACTTCAAACGAGTGTCGCGATCTCTTCTGACAGATCACAGATGAAGTCCAGCTAGAAGGCGAATTCGATGTCGCTATCGAGCTCGAAGGCGTGAGTTCCGGGATCATGTCAGGTCATTATTATTGTACTCACCTAACAACCCACACAGGGAGACGTCAAACAAGATGTACTATTCACCAAGAGCGTATGTTTATCCAATCCATGACTACAAATGCCACATCTAACCCTCAATTCCAGACCGTCGGATCGCTGGAAGTCGAATTCCAAAGCGCCGAAGCCGATACCCTCACAGTGACCCAGAAAGAGCCCGGCGGTGTAGCCCCCACCGGCTTCGACTTCGTCGAGCAGATGGCGTTCGAAATCGCGCTCGCCATCAGTGAAGGCCAAGGGCTTTCACTATCTAAGGTCGATTTTGTCTTCGACGCTGCGAGTCAGTCCACCTACCACACTTCATTGTCACCTTTCCATTCTCTCCATAGTGATCACTGACTCGATATTATAGGCCCCGAGCTGGAAGGAATCGACGTCACCCAGGCGGTGGTCGGCAAGCTCTGCGCTGAGACTGGAGCATTCGTGGTCGCGGAATCGCTTGGTGCGCTCGAATTTGAGGCAGAGGAGAACGAGATCTCGTTGGATTTGAACGCGGATGTTACTGCGCAGGGAGAATTCGGTAAGTTTCTCGCGCTTCCTTCTGCAGGAATGAGATTTGACCCCTTCTAGCGTTCTTCGTTCCCGTCGATGCCGCTGCCGCCGAAGAGGTTGTCGAAGACCCTGCTGCCGCCGAGGGCGAAGTTGTCGAAGATCCTGCTGCTGCCGAGGATCCTGCTGCCGCTGCCGCCGAGGAAGTAGTTGAAGATCCTCACGCCGCCGCGGCTGAAGAGGTTGTCGCAGATCCCCATGCTGCCGCGGCTGAGGAAGTCGTTGTTGAAGATCCCCACGCTGCTGCTGCCGAGGAAGCCGTTGTTGAAGATCCTCACGCTGCCGCGGCCGAAGAGGTTGTCGCAGATCCCCATGCTGCTGCGGCTGAAGAAGCTGTTGTTGAAGATCCCCACGCCGCTGCCGCAGAAGATGCAAAACTTGCCCCTCACGAGCAAAAGGCGGCCGACGAGGCTGCAGCTGCTGAAGATGCCGCCCACCCTCCTCCACCTGAGGCCGCTGCTGCAGCTGAAGAGGAGGTCAAGGCAAAGGCCGCCGGCAAGGGACACCGCCGTGTCAAGCGCGTTGCTTACATGTCCTAAGTAATCCTAGCCACTTGACAACTTTCTTAGGTACTTGTACTTTGTTCCAGGGCCCAGTCTGAATCGGTAGATCGGACTTCACACTCGTTTCGCTTTTTTCTCGAAACCCCCATTTGGGGCGTTTTCTTTTCACTTCCTTGGTTGGATTTTGGGGTGGCTGATGATTCTGGATATACGACTGGGAGGTAAATTGATTGATCATCTCAGCTTATATAGCTGATTAGGAATGATCCAAAAGGATTCCTGAATTGAATGTTGTTGCTTGTCTATATTTGTTCATCAGTGATGAGTTCTCAACAGTTCGATGATCGAGCTCCGCGAGCACCGTGTATGTGAACTTCATCTAAGTGATTTCATGAGATAAAAGGCCCTTAAAGAATTCATTTAATAGGGAATTCAATTGCGAAATTTCTGATGTTCTTCGCGTGGATGGCAGATTGAACGGGCTTCAATCTTGGGAGGTACTGCAAACGTAGAGTATCAGGGGAACTGTTGGAGACTGCAACCCTAGTTGTTTGTAACAAAGAGCAAAACTTGCAACTTTCTATAAAGCCTACAATATCACTAGCAGGATCACATTTTCGAAATGTCAATAGATTTGGCCGAAGGACAGCAAGTAGTGGAAGAACAGATCAGGGGTAGAATCGCGGTATGCTAGGGGAGCATGTCGTCATTCGGAACTAAACTTCGGAACAGTCTGCCCCGCTTCCGAACGGAAAAAGTTTGAGCCAACAAAACACCAAGTCTGTAAACATCCGCCCGCAATTTGGATGATTAGGAGACAATTGACATCCCCATTCTTCTCTCACCGTCGTTCTCTTATACAATTCCCACGGTTCATAAGCATACCATACCGCAGAATGGCTGGTGTCCCCTCCACTTTCGATGCTCCGGTGCACATTGCCGTCATAGGCGGCACAGGCATCCAATCACTACCAGGCTTCACGCTCGCTGCCACCCTAGACGTCGATACCCCATGGGGAAAACCATCGTCACCCATCTCTATCCTCCAGCATCCATCGCCGACAACTGGAAAGCCCATTCCCGTAGCTTTTCTATCGCGACATGGTCTCCACCACGAGCTCGCACCCCACGAGGTCAAGAACCGCGCCAACATCGCAGCCTTACGTCACATTGGTGTACGCACCATCATCGCCTTCTCCGCCGTTGGATCTCTGCAGGAAGAGATCCGCCCACGCGACTTTGTCATCCCAGACCAGATAATCGACCGCACTAAGGGCATCCGGCCTTTCACTTTCTTCGAAGGCGGCATGGTCGGCCATGTAGGCTTCGGTGACCCGTTCGATACTAAGCTGTCTAAGATAGTGAGCCGGTGTGGAAAGTCTCTCCAAGGGGAGGGTGTGACATTGCACGATAAGGGAACATTGATCTGCATGGAGGGACCTCAATTTTCCACGCGCGCAGAGTCGAATCTGTACCGCTCGTGGGGTGGTTCAGTCATCAACATGTCGGCTCTTCCCGAGGCAAAGCTTGCGCGTGAAGCCGAGATCGGATATCAGATGATCTGCATGGCAACCGACTATGACTGCTGGCGCGGCGGTCCGGATGAGGATGTCAACGTTGAGATGGTCATGGCGCATATGAAGGCCAACTCAGAGAACGCTCGACGCTTTGTGGGCGCGGTTCTCGATGAGTTGAGCAACGAGGAGCACAGCGAGCAGGTTTTGGCGAAGCATTTGGAGGGTCAAACGAGATTTGCCGGTGCCATGACACACAAGGAGGCTAGGGGTGAGGTTGAGAAGAAGCTGCAATGGCTCTTCCCTGGGTATTTCGATTAAGAGCTGGCTATACATATGAAGGTATGGTAATGGATGGGTTGGTAGGGGTAACTTGAATGTTTCCCATTGTTCATAGATCGCTGTGCTTTCAATCAAACTTCTATTTCACCCCTGAACATATCCAGGAATACCTCTCTGGTTTATTAGATAACTAATGGCTTCAACCATCCGTGCCGATGTAGGAAGTTGTGACCACGGTGGATCTTGTCCTACCAAGGAAATCTCTCAGCACCAGTAGAAGATAGCGCATATTTCCACGTACCTTCAGCAATTAGTGAATGACTTCTTCCATCACATCACAAAGACTACACTTGAATTCTGAATCCCGCATCTCTCCGATGAATCATGTAATCAGCAGTCTTTCGGCAAACACGTGGCTCTGTACCTGCATACATACATACATATGTACACATGTATGTATGTATGTATACGTCGTCTCCGGCAGGGCAGAGTAATCACGCAATACGACTATACGATAGAGCTCGAATCCTTCGGCACTAGATAGGGCTCAGTCACTGCACGACATACCTAGGTAGGCAAGAGCTGCAGAATGTCTCACATTGAAATAGGTACTTTTGCAGCAAAACAAGGATGAAAGAAGGGACCTACTCTTCTCTGTTCCTTGTTTTTCGAGATTTATGTAAACCAACTGCTATTTCTTGTCCGATAAAGACGCGGCTACATTGGATCCGTGCCCATTGTGTACGTGTTACCTTTTTACTTCACACAGTCTAGTACTACATGCAGCCAAGTTGGCCCCATCATTTCGCCTACGAGATCCTTCCGCTACCCTACAATAATCCACTGTAGGTGGCGACTACCTCACTACTAACAATACTCCCCATAGCGCCTTGATAGTGTCAGCGTCATCAAAAGCTGCGCTTGCGACGACATTCCCAGGATTAGTATTGCTAGCATCAATTGATGATCTTGGACTTGCCGTCCTGATCCGTTCTGTGAATTGGCACTGGGTTTCTCAATCCAAAAATTGCAATCATTTCAGCAACTCAATGCACCTTCTTACCTGCATTAGCGCAAGCCTCGTTGATGGTGTACACGCCCGTATCTACTCTGCGCCACTCGTATCACACCCAATCACCAACCCAGAACGCCTTCACTGCGGTTCTACAATCGATCTCACCGTCCACGGAATCTTTGTATCTCCACCAGAAACGGTTTTCGCATCTTGCTGCACGTTTGACAGCTGCGTCCTGCAATTCACCCCGCCAGGTCGTTGAAACGACTGTCATCGGTATTTACAAGTGACAGTGTATCCATCAGAGCCGATCAAATACGAGATTGATCATCGAATGCCTATGGCGCCAAGCAGCAGGAACGACGCATCTATGTGTCGCGAACTATGCGCCATGCTTCCACACCCTTGTATATTCTTTTGAACCCCGAATGTGCACACCATAAAGGGATCGCGGGAAAGCAGTTAATAGTTTGTCTCCCACGGCGACTTGAGGATCAACACACCTCGGGTTTTCCAGTCGTTCGTTCTTTCTCGTAGTTGCTATTGCGGCCATTATGTTGGCCATTCTCCTCAAGACCTGGGTGGCGAGCGTTGTTCTTTTCTCGTCAACCAATGCTTTGCCCAGTTCATATACAGGGCTGCCGAGCCTTCTTGATGCTACTGCAGAGGAACTTGCTCTTGGTCTTGAGAATAACCATTTCTCCAGCGTAGACCTTGTTAATGTGAGTGTCCGATTTGTTATCGATGTATCGCGATCGAACTAATCTCCAGTCAGGCATACACAAAACGTATTCTTGAAGTGAACGACACGCTGCATGTGGTGACGGAGATCAACCCTGATGCCTGGAAAATTGCAAGCGAGCTCGACGAAGAGAGGGCTGCAGGAAACAGCAGAGGGTACTCAGCCTGGAATACCATACTCAATATCGAACTCGAACTGACGAACAACCAGACCGCTCCACGGCCTTCCCGTCCTGCTCAAGAACAACATCGCCACAGATGACTTGATGAACAACACAGATGGATCTTACGCTCTTCTCGGTGCAAAAGTGCCACGTGATGCAACGGTTGTAGCAAAGTTACGCAAAGCAGGTGCCATCATTCTAGGGAAGGCCAACCTATCGCAGTGGACCAACTTTCGTTCTTCGAATTCGTCTAATGGATGGTCCTCTCACGGCGGTCAAGTATACGGGGCATACTACCCCGGTCAAGACCCTTGGGGCTCTTCGTCTGGATCCAGTGTGGCTAGCAGTCTTGGTCTTGCTGTTGCGACGTTGGGCACAGAAACCGATGGATCGATCATTCTCCCAAGTCACCAGAATAATGTCGTCGGCATCAAACCTACTGTTGGCTTGACTTCACGCGCACAAGTCATCCCCGTCTCCGAGCACCTCGATACCATAGGTCCCATAGCCCGCACAGTCAAAGACGCCGCGTACATTCTACAAGCAATGGCAGGAACCGACCAATACGACAACTACACCTCCGCCATCCCCAACAACGGCACTCTCCCCGACTATGTAGCAGCCTGCACCCTCGACGCCCTCAAAGGCAAAAGAATCGGCGTTCCACGCAACTACATCGGCGCGCGCACCGAAACAACCGCCCCCATCCTCGACGCCTTCGAATCCGCCCTGCAAATCCTCACCGACGCCGGCGCCACCATCGTCGACAACACAAACTACACAGCCTACGACCAATTCATCACGAGCGGCGCCGAAATCGCAATCGTCGGAACAGACTTCAAAGCGAACCTCGCATCCTACCTCTCGAGCCTGACGGTAAACCCAAACAACCTCACGACCCTCGCCGACATCCGCGCCTTCACCCAGTCCTTCCCCTTGGACGAATACCCAGACCGCGACACCGCGACCTGGGATCTAGTCCTCTCCCTCAACCTCACCACGTCCTCCCCGGGCTATTGGGCCGCGCACGAAGAAGCCCAGTTCCTCGGCGGCCCCGGCGGGATCCTCGGCGCGCTCGAGTCGTACAACCTTGATGCCGTCGTCACGCCTTCGTACATCTCCGCTGGCATTTCCGCGATTATCGGCGCGCCTGTTATTAGTGTGCCGTTGGGTGCGTATCCTGAGGATACGACGGTGCGCACGAATCCCAGGGGGGATTTGAATTTGACGGCACCGAATGTGCCGTTTGGGATTAGCTTTTCCGCGGGGCTGTGGAGTGAGGTTGACTTGATCGGGTTTGCGTATGCGTTTGAGCAGAGGACTAAGGTTAGGGAGATGGTGAAGCCGGTTGTGAAGCCGTCGACGGAGTTGTGGGATGTTGGGAGGAAATGAAAGTGAGGGCGGGCATGTATATTATGCGGGTGTGTTTGTTTTCTGGTGTTGGGGGAAGGGGAGTGACTGTGAGTGGATATCTTTTGTAGATATAATATTGTGGTAGCTAACAATTGGGGGCTGCTCCAATGAAGAAGAAAGAAACGCAATTTAGTGCATGTTTCATTCGTATATGCATGCATATGAGCACAAGTGTCTGATATCTGGAACCCGTGCGGGAAGGTCTGTTGATCACGTGAAAGTACTGTTAGACCAGCTGCCCTTCCAGCATGCATATCACTTTCAGTCCTGAGCAATACTAGTCAGAATGCTTCATAATATCATTATGTCATTATCGTTTATATACATATAATAATTTCATGAGGAATACCCCGTTTTATCCCCACATAGAGTCCCCTTAGATATGAATCCACCTCCCCATCCAAGTTTCCACAACCTCCTTAGCCTCATCAACGAGGCCCATATCAAGCAAGACCTGAGTGGTTCCCCTAACCGCCGAATCCAGCGCAGAGAAAATCCAAGCATGCGTGTAACTAGTATGCTCACCAATAAACACAGTTTGGAACTCAGTCTTATAGTACGCAGGCAGATACAGATCCTGCTGGCCAGCAAACGGCGCAGCCCAGGCACCAGCTTGATGCTCATCGACCTCCCAGCACTGACGCTCGTAGTTGCCAGTCCATTGTTCCGCGGCGATGGGGCCGTGGACTTCGACCATGGCGCGCTGCATCATGGCGACGTGGTCGGTGGTGCTGAGGGCGGCGAGGGAGCGCGCGGGTGTGCCGGAGGTGTAGCTTGCGAGGATTACGCCCGGGAGCGAGGAGTTGATCTGGTAGGAGGGGTAGCAGACTGAGCCTACGCCTGCAATGTCAACGGAGCCGCAACCGCCAATGATGGGTGGGCTGAGGTGCTCCCAGAAGCGGGTTTTGTAGTGGAGTGCGACTTTGCATGACTGTTGGTAGTTCATGGAGGAGATGGCGCGGCTGAGAAGCGAGGAGTACTTGGGGAGGTTCCAGAGGCGGACTTTGGAGAAAGGCGCGGCGACCACGGCGTAGTCGTATTCTTCGCTTTCGGGCTCCATAGCGAGAGGGTCTTCGCGCCATGTGATGGAGATTTTGCCTGTGTCGGCGTTGTGCACGAGGCCGTCGACTTTACGGCCGAGTGTTAGGCGGTCCTTGACAAGTGGGTAGAAGGCGCGAGGAAGAGATTCGAGGCCCTTGTCGATGGTCTTCCATGTTGTAGCGGCAAAGTACACTGAATCGTAGTACCAGAGCGGGCTGTTGTCTCCAGAACCACCGACGAAATCTGCAGTGTCTGCGCTCATGTTGAGGGCGTATTTGATGTATGCTGCTTCGGACCATTGAAATATGCCCTTCTCGACGGCCTCTTTGTGTGCTTTGTAGATGTTTGTGGCCACGCTGCGGCTTACGTCTGGTGTGAAACCGATGAAGTCTTCCATTTCCTCGGACGCGAGTTCTGCAGCCTCGGGGTCTGCAGGCTTTGCGGCAGGGTTTCGGAGGGAGGAGTTTGCTGCGATTTGAGCAGTAGAAGGAATGCGACCGTTGGGGAGGCGGTAGCCATTCGAGTTTGCTGGGGTATTGGGGCTGCTCTGAATCCAGTTTATGAATTTTACTTCGACCGAACTCTTGTTGCCATTGAGCTTGTTGAGAGTGTCTCCCAGCTGGAAAACCATCTTGTGGTCTTGGATGTCAAGCGTTTCGTTGGTGTCCGGGTACTTGACGGAGACAGGGAAACGCATTGGGCCCATTTCCTGGTACTGGTATTGATCGGGCGTGGTACCATTGAGATACTTGGTTCGAATGCGGCCCCCAATACGCTGCGAAGACTCGGTGATGTGCCAGTTGTGAATGCCTACTGAATCGAGCAGCAGACTCGTCAGTAAACCGGACATGCCTCCACCAACGATGGCAATCTTCTTGCTCTTTTCCTTAGTGACAAACGAATCGTTGTTTGTCTTGGACTGCATGTAGGCAACACCATCGAACCAAGGTCCCATAGCGTCTGCTACTTGCGAAATGTCTTCCCTCTTTCTTATGTTGCGCTTCACCGTAATGGGAGCTGATCGACCAATCAAAGAAGACCCCGAGTATGCGTGTAGACATCCAGCATGAGAGGTATCTTCTGGCACAACCCATACGAAACGTTCAGGCCGGCTCGAGCGGCGGAGGAATGTCGAGCCAACTTCGTGATGCATCTCGTATTGTGCCGACATATCGCAGGATCCGTAGACGACGCGCAGGGGTCCTTCGAATTCGTCATTGTAGCTCACGTAGATGTTGTGTACAGAGTCCGACGTGACTTCGGATGGCTTGAACGAGATGACGTTGGAGTGGGTGGCCACGGGGCTGGAGGAAACTCCATGGGTCAATGAGAGCGCCGCAGAGGCAGCTGTAATGATTGTCTTCATCTTGGAAAAATTGAATAGAAGAGAAGAGAAACAAGGACTTGGTGCTGGAAGCTGCGTGGACCAAAAGCATCATGATGCATGCAGACATCCTTTATACTTCCCCAAGAGCTCAATTGATAATGTCTTATCATCAGCATGGGTCGTATAACTGATTGATCGCTGACAAGATCGAACGGTGTAGCCGCCGCCGGCAACGCGCTGCAAAAATGTCACTCCATCTCTTTGTAGGGCGTAGCCGCTTGAGCACGATAAGAGGTATTTTTTTTTCCCTTGCTGCAATTGAGATCCGCCAAGGCGTCGGCTGATGGTGGAGACTGGGGTATCGGGAATATTGGCAGCGAACCGTGACAATCCGTTTGCTAGCATGGAGACGCAGTAGCGGCAAGCCACGGTGGTAGCAGTGGGGTTCCTGGGAGCTGATACACGTCTTTCGATCGATATGCCCGAAGCGGGTATGGGCTAAGATAAGCTGTTGGTGGGTAAGCACATTGCGGAAATGCACCGCTGCCTGTATGTGTCCGCTTTGTGGCGCTGAAACATTATCAAAGACTCAATTGAGTACGAGAATCAGATATTCGACGCCCTACCGGTGACTTGTCAGCTTATAGGGGTGAGTAGAGTCATAGAGCGACACTGAAGCTCTCGTTCTTGGTGACTCAAGACGGCGTGTATGGCGGAAAAACTAGGAAACAGTAGGGCGTGGATTCTAGAAGGATTGTATGTCCAAGGGCGGAATTAGATAAGCTATCTCGAACGACGTTGTGACTCGGATAGTTGACAGGAGACTGACAAGCGACAATCCCATGTTGGATACGTCGGCGGTTCTGATCCAACAGCCGACACTAGCAAGCGAACCAATAGATCGCCTCTGCCTAGCACGCTATGTCACGTTAGGAAGGTCGGCCATGTTCTTCTATCAGTACATTTCCCCCGATATCTCTCCTATGCCTACCCATCGTCGGCCGTACGTCACCACTAATATGGTAAGACGGTTATCGCCGTCCCGAGTCAGAGCTTATGATATCTTGGAGATGCGTTACTCACTGCACTTGGCTCGCCCCCACACTACATCCTTTGTTTACTCTGTACTCGCTGCAATGCACAAACTAGTGCCTATTGACTTTTTCAAAATCAGCTAAATTCCCTAATACGAATCACTATACAGGGCAAATATCAATGGACCTGACAAATGAAGACTGAAGATATTATTAAAAACCTATCGGTAGAAATGCTCCCTTGACATACGCCTTCCTTCTCACAGCGTATGCCCATTCAGCTCGCTCTCCGTCCATTCCCACAGCCTCTCGCCCAATTTTCCATTCTTAACATTCTCGCTTTCGGCGCCCGTCTTGCCGATCGGATCGTAGAATCTGCCGCTCTCCACCTCACTTGAAGTAGCACTCCACAAGCTATTCTTGCAACCCTCCGTCACCGGCTTCCCAATCAGCGGCAAGACAACCGCTACAAGCAACGCCATCAGCCTACCTCCACCATCTTTCCCTTTGTTGAAGAGGTCTGTCAAGACTTCTCCGGGGTTTATAGCCACCGTCGTGAATTGCGGGTAGCGTTTAGCAATGGGCGCCGCGTACACCGCATCAGCAAGCTTTGACTGACAGTATTTGGTCATACCACCCATATGCATTTGATCGGTCTTGAGGGTTGAGAAGTCGATGCCTTCTTTTGGAAGTACGCTAGCCTTGTGGCCAGCTGAAGAGAGGATCACGACGCGAGGCTCGGTGGCACCTTTGGGGTCTTGTGCTGCGCGGAGCAAGTTTGGCGTGAGGAGTTTTAGAAGAAGCGCGTGGCCCACGACTGTTACATTTTAAATTAGTCCCAGTCAAGGAAGTGGTAGGTGTGTTAAACGATCTTCTTACAGTTGGTCGCAAATTGTTTTTCGTAGCCGTCCTCGGTGACGCCTGGCGGTCCAGCCATCATACCCGCATTAAGTAGCAATATATCCATCCTATCCGTCTTCTCCACAACTTGCTTCGCTGCAGTCTTCACTGAGGCTAGAGAACTCAGGTCCATTTGCACGACATTGACGATTGTTTCTGGCGAAGCCACAGCCTTGATCTCTGAAGCTGCTTCGTTCCCTGACTGGACATTGCGTGCACCAATCCATATCTCGGCGGGTTGGTGTTGGGCAAGTTCGATTGCCGTCTGTTTGCCGATTCCAGCATTGGCCCCTGTTACTAAGATGACCTTTCCCGCTAACGATGGAATGTCAACCGCCGGATTAAATTTTCGAATTCCCCCTCCAAAAAACATGGCTTTAAAAATGTCAATGAGAGCAGACATGTTGAAATGTTGAAGTCTTGAAGGCGACTGAAAGACACAGGTGATATTGGTCTTATAAACTAAAAGGAATTTCCACACCTCGCATATCGCATACGACCGTTTTATAAAAATAACTTGCAAAACTCATAGCACATAGTGCCTCATATTGGCCAATCATATCGCTTACGACCCGAAGACGATGCCGGACATAGTGTTGTCTGAATCGCCGACACGCGCTGTCCAATCACATGTAGTTGAATCCCGTCAGCCACCTGTATTGCCCGCTTGCGGACATAAGACTCCCCAATTCAGTTTGAGCTCTGGACAACATGAATACCAATGGAAAAAAGGACTTCCTGTAGCATTTAACACAAGACCAGATGTGCAGGGAGAATTCTGATCTGTCTTGAGTGTGCAAACTTCATAATGTAAGGGCATCGCAATCAATAAGATCCGGCACAGTAGTATGTAGAGATGGTGGAAACAATAGTCGGTATAGTGTTGTGCATATGTTGATTATGGCCGAACTCAGCAATGCTCGATGAAATCTCTATCCAAGGGCAGACAGATTTTAGCCTGAAAGATGAGCTTGCGATCCACGCCGCAAACAATACATCGACTGGCCCCTATGATGTAATTGACCAACAATCTTCCAGGTACTGATGAAAGAACAAGGTTTGAGGGTCTTAATCTATTGGAATGTAGAGCTCTCCCCTAAGACCCCAAACTCCAGCCAGTCATATGGCTTAGAACGCGAATTTTAGTACTCCCCGGAGCTGCACTGCTTATGTTACATACGCCGCAGACCCGTGCGTGAACAGTAATGGCTCAATTCTCATCTATTTTCTATGTTGTTGAGCGCTATTAACTGATCAATCGTCCGGCTCAGTGTCACTCCACCGAGAATTAGAAACGTTGTATGTTCTACGAATATACCCTCCACCCGCCTCCGATCCTCTTCTGCACACAAGCCGGATCTCGTCCGAGCCATCCGTCGGAAGCTCTACGTCAACCTTTTTCATCCGCCTCGATTCAGGTAACGACGAATGTTCATGGGTTCTTTGAAAATTACGCATTTCGCCAACATCGAATATATCGCTACTTCCAGTGAAGTAGTCGCCCTCTTCTAGGCGCACGACTTCACCGGCGACAATCGCAAAGTGGGAATCTAATGTGCCTTCCGAAGCCTCTAGTTGTAGAAGCTTGATGGCACAATGCCTGATGCGATGGTTTCTGCATTTGAGAGCTGTGAAGTACGTTGGTGGAACGCGACCGACATCTCCGATGGATTTCGGGTTCGATATCGTCCACCCGAGCTTTTTCAGTCGTTTTAGCAGTTTGGGACACGGCCCACCAGTTTCTAGGAGGTCGATGGATTGTGTAATTATCGAGAAGAATGTGGAGGTGTATTCGTCGTATACCATCTGCGTATGCGCAGCCAGGGCTGTTGCGACTGCGATGACGGCCATGCTCAGGTACGGACGCAGGGTTTTGTAAGTTTGAACTTCGCAGAGATCGCCCCTCTCAATTGCTTTTTGGACAGTGTTCGTGTACATGTTCGTCCAAAAGTCTAGGTGGCCTTGTAAAATGGGCTTGTCTTGTTGGAAAACTACGTGGTAGGATTCTGTTTGTGCCTCTGGGGGTTTATGGAACTCTATAAGACTGGATTCCACGTATACGAATGCTTCCTTTATGTAGTATACGGCTTCGTCCACTGAACTGAAAGTCATGGTTGGTAAAGGTACTAGCAGATCTGACGGAAGTCGAACATGATTTGGGTCGTATCGACAGGCGTAATCTGATACGATGTGTTGTCTTTCAAAGGCGACGATCAGGGCATCATCTAACGCTCTGTGATACCGCGCAGAAAGTTTTGCATCCGCCGCTGACAACTCGACTCTGGGTGATCGTTCCTGTTTGATTTGCCTGATGAGTCTCAGGCCGCTCTGTAGATGGCTGATGCCGGCAGCATAATCTCCTTTCAGGTATTCAATATAGATGAACACAAGACAAGTGATGAGAATTGTTCGGAGTGTGCTACTATTCTCGTCGGGGAGAACACTGAGGCACTGGATAGCCTTGCTATACTGCAAAAGCATAAACTTTTCATACTTGTCTAGCGTCGGACTCGAATCAATACGAGCAAATCCATCGATTTCTTTCCGCTTATGGGACGCGCTTAGTGCTAGCATCGCATGCAGCACCGCTGGCTCATTTGCACTGGCTCGCAACACCACAGAGTGGTGGAAGTTTGTCCCAAACGCAGGAGGCAATTTCTTAGCGGTGCGCGATGTGTAGAACTCAAAGTACGACTTCTCCTCTGGAGTAGCGACTCCGATCAAGTTCACTGGCCGTGCTTTTGGAATAAGAATCTTGGTAGCTATGGTCTTCGTGGGGGGCTGGACTGGCGCAGTCGCACGTTGTTCGCTTCGTCTGCCACCCCCTCCCCATATGCCATAGCCATCACATAAGCGTCCAGTTTTGACGCAACAGTTGCAGGCTGGCCAGGTCTCATCGCACTTGATCTTTCGCACCCTTGTAAATCATTGATCAATCGGAGTATTACAAAGCAGATCGCTGTACTTACTTGCAGGTACGGCAGCCAGTCTTCGTTTTACGCTTCGGGCCCGTCCGCGCGGATGGAGGCAAAGCCATGGTTCCCCACCTACTTCTATTGCTCTTTTGAACTAGACGGGTGAATGAGAATTGTGGTAGGAGTGATTCAGGAGAAGAAATGTAGAAGCAGATGGTTCTTGTTGACCAGTGTAAGTGCATCGTTTCCGACAAGTAGGCGTCCAGCTGAACAGAGCCGCTCATTGGTTGGTTCGCATTCTACGGCACCTGATTGGCTGTCATCAGATGGAGGCTAGTGTAAGCGTAGCACGTGAACATGGTGAACGCTCAAGTGCTTCTTTCAATCAATCCTGACGAGACAAAGTATTAGATGTGCTGAAGGTTGAATTTGCTCGAGTAACAGCCTCGGCGTTTATTGAATTAGCGTGTATAGAATCTCAAGCTCATTCAGAGGGATAAACTGCATGTAGAAATCTGCTAGCTGGAAGCTGAGAACGCCAGATGATTGGTTGAAAGAGCGGCAGGAAGTCCGCTCACGTGAGCACTATCTTCGAATTTGAACCTTCGAAAGTACATATGTACAATGTCTCAAAGAAGTTCGCGGTCCTTTTGGGTCCTTTCTTTGACCCCGTCAAGTTTCTTGCAAATTTGAGCTCAGTGCTAGTGTACGTCCTGAAGGTTGCTGGCGTCCTCTAAGATGGCAGCCTCTTCTGCTGCCGTCCGATTCCGAAACGCATATGGTGATCGTAAGCCTCCGGACATCACTCGCCGCATCACTGCTTGCGTAGCATGTCGCAAATTGAAGGTATAGAAATCATTCATACCTATTGCGGTCTACACATTGGTCAAACGCTGATATCCGCCTTCATGGTCGAAGATCAAATGTCACATGACCAATTCGAAACCACCTTGCACACGATGTAAGTCTCGGGGCTTGCCATGCACAGTCAACAAAAGCATACAAATGATTTTAGAAGATGATTTGACGTACGTGGAATTTGCGCTTTCCAGATTTCATTCTTAACATCTTGCCAGGTGGAAAGACAGCATGGAGAAGCGGGTCAAAGCTCTGGAGCAATTGCTTGTGGCGACAAACGGGGTCTCCAACCCAGACTCTCAAGAGAGGCAAAGTCCGAGTCATCTGAGCAGGAATTCACAGCGCTCATCGTGGGATTTTGAACCAACGTCGCAAAATGCCATCGATCTTCCAGAGAGTCCTTCCGTACCAGAGATCCGAAGCTCAACGACAGGTTTAAACTTTTCTTGTAGCCCAGGCGCATTCCCGGCTTCCTCCCTGACATGCCACCCAATTAATGATAGAGGGGAAATTTCTAAAAACAATCCCGATCTCATTACGAAAGGTTGTTTACCAGAATCGGTCGCACGGGATCTGCTTGAGTATTATCGGGTCCATCTCGACCGACACGTATACAATATACTACAAGATAGTAGCTTAGATGACTTGCGTAGACGATCATCAATGCTTACAGCTAGCGTAATGACTGTAGCGGCGTTTTGCTCCGGATCTGAACACCACGCGCCGTGTCTCAAAGCATTCACCGATGAGGTAACCGGTGAACTGTTTTCCAAAGATCACAACTTTGATGAGATCCGAGCCCTGTGTATTGGATCTCTCTGGCTACAAGATGTATCAGCGACACTGTGTGGACTAGGTAAGGCGAGTGCTATCGGTAGACCGAACAAACTGACGAAATCCTAGCTGTACGGTTCGGCTCGGAACTTAATCTTCACCGCTGCATAACGAAGATGCCGCACACCGACCCGAAATGCTATGAACGAACGCAACTTTACTTTCTAGTCGTAGTGTGCGACCACCACTGTTCTTTACGATATGGGCGACCACCAATGTCACAAAGTCTTTCCTCTTTGAAACACCCCAGGACTTTGCTGCAGAGTAGCATCTCGCCAGTTTCTGACGGGAAGCTCATTTGCCATCTCGAGCTATGGTCCATCAATCATCAGGTCTTCAATTTATTCGGCGCTGACGTCACTTCAGACTTCAACTCTGCTAAGGCGATAGAGATTGAAAAGTTCAGTGGGTATCTCGACGACTGGCGTAAACTGTGGAACGACGCTTTGGCGCGTAACAGGCAACTCGACCAATTTACAACTCAAAACCTGGATATTTATTACTACTCCGCAAAGTTATGTCTGTGCGCCCTAATTTTTAGAGGGCCTAACGTGGATCCTTTCATAGTCGGTTCAGACACTGCGAGACTGGTAAGTTTCTCGGGAACAAATATTGTCTAAATCGTTTGTGAAGATTTTCGAGCATTCATACAAGCCCAAGCGCATGCTAATTTGAATCTAAACCATAATAGGCACATTATGCTGTCGAAAATGCTGTGTTGCTCATGAAGTCTGTGACTACTGCAGAACAAGAAGTATCTAAGCTACCAGCATATTTCATCACAATGATCGCATTTGCGGCGGTCTTTCTCCTTCGAATACAGTCATACAGCCAATCTAATTTTTCAGTTGATCAAGAAGAGGTGCTTGGTCCGTTGCGGCATCTTTCAGATATCCTCACCCAGTGCAACACACACCCGGATCATCCGTTGACCGTGATCAGAAAAGGCCTCATTACTGCATTCAGTGCTCAAAGCGACCCATCGAGTTTGAGCCAGCAGATTCCCAGCTCACTTTTAGACTTCGACTTTCAACTTCTCCCAGAGGATTTCCTGGGATTAGCCTCAAGTCAAAACATTGACTGGAACGATTTCTCCACTTTCGAAACAGGCGTTCCGGAATCATGTGATACAGACTTCGGAAATCTTGGCTGATAGAGAAATATGGTCTACTAGGACTAGGATGTACCAATAGTTGAATGGGTTAATGCCATAATATTCTTTTCTTCTTTCTCACTGCAACATTGCTCGCTAATAATTCAAGGCAATATCAAAGACATCAAAATTCCTCCATGCTCGACCATCGATGTTTTTTACACTTCCCAAGGGCTCAGACCTCAAAAGTGGTATATGCTGCTCCGAGAGTCCACCATGTGTGCGAAGCCGGTGCCCTTTCAATCCACTCAAATCATGCTCGTCCTTCCGGCCTCCTATAACGGCTCGCTCTGTCGCAATCACTATCATATCGCCTTCACGATCAAGCGGCATTTCGAAAATAGCCGCCGCTTCTTCGCCGGTATAAGCTAAGTCCACTTCCGGCAATGTACGACAGTAGTCCAGCATTTCCTCCACATTCTCGGCTGTATTAAGCAAATGCACACGAACGAACCCGCCCAATGCGCCATGATGCTTGACGAAAGGGTCAGTGATGGGGCAAATAACACGGGCTTCGGCTTCAGGCCACTTGTCGTGCAACACGTCTTCCAAGAATAGGACGTTGGGATTTCCGTTATCGTCGCTCTTGTCGCTCATCCCATGATCGCCGGTCACCGCGACCACGGCGCCTAACTGCACCAGCTCTCCGACACGCTTATCGATCTCGCCCATGAACGCGTCGGCTTCCGCGGAGCGAGGCGCATGCTTGTGTTGAATGTAATCAGACAAAGTAAGATAGAATAGGTCCGCGCGTCTTTCCTTGAGAAGCATTACTCCAGCATCTAAAACAAAAATAGATAGATCTCCCGAATATTGCGGCGGCGCAGAACGACCTAACCAAGCTTCTACGTCTTTGATCCCATGCTCTTCTTCTGTACACTCGCCAGCGTTCTGAGCCGAGAAACATATTGCGCCCTGGCTAGCTGACAGGCCACGATTGATGATGCGTCGCAGCTTGTCTTTCGCGGTTACAGCAGCAACTCTGACGCCTTGTTTGGCAAGCTGCTCCAGAATGGTGGTGCCAATAGTCGATGAGTCGTCCAGGACCATGTGCTCTTTGCCAGTCTTCTTGTCTAGATAGTAATTGCCCGATACGCCATGCGCGGAGGTCGGTGCTCCAGTGATGATCGACATGTTATTCGGATTAGTCAACGAGGGCATTGCGCATTTTGCGGTGGCGTGGAATCCCGTTTGGACGAATGATGCCATGTTTGGCGCGATTCCGTCTTCGCAAGCTGCAGAAAGATATTCTGGATCGAATCCATCAACGCAGATGATTACTGTTGGACGATTTGGAAGTTGATAGCTTCTTCCGTGGACAGTGACTGATGTTTGTTCACAGCTCATGTTGGTAATGGAACTGGTGGAGAACTAGTTGATGATATGGGGTGATGGTGGATGGCTTGAGCAACCTGAATTGACGAAACTGATCTTTAATGAATCTTAATTTCAAAATTCTCTTACGAATTATATATACCCAGATCGCTGAGCATAAGGCTAGCGGCCACGGCACGAAGTCCGATCACGTGGATCGACTAGAGCGAGTACCTAGGTACTGAACGACAAGAACCGCGCTCTTCTGGCAAGGAAGCAGTTGGGATGAGATAAAATATTTTATTTAAAAACAGATGCGCCATGACATTTAGACTGATTTATGGATCCCGATCATTTGGATACATGTAGTCGTCATGCGTCGCGCACGAGATGTGAACGAAGGATTTGCTTTTTCAGAGTATCATAAGAACACATAGTCTTCCTGTTCATAGGCTAAAAAACTCTCTAGTATTAGACAGCGTTGAAATGCATGTGAGTTCACTGGATGTGATAGCATTTGGAAATTCCTTATCCCTTGGAAGTTTAGACGGCGACCTCTGCCGCTCTGCTGATTGAGTGTTCAAGAGTTGATATCCCGAGAAACAGTAGAAAATGGCCAGAATCATAACTTGGTCAAGTTGTTCTACTGTTCAGGGTACAGATTACGATGAATTTCTAGTTCTACAGTCCGAGTCTCGTTTAACACTTTTCCCGCTACTTCGAGGTACCAACCGTAATATATCAATTGTTACTAGGTGTAACGAAATTCCATGAAAGAAGTCCAAGAAAAAAAGCCAGTTGATGATGTGATCGCTACTGATTTGCCAACGTTCAGAGCAAGAACCATTTTCACGAAGCTGGCACTGGGGCCGGAGGTCGGTTCGGAGGATCGGGAACTCCGAAACTTGATTACTCTCCACGACAACATCGCAACAACTTTCAACCGGCACTGCAGTCATTATAGACCAATTCATATCAAATTTGTCCGTTCGTCTTCCTGCTGTACGCCTTCAAACGTCATATACTCTTTTAGCGGATTTAGAGGCGTAGGTTAGTGTTCGGCTTTAATGATTGTCTCCGTATGTACCCATGCAATCTGGTCTAGCGCATCTGATACTTAGTGTTCATTGGTCAATTGGAGATACGAAAAAGGGTTAGCCGATGTACTAAACGGGATTCACATGTGTAGGCTGCGGAAGAGACTCGGAATTTACTGAACCATAGATATATAAAGGAGCTGAGTGCGGATGGTAGAGAAGTATATCTCGAACATCAACTCGATTCCTAGTCTTTACTTTTACTCTATTCTCACATAAGAACAACATTCCACTAACGCGTTTTCTCCGAATCTCATGAACATGGCGAACTCCATCAAAAACGTTGCTATTCTGGGTGTAAGTGGCCCTGAAATAATTTGGTTAGACGTCTTGATTCTGAAATCAAACAGGCTACAGGTCACGTAGGAATCCATTTCGTCAACGAACTTCTCAAGACCGGAAAACACACCGTCACCGCCATCACCCGCCATGAAAGCACAGCTACCTTCCCAGAAGGCGTGAAAGTTGCTCGCGCCGACTATTCCTCAGAAGATTCCCTCGTTTCAGTCCTTAAAGGCCATGACATTGTCGTCATCACTCTCCCAAGCACTACAGGTCCAGAACTTCACGAATTCATCGTGAAGTCAGCCGTTAAAGCGGGTATATCCTGGATCGTCCCGAACGTGTACGGCTCAGACCCCAACAACGACAGCCTCAATGAGGACTGGGCCTTCGGACCCACCACCCGCGCGAACGTCAAGCACGTCGTGGATAGCGGCGCTAATTGGATCGTCATGACCGGCGGCTACTGGTATACATGGAGTCTGCTTGCCGGCGAACTAGCCTACGGCATCGACATCAAGAACAAGAAAGCCGTCTTCTTCGACGACGGAACTGTGAAGCTCAACACCAGCACTTTCTCGCTGTACGGAAAGGCTCTCGCTGCGTTGCTAAGCCTGCCTGTCACTAAGGAAGCTGACGGTAAATCCGCGCTCGAGGACTGGAAGAACAAACCGTTGTTTTTCTCGAGCTTTTTGGTCAGCCAGCGGGACATGCTTGATAGTGTGCATCGTTTCATGGGTACCACAGATAATGACTGGACTATCGAGCATGTTGATTCGAAGAAACGGGTAGCTGAGGGCTGGGAGACGCTCAAGCAGGGCGACCGTCGCGGGTTCGTCAGGGCTATGTACACGAGGACATTTTATCCTAATGGAGGTGGTGATTATCAGAGTGCGAATGGTCTGCAAAACGATATTTTGGGACTACCAGAGGAGGATTTGGATACTGCTACGAAGGAAGCTGTTGATGCGGTTGCTTAGATCCCGAGTTTCGCTCTCCATGTGGCTTTAGGTTGACGTTGCGTGAAGGGGACACGCCAACTTTGTTCTTTGAAGTATGCAGTTTTGCGGTAAACCAATATAGTTCTTCATTCCGTGCACAATGTTATGAGCACAATTTATACTTGACAGCGCAGTTCGTTGTTTCTAGAGTGTCCCATGGAAGACATTATGACGCGCTATCCATAATATTCAAGTGTCAGGAACTCCTCATGATCCATATACCATAGATCGTTATCCAGAATCCCAAACACGATTGATTTCTCCCTCAGTGCCTGAATCAACTCCTGCATTTCCGCGTCCGACTCATCTGCATGAGGCTGAAAATAGACCTGCTTGAGGTTGGGAAAGTTGGTTTCCTTTCCAGCCACCAATGCCATAAACGAAGCTATCAACCCCTTATCCCCTGGGTCTGTATCAAGTTGCAATTCCTCTAATGATTGCGGCAAAACCTTCGCAAGATCAACAAAGTCTTTGTAAGATCCGATGCCAAGATTTTCCCCGGAGAGCGACTTGTCGTCGCCAACATCTACCACCGTATCCGATGAGCGAGCTGAAAAATTAACGAGATCAGTTCGCTCGCTTTTGGATTCACTGCCATGACCTGCTTCAGAGAGTGGTTCTTCGTGGTCGTTCACATCTAGTTCACCTTTCAAAATAGACCATCTGCATCGGAGTCGCTTCAGCTTTTCGAATCCGTACAGTGATGCGTGATCAAAATCCTGATCGTGTTCAAACTACTTTCTGTCAATATTCACAGTTAACTGTCATTGGGGTAAACATACATCGGGGTGCTCAGGTTTAGCCCAGAGAAGAAGATCCTCCAAAGAGTGTCCAGCGTGTTCCACCAAAGCTGCAACGATCCTTCGGGGCAAAAAAAAGCCAATTTCGCTGATTAAACAGTCGCCAAAGTACGTAAAAGCTTGCAAAGTCTTTGTTGTACGTATTATCTGATCAATGGCTGCAGGAGCGAAAAGGCTTTGCTTAAACCATAGTTGTTTGACATTTGATATGTGATAGTCTTGGAGCCCATGTGTGACTAATTCAGAGTACTCGGGATTGGTGTCTTCGGCAGCGTAGCTGTCATCTATTCCGTCGCCCATACCCCAGGAGGCAAACTTTTGTAGTGTAGGAATACGGAGAAACCAAATCGCCCACTCCGCAGCGCAGCAATAATCGGGAAACTCATGGGAGACGGAAACCCTACTCAGGGTCTGAAAGGGCAAAAACTGTACTTGTTTCGGATCCCTATAAGCCAGCGACACCCGCTTAATAAAATCGGCGAACTCGTCCTCTAGCCCACCGATCTCGGTGAAGCATAGTGTTTTCAGATTGCATGTCATAGAAAGCAAAATCGTAACAATGGGCGCATCTGACCTAGAAGTGGAAAGAAGTCAGCAAAACTATGTCACCGATATTGCAAAGTAACATCGTGGCTGAAAGCCGGGGAGCGTTCAGCTCCATCAAATACTTATCCGAGAATACGTACCCTACCCGAACCGATTGTTCAAAGCGCCAATCCGTGCCGAAAGTATCTTGTTGTCCATGGCGGAAGTCCCTCACCAGCTGTTCCAGTATCGGGTGCTGTCTGGCTTGATTCAGGTACAAGTCGACAAGTTCTTCTGGCAAAACTTGGGGGGAGCTGGCACTTATCTCGTCCTCGCGGTCAGAATCCCCGTCAGCATCCCAGACTAGTACTCGGGTGGATGGCAAATTGATCCTCTCCACATATTGTACAATCTTCGGGCTGTCTATGGCTTTTTTGGTACGATCCCATATCAGACTATTTGTGTTGTATTGCAAGTAGTCTTTCTCAGAATAACGTGGATCTATCAAACTGTAGCGTCTGTAAAGCTGCTTGTGTAAGAGAAGCGAGGACGAGAGAAGGTGATAGTTCTGTTGGCACACCAATGCGAATTGGAAAGAATCTCGCGGAGACAGATACCTTGCAATGTATAGCCGCAGCTCCGGTGGAATGCTCATCAAATTCATGGTGCACGTGGAGGTAAAGTTGGGGAGGGGGACAAGAAAATGCGGCGCATTATATGATGTGGTGGTCCGAGTGATTGATCCTTTTTTACGGTCCATTCAGCGCTCAGACCTTATAGAACAGCGACGCCCTTGGCATGCCTCACCTTGGACGATGAGATTGGCCAAATAAGCGAGGTGCCAAACACCAAACTTTCTCTCTATACAAACATTGAAGTTACTAAGTATTAAACGTAATAATGATTCATCGCATTTCCATGCGGCACAAACACTGGGTATTGAAGAATCACACGATAAATCTGCCTTTGAGCTCCAGGGAGGACACATGTTCCGTGGTTCACGAAACTGCTATACAAAGTTACATAGAGCCACAGTATTTCATCTGCGAATTTCTTCACTTAGATTCTAATAGAATCAGACTATAAGGCATTGAAAAGAGTAAGCTGGTACACATAATAGAGGTTGCAATGTTGATATGTGCGCGGGACCGCCTGGCTTATTCGGCCGCTTTCATCGGCCAAGGAGAGGCACGTGGCACATTGTACAAGCGACTCATTAATTCACGTGAATTTACTGAGCCATTCGCGCATCGATCATTGCTAGAGTTGGCTGAAAGTTGCTGCTGGTCCGCTGTGTAGCACCATGGGTCAGCCGAAGCTGTCTGATCCAGCTGGTCACTCCCTGGTAGATAGACAAACAAAGCATCACGAGTGTTGCAACCTCAAAATTCATTAGTAAAAGTATTCCTTGAATGGAACGATGATGATCTGCAATGCTACATCCTTCATGAAGTTTCAGCAGGTCCCCAGTGATATGCCTAACGACAAGCAAGCGCACCATCAGCGACCGTAGTAGCCGTACTGTTGTTGTTGTTGTTGTCTGTCGGAGATGGGGGTTAGGGCCAAACCTTTCTCTTTTTAAATTTGTTCTCGTGAGTCATCTACATGCTAGTCCCGTAATGTATAGTATGTTATAAAGACTGCGATTTTATAGCTTTCTATATACCCGTATCTCATTTCATTCGTGGAGTCGTGTTTGGGCTCCGAGCCATCATCTAAGTTACAACAGTGCCGCCAATGTGCGAAGCTGGCTCGGAAAGTCGTACAGCACAGGTCTCCAGTTCAACACCGTACGTCTGAACCGTCATGTTGCCCGCTTTGTCGACCTCGATCCATCGTCTGTTCAAAATATCCCCATCTTGCGCCCTATCAAAGAAGTTCTGGGGTGCGAATGAAATGCTGCTGTACGCTTCGCTATATAATGTGACCTGATTAGAAACAACATGGTTAGTGCATTGCAAATGGTCAAAAGCAGCGTTAAACATACAGGAACATCCTCTGATCGGGTGAAATGGTGCATGCCGAGGTTAAACCAAACCACTAGGTCTTCCCCATCAACACTTTCTCCGTCAAAGAATTTACTGAAATCTTGTTGCGGCTTCTGTGGCAGATTTAGATTTTGAACGCTGTTGGCGAAGACCTCATTATCGTGCTGTTGGGTCACCGCTAGGTGTGATTTGGCGAATTCGCTGTTCTTCAGAGAAAACGGCGACTTGAGTGTCGAGAGATGGATGTCGGACTTTCCGGGAACAATGCGATAGCCTCTCGGTGTTCCCCACTTATTCGTAGAGTTCGTATTGATAATGGTATACATGGCCTGGTTGTTTGCTGCCCAGTTGAACTGCTGCTCTTCCTTCATGTTGTAAACGTCCAACTCCAATTGCTCGAATTCGCCAAGCTCCGGAAACCATGGTTGTGATTGCTTCACAGCTTTCAGTTCGGAAACCTGGAGAGAGTTCTTGGTACCTGCGATGTCGAAGTCGCCCTTGAATGTGATGATGTGGTCGTGAAGAGAGCCTTGTGTAGCTTGTTGGATGCGTGGTCCCCATTTTCCCTGGTTGGGGTAATAGAAGGACGATTGAAGATAACCTGATGCCCGAACTGCAATCTCGAATGACGCATCCATGTGAAATACGTAGTCGAACATGTAGTCGTAGTTACCAACAGTCGCGATGGCGCGAAGGGTCAGCGCACTACCCTTGACCGTGCCCAATTTGTCGAATCCGTAAGCATTGTCGGCACCGTAACGGTGTCGCGACACAGGAAAGTTCATGTCAGCTTCGAAAATGCAAACGGAATTGGTTTTTGTGGTGATCTTTTCGTTGGTGGAATGCGACAAATTCCAGAACGTCGATCCCCAAGGACAATCGAATCCTTCAACGAGTGGACTCATCTCTGTTCCAAGTTGGTAATAGGTATCGTGGTATACTGTACCAGCTGCTTTCGGTTGGTTTCCTCCGTACTGGGCCATAGCTTCCTGCATTGATAGCTCGTACAATATCCGCTCGCCTTTGAACTTGATGTCGTAGAACATGATTCCCAAGGTCCTACTGAAAGACATATAGAAGGACCAGCCCATGTACTCGATGTATTGGTTCTCCTCATCCACTCTATAGCGCTTTCCACCGATTTCGAGTGAACTAGGCGCAAGACGATCCTCGAGGTCGCGCACACCCATCTCTGGTTTGTGATCGACTAGAGCCCAGCTGGCGTCCAATGTCTGGTCATATTCCATTGCCAGTTCTCCTGCGACAAAGGCTGCTCTGAGAGCTTCAGTGGTGGGATAGTACTTTTCGCCAGTAACGAAACCCCTCATGGAATATAGTGAAGCATCGGTCCCAGTTACATCTAGGAGCAGATAGAAGTCCAACGGGGTAAGATAATTTGCTGGTCCAGGAAACTTAAGCATGACGTTACGGAAAGCTTGCGTGCCGTCCCACGACATTGGAACGCCCCAAGTCAAGACCAGATTCGTGCGATTGTCGTTACTGCCATGGTATACCCCTCCTTGAAATAAGGCTGCGGTTATGTCAGAGATATTGGACATAATTGATGCGACCAATGGGTCACTGGCTTTATTTCGTGGGCCATCAAAATATCGTGCATTGAACGGTACTGAGCCGCCATTTCCACCGTTGTAAATGTAATCCAGCTTTTCGATTGACGTCTCAGGACCAACAGGGAGAGGACCGATCATGTACTCCTGCGAATCGGGCGCATCTTTCCCACCTTCGAAAAGAATGGCGCGCGCGTACTTTGGCGGCATTGGCGCCTCTCCATCGAGGTAAGGAAGCACATCGCTTTTGTTGACGGGCAGCGCGTCCATCCACCAAACATAATTGTCGGTCAGAACGGCTTTGGAGGGGTGCGTAAGATTGAGGCCGGACTTAGGATCGTGTAGTAGGTCCCATACAGCGGCATTGTCCGCGGCGGAGATTGGAGCCCATACATTCGATTTCGGAGCAGTTGTTGTAGGTGCAGCATCCGTCAGGCAAGAAGAGGATGAACCATTGATCCCGCGTTTATTGATTGCTTCGTGGAATAGTCTTCGTTCATATCCGATGGGAGGCAAAGCGGAGACTAATGCCCCAGTAGACAACACCGAACATATGGTCGAAGTGAGCTTCATCGTGGAAGATACCGTTTACATTATGCCAAAGAAACTCATCATGTTTATAGGTAAATTTTGACAAAGTTAGTTTACGCATTGCTCTTACTGATAACTCTATCTCTCGATAACGATGGGGCTACAACTCTTGGCGATGTGAGGAGTCGCCGATAAGTGAAGTGGGATAGACAATGGATTTCTATCCAAAATGTACGAATAACCTAAGGTGGGGTAATGTGCTGCAGTTGAAGCCGCTGCATGGAGTTAGAATGTATGCATGCCAAGCTGTAGATGCTATCAATAATCGGCAGCGAACAAACCGAAAAGAAAGCCTCTAAGGAACAAGTGTTGCCGAGGAAGCTTGTCGGGCAAAAGAAGTGTTCTCCAAAGTTCTGCACAGCAGAGTGTCATAGCGAGGTATCGAAACCGCATTTAGGCATTATTAGTATTAATATCGCTCAAACTTTTATCTACACAAATAGTACAAATCTCATGTAAATCATGATCGGCCGTCTCCCATCGGTGAAGATCGTCACTAGCAGAGCTAGCTGGGTTCATCTACCAACTCTAAAACACCATGCCCTTCGTTTGTTTACCATCTTTCTCCTCGAGCTTCTTGACATTGATGTTCCTCCAGACCCAAATGCTGATAATGCAGAGCGGCATGAAGCACACGCCTGCAATCAGCATCAGTCGCTGCACGTGAGCCATGGAGGCGACGACGGCGTCACGCTCGAGGGTCCCATCCGCAAAGCTCTTCTGCACTTCGATGCTTCCGAAGATTTCGAGTGCGCGCGATTTGCTGTCCTCAGGGAGACGTTGTGCTAGCTGCGCAGGGAAGATCGAGGTCCACATTGCGCCAGAAATACTGTAACCAATTGACGAACCGAAACCGCTGAACAAACCCTGCAAAGCGTTGACGGCAGCAACCTGTTGGTGGGTGACGGGGGCAAACACGGCGATTTGGGCGCACGTAGCGAAGATGCCAGTTCCAAGACCGACGAGGATTTGAGTGAAAGCGAGAACTCCAACGTTCGTGTTTGGGGTACGGAAAGGAATCAGGAGTGCTGTGCCCAGAAGCGTGATGGGAATACCCGAGTACGCAATCCACTTGAAGTTTCCAGTCTTGCTTATAAGCAACCCAATAAGGGGGCCAAAGACAGCGGAGGTCAGAGAAAACGAGTTGAGGACATAATTGGCGTTAACCAATGACAGGCGATGTACGACCTGCAAATAAGTGCCGAAGAACGCGTTCCAACTGAAGACAGAGAGAAACATGACGCCTTGAAGGACGCATGAACCGATGATCGTGGGGTCCTTGAGGTATTTCCATGGCAAAAACGGGACGGGGGCGAACTTCATTTCGTAGAGAACGAAAGACGGGAAGAGAAGAATGCCCAACACGATCATGGCGATGATGTAACCAGTTTTCCATCCATTGGGAGCGTAGTTGACGAGGGTAAACGGCAGCATGAAGAGGCAGAAGGCGAACATCAGAAGAAGAATACCGAAAATGTCGAACTCAACGAAGTAATGCGCGATGGACTGGGCGACGTTACGACCAGAGCGTTGCTTCTTGGCAAGGCCAGCTTTGCGCGCTTTCATGTACATGGATACCATGACACCCATCGCCGGCACGCTGCACACAACGAGCACAATGATGAAGGTGCCGAAAGCCCAGCGCCAGGTATGGCTGTAGTAGAACGCGTCCGCAATTTTAGGAGCAGCGAAAGTCGCTGCAATTCGAGGGGTACCCTATGGCAAGTAAACAGTCAGCGACGATTGAGTTAATACCATAGGCGTTGTTATATGAGAGTTCTTAGGACATTAGCACTTACGTTGATACCAAAGATGATCATGCGGTTTTTGAGCGTTGTAATGTCAGCACACATGACATCCACGACATACATCACCCCGATGTGTCCAGTCCAATAAAGAACGTGGCCGGCGATGTATGTCTGCACATTTGTGCAAACCGCTTTCAAAATCATACCCACTACAGAGAGCAGCAGCATGAGCATGAACCCTTCTACACGGCCCCAGATATCAATCGCCTTGGCAGTTGCAAGCGGAATGCAGCCCCCGAGAGCTGTGGACATGACAGTGCCAACCGTGAGCAGACCGTGTTTGCCAAACGCCGAGGTTATGTAAGGGTTCAAAGCGCTATCAACGTAGTTCTGAAGCATATCGACGAACGAGATGAGGTATAGCCTAGAAAATCAAATGAGTTGCCGATCGCTATAGAGGAAGTTCTGAGGAACAGTGCAGACTTACAGTACAAACATACTGACCAAAGTCGATTGAGACCAAATCGAAGTGATGGCTCGCACGCGCTCAACGCCATTTTGGAAAGTTTCGGATCCTTGATCGCTGTTCTGGGAGGTGATGTCGGTTGTTTCGTCCACATCCTTCACTCTCTTCTCAACATCTTGAGGAGGAGGAACGATGCTGCCCACTGGCTCGGGACCTTCAGGATTGATTAGACTCATCGTAAAGATGAAGAAAAGTCGTTGCAGTGAGCACAACACTTTTTTAAGGTGGAGACGAGGCCAAGGGATATAGGGGCACACAGTCAATGCACAAGGATGAGGGGCCTGTCGACATTATATACATCAATGAGCTGCAGCTTGTCCATTCCCAAAGGGCTTCATTGCTCCCGCGAACACGCCGACAACCGGACCCGGATAAACACTAGTCATCCATCACTCCACCGCACAAGAATTCCAACATCCCAATCATGAGCATCAGCCGTGCCTGGGCTCAAGTAGATGATCTGATAAGATGAAATGCCGAGGAATCAATGAATCAGATAAGATCAATCTCCGCACATCCCGCCAATCAACGTGTGTTGTGGCGCAGGGAACTTGAAAATTCATCACTTCGCGTCTTGGCTGTTGGAGGGAAGACCCACTCACTCACGAGTCCTCTTGCATTGATCTCGACCCGTTCATACATTCAACTTCAACATCGGATTAAATACGAAGTTATGTGGCACCATCTGTTCAGAACGATTGGTTGTCTTCATGATGCTCGCGGTGCGATTCAAACGTTATTTTGAGGGGCGCGTGAAAATTCTTCGTCTATTGCATGAATGTGTACTGCAAAGAACATAGTTGCGCTGGTTATGACAAGTCATCAGATTTCCATTCAGATGCGAGCCAGCTTCTTGAGCAAGCTTTTACTCCGATAATCACATGCTGTTATCGACTCTTTCTAAACGATTGGACTCTTCCAATGGGTTCCCGCAACCTGGTCGACCTCGGGTCAATCGATGTTCCACACTATTTCTATATTCGATGGTGATCCGATCGATGCTCGCCAATGTTCTTCTAAAACTCTTGTACGGCCCAGTTGAGTCCTTCGAGTGGGCTCTATGATAATTATGGGCTGGTGGCTGGGACCTACACAACATGGCGACCTCTATCCCGTCAATAGGGAACACTAACTTCTTAAGATCGACCGCATATTCTATCATTAGAATCTTCTCAACCTTCGCTTGCATTTGATTCTTGGTGGCCAAGTGTTCCGATCGCGGAGCCTGGGGGGATCCTTCGTATTGCACTCAGTCATGCACGCGCTCTTAGGACGCTCGATGTCAGAGTGAAGAATAGCCGTATTGATATCCCCGGACCATTCAATAGAGCGTATTATCTTGAGTCACAGAGGAAAATACAATTTGAGGGCCATTTATTTGGAGACATCTACGACTATATGATCCATCACGGCGACAGATGATCCGCGCTATGCTCTCTCCGTTCTGGCGTCTTTGCAGGACTGGGCTCTTGTTCCACGCACATGCCCGGCTCAGCAAACAGCTCCAGCCATCTTTGGCTAGAAATCTCCATCCTTGGCCCTTGGTAGGTCTTCCGAGCGCTCACTGCCCACCACCCGATCGAGATCATTACCACCCCGACAAACACAACTAGCGACCAATTGAATGTTTCAACTGTAACAAGCGCCACGGGTGGCCAGAAGCAGAAGATGATTCCTGTAATACTGTAGACTAGCGACAAAATCGCCACTGGAACCCTCCACATGCCTAGTTGGAAGGGACCCCACGGCATGTTCGATACGGTGAAATGGCGGTACAGCATAAGGATGGCGCAACCCATGAAGCCGGTGTAGAACGAAGCGACTGTGAGTCCCGTCAAAGCATTGAATGCAGCGTCAGATCCGAGGCCTATGAGAGCGAAGAGCATAGAAATGATGGCAGTCGTGGCGATAGAGTAAAGTGGGAGGCCTGATCTGCGTTCGATCTTTTAGACAAAAATTAGCGCCCAATTACAGAACACAAAGAATCCAGCGGAGTTTGAACATACTCTGGAAATGTACCGAGAAAAAGGAACGCCGTCTTCTCTGGCAAAAGCCCATAGCATACGGGAAGCTGTCGTCATTGCGCCGATCGTTCCGAATATCAACATGACGATGATGAGCGATGCCTATCGTTCCAATGTTAGCCAGCGCAGTGTACTTGTAATAGAAGAAATTACCAAAGCTGCTGTTCCGCCATTGGATTGCGTCACTTTTTGGAATATACCCAGTACTGGAATTGAGTATTGACTGGTGAGTACTTCCTCTAACGTAAAGCAGTACAGTATGAGAACTGCCATGGAATAACCCATGACAAAGTACAGCACCACTGAGATGATGGTAGCCTTCGGCACAACTCTGGAAGCGCCTTTGACTTCTTCAGCTACACTCAGATGTTAGCGACGGTCGCGTAATGGAGGCCTTCGCCCTGGAACATACCTAGATGAACACCAGCATCATTTCCATTGAATCCAAACATAATCGGGATAGCACCAACGAAAACAGCTTCAGCGTTGTTGTTCCATTCGCCCCCGTTAAAGAAGTTATGGAAAACTTGCGGACTATCCGTCTTAGGCGCGAGATACGACAGAACGATCAGCAAGACAAAAAAGCCCATGACGAAAATGACGAATGCGAGCGATTCGATGTTTGGCAGAATCCTCCCCAGAACCGTACACACAAACACTCCCAAGGCAATCACTGCGAATAATGTGAGGGTTACATGCCACTTCTGCATGGCATAGTCCGGGTGCGTTACGTTAGCTAGAGCTAGGATAAGGTTGGACGTCAAGAATGCGACTCCGGCGGCGCCCGCTTGCCATGCAATGGTAATGATCCAGCCAGTGAAGTAGGAAAGAAAATTGGAAAGGCGAGGGGGAGACAGTATGGCGACCCAGTTGTACTGACCACCCGCCAGTGGCATCCTACAGGGTTTGGTCAATATGATTGAGTTTTGTGGGACACATCTGAACGTACATTGATGATAGCTCAGCTACTATCAAGGTTTGCATGAGGACGCCGAGGAAGACAACAGGAAACGATATGAGAAAACCAGTCGGTCCACCGTTAAACAGCGTAACTTGGAGGCCACTTCATAATGATTAGTGCACGCAAGGCTATGGCGCATGGGAAATACGGACGTCAACATGCCTGCCCATGAATTCACTTTGAGATGGTCAGTAACACAGCAGATATAAATCGCGCGCGTTGCAACTTACTGACTGTGCTGCATAATGCCACGATAGTCAACAGATTGAAGTTTCGCTACTCTGGTCAGCTAGTGAAGAGGTACAAGATGCGATGTCCCTACCTTGAACTGTTGCCTTTTACCAAATCGCGCGAGCACCTGCTCATCGCTACCCACGCTCGAGGATTTGCTTGACGAGTAGGCTATGTTGTCGATAGACTTCAGCGAAGAAATCTGGTTCCGCAGATCCGCATCGTGCATTTCCACGTCCCTCATCGCGGCCTATTGTTACCAAAACACACACACAAAAGGTGAAGGAATACTGTGGGGAAATCCAACGAAGAACTACACCGCGACTGTGCCTTATTCGAACTGTGATCTGGAGGAACCTATTGGCGCATCAAAACCAAGCAGCGGGTCCACGAAACTCCTGTAGAACGATGATCCGAGATCCACCGCCGACGCGAAACAGTGGGCTCAGGTCTAGATGATTACCTACAGTGGCTGCCTTTTTGGGGCACTTGGGCTCGGGAATTGACTTGGTCGTTCGGGGCAACAATGTCCAATGAGATACGATTGTGAAACGGCACCAACAGTGATAAGGAAGCGTGGTCAGCAAATGGACATCTAAGCGAGCTGAGGTATATGGGAAAACACCGCTCCTGGTCGGTAGCAACAACCAGGGAGGATCTTCAATTCAGAGGAAGAAATTGCCATCTGTCTGGAATACCCGTCTTCCCGTGTCTTGGAACATTCGTCACTTGTGGGTGGCTCCGAGTACGTTGTATGGAGTCGTATCAACGTACTGTGTATACATCCCAAGACGAAGGATCAAATTACCTGGTAACGAGCGAAGATCCTCGGTTCTTTCGGTTTTGGCCCCTCTGCTATTATCCTGCAAGATGAAGCGGGCGTATTAGGTGTCGCATCCTTCGATAACGTCAAGCTTGGCTGCCATCTGAGTCGTAATCACGCACATACCTTGAACTTTTTCGCACCTCTTACGTGGTGGTTGCATAAAATCTCGTATTCGCAATTAGAATCAAGTGACGGCTTCAATATGCTCACGCCACAACCCGTTGTGCTATTGTCTTAATGGGAGATACTTGACGCGGTGGCTTAGGAAGGAGTCCCCACATCATAGCTGCGCAAGGTGCGCAAATATCACGGCAAACTCCTCAACGGCCCGCGAAAGGATTCTGGAGCCAACCACCAAACACGAGCTCATGCCCACACTTTATTTTGTTCCCGAAGCTAGGTCTATTTTGGAGATTATTTCGTATCCAGGCACCCAGGGCCTTGTTTCCTGAGACCACCGACACCTTTTTCCAGTTCTTCTGTGGCACTGCATGGAGAATCTTCTCGCAGATAGCAAAGCCTAAATACACTGGGCGCCTTGCATAACTGACGAGGATCGAATGCTTCTTTTATTGGTTTGGTCACTACTTTTGTGTGACGGTTGTACAGCGCTTAGAATGCGAGTCCTCGTATTCCGACCGTTGCCGCTAGCTCAGCTGCCCACCCTGATGTCCTCCGTCTCAAACTCCATCTTGGTGTCCTTCTTATCCAGCAAGTTTGCTGGAGCTTGCAATCTTGGGTAGTATCCTGGGGCGCGCTTTGTCGCCCATTCGTGGAAAGGATCCCACTTCAAGCATTGCCTAGTCGCTCCAGATTTGAGGCGGGGGATCGGATCCTTGTCGGGATAATATCCAAACGTGTACAACGCGGTGTCAGGGTTGCACATCAAATCACGTACAATGACGCCCAGGCAATGTCCTAAGAAAATCAGTCTGCTGCTACGATGACGGAAATGTGTTCAGCAGGAGATGCTTACTTGCGTGGACGATTTCCACTGAACGAGCTTCCGCTGTTCTGTTCGCAAAGTACTTTTCCTCGTGGAGGTGCCAGTATATCCGTCGCTTTGTTTGTTCAGCATGAGCTCTTCGCTGGTGAGTACAGTGTTTGACTCACCATGCAGTGCAGACCATGATATACGCCTATTGTTCCGAGGTAGCCCTCCATATCGAGCAATGTCACTGTGTCATCCGGGTCCTCGTTCGAAGACTTGACTTCTTCCTGCGCGGCTGAAAAGTAAATTGCTAGCAACATGTGTGAGTTTTCGATCGAGGGTTGAGGGTTGACATTGTCATACGGCGCACCAAATCATCCCATGCCTTGTCAACCTCTGGTGACGGTGGATCCGAATAGATTACATGCTTGTCTGGCTCTGCTTTCTCTTCTTCGAATTGCATATAAGGTCCGGCGGGTGCTAAAAACTTGTCAGTGTGGTGATTTTGTAGGGGCGGTTTGTATCTTACAGTAAGGCCCAACCAACTTTCTGTTCGGCAGGCTTTGGAACAATGCCAGGGCAGTGATGAGAAGAGCATATATGCCCAAAGCCAGTACCGATTTTGGTTGGCCAGAAAGCTGCGAGAAGAGCGACTTCCGTCTTTCAAGCGGCTTTGACGAGTTCAATTCTTCGTCTTCGAGAAGAGGGAGGCTTTGCTCTGTTTCCTTCATCTTGGAGGAAATATGCGAATGCCGCGTATGGAGGAGAAAGCTGAAGTCGGATTCTGATGCCGCGGGGGACGAGCCCTCAACAAGAAAATGATTAGTCGTAACTCCAAACTCCAGGCTGAATCCACCCCCGATATGACGCGCTCGGCTCATATGATCACCGCTGCGAGATAAGCGCCATTTGATATTCAGGTCTCGCATTAGAACGCACAAAACGAGCCATTCAGCGGGGGATCTACCAAACAATTGGCGGATGTAGCCGGTCAGCCGTTGACAAAGTTACGAGGCAGGGCTAGGGTGGAGCGTGAATGCAGTCGACGAGCCGCATGATTGGATGCAGGGCTCTTGGATATGTACGTAGATCGTCACCTTCACGTCTCAGCGCTGCACAATGGTGATATACCTCCTTTGTTGGGTATATGACCGCTAGATCTTGGTCTGGATCAATGTATCCCTGCCGAAAATAGGCTGAAGCGCTCATCTTTGCATATGAAATCGTGTTCTTAAGCTACGTCCACAGCTGGAATTTTCACTTTCGACTTTCTTCATCGACCTTTTTGACGTTGAGAAGTTCACTGCCAGTCTTCACCCTTCAAACCGACACTATGCGTCTTCTATCACTTTCGATCACTTTCTTGTTTACCTTTGGCGTTCTGGCCCGCCCAGTCAAGGGTAAATCGTCACAATTATCTCTCTCGGGTGTTTTGCTAACATGGGAAACTAGACACAACAATCACTCCTTCCGGAGAACTTCAGTTCACAGAGGACCCTGGGAAAGCTGAAGAGCCCGAAGACGCACAGCTCTTTTTCCTGTGGGATCCAGAAACAAAATCCGAATCGGAGGTGGCCGCCACGACGAGTTACTGAGAGATGCTTGGAAAATGGGTTTGGATCTGAGAATATGCACAAGTTCTTAGAATTATGACAATGAATGCAATGATATATTTCCCATGATGCTTTCCGCAGTGCCACTCATTTTGGAGAAGTTCGAACCATTGACCAGATGTGGTACTTTGGCTTGTGGGAAAACTTTTCCGGCAAATCTAAATCTCGTTCCGCCAATGTCGTGAAACCAAACTTCTCGTACAGACCCTTTCCTTCCGGGCTTGCGATAAGCGTTGTCTAGCATGGTTAATAACAGGAAGATTGTATCGATTGCATTGACTTACAGCTGCTCCGACTTTGTCCGCTACGTTGAGACCTGACTTCAGCAATTCGGCTCCTGCTCCCCGGCGTTGATATTCCGGCTCAACCACCATGATGGCAAGTCCTAAACATCATGAGCGGTGTAAATAGGAAACAGCCAGAGTACATACTCATGAAAGGCAAGTCATGCTCCTCGTAGTATTTGTGTTCGTCGACGCCCAAAGAATCGAAGAGCGCCTTAGCATACTCTTTCTCCAGATCCGTCTCCCAAGTTCCCGGAGGTCCATCCAAAGGAAATCGTTGAGGCTTCGCATCTTCGTGCAGACTCCACATCGCACCTCCGATTATCTTGCCGCTACTGGTATCGGTGATTTTCTCCCACTTGACTGTCGGAGCAACGCTGTTGATGAAGATCATTCGCTGGATAGTCATTTCTTCTCCGTCCTTTGTGAGGCCACGTGGGAATACCGCATTGATGTATTCATTTTGACCGCCGTATGCTTTGAAGAAGATTGGTATGATTTGACGCAGGTCATCGTCGGATGCAGTTGCGACTTCGTACGCCATGATGAGTGGTTTCTTGGTGTGAGTAGAATAGTGCCGTAAAGTCCTTGGAAGAAAAGGTTGAGGTGGTCAAGAAAGCTTGGTGAATAGCTTCGCGGCGTAACTATTACTTTGTGCCACCTTCCTATTCAACACTTCAGCGGCTCTAGGAAGCAGTCATCCCTGTCTACCGAGCGAACATCAAGTGATAGCTGGAAACTACGTGCACATATGTAATATGTACATATGTATATATCTAATACAGCAGAAATCTCTCCACGCCTGATATCACTATTAGACCCGCCTGCGGGTCGTTATGAATGTTCGTACTGTCGTAAATTCCAAATCAGGAAGCCTCACCGTTGAAGCTCACTGCGCTCATCCCATGCTCGGCCGATCAGTGACCACGTGATCAGCATACAAGTTCGACATTCAATTCCCCCTTCCATTCCATGATTGAATTGATGTTTCGCAGTGTGACCCAAACTAGACATCATCGGGCATGTGAATACGCCTTCCGCAGCCAAGTGTACGACCTCGTATCCAACCCTACCACCCAAGAACCGCCCAAATTCACAGTCAGCGTACGCTCCACCGTACTTCGCGTTGACAAACCGAAGCGCCCTGCAAGCAACGTACCATCATCACATATCGAGGCCTAATACGCCCCAAAGCATACCAATATCAATACACTCCAGCAGGCAGAAAACCCTCGGTGTCCGATGTACATAAGTATGTGTCTCTCGAATCCTACAGCGATTGCCCTCTGTCAGCACCCCTGCAACGCGCCCCGGCTCCCAGCTTATCTCGACCCATGCAGGCCATGCCGCGCTCAGCTTTGGGGTCGCAGAAGCACCCAAGCCGCAGAACAGGCAAGTGCAAAGTTCGATTGGCCTGGCGATTTTCCTGTTGTGTTACCGTCGTATACAGGCGGTGCGTGATATGCGATGGACCGTCATAAGATTCGGGGATACAACCTACTGCACACTTACTTTTGAGAGTTTTGTTGTGTGTGAAGTCTTGACGCTCTGCGTGTAAAATCGATATGCGGTGATGATTCTGTCGCCGTAGCTTTTGTTGTCTTGTTTGGCCTCCTCAGACTTTTGTTTTCTTCTGGCCAGCCCGTGATGGGATCGCCCGGCAACACCATCAGCAGCACGCATCGCGGTCCAGCCGTCGATATCGCAATCTGGCTATGCTTCATTCTCTGCGCGCTTTCCATTGTCGCGAAGGTATGGACGAAACTTGGGAGACGAGGACGAGAATATCAGCTTGGAAATCTGCAACTCGATGATTATCTTTTGGTGGTTTCGTTGGTAGGTAGTCTTGTTTTTCGAAGATCTCGACGATGTACTTACGCGCTGCTGGACAGGCGGCTTTGGCAGCGTACAGCGTCACGGTTTCGCAGCAGGTGAAAGCAGGACTAGGGAAGCGATTGGAAGATGTGGATGTAAGGGATGTTCCGAAATATGAAAAGGTACAACCTCAACTAGTTGTCGATCGCATGCGACCTTGTGAACTGATCAAGGTTTTACACAGACCGAATACGCATCGCACTTCCTCTACATCGCCGCCATCTCCTCCGCAAACGCCGCGGGCGTCGTCTTCGGTCTAATGCTCGAGCCCAGCCCTTCTTCTCTCCGCATGCTCCAAGTCACAATGGGCATAAACATCCTCTGGTTCCTGTAAATCGCTACCCATTACCCACACATCTCAAGCACAGCGATCGCTGATATCACGCAGCACCTCCACATTCGCGACCGCCTTCCAATGCGCGACACCGACCCCCTGGCACTCCATCAACGGCAAATGCTTTGACCGCGTCGCGTTCTGGACCACCATCGACTTGATAAATGCGCTGCTTAATATCTGCCTCGCGGGCATTCTGTGCCGGATAGTAGGGATCTTGCAGATGTCGCGAACGCGGTACCTCCTTCTGATCTTGTTTTCTTCGAGGATATTGTATGTCTCTCTACTCGGTCTTCCGACCTACGCACCCAGACTTCAACTAACATGGGAAAACCAGGATCCTCATCCCCACATCCTTCAAAATATCATACCTCTTCAAGCAACGTACATCCACACCCTACGACCCTACATCCACGAGCGTCGACGTCGTGATAAGCTCGATTTTGGTGGCCACGACGACGGTTATGGCGACGTCGCTACCATTTATGAATCCTGTCATGGAGCATTTGCAGCCAGGGTGGGCAACGGGAGCCGTGAGGTTGAGCGTTGGCGTTGATCAGCGTCCGCCCGTGACTGCGACGAGTAGTGGGAAGAGGGAAGGTGATGGGAGTTATATTATGGAGACTAGGAGCTTTAAGGTGGAGAGTGAGGCCAGGACTCAAAGAGAGGGGGCGTGAGATATGATTGTGAGGGGAGAAATGTGTGACTAATGACTTGATGAAAAATGTTTGTGTATGTATATATGTTGTGATTCTCATGTTGGGGTCGGAGCTGGTTTCGTCTTTTAATGAAATCTCCCGTTGGAACCAGTCGGGTACAAACCTTAGAACAAGACGCGCGAGAAATGCACGCCAATTCGATTGGAAAGCCTGAGCATACTGATAGATCTGTGGGACGGCCATGCATGTCAAATAAGCAGGTACATGAGCAACTCGAATTAGGTGTAGAATTGGAACTCGCGAGCAGCAAGACTTTGATCGTGGAACTGTGCATTGTCGAGATGCATTATTAAATTCAGCTGTGGCTATGGACAGGGCGCATCTCTTGGCGTACCATGCTGCTCAGGACTACGACGATGTTGAGGCGTTCAGGCCTACAACAAGACTAGATGCCCACGAGGCGATTGCTCCCAGCGCATAGTGTCTACAGGGTCTACATGTAGAGTGGGAAGTACCGCGTTCTATGGTATCTTCGCGGTACTGGCTTAATGAAAGCCAATGGGCCGCATGCTTGTGGGCAATCTGTTCCAACAAACGTCTAGGTTAGTAGCAAGTGTGGAGAGAATGAGAGTCGCGCGAGATGCGGCGTTCACCTTGTTACAGGTATTCTTCACGGATCAATAAGCTCATAGGTCCAGTCGGAGAGGAGGTGGGGAGCTTGTAGTCAGTACTCGGCCAGCAGTCACGTCACGATGGAAAAAAAACGGCATGAATCGACACACCTGAAGCTGTAGGCTTCGAATGTCCGAGAACGTCACAGGAGACGTCTTTCTCAAGTTTGTTCGGCAAATGTCATTTATAGAAGATTCTATTGAATGAACACCGCCCAGCCACTACGCTGACTCTGCACGACGTCGATGGTCGGCGAGTTTGTTTGACGAATGCACTTTTGTTCGTTCGCTCGCCCTGCGGAGCGTTCCGTTTTGTACCCAGATCCCAGAGCTCTATGCGACGAGCTGAATGACACCACCGGCCTCCTTTATCTTCTTCTCGGCCTCGGCGCTGAACACAGTTGTTAGCATCGATAGATTCGGGTTGCCGTCGGATTGAGGTGACTTACCTCACGTAGCGGGCCTGGATGACGACGGGGACGTTGATGCGGCCCTTGCCCAACAACTTGGCGTAACCGTGGTCAAGGAGGTTGATGACGGGGGCGGTGTCGGATTTGGACGAAGCGTTGGCGTACTTCTCACGGGATTCTTCGGGGATGAGAGAGAGGAGCTATGCGCGATTAGCCAATGTATGAGCGTTCACGATGCTGTTGCGACGTACCTTGTCGATGTTCACGACAGGCTTCCAGAGCTGGTTGCGGAGAAGGTGGAAGCGGCGCATACCAACCTTACCGAAGTAACCGGGATGGTACTTGTCCAAGTTGGTACGGTGGTGGTGCTGACCACCGGCAAGACCACGCTGAAGGTGAAAGTTAGTATCGCGAAGTTGGTGTCGCTGTCGCATTGGAGTCACTTACACCACCGGGGTGCTTCCTGTGTTTACCGACACGACCGTGTCCAGCCTGGAGTCTTGTTAGCAAGGTCGTCGTCGCAATCACCGGCGCGCGACAAACTTACGGACACATGGCCGCGGTGCTTCCTCGTCTTGCTCAAGTGGGTGGGCATATTGACTGTGGGTTAGTGGTGGAGTGCTGAATCTCGAAATCTCAAACGTAGGAGGAATTTGTAGACGTGGTGGGAGGTAAGCGAGCTTGGCGCCGCTAACCCTCACACGGTCTAGCTCCATCGCCTGGGATCATCCATCGCGTCCAACCCTCACAGTACTTTACTATTCGCGATTCACGATCTTGCATCCCACGTTAATCACAATTCCTCGTGTCTCCCCTCATTTTTGCTCTTCTTTACTTGATACGGAGAACTCGCTAATTATGTTTTGGGGTTATTCTCGTGCTTACGCGCTTACACCGCGTGCAGTCGCGAAGTGAACATCAATTGATCTTTGCTCTCAATACCAGAATCGATACTTAAGCCCATCTTTCTGTTTCTTTCACACAGCATGAGTGATACGTACATCTCATATCTCTTTCATATAGAAAATATGTACCCCTTCAGTCAAGTTGGAATCCTCTTATGGCTGATGGGCGCATTCAAACGTTTGCTTTTGTGTAGCACTTGAGGCTCATCACCGGATTGCTGATGTCTTTCATTTATCACAAAGGCTTCCCAGATTGTACAAACAAGTCGCTTTCATCATTTCCTTTTGATTGCTTGCTAGTAATTCATTAATTGTCTCCACTAACAAGTAAACAATCACGATGCAGACGATGCCAGACAGTATATATTGAGTACCACCCGATCATATGCACTGTTCTTCAACTCTCCAACCATTTTATCCGAAACTATACAACACACATACCCTATTATTTCCTCTCGGGAAAACTCTGATCAATATGAAGGGCAAAGGAAAAGAAACCGAAACATTTGCCTCTATCGACCCACAGACATACCGTCTATCCGATCTTCAGATCCCTACAGAGTGGTATCGTGACTCGTCGGATGATATGTACTCATCTAATAAGCTTTCCCATCGAGTCTCGCCGCCGGACGACCTGCTCCGCCGCTTGGATAGTCCCCAAGACTTCTCTGTCAAGACTCTATGTGCCGCAATTCTCAACAAATGTAGTGTTGACGCAATGAAGTGGTATCTATCATTGAATCCGACCCGCACTCGAAAGAAACTTGCGATCGACGGATGGCTATCACTGTATTATGCAGCACAGCGAAATTCTAGTCAACTCGTATCTATCTTACTACAAAACGGGGTGGATGTTCCCGATATCGACACTGGTTTGGACATCCCCCTTATTGCCTTTGTCGTTATCTACGGATATGTAGAGGCGGTGGACTCTAGCCAAGTCTTGAAAGTGTTGCTATCAAGTGGCGTCGACCCGATGATCATCCCCATGGACATGTGGCAAAACTACCTCGAAACTCCTCAGGAGACTGCGAACACTGCAAACCCTTTACCTGAAGTTGCTCTGGAACGAAGCGCGTGGTGCACATCCAAGCTGCGATCTCTTCTTACCAACGCGCTTCACTTGACCCATCGTTATCTCCTTCGACTCGCCTCAGAACTCGCACCACTCAGGCCTCGGATGCTGCACATTGCGACGGCCAATAGCATGCTAGAACTGACCAAGCTTCCTTATTATCTTGTCGGACAGCGCCCCGCTGCGGACATTGTAATGAAGCGAGCATATTCACATGTTTCGCTGAATAGCAAGATGCCATTGGTCATGGCTTTTGCAGGGGCGAGCGGACATGGCAAGACAGAGCTCGCCACTGCCATGGGTGATTTACTTTCCGTTAAACTCTGTACAATTGATTGCACCAAGCTTCGCGATGTCTGGGCTCTTTTCGGTTCCACTGCCGGTTGGAACAGAAATGCAGATGGATCGAAGTTGAATAACTTCCTCGCTGCTAATGCCAGTCGTCGCTCGGTAGTTTTTATGGATGAATTTGACAAAACGGAGAAGTCTGTTCGCGATGCCCTTCTCCTGATCACGCAGAATGGTAAGTTCACGCTCCTCGATGCTGCATAAAGTACGCTGACACTGTGAGGCGCCTATGAGGACCGACGCACCAACACGGCGATTGATTGCACGCAAACTATTTGGATCCTCGCTACCAATCATGGAGACGACCTCATCAATGAGTACTACTCGAAAAACATCGAGAAGCTTAGTGAAAAGCAGAGAAACAACGTTGATCTTAAGACACTTCAAGCAGGTCTAAAACATGAATACCGCAATAAATTCGGGGTGAGCTTTTCTTCGTACTGCTGAAAATGGAGAGCTAATATATGTAGGCACCATTTTCCGGGCGGGTGAGCTGTGTAGTCCCATTTTTTCCTTTCTCCAAGTCAGAATGTGCGGTCATAGCACACCGGTTCTTGTTGAATTTTGGATCGCAGATCCGAAAACCTATCGATATGAATCCTGATTCTATACGGCTTATTGGACACTGCCGGCTCTCGCTTGAAGAAGACGGGAAGGTTTGCACAGAACTGTCTAATGCGTTCTACAACAAGGACCTCGGAGCGCGCAGTCTACAAAACGCAGTGGACTCTGTGAGCACGGACCTTTCCGTTGAATACAGCAACTCTGATGTTCTCATCGAGGAAGAAGTCAACAAGGGGCCGCTACAGGGCTTTACTGTCAGACGAATTCCGGTCGGAGCGGGTGCACATGTGGTTGGAGTCTCAGTAGATAAGGAAGAATTTCGACTGGGGAACAGTGAGGATGAGATGGACGAGGTGGATGTGGAGAATGAATCATTGGAGGAGGGATACACCAGCGACGACAAAGGCACCGACAAAGTATGGCCGAATAGTAGGCTCAAAAAGAAAGGTCGCCCACCCGGTTCGACTGCTGGATGCTTGCAAGAGCGCAATTAGGATCGATAGATTGCCTGCGTGCTCACATGGTGTACTGATCAAGTTTAATTCTTGGTATAATTTGGTGTAGGCGACTGTGGAAATAGCCGTCATTTTGTAATCTCTTAATGAGCATTGTCTTCGGAGATTCATAGCCTACATGATTTCTAATTATAGTGATACATCTAATCAGTCCCATACCACTGGACCCTGCTCTTCAGGAATTGCCGTTACTTGCTCAAGCCCCGCGTATCTCCACCTCGACATATATGCCTCAAATGCACCCTCCCCGTACTTCCCATTGCTCGTCGCATACACCCCAACAACAACACCGGAATAGTACGGTATAAGACGATTTCCTGTAGTATATCCCACCACAGTCATATCAACATCCGCATCCTCATCACTACCCACCGACCCCGCCGAGAAAGCATAATGCGTCGTATTAAGAGCCTCGATCTGCAGCCGAATCTTCTCTGCATTATTCATGGCGCTTGATAAGGGTGTAGCTTCATCCAAATACTTGAAGCGCTCTGGTAGTCGATAAGTCGATGTACTAATCCCGCGAAATCTCAGGTGTGGTTCTAACCCGCTCTCGTTATTAGAAGCGGGTAACATCACGATACCCAAATCGAAATGCTGTGCTTGATCTTGCAACGCCGACACTCCGACTTCGTTTTCAAGGCGCGTCAGACCGCTCCATGCGACATCGACGCTGTATCTGAAACGCGAATGAGCTTGTTTGCGGGCGAGGAATGTCTGTCCGCGGCCTCGCGTTGAGTCGGCGTCGTAGGCAGTCAAATTGAGGACTGAAGATCGCAACATGAGAGAATTGGTTCTATCAAAGTTGCCATCGCCTGCAGGCGAGATTGCGTAGTTTTTGCTGACAGGAAGACGCCAGTGGAATAGATGTGGTGGGAGTGAGCTACCGGGTTCGAAATCGATACTGTCGTCGCCGCTTGGAGAATAGCCTTCTCCTTGTATTGGGAGAGTATGCAGACCCGAAGGTTGGGGAAGGGTGAAGGTTCCACTCATTGTGCCAGATACATTCTGAAACTTGGGAAACTCGTCCGATGGCCAGTTGACTGGTGTGAGCACGCCCTCCCGTCCCATTGGAAATATTGAATTGTAGGGGTCGAAATTGTAGCTGTAAGCGGCGCGGACCGCTAAAGCAATGGCCCAGAAGTTACCTTGAGAATCGGGAAAGATGTCGGCATGGCCTACGGCCTGGAAGTACGATTGGCTAAGGTAACCGCTCAGCAGTGGGTTCTCTGGTGCGCCTTCGAATGGTCCATAGAGCTCCCGCGATCGAGCCATGTTGGCTCGGTGACGCTCTCGTGTACCGCCTTCCGCTGTAAGCAAATAATACCATCCGTCCTTCTTGTACATATGCGGCGCCTCGGGAGACGGGAGACCTGTGCCATTCCAGATCGGTACCAGCGGCCCTGTTATCTCACCAGTTTCGAGATCAATAGGAGCTTGTAGGATACTTTTGCCATCAATTGAACCCTGGATGTGAACTTGGCCATCATCATCCCAGAAGGGAGACGGATCAATGCCAGGAAAGTCGAATTGCACCGGGTCAGACCACGAGATCGAGGAGTAAGGATCGGTAGATGTCAAAATAAAATTGTCCCATTTTGTGTAGTTGGTAGGATATAGCGCCTGATTTGCAAGTGTTGTCAAGATGTAAAAGGTCCCATCTCGGTATCTCAATGTTGGCGCATAGATGCCGCTTGTTGCTCCGCGGGGTAGGAAAGCAAGCGCGGGTAGTTGCTCTGGCCGACTCAACGCGTTGGAGATATGTTTCCAATTAACCAAATCCCGGCTTGCTACGATAGGAAGTCCAGGAAATGTAAGGAAGCTCGAGAAAGTACAAAAGAATGTGTTGTTCAATTCTGCGACGAAGGTGCAGGTGGGATCCGGATGAAAACCAGGAAGTATGGGATTCGTAAAGATAGAAACGTTTTGCGCTGCGCTCCGTGATATTGAAACCGCAACAGAGAGCGCATATAATATAGTTGACTTCATCTTGACTGTCTTCCCGAGCATCCGTGTTCAAGCGGTATCCTTTCTAATCCCCAGTCCACACATCTAGATGTCTTTATATGTTTAACCCTTGTCATCTGTCAACATCACAATACTACTATGACGTCTATAAATGCCAGAAAAAAAATAGGCCATGCGATTCTTGGAATGGTACCTCGACGCGCGATCTTGGGGTCATGTTCGAAAATCCTTGAGGATACTACTCAATGCGCGGGGTAGCAACGCGCGCCGAATCATGCGCTTTGCCTGGACAGGCACCGGCTGATTACAAGCTTGGGCATTCGTCACCTCTGGATGAGCTATTCCGCCTGGCCTGTCTGATACGAATATCTAATTCTTTCACAAATTCTTTGGACTTCGTGGAAATCTGGTTCCACTTGGCCGCAATGCCAATCGCACCCAAATAGCTTCGATGCTAAAAGATCATGCTTTCCAGATCATGTCTTGAATCCTTACCCAAAGATCAAAGGGAATTTTATTGTTGCCACCATCCAAATGAATGATTCTTCAATGATCGGAGATCCAGTCAACTACTGCCTGGTTGATTCTGACTTCTTCAGTTGGAGTATCGAGGCAGCTGTGCAGTCGAGCAAATTGTAGTTTGATGACTCGAGAATCTGCCTACCGCAATAGCCTCCTTAGTCTCGCAATCGGATAGGGCATATATTTAGCAAAGCACGAATAGGAGACGACATGATACACGAGGTATTGACTCGAACGGACTACGCTGGCTGTCTCGATGATGCTACAGTCTTATCTAAGATGGGATGATCGGATATGCATATGTAAGCCCTGTCACGTTACTCTATCATTTTCCTTTGTAGGTTAACAAGTAGAAGGCATCTGTATAATTAGGGATTCTACTTCTAGGTAACGCTCAAAAGGTGCGGACAGTGCACTACTTTCACAAAACACGTGATGCAAATCATACGCCAGGAGAGTGCATCGTGCCAAGCTCATAAGCAAACAACTGTACCTTGATTAACTCATACTATTGGTGAATGGCTGCTGACTTTTCCGTTTGACGATGGAAACATGGCCTAGAAAATTTCGCACGCGTGGCCCGTGAGAGGTGCAATTCATGACCCAATACATTGGCATCGGCAGCATAAAACACTATCTTTGTTCCCCACAGCCTATTTGTCCCGTAGCACAATTCGAATTTACGAGAACTCTCCAATACCCTCGAATACGGGAAATGACTCCGGCTTTACAAACTCGTCTACGGCTCTATGCAGAGCTCACTCGGCTCACCAAACCCATCGGGATTCTCATCATCATGTACCCGTTTCTACTGGGTTTCTTGTTCACGCTGATCAGCATGGAGCCTATCGAATGGACACTGCATCCTCCTCAGGTTCTCCACACCTATATTCCCATGATTTGCCTCTTTTCTATCTTCTGGCGCTCCTTCGGCTGTGTGTGGGACGACATCGTCGACGCACGCCTTGATGCAATGGTAGAACGAACACGCACAAGACCTTTGGCCCAGAAAGCGATCTCAATACTCCACGCATGTATTATCGCCGCCGCCCTCCTCTTCCTCGCAGTCAGCACTACGAGCGTTATCACGCCGCACTCGCCAAACAAATTTGGGCTCGCTATATACCTAGCCCCACAGATCATCATGACTCTTTTATATCCATTCGGCAAGCGCGTTTCATACTACACGTCCTTCTGGCTCGGTTTCACAATTTCGTGGAGCATCTTCGTTGGAGCACGGATTGCTGGATTTGATATCTTTAGCCATTTTCTCGACACAAGACATCTGTTGTGGATTTCTTTATCCACTGATGACGTGTGGTTGATGACAGTTGATCAATCGAACAGTGCGCGAGCTTTGGGTCTCACTGCCCTGTTTGTAACCTACGCCATCTGTACAGCGGCCCAGGATATCATCTACGGATTCCAAGACATTCGTGACGATGCTAAGTTGGGTTTGAAAAGTTTTGCTATTCTTCTGGGCCATGGGCCAACTGCCAAACGCGTGCTCTCTGTCCTGGTAGTATTGCAGGTTGCCATATTGGGTTCCATTCCCCAACTCGTGCACTCCGCAAAGCTCTCGAAAATGAACACTGCTAGCCCAGTCGGCGACTATTGGGTCGTATTGAAGGCCTCGTGGATTTTTATTGTCTTTGCTGTTGTGGGCAAAGCTATCGCGTGGATGGTCGTACTACAGCGCGTTGATTTGGGCGACGTGCACTCCACGGGGTTTTATTTCAGTCAACGTAAGTAATATGCTGATAAATACTGCTTTCAACTGCATTCTCGAGTGATGAATTCGGCTAAAAATGTATCCACGAATTTAGTGAGCTTCTGGGTCCAAGGAAATATCGTAGCCGGACTCGCGTCGCAATACGCTCTCATTGCTCTTCTCGATGATGGGGCGGCTGTAAAGATCGAAAATTCAACCGGATAGGGATGTCAACTGTCATTTAATGAATCAGCCGTTATCTTTTTAATCCCTGTAACAAATAGTTGCATCTTCTTAGCGGAGGGATACGGTCAAGATGGCATTGCAATACAGTGAACCTGATGGATCACCACTAGGGTAATGTCTCGTGGGTGACTATCAACTAAATTAGCAACCGAGCTAGCAAAAAGTACAGTAATAAGTCGACTCCCTATTTCTATATCATCCAATTTTCACATCATACCAAACCCTTGCTATTTCCCAAGGAAGATTCATTTGTTTCTGATTCAGCAACTGACCCAGTATCATAAGATGTTATTACTAGTTAACTATTATGCGCATATTAGCGGCTGTATCATAGACTTGGTAGATCTGAGTATCTACTTAAGATTGTAAAGGAATTTCGATCATGGGAGATAAATCGACAAACAACAGAAGCTACAGAAGCCTGTACTCTAGTAAGAGGGTCGACTGCTGAGTCACTGCTCGGTACGATTCTCGCAGATATTATACAGCGCAATAATTTAGAGTATGAAGAGAGAATTCATTCAAATTAGTGCTTTCCGGATCACGAATAGGGCATTCTTTCGGCCGTCCAATATGTGCAACACACTTATGGGCGAACACCATTTTCTGTTGAACAAACACACTTCAAACCTCGACTAAATGAGATCAACATGCATATAATTTTGCGGTTATTAGCCCACTTCTCCAGCGTGTCAAAACGTATGGGAAAACCTTTGAAGTATAGCATTGTAAAGGCACAGGGAGAGCGTACGCTACCGAATTCCATCACCATTGAGGAATCGGCGGACTTTATGACGCCAGTACGACCTACGGGTCTATTTTACTCTCTCATCGTAAAGCCTGTCGTGTCTGAGCGAGGATCCCGAGCATGTACGCTTAAGCCCGTGGAGAGTGTTTCTAGCGTAAAAGTAGTTTCCCGACGGGGAAGTCCGGACCGGCGAGTTAGAACGCTGAGGACCCGGAACCCAACTGTGTATTACCGAGAATGCGATTCCAACGTTAGCAATTATATAACTCGAGCTGCGGGAAAACATACATGCCAGCCATGAATCACACGCGACGACTGATCATTTTCAATGACAACACGAAGTCGATCCCAATACACGCTAATCTGGGACTCGCTCAGCAATTCCATCGTCAGCTGCCCGGATACACCAGCACGCCGCTGATTCCTCTAGAGGATGTCGCAAGCAAGTTAGGCGTCAAATCTATCTTTGTCAAAGATGAGAGCAGTCGACTTGGGCTTCCGGCATTCAAAATACTAGGTGCATCATGGGGTTCATGCCGTGCGATCATAGCCAAGTCAGGAATCGCCGAAGACTCTTCTCTCCAAGACATCGCTCATGCAGCTCGTCAAATGTCAACTACACTCATTACAGCCAGCGCAGGAAACCATGGCAGAGCATTGGCAGCGATGGCGCGGATTCTCGAAGTACCTGCGCAGATCTTTGTGCCGCGCACCGTCAGCGAACAAGCGATTCAGCTGATCTCCTCGGAAGGGGCCCAGGTTACTGTGTCCGATCAGGACTATGACGGAGCGATAAAAGAGGCATGGGATGAAGCCAAGGCTATAGAAGGTGGTTTGTTCATCCAAGATACAGCATTTGACAACTACTCAGAGATCCCTCAATGGATCGTGGAAGGATATTCTACCCTGCTTGCGGAAGTTGAGGAGCAACTTCAAAATGATAACCTCAAAGCGAATCTTATTGTGACCCCTGTTGGTGTAGGTTCTTTGGCGCACGCAGTCGTCCGTCATTGTAAATCCAACAACCGGCAATGTGCAGTTATGACCGTGGAACCCGACACAGCTCCTTGTCTGTATCATAGTTTGAAAGCTGGAAAGCTAGTATCAGTGAGCACTTCGAAGACGATTATGGAAGGGATGAATTGTGGAACAGTGTCAAGCACCGCGTTTAATGATTTGCAGTCGGGCGTGGACGCGAGCATGACCATTTCGGATTTCGAATCGTATCAAGCTACCAAGTACCTTGCAGAGCGATCCGTCAGCAGTGGTCCATGTGGAGGTGCGGCTTTTGCCGCCCTACGGCGTCTTGCAGACACTCCCTCACGCCCTTCTTGGCTTAATGAAGATGCCGTAGTCGTGATTCTGAGTACTGAAGGCCAGCGCCATCACGATATCCCACTGGACACCTCTATCAGCGACCCTGATCTTTTGCAAGCTCCCGGAGTAGGAGAAGAAGCGGTGTGGCGTTAGATCTATGTATGGCATCAGTACATAGATCTCGAAGCGCATTGGGCCGAGTCAATATTCGATCGGCCATCAACAATTGGTGTTTTCCACATGCATAGCCTCAATTAGAGCGCACTAATACTTGCAACAGCTCCAATCGAAGTTTCAAACAACGTTTTCATTACTCCTTTTTGTCTTGAACTTTGGGTGTTGTTGCAACCCTGACCCGGTGCCGAAAGTAAAACACACCGCTTGCAAACATTTTTGTAACTGCCTACTTTTTGTTACCTTTTTTATCTGCCATGTTAAGTGTAGGAAACACTTCACCTTCTGATTGAGAAAAAAAAAACTTAACAAACTTGTCTGTAACTAGCCTTCCGGGGTGTGGCACAATTCCTTCATTTAGAATTGAAATTTCAGCGGCAGATAGCGGCCCCTCAAAACCTTTGTCTATGTCTCTAGATCGACATCGTATAGTTCTCGCAGCAACCGGTTTTTTACATCCTCCGAAACCCAGGACTCGTTTATCGCATTCTGTGCCAATCTTTGTATCTCCGAGTTCGTGAAGTTGCAGTATTTCTTCGCCACGAGAAGGTTTTCCTGCACCCATGTGTCCTCCATAAATGCGGGATCATCACTCGCAATAGTGATTCGGATTCCGGCGTCGAAAAGAGCGCGAATTCGTTCAAACACTTCATCCAGTGGTTGATGGCGAATATACGACCAAGGGCAGATCGTCATTCCAAGATCCTTCTCTTTGATTAGATTGACGAGATCCGGATCTCCAGCCGCGTTGAGCCCGTGGTCAATTCTGTCCGTACCCCCACCCGCCATAGTTGAGACAACTTGATGGATGTGCTCCAGAGGATACGGCTTGCCAACATCACAGTGTGCTGTAAGACGAAAGCCATCTTTTCTAGCCCGCAGAAATACCTCTTCAAACAAAGATGGCGGTCTATCAACTTCATTCGAGTCAAGACCAATACCCACTATCATATCGCGATATTGCAATGCTGCATTATAATGTTCCATCGCGGACTCTGGCGATTCATCGCGGAGGAAGCACATGATCCATCCAGATCTTACCTGCAATGCACTTTCAGTGATCAAGGACTCTCAAAGTGAGTCCACGTGCTTACGTGGAGGGCCTGTTCAGCCTTTTGCTGCGCTTCTCGGAAACCCTGCATCATCGTCTCCCAACTCGCCCCAAAGCGTGTATGACCCTGCGGATCGAAAAAAATCTCGGCATATCGCACATTCATGGCCGCGGCGTGTTCGTAATAATCCATAGCAAGATCATAGTAGTCTTGCTGAGTTTTGAGCGCCTCAAAACCACCGTAATAGGCTTCAAAAAATGACAAAGTCTCCTCGCTATTGTTCATACGATTCCCAATGCTCGGTTTCAAGGTGTTGTGAGAGTCTCGTAGTTCTTCCAAGGAAGAGAATGCTCGACCTGTCCGAGGGTTGATGATTGGTTGGCCATTCCGTTGCGAGAACTTCCATTTCAGATCGGCGCTGATAATTCCTTCTATGTGAACATGGAGCTCAACTTTCGGAATCGCATTGATGTAGGGATCTTTGGTGGCCGCGATGGTGCGCCTCAGCTCTCCTCGTCCTACCACGGACAGCGCATTCTCTACGTCAGTCATTGTAGCTGTGAAGTAGTATTCGCGAAAACCGTCTCGTCGGTGCAGTTAAAGTGCTATTTCAAAGTTAAAGTGGAAAGTAATCTGATGTTTTTGACTGGAATTACAGCAAGATTTACACTTTTATATATTTTTAGATATAATAGCGATCTAGAAAGGTGACTCAGAGGCAGTTGGTGCGGCTGATCATCGTACCGATCAACCGAGCAGCATCTGCCGAGCAGGCCGGAGAACGGCGCGCTCCTGGTCACCTTCGTATATTCTTGATAAGAACATAGTAAAAGAAAACAAATACATGGTCAACAGTAATGCACGTAATCCGGTGGTGGGATCGCGATTCTTAAGATTTCATGGCCAGCAGCTGGTCAAAGGGGATGCATGTATCCGGAGGCCCTTACCTGACGACGGATGCTTAGCCCAATTGAGATTGTTTATGACCTCGAGATCCCATCAAATTCATTGTCCCGAGCCATTTTTATCGCGATCGGGCACAATGGAGTAGGTATAACATTTTCATTTGCATATCATGATGACACCACCAACGACTTGATCCACAAACCAAAGATAAAATGAGCATCGGTCTATGATACTTCGTAATAAACAGCTCAGCATTCATAACGGTCACCATCAAATGAAGTTTGTACTACGTCTGTGAGAAATAAAACGCTACTTGATATTGAACCAATGGTTGAAACGGTTGCTTAGGTCGTATTTCTGCTTGAGCGTTCGTAAGCCAGAAATAGAACCAATGAAGGCTCCAGGTATATGTGAGAAAGTCTAGGAAGTGCCCAGAACAACGACTCTGTACCGCTTCTGCTTTGTCGGGTTGAACCCCATCCAGCTATCCAACTGGTCATACTCATCGAAGTCACGTTTGCGCGGGCGCATAGGGCAAGCGACAGCAGAGCTTGATGAGGAAACCGATGAAGAAGAGGCAGAACTTGAAACGGATCCGGATGCCGAACTGCTAGTAAAGGACGTGGTCATGGACGACTTGGAACTTTGAGTTGAGCTTCCAGATGACTTAACAGATGATGAAGAAGATGAGGTTCCAGATGCAGATGTTTTCGGCGCGGACGTGGAAGCGGGGACCGACTTAGATGAGACCTTGCTCGATGAAGAAGTCGTCTTAGCTGGTTCCTTGCTAGACGAAGAGATTGTCTTGGACGGTTCCTTGCTCGATGACGAGGTTGTCTTCGATGGTTCCTTGCTCGACGAGGAGGTCGTCTTGGGTGGTTCTTTGCTAGATGTCGACGTTGTTTTCGGCGGTTCCTTGCTCGAAGACGTCGTTTTAGGCGGATCCTCTTTCTTACTGGTGGACGTGGGCTCCTCCTTCTTAGTAGTCGTTTTAGACTCCTCCTGTTTGGTAGTCGTCTTAGGATCTTCTTTTTTGGTGGTGGGCTTTGAGCCGCCGCTGCCGCCCTTTTTCTTCTTCCGTTTCTCCAATGTATCTAATACCGATGCCGGTTCTTCGATGGATAATACGGAAACATCTGGATCAGTTGTTAGCTTATCTTTCAATCGATTCTCCTGAAAAAAGGTTCTAACATACCCGAATCACCGGGATGGGAACCAGTAGACGTAGCTAGAGCAACGCTACCCATCATCGCCATGAGCACTACCGTCAACTTCATATCGTCGGAAAAGATGTTACACTGAGAAACACAATGACATAAAGCAGCGAAATGGGATAATAGAAGAGAAACTGATGCAAGATCAGAGAAATGTATGTAATGACCGATAAAAATGAGTGGATGACTGAACACAGTCCGAAGAAATCAAAGCGCGGAATGATGCGGTTTCGGTGTACGCGGTCCCTGACAGCATCCCTATAAGTATCATTTTCCAACTATCTATCGCGCCATAGGGCTATGCATGTGCTTGGCCATCGGCATCTACGCATGTGCCAGTCAAGCCAGCCGGGTGATAATGGATTCTAATTTTGATGTCCGAACCCAGCTCCAAGGCAGCGAGCTACGAGAGTAATCAAATTTACGAAAGTGAATTGTAAGGCTTCGTTGTAGGTCCCGCTTGGGATAGTAGTAATTTCCATGTACAAAATAGCATGAGACACGCTAAGAAAGGTCCGCTGAATCATTGAGTGGTGCGCGACTTGTGTACAGGTGACTCTCTGACTCCACTTGGTCAATTCACTAAATCTAGTGAAGTGGAGAAGCTCGCCCCCAATGTCTCCTTTCGTCCCCCTCTTCATCATTGTCACATCTAGCGCACATTTATCGCATTCAGAATTAACAATCACCAAGCAAGTATTAGTCGAATACGAAAATCTGAGAGATGTTGATGGGATAGAGCGAGCGACTTGCCTACAATATCACGGCCCAATGGTAATCATGCGAGATTCTGGGCGCCTGACACATACTTCGAGGCTGAGGATGCAACAAAAGAAACACGCGCAAGGCCCCCAACTTTCATGATCTTGGTTAACAACTCGCCTGGTCCTGGTTTTTGGACCCTCCGTCGTCAACCCTTCCAGGAAAAAAGAATTCTAGTGGCTCAATGAATGCCCTCTAGCTCATGAACTGCATGGCATGACCCTGATCAAAATGGGCTCGGGTCATGTCGAAATTCCTTTTTTAGAAGTACAGCTCGTAGTTCAAAACTAGCTTTAATTCCCGTACAGAATATGTTGTAGGGCCTGAAATCTTTAATCCGACCGTTGACATATTTCGGCGCAGTGACAAGAGGGGTATTCTGGGCATTGACACCGGATGCCACGATAGTAGCGTGTTAAACAAGAAATACTGATCCACAAAATCAGACGGAAACTGTACAACTGGTTCGTATTCCAAAGCGACGGCGTCATGAGAATACTGGGGCGATGCACAAGTAGATGTCCGGAAGTAGTGGCTGTTCACCTGGTCCGACAGCATGGCCAAGATTGCAAGGCTGTAGGGTATAGGGTGTGGACAGTATAACCGAATATCAGATTCAGGAACGAAGTATATATGTGGAAAGGAAACTATAGCTAGGCCCCTCATCATCATTGCATTCTACGGTCTTTTTTGTTTCCCTCGCCATCATGGCTTCGTCACTCGCTTTGTTGTGTTTATCAGTCAATCTTTTACCCTCTATCTTCGTCGCAGCCTCGAATCATGGAAGTCTCCACATCCGAGATGTAATTCCATCCGATATGATGGATGCTTATGGGGGCTATGAACTGGTTCACCTTGAAGAACGTGATGGTGAAGATGTTGTAAGTTTCACAGCGTGGATCTTTCTCGTATTATGCTGACGTTTTCTTCTTTCCATAGGTGTACATTCAGGAGCGTGCAGATAAGACAAAGCCTGCCAGTAACGCCAAACCTTCGACTTCGTCTACCCCAGCCCAAGCTTGCAGAGATTGCGATTGGTTCACACCCTGGAAATCTTCAGACCTTCAAAACGATGGCGATGAGATCTTCTCTAAGAGGGACCTTCTGCTCGGCGGCAACGATTCACCTTCGGAGTCTCTGGTGGTAAGCACATATGATCCCTCGGTCTCTCACAGTAACTGGTTCTAACTTCGACAGGCTCGTGGAAAGCACAAGGCTGGAAAAAACTCTAAATGGAAAGAGAATGTCTGTGGGTCGGCTGCTGCAGGTGTTGCTGAACTGAATTTTGGACCGTACAACTGGCCCACCAACAAAGACATGGAAAAGGTAAATTCTCTCCGACATTCTACGTATACCACAACTAACATCAATTAGACAAAGCAAATCTACGATTTCAATCCATTTGATGATCCTTTGTCTTCCGGCTACTATGAACTCAAACTCAACAATGCTGTCCAAATGCGACCCGGTAAAACAAATCGCGGTGTGTCAGTTGAGCACATCCTCGAATGGTATGCTTATCGGTCCCAGAATAACCTCTTGCAAGGCTAACATGTTGCTAGGCAAGTCTTCCTTGACTTCGTCAGGGGTGACGCGGATCGTTGCACTCATTTTGCGAAGTACTTCCAGGAAGTGGTACGCGTCGATGTCACTCTAGATAGTGGAAAACTTATCCAAGGAAAAGAAAGGGCAATCGACTACCTTGCTCACCAGTACCGTAAGTTTGCCGATGATTTTATACAAATATCAATACTGACCCGAGACTCTTATAGCCGGAAACCAAAAAGACACACTCTTCGGACAGACGTTCGTTGACGAATTCGTCAGTCTTCACGATGGTGTGAATGGTCGTAAGATGGTGGTATGTATCACGTAATCTCGAACGATTTCACGGAAACTAACCCTCACACAGCTCTGGAGCGGTGGCGATCTTATTGCTTCGTCAGTATGGAACCGTTGGAACGCAGGAAAATCGGACAAAACGGGCAAGGCCGCCGCAGCAAATGAGAATCTGTGTGAAGCTGTTACAGCCGTACGAGATCTCATTGGTGTGATCAGATACCATACGGATGCGAACGTGGAGAAGATCCTGAAAGCTCAGATTGCTCGTATCGGAGTGGCTCTGGAGTATTTGGAGAAAAAAGACGGTCCCTTGAGCAAAATCGACTACATCTTTGACCCCGCTAACCCAGCGACGATCTCCAAATATGAAGCGATGAAGGAGGGTTCTCTAAAATCACAATGGGATACTTACATCAAGGAGTTGCATGCTTCAGTGGTCAAGAGTCTGGACGACAAGCTTGAGAAGTATGTCAACAATCTGGAAGCTGCCGCAAAGAAATCGGGAGTGAAGCGAAGCCTTGTCAAGCCGGACAGAAGAGGTGCAGGAAACCCCAATGGCCCTCTATGTGGGCAGGAAGCAGACAAAGCGAAGATGAAGAAGCGGATTGATCTCCTTGTTGCTGAGTACAACAAGGTCAAGGGTACCTGGAAGAGCCCGTACTAGGCAGGCCCAACTTCACAGATTGCGCAAGCGGTGTTTATTCAGGCGAGCAATTCAGTCGATTCACTGTTCCAAAATGAGGTTGCAACTTGATTCACTGTCAGCTTTTCGTGAAACGAGGCGTCCGGTATTAGTAGCGATGTTACCAGATTTCCTATTCAATGCCGAGACTAAGCCGCCCACTAAAGGCTGATCGCCAAGCGTTGGGCAGAGCGACGCAATTCGGTGATCACGATATGCAAGGGTACCTTGACTACAGTCCGGCTAGCGTTCTCCTATAACAATTGCCCATCTCAGTCCCATATCTCCCGTGCCTCATTCACGTTAACAACAAACAGTAATGGACAGCATACCGCCTGAAATCCTTTCGGAAATAATAATATTCCTCGACAAAGATACTAAGATCTCTGCTTATTCCACAATTTCTCGGACCTGGCAACATGCCATTGAGCAACGAACATTTCGGTCCCTCAAACTGACAGCAGATGATGTGGGCGCATTCAAAGACTGCTTCGTCTCCGACAATATCCGTCGCGCGCAATACATGACTAAACTCGACATTGATCTTGCATATTGCCGCTCCAGCGTTCCCGATGTCGCGATTGCATTCTTAAATGCACTGTCGGATATCGCAAATCGCGCCCCGAACGTACTTCCACTCACATTAAGTCTTTCGCTTCCACACAGTCAAGGAGAAAGTGACATATGGGACATTCAATTGCCAGACAATGCTCTGGATATACATCAAGTTGAGGCCTTCGTGTTGCAAGTTTCTGGCCTGGGGTATTACATGCGTCAAGCTGCGGCTTTCAATTTCCTCCTGCATTTCCCCCGTATTCGAAGCGCTAAGCTTTCAATCATGGACATGCCTGAATGGGGTCTTCGGAGAAGGAGGAGTGAGCGACAAGGTAAGATCTCAAAGAATGTCCCTCCAATATGTTACTGACACAATGCGCAGAGCTGGGGAACGCAATCCAGGCAACTGATTTCTCACACCTGACCGAGTTCGTATTGACAGTATGGCACATCAGCCTTCGAGATGAGAATTGGCCACCGGGGTCGCTTGTACCGGGTGGAAATCTCGAGGATCCGTATCGAACTACAATGCGCCGTTTATCCACAGCTCCAAATCTTAAAACTCTCCACCTCATGGGTCCGCTCGTCATCTGTCCAGACTTCTTCTCTGAGCTACCAACATTTCCAGCATTGGAAGATTTCCAGCTAGACTTCGCCACTGAGACTGCAGATGACCGATGGTTCTTTATCCGAGACGAAGAACTGGAGAAAAGAATGGAGGAGGAAGATGAAGATGACGATTCCGACGACGAGGAAAGTGATTCGGATTCGGATTCGGATTCAGATAATCCCTGGGTAAAACTCACGGACCCAGATGATGAAGAAGGCCCACTGGAACACCGCGACGAAGGATGTCCGCCCCGATTCCGCACACTCCCCAATCCAGACACAATCCGCACACTACTTTTGGGTGCTGCTCGTTTCGTGCAGGACAATCCGAAACTCCAAAGGTTCATCCTCCGCAACAAAACCGCTCCGGGACTACGCGAGCAATCTACGGCAATGATGTACGACTACATGACTCGAAACCTCCAACTTTGGTACATGAAGCCCGGCATCCCCCGTTCAGATGGTATTGTTGTCAGGATTCAGGGAGAGCATAAATATTTGAGTCATCCTCGGTTGTATTGGAGAGTAGGCGATTGGAGGCCAGATGAAGATGTTACGAAGGCGTGGAGTGAGGTGACTGGGCCGGATACCAAAGTGTTCTTTCTCAAGGATGATAACTTCGATCCTTGGTCGCAATGGCCAATTTACTTGGGTGATCTCGAGGATGAACTGGTGGAATGAACCATAGTGATAGAATTGATTCAACAAAAGACATGGCCTCTCTCTTCATTGATAAGATCATTGTTGTAGATAAAGGGCGTGTAGATGGTGTGATTGATTCAATGCTCAATTTTTCGGTACTGTTTTTTTTTTTTTTTTTTTTTTTTTTTTTTTTTGGTACTGGAATTCGCGGAATCGTGGCCGTCATCACGATCATAACTTTCTTCGAGAGTTAACTCAGGTACAAATCAAAGCACAGTAGCAATGAGTGATACAAAAATTTCCGAGAACACTTTCGTTACACAGTCTATTGTGCTGGTCGCTGGAAGGTGTTTTGCGGTTGTTACTGAGTCGAGGGAATCTTGCCTATAGTCAGCTACCATTTCTCGAAGAAGCGACGCTGAAAAATTTTCAACGAACCTATCGCTCAAACCCCACGCAAATGCATTGTGAAACCGAACTCATCAACAGGATAACGCTCAGCGCTGGAAGGAGGATACCATACCATGACATCACCTATCATACGCTATCCAATCCGTCGGCCTCGTATTTTTTGACAGCCTCCATGAGCACATCGTACTCAGGTCGAAACGAATAATCGGCCGCCGATCTATCATGTGGCCAAGCAACAGAGAGGGGCAGGTACTCTTCTCGGACCAGCACTCTCAGATAGTCCTCCTCGTATAGTGCATACTGAGGTAAGTATTTATTTTCTACAAGCCAAGTCACAATCCCCTTCTCGTCCAAAACCTCGCTCTCGTAAGATTCGTACACGTCGTACCCTATACGTCTCTCAAACGCTTCCCGGTCCACGGCTGTTATCTGGGGAAAGCCTTCCAATAAAATGTTGGAGTGCTGTTCTGAAAGAATTACTTTGCCAGATAGAGCAGTAACAGTCTGATTTAAAGGCCATTTATGCTTTTCGTAATCCAATCGAGCAAGCTTTTCGTAATCCAATCGAACAAGCATTACAGCTTTAACTCCTGGAACACGTCGTAAGTCTGACAAGTCTTTGATGAAATCAGCAAATTCCGGGGTAATGGTATCATCGGGAATTTTGAGTCCGTATAACTCCGGATCCCTCCATGTGTAGTCCACGAGATGTGCATATGTCATATCAACGAGTAAGGCAATAGCCCTGTGCCTGTTATTGGGGAGACGATCTAAGCGGCCACATTGGTTGAATGCAAGCCCTGGCGTGGCAGGCCCTATAGAACCAATAAAACGCAACCCGGAATCTAGTCCATAGAGCTGGCACCGCTCAAGGATCTTTCTACTAAATGCATTCTCATCAGAAGGAATATCAATTGACCCAATGCCAAGGAATGCCTGAACAAGAGGTGGAAGATTAGATCCGCTATTGTGCGACTGCATAACAATATGATTAAGGTCAGCGCCGTACTCCAGCAGTCTGTCGAAAAGTTCTAGTGCCTTTTCATAAGTTTTTCCACGGTACTCAAAAGAGCTCAGAGCTATAGAGAGCAATCGTGAGTAATGGTCGACCTTATTTGTGACCAGGGCCTGCTGAATCCGAGATAACAGGTACAAAGCAGCCTCATAAGAACCATATTCGATAGCAGAAATCAAGAGCGGGTAGGACCGCTCTTTGAGCTTGGGGATCCGGCTTAGTGTACTATCGGATATATCTAAGCTATACTTGCTCAAATATCCAAGGGGTTTAAGGTCCATTGGTGGAAACCCAAGCTGTGGCGAGCTCCTTAAATAGATCATTGCATCGTCGGGCGGACCAGTTGATTGTCTCACTAGTGGCATACTCCAAAGTACAATCCAAGATCCTAAGATAGCAAAGAGCCCCCCAACTTCCCTTTGCAGCAAGGTTCTATCATCGTAGCTACTTATTTCTTGGCCCTTTGCGGTGTCCATGAGGAAGTCTCGTGCGCTTCGATGTATGAACGAAAATATCTCTTGTTGAACATCTGAGATTAGATGTGTATATTGGAATTCCAACGAATTTTGTAAGTTGTTCTCGACTGAACTCCGGTATATAAGACCCGAGCTTATGTTTGTATTCGTAGAGATGCCCACGAGTCCGCAGCATCGAGAGACTACTTGTTGACGTAAATCTTGGCATCTTTCGTAGATTTCCTCGCTGGAAACATATTTGCCTCCCCGCAAGAGACGTTTGCAGAGGCTCGGCTCCGCAATTAGGAGCATATCCAAAACTCCGATAAGTCTTTTGTGGCCGTTTAAGAGGGTTTTCAAGTACACTGCTGTGCAAGAACGATAAACTTCTGTGTTGCCCCGCTGTCGCGTCCATAAGTCTTCAAAGAGACTTTCGAGCTCTCGTGGTAAGGAATAAACCCTCTTCAAGAGCAAATCCCAACTGTCGCGTGCAATGACTCCGGATTGTATTCCTTGCGTAACCAAGCAAACCCACAAGAATATCCCATTGGCACAGCTAGTAATGATCTGTATTAGTCCTTGAAGATTTGGTTTGTCATGCTGATATATCTCTGATTCAGAAACAAGATCGTATTGATGTTGAATCCAGTCCATCAATGCCGGTGTGTTCAGTTGTTCAGCCACAAGAAGTGATATGTCTCTACTGGTGAGATCTTGGAGCTCCAGATGGGGATATTCGCCCAGTTGTGACCGTAGCACTGTCTCTGACCGGCTCGATACGCAAAGCTTGATACCATTAAGAGCACCCAGACGTTTTATTAGACTCAGAAGATTATGTTGGCCATCATCAGTGCCGGGGTCAATTTCGTCCAGCCCATCGATAAATACACAGATCCGGTGTGGGTGCTTTGTCGAAAACTCGCAAAGGAAGTGCTCCAGTTCCCGGAGCGACCAGTCGCCTGGCGATCTCTTATTCCATACTCTTTTATCAATTTCGATATCCTCGATCAAGTTTGGTATCTGAATAACCAGGTCGTGCAGAAGCGTACACAGTAACCCCTTGAGGGAGCGTTGCATGAGACTTCCAGATAACCAAATAAATGCGGGTATTATATAGACATCGGATCCATGAGTTTCCAGCAGCGCAGTGGTTTTGGGGTGGTGTATAAGGAAGCGCATGAAGGTTGACTTTCCTGATCCTGGTTTACCACTAATCCAGTAGATTGGCTCGTCGTTTTGCAACCAATCAGGGAAGCCTTTTCCACTGTCACTGCTAGCATTCACTTCCTTCTGGCCGAATATCCACTCAAAAGTCCCATGATGCGCAGGTCTACCATCCAATTGGTTGTCGCGTGACTTCATCTCAGGGAAATACAGTGACCCCAGAAATTGTTCGCGACGGGCATCGGCCGCAACTGTTGTTCGGTCATCTTGTATCTGACTCCGCGTGGCCTGCATCTCCGTTGACACATGGTTCCTAACTTTGGCAGCTTCCAGTGCATTGCTGGCTCGGGTCTCGTGGGATTCCATTACTACCTTGTCCTGAATCGCCTTTGACTCTTGACCCATAAGTGCTTTCAGCTCCGTGACGCCTGCTTCCAGTTTTTTGGCAAAATCCTGTACTTTTTGGTCCAAACTATTGAAGTCGACCGATGTTGTCAGATTGTGTTCTTTGATCTGCTCCCGCAAATCTACCAAAATCTGGACCTCCATTGTATGCTGTAACTTGCTCATCTGGGATTCTATATCTTTCACTTTCGCCTTTGTGTGCAGGTTGTATTTCAGGGATTTCCCAAAAGCTTTCCCGAATGTCCTGAACTTGGAAGATCCTTGTGTGACCTGACTACTCTGTATTTCCGTCTCGATCTTGTTGGCTAGTTCCAGAACTTGAGTGGCAATCGTATGCAGTTCTTTTTGTTGTGGGGACTGCATTGCTTGGGGCTCTAGGTTTTTCCGAAGCCCCAGGGTGGCTTTCTCAAGCGCGCGAGCATTGACTGTGGCTTCCGGTGCCGGCGATTTGTCACGGGAGATCCTTCTGAGGGTGGAAATTGCCTCGAAGCTGAACGAGATGACCTGCATCACGTTTGCAGCAATGGAAAGACCGGCCAGAGCTTCGGCCATGATTTATTGACTCCAAGGTCAACCAATGACGCCAAATGGCACAATACCAGACAGGCAGTATGATGGAATGAAGTGCACTGATCGAGCGGAACGAGGCATTCAGGTGCCGTAGTGACCGCGACTCAGCAACGCAAATTCTTCAGTTGCTTCTCTGGGTGGAGGTTTGAGGTGATGAGATCACGTACATGTTGGGATTGAGAAGTTTCTCAGCTTCCAGCTGGAAGCGGGGTCATTGACAATACGAGATTAGATGTCCAATCACACAAGCATGTAAACCCTGCCTTTCAGCCTGGGACTTCACAATCGATCATTACGGCGAACCGAAAGATCCTGTCAAGATCCAACTTCCATCCATTGCACTGAGCGTGGAGACTATTAAATGAAGACGCAGTCAAGGTATTGTATTGGATTTGAGCATGGCTTGTCGCGACAAAGATCGCGGACGGCAACGCAACTGTAGTGAGGAAAGGCGAGCTCATTGGGCTATGCATCAAAAATGTCTTTTACACGTATAACTTACCCATGGGATTGTTCGTAGATACGCAACGTGTGATATTGTAGCTTTCACAGATAACCGAGGGTATAAATAATCAATGGCCGAATTATATCGTCTAAGAACCAATTTTGACCAGATTTACAGGCGGTCAGTCCCGGGAGGGCCTACAATGTGTCTCACAGAGTACTGTGTAATGCTCAAATTCCGGTGAGGGCATCACAATCGATAAGATCGGGCACATCTTCTCTGCTCATAGCCTTTTGACTCTTTATGATGACAGCCATACAGTGCTCATCGTCACGCACGATAGAGGTGGGTGCTCTCGGATGCAGTTCAGTGGAATGATAATTCGACAGGATGTGCAAACAGCTTCAGAATTTTATCGTTGGACAATAGCTAGAGTCGCTTGAATGATAAGGAGGCTGGTCGCCAAGATCGTGTGCCGCATCGTCCTGGCCAACCACATGTCTACCTCGCTGATCTCTGCACTCTCGCGCTGCTATGTGTCGGCCTGATGAACTGACACGGTAATCGTGACTGTGGCTGGGATTCTGGGCTCGCAGTGGTATCTAAGTTGGAGAGATGAGAGGGATGAGAGGGGCAAGATTGGAATTGACAACGGCAACGAAGCAGCTGATGAGAAGCGAGACAGCGATAGGGAGGACAACTCATGGGAAAGGAAGCGGAATCAAATGGTCCTTCCTAAATGTCTTACCTACGCCGTCCCTGATTGGTTTGCAAGCAAGTGGTACCAACTCCAGAGGAACAGAAACAAGTCCAAAGAAAAGAATATGAAAGCGAAGAAATGGAGATTGGACGAAAGGGACAGTAAGAAATTCGAAGAAGCCAACAAAGAAGAAATTGGGACCAACGAAACAATAGTACGAATGCTTGGAGATGCGACATAGGAGGTTTTGTAGGTAGACAAACATGACGATGGACCCGCTTTCGCAGAACGCGCGACGGGAAAGCTGAATCAATTTGCAGGAAACCTAGAACAAAAAAACGGATACTAATGTGGTCTCATCCAGAAATAACATCAAAAATGTGCACTCTACTTTTCATTCTGATGAACACAGCATCATCAGATAATACACTTGTGCGATGTCTTTCTCAAAATCTCAGCAAGATCCATGCTGGTGCCCGGCAGCAAACATGAGATGACATTCTACACCACAGGCCCACGCTTCGTCCTTAACCTGCCCCCCAAAACCTGAAGAACCACAATAATACCCAACGCAGCAGCAACAATAACAGCTTGAATCCCAAAAGACAGCGCGAACCCCGACTTTTCACCCCATGGTTGTTGAAAGTATCCTACCGAGAAACCGGAAATAACTATCCCAAATTAGCACGCCTTCCTCGAGGAAGATGTCAAAAATCAAGGAGAACCACTCACCCCTAGCAAAATTCAACAACCCCCCAACCTCCGAACTCGCACCCCCATAACTATCCAAAGCATAAGCCGTGACTGCAACAGTAGCAAGCATGACCCCAAAAGTATACATCCCCCACCCCACCACGATCCCCGCAACACTCAAATGCTTCTCCAGCGTAAGCCCCACCACGATCAACCCCGGAATCATGAAAAACGCAGCAACGTAGTTAGTCACGAGTCGCGCCTCGGGCTTGAAAACGCCGCTATGGAGACGGATATAGCGGTTAGCGATGAAATCGTTGAAGAAATGGCCAAAGACTTCGCCGAGGACAACGGCGACGAGAGGTGTGAAGTAGAGGAAGCCGATGGAGAGCGGGGAGTAGCCGTAACCGCCGAGAGCAGTTGGGGTTTCGAGCAGGATTGTGGAGGTTATGTTTATGCCTACAGACCACATGAAGGACATCGCGCTTTGAGGCCATTCAGTATTAGATAGCTTTCCCGAGGAGATATGAGACGGATGACGGGGAGAAGCTTACTAGTACAACATCGCCGGAATAATGATAGGTTTCAAGAACGTAGACAAAAGACGTCTACACGAATGCGAAAGCGTAGTAAAGTATCCCTTATGATGCTTTATCTGCCAAATCCCAACAACCCTCAGCATTCTAGCGCCGAATGTCTGCGGTCGCGCTGGTTGGGACTCTATCGATACAGTTCTATCGTAGTACGTCTCGTCGCAGATGAGAATGATGGCAATGAGATCGGCTGAGCAAATCGCGAAACACAGCCACATGACGGCCCTCCAGTCACCTGTCCCCGCAATGATGAAGTTTGCAAAGAAAGGCCCGAGGTATGGGGACAGGATGAAGATGGCGACCCAGATTCCGATCTTGCGGGCGTGCTCGTGGAAGTAGAACATGTCTTTTACGCAAGCTAGACCGACGACTTGGTAGGCTGTTAGGGTTAGGCCCATGAGGGCGCGGAAGCCGTAGTAGACGGGGAAAGAGGTTGTCGTCTGTATCAATGGTAATCAGTGAGCTGAACTGAACGCAAGTGTATTTTAGAAAGAAGGGATATACATAAATCTTCGCTTCGTATTCGTTCGATTTTGAACGAATTCGAACTCAAGAGGAAAAAGAACCTACCGCACAAGCCAAAGTGAACAACGCCCCAGAAAGCGTAGACCAAAACATAACCGGCGCTCTCCCCCAAAATGAACTCATCACAATCCAAAACAGTCCCCCGATGCCCCTAAATCATCCTTGAATTAGCACATCACTCAAAAACGATCACACCTTGATCGATGTAATCATCGCAGTTTGATATAGCGCATTTACCCACGCAAATCCCTCCTTTTCTTTGATAATGAGTACAAAACTTACAACATAACCACATTCAAATTCCCACTCTCATTAACCTTCGCCGGCGACAATCCCCACTCCTCCCCTTGCAGCACAATTAACGGGATCCCCGACCCAGATCCGTAATCCCCCAGAAACGCCGTAGACGACACCACCGCCAGCATCAGATGCTTGCGTCTCCATGACCAATTGAGCGGGTCGTTGGGATCAGCGCTGGGTTGCGGAATCAGAACGGTATGCCCATCTTTCGCTAGTTTCAGGTCTCCAATTTGGCCCTTTTCGAGATGTGCGGCATCGGCGTCTAGGAGGATGGTGTCGGTTTCGCGGGTTGTGCATTGTTGCGTGGTGAGAGGTGTAGCTTTGGATGTGGCTGGGAGGGTGTCGATGTGTGAGATTTCGGATTTGGGATCTTCCATTGTTGTTTATGCTTTATTCGTGTGCATGAAAATGGGATTAAAAAGTGTTTAGAATCGAGGAAGTTTATTCTACGGAATGGAATAGTGGGTGATATGTAGACAAGTACTTGTACAAACCGCACGCCACGGATCGGCACTTATGATCCTGTCCTTGCAACATTCTCTAGAACGGTGACCTGGACCGCGTTATGTGACGCGGTCTCACGCAATGGAAACGTTGAATCTCAATACCCCATGGGATGTTGGGCGGGCGCGCTAAGATGGTTGTGGTGGGGAAGTGGTCGATCTTAGGGCATGGGAGACAAGTCGGCTTATGCGGTATTTCAACTGCCGAATGCTTATCCACAAAGCTTGACTGGGATGGTGGAAGCTTTCGGATCAAGATCTTAGTTTTGCGTGAGGGGTAGCGTGTTATTCGGTACTTTTGGAAGGTACAGTGCAAGACAAGCATGCGGGGAAGCTTGAGAGTTGGGGCTAGAAGCTTGAGGTCGGTATGGTGCACTTTTTGATCTGGTGGTGTATATGGTTTTGTGAGCTTATTTTCAAAGTCGCGTAAAGAATTGAACAGTTGACCTAGGTTGGCGTCTCGTGCTTCTTTGCGTTTGCAGTATAGCACACTATCGTACATACGTAATTCACCCTCGTGTCAGCATCTCCCTCACTTCTCCAAACCTATTAATGCCCCCACTTCCTTTGCGATGCTTCCAAAAAGCCTCGCCCTCTCGCCATCGGGTTCCGCTACCACCGTAGGCATTCCGCGGTCTGCGTCTTCACAGATACTAGCGTGTAGCGGAATCTCCCCTAAGAGTCCCAGATCGTACTTCTGGCACGTCTCGCGGATCTTTCCCATGTCCCCAAAGATGTTATGCATTTCTCCGCAGCCCGTACATTTAAACCCACTCATGTTGCACACGAGGCCGAGCAGCTTTGTGTCTACTTTCCTGAAGAGCTCGACGCCTTTGACTGCGTCTTTGAGAGACAGGTCTTGTGGAGTGGAGACGATCACGGCACCATCTAAGCTCAGCTGCTGAGTGATAGTGAGCTGGACATCGCCTGTACCGGGGGGCAGATCTAGAACTAGGATGTCCAGACCGCCCCATTCGACTTCGTGGAGTAGTTGCTGGAGGGCTTTCATGACCATCAAGCCGCGCCACGCTACGGGTGAAGACTCGGGAATGAGGTAGCCCATGGACATGCTTTTGAGGCCATAGTTGGAGAGCGGTATTAACTGATTATCTGGGCGTCAAGTCAATCCCGGAAGCTGTGGAAGTATAGTAAGTCGAGATGAGGACTGACTAGCGGAGAGCCTGGGTTCGCCAGAAAGATTCATCAAGGTCGGTATGGATGGTCCGAAAATGTCGGTGTCAAGGATTCCCGCTTTATAGCCCTGTCGCGCGAAGCTGAGAGCCAGGTTCACTTGTGTGATGTCAACCATTGCATCTTTTCGGTGGTTTGCGCATCAAGTTTACCAGAGATGGTGCTCTTGCCTACTCCACCTTTTGCAGATGAGACAGCGATTATCTTCTTTACATCTTTGATGTTCCTTTTCTGGGGCAGTCCTCGCTGCATGCGCGGGATTTGAGGAGGTGCGCCGGAGCGCGGTAGACCCTGTGGGGACTCAATAAATGGACATCGGACGCGACGAAACGGAAAACTCACCAACGGGTTTTCATGCTGCAGTTTACTTAACGTAGAAAACAATTGACGTCTCGCCTTAATTGAGACGGACATGATGAGATCATTGTGAGAGGCATTGCGGCTTGGGGTGGAGGTTGCGGAGGTAGAGCTGAGAGCGATTGGCTCGGCCCAACTTCGGCTGTCTTCGCAAAATTCTGTGGGGCAGCAAAAGTTCGAACTCTTGTGGTGCACTTCGCGATGATAATTTCACGGCAGCCAGATTTTCCAATCAACCATGCCAAAGTCCAAAGTTAGGGGTATGTATTTGAGAGCTGCAGTTTCTAGTGTTTTCCATCTTTCTAACAATCTGCTAGACTTCGATCCCGAGTCTATACTCGATCCTGCGCCCTCGAGCTCAGGTGAAGAATCCGAGTTTTCTGCCTCCGAAGACGATAATGCTGGCCGCGAGCACTATGTAGACGTTGGAAAGAGTCGTCTCAGGAAGAAAGAGGTTGTTCCGCTAGGCCCTCAATATACAGGCAGTCGCATCAGCCGTAATGACGCCGAGGATGAAGATAGCGATGACCCATTCGCGAAAGGCTTCGACGACGCAGAAAGTGACGAAGATTGTAGCGCGGATGGCATAGCTATTGACGGTGGGGAAGATGAAAGTGTAGACGGCAACTCTGAAGAGGAGGACGAAGATGAAGACATGGACAGCGGCGATGCGTTTGGGACCGAGGACGATCAGTCTGAACAAGATTCCGATGACGATGGTTCTGAGGAGGGTTCCGATGAAGAGGATGAAGGGAAGTCTCTTCGCAAAATGATGGGCGAAACAAAACTGGATGGAGATGCAGCAGTCCGCGAGATGCTCAAAGACTCTAAATCATTAGCCACCAATATCGCCGCCGCCGCTCAATCAGATGTCGCAAAGGGTAATGCAATCAAAGAGCAACGCAAGACTTTTGATTCACTTCTCAACACTCGGATTCGCCTTCAAAAAGCCTTGATCTCAACCAACAGCATGGTCGCAGAACCGCACAAGTCCGAGGAGGCTCCTGCCGCTTCGATTGAAGCCGCCGAAGCTGCTGCTGTGGCTCTTTTGAACAACCTTGCGGATCTACGGGCTTCTTTGGACGAGGCGCGGACAGGCAACAAGCGCAAGCGTACTGCCTTCACTTCCGAAACATCATCTACAACGATCTGGGATTCGATCAAGTTATCAGAGGCTAGTAGCTCCAAGCATCGCAAGACGGTTGTAGAAAAGTGGTCTGCTAAAACACGCGGCATTTCCGCCATGCCCTCCAAGGGTCAGCTCAACGCCGGTGCACAGCAAACTCTCACCGAGGTGCTCGATTCGCAATTGGCGAATTCATCGCACCTGGTCGCTCGCACTCACATGCCCCGCTCATGTGCACCCCTTCAATCAGCTTCATCCAAGCCAGTTGCAGACCCCAATATCTACGACGATGCCGACTTCTACGGTCTCATGTTGAAAGAGTTGTTGGAGCAACGCTCCGCTGACCTTGCGTCCAATGGAACCGCTGAATTTGTGGTTCAAGCACCGTGGCAAGTTGCCCGGGATGCGAAAACGAAGAAGGTGGTCGACACAAAAGCAAGCAAAGGGAGACGACTCCGGTACACTGTGCACGAGAAACTACAGAATTTCATGGCGCCCGAGCCACGTGAGACATGGGGGGAGCGACAGCGGGAGGAACTGTTCAGCAGTTTGTTTGGGCAGCGGGCTGGACTGGGCGAGCATGACGATGTCGAAAGCGAGCAGGAGGATGGGGCAGATGCGGAGGAGGCAGGGTTGACGCTGTTCAGAAGCTAGATTGGTGCGACGACGTCGTCGACGACATTATCTACAATACCTACTTGAAAAGTCAAAATATGACATCATTGCGATCTTCCGACCACGCCATCTTGTATGTTGATGCACAGGTTTCTTGGGCTACACAGCCAATGATGGCAGCTTTATTCCGGCTCAATTCAGCTTTTCTAGCCAATCTAGGCTTGAGGCCGTTTGAGACTGGGCGACTGTGATGTCACCCTGGACCCTGCATTAACAGCAGACAGACGAAGATCCGGGGAACATCAAATCTCACGCTAGCATCTTGGTTTCGCTCTCCTCCATCCCTCCTTTTCCTCGGTCGCTTGCCATGTTTATTCTTCTTTAGCATTACTCAGGAGAAGCGGACCCTTTAGCATTGACTCCTATAGGGGCTTTTGCATGCTCCCATCATGACCGTCAACACCCTAACAGTTGGCGCTGCTGTCACGCCTACCGTGATCCACACATACCTTTCACACTACCTCAACCGCCGCCCGTTGCGCGAAAAACCTACCGCACACATCTCGTACCATGAGGGCCTCGAGCTCATCCGCCAATTTCTACGTTACGCGTCCTTCCACACTGTCGACGAGCTACAAGCCTTTACCGCCCAATGGGTACCCGTGCCCATCTGGGTAGACGTGGACAGAATCGAGATACCAAATGTCCAATTGAAACGCGCAGCCGACTACATACGGGCAGAGCTAGGACCACAAGGGATTGAAGCGGTTGGCGGAAAAAGCTGGTGGGAATGGAGACCCGACGAGGGGTCCGACCTAAAGGCTGAATGGATCGAGATGCGCAAGGACATGGAGGAACGCAAAAAGTCTCCACATACCAAGGGCCAGCGCATCATGCTTTATGTTCATGGCGGTGCATACTTCTTCGGCAGCGTGGACGAGCATCGTTATCAGATGCAGAGACATGCAAGAAAGTTGAAGGCACGAGTCCTGGCTCCGAGATATAGGTTGGCTCCGCAGTTTCCGTTTCCCTGCGGGCTGATGGACTGCCTGGCTGCTTATCTATATCTGTTGGAGCAGAAGCACGATCCTTCCACAATCCTCCTGGCTGGGGATTCGGCAGGTGGAGGCATGGTGCTAAGCATTCTCATCACTTTGCGCGATCAGGGCATCCCGCTTCCCGCTGGCGCGATCCTGATATCGCCATGGGTTGATCTTACACACAGTTTTCCAAGTGTAAGCGGAGATGGGAAAATGGACTACATTCCAGCTCATGGATTCATACATAAGCCCAGCATGAGCTGGCCACCACCTAATGCAGACGACATGCTCGCCTTCGAACGCGCTCGAGGGAACACACCCAGGCAACCCGAGACGAAGTCGCCCAATCCTATATCCGCGCGGCCGAGTAGGGAGGAGAGAGAAGCACGCAAAGAGGAAAAAGTAGATCGCATTCGCGGCTTCTCTGTGCAATCCAAAGATGCACCAGATCTGAGCAGCATCCTCGCGACCTCGAATGCAGACACAACGGGAAACGACATGTGGGTATCCGAAGATGGAAAATACAGCATCGGGCCAAAATCCATACTGTCTTTGCAGCTTGATGACAAAAGAGTTGAAATCAAAGACCAAATTCAATTGTATGCCCCGAATCACATGCTCACGCATCCACTGGTATCCCCAGCGTTACAACCTTCGCTAGGCGGATTGCCTCCTTTGTTGATTCAAGTTGGTGGTGGGGAGCTGCTGAGGGACGAACAAATATACATAGCTCACAAGGCTGCTGCTCCGCTTTCCTATCTTCCTCCGCCATCTAATAACCAGACTGCCCAAACGATTCAAGAGGAAGCCGCAAGACACAAACCTACGCACGTCCAGCTCCAGCTGTGGGACGACATGTGCCACGTGGGCCCGACACGTATGTTCTGCTTTTTCACTTCAATCATCGTCACAAGTCATGTCTAAACTTACTGACCGCGTTTTAGTTAGTTTCACTCGCCCAGCCAAACACATGTATCGTAGCATCGCACAGTTCGGTGCTTGGGCACTTGCTCGAGCGCAGAAAACTTCCATCGACATCATGGACGATGACAGTATTTCGATCGTTAGCAGTGGTAGCTCTGCTTCTTCGACTCAACAAACATCGGACAATCCTATATCACCAGATGAAATCAAGCTAAACATGCCCCAGAGCGCGCTGCAAGTCGACTTTTCTAGCCTATCAAAGAAATCGACCGACGCCACAGTAGGCAGAGCAGGGGATGCGCTTCCCCAATTCAAAAATCATATGATCCGCCATCGCGTCGACCGCCACGGTCGTATCTACCCTCTTCCTCCACCGTCCCAAATTGAAGCACTGAACCTACCCACGGCCGATATAGGTGTACCCAAACCAGGACCAGTCAACAAATGGATGAAGGCGTCTGGGCAGTGGAACGGCAAATTTTCCAAGCAGAAGCTCAAAGTGCAGAAACAAAGGATCAAGGACATGACCAAGGGCTACGAGGGCTTCAACGACGAACATCCGCCACCTACAGCTTTGGCCGGGCGCCAGGTCAAGGGTATGGCTAAGACGAAGAAACCCAAAAAATCATGGGGAATGGCGCTTTGGAGTATCTGGGGGAGCAAGCACGATGAAGTAACCGTATGTGCTCCTGTTTTCATGATGGCAAAGATTGTTATCTACTAACACATACCCCATAGCTTGAGCGCGAAGAACAAGCAGACCAATCTCCATCCCAACCAGACCCATCCATTACCACCGTTGCCCCTCCTGCCTCTAGGGACGGCACATCTGATAAAAAGCCCCCATCCTCCCCCGAACGCTCTCGTTCTCGCCGCAAATCCTTCCGTAAACCTCTTCTCTCTCCCTCGTTGACCTCGCGCTCTCGCTCTCGTCACTCAGCCGTGACTTACCAAAACCAGACAAGCTCTACCTCTGAAGACGAGCTCGCGAAACTCGCGCCACCTATCCCGGGTTTTGCAGATGCCACTGTCATCGCGCCGGAGCGATCGAACTCTGCGATGCCGACACCTGCTCTCGAGACTCCGCTCAACTTTCCGGAGAAGGATCAACCGGGTACACCTCGGATCTTAGTTTCTAGCGATGGAGATGACGGTGCAAACGGGGCATCTGCTCCTCCCGAGACAGTTATACCACAGACAGATACACTTACTACGCGCCCAACAAGAGGCGGTATTGCATACCCGTTTCGTTTGAAGGTTGAGGGGAAAGATGTTGACGACGCAAATGCGAGTACGTTGACGCTAGCGAGTGTCGATGTTGCGACGCCTGCTGCGGAGGGTGAGGAGGTTGACCTCACACAAGGCGGGGAAACCGAAACTGGGAAAGCTACGGAGAGACCGGCTGCAGAGAGGTTCTTCACTGCAGATGTGGGTGAACTTACGGGTGGTGCAGGGAAAACCGATGGGCCTGCCACTACTTCCAACATCCAGAATACAGAGGGCGAAAATCTCGATGAAAATGAAGGACAGTCCAGACCCGGCGTCGAGAGGTTCGCAACAGCGCTTGAAGATCTGAACACTGTTGGGTCTGAGTCTGCTGCGAAAGCTTAGGCTTCATGGGTTGCTGGTGTCATTCTGTTGTTTGGCAGGGTAGACGGGTAGTTGAAGGTGTGAGTATTTGTGGACAAGGCATTATACACGGAGGAGATAGACCTGGCGGATTACACATTCATACACATACACGGACATACAAATGTCTATACCTAATACACGCTTATATCTCTTCAAATTTTGTCTTTAAAAGTCTCGAGAAGCACAAAATATCAGAAAATCGTTTGTGGCGGTGTAGAAAATGACAACATTTTCAATGCACGAAAGCCGTTCAGGTATATACTCTCGACAGTCTAGTTAAATTGCTCTACAATCCCTTGTGAAGCTTTAGACGCTTGTTAGCAAACAGCCATCCGAATATGTAGCTACCTAGCGAGCAAGCCATGACCCGCTGTACGATACCAGCGGGTGGGGACTGGAGATAAGCTGCCGGTTAAGTCATTCAAGCTTTTCTGTCGCGATTGACCTGCATTCCACTTTCAAGCGCACTCTTTTACAACAAAACACCTTCTTCTTTGCGAATATCATAGCGATAATCATTTTGCATATAAATTCGGTCATTTAATTGATAGCTCGCCCTATCACTATTATTACACCGCAGTACTACTCAACTCGTCATCATGACACGAACCCATTACGCCCGACACTACCTACAACAATGAACGGTAATACTCGGGCGAACCTAACTCGAAGAAATCCAAGGATTCGTATAGCTTATGGGGCGACTCGCTTGCGGGGGCTCCTTCCTTTCTAGGGTAGCTTAGCTGTAGCTCATGATGATCAAAGAAAAGTATATGAGCAACGATGAGGCAAAACAATTTTGAACCTCTATCCAGGCTCTCGGAATCTGTATCCCTCCGCTACTACAACATGGCTCCAATCCACTATCTCCCCCTCTCCATTCTCGCCTCATTAACAACATCTATATCCCTCCCGCCACCCTCAGGACCTTACAATGTAGGCTACACCCAACACGTCTTCAACCATATCAGCATAGACGACCCATCCCCGGGCCCAGACAACATCCTCCTAACCTCAATCTACTACCCAACCCTCGCCACTCCCTCCCCAAACACAACCGTCCCCTACTTCGACCCCACGAGCGCCACAATCTGGGGCGAAGTCTTCAACCTCTACCCCTCCGATCTCCTCAACCTAACCACAACCCTCCAATGGCACGCCCCCCTTCTCCCCTCCAAAGAAGCGGATCTCGAAAAATCAAAACCAACGCTTTTATTCGCTCCAGGCGGCGGTATGAACGCTTTCATGTTCTCCTCCCTCCTCTCAGACCTCGCCTCGCAGGGCTTCACCATCGTCGCCCTCGACCACCCCGGCGAAGCGCCGTATCTCCGCCTCAACCCTTTCACCGATGAAGACGCCGTGACGGGCTGGGATATCTACATGCCGTATACACCGTTGCTGACGCAGCAAATCTACGAATTCCGCCTCAATGACCTATTCTTCTTACTCTCGGACACGGGGTTCTCGGAACTGGTTCAGAACTGGACGGGAAGTTACTTTAATACTGATAGCTATGGTGCGTTTGGACATAGTGTAGGCGGAGCACAGGCTGCGGGCGCCATGGACCGGTATTCCAACATCATCGCGGGGATGAATATCGATGGTGGGTTCTTTGGCGATAGTGTCAATGCTTCGCTGACGGGGCGTCCGTTTCTTATGATGATGAATCCGACGCATTTTGCTTCAGATACTACGTGGACGGGGTTTGTGGAGAGGTATGCGGTGGAGGCGGAGGAGATTGGGAAGGGGTGGTTGGATTGGTTTACTGTGGGGAGTGTTGCGCATTTGGCGCTTAGTGATCTTTCGTTGTGGGTTGAGTTGCTGCCGAAGGCGAATGGGACAGATTTGATTGATTTGGGGACCTTGAAGGGGAGTAGGGTGGATCAACTTTTGAGGGAGTATGTGGGGGCTTTTTGGGGGTGGGTTGCTGGGGGAGAGTATGAGGAGGTTTTAGAGGGAGAGAGTAAAGAGTGGCCCGAGGTGGAGTTTAATAGGACTGTCAGGATTTGAGGTTTACCATGATATACAGATGTTAAAGATACACTCTACCTCCTACAGGTATATCCACATACTCATGTGAGAACCCGCAATGAGAAATCTCATCAATTCCAGAATACATCGGCTCACACACAACACCCCATTGAACTGGTTTTGAATGCGCTTCCTTCATCTCCACATCGTCTCTAGGTTGGCACGCCGCCGCAATCACCGCGCTGCAGCTCCCCATCAACGGCATCTGAATATGTACGGTCCACAGTCCCTGTACTACCAGATACACCATAATCACAGCTAGAATCGCGAGTGATATCACACAACCCAACGGTGAAATCCCCAGCGTAGCCCCAACATCATCATCAGCCACAAAGAAACTCTGCGACGCAAGCCAATGCAGTATCCCAAAAACCACAAGCAGCGGGATAGAAAAGCGATACGGAAGCTGCAGAAAATACGTACTGCGCTGGCTATCCCTCCGATTGCTAGACACTCGCAAGCCTTTTCTCCTATCGGCGTAAGACGCCCATTCGAGCTCGGTGCAAATACCGGTGATAAACCCGTTAGTCAGGAGTTTCAGCGCCGCGAGCCAGATTTGCGGTATGTTAGCCATGAAAATGCGGCTGAGCAAATCTTTGGAATGGGTTTTGTCGTTGGAGAGGCGAATCGAGTCCGCGAATTGCGTTATATCGGGCGCAAAGTTGGAGGCGGGACCGAGGCCTAGGGAGATTATTGTGCTGCCTTTGTCGAACGCGCCTTTGGAGTCGAACCAGTAGAATCCGAATCCTATGGGTACAGCGCACCTGGTGGAGTATCAACTTTGCATTACTCATTTGATACAATAAACGGTCACTTACAGTATGATACTACTAGCCCACTGAAGCCTGCCTCCTGGAAGACAACACCGGAAATGCGTGGGAGTATATTTCTTCGGCGTCAAGTTCCATTCCTTGCGCATTTTTTGGAAGTCCCGATACGATGCAAGACACATCTTCGTAGTATACGGATCCGGAGTCTCCAAAAAATAGCGAATAGCATCCCCGACCGTCACGAGCGAGCAGCCCGTATACTGCCGTGATACCAGAAACATGACCACAGCTTTCACCAAAGTCATGGTGATGACAATGATCCCCACATAAGGATTCGTCTGAAGCATGCAAGTAGCTTCTTTCCTCTCGGCAAGACAGTAGCGCGTTGTAAGGCTGCCGTCCAAAACATCGCCGGGTTTCCAGCGCGTTGCATTGCCCAGCAGCTCCTGGGCGAACGGGAGACATCCGCCTAAGGTTTCCTCGACACCAGGACACATCCACGATGAGGAATAGCGAGGATAGCAGACTTCGCACCCGTTCATTCCGTCTAGGCAGACCCAGTCGCACTGGTTGTGTACCACAGACGTGGAGTTGTTGGAAACGAGGAGGACGCTGCCATATGAGGTCTGGTATTTGACGTTGAAGGCGCGGATGCAGTCCATCGGCTCTAAACGCTCCAATTCATGTTTTTCTAGTAGCGACCTTAATCTTTCGACTTCGGTTTCGAACGTTTGCTTCTGGACGGTGAACTTCTCTCGCCAACCTGGCAGAACCCGCTGCTCAGAGAACAATGCTGCATTCTCGAACGACGGGTCATACGAAAACGGTGCAGACGAATTATTCGCAAACGCCGACGAGACTTGGATAGGCCAGTACTCATTCGTAGTATCGGTCATGAAAATCATCGAGTTGTAGCTTTTTCCCCAATTCCCAGTCAGTTTCTCCCCCGAGAATGTAGCTGTTATATGTGAACTCACGAGAGCTGCAAACCCAAACTCGTCACAACCAACGCAACCCACATCCAACTTCTCTTCACACTGATATCTCTAAAATTCCTCATACTCAGAGTGCCGATATGCAGCCATCGCCCTCGTGCATGTGCACGTGATACTTCCAGCGAAGTTGGAGCAGACAGGAACTGCATGCAGTACCCGCTAAAACTAAGCAGCAAGGTACTGATGACGTTGATGAAGAAATGGAACCACGAGTTGAGTCGAGCCGTTTTCTCGCAGTTGCCGCGGAAGAGCCACTGGCGGCCTGTGGCGGGCCACCCGCGATGGCCTGTAGCCCATACGAAGATCGACACGTTGATCAGGAAGATGAGGAAAGCGCATGCGGCGCACGCTGAGCTTGCGACGCGGAATTTATCGGTGTCGGAGTTGAGGAAATCGATCCATGAGCGGATTTTCGATGGTAAGAAGTCTCTTCGCTGTTTTAGTGGAGATTGGGTCGGTGGGAGGAACTTGGATGTCTCGAGAGAGTCTTCATGTTCGGCATCTGTTTGCATCACTATTTTGGGTAGTTTATTAGCTGGGTGATGATGATGTGGATTACTGGATATTAATGTGCTCGGATGTTGCTTCCATCAAAGCGGTCGTCAGGAAAGAAAGAAAATGACCTCTCTCAATGCAACGATAGAATATCACAAGCGGAAATCCAGCTGCATGTCTAATGATATACACTGTAGTCTGGCTACGGCCCGAAACTCGTGAGGCTGAAGCCCAGTACCCCCGTTGAATCATCTGCGCATCCGAATCCTTATAGGATCAGACCGGAATCAGGAAGTAAAAACACAGAAATACTACCTGGGACCAGCAAGCAATCTTCAATACCTAGCATCTGGTAAATTCTGAGCAATATTACCGTCTGAATCGCTCAGAAATTTGACAATAGCTATATTTTGCAGACCAATTTAACGCGTTGGCTTTGTAACATATCAGACGGCGCAATGGTGCAAAGCGGCTACCACGAATCATACATCACGGACCTGTTCAGTAGAGATCCTAACTTCCAGGTCTAGCTGAACCCCACCAAACGCGCCGGCAGCAAGATTGCTAACTCTTATGGGCTTAACAACTACTAACACATGCTTGCGTGCCGTGACGCTGAACCAAAAACATTCCACCATGTCGCCTCCTCGAGAGCTGGCGACCAAGAACATTAACCATGATATCTCTAATAAGAAGATTCACAACACGAACGACAACATTTTCCACAGCAACTCATGGAAAATACGAGAAATCTGTCTGTCTTCCCCAGAGCTACTACTCTTTCGGTTCCCCGCACTGAGCGAAGATGCTAGAGCGCCTTCGTTTGCTAGCTCAAGATGGAAAAGGTTGGAAGTGGCTGGGAGATGGACAGTGTACGGCAGCTAGGTCTAGCACTTCGCAGGCCCAAAGCTTAACGTGAGGCTGAAGCTGGGGCTGGATGCCAGATCAACGCCACTGTTAGCGTTGGATAAGTGTAGATTTGTAAAGCTATATCTTCATCTCGATTGAATGTGGTGCAAGTATGTCGATTTACCTAGAGATGGGCGCGGGCTACATTAACAACGAAGCAAGAATCTTAGGTTAGGTATACAGAGGGGTGGTACGATGCATTGTGACAGCTCGGTCCACGAGATAGACACATAGCATGGGATAGTGGTTCTGCGATTAGAGTATTCTACGACACAGCATTGTGCACGATATCATGCTAGATAGGCCTATTAGATATGTGTCTTCATTTCCAAATCTAGTTGTCTCAATATTTGTCATTCTACGGCAGAACGCATATCTATCTGATAGCACACCAACCGTTACCTCATTCATCCCCCTCCCTTCAGTTCTTGTCCATCCACTCCTTGGCCTCGCCCTTCCACTCCTCTCTCCACCTTGTAAGCGGCGGTCTCCCTTCGACAACGTCCCCCACGCTCCACAGCATCCGCTTTTTATCTGTTGCCTCATCGACGTCGTTGTCCGGGCAGATGATGTAGAATTTGTGGTTCTGCATTGCCGGTTGCATGTAGGAGGTTACTTGCGCGGGGGTCCACGCGCCGTCGGGTTTGGGCTTTGATGTACCGGGTGTGTTGCCGGACTGTTTGGAGATGGTGGGGGTTGTTAGTGTGGGTGTGCTTGAGATATAGTTGGGGGTGTGATGGGCGGTGGGTGGCATGTGGAAGGAGGGAAAGCGGGGAAGATGTGCCGGACAACGACAATGGTGACAAGCTGCTTAAGACAAGGTGAAGTTGGATATACGTAAAGCAAAGAATACTTCGTAACGTTCTACGCACGAGACAAAGTGACGATGATGTCAAACTAGGTGTGTAGATCGTGCGAGGAAACCAGAAATGTAGCGACTGCGGGAAGGAGGATAGAGAACTCACCAATCCCGTGAAAGTCCACCCTGGTACCAACAAATGCACGTCTACATTCTTTTTATCCTTGAGATCGAAGCTTAGGTGCTCAGCGAGGGACTTCACGGCGGCTTTGCTGGCGTTGTACGCGGGGTTTCCTGGGGGGTTGGTGATGCCTTGTTTGCTGCCGGTGATAACTATGGCGGCTAAGTGTTTTTTGGAGGATAGTTAGTTTGAGATTGAGTGATGTATCAATACCAGAATTGGGGGATGTTATTGGAGGACCGCGGTGTTTGAAGTCTGAGCATCGCACATGTGTCGCGCGCGTAGAGTGATTATTATACGTTTAGATGTTTTTACGCACCTTGTGCAGCATCGTCGCTGCGAGATTGGAATGATGGAACGTAAGCGTTTAGTCCATTGATCACGCCAAAGAGGTTGGTGTTGAGAATCTGACAGGAATTAGCCTACACTACGCTCTTCCAAATTCCTTACGCAGGCCGCAAATCGGGTTTTCGGGATCGATATGGGGTAAAAAGGTATGCAGATCGTTCCAAGGTTAGCTCTCTGCGACTATGTGGCGTGTGGCTCGACAATCTCTACCACCACCCACGTGGATGAGGCTCCGGACTCCGGGTCCAACTCGAATCCCAGGTGGAAAATCAGACCATTTGGTAGTGCTCGCACGAGTACTTAGCTCCATGTTGGGGCATGAGGAGAAAAAGGAAAATGTTCGATCACCTTCTGGAAGTATGTTCCGTCCCCCCATGTCCCTTGTCCGCCGACACCAGCATTCAACATCAAAAAATCCACCTCTTTTACTTCTTCACTGATCTTCTTCCAGTCCTCTACACTGCTCACGTCAGCCTTGATAAACTTTACATCTCCCTTTAGAGTTTTCTCCGCCAGGCTCAGCGTTTCCTGGTTGAAGTCTACAATCGAAACACTCATGTCGCTCTTGACGCAGAGTTCCGCAACAGCCAGCCCGATGCCAGAAGCGCCACCCGTGATAAGGGCCCTGGCTCCTTTTCTAAAGACCGACATCTCTCCTGCCGTAACTGTGCTAGATGAAACGAGATGTGTATGTTTTGGGACAAGCCTGCGGTGGGTAAGCGAGAGGAAACACACGGGGGTTCGAGTAGGTATAGAAGCGGTAGCGAACCGCCAGCCCGCCATCGTCCCGGACCAGATGGTGAGCGTACGCAACCGCTGGGCACGAAGATCAAACATTTGGCAGACTTACGTCAGGACCGCTTTTTGTTGGATGGATAGTCGAGAGTACGCGCCAGGACCGCTTTCGAGGGCGTGCTTCAGAGTTTTGTAGTGATGGTAAATGCAGGGGTTCTTTTATTGATGCTAGATTGGGGAAGTAGGCTAGGGAAAGGCCGACGGGTGATTCGTCCGTGTGTAAGCCCAGTCCGGATTTTGAGGGTTTCTGTGCGATTGATCAGATCGAATGCAGCGGCAACGTAGGAGCTGAAGAATGAGATGTATGAGTTCAGAAGTGATGCGCCCTGGGAGTTATTTGGTGCTTATACAGCGATCGTGGTTGGTGACGTCAAATGCTAACCCCACTCCACTTAGTCTGACGCATGTAAAGCGAATAGGGAGAATGTTGCCACTACGTAGGCCTGCTCTGATCGGTGGTGATCTTTAATTGGGAGTTTTGTTCTCAACCTTTTTTGGAACATCATGAACGTAGTTTCAACACGGCGGTTGTTCGCATCGTGAATACCGGGCGCTCACTAGTGTATTGCAAATGGCCGTAATTATTCATTAATTTTGTGTCTAAAGGAGTGGTCTTGTTTCGTATGGAATTCCTCCAGGGTATAATAAGGATTGTCCTCCGTATATCTAGACGCCGGTATGCACCTTGGTCACCTCTCCACGATACGAAGTCACCTTGACCTCTATCTCGCCTTTTTCCATTGGGTTGATGCATGCCATAGTCTTGTCTATTAAGTATATAAAACATTGAAGTAAAGTGCCGCAGGTAGGCGATGTATTAGTTAGTTAATGGTCGTTACTGCTCCAATAGGATAGGCAATTGCATGCTTTTGACACTATTGGGTGTTTTTGGTGTTTTGGGTGTCCGAGGCGTCTTGGGCGCCGTCGGTGTTTTAGGTGCGGGCAGGGGTGTCGCTGGGAGTGCCTTCATGCGAGTCATATCCAATGGCTTGAGGGGACTGTTGCGATAATAGTCGACAGATGGTTTTCGGAAGGGCAGCTCTTCGATGCTGAGATGCGTTTTGCGCCATCCGCCCCGCCCTTCGTGCGACGGTGATGGGGTAGAGGGCAGAGTCGAGAGGTTCGTTCGCGAGGTAAGCCACATAGTACTCGGTGTTCCAATAGTGCTTCTCTCGACGATCTCAACGTGTGTGTAGAACTTCCAGATCTCAAAGGTTGATGGCATAGCGGGAAGGATAAGGCAAAGCACGACTTCCAAGATACTTGGGTAATCATTAGCGCATATTTTCTACAGTGCTTGAATATGTCAACATACACGGTGAAATCGATCGGGACTTGGTATCCAGTGATATCAGAATCTTGCCATGACTTGATTCGAAATACCATCGAGATGAAGCTGCACACAAATGCACTGTCGTAGTCAGCGATGCTCAGAGGAATCGGCCGATAGACTCACAGGAATCCACCGAGATAGAGCAGATATGTGCTTTTCATCTGTCTAGTGCTCTCCCTCAAAGTCTTTCTCAGATATATCGCGGCCGACAAGAGGTAAAGGTCCGTAATGCAGTTAAAGAGAGATGTAGTGATTCCGGTGATCATGTGGACACCACTTTGGGCGGAACATGCTTGGGTCCGAAAGCCATTGATGTAGGATTTGAGGTCGTCATCGGGTTTAGGTCCACAGGCCAAGACAACAGTGACGGTATATTGCGAGAAAATAAGACCAGTCAAAATGATTCCAACGTACGAACTGTGTCTGAACCAGCGGGGGGCGTCAAAGATACGTATTACAAAGCCAAAGGTAATAACTTTGGTGAACCAGAGAACTAGGCCGGTACTAATCGTGAACGCATGGAGAAGCTGAAGAGATCATCAGCAAAAGAAATGCAGTAGTCATTGATGGACGCACACTCATATATGTCTTCGTCAATGCCGCAGTGTTGATGTTCCAGACACGTTGACCAAAAGGCTCTGCGAGACCCACTATATCTCGTCAGTACATCTTCGCTACGTGATTGTTCTTGGTAGATCACTTACGAGGCATAGAAAAAGCAATAAACAGGACGCTGAATAGCTGAGCGGAATTAGTTTCGTGGAAAACGAAGGCAATGTGAGATTCCCACATACACAGCTAATTAAGTATACATCTAGCACTAGTTAGCATTTGAACATTCCAAGGAGAGGCTGCGGGACGCACAATCATGAACTATCCACTTGTTGACCAGCACGCGTGCATAGACATGGGCGAAAGCGAAGAGAAGGACCAGTGGAAGACATATGCCCGCCAGGACTACCACCGGGAGACCCAAGGACCCTGACTGCCCGAGATTGGACTCGAAGCCCTATAAAGCGTAAGTATCGTGTTGGATGGGAAGCGAACGTTCAATGCTTACCAGAGGAGCTGAACGCAAAGGAGATTCCATGGGAACATCGCTTTGCTGCAGGTAATGCGCAGCCAATATTGACAGAAGCCTGAAAAGAAATAGGATGGGTCTCGGGGACTAAGTATATACCCTACGAGGGGAGGTTACCAACACGGCGATCCTAGGCGAGTGCTCTAGCACGCTCCAGGGGGGTAGCAATCCAGCACGTGGTTGCGCTCATACACGGAGCGTGCTACTATTCGGCCGTGTCGACGCCATGCAGATTAGGGAACACACTTGAGAAAGCGTGTCTTGGATGGTGGTCCGGAATGGGGTGTGGGGAAGAAGTTTGTAGGGGCTGGGGGTTCAACCGAGCCGTTTGATCTTTACCGGGTTGTATGTAGGCACACCGCATTGGCTGAAATATCCACACACCTCGACGGAGACGGAGTATCACCTCGATGCAGGTGCCGGATTGGGGCGGGTATCTTTGCCTCTTCATTCGTGTTATGGCGGATTACCGCGCATTTGCAATGATTAGACAATTGGCAGTCCTATATTTGTTGCGAAGGCGCGTACGCTCAGAATCACACACATATTCTGTTGCCTTGTCTGCGCGAATTTGGGCAGAAAGCAATCGTGTGAGCAGCTGTGAGGTGGAATATCGCGCAGCCCATTTTCTGAACCCCGAAGGATCGTCCCGCATTCTGAGGCCATCAGCAGTGAGCTCTACGCCGACGCCCAACATTCTGAGCAACGGACCAATGGTACCAAAGCGTGCGCAACCCCGATAGCACGCAGTGACAGCCTGGGCCCATTCGGGACACTGTACGTATACAGTGCGCTCCAGGTTGAACGGGTGTTCAGACCTGGCCGGTGTTGTAAGCCAGACTGAAAGGGAGAAAATCGGCAGTAGGGGCCAGCTTACCTTGGACCGAAGTACGAATTCTGGGAATTAATAAAAATGGTAACCGATTTGCCTCCATATTATCGCCGCTCATCCCGATGCATCTGTAGTTGAACCCTGACTCGCCTCCCAGATCTGTGGAGGATCTTTTGGAGATCAACGAACGACAGTTAGGTAGTAGCAGTAGTAAAGTCATCTTCGAAGGATGACAGCCCAACCAATCACGAAACACACCAGGATGAAACCATTGTTTAAACGACCGGTAGTGTCTTTGCGTTCTACACAGATCGTCTTACGCTCCAGCCCGTGCGCTTTTCGCTCTCAAAGTATCGTGCTGAATTAATATGCTCGTGCAGTGTACCGTAGTATGTGATAATGGTTCAATGGACTTCATTGTTTCCTCTCGCTAGATGTGTGCGGACACTACCCCCAATGCAAATCGCCACATGAGCACTGACTGAAACATTCCCAGGTTTATCCCGAGTAGCTGTTTGCACACGAATGCGACGGAGTTCCGTGACCGATCTGTTCAACCCGTGTCAATACTCTGCGTAACCAGAGCGTACGAGATAGGCCTCCCGCGAATCCTATCCACGCATTCCAGTAATTCAATCCTAGCAGGAAGAGCCGACGGCCGGAATAAACTTTTTTTTCTGGTGAAAAATCTGTAGTCAGCATCATGATAACTTCTAGCTTTGTGTAGTTGACCCCACGAGATGATACTCCCATACTCACTCCGGCAAGTTTCGCCCCATTCACAAGGGAAGTCCCCGCGCTGATCTGCTGCCTGCAAAGTGATCAATAATACATGAGCCACACACCCAACACGCAGCGCAACGCAGTGCAGTGCTGTTGCCGGTATATCCTCTGTACGATTTCAAACCATACTCTTGGCTAGTGTTTTGCGCAGAGCACTTCTCGGGATTCTACGAACAATCTGCCGATCCTGAACTTTACCCTGGCTGTTCAGGATAGATAGATAGTCTCGGACATTCCCTGTCTGTGTTGTCCAGCCTCGTACACGTGTTTTTTTGAAACCTGCGAAGTGAATCTTGCGATGCGATTTGAGGCGTAACGCGTATGTCACGGGGAGCACCCGAGGGAGTATCCGTGCAGGCTTAGAATGCCCATGCCTCACTTGGCGGGGACGTGGGGATGGCCAATTCGAAGATGACTGAGCGAGTGGCTTGCTCTGTGTGTAGTCCGCATCTTCTATGTTTTGAGTACTGTGCAGAGTCCGATCTTGGAAGTGCTTTCGTACGTTGTGACTCCCTACCATTTGGCAGTTTCTTTCCTCGCATTCAGTAGGCTGATCGCTGTGTTTTGAACGCCTTGGAAAATGCACAATCATATTGCTACCTTCACCTGCATATTCTTTGCTGATGCAGGGCCATTTCGTAAATACGAATGTATGTTTTAGGCAGCGCTCAAAGCTAAGCCAGGCGAGGATTGGTCCACGCGGTCATGATAAAAGACTCTGATAACACCTGCATCGTCGTTGAGACAGCTCACCCTCTCCTCTGCACGTCTTCGGTAACCGCCCGGTTTCACACAAGCACATGACTTGGGTCTCCCACCTTTGTGTACAGATATGGTGCACAGCGTGCTGACCCAACAGTATTATCGTATTTTCGTCTCAACGTGTGCCTGGACTTCATACCCCGTTTCCACGGATCTTCGATTTCGCAGATTTAAACAAGAATGTCTGTGTTTGACTGGTGCTACGAAATACGGCAAGGCAACCAACGAGTATCCAATGAGCTTTTATTCGCAAGTGGCCGCCTGATAACCTTATCAGTTTCAACCTCTGAGACATATATTCACGTTCTTCGCAATATGGTTCTTACACCCAAGAAAGTTCGGATGCGGTCAGAAACATGAAGGCTCCGGACTATCGTCAGATTTCTTGTTCTGTCAACTTTAAACTGAATCAAGATAACACTAGATAGTCAGATAAATCTGACATTTGTTTTTAAGCTGCGCCTGATTTAACTAATGGTTTACTTTGAGTGGCTACTATCACAAAATCCATCATGTTACGCATATCGCGCCTCAACATGTTAGTTCTAAACACTTAGTGAGGAGACACCCAAAATGATAAAGGCAAATTGATTTGTATGAGACAGATTTCACCTGTGTGCACAACATTTCCGGTCAATCTAGCTGCAGTGAGGCGATTGCGTGATAGTGACTTCGATTCTTCCGTACATGATTGCGAATCAGATGCACGTTCTCTTGCATTCAAGGTTTCATAGACTGGGGCCACTCCACACTCAACAGTGTGTATGAACGGTGACATCTTGCTGCCGAAATGTTCGAACTTGATTGCTTCTGATACATGTAAGTGGTGGCTACTGTCTGCGCTCCTCAGGGGGGATTTTCTTCGTAAGTTTGACCCAGTCGTTGGTTTCTCACCTCTAAAACACTGGCAGAGGTGGTTGGTCTGGACTCTGGAGGGGGCTCGTGGATCTGTAGTACGACTTTTTGACAACATGGCTACACGCATCTCAAGGCGCAATCGCTTCCACTCATGCATTCAGTTGAATGCAAAGGAAATCGCACAACAATGCCACGTTGCGTCAGTCTCGAGGGTACGGAGCCTCGTGTCCTGGTACACTGACAAGACGTGTTTTTTACTAACGTCTACATACCAAGAGAAAATAAAGCGACGCTCATCGATTTCTTGAAAGTTGAATGTTGGCGACAAGCGGATTTCTCGTAGGTTTTCATCGTAGTCGTTTTTGAAAGCGGTTTGAATAGATAGGTCTGAGCTTGCCGCACTCGATTGGCGCGACGAAGATGATGAGTGCAATTTTTTCTACCCACTTTCTCGTTTTCGAACAAAAAAATCCCGGTCATCAAGAAACAAATAGTAGACTCCCATCTTCACCTTGCATGTTTGGTAAAAAGAAAGAACAGTGATAGGCATCAAATTGGGAGGTATCTTGCAACCACCTCTCCACTACCAAATCCTACTAACTCCAAATTGCTAATCCATTTCCTGCACAAACAACACGCTCAGAATGATTCATAACCCACTAGCAACAAGCAGGCCAATCAGATCACAAAGAAGAATCCTCTGGTCTACACTGCCACGCCTTAGCGCAAAAAACCCCAATCAACATAGCTGCCCACGTAATCCACGAATCAAACCACGATATCTCCGAGCTCCGCCCTAATGTGCAAAATGCCAATCTCTTAAGCAAACCGCCCGAGTTCAGTCCTGTGTTTACTAGACATCTCGGCCACTTTTCGTCCACTACCCTCGTATGCCCTATAAGCACTACGCCCAATGTGGAGCTTAATCGAGACTTTTACAGCCTTGCGCCCATCCGCTATAGCCTCAAATCGCTCAGGATCCTTTCGAGATAATAGGGCCAAGAATAAATGTGTTGATTATGACTCGAAATTTGTGGGCTATAGGAGAGGGTGAGTGTGCAACGACTACGTAAGTTTCCGCGATGACGTTCACGGACCAATTCTTCGTCGATTGCGTAAGTTGAAGTTGTTTCTAATTTTGAGAGGACATATAAGGCGCGGTTAATCTTGAACATTTGCATTCAGTACGATCAACAGCGCAGTTTCTTATCATTTTAGGACAGCTCTCGCGTACGGTCATATCTATTTCTTTGGTTTCCCATATATAGGGGCGCTTAAGGATGTTACTTCTCCATCTTTCCACATTTCTATTCGTCGGAGGGAGTGCTCAGACCCTACTGGCGAACCCATTTCATCGGGTAGAAGGAGGTTCGAACCATTCGATAGCCGACGGGTTACGTGTCGATCTGGGGTATGAAGTCTATCAGGGAGTTGCAGACCCCGACAATGGGCTCAATACTTTCAAAGGGTGAGTATCCCCAACATCGCCTCTATGTCCAAGAATGAACTACTTGACTAACAGATCACAGAATTCGCTTCGCAGCAGCTCCGACTGGAGAACTACGATGGCAAGCTCCAAGAGTGCCGAAATCGAATCGCGACACCGTTCTCCCCGCCCAAGATTTCGGTGCCGCGTGTCCGCAATCGGGCAGTGGCATGAAGCCTAGCCCGCCATTTCCGGGTCAGTCGGAGGATTGCTTGTCTCTGAGCGTTTACGCCCCACAAAATGCCTCCGGGTTGCCGGTCTTCGTGTGGATTCATGGCGGCGGGTACGCTGTATCGGCTGGCACGGAAGACTTGACGAATTTTGTGCGCGATAATGATCATGAGGTGGTTGGTGTTGCTATCCAGTATCGCGTAAGTAAGAGGCTATGTCTGATGTCGAAGTCGTACTAACGGGCTCTGAAGCTTGGTGCATTTGGATTTCTTGCAGGAGACGAGGTATGTTGATAATGTCCTAGAGTTCTCTTGATATTTCATCTCAGGTTGTTGACGTTTTCGACTTTAGGTATACAGAAACGGTGTCGTAAACGCTGGTCTTCTGGATCAGCAATTTGCGTTGCAATGGGTGCAAGCCCATATTGAAAAATTCGGCGGCGACCCGGGAAAAGTGACCATAGCCGGAGTTTCGGCAGGCGCTGGATCCGTGATGCTCCATGATATAGCGAACGGTGGGGAGTTGGGAACTTCGTTGTTCACGAATGTACGTCAGTTCCCCAGTTGTGCAGGGGATGAACACTGATCAAACCACAGTCCATCGCTGCTTCGCCATTTCTGCCACAGCAATATGGCTACAAGGATTGGATACCTTCGCAGCATTACTACGCTTTCGCAACAGCTGCTGGCTGCCCACCGCAATGGGCGTACGGGAACAGTTCGCAAACAATCTTTGAGTGTCTTGTCTCTCGGGACACTGCAACACTCCAAGAAGCATCGACCTCAGTGTCAGCCTCAGGAACCTTCGGCTCCTTCGGATTCCTCCCAGTCACAGATGGCACTTTCCTACAATCTACACCTAGCGAGGCGCTGGCTCAAGGCAAAGTCAACGGACTCAACCAGCTGACGGGAAGCAACGCAGAAGAAGGGCGCTTCTTCGTGATGCCGAACATCACCAGTGAAAACGACCTCCTTGCCTGGATCCACCAAGCCTTCCTACTTTTCACACCTGATGAGACGAACGAGCTCCTCGAGCATTATCCTGCGAGCAATCTTAGCGCAGACACGCCTTTCTACGCAACCAACGGGGAATCAGGACTCACTGCCATCGACGTGAGCCAGACCGCGAGCGGCCACCAACAGCGCGCAAACACGATCTATGCCGAAACCACCTTCATCTGCCCCAGCTACTGGCTAGCCGACGCGTATACCTCGTCAGGCAAAGCCGGATACAAGTACCAATACTCAGTGACCAACGCAGTGCACGGAGCCGATACTCCGAGCTCACTGAACAACAGCCCAGGACCAAACACTGGTCCTGATTTCATACGAGCGTTTGGACGCATGTGGGGGAACTTTGTGCGGGATGGGAACCCGTCGATTTCTTCTGAACTCGCCAATGGCGCGCTCAGCAATGTCTCGTCGAAGAGCGCCTTGGAGGATTGGCCGACTTTCGCCATTGAGCAACCGAGAATGGTGAATTTGAACCAGACGGGTGGTGAACTTCTGCCCATGGAGTTTCTGGATCCGTATTTCATGTTTATGAACATCAGTGTGTACCAGGGCCCTGATTTGAGAAACGATTTCAAGGTCGTGGATGGATCTACGTGGGAAGGAGGGCGTGGTGAGAGGTGCGAGTTTTGGAAGAGGGTAGCTGAAAAGGTCCCAGAATAGAGGTTCGAATGGTATTTGAATTGGAATGATTGGGAGATTGATTTTTGCTACATGTAAAAGGATACTGTATTATAGTTTCCCTGAAGGGGGGGGGGGGGGAGTTATTTTTTCGCGTTCAAGCTTCTTTGATTTTTTGTACAATTGCATCGCTCATTGGACTCACAATCCTATGGCCAGAGATAGGTCGAGAAGAGAAAATTAGATATAGGAGTCGTTCATTCTGATCAGTGCCGATGTTCGATGATGATATTCGACATGCGGTGTTCTTGAATCTATAATCGCCCTCCCGCAAAGCACTCCCTGAGAACCTAGATCGACACGCAGATCAGCCTTCTCATATATAGCCTGCGACAGCCAAACAATCAATCGCAATTGTCTCTCAATCTCTCCAAATTCGAGCTTCTAATCATCTGATAGCAAAAAAAAAACGAAATAAATTTGGAGTAATGAAGCATCAACACCTCCCGCATCACCCTCGGCACATTTCCCCCAAACATTCGGCGGCCCGAGCTCGCGCTCGCGCTCCTCGCGCTCCGCAAACCTCCCCCGATAGCAAATTAATTCCATCCCAACCTTGCTCGCTCCCTCGCCCAATCTCTCTTCACCACATCCCACTCTGTCCGTGTCCATCGCAACCATGAACACCATAGCCCCCGCCCCAACAACCGCAACGCAAGCAATAAAACGCCTCCCCCCCCACAAACGCATCTTCGCCATAACGCTCGGCCTCACGGGCGCCGCAGCATGCAACCTCTTCCTCGGGTACCAGCTCTTCTCGCTCTACAGCCGCAACACGACGTTCCTCCCGTACGACACGTCGTCGCCCGATCTCGCGACCCCCGTGTTTAAATCCCACAACAAGCTGAATAACCCGCCCGTCTGCATCGACCACGCGGTCAAAACAATCCCGCTCGCGAAACTCAAGGAGAATGATTTGGGAAGGCTGACTACGGATTTCTGTAGAGGCGTGTGGAGTGGCGTCGGGTATGCGGTTCAGAGGAAGATTCTGGAGAGGAAGTATAAGGGGCTTGAGGGGAGGGAGGGGATGTTGTGGGGGAGGAAGGAGTTGGGTGAGGCGGAGTATAAAGTTGGCGAGGTGGTTACGGATCATTTCGAGGTCGTGGAACATACGGATGATAAGGTATGGTGTTTCCTTACTTTCCATTTATCGGATTCGTTTCGTGGAGGAGATTTTTTGTTGGTGTTGGGGGAGGCAGAAAGTGAACGATAGAGGGCAAGGCTAACGTGTTTGTGTTTCGAACATAGGTTATCGTGCGCTGCGGCGACTCCCCTCTCAACAAGGCCCCGCGCCCCAGCGATGGATTGTTCGCCATGGAGGTGACCAAGGATGATGAGGCGCAGACGGCGACGTTCCACCTCAAGAGCGTGTTTGTCGATACGACGCCGGATGGCCAGACTGCTGAGCCCTTGCCTGGGTATATGCAGTTCTTACATCGTCTCTACACGAAACTTTGGATGGAGTCCGCGACACGCAAGTTGTTGAAGTAAGGCAGGATTAGGGTGGATGGATGGAGACAAAGGGACGAGCTGGGAAATCTTTCTTTTGGTGGAGAGCAGAAAGAGAGAAAGACGATCGAACGTTTTCCATTGGCTGTGTTGGATGTCGATGGGGTAAATACCGTACAACTACGAAGAAACCCTTTGTACATTGTACTGAGATGTATTGTATTGATAATGGAGGAGTGTGTCACGCGGAACAAAAGATGGAGAAGGGAGACACTGCCATGTATAATAATTCTGTAATGAACCAAGGGCGAACGATGATACCAAAAGAAAAAGAATACTCTCCTCTATCTTCTATCTTCATCGTACACAATCTAACGAGAAAACAACAGTAATCTATCTGATAAAAGGGAGGAAAGGAGAAGAAAAAGGAAAAAGAATCAACGAGCCCCAAAACACCTATGCCGTTTGCCCTTGATACTAGTCGGTAGCCATAACATCTTTGTTCATACGCTTCAGACCGTACCTGTTCTTCTTCTCCATCCTCACACCATCCGTCTACCGATACCTCGAGAAAACATGCTCAAATGCCCGTCTCTCGCCCGCACCTCATCTCTTCGCCTGGTATACCCTGAACCCACCGAACTCCCAATAAGCCTGACCGAACATCTCCGGAAAATCTCTTACGAAGTCCTCGCAACTCAAGCCTGTCGCATCGCACCCATCTTTCTGCTTCCCAAACACACTACCCGCCCAATCACCACACAGCGAAATGTTAACCACAATACTCAAATCACGAAAGTACTTCTCCACTTCACACTCTGTACGCGGGAAATCTGCGAGTGCGGTTCCCCACAAGATCGGATCCGGATTACCGTCGCGAACATCCTGGGGGATGGCATGACGGTCAAATAGCCACACACGAATGCCTTCAACGCGGAGTTCCACTGCATATACACCACCCCCCTGGGCATTGAATTCAGGGCCGGATGAGGCTGAAAGACCTTGGACACCGCATCCGACATTACCATCTGTAGCGTTCCAGCAGTCGTACGTTAGTGCCTTGCCAGTCTGCTTCCGGCGGCGATCTATACCGATACGGCAGCCTTTTGAGGTGTGCAGTGTGACGTGATTACCGGTGGTTACTGCATTTACGGACTCGAAGACGTCAATTTCGCCATGTTCGGGCCAGGCGGGGATGTCGGAGAGCCAGAGGGCCGGCCAGGTTGCGCAGCCGTGGGGAGCGTGAATGACATCGAAGAGGAAGAGACCGGTGGACCATGTGCGTTTAGAGGTTATGCGGACGGAGCGGCGGCCGGTTGTTGTGTTTCGGGTGATGTTGTCGACGCGGAGTATGGCTGTGCCGTTGTTCGGATGGATGGAGTCGGGAGGTGTGAAGGTGGTTACTTGCGTTAGGTTGGAGGCGGTTGCAGTTGTAGCATTCGTGTAGTTGACGAAGCCGTGGCTGCATAAGTTGATGAATACGCGAGCTAATAGAGGGAATAGATGTTTGTTACTTACGTTGGGTCTTCTTCGTCAAAGTAGTGGAAGTCGTCGAAGAAGCCGGCACCTTCATCTTCGAAAGATCAGCTGGATGGTTCCATTTGGAACGAGATGTACGGAAAAACTTACATGTATCCATGAGCTCGTAGTCGATTTGGGAGTAGACCGGATACCAATTCTTTCTCGCCTTGATCCTTGCGTTTTCTCTTGCACCGAAGACACCGCCAAGAACTGCTCCGATGGCTATCAGGAGCAATACCAGCCCAATTCTCCGTGGTGTGAGAATCCGCTTCTTCGGTTTGGAATCCATTGTTCCGTCCGTTCCCTGTTCTGCTTTTGCTGGCTTTGGCGGATCCAGAGAAACAACCGTCTGCTTCGAAATGTCCGATCCGGGTGATTTCTCCGGCGAAACCGACGAAGCCATGACGAAGAGAACTGATCGTAGAGTCGACCGAAGATGCCGAAGATTGCTCCCTGTACGAAAAAATGTAGGTGAACGGTGAAGACTACAGGAAACAAGCCGGGGGTTCAGTTGCTCATTGATTGACTCGACAACAAGAGGAATGCGAGTGTTGTCCGGACGTGCAGTTTTGAAAGACAATCAAACATACGCAGCTTCCTCAACTGCTACAAGGAGATAACTACTACCTCAAAGCCGAGAGGAACAGCAGTTGCAGGGAGAAAGCAGAAGGACAAGGTGGCTCTCTTATCATGAGTTGGACGAGGTAGGTAAGTGCTCATGAGCAAGTGCAACTGCTGGGACGTTCCTGCATCAACCACTTTATTCATCATGATGGGCTGCCGCACCACGTATAGCAATGTTCCTGAATCATCATTGTCGGAGATTTCAAACAAGAGTGTGTTGAGGAAGCAGGATTAGCTTTTTGTTGACGGAGAGGGACGTGTTAGATCGTGTCGACTGGATTGAGTTTAGCGCTATCTACTATGAATAGGTTCAGATGTTTTCGTGTACGTTTAGTAAACCTTTCAATTGATATGGTACATGTTTCAATGAGTACTGAAGTAGCTTTACTAAACCAATCACTATTTGCATAGTAATTACTAGGAGAAATGGAGGGGAGCACGGAGATTGCCAGTAAGTGCTGACATACACACTTGAACAGCGTGAACTTCGTTTGAATGTTTGTGAGCGCTTGGTGCAATAATACTGGAGGGCATTCATCCCCCATCTCTCCAATTGAAAGAAGAAAACAGTCAAGATCGAGGCAGTAGAGGGTTAGTAGAAGTATTATGTGGATAGATTGGAAGTTCTGGTTGCGATGACTTCAGATGTCAACTCTTCACGAACTCATAGCAATAGACCTAGAAGAGACTAGCGCGTTTGCCTTATCGATTGTCCCACCCGCCCGCCACCAAAAAGTCTGGAGAACCAGTCCTCACGAAGAAAAAGTCAAAGCAAGACTTGACGCCACATCGCAACATGTCTGCACATTCAGAACCTTCTTCGAATTCGCTGACGCCAGGTATGTGTATGCTTCAACCATGTCGCTTGCACAAAGCTCACAGTTTCCCAGCGCAATTCGAGGCCAAATTCGACCTAGGCATCTGGCACTCACTGTTCGGCTGGCAAATCCTGACCGTCGCCATTCAAAACCAATGGGGCGGTCCTGACAGCGCGGATAAACGCGATTGGCTCGCAGGCCAAATCTCAGAGCTCTTCGCCAGCGACCCCGAAACGGAAGCCGAAGATGTCGAGGTGATGCTGCTGCAGGTGCTCGAGGACGAATACGGCGTGCGGTTGGAGGACGAGACCGAGGTGGCTGTCGCCCGCGAAATCATGACAATACGGAAAGAGCTGAGCGAGGGAAGCACAGCGACGGTGGATAGGCTGCAGGCCAAGTGGGAGGCAAGAAAGGGCAAGGAGGTTAGCACAGGGAATGTACAGGTTCGAGAGGGGAATCAGGACGCTGAGTGGGACAGCGTGGATGAGGAGACGGACGAGGAGGATGGCGATGTGGATATGAACGATGCGCCTGCGTTGGTGGCTGTTGCGAAACCGAAGGCTGCACCGCAAATTGACGAGGATGGGTTTACGAAAGTGGTTGGCAGGCGTGGAAGATGATGGGATGAAGTGAAGGACAATGGGAACATGCTTCTTGATCTATAGAGGTCGAGAGGGAGGGATGGGTACAACTGCTCGTCCCCAGCTGCGAACTCGAACACCAGAGGCCTGTTGGGCAGCCAAGTCCACGCATGGTTAACAACCGCGGACCTTCCCCGAGGGTGGAAAGATGAACGCTGAAAGGGGTAATCTGGATGTAATCATGTCCAAAGACGGGCGGAGATGAGAACGCTTGCGGATGAACGCCAAGATTAGATGTATGCATGGGTCGCCCCGCACTTTGTTTGGGAGCTTCGTCGAGAGTGCTGTTCGTGATGCGACAATTCAATCAATCAAGCAAAATTCCTAATATATTGGTCGTTGTTGATATCGAAACACTTTGTCCTCGCCTCTCGGTTCGCAAGGAGGTCTGTTTGACCCACATACGTAACTGCTTGTCTACCCTGACTGTCTCACCGCAGGCTAATGTGCCTCCATTCACACTACACTCTCCCTCCCCACCCGACATAACTAAGACTCGAGGACTCCAACTCCTTCCTCGCCCACAGATCTGTGAACCTACACCTGCGCGCACGATAATGGACACCGCGTACGACCACGTTCAGCAGGAATCCTATCCTGAAGCCAAAACCCCGCAATCACAGGACAGCTCCAGGCAGGAGACTGCCAACATCAACACCGAAATTCAAGATGCATACAAGGCCATTTCAAGCAGTCCATGGGCAGCGCGTTTGGGCGGGTTTCTTGGGTCTGTAAAGAAGCAGGTACGTCAACAACAGTCTACCGTGTTATTCGTGATCTCTCAAACTCACATGTGCATGCACATTAACAGGGTGAGCAATACTACGAAACCGCGAACAAGCAAGCAACAACCGGCATCTCCACCCTCATAAGCCACACGCGCAACATTTCCGTCACTGGTGAGGGCTCTTCCTCCTCGAACCAACCCGCCTCTTCGACCGACAGCTCCAAGGAGGCAACTGCATCGTCTTCCATCACCGACCACCCCGACCGCCCAGACTCGCTTCCCGCAGACATCATCCGTGAAGCAGAAGGCATACTCAGTCGCTTTCGCAGCGAAGCCACGCGCCGCCTCAAAGATGTCGAAAAGGCCGAAGACGCCGCCGACGAAGCTCTCCTCAAATTTGGCACAAACATCCGCAACTACCTCCGCGAAGCCGTCACAATCGCACCCCCAGAAGAAGGCGCCTCGCCCACCGCGCAGGTCCTGTACGAGTCTAAGGACCGCGAGGGCAAGAAGGTGGTGCACGCCACCCGCTTTGATGCGCAGCTGCACGTAATTCACTCTAGCTTGGACAGCTTCCGGAAAGACCCTGTTAGTCCAGAATGGGAGGGATGGAAGAAGGACTTTGACGTGGAGAAGAAGACGGCGGAAATCGCCAAGGACTTGGAGAAGCATGAGCAACTGCGCACTGCCATGGAGAAGCTGGTTCCTGAAAAGGTCGAGTACAGTCTGTTCTGGACGCGGTATTACTTCCTGCGCCATGTAATTGAGAGCGAGGAGCAGAGGCGGAGGGAAATGCTGAAAGGTATGTTTTGCACACTCTCCCCTTCCTTTTTCTGTCCCTTTGGAAATATACGTATCCTCGTGTTAACACATGTAAATCAACAGCATCCACCCCCGCCGACGAAGAAGAAGTCGCCTGGGACGAAGAATCCGACTCAGACTCCGAATCCACTTCCCCCTCCTCCGCCCAGCAACCCAAACCCTCCCTCTCCGCCTCCAAAGAAACCCTCAAACCCATCTCCTCCGACGCCCCTACCCCAACAACAACCACTTCCCCCAGCGCCGCCGACGCCAAGGATAAACCCAGCGGAAACGATGGTTTGAAACCCGCGCGCCGCTCCAACGACGACGAAAAATCCGTCGCCGATAGCGATGCTAGCTATGATCTTGTCAGCGGAGCGACGAGTCGTGCGCCGGGGAGTCCGACGCATGATAAGAAGAAGACTGTGGTCGAGGAGAGTGATGAAGAGGATTGGGAGTAGGGTTTACTACTCTGTGAGAGAGGTTGTGTCTTGCGAAATTTGCTGTTCTTTTTTCTTGGGAGGTGTTCTTTTCTTTTCTTTGGTGTTATTTGGTCTTTTCGCTTCTCCTGTGATGATGATTGATAGTGGTGGTGGTGTTTTTGTGGAAACCCCAATTGTACGTACACAACTCGAGTTAGGGAATAAGGATTGGGGAATGAGAATTGGGAACGTTGATTCGTTCATTTCAACGTGTGATCTCAATATCGAGTGCGTGGTGAGACATACGAGAGTCACACCATGTCCATTTCGCACAAAGGAGAACTCTTTCCATGCTTGCAAGAATTGTTTGATATTTTTCCATTGTCATGTCTTATCATTTCTAAGGAAAAAAAAGATGCGAGATCCGACCTCCTTTTTTCTTTCGCTGGTCATATCCCCTCATCTAGTTTCCATCAAAGCCATCTCGCCGATGTTTAAGAAAATAAAAAGGTATACCGAACCCCCAGATCTATCCAATCTTCCACCTCAGCCTTCCCTCCGAGCACTACTCGGCGGCGTATCCAACGGCACACTGCCTCCCCTCCCAACCCCCAACCCCAATCCCACCCCATCTCCCTCGTGCGCAAACCCCGGCGAACTCGACGTCGGCGGCGCAGTAGGGAGATTGCCAAACGCCTGGAGCCCACGCGAAGTATTCGCACCGCGAAGAACAGGCTGCGCAGTGATGGCGCGGCGCAGCAACGGGCTCGCAGACGAAGAAGAAGCGGCAGCAGCATCGTGCGTAGACCTCGATCTGGACGAGGGGAACATGGACGAGGAAGACGGGGTGCGCGAGGGGGATGGCGAAGGGGAAGGCGAGTACGCGCGTCCGTGGGGGAAGCTGACATAGTCGTACGAAGAAGAGGGTCTGTCGCTCTCCGTCTCTATTCCGGCGTCTTCGTTGTTCGGAGAGGCGTGGTGGTCGGCGTGGTCGCGGACGTAGTCTTCGCCGCGGCGCTTGATGGGGCTCTCGTCGTACGGGTCGAAGCCGACGCGGCGCCGGGCTTCGCTGCGGACGCGCCGACGCAGTTCCGCGTCGTTGCCTGAGCCGACGGTGCTGCTGTCTACGAGAAAGAAGTTTAGGAGCTCGTCTGGGATGGCGAGGTGGGAGTCTTGTTGGAATTGTTGGAGGGCGGTTAGGCGTATCATCATCTCGAGGAGGGAGAGGGAGGTTTTGATTGCGGGTGGGGAGGGGGGTTGGGGGCGAGGGCTCGAGGTGGTGTGTTTTGTTGGGGAGGGAATGAGTTGGCTTGAGGATGGGTTGTTTGTTGGGGAGAGGATCGGTGGGGTCGATGTGCCTTTTGGTGTTGAGGGGCGCAGGTTGAGTTTCGAGAAGTAGGATGTTAGGCCTGGGGATTCGGTGGATGAGGGAGGGTGAGGGGTTGTTGGGGCTGGTGCGGGTACGGGTGATGGTGTTGAGGTTTGTGTATCTATTTCGGTTTCGTCGAGGTCGGAATCGCTGGATGGCTCTTCGGTGTAAACTTCAAAGGCCATCCATTCGAGATCCAGATTAGGGGGAAGTCGCCAGGGAAGAAGGGCGGGTTGGTCGTCCACTGCTGGATCCTCGTGAGGGAGGGCTGGTGTTGATTCGCGTCGGAATTGCGCTTCCAGCTCGGACTGCTCCTCATCGAACGAGCCAGCATCGGAGCCGCCGATAGTTTGTGAACCTTCTGATTCATATCCCTCCTCGACAGCACTGTGCTCCATCATACGCCTAGGAGGTGGAGCTTGGACGTCGCGTTTCAGTAGAAGAATTGGGTTGTTGGACTCCCCGTCTGTGCCGATGTTGAGGATCTTGCCGGTGTCCGCGTAGAAGATCTTGGAAATCTCGTGAATGGGTATGATTTCTCGTATTCCAGCGAGAGCAACGCCCTCATATGGGCCGGGTTGTGGCTCGCCATCTTCGTAGGAGTGTACACGGTCGTCGTCCAGATCCTCCAATACCAGCAATTGATATGCGAATTCATGCCGACGGCCTTCGGACGGAATTTGATTCTCTGCATCCTGATCCACATGCTCAGCATGATCTCCAAAAGGCGTGGGGAAGTCGTTTACATGCTTTAGTGGTACCCTGAGCATCGTGACGCGGGCCTTGTGCATGACTTCTTTCCATGTGGTCTCGCGAACGCCGTTTTCGTCCTGTGGGCGATATGCATGGCCGGAAAACAGCATGTACATGGAGAGAGTGAATGAAGGTCCGATTTGCTGGGCCCGCGGGGTGGTCATGTTGTACTGAGTATCACCAGCGGTGAGAAAAGTGCTGGCCTGAAGGAGCCGGGATGGTGATATGGTTGCCGGCAAGGATGTAGAGAGATTGACACCGGAGGTGGTTATGGCTAGATTGATCAACGGAACTGCATCCTCGATACGAGTGAGGAGCTTTTTCATGGCCGAGATGATGAGTTTCAATTCAAGATCATTCTGTGCAGCCGAGCTTGCTCTTGAAGAACCCTTCTGAACCAACTTAGCCTCGCCCACGGCTTTTGAAAGGCGGACACCCAAAGACTGGATTTCCCATCGTAAAGACTTGGTTAGGGTGACGGCAGATTCCAGAGAAGTGTTGCCGCGAGCTGCTATGAGCTCGATCATGTCAATGGCGGGCGATATAATTCTGATCTTGGATTCGAGGCGCAGGCGCAGGGCAGCGAGTTCCTCTTTCTCTTGGCCCTCGACAGTCCTGAGAAGACGACCAGCTTGGCGGATAGCATAGCCGCTCGTGATTGTGATGCCAGTCCTGATGGCATAGTTCATGGCCTGCTTGGTCACCTAGAAAAGTCGCGCACGCATGTCAGAATGTGTATATACTAAGAAGTGATGTCACGATCTTGACTTGAGACTGAGAGTTGGAGTCATATAGCAAAGCATCTTACCTGTGATAGGAGGACCTCCATGATGGCGGATCGAGATGTTCTCGTATGGCTGTAGAGGTGGTGGTAGTGGTAGTGGTGAGAGGCAAGATTAAGCGAGGTGTTATTGGCAGGCGCGGTCCCTAGATTGAACTGTATTGCAGGATGGGCGACGGTAGGTTTACGGGAATGCAAGGAAGAGGAGTGACGGGCAGCGTGAAGGGTAGATGGGTAGATGCATGACTCGCAGTGGTGTCTGAGTGGGTTCAAAGACGTAGTGGTGGTAGAGAGCTGTTGTTGTCAATCGTCGTTTGCGAAGGGATTCCTAGCCCAAGTCAGGCACAAAAACAAACACGCGCACGCAGCAGGCAGCAATCAATCAATAGCAACGAGGGCGTGAGTCAGCCACATAACATCATCGTCTACATGAGGATATACAAAGGAGAAGTTGAAAGTCGAAAGCCAAGATGTCCATGTAGTTATTGAGGGTAGGTGATTGGGCACGTAGTTGACTCATTGTATTCTCGTTGGTGGTTGGCTGGTTGGATGCAAAACCCCGCCACTCTGAACGTCGGAGGAGAGGCGGCGGCCCACCGAAGAAGACTGCTGCCCGCTTTTTTCACCACCACCACACTGCCTTGCCTGACCTCACCTCACCTCGCTCATAAACCACCCGCCGCCGCACCATCCTCTCCCTCTTTTTCTCCCTCTCTAACCGACCGCGACCTCTTTCCTGCCCAGCTCTCCCGCCCAGAGCTCCCGCGCACGTCGTCGCCGCCTTTCAATTTACCCCACCTCATCTTTCATTCCTTATCCCCAGGAAACACCACACGACCAAACCCACACAATGGCCGAATCATGGGAGCAAGAGGAGGTATGTCGCTTGCTTCTGGTCTCATTCTACTATTTTCCTGGTGCTGATGCATTTCCCTTGTATAGGACAAGCTGTCGCAGCAGGCGCAGAACATGTCGCTCAACAACAACCAAGGCCAGGGCTCATTCCATCCGGGCGCATCATCCTTCACCCCCGGCGCCCAATCCTTCGTCCCCGGCCAGCAGTTCCAGCAATACGGTGGCGGCTACCAGCAGCAAGGTTACGGCCAATACTACAATCAGCAGCAAGCCTACGGCGGCTACCCACAATACGGAGGACAGCAGGCCTATCCGCAGTATGGCCAGCAGCAATACAACCAGCAATACGCTCAGCAAGGCTACGGAAATCAGCAGGCTTACCAACAATATGGTCAGCAGCAACAAGGCCAGCAGCAACCACAGCAATCACAGCGCCAGCCGCCCGTTCAGATCGCGAAGAGGGGTGACAACACCGCGCCCGCTGCTGCACCTGCTGAGCCCAAGGCCAAGGTCTTGAGCATCGGTGGCGAGGCACCCAAGGCAAAGGTTTTGTCCATCGGCGCCGACGCTGTTGCACCAAAGGTGGAGAAAGCTGGAGGCACCAAAGTTCTTAGTTTGGGTGTCCCCGCTGCTGCTCCTTCGGTCAAGGACAATGTAGACCCCAAGGCACCCGAGGCTGGTACCAAGGTGACCGCTGCAAAGGCCATCGAGAAGACCGGAGAACCCACCAAGGCGACTCCAGCCGCCTCTGGAAGGACATCGCCCAGCGCTTCTACCGGCCGAGGCTCTCCCAGCCGCGCCGCCGAGGCCAAGGCCGCAAAGGCACAAGCTGATCTGGAGAAGGAGCAGGCCGAAGAGGTTGATGACGAGGTGTTGGCAGAAATCTACGGCAAAGAGCACGTGAACATCATTTTCTTGGGCCACGTCGATGCCGGCAAGTCTACTCTCGGAGGTTCCATTCTCTACGCAACTGGTATGGTGGATGAGCGGACCATGGAGAAGTACAAGAAGGAAGCCAAGGATGCCGGCAGAGAGACGTGGTATCTGTCCTGGGCATTGGATCTTACCAAAGAAGAGCGATCCAAGGGAAAGACCGTCGAAGTTGGTCGCGGCTTCTTTGAAACGGAGAAGCGACGATACTCGATCCTGGATGCGCCTGGCCACAAGACATACGTCCCCAGCATGATTGGAGGTGCATCGCAAGCAGACGTTGGAATCTTGGTCATCTCTGCACGCAAAGGTGAATACGAGACGGGATTCGAAAAGGGTGGTCAGACAAGAGAGCACGCTATGTTGGCCAAGACGCAGGGTGTGAACAAGCTGATAGTGGCTGTCAACAAGATGGACGATCCCACGGTCGAGTGGGGCGAGGACCGCTACAAGGAGTGCACCACCAAGCTTCTTCAGTTCTTGAAGGGAGTTGGCTACAACCCCAAGACGGACGTTCACGTCATGCCCATCAGCGCACAGACTACGATCGGTATCAAGAAGCGCGTGCCAACCGACCTTGCGCCCTGGTATGGCGGCCCATCGCTGCTTGAATACCTCGACGACATGAAGGCGCTCGAACGCAAGGTTAACGCACCCTTCATGATGCCTGTCTCCGCCAAGTATAAGGACATGGGTACCATGATTGAGGGTAAAATTGAGTCCGGCATCATCAAGAAGGACGCAAAGTACATGATGATGCCTAACCGCGAAACCATTTCCATCTCGGCACTGTACGGAGAGCAGGAAGAGGAAATTCCAGGAGCCACATGCGGTGACCAAGTTCGCGTACGTATACGTGGTATTGAAGAGGAGGATATTCTCCCTGGATTCGTGCTCTGTTCGCCAAAGCGACCCGTTCACTGCGTTAAATCATTCGAAGCCCAAATTGTTCTCCTAGACATCAAGAGTATCTTGACGGCAGGCTACAATTGTGTTCTACACGTACATGCGGCTCAAGAAGAGGTTTCATTCTCGGCCCTGCTGCATAAGCTAGAGAAGGGCACAGGCCGCAAGAGTAAGAAGGCGCCAGGTTTTGCGACCAAAGGCATGTCCATCATTGCGCGATTGGACGTTACCGGAACAGCAGGCGCTCTTTGCGTCGAAAGATTTGAGGACTACCCTCAACTAGGCCGTTTCACACTGAGGTACGTGTTTTGCAATGGGATATGGTATCGACATTACGTGACTGACATGACATTACAGAGATCAAGGACAAACGATTGCCATTGGAAAGATTACGAAGTTGCTCACCGACTCGGCGGGCGCAGACCTCACCACTGCTTAAATGCAGATAGGAAAATGTGTGATCGATCTGGCGTTAGATTACGAGAGCGATCTGCACGAGCATGCCTGATGACATGATCATATAGATTTGTTCTTTTTTCTTCTAGTTGCACAACAACATAAAAGTAGCATGAATGTATCTCGATATGTACTGTGTTCTTGCATCGATTCTGGAATAAACTCTGCAGAGTCTCACATAACGATTAATATATGTATATTCTTTGCGTAGGGCCTCTGATTGACACAACCTAACGAAGAGGTTTCTCCGTGCAAGATGTGCGTGTATATATCAATGAGTCCGACAAAGAAATGAATCAGGATAGAACATATATGGCATTGCAATCCAAAGCGAAGATGGACTCCTTATTACCTCGTGGCCTCCTCGTATCGACAGATGAATTGGAGAACGATTTGAGTGCGCGGATCTTTATCACATAATACAATATGGGGTCGAGTGTCAGCTATCCGAGTGATGTGGTTGGTAGATGCTAGATCCATCTGCGGGCAAGGATGACACCTCCGAGGTTTGTTCCTTTTTGACTTACCTTATCGATAAACCTTTTGATACTCATCCACATCCACCATCTACCACTTTACGTGCGCCACCACTTCTTCGACAAATACCACAATACACATACGCAAACTTATAAATCGCAAACGTCTCACATTCACCTACGCCTGTCCAGTCCCCTCCTGTTCACTGTTCACCGTCCACCGTCCACGCGCCCCCGGCGCCCCCAACCTCATCATGCAAGGCTTCAACATGGGACGCTACTACCCGCCCGACTCCTCCAACCCTCCTCGCTTCAACACCTCCAAAACCACCCCGGGGACCCTAACAATCCGCTTCGAGCTCCCCTTCTCCGTCTGGTGCAACCACTGCACGCCCTCGACACACATCGGACAAGGCGTGCGGTTCAACGCCGCGAAGCAAAAAGTCGGCGCCTACCACTCGACGCCGATATGGAGTTTCCGCATGAAACACAGCGCGTGCGGCGGGAGCTGGGAGATTCGCACGGACCCGCAGAACGCGGCGTACGTGTGCCACGAGGGGTGTCGACGGCGCGAAGACGGATCCGAAGTCGTTGGGGACGGGAGGCCTGGGTTCGAGGACGGGGGTGGGGAGGGGGAGATAAAGTTTCTGAGCGAGGAGGAGAGGCGGGCGAGGAGGGAAGATGCGTTTAGAGGGTTTGAAGGGCGGGTTGAGGAGAAGAGGGAGGATGGGGCGTGGAGGGAGAGGTTCGACGAGTTGTATCGCGCCGCAGAGGTTTGGAGAGATCCGTATGAGGTCAATGCCAAATTGAGGCGCGAGATGAGGGGGAGGAGGAAGGCGGCGAAACGGGAGGAGAGGGAGGGTGAGAGGGTCAAGGATAAGTTTAGTCTGGGGTTGGATGTTTTGCCGGCGGAGAGGGAGGATGGGGTTCAGGCGAGGGCTGTGGAGTTTGGAGGTGCGAAGGCGGAGGAGTCTGTACGGCAGATTATGAATAGGCCGCTTTTTGACGGTGCGGTCCTGCCGCGTCCCTCTTCTTCCTCTGGTCTTCCTTCTTCTGCCCCGGCCGTTTCGAAACTAGCAGAGTCTATTCCTCCATTATCCTCATCGTCATCAGCCATCACAGCCAGCCCTACTCCTCCGCAAAATAAGAAGAACCCCCTCCTCAAATCGGAGCAGAAGTCACAACAGACACGCACTTCGCTACATAAATCCCTCGTAACGAACTCGAGGGCAGCTATCGATCCTTTCCTGTCCCCTCACCCCTCCACTTCAGCGATATCGGGACAGAAACCGAGTTCTTTGGGCCTCTTGAAGCGAAAGAGGGATGGCGAGATCAAGGACGGGGAGTGCAATATAATAGAGGAGAAGAAGGGCGAGGAAGAGGGTATTGGGCGGAAGAAGATTGATGACGGTGGTGTTGAGGAGAGAGAAGTCAGCGTAGGAGGCAAAGATTTCGAAGGTGTGAACGGGAAAGGGAGATTAGTGGGTTATGAGTACGACTCTGACTCTGACTCTGGTTGAATCTCCTACTTTCGAACTTCCTAGTCTCTTGTTTCTTTTGGTTTTGTGTGTGCGCATATATACCCCCATTTCGTAGCCTTTATTCCACTATATAAATTCAGGAGTATATGTAGATACTTCCACAGTCTCCCACCATTCTTCGATTCGATGTTGAGGATTAGGTTTCTCGCCTTGCTTCCTCTTTTTCGGCTGGTCTTACTATATTCATCGGATGTTCTTTTGCTAGGCTGGTATAGGGGGAGAGGAAGAAGAAAGAAGAAGATTACAGGAAAAAAACAAGCTACCAGTGGGAGTAATCCACAGTATCTTCTGGACTATATCAAGTTGCAGCTACTATCCTCATTATCGATTCATACCAGAGTACATAGTACCAATGGCATAGCGGATCCCCATGTGCTATTATCCCCCCATCTCATCTTCGACAATCTCAATTATTCCCAACCTCGTCTCTTTTCGCTGCAAGCGTTTGATTTTTTTCTTGATTCAGTTTCGTCTCCGGCTGGGATGTGCATGTGCATGAACGACTTGTTGATCTTCATGACTTGCTTTCCAGATAGGGGTTCTACTAGACTTTGGATTGGGAGTTTTGAATGGGATTTGAGAGAACAGCAGCACGTGTATGTGTCTATGTATCTATGTGTGCAAGCGAATCTTGGTCTTTAGTCAGGAACAGAAATCTCGCGCGAAAAGGAATGGGAGGGGGTGAGGTTGTTTTTGTACTTGATCGACAGGGCCCAGGCGGGATGGGTATGCGTTTGGGATTTTCACGATGTAGGATTCGGGGAGTGGGGCATAGTGAAGGGATTTTCATTCATGGAGCTGGTGGGATGGAGGGGAAGGATTTCTTAACGACTCGTTGTTATAGCGATGTTCGGGGCAGGTTACGAAGGAGTTCAGATAGTGCTCTGTGAGAGGAAGGGGGGTTGTTTCGTGTTGAATGGATGGGAGTGTAGGTGGTTACGATCTTCCATCTCTTCGCATAGGTAGGTAATTGAACGACTCCTCCAGTGAAATTGAATAAGAAAAAGAGGAAGAAAGATGGTGCCATGGACGCGTCAACAACAACTTCACCTCATCAGCGGATCCCCCATCACGCATAATCAGAGAATATCATAGCATCTATCTATCTACTTACCTTTGTAGAGACCCCCCAGCTCCCTGCATTCTTCATTCCTACCCAATTCCCCACCTCCTAACTAACTAACTGGGGAACTGACCTATCCACGCACACCGCTCAAATCTATACGTATACTTACCCATCACAGCACATGAACGGGATCGTCCCGCACTGCCACTGCCGCAAAAAAGGACAAGAGAAAAGGGGAAAAAAAACATTATTACTTGAGCTAAATTTCCAATCGAACCATTGGCATGAGGCGCGGCCATTCCCGCGCACCCTTCCCCGCCCGCTCAATATATGCCAAGAAAAGTATGGTCGACATATCCCTTTTTGATTGTTCTGGTTCTTGCTCAATGTACATGACGCGTGTAGCCAAGCTAGTCAGCGGATATCACATCTGTGTACGGCATGACTAGTTGGGAGATGGTTGTAAGCGAAACGGGGGGAGTTTGATTTTAGTGTGTCGGGCCGGGGGCGAATCGGAAGTGTTGGCGGGTTTTAGGAAGAGAGACAGGGGGTTGGATGGGCTTGGCGGCTGTTGCAGGCTGTGTGGACGGAGCGGGAGATGGCACGGGACGAGGGTGGGTGTGGCGGCAGGGGTTGGTGGTGATGTTGGTTGAGAATGGACCGGAGTTGTTATGATGATGATGAGATGGTGGAGGAGGGATGTGCGGGGAGTCTTTTTTTCTTTCTTCTCTGTTGTGGGATTTATATTGAGTACGTGTTGGAAAATGGTACGATGTGTTCATTTGATCAGGTGTGAGTGACGCAAGGGAGGGGAAGAAGCAGCTCATGACTTGGTGATGTAGAAGAAAAAGAAAAAAGAAGAAGCAAAGAAAGTATAAAAAGGGTGGCCTGCATAATTCCGTTTCTGATACATTTATGCCGGCAGTTATTTTGGTCGGCAGCGTTATGTAAAAGCTATCTCCTCGGGTCCCCCCAAATCCCCACTGTCTCGATAGCAAAAGCGTTATAGCAATCAAGTGACGTTGCAGTTGAGGATCGGATACCCTGCGTATAATTTGACGAAGACGTTACAAACTGCATCCTGACAGCCACTAGCCCCTCCCACTAAAGCAGAAGGGGAACAGCCTTCGTAGAGAAGAGTAAAGATCGCAAGGGGGGCGTTTTTAAGTCAACCGCCCGGGCGGGAGAGGAGGCGTTGGGCGTCGATTGGCTTTCTTTCGCACCGCACGACTCAAGATTCCAGTTCCCCCAACATGTACTGCAGCTCGTAGATCCAAGAGCGATGGCGATGCATCACTTGATCATCTATAACTGTTCCTATTGCATCTGCTCCTTTTGTTTTTGCAATACCACAGCATTTCCCAGTCGGGAGCCAGCTACGGCCGTGCTCCACAACCGAGATATCGTCCGATTATGAAGACGGTAATCATCGCCGGTCGGTTATGCGACCTCGTTGCCAAGCATGGCCGTGGGGAGGAAAAAGTAAAGGATGTTATTCCTTCCTTGTATCACTATGGACATATGGGCAGATTTCTATGCCTGCTCATCTCAATCGACAGATGATCGCCGCGCCCGTTTTCAGCGGTCCATCCCGCCGGTACCCTCTCCATGAGTTGATTCGAGGGACGGGTATGGGGGCACACCTCAGGAGACTTCTCCCCGTCGCCGTCTTGACGAAGCTACATACACTCCCGATGATCGTCGAGCGCCTTCGCAGCTTATAGTTCTTTGTAGGTGTCGCGGTGTGCTTCGTTTTCTTCCTTTCTTGTTCGTGAGGGGGTTTATTTCGTTCGAGACTCGTCCTGTTTTTTTTTTCTCTCACCCTTCCACGACGCAGTTCTTGTCCTTTCGAATGATCGGTTGCTCGTTGATGAAATGACCATGGCACCTCTGTTTGAGAATGTACACCAGTGGCATGCTCGCGCCCTCGAGCATGGAACGAAGCAGGCTTCTACGTTCGCGGTTGGGATCCCGTTCATCGTCATCAGTTCGATCGTTGTGGGTCTGCGGTTGCATGCCAGACTCAACCTGTTGAAAGTGAACCTGGCATGGGATGATTGTGAGTAGAATCATGAAGATTCGAGTGGAACTGCGAAACTGACGCTGGGAACTTAGATCTCATGATCATTGGAACAGTGTTCACGATAGCGCTTTCAGTCGCGAATATGATTTGTACGTGGCGCTTCCCTCCATAGGGTGCGGTAGTAGAAGAGTATACACATATACTAACGCGATTATCGTCATGCTAGGTGGCTGGTACGGCGTAGGCATGCACAGTGAGTATTCGTCAATCCCCTCATATGTTCGAACCTTCGTTGACTCTCTGAATAGCGACCGAAATTCCCCCAGAGAACTTGACGCCGATGCTCAAAGCAAATCTGGCGACGCGGTTGCTCTACGTCACTGCTATTTGTTTCGTCAAGTTCAGCATCCTGGTGTTCTACTTGAAGATTGATCCCCGAAAGCCTACAAAATGGGCCGTATATTTCCTCATGGCCTTCGTTTTCGCGCTGTCCATCACCACCTTTTTCGTACTGCTCTTCGTCTGTGTACCACCTTCGCTGTTTTGGCAACCGGCGGAGCAACTTCTTCACCCCGAAAAGTGCATGAAGCAGTCGACCCAGCAAGTCTTCTTCAACGCCAATGGAATCTTGAAGTAAGCCACAATTCTTGGTCTCACACTGGCAACTTCCACTAACACTGGTTTGCAGCATCATCCAAGACGTCGGAATCTATGTGCTACCAATCCCCATCATCTTCACCCTCCAAATGTCTCTTCGCCAAAAGGTAGCTTTAGCAGCTATCCTTTCTGTTGGACTCATCGCCGTCGCAGGTCCGCATCTCCCACCCTGACACCCCAAGTATCCAATTATGCTAATCAATCTCAGCCGGCTGCGTGCGCTTCTACTACGTCCTCTTCCTTGCAAACGAAACTGACATCTGGTACTACATGGCCGACTCGCTCAACTGGTGCAGCATCGAGATCTACGCTGGTACATACCCCTCTCTCCTCTCCCCCTGAACCCACTCACTAACACACGTCCTAGCAATCATCTGCGGCTCTGCATCAACCTTTAAAGCCCTGTTGAAAACCTACCTCCCCAAGATATGGGGCAGCTCCCAAGACTCCAACGTCCAACCGCATCACGGCTACAACGGCTCGCACAGCGGGCAATTCGTCATGGCGCCATACGGTGGCGCGTCATCGAACAAGTCGCACAGTAACCGCAAGTACGGTGTTGGCGACATCACCGAGATTGGGAACGAGAGCGAGGAACATATTATGCCGAATCGAATGGTCAAGCGGGGAAGTATGGAGAAGAGTGGGGGCGTTGCTCGGATGTGAATGAAATCTCTGGTTTGGGGAAAAGTGAGGTAATAACGGAGGATTTGGGTCATGGTATGGGTAATGTATGAATAGGAAAAGTGTGGTGTTTTGGGGGCTCTCGAGGGTCATAATATGAACATTGAATCTTTGCAAAGTATCATGACCTGATGAAGCTGAGACCCTTGATTCGCATTCCCAGTGAGCCTTCTGACGATGATGCTCTGATTCAACTGCGACTGTTCCTACCAGTCGGCGATCGGGTTGACGACAGTGAAAGTATAACGATAGTGAAAAATCGATAGATAGCGATCGGGTTGAACGCTGTTAAGGGTATGGTGTGGTCACGTGACGAGATCCCAGACCTCAGTGCATGTGAGCTCTGACCCAGCGCCCCAGACGTCATCATCCAATTGAAATGATATGATTGTACCACACCCCTGAAGGAAGCTGGTTACACACGAAAATTGAAATAAGTAGGATACCCCTGGAGGCTGGTTACACACGAATAGGGGGCAGTAAAGGCAGTGATTTATAAATCATCATATCACCCGCCTCCTTGAAACACCAAGTTTTTACTTCAGTGCTCACTCAGCACGTGAAACTCAGTGATAAATCATCACGCCTCACACATCGTGCCCATCGTAGACCGTCACAAACGCTGTCACCTAATCCACCCAGTTCGCGCCTCCCCTCTATATCAACTCGCTTACTCAAACGGCGTTCTTTCTGTACGACGTCGCACCTTGTTCGTCTGCTCTGCGTCCACGCTTTCCGAGTCACTTTCGTCTACGGCATCTCGAGGTCGGGAGCCTCGCGCAGGACAACATGACGGTCACAAAGACGAGAGGAGCGACGAAGAAGCTGGGTCTCCTCCAGTGAGTTGTCCATCATGTCCCCGCTTCTGCATCAGGCTGCTAATGAACCATACACTCGGCAGTGAGATGGTCAAGTTCAGAGCCGGCGATCGTCGTTTCGCCATCCACAAAAACCTGATACCAGCAGACTCGTCGTTTATTCTTGACCGACACGACCGCAAGAGGAAATCCATCTCTGGAGAGTGCGCAATCTGCCATAGAGAGATGGATGATCAGCTTGAAGACATCACGTACTGCCGAGCTCAATGTGGTCAGAATTTGCATGCGAAGTGTGCCACGAATTGGGTGGTGCTGAAAAAGAAGTGCCCTTTTTGCAGATCGGATTGGCTGGACGCTCAGGAAATTCATCTCGAGCTCGATGAATATGCTGTGCAAGATTATCTCACCTGGCTTTACGGACAAGAGCAGTACGATCTTCTCGCTGACGAATTCGACGTACTCGGGGATTCAACTGTGTATAGCTTCTTCAGACCGGCTCTACACCTCCTTTCAGTCGGGATAATCATGGGCGATACCAGTTTCGCCCAGGCAACAATCCAAGTTATGGCTGAAGGATGGGAAAAGCTTCAACTCCAGGAGATCGACAAGAAAGAGTTTGGTTTAATAATTTGGCACGTTATCGACTTGATATACGGTGACGATACGATATTGCGTCAGTCCAAGATATATTTCGTGTCACAGATACTACCGGTAGTGACAGAGGAGCGCGAAGAGTTCTTCGATACGCTTTTAGGTGGGGATGGTTCTCTCCCTCCTTCGTTCTACCATGATCTATCTCTGGTTCTTTTGCAAAAATTTGGCGGACAGACCAGGGCCCTGAAGCCATTCGCGGACTTTGAAAAACTGAACTTCAATCTCGAGTCATCTTATGCGGAATGGCTATAATTTCATGCGACTCTACACTATGGCATGCTGATTGGAGGATGTGTGAGATCTCCGGACAAGTCCCAGATAAACAGGTTATATTTCAACATGAGCTTCGTCAACATGGAGATACGTTGGGCATAGTTACATATATGGACGACGAGATACGGACAGAAAACATGATCTACCAACAAAAACAGGCAGTCTCCTTCATGGACAACAGAGGCAAAATTGATGGAAGGCTCGAAGATTGGTTCAAAGTGCATCAAAGTGCAGCTAGTATGTCTAATGTAACATTTTCACACGTGACGAGTTCCTTCCTAAAGTTAAACATCGCCTTTGAATTACGTAGAATGCATTTCCTTTACAACAAAGTTAAGAGCATGTCGATCAGGGACCCGCTTATATCTCGACTTCCTCAATACCTAGCGCCTGATAGCTGGTAAATACGAGTCCTAAGCCCAACACTTCATTGAAACCTCTATTCAGTATGCGCAATACAGTTCGCCATGGTGATCATCCTGCGATCTTCCTTGAGTGCAACCAGCTCGTCCTTGAAGTCCTTCTCCCAAGCCTCCTCCAACCTCAAAGGCTTCCAACCCAACAGCTTAGTCGCCAGCACACCAGTCGTCGCCTTGTGCCCGCCCCAACCACGCTCAGCAACATCGCTGCGCCCAGCCGTCAGCTTGGTCGCAATCTCCTCCAAAGGCACCAACCGAATTTCCTTCTCCTTGGGCGTATTCTCGCGCGGCAGCGTGCCATCCTCAAAAGCAACATCCAAACACTTCTGGTTGATATCCTTAATCAGGACCCGTCCCGCCGTCGGGAAAATCACACCCTTCTTCCCAGAAGGCAGATACCCAACCCCACGATCCTCACGCTCAAGCACAGCCCTCACAAGCAGCACGAACAAATCCGCAAGATCCAGCACATGCACGCGGTCGAAATTCGCCGTCTCGTTCAACTTCCACCCATATCCATGCTGGACCACATACATGAGAATCAACGGGATCACAAGCGCCTGCTGATTGAACAGCCCCGTGCCCTCGCCGAAAATCAGCGGCGTGTTGACGCTAATGGCATGCACGCCCGTTTCGTCGGCAGTCTCCAGGACCCCAATCTCAGCGGACCGCTGCGGGTAAGGCTCCGCGTCGTTGAGAGTCTTCATCTGCTCCAGGATAGCATCGGCGTCTTTTTCGTCGTTCCACTCGCGCATGGGCCGCGGAGGCTGCGTTAACGGGCGGTCGGCGAGATTCGTGCATCCCGAGATGTGGAACAGCCATGGTGCGGGGAGACCTTGTTGCACGCGGCGAGCGAGACCCTTGACGAATGCGATGGCGCCTTCTGGGACGAAGCCTGAGCCCGTGTTGACGATGATGTCGTAGTTTGCTGCGATTTCTTCTATGAAGGTTGTGTTGTCGAGGCCGTCCCAGGCGATTGTGTTGATGCGGTCGCCGTAGGCGGATTTGAGCTTGGTTGCTTTGGCGGCGTCGCGGACTAGGACGTCGATTGTGAGGGTGGAGAGGCTGGGGGTTGTGCTTGTGAGGAGTTGCGCGAGGACTGTGCCGCCGACGTAGCCGGTTGCGCCTGTGAGGAGGATTTTGCTCATGGTTTCCAAGGTGGTGGCGGTGGAGTTTTTGGTTGGCGGGACTGTTAAATCCTAGGTAATGTAGGAGTAGGAGTTTATGAGAGACGAACAATGTCAATTGAGACAATTGAGGGAGGATCGCGAAATATAATAGCAGTCTCTCCACACGATATAAAAGGAATGCCCAGCAAAGTCAAAGCACAGCCAAAACGAAAGCAAGACACGAGGTTATATCTTTTTATGAAGAGTATGCTACTCGCCATCGCCCATGAAAAACCCCCCACCATCACCTCATCCATCATATCTCCCCTCCCCCTCTACCGTACTAGCCCTGAAGCAGCGAAAGATGGAGAAACAGACCCTCATCCCCCTTCAAACTAACCCCAGTCCTACCAGATACGAGCCTCGTTCCGCCTCCCACCATGTCATTGGCGCCAACTACGCGAGTGGCAGGTTTGACAGCGCCATGAGACGCGCGCCGTCACTCTTTTTCCACGCATGGAATTGTTGCGTTTGGTGGTTTGCGGATTATCTTTTTTGTGTTTTTCCTCTTCCTATACCGTTCTCGGATATGTCGCCGGTGCCGCGGAGCCAATCGGTTAAGGAGTCAGGAAGGAGCGGGGTCCTTGTCGATTTTGCTGTGGGACCTTTCTTGGCTGTTGGCTTGGGCGAGTGTTGGGAGGATATGATGTTGAGAGGCGATTAAGCGAAAGGTTTGCATAGAGATAGGCGGGATCGACGGTTATGCTCGTTGTTGGTGGGGGAGCCTTCTGCTTGTTGATGCGGAGCTTGGTGGCGATGGGACTTGATGGTGTTGATGTTGGGTTGGGTTGTTTCGTTGCTATACATCAGCGCCTTTGGAGGTAAGCTGGTTAGGTCTTAAAATGGACGACGGGATGCCACTGATGGTGGTATTTACTAAGCCTGTCTGCATTGTTTTAGTCAAGACTGTCTTCAAATGCCGTGCGTCGTGCTTCAGAGAAAAACAAACGGTATTTTCTCCCACCGAATTCATCGCCAAGATGCTCTGAGCCTGTTCTCCTATCGTAGCAGTTTGGTACCTGATATGGCATTGGGTCCCCTAAGCAATCCGCCCACAGACCACGAGCCTGTCAATGAGGAGCTGAGATATGATATGCCATCGACTTTAACGCCGTTTCAATACTGCTACCGATGGATTAGCATCGCCTGCCCTGGGATCCCGATTTCGTCCATGTAATACCCAGTGTTTGGGTTCGCAGGCTTGCGAATTGAGGCTGATCCGTTCCCGCCACATCACGGATAGCGAGGACAACATGTGAGTTGAAGGACTTTTTTCATTGATTCGCACGTCATGCATTCCATAGTCATGAACGCGTATCCCTATGCATATGAAAACGCCATCCGGTATTTAGGTCATCCACCAGCTTTAAGGATGCCATTCACCAGAGTCCCACTAACCCCCATCATTCCTTCCAGGTTCAAGCCATCGTCATCTAAACCTCGGTGATTTCTCTCAAGCGGCGGACGGTGGATCGCACAGCAACGGCGGCGGGGGTTCTATGATGAAATCAGTACAGCTCCAGGTTCCTGGCGCGGCGAATAGACATACGTGAGGGAGTATGCGCCACCAGCGATGGTCTTGTTGCAGCCAGTTGCCTTGCACTCCCAGATGCCGACAGCGTTACGGCGCACGGAGTTCTTTCCACAGAAGGTGCTTCTTGATATCAGCGTACGTTCGAGGATCCAGATAGTGTGCATAGTTACCAGGTGTAGCGAGAGTGCTGGGAGATTTCGATACGCTTGATCTGCTTGCGCAGAGCGGAACCGTATCTCGTTCCGTATTTACCGGTGATGCCGACCTCTGGTGTTGACGTTAGAAAGACGCACAGCGGAATTCCTTCGTCGAAGACTTACTCTTTGTGCGTTTAGACATTGTGATTGATTGTGCGGGTGGGTGTCTGAACGGATGTTGAGAGTGTAGGAATTGGCCAAAGATCGTATGTGTGGTGAGGGTGCTCGCTTAAAGCTTGGCGAGACCCACGTGACGTCGGCGTATTGAGTTGTTCCGCTGAGCACCTCACTACTACTGAGAGCTCAAGTAGGACTGCTGGTGGCACTTCTACGCTCGTAAAATGCTAGTTGACTAAATACATATGCTCCTTCCGAAATCTCACCCTCAATCACTTGCTACACCTCCATTCATCTTATTCCCCGGTACTTTCAGTAAAGGTATTGCGACAGCCGGATACGCTAATGCAAGCACCAATCACCTTCAGGCTAGCCTTTCACTTGGAAAATGTACATCGGGCTAACCGAAAAGTTTTCACGTGTAGCTCTCTGACACACTCAAGTTGAAAAGGTCTACACAGTCGTTATAGTAATCGCGTTGTGCTATCATGAACAATCAAAATTCTCTCATTCTTTATGGGGCCGCACCTCATTTGCCGTTTTTCGAAGACGGTGAGTCTGACAACGTGCGAAAGCAATCAATCAATCACGTCTGATCGCGTTGCTGGCAATCCGACGACACCAGGCTACCACCGTCAAGTTCTGGACATGACATAATTTTACGTAAGAAGGGAATACCGTGAACAGTGTATTGTGTGAGATACACCAGCATAGAAAGATGAGTGACGTCACTCGTTCCATGTGAGGCAGAAAGCGCACCATATGTGGAAAACACCAGACGCACTCCTTCAATCCTTACCCACTGTAACGAAATGGAAATGAAACCAGGCATATGGGTGAGACAATGCCCACACAAGTGTCTTTGGCAAAGTATTCCATTGAATTCCTACGAGAGCCTCCTACTCACACTCTAAGACACATTCCATCCTCTAACTAAAGCGCGCTTTCTTAGCGACTGACTCAACCGGAGCGATATAATACTCATCGCCATCTATCTCCATGCACTCACTATGCACCGGCTGAGTTACAAAGACTTTCGGATTCTCACGCTCACAACCGGTGAGATTGTCTGTGATCTTGCGTCGCTTGGTAACGGCATGCGCATTGCGAAGAGAGCCAAACTGAGTTCCTTGGCCATCGTACCGGTTGTCGTCGGGCAATTCTTTCTTCTGCTCTTCTGACGTAAGGACAACGGTGTTTTCTCCTCGCCTTTTGGGATTTTGTGTCGCAGCATGCGGAGACTGGCTGGTAGGTTGGGGGGTAGTTGATTCACCGGTAGCTTCTTTCGCCGGTCTTTGACTCTTCGTGGGTTTTTGGGCAAAGTGGGGAGATTCATTATGGCTTTCTAATCCGTCCGTTGAACTGCTTGAGGCATGGTGCAATCTTGTCTCCGGAGTTTCTGTTTGAGGGGCGGATTGGTTGGGTGAGTAAGTGCTATTCTTCGAAGTGCCGTCCATATCGCCCACTTCACTCAACTTAGAGCCTGCTTCTTGAGCCTGCTTCGACTGTACTAAAACTTCTTGTAAGTTTTGAAGTGAATCTGGGATGCCTTGCATTGCTAAGACCATGCCACCAAGGAGTGCTTTGGCGTCGGTGGGTAGACCCTGAACGTCGAAAAGACTGGTGATTGATTCTCAGATCAATCTATGCGATGCCTGCAGGTGGCTTAGACTTGATAGTACCTGATCTTGCGTTTCTTGAGGCACCTGTGTGTGGGACGTAGGCAGTGGCGGTTGATGAGCTTGTTGGTCTTGCGATCCTGTTGCGTTGCCCCATGATTCTGGGGCCAGATTGAATGAAGCTGACTTCGACGAACTCGGGATGGCGTTTGATGGCGTTTTTGTTGGAAGGCCTGGCTTCTCCGGCATTGCTAGATTGGGCTTGGAGCCAGTTGTTTGCGAACATGTTGATCCTTGAGGCGTCTTTGGGGATGCAGCTGACTTCGATGGCACGGGCAACGATGACTTAGGCGCACATCGTGAGTGAGACATTCCATCATTGGGTGGATTCATCGGCGGCGCCTGGGGAGTCCTTCTAGATTGGTACGACGCGTTCTTGGTCAACGTAGATGGTGGAGCCTTTAGCTCTGTGTTCGTGCATGATACTTTTAATTTATCCTTCGGAGCATATTTAGATTGCCACATGTTGACCGTTGTTATGTTCACAATGACACCTGTGGTATATGATGTTTTTGTTCGTTCCACAGTGTTGCGTGTCAATCTCCCGCACTATGTTAAATCACTCACGGTTGAACTACTGTGATGGGTCGAGCACGAAGAGTTTGATGGAATGTGCTGAGCATTCCCTCTTTAGAACACACTTTAATCCTGGTTGATTCCATTATTCAGTTCTGGAAGCAACTAGAGCGTACTGTTGTGAATGTGCGTTCGCTTGCTAACCCGCTGTTTGCCAATGACGAAAGCTGCAATACGGCTGTGCTATTTCACCTGAAACCTGATATTGACATGTATCATACTGATTACATGAATTTCGACAGGCTATACTCTTCCCTAAACCTATATGTGCAGCAGAATGGTCGATGTTTCTCGCTCGGAGAGGCAGAAGGGCGTGCAATGGAATTCGCATTGAGCATTTGTATTTGTGAGAATGCGATATGTGCCGTCCGGTCAAGAACTTGAACGCGTACATGAATGCTCAAGTCGCCGCGTTTGGCCGTGAACTGTCGAACAACGACTGCGAAGGTCTTGCTGAATCTTCCATGTCAGTATAAGGTATCCCAGGATGAAAATGAGTATGTCAACTATCGTCAATGTTTTGGACCAGTTCCACCTTATTATCATGAATAAACTGGAGTACCGATAAGTTACGTCCATCCAAACTCCAAAAACGCTGGAAAGCAAGATATATTAGGCCGCACTCTATCCAATCCGATGCACCTATATAAATAAGATTAAAACAAAATTATGAGCACATATGCATGAGAAATGAGGAACGAAACTCCGCTATGTACACACCAAGGGACCTATGACACCGACGTCACGCCGTATGTACTATGGTCGTTCTACAACAAGACAACAGCGAAAGCCGCGAACAAAGCCCCGACTCCGACCACGAGCTGAGTACCAGAGTTGGGACGGCTCGGAGGATTAATGCTAGGGCTATTGGGACCATTAGGGCTGTTCGAGCCGCTGGGAGCAGGCGGGGAGCTAGGGGGATTGACAGTGCTGTTGCCGCTGCTGGTGCCGTTATTTCCCGCAGAAGCACCGTTGGAGGTACCATTTGTAGTTCCATTACCCCCGGTTGGGCATCCTTTGACACACTTGAAAGTGCCGCAAGCAACGCGCTCTTCTTTACCGTTGGTAATGACCATGGCTCGGTTCCCGACGAAGTTCTTGTGCTTAGGATCGAGTGAGACTTTGGAGTCAGGGATACTGGTATTCAAGTTAGTTCATGTGGAGCTCAAATTACGATGATGTTTCTCTTACGCGGTGTTGGAGTTCTCGTCAGCATCAGTGCTGATGAAATCGAAGCGGCCGCTCACATCACCAACGGCGCAGTCGTCCTTCTTATTTGAACCCAGCACTTTAGAGTTGCAGTCCTTCGTGCCGTTTCCATATGGGTCGAAAATATTGCCCGTAGCTGCACAGTTGTTTCCGGAGACTGCATTCTCATAGAATCGGTAGTGGAAGGGACCGCCTTTGGCTTTGCCGACACCGGTGAATTTGAAGTCGACTGTGGGTTTTCCTCCTTGGACATTGAAAGAGAAGTAGCCTTTGGTGTCGAAACCTGGAGCAGAAACTAGAGTAGCGTTGTATACTACTCCGGCAGGACTGTCTCCGGCGTCTGGAGTACCTGCAGCAGCGATCGCCGCCATTGCTAGTGCGGAAGTGAGGGTCGTGGCGTGCATTTTGTTGAAGAGCTAGTAAGAAATATCTGGCAAAGGAAGACAAGAAAAATGATTTGATAAAAGAGATAAGCGAGTGGATAGATTATAGGGAGAAGTGTAATGCACGACAGACTTGTCGAGACCGCGTATGTTTATATACATATACGCTGGTGTTGGCGCAACGCCGCAGTTTCATCACCTTCTTCGTGGCTTCAAAATATAATCAGATGAACTATGAGGGACCGTTATGTTGCCAATAAAAATTCTGAGTATTGCATAATTAAATGTGACCGTTGAAGGACTATGACGGCTGAGTAGTCAGGAGCCCATCTGATTTTCCTCTCGGTGGTTCACCATTAGTAGCTGACTGGATAAGATAAATATAAGATGCATCCCCATGACAGACCGTCTACGACGTGCTTATTACTATGCCGTAAAGATGGCTCGGCAATGATGGTGGTAAGCAATATTCGGTACTACGCCGCCACGATCCGAAGCCGCCAACCTTTCTCCTTAAATGTGCCGCGAGGGTGCTTGCGACTATGCCACTATTCTTAGCACCCTTACTATCATGTGAACTTCCTCTCGAATTTCATCATTGCGAGTCCACTGTATCTGTGTAGTAATGGAAGCGTACTGTTTTCCAGAAGGATAAACACGTTTCATTGGCCAGTCGATGCTGCACTCTCCTGTAGTTTCATTTTGCACCAGCAGGACGTTAACGACGTACGCTTGAAGGCTTTCGCTGCCCTCTTGCAGCCGTAGAAACATATACATTGACACGATGCAAAACAGGACAACGAATACAGGACAACGAATACAGGACAACAAAAATAAGTCTTAGTTTCTGCGACTCGCCGTTGGGTACTTCTCTGTGCTCTGAAGTTGACAGGAATTGAATTGCGACGGCTTTCGATTGTACGTTTCACCCAAGTTTATGTAAACGGCTGATATCGAGGTGTCAAATTGAGAAGACTGACAGATGAGGATACCTGCCACTGCAGTGTATAGCCGCTGTCACAGAAAGCTTACAATTCGGCCTTAACTTCATCTCCTTCAGGGTCAATGTAAAAATTAGACCGCCACCGACAACCCCACGGAGGCCTCGGGTAATTGACGATATCCATATGGTAGTATGCTGTATAAGCCGTGTAGTTTGTGCCATCGAATATGCTATTCGATATAAGAGCATTCCGAACAAGCATTTTGCCGAGCAGCCTTATTAGAAGCTCGCGAAGAGAGTCGTCTTTTGCATCGTCACCATATAACATGACTCGATGGATCTGTTTCGGAAGATTGCGTATGTTATCAGGAGGGTTGGCAATGATGTCGCGCAAGCTGTGTTCTACTGCTTTGAGTTGCTGTCCCTTGCCGATTGTAGGGCCTCTGATAAAGCCTGGGATTGGATCCACAAACCCCTCGTCAATATTCATCAAGCCGACGTTGTACCAGTGTTTGCTATAATCTATGGCAAGGATGATCCAGGGTTCTTCGTTGTAGCCCGGGGTAGTTCCCATGTGAGGTACATGTTCGAGCACCACAGATTTTGTCGTTGGCATGGTAGGTACAACTTCGCGGAGACCAAGAGCGTGGAGAGCCTCCCGAACGACTTGATGCTTTGGCCATTCAAATACGTCAATATTGAGTTTAACGTCGCAGATGCTGGTACCGAGATATGCCTCTACCGCTGTCTTCAGGGAGTCCATGACGCTTAGCGTGCTCTCCACTTTTGAGTTTCGACATATGCTTATCCAGGAGCCGAACAACGGGATCAGTTGTTCCAAGCCCGGAGTAATATACCGGCAAAGAGTGCTTCTGCTCTCCCAGGCTGAGTGGAGTGGTTTTCTCATGAAATCCTGATATCCTAGCGTTCCCCAGACTTGCGCGACAGGCACAGATGTTCCATTTTTTAGATAAATCGATGCAAGTCTGTCAAAGTTGATGAGCGAAATTGGATATATTAGGCAAAGGGAACCAACCCGTAGTCAGGTGTCAGCCTAAACGCGACCCCCGGAGCCCGATACCGAGGTATGAGTCCGGGTTGAGCTACAACAGTAGCCACAGTCACATAGAGAGCAACAAAATATAGTATCAACATCTTCTTTGAGAGCTAGAGAGAGTGAGATCTACATATGTAAGTGTGTCATCCCATATGTTATTGCCTGATACCGAGTGGTGTTGCCTGTGCATATGTATTGTAAGAACTAAGACTAACGAGGCTAGTGCCAGATCGAAAAGGGAGGCTTGGGAGTGGAATAAAGATCATCAAAGTGACCAAGAGATTCAACAGAAGGGATTTCTGGAACCAGCATGGGATGCCCACTCATTGGCAGAGTTCTCAAATCAAGAACTCGACAGTCGCAATTCAGGAGATGTCGCTCTCCGAAAGACAGGAACGCGACCTGAGTCTGGCCTGTTCCAGAAGTGTATGGCTGGTATTTTGAATTCAATCTGCATCAATTGGCGAACCCCAAACTTCTATCTAGATAATTTGAACAAAGCAGTGGTAACCGGAACCAAAAACATAGACAAACCTCTCCTCAACTGCAGGACACAAGAGATACTTGGCCAATCAAGGAAGATAGCAAGTCCGTGGTGGATATGCTTAGACTTGCGATGATCGTTTGGGATACACATATTGCTATATTACTGCGTGCGTCTTTTCCCAGGAGCGATGATGTCGAGTCCAATACCACCCAAGTGGAGGAAGGATTAGTAAAAGGGGAACTAAGATGGCATCACAAGTCGAGTGGCAGTGAACGACTGAGCAGATAGTAGTCTGGCACGAACTGATGTGTCCCAGCTCTACACCACCAGCTCTGGAAAGGCTATGAGCATCTGCGGTGATAGAGCAGCAACTCATTTCGAAGGATGGGCCAAACTCCCACGTCTCGGGCGCACCGCATGCCGAAACGCCACCATGCATGGCCGGTTGACGAATACAAGCTGATCATCCAATGCCATATACACATCAAGTGTGATGGAATCAACCCCCTGGGCGGCTTTTCTGTTGGCGATAAGCACATGTCCTGCAAAGAGGATAGTTTGAAGTCAAAGCGCGAGGGAAACGTGGGTCGCGAACATGTTTGCACGCTGTTGTCTACGGTGACTTGTAGCCTTGTCCTTGTCCATGTCATAGTTTTCTTTTTTTCTCCGCCGTAGGTTGATATTGCTTGTTCATTATTCGGATAAAAAAACAAAAAGCAAAGTGAAGTTGTGGGTGGGTTGTGCAGCGTGCGTCCAATGATTGCTTTTTCTGCCAGCCAGGACCGCCCGGCCCGATGAGCTAGTGGCAACCTGTGACGCCAGGAGCTGTCACTGCAGACAGACCGCACTTTTGCCATTGTTGGTTCGTCCTACCCTCTTGTACTCCATATCCCCCTCTATTCATTTATCTATTGTTCCCGTTTTTTTTTACATCAATTGAAAGCTGGACCATCGTTTGGAAGCTTGCTCAACGGCTTGGAATCGCCTAGCAAGTGTACCGGTACCTGACCCACACTCCGCTTTCAATTCAGTTACGCTCCATTTGACGTCCCCAATCTCCCATATCTACAGTCATATCACAGCATATAAGATTGAAATCAATCGACAATGTCGGACCTCGATGACGCCCAAAACTTTCTCACAAAGTACACCTTGTACAAACGAGCCACCGAGTATATCGGGGGATGGATCGCAGAGACTGCTGCATCCATTGGCTTTGAAGTCCAGAAGAACGATCAGAGCCAGCCCCAAGTCAAGGCCAAGCCGAAAAAGCGAGGGGGGAAGAAGAACACAGAGAAGGCCAAAGCCAAAGCCGCTGCCACTGCCGCCAACGACAACGTTTTTCAGGTGCGCGTTGCTGACTTCATCCCCATGGCGAAAGCTATAGCGGGAGCTGGGTCTGAATCAGGTTCTGAGATCATGGTACCCATTGCTCTATGCAAATATTTCAACCGCGCTATCCAAACACGCCGGCAGGTCTCAAAATGGTTCAAGGCGAAAGTTGACGGAGACTGAGCCAGTGATGCACGTCACGAACACTTTATACAGGTGTTAGAAGACACGTTTGCAACGCTGAGGCCATTTCTGAGAGCTTCTGGACTGAAAACTGCCCAAAAAGATGCTCCGCTTTCGACCCAAGAGGATCTGACCACACAAAATCGTTTTGCCGCATTGACGGTTGAAGAAGCTGCGGCTTTGGCTGACGAGGAAGACGTTTCCGAGTTGACCCTTCCTAAGGTATCCAAGATCGAACTACAGCAAGATGAAGATAACAGCGACGAGGAGTTCTGGATCACGCTTTCTCTTCTGCTGCAAGAGCAGCAGGATCTGAGAAAGATTGTACGTGAATCCTGGTCGAATTACAAGGACGGGAAAGTCGATCTCACTGTGGCAGCCATGGTCACCGACACTGCTATAAGACTTGCCCAGAAATCTGAAGCTGAGTTCGAACTGCGCGTTACCAGGCCTGAGAAGTGGCCGGTGGAGAAATTTCCCATCGCCACCTTTCCGGCTATCCTGTTTTACAACTCACATGACACTATGCGCAAATGGTCACTAGAGGAGATCGCAAAGCCATCTAATACGCTTGGTACAACCGCAGTCGGGCAGACCGAGGCGCACTTTGACTTCTGGCCCGTGTACACTGGGCTGAAGTTCTACCTCCACAAGCACATGACCAAAAAAACCGTTCCCCAGGTGGTTCCAAAAGATCTTCAGGACCCAGAAGTTCATGATCGAACGATCAGATCGATTGAGTTTGCGCAGATAATGCGGCTCATTAAGGAAGCGCCCAAGCAGCCCAAGCTATGGGATCTCGTCTCTCAGGGTGTTTTGAAGATGTTTAGCACCCATACTATTCCTATGTGGCTTACTTTTGGTGTGCAACTGCATTTCGACTCACAAGACATTCTTGGCGAGCAAATGGCACGAACACATTTCGAACTGAATGTGTATCTTAATGCTATGGTGGCTTCTGTCAATGATATCCGACAGAGGTTTGAGACGGCAGAAGATCTCACTATCCCAGACAGTGAAATCGACGCTCTTCATGAGCCGATTGCACAAGCATTCGGAGACATAGATCCGTGGGCCAACCGTGATGGTTTCTCCGATCAATGGGCAGCGCTCAGCAAAAATCGGAAAGTGGCTGGGCATCCGACCCTGAAGCTGTTGAAGAGCGAGAATATGTACTTTTTCAGACGCCATCCTCTTCTCAACGGTATGATGAAGTACCACTGGTTTTTGCATTGGCATGCGCTTGGGCTCTCGTACGAAGCTACTTCTACTCACATCTTTACGATGGCCCATGTCTACGTGGCCACACGGGTGGGGCACCAGGAAGATCCCGTGTGGCCGGACATGGAATTTGCCCTGTACAACCAAGATCCTAGATACGTACTTGTCAAGATGCCTGAGACGCCTGATGAAGCATAGACTTCCTTTGACATTGCTACGGGCCAGCGAACTTATGGCCAACTCGGGGCGTATAGTCCGGATCGCCTGAATTACAACCGCAGCGACCTAGGCCTACCCAGATACGATCCCACCCAAAAATCACGGCTTTTCAGAGACGCGAGTGTATTTGGAGAGACGGTCTACCTCCCTCGCGGTGTAAGTGGCAGCTGGATCGATAAAATCCCCGGTGGCGCTTTCCACGGCCAGATTGACAAGATCACTCGCGCGCTTCTCTCGGCCCAAGATCCCAACGCGACGCGAGGCCGGCTAGCTCGTGCGATGAAACCTTCAGAAAATTCCACCTTGGAACCTCTTACCAACCGTAACGGCTTTACATTCGTAGCCATCCTTCAGCACTACGCAGTCTGGCTCGAGGCCGATATGGCTGACCTCTGCTTTGATTGGTTTTCGATGCAGTCAACCTGCACTAAGGTCTGGAGAGCCATCAACCTACTTCTTAGCCGGAAGAAGGTCTGGCAAGAACGCTTCAACGATATTGACTTGAAAAACGATAGGCGGCATAAGGTAGCCAACGCCATCATCTCAACGGGCATGCTTACAGGCTGCTATCCAGACTTTATTGACGCAGCTCGGTGGGTAATCCAAACATCGCTGCGTCTGGAGCCCCCAAATGTTGGGTGCCTCACGGGCGAGAAATGCTTGAGGGATATGCTCAAGTTCCACCCGCGCACCGCCAGTATGTTCCGTGATAATGGTCCGCTGAGTATTGACGTTCTGTTCCAGGGGCAGTCAACGAAGCAGGAGATGAAGGAGGTGGTGGAGGCAGCGGTTGGACGCGCGCGGGAGCAACAGGATGAAGTCCTCAAGACCTGGCTTATGGCGCAACAAGAGAGGATGATGATGGACCTTCTTAAGGATTTGTTGTAGGAGACAACTCATCTGCGAAGGTGAGAGATAGGTGCCGTGGTGTTCTAGTGGGACATGTCGCCTCCTGGTTCAAAAGGTGCGCTTGAGATTCAGTGAGAGACAACGATGATACAGACAAGAGCGAATGAATCCGTGTTATGATGAATAATCTTGCGAATATCTAATGCTCCCTTTTTACAACGACCCAATCTTTACTGCTGCGTAATCCTGGTAGTCTTCACAATTGCACCAAACTGAGGCTCAACACCAGCAGTGCGATCATCCTGCCATTCATCTTCCTTCTCGTGCTCCCAATCTCTCAGGCCCGTCGTGCTCCGCGACCGATTCGATTCCTCGTCCCCCGAGTGCACCCGTGCGGTCTTGTTATCCTGATCCTTGAGTGGAATTCCAATCTCGTTGTTGGTGTCGGTTTGGTGTATGTAGCCCAGACGTGAGCGGCTATTGCCACCCCAGTTTCGTGACGATTGTTTGTTTGAGGCGCTCCCCGGGACGGATTCGCCAAAGACCTGGCGGAGGAGAGGACGGAGGGTTGCGGCTGCTGATGTGGCGATGCCGATGCCGCCTTCACAGGTGGCCCAGATTGCGATGTCGATGGTCGCGTAGAGGAACTCGGCTTCGTTGTTGAGGCTTTGGACGTAGGGGATTCGGATGATGGTCGCGGTGGAACCACTGTTGTGGTTTGTTAGTTATACTACGATGATGGAGCAGACAATCGCTTCTTTTAGATAATGGTAAAGGAAGGATTTGAGAAACTTACATGGCGCATAGACCTAGCAGGATAGCAACTGTGATCTTCTTCCGACGACTCATTTGTAACTTGTACACAATAAATATCGGTATGATACTAAATGTCCAGTCGGCAATACAGCTGATCACCGAGAAACCATAAAAAGCACCAATCTGCGTAGATCTAGGGATACAGCTGCCAGTGCCGCCACGGAAAATTTCCCACACCAGGTTGATGGGCCTGCACTGGAAGATGAAAAGAAGGCAGAAAAAGACAGTGTAGAGTTCGACGGCGATCAACACGATCCACAGGATGATTCGATGGGCTCTTTCCACAGCGATGCGTAGAAGGAAGATGCCGATGCTGAGTTTAAGAAAGAACGTGTGCACCATGTATACTGGCTCGCATGACCACCACCACTGTTGCCTTGATGTGAGTATGAGATTCCGATTGCGAAGCCTAGGACAATGTGAACTTACCTTCATACCTTCGGGATACTTATCGTCGGGAATAAGATATTTCTTTTTGCCCGTACCGTTCGCTATCCCTAAGAAACCAAGAATACAGAACGCAAGAAACGCGATCTATCGAAATCCCGTCAGTCAAAAGACACCAGGAGGCGGATAATTGTTGAATCGACATACCAGCGATATTATGCAACAATAATCATCACTACCGAAAGCCTTTACGATGAACATCTTGCAATAGCATCGCAAAACAACCAGGATCGTGCAAACTGCCATGAAGAAGGCGAGCACCCCGACCAGCTCCCCGGAGCGGTCATCGCTTGCCATTGCGGTATATTGAATATCAAAGGAACTCGCTCTGTAAGAGCAGAACAACAGCAGTAAAAAAAAGGGAAAAAGGAACAAGAAAAGTGCTCAAAAGACGGCGTCTCCTGCAAGAAAGAACCACAAGGGGCAACAAATAGCCCCCAACAGCAGACCCTCCCCGGGTCCCACAACTTATATACATCATGCCATCCAAAGCCCTATTTTCCTCAAAGACAGCATGCGATTCAACGAGGCCTTGCATTCCCGATCCCTGAATCAAGCTCCACACGCCTAGCGCCTAGATCAGTTAAAAGGGTGTGCGCTCTCAACGGTGGCACCGCTAACGCTTAGCTCTTCACTACCGCACCTTTCGAAACTGGGCCAATCTCATTAGAAATCTATACATAAGGCCATCACTGCGAGGAAAAATGGAGAAGCGGCTTCGGCGTGCGTGTCGCTCCCGGAGACCCGATGAATGATCGTGATATTCTTGGGGCTATGAATCGGGCTCACGGCCCGGATCTGTTTCGCATACTGGGGAAGATGGGTTTGTGGGGGGCGGTTTTTTTATTATTCACGGATTGTGGTTATGAGGACGTCGAGCTGAAATATAACTTGTATGATTCGCCTTGTCAAGTGTGGAGGTGCTCATATAATATACACGTTAACAATATACACGTTAACAAAGTGCGGCGTTGTTACTTCTTAGCAGACAGTATGGCAGGGCATACATACATTCTGCCGTGGAAGAAAGTTATCGTTACACTCCTGAGTTACATACAGTTTATACCCAATCGACCCAGAAGTGCAATTAAGCTCTCGCTAGCAATCCCTCGCCGACTTCAGATCTTAAGTGCGCCACCACTACCAAAAGTACCTCCTACGTATGCGCACATACTTACAAGCCGTATTCTTCGTAGTCAGCCATTTTGAGGCACCCCGCACTAACTGGAGTCCAGCATCACCACTACCCACTCCGTAACACACTTACCCACCTCTTTCGCTGTGGTAGCACAGGTACATGGCGTGAGTGCCGTTCTACTTACTCAGGCGCAAGAGCCTCAGAGGCCTAGAGGGTAGCTAAGAAGGCGCTAGAAGCGGGAGATCGACGCAGCAGACAGTGAAGCTGTCTTCGCCAATGCACAATGAAACCCGACTTTCGGTACTGACGGGCTGATTGCCTTTTCAGCTATTTCCGCTTCAATCCCGCATAAGTACCCGGTACGTTGAGATTTTGCTGTATGGTAAATGAAGTATGCGGCTGTGATGTATGCCAAGAGAGCGCAGATGGCGAGGGTCCACTCTAAGTAGCTTGAAGAGCTAAGACATACCCACCTGTAGCTTAGCCTGGTCAATGATGCCCCCACTGAGTATGTCACTGGGCTGGACTTGCACAATGGACCCCATTCATTCTCAGGAGACGCAAAGATGTGATTCTCCGGATCAAATGATCAATTTCGTGGGGGAAATTCCTTTCGTTCTAGTAATCAATTGATATGTCGGGGTAATCCGACCCCATCGCTATTCCGCTGCTCTATGACAAGCGATGTGGGTATAAGTGAGAAATGCTTATGATCATCTGCGGAATTTTCAGGCGTCCCTTTGGCTCTAGATTCCCAACAAGATGATTACGATCGAGCTAGAGAAACTAAATCCCAATTGATCTCGTATAACAGAAAATCATTTCCTGTTCCCCCGTGGGCTAGCAGGTGCTGTCTCTGATGAGTATGTGCCGCGTTCGGCAGATCAATGTTAAGTCAGTCCCCAATCCCAAAAAATCTGAACTCATTGTACCTTACATGTAGGTCGGAGACTCACCTGAATGGTGATTCGTTGGCCAAGAAAAGTAGAGAGAGACGTTGATTCAATTTGCATAGCTCTAGCGCATAAGCGTCTGTTTGTATTGGGGTATAACAACAGATACATATGATGTATTGTGTGCATCATCAGATGAATTCCAGATGAAAAGTTGGAACGAATGATACCTCTGAACGGATCCACAGGCTGAGCCTAGTATCCTGCTGCAAAAGTGGTAGGATATCTGAATGTATGCAAACCACCCGTGTGCCCCTCAACTTTACCTAATCAGGTCACCTCGACCATGTGAATCAGGGTTCAAAGTGGATGAATTTTTTTCGTAGCTCGAACTTAGTCTCCCACGAATAGTGCACTAGCAGAGCATCAGCTTCTCCCTCTTTACATATATAAATCTTGGTAACCACGAAGATCGAATGGCGTTCATTACAGAAGAAATTATAAATTTATTGTATATGAATAGAACAGGTAGGTGCCGAGTCTAAACAATGAAGGACTCGTCCCACAAGTCTTTCACGTTTATCATATCGCCATTCACTATACTTATCTCTTATGGTAGAAAGTGTGGTAAGCGAGCGGGACCAGAGGGATGAAGGAGTGGAGTGATTGCATCGAGTAATCCCCACAGATAAGTGGCAGAAGACGGGAGAACAACCACGAGTGCTCTTTTCTACAACGTGCATCCTTGAAGGTATGTGTATAAACTCTAGTCTAATCTCAACATTTAGATCATTTTCTCATCTTCTCCGGAATCGTCCGCATGCATATCCGGATTGTTGCCTTCCTGCGCAAGACTTGATCCACCTTTCACGCGGATTATACCGACTGTTTTTACCACTAGAAACCCAGGATACAAAGCGTTATTTCCATCACGCGAAGATCCAGACTGTGCTGATAGCTGGTTGGAACAATGCCATTCGTAAAACACTGCCTAGCAGCTTCAATTTCTCTCCCGAGAGTAGAATATCGCACGAAAACCACAGCTTCTTAAACAGATATCCAACAAGCCACTAGCTGAAGTTGTACTTCAGTGCTAATTCAATCTGCGGGAATACATGAAGCGCTCACCCTTCGCCAAACGCTGCTTCCATCCAATCCAGAGATGGTTTGTGGGTTTGGTAGTTGTGCTGAATGATGATAGCCTACGTTCAGACATCGCCACTCATCGCCATAATACCACGAAGTCCCTATCTTGCGCGGGTATATATGCATAGCTTTTTGTAGTCGAGAAAGGCCCAATTATGAGCATTATAGGCAAGTGATGGTCACAAGAAGAGAACGGCATTCCTGGCCCCATTTTACGCTAGATTATACTAGATCAACAAATATATGATTCATCTCGTGTAGTGATTTTGCGTCACGAGATAGGACATCTACTACCCTCCTGCGTCGACGGATTGCATTGCATTTCATAGGCTCGGTGCGTCGAGGGCCCAGAGTCCTACCACGGTGGCTTGAAAGAAAACCCCTCGGACCCATTGGTATTGATTACTGTCTCACTTTCGAAGATGAATGATCTATATTTGGTTCATCCATTATTTTATTCGTGTTGTTGGTTGATAGATGATAGTGGACAAGCGCGCCGGAGATTGAGCCAGTGCATTTTATGTAGATTTAATCCAAATCTTGAATGTTCTGTCCGGCAAGCTCTACTTGAATCAGAAGACCGCAATTCGACAAAACCAGAGTGCTAAGCAACAAGTACTTCAACCACATGCACCAATCACCAACTCATTCTTTCATTTGCTCTTTCCCCATTCTGAATCATCCACTAAGAGAGAACTGACCGCAGGTCGCCTCCAACATTCTGGAATGAAGAAAAAACTGATGGCATCAAATCAGAAAAATACAACAACAGTCGGTACAACAATTGCTTGGCACCAGTGCGCCACCGTGTTTTCCACGGGTGATTGTATCCTTGAAACTCGACCAGATAATCTCTTATTCTAGCCAAAAAGAAAGGAAAACTATATCCCAAAACAGAGAAGAGTCTTCTTCAGACTTCTTCTTAGGGTCGATAGAGCTTTTCGGCATTTCACCACCTAATGATGCATTCGAGCTTTCTTGGCGAGGTGGAGGGATCACAGACTTTCTATTGTTGACTGTGAGAGAGCTTTTCGGTATACCAGGACGTGGTTTCGCTTTGGGACTTTGTACGCGAGGTACAGGTGGAGTAAAATTCTTCGTATGCGGATATGAAGAAGCTGCACCAGGGGGAGACTTCGGATTGTATGAGATGGAAGCGCGAGAGATGATTATCGGGGAAGGCCATTCTCGGTTGGCTCGCTGGGATAGCTGAGCAGACGGGGATCTATTGACTATGAGGTAGTTACTCGTGTTGCGCAGAGTGCGAACGGGAATAAACAAAGGCATAATTCAGAGCAAAGCTTGTTGTGGTCATTTGGAGATGGAGAAGATACGGGGCGATGATGGGTGCAAGTACCGCGGGCCTCGTGTCTGTCTAGCTTTCGTTTTATGACTTATCGGCTCTTCAACCCAATCAGAAGTTGAAAAGATAGGAATGTTACACAGTGACGCCGTGCGACAATACATACATATGGGCGGCCTCAAAACAACTCCCTCTGATTCTTCTGACACACGCTCTGATTGTGTTTGATTGCCTGATTCCAGAAGTAATATGATATTCCTCACATAGAGGCTGTTGGAATGGCCTATGTATACACATTGCGGTGACTACATGCATGCATGTGTGTATGTCAGCGGGTGGGTCATGTGATGTATACCGGGGTACATGTTGACATAGGTACTTACCTACTTATGTATTTATCTATGTAGCTTAGTAGGTATGGCAGCTATGAGAAGCGTCGAAGTGAAGTTTCATGGACACTAAGAAGCAAGCTGTGAACATTTGAACAATTCGATGTTTGAGTGTATTCATAGTCACGTGATGTGTAAGAACCCAACGAACACACATGTGCATGTATGAAGATCCACACACTCCATGATTTTATTTCAATTACAATAATTTCTACACTACAACAGTCATCAGCATTACGCCGGGTATCCGACAGGTGATCATGAATGCGTGAATGATTGAACAGTATTACTTACATAGATGTATGAGAAGAGTGAATGCTCTCTGAATTGCCATGCTGTGTTTCACTAGTTGTGTTTATGATGATATCACATTTCTCATAAAGTTACGATTTTTCATCTGTTTACATGACCACAAAGAAGTCTCGTGACCCCACAATACCAACGAACGGACGTATGATTACTGCACGTGAAGAACTCTGCCGACGTTCGGAGCTCAGAAGTTAATTTTTTGGTGAATTCTCGTTTTTCACATATACTTAAACATGGCGCTCTTATTGACCACCTCAGTTATGCGTTCATCAGAACCAGTAACTAGCTTAATACTGCAAAATAATAGACGGTATCGCCAACTAACCCCGAACATCCCTAATTTTGTGTGGCTAGGCTATCGATGGAAAACACCTTCCTAGGCCATGACGTGCCGCTGCGCACCTCCCAGGAAAAGAAAATACTGCGATCTGCAACAACTATTGGTCATACCCTACCGTATACACCCAGAGAGAAAGCATACCTGAAAGAGCACTGGCGATCTGAATACCATTTCCTCCTCCAGCATGGCCTGAATATTCACGACGACAAAGACCGCGCAGAGGGACGGTTAATCCTCCGCGTCTTGATGAGCCATGACGATATCGAAGACGAGACCGAAGAGAAGATCGAACATGATCTCGAAGACGAATCCGCTGCGTACTCCGAAGATGTTGACGAAGATGATGAAAGCGAAGCAAGCGACGAACTTGACCTCGAGGGCCATCACGCAGACTATAACTTCTCTTCAGATGAGCTCGAAGAGATTGAGAAGCCCTTTGGAAACTCGGATGATTTTATGGCTTCATATGGACTGAAGTTTTATAGGAATGAGGACCTAGACGAGGCAAAGGCTATCGCGGATGCAATGGTAAAAGCGAGAGAGGTTGAGGATGAGAATTGCGAGGATGAAAGCGATATCTACGAGGCACATAATGACAGCAGTGAAGCTTCAGGCCCGGATATTGGCGCTAATGAGGACGAATTCTGTGTGAGTGATGATGACGGAGACAACTTTAACGAGGCCATTGGCGACGATGGAGATGCTGTCGAATTATATTTCTGTGAGACAGACAGCAGTCTCGTGGTGGAGGTTGATGATAGCAGAAATGAGCTCGACGAAGACGCTGGCGAGGTAGGATCTGCAGATGAGGATGATTTCGCTGGAGAGGCTAATGGGTCGGATTCTGAACTTGAGGATGATAGCATATCTGACGAGGAATTCGAATATGAGGACGAAGAAGAAGATGATGATTACCAGCACGATGAAGAGGATGAATACGGTTATGAGATCTCCTGAAGCCTTCGCAACCGTCATCTGACATCCTGTCCCACCGTTTTTTGCCTGAGCATTATCTCATGCTGAGGTGATTGGCCAAATGGCGCCAATGTCTGCAATTCCGAGATTCTTTAGCACAATCTGATTAAATTCATTCAAGCTCGAAAGAAGATTGGAACGGGAAAAGCGGCGACGATACTTATATTATTGGTGTGGACTACGCAGTGTTCATTGCTGTCTTGGCGTAGAATAGGCACGTATCTGCCTCTCCAGTTCCATCAGTTGATGCTTTGAACAGGGTTGATAAGAGCGCAAACAAGACAGTTGCATCAGAACATCAAACGGAAAGAATCGATCGAAATGCAATACATTCGTTTCCCTGCCCAAAATACAGCGTGTGAATTGATGTAATGAATTTAGCCGCCGCGGTGTACCCATTTATGAATCATACGCCACCTGCCGAAGCAGGTAAGTTGAATAAAAACCGTTGATTATAGTAGCACCAGTAGGATCGCTTCGCATTGATCTGATCATTCATCGTGAGTTGCACCAGGCCATTGGGTTCCAGTGTACGCCAATGACGCCCGAAGCTGAGTCGCACATTCTCTGTGGTACGTGACGTTCGCCACTCTTGTATCCATCGCCATAGCTTTTTCACAATTATACCTGCCTTCTCAGGCAGCCCAACTATGAGACCGTGAGTCTAGAAACATGAACGTCGAATTCTTGTGATGGGTCGTGCACGTACACGACCTCCACTACAAATCCGTACTTCATGACTGTTCTCAACCAATTTACAACATTCCGCAGCCCCCGCCTTGTTACCCTGAATTTTAGTGCTCAATATGCCTAAACAAGAATTTAAAATCAAAACTGTTGATGGCAGGAGCCTAAAATCCCATTGTTCCGTCACGCTTCCCGTGCCAATACTTTGTGCGCATCTCAACAGACACTGTGCTACTCCTACATAACACAACTGCCCCTTAGAGTATCCCTACTTTGCGCCATCTGCCAATCGGAAACACACTCAACGGAGAAACGCATCCGACCAATATACCCAATAAAGAAAAATTGAGAAAGGGCGTCGAAAGTATGGGCGTTTCCCGTCGGAAGCGCAGTGATTATAGGACAATTACCCCCCTCCCTTCAAGTACTACCTTCTACCGTATTACGTCACTGCCTAATTATCAACCGCAAGGACACATCACAGGGAGTACCTTTAGTACTACAAACTTCATTCAATAATCTAAATTCAGTAACTTCGAAGAAAAAAACCATCGTCACGGGCAAACGGGACCACCATCCGCATGCAAGATCCCTTTCTGCTTCCTCAATCGCACAAACAACATCTGCGTTACCTTGACCAAAGAACCCCACTTTTCAAATTCCCTCAACAGGAAACTTCAGTGAAAACCGTAGAAAATTGTGTATCTCTGACACTTTTCCGGTCGGTCGTATGTATGCACAGATCCACCTTGTACCGCTACCCCCCACGCCTCAAACTTCCCGATAGAGGAAATTTGGAGAAAAATGTTGAAGTCTCAGTGCCGCCATCGCCATCCAGATCTTTCGGAAACTCCCGTCTCCTCAAGTAGTGCTGCCACCACGTCCACCTCCCACAAGAGCGGTTGTACTCACATGCACTCGAACCTTCCTGATCCGGGAGTTTCGAGAAAAAGGGTCGAAAACCTTCTGCATCGGCTCCCAAATATACTGATTCCGGTGAGGGAGATCACCGCAGCGAGCCAGACCAAGCACAAACATCTCACAAAACAGCATCCTCGGGCAACACAACATGCTTCCCCTCCTTGCACGCTGCACAATTGTCTATTTCCAGTCGAAGCCTCACTTTTGAATATTCCTAATTCAGAAAGATCATTGAAAAGTGTAGATTCCACCGCAATTTTCTTCCGATTCATTCAAATGTTCGGACCGGAGGGATGTTATATGGAGTCTTCACAGGATGTTACACATTTATCTGGAGACTACTTAATCTGGAAAGTGAGAAGGAAGGTGTTGAAAATAGTGTTATACAAATATGCGCAAAATGCATCACTGAGACGGTGGCTGTCGCATTCTGATGCGTGATCCAGTGGTCTTTGAGTGTTGGCGTTGGGATGGTATGCAGACAATGGTCCGTGTGCAACTATATGCAATGTCCCTTTCAATACAGTTATTTCGATCAGATTTTATGGCGGGTGTCATGTTCACTGGACAAGAGTCAAGAGTTGTGAGCGAGCGAAGAACCGTCCATTCAAGTTACTTTCATCAACGTAATACGGCAATAAAAGAATGTCCAACTTGAATAGAACAACTGTATCACACCCCTGAAGGAGGGGGAATACAAACAAAGAATGTCCAATGGGGGTATATATCCGCAAACCAAGCCCGAGCCCGAAGGAAAGAAAAGAGAGAAGAAGTACTAGACAAACACAACCTTGTGCCGAACTCCGAAACGCAATCTACATTGCAGACGGTCACCTGACCTCTGACACAGAAACACCAGCACCCTTCTTCGCTCCTGAACGGTAGTCATCATAGCCTCCCGAGTGTGCACCAGCAGCGAATCTGGCGTTGTGCGCATCGTGGAAAGGTACGCTGTTGTATTTCCTTTGTCGCTTCTTGTGAAGAAAACTATGTATTGCATTAGCACGCTTATGTCATGTGAAATATGATCGAAGGGAAGGAGAGGACATGTCAGGGCCACAAGGAAAAGAAGAAGAAGAAGAAGAAGAACTTACACTCCGCCCGCTACAAGCAGCGCAAGTACTGGAATTCCAACCCCCAGACTGACCCCAAGAATAGTCTTGAGCGGCACACCACCCAGCTCCTGGTCTAACTTGTTCTTAATACTCGCAGTGTCCGATGGTGGCGGTGGGACGTAGCTGGTAGGACTTCCCGACATCTTGTTGATAGTGAACGCGTTTTTCCCGAACGTGGCCGTGCTGGTAACCGTATCCCGAACACTAGAAGCAAAAGTAGGTGTTTCGCCTGCCGGAGCAGAAGCAGTGAGTGTACGAGTTTCAGTGGACTGCGTCGTCTGTTGTAGTGACATCGGGCAGTCACCCGCGAGGGACGCAGCAGCTGAAGTCGCGCACTGCACACCCGTATGTGTGATCTCGGTTTCGGTGGTCGTGGTCGTCATATCTGGTTGCTGTCGTTTATTGGCTTTGGTAGGGGATGGTGCGGCGTCGGCGGGCGTGGTTTTGGGCTCGAAGGCGCAGATGCTGGCGAGCTCAGTGCTGAAGAGCGGCGTGCTTGTTTCTGCGACCGGACCCCAGGTCTCATCGCCTAGGGCAACGCTGGCGCCTACGATACCGCCAATTGCTAGCTGATAGTCCTGTACGGCATGAAGTTTGCAGTCTTTGTCGGATGGAGTGGCAGTGATGTTTGTGTTGAACTCGGCGAGGGTTGCGTAGACTGCTGCTTCTATGCCACCCTTCAGCTCAGGAAACCCGATTGTGGTGTTGAAGACGGTGACTGGAGGCGTCGAGGGGACTTTCACGGCAATACCGGCGTGGATGCCGATGCGGAGCTTGGCTGTCAGAACAACGTTTGCGGACTGCACAGTTACGGGAAGGAATTCGAACTGAGCACCGTTAAGAATTAAATCCGACACTTTGTCACTGAAGAGGGCGAGAGTGAGCTTGACACCATCATCCAGCTTGATGTGCAACCCACTACCGATATCAATAGCACCCTTGGAGCTGAGCAGTAGATCGACCTTGAATGTCACACCAAGCTGGGAGTCTTTGCCGATACCAATGCCGAGTGGCGTTTGACTGGTGAAGATGTTGAGCTCATATGAGAGTGCCCCACCCAATATGGTGCTGGTTTGGAGATATAGTTCAAGTCCATCGAAACCGAATGCAAGGTTCACTTCAGGGATGGAAGGAACATCCAGCGCAAAGGAGTAATTCAGCTGCGGAAACTCGAAGTCGGCAAGATCGATACCATCATCGAACTTACCAGGAAGGCTTTTGAAGTAGTCATCAAAATATTCTTCAATTGTCTCGGTGAAATTGTCGACCTTGGTCTTCACCGCCGACACAGTGTTGTTGAGAGCTGTCGTAGCATTGAAATCATCGGGAATCTCGAGCTGGGCTGTTGCACGACCTTTGATGTAGCAAGTGTTGCAGATAATGTCAACAGTCTGTTCAGCTGTCGCAGAAGAAGAGTTTTGATTGCTTTTCGTGTCGATGCTTTGTGATGTACCTCTTTGGTGAGTGTCAGTTGGCGAACGACAGGGTTGAACAAGAGAGCTCTAGGGGACATGACTTACAGCTTAAGAAGTACTGCTCCATCCCAGCTTCTGTCTAATGTGACATTGCCTTTTAACTCTTCCCTCGGTACAAGTCTTGCTGCTTCAAGGTCTCTACGAATGGCCTCGTGGGTGTCTGCCTCTGAAAAGCCTGGGGCATTGTACGTCCGTACTGTGATGTCTGATGAAGCCAACGCCCCAACGCCAACAAGGCTCGAAGAGGCCAGCAAGCACTTGACAAAAGAAGTTTTCATATTCGAAGAGCTCCGTTTGATCAGCTGAACAATGTAGTCGTAATGATGAAATAGTGCAAGAGCATCCGCGCCGGAACCGCACTTTGAGCAAAATGTGGGAGAAGTAATAAGACGAGAATAGAACGTTGTTCTTATATTCTAGGAGCCACGAATTGCAGTGACCTCCCCCACGAAAAGGCTGCGGCGCAGACCCGGAGACTTTGCTTGTGCTTCGGGCATGCATGTTGTCGGACCTCAGGACTGCTGCGGCATGTGCTTCATCCGCGCGGGGAATACGATCCTCAGCTTTGCGTGACTGTAGACCCTCAGTTTCAACTACAATTGCAATGACCCAACATCTGCACACTGCTCGCCCCAGAATAGTATCATGGTGTCCCAGAATCGCGGCGCAGTGCTCCACGTTAGTGATTTTGGTTAACTACATTGCACACAATTCTCTTGAAGCAGCGAGTGCATGGTATTCTAGGACGTTGATCTTCCGTTCCTCTAACGTGCAAAGCATCCAGAGGCTTCGGACTTCGGTAGATAGCCCACGAGAAACATCTTCGAATCCGCACCATACCAAGTGCGGAAGCTTTAGGCCCCCAATATGTTAACCTCAACATGTCACCTCTCCGGTACGAACGAAGGAATGACTCGAGACGCCCCGTGCGCAGTGGAAAAGACACGAGAATGGCTGGGATAGTCAACGGCAAACGTATCTCATTGGGGGCGAGAGAGGGGGTCTGCATACGAACCTCCTAAGATAGGAGCTGATGCAGACGCAAACGTACATTTGCTTCAAACACGAGCGGGGCGGTGTGATGTATAAGCTACATGACTTTTGAAATCTTCATCCAGACCTTCCCAGGCGTATTGAGTCCATGTTGGTGGTGAATATGGCGTTTGACAAGAGCTAATTGCGGCAGTGTTTGACAGCTGCATCTTCAGCACCCGGATTGTCGATGCTGAGGGTGTGGTGCAGGACGTGAATACAGCCTCCATATATGCACGTTTGGAAACGACAAATGTTTTGGCGCCGTGTTGTTTAGATAGAGACGGGTTGATGTGCATTGATGCCTTAGAATGGTAAAAACAGTGTTGGACCTCGTCCCTCAGTACTGCAGCCAATGTCTCTTTCCATTGCAACACCGAAGCGCCGAGGCTGTCGCCATATCGAGCTTGTCCGGTGAACTACATGTGTGTAATGTGAGAGCAACACATATATGCCTTTGTAGTATGCAGGGTGAAGGCGTAGCTGGTGAATCAGGTGAGATGGAGAACGAAGGACAAGTGCCAGCGCTTAAAGAAGGGGACGGCAAGACATATCAAAACCCGCCTATATCAGAAAGCTCTTCTAAGCAGACTCAATTACTGCATAATGAGCGTGCGAAGCAAGACGTAGGTTGTAAGAATGATCTGAATGCACCAACAGTCAGCAAAACGTGGCAGGAGCACCGCCACATTGCTCTCGACCAATGGAAAGCCCGACGCCACCCCGGCCTCGGTTCCAGCCTCACCTCCCATCCGACTTCCCCATCGTCCGCTCATATCCGCGGAAAGACTACTCGAACCTCACAATTCATACAACGCACCACAAAGATATCTGCCTTCAGAACAATTCTCCCTGCCTTTTTGAAGACCTTATATTCTGTGACATACCCGAATACCCAACGCTACGAGCCAACAACCGCATACAATACCGACTCCTGTAAACCCTGGATCACCACCCCCGAGAACACCGCATTCACGAGTCTAAGCACGACACATATCTTCACCGAATACGCCAAGCGAGCACACACTTAGCAAGCTTTCTTCTTCATCGTCTTCATCAAAAAAAGACTCTCCAACTCGTACCGAGCCAGCAAATCCTCACCACACCTCCGCGCCGACCATCCTCCACCCCTCCGATTCAAAAGCGTCTTTGACCTCTACTCCCCCCCTCCAAAGACACCGCACCACACACGCTCAGGGATACATAGCTCAGAAAGCGCTGAGACGAAGCTCGTCCAGAGCACCCATCCCCCGACTGAAAAAATGTCAGAAGCCTACGAGCGCGAACGCCAAAACGACTCCCGCCTAGACGAGCTCGCATCAAAAGTCACCGCGCTCCGCGGCGTGACCATCGATATCTACGACAATGCAAGGGATCAGGAAGTTATTGATCAAACTGTACGTCTTTCCATATACCTACGTACTGCTTCACGCTCTCATCTCACCTTTTGTGCGATCTTCTTTGCACGTCCTCACACCTTGCTGTCCTGCAACTCTTCCCACCCTTCCAGATCCTAATATCCCGCACGCAATAAACACACCACCGTATAAGCATGTTCTAACTTGAAGCTGTGTAGAGCGAGACCTTCTCCTCCTTCTCCACAACCCTAAAAGGCAGCGCAACACGTCTAACGCGCATGGCTGCGAGCGGGAATAAAGTCGCCGTGCTTAAACTAGCGGGGATTCTGGTCGCGATTGTGGTAGTGCTATATTGGATTTGGCATTTGATTTTCTGAGGGAGCTTTCCCCCGTTCGTAGCGAGGCATACAACATAGGCAAGGAACATGAGGGCTTCTCGGGCACTGGGGGAGCGAAGTCGGGTTGTAGCAATGCTACATGTATGTGGGTTTGTGTGTGTCTTTGTTGAAGCCGTGTCAAAATAAGTTTCAAGGGATTCGGCTAAGGGTCATCAACAAGCGGGGTGTTTGTTTTTTTGTATCATTGCTTTGACTTTTGTTAATTTCTTGGGAGGGGGAGTCATTTGCTGTTTTCCTGATTCTTTTCTTTCCTTTATACATGTACATCGCCCTCTTCTTACCCTCAACACAATTAAAACACTGATGACAGTATAATCAAACTATATAAGTACTACAGAAATATTATGTCGTACTTAGCATACACCACGCACGACAAACACCAAGGCATAAAGAATACAGTCAATTCTCTCATTATCAAAAAAAAGTCTCATTTTGAAGCCAAGCCTAACAGCTACAGATTCGAACACTACAAAGTGAAGGTAGAGGGGGAGAAGTGAATGTGAAGACACACTAAATTGATTGCCTCATTTCGGCATCAATGAGCCAAAGAAAAGAAGGGGGAAGTTGTATACACACACAGACACACGCGCAAACGGTTTTGTCCCTCAGTCAGAATTCCTCGGTCTCCCCCACCATCTTCAGGAAAAGGAAAAGGAAGAAAACAGAAAAATATATTCTTTAAATAAAAGCAATGGCCACACGGGGGTATAATGACGACAGGAAGAACCGCATAAGACCCTGATTTGCGCCCTCCACCAAACCCCCAGAAAATGGTCACAGGAAGAAGAACGGCAAGGAGATCGAAATGCCCCAGGAACAAAGATCGAGCAGAGAGAGCGCAATGTCCTTGCACGGCGATTTGCCAGGTCTAGGAGAAGCACGCAGGGCAGACGCGTCAAGTACGACGTAATCAAGAAGAGGATTTCAGTTGGTATGCCAGCTGCAACGTGCTGTTCCACGGCTCGCCATACTATTGTTGAATCGGTTTGAACGAGGTAGCCAGGTGCTCTTGGAAGACGGCGAAGTCATGCTGCGCCTGAGGTACCGTCTCCATGATGTGCCGAAGGTTGGCCATTTGTTCCTCCGTCATTGTCGCGCCACCTTCACTGCTAGCCAAGATCCTGGAAATAACAGGAGCCTGGAGATATTGACCGAGGTATTGAATGGCAAGCGAGGAGAATGGGGCAGGGGCAGGCGGAGTCGGAGAGGGGCCCGAGGGCATCTGCGCGCCCGGCTGCGTATGACTGTAACCATTATTGGCACTATGTGGTGGAGGAGCGTGCTGAAAGCTGTTGGTGTTGCCATTGTTGAAGGCAGGGCTGGGAGGGAACGACGGGGCCATGGGCGAGTATTGAGGGCCGTGAGGGTTGGTAAGTGGGGACGGGCTCGCACCGTTGGGTGGACCTCCGGAAGCCTGACCTGGTGGAGGTGCTGACACAGATGGGGTTTGCACTGCATGGGCATCTGTGGATTTGGACTCGGGAAGCTTTGCGACAAGTGCGAGAAGCATCATGGGCTCTTTGCGGGGTGTTTCGATGACGCAGTACTCGAGCATGTCCAAGAACGGGGGTAGACTGCTAGGTCCGGGCTCAAGCGGTACGACATACAGATCGCGCACGATCTCATTCTCGCCAGCAGGGACAGGAATCACTCCCCATCGCTGTCGCGGGTGGAAATAGCTGTAGATGGTATCCAAAGAGCCACGGCCATCAGCTGACGTGGGCGTAAGGGCGAGCACACACACATCATGACTGCCGGTGAAAGCTAGATTTCTTATATAGTCATCACCTTTCTTGTTCTCAATCCGGCCCTTGACCGGCAGAACCGTGGGCAGCAGCTTGCTCCAAGGCACAACTTGTCCAAAGTCACCGCCAGCTACAAATCGGGCCGTGGCTTCAAATGGCTCCATCTGTTGCATCTGCAGGTTGCCTTGCCACACGACGCCCGAATCAGTCCCACCCATATGCACATCTTGATCCTCGTCTTTCAAAAGTCGGTCGATATCTGCATCGTCACCAGGACCTTGCCTGGGCGTATCCTGGGGCTTGATCGTACTTTGACGACGTTGAAGAAATGCTTGCTGGTCGGCTTGAGGTGAGCGGACTTTGTCGAAGACTGAGTTGATGTCGAAGTTAGATGTGCGTCGCACGCCATCAACTGGGGTACCAGATGTATCAATAGCGAGCGGTGCGCGCTGGCCAAGATCTTCGGGAAGTTCCACAATTGCCTGGCCATCACGGGGAGGAGATTGCTGAACCGATGGCTTCGGATCCACCACTTCTTCTCTGTCGCGTCTCGGAGGAGCCCTGAAGTCGTCGTTCAAGGGGGCATCGTCTCCACCGACCAACTCTTCACCCTTGTGGGTCTTACGAAGTCGCGGGCCGGTCTCGCCCGTAAGAACAATTTGTTTCTCGTTTGCCTCTCTCATCGCGGCGTCCTCCTTTAGCCTCTCCTCGCTGGCCATCTTCTCAGCACCCATAGAGGCGAATTCTTCGGATGTGAGACTACCTGAGAGCAATCGGTCTATCAGGATTGTGTTGTTCTTTACGTTGAACATGATACTCCTAAGCTGCTTGATGTATGGAGCCTCGGAGTTGGACGGAGCGCCATGATGAATGCAAGCGTGGTGATCGATCTCTAGAGCGAGTTTTGTAGCAATGGATGTAGAGCTTTCACCTTCAGGTATCTTGTAGCCACGAGAGACTGCCGCAGTGTCGATCAAAGGACCAAGGGTATCCCTGAGCTTTTGCGCCAGAGGCTTTTGCATGGGCGGGAGGCTGTCGAACTCGGTGGCCACGGTTGTCGGAGGGGTTGATTTTTCAACAGTAGGCGCGCTCGACTTTCTCCTTTTCTTGCTCGCGTTTGCTTTCTCGGGAACGGGCTCGTGGCGGCGTTTCTCGCCTAGAGGGGATTGAGGTTGGCTCTTTGGGGTATCCTTTTTGGTCTAGCAAGACGATTAGTACCATGAAAGCAGAGTGAAAATTTCATAACATACCTTCTCTTTGCCATTGGATGGGTCGTGAGGGGCTGCCACGGGCACAGTAATGGGCGCCGGAGGAACCGAAGACTTTTGAGTAGAAGCGGGAGCTGGACTCGCAGGAGCCGGGGCAGGAGTGGGAGTTTGAGCAGCAGCAGAAACAGAGGCAGGGGCAGGGGTGGCAGCGGGAGTATGTCGATGCGAGGATGAGGGAGACGAGGGCCTCTCTTTCTTGACATCACTCGGTCGAGATCTGGGGGGTTTCTTGCCCTTTTTGCTTTTGCGGTTCCATGGCTTCTCGCCACGCTCCATGGCGGCGAGCAACTCCCGGTGGTCCTCGGGCTTGCACCTCTCGCAATAGTAACTCCGATTGTCCCAGTATTCTCCCTCAGGCAGATCGAGGCACTGATTGTGCTGCCATACCTCGCACTGGTCACAGCAGATCATCTGGCGGCCTCGGATATCGCGCTGCTCTCCACAGACACAGCGAATGACGGCATCGTCCTCCTCGTCGTTGTTGTCTTCGCTCTGGGCAGACTGTGAGCGCGTGGGCTGCCGCTTGTCGGTGGCGGCGGCCGCTTGTTGACCCTTCTTCTCGGGCTTGGGTTTGGATTTGGATTTCGAGACGGGCTCATCTAGGGCATCCGCATTCTTAGTGTGGTGTCCCTTGTTGGCGCGTCCGGAACGGCGAATCTCGTCTGTAAATAATAATGTTAGCCTCTTCAGCTTCTTCTGCGCAAGGCAGACGCGGATGCATCGCACAGAGGCGGAGAAATGCAACGGACGTGAGGGGAGCGCGTGGCGGCGCAGAGGGCAAAAACGACGGGTGAGCTTACCGGCCATGATGGCGGACTATGTTCTATGTGTACGCGTGGTGCTTGAATGAGTGGTGAACTCGACACAGGCAGACAGACAGACAGACAACGCGACCAGGACTACGTTATGCGCAGAGGGTTCACAATGGATGTCTATCAAGCAAGCGAGCAAGCAATGGAAAAGATAATAGCAGGAGAGGCGTCGTGACAGTAGAGAGGTAGGTGGAAATAGAGTCGTCTAACTAAGAAGAAACGGCAGCGGCGCGTCCGGTTCGGCAAGACGAGGGTATTGCGACCGAGTGCGCGCCTGCCTCAAATAGCACTAGAAGCTTGTGTTTCCTCCTCACAGTAGGAAGGGAAGGCAAACTGCGCTTTCCGTCCGAAGTCGCAAAAAATGCTTCCCCTCTGTCGCGACCGGCCGATGGACGCGCTGAACAGTCAGAGAAAGAGAGAGGTGGGGGACCGGAGGAGGTGGGTAATGCGCCACGGACAGATGGCGACGTGAGGACGGGTACTTAGGTATATAGATCACGCGAGAGAAGGAGATTCGAGTGACTCTGGGGGTCGGACGCGGAGTTGGGGAGTGGTGGTGGTGGACGTGTGGTGGAGTTGTTGTCTTGAGATGGAAGTGAGGAGTCGGAGGGGAGGAGAGCTTGCTTGCTGGAGCTTTACATAAGGTTTCTTGGCGCTCGCTGTCATTGGCTGTCGAGCGGGGAGGGCAATCTGCGTGGCCGATTTCCCCTTCACATAACCTTGACAGGCTACATGCATGCATGCACAATATCTACCCACCATAGGATAGGACAGTATCGAACCGACAGGCACAGGGATCCACCTTACGGACCTCCATTAATGAACCAGCACGGGCAAGCCTAAATTACCAGCCTCCAACAACGTCATTTGGCAAAACAACAAACAGCCCCAGCAAACGATCCTCTTTCTCGTCTCACACTCCCGAGCTACACAGCAATGGCCGATGCCCGCACTCTACTCCGCCAACAGCGTGCTGCCCGCCAACAACAGCAGCAGAAGTCAAAACCCTCAGCAACTCCCGCCGCCGCACCCTCGTCCAAAAAGCGCAAGGCAGTAACCCCGGATCAAGTTGAAGAGCGCAAGCGCACGCGCACTGAGGAGGATGCCGGTGTCCCCGCCGGTTTCTTCGACGCAGACCTCGAAAAGCCCATCCCTCCCATATCATCCGACCAGCACAATGAAGTTCCTGCTGCCGAACCCGATGCGCAACTCACCATAATCTCAAACCCTCCACCGCAAGATACTGCAGCCAACGATGAGCTGGATGCTTTCATGAACGAGATGGATCAAGTGGCAGAGACTCAACAGAAGAGCGTCAATATCTACTCGGGTGCTGTCATCGAATCTGCGCCCATGACGGCTGCTGAGATTGCTGCCCAAGCACGGGAAGAACAGAGTGCCCAGCGCGCGAGACTAGACGAGGAGCTCGAGGGCGAACACGACGATGCCGCACGTGCTCTTCAGGATGAGTTTGAGGAGATGGACGGCTTGGAGGACCGAGTGAGGAGGCTACGAGAGCAGCGAGAAGCCCTTCGGAATAAACCCACCGAGGTAGCTGCCGTGGTACCAGACACCACGCAGCCGACCACGCAGCCGAAAGAAGAGCAAGATGAGGGAGGGAGTGAGTCTGATGATGACGATGAAGACGAAGACTGGGATGATTGGAGATTCAGACCGGCTTGATTATATGAGACGAGACAACAAGTCGCCATCTTTTCAAATTCGCGATGGCAACCATGTATTTTTATGTTAGAGCATATCCGCATCGTGATACCACGGCGTTGGCGTTTTTGTGTTTTGCTATTGGGAATCATCTGTTTTGTCGCAAAGAGGCTTGCTCCAAGATTTACATATGCCTAGCAGGCGATATTCAATAATTCGCGAGTTAGACTCAGCACTTTTGAAATATCTTATCAGACCCAATTCCATTTGACCCTGATTTGTTCAAACGCTTATAGCCACCATATTACTCGATAATTCACAGTGGTGTATGAAAGCGGTCAGGCATGGTTCGACAAAGGCCAATAAGCAGCCGACCGCCACTTTACCTAGTCGCCAAGTTAATCCCGTTGGGCTGGCTGGGTTCCGCACCGCCAAACTGTAAACCTTTCTACATCTTGCTTGATTGCTGCCTCTGCTGCCTCACTTCACTCCACCTCCAAAGATCCTCAATCACGAGAGCAAGCCGAACTTTGAAGAGGGCCCGCATTGCCACACAGTTCCCACCAAGCGCCCTCGACCGCAGGACACGACACCTACACACACAACCCCCGCTTCAAACCCACCATGTCACGGCGGCCCAATCCCGCTGCGGATCGCGCCGAGCAGAATCGCGCGACGCTCAAGAGCCTGGTCAAGATCGAGGCCAATAAAAGCTGCTCCGACTGCAAAAGGAACAAGCGTGCGTCCACCCCATTGATACCTCGGCGCAATGTGGCGTTACTCTTCCGGGCGCTGATTGTGTGAATAGATCCACGATGGGCCAGCTGGAATCTAGGCGTCTTTATCTGCATCCGGTAATAACAGCATCAATACCTCGTTCATTGTCCCGAGATGGTTCTTGGCCCAATGTGCTAACATGGGCGCAGATGCTCTGGTATTCACCGCGGTATGGGAACGCACATCAGCAAGGTCAAGTCGGTTGATCTCGATACTTGGACAGACGAACAACTACAGAGCGTGATCAAATGGGGCAATGCGAGGGCAAATAAGTCAGTGGTCACGAAGAAAGCAAATAACGGGCAAGGGCTGACGAGCGCAGGTATTGGGAAGCAAAGCTGGCCCCGGGTCATGTCCCTTCGGAAGCGTAAGTACTCACTTTTCTATATCACAGTAGAGGACTGCGCCATAACATCTCTCAACAGGAAGATCGAAAACTTCATCCGCACCAAGTATGAATCGAAGCGCTGGGTCATGGATGGGGGCATTCCGGATCCGTCTACCTTGGATGTATCCGACGATGACATGGTACGTCGCGCTCGCGGCCAAACAGCTATAACTGCTAACAGTGGCCAGCCATTGAAAAAGGTGCAGGAAAAAGTTCAAATCGAGCGCTCCGCATCTCAACGCTTCGCTGGTTCTTCAGAGCAGCGGCCTGCTCCCCGAGCGGCAGCACAACCACAGCCTGCCATAGATCTCTTCGGAGACGAGACTCCTGCTCCCCCGCGCGCCAGCACTGGTCCCCCTACTACACGAAACGGTCCTCCTCCCAAGGCAGAGCCTGCTCCCCCCAAACAGACAAAAGCTGGTGATTCATTGCTGGGGTTGGACTTTTTGGGCAGCCCGCCAGCGCAGCCTACTCGGCCTTCTAGCACAGGGCCAGCTGCGGCCGCTGCCGCTCCCTCCCGTCCCGATCTCAAGCAATCTATTCTCTCTTTGTATGCTTCTAAGCCAGCAGCAGCCGCACCTCCGCCCCAGCAACACGCGCGTCAAGAGTCGTTCGGAAACCTTTCGTCTGCGCCGCAGCAGTCACCTCAGCAGTCATCCTTCGGCGGTATGAATGACGCATTTAGCAGCCTTTCGTTCAGCTCTCAACCGCAACAGCCCAAGGCATCTCCTTTCGCTGGACTTGATAGCTTCTCAAGTGCCAAGTCTCCGACTACTTCATCTTCAAACATGTTTGGCGGTGGCGGCAACTTCTTCGATTCTACGCCAAAATCCCCGCCTACCCAGACCACCACCTCGACCAGTGCCATGGGCGACTTCTCCGCATTCTCCTCCGCTCCGCCCAAGCAAGCCGCAACCTCCTCATCTAGCATGGGCGGAATGGGTGACCTGTTAGATCTCTCTATGCCCGCTTCCACGCCCGCACCGGCACCCGTACCCCAGCAATCCCCACCACCTGCGCACTCGGCCTTCAACCTCTCGTCACCCGCCCCGTCGGCGGCGCATCAGCCAGCCCCCGCACAAACTGCAGCACCCAACTACGCGGGCTTCTCCGGTATGGACGCATGGGGTTCTTCGGATGCATGGGCTTCCCCAGCTGCGGCACCAACGCAATCGCAAACTACGACAACCGCGTCCCACTCCACCACGCAGCCGAAGAGTCCTGGATGGGGCGCCCCCACTATCACACAGGACGATGATTTTGGCGGATGGAGCAGCGCTGCGCCTACCACTACCACGACTTCGACCTCGTTTGCCTCCCCTCCCTCGACGAACCAGCCTACCTCCAACTCTAAACCTGCCGGTGGGTTTGGCGGTGGTGATGATTTGTTCTCGAATGTGTGGGAGTAGGCTAATACGGGACATCTGAAAGTCGATGTCTGTGGTTGTGAGGACATGCAATCAATGGATTTTTGGATAGAGTGACGCAACGAATAAAGTGATACGAATCGAAACGCCGACTTCGGACAAATGCAATTGCCATACCTCCTCCTTACACGTGTTCATTCGGATTCCAACGGAACAGAAGGGGGAATGGTCCAATTCATATGAGTTTCTCTCCTATATGTAGAGTAGTGTAGGCGTGTAGTAGTTGAATGAATCACAAATGTCGAATGCGTGTAGTAGTTGAATGAATCACAAATGTCGAATCCCAGTACAATGGATACCCATTGGTTTCATTTGATGAACAGCGATAAGCCCGCATATTCATGCATACATAGTACAACGGTACCTAATGTAAGTAACCGACCTGATTAATGGGGCTGTTCGTAGTTGGCCATCCGTGCCTGCCGCATACGGTGATGGGTGGCTGCGATCGTTCCTTTCCATTTGCCAAAGCTGAATAATTAGCCGGACCGTGTCTCACCTTGCACATCAACCTACACGGACCGGACTAGTCACGTCTTTTTCATTCTGTTGCTGCCTCATTTCTTCCCGGTTTCTATGGTGCCTGGTTTCTGATTCACTTTCGTGTCGGATGCAAATGCTTCGACTGAACTCTGGGCTGTGAATGAAGGTTAGATAGTCCTCGTGGGTGCGGGATGACATGGCTCAACCTCTAGAAGACCACCAACAGGGCACCGATACGCAAGGCACGCTTCGCAGTATATCGATACAACGCCCATCACTCAAGAGCGCGGATCTTATTGACGTTTGCAAAGTCTGCAGATGTTTTGCGCAAGATTCAGGCTGGGCGCTTAGCAGATCGGAATTTCAACGCAGTGCAGAGTCTGGTTGCCCAACTTGTAACCTTGTTCTTCGAATCTGCACAACTTTCGCTTTATATGAAGATGGCACGACGAGTTCAGCCTGTACGCCCGAGACTCTTACCTCTCCATCGAGCGAAGTGCAGCCACACCTACCCGTAAGCAATTCGAATATCAAGCTTTCGCTGGACGCCGGGCACCTAACCATATCATGTGATCGTTTAACCAATGCACTGCACGTATCTATGCAACCAGGTATGTCTCGGTGATTCTAATGCACTGTAACGCGACTGATTTCTATACAGGTAGCCTATGTCCATGGCCTTACATAACCGTGAGCCCCTGGCGAGATATTGCTCCCGACAGAGGATACTGTTTGGACTTCATCAAATCGAGAGTCAAGGCATGTTCCAATCATCCCAGGTGTAATTACACATCAAGAACATCGCACAAACCGGGCAGACTACTGTACATCGGAGATTCCGACCCGCAAATGAAGATTCACTTAGTGAAAGGTCTTGATATATTTGGCTCGTGTGATTACATTGCCCTCTCGCATTGTTGGGGTGGGTACCAACCTCTCAGAACCGTCAAAGCCAATGTCGAATCGTATTCTCAAGTTATTGCTTGGGAGTTACTTCCCAAAACGTTCAGAGACGCGATCACTATAGCAAGGGGTCTCGCCATCAACTATCTGTGGATCGACAGTCTTTGTATCATCCAAGACGACGAGCGAGACTGGGTCCGTGAGTCGAAGAGAATGGCGTCTGTGTATGGCTCGGCTTATCTGACTATTGCAGCCACTGGGGCTAGAGATTGTCGGGATGGCTTGTTTCATCCTCGCGAACAGCCAGTGTCATTTGACTTTGAAATCGACCACTTCGGTTGCCAAGTGCATGTTAGACATCTTCCAAACCACAGCGGTTTCGAGCCTTTCGATGTCCGCCCAGACACTGCCAATCAGGTTCCCTTGAATAAGCGCGCTTGGGCGTACCAGGAAAGAATTCTGTCACGCAGAATTATTCACTTCACGACCGCAGAGCTCGTTTGGGAGTGCTGCACGTCTCTCTATTGTGAGTGTAGCGGAGTAGAGCAAGCCACGAAAAGCACCCCTCCCAAGGATGGAATATCCGAAATTACATTAGTAGGGCCCAAAGGATATCCTTCGCGGGATACGCTTTCCAACTTATGGCAACGCATCGTTCTTAGCTACTCTAAGAGACAGTTGACATTCGGGAGCGATAAGCTACCTGCATTGTCCGGTGTTGCAAGCGTTTTTGACACGGCTTTACAGAATATAAAAATCCAAAACAGTCAATACGTAGCGGGACTTTGGAGTCACGAATTACCACGAGCACTGCTCTGGCACCAAGCATATTCTGCGAGACCAGACTTACATATGAGAGCTCCATTACAAAGCACTGGGGATCCTTCATTCTCGTGGATCACTGTGCTAGGCAACACGAAAGAAGTAGAGTTTCGCTGGGACAACTGGGCACGAGATCTCGCCAACGTCCTAGAAATACACTGTATCCCCGAAACAAGCGACAAATTCGGCCGCGTAGCACCCGGGGCATACATGAAATTATGCGGGTATCTGCTAGAAGCAAGTGCCAGTTCGAACAGTCTCCAGAATCACCTTCACAGATATCTCCAATTCACCCGCCCCGACCTCAACTCGAATCTGCCATACGCCCGTACTGCCACACTCGACTTCGAAATTGACCAAAACATGGCAGACAACCTATGCCTTACATACTTCCCGATCCAATCTTCGGTCGCCCATGCCGAAAACGCATCCGACAATAATCTTGCTCGCTTCACCTCAGGTCTCGTGCTACGGGAAATGTCACCGGACATTGCTGACGATGTGTCTTCCGTCACTGCATCTGGTCTATCTTTTCCGATCAAATGTTATAGGAGAATTGGGACGGCTTCTGTCAGGTTTGAGTATCCACAGCAATTTGGAGTTCGGGGGTATGATTCTGTACCATGGGAAGAATTCTATCTGTTCTGATCGTGACTGAAATCTTTTTGTTTGTCAAGCGATCCGATCTTAATCCAAGTATACCCAGTTTGCAATGAAATATTTCACATTTCACAATCACACTTTTGTTCACCGGTAGTCCAATGATCAAGTGCCAACAGGCTATGAGCTTCTGTGAATTTCGTCTATCTTTGAACATACATACAGACGCCCGCGAACACAAAACCAGAAGCAAAGAAGAAAGAAAACCCCAATAACTTCCTTTATCTAGGCATAAGCCGATGATCCTGTTTCCCCCTCTTCCCGATCTTGGTGCAATCCAACTGATCAAACTTCTGCGTATTCGCCCCCTTTGAACGGATCCAGCTCTGCGCTCGACGGGCCGCGTCTTGGCTACGCTGCGCTTTCTTCTCGGCGAGTATCAGAGCTTTTTGTTGGTGCGGCGTTATGTTTTGGAGCTGGAAACTGAGGTGCGAGCGGGATTGAGCAAGCGATTGAAGTTGTTGAAGTGGTGAAGACGATGATGCGGTAGAAGAGTGCCGGTGCACGGTTATGCTGGAATTTTGCGTAGCGGCTGGGGAGGATGTAGTGTGTGAGGGAGGCGGTGTGGGTGTTGTCCTTTTCTTTTTCTGTGCTGTCGGTAGAGACGGAGAAGGAGAAGACACAGGAGCCTCAATCTGATGAAGACGAGACGCAACAACCTTCTTCTCCCCTTCCTCGCTCGCCCGCTCGCGATCCCACTGCACCCCTTCCATCCCACCCTCCCAGAACTCCGCGATCTCCGGCTCGCGCTCCAGATTAATCATGCAGTGCTGTTTATCCCTCATATGGCTCTGCACACTCAACGTCGAGTGTTTCACAGCGCCACAGTACAGGCATTCATTCCAATCTTTCACCACCGTAGCGAGATAGCTCAGGAAAGTTGGCATGTCGGTGATACGCGATGGCGAGGGGATGAATAGGCCGTGGGATACGCGCATGTGATCCAGGTTCTCTGTGAGACCGGGGGTGGTTGGGGGGAATGCTTTGGGGCAGAAGAGGCAGTGGGTTGGGGCGGTTGGGGATGCTGATACTGTTGTGTTTGGAGGATCGGAGTTGGGGTCGTCGGTGGATGAGTCGTTTGGCTCGAGGGAGTCGCTGAGGGAGTCGCTTGGAGATGAGGTCTCTTTGGGAGATTTGCGGAATTCGAGGTCGAATGTGGTTTGGGATAGTGGTGGGAGAGATGCGATGCGGCGTTTGATGTTGTATACGCTAGATGAGGGTTAGATTTCTTCTTCTTCATTGGATTGGGTTTGGATGGGGGGGATACGTACTGCCATGGCTCTCTCATGTGCGCTTTCTGATCTTGTCTATCTTTGAAGTTGATATGACATGAGGTGCATTTTGGGGTTGGGGCTTGAGAGGGTTGATTGGGTAGGCTGGTGCCGGTGGCGCCCAAGTCAGCGGTTCCGCCTAGCATGATTTTCTTTTTACGAGGTAAAGAGGACTGAAAAGATTTGGCCGCTTGAAGATTTATTCAATTAGAGTAAAGTTTGTGAATTTGAGTGTTTGGTACCTTGTGAATGAGGCAGAACTCTTTGCTCTTATACACTGGAACTCAGCTAGCTGTGAAGGAAGTGTCGCGCTTGAGTCTCGCATTACTATTGGTCCGTGCGGGACGCACCCTCCTCGAACCATCGCTAATTCGACTCATTCTTGGTAGCTAGATTCAATACGAGGTTTAAGATGATGGAAAAAGAATATGGAGATGTGAAATTGACTTTGGTAATGTCCTCTCAGAATGAGTCATTCGCGCTAAAGCTACGTATTTGCCTAATCTGGTAAGGCGCATGTGCTATGGTGTACCGGCAGGCGAAGGATGGTGGCTGTGTTAGGACACACCAACACTTGTAGATGTTTCCGGCGAGAAGCAGTATCAGATTGTGGGGATTAAACAATACGCAGAGGTTTTGTCAACTGAAGCAGAATTTTGTCTGTATGGGCCAGAATCCTGTGCATCCACTTCCAGGGAGCAAACAGGGCGGGACGAGCATGGTTGCATAAATTGACCGTAGCCTGAATTGCCTTCGATGCCTGAGACCAAGTTGGATTATTCAGTTATCATTGAATTGTACTCAAAAGCTTGCTATTATGAAACGGCACCCAACACTGACTGGTAAACCTTTTGCTGGTATGATGACTATGTACAAAATAGATTCCCATCTCCCCAATCCAGTGCTAAAATGACTGCATAGACTCGAGTCATACATCATTGCTCCAGTATCGAACCTTTCAAGACCATATTGGTGTATAATATAGACGCCTTCGCTTCCAAGCTACGCTAACACTTATGACTATTAGTTCGCCAGTACTCAACCCTAATAGTCCCAATATCCTCGGTAATACGAGCGACCAGGCGGCGTAGGTGGCGCAAGAGGCCAATCATAGTCACTACTATATCCCTCGTCATCGCTATCACTATCCAGTGGCCCAGGAACATGGAACCTCCCTCTCAGACGCCGAGGGTTACGGCGAGGAATAGGACGGCGAGGACCCATGGGAGGATCATATGTAGGAGCAGGACGCGGGGCAGGGCGGGCCGGGCCGCGAAGCATCATAGGGGGCTGAGGAGGCCTCCAAATAGATGGCATCCTGCTCCTAGCGCCGGGATGCGGCCATTCGTACTCGTCGGAGCTGTAGTACCAGTAGTAGTCGGAGGATGAATCCGAGTCCGATTCTGATATGGGGTAATCGCCGTATGATGCCCAGTCCATGTTTTTGAACGAAGATTGAGGTTTTCTCTTATCCGGGCTGATTTGATTTGGGAGTTTTGAGCTTGCACCAGTTGGCGGGCGAGGAGTGTAGGTTTCGGGATTCAAAAAGGCAAAGGAAATGTGTTGCGGTTTTATAGTTCTGCTGGAAGTGAAGAATGAATGAAAAATGTTTTGAGACCGGGTGACACGTCAGAAATGTTATTGCACACACTTCAATGCATGCGAAGCCGCTTGCTTCTTATGCATTGAATATCAGCCATGGAGGGCCACGACTCTTGTACCACTAAAACATACACGCTCACTACTTAGCGATGTGAATGATGTGCTGAGCTGTCTTAATGAAAGTTTTAATGCGTTTACACTGAAGGAGAACCAAGATTGGCCCTTATTCCAGCCACTCACATGAGCATATTGGATGTGAATAATCACCAACGCACTGCATCCAAACGACGAGTTGGAGCTGTCATGATGAGTTCCTAGCAGCAATGAAGTTCATTGCACATATTTTCCAATTTCAATTTATGTCAAGATATACTACAGGCTTACTTGTCCAATTAGTGTCTGGTATGTTGCGGTTGTTTGCATTCCAACGGTTTTGTGGCTAGTCAAAGTTTTGCTTGCCACATACCCACCCAATTAGTTTTTCGCCTGACCTATGTAAACGAATCATGATTCACATAGAGTGGCAGCTTATGTGACTAACAATTTGGCCACATCACGATACACCAGGGAATTATCTGCCTCAACAAGCTGCCTCGTCGCAGAGGATGGAGCACAACCCACGAATAATGGCTTTTGAATACGGAAGTCAACACAGTCTATTACATTTAATATATGTTGCTGATCATAACGTAGATGAATCTGACCAAGGCAGCTTTCACGAAGGTGTCACATGAGAAAACTCTGACCGGTATAGTCAGTAAGTTGTGAACTTGGTCAGACGAGGTGAAATTTTTAAATATGCTGAACGCTGTCGACTAGTATTTGTAGGAAGTGAACAATTTTTAATTACTGTGGGTCAGACTGAGTCCATCTCCCTGACGTGGGAAGTTGGTGTGTAGTCGATCTACAAATCGTTTTATCACATGATCATGTGCTGTTCTGCTGTGTGACCTTGCCTCTCTTCTTTTAGAGCGTATGGTTGTGATCCCGATACAATCTGAATTGTTTTGAAAGTCTTTATGACAATGATAACTACATCTAACTGGTCTTTCAATTGATCTTTCATATTCCGCATACAGTGTAGCTAAGCATCTATCAATCACATGCACGTTGTTCAATGCCCAGCCTAAAACGGCGCGCGTTGAATACTTTGGCATTGTTCTCATTTCTTTGAGAAAGACCCTTTTAGATTTTCCTTTTAATCTATATTCGCTTTCGTTACTGCTATCTTTGATGGTCATTGCTTTGTTCTCAGGCAAAAGAGAATCTCCGTTCATATCTATGCAGAGCACGTTGATTACTACACCTACGAGACTAGGATCTTAAGTCACCAGAGAAAGTTTTATGTCTCTATCTTCTCCGAACATATCGTGATCTTGTTGGTCCTCCGAAAATTCATCGACTTCCCTTGCAATGTTGGACGTACCTGAATTAACTTATCAGGCTCTGTTGGAGCAGTACACCGGCGAAGCAGACGAGTGGGAAGCTTTTATGAAGGTGGAAAAAATGCAACATGGTGATGGCTCCCATTTGGAAGTCACAGACTCGAACTGCGATACGAACCTTTTCCCATACTTTGCGGAAGGTCCATTGCCGGCCCCTATTCCTACGCCCATGGATATCCAAGCGGCGAGGCCGGAAGGGAATCCTCGACAAAAGTCGGGATGGAAAGTAGGCCCTTATATGGTGAAATTTGATACCAGCGTCCTGATATTCCAGGTAGGAGCTGCAGTACCACGTTGCTCAAAGGTCAGTCTGACAGTAGAATAGGAGGCAGAGAATATGATTTTCCTGGAGAGAAATTCGAATGTGAGAACAGCAAAGGTCTATGCCGCCTTTTCCAGCGAAGATTGCCATCCTTGGAGGGATGAACCTTACAAGGACTCGGATGAGCGCAACACCTGGTGCTACCTCGTCACCGAATTTATCACGGGAGAAACTCTGCTTGATCTGCAGACCAAGGAAGAAGAAGATGAAGAAAAGATGCTTCGGCCTGCCGTCCATCGCAAAATTGCAGCCATGTTTGCGGAGCAGTTTCAACAACTGCGTAGCGTCCCGCCTCAATCTCACTACTATGGTCGAATCAATAACAGGCCATTTCCTCGCCTAGGTTCGCTTGACATTCCCAAAGACCCGGACAGTCATAAGTGGGGCGGGCCTTACGAATACGATGAATTCTTGGAAACAGTGATGCATACCTCGATGATGGCTCTTGCTATCCAGAATAGTGACAGTGGCAGTTTTGAACCATTGAAAAGGCATGCGTTCCATCAAGCAAAATCCGTTCTTGGAAAATCCGAGCCCGATTATCGAGTTCCTGTGCTACAACACGGAGATCTTCAGGCGCACAATGTTATGGTCAAGCTTCTTTACGACAAGAAGGGCCATGCCTTCGATGTTGAAGACTTGGTGTTCATTGACTGGGAATATATGGCCTGGGTTCCACCTTGGTTTGAGCTTGGCGGCCTCATACGCATCAGCATTGCGGGGGATAGATTAGCCCCTTCTGTTGTGGAGCTTGCATTGGATCAATTAAAGTTCAATATGGCGCCTGCAATTTTCTGGGGTTACGGTATCCACCGGCATTACTTTAGGTATAACCACTTTTAAAAGTATTCGGTTGTTCATCTTCGACATCAAGTACAACAATAGCGAGGTTCAAATTCGGTACGCATGACTAAGAATGGGGAGATTCCCAGTGCCTCTACAGAGAAATGACCTATTTAAAATTAAATAAAAGTAATTGCCACATTACTTAGTGAAACAACACCTCTACCAAACGCCACATGCAACGACAGAGTATACACTCGATTTGCATATCTAACCCTAACAGACAGCTTGAGAGCAGTTGAATCTCAAAATATGCGCTGTCATGCTTAATTTCCTCCAGACATCTTTGTGCTCAACTTCGATATCTGTTTCTCTCAGGTATCGTCGCTGCTGGAGTGCGCAATACTCAATTCCTGATCTGCTTGCGAGGGCTTGATTGGCTGCAAGTCCCGCGTAAACATCAGATGTCTTTACGAGGCTCAAAGCTTCTGAGATGGATCGGCCAGGGTATTCCTGGCACATGTTTTTGCAGAGCTTCAAAAACTTTGTACGAAAATCCAGTCTGATGATAGAGCCCATACGTTTGGCTCCGGATAGTTCTCGTGTTCTCTCAAACACGAAGTGCACTTGTCGATTTCTCTCATAAATCCAGTCATAACTTTCCCGACCATTCTTCTCCTTACTCCGCTTGTTCTCACCTTTCTCAACCTGTAGATACAGAGCTTTTCTAGCTGGTTCATCCGGATGATTGGCGAGCCATAGATCACGCATCAAATCTTCACTACCGTTAGATTGCGTATGTGTTTGCTCCGTAGCAGCTACTGGTGAGTCTCCTTTTATTGCCGCATTCTCTGCTGGTCTATTTCTCGGGTTTCCACCAGAATTTTCTGCTTCCACTGATTTAGTATCAGTTGCTGGTGATGTTGTACGGTTTCGGATGGTGCTGCTATCAGAAGTTATATCCTTCTGTGTGGTGTTCATCATTACTTTTTCTGGCATGCAGGTCTGCCAGTCGAATTTAGCATTGTTCTCAATTAAAACATCGATTAGTTTCCTTACATAGAGACAAACGATCTTGAATACATGAAAAATCCTTTGCGTCCAGTTGAACGGGGAATAATTGTAAGATAGTGGGGACAAACTCGGAATGATTCGGGGTTGAGTGCCCACGAGGATGAGATAGTTACGCGGTATAAATCTTGTAAGCTGTCTTTCGGGCAGGAAAATAGACAACAGGTTTTGATTGGAGTGCTCTAAAGATTTCGCTGACATGAAAATCTCGAGCAGGCAGCGTGGTTTTTTATTCGCTTGGTGAGGATTGAAAGCAGCGGATTTGAAGATTATTATGGTGCGATCGATGCACAGCAGTTATTGAGAAAAGGCTGAAAAGTCCGAACAAGCGATCGTGTTGTGAAACAGCTTCATGAAATCATCTACATTTGTTTGCAAAACACCATATTGTCTCTCGTTTCACGCAGATTCACCACGCAGGAACTTGTCTTTCGTCCCTCCCTCACGCTACCGTACTTAACTTTAACCAAGACCAAGTGGTAAAATGTGTCACAAAGTTCGTGCACCCGCATAAGCCCTAAATAAGAAGCAAAGATCGAGAGACGGAGACTGAGAAACAGTTCAGCCTTTCCCACCAGGTTTCGAGGAATCTGTTTAATTGCAAGTAAGAAACTAAGCGAATGATCTCTTTTGGTCGGCACAGCGGCCACCGCAAACAGACAAAGAACAAGATCGCAAATCGACCCCCGCTATGGCGCTTTGTCTGCCAGTTGTTGACAACCATGGCGCAATATTCGATTATCTGAATAAACGATGACACATAGACGATTGCCTACATGAGACCAAATGCAACACCAGTACGTGGAGTACTAGAACATGTGGGTTTGTCACGCTATCGCACAACTTTAAAACGCGTGAACTAGCTTGGCTTTGATAGTATAACTCATGATTTTCCGTGTCCATCTTGAGGAAGAACTAGGTCTTGAATGTGTAACCCTGGGACAAAGACTGATGATCTGTTCCCACTTGATCAGCGCATGCAAATGCGGGTCGCGGAAACATGTAGACATCATTTCAATCATGATCAAAACTGTTCACACAGGGACTCTGCTGTGATGCAAGAGTAGGCATAGTGGAGACGTACATTGAGAATGAAATCCTGATGTTGGCCGTGATCATCGCATATTGATGCGGCACGGCCACTTGAGGTGAAGTCAGATAGGCAAAGTCTCGTCTACAAGATCCACGCATCTATCTATCTCGTTGTCTGCGAGTGTCAATGTTTTTGCGGTCCATGTGTGCACATTCCACAGATAGAGCCAATGATCTTACATAAGTCACTATTCATCTGTACTTGAATTAGCAAAATAAGGCGACTGAAGCCCAGGTCTGAAACATATTCAAAAATCCACCGCTTAGTACTAGTGCAACGTCAACCATGACCAGCGATGTCAAAGATCAACGCCCCACCACCCTATGTATCTCAAAACACGAAAATTACCATCCCCACTCCCATTTTGGGCCGCTTGAATCTTCCCCCTCGTAGTCCTCGTCCGAATATTTGGGAAAACGTTCCTTCCCCCACCTCTCCGCCTCATCACCGGGTTTGATGTTACCCAGATCCCACTCCAACTTGTTTGGTTTTTCGTGCCTATTATCCTCATAAAAATGTTGTCTTTTACGGTGATGCTTATCGCGACCGTGGTTTTCATGAACATGTGTCTGGCGGCCACGTCTCTCCCTACCATCTCCATACCGCTCGCTGTTGTGCCTCTCGTGAATATGCGTACCACGAACTTGCTCATCACTCTCATATCTCCCCCAAGACTCTCTCTCACGTCGATGTCTCTTTCCGAACAATTCATCCTCACTTTCAGGTCCAAGAGGCCCATCATCCAAATGCGCATCGCACACTCCGTCCAGAACCACAGCGAACCTGTCATTAACATGCTCAGTCATAGCTCGAAAGGGAGTCTTAGGTCCACATCTAGGACAATCTCCTTTCAAGTTGCCACGGAAATAGTAGTCTAGAGGCTCGGAAGGCTCCGGCTTGTCGCAGTACCCGTTATTCTTCCAGAACGCGCATCGTATGACTTTCCAGTTCCAGCCGTGTGTGCAGTCGTCATTGCGGCCTTCGAATACTTTGTAGGTGTATATACACATTTTTTTTGTTGTCGTTAGCGGATTGTGGGTTTGGAGTTGCAGTTCTAATAGGCTTTTAAGGGAGAATTATACGATGGATGGGAATTGGATATGTAATAGAACTATATAATGATGGTGAGTATGTGATGGGCTTCGCTGATGTAGAGAATGTACAGCAAGGTAGATCAAGAGGTATTGTATATCACAGTAGATGATAACGTGACAGACAAAAGTGTTGTAGTAGAACGACACCATTGAATGCCGTGTTGAAATGGCTTTCGTTGTTCGTAGTGACGTATATGTTCTTTGAAAGATGGAGGAGGATGGATATTCATTTTTTATTTCTGTTACTTCAACCTCGAATTCAGCTATTATTGAAAGTTGTCAGTGATGATAGATGTACAGAGTTGATGCAATGTTGGTGAGGTACAGAGTGGTAATCGTGAACGTTAAGCGCTCTCCGGTCATCATCCTCGTCACGTACGCTCGTCACGTACGCTCGTACCCAACCTCAAGAACCACCAATTGTTGACAAGTCAGATCAATTTGTGTGAAGTATCAGTGTGCCAAATCACCTCTTAATTTACATAGTCGCCGGGCGGCTATTCCAACAATGGCGTGGAATAAGATGAATGAACACAGAATCGGTCCGACTTCAACGTTGCCGGAATGTGACAGTATCGCGTTATCGCTTCGGAAAGACAATGACTCCGATTCAAAAGCCAAGAACAATTGAAGTGATGAGTCCTTGACTAGCCTGGACGCGTAGCCAGACACTCGCAATACCGCCAAGCATTAGGGTCTATTGCTTGTCACATCGCGGGGGTTTCGTATCTCGAAGTAAGGCTTTCGCCAAGCAACCGTGATCCTTTGACGTATGTCTAAATCGTATCGTTGGGCATCAAGGATGGTGCCGTCGCTGTACGTAGTTTTGCTCTTCGGTGTTAAGTCAAATGGCCAAAATCAATAGGTTAGTCAAGTACATAGTATGAGGATACTGGCGATGGTTTGAAAAAGGGGGAAACGCATGGCTTGCCAAAGTACAGGGATAGACGGTGCACGCGGAACAAACGATTGCTTGCGGGTGCCGAAGACATCTGTAGCAATAACTTGTGTTCCCCAGGTCCAGATGCATCGACACCGGGCACTTTCCCATTCGGGGCGATTATTTTCATTGCTTTCGCGTAAAGCTTCTGTTGACAAGCTTCGAAATGATCGCCGTGTTTCAGGCGCGCCGGGGTTGGTGATGAAACACCAACCGCTGCAGCAACGTCCTTGGCGTAGTAGAGAACATCGACCTCAGGATGCTCGCTCCTGAACCTCCTCAACTCCTTCATCTTCATCATGGATGCTCTCGTTCATACCATTCTGTTTTTCTGCCGCGTCATGGCAATCCCGCGCCGATATCTCATAATAGGGTCGTCGGTCACGTTGATCTTAGTTATTGCCATTTCTCTGGGAGTTTCCCTCGAAGCCGGAGCACCACCACGAAAAATGGTGCAGATATCCATTGCGCAAGCCGCAAAACTCGGGGAAGCAGGCGTGGAGGCGCAAAAAGCAGGCGGTAAAATCAACGGAACCGACTTCGACCGGGCAGATGTCTTGAACGGGACCAGCACTGTTGGGTTACAAGAGCATGGATCAACACTGTACATTTCGCAGTTCACCGCAGTTCCTACAGCATCAAATGAAGGATTGATTGGAGCGACGCCTACCCCGCACCCCTCGCAATCGGGAGATGACGGCTACATTGGTCCGAAAGAATCGTCGATACCAACACCAGTCCCCGCGCCCGCTCCACCACCAGTGCCTCAAGTACCCATCCTCGCCCTTTCTTATGCGGGTTCCGGCGGACCAAAGCATTGCCGTGGATCACTTCTCCAGAAACTCGAAGTACCCCAGCCCGCGAGCGACTGGAAAAACGGGACCTGCGTAGATCTACCTGGGGAGGCGCAATGTGGAGTGTTCTTTGGTGGAAAAGACGCCGGGTGCGAAGCACAATTGTTCAATGCTCCGGCTTGTTTGAACAACACGAGGACGTATGTGAATACTGTTGTATTCATGCCTGAGGAACGACCGATTGGTGCCAAGTGGAGGAGTATGTTCGTCAAGTGTGGAGTCGACGCACCAGAGGCGGGTTTGATCGACCCTTCAGTTCTCGGTGGACTGATTAAAACGAAACCTAAGCCTGGCGGGGGATGAGAAGACACCTTGACTGCTGAGCCGCTGAACATATACATACGTGCTGTATGGCAAATGCCTCATCTAATTCGAAAGGTTTTCGGTCCCGCGCAGCTGCCCATGGACGACCGACCTGGAAACGGACAATCCACCGGATACAATACCTATCGAATCCACACAACGTGGACTCGAGATGCCGCCACCGCGCAGAATGGATATAAGAGAAGGAAACAAGGGTGGAGAAGAAGAGTTGGGCGTCAGGTAGATACGAAGTAGGTCGTGCTCAGACATGGCTGTACGTCCGCATTGTGTTTGCCTTGGTGATGTACAAATAAGGAATAAGATCCAAATACTTGCAGGAATCTTCGTTGTTCGTGTACGTGCAAGTTCGTCTGCTAAATCTCTTTCTCTGTCATCTTGTGTGTATGCCCCTGTGAATCATAGCATCGCATTTGCACTGACCCGCATGCCAACTGAAGCAAGTCCAGAGACGCGATAGTGGTGTAGAGATAAGACCAAAGATCAAAGCGCAAGTCGCGTGTCTGTCCAACAACACAGGACAGCTAAAGCTTTCGCGCCTCACCTAGACCCTTCCTCCCCAGAGCTCCCACGCTCCACAGCAACAACAAAAACTAACGTGACATAGGTCCGCCGTATCTACACCGCTTACTCCGGCCAGTTGCCCCGAAGTTCATTAACAATCGTTACTGTCTCATTGCCGTGAGATTGAGAAGTGGATGCAAGTGGGCCTGACAGATCCTCTCTTTTGTCGACATGGCTGCCACATCGCGCATGGACATCGATAATCTGCGGCAAGCGCTCGCGCCCTATTCCGGTAATACTATTCTGGGGACCTATCTGTGCGGCGAGTCGCCATTAAGTATTAAAAGGCGACGTAAGGCAACATGGGACGAGGCGATCCTTGTGGTCGTCCATCGCAAATGGTTTGGTACCCCTCCGCACCAAGCCACGATGGAGTTTGGCATTGCAACATATGATATACGGGAGGCTAGGCAGAACCGCAATATCTTCCCAGGACCACACGCCAAGAGGCTTCTCCGAAACGTGTGGTTTATGCATCTACGCCTATGCAAGCACTCGCATCTCCCGCAGGGCGGGGCTGTTCCTGAAAACTTCCACTTCGGCACGACCTCTTTCGTGAGTTACTCGGAAGCTCTTGACATGTTGCAGCAGATATGGCATCAGCCCACGGACGAGAAAAACCCCGCTCTCGGATACCGCCCAGTCATTTGTTTGACATTTGACTACAACAAGACCTTCGGCGAAGCCGCACCCGAGAACTTCGATTGGGATCCCAAGAAGATGGATAATACCATCGTTGTGTTGGACGCGCAGCAGATCGTGAAGGACAGTTGGATCACGCGCGAGCGGAAAGTTCCACTCAAATATATACTCAAGGAATTCCAGATTGAGGATCACGACAGCGACAACACGGGAAACGCCGCGGCATACATTACCATCGTGACGTTCCTCGCCGCATTGCGCAAGGAACTCTACCACCAGCCTCTAACCAATCCCTCTTCTACTCCTGGCCAGTTCGGAAAGTCGGCTACCATGTCAGTGCAGGAAGTCGTCCACGGTTTGATGAAGCGCCCTACGCCTGCCCCGCCATTCGGATCGACGATTCATTGCACCAAATGCAAAAGTGATCAGCATGTCGTTGCCGAGTGTCGTAAACGCTTCACCTGTGGTCAGTGCGACCGGTCCATCTTGACGTGGCGCAGAGAAGATTCCAACACTCACGTCGAAGAGACCTGTAGTTTCGACTCTCGAGGGGTTTTGATCCCCGGATAATGGGTTACTTGTGGGGGAACATGGATCGCAGATTCCACTGGAAGAGCTTAGCTTCACAATGGACATGAAATGCGGTAGATGCACATGTACTCGGCGGGCGTGGAGAGTGCCAGATACTTGTCGAGAGACTTGAAGGCCTTTCAGTCGCGTTTCATTGGCTGGTCATCTGGGAGGAAATACCCATCGAAGAGGATGCGTTCAAAGAATCAGCGCTCTCGATATAGACATGGCTACAAAGGAGAAATTCCAGATGAAACTTTCACTTCACTTTCACTCCACTTTAATCTCTTTCCCCTCGTCCCAGTGGGCATTTCAAACTGCTCTTAGCCCTTTCTCCCTTCACATTCCGCAATAAACCTCTCCAATCCTTCCACAACAACCATATGATCTTCGTCCTGCTTCAACCCACTAACAATCACCACCGCGACCGTTCCCTCTACTCCCTTCACTCGAACTGGCACGGCACCCCCGTGAATTGCATACTCCCCTGCCGTCTCCCCAAGCGCATACTTCCTCTTAAACTCCTCTTCATCGCCATTGAACTTCCGCCCCATGAACCAACTGCTAACACCCCAGCGCTTCACCGTGCGGCGCTTCCGCGCAACCCAAATGTCATTGTCGGGCTGGATCCCAGATCCCGTCGCACAGTGGAAAAGCAGGCTATCGGTATTCGAATGGGTGATATTTATAACGGCCGGGGTATTTGGGTAAAGCGATTGGATACGCGTGCGGAGGGAGCAGCCGAGAGTAAAAGCATCATTTGCGGTGAAGTGGGGAAGGAGGAGGGCGGCGGTTTGCGATTTGATGGACTCGAGCTAGCGGGGTTGGTGTGAGTGGGAGAAGTTTTGAGATTGATTTTCTTTGGTACGTACGTCCTGTGGAGCGGCGGCGAGGCTGTCGGCCATGACTGGAGGTGTGGTGTTTGGTTGCTGGGGTTGTAGATTCGACGGGGGATTTGCGGTGATGTTGTCGAGGTTGATTTGATGATGTGCGGCGGGCCGTTTGGTTTTGGTCCCTGGTTTTGTGGGGCTGTTTGTTGGTAATAATGATATCATTTCTTTCTATTTATACATGGTCTTTTGTGGCGTGCTTTGAGATCTTGCATGACTGTTCTCTTCTACCAGCTAATGTATGTTCCATGGTCGATATGGATGCAGGGTTTTGTGATGGTAATGAGTGCTAATGATTCAAAGCTGACTGCGCTTGCCGTGTGTACACCGTTATTGTCCCACGAACATGTAACTATGGAAAGCCTCAATAGCCTTTTCAGAAACATCCAATGGTCGCTTTTATGTTATATCTCGGCCATGAAATACAATACATACCTAGATAAGAATCTGACAACATACATGTAGTAAATGTTCAAGTATCGGTCACGTGATTGATCATCACCAACAACATTTGAACATCGTAGCCTTGGAAGCATGAAAAAGCACATGCTCACAATTTTCTGTGAATAGTAACTGGAGAAATTTTGATCTTATACTAAAGCCTTGATGTTTCCTCTTCAGGATCAGTAAGTACGAAAAGCCACTTTACTCCGCATATATTCACAACGCCGTCACGACACACTCCTTCCTCTCGAGCGCGATCCAGAATATCCCGAAGTTTTCCTTTGTCTCGCACGCCCACGGTGACAGAAACCAGACCTTCATTCTCTCCTTCTTCCCCAGCGATAAACCGCAGCCTTGCATTTGTAAAAGCGAGCGCGTCTCCACTTCTCGCGACTCCAAAAACCTCTCCCCATTGTCGTAAAGCGTCTTCCTGTGCCAGATCACCTGGCGAGACCCGTAGCACACAACCCTGAAGACTGAGATGCGAATATCGCTTCATAAAGCTTGAGTAACGCTTATAGTCCGTCCCACATGCATGCCACGGCGAAAATCGAGTCTGCAACGGCGTCGGATTCTGTGCTGTAACGCTGTGTGAATCGATCTCGACCATCGTACCGCCTTTCGCCGCTTTTGGATGATACTGAACAGCCAGCCCGTCACCGTGATTGTACTCCCATATCACCTTCGCGAGGTTTCTAGATCGAATCATGTCGCGGCGGTGTGCGGCGTCGTATGTTTGCATGATTATCATATACCCACCTTCGCCGCGTTTTTGGAGTAGGCGCCCTGCAGTTGTGTCGGACTTGAATGGGGAGACAACTTCGATGATGTCGCCACCTAACGGAACTATCGAAAGTGTCAGACTTTGTTTGTAGCTTTAATTATGTTCGTTCGGTCTGTACCTAGAATGTTCTTGAGTCCCCATTGCGCCACTTCAGGGTCTTCGTATATGATTTCTGTGCCAATAACATATGTCTGCCGGGTTCTTGTCAGCGTCATTCCAGCGATGATGGATTGTGCTATTCAGTCTTACGAGCTGTCTCCGTGCTTTTTCTAGATCATCCGTCACGAGCGCAATTTGGCGCAGTCTTGTCGGGGTTGTTGCTGCAGCCGTTTTGGATCCTTCGGTTGCGGTTTTCAGCATGATCACTAGGACTTATTTAGAGTTGAATTGAATGTCAATCGTGAGGAATTTGTAACCGCTGTATTCTGGTTATAAACATGCAGCTAGAAGGATCTGCATAGAGATTGCCGCGGTCTAGGGTTCCTTCCCCGCATATGCGCGTTTGCCTAGGCTCATGTTGTCCACTCTCGTACGCGAGAATGTTTCGCTCCATCATTTTTACTAAAAGATTTTAGATTTGAAGATATTGTGTAGAAAACATCAGAATTCAGGGGATGCAAGACACTAGAAAGTTCCTCGGCTGTGTTAGTTTGAGATGCATAGCTTGGTTTGTCTGGCGTATATCGAAAGGAGCACAGTGCGAAGGTAGAAATCATGGTGTGTCCTTGAGCAATCTTGAATGTCTTCAATATGGATACGTATTTCGGGAATAATGCCAATTTTGTTTTTGGAAGCTCATGGACGCTAGAACCAGAGGTGACTGATAGCAAACAGTTCTATATCTAACCCACAAACACATTTCTCACAAACAATCTTATGATCATACCACCCTGATACTGTGAACTCCTTTCTGAGTGATCATTATGTATGTTATTTTCGATTAACTTCTTCCCCTTAGCCTGAACCTTATGTTCAACCTTGATGCGGTTGTAAACCTGCGCGCGAACAGCTCTTGGCAAAGTGCGCCTACTGCGTCTAGGTCTGGATTGCAACCACAGTCAAATTGAAATTTCACGAGCAAGCAGATAAGATTGTAGCTATTCATTTATCATTCGAAGAAAGACAAATACTCACCTCCGTTGATAGTATGCTGCTCCTTGAACATATAGCTGCTGCCGAGTTGCCACAACTTGAGTGCCGTTCCTCATCTTCAACACTTGCACTCTGCTTTTCTACACAACCTCATAAGTACGACTGCTTACCGGAGTTTTGCCAAGAATTTGTTACGTCTTGATCACTCGCTTGGGCTAGGCACACAGCCAGACAATCGTAAACAGAGGCTTTATACAGTTTCCCGTTTTGACACTGCTGCCACGCCTATTCACCCCCACCCCACTTGTCTCTGCAACCCGTAGCCCACTCGACTTCACCTTCGCTCAGCGACAGACAGTCATTATACTTCTCACGGAAAGAAAGCTCTCGCCTGGTTGCACTCTGCCTCCACTTTGCTGTCTCTTTACTCCGACCTTATATCACTGCCTTCCTGTCGACACATCCAAACGGCGATCGCCAGTTATACACTACAAGCCGTGAACTGTCGCTGATTTATCCCAACTTTACTGCAACTCCTTACTCTGAAAAAATGGCTTCCCGTCTTATTGAGTCCTACGCCAACGCCGCGGCCGGCATCGAGCCCGAGCAGGCCGGTAAGTCAAGCGTTCTAGCTATTCCAGCATAGTACTGACCTTAAAGTGTCTTCTGGAGCAACTGGCGGTGCTCAATTTCGAAATGATCAGCATAATTCTTCTGAGTACGGTTTCAGGGCCAACGCCAACATCGACAACGATGGCGGTTACCCTAACTTCTATGGCGATCCAAATGCTGGCATCCAGGATTCCAACTGGGACATCCGCAACCGTGATTTCTCGATCTACGAGGATGGCGAAGGAGGCCCTTTCGTCTACAATAACACTGCTCATCAACCTGATGAACGTGTTGCCTTCGATCCACTGGACACTGGAGTCGCCCGTCCTGAACCCCATACTCACGGCGGCGATGCTTCCTTCAGCGTCAATGCCAACTACTCTGACTTGGAGAACACCGAGGATCAACCTGCCCAGAATCTAAACTCTGATATCGGCAACAATGGCGCAAATCCTACATCAACTTCACCCCAGATGTTCGCCCAGGCCGCTCCTCCTCGTGAGAGCTTCGGTGCAACTGCGACTCCTAACAGCACTGCTGATTCCGGACACCACTCCAGCACCCCCCAGCTTCAACCTCAGCCCCAGCCCGAGCCCGAGCCTGTCTGGCAGGTCACTTATTCTCGCGAGCAGTTCATCGCATATCTACGCTCAGGCGGTATCGATGCCATGCTTGGTGGCCGGGACTTTACCCGTGTGACGTTCACTTTCGGTGAGAGCGATCAAGATGCTGAATCCCTTCCACCCCCCTATTCCCCGCGCTCTGAGCGCTATACCAACAACCGGGGACGAAACACCTCCTCCTTCAATGAACGCCGCGGAACTACACATGCGTCCAATCCTGCTCGGGAGCCTGCTGATTTGGACCTCTATCACAATTTCGCCTTCAGAGACCTCAACAACAACGCCTTCGAGAACTGGAACTCGCGCTTCGAGAACTGGCACGCCCAGCAACGCCGGCCAGAGTAAGTACCACATTCCGACTAGCATATTGCCACATATGCTGGGCTACCGCCTTCCCCCATGATGTTTTTTCTTTTCTTTTCTTTTCTTTTCTTTTAATAGAAGTGATTGAGTGTCGGGATTGGGGATGCATAATTGCTGAAGAAACTTTGGGGGGATAAGGGGCCATAATTGGTCTCGCTGGATTTTGCTGGTGTTTTTTCCGAGTTTAATGAAACCTGATTACCCACCGTGAATTCTCAGTGCCTCTGAACCCGCGTGAATACTGTAAAGTCTTTGGATTTCAAGTTTATCTAGCATAATCACGGAATTTTGGAGGCACATGAACACTGAGAGAAGTGCTAACCTCTGGATATACTTGGGATGCTGTGTTATCATGTGAATCGATGATTGCATCTACGTTGAACTCACCGAAATGCTCTGCGCAGCTGCTCGTATAGATGCACATTTCTCACTTGTAATGAACTGGCGATGCTCATGTGTGTCTGAATGGCGAGACTTATTGCTACGCATCAAGCAATATGATATTCCCGGATTTCTTAAGTAATGTTCGAAAATCGACAATTATTGCTAAAAATAAGGACATCCACGGGAGATTCAGCGTCCGGTAACTCGATGCATCATTATAAAACAACAGGAAATTCATGCTATCATTTTCCAAGTCATCCTCAACAAAATGAGAACAAGGCAGTGATGTGTTCAACCAGATCTAATGTCAGCGACCAAGTACAACGTGTTATGTCATGCACCCAGCGCCAGATGAAACCCAATACTCATATCATTGGGATACAAGAAGGATGACACTGTCGATCATCTTCTGCCTGACCTCTTCCTTCCCGCAGAAATCCTACTGCTCACTCTGCTGGAACTCGAAAGGCGCATCCTTCAAGCTCCAGTTGCAAACGCCGCTTCCACCGCACTGGCCAGACAAAGCTCCGCCTGTAGCAAAAGGACCTTCAGCGACGAAAGTCTTGCCCTCGGCATCGACAAGCTGCATCATCGAAATGTCAGCGCTTGATTATCCAACACAAAAAAGCACGGTCTCTCTTTCTATAATTGAGCTCCAGCTTGCCCATTCTACCTACTCCCACGAAGAATCAAAAGAAAGAAAGGAAAGAAAAGAAAAAACACACCTTGACACTCATCTCAAAACTAGACGCACGCCCACTATCTCCGATGAACTCAAAGCTCCACGACCCCTCCCCACTCTCAGTCTCGCAGACCTGCTCTTCACCAGATGGCACGCCTTCGGATTGGATCCATTGCGCGGAGCACTTGGCAGTGGACGCAGTGTCGGCGATAGAGAAGTTCAAGGTAGAGTGGGGATCGTTTCCGGGGCGGCCGGAAGGCGAGTGTGTGTTGAGGGATGTGATTTGCCAGGGAGTGAGAGCGGAAGCATCGGGGGCGGTGGAGTTTGCGTCGTCGCGGGAGACGAGGGAGGGGGCTGCGAGAGCGAGGGGAAGGAGGAGGGATGGGACGATGAACTGCATTTTTTTATGTGGGGATTTGCCCGGTGGTTTGGTGTGGGATGTGGATGGTTGTGTTTTTGCGAGTCTGGTGGAGATCTTGGGAATTGTTTGGGGTGGGTGGGATGTTTACTTTATATACCTTTGCAGCATTCGACTCCACATATCCACCAATGGATAGTCACAAAACTATATATTCCCGCATAAGTATTCAATCCGTCAGAAACAAGTCCCCAGTAAACTTGGTTGGGGGTCGCTAGTTCACCTACTTACCCACATAGCACACCCTTACCAATACCAATACCAACACCAGCACATCAAGCCGCAGCAGACCGTCACTTGTGTAGAGAAATACCCACCTATTGACGTAGCATGCTCGCCTAGTGCGAATGTCACCAGCTACCAGGCCACCCGCCGGCCGCCCCACCCAAGCTAAACTCCAATCGTAGGATGATCTACATCCAATAGGTACCCTGAGCTTCCTCAGCTATTTTGGATCTCCACTGTCGCGCTATTGATAGAATAGAAATGGATTTGTTGGGGATGGGTGGGCTTTGCATCGTTCTTTAGGATAGTGGACTAGAGCAATTTATGATGCGGGAGGTTTGCGTTGCTACCGATTCGAAACGGAGAATCCCGTAGATGGAGTTGACGTTAGGTTTTCAAAGCCCCGATTGATCGTGTGGCGTCTGGTTAGCGGCTCTCGCTACGACAATTGTCAATAATTAGGCAAGACAAGATGAGACAAGGCGAGCGAAGCTTAGACGTTTTGTCCTCGGGGCTTATAGCGGGATTGATCGTGTTAATTCCCCGGAGTCGGAGGGGAGCGCTGTCGAACGAGCGAGAAAATGAGGCTGGAGGTTCCGATCGTTGCAAAGGAAATGGCTGTTGCGAGTGACAGAATTGTTTGTATTATGAAACATCCACACGATGAAGTCGTACGTGTTAGTTCATTCACCCCTGCCAAAACTCGACTCAAGATGCATGCTTTAGAGTATATAGACGATGAATTAATAACACCCCAGGGTATCTAGTCATGCAGCCATTAACCAACTCGTTGAAGAAAGAAACAAATTCTGCCACGATGATGCTGCAATACTTGGATTCAGTCATCTCCTGCTAAAACCGCGCCACATCAAACAAGTTACCGCAGAAGCTTCGATTCCTTCTCCGCTTTCATACGATACACCGCCAACGGCAATGGAATTACGCCAGAGTATCCGACGTCTCCCTGAGCACGCTCAAGCTTCCTCATGATGTTACCAACAATCTTGGCGATCCAGCGGTCGTTAGCAACCACATTGACAGTGTTGATACCAGCCTTGCGCCAACCCTCTTTCATCTTTGTATTCATGCCCTTGAAGGTCTGGTTCATGCGATTGCTGAAAGTGCTGCTGCGCGCCAGTGAGGCTTGCGAGTTTTGTGACGCCTGCGAAGCCTGGGAGGCGAGAGTGCCGGGGTCGGTTTGTTCCGTGTTTGCGCTTTCGACACTGCCGGCGCTGCCGGTGCTGATGGTATCGGAACCGGCTGACTCGGCGGTTATTGAGTCGGTACGCCGCACTTCTAGCTCAAGTTTATCTGTTGCTGCGCGCTTGAGAACGAGCTCTTCATGACCCTTTTCGACTTCAATGACTTTTGTTGCTTTGACCGTTGCTGCCACAAAGTTAAGAAGCTCCTGGTCAAAGAGGGCGGGGAGGTGGCCATGCACTGCGATCTTCATGACGGTCTCGTCCCGTCGGCGGCGCTCAAGGTTTTTCCTCAGTTGCACTGCTTTTGGCGTACCAGCCGCATCTTGGACCTCTTGATCCAGTTGTAGCTCCTCGAAGTCGGTCAATATAGTCGGCATGAGATGCTCGTGATGAGGGAGTAGAAATGAAGGAAGGACAAAAGTAGCATCGGCACCACCCAGATGGATCACTTGTGTCAGACCAACAGCTTCAGGTAATGTGCGATGGGCTAGCAAGTCGCCAATCTTGAATTTGCACTCGATATCGTAGTCAGTATCAACAGGAACATAGCCAGTGCAGAAAAGATTGCTGAGTCCAACGGCGAAGTTGGCATCGGCTAGCCACGCTGAGATCCTTCCTTCCAGACGGCGAACTTCCGCATCAGAGGACGAATAGTGCTTGAAAAAATGCTTCTTCATCAGCGACACAAACCATTTACCAGAGCCAGTGCTAGTAACTGAATTGATGAAGATCGGGTGGAAGTAGCTGATAGGGTTGAGGAGTAGTCGGTACAATAGAGGAAGTCTGTGCAGGAAGATCTTGATCTTGGGGTGATTGTTGTGGCGAAGTGTGGTCAAACGAATCGACTTTCGTGGAGGATGAGCTATCGTCGGGTCGTTATGGACATGAGCAGATACAGCTGCTCGAAGATTCGTATCTGTCTCCAAAACTCCCTCGATTTCCCGTTCTTTAGCGATTTTCTTCAGCCACTTCAAGGCAAGATGGCTGGTGCTTGTTTCTGTGATGATCTTGATCATTTTTTCGTACTCGTCCCGAGCCTTCTCATCGTCTGGAGACAGCTTCTTGACTGGCTTGCTGCTCGTGTCATGCTCAGACAGACCATCCATCTTCTCTTGCAAATCTGAAGACGCAGTTCTTCGAGACGCTAAGGCTGCGTTCAATATGGGCGTGTCTGTCGCGATGAACTGATCTTTCTTCATATCCCGAGGATTCGGCCACGATTGGATGGCCCCGAAACTCATCTCGTCGCTTCCCTTCACGTTTGCATACACATCTCCAATCTCTATGCGCCGGAACAGCTTAACAACAACCTTATCGGTCTGTATCGCGAGCTCCATATCGCTGTCAAGCTTGACTCCCACTTCCACTCCATATGCAGTTGCCGTCAAGGTAGATAGCTCAATAGTCAATCCTCGGACGACAAAAAGACCGATGGTGTCCGTGTCGATCTCTAATGCAGGTAGGTCAAACAAGCCTATCCGGTCCTGGATGAAAAGCACATGACGTAGCAACTTGCGGCAGCGGTGTCGTACAACTCTGGCCACGTACTCAAACTGGAACAAGGAGGATATCAAGATCGTGGAGTAGCACAGCGCGGTGAATGTCCAGAAAAGCAGCCATGACGTTGCAGCCACGATGTAAGCGAAGTTCAGGGTAGTGAAAATGGCCCACAGCGGCAGCCATGATAGAACCCGGCGCCCGTTCCATTCTCCCAGGAAAAGTGAGCAGAGCAGTAGCGGAGTTCCAGATATGATCCAGTTCCAACTGAGGATACCGGTCCCCAATAACGTTGCTGCAAGACACGCTATAGGGCCAAAAGACCGTGACGGCTTCGCTGGGGTCGCATCTGTGACTGGGGCAGGTACTGGTTTCCTCGGTATGTCCTGAGGTGATTGCCGACCGCTCTTGGGTGTAGACATTTCGTTGGAGCGCCGACGCAGATCCGAGTGGCTTATAGGAGGGGAGAGGTGTTACTACTGAAAGCCCATGGGGTTGGTTGATTGAGAGGTGATGATTGATGTGTGGCAGGCGTTCCCTGCTCGGTGGTGTACACGAGGTGCGGACGAAAGTATGACGTAACGGTTTTTAAGCGAAATGTGGAGTGTGGCGTCCATTTGCCATGAATTCAACGGTCGTTCCTGCATTCTACAAATGGAACGTAGATGATTTATTTTTAGAGTTGGAGAGCATTACCGTATCCTCTCTGTCAGATCGCAGAAAGCTCTACATTCATGGTGTGGAAAGCATGTGAGCAAAGAGGCGACCACTGGCGCCTCAGGGTCCAGCGCCGTTCCATTTCTTGCATCTTCAAGAGCGGTACACGCATAGCGCAACCCCAACATGAACAGTCCAACAGCACGCATTGTCACGTTGACGAGCCATAACGAATGCAAAATATCGAACCAGATTTATTTCGTTGCTGATAGCGTCATAGCAAACATCCGTCCCAGCGTGGTGTAGCAGGTTACATGGGTTCCACACCTCCGAACAACTTGTCAAGCTTCAGATCGCCAACATCTTGCCTCCAATCTCTTGCACTTGGCAAAACCACTCGCCAGCCTCGTCTTTCCGTCTCTTCAAGTAATATACCCGCTTTCCGCTCCGCATCTTCTGCGTCCGTGGCGCAGATTACGAATGTGGTGAGGTAGAACATGACGAATGGGTACTTTGAGTTGATGTAGTGGCTAAGATAGTATTGCCATGCGTGAGAGGACCAGGGACGATCGAAGGCTATGTTTGAAGTCAGTGGAACCTTCGTTAAAGAAAAACAGCCGCTCAAGAAGTGCGTGAAACTTACGCATCGCATTCCAATGGTAAACATGGCCTTCCCATGTCCCGAAATTGAGCCTGCTCTTGCCTAAGCGCTTGATGGCAGGCATCGGCCACACGCAATAGTGCGTCAATATACTTCCTTTCGCCATTATTCCCTTAGGGCTCTGCTCCTTGAACTTGTTGACGAAGTCCACGAGGCATGTCTTACTTGGCAGAGTCAAGTTCGGCGTAAGCTCGGCGTCCGGCGAGAGACCCCCGAACTCATATGGAAAGTAGAGGTCCAGTGCGCCGTCAGAACCTTGGATAATAACTGGTCGTGTCTGAGGAGGTTCGTATTCGGTAGCAAGGCTGACAATACCGCAGCGCTCCATGTCCTCGACCACGCGACGAATGAAACGATTTGCATCGCGAGACCTCTCTTCCGAGGACATCTTGTTGTGGTGGGTTACGAGAATCTGTCTGTCTGGATCATGGCAGCGCTGCCTGTTGCCTTCGTATCGGATCTCTGGTGGGGCGGGAAATTGCATATCTACCGAACTGTCGATGCTCATCTCCTCTAGGAATATTTCTTGTACAGAAGCCGGAATCACCTCGCGGATAACCCGCTTGGCTACTTGCCTTGGGGCAGGATCACCCATCAGCATCAGCAGGGTATCTTGGATGATGTCGAAGAGCTGGAACGGTAGGCCGACTTGCTTATCTATGATGATGAACTACCAGGAGTCAACCACGATAGGGTCATACATCGACGTTTTCCGGAGACGCAGATCATTTTTGATATCTTCGAGTGTCACGGTGGTAGTCCACTCCGCCGAGTCCAGCTCTTCGTGAGATTTGGCTGCCCGATGACGTTTGATGAATATGTCAGCATCGCTTGGATGCACAGTCGCGTCTGCGTTCGTTCCTTCGTAGACTACCAGGAGAAGCCTTTCGGATCTCCTTCGTAACTCATCGAGAAATTCCTGGGTCAAGGGGTCGGCGATTGCCATTTGGCCGCATATATAGTTTCTGGATTCCTCTTGCACAATGTGATCCTGCATGTGTTTGAAAGCAGTAGTAGTCATCACGCCGCCCTTGCTGGATGGCAAGAAGCCTAAGTATATGCCTGTCGGGCATTCGGCTAGGATACTTCCCGGGTCGTACCAATATTCTCGGTACAGACCGAGCATCAACAGTTTGCAGATAGTGGTGTAATCTTCGAAGTTTGAGCAGATGCTAGCCACAGTCCAGGGGGTCAGAAGGCTAGGAAACCATCGATAGCTACAAGAATTCTTGTTAGTATTGAAGAAATATCTGATTCGAGAGACTCACAGGATATCCCAGCATGGCTTCGTCATTTTCAGGCTCTCGGTAGTGCTCGGGATCATTCCTCCTAGCAAGCCAATCGTCTTGATATCTCCCCCCGCCAACGTCTGCGCACATATAGCAACCCGCAGATACTGTAAAGCGTGTGGCCGCCAGGCCTTCTCAAAGAAATCACAGTATGTTTCGAGCTGACTGGCATGACAACCTGACAGAAATTCATCAATGCTTTTCGATCGCGTAGCATGCTCCAAAGCCTCAGCTTCGCTATCATTCAAGATCATGATGCGGAACCAAGCGCGAATGATATCTGTTCCACTGTCTTGAACCGCATCTTTGACTGGCGATCCGGGTCTTCGTGCCGAGTCGTTCAAATCTGGGATGATGCTGTACAGGCGGCGAACCCCCTCAGCGCAGAGATCCCTGTAGAAGTGCTTCAAGATGAGAATTGTACCATCGTCCGGCATACCTTGCAGGGAATCAATCGGGATTCGGGGGTCCAGGGGCGATTGCAGTATCATGATCTTTTCGGAATTCGCTTTGTCGGGGAGAGGTGTCGTAGCTCCCGGTGTTTCAGGGGTAGGACCGCGGTCCAGATTCGACACTGTTCACGGGTGAGTAAGTTGAAGAAGTGAAAGAATCCCAAGACTCACTGAGTATAGAGTCGGCAAGTGCTCTGACATCTCTCTCCAGTTTGGTAATCCATTTGATGAAGTCCGCTGTGTCACCTCCGCGCGGATAGAATCTCTCGCGAATGTGCCTTCGATGATCAACCGCTTGACGAAATTTGAGAACCCTCTGCTTTGCAGCACTCGGGCTGAGTGCTTCGATACGTTCTGCGTCCCTCAAGTAGGTTGTCCATCGTGTTTTGAGTTCCTTCAGCTCCCGCGTGTGTCTCTTGCACCAGGTCTCCCCCTCAGAAGCCAGCTCATGTTGACATTGCCTTCCATCTACCTCGAGAGCCTCGCAGTTGTTTCCTTTGAGTAAAGGGGATTCCGGAGGCGGGGATGACTGGAGTAGGATCCTGGACTTCCCTTTGAAGCTAGGCCTGCGCTCACTCGAGGTGTGGATTTTCAACTTCAAACTCATGCTTCAGTACACGCTAAATGGAGAACTACAGAAGCAAAAATATGGTGTAAAGTAGAAAGTATCTGGCGTGGGAAAACCTATCCGGTGATTGCGGGGGGGGCTTCTGGGTGTGGAATATGACGATGGATAATCGTTAGGCAAGTACCCCCCCAAAGTGGACATGGCCACACTGCCAGCTAATCGAGCGAGTGAGCGGCGCAGCAGCTACAAAGAGCACGGCAAGGGTTCTCAGTCCAGTGTGAATGTCGTTCCATTGGTCGGCAAATGGAGAGTGTGGTGGTAAGCGCTCAGATGCTGTCTCTCGGCAGGCAGGAAGACATGAGCTGGCAGGCTCCAGGTCATGCCACAGTAATAAAGACAGGAAGGTTTCGGGTATTTGTCTACTTACTATACCGCGACAGGAATTTGACGCCATACATATGCATGTTAGCGTTTCACAGCATCAATCGCACGTCTGCGGCGTATGCGAATGCAAGTCATAGATATTCTGCCATTGAAATGAATATCTGTAGTTGAATAGTAGATACCTAGGTACTCACCCCGCTCTTGCTGGCAATGACAGATACCGCAGCTGGTCACACCCAAACTTGCGAACCACATGAAGCCTGACCCTCCATGCCTTTATGAAGGAGTAACCGAGTAGACGGTTCAGCCGCCCCAAGTCCGTGCCGAAGGCTAAGCCAGTGCGCGATTGGTCAGGAGCCGCGCGATAGTTGTGATAACCAACTCAAGGTGTGCAGACGCCGTCCACTTTTGCTTTGGATTATTGGTTCCTCGATCGGTGAGGTAGAGTTGTCGGCTGTGTTCGAGCTCTTCAAACGCCAGCCTTTGCTACATGTAGTTAATACGACGCTGAACGTGATCCGTGACATCCTGGACCTTGTATGCGAGTATCTACCCTCCATCACATCTTGAAATGATGATTGGCCAAAATCCACACGAACGGACGAGAAGGAGCAAGCGCAAAGTGGTGAGTAGGAAGTGATGACCGGTGAGCCGCTTGCAATATACATATGTATCTTGTTTGGTTTTGCTCGTTGGGTTGCAAAGCGTACAGTGAGTGGTGCCAAGCTGATGCACACTCAAATGAGGAGGCGGTTGCGATATGTCTGAAGGCTAATATCGATTCTTGGTATTTTGTCGAAGGCAACCCTAGAAAGCTACAGTTGTCTCTACATCCATGAGCAGACGAGTGCGATCTGCACCCCTTATGACGAACACTGAACCTCTACTTATTTGCTCGAGGTCGAGGTTGAAGACTGCATCGGCCGCCGCTCATCTCGATGTACAATACCTTAGATTGCATGATGATGAGATAAGTCGGTCGACTCAACGGCAACTGCCGACCAAAGATTCGAATACATTGCCTACAGTCCGTGGGAATCGATTTGGACATTGATCTGAGTTCATCATGATAAAACATTCAAAGTCTTATTGCGCTATCACTTCACACTGCTTCTACTCTGCAATAAGGCATAGTGCATATATATTTCGACATCTCATCACGGGTTGATCGACTCGCAAATCGTTCTTCGCTTTATTGAAAAACGTCGACAAATGAAGATGATGAGCACACGCAGTGGATTGTGATCACGTGATCTGTTGTCTGCGAACCTTGGATTAATGGCACCCTCAAAGTGTCATATGCTAGCCGTGGGCACTTTCAGACCAATTGTTAATTCTCGCGAACCAGCCGAAGTTCCCTTTTTCGCACCATTTTCGGTTTTCGGGTTCTGGACCCCACTGTCCATGCTACACCCATGGGCGGCTAGGCATTCCAAAAGCGCCCATTTGCCTGTAGACACGCAATCGGAGAAGGCAAATCTCCCATGAACCCCGGGCTCAGTAGGCCAACGCATAAACGAGAACCATGTACATTTAATCGCCCCCCACTGAGACTGGAATACGATCGCATGTCCACTTTTGTATTGAAAGTCTTAGACGAACCCATCCGGTTTTGACCGGGAAATTATGCGTCATACAGGAATTTTCCCACTTTCGCTGTGCCCACATATTGGATTTTTGGATTCGCGTGTTTTTCAATTCTCTCGTTTCAACGACTTGCTTTCCCGTCTAATGATATCAAAGAGTTGTGTAGAGCAGCTGTACTATTCATATTAGCGAGGCTTCGAGGAAAGTTATGGGGGGCGGAAATGCCGAACTGACGCAAGAGATGCAAGACACTGATATGCACATGAACGCCTTATCCGTATGTTGTACGGTGATGGAATTAGCTGCGTATTCAGTTGTTATACTGCAGAAGCCCCCGAGGTTTCTCACGATGTTCATCGCGCCCACGATGGCGGCCCCACGCCGCAACTGCTGGGACACTGTAAAACAAAGTTTTATCGATGCGATAGATGACCCGCACCAATGCTTCTGGGAACCGAATCGTTGGACACTTACTATGGCTTTTTTAATCTGGATTGGAGGACTTCTTACTACTCTGGTTCTCATGGGCTCTGGGCTGTCGTCCACATACACCAAGGCTTGTGTGTGGGGTGATCAGTTCTCAGTCGACCCGTTGTCCGTATCAGCCTGGAGCACCACTGGCTTCTTCAAGATTACATCATACTTTGGCGTTATGTCTTTTGCTCAGGCTAAGACTGTCGATATAATATGGGATGTGGTACGTATTCATCCTGCTGTTCTACAGTAAATTTCACTGCAGCTACATCTCTTGTCTTGGAGGATTCTTTGACAATATTCTCGACGTATATTGTTTTTGAGCATTGTTCAATGAGCTCGAACTGATTCATCTAGATTATTGGCCGTGGGGGACAAGCTGTGTTGGCCATTTGTAGCTGGCGCGCATTTGCTCTTCATTTAACTGCAAGCATAGCAATCGCCCCAGTATGTAAATCGCCTCGAAGAATTGGCCCAGACCGTTAACTTCAACTCTAATTGCAGGTCACATACAGCACCTATGAAGCTATATTTATTGATACCAACCCGAGCATTTTCCTAGTCTGCCGATTCTTGAGCGGCATTTGCAAGCAAAAGAGTTTGGCTTCAAGAATGGCCATGTCATTCATTATTCTCAGTATGGTTTTCATAATCGCCTTTCCTACCCTAGCCAGCGCGATGACGGGGTATACTACTCATTTTACGGCTTATGTTCACGACTACTCAAACAACAGCATTCCATTCCACAAATTCGAAGCGCTCGTATATACTATTCACGATGGAGACCGAATTGGCAAAACGACTGACTTTCGAGTCACGTCTCCCACCAATCTTTGTAAGTATATACCCGGAGAAACTCCTGATCATAGTCTCATCGAATGATACAAATGAGTCGAACCTGTCTTACACAGTCTAGTGGACCCAGTGAGGTATTACTCCATGCAGGCTTTAAATCACTATACGCTAGACAATCGGCTTTTCAGGGACACCCATCGCTGTAAGTTCCAGTCGCAGTCTGATGAAAGAGGCTATGCATCTTCTTGCAAACTTTCTGATATCCCCTATCGTTGCTGATATATGTATAAAGATGCCTTCAAGTACTATTATAATGATCCAATCCGCCCCCAAAGTTCAACTTTCGAGGGCTTTGATCTCTCTCCGCCACTGCTCAATATTACGATAGAAGTTGACGAGTTCGGAGGATTTCCACTACATGAAAACATTTCCACACAGATTAGGACTTGGATATACGATGATAAACATTATTCCCAAGAGCAAATACTAGAAAGAGGGTCATGTCAACCTACAAAGGTATATATATCTGTATTTCTACTTATTTATTCAAAAAGCAGAGATACTTCACTCCTCAATCTCGGCAGAATATCCAAGTAGCAGTTGGTACCAGAAAAAAAAACCATATCACTAATTCGCACATAGGACGTATTTGCCTGGGGCTTCTCCTTCATCCAGCTGAACATTCTATTAATTTTGCTCTTGATCTGGAGCCTTGGAACGTTAGCTTTGTACATGCACGGACGGTACAGTATGTTTATGGGCCGCCAATACTCTGTTGACGGAAGATACAAAGCCATCATCACCCTGGCAGATGCAATGAGACGACAGCTCGGCCCCAGTTACTCGCAAACCGAAAAGGACATCGCGAGGGCCGTTCGAGCTGTGGATGGTGGAAGCATCTCACACCGATCGATTTTTTACTGCATCAGTGTACCCGAAAAGGTTTGGAGCTGGCTTCGTGGTGAGAAGTGGTAAGTGCTGGTGTTCGTGTTACCGATTATATAAATACATTCTGAGTTCGAGTTTGGGTAATCCCGCACACAGCGATGGGTTTACAGCGATAAATGGACCGAAAACGAGCGATTACCGGAAGGTTGCCGATTATATTTGTGTGTAATTTAATAATATAGTAGATGGTGACGATTTGCCATTACAATGAGCTTATGAATTAATTCAAATCATTCTACACACAGTGATAGTTATGACGATAGAGGCACCGAAAAAACTGGCGATTACCAAGTGAGATTTACGAGTCCATATCAATTAACCGGTCCCTCATGCACTCACTTTTCCCTACTTGCTGTACTTTACTCGCACGTAACTGGTGAACACGCATTGAAAAAAGAGGCAGATGTTTCAAAGGAAATTATCTCGTATCGATGACCACACCCCGATTCGTTACCCAATCAGCAGCCACGAAAGGCGAGATTTGTACGTTTAGATGTACAGTATTCGCCCCCACCGGGACCTGCGTAGTTCTATAAATGTCCATATGCAGTGAGACCATTGAAGTCGTCATCGCTATAGCCGATAGGCAATTCTTTTCAAGATGTGACTGTATCTCGGCCGACTGCACCAACTTTAGTCATTGATGATGCTACTTTCCTGCATTGTACATTGTAGCAGTTTGCTGAGTAGGTGCGCAATTTCCGTCGCATTCGAGCAGCACGCAAGTTCATGTTCAACTCAGACTATCAGAGTTCTACACCGTAGAAATTCAGAGCTCGTAATTGATGTAGTCATCCAGCGGAGGTCCCGTACCATCATGGAATGTGATGCGCAACAGTAAAATGAGGTGTATGCACTTTTTATCCGTGGGATTCGACGCTTATTCAAATAATACGACCATTCCGTCTTACTATATAGACTCACTATCTACCATGCGTCTTTGGAGTTTACGAACCCGTTCCCCTTTGCCATTGGTATCGCTATGGCCGTCTCAGCACGAAAATGTTGGGGCGTCATCAAGAGAAGTTTTGGCGAGGCAAAACACGACATTTTTCGCATTCCGCGACCTGGAATTTATGAGACGTTCTTCGTCGTTTGGATTACGGGCCTTTTCACAGTTTTGATATTTCTCAGCCTTACTTTTACGAATCCTAGTGCTTCGTTGTTGACGTACGATAGCGCGTGCGTTTGGGGCGACCAATTCTCTTTGGATCCAAGCTTGTATAACGCGTGGTATAAAGATGGCTTTTTCAAAATCACTGTCTATTTTGGAAAACTCAGTTTTGCCAATGCAAAGTTGGTGGATATTGTCTGGGATGTGGTATGTGCTCCTTGCGCTCCCTTCGTGCTTCACGATGCAAGTATTGAAGGCGGAGTTACTCGCTGCGCTGCTCGAGCTAATATATACAAGGCTATTGGAAGGGGTGGCCAAGCTGTTATGGCATTTCTTAGTTGGAAAGCATTCACGCTATATGTCACTACTAGTATGGAGAGTACACCGGTATGCTCACCCATGCCAACAAAAGAGGATCCAGGCTTAACAAACATAGGTCACTTATAACTCTTTTCGGACCATTTTCATTCAAGACGCGCCAAGTATACTCTCAGTGATCCGATTACTACACGACTTTTTAACAAAGAAGGGCCTGAAATCCAGATTCGCAATGGCTTTTATGATGACGAGTATGGTCTTTATGCTCGCATTCCCTACTCTAGCAAGTGCAATGACTGGATATACTACATATTTCACGGCGCAAATCAAGGATTATGATCAGGACAGTATCCCTTTTTACAAGTTCAAATTGTTACTATATACCATTCACGATGGAGATCGCGTTGGCCTCACCAAAGACTATCCAGTAGTAAATGATGAATACCTAGGTCAAGGTGAGTGGAAACCTCAACTACACCCATCTAACAATTCGTGCAAGCATGCGAGAAAGATCAAGAAACCAATTCTAAATAGACTGCAGGTGATCCAGTTATGACGAGCTATTTTTCTGCTCCCGACAACGTGCGGTGGTGTAAGTAGAAAGCGCGGCGTCTAATAGAGCAGCTCCAAAGCCACCCACTTATTGAGATTTCGCAGCTAATTTTCTCATAGATTTAGAGGACTGGGGTGGGACTCCTCGACAATTGCAAAGCAACTTCAATGTTCCGAATGGTTCATACTCCCAGGAGATTCTGATTGAGCCCCCGACTCTCAACATCTCGATCCATCATGGCAGGGGTTATGGCGATCAAGATTCAACATGGACGTGGATCTATGATGGCAGGTTCTACTCCAAAGATCAGATCGATGGATCATGCGCGCCCACCGAGGTAGATAAACCTATCTTACCACATGCTGTTCAAGTTTACTCGGTCGTTCTCAATTTATCCGAAGTTTTTCGCGCTCCTGTTCACACTAACAAATTTGCTAACAATCTCCCTCTACAGGACTACGCCTGGGGTTTCTCTTTCATGCAACTCTACATCGTATTGATCCTAACGATACTCTGGAGCATCGGAACACTAGCTCTATACATCCGCGCAAAGACAACCCTACGCAGACGCGGCCGCTCCACAATCGACGGACAATACAAAGCCATCCTCACCCTCGCAGAAACGATAGAAAAACAACTCGATCCCGACCGTCTGGAAACCGAACCTGAAATCCACACCGCTATCAAAGATGCAGAAGGAGGCAGCATTTCGTACCCGCAACCCGTCCTTACCGAAATACACTCCTGGATTTGGACGTGGCTTCGCCAAAAGGATATTCGCATATGTGTCTACTGCGGAGAGTATACGTGGACGTGCGCGCACTATGTGAGATATACTCGAGCTTGGGTATACTCTAGAAGGTGGTGGCTGCTCGCGTTGCTTGTGGTTTTTATCTTTATATGTACAGGGGATCGTTGGGAGGATTGGAAAGGTGGTGCATACTACTACTACCGCTACACACGGGAGTACATCTGGATATCGAGCTTGGTGGCGTTTTCGGGGATTTTTGCCGCGATGCTGATTGGTACAACGACTGGGAGTCGCTTTGTTATTACCCTGGTTCCTACGGCTATAGCTTTACTTGCGGGAGTCCATCTCCCTTTGTCTGAGCGTTGATGTGTGTGCAAAAGCATATCAGGTTTCATCTGTTGGTTCAGAGTAGCATTTCGACTCTTCATTGAATTAATTCATTCCCTATGATAGTCGCGTGCTCGGTTGTTAAACTGAACAGACTTAAAAGAAAGAAACTCTACAATGAACCAAGGTAAGACATTGAAGGCCAAGTACGCATATATTCATTGCTATATACAACAAACATTTAGAGAAATATCAATACTCCAAAGCATTCTCAAACAACTTCCCCAATTGCTCCCTTTCGACGTCCACATTCTGCATCTCCAAGCTAGGCGCAAGCATGAGTACTCTTGCCTGTGGAATCGTGCCATCGACCAACGTCCCAATATCCTCTCTCGCGAAGCCCAAATCTTTCAGTCCCCTCGGCTGATCACCCAAACCAACCAAGAATTCTGCAAGCGCTTCACTGAGCACCTCCCCAGCGCTTTCAAGCTTCACATTCGAGATATCGACACCGAAAGCTTCGGCAGCTTGTAAATGGCGCTCGGGGTTTGAAGCACCCGTGAATTTGAAGACAGCGGGTGCAGTGACGGCAACAGATACGCCGTGCGGGATGATGGGAGAGTCTACTTGGTACCCGGGGTGCTTGTAGCCTGGATTCTGGCCAGAGATAGGATAAGACATGCCGTGGCAGAGGTGAACGCCTGCGTTTCCGAAGCCGACGCCAGCGAGGGTGGCGGCAAGAAGCATTTTCTCTTGGGCTTCGTGGTCTGAGGGGTCTTTGACGGCGCGGGGGAGGTACTTTACGGTGTCGCGGAGGGCTTGGAGTGAGAATATGTCTGAGATTGGGTTTGCGCCTTGGTAGGCTGGTCGGTTGAGCGGGTTGGTGGGGCGGGGGGTACGCTCGTGGTAGGGAATTGCGGTCCATGATTCTAGGGAGTGGCAGAGTACGTCGAGACCTGATGAGGCGTGGACTGCAGATGGCATGGTGCGTGTGTTGAGGGGATCGACGATGCCGATTGTAGGTTTGAGGTTACGATGGGCGATGCCGGTTTTCGCGCGCTTGGAGACGAGATCGAAGATGGCAGTTCCCGTGGTTTCAGAGCCAGTGCCTGCTGTGGTAGGGACGGCAACGAGGGGGAGAAGCTTGGATGGGATAGGCTTGCCTTTTCCCAGGGGGGCGTTGACGAAGTCAAGGAAGTCGGCGTCTGATGGTAGTCAGTATGAAGTGCATTGAAGATCCGGTCTCTCATTGGACATGAGACAGATATGGATCATACCTGGAAATGTAGTGTATAGATTCATCAGCTTTGCTGTATCAATGACACTACCGCCACCCACGGCGAGAAAGGCATCAGGCCGGTAGGGTTTGCTAGCCTCAATGGCTTCCTTAATACTGCTATCCTTGGGCTCCACCCTCACCTTATCGAAGACTTGGAAGTTTATCCCTTCTCGTTCCAGTCCCTCAACGACTTGCTTCATAGCATCCAGCTTGCGTACGTTGCCGTCTGTCACTACCATGACTCGTTTGGCCCCCATGTTTGTGAAATCCATACCGACCTCCTTGGTGCAGCCGGGCCCGAACCGAATAGAGGAAGCTGCCATCTCAAAAGCATATTCTTTCTGTTGGCTGTGGTCGATGGGCGTTGCGAGAGCACGACGTGCCTGAGTGACGGCTTGAGGGCCATGGTGATGATGTGCGGGATTAGAATGGCATGGACAGTTTGGCGGGTGTGTGAATTGAACTGTGCGAAGAAGATTGAGTGCGCGAGTTGCACGGTTGGGCGCGATGCGAATTGACGTCGAGATCGTCATAGCTGTGGTGGCGTGCCTACGTGCTTAAGCTGGGCCGAGGTGGTAAGCTCCGTCTGATTCCTCCTTCTCTATCACTCTTCCTATGCGTTGAACTGCTGATGCGGCCGACTCAAACAACCCAATTGCCAGCTCTCGAGCTTCCAGATGTTCAGAAAAATGTGTGGGAGTGAGAAGGGACAAAGAGCAGAGGCGGAAGAAGCATCGTGAGCGCAGACAAGGGCGGCGAGCTCCGTGGAAGTGCCGATCCGAGGTCTGGTTGTGTGTGGGGTAATGTCGTGTGGGGTTGAATCCTCTGTCTCCTGTACCCCGAGCAACATCGCATCGGCTTCCCCAAAACGACAGCCCGAACGCTACTATAAAGCAGCAGACATAAACAACAAGCATTGGGCTATGTTCGTGAGAATATAATGTGGAAGACACAGAATCGACACAGAATCGACACGCCGACGCCATGTGAACGCTCCGTCACTCGATGAGCTAATCAATCCCACATCTGCCTGACGTTCAGGTTCACCCTCTTGCCCTCCATCCAGCCTCTCCAATTCTCATACTCATCCACTTCCTGGGAATTTGCGGCAGCAGGCCAGCTTTTCAGGGCGTCTGGACATGTCCCTGGGACAATTTGCGGCACGCCATGCCATGCAAAGCGGGATGAACCACTCATGTACACTGCACTACCTGAACGGAGCCTCAAAACAATGACCTTTTCTTCAACCGTATCACCGCCAGCACTGGTACCTGACGGAGATGTTGTTCCAATGACGAAGATGGCGTCGCAACCCAGGCTCACGCTGATCAGTCCAGTGGCGCTCGACTCGGCTACATCGCGATGCACGCTGAGAGTATCCCCAGGCGAGTACAGATTCACGATGGCTGCCTCGGCTTTCGTGTCTGAGAACACACCGTTCAAGAGCTGCCCGATATCCGACGGGAACGGTGGCGGCGAAGCATCAGGATACTTCTTCTGGGTCCAGTCGTACTGGCCGCCAAGTGTCACCCATCGCATCTTCTTGTTCAACAGTTGGGCGGCATTGAGAGGACGGTGGACGGATGGATCGAGGGGGTGTGCGACAGCATCAGGAGAAGTGGGTGAGAGGGAGAAGAAAGAAGCGTTTCCGGGCGGGTAGGCTACGTTGTAATGGGTATGGATGTTTGTGAGGTGAAGAGGATGCGAGAGGTCTCGATGAAGCAGTTTGGAGAGTAGAATAGGTTGAATCTCTGATGGGAGAAGAGACGGAATGATATGGAGACCTACCTCTGTGTCAGGGCTCTTTGTGCAGACGGGATCCATATCACGGGGGGAAGCATGCATGCATTCAACAGGCAGCGTTACACGTTACACGTCACACGTCAAAAAACAAACTTAGAACCCACCTGGCATGTCTTGATGCTCGTACACGGCAAGCTTCCCTTGCACACTTCCACCACGCACAGATGATGCATGCACGTCACCGCCGGCGAAAGCGCCGAAAGAGGCGGTCAGACGTGCTGCATCGAGCTCGTTCACGACGCGTACCTTGGCGTTCCGATCTAGATCTAAATCTGAAGGCAAGAGATCTACGATATCGACATCTAGATCTAGCTGAGAGGGCTTCATCTTCTGGTACTTTTTGTAGACTGTGCGAATGCCATCCGGCGGCCGCTGGTAGGGGTCCATTTCTCAGAGAGAGCAGATAATTCGGAACGGTGCGAAAACCAACGACAAGTTCAAATTTAAGGCGCAGAAGTGTTGTCGTCAAAAATCTTTCCAGATGATAGGTTGTGAGTGAATATATTATTGGGTTTGTTTGGGTAGAATATGAAAAAAATAGGCGGACTTATCGATATCGCGAGGAGGACGCGAGCACAGGCGCCAGCACGGCCCGCTTGGCGTTGTTTACATTCAAACAGTGCTTAATTGATTGATTTGATTATCCCCGACCGACCCTCAACCCCTCCACCAAAACTCGACCGCTGTCACAATCCCTCCCTCTCTCTACTAACCCACAGGTCCGCATTCCTGACAGTCCGTGGAAGCTTTTTTCCCCTTCTTTTTCTCGACTTCCCTTCCTCCCACCATCCGCCTCTCATCAACATCAATACCGGGTTTACAATTACTGTAGCCTGCCCGTAGAGCCTTGCTCTGCCGCGTCTACACCCCTCTACCTCCTGCGAGTCATTGTCTAAATTCGCCAAAAATGGAGAACTACCAGAAGATGGAAAAGATCGGAGAGGGTAAGCATCATTCCGTGGATACATGAGCCTTTGGCCAAGGCCAAAAAATTCATCCACAGCAGCATGAACTAACAACACTACCCCTACAGGCACATACGGTGTCGTGTACAAAGCGCGCGATCTCACCACAAAGGACCGTCGTATTGTCGCATTGAAGAAGATTCGCCTCGAAGCCGAAGACGAAGGTGTCCCGTCCACCGCCATCCGCGAGATTTCTCTCCTCAAGGAGATGCAAAACGAGAACATTGTCCGTCTTTTCAACATTGTGCACGCCGATGGCCACAAGCTGTACCTAGTCTTCGAGTTTCTTGACCTAGATCTGAAGAAATATATGGAGGCGTTGCCCGTTAGCCAAGGCGGCCGTGGAAAGCCGTTGCCCGAGGGCTCCAACCCTGAGTTGTCGAGCATGGGATTGGGCCCTGAGATGGTCAAGAAGTTCATGACGCAATTATGCGAAGGCATTCGCTACTGTCACGCGCATCGCGTTCTCCATCGTGATCTCAAGCCCCAGAACCTTCTCATCGATCGCGACGCAAACTTGAAGCTAGCCGATTTTGGTCTTGCTAGGGCATTCGGTGTCCCCCTCCGGACGTATACACACGAGGTATGATTTCGCTGTAATCGAGAGGACAGGAAAAGTTGGACGTGAACTGACATGGCCAGGTTGTCACTTTGTGGTATCGCGCACCCGAGATCCTGCTCGGTGGACGACAATATTCAACCGGCGTCGATATGTGGTCCGTAGGCTGCATCTTCGCAGAAATGTGCACACGCAAGCCCCTATTCCCAGGTGACTCTGAGATTGACGAGATCTTCAAGATCTTCCGGTGAGTACAAAGATTCGACATTGCGTGAAAAACCACCAAAGACGTATACTAACATGACAAAGTGTGCTCGGAACTCCCACCGAGGCCGATTGGCCAGGCGTCACCTCGTTCCCCGACTTCAAGCCATCCTTCCCCAAGTGGGCGCGAACAGACATCGCAGACACGGTCAAAACGCTGGACGAAGCCGGGTTGGACCTTTTGGACGCCCTCTTGGTTTACGATCCTGCTGGTCGCATCTCCGCCAAGCAAGCCGTGATTCACCCGTACTTTACTGGCCGCAGCTATGATGGTATCGGCTTCCACTAGGATCGACTGGGAGATTGTGCCTCCGGGAGGCCAAGATGAAGTATACACACCAAGGCATGAACAAACGATTATGAAGCATGGAAAGCATTTTGGGCGCAGCGGTCTCGTATGTCATGGGTGCCAGATCAATTTTGAATGGCTTGTTTTCTTTTCCTTTCTATAAAAGGGGACCAGTGACGATCGGCGTTGGGGGGGCACATTGCCGATTTTGGGTCTCCGTCTAAGCACACGAGAGACTGGCGGGTTAAGACTCCAAGTCCCATAATACAATTCATCGAGATACATACATTCTGAAATGGTGTGGCTGTGTTCGATTGTGAACTTCCCACATAGACACGCTCCCTCTGTAGCTGACGCGGCCAATCATAGAGACGGTACCCCGCTTCAGCCTTATGTGAGCTGGTGCATACTAACCGACCGATCGCCCTTCCAACCGACATCTACTGACCATCCGCCATGTAAACAAACGCAGACCAAGAGCTGGTCGATTTTTCAGCCATGCCACCCGAGCCTCCCAAGCTTCTTCCCCCGAACGAAGGGCCCCGTCTGATTGTCTATCACCAGACCATTCATGACCCCGCCGGCAACTATCACTCGCTCCTCCCATTGCTGACCAACAACACGGGCATCACACACATCATCGTCGCGGCCATTCACCTGAACGATGGACCAGGTAACATCACCTTGAACGACCATCGACCGGACGACAAGAGGCATGACCAGCTATGGGGCGAGGTGAAATGGGTCCAGGCATGCGGCGTCAAAGTTTTGGGCATGCTAGGTGGTGCTGCTCAAGGGAGCTTTGAGAAGTTGGGTGGAAGTGATGAAGATGTCCGTACCATCATGGCAGCGTCTGGATGACATGATCCGTGGAAGAGAAATTGACAAGGATATAGTTTGAGGCACATTACCTCCCCCTCAAAACCCTCATCACCACCACCTCCCTCAACGGTCTCGATCTCGATGTCGAAGAGGTCATCCCATTGCGGACTGCAACACGCCTTATATCACGGCTCCGCGCCGACTTCGGCCCTGAATTTATTATTACAATGGCTCCGGTTGCTACTGCTTTGATCCCGGATCCCAAAATCCCGTCCCATCTCCGCCCACCTCGACCAGTACTCTCTTCTACAGGGGCGACGCCAAACCCACTCCATCCCACACTCCCACACCTCAGCGGCTTCAGTTACCCCGAGCTCGAATGCAGCGTATTTGGTAGAGAAATCGCATGGTACAACACGCAATTCTACTGCGGATGGGGCGACGCGGGAACAACGCAATGGTACGACACCATCATTGCTGCAGGCTGGTCGCCAAACCGTGTCGTAATGGGCGTCGTCACGAACCCTGGCAATGGCGCAGGCCACGTTCCTATCGAAAAGCTCCGCGATAACTGCACAAGGCTACGCAGCAAGTACAGCAATTTTGGCGGCGTCATGGGGTGGGAGTACTTCAACGCAGGCGACCATGAGGAGGACATGGTCCATGTCGCTTCGTTGGAGCTGAATAACGAGACCGTTCAGGCTGGATGGGTCGCGTCACTAGGGAGAATACTCCGGGTCCAAAATCCGCCAACACCTCAGCCGCTTTTAGGAGGTATCACGGCCGAGCAAATACGGCAGATGATGGCGAGGCAACAACCCAACCAGCAACAACAGCAACAGAGGCAGTCGTGGCCACAAGATACAATAAATCAGCTCGTCACTCTTGGGTTTTCGCAAAACGAAGCAGTTGCTGCACTGGATGCTACAGAGGGAAATATCGAGCTGGCCGCTGGCTTTTTGTTCGAGCACTATCCTCAATGAATTCGTCACCTGATTCAACAACTGATGAACCGGGACATGGAGGATGACTTTGTCAAAGCACTTCGATAATGCGGACAGGAAAAGGCTTCTAGCGAACTGGCCATTACTTTCTACGAAAGTCTCACGGTACCGTCTGCCAGACACCAGCACACTGCTGACAAGCCCGTCTCCACAAAAGCCCTCCCGTGGGATCGACGGTCACGCGATGCAAGTTTCGGTGCTACGGACTAGGAAGTCAGATTCACTATCTATCATTAATTGACGATTAAACATTAGTTGGTCCAACTACAATCTTCTACGTGCAGATCCCAACATTATGTACATCCTTGGAGCCTCAGAAGCAGTCTTTCTACTAATGTGTTTCAAAACTTTGCTTACTTCCCTCTCAACTAGTAGTTGAATACCATCAATGATGGATTTAGCGCGAACGGAAACAAGCAATGACTGATAACAATACTCGACATGGGCACCACACTGGTGAACCCATTAATCTCCCACCCGTGAGGCGCAAAACAACCCAGATACACCATGCCGCCAATGACCGGTACCATCACCATATACATCCACTTGAAACGTGCCATGATCTTGGGAATCTCCATGAAGAAATTCGAGTCTGTCTTTTCCTTTGCAGTCGCGCCCCAGTTCATATCGATGCTGAACATGTGGGAGAGGATAGCCAAACTGATGTGGAAGGAGAGTCCGCCGAAGAAGATGATGAAGAAGGGAAGCCATTTAAAATTCTCGAGGACAGATTTGATAAGCGGCATTTCACCAAGGCGGTAACGGAGGAGGGCCAAAGAGATGTTGGACATGACATTGAAGACGAGGAGAAGTGAAACAAAGACTAGTGTGAGGTGTTAGAAAGGCAAGATGCTAGTGAAGAGGGATAGAGGGGAGCTCACTCTTCCACGACTCGACGTAAAACTTGTCTAGGTCGCCGTTGAACCATCCGATGAGGAAGTAGTTGAGGATACCGAAGGGGACGGAGGATGCGATGGCATAGTCTATTTGGTAGAAGAGTGAGTAAAGGGCATGACGAGGTAATTCCGGATACAACTTACAAGATGAGATGTACCCCACGATGGTCAACTTGGACGAAAGTTGCATGTTCGACCAAAGAAACGTCCGGAAGAGCTTTGTAAATGGACCTCTCCAAAGCCACGTATAAATGGGGTTGAAAACCAGTTCGTTGCATCCATATGCATACCTGAAGCGAGCCCAATCGTCAGTATTCCGCAACACCCTTGGAACGGCAAAGGGCACACTTACTTCTCCCATCGGTTCAATTCATCATACAACGTCAATGAAACACCCTCCTTGAACCCCTCGCCGTGATAACTCGCCAACCGCACTATGTTGCCTTTAATCTGCAACCTCAATGCAATGTCGAAATCTTCGCTCACATGAGATTCCGACCAAAATGCCACGTACCCATCCTCTTCGGGTGGGTTAGCAACGCTCTGCACCGCTTGCCACCTCAAAAACGCATTGTGTCCTACGAACGGGCCTACTTCGCCGCTACCCACGGAGAAACGGATGGCGGAGTAGACGAGGTTCGTGAAGTACGTGATTGCGTTCTCGAAGTAATCTTGTGTGACCTGCATCACACCGGTGCTGTGCTGAATGATGGCGACTTCAGGAGAGAGGTACATTTCGGCGGCGCCGTAGATGAGGCAATCTTCGGGCACACGTGTATCGGAGTCGACAATCAAAATGATCTCTCCCATGCGGATGTTTCCACCAGCTTTAGCGCGAGGGTCACTCTCCAATACTTCGGCCAATGCTTGTTGGTAGAGTGTCTCTTCCTCGTCTTCGGTGATGTATTGATCTTTTTCGAGACGAGGCGTTACGAGCCCTTGCAAAACGTCTTCGACTCTGTTTGAAATGTTGAGGGCAAAGTTCATGTTGGATGCCTTCTTGAATTTTCCCTTCCGGACGAAGCCGTCGGTGTTGTGCTTTGGGCGAGATACCCAGCCGATGTTGTTGCTTTCGAAAAATTCAATGAATTTCTTGTTGTCCTCAGCGCTGCGCACGGCCATGCCATCGTCGTTGACAAAGATGCGTGCGGTGCCGCCACGGGACTCATAGTACGATATGGCGGCGTTCAGACTGGCGACGGTGGGAATGATGACACCCTCCAGTGACTCGGTGTAGATAGGCATCTGAATGGTGATGGGAGGAGGACGGAATCCCAACGAGCGCGCCTGCATGAGGTTCGGCTTGATGGCAGAGTAGAACCGTGAGTTCGTCTTGATACTCGTAATGGGTCCGATCATCTGGAAGATGTTGCTGAAAACTGTAACAACGAAGAACAGACCGAACAACAGAAGCAACGGCTCCGTAGCGATCAAGGCGAGCCGCAACATTGAACCATCCGTGACAGTCTGCAACGCAAGCGCACGATTTCCCAACCCGAAAACAAGTAGGATGATCGCCATAAACGCAAGCCCCACAAACAACGAACTCGTAAGAATCAGCGGTCTCGCAAGCGACTCCCTTGGTCCCATTTCCTCATCACCATTTCGATCAACTTCACCAACGCCAACCTCAACCTCCTGGCTCTTCTCCACCATACCTATGTCCACCTCACTCGCCATATACACGGAGTTGTTCTCCGTTGAGAAAGGATTCGTAGAAGCCCCAAATGGATTCTTACTACTTCCCCAAATCAACGCCAGCATCTTACTCTCAACCTCCATCGCCACATTCAAGATCGCCCCCAAGTCATCATGCCAAACCAGCACCACTCTCTCCTTCCTCACAAGCGCTGCATACTGAAACTTCTTGATCGTGCTCGACGTCGAAATCTCAGCCATGCTGTCATAGATCTGGACCTGTGAGCCGTTGGGGAAGAGGAGGCGTGTTTCGGATTGATCCAGGACATCGAAGACAGCGGAGGTGCCTTCCGTGCACATGGTCAGGGCTACGCCTGGGTTGATCTTTGCCACGGCGTTGACGAGGTCGGGGTCTACTTGGGAAGGCTCGCTGACGAAGGAGGTGGGCGATTTGCGGATGAGAACGCCTGCACAGATTCCTGGGGGCAGAGGGCCGGGAATAGTCCAGTGCATGGAGCATGCTTTTGCGTGGAGATGTTTGATTATCTGGGTATCAGCTGTTAGTGGGATGGGGATTTGATGAAGATGCGAAGACTTACAGCACGATACCGCGCATCTTCGTCGATCTTCTGCGTCAACCTTCTTGAGTCATATCGTGAGCCGCTCGAGCGGTTGTAAGAACGACTTTCGTCGAAAGAGGGACGACGAGATGTCGCTACGGAGTGGATGGATCGTGCCTCCATCCTGAAGATATGGGAAAGGACGATCGAAGTAACTGATAAACAAAATGGACACCCGTATGTATCAGGGTTTGCTGCAACACGACAGTAACGACTGCTTGACGGAAACAATGACAAGAGTATGGACACACACAAACCACTCAAGGGAAGCTCTATGAAAAGAGGGCTTGCAGTGGAGTAAACAACAACTTCAAACCAAGTGAGCGGACGCGAAGCCTTGATAAGCTACACCGGAGGCGTGGAAAAAATAGCAGGAAACAGATCTAGACTCGATTCCCTTACCGCAGGAGACCATAAAGACAAACAAACAAGATGCGTTGTTCTGGAAATGCTTGCTTTACTATCCTTCCAGGGGGTCTCTCCCGAATACGGGGGTCGAGGGCATGGACGACATCTTGGGGCTGGACGGGCTGGTGGCTATCTGAGCGGAGACCTGGACCAGGGATCATAGCGTCAATATTTCCCATCGCTACAGATAGCTGTATCTGGATGTTTTCGATTCATTCTGGCTTGGGGTTATTCGGCGGACGCCGAGGATTGGAGACTTGGGATGGGGGCGCTTATTTTTAGGGGGGTATTGTTGAGAGGAGAGATTGGGCGGGTTTGGAAGTCTGATACATTCGTCTCTCTTGAAAATCTACTAAACAGACTATAGTTTTGAGTTTTATGGGTGGTGGATGTTCAGATAAATTAGCTGTTGCGATTCAATTAATCGCCCATCTCTGTAGGGCAGATCTAGCACTCGCAGGACCACGAGCATCTCGTGGTTCTAATCTACATCTTCTTTTCCCCATCACCGCAACTTATCCCAAGACACCAGTATAGAAAAATATTCTAAATTTACAACTTATCACGACCCCCTTGCTCCCATCCCAAATCCCGAATCCCAAGTCCATTCCTTCCCGCCTCGCCGACCCAAACAACCCAGTCCAGTGCCCTCTCCCGCCCCCAATCAACGCACCTCACCTCACCACATGTCAAAGCACTGCACTTTACCATAGCAAGAATCCCTCAAACACCACCTCGCTTAACAAGCCCAGACATTGATCGCTCGTGTTAACGAGGTACCTAGTTCCAGGCCCTTGGGAACCGGACAGACGAAGGGATGATGTGCGCGCACGAGTCGTGTAGAGGTGTGAGATGTGAGGTGAGTCGGCAGATTATTGTGGGGGTGTTTTCGGGGGGGCCTGGTTTTGGGGTTTGTGCACTGTTGCACGCTGGGATGGGAGATAGCATAGGGTTCATGGCAATATATCGTGCGGGATGTTGTCTATGTACCTTGTTGGGGATCAATACTTGCTACGAGGGTCGAGGGGGTGTCTCGTTTGACGTCAATTGCAACTTTTTCTCTCTATAGCGTAGACAATTTGTAATTTTTTTCGGGCATTGCTTTGCACTGTTCAATTGCAGTTTGGCATACATCTACGTCTGTTCTCTCTTTTTCAGCACTCTAGTAAACACCCTTTTTTTCAAACGAGAGAGGATCCTTTCTCGCGTATTTGTGACGAGTCGGGTATCAAGCTCGCATTAGCTTAGCCACATCACGACTCTTTCTGAAGCGGCCGACCGTCCTCGAAAAGGGAAAGGAAGAGAAAGAAAAAAAAATAGGCCCGCGATAAGTAACTACAAACACCGAATTTGTTCTCTATCTGTGTCTCGCGGCGCTAAAAGACATTCAGCTGAACCCTCTCTGTACTCTTAGCTAGACCCCTAAATCAAGACAAGAGTACCCACCAAGGCCCCATCATCGCCCGTCTCCCAATCTCGAAGCGTTAGAAGAAGACACAACGGGAAGGCAAGGTGGCGCAAAGTCAATCCTAGACCGGCATCGCGGGTATGATGCAGCAAGTGACAGCGCAACTAATGTCGACGCCTCCGACACATGGCGGCTACAATTTCGTGTTAGCCCTCGTGTTCGCTTGAGAGGAAGCAGCCGCATGTCAATGGCTGGGCCCCGACGATGTACGTGGCTGACTCGCCAGGTACGGACTCGTTATCATTGGTGTTTTCCTCTGGACGGGAGAAAGAAAAAAAGCAAGGAAGATGCAAGTTGGACTTGTGAGTCGGTGTTGAAACGGGTCGGTCGCTGTACAATTTGTGATGTGTTGAGGGTTTGTGCTGTTTGAAGGGTCTCCTTTAAGGATATGTGCGACATTTCGCACATGGAGAGAAAAGCAACAAACGAATTGCTCTTGATGTTGAACATGTGCATGTAGGGCTGAACGATGCCGCATCAAGCATTCTTCGTCATTTTTTTCCTCCCTTTACATCGATCTCCTTTCCAAACCCCCACGTTCTCACGATCCTATCACCCCCCACTCCTGCCTGGACCCGGGTCCAAGGGATTCCGACATCTCAGGTACTCCTTCCGACGCCACCAAAGAAAGATATTTTTATACATCCCTGACCATTAAATCAATAGTCTTATGAAAAGATTGCGACTTTTGTGCAGGAATAAGGAATACTTGAACACAATCTACACGAGCGGATCTAGGCGCTGGGCTTAGTGTACGATAAGGCTCCTCGCTTGCCCGTCTTCTCAAAACACCAGCACACACGCGCCCTTGGTGGCTGGACTTTGTTTGCTAGTTAGCGCGCTCCGAGGCCATTTGCGACCCGACTAACGTGTGATAAGAGCGAAATAGTCTGCTTTTGTGGCGTGCAAACGTCGAGCTGAAAAAAGTGTGTACCTGTGCATGGCTATCGTCTAACCTAGACTTGGGTCTTTTTCTTTTTTTCTTGATCGTTTCCTGTTCGGATATGCCTCGTGGCGATAGGGCGATTTGGGGTTAGTGCAGCTTCTCGTTTTCGGATTGGGGACGGGTTTGAGGGAGTTGTGTGATTGATAACTTGCCCTTTGAATCAATCCCTCGATACAAGTGTGTCTCATTCTTCCATTGCGCCATTTACGACTTTTTGTTTTTTAGTATCCATTGTTTCAATCTTGGTTCGTCAAGTGGGATTTGTCTTTGAATTGTTTAACTGGAAAGCGAATCTGCTAGTTACGCTAGATACACTATCCCCAACGGCCAACAATGGGATTCTTCAGACGGTCTGAGAAACCCGAGAAGAGCGCTCCCGCTCCGGCGGACGCTCCTGCCATTGATATGGATTCCGTGCCTGCTACCTCATATACTCAGTCTTTTCGGTTAAGTGAGCCGGTGAAACCGAGACATGAGTTCAAGAGCTACCGATTGAAGGGAGAGTGAGTAGATAAACTCTTGTTGGTTTATGGATTGAACTTCATCTAACAGCACATAGATACGTGCAACCATGGATAGACGACAAACGGATGAAACGAACAAGATTCGGCAATCTGATTGTCTATGGCATGATGTTCATTGCGTTATGCTTGAGCGGATACATTACGTACGATGGAGCAAACAGTGCAAAGACAGGAGAAGTGAGTTATTCCACTGACACACGTTACAATTGCAAACCCATGCTAATCCCAAGCAGTACTGCTTAGTGATGGAAGACAACTTCGATCGAGGTGGCCTCGACGAAAGCCACTGGACTCATGAAGTGCAAATGGCCGGCTACGGCACAGGCGCCTTCGACTGGACAACCACAGACCAGAAGAACAGCTTTACCGACAGCGAAGGCCTACACATCGTGCCCACCATCACCACCGAATCCACCGATCTTACCGAGGACCAGCTCCTCAACGGCTACAGTCTCAACCTCACCAAGAGCGGAGGTGACGGCACCTGCACATCCGATGATTACCTACAGTGTTCCATCCGATCCAACGCAAGCACCGGCGCAATCCTCCCTCCCGTGCGCTCTGCCCGGCTCTCCACAAAAGGGAAAAAGTCCATCCGCTACGGCCGCATCGAAGTCGTTGCCAAAATGCCCCGCGGCGACTGGCTCTGGCCTGCCATATGGTACGCTCCCCAACCCTCCCACCGGACCCTTCAAACCGCAAGCTAACCACAAACTCCCCTCCCCTCACAGGATGATGCCCGAAGACTCAAAATACGGCCCCTGGCCCGCGTCAGGCGAAATCGACATCGCCGAGCTCCGCGGAAACTCCTACGAATACCCCCTCGGCCGCGACGCCCTCACATCCACCATCCACTGGGGCCCCACCACAAAAACAGACGCGTATTGGTCTACCTATGGCCACAAGTTCCTCCGTCGCACCGACTACTCGAAGGACTTCCATACCTTCGGGCTCCAGTGGTCCGAGGATACCATGTTCATGTATCTCGACAACCGCATGAAGCAAGTCTTTTATATGAAGTTTGATGATAAGCGGACTATGTGGGATAAGGGCGGGTTCAGCGGTGCTACGGCAAATAACAGCGTTATTGAGAATCCGTGGAAGAGCACTGGCAGGGGAAACACGCCGTTTGACGAAAAGTTCTATCTTATCCTGAATGTGGCTGTTGGCGCGCAGAATGGGTGGTTTTTGTAAGTCTTTTTTTCTTCCTATCTTCAGATTCTAGCTCCATTGGGGATAGGATGGCTAACTTCTCTTTTTAACAGTGATGGCAAGAACGGTAAGCCTTGGGTTGACAATGGACCTACCGCTGCACGCGATTTCATCAAAGGTACGTGAACATCATTTCATCCCATCTTTCACCTTCGGGTTGGTCAGGCAAGTACTAACTTAGATGCAACAGCAAAAGACCAATGGCTCCCCACGTGGGGCGAAGGCAACGACCGCGGAATGACGGTCAAGAGCGTCAAAATGTGGCAAGAAGGCAAATGCTAGAAACGAACTTCGATCGAACTGATGCAAGCGTTTTCCATTATTATTCTCTTTTTTTCTTAGTTGTATACCATTGCTTGATGTCACGTTTTTTGGCCGACTCGCAGAGGATGGGGGATGGAGATGTCTCAGAGTACTAATAGTAATGCTTGATAGACTCCTAATCTAATGCACATCTACACCAATCAATATTTCTTATGCAAAATAGTGAGATGGTTGCAGGATTTCAAGATGAACCAAGTATACTCTAGCACGATCTCAAATCCCCCCTGCCAGATCCCGCACATCTACATTCACCTCTTCCCGCACCCGCCACCAATGCCGCGGTCCACCATCTACGAACAAAACATCGCACATCCCTATCCCATCTCTATACCATTCTCGAAAATCAATAAACACACACCCGCACAGACACACTCCCTCTCACCATAGTTCCCCCTTCCACAGCATCACCCGCCCCGGCGCAAAGCATCCCCCCTTGATAAGCCAAGTTCCATCCCGCCCCCAAAGGCCGATCAGGCCCCCCACGCACCTCCCACGCACCCGCGCTATACAAACTCGTTGCTTTTTTTTCTTCTTCTGTTGGGCTGTTGGCGGGCTGTTGGTACCTTGCAGGAGTGGCGTATAGGCGGTTGATGGGGGCTTTTTTTTAGGGTGATGTTTTGATGGTTTGTGTGTTACGTTAGTTGGTTGGTTAGTTGATAGCCCCCCTGATGACTGCATGTTGGTGTCGCGCGCTTTTAACTAGGGATCTTTAGTTTAGTTTGGTTTGATTTGATTGAGGTGCGATGGATTGGTGATGCTAAGATAGAACAAGATGGGGTATTAGGGATCGGGATCGGGATCGGAGGTTGATGTGTATCGTGATGGAGACGAGAGGGGCTTTGTTTGTTGCGTTGTTTTGATATATTGGTTTCATTTCCACCAAATAGATTATAGCGGATTGCAGGTTAGAGATGTGGAAGGTAGGGAGATAGGGGGGAACGCTGATGGGTGATGTTCCATACTTGCCGATGGCTTCTCGAGAAGTGCTGGGGATCGGGGATGAATAGGTGTTAGGTCTCCGCGGAGACTCTGTGCGGTTCAACGACAGACGTCTTGAGACAAGTTTCTGCTGCGGCTTGTCGATAGTCCTTTTGGGTTTTAGTGGGAAGTTGATAGTCGTGAGATTGGGTTGTATGGCTTTCCTCTGCGGTTGCAGTGAGGTGAGGGTGGATGGCTACATCTGTGTGAATCTTACGTTATACCGCCGTGTACTTTTCAATGATTGAGAGGGGAGAATATCTAGTATGTGAGACCTTCCTTAGATCTTCGACGACATTGATCATGTGTTAAGACATGAAACCTGCACCGCACCACTGCAACTTCATACTGTGCAACTTGACAATTTTTTCATGGGCACTGAGCAGCGCCTTCAGTACCTAGACGACCAGGTGGGTCTTAATAAAAAGTTAGAGATTCTGGGTAGATGATTGGTTATATAGTTATCAAATATGTCTCAGAATCAAGAGCGTTCACCATACTAGTTGTTGTTGCGAAGTGTCATAGGTATTGAAACTTGATCTGTAGGTCGAGGGTGTAGGGACTATCTCGCCTTCACTTCAATGGAAAGGCGATATTGCCGGAGTTAAACAGTACTGTAGAAAAAGACTTTCATATTGCTGTTTTCGAGATTTCGGGAATTTGCGAACAGTACTTTTCAAATGAGACGCTCGGAATATAGCATGGAGTTTTTCGGTACAATTGAGAGCAGACTGCCAAATGTATCGCTATCATAACGATCGCAACATCGTAACCATCCGATTTCTGCGCGACGCTCTATTTCGATAAGACATTGCGGTAGAAGAGATGATACGTCACGGCCTAGTCAATATCAGTTGAGTTACTCTTCCCTCCTCATCGAACCTTTTGATCACGAAGTTGTGCTTATGTCGACGCGAGCAACCAGCTGCCCAAACCCTCATCCTTTCTTTCTCAATATGCACCTGTTCTACCTCATCTTTCCGGCCAATCCTATATAAATGTGTTTTTTGGCGGACAAACATGTATAGCGGGAATTCTATAGGTAACAATCCAACTACTCCATAGTGTGGTCTCTCCACACTTGGCTGATGCGGAATCCTCAACGTCATAACAAGAGTAAGGCTTTCGGTATGCTAGAAAGCCGGAACTGCCTCAGTATAGCTGAGGCAGAGCTTCCCCAACCTCCCGTTCATAAGCATGTCCACTGCCTTCCACGCCAACACCCAATCGAAACGTAAGCCGACCTCAAGGCAATCAAACGGTGGAAGTGTGACACTGCTCAAAACACTGGCTTCATTTAGCCAGAAATAGTGCCGCGGGCTGTTATACATGAACGTGTGATCAAAATGGAACGGATTGCCCTCCATCCGTACACCCGCCTCATCGTATCCACGAGGTAAACGGTACACTGATTGATTATGAAAGGTCACGTGCTTCCCAAGCTTTTGATCGAATCGAAGCTTTTTGATCTTTGCCAACGCCTGTACGGGGCACGAAACGTACCAATATTCATCATCCAATCGATCCCTTTCGACATGTACCATTTTGGCGACGAATTCGGTCTGTCGAAAAATGATGTCGAGAACTTCGACACAGAATACCCGGCTAACATGTAAGATTGGGTCATCTCCCAACTTGATAGAGAGATCCTCTGTCCTTTGGTCTGTCTGTGCCCTGGTAGGTACCGCAAGATAGAGTTTTTTGGGTACTAGGTGTGTATATATCGCATCGCGAAGCTCCCGAGGGAGACTGAACCATAAGCGTTTGTTCGGGCGGGGCTCGGGCGCATCGCATCTCAGATCTTTGAAAAGTTCAAGATTCATTTCGTCGCTAGAAATCCACGGTAGAGATCACAGTCTTCAAAATCGGATTTCGCATACAGATTATGTTCGCTATCCGTTGGCACATGTTAGTGTTCGTTCTTTCTCTCATTTTTCGCACAAATTCATCCTTGCGTAAACGCAATACTTACTGTAGCAGGTCAATGTAGGAAGGAATAATATGTATGCTGTTAAGTTCAAGAATTAGGGGCCGAAGGAATAACAAATGCGAGAAGAGCCTCATCGTGATCGGGATAAGTCGCTCTTCTATGTGTTTACAGTAGCAGAGGATGCATCTAAGGAATGTTGTGATACAGTCTTGCAACACAAACCAGCTTCAGGCAGCAGCCGCATGATGAATGGGAAACGACTGCTGGTGGGCCTTTTTTGATTCCCATGTTTTCCCCTTGCATATAGCAATATATCGAAAACAAGCGGTGCTACATAGGACTGTTACACGGACGCGCTTCTGTAGATAATTGATATTGCTTCCATCACCCGAGAACTCCAACTCACAATCTTTCCATTCCACCCCCAATACACTTTTACATCAGTAACGTTTGCAGAATGACAGATTGTCAGCTATCAACTGCCGCAACCCCAATTTCCAGTTCTCGGCCATATCAAAATACGCTGTTCGATCTTCCCCGCGAGATTCGCGATACGAATTCATAGTCGATCGGAGTCCTTACAGAGTCACTAAACCACCACGCAAAGCTTCGCCATTTGCAGATTGCTTATCTCTTCTCAAAACCTCTCGCAGAGTTCGCGCCGAGTTTTTAGATGTTATCTTCCGAGAGACCGAGTTCATCTTCTCGCGGCAAATTCTGTTACGCCACCCCAACCCCGAGGCGCGCCCGTCTAAGAATTGGCTTCCAACCACAGCTAGAAGCGAAATTACAAAAATACGATTACAATATGAGACTATGAAGCGTCACATGAATTTTTTGTATAAACTCTTCAGACAGGGCTTTCCGCATGACTGGCCCGCGCTAAGGACCGTCATTTTTGAAATTCCGCCAGAGATGTTTGCGGGGTAAGCTGAAGCGACCTGGAATAGTCACCTCGGGGGCAAGTATATGCAATATAATTGGGGAGTGGCAAACAGAGCTATCAATCTACTCATGAGTGGCAAATTAAAAGACGTGCGTCTCTGGTTCCCCCAAGAGATTCCAAGGACGTACGACCTAGAAGAAATCTCTGCCGTTCGTTTGTTGAGAGTCAGTGGATGTGACTATGATGAAGATTTTTCATGGGTGGCCCGCGTAGCTACTGAATTTGGGTTAATGGTAGAGGACTTTTGGGACTCTTGGGCCTCAACAAGGAAGGTTTGGAGAGATGTGGCTACTAAGATGACGAGGTGTCCTGAGCGACCGAAGCGCGAGTTTCTCGTTATAAGAGCGGAGTACAGTGATAATTGTAAGGAAAACGCATGTATGCCATTGCTTAAAACCCCCATCGCTAAACGTAGACGATAAAAGCTCTTGTTTAGTATACAACGCAATTCCATTTCCCTTGGAAACATGTAGCTCACGTGTCGCGAGTGTCAAGCCAAATATGTAAACAAGGCCGACAATGGAGACGCATGTCTGTACCACACTTTCAATGAAGCTTCATAACATATTGATACAAGAACCATGAGATTTAGTTGACTATGCAAATATATAGGTCCATTGTATGATCATCGCATCTCTATGAGATCAAATATATAGAATACATGATAAGAATCGAGGTTTCATCCCACAGTGCGGCTTGAATACTGCAAAACACCAATATATCAACTCAGCATTCCCATAGCATTTCCACACCAGATGAATTCGGGGAAAACTCAATTTTCAATCCCAAGATCACTTTATTCCAACGCCGGCGTTTCCTCGTCACCTTCTCAAACACAAACTCACTCGGACGTTTTGGTTCTGTTACCACATCATCAGCAAGAATAAGATCTGTCCCCCGAAACCTCGGCATTCTCACTGCAACCGTTTTCTGCGATAACATTAATCCTCTACCCCGATGTCATATACAAGGCTACGAGGACTATTCTATTAATATCAGTCCATCGTGCTACGCGCAGTCTATTACACAGACCAACCGTGACGCGTTTTCGGGTCCAATGTTGATCTTTCATTAATTTGAAACCCAAGATACGTACACGAAGACGAAATATTGGAACAAAATTTCGATGCTACATCTAGTAGTGGTGGATATATAGATACACAAATATGAATGTCGGGGTATGTAGGAAAAGCAAATAGCGAGCGAGTCTCGCCAACCAGCATCAAAAAAAGAAAACCCCCCCAAGCAACCAAAAACTCAATCCAAAACGCCTCCTGAACTAAGAGCTAGACACAGCAAAAGCAAAAGCCGCGAAACCCTAAAAACGCCATTTTCATCTCAACGCAACCTTCGCTCCATCTCAGTGAGCATGTCCACACCCCCCACCGACCCTCTGATGTCCAACTCTCTTCTTCCAGCTCCAAGACATGGTTGGATCCTTGGCCATACTCTGCATCGCCTTAACATCACTATCCCTAAACCCCTTATCCAGCGCCGAATACTCGACCGCCAACCGCGCATACTTGATCGCCATATCGCGATCCGCAAAACTGCTATACACCTCTGCAGCATGCTTATACGCAACGCCCATACTAGCATGCAGCCTCTCCTGCTGGTACAGCGAAAGAAGCGCCTCGCCCATCTCCGGCGTAGCACGGGATGCAGGAGTCCAGTCGTCAAGCAGCGCAGCCAACTGACTCATCTGCTCGACGCGGGCATCTGATTCGGCGACGAAGAAAGGGTGCGCGCTGCATGCTGAGCAGGAGCATTCAAACCCCCAGTTCGATTTGAGGTTCGTCACGCGTTTGTCGCGGCTGCGTTCGTTGTTGATGTACGTGATTGTGATTTCCTGGCCTGGCAGGATGGTTTCGGTGGCGTGGACGTAGTGCGAGAGGGTTTCTTCGTCCCAGAAGTAGGCTGCGTTGGGGCGGCAGTCGTGGTTGAGCATTGCGATTTCAGGGAGCACGCCGTATTGTGAGACGCCGTCGATTTCGATTTCGAAGGCGTTGGTGTTGATGCGGTCGTCGACTGGGTCGCCTTTGAAGTGGTCTAGTAGGGCCCAGAAGCTGGATCGAGAGGTTGGGGGGAGAGAGGAGACGCCGCGGTGGGCGAGGCGGAGACGCTCGGATTCGAGCAGTTCGTAGGACATGGGGTTCGTGATCAGGAGTGGAGTTGAGGCGAAGATTTGGTCGCCACGGTTGAGGGTTTTGTTTGCGACGAGGCCACGACCCTTTCCGGGGAACTCGTATTGGATGAAAGGAGGGTTTTCGTGCTTGTTGATGCGGGAGAGGGCATTTGGGTCGGTGAAGGCGGGTTTTTTGAGCATTTCGTGTGCGTGTTTACTTGTCGATACTATGAAGATTCCACGTCCGTTGGCAAAGTCTTGAGATGTGAAGACGCAGACGGGCTCTGGGGTTGTCTCGCTGGAGTAGCATTCTGGCCAGAATGTCCAAGGGAAGTCGTCGGCTTGTTGGGCCAACGCCCGCGATTCATCGAGCGAAAGTGTGCCGTTTTCTTGAAAGGAAATGCTTTCTGTAGTGGACGGAATAGCATAACTCGTAGGCAGACATTCTCCATCGTGAAGAATAGAATTTGAGGGGCATGCATTGTCAAGGAATGGCTTTTGGGGTATATGGTTAATGTTGTTCGAAGATGCCAGTGCACTGCTCAGCAGGCTAAGACCGACGGCGCTCTTCATGATGAGGAATTATTGGTGGGAATATATATAGAAAGACGTTAGAATTCCTTAGAATGATAGAAGCTCACTCTAGAACTGCTGCTGAAGACGTTTGGGAGCATCATCATTTATTAAGGATCCTCTGCTAGCTCTGCTAGACTTGCAAGGGAGGGGCGGAATGCGTTGAAACGCGCATAGTTGGAGCGAAGGGGTGAAACGCGACCAGAAACCGACTGACAGTACCGCACCCCAGCTGACACAACAACTCGAGGCAGGTAAGACGGAGACAGAAAGCTAATCGGAGTAAGAGTCAAGAGCGAGTGGGGATGGAGCGGTCGAATGGACATATTAATCAAATGACGGTTATGCGATAGGAGAATAACTTCTTGGTGTTGGTGGAGGCATAACGTGGATAACATTTCCCGTTCTATGTATAACAAACATTTAATGAACGGGACGACTTACTATTTTTTGCATACGATTCTTTATGCTTTTTCATGTTAAGGTTTTGACATGGTCCAGGTGCATATTGGAGGTATGCAGGTCCGGGAAGATGTTTGTTGGGGTTCGAGAACCGCGGATCGGTTTCCGGGGGAGTTCGCGTAAACTTGCGTAAACCTAACTGATCTGAGACACATGTTTGAAACACTCGACTTGCGCGGGGGCACTGTCATGGACGCACACCGGACATCTACGACGACTTCATTCGTTGCCACCTGTTTCTAGATTCCATCTTTTCGTACGACTTCCAACCCCGGATACAACTCTCCCCACCCCTTTCCCGCCGCCCAACAAGATCGTGTCGTGCGAACACGCACCGGACCTGAGCACAAAACAGCTGCGCAGGTACAATATGTACATTAAACATTGATATTAATACAGTTCTTAGTGGTAACAATATGAAATCTTGGGATCATCAATATCCCTCATGCCTGCAGCTGTTGCCGATTGCTGCTACACGAACAGTTACTGACCGAAGGCTCAGCCCTTTACAAGTAACGACTTGCTTTGATACATCGGCCGGAATTCTTCGGGCGTGATCAACGCTCCATCTTCCATCCCACGCGAGTTGAAGATGGTGTTGCATTGACTGTCTGAATCGGCAGCCGAGATTTGTCCAGGTCGACAGGCACAATTGCCCACCGGGCACATGTTGCTGGTCTTGCAAGTTGATATAACCTGAGCGTTCAACGATTGCTGTTTTTGGAGCACGCTGGGAGCCTCGATAATGATAGCTGCCATACCCGCCGCAAGATGGAAATCTATGTGGCAATGGAACAGCCAGGCACCTGGGTTGTCTGCTTTGTAACGGAGAACAATATAACCTTCAGGAGGCACGACGACTATAGAACCGTTAGTCAAGACGTAAGAGAGTAGTGGGCATTCGACAGTACCTGTATCACGCCTCATTGGAATCGGATTCAATACAGATTCATCGCCATTCCATGTACCATTGCCGCGGGCGGCAAGCTGAAAGTTGTGTCCCTATGACTGTCAGTATAATATCTTGCAAATCGTTGAAACAAATATATTACGTGTAAATGCATTGGATGGGGCCAAGGTTGAGAGTTTTCCATGTAAATTTCGACGATGTCGTTCAACTGCGTAAGTTCGGGCGCGATGCCTTTCCCGTACGTTGAGAGTTCGTTTGCATATTTACCCGTGGTTAGAGCAGTTAGAAGAGTTGGCACCTTTGGTTCCGTCCACGGCTGCTCTCCGACAGCGATTCTGGTTCCAATACCTTCATAATAGACTTGCTTCGTGCTCCAGTTGATTCTCTTGGTAACGTTTCTGTACAGAGGCTGCCGATCGAGGGGAACAAGGGTCTTATCGTCCAAAGCTCCACGAGGTACCCACCAAGGAACAAGCATCTTTGTGTACTCCGGTTTGATGGGTACGCGGGTGCCATTTCGAGTGTATGAGATCCCTCCAATCACCGAAAGCTTTTCATCTGGCGGTGCAGTATCGTTGGTCAACATATCTTTCGCCATCTTCGCAATGTATTGAGTGCTTGTGTTGGGACGATTTTGGCCAACTACAATAGCGTCGTATCGCTGCCCCGCACAGATCTGAAGTGTGCTCGTGTTTCTCGGCTCAACTGGTATACCATCCACAGCAACGACGGTAAGATTGTGGTTTTCGAGGTGAAAGTTGCCGCAGGCGAGTCCCGCCATGTTCACTATACGAAGCAAGTATCGCTTCAATGGCTCGAACACAAATTCCGGCGATGCTGTTGTATCGTTGAAGAGGAAAGAGTCGGGGATCGGGATGTTCCCGTTTCTGTTTTCCGTGCCCAGGTACTCATTCAAAAGATCTGGCATTTGCCGATGGTACCTGTTATGGTAAGCCTACTGCCGGCATAGTTTTCGGGGAGAATGATTCAGCATACCAGTCGGACATGCTCAGCGGTATTTGCTTGTCGATTTTGAGACTATCCTCCCATACAGGGTCATGGACTATCATTTTACCTCTCAGTCCATCGGGGTAGGCGCCTTTCTGTATCCGTGTTAGCACAATTCCACTGCCTTGCTCCCGTCTGTCTGGCGAAACTTACCACGTGGCTGTGGTACCAGTGCGTTCCCGCCGGGTATGCTTTAAACTTGTAGGTATACGATTGACCGGGGTAGACGGGACATTGTGTCACACCGACGGGACCATCAGAAACCCCGGTACCATACTGATACTGTGCATGGAAATGCAGAGAGGTGCTTTCGTTGCCGAGCGAATTATGAATTTTGACAATGACTGTATCGTTCACGTCGGCCTCAATGATAGGAAGGCTGGAATTTGGTTAGAAAGCGTGGTCTTGGAGCGATGAAGAATAGCACATACGGCCACTGCCCGTTGATGCCCTGGACCGGCCTTGCATACCCATCCGGAGCAGCCTGAATGCCTGTTAGTCCCGACTACATGTGCTAGAAGCATAACCTTCTCAACCTACCGTCACCCAGCCGATATCGAAATCATATCTAACAGTCTTGGCCAATGAAAGTGTAGCAAAAGTAGCGAAAAAAAAGAGTGGAAGCATGGTTGATATTCCAAACGAGTGGCAGCTCCTGGTTGAGCGAATCCTGAGCGACTATTCGAGCTATCTAGATATAGAAGGAAGGTCGAGTGAAGGATACCCTTAGTGAAGAGGAGAGAACGGGGCTGTATATACATGCTGGCGGGATGTTTACCGCATGCCGTGCGGTGTCGTACACATTATTGGAGGTCCATCAAGAGTCCACCCAACTTCCACAGCTTGTGATGGCGCTCTGCAGTGGACGAGGCCTACCGCTCATGATCTCCAGGCCATGTGAGGGGAGGCGCCACCAATGCTCTGCGATTGACCGCGAGGCCAGAGGGATCTGCACATCGAGATGACCCAAGGGTCTCCAAGAGCGCCATAGGCCGAAGCGACATGGACATTGCGCCCTCGCGGTGGATATCGATAAACCCCTATCGCAGGCGGGCCGCCTAGGCAATGGAACATGAAGAACAAACTCTTGACGTCAAGGAACCGAAAAGATGGATGGCGGTATGAGAATGCGATGGGGGCACGTACCACCAAAACAGCCTTCGGGACGGAGTTTTGGCACCGGCTTCACGGGACAGCCGCATCGGGCCTAGCGTTCAAGCAGCACGAAAATCCCGAGTCTCGCAAGCACGTTGTGTTCTTCACAACACTCCCAGACCGTGTCTCACAACCACGCCCAAAAAGTGGGCACGCATACACAGATGGTTTACATGCATATGCGGTGTGCAAACATAGTATGCATGCGGCGGAGCAGTGACAGCTACTGCGTCTGCCATCGACAACCATACGCACGTTCGAGCGCATGCTGTGTTCGCTCGGAGAAATGCCTCGATCTATGCGAGCAGAAATCTACGGCCAGCTCGTACATGGGAAACAGAATGCTAATGCAGTGATATATTGCATCTAAAGCTACACATCATCTGTTTGGATGCTGATCCAAGGGACAGCAGCATCACGCCCAGCCGAACCGAGAGTTTCACAGGAAAGAAAAAGAAAAATTGCGTCAGTGTGTCATCCGTGCTATAGTTTTTACGCGCCAGCTCGCATTTGGTATCAGATGATCACCTCCACGCGGCTGCGTCTTTTTCTATAGATAAGTCGTGGTGATATCCCCACACCAAGAAAGAAACATCTCCAATCACTGCCGAATTGTCCACGCCCAGCGTGTTACCGTACCATATGGACAGCATTCGAGTGTCCCTTCGATCTGCCTCCTCGCGAAATCTGCAAGGAAATCTTGTTTTATGGTAGCGATGAGGGGAAACTTGACTCTCCACAGATCACATGGCAGTGAACTGACGATGGGAAGACTCACCACATCTGCACCTACTCGTTACTCAACCCAATACCCACGTGGGGCACTCCCATCATTTTGCAATCCTCCGCCAGAGGGTGAAAGTCTTCGGTCGAAAGAATCGGCTTGTACCATGGCGGTGCACCACTCCATGCATCGTCACCCTGCCTCCAAATACTTTCGATCTCGCCCAGCTCACCATTGACTAGATTGACTTCAACTCGGGCGATCTGCTCCAATCCAAAATTGCTATGAGAGCGAGCGATGTCGTCCGTCTAGGAATAAGATAGTTGGACGTAATCTCACTACATGAAGACACCGTCTTCTATAAGATCACGTCTAAACTATCTCATTTCTAGACAGACGGCATCGCTCACTCTCATAGCAATTCTGGAACAAAACAAATTAATATCGCCTTCGATACTTAGTCAAATGCCGATGAGAGCCTATCCGGATATTTCTCATGCTCGGTTCGTACCAATATACCCTTGAGTTGTTTTTCTTATCCTCCCCGGTGATGAAGTCTACCACCGGCTTCATTTCCATCTACTGGTCGTGACCCAGAACTTTGACCAATCTTTTTTTTTCTGTCAAAATTGGGATATTTTCACGCTCAATGCCCTTGTAAATTAGCCACTGATGTGCTGGAGGATTCGAATTGCAAACGCGCAAAGTGTTGGAAACAAATTTGGGATGACAACAAAAGCTCGAAGATATGGACATGAAGGGGTAAATACACTAGATATGAGTTCCCAATTGTTGAGTCGTTGGGACGGTTGAGATGTTGTACCGTGGTTCACCGAGTAATTTATGAGTGGCACATCTCCGGGATTTTTTTAGTACTAAGGTTGGCCCGCCTGTTTACAAAAACACCAATTTCTAAACGACGTTTTACTTCAGTGCTCATTCAGCATGGAAAAGAATCGCAGTACATATAATACACTTAACGACCAACTTCACTCGAAGTATAACGGATTACATATTTACGGTAGGCTTGCAGATGAAGCAAGCTTATAGTTGTTGAATGCGAACACATCGTCAATTCTGAGTTGGAGACGATAGACGAACACCAGAATATACCATTTATTTCTTAACATATGGGCATGGATACAAGGTCTTTCTACACAATTGTACTGTTCAAAATCTGATCTTGGGAGATTGAAACGTACTTTTTGCGATTTTGACCAACGATACGTGGTGTAACTGGCAACGACGATTTCAAACCACTTTATCTATCACACCTAGTATCGGCACAGAAAGAAAACCAACAATAATGAAGAGGCAATAATTCCTTCCAGAAAATATACGCATCAAATCCCACAGCAAATCAATCGCCACCTCTAGACATGACCATCCCTACCCAATCCGGAAACTAGGCACCAGCAAACCCTCAAATCCATCCCATTTCGCCACTCCAACATACCCATCAACTTCCTCCCCGCAATTTCTCACCTCCACACATAAACAAACCGGGCAACAGCAAAAGAAAACCAACAATGCCACCCATAAAATGCCACACCCGCACCGACTTCCTCAAAAACTACAGATTCCCACGCACCGCCGATCCAGACTTCCAACTCAACGGCGAACCCTCAATATGGGCGCGCGAAAACCCGCGATCATGGTCGGCGGGCGAAATGGGGTCTGAAACGGATTCGTTCGAGTTCGGGAAGGCGATGAAGGTCGATGCGGAGGGGTTGGAGGGGCTGCAACGACCGCACCGAGGGTTTCATTCGGCGGTTAGTCCGGATCGGAAGCTTGTGGCTGTGGGGTCTGATTATCGGGTTCTGGTATACGATTTGAGGACCAAGGAGTTGAGGCAGGTTTTGGATGGGGGAGGGGGTCTTGCGTTTCGACCTACTATGGGGAGTGGGGTGGACGATGTTGGGGAGGGTGGTGGAGGTGCGAGGTCGGGTTATACATTGTTTAGTGGGGCGCCTGAGGCGCAGACTTCGGTCAGGTATGATAGTGAGAGGTTGGTGGTGTGGGAGCTGGATAGAGAGGGGCGGTTGCTGGATGTCGAGGAGGCTGTTGATGCGGATGATCTGGCTGCGCGAGCCGTTGAAGCGATTCTGCCCCAGTTGCGGACGACTCATGAATGGAGCGCGGAATTCGTCGAAGCGTCAGACTTGCATCGGGGTTTCAAAGGCGCGTTGAATCGCGCTGCGGTGGCTCATCGTTTGGAGAGCACTGTCGTGATTGAGAATGTTGGGTACGGCTTACCGACATGCAGCAGCGATGGAAAATATCTGTTGTACAGAAAACGTAAAGTCGAAGATGGGGAAGAAGCGTTCGTCGTCTACGACCTCGAAAACAATCGCGAATCGCATCGTCTGTCTGGACTCGTGGAGAAAGTCAAACGGATACACTTCACGCCAGATAACAAATCCATTCTCTGCATCGCCTGCAGCAGAATCCCCGAGATTCGTCGGTACTCTGCCTCCACAGGAGAACTAGAATGGACATGCGACACCAAAGCCGAATTCGGCGGGCCCTCCTTCAGTCCCGATCTAAGATACCTCCTCTGCAACAAAAACCTCGGGCGGGAACCAGGAGTGATCCTCGACGTCGCCAGCGGTGAAGTATGCGGCCACCTCCCAGCAGTGCTATCCACGACCTGGCTCCGAGATTTCCGCTGCCAGTGGCATCCAGACGGTCAACAGATCGCAGTGTCGTGCAGCAAGACCGCCTACATAGTGCGACCATTCGACGGAGACAACGGCGTCATCACGCAGACTTTCAAGCCGGAGCGAGTCAAGCACGATGTCATGTTCGAATTCACAGGGATGCAGTGGTGGGATAACGGAAGATTGTTGTGTCTTGAGACAGACGAAGGGTCTGCGCTTATTTACGATACTCAGACTAACGCCAAAGAAATGCTTAGACGGGTACAGGGAGAAGATCATAATGCTGTTACTCAGTTTTATGGGCTGTTTGGTGCCGAAGGTGGGGAGGGATACTATCTTAGTGTTCATGGTGATGGGATAGTTCGGTACTGGGATAGGACTGTTACCACTGCAGAAGAATATGCGCAGATTGCGGAGGCGGAGCGAGAGAAGGAGAAGGATGCTTTAATGCCTAGTCCTGGATGGTGGGAGAAGAAAGAAGGGAAAGAGGCGTTGCCGAAGCGCGAGTACCCCGAGACTGGGAAATACGTCAAAGTGACCAAGCCTACGAAAGCTGATGATAACAAACTCGATGGGACGCGGGCAGATTGGGCAGAAAGAGGAGCCGGTCTGTGGACTGCCGAATAAATCCGCAACGTATCTATATACGTTGATCATGACTACGATATAGCACTCACAACTTCGACTTCTTGTTCTCCTTTTGCACCTTCCCCGGATCCTTCTCCCCAACAAGCACACTCTGATTCTCCCTCTGCGTGCTAACTCTGACATCCAACCCCGGGTTTTTCTCAAAAAAATTTACAGGTTTCAACCCTACCACCATCTTCTCGCACGGCATCACAGGCCAGTCCTCAACCCTCGGATTATGCGTTGACCCAAACGTATGCCAAACTACAATGTCCTCATCCCTCACATTAGCTTCCTCGCTTCCCTTACGCGATGTGATCCAGGAAGCTATCCCCTCTCCACCCAGCGACTGTAACGTATGCGTCCCCGCGGCATACAGCTCCGAGTCGCGATACCGCGTCACCCAAACAGCATGGGCACCGAATTCGGAGCGCCTTGCGTGGAAAGAAGATGGATGAGCGAGGATAGGCTGGCTATAGTATGGCAATAGCTTGAACCCTATAGGCGTACCCGTGATGCTATTCCTCTTCTTCTCGTTAATGAGTTTGAAGGTACGATTCTTGGTGTGATCGAGATCTAGCCCTTGTTCTTGTTCTACTATGGAGCTTTGGGTGGTATACCCTACTCCAAAAGGGTTCGATGCGTCGGGGTACGGCATAGCGACTGAATCTTCTACCACAAAGGAGTTGTTGTGTCCGTCCAGTGCGGGGTCGATGCGCAGGCAGAATAGATGCTGATGATATGGTGCCAAAACCCCAGGCGCCACGACTGTGCCATACGGGACCTGCTTTCCGATATCGATTGGCGCAGTGGAGAGGATTCCCGTTGCGCGGACCTCGTAGTGTATAGAAGCGTCCTGTCCAAAGTAGAAGATGAACACGTACTCGTAGTTGCTTACTGTGATGATGGTTTGCAGTACCAAGAGTCTTGAGCGAGTAACTACTGCGTTGCCAGTGCGGAAGTTTGTGTGTTTCCAGAGAATTCCGTCGTCTTGCTCGTGGCAGCACACTACGTTTGGCATTTGCAGTGGCTCGCCATTGGATGTGGTGTGCCAGAAATTGAAGTATTTGATGTGGCCTAGACAGTCGCACCCGAGTTTTAGATTGTTCGCGTTGACGCCGGCACCATCATTGCCTAGGTCGAAAGCTCCTTTGCGAGGGTATGGTGCGCGGGGGTCTCCGTACTAGATTCGCGGGTATATAATCAGCAAGAGCCAGATGAAATTTTTCACAAGTTGATAGACCGGAAAACGGCATTCCATATGAAGCACTCCATCTGGGTTTGCAAATGGAATACACTAACAGGAACGAACATCTCAGAAAGCGAGAGCCGATAAAACAGACTCTGATTATCGTATCGGATGTCATGAAGCGTCATGCCTTCGCGGTAGTTGAACCCCAAGCGCATAGTCCATTTCTCCCACGCAATGCTATTACCGGAGATCTCGAAGGAAGGACCCTGAGGCTGGTCAATGAGAAGAGGTTTGGTGGTGGTTCGCTGCTCATTGAAGAGATCAGGATGGTACTCGCTCGAGGCGTGGATCTTTCGTTGGTCAAACGGTCTCGCTTCATCCGTAGCGCTGGTGGTGGGAGAGGCACCTGTTGCGAGACGATAAACCTTCAACACTTTGAAGATATCAGAAACCTCTGCGACGATGTCCAGGGGATACGCGTAGTAGCTGGCATCTTTATGGTCGCAGAGTCGCATGTAGAACCAGCACTAACAAAATGCGTTAGACAGAGCATCTCTTGAAGAGCACGAATTTTACCATAGTTATTCGGGAATTCATATCATTCATGCCATCGGTGGCATAAGTCCAAGGTTCGACGATAACAAGGGCACCTTCTGGGAGCTCCAAGGCTTTGATTTCAGCCTGAACTTTGTCATCTTGCAGGCACGCATCTTCTACTTGCGCCATATACGCTGCATCCACATGTGAATGCTTTCCCCTTAAAATCTCATGGGAGATGATTTCAGTTTTGTCCACGTTTACGAAAATCTCGTGAAATGCTTTGCCGATATATGCGTGCACCATGGCTTTTCGTGTCACGTGAGGTGCAGCAGACCCGCTATGCTCAGCGTCCAGGAAAGAGATAAGCTCTTTCTTTGCCGGCTCGACTAACGTAATGACGCGAAATAGCACTTTTTCTTTGATGCATGATTTCACGAGGGTCGCGATCTGGAGTTGTCAGCATGAATTCAGAATTGCAGTTGGATCCGCTTACCGTGTCGATCTCCTGCGCAGAGAGAGGGTCCAAAGGATGAGCTTTGTGAGACATGGTAAATGGAATTGATAAGTTACCGAAAGCTGAATCTGCAAAGGAGTTAAAAGTTGGTGGCTGGATGACTATATCAATTGATGTTGAGTATCGGCGTGTGATAAGGAAAGTGCTACCACTGATCTCAGATGACCAATCATAACACTGTGTCGGATCGCGTTAAACGCCATGCATGTACTGACCACGTACCGCGAGAACAAGTTGGAGACAAAGCATACCTACATATGTACATAGGTATGTATGTCTAAGACTCCAAAGGCAAGTGTAATGATACTCTGGACTACACACGTGTCTAATGACGTAAGGGCTGTGGGTGTACCTGCCTTTGGAGGTTCGATTGTCCGGGTTAAGTGGGAAGCGAGAAGATCTATCAATTGCATGTATTATAAAATCTAAATGATTCCAGCGACTATCGCACGCTTGCCAATACTCTCATGATTGAATAGAAGTGATATTACATAGCTCAAGCCGGTTTACAGTCTGCTTTGAATCTTCTCTAATGTGTCACCAAGCGCATACTCACTTCTCACCGTCTTCGACCTAACCTTATCGCCGTCTTCTTTGCTCACATAACGAGCTTCAACTGCCGGGTTATAGTCGAACTGGCTGCTCTGCTTCACCTCCTCATCGCTGGCTTTCTGGTTCTTTGCTCCGTCTGCGCGTTTATACACCGTCACTACCACTGCGCCGCCGAGTCCAAGATTGTGTTGAAGCGCGACATCACTGCCTTCAGCCAATCTGTTATTGGCCCACCCTCTGAGCTGCCAGGTCAGCTCTGCGCATTGTGCGAGACCTGTTGCCCCTAATGGATGACCTTTGCTGATCAGACCACCGGACGGGTTCACGATTGGGCCTTTTCCACCATATGTGATATCACCGTTCCGCACCATATGATGGGCTTTTCCCGGCTCGCTGAATCCCAACCCTTCAAGTAGAATCAATTCGTTGGCGGAAAAACAGTCGTGGAGTTCGCAGACTTTGATGTCTTTTGGGGTGACGCCTGCTTCTTTCAAAGCGACTTGAGCGGCCCGACGCGTCATATCGTAGCCCACTAAATCCATGGAAGATTTGGAGTATAGCTGAGGCGAGTCTGTAAGTAGTGACTGGCCAGCCATCAATATCGCCTGTGACTTGAGGTGAGGCCTCGCATCCAAGAACTTCTGCGAAACAATCACGGCGGCACCAGCGCCATCAGACGTAGGTGAGCACTGGAGCTTTGTCAAAGGGTAATGGATCATGGGCGCTTTCTCAATCTGCTCCAGTGTGTAAACGTCTCGGAACTGTGCGTAAGGATTTTTCTGGCTGTGCAGATGGCTGATTCGTGCAATCTCAGCAAAATCGCGCGCTTCCGCACCGTACTTCTCCATATACTCCTTTCCAGCGTTCGCAAAGTACTGTGCGTTGGGAGGCGTTTTATCGACACCACGCGTATCCGCCATCATCCGCATAGAGAGGCCCATGGGCGATGGTCGGTCGTTCCAGGCAGACTTAATAGAACCGGCTTGCATCTGCTCGAAACCAATGACCATTGCGCAATCCACGGCACCATTTTTGATCAGTGTTCGAGCGAGATGTAGGCCTGTCGAACCCGTCGCGCATGCATTGTTGGTGTTGTAGATGGGGATCGAGCTCATGCCGAATTGATAGAAGATGCGTTGACCCGACGTGGTATCTCCATAGCAGTAACACGCAACACCTGTTTCGACATCGTCGTAGTTGATTTGGGCATCGAGCATGGCCTTGACGCCTGCCTCGTACCCCATCTCCGGATATGCGCGCTGGGCCCGCGGCTTGATGAACTTTGTGAGGCCTACGCCTAGGACATAGGCTGGAATATCATTTTTGGTGGCCATGATGGAATAATGCCTAGGAAAGTCAATCGAATGTTCAAAGATCTACCAGTACTTGTCGCCTCGTATTCCAAGGGACATCTGTAAAGAGTGGTCGTGATGGGAGATGCCGGTACCGAGGTTACCCTACCCCGCTCGCTTTCGCGCTCCCGATCACTTCTCCGCATTTTCGAGTCAATGACTTTCACTCCTCCATCAACACCATCATTGCTCCATCTCTCGCGCATTCGGACGATGGCATCTTCTGAATCCCACGACAGTCTCCCTCTTCCCAGCAAGTCTGTGCGGCTATGTCGCTGCAGAATACACGGGAGATCCGCCTAGGGATATATGCCGCCGTGGCGTCGGCGTCTCTCATCTCAACAACAAATCTCTTCATCATGGATCCGGACCGAAGCAAACACGGTAGCGTACGGCTCGGAGAAATTATTCCGTCATGACGCGCGTTGCAAGAAGGCTTCCCAAAGCCTGGCGCCAACTCGTCGCTGCATGTAAACAACGAGAACTATGCAGTCCCAACTATCGCATGAATGAAAATCGGGCCTATAATCGTCGACCAGTTGGTAATTTGGCCCTTCTCCAATTGCAATCCTCTCAGCCACGATACAATCTAAGAGGTGGGTCCGCCAGCGGGAAACGAAACGCAGGAACTTTTGCTGCGAGCAACCTCGCCTCCCTGGATCCACTTCAGCGACAACGTTCAGCCCATTTGAATAAGATAACTCTACCACACCCCTGAAGGCGAGCTACAGACGAAAAGTAGTAATCAAAAACGTTATTCTGAATTCATAGGTTGAACACGTACGAAGAAGGCTATTTTTTCCTCACGTGACCAAAAAGGACGGAAAAAGAATATTCTACAAAACATTGAAATCGGCAAGCATTTTTGTAGAACATTCTTTTTCCGTCCTTTTTAGTCACGTGAGGAAAAAACAGCCTTCTTCATACGTGTTCAGCCCATGATAAGGCTTAGAGTGGTCCTTTGTTGCTGGCAACCTCCGGGGTAACTTGTTGCAAAAATCTGGGTCCCGGAGCTCTACCAATAACTGCTGTTAGCGCATCATTCTTGTATGAGGCTGGAGTGATTGGAATTCATCACAGCTACATATGTATTTTGCTCAGAGATCACAGCCACTACTGCATAGCTCCTCAAAGTCTGCAAGTACAGTAATAATGCATTATCATATTTTCCTGCCAGAATTCCTCTTCGAGAACATGTCGCCTGTTGAGGCTGAACGATGGCGGCTCTGCCGAGGATGTTGGCATATCTCGGTTCCGTTTCGAAACGCCTGCCCCCTAAGCTAAGAAGACTATGAAACCTTTTAATCACCTTCTGCACGCTTGGCCATGCGTACCGTTCGCCCCACAGATGCATAAACCTTCGATGTTTTCTCGTCTATTCCCAACGCTGGTGGCCGTGTTTGACGTGAACTAAGCCACCATTGTCAAGGCCTAGCCTCTCCTGGCCCAAAGACCTCGAACGGCATGCTTCTGGATTCCTAGAACACGGCTGGTATCCATCTAGTGTAACCCGGAAGGGCGGTTTTATGAGAAAAATGCTAGTTTTTGTTGGCATCATGGTATCCACACATGTATCGTGGAATCAACTCAGGCCCACTGCACTTCGGTCCTATCGCTTGAGTACATAATGGTCGTCCTTGCCTATGCAATCCTCTCATCGTCAACTGATTGATCTCATTCACACCTTACACATTCTTTTTCTAAGCCTTGACGGCATTTTCTTTCGTTTGGCCGTGCCACACTCACACTCACTATCAATATGGCAAGATCTTTCTTTCTTTCTTCCGCCTTGTTGGCGCTGCAAGCTGCCGCACAACAGGGAGCATCATACACTGACGCCAAGAGCGGCATCACTTTCACGGGTTACTCTGCTTCTGGCTTCACCGTCGGTTTCGCTCTACCAGAAACCCCAGCAAAAGACTTTATTGGACAGATTGTCACTCCAATTACCAACGATGGAGGCTATGGAGCTCTCACAATGACATCGTCTATGACCGACTCTCTCATGGTCGTAGCATGGCCCCATGAGGACAAGGTCATCTCATCTTTCCGCAAAGCCACGTGAGTTCAAAATTCAGTCCACATTGGTCCTCCACGATGCTAACCTTTGTAGGGGGTATACCAACCCAGGCGTCGCCACTGGCGATTTCAAGCTTACCACCATTCCCGATGGAACCTACGTCAACGACACCGCATTCTCATACACTTTCTTGTGCTCAAACTGCATTGGCGAAGATGGGCTCGTTCTCTCTGATTCCACCAATGTACTGGGTTACGCTTGGTCAAATGACGCTCTCAAGACACCTACCTCAGCTAGCGGAGCTTTGAACTACCACAGCGGTGGCTTTGGTGCGTTTGGAGCCTCTCTAGACACCGCAAAGAGTGCCGATTACGAAAAATGGGCGGCCCTTGCTACGGGCGATGCCTCTGCCGGCACTGGCAACGGTACAGGCAGCGGTAACTCGACTGCACCCATCACTACTAACCCTACCAATCTCACGGCCTCCATTGCCAACGAGACTTACGATTACATTGTCTGCGGAGGTGGACCTGCGGGTATCATCTCTGCCAGTCGTCTTGCAGAGAGCGGTGCTTCCGTTCTCTTGGTTGAGCGTGGTGGTCCCTCTTACGCAGAGACTGGCAACAAGGATACGCTATCCTGGAATAGCACAAGGACCATGTACGAGGTCCCTGGGTTCGCCTACTACCTCAGTCAAGTTGGCAAGCCTGCTTACTGCACCGATACTGCGAACATGGCCGGCTGCATCCTTGGTGGCGGCACTATGGTGAATGCCCTCATGTTTGTTAAGCCCCAAGCTCGTGACTTCGACGACAAGTGGCCCACGGGATGGAAGTGGAACGATGTTGCTAAAGCTGCCGACCGATTGTATGAGCGCAACCCTGGCCAAAACTACGGTTCTATGGATGGTGTGCGCTACAACAACGAGGCTTACGAGGTCCTCTCCAAATTCTTCGAAGCACAGGGCTGGGAACAGACTGATTTCATCAAGGGAGACCACAATGCGCGGAAGGATGTTTACGGCTACCCACCTTGGGATCTCGCCAATGGACTCCGCAATGGACCTGTGCGCTCGTACCTCCCCATTGCGAAGCAACAGAAGGGCTTCAAGCTTATGCTCAACACCAACGTCGTCCGGGCTGTTCGCGACGGCTCTGCCATCTCAGGAGTCGAGTTGGAGACTGAAGCTGGCGCTCGTGTCATCTACAACGTAAAGGCTGGCGGCAATGTTATCCTTGCATCGGGCGCCATGTCTACTCCTCGCATACTCTTCAACTCTGGTATTGGTCCTGCTGAGCAGCTCCAGACTGTTGCGTCCGGCACCAGCGGTGTCAAGCTACCCGCTGAATCTGACTGGATTGACCTCCCCGTTGGTGCTGAGATCAAGGATCACACCATCTTCACCATCAAGTTCAACACCAACAGCACCCTTCCCGCTCTTCCCACTACCGATTTCACCAGCCCAAGCCAGACTACAGTGGATCTTTTTGCCAAGGGTGATGGTATCCTCGCACAATCCGGCCAGCGTCTCAACTTCTGGACTTCCGTCAACACCACCAGCGGCAAAGAAGTATTCATTCAGGGCACTTGCAACGGACCTGCCAACAACACTGTTCAGATGAAGATTTACCTGACCCACGGCACTAGCTCTATCGGAAGCTTGGGAATCACTCCTGACGGCGCCACTGAGCTTACCAAGGAGCCTTGGATGCAGACTGACGAAGACAAGGAGGCCATTACCACTTTCATGAACCGTCTCCTCAAGATGACCAATGCTCCCGGCTCCAGTCTCTCTGTCCAGTCTTCTGGCAGTGGCAATGTTACCGCTGCCGATTTGATCAAGGACCATGTCACTGGCTCCCACTGGGTTGGCACGGCAAAAATGGGCAAGAAAGGTGAGGCTGGCGTTGTCGTTGACTCTGACACCAAGGTCTACGGAACCGACAACTTGTTTGTTGTCGACGCTTCTTTCCACCCTGATCTACCCACTGGAAACACTCAAGCCATTGTCATGGTCGCTGCTGAGAAGGCTGTTGAACGCATCATGGCTCTCAAGGGCGGAAAGGTGCCCTCTGCTTCCAACGTAGCTCCCGTTGCATCCGCAGCTGCATCCTCCGAAGCAGTCCCAACTCTGTCGGCTAGCTCTGCCCCAGTACAGGCGACCCCTCCCACGCAGTCTACCCCGGCTGCCAACCCCTCTCAGTCCGTTCAACCTTCCAAAGCATCGCAAACTGCGGCTCCATCCCAGCCAACCCAGTCCGCCCCAAGCAATGGCAACAAGCCAAACCCTTACTGGCAGGCGCCCCCGGGAAACTCTTGGTGGAACCCAAAGGAAAAGCGCCAGACTGTTCACAGGCACCTTCGTAAGCGGGCATATGCTCATGGTCCCGTCTGGCCTAACCCTACCGAGAACTAAATCTCGTCTTACCCCAACCAAAAAAACACACTTCACTTCTTGTATATAGAGCATCGCAAGTCATTTGCTTCATTCCACATTTTCTGTAGATATATTCCACTTCAGTTATTTGCATCATCTTTATCGTCATCGAGCCTCGCTGTGCATAATGTTACATGTTAACTAGGGATCGAAAGGCATCCCTCCCATCCGTCTCCACGATTTCTCCCGCACCCAACTCCTCCTATTGAGCCCTGGCCGATTCCCCGTCTCCACATCCTTCGTCTGCGTCTTCGCCGCCGTCCCATCGCAAAACATCACAAACCCATCCAAATCCAACGTCTTAATAATCGTATTAATCTTCAAATACGGCGTCTCCAAACTCGCCCCCGGCTCATCCAGATTACACAACTTCCTCCTCAACTTCTCATTCGTCAATCCGGGGAAATTCACATTATTCGTCCTGAATTTGGACGGGTCGAGCGCGATGCCTTGATCGGACCAGCCACCACTGTACGTGTAGTTCAAGTACTCGACTTCGAAGACGGCTTTGCCCTCGGTGCCCGGGCGCGGCGCGGTCGTAAAGTTGGAGTAGACGGTGCAGTTGAGGTACTGGACGCATTCCTCCGAGATTGCGAAGTCGACGTCGTCGAAGATGTCGCCGAGGATCTCGATGCAGTTCTTGATGCCGACCGACATGCCTTTGCTGCGCGCGTATTCGGAGAGCTTGTGCAGGTACGCTATGGTGTCGTCGGGGGTGATGACGGGTTTGAAGCCGTTTTCGTTCGAGTATACGTCTTTGTGTCATTCGTCGATTAGCATTCTTACTAGAATTGGACCCCGAGGAAATCCCCCGTGCGCGAGAAAAGAGTGCAAAGGACGGGATCAGGAACTCACCGACATTGTCTGGCTCTATAGAATCACATCCCTTCTCCTTCGCGATATCAATTCTCTTCTTCATAACCTTCAACACGTTGTCTCTCCTAATATCCAAATACCGTTCCCCGGGCCAATCCGGCAACTCGAGTCCTAAATCCTGCTTCTGGAAATCCTTGTAATCGTCGCGCCACGTCTCCGCCGTGGCTGCCGAGAAGTAGCATACCGTGCGTTGACCCAGCTCCTTGAGCCCTTTCATCGTCTCGGCGGGCGTCCAAAACATATCGAGCTCGTAGATACCCGTTTTGGGATTGATGTAGCCATCGTCGATGTCGGGGATACCTGTGAGAATGAATTGGATGTCGGATTTTATGGGGGGTTTCCAGTAGTCTGCGATGCGGGTTGCTTCGACGGGGTCGGAGAGGGGGAGGTCAGCAGTTGGGAGGGCAGATGTGAAGGCTGCGATTTGGAGGAGGAGAGGAAGGAGGGTAGTGGGCTTCATTATGAAGCTGCAGCAAATGCCTGCTTTTCTTTTCACTTTCTTCCAATCGTTCTGCTTTTGATAGTTCCGCTCAGATCCCGGTAGCTGGACGAAGGCGCTGTGAAACAGACAGAGCAATTACACACATTCCCTGGAAGACCCCCTCGCTTTTTATAAGCTTCTTTCTCCCCAAAGAAAAAAAGCTTCGATTTACTTCATCTACGCATTCCTTTCATCCCAGGCTCATCACTCCCATTCAACCCGTTAGAAATGCCTAGCAGACCAGATCGCCGGGTACCCTCCCCAATTAGGAACCGTTCGCGACAGATCCTATTTAAGCATAAATTGTATACCCGGACGAGCCTCACCAGTCCTTCACCTCCGCCTACCAATCCCTCATATTGCCCCCAGGAATATTTTATTGTTTTGAAATATACATGCATTGCAGGTGCAGGAATTGAGTGGTTAGATGACGCGTCGTTGGATGGGTATTTTGGGAGTGTTGGCATTCTACCGGGAGTTGGGGGATGATGGGGTGGCTAATGCTTATTGGGGAATGAACATCACTGCTGCTTTGGAGTGTGATGATATTTGTTGTTAGGCTGCTGGTAAGAGGGTGTTACTTTGCAGTGTTGTATGAGATTGGACGGGTGTAGATGGGACGCTTATCATTTTCGTATCACTATGAGAAGAGGTTGATCTTGACGAAGTTGGCAAATTTCGGCGCATTGGAAGCAACACGGGGATTATCATCTCAAATCGTATCCAATATTGTGGTGCTTTTTTGAAGAGAAAGGCTTTCTTGTCGGAATTATAGTAGTACTGAGTTTGGCGACTATACTTGGTCGCTTATAATTTTATTGATCGAAATGTTATATCAGATCTATACATCGCGATGCTGCCACATCAACAACTATCGATTGAAAGAATATTCTGAATCTATTGTAGTAATGCCTTAGTATGTTGGAACGGTATCTTAAGGGCTATACTATGCAGGCTACCTGACAGTTCGTATTTGAAAGGTTACATCTCAAGTAATAACATCTATGCGGCTAGAACACCGGAAACACGAAGGATAGATTACCTAGTTAGTCGATTGGTCCCTTGGATTGCCAAGTATAATGCTACTAATGGTCAGTAAATAGATACCCGTTAACTTGAATACTTATTATGTATGGCTAGTTTTTGTGGTTGCTAGAGACATTCCTCCGATTGCTCAGCTGCATCTCATATTTCTCTCTGTGCAATCAGTGTTTTAATGTTCGTTTCTACCTTTCTTTTGGGGGGATCACTTTACGACAGCTCTTTTGTGTGGCAAAGGGACACTTTCAACACCTTAAAAATACCACGCCTATTGGAGTCATCAATGGATTTGGCGCTGCTTTTGTTGGTTGCGAAGTCTCTGTTACCAGAATTCTCTCGAAATCGAGAACGTGATCTTTTACTATTCTAAATTTGGATATATCTCACGCCCACAGTTGTCACGAGCAATTTGATTCACACGATAATGCTCTGGAAGGTCGATCTACATTCATCCAAGAGTTGTGGCAAGTGGTCCAAGATAAACTCCACAGTTTTGGGATTTTGCATGGCCTTTGGACTCATTACTCAATACGGAAAACTGTGTTAAACTGTTCAGCAAATCTATCTGCAACAGGGCAATTCTTGTTGCAGATACGTAGATCGCCGATGAAATACTACGATCTAGCGGAAGCTTATGGTCATATACAACGGCCTACAAATTGAAACCTTGAATGGATCGAGCTGGAATAAAATAATAGAGGTACTGATTATACACGAGCTTTCCGACCCCATGCTTCTTGGAAAGAATGACCAATAGTAAACTCCAACCACCCCAGAGATTTCCAGACAAACATCTACACAATTTTCGTTTCAATGACATCGTATGTCGAATCTAGTTCGCATGAATGCAAAACAAACCCCGTCTCGAACGAATTTTGTCTTGCTCTCCGTGCATTATGCATGTTGGTGGTGTGGTTCTCAGCTCGTTGGAAGTCTCGGGGATTGGGATCAATGCACCGCAATGATTGGTCCACATTGATTGTGCATGCGATCTTGCTCTCGCGTCACTGGCTATAACACGAAGGACTGTTGCATTTGCTTAGAAATTACAACGCTCCGAAGAATGATGTTTACGGGAGTCGTAGGGCGTGATAGGGATGTGTTCGCCGAGCTAGACTACGCGTGCTTTCAGTCTGGCTGCTCAGGGTAACCGCGAGAACATGACTTGAGCGACCGAACAAGAGATCCGTTAATCAATAAATCACATCTAGCAGATTCTATCAAGCATATTCATCCCTCTTATTCCGAGCCCACTAATCTTTCAGCACCGCCTCAAAAAGCGTTCCAGAACCAGGTCCATGGTCCTTCGCCTTCCACGTACCAACCAGCTTGAACCCAGTCTCATCGAGGAGCTGTTCAAACTGCTTCTCGGTCCTTTCTAAAGAAGCAAATACGCCCATCATAATCAAGTCGAGCGCCGCGGGATAGAACCCCACGTTATCTTCAGGAATCGCATTATCGTTGATCAAAAGGACAGAGTCCTTAGTCAAGAGAGGACGAATATGCTCTAGGATCTGCTTCGCCTGCTTGTCTGGCCAATCGTGAAGGACGTTTCGGAGGTAGTACGCCTTCGCGTTACTGATAGTGGATGGCTGGGGCAAGAAGAAATCGTGTCCAACCCCCTCGACACCATCCGGCAGCGTTCTCACCGATGAAATGACAGATGGTAGATCTTCGACTACTAGCCGACCGGGTAGTGTTGGGAACTTTTTCTGGAAGTTAACGAGATCGTAGCCCAAGTTCCCTCCGATGTCGACTAACAAGATGGACGAGGAATCCGGGTTTGACAGAGCGAGTTTTTCCTCGACGGGGTAGAACTCGAACCACTCTTGTCCGCGGCCGTTGCGGGCGATTTCCATGGTAGCGTTGAAGGACGCCTGGATTCTGGGTCGTTGGCTCAACCACTCGAAGAAATGCGTTTTGGACTTGTGTGTGAATTGGAATGGGCTGTCCTCGGCGTCTGTAGGGTTGTGGTAGCCTTTTTCCTCGAAGTAATCGGGCAGCATCGTCACGGGAGGGATTTGGGAAGAGCTACGCAAGGCATCAGCCGATGTTCACAGTCCGTCGCTGCGGGGAATCAAAGCGTACACGTGTATGACTGCGTCCCGGAAAGGGGAGCCAGTGGCCCATATCCCTGCCGATGGAGTAGCAACGTATGTATGGTGACCAACTTCTTCAAATATCCCCATCGTCACTAGAATCCTCATGACGCGCACTGCGTTATTTCCGTGAGCTCCAGCGATTTTTGAGACGTGTTTCCGATATCCAAACTTGACCACTCACCAACAAGCAGCACATCAGCATCCGAACCAGACGCCAGTTTCTCCGCAGTAATGGGACCCTTTTCCGCAACACCGAGATCAAGAAGCTTCATGTTGACGCCGAGACACAGAGCTACGCTCTCAAAAGCCTATCCAGAACTGTTCAGTATCACCGATCCAATTCCAGAAGGGATCCGCAAAACCCCATAGAAAAGAACTTTGGAGATGCTGTGGTTTCAAGGTGGTGCACGTACGCCAAACAAGAATCGAATAGTCTTCTCGATTGGATTTTCCAGAGCCGATTTCGCTTTCTCGCATGCCGACATCAGCGCCGCCCTCTCTTCGTTGCTAATATTAGAGGGAACTGACGCAGCGAGATCGAGGAGGCTCTTGGTTAGATCCGCGGTAGCCATTTTCCACGAAGAATGCAGAATTATATCGCTTCCAAAGATAAATGTGCGTGCGTGCGTAGCAATGTGATGAACTAGAATCCGAAGAAAAAAAGACTTGGGGCTTGCTTATGATGGGCTCGTGAATAGCTTTTTTATCATCATCGCTGGTCTGTGAGTGCTGTTTTACGGCGCAGCCGGAATGCAGGTTTATCTACCAGGTGTTGCATTGCGGCATGTTGCACTTTGGAACTTGACCACGCAGCGGTTTGCTTGGTACGTACCAACACGCATTTGCCTTGGTTGCCTGGTGGCTTACTTACCCTACGCCGCATGGCAAATAATCTAGAATTATCCCCACACCTGGGTCGAAGAGGAAATCTCACTTGCATATCCATTTTATTAATCAACACACACTTAAGGATAGTCACATGATGCGAGGTTTACGGCGCGTATATCTAACAGTTAGAGTAAGTGGCGGGTGGTCTAATACGTAGATCAACAAATTGTGGGTTACTGCCCATATACTTGAGTTGAACAGAGTACTTTGATATTTTTAACAGCAGATATCTTTCCCTTCATCAAGTAACATTTCTAAACCCTTCGCATACCACTCTCTCTCTGCTTAAAATCCGACACATGACTGTGACCACTGCTTTTATCTATCCCAGTTTGATCTATTCAAGGTCGTCACACCAAACTCGCATGCATACGATAGTGGTAGAAAGCGGTATAGGGCGGTCTTACCTGTGCCATTGCGATAAGTGAGCATCCTAGAGCGATCAAGCACATCATCACGGGATTTCAATTTCCTTGTTAATCTGAACTTGACTCCAGCACTACATATTTCCCCCCGCTCCTTTTTTTTCCCCATTGGAATGGTATTGAGATCTTCTATCTCTAATCCCGCACATCTGTTAGATCAGGTCAAAATCACAAGATACACAGAGACAGAGACTGAGAGAAGATTCCATAACTCATTCATCCATCTAAAAAAATAGTCAAAGGTGTTAGTCACCCTTGATCGCATCAAAGACCCTACGCAAGAGCCCAAATGTCTAATCCAGCTCTATACAATCTCCTCGGATATATACAAGTCTCAAGGAGGGAGGGGGGAATGTGCAAGAGAATAATAATAATAAACGCCGCTACCCTCTACACACTGATATCGCTCATGCAAATAAAGAGAAGAAAAAAGACATAAAAAATCGTCCAAGGTCAAACTAAGCCACAGACAGCCCCCTGTCAAAACAGATTAATCCCCTTTAGTACAGCCATGCAAAAGGAGAAGAAGAAAAAGAAGAAGAATACATGGGGAAAAAAATCCCTAATGCGATCCAACCGAGCCCTGATCCAATCAAACCCAATCCGCTAGCAGTAAAACAAACACGATAGTGAAGAAGAAAATAAAAAATGAAAAAAGAATTACTCCCTACCCCGACCTCGACCCCGGCCTCGATCCCTCCTCATCCTTCTCCGGAACATCCCGAATCAAGCTCTCAACCGAGAACTCTACTCCCTCGAGGTGCCGCCATTCAACATTGTATTTCTCCTCGTCTCCTCCTGCAGCGTGTCCAGGCTCGCCGTGCGCGAGCGGCGCGGACTAGGTGTGCCGACACGACTACTCTCGGTACTTGCATTCGCGCTGCGATTCGGACTTGAGGGTCTACTAGCTGCAATCTCGTACGAGGGCAAGTCTTCGGAGAGGGGCGTGTGTGCGGCGGGAGTGCGGACGGCGGTGTTATAGCTGGGGGTGCGGGTGAGGGCTTCCATGTCGTAGGAAGTGGAACCAGGTGTGGCACCTGCGAAATAGGATCCTGGGGGCGTGTTATCGCCGCTACCTGTGCCGCTGCCATCTGGGTTGGAGTGCGGAGTGGTGCTACCGCCTGAGTCGTGGTGGGAGTGATGGGACTGTGTCGAGTGTTGACGGGAGGGGTAAAATCGAGTTGAGGGGTGGTTATTGTTATTGCGGAGTTGGAGATTGAGGTTTGCGAGACGATGTTGGAGGGCTACTGTTGAGACTCCGCCGCCATTGCTGCCACCAATAGTGGCATCAAGAGAAGCTAAGTTCTCGGCTGAGCCTGAGCGAGACTGTGCGTAGAATGGCGTATTGGCGCCGCTGCTGCCGATGCTTGCACGACCTCCTGGCGTTAGGAAACCGTTCGGGTCGATGTCATTGTAGAGGGAGTCGAGCTGATGAAGGCCATATGTCGGTGGTGCATTTTGGTTGATGTCGTCCTGGATGGCTTGTTGCGAGAGAATGGAGTGATCGACCAGCACGCTCTGGTCCTCGCCAGGCGGTAAATTGGGCGAAATGAACAAATTAACGTGGTTCTTGACCAGCAGCTGACTGGTGTGACCTTCCGGGTTGAGCAGGTTGACATAAATGCGAAGTTTATGCGACACGCGTATGTGCTCGGTATCGATTGACTGTCTGCAGTTCTTGAGTGACTTGGGAAGGTCCAGAGTCTTGGAAAATCGATGGCACTCGTCGAATATATCGTCCACGGCTTCCACTCCTTCGGGAACCAACTGCATAGAATTTTCGGGCATCTTGCTCTCCGTCGTACAAACCACCGACTCCGTTTGGTGCGACATGCGCCGACCGCCAAAGTCGCAGAACAATTGCCGCGTCTCAACCAATTCCATTTTGATGTTGCTGATCTCAACACCCTTTCGGAGGGGCGTTAGCAGGAAGTCTGCGGTGATGGAAGTCCCGACAATGTAATTCTTTTGTGGCACAGTAATTTTGTACATGATTTTCGACGACCAGATTTCCTCGTTGATCTGTTCCATGGGTACGACATCCATAAGGTCGCGGGCCAGGGTGCGGATAACGCGAATATGCGATGTAGCCGTGAGGGGCTTGCTTATGTAGCCTTTATCCACTGTCGCCTTCAAGGTGTAAATGATGTAGTTGGTGGGTAGACCCTCGACGCTCTCGTCCAGTTTGCTAGGCATCTTGAACTTGAAATCCCACTCATGGGTACCGGCATTGATCTTGTGCGCTTTGACCGGAGATCCGCTCACGGGGAAGAGGGTGAGATGTTCGGTGAGGAAATGCTGTTTCTGCGAAATCGGTTGCGGCGTGACCGTGTTTGAAGTATACCATCTACAAAACGAAGCAAAAATAATCAGCGACTGGCGGGGGGTTTTTTTGTTTGGGTGAGCTGGGCTGGCCTACGAGATTTTGCGCACGCCGGTCAAGGTCATGCGAATGGCCTTGACCGACATGGACTCGGCGTGGGAGAGGACCAATTTGCCCTTGAGCTCTGCATTTTGCGATTCGGAAGCCTCGCCATAGAAGACGACAAACGGTGAATCTGGTCTGGGGCCAAGTCAGCTTGCGCAATCGCCCATGGACAAATTTTGAGGCTTAAAATTCTGTTTTGGGAGGGGATCGGCCGTCACGTCATCGCTGCGACCCGAGAAATAACTTACTTAATCTCCAACACGGGCGCCGAGTGACCACCAAAGAATCCGCCAGGACGAGGCATGGTATGGTAGCGATATGTGAAGTGGAAGTGGAAGTGGGAGAGGGAGAGCAGCGGTGAAAATAAAAGTTAAGGTCTAGACAGGATCATGCCCACGCCAGCGACGGGGGAGGCTGAGGACTAAACAATGATGGTATCGGGGAGCGAGCGGCCGGAAAAGTAAAATAGTCAACCAGGGTCCAGAGCAGTTGGGGCGCAAGTCAAGGCTGGCTGACGACTTGGAAGGGGGTACGTATTGGTACCAGACCGGGGCTGAGTGGCTGTATGTATGCGTACGGCGTATGAGGTAAGTCGGTTGCAGGTCAAATAGACAGGATTGTTGGCGTGGGGAGTGGTGGGATAATATTCTTGGAGCTGATGAAGGCTGATGTTATACAGAAGCGAGTGCGACTAGCGATGGGTTGGTGATGTTGGTAGTTGATGATGCAGTGGTCAAGTCATGGACGGGGATTCGACACAGCTGGATGTTATGTCAGGTACAGACAGACGGCTAGGATGTACGGTGTTATGTGTGTATGAAGACTTGGATGCGAGGAGGCGAAAGCAAGGCGGGAGCGGCGAGAGTATAAAAACCCAAGTAGGAGAGGAGCTATGGGTGGATGGATGGGCTGAGACAGGAACTGGCCTGACTCCTGCCCGGTTGCTACAGACAGAGGGGAATGGTGCTATCTCTCTATCTCGTTTGCGGGCGATGTCATGACGATCTAGCGCGTCGTGGGTGGGCAAAGTGCGGGTCCCTGGATCTACCCATTGCAGTCGCGCAGGAAAAAAAAGATGAGGGAAAAAAACATTACCCGCTCCTCCAAGGGTGTGTGTGCCGACGTGGGCAGCGGAGGGCGAGGGCGGAGGGAAACAAAGAAAGTGACGCGAAAGATGAAGCCGCGAACGGGTGAGAGTGGCATGATGGTGATACTGTCTGCAACAGGAAGAAAACACATGCAGGAGCCTCGACGTGCGCTAGCCGTTGCATGTCCACAATAACGACGTGCAGTCTATACACCTACATACATGCTGCCTACCTACACATGTGTACATACATACATACATACATACATGTACATCAACCACACATGCAGAAACAGATAAAGACATGGGCCGCGTGAGGGGCAGCCAACATCCATGCAGAAACACCAAAACCCCTCCAATGCCAAACAAGAAACCACTTTTTCTTGTCACAAGGTAAAAACCCGCACACAAGAACAAGAATCTTGCTGTCATGCTTGAACACAAGCGTGCCGCCGATAACGAACGAACCAACATGCAATCCCGCGACATCACCGTTACAGGTGCATAACCTCACATTCCCAGACTTTGATGGTTTGTTAGTTGTTTTCCGCCACAGCTACGCCGCTACTTGCCGCCGCCGGCCCCAGCGCCCTGCATTGCACCCATCCAACGCGCGTCCGACCCAGAAACCACCCCTACAAATAGAAGTAAATAGCCATGGCACTCTGACCAACGGAAATACCGCAAATCCATAGAATATCCATGTCAGGGAGAAAAAAAAACAGTGGGAACGTTAAGTCTCCTAGGGGTCTGGAAGTTGATGAGAGACATGGGATGGAAACATGAAAAGAAAAATTGGACTTGACGTGATCATCGCACTAGTGCCAAAAGAGGCTTAGCGTTATCGCTTAGTCGTTTTCTTCGGTCCGAGTTTCGCCTAACGTTCGCAGATGCTTTTGCTTAGCGACTTCACGTTTCGGACTTTTGAAATGTTTGTTGAGCCTCAATGTGCTAGCTTGCTTGGTGATGATGATGATAGTGGCATACCGCAATAAGTCAAGGTATTATACGACTATTGCGGGTGTACTACGCTTTTCAGTCTCTTCGAATAACACAAAACAAAACAAAGCATCCCAAGCAGGTGCTTCTCAAACTCCATTGCAACTTGAATGTAACAAAAGAAATGCGAAGCCATCAAGTTTCTCATACACAAAAACAAACCCCAAAAAAAAGAATAAACACCAAATCGCTCAGTCCAACTCTTTCTTCTTTCTCTCATTCTCCCGCTCTCATCCCATCCTACGCTTTCCAACCTACCTCATCGTGACATGCCTCCTCACCACCTCAATCAATCAATCACAGAGATATCCAGCCACTCCCATCCTACCCCTGCAAACAAAGAAAACGACCGTTCCAGAACCCGAAACCTGTGGATCCGCAGCAGCAGTGGGTAAATCACTCTTTTACTTGAATGCTTCGCTAGCGGCCGCGCTCGTAACTCTACCTCTATCTTCTACGATAGATTACTACACCTGTAGCCTTGTATGTACGATGATGGTAGTGGTGCTTTTCTTCATCATCGCCGTCATTCTCACATGGGATTCCTGCAAAATGCATGTTGAAGGCGCTGGGGGTTGATAATCTTGCAGAAACTCAAGAGTCATCGTGCAGCAAGAAAAGCAACGAGTACATGCATGCAAACAAGGGCGATAAGCCAGGGGTTTTCAGCAACAAAAAAAAAGAAGGGAAAGTGTGATGCTCGATTGCTCTTCCTTCTCGAGTTCATCATCGAGGTTCAAAGGTCTGAGAAGCCAAAGAATGATTAGACAAATAACCCGCCCCCAGCCTTTTTTTTCTCTCCCTTTTTTGTTTCCGTCTCTTCCCAATCTCCCTTTCCCCCAAAGTCTCGTATACAAACATGAGAACCGAGGCCTCGACTACGGTCCCAACAAAAAAAAAAGGCGGGAGGCCAGGTATGAAGCTATGCAAGACTCTCACTGGTGATAAACACATCCCGCCCGACAATCAACCGTACGGGGATCAAACCAAGTTACCTACGCATGGTACCGATGCGTGAGACACCAAATGTCCCATTAAACCTACGCGTTGCTCGCGCCGCCACCAGACGTCGTCGAGAGCGCCGCATCATCGCTGCCGGCCGCTTCTTTGGGGCGGTCCCATGTCCGGATGTGGCCTATGAGATCCAACACCGTTAGCATGTGTTTTTCCTTATCTTCTCCCGGGCGAGCATGTCTCGGCCGTAGTGGCTTGTTTTTTTTTTCTTTCTGTCTGGCTTCCGCCCTAGCACGGCCCGCTGCAGAAGTGGGTCGTGGGTCCCGGTACAATAGCGGGTGTTCCTGGCAAGGAGAGAACAGGAGGCGACATGCTCGGAACAGCCTCCGATACCGCGCGCATAGGTCGGAAATGCGAAAGGACCGACCCGCAGACGTATGGTTTCATGCAGGGGGGTATGCCAAAAGGGAATGACTAAGGAATGACTCTGCGACTCACCGTTCTTACACGACGTTATAATGCAATCTTCTTCAAAGCCCAACCAGCAAAGGGGATGGTCGTCGACAGATTTCGCCTGCGGCCAAGATGAGCACATGCAAATGGTCAGGAAAAGTGGGTTGGTCTGAGAGACTCACCATGACGGGAGGCAACATTGCCGTGCGCGCCCGAGGCTCCACCGGGTGCACCACCTCGCCGTCGTCGTCGAGCAAGCTACCCGATGTGAGGTTGGAATTCGATCGCAGTCTCGATGCGGACCCCTCCGTACGGGTGCGCTGCATCTTGAGCGTCGACGACGTGATACTATTCCGATGCCTGACGGATGCCTGCCTGATGTCAGCGACCAAATGTCTGTTCAAAAGCTACGAGTTCCAATAACGTACCGCTCGAGGTCGGTGGAGCATGCCCACGCTAAAGTCCCATAGCAGCAACCTGCAGTCCTCGCCCACGCTTCCAATGCGATAATTGCGCTCGTCACATCGCCAGGGATCGAACTGCACTGCCGTCACCCAAGAGTTGTGTCCTTGACAGCGAGCTACCAGTGAAGCTTCCTCGAGGGACCAGATGGAAACCAAATCGTCTTGGCTCCCTGTTACGACATACTTGCCGTCTGGCGACCAGCAGACACACATCACTCCGCCATAATAGCTCATGAATTGGTGGAGCAAACTAGTAAAAGCATCAGTATGGCTTCAATGTTCTCCCCAATCAGTGTACTCACGTTTCGGCAAGAAAGTCAATGATCCTGAATGTTCCGTCTTCGGATACCACGGCGAGGTGCCGGTTGTCAGGCGAAAATGCAAAAGCATTGATCTTGGCGGCAGACGCTTTCCAGTATGATACTGGATTCGCCTTTTGGGTTTTGGAACGCACAGATTTCTTGACGCTGAGTGAACCCTTGGTGGGTTCTGCGATCGCTGAGTCGGCGTCTTGGTCCTCGGCAACAAACGGCGCGTCTTCTTTCTCCTTGTCGTACACAACCAGACTTCCGTCCATATGCGCCGCAAGAAATAGGTTCTCGCTATTTGGAAGCCATCGTATCTCAGAAACAGCAGAATTGTTGATCGCTCCCTATGAGGTCATTCGAGTCAGCCGAACAATCTCCGCATGTCGTCGGATCCCTGATGTACGTACATTCTTATTGATTCGAGCGTATTTCTGTGACATGGGTTCATACCAAATGATGTCGCCCGTGGAGAAACCCATGACAATATCAATGTGGTTCGGACCTTTGGTTATCTGGTTGACATCGTGGCATAACGCGTGCGCTTTCGTGAACAATATCTTGGTGAGATGCTCCTCCTGCTGTACATTAGTGTGGGCTCTGGATTAGAGGGAGACGGAGAGTCTGACTTTGGTCGGTGACGAGAGATCGAGCCATTGCAGCGCCCGATTAATATTCACGAAGCAATACAGTCCATTCGGGCTGTGGTCTTGCAGCCTCTTAGACAGGGCCTCGTGGGGAATCACTCGCGAAACAAATGACGAATTGCTCTTGACAATGTTGTTCTTTGGTTTGCGACGCTTGAGCGGGTCTTTGCTATCTTTGCCGTTCACCACAGCCAACGCGGGGTTGTCAGAGCCAAAAACTGGTGCGTATAGCCCCTCGCGCGGAGAAGGCGCGATGCCGCTGACGCTGTGTGAGCCAGCATCTGAGGCTTGGCTGTTGGACTCGTGGGGCGACTCTTGTATGCTCGGCGGGAGCTGCGATCGCGCGCTCGCGGTTGTATCGAAACGGAACAGTCGCGAGTTGGAGGCCTGGCGTGGGGCGAGTACAGCGAGGGACAGTTTGGATCCGGTGCTGGGCGGGGATATTGTGGTCGCAAGAGGGTTTGGGTTATGAACCGGTGCTTCGGAGGGGTGAGGGGGCGGCGTGGCAAGGTGGAGGTCTTCTCGCAGAACATAGGTGCCCTCTCCGGCCAGGAATTGGTATTCGGGGCCGGTGGGGTGGGTGAGGGTGTTGTTGGTCTCGATGAGCTGGCCTTGGAGGGTGCCCGGAGCCGGGTATCTGGGAGGAGGAGGAAGCACACTGTAGAGGGGCGGTCAGATGCGGCAGTGATGAGTAGACAGAGAATGGCCAGATAGATGGGAAAGATGGCCGATCTCGAGCCAGCCGTAGTTGCGACAGCTATGATTGGACGTGGGGATGCAGGGCACTTACAACATGGTAGCAATCCAAGAACCGACGAGGCGCAAATCCAGACAGATGATACAACGATATCGCTGTCAGCCGGCGAGGCAGGCAAGAAGGAGGATGATCAGTCAACCAAACCGTCAATCGATCACTCGGATGGGCGCTCAATGCAACGGGTAAACGGTCGGAGGTTGGAGATCAAGGGTCGCGGGCGATGCGTCGCTTGGCCAGAGGGTGGTAAGCTTGGGGACCCACGCCAGCGGACGTGAGGGAAGATGAGGAAGAATAGTGTGGGGTAAACAGCATAGCACAATACGGGGCACGGCAAAAGACTCGGGGAGAGGGTTGCCGGGGGCGCAGAGCAGACGATGCCGGGGCAATTGGGGGCGTTGTTGGTTCGGGGATGTTGGCTCGAATTGGGCGAGGGCGAGGGCGAGCGAGAGGTGTGTTGGACGGGCAGGCTCTTCGACAGTGCAACGGCGACGAAGACGAGCGGACGGACCCCGGCGATCGGGCTTGGAAGGAAGTTGGAGTCGTTGTTGTGTGGAGAGCGGGAGGGCTAGCGCTTAACAATAATTCCATCCCAGAGCGTACCGGCTGTGCCGCCGCCATTGGGGTCCAAGATGGATACTGTTGTGTACGGTGTCTGTCGTGTTGGGGGAGTGTTTGAATGAACGGAGAAGAACGAGCGAGTGAAGATGCGCAGATTATAAAATAAAAACAAACAAACAAACGCCGGGGCGCCGATGGATGGTCGGTTGGGGGTACATGTACATACATAAGTACATATGTACACATGATGACAGCACGCCCCCCCCCCCCCCCTTCCCCAGCTTTTTACTTTGGGGGATGCAATGGGGCGACGCAGGCAGATAATGTTTGATCTGTATGGCCCAAACATTGTCGCCCAGGGTGGGGCTCCATTGTTAATTGATTGATTCCTGCATGGATCCATCGTCCACCCACGTGTGAGAAGACGCGCTTACTAACGAGCATCCGCGCTCCCCTCCCATCGTCAATGAAGCTGATGGTGGTCCATCCACCCCACCCGTCACCACCCAAGTATATACCTTATACATATTGCCTCCGTCTGCCCCCGGCATGCAGCACTAAACATGCATCCCGACCATGGCCACCGTCCGAATCTGTGTATGCGGCGATGAGGGCGTCGGCAAGAGCTCCATCATCACCTCGCTCGTCAAAGGCGTCTTCGTCACAGCAAAGATCCAGCCCGTCCTCCCTGCGGTGACGCTCCCACCCAATATCGGCACCCCCGACAATGTAGCCACGACCATCGTCGACACCTCCGCTCTCCCCCACGAACGGCACGCTCTGCGGAAAGAACTGCGCAAATCAAATGTCATTCTACTCGTGTACTCGGACCACTACAGCTATGAACGCGTCGCCCTTTTTTGGATGCCGTATTTCCGGTCGCTGGGTGTCAATGTTCCTGTCGTGCTGTGTGCAAACAAGTCGGACATAGCAGCAAGTGGGAGCACCACCCAGGTTGTTGCGGAGGAAATGCTGCCCGTCATGAACGAGTTCAAGGAAATAGATTCGTGCATTCGGACCAGCGCCAAGGAACATCACAACATCAACGAGGTCATCTTTCTGTGCCAGAAGGCCGTCACACACCCGATTGCACCCTTGTACGACTCCAAGGAAAACGCCCTCAAACCGGCTGCGGTAGCTGCGCTTCAACGTATATTCCACCTATGCGATACGGACAAGGATGGATACTGGAACGATCAGGAGATTCATGATTTCCAACTAAAATGCTTCGATAAGCCATTGGGGGAGGATGACTTGGCTAACATCAAGCGGTCCATCGAACGCTTTGTACCGGGATCCACGGGCGAACGAGGGATGGATGAGAAAGGTTTTCTTTTGCTTAACAAGATTTTTGCTGAAAAGGGCAGGCATGAAACCATCTGGATAATTCTAAGGAAATTCCACTACACGGACAGTCTGAGTCTTCAAGATACCTTCCTCCACCCCAAATTCGAGGTCCCACAATACGCTTCTGCCGAGCTTGGGCCTGCAGGCTACCGTTTCTTCGTGGACTTGTTCCTCAAGTTTGACCGGGACAACGACGGCGGGTTGAACGATGTCGAGCTCGGCAACCTGTTTGCGCCCACGCCCGGCGTGCCGTCGTCGTGGGTGGATTCGGCATTCCCGTCCTGCACAGTGCGCAACGAAGCTGGCCACATTACGTTGCAGGGATGGATCGCGCAGTGGAGCATGACGACGTTCGAAGAGCCCAAAACGACGCTCGAGTATCTGGCCTACTTGGGGTTTGAGGGTGGCGACCGCGGGGGTACTACCAACGCGCTCAAGGTCACCAAGGCACGCAAGAGGCGCAACAGGCCCGGTCGTGTGGAGCGCAACGTGGTTCTGTGCTACGTGTTGGGCGCGAGCGCGAGCGGGAAGAGCGCTCTGCTATCAGCGTTCTTGCAACGGCCTTTTACATCAACGTACCACCCCACCATTCAACCTCGCTCTGCAGTCAACAGCGTGGAACTCAAGGGCGGCAAACAGTGCTATCTGATCCTCGAAGAGCTTGGCGAGCTGGAGCCAGCCATTCTGGAGAACCAGGCCAAGCTGGATGCGTGCGATCTGCTGTGCTACACGTACGACTCGAGCGATCCCGACAGCTTCGCACACATTGTGGAACTACGGAAGAGATACCCGCAGCTCGACAGGCTACCGGCCGTGTATACAGCGCTCAAAGCCGACCAAGACAAGGCTATGCAGCGGAGCGAGCAGCAGCCGGATGAGTACACGAGCGCGCTCAACATGTCAGCCCCACTCCACGTGAGCGCAACGTGGAGTAGCATTTCGGAGCTGTTTGTTCATGTAAGTAGATACAAAGTCCCACGGCATAGACGGCGTAAGCTGTCAGACTGAACTGACGCGTGTGCTACAGCTGGCCGAAAGTGCAACGTTCCCATCGACGGCGTTCCCAAAACAAGATGAAGAACCGTATGACAACATGAACCTCTACCTTGCGCTGGGCGCGATGGCATGCGCAGTAGCTTCGGTGGCTTTCATTTGGAAGCGAAACTGGGCCAATCCTTGAAAGTGGTTGCTTGTTGTGCTACAGCAGAGATGGCGATGGTGCTGCATGGAAGGAGACTAGAAAAACGTCACCTGGCGACATAGACTGTACATATACCTATTTACCTGGACACACCCTCACACATGGCTAGTGTTTAATGCATAATCTACGCTCCACCACCTTGTCTCGAATTCTCCTTTTTTATTCTGCAGTCCAAAGCACGGGAGCACCTCGATCAGGCAGACACGGATAGGCGCCAGGAAGAACTGAGCAGGGCGTGGTAGGTGGACGGGGATTTGTGCTTGGGCATGCACCCAAGAGAGCTCGAGCTTGGATGATGGGTGGATGAGGATGAATGGGAAGCCCCCGGCGCGTAGGCGGGGCTAAAAGCGACTCGCTTACAGCGAATGCCCTTTGGCCCCCCACCCCTCGATGCACACGGCAGACGGGGCGATGATGAGATGGATGATGGAAGAGTACACAATTGAGTAGATGGACTTGCTCGGGAGGAATGGCAGACGGTGGACAAGGCTAGCCAGTTATACAAGCGTGGTGCTAGGCTGAATGCTAGAGACTCGGATACGAGAGAGGGAGAGCGGGCGGTTGGCAAGTGGCGGCGGCGGCAGGCGGCGGTCGGTCTGTCTGGCTGGTCTGCCTAGGTGGCTGTTGCTGTATACCATTACCATTCCCTTGTAATGCTCCCTTTGGTTCACTAGACATGCTAGACGGCCATTGCGAATTCTTTGGAAGATGATCTCATAGTATCGTGTGTATCCTGCTCTGCTCTGCTCTGCTCTTCAGCTCGGCTCTGGCCCTCACGTTTCTGCCTCGCCTGCCGACCGACACAAGATTGTTGTTGACTTTTGTCTGTCTCGTGCTCTCAAGCTTCCCCTCCCCCACTCCCCTGCTGCTCTCCTATCTGCTCTACCCCATCTAGCGCCTCCATCATCATCCACACAGATCATCCCTCCTCGCAGCCGTAATAATCAATCCCCCTCATCCACCTATCCATCCAGCTATATACATACATACCTACCTACCTACGGCATACCCACTCGCTTGGTTTGCACTTTGACCGCCCTTTGGCCTTCCGAAGCCATCCGACGAAACCGCCAGGTCAAATCCACCGCCGACCACCGACCCTTTCGGCCTGCCGCAGACACGTTCCACTGACTGCCACTGCCCGTTTGGGCCTGGCTTACTCGTCTACCACGCTCGTTCGTGTCAAGCCTACCTCGCATTTGCTGCTGCTGCTCTGCTCTGCTTGCTCTCTTGCTTGCGAAACGCACCTCCACGGTCGGTAATCCTCCTCCTCCTCCTACTCCTTCCCACGCCGCCAACGACGACACGATCCCCCACGACATCTCCCCCCTTTACATCCACCTCCCAACACCCACCTCGTGCGCCTGCCTGCCTTCACACTTCTCCCCCCGTCACCACTCGCAGGACATGCTCGCTTGATCCCTCCCTCCCCCGTCCCGTCCGCACTCTGCCCGACGTGCTGCTCCTCCGCATCGCCCGCGTGCCCCTCGTTCTTCGATGACATCGGACCAGAGCGCCTGCTGCCGTCTCGCCACACATCCGGAGCGCAGCCAACATGCAGGTGAGCAATCTCCGCCAGACACCCACCCCTTGCGGCAGCCCTCGACTTGGCCGCGGCGGGGGACGATGTGCACGACCTATTGCTAACTGCCTGTCTTTCGCTGGGGGAAAAGGCCTCCGAACGAGCTCGCGAGCTGGAGCGGGTCTATCAACAGCGTCGTGGTCACGGTTCTCACATTTCCATCAGCGATGACAATCACCACGTAACCGAAGCCATTCAAGATCTCTACGGTCGTGACGACGATTACAACATGAAGCGCAATTCACGTCCCCTCAGTTTTATTACTAGCCCCTTGGGCGATAGCCTCGAGAGCGCATTTCAGCCCTTCGATCCCTTCCCCAACGCTCCCCCGAAATCTCCTCTGCGCGCCCAGATGAGCCACTCCCCCAAAGATGCACCCCGGAGTCCCACAAGCCCTACGAGTCCCAAAGAGCGACCTACGATGCTCAACAGGCGAACGTCATCTAACCAGAGTAACATGAACGGCGGCCTGGCCTCGCCACCCTTGTCGAGGACAAACTCGGATACCGCGTCGCAACAATTCCCTCTCAATGACTTGGACTATGAATCAAGTGCAGCGGGCTTAGCCCAGGAATTGAGCAATTTGCAGGCCATTAGACGCATGTCCATGGATGTGAATACCGCCGACCCCGATCTCCCCTCATTCAAATCATACGGTTCTGCGACTGTTCCTCCCCAGCATTTCTCCGAGGATGAAGACCCATCCAAGCTTTTCTGGGTTCCTGCACGGCTTCACCCCGAACTTGCACCCAAGGAATTCAAGACGTTCATCGAGGAGAAAGTAGATACCATCAGGCGCCGATCCGGAGATTCGGATACTCTGTCTCCTGATGGCGCTCTCGGACGCCAAGCCTCGGGTGGCGGGCTGCGACGCAAAAAGTCCATGCTATCGCGGCAGATCGACAATGGTAGTGGATATCGTGACGGTGCAGATCGTTTGGAAAGACAGCGTTCCGATGCCCATGGAGAGAATGGACCACTACCCCAGTTGCAGGAATTGGAGAACATAGTCGAAGATCCCGCCTCTTTGGTCCGGCGAATGAGCGTAGACACCACTAAGAGAAGCTCCGTTACCGATGGTGAAGGGGACGAGGACGTGCCCATTCTTCCAGGGAAGGTGGCAGGGCTGGGAACTCTGAAGCGGTCAACACGCACGAATTACAGAAGGGGTAGTATCCGCGGCAAAGAGCGGGTGCCCTTTTCACGGCGGGCCGCTATGGCCAATGCACAGAATCTTGGTGAGGACGACCAATCTGCCCCTGGACCTCCGCGCAAGGAGTCAGAGTTCACGCTCGAGAGAGTGCAATCTGAGCCGCCGGAGAACTTCTCTCGTCCTACGCGGAAAAGATCACCGCCGCTCATGTCTGCCAAGTATGGTTCATCCGATGATGTATCTAGGATGGAATCTCCCGAACCGCCGGTAGAAGAGCAACGACGACCCCAACAGAAGCCATTCCATTCGCGGATTGCATCCAACGGCCGGACAACAGCTCCTTTGCCAGGTTACGTACCACCACCCTCTGTACCGCAGATTGTAGAAACACCTCCACCCCCGGAAAAGCTACGGAAGGCGCCCTTGCAACTCCCTGAACGCAACTCGTCGAGACAAGCAGCTCCAAATGCCCAACCTCCGCAGATTCAACCCCAAGCATCATCGCAACCCAATGGACCTCGTCAGCCTCCACCCCAACAACAGCGCCCCGGCTCTTCTGGCCGTCTTAATCGGCATGCGCAAGCTTCTCAGGCATCTCCCATCCAACCTGCTCAAAGCTTTGATGATCTCATTGGACAACCTAATGCACTTCCCGTCAACAGCAACAGGGTTGATTCGCTTACGATTATACCCAGCATGGACGAGAAGAAGTCTGAGAAGAAGTCAAAGGACAAGAAGGATTCGGAGGGCGGCTCGAGAAAAACAAGTTGGGGCTGGCTGCGTGGTAGCGATGACAAGGAGCGCGATAAGAAAGACAAGGAAGAACGAGAAAAGGAGATGGCCAAGAAGGTTAAGAATAAGCTCAGCAAGACGCAGGAAAAGCCTCACGATGATACAAGACTGGACGTGCTACAGCACGCTGGCCGGGGTCGTGAGAGTGTGGTGCTAGATCGGGAGAGTGTCAAGCTCGAGGAAGAGCGGAGAAAGGAGAGCTCGAGAAAGTCTGGAACTCCCGAGGGGAAGAAGGAGAAAGAGTCTGGTCTGTTCTCGTCCATTTTTGGTGGGAGCAAGAAGAAGAGCGAGAAGGAGTCCTCCCATAAGAAGGGCAATTCCATGCGAGGATTATCCCCTGAGCCGCCGCCACGGATCTTGAAACCCGACATCGACTACAATTGGACTCGGTTTTCCATCCTGGAAGAGCGTGCCATTTATCGCATGGCCCATATCAAGCTCGCCAATCCCCGCCGCGAACTGTACTCTCAAGTCCTGCTGAGTAACTTCATGTATTCCTATCTCGCCAAAGTGCAACAGATGCATCCGCAAATATCCATTGGCAACTCTGCCCAGGCTAAACAACACCAACGGCAAGCTGCCCAACAGAAGAAGGAACAGCAGCAGGCGCAGCAGCAGCAGCAACAACAGGCGCAACAACCGGATGAGTTCACACAATATCAGCGTTATCAACAGGTAAGAATCTCGATGCTACATGTAGTGGATCAAACATGTGCTAACGGGTATAGCAGCAGCACGAGCAGCAATCAGACGGTCAGGGTGGGTACGCTAATAACCAATACCAGCAAGGGAATGGAAGCTCGGAATCCCTCAACGATGACAATCATTACCAACAACAGCAGCAGCAGCAATACAGCAACAACCAGCGAGATCCCAGGGACTCGCATCACTCCAACTACGGCAACAACCCGAACAACGGGTACAGCGTAGCCAACAGTCAGAGCTACATGGGCCAACAGAAAGATTCAAGAGGATACTATGACGATTCCGATCGAAGTGATCGGGATGACGATATGTGGTGATTATGAAAAGACATGTCGGAGTATGGAGGACAGAAGACAAGTGGTATTAGATTATATCGTTGTTACTACCTACCACCAAATGTTGGACAGAAATGTGCAGAGTGAAATGGAGATGCTCTTGTTTTTCTTTCTTCTTCTAATCCTTCTCGAGTAATGGAGCGCTTGTGTACCTATTTCCATGTTCTCACGTCCCGTGTTATCGTTTTTCCTCTTTTCCCATCCAGTTTCCCCTTTGTTGTCACTCCATTCATCCATCCATCAGAGCGTACGTGCGTGCGAAGGGAGGGAATACATGCATCTTTTCTGTTCCCATTTTGTTATACTTGTATTTTTTGGTTCTTTGCCCGGGCGTTGGAGGAGGAGGAGGAGGAGGTGGTGGTATCAGATCTAGGCAAAGGTAAACTTAGGCATACTTATATATATCATGGATTGGGAGATTCTTCTTCCCTTCTTCCTTGATTCTTTCCTTGCCTAGCTTAATCTGTCTATCCTTCTATCCATGATCGTACCAAAGCCTACCTTTTTTTTTGTACCTTTTATTATTACTGCTGGTTTGGTTGTTGTTTTGGTGGATGTTCAATGTATATATGTAAGCATGCAGATGCAAATAGAGATGCGTCTGCGAACAAGCCCAAGATGTTGAGTTAGGTCTTTGCAATAGCTAATATAAGCTAACTTGGGTGGTCGCTTACGTCTTATTTTCTGCTGATTGTCTCTTGATGGATGGTAGCTCGATATTAGTAAGAGTAAGAGGGGTCGGTGCAAAGGGAGCTTACCTACTTACCTCGGCTTGACGGGGGATTGGGTGGGAGGTGAGGTGGTGGAAAAGTGTTGAGTAGGGGGCTTTCATATGCAATGATTCAAGGCTTTATCTCACAGCAACTTGGATTTAGATTCAGAGAACGAATTGCTTTTTTTGGTGGCTTGAAGATGAAGCATGGTGATTGGTGGCAATGGGGCATAAAGAGACCCTGCCTTGGCTTTTAACCTTGCGACGATCTTCAAGATGACGTCGATCGCCAACAGACGGTCCAGAATCTAGATAGATGATCTCCCCATCCCGCGCCAGCTCCACATCCACCTCCTTTATCTTCCTTAACTCTCCTTTCTTCCGATTATACTACGGACCACTACACACACAAACTCTCAAAATCAAACATGGCTTCCCCCACTAGCCCAACAGTCGGCCGCGCTGCCACCAACGGCAGCGTCGACGAAGATGCGGTCCCAGGCGAGGACTCCAGCGAGGTAACCAAGCTGTTCGCCGAACGCCTGCAAGCATGGAAACACGCCGTCGCATACCTCGAAGACTACATCACGGCGACGGAGAAGACCAACCACGCGCACGGCAAGGAGTACGAGCGCGTGTTGAAAACGGTGAAGGACCCGCTTAAAGAGGGGCATCACTTTGACCAGTCGTTGGGAGGCATTGCGGGCATGTTTGAGAACATCAGGAGCAACACACAGGTATGATTCTATTCTATTGCTACTGGGAGCCTTCTGGGTATCTGGTGGTATGGGTTTCCTTATATTAACGCGTCTTGTCCCAGGGTATCTCGAACCAACACTACGAAACCGCCAAACAGCTCAAGGGCCAGGTCCTCCCCACCTTCGACCGCCTGCACACCGAGATCAAGAACAAGTCGAAGGAGCTTGCCAAGGGCGCTGGAAAACAGAGCAAGGCCGTTGATAAGGCCCGCGCTCTCACCCAGAAGCACATTGAGCACTTGGGTACCCACACGGCTACCTTTGACAGCACCGGTGGCCGTATGACTGCCACCGATGATCCCTATGTACTCCAGCGCGGTGTTCTGTTTCGGCTTAATAGGCAGATTCAGGAGGAGAACAACAACAGACAGGATTTGATCAGTGTGCAGAACAGTTTTGCTCAGTTTGAAGCTCATGTCATCCAGACCATCCGTAAGTTATACTCCGCGGCGCAAAGATTGTCCTTTGCTAAAAGAAACCACTGCTAATTCACGGCACCAGAACACGGCCTAGCCCAATTCATGCAAGTGGTCAACACTCAATGTGACCAAACCAAGGCCATGTACGGCGATATGGTAGGTGCCTCGCAGAAAATCCCACTCGACTTCGAATGGAACGGATTTGTGGATCGCAACAACACAATTCTCATCGACCCCAACGCGCCCCCGCGCTCCGTCTCCAACATCAACTTTCCAAACCAAGACCACCGATCCACCAAGCCCATCATCGCAGGCTCGCTGGAAAGAAAGGGCAAGATCATGCGCGGGTACGACACGAATTACTACGTCGTAACGCCTTCCAAGTTTCTACATGAATACAAAACCGACGACAATTTCGCAAAGGACCCTGTTCCCGAGATGTCCCTGTACCTCCCCGACTGCGTCGTCGGCGCCGTTAGCGGGCAAAAGTTCAATGTTAAGGGCAAGGACGTGTCCAAGGGGAAGCTGGGCAACTCTTTCTCTATGAATCACGAGCTTGCTTTCAAAGCGCACACGGCCGATTCTGCAACCCAATGGCACCAAGCAATCATGCAAGCCTGCGGGAAATTGACGGGCGAGTTGCCCGCGGGCAGCACGCCTACCAGTCCCGTGGCAGACAAGATGAGCCCCGTCAGCAGCATCAACTCGCGCACAACGGGCACGCCGGCTGCCGATGCCAGACAGCCTGCTGCCCTGCAAACAGAGGGTCTGTCAAAGACCAACAGCGTCACCAGCCCTGGCACTGCCAACACGGCATCCGCCGCCACTCCCGCGAGTGCCACGACTCCTGCACCGACTAGCGGTGTTGCGGGCGAGCCTGGAAAGTACTAAGTCTCGCCTAGTTCTTACAGATTGCGAGCGCTCGTCGTTTACTGGTGTTTCTCCTTTTGTTTTGCGTATTGTCTTCAACTTATTTTTTTTCTTCCGTCGATTAAGTAATACATTCTTCTAATAACGTGTTTTATCAGTAAGCTGCGCATATCAGTAAGCTGCGCACCCCACCAGAAAATCCACGCTTCTTAGGCGATTACTTAACAACGTCATATCGTAATATAGTGTATATAGATCTAATTGATTCGTACTATCTAGCAGTACACTGGGTTCTTTTGTGGCCCTGTACGAAGCACTTGGTGCATGTTGGTGGCGCGCGAGGTCTACTTGGTTAATTGACCTGCTCGGCCTCTTGGACTACCCTATCAGCCTCTGTAGCCAGCCTCTGGCCTTCCTGAGCCTGGAGAGCTCCTCTACGTGATATATACTGTCTACGCTGCCTCTTCTTACGATCGCGACGTTGTACAGCTGCTTGAAGCCTTGTATTCTCCTCTACTAGGATAGTAGCTGAGTGCATAGCAAGCTGGCACCCCTTTACAAGCTGGCGGATAGCTTGGTTAGTAGGACTTTGTGATTGTTGGCGAAGCAGGTCCTGGATATGTTGAGCCTGCTTTTGAAGCTGGTCTACTGTATGTGGCGTCTCAGCTGTCTACTGTCCCTCTGCGTTGCCTGCTAGCTGACAGGGTGAGGGCGTTCGGACGATAGGTAGGAAGGATAGGACGCGCTTAGGGCTGTATGGCACGAGCCTAGTGGCCTGAAACCCAGCCTGAATGTTCTTCTCTGTGATAGCTTGATCCCTGACCTGCTTGTACGTAGATAGGAAGTCTACCTTATTAATATGATAGACGTGTTGGCGGGCGAGCTGCTGAATCGCCTGCCTGTACGCGCGTTTCAGAGGCGAGAAACAGCCTACATCAAGAGGCTAGAGTAAATGTGACGTATGAGCTGGCATACAGAGCGTGATAATGCGATTCTGCGCACAGTACTGATCAAACTCAGGTGTTGCATGGCTGTTGTGGCCGTCTACAATCAGTAGTCGATAGGTGCCTACTGTACGAGTCTGAGTACAGCGATTGAAGTGCTCTAGCCAGGTAAAGCCAAGCTGATCTGTTGTCCAGCCATTGTCGCTGACGGCGATCATCCAGGTATTAGGTATATCACGATACCAGGCGGCCTGGTGGAGCTTTCCAGCTAGGATAAGGAAGGGTGGAATTGACCAGCCAGCAGCGCTCACGCTCTCGATCACTGTAACCCACTCCTGATTCCCTGGCTGAACAGTAGGTGCTCTACCAACTGTATCAGAGCTAGTCACTACCTTAGACGTGCTGGCAACGCCCATCTGGAAGCCAGTCTCATTAAAGTTGTATATATCTATGTCCTGTATCCCATATCTCTCGCGTGTGTCCTGTACGCGCTGATACCAGCCCTGAATCGCAATAGGATCCTGAGACAACGCTCTCTGTGAGTTGAACTTCCTATTCCACTTTGTCTAGAGCTCTGGCTGAGACTGAATAAAGCGTGATGCCCAGAGCTTGCCTAGGGGTAGAGGAGGAGGCTGCTGGCCGCGCGCAGCGAGTAGATTATCTCCCATTCGTCGTACATCAATAATCTGGGGTGGAAATCCACGTCGGTCAAGCTCTAGGATCCAGTCTACTAGGGCCTGCTCCTCAGTAGGAGATAGCTTTTGATTTGGTGACCTAGTCGCGTGTTTTGGTTGAATACCTCGAAGGCGTGTTCGAAGGGTAGATTCTGGCACATTATAGGCTGCAGCAAGCTTGCGCACAGATAATAGAGGGTTTGATTGAAAAGAGGCGATTGCAAGGCCTAATCGACCTTCTTTTGCAAGCTTCTGAGCATGTGGTTGAGACGCCATAGTTGATGGATGAGGTGGCAACGCGTGAAGTCTGGTGGGGTGCGCAGCTTACTGATATGCGCAGCTTACTGATAAAACACGTTAGCAGTAGTGTCTTTGTCTGTAATCCAGCCAAAAACGAGTAATAAAATCCATGATCTTTTTTATGTTTCATTGGCACATCGTCACACATACACGCACACTGATTTGTAGTAGTAGTAGTCTCTTTCTACTAGTGATATTTCTTTCAGTGTGTTTGTTGGATGCGTTTGAGTTAGTTGGTTGGTTGGTCCAATTTCAATCCTAGAGAAAACAATACTCTTCAACTAGGTAAACTAACACAACCCTCCTTACACCTAATCCGACTTTAGTTTTGCTATCGCTATTTGCTTTATTGCTGTGGATATCATATCATTCATCCGATGCAAATATCACGTGTAGTCTCCTTGTCTTATCCTATCGGGAAGGGGCGAGAGTAAGTGAAATACCCCCATTCACGTACACACACACTCCCTTATCTACTACTACGCTCGTTTAACCAATCAATAAACCTTGCCCTACCTTTGATCCTAAAATAAAAATTATTAAAGGAATGAGGAGCAAATGTGTGTTGTTGTTTTTTTCTTTTTCTTCTACTATTGCTGTTTCTAATGTTTTTTTCCAACTTGGATACATAAACGACTTCTCCTCCAACTTTTCATATTTTTTAGAGATAAGATTATTTGCCCTAAAGCTTTGGGTAGAAGAAGGATTAGCGAATCTATGGGGGAGGAGTGGTGGTGGGGGGTTTTTTTTAGCAGTGCGAGTTTTGATGTTTAAGAAGTAGTAGCAGCCGCGGCACCGGCGTGGTGGTGACAGTAGTAGTAGCAGTAGGAAGAGGAAGAAGGAGAAAGGCAGTAGTACTAGCAGTGCTAGCAGCAGCAGCAGCGTAGTAGCGGCAGTAATAGTGATGATATTGAGGTGCACAGGTCTAGAGTTTTTTTTTGCAAAGATTAAAGGCAATGAGCGTAACGGAAGTAGTGTTTAGTTGCTATCCTCGCAATTAAATCCTCAATTAAGACTTATAGATTACGCACAAAGCATGTTGAACTGTATGGTTAGAGAGACTTGGTTATGGACATTTTTTTACGTGCCTCAGCGCCCAATATTATTTGTCTGCTAAGAGAGACTTGCTGCTGGAGGTATGTATAGAGATTATCAGCTAGACCAAATTAGGGTAGGGTTGTAACCTAGTAAGTACCACGCACGATAGAAAGGAAGGGGGAGAAGGCTTGAGATGTCATGATCGTGATGAAAATGGGGTGGCGGGGGGTTTGGAATTAATTCTTTGAAGTAGGAAGGTTGATGGAAGAGTTGGAGACACTTTGTTTTGTTGCGGATGGGATAACGTGGGGATGCGGATGAGTGGGGGAGGAGAGAAGTGTTTATTAAGCATTATTCGCGCCGAGTAAGCACGACATATCACATGGCTTATCCTGTTTACTTGGAGTGTTATAAGCGAGTTCTCGTGGTCTTCTCTTTGACATGTCTTTGTGACTGAATTCCCGATGAATTCTTCCAGGTACCAAGAGAGCGGAGAACAGGAAGCTTAGAACTTCTTCCCTCTCCCCACGATGATCGTCCCATCATAGTGTGAGTCGTCCTCGCTCATGCGGGGGATTTCTCATCCCCGGCTCGTTCACGTACGAGGGGTGGAATACGAGGTAACTTAGACATTGTGTATGGACAGGCAAGCGATCATTCGGGCGCTTAACTGGGAGTTGGCTTAAGGCGATTGGACATTGTGTATTGGTGGCTAAGACAGACCCCTGGGAAACAGGAACTCATTCGAGGCAGAGTAGGCTAGCTTAAACTGATACTTGTTGGATCGGAAGCGAGAGATGGGTGGAATGTTCGAGAATGTATCGCTCTACAGGTTGGAGGAGGAGGGGGTCTGGACTCCTTCATGGGGCTTTTGCGGCATGGAAGTTGTATTGGCGTTGCAAAAGGGCACGGACAGATTTTATTAGGCGTAGAGAATGGATATGAACCAATTGTAGAAGCCCAGTTGATCGATGTACCGTTTTTCTTTTCGTTCAACGACACGGTGCAGAATCGGGGCGCTCGGTGCGTCTTTTTTTCGAAGACTACTTCTACCTTGACCTGGTGCTTATATCGCCGTGATTCGTCGCTCACGAGGTGCTGCGGAAATGCTTGGAGCACACATTGACTTGGTATAACGGGGATCTCTGACAGTAGACTCAAACGGGTGCTCGCCGTTCTCGATGTCTTCCGGATATTGCCATCGAGGTCCAATGTTAGTCTGACAACGAAGCACTTGTAGTGCTGTTCCCTGCCCCGTGGAGTTCTGTATGTCTCTCCTGTCACGCTGTGATGTTTTTCGGCTGTGTATCACTTACCCCTTGTACAGAGTTTGACTCCCTGCCTCAGCTGTGATTGACTTGGCAGGTGGATTTAGCCATGAGCTGCCACCGCCTCACTGCTTCAACTTGCCGTGGTGATAGTACGTAGCTAAGGCAGAATTGACGCTGTTGGTGGCTCAGCTCCTGCCATCATGGACTATTGTGATGATTTGGCAATCACCCACCGCTACCAACGTCATTGAATCTGCCTATGCATGATAATTTCGCTATTCCAGAACTACAGACTCTGTTTTCTGGCTTTACTCCGCCTTTCATCGTGACCTGGTGTTGTGCAACCGTCAGACTAGAGAAGGGGCGGTGAATCCTGTCTGCCCGACAGTATACCTGACAATCTAGGCTTGTAGACACTTTAGGCGAATAACAGACCACAGATGTGCAAAGAGTGGAGCGAGTACGAGAAGGGGCTGAGTGTGCGCCAATGAAACATGCCTGCATCCTGCACTGTTTGACCGGCGACAAGTCGATCAACACCTCAATTGGGCAGCAACATGTTCTTCTGAACTTGTCGAAATCGCACAGTTTCGTCGACTACAAATCCTCAGTGCTGAATTCTGTAGTCAATGACAAAAGGATATCCGTGAGATGGCAGTCATAATGTTCGCTCACACCCTCTGTCAGATTTTCTCAGCCTTCTCATCTTCCATATCCTGTGTACACCGATTCAGTGGCTTGTATCGTCGGCGTGATGTTTTGCACGGTTGAACTCTACGACAGGGATTTCGGCTACACTTGGTATTGCTGCAACTGCAGCAATGGACCAATGGGCGTGAAAATCAACACGCATTGCACCAGATGTGACCACGGCCGTTGTGGAAGCTCGACTGCCTCAGCCTTGCGCCAAAACTCGCAGCCCGCGGCTGGAGTTGGTTACGCAGCGAAAGATCATGCGGCCTCTAGCCTTGCTGATTTAAATGCAAAAGGATCGCCTGGAATTTGCTCTGAAGGCTTGTGGGATGGCGATGAGCCGCCTTCGAGCAGTTCGGATGCTAGCTCCTCCGACTCTGACTTCGACGCCAACGATGGGGATAATTTGCGCTTTGACGCAGAAGCTCAAGCAACCGCTGCAGATTACGAGAGGAATACACAAGTGGTGCTGGATGCTTTGAAGGCTGCTCCACTCACATGCGCCGCTCCGCCTACGCATCAAGCCGGTGGCTCTAGTCGACCTCGTGCCGGAAGCGCGCAATTCCCCAAGGATCGCAGAGAGAAGGTGTCGCAGAGCAAAAAGTCAAGACTCGGTCACCAGAAGAAGGATCATCACAGAAAGATCGACGAAGGCGGGTCTGAAGCTCACCCACAAGGAACAAAAGTCGCTCGTCGACTCAAATCGAAACAGGATACAGTACTATATGCATGTCCTTTCTTCAAGAACAATCCGCATAGGTATCGACATGTTCGTTCCTGCAACAAACCTTGGACAATCGAAGGTTTGAGGTACGTTTAATTGACCCCACTCCCTACAGTCACCATCAGCTACGTGATACTGACCCTTGGAAGAAACCACTTGACCAGGGAAGATAGTCCACACAATCTGAGACTCTTGGACAATGATCACCAGGCTTTGCAGCAACCAGTCGAAGGGATTGGAGAGCGCTTGAGGAATGATATCCTGGTTCTGTCTAGAGGGAGCGGAACAGAAGTCTCTGCCGCCGACGAGCTATGGTGGTTCGACGTAAATGCTCTGCTCTTTGGAGAGGAAGAACGTTATCGTCCATCTCTGACCTGCTGTACGTCTAGTCCCCCAACTCCTGCTTGTCTTTCCCCTTTTTCTAAGCCCAAATTGACTCACATTTCTAGCTTACGATCCCGGAGACATTGACCGGAGCAACGACTGGAACAAGCAGCAAGATTATGCACACCGGGTGATCCAAAGTCTCGAGCGCGATCTCCCCATCGAGTTTGCTAAGAACATTGTTCTATACCACTTGCGAAGCGTGCAGGAAGCCTCGGCCAAATATCTGGCAGACGAGGTGATAGCGCGCTTTGAGCACCGTGTCCTCCATGATTTCATCGTTCAGCCTAGGGACGTCGTTGATAGCCGACGCCGAGGTCGAGGATCCGGATCCAATAACGTCAACGACGAAATGAATCCTCGTGGTGCGGATATAATGGATATGGAACGCGTTGGAGAACAACAGCAGAACTCGGTCATTTTTGCAGATGAGCTGACATCGTTTGCATCGTCTGATTTCTCAGGGCAACCCCTCATGGCACCCAACCCCGCAGATCATAACCAGTTGAGTGGTCCGCTCGCTGCGGATCCCTATCCATGGACGACATCTGGGCTGCAATATCCAGAGACCCAGAGCACGTTGTTCGACCCCTACGACACAGATATGCTCAGTATGGGCCTCAACGAACAACCCTTGCAGATGAACAATCCCCTCATCACTGCACCTTCCTCCTTCATGAACCAAGCTCCACCCTCACCAGACTGGAACAAAACAGAGGAAGAAACGCGGTTCAGGGCTGCTGAAAGCAACGATGCAGACATCCCTGCCAATCTTCATGAGACAGTGAACCCTGAGTTTGGTAGCTACGCACAGGGGCCAGCCGGAGGGTATAATCTCATGGAGGGGTATTCCCCTAATGATGGAGGCAATGCTGCGTGTGAGATGCCTGAGGTTTTCGACTATGACCCGATGATGTGTGACGATGCGATGATCGAGCGGTTTTACGGGAGTGGCAGTGGGACCTAGGTATGAGAGAGCCTAGCTGTGTATGTTCATGATGTTATGATATTATGTTTATGAATCAATCATGGTCGACTTGCAGCACTACCTCGTGAACCAAGTCACCTCATCCAGGAAAAAAATATCAAAGTAACCCGAGTTTTTCGTCAAGGTCATCCGTGGTTGTCGGATGGTCTTCGTCACCACGCACCGCCGGTATCAAGTTGAGCCGCAGAACTATCTTCTTCTCCTGCGATACTGCAGTCGCACAGTTATGATCGTGAAAGCCTACGCGCTATCACTCAGCATAGCTTTCAGCCCCTCAAACTCTACAGTCTCCCCAAAACAACTCTCAACAACCTTGCAACAACCCTCACCACTCTCTCCACCTCACATTCACTCCATTCACCTCCCATCTGCCCAACCCCTCATCCCCTCCCCTAACGCCCCCTGAAACCCGGCCCACCCCCTTCTAACCGCATCACTCCTGAATCCAACCCTCTCCGTCCTCCACTCCAACCAACTCCCCGCAAGAGCCCCCTCCCCCGCCCTCAAAATCCCCACAGCAATATCAACAACCGCCTTCCGATCATCGCATTCATACGACACCGTCGCGCCGCATTTCCCGCAAAAAGTACGCCGTACTCCAGGGGTAGAAGAGTATTGTTTCAGGGTGCCGAAGAGGGTTGTGAAGGGCTGCCATGTAGAAGGGGAAGATGAAAAGGAGGAAGAGGAAGGGATGAGAATACGTGACGCTAGTGGGAAACACCATGCTGCTACTGCGCAGCCTGAGGTGAGGCGGCATGTATTGCAGACGTCGAGGAGGGCGAACCATTTTGATGGGTTTTGGGGGGTTAGGGATGGTGGAAGGATGTCTGATTTTGGCTCGTTTTCTCCGCGCGTTCTTGTTGGTGATGAGGGCGAAGAAGATGGGGGTAGAGGCCGGAGGATGGAAAAAGATACGCCGCCGCAGTGGCATTGCGCTTTCAGCATTTCTTCTTCTTCATCTGCTTCTGCGGGGTTCTTAGGGAGGTTCTGTTCCTGCATCGACTCGATATTCCACTGCTTTCCTTCTCCTTTACTACTTTCTTCTGCACTGTCGACATGTCCTTCTTCCCAGATCCTCACCTCTTTCCCATTTATACCCCGAAGAAAATTCGCCATACCGCCGTCCTTCGTGCTGCCGACGTGGTAATGCGAGTGGATATCCCATATCTCTTCGCCGGCGTCGACGCTGCTTATGGAAATATACCACATAACCCCTTCTTCGCTGTTGTTGGTCCAATCAACTAAATGCGCGCCGCATGTATTGCAAAAGTACCTGTTGTTCACCTCTCATTATTAAGTAAAGATTCTAGAAGAAGAAGAAGAAGAAGAAAAAAATCATAAAAAACACTGCCCTAACCCCATTCCTTTATCCACCAAAGACATCTACCCTGCTCTCTCTCTCACACATCCTCCCTTTCCCCAAAGACCCCTCTCAACGCAACTCATCAAAACCAATTCCCAGCCTAAATTATAAAAAAATAAAAAATAAAACTAACATACCTTACGCACCCTCCCCCATTCCCATTCCTACTCCCCTTCTCACTCACATACCCCACCAAACCCTTCCCTACATCATACCCCCTCACCCCTTCTTCCTCACCATCCTCTACACCTACGCCCTCAACGAACCCCTCAACACAGACATCCTCACCTCTAACTCTAACATGATTATCCGCCAACGCACCATGGGTATACCGACACACGCTGCAATGGCAGAAATACGCTGGGAGCGGTAGATCGTGTGTTCGGACTGTGAAGGAGAGGTGCGCGGATTTACAGTGGCAGGAAGCTTGGAAAGTCCTTTTTTCTGATGGAGGTGGGAGGGGGGTCTGCATATTCCGTTTTTTTTCTGGGGGTGTGTGTGTTTGCTCTTGAAGGGAGAGAGGGTGGGTTAGGAATTAGAGGTTTGAGAAGAGGGGGTTTGTGGGGTGATTTCCTTGTATGAGGATGTTGGGGATGATGGTGATGATGATGATGAAAGGGAAGTGGGGTGTGTGGGGTAAGGCTAGCTCGGTCAATGTTCGCGATGAGTTCGTATTTCGTACATGCAGCTCAATTGGCGAGCCATGCATGCACGTAATACGTATGATGTACATACAAGTAGAGCTACCCAGCCTAGCCCCTGCGTAATCCCAGGTAAGCTGCGATCGTCAGGCAGCGGGGGTTCTTAAGTTCGACTGAGACGAGGCGCACCGTCGCGATTCACCTCACTAGATCATAGGCAAAACATATCGTTGTTGGAAGAAATATCGATTCGCGTAAACAAACAGTACGAAGCTCAAACCCACCAAACCTCCAAGCCCAAAAAGACCAAAAAGGGGTATATAAAGACAGAGGGCAACTAGCAAAACAAAAGGACACGGACATGGGGGGTATAAGGCACAAAGGGCCAACGACATATCCATGGAAGCCAAGAAGGAAACATTGAACGCGTGCCGATGACGGTCCCAGAGAAGGTTGAGAAATGGTGAAAGACACCACGAAAATAAAATGACCGGTGAAGTGAAATGAATCAGTGATGTACTAGCCGCACGACAGCTCTCAGTCCTCGATTACGACACATCGTTGGCCGCACCGGGCGCGCTCAGCACGTGTTCGCTGCTGCCGTTCAACTTGGCTGCCCCCGGCTCGCCAACCAGGTGCATGCTGCTGTCGCCACTCGATTTACCATCGACGGCAACCCAATCGTCTTCGGTAAGTCTCTGCGCTGTGCGAGAAGACTCTGCTAGGGCTTCATTGTTCAGCTCTGAGAGCTGGTTCAGGGTTTCCTGCATGGCCGCCAACTGCTAGCGGTAGGTTAGCAGATATATCGTCACAGAGCATCAAGATCAACCCACAGTGCCGAGCACCTCTCGCGGTTGGTTCGGTGACAGCTGAGATGACTGTCCACCAGAAGTGCTTTGTTCCTCGTCCTCTTCATCCTCTTCTTGAAGCGTGTTGATCTCACGCTTCTCACCCATAGAAGCTGCGGCGCGTGCAACTCTATCACCTGCCGCGAGGATGCTGTTCAGACGCTCAATTTTCTCCCTCAGCGATTCATTTTCTCGTTCAAGCGGCTCCACCCGTGCAAGATGCTTTTTCACGACATCAACTTTCATCTGCTCAATCTGATCCTCGGCAGCCTGGGTAGCCTCGAGAGCTTGCTGGTGCTCTGCCTCCAGCTTACTGATGGTTTGCTGGAAGCGCTGAACGTCAGACGCATGAGTCTCGGCATCCGAAGTAGCCTGGGAAGAGAGTTGCTCGAGCTGCGCCTGCAAGTCCTGGAGCAGGGTCGCGTGCTCGGCGCCGCCCTGTTTCGCGGCTTCCAGCTCGGTGGCGTGCGCAGTCTTGGACTCTTCTAGCTGCGCGGACAAAGCGTCATACTTCTTCTGAAGTTGCTGGACAGCATCATTCTGGCTGGCTTCCATACCCATCATGAGCTCGGCGATTGCCTCCTCGTGCGCGCTTTCAATGGACAGCTTCTGGTCCATGAGGTCTTTGTGAGTCTGCTGTAGTTCCTCCAAGCGTTTTTCGGTGGCGAGCAAATCGGTCGAATGTCCTTCCTTGAGTTCCTCCCTCAACAGAGCAATGGCATCGCTGTGTTCCTGGTCACTCGAGGCAAGCTTAGCTTGAAGGCTGTCGCAACGAGCCTGGAGCTCCGAGGCAATTTTCTCCTGCTCGTCTTGCAGCGACTCTTTGAGCAGAGCAATTGCAGCCTCGTGGTCCTGTTCAGCAGTGGTCTTCTCGGCCATCAGAGCTTCGTATTTGGTTGTCATGGCGGCGATACTATCTTGGCCTTGCTGTACGGCGTCTCCGTTGTTCTTCTTCAACTCGGCGAGCTCATTGACAGCCGAGTCGCGTTCCTCCACGACCCTCTTTTTCGCCAAATCCGCTGCGTTAAGGTCTGTCTGCAACGCATCGAGTAGTGTACCATATTGCTGCTCAATCTGAGCCCTCTGATCGTCCAAGGCTTTGGCGTGTGCTCCTTTGGATAATTCCTGATCGGCCGAAAATTCGCTGTATTTACTTTCCAATTCAGTGACCTGTGCCTTCAGGGTCTCTACCTCGTTCTGATGGGCCCCTTCCAAGCTAGTCTTCTCATCGAGAAGGGCATCGTATTTGGTCTGCAGTTCGCCAAACAGTTGGTTCGCAGTGCTGTCAGAATCTTGCTTCAGAGCCTCGATGGCACGACTGTGTGCGTCTTCAGCAGATGTCTTCTCGTCCAGAAGGCTGTCGTGCCGAGCCTGAAGGTCGGTGATGAGTTTCTGCGACATTGCGTGAGCTTCTTCGGCAGCCGACTTCTCCTCAAGCAGACTGTCGTGCCTAGCCTGCAGATCCGTGATAAGTTTTTGTGACGTCGTGTGCGCATCGCCAGCTTTTGTCTTCTCTTCTACGAGAGTGTCAATCTGATTTTGCAGATCCGCCAGAATCTCCTGGGATATCGTATGGGCTTCCTGAATGGCCGATTTCTCATCTTCGAGAGTCTTGCTCTTGGCGAGAGCATCTTTCAAGCTTTGCGATGCGTCACCAGTGCTCGCCTTCAAGGATTCCAACTCCCTGTTGGCTCCTTCCAGCTCAGCGACCCGTTGGGCGAGGTCATCCTCATGCTGTTTTTGTAGAGTCGATTTCTCGGAAAGAAGGGCGTCGTGTTTTGACTGCAACTCATCCAACTGTTTCTTCGCATCACTTTGCAGTTCAGCTCGCAGTGATTCAAACTCCGCGGTACTCGCTTTCAGTGAGGCCAGCTCTCCATTAGCAGTGTCAAGGGTAGCGGTTTTCTCTGCAAGGTCAGCGCGCAGAGATTCCAATTCAGCTGCACTTGCTTTCAAGGTGTTGAGTTCTTCGTTGACTGCATCCAACATATCTGTTTTCTCGGCAAGTTTGGCGCGTACTGATTCCAGCTCGGCAACACTCGTCTTGAGTGCACTGAGTTCATCATTGACAGTATCATTGGCGGCCGTCTTGTCAGCAAGATCAGCGCGCACAGACTCCAATTCAACAGCGGTCGCCTTCAATGAAACGAGTTCTTCGTTGATAGAATCGAACGCCGCGGATTTCTCAGCAAGATCAGTGCGTAATGAGTCCAGCTCAGAGGCAGTCGCTTTCAAAGAAGTAAGCTCTTCGTTGGTCGAATCGATGACAGCCGTCTTTTCGGCAAGATCAGCACGTAGTGACTCTAGCTCACCAGCGCTCTGTTTCAATGAAGCAAGCTCTTCATTGATAGAGTCAAGGGTAGCCGTCTTCTCTGCAACACTTGCTTTCAAAGAATTCAACTCCTCATTAGCAGCATCCAGGTTGGCTGTCTTCTCAGCGAGGACCTTGGCATGCTCTTCCAGCGATGCATTCTTTTCGGCGACAAGTGCATCATAGCTTGATTGAAGCTCGTCTAGTCTCTTTTTGGCATCACCTTCAAGGTCCGCCCTGAGCGATTCGATCTCAGTGTCGTGATCTTGCCCGAGCGTACGCAAGTCTTGACGAGCACGCTCCTGCGCGGCGTCAAGCTCAGCCTGTGCTGACTTCCTAGCCTCATCCAGCTCGGCTTGTATTTTGGCGATAACGGTAGAGTGCTGCTCGCCAGTTTGCTGCGAGCTTTTCTCGAGGGTTTGGATAGTTTTCCTCAAGCCGTCGCTCTCTTCCTTCAACTTCTCAACCTCAGTAGCGTCATCCGCTAGCTGGTCGTTGAGAGCATCCAGCTGTTTCATGAGCTCTTCGCTCTCGGCGACCTTGGCCTGAAGGGCATCGGCGTGCGCCTGCTTCAACTCGTCCATCTGCTTATTCAGCTCGGTCGCAACTTTTGCGCCGTCGCTTTCACCCTGCTGCAGCGACTTGATTTGCTCCTGGAGTCCATCAATAGCTTCTACGTGGCGAGATATCTCCGAGTCCTTGCCTTTCGCTGCCTCGTCGTGGGTTTTCTGAAGCTCCGCGATCTTCTCCTGGATGGCCTCAGCGTGCGCGCTGCGTTCCTTCTCCAAATCCGCCGTGCTGAGGTCTGCGCGCTCCTGCAACTCCTGGGTGAGGTCTTTCAACTCCTGGGCAGCTTTGACGTGCGACTCGATGGTTTCATCTTTGGACTGTAGTTCCTCCGAGTGTTGCTGGAGCAGGGCTTCCATCTTGGCCTGCAGGTCTTCGACCACCTTTGACGATTCCGACGACTTGGACTCGATGGACTTGCTGGCCTCCTCCAACGCATCGGTGTGTTTTTGTTCGGCAGTCATTACCATGGTCTGCAGCTCTTGGACCGTTTCGGACAGTTCGGTAATCTTTTCGTCGCGCGAACGGAGATCATCCGTATGGCTTTGCTCGAGCTCAGCCTGCTTGGATTGAACCGACTCCAGAGTCTCCTTGGTCTCTTCCAGCTGTTTTGTGGCATCGTCAACCTCTTGTCGTAGCGCATCGCGCTCTTGGGTCAATTTGGCGACTTCACTCGTCAGCTCCTCGATCTGGGTTTGCTGTTCGATGAGCTTCTTCTTCTCGGCATCCCACTCAGCGCCCTGCTTCTCCAGGTCCTCGCTGAGCTGGCTCAAAACTTGCTGGAGTTCGGCCGCGCGCTTCTCTTCCTCGGCCTGCTTGGCCTGCGCTGCGGCCGTCTCCTCTTGCAGCTGCTCTCCACGGGCTTCCAGCGCCTTGGTCTCCTTAGCAAACTTCTTCTCCATCTCTTCGACAAGCGTATTACGAGCGCTGTGATCGGTGTCGGTAGACTTTGCGGCTGATTGTATGACCTTGTCCTTTTCCTGGACCGCCGCTTCTGCCTCGACCAATTGCTTTTTGAGTTTCGCCTTCTCCTCCTGCAGGTTGTCTACTTCGCGACTCAGGTCGTTACACTGCTCCTGCAACTGTTCCCGTAGATTTGTTTCCTTGAAGAAATCTTGCATCACCTGGGCGCTTCGCCTCTTTGTCTCAAAATCGATCTCTTGCGATCCGGTGGGAGCAGTATCGGGACGAGGAGAATCCGTCTCCCCCAATTTGGCGAGGGCAGCCTTCACGGGGCCGAGGGCCGTCTTTCGTGTCTCGATTTCGGCATCGGACGAAGCCTTGTCTTTGAGAACGGCACTTCTGGGAGGGACATGGATGCTGCGTGTACTGTGAATAGTCAGTTTGGAACGAAGTGATGAAAACGGGAATGGGGAAAAAGTCGAAGAAAAAACAAGAAAGACTTACTCCTCTTCCGGAATAGTGTCCTTGGGTTCTGGGGCAGACGCGACGGCAGAAATCGAGGGCTTCTTCGCATGTGAAATGGATGCCCGCGATGAAGCGGTAGGGGTGACTCGAGGTGTGGTTGAAGGGCGGGTTGTAGCGGGACGGGCAGAAGATGAAAGTGAGGTGCGAGTGGCGGGTTTGGGGGTAGTGGAGGAGGTGGTGGCAGAGGCCAATGGCCGTTTTGCAGCGGTGGTAGCACTCGCAGTTGGGCGCACCACAGGCGGCTTGCCTGGCGATGATCTGGTCGCAGCGGTGGAGGTAAGGGGTGTTCTGCGGACGGTGGGCCGTTTGTTTTCGTCTCCCGAAGTAACGGACGACAGGTCTGGCTCCGCGTCGGAAGCAGCAGCAGAACGAGGGGGTCTGGCAGCGAGGCCCGTCTTACGAGCGACTGTGCCGGCAGCAGGACGCGTCGGAGGCTTGTTCAAGCTGGAGCCCGCGGTGGAAGAACGAATTGTCGAGCTGGCGGGCGTTCTCGACGCGGTGGTCGAGGGTCGCGCGGTGGTGGAGCTCGAGGAAGCTCCTGCCACTGGCCGGCGGGCAGCGCCCGTAGTGCCCGTTGTAGCAGTGGGCCGGCGGGGAGGCACGGCGTCTTTGGCGGTGGAGGAAGATGATGCCATCTTGCGTCGTGTGTTGGGGAGGGGAGGAGGTGGATTATTACTATTACGGCGACTATTATTGCTGCTGGGCTCTGTCGGAGCGGAAGAGGGAGGCGGAAGGGCCGTCGTCTCCTCGCTTGCTGGCCTGTGATCGGCCGTGTCGGTTCCGCCGCTAGACGGTTCGCGGGAGACCAGCTCGGGGTTCGATTCGTACGTCGCCAGCGTCGTCGACGAGTGGTCCTTGCCGCCCGCCGTGCTGGTGAATTGCACCGGAGCCATTCCGTCTGGTGGTGGTGATGATGCTGCTGGTGATGATGCGGATGAGGATGGTGGGGATGGGATGGGAGGACATGAGAGGAGACCGAATGATGACTGCTCTCCTCCCATCTGTCGCGACATGGATCATGCATGGCAGGCAAGACCTGGAGAGGGGGGCCTGCCACGTGAGCCCATCTGATTGATCCTTGACTCTCTGCCTCCACATAGATCATGTATGTCAGTTACAGCGCATCATCTTTTGTGTGTAGGCATGCGTATGCCAGTGTATACAAGTCCACCTACTGGTGTCACGTCACTCTTCCCCGCGCGGTGTGCATTCAGCGACGAGCCCCATCACCAGCAGCTCCCCCATTATGTCTATATTTGGTCGCTCTTGTCCCATTGATACTCCTACACGTATCTGGTTCTTACCTCTCCTTAGAAGCGTGGGGTATGGATGCACTGGGTCACTAAACGCGGCATATAGCTTTGCTTGGAAGATTATATACATATACCCCTGCATGGGCGTCAGCAACTTTGAATCTCGATCCTTGACTTGGCCAAGCATCAGATAGATAGATAATTGGTAAGTCGAAAAGTCTATAAGAGATTGGTGTGTTCACGGGAACAAGGCGTGACTGTATTGAGAACAGCAAACAATTGACTCCAGTCGCAACACATATATCGAACCAGGCTATGTTGAACCAAAATATTTCAGTAGCAGTGAATTCAGTATCAAACCCCAGGCCTTCCAGTTGATACACATTCAATTTGAACAGCCGTTTCCAACTTCCTGTCCCCTTATCTCACTCGTTTTCGTCACAAGCCCATGGAAATAGGAATGCATACCAGGATCCTCAACATCAAAAGGCCACTCTTCATACTCGGCAATCTGGTCAGTGTTGGTGTGATGTTTAGAACATAGTACAGTGAAAAGGATTTCAGCTACAAGTACCGAGATCGGGTGGGAAGGGGATTCCATGAGACACCCAGATCTGGTCTTCTTCGTCGTAGCAACGCTACTCACACTCAGCTCAGCAGCATCGTCCACCGGCGAGATCGAACTCAAAGTCGGCGGCATACAAAACCCCAGAAACCGCTAGAGTTTAGCACGCAATTGACTAGCACGGATGGATGCTTGCCAGACTCCGAAGATAATCCTCATAGATGCACTGTGGATAGAACTGTGTATAGTTCGTGTTCCAACCAATGCGTTACTTAGGTTAGTTGTTTTCAGTTGGTGCATGACCACTTCATTTGGATCTACGACAGGATCACACAGTTCATTGGCAAACTTTGCGAAAGCTTCACAAATTGATGTCATATCTGACGGACAATCTGACAATATACTTTCGACTCTGTTCTCTAGAAGTCTTCTGCGCCTTTCTTTGCTACAACTCCTTAGGCTATTGGCTAGTGAGAGTGACGTTTTTATCGCAATTACATGGGAAACCGATAGTAGTAGTGATCAGACGCAATGAATTCAGACTCAGGCAAACATGTATAGGTCATGTTCCGGTATCCAAATATTTGTTAATTCCAGAATTCGTGTGTTGTGTAACGTGAGTAAGTTGGATGATAGTTATTTGGAATGGTAATATATGGGCAGGTGTAGCTTTAATGGCTCATTACCCGATTGAGTGGAGCAGCACATTTGATAGAAATAACGCAATTCTTTACTCTGACTGATCGATCATGGAGCCATTGCGCGGAGAGATGGCGTCGACCATTCGTGATCTAGTTGAAATTCCCCCCGAGATTTCATTGATGATTGTTGAATACTTTGAGGATCGAAGACAGGTACAAGACGGAATACGTAAATTGCGGCTATGCCTCTGTTTCTCGAAGTCACATAGAGAGTTGGCTCAGAAGAACTTGTATCGAAGTATTGACCTACGAAAGATTCCAGTTGTTCTGTTCCTGAGGACAATCTTGGAGAATCCTGATATTGCAGCTCATATGGAAATGATAACCACAGGTGTTCTAAGCCAATTTTCACATCTCAGCCTGGACGACGAACTCATGCGTCTGTTCCAGACAGGCGTTAAAGCACTTCCAGTATCGAATTCTGCGCATGCACAAAAACGGAACAATCAGACCGAGGCATTTCCCCTTCGGAATCCGAGGGCCCATTACTTACTGACTTTACTTCTACTCCGTCTTCCCAACCTGAGCCGTATAGTAGTCCGGAATGATTCCAAATTCAGTGACTCTAAAGAAATCTTGCTCGATATCCCTAAAGATTGGTGGGCAGCAGTAACTCCTAGCCCTGAGCTTACTTCTTTAGCGCTTGATCAGCTCTCACTATCGCCGCTGAGACACATGAGCATACGCGCACACCACGCAACTAGTGCATTAGCCACTGTCCTAAGAATTCAATCACTCCAGAACCTCGTGATTGATGGTTGGTATGAGAGGAGGTACATGGCGCTAAATGCACGAAGATGGGGTAGCCGTTCTCGTGCCTTAAGTCCACCCCTCTTCGAGGAAAACATGTCCAATGTTACCAATCTAGAGTTGCACGACACATTCTACAGCAACGAAGAGCTGATATCATTCATAACATCCTGCAAAGTTCTGAACAAGCTATACCTGCGCACCCACCAGTGTTCGTCAAGGTGTTGGCCGAGGGGCCTGGTGGATGAACTGAACTATGCGGCCGTCGTTTCGTCATTGTCAAAGCACAAACGGGCTCTCAATTTCCTCCATCTGGAACACTATAGGCAGAACAGAGTAGAAGATTATCTACTAGTGGACGAACTGCATTGTCTTGAGGCCTTGGTCGAGTTACGTATATCTGGATGTGCGTTTCGAGATACGACCTGGCCTGATCCATCTCAGATATTTCCGCCCAATGTGAAGGACTTGATGTTGTTAGATTCATTGGGTCCAAATCCGAATAACGAATGGGATACGGGCCTCGAACTGCGACTTGGATACACCCCCAGTTTACTACGTCTCCTGCCAGGACACGCATACGAGAAGAAATCTTTGTCAAGCTTGAAAAGAGTCGCAATGGTGTTTCGAAAATTTCAAACTCGGTCGGGGTATCAATCGTACGGGGCAAGGCTGACACATAGTATAGACTGCACGTTTGTAAAGTGGGCGACAGGGCCACACCTGCTGTGGAGAGAAGACAACATCTTCGATCCAATTGAATTTGAAATATTCGAAAAGCGCTTCAACCAGAGCAAATCACAACGAGAAAAAGCTAGGAGAATAGTGGACTACAGAAAGTTCGAAAGCGACAAACATTTGATCGAGCATCTAAAAGCTATTCACTATTTAATTCCTGAGAGGCATGATGACTATCTCATCGTTGAGGACTCCGATAGCTGCGAAGAAGAATTCAGCCCGTACCGTGGGAGACCAAACCGTGGTGCAATAAGTCCTGTTCAAAGGGGTCACATGGGACCAATGCGCAGGATGTGAGAACACAAAAACTTCGGGCTATCTACATATGCGAAGAAATCGGGGGTTATTGACCCTACAGCGACTCCGGTATGTGTCTGCTCTTTGATAATGTGAGAATAGATTCTATGCTTCTGGGGAGTTTTTGTTATAATGGATTGGGAGATGTACTTTCATAGAATCAATGAATATTTGATCAGAGCTACATATGTAGTTGCAGCTCAGGTAAGCGAAGCAAATCTAAGACTACAGTACATATGCAATCCAGAGTCGGGATTTTAAACCGCATTTTATTTATTTTCTGATGATAGAATCGCTATCCCATCTTACAATGGCTAGACAGAGTAGTGACGAAGATATCGCACTGCTACAAATGATTAAAAAACCTAGTCTAACACATAAATACTGCAACCCTAGTAATACCAATAACCATCCTGTGGAAATGAGAGATCCGATTGTACAAGAATAGATTCTAGCGTATCGATATAGCAGGGTTCATTACTCTAATGAGTTCATTATTATCTTTTGTATCAACTTTCCCTACCTTCTTTTCATTGCCATTCTGACACCTCACTATACATGACTTGACTCTAATAGATGAAGTTGTCAATTGGCTGAATACTAATATCCGGAGTTGTGGATTGTGTCAACGGCAACTCTGTAGTTTCTGGTATGGCATGAACGGACGTCTTTACGTCCTGCGTCCATTACGTGACCTGGAAGCTTTTAACGGCTAATTTTCCGATGTATTTACTGTGTCACTTTGCCACACTAAAACTTCCTGTTGTGAATAATGCAACAAAATTAGCAGGACGACAGAATAAAACAGGTCAAGGTCGTTTGAAAAAAGTACAGCTTGGCATCATCTAACGGCTGATTCGATGCAGAATAGCAGACATGATGAGTATCTGGTGTGGACCCCCCTTAATTTATGATTTGAGGGTTCTATCGATGACAACGATAATGCAGAAGTTCATTGCTTCATTTTAAGCAAGGGTATAGAGTGAAGACTGTGAATTTTGGTCGTACAATGCTCCATATGAGCGATCGGCATCGAGATAGGATCTATCTGATGTTCTGTCGATTTTCAATGGGATTTTCAATTGGAGAGTGTGGGTTTGAAAAAGGATCCTCTGGATAGTCTGAAATATACTACTTGGCAAGATTCAGTGATGATCGGGGTCCTTAGAACTAATCCGTCTACTCCTCCGACGCCTCTCAATGGAAATTCAATGCAACACAAGCACAAGAAAATGAGATGACACATAGTCGTGAAATCTTTCTAAAAGTTATGGGTGGAACATAGAACACCTAACAAGTCAGTTTAAACTAGTAACTTTCTTCTGTTCGACTATTACCACACACGGATACACGACTAAAGCAATGTGGATCACCTACACGCCAATTTGCGTACCATGTGCTCAAGACCGGCTAAGATGTCATGTGTCAAGATCGGGTGGCTTTTCCTGATCGAAGCAAGCGCAGTATGTCTGTTTGAGAAAGGGCCACGCCGCCACGGGATCACTGAGGTCGTGCGATCGCAAACATAGGTTGCTCATGGGATTTTCGTACCCGGTAATTACTGATGTTCACAAAGCTTTGTACAAATCAACTGATACGATCAGCTTGACTTTCTAGAGCACGCTCAAAGAAAGTGCCACCTTCATGCTTGCTGATCTTCCAGGAGCTTTTATAAAAGCATCCTTCAATATTTTTATTTTCTACTACGTCTTTCTTCCTCCAATAGCCGTACATCTATTCGATCATAAGACGTACTAATCATGGCTAAACCAACTGATTTGAAGGAAGAAATGTTACTCATGATTGTAGGATATTTCAGTTATGAAAGTACCGGTTCATTAGGGACAGTAAAACGCGATCGACGAAGACTTCTCGATGTGTGTTTGGTGAAACCCCTCAATCATATTGCGACAGAGTTATTGTATCGTGATATCAAAGTTTCACGCTGTAGTAAATCTTTGCTTCGAACTGTTATTACTAAACCCAAAATTGCAGATCTGATCAAGTCCATAGAAATCCGTGTCGATGGATGCAACCAATCAGTTCAACCGCAATTGGACAATATCTTCTCAAGAGCTATGGATGCCCTTCCTTTAGCGGATCATGTCGCAAAAGCCACCGCAAGTTGCCCAAGCGATGCACTATGGTCACGGCGTATCTGCTTTGGAGAAGGTGATGAGTGCATGTGGGCTCTCCTATTGATCCATCTTCCGAAATTGGAGAATCTCAGCTTGACAGTAGGGTACATGTTTAAAACAGGCCGGCCTTCCCTTACACCACAAAGCGTGCTGGGTGGAATTTCCACTGAATGGTGGGGCATTGCATTGGCACGCCCCGAACTCACTACTGTCTCCTTGGATCATTGGCCACGTCCAAGACTGAGAAAAATAAATTTCCAAACGTCTATTATGCGGTCAAGCGCGATCTCGATGCTTCTGAGAATCGAAACACTTGAGACTCTGAAACTGAGCAGTTCCCTATCCGATGGATTGAAAGAATGGAACAGCAATCTTCTTCCTGAGAAGAGCACATCCAACGTATATGACTTGCAAATTACGGGGCCCTTACTGAGCGCAAGCAAAGTGCTCTCGATAATCACATGCTGTAGAAATCTCAAAGTCTTTCGATACTGGCAGGGTTGTTCGGACCAGCTCACACAGAAAAACAGTTGCGATATAGTGACTGCTCTCCAGAGCCAAGCAAGAACTCTCGAGTATCTTGTAATCGACTTATACGAACAGCCAGCACCTAGGAACAATGACCCACAAAACATCGCGAACCCATACCTACACCACGGTTTCTCAGCCTTCCAGAAACTAAGATCGCTTATTATCGGGATGCAAGGCTTATCTAATATAAGTCCGGAATGGTTGGACCCTAACCGGGTTTTCCCTCCAAGCCTTCAGAGCTTGACGATCGATCGCATCACCGACCCAAGATCGATCACAACGATAAGATCTCTAGTACAATTCTGGTCGACCTCGAATGATGGATTGGACAACACAAGGCGGGAACGGCTAAAAATGATATTCAATGTCCGAGAAAAGCCATATGGAACACTTGTTAAATGGCATGACGTACCCAGGATCGCATGGGTAACATCTAAATCTCTCTTGGATGATGATTTTGTCGTCTTCCAAAGATCTTATATTCTAGGCTGTCGCCGCTTCCATCGCCCTGAGACGGTTTACTACTTTAGAAACGCAAAAGCTCACTGGGTCTTTGAAAGTATCGATGAGTTCACTGCGTACTTCGAGAAATCGCATTACTTTAGAAGAAGATAACTGGGCCGTGTCGTAATCTGAATGACGGGAGGAGGAAATACGATAGGCAGATGTCGATAGCCTTCCATCGTACCAGACTGAAGAAGTAAAAATCGGAGAATTGCACAAGAACCCATCTCAATATGCAAAAGCACGTTGCAAGCTGAGTCGGTCTAGGGCTTTCGCAGTCTGAGTCTCTATTGTGTATTGATACTCGAAGTGTCAAGCATGTTTGCGGCGTTGAAACGCGATACCCACGTGCTACACAAGTAGTACTTGTTAGTACTTAATTCTCTGCATAAAAAGTAGACATGATATTCCGTTACACAATCCCCAGCTTCCCACTTCAAATGTTGTCTTGTTATGCGTCACGTGAGTCACAAGTGTTGAACTGCGTTTTCGGATGCTGGCCCAACGATATCAAACTACTCCCCTTGTTTCCTTATGTTTGAGTTGTCTCATAAAATTCTAATGATCACGATAGTTTTTATTAGTCGACAGAATACTGATTGGTGTCAATCAAGGTGATATACACCTAACTACATCCTAACTAAGAACTTCTCAACACGAAATCCAATGCTAACACTTCGCTGATCAACTGAGTTTGCTAGATACCGGCTAAACATAATTGTCACCACACCAATCGCAGCAGTTGATATCACCCAAGCTGCGAACACAATTCCATCTCGCCCCTGATACTTCGCGCCCCAGTAGTCCAAACCACTCAAGCCTAGACTAGTCCAACTCAGCAACCTGTTCAACATGATTCTGTACACAGTTTGATGGCATAGATACAAACTGAACGAGATATGACCCAGAAACTGCGCCGCTTTCCACTCAAAAGGTGCCCGTATACGAGGTAAGTGACGCATGCCGCCAACAATTACGATCGCGCCAATGGTATGCCAGGTCCGCATCTTGATCTCCCAATCCCACCAAGGAAGCGGTGGAATTATTGTGAGAAAGTTCCAATCTGGGGAGAAAGTAGGGGTGATATCGCCTTCATGCCACATCGGGACCGGGAGACAAATGAGATAGAATCCCAAAGCAAAGACGAAATAACGAAGAGCAGTGACCAGTCGAGTCCGGCTAGCTTTGGGAACGAGGTAATCTTTGTTGCTCCAGCTTGACAGTGGAGATGTCAACTGAAGTTCATGATGCTTGCGCCTAGCATCAAGCTCAGCATATAGCAAGCCCGCGAAGAAAGCTAAGAACTCCGGGTTGCCGTTCCATCCGAATCTGACAACTAGTAGTCCCAAGACCATGAGCCGCGCTTTCTCGCCGACGGTCGAGAGTCCAAGAAGAGCCAAGTAGACCTTCATAGACCCACGAATCTCTACTGGGATGGTCCAGAAGTGGTTGTTGAGCGTCATGTCCTGGCTACTCTGCAAGTTCACAATAGAAACAAAAGACCGCACTAAACACTCTATGTGGGGTATAGGCGAGCCCCAAGGTTTTGCCTCTGGACAGCCCTGTCCTTCTCCAAACTCGAGAGCATAAGTCCCGCCGTAGAATAGCACATGGCTGATCAGCATCATGACTACAACTGGGAAGCTCAGTCGAAATATCCTTCGAACCACGCTGCTTGTCAATTTTCGGTAGAAATCCGTCATGGAGCCTTCGTTGCGAAGTTTGATGAGTCCAGTCGAGATGGAGTAGCCGGAGACTACAAAAAAAATGTCCACCATGGCTTGACCGGCGATGATAACGCGCAACGGTGCGATTTGGATGAAATGACGATTTTCGGACGCTGGCGAATCCTGTGCGGCGCGGGTATGTGGTCAGCCATATTCGAAGAAAGGGGTTCGCACTTTCTGAATCGAGTAAAGTGAGAATGAGCAACGTACCCAGAACGAACGATACGGCATTGCGAGACTGCCAGTGGTGAGGTGGAAGAAAGCCACTATGAGAGCTGCAGTACCACGTAGACCGTCAAGCCATATTTTGCGGCTTGGTGAACCAGACTTTTCGGCCATTTTGGAAGCTCTCAAAGAGGCTGCGAAACCTCCAAAAGTTGAGCAATCCGAAAAGTATGATCTTCTCGTGCCTTGATCTGATTTCGAGGTTCGGGATTCAGTCGCGCGGTGGACTTTGGATATGCGGTCCACCCTCTCTCTCCGTAGCGCGGTTCAATTCAGGAAATCGATGTGATACCAGGCCACTCAAGAATATCGGAGAAAAGAGTATGGCAAGTGGACAAATGACACAATGTTTAGGTCGCCGCAGAGTGTTATGTTTCAAGATTGATGAGAATGTAGAAATGAGATTGTGGAACTAGAGTGTCCCAACACAAATCATTGAGATTGAATCATCGTAATAGGCAAGGCTAGAAAATCACGCGTCGGACGGCAGAGAGGCAGCAGCACGAAATTCAATAAATGACATCGAATCCTTCTACGACTTAACAAGGTAGAATACGGTCTAAGACGGCGCAAAATTAGGAAAATGAGTTCGGTAAGCATGAGTGACCGACCTACTAGCCATGTGTAGAGCAAGGCCCACCATCTGGCCTCGCTCCGACGTTTAAGTCACACTGCAGCCTACGCTTGTTCTGCATGATCTCCCGTTCCAGTCACCATATCCCTGCAAAAACCCCATTTAGCGCACCTTCGCTAAGTATAACATACATATTCCAACTTTTTTCCAAGTCACACTCAACACAAGCGCAAAGTTGGCAATGACTTGTACGGATTACTGCCTGTGACTTGGGATACTAAATTTCTAGCTTCATCGCCTGTATGCACGAAGTGCTCGTATCCGTGTTGTTCGGGCGAGGGAAAACCGATCAACTGGTCAGCTAATTTGCTATTGACCTGCTTCATTGGGTAGTGCTCGCAGTGACTCCGCCCCTGTCGTCAGCAATAAACAATCACCTATCCTATAGAGGAGAAAAATTATGGGAAATGGATGGTATTTTTGGCTCGCGTCATCACGTCAATACGCCAATGTATCATTTACTCTGGTCTATCGTAAATCGCACTCATCTTGTCACTAGACGCGATGGCGCAGCGAGGTTTTGACTTCTCTAATTATACCTGAGGGGAATTGATTAGATTGTTTGTCGTAAAGTATGATTTTCTGGCTGACGGCTGACCAAATAAAAATACGGCTCCAACGGACGTTCCCGTACATGGGCGTAATCCTTCAATAAAGAAATAGAAAATGGATAATTGAACGACATTCCTTCGACTGAATTATCCAATACGGCAAAGCACATTGAGGCTCAGAGGGCGTGGAATACGAGATGCTCCATCGAGATTAAGGAATCATGCGCTAGGACCCTTGCCGATCAACATGGTTCCCGAACAGCTTGGTATGAGCTTGGCCGGCGAGGTCACCAATAGTTCCATTTTGTTGGAGTCTTAATTTTCCTACAGGATTTACCGTTACATTCTAGGCAGAAGTTGCAGCTATGCCGCTTGTAGGTTCTGAGCGGCCCATAGTGTTGAAGAGTTACATGGGTTGAGCTCGGTGGATCGGTCGAACACGGCAGCTTCGAGGTGCCCAAATGGTACTCTGAAATAGTTATATGATGTGAAATCCTGCGCTTTGTAGAAGCAGTCAATTGCTCATTCAGTCGTTTCTCTTGTGGATTTCCAGTGGCAATTCCTTCTCCATTGTTCTGTTGAAGATCTTCTCTTTCCTGATTTCGTTTCTTGTAAAAGTTATAATGGGTCGACCTGCTTTCCTCTCACCGCATGGAAATCCCCAATCCTATCGTGGTACATGGTCGCCACCCTTCTCGCCGCTCTCTCCAAGAACTCCACGATCGCCAAGATTTTACGATGACCGTAAAAAAGACAGCGAAGAGCCTGAGGAGGAGATTATCATATCTGCCTTTGAAAAGTTCTTGAACTTCTTGGGATGCATGGCGGCTGCAGTCGTCTATGCCTACTTGCTGCTTTACTCCAATCACCTCTGGACCATTGACACTGGTGCCTCCATCTTCCTAGCAGAGTACTGCGGGTGGTCCAACGAGAAGCTTCGCAAGAAGAGCACTGGCGATGACCAATTGCACAATGAGAAGAGCGACGACTTGAGTCTGGCGGAGAAGGGCGGATACTTTCTGGATGCAAAGAGCGATTACGATGAGGCAAAGCTAGGATGTATAGCTGCCGTCGTCGGATACCGCGAAGATCCTATCATCTTCAACAAAGCTCTCGAAAGCTACCTGCAAGCCGACGGATGTCGCTTCATGCTTGTATGCATCGACGGGAACAGCCTAGAGGACCAGGAAATGGTCGACATCTTCCAAAAGGTACAACTGATCCTCGGCTACTCACGCTCCTCGTATCCACACCACTGCTAACGAACTCCTCAAGGTATTCCCTACCGATTCCGCCATTCTTGACATCTCCATCCCCTTCGTAGAGATCGCCCTCCAAATGGACCGCGACAAACCGAAATGGCAACCCGACACCGAGCTCATCTCGAAATGCGTATCCCTCGCCAAACTCAAGCTCTCCGAAAATGATATCCACCTCACCGGTCCGGACGCCATAAAACGGCTATGTGTAACACAACCACACATGCACAAGAAAGGAGTCATGTTTACTTCCTTCATAGTCTCCCTCGCCATATCCGAGCTCCTTGGGATAGACTATCTGTGGACGTCTGATTCCGATAGCATTGTGTATGAAGGCACCCTACGGAGGACAATTGAAACAATTGCGGGCGATAAGAGGTGTGCTGGGGCCAGTACGGCGTTGGCGATTCATAACAAGGATGAGACGCTTGTTACGAAGTTGGGGAATACGGTGTTCTTGAACGAGTTACATCTTTCGAGATGTTTTTCGAGTGCGTTTGGAGCGAATGACTGCCAGAGTGGGCCTTGTGCGGCGTTTCGTATTGATGCGTTGAGGTCGGAGTTGTTGGAGTGGTATAAACAGAGGGTTTGGGGGCATTGGATGGTATGTCTTGTCCTTTATCATAGACTGTTTATTCTTATCCCCGCAGTGACGAGTAAAATCTCCTGGAATCTGAAATACTGACTTGGATGTCTTGGTTTTAGATTATCAATGAAGACAGACACCTCACAACCCGTCTTCTCCTCCTTGGCCATCGAATCCGCTTCATCTCTCACGCCATCACTGCTACCGAAACACCTGTATCGCTTCGTCGATGGTTACTCCAACAGGTGCGCTGGGCACGCTCCGTCCACATGTACGTTCCCACCCTCCGCTTCGCTCCATCCATCATACTAACATCACGCAGTGAATCCTATGCCCACCCCTCAATATACCTCTCCCAGCCCCCGCTCTTCTTCTTCGCCGCCCTCCGCCGCCAACTCATCTCCTTCTTCATCCTCGCTGCCGTTTTCTCCTACCTCTTCACAGGAGGCACGCCTTTCCTGAAATTTAGCATCAAGGATTACGCTTACCGTTCCCTCTTCACGCTCGTATATCTCAAGTTGAGGAATCCGATCAGACCTTCATGGGAAGAGTGGAGTTGGTCGATACCCTCTAGTTTATTCTACAATGTGCCATTGCCCGCGATACAGGCGTGGAGCTTAGTAACGGTGTTTGCGGATGGGTGGGGTACGGCGATGCGAGGAAGTAAGGAGGTTGAAGGGGAGACATCGTGGTGGAGAGATACTAGGAAGAGAGTGGGGGAGGTTGGTTTTTTTGTGGTGTGGATGGGTGTTGTTGGTGGGGTCTTGGGACGGTGGGTTTCGGGATTGTGTGGGTTGGGTGGGTGGGAGCAAGTTATTTGTGTTTTGGTGAGTGTGGGAGTGTCTTGGGTTGGACTTGGATTTTGGATGGTTACTATGGAGTAGTCTTCGCTTTCCGAACTAAAAGTTAACAACGTGAATCAGAATGACGTCATATGTCAATCAGTCTGGCAGCAGCTCAATTGAGCTCACCGAAGTCGCATTTTGAGTATTACAGTCAAATGGCATTGGAAAAGTGTCAATCGATTGGAAAACACCCGTCCACGTGCATGCATTGATAGAAGCACGTGACTTTTTATTATTCTGAACATTCGAAGTCAATATCCAATTGTGACGATTGGAAGAATACTGCAAATTACATTGAACAATTCCACAATATACCGGATTCTCCAACCTATCTGAATACATATGTAGAGATAGTCGAATAACGATCACCATCATGATCTGGCTGAGTCATCACGAGCGCGTTTACAGCGTCATTCGGCGGGGGCCAGTGTCGTGGCCAGATACCACCGAGAAAAGCAGCAGGACAGCGGATAAGGACGTCAACGGCAAAGTTCCCCAGATGGAGATAAAAGAACGACCCACCCGCGTGCTCCTGCATGAACGACTCTGCAGTCGACACTTATTTACATTCTGTTAGACCGAATCATACGGCATCCACACAATCGGCATGGAGAGCAAAGAATGGCAGCAGACGGTCAAAGACCAAACCTTCATAATCTCGACGGCACCGACGCTTCCCCATGCATTCATCCAGCAAGCATTCAGCACGTCAGCCATGTACTGGGCCAAGCCTGTGTCGTCTGAACATGTGCAGAAGCTCGTCGACAACTCGTGCACACTAGGCCTCTACTGCCTTGAGAACACCAACGACGGCAAACATCAACGCACGCCCATTGGAATGGCACGCATGGTGACCGACTACGTAACGCTCGCGTACCTAACGGACGTGTACGTACAAGACGAGTATCAGGGCCTGGGACTGGGCAAGTGGATGGTTCGATGCTGCCGGGCCATTGCGGTGGATATGCCGGAACTTCGGTTCATGATCCTTCTGACGGGCTCTGAGCAGGCGCAGAATCTGTACAGGAGGGAACTGGGCATGAAGGTGATGGGGAGCGAGGAGAAACTAACGGCCATGGGCGCGCGAAGAGCGAGCCTGGAGGAAGCGGCGGCATCACCACCAAGCTGAGAAATCGTCCGTCTCCATGCTTAACTTCCAAGGTTGTTACTAATAAGACGAGGGTGCAGATGCTGACCCTGGTGGATTCCGCGCCGCGATCGTGAAAGTGGAGGGCGACCAAGGGGAAAGCGTGGGCAGAAAACGTGTGTCGACGTTCTCCATCGGCTGTTTCGGGTATAGCGCTCGCACGCCATTCTTTATCGCATCTCGTTTTGGGCCCGGATTGATGCCTCGATTTCTCCCCCAGTCGATAACCCCAAAGCGAACTAGAAACACAATAAACATATCCACCACCAACCGCCATGATGAATAGACTCTCCGTCTTGCCGTCTTCTTCTTCGCTTTTGGCTGTGTCTGTCCGCTGCCCTCCTCCCTGACACACACTTTCCCTCGTCACCCCGCCATCCAAGCTTACATTGGTGACTGGATCCACCCCACTCACTGTTCGCATCCTCTTCCTCTGGTCCCGATACGTCCCGGTCGGTGTCTAGACTTCTATTTATTCCCGGTTGCGGGTTTCCATAACCATAGAACAATCCAGTCTTCGGGGTTGTGGCCCGTTTGTCCTCAAACCGATCAACAAACGCGTAAACAAAGCAGAGCAGAAGATCCACAGGACTGATAACAGCAACCATGCTTCAATCACTGCAAGACGGATCCCGCCCACACATCGTTCATATGCCGTCATCTCCCGCAACAATGAAGCGAAAGCGCGCAAATTCCGACGCGGTACTCACCCCGCCCCTCAGTATCGATGACCCAGAAGGCTCCTGTCTTCTTTCGCGCGCGGTCCACGTTCTCTCCACTGCCGCGACTGCCCTTTCCCAGGTCACTTTTCTGTATCAGACAGATCCTACGGCGCGAGAAGGACTGCTTCAAGCAGTCGAATGCATTCAATCCGTCGTAGAAGCCGGCGGCAAACTGATTGTCTGCGGAGTGGGCAAAAGTGGGCTGGTAGGCAAGAAGACAGTGGCTAGTATGAAAAGTTTAGGGATACCATGCTCGTTTCTACACCCCTCAGAAGCGCTGCATGGGGATCTGGGGGATATAAGACCAGTATGTCAGGCCTACTTCCTTTCTCCACTACATTCACCCCTCCAGTATAACCGCGCACCCGCATACTATGTTCCCCCTTCTTTAATACCAAGCTAATTCTCTCTAAAACAGCACGATGCAATCCTCTTCATATCCTATTCCGGCAAAACATTCGAACTCCTCACAGTTCTCTCCCACATCCCGCCCTCAAACCCCATCCTCGCCATAACATCGCAAACCCAACCCTCCGAATGTCCACTCTTGCGCGACCGTTCAAACGGCATTCTCCTTCCCGCTCCCATCCACGAAAAAGAGGAAACCTCGTTTGGAGTCTGCGCCCCTACCACATCCACAACAGTGACCATTGCTGTGGGAGACATGCTCGCGCTTACTCTCGCCGAGGCTCTACACGATGGCGGGACGAAGGACGTGTTCCGGAAAAACCACCCCGGTGGCGCGATCGGAGAGAAGACCAGGCGGATAGAGGATGCGATAGTAGAACGGGATGTGGGCAAAGAGGATAGCGATCATGATGATGGAGATCGTGCTAAGAGACGTAAGGGTCTCGTCTCATCCGTGTGCGATTGAGCATGTTGGAAAGCCTGGTTGCTCGACTCCGCTCACTTTTTTCTTTTCTTCCAGTGCGATAATACCTCCGTTATCCAGCGGAACTCTCTCGGTTCGTTGTAATTGAGATGATTAATGATACACATGACAATGGCGACGATTAAGTTCGCCTTTGATTCTTTCTGATCACCCTGCGCAAATTTCACATGCGCTTTTTTTTATTGCTAGCACTGCAGATCATCAACTGCCGACCTAGGTAGGTACAGCTCGATGTGCATGCATGAGAAGAGACTAGTAGGATGGCTTATATAACCCCCGATTTCTTTCGAGATTAGAACCCGGGATTTCCCTTGCAGCCATGTCTTTATCTCCTTTTATCATCTTGCCGTGTTGGCATAATCGCAGTTTTCGTCTTCAAGATGAACACTGGACGCATGGGAGGCGGAGCCAGATGCGTTGTCGATCAAGATGGCGTAGAGAAAACCAATCAGATGATTGCATGCACGAACACAGCCTCTTCTCTCGCTATCCATATAACCATTGCCATTCTTAATCCTCACTCCTCCACATCTCCCACTTTGCTACGTCCCACTAGGTCAATTATACTAATCATCGCGTTTCCATAGTTCACGGTGCGTTGTCGAAGATACTGTCCCGATGCTGGATCCCATCACTTCATTGAGTCTCGCGAGTGGTATCATAACGCTGGTGGACTTTGGCGCGAAATGTATCAAGAATGCCCGCGAGATTGCAGAATATGGATGCACTGAAGAGCAACGACACTTGCGAATCATCACTTCCGACCTAATCTCTGTATCCAGTGATATCACAAATCAGATAGGCAGCAGTGCAGTTCACGGTCTGGCCCAGCAAACCCAGGATGTTGCGCAAGAACTCTCTCAGATGCTGGCGAAAGTGCAAATCGATGACCAGGATCAGAATCAACCTCGCTTAGGCAAAAGGAAACGCATAGTGAAGAACCTCATGTACACCGCATGGAGGAAGGACGACATCAACAAAATGGAAAAACACTTGAGTGATTTAAGACAGCAGATGGTGCTGAGGCTTAGTCTTACGCAGAGGTATGTCACTCATAGCATGAGTTGCATACCTGAACTAACAAGGAACCAGTCAGTCGTTATCGGATGTACTCAATCGTCTGAGTGTTCCCGGCCAGAAAGTGTACGAAGAGCAAACAGCTCTTCTGGGGCAACTCGAGAAGTACTTGAAGAGCACTCAAACTCATGGCATTGAGCTCAAGCCATCTGATGCAGGGGGAGATCAAGATGTCCTGTCATGCTTGGCGGGGTTGATCGATCAGGGGCGAACAATCACCAGATGCCAACATATACTGAAGTCGCTTGAGTTTGAGGGTCTCTATGCACGGGAACAGATGATCCCTGTTGCTCACCAATCGACCTTCACATGGATCTTGAAAGAAAAACGCCATGGGTTCGTGGACTGGGCCAGTCATCAAAATGGTATGTATGAATAATATAACTGAATTCCCGGAAGCTTAGTGATGTGCAGGGATATTCTGGATGACTGGCAAGCCAGGATCAGGAAAGTCAACGTTAATGAAATATTTGATTCGCGAACCTGAGACACGCAAGCTTCTACGGCAGTGGGCTGGAACCCGCCGTCTCGGTGTTGCAAGCCACTACTTTTGGAACTCGGGTACCACCATGCAAAAATCCGAAGAAGGTTTACTGCAGAAGCTGCTATACGACATCGTTTGCCAATTTCCAGCTGAAGCACTCAAAGCCATCCCCGCCGAGTTCACAGATGCAAAAGTACTTGGGAACGTACCTTGGACAGTCGACGACTTGCGAAAAGTATTGGAAGCTTTTGGACAGAACGAGGATCTAGATACCAAGTTTTGCTTCTTCATCGACGGCCTTGATGAGTATCGCAGCGACCACGGTGAGCTTGTGGAATGTTTGTCAAGACTTTCACGCTGTCCTAGCATCAAACTCTGCGTCTCTAGTAGACCCTGGAATGTTTTCACTCAAGCTTACAACAATCGCGCTCAAGGGCAGCTTGCAGTGCATGAGCTCACGCGAGCTGATATCAGGAAGATGGTTGAAGATCGGATGAGCACAAGCGAAGCTTTTCGAGCTTTGCAGGTTGCTAGTCCGCAAGCTGGTGCTGATATAGTCGCAGAGATTTGCGATAAGGCGCAAGGCGTGTTTCTGTGGGTGCATTTGGTTCTCCGATCGCTTCTCAGGGGGATGAACGATAACGACGACGACATTGATATCTTGCGTGAGCGCGTGAGAGAATGCCCAGACACACTCGATGGATACTTCGATCGGATGTTCCAGCGCATTGAAAAAGTCTATAAGAAGCAATCGGCACGTATCCTTCTGGTCGCTCTCGCTGTCGATGGACCACTTCCGATTCGAGCACCTTCATTTATTGGCGAAGAATTGAAGAATTCAGACTATGCCCAAAACATGCGCTTGTTTTCCGTCGGCGGCAGTCAAGAGATTTCTCATAAGTGCGACAAAAACCGTTCATCCACAAGAAGGGTCCCCACCTTGCAGGGCAGGTCAATATCCATGATCAAAGAAGCTCTGTCGGGCGGCGAAGAGTACGAGATCCAAAAGGCCCGAAGATATCTTGACGCTCGATGCGGAGATCTCCTCGAAGTAAACATAGGAACCATCACCTTCCTTCATCGCACAGCAAGGGATTTTCTCGAGCGTGACGACATGGCGGACAGTATACGCAGAATCGCCACTGATGACTTCGACACGCATCTTTCCCTCGCCCGACTCAGCCTAGCACAACTAAAAAGCGTATGGCCTAACCGAAGTGAAGAGCTGGAAATTCTTCTGAAACAAGTCCTCGGAGCAGAGAACAAGATCTTAAACACAAGTAAATCAAAGTATGCCGATGTACTCGAGGATATTGATCAGCACGGTGTTGCACTATTCGACGCGCAAGACCGAATAGCAGGACGCAGTTTCGGGGGAAACTCCCATGTGCCACAGGAAAGGGTGAAATATGAAGACTCGGTGGACTTTATCAAGATTCATGGAGCACTCGTGCGAATGGGACGATGCTGTCAAGCTCTAGTCCACTGAAACAACGCTTACATGGACTAAACGACCCATAAAAATACCACTGTCCTACCAAGTTCGAAATAGTGCAAATTTACCACTTTGAATCATCTTGTGCTGCATCAAATTGTCTTGGCAACTTGCCTTTCCCAACTACTGATGGCTGATTATCTCTTTTCGGGTGTATATCCAGAATCATGCTAATAAGGACTAGAAAAGGAAATTTCGTCGCATTATGAAGGCGGAAAAAATACTTAGAGGACAAATCAGCCACCGTTGAAGCATTTACGTTGCGGATATAACACAAGAATATCACCATTCTCTTGAAAAGATTTTGTGATGACCACACAATGACTTTCGCTTTCGTGATCATCCACTATCTAACGCAATCATCGCACCTCGACACGGCATAGCACTTCAAGAACCTGAATCTTGCAATGCAGTACAACATTTAAGAACAGTCATCACTACGCTTTGAATACCCGGTCCCCCGCACCTCCCAACAACCCACAATCCGCTTATCACATAGCAAATTCTAGCACATCCAGCTTACATGATAAACCATCTGCCACAAATCACTCACGATAGCACAGCATACCTGTATGTATCAACACAAGTATCAACATAGTCATCGAAGTTGCTGTTTAGATTTTGTTGGGCGGTAGTTTGTGCTTGTGCTTGTGCTCAAGCATGCTCCTCATCGACTTCACCGATCCGGACTCGCGCCGGGGTCGCAGGAGCGGAACTCTACTACACGGTATATTGGTGGTCTGCGGGGCTTGTGGAAGTTGAAATATCGAAGCTTGCAGGTCTGTTAATGCTGTGTGTTTGTGAGACCCGTTCTTCTCTTCTTAGTTTGTGTTAATAAACTATTATGTGATCATCGCATATTTTATGCGGCACCAAGGACGGTAGTGAATCATCGCATTTCTATGCAGCACAAACACTTGGTATTATAAAACACGATAAATCTGCCTTCGGTTAGTTTGTGTCATATCAGTTGGCAGCTGCCGTTTTTGGACTGAGAATGGTCGTGGAGATCAGCGCTTTGCGAAGTACAAAATGTAACATTAGACTTGTACACGAACAGCACGTGGATGAAAGAGTCATGGCTGAGAGGACATGTGCTGCTAGGTCCGACGTATTCGATGTTGTGTAAAATTCCGAGTAAAAATGTAACTGCCATCGACGAATGAATCTCTCAGTAGAGTGTGGAGGCGCTTTCGCCACGAGGGGATGTTCTATCCTGGGTGGCTGCACAGCCTTTGTGTTCGAGTCCCAAGGCGACGATGTACAAGATTGAGCACCGGCGGGTAAATTTAAATACGTCGGGATATACACAGCATGAGCTCATTGCACCAAAGAGTAAAACGGAGTGCTCTCATGCATTCATTATTTCATGGGTTGGTGGTACGTTCCAATCTTTACAACACCTTAACTTCAATATGCATGTATGCTCCGTCGTAGCTCTCGCGCATTGAAGTGAGTAGGAATAACCGAATCTCAGTGAAGTCTGTGGAAACAGGTAAAAATGTAGTACAGAGCATCGCATGACACTCTACAATGTCTAGCTTCTCATAATATATCATCATATGACCAAACCTACATGGATACACGTGTCCTACGTAAGTCTAGGCCCATCGATGTATCTCGGCATGCCTTGTTATTTCGTTATTTCGGGTAGGAATCGCGCGAATGAACGCATCTTTCAAATGAAACGGGGTGTTGTACTGCATCGCATTGCTGCTACATAATTTCTTGATTAGGCGATAATACATGGTTTGAATGGAACGGCAGGAACGGTGATCATAGTCTCATACGATTGGAGAATGGGTTCAAGCCATGACGCAGCCTACCTATTAGATTGTCTTCGCTCACACAGCAAATTTTCCCTCCTTTCCCATATCCTCCCGATTCGCATCGTTTACTAGACGAAAATCTTTCAGACGTTTTTCCAGTGGGATTTACTTCTTGCGTGCACGCACGTCGTTGTCTCCGCCGTGATTTCACCTTCTCTCGTATCCAGATCTTCGTTCCTCCTCTTCACCACAACCCACTCACTCATCATGGATCCCGTTAGTGCAATCGGTCTTGCAGCGAGCCTCATTCAGATCATCAAAGCTGGTACCCAAGCGTACAATACGATCAAGGAGATAAACAGAAGTCAAACCGGCATGACTGATGCAACATATCATTCGAAAGAATTAGCTAGAGCTATGGAGGATGTGTCCTTGAAGCTCGAGAGATGTAACAGCAATTCAATGAATGATAGCGAGCAAACTCTGTGCGCTTTGGCGGTGAAGTGCCGTCAGCTTTCTGAAGATATCATACGCCTGTCCGAGAGGTTGACCAATAAATCGAGATCTTGGGATCTATTATTCTGGATGGTGCAGTACGACAAGTATGAGAAAGAGAAGCTGATGCTGGAAAGCAAACTCGTTGCGTACCGCGACCAGCTTGGGATACATATGACCTATCTCTTCAAGTATGTTGCTCAATAGCATTTGATGACGTATTAATGATTACGCAGTCAGAAGACCCAAGAAAAGCTCAATAGTCTTGGTAAAAATGCCTCCTCACAGCTTCATTTGTTGCAAGACTTGCAGAACGATCTCAATATCATCTCCCAAAATTCCATTGTCGCTTCTCTTAGCAGCGATGCTTTGGAGCAGATTGGGAGATTATCGGAAATTCCCGAAAAAGCGATTGAAGCTATTGCAAGAAGTCATATTGAATGCAGGCTTTCCATAAAGGATACAGAAGCAAGATTCGATAATGTTGAGACAGCGCATGCCGAAACTTTTCGATGGATATTGGAAGAAGATCAGCAATGCAATGACCCTGCTCTTCTCGCTGTGCGTGAGCACCTAGTCGGCTGGCTGTCCAATGGATCCGGATATTTCCATATTTTGGGCAAGCCTGGGTCTGGGAAGTCAACATTGATGAAATTTCTGATTAGGAGCACGGTGACTAGGGTGAAGCTCCTAGAATGGGCTGGTAAGTACAGCTTTTGAACATATAAGTTACGACGCTAATGTTGATCAGGAGAACACCACCTGATCATGGCCTACTTCTTCTTTTGGAAGCCTGGAGATCCTCACCAAAAATTACTTCGCGGATTGATGACATCTATACTGCTTGCAGCTGTACAAAATTACCCGGGGCTTACTGAAACTCTTTTCCCAACTCAGTGGAAATCGGAAGTGGATCATATTCTTACCGTTGGTCATTCACATATCCGAACCAAACACAGGTTCAGAGAAGACGAAATCAATGATGCTTTTAAGAAACTTCTTGAAGATCCACAAGTTGGCCAATCCCATCGTCTTTGTTTCTTCCTCGATGGTTTGGACGAGCATGAAGAGGAGTCTATAAATCAGGATCACTTCTACCTAGTCAATGAGCTCAAGCAATTCATTTCACTTGGCAATGGAAGACTCAAAATGTGTTTATCGAGTCGAGAAGAAAATGCCTTTGAATTCAACACCCGTCATCAAATACGACTACAAGATTTAACGAGAAAAGATATGGAGCGGTTTGTCCGGGCTCGACTGAATGAGTTCAAAAGCAACACAGAAGTAAATTTCTTGGCTTCCGAAGTCACTGCACGTGCTGAAGGTGTCTTCCTGTGGACCTCATTAGTCGTGGTGCGGCTATGCGAATGTTTGGCTGCCGACTCAGGGTCAAATAAGCTAATGGAAGAGCTCAAGTCGTTACCAACCCGGCTTAAAGACTTATACAAAAGTCTTCTGAATTCGATAAGCCCGTCTACGCAGCAGTTGACCTATCTAGTCTTTTCTTTAATATTACAGTTGGCTGAGTACAGGACTACATTACCACCACTACTATGTCTCTTTCTAGAGGACTACAACGAAGACCCGGAATTCATCAGGAACCACCCGAAATTTTCCGACCGTTGCCGCTCAAAAGATGAGGGGAAATATCAATCCTATGACAATCATTTCATAGCTTCTCAAAAGCTCATAAGAAGTTACTGCATGGGGTTGGTCGAAATTCGAGGAAAATCCCTTGATACCTCTCAGCATCACGATCATGTTGTCTTCACACATCGAAGCATTCTGGAGTTCCTCCAGATCGAAAATTCCAAGGAGATGAACGCTCACAATCATGATTTCAAATTAGCCCATGCTTATCCACGGCTTCTTTATGCGACTTTGAGTATATGTGGCTTCTCTGAATCCATGGACTGGTTTTCACATCCAGTTACTTTATCTGCAGTGATACATGAGTCGCGAAGTACTACCGATCATGATATCGTTGCGAAATTAGAAGCAAAGCTGATGCCACACTATGATTATATCTTCCTTTTTCGTGATCGACGCTTGTCCCTGGATAGCTCGGTATGGTGGACTATCTGTGAAATCTTGGGTTGGGGCGAAAATGTGACGCCTACTGTCCGTGTTCTCACACCTTCACCGCTCCTTGTCATGGCCGGCGGAGGAGAAGGTCATTACCTTAGGCACTACATGGATAATCATGAGTATTCTCAAGTTCATCGATCCATCCGCGGCCATTTACCATTATGCCTCTTACAGGGTATTGTGAGGGCTTCTCTCGAAGACTGTAACGTCTTCCTCGAGTGCTTAAGCCACTCTCTCAATCTGGCTCCCCTTGACATACCTCCGAGAAATTGGGAATTTGGAATCGGCGCCATTCTAAGTGGATATATGAAGATAATCAACGAAAAACACGCAGCCACCATCGGACGAGCAATCGAGCATTTGACCAAGAATCTGAGCGTGGAATACTTTTTGTTCGATTGCCAGCTGTATTTGAACAATATATTCTTTGATTGGGCCGGGGACTTTTGGCCTGAGAAACCTCATTTAGAATGGCAAGGGCCGCAAGGCGTGGAGCGATACTTTCAGGGGCGCAACAGCATCCACTTTTGGGATATTATTCAGACTTGGATCGAAGACTGGGAACTACCCAACGAAAAAGAACTTATAGCTTGCGCCGCATCTCATGCGCAACAACTTCAGGCTTTGAAAGGACAAAATCGTGAGTTCTGTCCTTGCTTAACCAGAAAACTCAAAGAAGAATCAGATGGCTTCGACGACGGCAGCTCTCAATTGCCACTTCTACTCACCTCACCGGGTCTTCTTGCACCATCGAGCCGACTCAAGGTCACAAACTTGGATGACGCCACAGTAAAAGAGCATGCAACAGAAGACTCCGGCTTGGAGCAGGATCCTACCGAAATCCCGGACAAGAGTATTTCCCCTTCGATGCCACAAAAAACTCAGTGGACTCGGATGAACTGGCTTATGATGGGTTTTGCGCTTCTTGGTAAGTCTAATCTCGTTCTAGCTGGGAAATTGCCTTATAGCGAGCTAACGACGAGTGCAGCTGCAATCTTGCTAGCATGGATGAGATGAACGTGCGCGTTCAAGTGTTTCACTCATTATTAGTTTTTGTTTCATAAATCAAGAGTGCATAGGCACTGAGGATATCGGGGGTGGCTGCCTTTCAGAGTACTGAACTAGCATAATGCCACGAATCGCGCCAGAGCATCTCTTCATCGCTCTAACTCAGTACTTAGCCCATCCAGGATACACCAACCGACCAAATCTCTCTCATTTCGCCCCGCCATCTAAACTTCCGGAAACCCACAACCCACCTCATAACACGGCTCCAACACCAATTCCGCAGACCCCGCGTCAGCCTCAAACCACAACTGGCTTCCCAGCGGCCTCCTCTCGACCTGCACCACACTCCCGTTCCTCTCCACCTCCTCGAAATCCTTTCCCCTGATATCCACATTCCCTCCACCCCCCGCATATCCAGTAGCGACTCCACCCCACTGTCCCGGATACACCAATTTCATCCTCCGATACTCATTCCCCGATACAACATCTCCCTGAACATGTCTACTCACCGCAAAAAACAACGGATTCATCTTATAGTACCTATGATAAACCGGTGGGAGGACCTCAACAGTCGTATTCCCATCTCCAGATTCAGTGGTGATGTAGTTATGCGGCATCACAACTTCGCGGTTATAAAAAGCCCAATACGGGAGCAACTTGACATCGATTTCGTTCCCGGCTTTCAAGACAGTTTCGCCGCAGTGGACTAGCGTTCCTGTGATGGAACCTTGACGCGTTTCGATGATGCTACTCCCGTTCCGTAGGGATAGCTTGTCCGGCTCGAAGGGCATGCGGATATCGATGTTTCCTTTCTCCGACTGCGCGAATATATTGGCTGTGGTATAGGGACCGGCAGACCACAGCGTCGGGAACAAATTCACATAGATGTTGTTGGTGAGTGTTGTGAAGGAGGCTGAGGCGCTTAGGGACCAGTTTCCTAGGATGGGGCCGTGGTGCGATGTTATGTTGATATCCTGGACCATGAAACGCGGGCTTTGTAAACCGGTTATGAAGCCGTTAACTGCAGAAAGCGTCAGGTAGTATGTTTCGAACCATATGTCCTGGAAGAATTGGATGTTGAGATTTACGGTTGAGACGTGTGTTTTTCGGAGACGGAAGGTTTGCGGCTTGATGAAGACTACGATGTCGACTTTGAGCGCGGGATCTAGTGCAAGGGTGGAGTCAAGAGATGGCGAGGGCACACTGGCGGAGTCTACGAAGAGGTTTCGAGTATCGTTTCTTATCGAGACTAGGTTTAATGCTATTTCGTTGTTTGAAGAGAGTCGCACAAGGGCTGTGAGTTTGTGCTGTTGACCCCATTCTCCGGGAACGAATTCAATGCCGCCTGTGACTCCGCGGGGGAAGATAGTTGAGCTGATGTTTTCGTGTATAGCCACGTCGTTGGGGCGATCCTCAGGATTGACCTCAAAGAATACAGTTTTGGTGATCATAAAGCGGTCTTCGTCGTGTGGGAGTGGCGCAGCTTCACGCTGGTTTGGTAGAAGCGGATATTGCGCTGATTGGGTCTGAGCAAGCTGAGCCCATACCATCGTCAACAGCCAAACAGCCAAAGTTTGATAGCTATACATGGCTAGAGTGATCTTGAAGCTCATACACACAAAATGCAGCAGACGTTGAAGAACAATGGGGGACCTGCGACGTTGTTGTTGCCTGGATGCAAGAGTGGTGAAGGACTGACTGCGGCACAGTTCCGATGAAACTCAGCGAGGGGTGGCCTTAATAAGAAACATTTGAAGAGATCTCGGGTCTTATCATCATCTCGGGCAAACAAATCAAAACCTAGAATTCTACATGCACATGACGTATATGACTAGAAAATCTCTACATAATTAAAATTGGAACTTTCAATTCTGCGCTCAATGCATCCTGTTTTTACATACCCTTCTTGAGCCGCAACTTCAGGACCCCATCACAACGCCCCGTTACTCTATTACAATAAACTATTCAAATCGAATCTATTATTTAACCGTTTGCTTCATGTAAAGTTAGTTTTTATTAGCTTAGCAAGTGTGGGAAACACTTCAACTTTATAATAAAAAAATCACAAACATTAGAATTAAACAAATCTGTTCCTGCTCAATCACTAACCGCGTCTCACTACCAAAAATAACAAGATCTACGCACATAAATATCACACTACAAGAAGAAAACTCACCTGCTCTAGAATCATTTTTTATAATCTATCTCTAATACCCTAAGCGCGCGCAACTAAGTCTATAATTTGACTATCGCATTTCTATGCGGCACAATCACTTGGTATTAAAAAATCACCCGAAAAATCTGCCTTCAAGCTCCAGGCAGGGAACGCGTATAACACTTAAACAGCCTTGACGTTCTATTACATAATACTATTGTTCTACTAGTTGACAACAAAAACTTTAAGAGTCTACACAAAACACGCCTATAGCATCTATCGCCTAATCATCATAGAAGCTTTTCCAAAAAGGAGCTCTATCTGTATAGAAAAGTTAAATTGTTATAGTTAAGCAGAAAACTAAGTGTTGAGTGGCTAGAGAGAGAAACGTTGATTTAGTATATTGCTAGACAAAAACTAAGAAAAGGAAAGGAAGATAAAAAAAGGATTAGAATTCGTAGAGCAATAACTAAACAGAAAGTAAAGAATGTTACTGCATACTAGGACAACAGTACAAGAAAAACTCCCCCGTGGACCAAGAGAAAAGAACTGACTCAATCCCAAGGAACATGAGAAAGAAAAGAACAGGGAAAATAAGACATGATGTTTTCACACATGTGACATGGTCCAACCAAAAGAAAACCTTCGCTACTTTCGTCGTCCACTGTTAAGCACATCTTCCCATCCTTCCCTCCTTAACCTCGCCCTCCACCCCGTGCGATCATCTACATCGTACTCCTCCTCTTCTTCTTCTTCGTCTTCGCTATCGACACTCCATCCCGCTCTCCCAAGCTGCTGCTGCTCCTCCTCCTCCTCCTCCTCCTCCTCCTCATCATCATGATTCTCACTGCCACCCGTACTCCACCAGCTCCCGGGCGACAGCCCACTCGTCGGCGTCGTCGGCGTCCCAAACGGCACAGGAGCCCTCCTCCTCCGTCTCGAAGAACCTTCCGGCTCCACAATCTCGCCGTTCGGTGAGACCGTGATAATCCGGCCCGACTCGTCCATGTAGCGGTTTGGAGTGAGGATAGAAGTTCGAATGGGACCTGGGTTCAGCATTGCTCGAGGTGATATTCTACTAGGTGGTGGTAGATCTTCGTCGGTGATGAGGGAGTTTGGCAAAGAAGGGGGTTCGTGGACCGGGTATGTGGCTTGGCGCGGTGGAGAGGGAGTCTGGGAGGAGGAGAAAGGGTTTAGCTTGGAGATGTCGGGGAGGTCGTCTGAGTCTGAGTCTGAGGGAGAGAGAGGGGTCGATGACTCCCATTGCTCTGCGTATGCTTGGTAGGGGGATGGACGTGCCGATTCGAGGGGGGAGGTGGGAGCCAGAAGACTCGGAGGGGCTGGGTAAGCGTTGTGAGGTTGCGATTGGGAGTCCGATTCGGGTTCGGTGTCGGAAGCGGACGAGACGTTGGAGCCTAGTGGGGATTGGCCGGGGCGTGGGCGTCTATTGGGTAGATCTGGTGTGTAATTGGGACGACGGAGCTGTGAGATACGGATGTATTCAGCACCACGGGGTATGCGGGGAGGTGTTGCTGACTGAGTAAGCCCGCGAGGTGTTAGAGTTTGGCCTGGGCGAGAGCGGCGCGGTACTAATATTGGGTTGTCTCGCGATCCCAGTGGTGGGGTTCGCCGTCTTTCAGGCTGACTAGGTGGAGAATCAATGGCTGCATTCTGTGTGGAACGTCTTGATACGGAGAATCGCATTGGGGCCGTCAGGGTGTTTCGTATACTGCTCCACCAACCAGTGGGACTTTTCTCGGACGGGCTCCCGCTGTAGCTACGTTGCCTAATGTATTCACGAACTTGGGGGGTGTTTTCGAATTTTACGCTTTTCTGAGGTTTTTCGCCGTTCATCGGATTCTCAGAATCCGTGCTGGGTTCGCTTTCGTCTTCTGTACTGACGACAACCGGTTCCTCTTCAACTCCAGTCCCATCCTCTACAATGACTTCATCTGGTTCCTCTTCGCTATCGGTCTCGTATACAACCGATGAATCCCTTGACTCATTGTCATCGTCAATAAGAATATTCTGGTTGTAGTCCTCATGTTCACGAGATCTGGGAGATCTGACTCGATCGTTTGCTCGCTCAGGTGATGGCGGAGCATAGAGATCCCAATTATCATCGTCCACAGGAACTGCAAGACCAGGCCGGCTGTCATCGTCGGTATCAGGTTCGCTACCGCTGTCATCCTCATCATCTTTTGGACTCTGACGAGGGCTTTTATGGATATGAGTGTTGTCGTCGTCGGAGTCGTCATCTTCATCAACATCTCTTTTCCTCTTGCTACGCTCATCACTATCCTCTTCTTCGATAATCTGTTCAGGTACTTCATCAGTCACGATTTCGGGATCCAATAGCTCCTCGTCAGAGCTCGAGCGATCCGAACCATCATCACTCGAGCTATCGCTTTCCGACCCCTCTCGAGCTCTCGGTAGCAAATCTCGTAGGTTGAGAACGCTATTCGATATATAGTTGAAAGTGCTTCTAAGCCAACTGGTGGCTTGAGGAGCTTCGGGGATTTCGATCGATGGGATAACATCAGGGCTGATTTCCCGTGGAGTGGGTTCTCGAACGTCAGTCACCGGTGGCGTTGGTTCTCTGGTAACTTTTGGGACACCAGGGAGTGCAATTCCAGGCCGACGTACAGGTGGCCGTGAACGCCTTGCAGTAGGTGTATACGGACTGGGCGTATAGTCTTTCAATGACGGTCTTTGGATAGTACTTTCGCCCGCTGTAACAGGTACACGACTGGCGGCAGGCACACGAACAGGGGTTTCCCCTTGATTGACAGGTTGATCTGAGTACTGCGTATCATGGCGCGGAGTGCGTCGTGAATTGGAAAATCCAGATCTGACGATTCTGCCCGAGAAGAAAGGGGTACGTGGCGTCAAAGTATGATGGTTTAACTGCGCACGGCGGAGTTCAACGCGTGGAGAAACACGACGTATTGCAGGGCGGCGAGAACGAAACCAAGCCCACCAAGGATCGGGCTCATTGTCATATGAGCGGTCACTTCCAGTCAGACTTGTGGTACTTGCAGTAGATGGTGAGCGTTTTGGCGTGGATGGGGAGGTGAGCGGGCGGCCAACATTGGGAGGGATAGGTATCTGTGATGGTTCTGAGGAAGTTGTAGCAGGAGACCAGTGGATTGTTGTTGATTGAGAAGCAGATAGGCCTTCAGAACTGGTGGGTGCATCACCGGGTCGCCTTATGACGGTTTCACTCCATTCGACAGCGACTCTGCCTTCCTGCGTCGGTTGCGAAGCCAGAAAATGGGGGGCTGTTCCAGCAGACGGACCTGAAGCAGCTGGCGCAGTTTTTGATCTTGCTTTGCGTGACTTAAGGGGGCTCGAGGGTGACCTTGAAGTCTTGCTTGGAGTCACTGGTGGTGGTGTAGCTTTGCGCTTAGCATATTCGGCTTCGCGTTTCTTTCGAGCATCTTCAAACTCCTGTTTCTTTCTGGCTTCTTCAACTTCCCGCTTCTTTCTTGCCACTTCAGCTTCGCGTCTCTGTCTAGCTTCTTCAGCGTCGCGTTTCTTACCAGCATTTTCAGCTTCTCGCTCCTTTCGAGCAGTCTCAGCTGCCTGCTTCTTGCGAGCAGCTTCATTTTCACGTTTCTTTCTCGCTTCCTCGGCGTCACGCTTCTTCTGAGCATCTTCAGCTTCTTGCCTCTCCCTCTCATCATTCTTTTCCTTTTCCTTCTTAGCATCCTCATTTTCCCTCTTCTGTCTCGCCTCTTCACGTCTCTGAGCACGAGCATTACGGTCCGTCTGCGGAGGAGCGCCTATGGTTGATCCACCCGCATTCGCAGGCGTAGCGGTGGGCTGAGCCGCAGGTGTCTTCCTTGTGCTCTTTTTAGTCGATGCTTTTGCGGGAGTTTTTGCAGGCGTTTTTGCGGGCTTTTTCGCAGGCGTTTTTGCAGGCGTTTTTGCAGGCGTTTTCGCAGGTGGTGCAGGCGTCGCTGGATTCTTCTTCGCCCCTCCCCCTTTCTTAGCGGGTGCCGGTGTTCTAACAGATGAAGGGGGAGCCACAGGAGAGTCGTCTTTTCCCGATTTAGAAGCCCTACTAGGCTTTCCCTTTTTTGGTGGCATAGTTGCGTCTCGATTTTCTCCAGATAATATATTTGTCTACGATCCTCTGAAACTCGAACAACAGCGAAGGCGCGAAAAAGCAGGTACTCTCTAGCACTCGGATTCTGACAGGATTCGAAATGGCGAATAAACCAGAGGGGGTGGAGGAGAAAGAAAGGATGCTGGAGCTGCAAGAGGGAGAGACATGTTGTCGTCTCATTGTTCTCTCATTTTCAAGTAAAACAAAGGATGCCGGATGGAAAACAGCAAACATATTCGTCGGCATCCTGTCTTTGTTGAGGCCGGGTTTTGTTTGCGTTGTTTTCGTACTTGATGAGGAGAAACGCCGGAAATGGGATTGCATCTGGTCGAGTGCTTTGTTTGGGGCGATGTTTAATGCCCGTCTTTCTTTGTTTGCAGCGATCCATTCGTAATGACTTGAGTACTTAAGTAGGTTTCCACGATGGAACAGAAAATGAGATGAGTAGTACATCACACGGAATACATGGATGTATGTCGTTGATAGCGATTTGGTGCTTGTGGAGAAAGGAAGGTGGAGAAGGATATATGTAGAAGGCAGAAATGCTTGGTGGGTTCTTAGTCAGCCAGCGAGGGGTGGGATGGTGGTACAACTTTGCCTCATCACCAATACATATGAGAGATGCGATTATGGGAGAAAAACAAGGCTTGCTTGCAGATTTCTCTTCTCCGTTCTTCTATATAAGTGATGTTTGACGTTACGTCTTTGCTAACGTCCACCCTTCCCCGTCGATTCAACGCCCCACTCAAGTATCCCTCAATCTAGAGAAAAATAACACAACGACCGCAAGCGCCCCCATCCCGTTCTTGCCTTCAGCACCCAGACCACTCTATTTGAACTCCACTGATTTGCGTACTCCATCTCCACTCTGACACCTCTATGGGATACCCAAAGATGAGAACCAGAGGAGAAGGGAAACTGCGAAGTGGCAGAGTGTCGCTGTTTGCAACGTACCTCCATCTCGAGACACCTAAACAAAGGAGATACGAGAAAAGGCTCCTCGATGATGAGCCCAGAGTAAGGAAAGGTACACCGATATATGGAAGAGAAAGACAAATTTCCGCCGAAGTTGAGAGAGTGACAGCTGACGATAGGGGATAGAGTGAGAGAAAAGAAGCGCGAATAAATAAATAAAAAGCAAAAGACCAGCCCATTGATGATTTTTGTTCCAATGAAGGAATGCTCCCACGCTTTCTAGTACCAAAGTCCCCAATCGCTCGCGCGAAGAAAGACCGAGAGAGTAAAATGTATTGCACGCTACAGTAGGCATTGCAAGCTTGTTTAGGGGTATATGTGCGAGAAGAAAAGGCCAACAACAAAGGGAATATAGAAACGAAATACAGACGGGGGCCAGCCCAAAATCTGTTCGAGTGATGGCAGTATATGAAAAACAAGCTGAGATGAGAAAAAGTGATATGTTTCCTAGCAACCCGTTCCACACGGAGCCAAATAGAGTAGAGACGAGAAATGTAAGTATGAGACGCCGGCTTGAAAGCGAAGAAGGGAAAAGTTGAAGAGGTCCTTTCGGTCGCCAGACCCAGCAGGCGAAGGGGTATCAAATGTGTACAAAGCCATAATAAAAAATATACCGATGAAAAGAGAGATATCGAAGCGGAAAAAATGGTAGAAGAATCGAAGAGAACTTGGTCAAGGCAGTTTGGCGAAACCCGTCACACACCGTCGCCGTTTGACCCGACATACCCACCCGCAAGCCCCATGTCGAGACGGAGATACTGATCAGGGTGATTCTCAATGCCGTCCATGGGGAGCATGTTACCGGTGTTCATGGCATGTGGATCCATGAGTACCCCTGACTGTCTGCGGCTGTTGCCGGCAGAGCCCATGTGTTGCGGGTGTGGCGATAGCTGCTGATGCTGATGGGGGTGCGGATGAGGAGGATGGTGAGAGTTGCGACTATGGTTCATGTGCTGTCTTGCCACGGCCCATGCATGCGCTTGAGCCTGAGTGAGCTGAGGTGCATGCTGAACTTGCATGTGCTGTTGTTGATGCTGTTGCTGCTGATGCTGAACATGTACTTGAGATGGGAGATGAGCATGTATCTGGGAGGGGTGAACCGGAGTGGGTTGGTGGGGGCCAACATGGTGGTGGTCGTTCATGGTCATGTTGTTAGATGCGGGCACCACTTCGATATCAACAGGGGTATCATCGTCTTCGCCCTCGGCATCAGCCTGATCGCTACTTGGTTCCTGGCCACTGATGGTCGGGGGTGCAGAGCACGCCGTCTGTTCAAGCTTCACACTGGACTGAGACATGGACTGGGGCAGAGCACCCTGCCCTGAGGCAAATGGCTGGTTCGGCAAGCTCGTCATGGAGCAACTGCGAGTGCTAGGCGGGGCCGGTAGCGGTTTTTGAGCCGACATGCCAGCTGCAATGTTCTTGTTCTCCCGCACCACCGTTTTCCATTTCTCTACCAGGCGGTCGTAATCCCAATTCCGAAAGTCCATGCCCAGCTTACCAAGCTCCCTGACGGTTTCGGTGCCTAGGGTGAAGCTCACAGGGGACAGCTCCGGACCGGGGCGATGTGCCTTGTAGAATTCCAGTTCACGGCGCGCATGCTGCAAGCTCATCTCCGCCTCGCGGCGTAGATCGTTGGCACGAGCGTAAGAGCGCAGTATCTCGACCTGCCAGAACTCCTGACGAGCATGCTCAGGCTGATGCATCCAGTGGCTGAATGCATCAGCGATGTGGCAGAACAACTTCTCGGGATCAGGATCGAAGAGCGGAGGCGTGGGCAGAGGCGATGCGTTAGCGGACGGAGGGGTAGAATGGGCGCCAGATGGGTATGCTTGATTAATCTGGCGCTGACGCTGGTGGGCCAGCAGACGCTCGCGAACTTGCTTATTCAGGGTATCAAACTGCTTTTGGCCAGGCGGATTGATGGACCATGACTCGCTGGTGGGGAAGGGAGTTGGCGAGAAGAGGGTTGAGGGTGGGGGCAAGACGCGCAGGCACAGGCTGGGAAAGTTGAGGGTGTAGGGGTCGAAATCGAAGAGGGCCGAACTGGTGGCTTTGGTGTTGGCCTCCTTGACGCTTCGCAGCAGCTCACGGAGGGCCAGCTCGATAGCCTTGGATGTTTCCATCTCGTCCGACATTCTGTGTCGCTGGTCCAGGTCGACCTTTTGAAGCAGACGCCTGTTATTCAGGGGTGTCTTTGTGTTGGCACCCGCGCCCATATCCCCGCGCCTCTTGGACACGCTCAGATCCTGCAGCGATTCGTCATCCATATCATCATCCACATCAATATCCTCATCGAACTCGTCCTGGTCGTCATCATGTGGGCTTTCGGAACGGCCTGAGATGGCTAGGGACACGACGGATTGCCTTTTGTTGGCAGGCGTGCGGGTGTGGGAATGCCTATGCGAGCTGTGCGAGACGGTCCTGTCCCCGCGCTCCTTCTTCAAAGGGCCCTTGACCTGGCGGCGGGTGATGCCGCCGCGAATCTTGCGGATTTCTTCAACAATGTGGAGGCCATCGGAGGGTTTTGGGTTCTTGGGGCGGATGTAGAGGTCGAGATGGCGGCCGAGACTGCTCGAGGTGAAGGCCTGGCCGCAGAAGGGGCAGTTCTTGTCCTTGGGAGTCTTGAGGGAGGACGATTGCTGCTGCTGCTGCGGATCGTCTGGTTGCGGATTGTTTTGTTGATGTTGTTGATGTTGATGTTGTTGTTGTTGTGCCTGGGGTTGCGAGGACGACGAGGGTTCGGGGCTCGGGGAGACGCGAGGGGTAGCTTGAGCTTCAGGCATGGCCGGCAGCAGAGAGCAGGACCCTCTGGTCCAGGAAGGATGGGTGGGAGGAATTATTATTATTACTATATTTGCGGGATGGTAGGTCGGCCCATGTAGCTTGTCCAATGGCAGACGGGCAGGATAATGATTGCAGCACAATGGATGGATGCAATGCAGAGCGGAAATGGGTGGTGGTGAAGGTTGGTTGTGAGGGACGGATGGGTGAGAAGGATTGGAATCAACAACAACCAGGCAGCCAACGAGGGGCGGCTAAGGCATTATTGGGATCAGGAGAGGGAGCAAAAGAGAGGGAACGGGGCAAGGAGCAGGGGCAAAGTAAAAAAAAAAAGGGTGATGCAGCAGAAGAATAAAGATAAGTCGGGATAGATGCAGAGGCGGATGGGCAGTTATGAAGAAGATGATGTACGGATGCATCCAGGAATGACCTGTCAGGAAAGAAAAGTCTCGCTCGCCGCTCCCGCCAGCAGCAGCACGGACGCGATGGCTGTGGATGTGCACCTAGTGCAGGCAGGGAGGGTGGATGGATAATGAATGGAGGAAAATACCCCTACAGCAGCAGCGCTGAAAGGGGATGTGGGTATTCTGGCGATGTGCTTCCGCCAGCCCGTGGCAGCCGCGAGCCCCAGCGCAGACGGGTAGAGCTGCCCGCCCGCCACACCGACCGCCGCGCGCCCCACGCTCGCGTTTTTTCCCTCTGCACCAAACATGCTGTCCACTTGGGCCTCATCTCCTCCATCCCTCCAAACACCACAAAAACCCCGCCAATCGTGTCGCCGCCCGCCAGCAATCCGCGTGCCAAACCTGCATCCGGCCTGCTGCTCCTCCTCCAGTGGACCCCCCACCGATCCCCCGTGCATCAATCATCATGATGCATCCTGCTCCATCTTGATCCATCATTCCTGATTCATCCCCAACGCCGGCCCCGCCAGAGCAAAAACAAAATAAACCTATCCACACACCACCTCCTGTCTCTCTCTACGCTGCACTTGGCACCACTGCCCGCTTTGCTGCCCGGCTTGCAATCTCTTCGTACTCCAGCATGCTGTCCAGTTTCTTCAACTGACCCCTGGCCACCCGGTAAACGGTTCCTGCAGCCGCCCCTGTCGCCTCTGCATCCTCGTCTGATGAATCCTCCTCTGACAGCTCCGTCTCGTTCATCTGGGCTCCTGGCGCTAACCGGTGCGCGCTAACCCCTTCGATCACCGTCCTCATGAAGAACCGGTCATGTGTCACCGCCAGCAGCGCTCCGTCATACTCCTTCAGTGCCTTGATGAGTCCCAGGATCGTGTCTGCGTCCAGGTGTGTCGTCACCTCGTCCAGAATCAACAGCTGCGGCGGCGGCCACAGCAGCTTTGCCAGGCACACGCGAACCTTCTGCCCTCCTGACAGCAACCCCAGTGGTACATCCGACACCGTATGACCCTGCAAACCCAGGCTTCCCAGCAACTGTCTCGCGTCCTTTTCCTCCATTCCCTCACCGCAATGTTGTCTTAGATGGGATAGAGCGCTAACATCAGGGTTGGCCGCAGCCATCGCTGAGACCTCCTCTACAGACTGCTGCGAGAATCGTCCAAATCTAGCCCGCGGGTGTCGGGTGATGGTGCCCGCAGTCGGTATCAATCCCCCTTCCACCGCGTCATCCCCGCTGCCCATAATCAGGGACACCAATGTTGTCTTCCCTGACCCGTTGAGCCCTGCCAATCCGACACGCTGGCCTGGGTGGATGCTAAGGTTGACGTCGTTAAGCACCGAAACTTTCTTTTTGCTGGGATAGGCAAAAGATACTTTCTCCAAGCTGACTAACGCCCCTGGAAACCGAAGATCGGGAGGCTGCCGAGGGAACGTCATCTTCACCGGCGCGTCAAAGTCTGGGACATCAATCTCTGCTCTCCTACTCAGGTGGTACCCTCCCAGATCGCGGTTGAGTTTGAAGCGTCCACCCTTGAGACCGACCTCCATGCCCATACGCTCGTCTAGTTTCTTCTTACGCGAAGCCGCTTGTTTGAGCTTCTTGTCATCACCCTTGTCGCGGGCCGCCTTGATGTTGTTAGCTACTGTCTTCTCCATGTGTTTCTTCTGTTTTTCTTGTGCGTCTCTCATCTTGGTGAGGTGTCGAGCTTTCTTGTGTCGTTCGAGCTCGTAGAGGCTGAGGTTGCCCCGGAAGGTCTCGAACGTCTGGTTGCGAAGCACAATGAGCTCCTCCGCCACCGCGTCGCCAAAGTCGCGGTCGTGAGTGGTGATCAAGACCGTAGTGCCAGTGAGGTTGTGAATGTAGTTCTGTAGCCAGATAATCGAAGGCAGATCCAGGAAGTTGGTAGGTTCGTCCAGTAGCAGTACGTCGGCGTACTGTGAGAGAGCGCAAGCTAGGTCGCATCTTGTCCTCCAGCCGCCCGAGAGTTCACTCATGGGTCGGTCAATCCTCTCTTGCTTGAATCCCAGGCCGAGTAGCACGCCTGTAGCCTTCTTCTCTGCCGCGGACGCATCCATCAATTCAAGTGTAGCTTGAATGCCCGCCAGCATCTCCGCCGCAGCACGCGTCTCTTCGCTCAGTACGGTAGGATCAATCTCGCTCTCCTCTTGCAGAACTCTTGCCTTCGACTCTTCGAATCGCTCTTCAAACTTAACCAACTCCTTCCTCGCCAACTTGCCCCTCGCACCACTCCGCCTCTCAGCAATCCTCTGCGCCTCCTCTAGCCGCCTCCCCAACCGCTCTTGTTCAATCACTCGGTACGTCTTAACCGGTGCCATCGGGTCCGTAGAATGCTCGACCGCGGCACTCAACCTCCTGGCCTCATTCATATACCGCTCCCTTACGCGGTCACTCCTAACCACATACTGCAGCACTGTTTCTTCCTCTGTCCCATGCTCCTCCTTCTCTTCCGGCCCTACCTCCCGTGTCTGCCCCAGTAGTAGAATCCGCGAACTCCATGGGATCCCCGGGATGAGCCCTTCGCCCATGGCCTTCAACAATGTCGATTTTCCCGTGCCGTTGCGTCCAACTAGTACGTAGTGTCTTCCCTCGACTAAATGAAGCGTTGCGTGGCTGAGGAGCTCGCGATTTGCGACGCTAATTGATAAGTCTTTGACCATGATCTTGAATCATAAGACACATATTAGCACATTGCAGAATAGTCTTGGAAAGGAGGTGACTGTCGAGTAACACATACCTCTTTCGATGCCGGGGCATCAACAGCATCAAGCGCATACCGCGACTGCTGCGTCGTCACTGTAATGTAGTTCTCTTTCGAAGCTCCTGCTTCTGCGCCGCTTGCGGCTTTGCCCCTTCTCACCATCTTCTCAAAGGTATTGGTATCGGGATATCCTATTCGGGGTGTGTAATATGTAGTATACGACGTCCAAACACGAAGAACAACGTCTCGCCACAAAAGATCCACTGAACCCTCAAAAGACGAAGCAAAGCGAAATATCTGAGAAAGAAAGATCCGAAGGAAGAGGAAGGAATCAACTCCACCTTCATATACCCTTTCCAATCTGGCAGTCGCCTACCAGCGATTGTCGTTGATGAGTTTCTAGAGTAAAACGCTGCTCTTTACCAATTTAGGACTAGTCTTTTGATCGGCGGCTGGGATGCCGACTACTAGCGCGGATGAGTCGATTTGAGTAAACTCGATTCGAAGATGTGAAGCCAGCCACACAATCTACATGTGTTGTGGTTGCGATATGCGAGAGTCCCTACATCTGCTGAGTATGTTAGCTGTGCTGTATCTTGGAGGTGGGTTGTGTGAGAGATTTTGGGAGTGGGTTGTTGGTGGATGGAAGAATTGGAAGTGTTACCATAAACTGGTTCGGGCTTGGATAAAATGTGAGGATATGAGTTTGACTTGGGAAGATGTTTGATGTGTTTCTTCTGCTCTGCCTGGAGCTTTAAGGCGGTTTTTCCCGTGTGATTTGTTAATACTGAGAGTTTGTGCCGCATTGGATATGTAATGGTTACATGATAGACCTAGTGTTCTTCCACTACGTGAACATGCAGTGAGAAAGGGATTCAACATAGAAGCAGGGTATTTTAAGTATTTGGATCTCTATTGTAGCACTGTTCTGGCCTTGATACCGCAACTTTTTAATAGTATCTTTGCTTAAAGAAGAGTGTTCACACAAGCACGGCAAATGACCTTTATATTATCAAGTTGGTTAGCTTTAGCTTGTTCTTACTACCCCCGTGTACATGTCACGGATTTTGAGGAAGGATTGAAGGATTTGTCTCGTACTCTTACACTAGGAACTCATACTATGTCAAGATCAGGAAACAAGAATTCGCATATGTAGGCTTTTTAGTAGCGTGTATAACTTGCTGTTGAACAACACACATAATATTTATAAAAGCATTATGAAAATCAGTTAGAGCAGTGTAAAGAACAGAAGTTCTGCAAAAGGTTTCGTACTTGTGTGTCCTCGTGTAGAATGCCAAATTCACTATAGAGTTACATAATCCAGATACTCTGTATTCGCCTAATGCCTTATAGATAGTAGCATCATTGCTAGCTCTAGTTTTGATAGAATTCGGGGTGAAGTAGCAAGGGAATGGCACAGTACTATGCTTGCCCAAACAGACGTGACTGCCGATTTTGTGGACAATCAACAAATGCAACAGCAGCTCTTGCTTTGAACTTCCTCTCCACGCTACGCGCCGTCCTTGCCCCCCGCGTCCACACTCATATAAATACTTCTCCACAACCCCAACACCTCCACAACAACCAATCCGCCACAATGTCGCAACAGGTAAGTATCTACTCCCTTATGACCCCGGAATGCGACAACTGGGGTCAAGGCACTGTATATAGTATCAATATCAAATGGCCACTAAAGCAGGAGCAGCCAACCAACCCCGACGACATACGACCAGCAACGGCAGACGCGATCCGGCCGCAGCCGTTGGCGGCAGGTCTCGACTACTGGAGACGGAGCGAGACCCCCGTGCCTACGGGCAGTTCTTCCCTCACGGGACAGTGGGCCACACCAATTGCCCACTTGCAAAGGCGGCAAGAGCTCGCCAGCATTCCCGAGGAGAAATCCGAGGAAGAGGCCGAGCGGCCTTCCAAGATGAAAGCACTCTGGGGCCGAGCCAAGAAAAAGATGTCTTCGTCCAAGAGCGTCCCAGAAGGCGCCACTGTGCTCGATACCCCGGCTCCACAGCTCTCAGGATCGGGATTGCCGACCACAGCCTACAACGACATGAATGAGGGCCCTGAACCAACCATGTTGACTCGCCCAGTTCTGCCCCACCGAGGTGTTATCACGCGAAACACGAGCATCCATTTGGGCCCCGCAAAGTCGCCAGAGAAGTCATCAGCCAAGTCGTCGGGCAAGTCGCCAGAGATGTCGCCAGCAATGCCGTCGCAAGTACCACCCAAAGTCGGCCTGAAACGCTCAAACGAGATTCGTGGAAATGACCTGCGTCCCAACCTGGCTGCTAGACCCCCTAGACCCCCAAGGCCCTCTCCCGGCATCGAGCATGGCGAACCATCCATCGGCAGTGTCCAGAAGTCTGAAGCCCCTACCTCCATCACCGGTCAAGTTCCTCCACCTTACAGTTCGCGAACGGAATCCCGCGGTAGCCCAACGTCTTCGTTCGGATGTGTAGACGGCCTGCCTACCGAGCAGCGCGACTCTCGCCCTCGTAAGCCTCGAGACCCATTCCGCACTATCAAGGAAACATTCAAGAAATTCAATGCCTAGAAGGCAGTCCGCTCTAGATGAGTACGTCACGGTAAGTGGCTTCTACTTGCAACTAAGGAATAGAATTAGCTAACAGAAGAGGCAGGAGAATAGCAAAAAAAAATGGCGATGAAGAATATGAGACGGAGCATACGAGATGGATTTGGAGCCACGCATGAGAAGCAACGTGACGACGAAATAATGACCATGACTCTTACGACGATTTGACGACGGAAAAAGTTTGCGTTACTCTACCGGGGATTATAATGGAAGGTCTTCTTGCTTTTTTACTCTTTTGCATCATGGCATGGCGAATGGAACATGGAGCCTGGAAGTACGTTGAAGCGGGCATTTGGGGCGGAATTACATAGACATGGCCATACCACACATACGGTTTGCTAATCGCCCTCTGTACCTACATATGTACATATATTCAAGTGCCATCGAGACTGTCCATGCAGGTAACTGGCGCACACTGAATTGATATATCTGAGCAAGTAAAACATTACTGGAGAAAAGTTCGTCCAACCTTATTATCAAAACCCCCAGGTAAAATGCCACTGAAATATCACTCAGTGATTCATGGTAGTCATGACCACCTGTGCGACGGGCGGGCGGTCAGCCGAAAGCAGTCGAGTCTGCACGTCGGACGGCTGTGTCATTGGCCCGCCAACGTGGCGCCAATGCCTTTGGAACCTCTCAACAGAGAACGGCTTACTTCCATGTGAGATGGCACGCCCCCTTGTAGAGCCCATGAACGAATGAATCATTGTGACTTTTCAAATGTCTCGATTGATTGACTGATGAACGGGAATCGCCAGCGGCTCTCGGACTAGCGGCTTGGCATATTGTACTTAAGCTACTTGCCCACCCCTCCCTCGTTAGCTCTTCAACATCATCACCAACATGACTACCGCAGCAGTCAGCGCCGGAACGAAAAGATCGTCTTCGCTTTGGAGCAAGCAATCAATCACCTCCAGTCACTAGATTAACGAACTGCGATCCGCCTACCCGTCTATCCGTCCATCAACCATGCCTTCCTCTTCTGTCGACTCCCAAAACCAGCCGAAACGGCCTCCAATGCCACGACATAACTCTTCCACTTCTCATATCTCGCAATCGCCGTCAGAGACCACTCCGCACAAGACCCCAAAGGCCCCGCGTCAGCATGTCGTGGGCGGCGGTCGCATGCAGCGCAATACTTCCGCGGGCAAGAATCTCAATAAACTCTCGAAGCTGACCACACCACACGCCGCAGCCGGTGACAGCAGTGCAAAACCCCACCGTCGTTCGCATTCAGGCAACTCCACCTCAGCCCCCAGCAGTCCAGGCCTGCGCCCTGGCTTCAAGCGCAATGCATCTTCTGGCGGCATCATGAGGGTCGCGAACCAGGGTCATGGCCACGGCCACGGCCATCCGAACATTCGCAAGAACCACTCCAGTGGCCATCTCGCGCGCCAGGCAAAGCCAGCCCTTAAGTCCTCGAAAAGCGAGATCGCCCCGCCCAAGCGCTCACTGGCCTACCCAGGGAGAGTTCGCTCGCCGTCGCCCGAACATCCCACGGTTCACTTTGACGTCGGAGACGTGGAGGAGAATGATGGATGGACCGAAGAAAGCGCCTCTCAGTCGCCCAACACGACCCGCTCTAATACGCGGTCCAACTCGATGGTTATGCACTCGCATCAAATGACAGAGGATGCGCCGCTGCAAAAGCCGGCCGTCGCTCCTGCCGCAGACGATGGTCCGGGAGAGGCGGTAAGCGCACCACACCTGGAAAGAGGCACACAACAAACACATACGCACCCGATAACGAATTCCTTCTCGCATAAACTCCCCGACCGAACCCGTCCCTCGCACCAGTCCAGCGGATCGGAAGCCCCGTCTCACTCGAGACCGGCCGACGCAGATATGATCACGTCGCGACTGCTCCAACGCAGCTCCCATCAAAACGCCCCGCCACAAATGTCGTCCGTCGCCGCGACCGTTGTTTCGAACTACAGCGAAGTGCGTGAGCTCAGCCAGAGCGGAGGCTCCACATTGATAGACACCCCTGGGAGAGACTTGGTATCACGATTCATCGATGGAGACGGATCCGCTGGAACACCTCTGAATAGCAGCTTCCTTCCAGGCCGAAACTCACCACAGGCAGCAGCAGTACCAGAATCCGCATCATCAGCTGTGTCAGCAGGTGGAAGCGATGCAGACAAGATCAAGCGCAACAGATCCATGCCCAACGTGGCCGGCGGAGATGCGCCCACGCCTGCCCCGAACAAGGCGCAACATCGCCGCTCGGGCACTGGAACACCCACCGATCTTCCTCCGTCGAGAACGCAACAAAAGCTAATGCTTCAACGTGCCTCGTCCAACATAGAGCCGCAGAAGCTAATCCCCATCATCCTCCCCCGGACAGGCGGACCCTCATTCATACACACGGGTTTAGTCTATAGCACAAACAGCGAAGGACGGCTGGATCCGCGTCTCCAACAACAATTCAACCACGTCGCAGTCGAGTACAGTGTGGTTCGTCGATATCGCAACCCCCTATCAGACGCCATAAAACGCATGCAACAAATTCCGGGTATCCAACAAAAGACGCGCTTACCGCGTCGAACTGCCATCATGAACGGCCACTCGTCTCAACAGACTACTGGTAGCAACAGCCTTAGCACTAGCTTCAACGACGATGCGGACTCGCGCCGCTCGAGAAGAGTCAGTCTGGATAATGGCGGCGGGAGCGCTGATATAGAGGGGAGGCAGAGCTTTGAGAGTAGCGATGGTGGGGGTTCCGGGAGAATCCGCAACGAGGCTGAAGAGATTTGTCGGAGATTGTGGGAGAGTACCGAAGCTGTTGAGGGAGATTGATAGACCTTGCTCTCTTTCATGGCGGTCACGGTAGTGGGTATTGGTTTCTGTGTTCCTGGCGTTATTCTTTTTTTTACTCCTTCTTACTGGGCATGGGATATGGGTATACATTTTACTAATGGGGCATTCGTCTACATCATACGTTAATTTCTCTCCTTATCCTCTTCGTTCTTTTTATTTGTTTGTTTCGTCGATTGTGCATGGCCTGTCTTGCTGGTCAGCTACATATACACGCACGCTGTGATTGATTCCGGGTGGTTTAGCTTTCTGTAGATCAACGAAGTATGATTGTTTCTTCTCTTCTCTTGTCTTGTCTTCTTTCCACGATGGGCTGTTGGACGGCTGGCGAGTATTCCAAACCTCCCCCCTTCTTTTTTTACACGATTTGTTTGCCATTGCCTACTTTTAGCTTAATAAGCTAACTAAATTGTCTATCCTAAGTTGCCCCTTTCCCCCTTTCCTGTATCTATCCATCTATCTATACCCCTTCGTAAGGAATGAAAGGACAACACTCTACTTTCTCTCTCTCTCTCTCTCTTCTTGTTAGCATTGATCCCTGCTATTTTATGATGATGGTGATGATTGATGATGTAGAAATCCTTGGTGCTAACTGCTTGCTTGCTCTTTACTTCTTCCCCTGATTCTTCTTATTACTTGCTTTTCCTTATTAACTGCTTTAGCAATCTCCCATAAAAAAATCGCCAAGGGATTGGAATTTTAGGTAGTTAAGGAGGAAGTAGCATGACAGAAATGACAAGGGAAGGGATGTATATGATAGACATGCATATATCTATCTATCTATCTATCTATCTATATGTGCAAAAACCCAGACTCGCGATAGAAAAACCAAGGTTTAAGTTAATGAAAAGTGCTACTACACTTACATTCATGTATTTCGCCGTTCATCTTATACCTCATGACTCCATTCCTCTTATACCTAGACTGTCTTCCATAGACTTCTTCTTCCACACTTGTTCTCTCGTTGTTTCAAAGTTTTGTGAATATGTTAATGAGTAGAATACCATGTCCAATCTAACCCCGTGTACGCTGTTGCTATCACTCTAGTTTTGTTTCCATCTTCTGTAGCAATTGCAATCACTCGCAAATGCAGGGGAGAAGAAGAATAGAGGAATAAAAAAAGAGAGGGGATGATAAGGAGATGAGTGAGGGAGATGGTACGTGTGTAAGTTAGGATGGAGAGTGAAGATTCTATAAAGTGGTTAGGTACTTTTCCTTATCATCTACAGAGTTGTTAGAGTCTTAATACTTTGTGGCATCGCACATGTACGTTTTTCTCAAGAAGCAGAGGGCTTGAGGAAGGGGAGTGGAGGATATGCGGGGAGAGCAGAGAGCGAATAGAGTGATGATTGGTGTAGCTCATAGGTTGTGAAGGACGTGCGTTGACTGCTCAGCGTTTGATTGGTATTTCTTGAATTAATAATATCTGCATCAGAGCAAGGCAGTGCCGTACGTGAAGAAGAGTGGGCCAGAGAATGAAAATGTCTTCCTATCTTCGTCAGGGCCAGTAGCTGGAGAGGAAATGTAGAGGTGATGTTGAGTGAAGTAGGTTTGTACTACAACACCACCCCCACTTGACTGTTCTCGCCCTAGAACAGACAAACCTACCTAACAAACAGACGAAAGGGGCCCGGGTCTACTGTGAAGTGGATACGAACCATTCATTAGGCACAGAGTCGAGTCTTCGCCTCCACGGCAGCCGGCAGTGCGTCTGATTCGCGGTCATGGCCAGCATGTCGATCGCAATCACGCACTTTCACGTCGGAGAGGAAGTTAACTACCTACCAAGACAAGTGCAATTCAACCACGCGAGTTGAAATGAAGAAATAAGGACAAGACAAAGTCAAACGACACAGACGGCTTGTAGTAGCACCAAGGCGCGAGTTGCAAAAAAAAAAGAATGGCCGCCCAATTAGCTTGGCAGGCACGCAGCGGGGACTGTGGCAATCGCGAGACGGAAGATGTTTCGTCGAAGAGTAGCGGGATATATTTTTTGGGGGCGGGCGGCTATGTAACTCAGCACACGGTGATGGCCGTGTTATTTCTGGGGGTGATGGGGGAGGCTTTCGGGTAATATCATGTACGTAACAACAGCTCTTTTCTTTTTTCTCTTTCGCCGGGTGGCCCCCAACCATCATGCGTTGATCTGCGAGTGTGCATACCGTACCTCTACCTTTTGGTGTGGGCATAGTTGCACTGACACGCGTAGTGTAGAGTTGATGTTTGCGGGAAAGCGAAAAGCGACAAAAAAGTGTACAAGCGGATCTTGCTAGCTGTGTCTTCGCATAATAGGAGAGGAAGAGTAGAGACCATGGGTTTGATTTGTTTCTTGGGATCCGCCCAAGCGATTGTCGAGGCTTTACTCTAAAGAGGTGGGTGTCCGAGAGGAAAAGTGGAAATGTTCCTGGGGGAGTAGAAGGAGAAGGAAAAAAAGAGGAGACGGAAGAGAAGAGGAAACACAAACATGAGATGGAACGAACGGACGCAGGGACATTTGGCTGATCAAGTGTAGTCATGCAGGCAGAGAGTAAGGCAAGTGGATGCGGACTGAATCGTGTGTCACTGTAGTGTTGGAGGTCAAACAGAGGAGAGTGAGAGATAGAGAGACGACGGGGTTGGGTTGGGTTTGGGGGTCGCGATGGGCAACGGGGATTTCAAGCGGCTTTTCAGGCCACTCACCCATCCACTGCGCCAGTGACTACTGGTGATTACTGTAGCTCCGGAGAGCGGACTGGTTGATTAAGCGGTTAGTGGGAGAGGGAGGTGAAATGAGTCGATAGTTCATAACGGGGGAGTGTTAAGACAGGTAGATGGAGACGGCACAGCTGGAGCAAATGAATGGATGTGCCTCTCTCGCTGTCTCATCAAACATGAGTGCGGATCAGTTGCAGTAGAGGGTTAGGATAGAAAGACAGAAAGGAGAGTGAGCGAGTGAGTGGGTGATGATAGATGAGTGGAGGAAGGAGAAGGAGGGAAAGGAAATAGGCGCCGGCTGGGCATAAAATTTTCTTTGGTCAAGGTAGTAAGGGCACAGTGACAAGGCGATGATGACGATGGATGATGCAGGGCCCAGTAAGAGAGAAAGTTGGTGGTTAGGGTGGTGGATGAGGCCGAAGAGAGAGACAGAGAGAGAGAGAGAGGTGGATGGTGGACGACCAAGACCCCGGTTGGCGGGCCCGTGCACGCTAGACAGCGCAAGGCGCTAAGTGCTGTCATGGGTCGTCTCCGTGAAATTGCACCTCTGGCAGGGAAATTGCGCCTCCGCCTGTTTTAAACCCTCGCACCCGACCCGTTTCTCCCTCTTCTCCCTCCACCACCGCCTCGCTAGTCGTCAAAGCACCCACAGTCCTTCCCACTCCACTCTCCTTCAAACAATTTCTTCCTGGCCCTCTGAAGCCTAGTCACTCCTTACCAACCCTCCACTATCAATACATAAACCCGCCTGCTCCCTGCTCGCGACCGTTTCCCCCAAAACAAACAACATCACAAGTTCATCAACACCAAGCAAGCCAGTCTTTGCGCCCACGCTCTTTGCACCACCACCCACACACCAAACAACCACACAGTCTTTACTACCCACACACACATCTTTCAAAATGTACTCCCTCCAGCAACTCTTCTTCTGCCTCTTCGCCGTCTTCACCATCGGTGTCTTCGCCCAGTCGTCCTTCGACTCCACCGTCTATGTGACCTCGACCGTCTACCGCGTCAACACCGTCACTGCCACTGGCACTCCCCCCGTTGGCGGCCCCGTCAACTCCACCCTCACCATTGCGCCTACTCCTTACGCCACTGTCCAGCCTAGCGCCGTTCAGCCCAGCGCCTCCATCTCTTACTCCGCTCCCAGCAATGGCACCAACCCCAAGCCCACTGGCGGAGCTGCTCCTCCTACCACCGAGTTCCCCGGCGCTGCTTCTGGCTTCTCCGTCAACGGCCCTGTCGTTGCCCTTGTCGCCGTCGGATTGGGTTTCCTCGCCTTGTAATCGATGACGCGACACCGCCTTTGTGAGCGCATTGCCAGTCATTCGTCGTTGACAGTCGCTTCTGACTTGACGCGCCCACGACCGCAATCACGGACAGCATTGGCTCTCTTTTCGTCTTCAATCTTCACGTCGTTATGAGGAACATACAAAGCAAAACTCCCATTCTCAGCTCTATATCCCACGTTTACCACTATGTTTCGGCTTTGGCGGGTTGGCCCTGCTTCCAACCTTACCTTCCCGTACATACTCTTTTTTTCCTATCTGTGTCGTGTGTTCGCCTGCGCCAGGCAACCACCCCCAGTAATTTCTAGTCACTCCTTCACTCTGAACTTTTCAACATACCCCATTTTGCTCGATACCTTCGACTCTGTCTGCTTTTCTACTTTATCCTTTTACCTTGTTCTCGCTGCTTCTTGTTGGATATGGTATCGCGCGCTACGACGGTGGTCGTCGGTCTGGAAGGTCACCACCACATATACTCGCCTTCCGCCCACAGATACGGCGCTGCTACCTTACCTATTCTTTTTGAGAACATGCATCAACCAAAGCAAATCCAAGTCAAACCAACACTTCCATCTGTTCACCTGTGGTTACCACTTTTCGGAAAATTATGCTGTTCTTTTGTCATCTGTTTCTCTTTACCCCCTTGGGGGCGGTGCTGGTATCATGCGCAATACGATAGCAACCCCCTCGGAAAACCAAAAACTTCTCTGGTGGAGCTGGAGTTTGGAGATACCCCCTTTTTCTATCCAATGTCTTTACTTTTCTTTTTTCCCTTTCTTCTGTCCTGCGCCATGATGATGGATGGGAGGCGGTCGTATTTTGGAGTCTTCTTTTTGCTACTTTGGCAATCCCCCTTTATTCAATTTCAAGGGAACGCCGCGATGATGTGAATCGATCGCCCTATGGAAGGAAAACAAACTTCCACTTTAGCTAGCTTTTCAGTCTACGGATACTTGATCAAATTCAATCTGTCGAATCCGTGCAAACCTACATCTTTTCTAAACTCTAACCTGGAAACTCTATGTGATCTCATCTTACCATGCCCTCTACATCGCCCCTAGACCTTGAACCTTGAACGCGTCTCGTCAATCACTTTGCCTTTTCTAATTTCTAATTTTGAGATTTCTTCAACGTTCAAACTTTCCTTCAATTGTTCCCTTCTCTAATTTCCCCACAATCGCGATAACCCCCTTATCGCTCACACTGCGCGCATACATGTACATGCACCGCACACACGCATTACACGTGTGCGACACGCGAACTGTCGCGTGTGGTTCCTCATTACCTTCCCTTTTCCCTCCTCCCCTTCCCCCCCCCCCTGGTCACAACAACGCCCTCCCTCCGCCCCTTGGAAAAAAACCAAACCCCCAGTACCAGAACTAACCAGCAAGTAAAATCAGGATCCCAACATTACCACTACTAACCAATGAGCGCGACAAAGTTGGGAAGAAGCAAGGGGGAGTACACCCGAACTTCATCCGTTGGATTCTGCCGCTTCAGCCTCGCCCCAGAGAATAAGGATCAAGTTGAGTTGGCCCCCAGTCCGTACGTACGGGAAGGATTCGCGGATGCGCTTGCCGACGGTTTTTTCTTTTCTGTGCCCTCCCCCTTACCTGGTAGGGTAGGTAGATTGTTGGGTTCAGTTAGTTCTTGGTTGGTTGGTTGGTTGGTTATTACTTCCAAGGTTAGTTTGAGGATAAGCGGGATTATGTTGGATCTGTGGCAAATAAATTTAAAGAGGAAGAGGAACCAGGGCGTTGAAAAAAAACTGAAGAGGAAATTTCAACTGCCTCTGACGAGCTGGAAGAATGAGCGCCAGTTGGAGGTTTGAGGCTCGGCTCGTTGACTAGCTTCGCAAATCTTATTCTTTGATACTACTGCAAGAAGCTGCGTTTGCATTGCATTGCATTGCAGCACTGGGCGAGCGAGCGAGGGGGCTTCCCATTCAAATCCTTAGTGTTACACTATCTTCAAGTTTTGAACAAATTTTTTTCTTCTGGGTTGAAAAACTCTGCGTTTTGTTGCCTCCTCTCCCTCCTAAAAGATTTTTTTACTATTCACTCAGCTTAACTGCAGGCAGGCAGGCGCATGCCACGTCGCCGTCAAACGAGTTCAACGCCCTACTTGGGTAACGACCGAGTAGTTGGCTCCTCTTCCTACGATTTTCAATGTGTGGGTTTTCTGATTGGACAGGGTGGATGCTAAAAGGTAACGGACATTGCAAAAAAGAGAGTGTTTTGTTCGATGAGCCAATAAGGGGTGCGCAGCTAGCCAACCAACCTGTTAAAATGAAGATGTACAAGAAAATGACGACATTAAATCAGTCCATCTATCCAATCGTCGCGAAGTACCGTACGAAGGATCGAGCAAGAAGGAATAGAGAGAGAGACTGCAGATCCGCGGCATCTATTTCCAGCTGACGGAGCAGAGCGAGCGTGCGGGCGTTGTACCGTACGTCCCGTGCGAAGGCGTGAGCGCCGCGGAAGGGTTTCCCTTGCTACGGTACGGGGACGCACGCCGGTACACTCTTCGCCGTGCTGACTGCTTCGTTCTACAATCGCCTTGTACCTTTACTGATAGACATGTCGTTATCGCGGCGCCGCTGATCCGTCCACCCACACCGTTTATGGCATGCAAGTAAGCAGGTAGATGTTCGGCGGTCCGCTCCTCGCTGCCTTCGATGTGGCTGGGCGGTTGCGATCCTACTCTTCCTCATGGATCGACGACGCTTACTTGGTTGCTTACCCATTTACCTGTTGACTTCTGTTGGTTTCCTTAGTCAAATGCTTGATTGCTATACAAAGTATGGGGCGGTTGGGGCGTTGTGGTACAGACAGCCTTACGAAGATGGCGTCGAGTAAGCCCGGACGGGGTTTTGGAGAAATCTGTTTTTACTTCATACTTATTTGGGAGAAAGACGATGATGGTGTGGTGCTGCGGTGCGGTTATACGGACTGTTGTGTGTGCTGAGGCAAGCAAAGCTGTTTCAAAGAGTTCCGCCTTGCGACTGCAGCACACTAGACTGTCCGATCTTACTCACCCGCGCCCCGTAAGCACTGCGCACTGCGGTGTAGTCGCAGTCGCAGTCGCATGTGTAACTCACACTCCCCGCTCGAGCTGCGAAGCTGGCTGCCGTGCAGTTTGTGTGTGTATGTTGGCCTGAAGCCCGCACTCTCCCGTCTCACAGCTTGAGTTGAGTTTGTTTTTCGGGTAGAGTGAATATATGAACACGAGTATGCGTTACCATGGCTTCCCAATAGTCGAGGCGGCCGGCCGTCGTACATAGAGTGGGTGAACTAATTGCACAACACTCTTCGTGACGCAAGAACCAATGTTTGTGTATATTGGGCTGGCGCTTTGTGACAACTTACGTGGTCATAGCACTTGCGATACTATGGTGTGTTCCGTGGGCGTGATGGCGCGAGACGGGCCAACGTGGTGTGCTGGTTTCATGGTGATGCGGTATGGCTTACGGACTGCGGGTCGTATTCTGCTTCTTGCTGCGATTCTGTGGCGTTGGCTTTTCCGGTGCGTGACAGTTTGCCCCTGATCTATTTATCTTTTTTTCACTTTTTCATGGTTCCGGTGGATTTCGTATGTTGGGAATTGATTGATGGGCGGGGGGGAATCTATGGCGCACATAGATGGATGGTCATAGCTGCTGCCTTTCCCATCTAACGCTTTTTGGTCGCCTCTTCCAACCCATGTCGTCGAGAATATTGTTCGCGCCCCCAATTCTCAAGCATATATCGAAGTCTAGCGAGGAGATATTGATCTTGATTTAAGGTTGAGTCTAAAGTATGGAAACGTTGACACTTCGTGGACCCTTTTTGTGCAGACCCACATTTGATTGGCCAGGGTATCCCCCCACATTGAAGGCGTGGAGAGGCTGGCTGAAGAAGACGCCTCATGACGCAATCATTGAGCCTCAACCGACGTCTGCAAAAACCTGAGTGAGAGCATAGTCGCCGTAACATCTTTTATGTATGATGAAAGCATTCTTATCCCATTGATTGCAATTGGTTCTGATGAACTAGTTTGCGGTTACGATTGGCCGGAAATTCATCTCTCAACATCGATAGACACGTAGCGTCCATTCCCAGTTTCACGACATCATACACCACGACGACTTGCTCTTCAAACACGTTATCCTCAATGATTGACACTAGCTGTATCAACAGCGTTGCCATTGCTGAAGAGCAGGAATGCTCATATAACACAGCAACTTGAGGCCGGGTCCGCCCCTAATGATCAGCACAACTTCGTTCCGGATTAACAACTGGTTTCCCTAGCATCATAGATTTGATCGAAAAATTTCAACATATCTTTAATCCACACATGTCCAACCCTCCTCATCTTTCCCATCACCTTCTCCATGATACACGTTCCTCAGGGGGTACCTGCAGTGCTTGCGCTTGTAATCTACACCCTGAGCAGCGTCGCCATTCACAAACTTGGTGCCACGTATGGTATCTGGCGCCTCGCTTCCCTCTACCCATTCCACGATTCTCGTTAAAACATTGTCTTCCGCCCCGTCTCCTGGTGGTGGGCTTCCCTGGCCTTGCCCGATGAGACTTGCACCAGGCCCACCCGTACAATGCTGCAATCCTGAGATGCGGAAGTATCTGTAAAAGTCATCCAACTGACCAGGGGACGCCTCCATAGTCTGCGCAACATGATTATAGTAACGGTCTGAGTTCGATGTGTCGACCAGAAAGTCCAGCTGCCCATGGTAATGGATTAGCTTCGCACCCCTATCCCTGAATGCCGAAAGATCGCCCTCGTAAGTGTTGAAGTTGAAGAAATTCTGCTGTACGGCAAGGAGAGCATCTGCCGGAGTCCACTGATCCAGCGTCCAGGTCGGATCTTGTCGCGACACAAAACGAGGCCATTCAAGCGCGTAGCCTACGGGCTCAGGGCTGCTCAGAATCGTCGCGTGAGCAACTTCGTCTCCTGTGTGCACCACCCCCGGATAGATGAGTGTACCGTTCACAGTCCAAGGAGAGAAGAAGCTTTCCACCAGATCAAGCTGCTTCGAAGTGAGACATACCGCCGGTGCTTCTGGGGTTCCGCACTGTAGCTTGGAGAGATCAGGCTTGCATCGACGGTTATCTTCGATGAGGCCGTCCGGGGATCCATCAAGCGCATCACACTGCCGCAACGTCTCATTCTGAATCGCGCTCCAACCTTCAAGACCTATCGTAGCGTTGCTAATGTCTGTCCCAATCTCCAGCAGCCACCGCGTCATATGCTGGAAAAGCCCCGGAAGGTTCAGTCCAGGCGCACCCGCCACAATCCCATCAAACATCTCTGGATACGACTGCGCGGCCTTGAACCCTTGACGTCCACCCTGCGAGCACCCGAGGAAATACGACTTCTTGTGCGGCGCTTCATAGAACTGCTTCGTGACTTCTTTACCGATGACAGTCGTGGCATACAGAGCCCGCCAGACAAAATCCTCAAAGACCTGCGGCTGCCGGTAGAACGCGCCTGCGGATGTGCCGTTGTGACCGCTGTTTCCAGATACGCTGGCGAAACCATACGAACTCACATACGCGAGGTCCTGATAGAATATACCTGATGAGCGTTAGCAAAGTCATTACCGCGTCGTTCGATGAAGGCTGCTAGCTTACATCCCGCCAAACCGCCCGTCCCCACAGCAATGAAACGCGAGTTCCAATCCTCTGGAAGCCATGCTTCCATGTGAACCCCGCTCGCATTCGAAGTCGAGAATTGCAGACCAAGTCGGCACAGGTTGACGGGAACAGTCGGGTTCGGTAGCGCGCAAGTGACGTTCGTGCCTTCGGCGAATTGATCAATGACGGATCCTTTTGGTAGATACTGCGCAATGTTTACACGGATATCGTCATAACCTTGCACTTGAACATTCTGCCCGAGTGCATCGCATCGAGATTGGAAGTCTGCGCCCCACACGCTAGTAGCGAGTGAAGCAAGCGAAAAGTAGCGAAGCCTAAGAAACATGTTTGTAGCTTTCTCATGCCGAGGAACTTCGTGATACCTTCTGGGAAGATACGTCTTATACGTTTCGCGTGCTCTAATGCTATGGTTGCAGATCTTGAGAGTATAATTTATCTCAAGTGCATAAGGCGAGTAATTAGGCGAGGCATTTTGAGCCAGTTCGGCTTACTTGGCGATGTCATCGGGCGTAGGGGCTGCATTCTGCGCTGCAATAGCTCGCAAGCAAAGAGTGGCTAAACATCGTATAACATCACAACCTAGTGCTTTCGTGCTATGAAATATCTTCTCATTGCCGCTGATAAATGCATGTAGATTCATAGAAGGCAGCATATATTGTGCTCACAAAACCAACTACTTCGTAAATGTCTGGGGATATAGATTGATCTCCATGCACACTACTCGAGTAGGTAATTTCAGGACAGGACTTCTCGCGCGAATAGCCAGTTGATTGCTGGCTGACTTCCGGTGCATCCGTACCAGGATAAGTGACTCCAGCACATCATGCATTCTCTGTTCAAAGGAGGAATTGATGGAGAGCGAAAAAGCTGATAACTAATCGTCCAGATAATCTCGGCCCTCATTGTATACATCGGGAATGAATGAATGTTTGTATCCACAGGCTGCTGATTAGCTGTCTCGCTGATTGAGTCCACTGAGTCAAGGGTTGTCAAAACGGAAGGCAGAAATAAAGTGATAAAACTCTATGCAGAGAACAGAAAGAAGTCGTTATATCAAATCGCTGTGTACAAAGCAAGATCAATCATACTAAAATGGCTGGTTCGAATGCCCCTTCCACTAGTGAGTCACCTCCTTTCTCCATGATCCCGTGGATGTAGGCTTCTCCCACCAGCGTATAGGTCCCCTGAGTACCCGTAGGTCGAAGAATAAACGGCACATCTGTGCCATCAATGAGCACAATGCAGTCGCCTGGTCTCGTTTCCTCAGTACCTGTTCCCAGGTCTGGAATAGCGAGTAAGCAGTCAGCTCAGCTCAAGTAACATCGCGGTGTCTTTACGCTTCATGCAAGATTGGGGGTTACCTACATCCTTTCTCAGTAGTGAAGATTCGTTTGCCTTCATACGCAACCTCGAAATGCTGCCCGAAGATACTAATGGGCCCATAAAATTCTTGGCCTCGCACGGCGGAAAGGACTTCTTTGAGGTCGGTTTGCCAACTAGCCACGTCGTCAATCGACTCTGTGCCCAGCAGATGTTTCGCCATGCGAGAAATCTCCCTTCGGAGCGTGACATTCGAATCGTCTCCGTCATCAAGCTTTTCGTCGTGGAAATCCAGAAAGGAAGCTACGCGTTGTTCGAGATTCGGCCAATCTGCTATGAGCGGGACCAACCATTTGTTTTTGTAGGATGTTGGGATCAGCTTGTTAGCCATAGCCTTCTTCTGCTCGTTGAAGCTGGAGCGGATTGAGATCAGCGTGAAAGCGAAGAATTGGCGGAATCGATCCCTCCAGATCGAGATATCTGTCTCGTCTTTGAGGTTGATTCCTCCAATCAGTGTCTGCCAGAAGGCGTCTACAGTGCGTTCGCCGGTTGGCGCGTATGTGACGCCTAGTTGGTTGAGTAGCGCGAACATGGTGCCGAAGCGTTCTGACTGAGCGGTACCCGATGTTCGCATTTTGAACAGTTTACTATCGTTGTACGGCTCGTCCGCAGATTTGGTCCAGCTCCAGATGGACTCTCCGACTTCTTTTACAACATCAAAGGTCCGGATAGATATGTGTAGAGACCTGCCTTGGATAGTGTATGCTGGATCTTTGCTCGCTGGTTTGGTGGGAAATGTCGGACTGCCGCAGTATTTCAATGGCTCTGGTCGCAGATCCATGCCGAGATCTGGTGCCCATGTTGGAAGCCCTTCGACGCTGCGGACAGTGCCGCCGACTAGAGATAAGGCGAACAGCCCCACTTCAGGCCATAACGCCTCCATAGCATAGGAGGTATACAACTCTTGGGTTGTGGCCTTGTAATCCACTTTACATGCGACCGTATCGTCCAGGAGCGCTGATCCTGCAATCACTTTGTCCTTGAGCTCCGTAACCTTCCTGGCCCTAATAACACCAAGATACTCTTCAGCCGAATAGCGCTTGCCGTTGTGAAATTTCTCTCGTTCCTTGAAAAGTGTTATGCGTGCATCCATACGTTTCCGCACCATCATGAACGTAGTACTTAATCCGGCTTGCGTCGCGAGTGGATCCATCATGTAGAACTGAGTCACTCTCGCAGCCGATCTAACGTAGACTTCAGGAGCAATATCCCGGTTTCCAATCATGAATCGAAAATTCGAAGCAACAAGGAATTCCTGCAACGTCCACGCCCTAGCGAACCACTGCCGTCCGAGCACCCGTACGACATGCAGCCAGTGATAGTGATCACCAAACGACCCTGCCACCAACGAAGCCCCATCAAAAGCGCGTGTGAGAGCGGCCATACTACCCGCCGTCTTCGCGGTCTCCGTACGCTGGAGGGGTTGCGGATTCTCCTCGGGCAGACTTTCCATGAAATCAATGGCTCCACTCGTCGTCGCCGTCAACTTCCCTAGCCATATATCAACGCAAGCCGCCGAGCGGTAGATATCCACCATGATGGCAATCTGCGCGATTTTCTCTTCCCGATCATTCTGGTTAATACATATCTGATCGGCCCAGATCGGAACCGTCCACTTTCTCCGCCGGAGCTCGGTCAACGCGTGATACAAGTTCATGGTGATGTGGCACGTTTTCCCATTGCACAGGATCGGTCTTTCCTCCTTTTTCTTGTCGTCCACAACTTCCAGTTTAGTCCAGCTCCAATCTGGGTCCAGATCCCACGTGTAGGAGAGGGCTTCAAATGCTGGCCGATTGTCTAGGTTTTCTTCAAACACGTCGCAGGCAACGACGTCTGTATCGGCGCCATGGTGGATCCGCACCAATCTGATAGATCTGGGACCACTTAGAGGAGTGTAGCGGAATTCCTCTTGGAACTTGATCTACGCGCGACTCAGGCAATCAGCTTAGACCACAGCGATCAGAGTGTGCGACTATTTAGTGAACAGAATACTCGTCACGCAACGCGACAGGCCTACCTTTTGCTCATTCCGACTTCGAAAGAACTGCTTCGCTCCCAGCGACACAGTCTTTGCAGAGATGCCACTCAGTTGAGCTTTGAAGAACCCGCTGTTACCGGACATGTTGCTCTCACAAAATTAGCAAAGCCGAACAATCAGAATTGTCAGCGAAAACGAAGAAAAGAGAAAAAGAGTGCGGAGAGCAGCCTTGCAGATGTTAATGTATGGATTACATGTATTTCAGCTGGAAGATCAAGCATGCGGGGGCCAAAAAAAAGTGGTGCACGGCCCTTTTTCTATCACGACTTGCTGCTAATAATAATGGCGGGGTAGGGTTGAAGTCTAGAACTAATTATCCGGTGACTTGGATGTAAGCAAGTAGTGTACTCTTTTCTTCATTGAACTGCCAATCAAACGGGATACAAAAAGCTTGAATGGCAGCTGAAAAAATGCTTGGGGCAACCTACCTCGTTGGTGAAGATGATGTGAGGACCTTCTTAGCTGACTCGGTCCTAAGACACATTGATGTCCAAGACATCTTATGCTCTGGAAGGACGCTAGTGCTCACTACAAACTCTCGTTTAAAATACTCCAGTGTCAGCAGTATAAAGAGATCTGATGATAAATATTTATAGAAGCCCAGATAAAAGTAATAGTAACAACTGGGCACTTTATAAGTGGGTGCTATAGCGAGGTAGGTAGGGTTAGGGTTAGTAGAAGTAGAAAGCCTTGTAAGAACAACTCTGCTCTCTTATAGCAGAGGGCAACAAGCTTACTATAGTTTTTAACTTTAACACTATAAATCCATATATCTCTACTAGATTGTTAGGACGTTGTATACGTTACTACAATAAATGCGCTTAATAGGCACTTTAATTAAATGTTATCTAACATATCTACCCCAACCCCCTCCCTTTAAAAGAATAAAAAAAGGGACTAGGAATAAGAAACTTGGCGCGAAACACAAAAGGAAGAGTAAATTGCCCACCTTGTGATAAGAAATTTCTTCATCAATCTAAGAAACTGAAAAATGAGAAATCCACGCTCATTTGCCCAGGTCCAACACACAGACACGTATATATATAACACTACCCTACCCACCTTTACCCTCCCTCTCCCCCCAAAACGCCCTCAACTCCGCAACCATACTAACAACCCTCTTAACCCTCCCCGGCTTCACCGCAGCAGCCGTTCCAAATCCGCCCGGTCGTTCCAACGCATCAGCATCTGAAGTATCAGTATTACCAGCGGCAGGAAGAAGAGTATTTTCAGTAATGGGAGGAAGAGGAGGAGTAAGCAGCACTCCATCCTCCTCCTGCGATATCGATATCGCGTTGGGGATGAGTGTAGATGGGACCGCGCGGCGGGCAAGCAAACTCATTCTATTCCTTTGATTTTTGAGATGGGGGTTTGATGGGGTTGGTGGGGGGATTGGTGGTGGAGGTGGAGGAGGTGCGTAATCCTCTTTCTTCTTTTTGTCCTTTTTCGTGTTCTTGTTCTTGTTCTTGTTCTTCTTCTGCTTTGTCTCGTGAGGAATATTCGATGGGCGGCGCATGATCGATCTCTTTCCATCTCTGCGCTCCTTCTTCCCTTGCGCTGCGCCCATTGATAGAATCAGTGCGATTGGTGGTGGGGGCGGAGGCGGAGGCGGAGGCGGGAGGATCTCGTCGTTGCTGGTTGCATGTATGTCCTTGCTACTTCCAGTGGTACTCTTTTTCCCTTGATGTAGCCAGTGGCGTTTTTGCCGTTTCGAGTAGGTTCGATGGGGTGTGTAGGTGTTTGTAGGGGTTGATCTCTGCTGCTGCTTCTTTTTTGTTGCGGTTTCGCTGCGCGGGTTTGTGTGTTTGCTTTGCTTGTTTTTCAGAGTAGAAGGGGTTATTTTGGATCTGTTCTGTCGCTGGTTTTCTTGCCGTGGTAGCGTATGGAAAGCAGGTGGAGGTGGAGGTGGAGGGGGGACTGGAAGGGAAGTGCCAATCGTATGTACGGCGGCTTTTGGGTATAAAGATTTTTGTGCGGGAGGAAAGCTTTGAGGTGTTTGATGTGGATCCGGTGAATCTATTCCCCCCTTCTTGGCCGCAATCTCGCGGTGGGAAGGAATTATACTGAAGCGATGTCGCTGTTTCTTCAACTGCGATAATAATGCGGGAGACGAAGAAAGAGGAGGTGGGAAAGGAGGCACTTTAAAGCCCGTGTTGGTCGTATGCACTTTCGTATGGTGATGTTGTTGTACCGGAGAAGGAGGTTTTTGCCATCGTTTATACGGCGCTGCTGCGTTTCGGGAGGAAGGGTGGAATTGTGGTTTTGGCATCGAGATGATAGGCTGGGTATTCTTTTGTGTGCGGTAATGTGGTGGCTGGGACTGTCGGCGATGAATGGAATTGTATGGAGGTGTCGTTTGGTGGTGTCCTGTGCTTGTGGATGGGCGAGTTGGGAGGTAGGATGCGGTGGTGTTTTGAGGCTTAGCTGGGTTGATGTGTATTGGCCGGGGGGTCGAGGGGATGTGGTGAGCTGTATAAGGGGGTTGAGGGGATTGAGGGAGAGCTCGAGGCTGGTGGTGAGATGGCTTGTACTGTATGGATCTACTGTTGGGATCGAGGTTAAATGCGGTGCTGTTACGATGTGGAGTAGATCTCTGTGTCCTACCCACGAGTTCTCGCATTCCCAGTGGATGCAGAACATCTCCATGTCCACTCTTAAGTCTTCCTTCTCCAGATGAAGGATGAGGGCAGGAGTGTCCCTTTCGCCCCGCCACACTACTAGAGCCAGATTTCTGTATGACAGCACCATCTTTATAACCTCCTTCTGTCTTGGAATGCTTACTATGAACTCCATTCTCACGCATTCCCCTCCCCCTCTTCACCGCATCACTATTCATCGCCGTCCTCATAAATCGCTGGTTTTCGTGAATAATAGCATCTGTTCTTTTCCTCTCATCGTTAAACGAGGGAAGATGACTATTCCGCAGAGGATCGGGTTCATGGACCCGACGTCTGTTGATATCCTTCTCGTCGTTGCCACTCTTCCCGGAGTGTTTGTTCTTCGCAGCCTGTGCGATGAACGTTGGGTTGTTGGCATTGGACGTGCTTCTCTTGGAGTCGGTTATTGAGTAATCGGTGGGACGTTTGTCGGCAGTCTTCTCCTCTCGTTTCCCCTTCCTCCACTTGGTCCTATATTTCGTCCCTCCAATTCCCCTTTTCGCCTCTCCCTCCTGCCGCCTAAGCATCTCGCTCACTCCAAGCACCTCAAAAACCCTCAACTCACCCACATCCCACATCTTTCCACCCCTCACGAGTCCTTCTTTCTGGACTTTGAGGATAGCAGCAGTGACTCGTTGATGCTTTGAAAAACCCCATTTACGGGGAGGCGAATGGATGTTAAAGGAGGTTAGTGGCATGGACTGGAATGTGTCTTCTTCTTCCTCTTCATTATTGGCATTGGTATTGATGTTGAGGGAAGAAGAGAATGGAGGGCGAGGATTGTGAGGTTTTGCCTTTCGTTTTACTCCCATTTTTTCTTTTTTAGAAAAAGGGGTGTTGGAAAGGGACTGTGCGGTGTGTTGGGATGGGTTATGAGTGGATGGGAGTTTGAGGGGCGGGTTTGAGGGGTGGTGTGCTCGCATGGTGTAGCAGTGGTAGAGGTTGGCTTGGCAGAAGAATGTAATGAATGGTACTTGTCTAGTGGTATGTATCGCCGGAGGGAGGAGAAGTCCTAGAAGTTGATCCACAATGTGCGTACGAGGTGGTAAATGCATAGGCTTTTCCAATAGCGCGTGATAGCTGATGACTCCCAGATGTCGATGCTCTTGTACTACCTGATTACATTGTGTGCGACGGTTGCGCGCAGAGTCATAGCTGTGATGCTCTATTTGGGCAGTAAGATTGCATGTCGCGGGCAGGTAGTCCCCTTCCTGTTGACACTTTCCTTTAATCAATATTTGTAAAAGCAGAGTGCAAGGTAGTGATCTCGACAGCATGTATAGATAGGAGATACGTGAACAAGGACATCAATTAATCAACGCATAGATATCGAATGTTTATGTTTTGGATTTTCAATTGTTTTTACTTTAATTTTCTCTCCAAATTAGACATGAGCCAAAAAGGTTGACCATGTAATAGCGAAAGACTTCGGTTCTTCTTTTTACCTTTGAGGGGGTATCTTTACGCAAGCAGCGAATCTTCGAATGCATACCAACAAGAACGAAAACAGAACCCCCCTACATGCCTTTTAGGCACACAAACAACGACAAAGAAACGAATAATCTATAGTACCTCTTTCCCAATGATAAACATTCAACAGCAATATCCAAGAATACAGTGGCGAGGATAGATGATGCCGGATAGTAAGGTAAAACTTGGCAGAAGAATAGAACGATAGAAAGGGCCACGAGGACGAGCAATGCAATCAATACGTAGGAGACGCGGGCATGACCTTCTCTCGGACCCTCAAGCCCGAACTCGAACTTCTTGGGGACAACAACCAACACAAAAACAAACGCCGTACGATGCAATGCTATGCGGGCAAGAACCCAGCCCGCGTCAAAAAAGAGAAATAATCCGTGACTCCATGCATTCGCCGCAATTAAAAGGTGTATAATGCTCTCATGAACAGCATATCGAATGAACAACTCGTGTGTCGTATAGCGGAATCGCGCGTCGTGGAATTGAAATGGCAGAGATCGCTCAGTGGATCACGTTCTCCTTCTGCTCCTCGACAACGCCTGGCGTCATATCGGTGAAGATGCGTTGGAGTGGTAGGGTGATGGCGTTCATGATGTTGTCGCTGAAGTCATTCTTGACGCGGAACTTGTCGAACCAGTAGTGGCGGATGAAGCGGCCTTCGCATTGCGACTGCTTCACTCCAGGGTAGCCGTTGGCTTCGGCGCATTGCAATTCCTTGATGGCGTCCTCGTAGTCGTAGCGGATGTACTCGCCAAAAGCGGACTGCTCGTGGAATTTGGGGCCCTTCCACTCGGAACAACCCTGATATCGCACATCATCGGGGCATTCATGCCAAGCCTTGAGAATGCCCTGGGTGTTTGCGTTGTTTTGGACGACAACGAAGCCCGTGTTGGTGTATGTGCGGTTGAAGCGATCCGAGTTGAATTGAGGGGTCTTGGGGTCCCAGGGGTCGAGGGCCATGGTGATGCTGTGCTGGGGCTTGATCTCCCAGTAGTTGAGGAGCCACTCGACGGGTAGGTGCATGAAGCGGAAGGTGGCGTCGGCATCAAGGAAGACGATGAATTTGTAGTCGTTGATGTGATTGGCAAAGGCCGAGGGTTTGATCCAGGTGGCGTGGCGGTCCTCGAACTCGGCGGCCTTGACAAACTTGTAGTCGTAGCCGTGGGTGAGGGCGTAGGCGTAGTGGTTGAAGACTCCGCCCGAGACGTGATTGAGCTTCTTCCAGTGGAACTCGCCCTTTTCAAAGTCTTTGGAGGAGGGCAGGGGGCGGGTCTCGAGGTCGAGAATCAGGATGTTTTTGCCCATTGGTTTCTTGTAGCGCGGTTTCGGGGGGAGAGTCAACTTGGTGAGATTGTGGGCTTCGCCATCATCGATGTAGGTGAAGGAGGGCTCAGCGGGATTGATGATCAAGGACTTGAAGAGGAGCGGGATGATGTCGGTGACGGCGGGTGTTTTGGAGCTGTCGGCAGCAGCACTGGCAGAGGAGAAGACACGTTAGTATCGGGTGCATCTTGTTTGGATTCCAAGTGCTTTGCGCGTGCTTGCCGCCATGGGGGGAGGGAGGGCGCTTGGGTGCGGCTTAAGCGACATGGGATGGGATGAGATGGGAGGGCAGGAAATGGGAAACAAAGCATCCAGTACGTACCTCGCGAGACTGTCGTGTTCATGGCCGGCCTGGAAACTCATGCGCGGCGGGCTCTGCCAGGCCAGGAAGCCAAAGGTGAAGAGTAAGACACATCCGGCTGACACGGCGAGGGCGAACAGCGGGCTGCGTGTCGGTGGCAGCATCATTGTCGCGGCTGAAGGGGGCGTGTGGTATCCAAGAGGAAGCGGAGAAATTAATAGAATACAACAAGGTGAAGCCAAAAAAAGAAGAGGGGCGACGGCGACGATGAGGTGCCTGGCGGTGGTGGTTGTAGTTGGAGGGCCAGAAGGGGGTTCCCAAGAAGGAGGGCGTCTGGGACGGGGGGCTCGCCAGGGCTTTATTATTTCTTGAAGGCGGGAGCCAAGAGACGTGAGCAATCTCGCCAATGGGTGAGAGACGTAGGTAGCAACGCTGCGCCCCCCCCTGCTTGCTTCGCTTCCCTTTCTCTTCCTCTTCCATCCACCTTGCAAACACAACACCCCCCCAGCCATGGAGCTAACCGCACGAGTCCCACTCGCATTGCATTGCATTCGCATTCATTTGTTCAATCTATCAGAATTCCCCTATACCGGGGCGCCGCACTCTCTCTGCTTCCTGATCCCTCCCTGATCCATACCGCACCCTTGCTTACACCTGCATCCGAATCTTCCGTCCCGCCGTTCAACTGTCATGGGGGAAACTCCAACTACACAATCACGATGGTGACCTTCTGGAATGACGCGCCATTCTTCTTTTCCTTTTAGTTTCGCCATGCTCTTCTAGTGCATCCATTCCATTCAATCCATCCATTCCATCGCCACCCGCTAGGCTCCTAGCCAGAGAGACCCCGCACTCACTTCCACGACGCAACCACGACTGTTCAATTCCATCATCCGTCCGTCTCTCGCCTTTCTTCCCTTCCCAGCAGCGATCCGCGTCCACACACACACACATACATACACGCCAGCTTAATCGTGGGAGTGACCTCGCAAGAGACGACCCATTCATTCAATCATCCACCCGCCTAATCCACATGGCTCTAGCGCAAGAGTACGTTCCGCTACCCTTAGGCTCGAACCCGCCCCCTGAAACGGAACGGAACATTGCTTTACACTGCCCAACCAATCCTCCTTCATTTCCATGCTTTTTCTTACCACTACGACAGACAAGGTATCCTCCATATCCCCTCCGTCTTCTCGGCCTCTCTCGGCACCCACTCGTCTAAGAGGTCTATATTTGCTTCTCCGTGCATAACGCTGCGGCTCTGCCTGCTCTCAGGCTCACCCTCCGGCCCCCAACCCTATTCATCTGTCCAGCACTCCAGCTCAGGCCCCCCAACCCTAACCTTCGTGTTATGCTTATCCCGTTACCTGTTCAACCCAATCTCACCTACATATACATGTCGGAAGAAGGCTGCGCCCCAGAATTCTCGAGCCTCAAGTCTCAATCTGACACAGTTGAAAAGTCTTGGTCAGGGTCTCATCTTTCTAGGCAGCAATCCACATTTGCTTGTGTGTACAAGGGGACAGAGGATCTTGTAGACCACTTTTCCGGGAGCGACCGGCCTTCATTCGCGCCTGATTTCCGCTATTTCCGCCGTCTCCCACCTCTTCCTTCCTGCGGCTAGCCTACACGGCCACCGTGGGCACCGCCACCCCGCCTTCTCCCTGACGGGCCTCTTGGGCTCAACACTTGTTACTGTCGTATCCCACCACTCGTCCCGACGAATTGCTACCCTCATACAGAGTAATGGTCATGGCAATTGCTTGAGTCGCCTCGTTGCTTAGGGCGCACTTACCCTGCGTTCTCCCCACAGAAAATAGCCCTCCCCCATTCCTTCTGTTACACCATCACACTTCCGCTGCTGGCGGGACGCCTTGGCACGTCGCTACTGAGTCCTTGCCAGCTACTACTGAATGGATTCCGCCTTCGCACAACGCCGGCTACCACGCAGCTACGTTGTCCCTCAAACACATACGTAAGCTCCAGTGACTTCTTCCACTACATCACCCACATGTTCATATACGCATCCGTCGTGCATGTTTTCCGTAAATGGCATTTAACGAGCTCTTGCCTGCTCGTTTGCCTTGCTGCTGTAGATCAATACCTAAATCCCCCATCTGGCTGTGGCTGTGTCTAGGTAAGATGATGGAGAAATCATATCACCATCGCGAGGGGTAACTAGATCAGATCTCAGGATAGAAGTAGGTAGACGGATGAAACGACAAGCTGAGTGAATGAGCAGCCTCTTTTACAAGGCAGATTCTTCTTTCTCTCTGTCCCGGAAACGAAGATGGAAGGATTGATATCCTGTCAACATTCTTCTAACCTCTTCTATTACTACCCGTCTACGTAATTATGATTTAAGAAACCAGAAGCATGTGGTAAAGGATACTAGGGGTTGGACTTCAGAAGCCCACTGACGTATTCCACGAGCCCAAGCATAGTTTCCTCCTGCAGTCGTCGACCTACCAGTTGCACGCTACAATGAGCGCCTGCGAAGAACTCCGGATCATCTATGGCGTTCACAGAAACACGCATTAGTACACGCAAAGTTCTCACCATCGTCACATCCCCTTCTCAAATCCTCATCTCCGCTCATAAGCAAAAAGATAGCATGGAAGGATAAGAATATTTCGAAAAAACCAAGAAAAAAAAACTTACAGCTATCATGAATCTCCCGATCCATCTCCCCAAGCCCCTCATACCTCCCTTCCTCCTCCTTCTCTTTCTCGTCATCCCCAACACTTCCAACTGGCAGCACTGTCCCGGTCAAATCCAAACTGTTCACCCACGCACTGTACCCAACATATTTATACCCCTCCCTCCTCGCCCCCGGCGTCGGTGCAAGCGGACAAATCACCGCATCAACCGGTCGTCCCGTTCCTGTAAGTTCAGTCGTACTTACCCAGTAATCAAGGTAATTCTTCCTCGCCTCACGGAGCGCGACATTGACCTCGGCAACCTCCGACGCGAGTTTCTCAGGAGCACCGGAGATGTCAGCAAGGAAGGAGAGTTGCGGGGCGGGGGGTTCATCAGAAAGCGCAAAGGCAGACCGCATATCCGACCCGCCGTCCAGCGTGAAGACGCGCATGGCTAGATCGATGAGCGTGCTGTGAGATGGAGGCGTCCACTTAATCACTTTATGATCGTGCTTCTCCAGCGTGCTCGCTACTTTCCGAATACCCCGCAGGATAGGAGATACGGGGTTCACTACCCCGTCTGTCTCCATCACCGCGAAGCATAGTGGCGTTTTAGGGGCAAGGGCGTTGAGGTAGGTGGATGTCGAGAAGGGTTTTTCGATGACGAGGGGGTCGACCAGCCAGGGTTGCGCTTGCAGGATTGTTTCGACGGCGATGCGTAGACCGGTCGGGGTGGGGGATAAGGGACCTACAACGGAGAGGATGGAGGATTGGCCGTCCATGGAGTTTGCTAGGCCGTGGTAGGGGAGGCGGGAGGAGGAGGGGCGGAGGCCATAGAGGCCATTCAGGGCCGCGGGGATGCGGATCGAGCCGCCGATGTCTGTACCGAATCCCAAGGGCGCTGTGGATATCAGCCGTTGTTGCTGTTTTGATCAAAATACTGGGACATATCTAGCATCAAGACATCGAGTTCGAGCAAAGCAAAGGGGATAACAAAAAAAAGAGAATGGAGGGGAATAGCAATCCATACATCCTTTCATCCCAATCAGCGCTCCCTCCCCACCGCTGCTCCCCCCCGAAGTCAGTCTCCGATTCCGCGGATTCAAAGTATACCCGACGATATTATTCGCCGTCTCGGCCATCATCAGCGTATGCGGCACGCTAGTCTTGACATACAGCACCGCCCCAGCCCTCCTCAGAATCCCCACCAACTCACTCTCATACGCCTTCTCATTCCCCGTCCCCTTCTTCCCTTCAAACGTCCCTATCCACCCCACATACCCCATGGTCGTCTCCACGCCCTTGACATGGAACTGATCCTTCAACGACACAGGAAGCCCATGCAACGGCCCCACCGGCTTCCCGTGCTCGGCATAATAAGCATCCAAACCTTTTGCATCCTCGATAGCCGCATCGAAGAAGATCTCGTGCAGGCAGTGCACCAGCTGGTGCGCTAGTGCGGCTCTGTGGCAGAATGCTCGGGTCACGTCTTCGGCTTTCCAGAGTCCCGTTGTGGTTTTTGACAGGATGGCTTCTGGCGTGGTTTCTGTGATTTCGATTTCCGTCTGGGATAGGAATTGGTGTGTGTAGGATCCTGTTACGTCGAGTTGGTCTTGGATGGATGGCAGGTTGGGGATACGCCATGAGGGGGGAATTAGGGCGAGGGTGGAGTCGCGTTTCTTTTGGGCGAGGACCTGCCAGGGTTGTTGGGGTGAAGACATGGTGTTGGTGGGAGACTTGGAGAAAGGAAGACTGGTGGTGGGGAGGTGTGGTGTGCGGGTTAACGAAAGTATGAGCGTCTGAAGGGTTTAAATATACAGTTTGGGAGTTATCTAGTAGTTGCTGCGATCTGATAACCTTATGACCCGTCCATTTGCTAATCCACCTTCCCCTTGTAGCGCAATCAGCGGGTCCTCCATGGCGTAGTCTTTCTTACATGTGCTAAGCTCATCTCTTGATGGCATTTGTTGTTTGTAACGCGGAGAGGTGTATAGGTTCTAGAACCTGGATCCTCAATGCTCCTGGTCAAAGCGATGCGGGGGCAGCACAGTTTCACTCTTAAAAATTCCACCTTCAAGATCGAATACCGACTTCGTAACTTCGTATGAATCTCAACTTCGACTCAAGATTTCACTACGTGCTGAGGCGGGGTAAAGAAAGCATATAAACCGGAGATAAGCCCGGACATAACGACCGGATAGATGGAATGGTCCAAGTGCGGCAGCTAATCTACTACGCTCGGCATCAGTGTGTCACCCTTCACTCGTAATCTCTGACCTACATACATAACAAGTCCCGCGTGAGAACAATGTCAGCATCTCACTTCTGCAACCTCATCGAGCAAAACCTGCTCCCTTGCCTTCCGCGCCATCAACGCCGTTCCGATGGGAAACTCACTCCTTCCGAACGCAAACGTCTCCACTCATCATTCGACAGGACATGGCAGCTAGCACACCACATCTCCGACCCAAAATTTTCCGCTGAATCAGAGAAACAGCTTGCGGAGATGGATCTGAGAGAGCTGCTTCGTGTGCGAGAGACTGCGGCGTTTTTGTTTGGATATATTTCGCAGTCTGATCGCGAGGAGATTGCTGGTTTGAAGGGGGACGACTTGTACGACGATGGCCTTGTTACGAAAGGAACTGAACGGATTCTGGAGGTTTTTGGGAAACGCAACTTGGCGGAGCGCGGAGGTTCGATGCCTATCCCCGAGGGAGCACCGCTGGATTTCTTCACGTTTTTCGATCAGTGGCAGGGGGACGTCGAGCAGATTGCTTCAAAACAGTGTTAGACGAGTAGTGTGGCTATCTCGAGACAACAACGCTTTCCACAGAGGAGTCGTCGCGCAACACACTGGATTCAATTACATACTAGACGAAAGAGGAGTTTCCACGCGACACACTGGATTTAATTACATGCTAGAAGAAGGAAGAAATACACAGGGCCCAACTATTCACCAAACACGCCCGAAATAGTCACAACATCGAAGTTGGTCCAGCAGAACAAAGTCAAAATCTATTCATCGCACATGTAATCCTCACCCTTCTTTCCTTTCTCCGGCTCATCAGGATCTACCACCCTCCAGCTCTTAATCCCGTCTTTGACCTCCTGGCACCCATCCGTCCACGAAAAGGTTTCGACCATGTTGGCGTGGCAGCATTTCTCGTCGCTGTAGAATGCGAGGAGCAGCTTGTTGTCGTCGTTGCTGGACCAGTTGTTGATGATGCTTCTGAATTTTCCGTTGGTGTAGGTTGTGCAGCCTTTGTCGACTGAAGTCTCTTCCTCTGGCGATAAGCCTGTGCAGCTGGTCGAGGTGTAGGTCATCAATGTGAAGGCGGAGGCCTGGGTGCCTAGGAGTCCGAGGACTAGGAGTGCTGCTGTTGAGAGGTTCGCGTACATTATTGAAAAGAATTGGGATGAGGGTGGTATTATGCTGAGAAAGAATGGTTGAAGACTTGGGCAGCAGGTGAAGACCAGTTCTTATTCGAATGTTATTGAAAGCCTACAAGAGCGAGAAGAAGATGTGCGAAATATCTGGGGAGAGGAAATCGGGGGTCGTCCGTGTACGACTGTTTTGAACAGGGCGAGCGCCTCCATCGATTTGCTATTTCTGGGGAGGCAGTAAGTCTGCTCTGTTGGATGATGCCAAGATTCCACCGCCCATAACGCGCCATCCTGACTACGAAGCTCTTAATTTCGGGAATCCAAAAGTCAACCTCATCGTGAGAACATCGAGCGATTTCCCAACTCTTAAGCGCTACGCAACAGCAGTTGGAACTAACGATCCCCATAGTTAATTTAAGGTACCGGTACCTTACCATATAAGGAAAGCAGATCGACTGGGACTTAAGTGATTGGCTCATTTTATTCCATTTGAACAGCTATGGAATTCTAGCGAAGGATGCTGGGCATTCTCGAAGGTCGGCCCTAACGCTCTATTATAGCGAGGAACATACCGCAAACACACTAGTCGGCCCCCCTTTAAGCGCTGAATCATAGTGCATAGGATTCTCAACATTCATCATGCGAACACAATAGTAACGACCATACCTTATGCGGGCGTATGTTCTGGCGGCTACTGATGCTGCGGTTAGATTTGGCAGGATCGCAGCAAAGCCTCAATGTTTGATCCTGGCGAAATGGCATGTCAACCCACAATTCGGAACTTTTCCGAAGCTATTTATCAAGATGTTTGGTCCTACAAGGAAAAATGGTACCTGCTTGCCTCATTCGTTTGGCTCGTGAGGTTTACAAAGTAAACTTCCAAGTCGCCATCTATTTCGCGTTGCCTGTTACGCTTCACTCACTCTATTCACACTCCTTTTTTCCTTTTACCTCTCTCATTGAACGGTGTTTAATTTTCAAGTTTATTGTTGTGTAGAGGGCGGTTGATTCAAGATGCGGTTGCATTCGCCGACTTGGGTCAGCTTCTTACTCTCAACATACTCGCTCCTCACACCTACCACAATCGCTCACCCCACATCACCACATCTCTCCCGCCGAGCAAACAACGACCCCGGCATCGGCGTTGAGCTCGAATGGCGCGGCGGCTCAATCAAAAATGACGACCCGCGGGCCATGGCAGCCAAAGACGACAAAAAGGCGTTAGAAAAGGTCAAGGGATCTACCATCAAAGTCGACGGAAAGAAAACCTTCACCGAACAGTGGAAGCTGACTGCGGAGCACTCCCCCGATATCGATAACTTCGGACTGAAGAATCTGATATACGAGTGGATTGTGCTTGGTGAGGTCGTCAAGCTGAAGAAGGACAGCCTCGTGTTGCCGAAGATTGCAGAGGAAATCACAAAGGGACTGGAAGACTGGAATCCCAAAGACAAAGACCCCGTCGAGATTGATGGCATGGCTGAAAAGGACTGGGGGAAGTGGAGTGTCGATAAACCGAAGACCTACAGCAACGGACTCGTCAACTTTGGCATCCAAGTCACGGCGCCTATGCCCCTCTCTGCCATTCTAGACCTCTTGAAAATGGTGAAGTCAAGTGACAAGTCGAACCCCTTCTGGCCTGGAAAGACAAAGACAGCCGTTGTGATCGACAATAACGACATTGAGAAGTTGGGCGTGTTCAAGAAGGAAGACATCAACGACGACTTTCTAGGCTTCTTCTCTTTAGTCATGTCGTATGCAAAGGCTGCTCATACTACTGGCAGTGCGATGAAAACCAACGGTCCCAAGCAACTCCTCAACTACATGACCAGGACCGATTTTGGAACGCTTTACAAGATGTACGTCAAAGACGCTATGGACGACTCTCGTTGCCGCAATGGCAAGAAGAAGGAAGAGCTCAGTCTGTTCTCTGTTGCAAGAGATTTAGGGAAGAAGGTTGGGCTTAGCGAGAAGGACCTCATTGGTCTTGAGTTTATGTGGGAGGCTCCTCGTCCTGCCGATATTGCGCCTGAAGATAAGGAAGAAACGCCCGCTGACCCACCCAGCAGTGGAGGTGCACCAGTAAGTCTCAAGCTCTCCTATTCATGGTTTTGAATAATACTAATCTTGTGCAGCCACCACCACCTCCCCCTCCTCCGCCTCCTCCACCACCGCCAAAGGCTGCCCGTAGCCTGAGCAAGAGAGCCTTCAACACCAAGCCCAGATGGACAACCAGGGCAAAGGACATTGCAAGCGGTAAGATTAAGTTCAAGACATGGCTAGAGGAGCTCGACGACAACAGCAATGACATTCTCTCCATCATGGACAACCTCATCTGGGACAAGCAGATTGGCAAGCTCGGCGAACGAACTGAAGACAACCTGTACAACTCTGCGCAAAAGCTACCCATCTTTGAGATGCGCGACCTCGAAGGGCAAAGTATTGATGCCGTGGGAAAACGCCTCGGTGCCATTGAAGAGAAGGTCAGGAAGTACCACGAGACAGCCTCGAAGTCGCTCAAGAAACGAGCGGGTAACAAAGGCAACTCGGGTGCTGCCTGCAAACTTCCTTCAGATTGCAAGGGAAATCAAGCTCCCAACGCCAACGGGAAATGCGAGGACTGCGGCAAAGGCAAGAAAGCGACCGGCGGCAACAAAGCCTGTGTATGGGAAGAATCCGGCTGCTCGCTCGACGAAATCTCCAAGAACGACAAATGTGAAAAATGTCCCAAGGACCAGATTCCCAACGCAACCGGCAAAGCGTGCACATCCAAGGACAAGCAAGACCCCAAGGAGAAGGGCCAGTGCCCGACTGATCAGATTCTCGATCCCGTCGAGGGAGGTCAGAACAAGGATACCAAGAACCCGGTCTGCATCTCCGACGACGATAAGAAATGCCCGTCCGGCCAAGTCGCAGAAACCCGCCGCGGCTCCAAGGTCAAGAACGAGACAGACTACAAACCCACCTGCGGCGAGCTCGACCCCGCCGACGAAGACTTCACCTGCGACGATCCCGAGACTTTCCACCACAAAGAAAAACCCGTCTCGGGCCGCAACAAGAAAATTAAGCACAGCTGCCGCGCGACCCGCACAGCCGAAGAGAAGAAGCGCAAAAAGTACGACGAGCGCGTCAAATCGTCCGCCGAGGGCAAAAAGAAGAAAGACTCCGTCGACCGCGTCAACAAGCGCCGCGCAAGGATGGGATCGTGCTGGGTCGCCATGGCGGCGGGCGCCATGTGGGAAGTCGACGAAATGGCCAAGCTCTCCGACGACGAGATCGCGGGCATGCTCGACCTGTGGCCCGACGATAAAATGCGCGAACCCCTCGAGGACGGCACCATCCCGGACCACGTCATCAGCCTGACCCGCACACGCATGTCTGCCATCGAACTCGGCCTCGTAGGAAACCAAGACACAGCCGGCTTCCCCAACTTTGTCAAAATTTTCGGCAGCGTGGGGAAAACCGGTAGCACCGCCGCAAAAGTCGGCGCAAAGTACTCGACCAAACTCAAAAAGGGGTCCCTGGGCGCGGCATCTGCAAAAGCTTTATCTGCGGCAAAAGCCTCAAAGACGGTCGGCAAAGTCCTAAAGGATAAACGGTTCCTGGATTGTCTGGCTACGACGGCCGAAGTGACGGCGAGCATGGCCGAGAAGGTCGGAGCGGAGGGTCCTCGGGACCAGCAGAATCTCAAAATCGAAGACGACTGGACGCAAATGTACGGCCTCGAAATCGACTGGTCGCGCAAACCCGTCGGCCGTCTCGCCCCTGAACGCGATCCCGCCATGAAAATCCACTTCGGCACTGACGAAGACTGGAACACCAACGGCTACGGGGATCGCCGCAACAAGGAGATGATGGTGTTTCCCGACCAGTATGTCCGCGAGTACGATCCTAGACTGGTGTATGAAGGGTGTCAGGAGACGCCCAAGGACTTCAACGATAAGATCAAGAGCATGGATGTGCAGAACGGGTGTTGTGCGTTCTACGATGGGCTGCAGTGCGAGGCCGATGGAATTCTGTTTTCCATGGATCGCAGGCAGCATGGGGATTTGCAGGGGAAAGATCGCACGAGTATTAGTAGCTGGTGGTGTACTTATGAGGGTGGGTGCAAAGGTGCGCCGGGCATGTGATGATGCTTTCTGAATTTTTATCATCTTCTGATAGAGACCCTTTCCTTGTTTTTCCTTTTTCGATTCTTACATTTCCGCTTTTAAATAGATGTTATTGTTTTTCAGGTTCCGAGTTCTTACGAGGAATACACACAATGGCTAAAGTCCAATCAAAGGTCGGAAGGCAAATTTAATGTCTGGTTCTGCCTGGAGTCGATTCTTATCATTCGAATGAAAAGTGTTGCGGTTGTTGGAGTAGTTTGCGTGGATGCTGACACTGTGATTGCCAGCGCCACGAGTATGCTGCATATTGGTTTCGTTGATCGTGCCGTAGTGAACAGCCCTCCTAGGTAGCTCCACGGACAGAATGTCCATAGTTTCAAGTGTCTGGCGTCAAAGAGTTGATCCCATGTTGATCAACAGTGAATCTCGAATGTCTCCATAACATAGTCCCTGGTGTTAAGTTAGAGGACCTGCTGCTCAACTAGACTCACCTTCGTCACGACCTGGGTGTTTTCTATTTACCTTGTTGCAATGGCTGAGTCCAGCGCGTTTGCATATAGCATGATCCACCAAGATGGAGCAGATGTAAGATCCGCGACAGCAAGCGAGACAGGTTCATTGGTCAGAGCGTCGATAACAATATGGATTGATGATGAGTATGACATGGGATATCAAGTTCACTACGAAGCTTTTGCGAACTAACAATCAACTCTTCTAATTCTCCAAAAGCGAAGACTGACCCAAAAAAGAAGGAAAAGGTTCAAACTCCGTGCTATGCTCATAAGGGCATCACTATAAACATAAAATGAGACGAGAAGAAATGTCGGGGTTGCGATGTGTCGGGGAAAGTAGGAGAAAATGTTGCGATGCCGGGGAAAAGTGCTAGCATTCTGAGTTCCGTCTGAACGAACTGCGCTAATCCATTGTTTCGACATAATTGCTGGAGGGCCTGTCAGTACAAATCCAATCCAAGTATCATGCCATTATGTTGGCAGGGAAGCATAATCCGTGTGAAGTCTTACCTTGGGAATATGCCTTCGCGATCGCCGACGCGACCTGTCCACCAATCTGTCTCGTTATTGGTCCTCTTGAGAATGGTAATGACCTCCCCTTTCTTGAAGCCCAAATCTCCAGGCTGGTCTGCATCAAAGGTGAATTTGGCAATGGCCTGACCGGGGCCAGCACTGGCCCGCGTTGCGAATTTAGGCTTAGGAGCCGTCGGCCTGGTCGGTTTCCCTCCAAAGAAGTCGTCTCCGAAGCCAGAGCCGGTGCTGGCTCGATTGTTGCTGCTTTGATCGAAACGATCGAAGGTCTCGTTGGGGTTTGCGCGGGTAGAGAAGGAACGGCCAAGAGGCGCGGAATTGGGTTGGCGATCGTAGACGTCGTCTTGCCAGGTGCTGGCACGAGAGGGTCTGTCGCGATAGACGTACTCGCCTTCGGAGGTGCCTACGGATCCCGTTCTATTGGATCTTACACCCTCCCCATAGGCTGAGCCGCGGCGTCCCTGCCAGACGACATTGTCGTGCGCGTCGTCGTAGACTGGAATGTCGTTGTACATAGCGTCGGTATTGGCTGCGGCGCCTGCAACGCCGGCAAAGACTCGCGAGTTGAGAACGCGCATCAGCGGATCGGCAGCGGGGGGTGACTGCACCTGCCCGCTCAGTAGCTCCCGCGCCGTCCACCTGCGACCGTATAACTTCTCATTGGCATCTCTGCGCTCGATCATGCCACTACCTTCCAGACTGACACCAGCAAACAGACCCTTTGTCTTGCTGTAACTGAAGATACCCGCCACACTCCTCAAACTCGCTGCGCCAGCGGCTTCGGCATTTCGTCCTACGGGACCAGCGGCGATTGACACATTGCCTCCGAAAGTCAGCGATCCAGCCTGTGCAAAAGTCTTTACGGCATTCGCATCGTTGAGAATGAAGACGAAATCTGTGAGCTCGAAGCCAAGCTGTCCACCGAAACCCGCGCCGAGCGATCCGATGGCCGAGGGAGCCGACCAAGAGCCATCTGCGAGGCGAGCGACGACGACGCCGGAGCCAAAACGTGCGGTACCGAGAAATCCGGCCTTGAAGACGGTAAGAATTGCAAGGCCCTTTGCATTGGCTAGGATCTGCGGGGGGATGATTTTATCGGGGCCAAAGGCTTGCCGCGGGTCGACGAACGACGTGAGGATTTTGCCCGCCTTGCTGCACTCGCCTGGTGAGGAGGAATGTTAGCAGAATAAAACAGAGAGATTTATTAAGGGCGAAGTGCTGTTTGTATGCATTGTCGGTGGGGTGAGTATGGGGCGACTTTACTTTTGAGGGAAGACGGGAGCGGGTTATTGATTGTGAACGGCATCGCAGGAGGCGGGTGGGCAGGTAGGCCACACGCGGTAAGAAGAGACCTGGGTGTGTAGGAATAGATGCGGAATCAGTCGGATGCGGGAGAAGAGGAGCAACGGGAGGGGAGGGAAGAAGAAGAGGAGGAGTAGATAGAAGGGACGATGGTTGAGCAGCTACTGGATCGCCGTTTGCTCGGCATTGACATGCGGCGGCCGTGCTTTCTTCCCTCCGCTCCCGACTGACTGACAGAGACAAGACGTGGGGAACGAACCAACCGTTGAGTGAATGACGCACCCAAACGTGGCTGAGCTCCTTCTCCAGCCACGCCATCATCATTAGGTATCATCATCTATCAATCACCATCACCACTTTCCGATTGTTTGTTTCGTTTGACCATGTTTGTTTCGTCCTGACCCATGCGAAACCAGAACAGAATAAGAAACAAACGCATCAATATTCCTCCTCTCGAAAAATCATGCATTTCTGTTCCCCGCCTTCATCGATCCACGCTCGGAACATGCCGTCACAGTTGAAATCAAATACCACTTCCCCTTTGCCCTCCCCTACCAGCTCAATTCCGATCATTCCCCCCGTCCCTTCATGCGTGCGCCCCCATCTGTCCCCAGCTGACTTTTGCAACTCCCCATCGGGGCCTGCCATCCAGCTTATCGCTTTCGCCAAGCACATCTGCGAGAAACGACTCTTGTTGGCTGTTGTGTTGGAAGCTGAAAGTCGAAGGAAACTGTCCCCATTGCCCGTACCAGACACACCTATCGCGCGTCTGCCGCAGACTACCTCATGTTTTTCCCTGTGTGGTGCCTCTTGCTCTATGCCCGGCGCTTCCACGGTGGAGAAACAGTCGCCCATTAAGCTACCGATATACCCCCGTGACAGCTTGTCAAGCGGCGAGACATTTGGCTGGTATCGCATCTGAACCCTAGGAAACGAAGGCCTTTTTATCTCTTCGTGCCACTCTCCTGCCCAGAACCCAGTCCCTAGGGTCGGTGTATCCCCGATGCGACCGGGTATCTTGTTCGTCAAACCTCCCGTAGAAGTCGCCGCGCATACCGTCCCAAAGGAATCCAGCACAACTGCACCGCATGTCCCCAGAGGGATGTAATTTGACTTCTCCCAATCGCTCATCTCCCCACTAATTCCCTCCTTCTCTTTCAACCCTCTTCTATGCTCATCCCATCTCTGCTGCGTGAAGAAGTAACTCGGATCGACCAGCTCCAGCCCCCATTGCTCCGCCAGCCTTTCCGCAAACGCCCCGCTATACTGACAATGATCCCCCGAGCCGTCCCCTCCCTCCATTTCCCCACGAATTAGCAATTCTCTTGCTAGCTTGATCGGATTCCGCGCGCGTTGCAGCATCATACACCCCACCCCTCGCTTGCGATACCCGTTAGAAACCATGATGCTGCATTCCAATTCATTCTTGCCTTTGCGCGTGAAGACGGCGCCTTTGCCCGAATTGTACAGCTCATCGTCTTCGAGCAATGAGACAGCATAGGTGGCGACATCGAGAGCTGTAGCCCCTTTCTGATTGAGAAGCGTGGCTGATTCCGCGAGGATGCGCCGGAGTGAAGCCTGGTATGCGTCGTACCTTTCTTTGGAGATTGTGTTTCGCGTGATGTTGCCTGCGCCTCCATGGATAATGATGCGAGGGGTGACGTGAGTTCGTTGTGAAGTCATTTCAATCAGCTTAGAATAATTCCATGGGATAATGTTAAAAGATTATTCACGTCAGTCAGATAGACTATATCCGAGTGAGTCAGTGGTAAACAAGTCGAAACTCACGTTCAATGTTATCTCGAGCGGGGCGATGCCCTTCACTATGGGATGACTAAGCTACGCGACACTAAGCCTGGATAAGACTAGTCTATGGACTCCGATCCAGACAGCTCTTACAGTATTGAGGGAATATTACATACACCCGCGAACATATCTACAACGTAAGAAAACCTGGTTTCTTGCTCGCACTTATTACTATTATCGAATCTCCTACACCTCAGTATGATGTATCCAAGTACCTTACACAAGTCCAAAAGTTGGTGTATCAGCGGCTTATAAGAAAAGCCAGTTGCCCATGGATATACTGAGAAGGATGTGGTCTCTTCCCCAGAGCAATCCATGGGTAGTAATGGCTGTAGTAGAGAACTTGAAACACGACAATACAAGAACAGTAAAGCGAGGGATGATAAACTCATACAAAGCTAAGCGCGGGAGGATACGGGGTTCATGTCTGATACCTCCTAATATCTGCTTGTTTCTCAGCAGCCTTGCATTGCTCGGCACTTGGCCCGGTCTTGCGAAATTGGGGTTAATGACTAAGATGACGACTATCCGCTTATACGACCGAAGCCAATTCTCTTGGATGTCTCTAACGTGCGGGGGCTATTTAATATCATACCCAGTGACGAAGTTTCTGCAATATTGTCAGCGAGTCTTAAATCGGTGAAGCTGTTCCTGCCCTAAAAAAGGCAACCAGATGATTGCATGTACGAACCAAGACACCATTTTCCTCTTCAGATACTGCTCAACCCTTGCGCGGAGCACCATTTCTAGAATTTTCCGCCATGGCGCAAGCTTGGAGCGCAGATATGTGCCTCTGGGAATGGAATGCTGCCCTTGATCTAAGCCCGAAAGCTTTCGGTGGTGGTGTTTATGCATCCCTATGGTCCGGAACCATCAGAGTTGTTTGCTGCCCACGTCTGTTCATCGCGGCCCTGCGCCTTGAAAACGGTCATCACTTGCCTTGAAAATGCCCACCTGTCATGGCAGCCCATTTATGAATGATTTTAGAGAATAATACAGAATTCTGGGGACAACATATAGCAACTAGGATTACCATCGAAGCGGCCACGCTTGCAAATCCACTGTCACGAAAAACCAAGGTGTTGAATACGTCGTGTCTGACATGCAGGATGTACGTTCAATTCGCGGATACGGAACCGAGCAATCAGCGGTTACATAAGCTAACGAGGAGCCATCCAAAGAGAAGTTTCCATAGGGCTAAATTACGTCTAATTGAGGCTCGTTTTCACTAAGGGGAATAACACTGAGCCATGAACATGCCAGCTTGTCTACGTAGATCCGGAATGGGTCCACATCTGGATGGGCGCAATGCAATGGGTTTCTGCTACAAATTATATGCCGCTTATGAGCTCATCGGTACGATGGGGTCTTTACCGGTCTCAGGAAATCCTTCCAGAGTCGCCCCATCTGGGTATGTGTTTCAAGAGGGCGGAACGCAGGAAAGTTGCTGCCTGATTTTGGATGGCAATGTATCGGGCACAATATATCTAATTCCCGGCTTTTATTTTTCTCTTGCTAATTACAGACAAGAAAGGAATGTATAGTATACTGATATAGTTTTTAAGGATTGCCAAATCATGTCATCAATTTCCTATACTATTGCGACTGGCATTACAGCCCAGAGAATTGAAAGAGGCGTGTTTGGTGTTTTCTATAAGTGGGGAGCATATGTGAACGCACGGAGCATACATATGTAAAGACAAGTGATATGGTGGCGCTGCGTAAGACGGCAACGATGAGCAAAGTATACATGACGTTTACCGCATCTTGCCAATGCCCCGTCTATACGAGATGATTAAAAGCCGTAAACGGCTGTACATCCGCACTGCCTTGCCAAGGGGGCCGTGCTGGGATGCGCAGCGTGCCATAGAGGTGGGGGCCACGGCATTAACATTTGGTTGGCAAAGTATTGAAAGTGAGAAAGAAGGCAAATGTGTACCCACTGAAACCGGTCATGCTGGAGGCCTCAATTTTCTCTAATATATGTACGAGTATTTATTCCAATTTCCTTCTGTGCGCTACAATTACGCGACATGGCCAATAAACAGAGCGTGGACGTTGCGTCCTTCTCAACCTTCAACAGAGGACCGATAACTTCTTTGTTCGTTCCAGCGGCGTCTTGCACATCAACCCTGACGTTGTACGCCGCAGATAACTCCTTGTACGCTGGCCATGGGCCTCTCTCTGGTTACTTTGACCCCAAATGTGTTCCTACCGGTCGCCCGGTTGCGGATTTGCATGATCTCAACTGGTTTGATTACTACTGTAAGTCGCACACGCGCATTCCTCTAATCGTCAAACGCACTTTGCAGGAACTAAACATCGTGATAGATAGTCCAGCAATATGTCCTTACGGCTGGGAAACAGCAACGACACTTGGATCAACCGTATTTGGGTACAGCGCGAAAGCGGACCTTGGCCCTGAGACCACAGCAGTCGCATGCTGCCCAAGGTACCTCGGCACAATTCTCTAGTCTTGATCACACATCCTGTGCAAATCTGTCCACCAAAGCACGTATGAGAAAAAGGCTAAGACAAAAAACCTCCCAGTGACTACACGTACAGTCAGTATGGCCACGCTTGTATGTCCTCCGGCACTCGAGACCAAGTAATCCAATACATATTGCCCGCCACCCAAGACGGCACCGTATACCCCGGGTCCGTATCCTTCTCTACACTGCCATCGGATACCTGGTTTCGTGCCAACGGCATACAAGCATGGCGGCAGAGTACGGACAACGCAGTGTTAGATGCTGCTGCTGCTCAGTCCTCCACCATAATACGTACCACGCCATCGTCAACACCAGCATCGACACCGGCCACAACGACTCCTTCCTCACCTTCACCACCAAGCTCGCAGTCTTCCATACCGGACTCGGGTATTGCGCGAAGTACTAAGCTGGGCCTTGCTGTTGGCCTACCGGTCGCGGCGCTTGTGGCGATCCTTATTGCGATTCTGTTGATCTATCGCCGGAGGAGAACTAGGTCCGCTGAACTGGCCGACACTCAGTATGCACCACAAGTACAGGAGAAGCCGCCTGCTCAGCAGTATGCATCATACGAGATTGCGGGAGCAGAAGTAGTACATGAGCTAGGCAGCGAACAGTATCATGAGCTACCACCAAATCATCAGGTGACCAGTGTTCGCTCATAAAAGCTCTCGGGAAGATGACAGAAGCATCGTCAGGTGCGCAATGGTACAATTGATTTGGATAACGGCCACACTATCAAACTAATGCTATTTGCAACGCTACACTTATTAGATGTCCTATATGTAGATCCGATTATTATATCTCATGGATAGCGGAAGGCTGTCAAGCAGTCCTCATTATTTGTGCTTCTGTGCTTCCCAATGTTTTTGACGCCTCTAGTGTTATACCAACTTCCCAAATCGCATCAAGGAAACAGGAATTGCAGGCCAAGCTCCCGAAGAAGTTCATGGATGTACTATGCCGTGCTACACTGCCCCCGAGCGCATGGAATCAACACCCTCCAGGTGGTACATCGGTTCCAACTTCGCGTTCCTCCGGAACAAGACATACCTCTTGAAAAACCAAGGGAGCCACGCGCGGACTTGATATGCAGCATGTCTGCGTGTGGGGACGCCGAATACAAAGTCCAATTCCTCGAGGGTGCGTTTCCTGCAAGCGAAATTGTGAGCCGTCGTCGAGTACTCGAGGTGGTTTGTATACTTACATGGTCTCCGGTACTAGGAAAAAGATCATCCCAAAAGCAAGGACATTCAAGCCAGCGTAAAACGCAAACGCGCCTGTGGGAGTGATTTTGTTGAGGAGCTCGGGGAATGTGAGGACAAGAATAGATCCAACGGCGTTGTTGACGCAGATGGTAAAAGCGGCGCCGATCTCACGATGAGACAGTGGGAAAGCTTCGCTGAAATATATGGAAGGCAGTGGGCCCATACCTGTGCATCGCCTGTATTAATGATCATTTCAAATGAGGGGGGATAGGGGGAGACATACCTGGACCGTACAGCGCGGTGAAGAGAAATACGAAGAACGCGATCAGCGGTACTCTTGCCTCGGACTGTTCATTGATCAAAAAGCAAAAGCCCGCACCAAGCAAGCACCATGCCATGTTGGGGAACGTGACGAGTAGCAGATTGCGCCGGCCGAATGTATCCATAGTGTACACTGCTGGAAGTGCGAAGATGAACATGATCAGGCCAAACCCCATAGATACCAGAAGGCATTGTTTGGGACCGTATCCAGCTTCAGCAAAGATGGTACTGCTGTAAAACGCCACTATATTAATTCCGCTAAACTGCTGCGAGACAACAATAACTGAGCTGGCAATTGTCGCGCGGCGAAGACGTGGTACTGTAAAGAGATCCAGCATCCTGCGACTGAGCGAGATTCCCGCAAAAGCATTGTGCTCTTCGGAGATCTGGCAGTGAGCATAGTACAGCTCTCGAGCGGCAATGACTTCGCTGTTTCGAATCCGGCATAATGCTGCGTATGCTTCATGATATCTGTTCTTCTTCAAAAGCCATCTAGGCGATTCGACGCACCACCAGATCAAGATGACAATTGGGATAGCAGGGGCGAAAGCAGCGGCTAGTTGAAAACGCCACGCCAGACGTCCGATGCGGAAGAAAATGAGATTTGAGCATTGGCCGATGAAGATTCCAAATGCCACCCAGAGCTGGAAGCTGGTGACCATGCCGCCACGGATGGATGCCGGAGAGATCTCGGCGGAGTAGACGGGGATGGTGGATATCTTGATACCCATGCCAAATCCCATGAACATACGGCAGATGAGCAAGTCCCACCAGCTTTGTGCAAAGCCTTGAGCAAGGACTGGAAAGATGCAGAAGAGACCGGTGAGGAAAATGGCACCGCGACGTCCGAAACAGTTATTCACTGGGTCAGCCGCCCATGCAGTTGCGAGGCCGAAGAGAAGCGGGGGCGCTATTAATGGTACCCACCAGCCAATGGTTATTCTCTATCCCGAATTCCTAGTCTTTTTAGCAGTGGTTCGTGAAGTGGTTGATCGATTCGAGGCTCACCTGAGGGAAAGACAAATTCGCTCCATTTGCACCTGTATTGTCCCAGCCTTGAATAGCAGAGCCAAGAGAGCAGATTGCAATTGCGAAATACAAATCTTTGGGAAGATGCCACCGATGCGTGACTTCTCGTCGGATGTGATACTTGTCCTCCTCGTTCAACTCATGTAGTTCTTCGATTGTATCTGGGTTTTGAGCAGCCAATGCACCCTTCCAGAAAATCTCGCATTTTTCTTGAAAGTCCCACGAGTCACAGAACCCGTCGAATTTGTGTCTCAGTGCGTCTCTGGAAAGACCAGCCAATGGATTGACGATCTTTGCGTTGGCATTGCGGCTGTAATCAATGGTGCTGTCGATGTTCTCGGTAGTGACAACATCATTGCCTTTGAGTTCATTCTTGTCGAGTGAGTTGATTGAAGTCATAGCCGCTTGTGTCAGATCCAGGAAATGATGTACACTGTGCAGAAATCATACCGTGTTTCGGGTCCTCAGACTTAATTTATATCCCACGATGAATCCGTCATCAGAGAATCCAACGATGTCCGGAAATATCAGCCGCGTCAGAACGCCATGGATTTTAGAGGCTAGACTTTTCGCCGGGCCGTAGTCACGATAGCCTACAGGATATAACGTGATCGAACGTGGTAGCATACCCCAGATTAGCTTAGCGAGAATTGAAAATCCGGGGTACATCAACTAGGTACCCCGCGGGGATACGCCATGGCAGTCTAATTTGCCAAGTCGATATGCCATATTTCCTGGTTTCATGGGCTCGTGACCAGGTATCTGACTCGAGGCTCAATTCCTCATTTGTGAGCGCAAATGCCCGAAGTGCTGGGTGCTCTTCCTCGGAGGATTCACCGAACCCCGCATGCCCTGTGTGCGTACGCAGCGGATCGACAAGATGCCTTGTCTCGCCCTGTGTGTTTTTCCCTGTGTGCGACTGGCCTGTGTGCAAATTGGAGCCCATTAGTGCGTGCCCTGTGTGCGAACGGGAGCAATGGTGTAATCATGCCTCCTAGCTGAGCCAGTGTCCACCCCGAACGCTGCAGTGAAGCCCACATAAGCTCCACTATGCCCTGTGTGTGTGCACACAGTACCTCAACGAATTTGAGAGACAATTGCTCTCGAAGTATGGGATATAAGACATAAGCAGAAGCAATGCAGACACGAAAAGGAACCAGCTCTATTCTCTCTCCTTTTCCGTTCCCTCTCTATCTTCGCATACAGTATTCGAGAATTCATACACCATGGGAAGCATCGCTACGCAATCATGGCTTCAAAAGCTCGAGGAGCAACGTAAGAAAAATGCAGTCAATTCCCAAAAGACCTTTACCTAACTCGGTGCAGTGAACGTAGATGTCGACTGGATGGACCCGGCCTTCTCCATTCGCATGAAAAACGAATTCGGTGTCACTCCCAATGACATGACGAGCAACAACTTATGGGTCAACATTCAGATGTCGCACCCGGACAACAAAGATCTGTTCGACAACACAGTGCGGGAGTTGAAAGACGAGGGCTGGCTTGCCATTTACACCCGCATCGCCGTTGGCCTGTGCAAGCGCAACATCGACAACATAAAAGGCCGTGTTGCTCTCCAGGTTAATCCGCACAAAGCCTACGACACACAGGCTGTTCTGGACCATGCTCGAGCATACGCCCGTGAGTTCGAAAGAGCCGGAATTCCTAAGACGAAGTATTTTATCAAGATACCTTCAACTGGTCCAGCACTGAATGCGGCACCAAAACTCGAAGCCGAGGGGATCCGCACACTAGGCACCGCCCTGTTCAGTTTGGCACAGGCTATTGCGTGCAGTCAGGCAGGCATGTTGTACATTAGCCCGTACTTCAACGAGACCCGAGCCCACGATGATCTCAGTTTGTGGCCAGATGTCGAGGACCCGGCCACTCAACATACCAATTCGGCCAGAGTGTGGCAAATTTTAGAGACGTACAGACAGCTGTACAAAGAGACTGGAAAAGAGCAGCCTCTGCTCAAGAATGCCAGGTAAGATCCAAGTACGATGTACGTGTGATGTCCAGACGATGCTGACCGTCAAAGTTTCATCACCCCCAAGGAAGCCATGGCTGCCGGTGAAATGGGCTGCCACTCCGCAACAATCTCTCATACGGTCATTGAGCAGCTTGCCAAACTCCCATACGATGGCACGGCGCAACCTGGAGAGGGAGTCCCGAAACCGCAACACGTGTACAAGACCCCAGGACCGACACCTGAGCGTCTGAAGAAATTGATGACAATTGACCCACTCGCTTCCGCCAAATGGGACGGCAAGCTTGCTAGCACCAAAGTAGACTACCTCGCCAACAACGGTGCGGCATTGGAGGAGGCCATCAAGAATGATCCAGTATCGGTTGCGCGTCTAGATGATGCATTGAGGCTATTCCAGGGTGGTATTGATGAGAGTCAGGCCAAGATTGAGAAGGCATTGAAGGAGCTATAGATCCAAAATAGTCAGGATTAGGATGGAATGATTCAGAGGAAGATCCAAGATACATATATGGATAATTAAGGTGATCCATCGGATCCAGTGTATCATGTGCAAGTGAAGTCATCAGTGCGTCATTTCCCATGGACGTGGAGAGGTCGAGAATGCCAGGTGGAATTCCTACTGTAGACGGATCTTGACTTCCAGGGTGGTTTTGCAGATCTTCAATCGTCGTCGTTGTGGTGTATTCACGGAGCAATGGCGGATTCTGGGGTGGCTTGACCAGGGCGGGGCCGGTGGGCATCCCGGTAGTCGTTTCGTCTTCTTTCGCTTGCTCATCACCAGAACCCTCTTCAAGCGCATTGTCACCGAAACCATTGGGAAAACTGCCAAAACTCTCGTTCTTTGTAGCGACCAATTGTTGCAGATTCTTCCCTCCAGGTCCCGCCTCTCGCAAGGGCAAGCCGCTGCTGGCAGTGCGCCATTGGTTAACTTCAGCCAGCAGCTCTTCGCGCTCGGAGACCAAGGCCTGGATATCTTCCAGGGCTGACATTGCAAGTTGTTTCTGCGCTTGATGTCGAGCAACACTGTGCTCTACGATCATGTGCTTGTTTAGTCGACGTGTGCCTACCAGTGAAGGTATCTGTCGAGCGAGATGCTGCTTCTATTTAGCTGCATATAATAGTGCACGAGAGATTCGTCTACTGACAATCATGCTGTCGTTGAAAGCCTCGCGCCTTGACTTCTCGAAGATGCGATGGGCGGCGCGCTCCTCTGATGTCCACTTTCGGATTCGTTTCTTCTTGTTGTTACCCGACAAAGCTGACATCGTAGCATAAGCCGATCAGGTCTCTGCTGTGGAGGTATCAAGACACGTAAGAACAAAGAGGAGGTCGAAAGAGAGAGATTGTGGTTACGAAGGCTGGAGACGCATGGTGATTATCCTCGGGACATTCGGCGACCAATGGCCCGTGCTTCATAGGATGCATTTAGGCGAAACATCTCCATGGGCGTGGGTCGTGGGGTCTCCGATCGGCATTGTTTGGAATAGATGACAGCGATTCAAATACTTGAGGCGGTTATCAGCAAGTGATATCTTCTGTACTAGAAGGTAGACAAGTAATACGAGAGGAAACATCAATGTTCTCTTTGTTACCTCACAACCTCTCCCGAGCACATCCGTTCAGCAATATTCGTGCAGAAACGCCACGTCCAGCCCATTACGGTAAAGATCATCATCGGAAGTGTCACCGAGTCCAGGCTCGTCACCGCCGTCCTCAGCAGCGCTCTGCTTCAGATTCAGCATACATGGTGCAAACCTATAATCCTCCACTTCGCGATGAGTGTTCATAGGTTTCGCCGTACGGAGGTCGAGTATGGAAGACGGCCATTTCAAGACATCGGACCATCCTCCTTTCAATTTTGCCAACGCAGAGCTCGCAGTGCGGTTCGGCCATCTTTCCAGAAACCATCGTTGGCGGCCAAGTTGCAACAATGCACACCAATAAATCAGTATGAGCAGAGCTGCATCTTCCCCCAGCTCCAGAAGACTGAGATACTCAGCAGTGACTGTGCTTGGAAACGTTATGTAGTCCCTCCAGTTGCTGGGTGAGTTACGGCATGTTATAATCCATTCGGTAAGAGTGTGGGTTGCTTCCAGAAGCACGCCTTTTTCGTGGGCTGTACTCCGGTCCGATGCTTCTTCGATGGCCCGTTCAAGATCCATAATAGCTACCAGGCTCTCTGCGAGTGGCTTCCGACTGACAATTTTACGACGTTCAATGTATTGCCACATTTCGCTGTGCTTTAAGAAAAATATGGTCGATGATGCAACATTCGCCGAAACCCTCAACACACGCAGGGTATTCATGTAATCGAACACGGCATCAGGGCATATCTGTTGGGTTCCGAACTCGAAGATGATTACCGAACAGCCAAAAAGTAGGAGCGCCGCCCAATTAGAACTATCGACGTTGACTGGTGCGTTGCGGAAGCTTGTCAAGGCCATAACATGTTGTTGATAGGCCCCGGAGTCGCTCAACTGCTCGTGGCGGAGAGTCTCTGTTTCACCAAGTAGATTGAATACAGAACATAGGCAGTAGCGGAAGAAATCGTATCTGGTCGCTGCCGGCACAATGGCATCTCCCCACAGTTCCCTTTCTCTGCGTGTTGGATCCATCCCGAAAGTATTGTGCAGATCTAGCCTCAGCATCACTTCACTGATGGAAGGTGGCCTGAGATAATTATCGATGCTCTCGAACATCACAGACGTCGCCGTCTGGGATTTTGACATTTCTGAAATGGTGACCATGCTGTCGTGTTCATGGTTTACTGCTGCAGAAGTCGTGGTTGTCACTCTCCACGTGGAATATTCGCACTTTTCACTCCGTCTAACGCAATTTGCGCATTTCGGTAGCTGTTTTGTACACTTCTCATGATTAGTATGATGTCGTGTTCGATAGAAACTGGACTGCTACCTTGACTCTACGGAGTCTACACATCGCACATCCGCCACGGGATTTCGTGTTGCTTTTTGGCCCCATGGTCGAGTACCTATCAGCACGCCCACTCGAAGCACAAAGAAAGGGGTTGAGAATGCTAAACGTCTGAGAAGAAGCTATGGAGTCCTCCAGAACATTGCAATGAACTTTAGGTCACAGCCCCTCCCTGAGCTCATCGTACATCTTTACAGTGACTCCACGTGTTTCAGGCGAAGATGGCTTGGTAAATTGACTAGGTGAAGCGCCTCGCAAGCTAAACCCTTTATGAGCAAATTTGCGAGCATCCCTGCAGCAGTCCCTTCGCCGCGTAGCAAGTTCTTAGATGCCTTCGATCTTTTCCATTCAAGAGAAAAAGTGCGAACGTGAAAAATATTATAGACGATGGGGTTTAATTAGGCGCGCTCAATAGAAATTAATCTAGAGAAGTAGTAAGCATGGAATATAAAAGAGTTCATCTTGCCGAGTTGAGCTACGCATGTAGAGACCAAAGGTAGAAGGATTCACCAGAGATCTAGCAATGCGTACTCTCAACTCCGGCATTCTTTTTGCTTCGTTCAAACTCGCTTCAGGATGCTTTTCCCACGTCGCACAGCAGTCGCATTCCATCGACTCCATGCGTCGATCAATGTCGTCAGAATTCAGCAAGACTGCGCTTAGAGACGTTCGCGTCTTTGATGGATCTTGCTTCACCCCACCACAAACTATCATTATCGACAAGGGCGTCATCTCGAGTAACACCGATAATATTGAAACCAGCATCAATGCCACTGGACTATTCCTTATACCAGGACTCATTGATAGCCACATTCACATCTCCAGCACTATCGGGCTCGAGGAAGCGACGTCGTTCGGGATTACCACTGCGATGAATATGGCATGTGAAGATTACATGATGTGCGAGTCGCTCAAAGGCCTCCCGGGTCTTTCTGATTTCAGAACAGCCGGTATCCCGGCCGTGGGCCCGAATACCTCCCATGCCGCCATGCTGCAGCTGCCTCCTTCAAAACTCGTGACAGAAACCTCGAATGCTACAGAACTTGTCGACTGGGCGAAAACCAATGGATCCAACTACTTCAAAATTACCCTGGAACCCAATGGCCCCAGTTACGATCTTACCCGTCGCTTGGTAGCTGCTGCCGAGACAAACGGTCTGCCAGTCATGGCCCACGCCTCAGACATGGCGGCTTTCGAGCAAGCCGTGGAAACAAATGTTGCTGGAATACAGCACGTACCCCGCGACGGCAACTTGACGAACGAATTGATACAGCTGAGCAAGAACGCGAATCAATTCGTTACTCCTACACTCGCGATTTTTGCTGCTGCATTACATCCGCCAAACCCAATTTTCCTACAGTTTCTGAGTGCCAATAGCTCTAGCAATAGCTCCAGCAATAGCTCCTGGGAAAATGTTGTGCACAATGTGCGTGCTCTTTACCATGCGCGTATACCCCTGCTTGCTGGAACAGACGCCGTTGGTACTATTGCGCCCAATGTCTCGATTCCGTACGGAGAAACACTGCACAGGGAGCTAGAATATTACGTTGATGATATTGGCATGACTCCAGCCGAGGCGATCAACTCGGCAACCAGACTTGCGGCAGAACACCATGGATTGCGTGACAGAGGGGTGATTGAAGACGGTATGAGAGCGGATCTATTGCTTCTAGAGAGTGATCCTCTTCTAGACATCAGGAATACGAGAAAAATTGTTGGTGTTTGGGCGGGTGGTCGAAAATATGAAGGGTAGATCACCTTTTCTTTAGCCACTACATCTTCATCCTAGTCTGTCCTGCTCGACATTCAAGCATGCATATTGTTTAATGGTATAGAATTATAAAAAGTACTGATTAACTCATGGATTGTGCAATAAATCTCTAGTTTGGATAGTAGAATATGGTACACCGCAGGATAGACTTTGAACTTCATTAAATAGAAAAAGCTGTTCATTCACCGAGTAAATTCTCCGTCAAACTATCTTCATTTTTCAATATGGGAGCGACTACTCTTTTGCCCGTTGCTTAAAGCTTCCTCATTATGAAGCTGGTAGTAAGCTTCCACCATCTTTCGAACCAACCGGACAGACGCATACAAATTCTTATCGTGCATCCTAAACGACCGACGAAACGCTTCCCGTCCATATATTTCCAGTCTGATGAGATCTTCGTGAGACATATCACATTTCAGAATGAAAATAACGATGGAGCCGGCGCACTTTCTCCATTACTCCTCACTTCATACATCAGCCACCCTGAAAGTGGCTGCAACGAGTCTAGACCAGGCTGCTTGGTTGGCATCTTCGGAACGTATTCGAAGGGTACCATCTTGCCATCCTTGTATAGAAAAGCATCCTTGTTGGCATGGGCGTTGTCATCGTCCAGCATACTGCCACTGCTTGTCACTTGTATTCCGAACGATCCCGCCACCATTTTCGTGTCATAGAGGACTCCGTTGTCATTTACGACTACGGGAACTGAAGTAAACCCCGATGGGATATCTTTGGTATCAACACGATGGTATAAAACATCTTCCAGCTCGCAGCCTGCCTGGCCGCCTTGGAATGCCCGCAAGGACACGGGGCGTTGTGGTCCACCTGTGGCATGTCGATGATACAGAGACTTCCCGGTTTCGTCCCAGAAACAGAATGCAGTTATCCAGCCCGAGAGATAGTATGGGCCGCTGCCTCCCGTTTTGTGTGCGATTCTACTCCAGAAATCTTTGACCGCTGACGAAGGCTCAGCATCGAAGGATGCGATGAAATTCCGTAGGATGGGCTTAAGCAGAGTAGCAAAGATAGCCGGCTCCTCCCCAAGTTCGCACAATTTATCAAGTCTTTTGAGGATATCTTGCCAGTCTGCTCGCTCGCCAAGTAGTGTGACTGAAGGTATACCACAAGTCATCGTCATACCGTATGAAAAGTATTTTTGCAAGGTACCCATCATCAAAACGGAAGCAACCGTGACATCGTCCTGGGTCGTTGTGGTCCAATTAGGCATGATCCACGTCCGCAATTCAGGATCTTTGACATTCTCTTGAATCAAATGCGTCATTCTCTGTGCTAGCAGTCCGAAATCCACCGAGCGTATATTTCCAACTTCTGTCACCTCGAGTTTCTTCTGACCCTCATGCGCAACAAAGTAGTCACGGAGCTCTTCAGCATGCGCATTGATGTAAAAGCTGAGCTGTGAAAGAATGGCAAACCATATGTCTTCAGGTCGGATGATCAGGTGATGGTGGCTGCTGTAGGCATGGTAGGCAGCCCAAACCCAGCCATTGGAAGATGACGCGATGCGCTTCTGGGAGAAGAGGGAGTTTGAGACGGAACTTTGGATGATCCATTTACTGTTGGCGAAATCCTTGCGACAGGAAGCTTGGAACAGAGCTTCAGCTGATTCTAAACCTCCCGAAGCCTTCCATTCGCGAGCGGCGTGGTCAGCGATTGTGAGTGTCACCGGCATGATTGTGGGGTGGTTGAAGTCCGTGTTGGTGGATGGATTCACATGCGCGTACAGATCTGTCGCAAAAATGCAATAGAGAAACAGAAAGCTCAACTTGTTATGTAGCTACTGATTATTGCTGCCTGGACCCGAGTTGAAGTTGCGACCGCTATTATTAGAACTGATTCCGCGTAGCGCTAGGCTTACACCTGATCTAGACCACAGAAAGGGGGGCCGAATATCAAATCAAAGAAAGCGGGAGACTTGAAATCCAAGAACACCAGCATGATATCCACCGTAAAATATTTTTGTTTCTCTTCGCTGATCATCTATCTACGATTGTACATGGACATTATTGTACGCAGGGGCAATATTTTGAGCTGCCGGCACTGATGAGACTGCGACTGAGCCTCACCGGCTACATGCTTGCGGGGAGTAAAAAAATGACGAAAATGTACATATGTACTCTTCTCTCTCAAACTTCATGTCACATGTGCTAAAAACTAGATACAACTGTTCTGATTTCGTATCGATCTATAGCTCTCGGCTTGGAAATGTGCCCAATAATCTGCGATTACTGCAGAAACCTCTTTCCCACTCGATCTACTATATCATCATCGCAGTTCTATGCGGCACAAACAGTTCTCGGCTCATCGATCACCATTATATGAACTCTGGTAATTGCAACCCACCAAAGTAATGACCAGAGAATGAGCCAGTATAAGAGCGTTCCACAGGCCTGAATTCGACAACGTTGCCCCGCTCGATTGTATTCCCAGTACAAAGCCAATTGTCAGGCCCTCCAGAGCCGAGATTCGTGATGTACCCACCGCCGCGAAACACGACAACTCTGAACCCACCTCCACGCCCCATCGGCTTGAATCCCGATTCTATTTTGTCATCAAAACTGTAGCGTACTGGAACATGCATATTCCAGACCGCGACGTTGACATTCATGCCGGCTTTCGTGTATTCTGTCGTTGCTTGATCTTCTATGAAAGCTATCTCGCGTTGTCTGCCAATGACATCTAGATCGAAACCAATCTTATCGAAGATACTGATCATGGGGTCGTAGGTGAAGGGTAGTAGTGAGAGCAAGGTGCTTAGGAGCATCGTGCAAGTTTCCTGCGGATTATGAAATTAGTTTCATTCCTCTACTGATCCCCACTTGATACGTACGTAGCAATAGGTTAATTGACTGCTGGTAGGGGTTATCGTGATAAGAGAAGATGAGGTATTGCCGCTACACAGAGAAACCGATGTAGAGGCAGGTTTGGCTGTCTCAACTTCAGAGAAAACCTCGCTTATGCAAATGGACAGCGGAGTGGCTCTTTAGGAAGGAGGCACAATAATAAAAAGACGAGGGGATTAGTGTTGCAGGTAAGTGTAAAAGAATTGGTTTCTTGAAATAGGGCATTGACACGATCACTATGTAATTAAGCAAGCCCACGAACAATCAGTTGGCAAATAGGATGAAAGAGCCTATCACCTAAGACAGCGATTGCTCATCCCGCATGATCATCACAAATCGGAGATAGAAGGACATCTGGCATCATCACTGTTTTAAAGTTCTCAGTGAAAGTCGTCATAATGATATGCTGCGAAATGAAAAGGGAGATAAAAATTTCGAAGACTGAAGAAGAGAAAGGGTTAGAGATTGAATCAGGACTCAAGAGAAGTGGACTAAAGATTAAATTTTCCATACAAACAATTGTTGATTTTTCGATCATACCGGAAAGATCTAATCTATTATCTCCCATAAACAGAGTCCGCTGCACTATTGATCAGCTTCATCCCTTCCGATCGGTACGTATCTTTCTCAACAAAGCTAGTCACGTTTGCGTCAAACACAAACTCTTCAGGGCTATCCACACGGTACATTGGCCAATCTGAGACCCCGAAGTCACTTTCTCTATGCTGATTCGCAATGTCCCCAGAGTTGATGAACTGAATCCAATCTCTGCTCATGAGCTTGGCCAAATCTGTATAGCTCTGCGGTTTACCCTTAAATGGCGGGATTCTCACGGGTGGGTATCCTACGCCAAGAAGGTTGAGCATTGGGAAGGCAACGTCAACAAAGTGAGTGGCCCCATCCATCGGGGTGGCCCAGGCGGGTATTGCGTTGAATCGATAGCAATATGCAGTGAGGTTGGATGCAGCCCAAATCTCACAAGTGCGTCGTCGATTTGCAACAAATAACGCGTCGCCATAGTATGTCGCTGCTCGGCGATATTGTGCGCCATAGGGTGCACCAGGTCGGAAAGTAGGACCCAAATTAGCCAAAATCTCTTGTGAGGGATCATCAGGATAGGTCGCAAGAACCTGTTGGGCAAACGACTCGTTCATTCGTGGAGCGGATGCTAGAGACATCAGAATTGGTCGATAGAATTAGATGAAGGCAGCTAAAACACACCTAGGATGTTCGATTTGAAGATCTCTGTATCTTCGACGCCTTTAGGAGAAAAAGAAGTCCCCTCGTCAGAAGTCGCGCCAACAATGATTGGCACGCGCACAAAGTTGCCTTCGTTAATTTGGATTGATGAAGTGCGTGCTACGATATCTCCGTCAACCTGTGGAGACCAGATGCTGCTCAGTCCCGTCGTGTTAATCGCAGCATTAAGCTCTTCGTAAGGCAAGCTTCTTAAGCAATCCAGTGGGGACGAATGGTCGTTGCAATTGGTGTTTGCCGTCAGATTCTGGTAGGCAGACTCAAAGAACGCATCCCGATTTTGATCGCTGATTGCGATGGGAGCACCGCTTTGCATGATAGCAGAACGGAACAATTTATCGTCTCGTCCATTGTATGCCATGATATGCATACCCACGGAAGCTGCTCCGGCAGATTGGCCCCAGATTGTAACCTGGTCAGGGTCCCCGCCAAACGCAGCGATGTTTTCCCGAATCCAATGCAATGCGAGTCTTTGATCGCGAAGTCCTACATTGGTATTTCCTGAATCAATGACTTCTTGACTCTGAAGAAAGCCCCATGCACTGAGTCGGTAGTTGAGCGTGATTCCTAGCAAAGGCTGGCCCATTGCGACAGATTCCTGGACAATGAAAGAGAGATTGTACCGCAGATCAACACCGCTTCCTTGGCTCCAACCGCCCCCATATATCCAGACTGCGACAGGGAGTTTGGCCCCATTGGTCTTGTTTGCATTGGATGGACGAACAACATTGAGATATAGACAATCTTCCGAAACGTTGTAGCCTTGCTGAGACGACTATTTATTGTCAGTGGGTGTTCTCATCGATTTGACACATTCCTACCCCATATCCAACGCATGCAGCAGAAAATGCCGTTGCATCGTGTGTTCCCTCCCATGTAGAATTGAGGGACTTCGGATTGCGAAACCGTAGATCCCCAACAGGAGGCTGCGCGAACGGTATTCCTAGGAAGTAATCTTGTTCGTATTGCTGAGAGTGCAGGCCCTTGTACGTGCCATTGCGCACCTTTACCGTTGGCGGGCTATGGTTATCAGATGAGTCCGTCCGTGGGATCGAAATCGCTGATACTACCACAGCGAGAAGCAAGACGCGGACAGGAAACATGGCAGCGAAAAGCTTCCTTGAAAGAACGAAGGATTCCGCAAGTTACACTACATCAGTCATTGTCTATATGCATCACTATTGACATTAATCAATGGCAAAAGTCATACCCGCCGTCAGAACAGAACCGCCGAGGTGCATCGATGAGAGACAGCACCAGGATGTATTCGTCCCTTACTAGCGATAAAACCGGTATTAAGCACTGTAAAAGAATCGATCTAGTACTCCATGAGCAGCGGTGTATGCGCTACATCTACCTCGGCAATATTTATCCCAGCCCCATGCCCGAATCCCCACACCTTGTCCCCACACCAATAACCGTTGTTCGCCCGGCCACTCCATCATCGCGGGGCCCCGCGACCATCTTTCCCGCTTGCAGCAATGAGATCTAGTTGACGAAATGATGTAGTCTGCGTGATGATGGAAAAGTGTTCATCCGCGCACGAACATTTCCCCATTCAGATGACCCCAGTCGCCAGACTTGCATAGTGGTTACCTTGTTCAATCTGGCATACAGGAAATTCAAGGCACCACTGGGGAAAGTTCTTATCCAAAGACACTCATCAGCACCAATGGAATGTCTATATATCTTGAAGAAGTTCTGGTCACTTCTCTTCTGTTCGTCACGGCCGCGATATTCGATCTACCTCAGCCATGACGAAGACTAGTCTCTTGTTGACGGCCTACGCCTTGTTTGCCCAAGGAACCAGCGCAACTCCACTGGTGAAGCGAAATTTACCTAGTGAGGATCTCAAGGTTCAGACATCTAAGTTCACAGTTCAGGGTACCATATTCCCCAACCAAACAGATGTCCGCTTCTTCGGCAACATCCCATATGCCGAACCCCCCATTGGATCACTCCGCTTCAGACCACCGGTCTCCGTAAAGCCTCGAAATGAAACAATCAATGGAACTTGGTTTGGTCCGTCTTGTATACAGTACAGCTCTGGCTCCAAAACCGTATATTCGGAGTATTTGACTGGATTTCTCCTCTCACCGGGCCAGCAAACAAGCGAAGATTGCCTGACTCTAAATGTTTGGACCCCTAGTGGAATGAAAGAGGGCGATAAACTGCCTGTCATGATTTGGTTTCACGGCGGAGGGTTCACATCCGGCGGATCAGCATCGCAGTATAAATATGGCGATAGGATTGTGCGCGATCAAAATGTGATTGTCGTAGCCATAAAGTAAGCGCTCTTTTCTGTCTGCCATATACTCTTCTCATCGCTGATACATAAATTAGTTACCGTCTTAACATTTTTGGATTCCCTAAAGCGGAGGCTTTGGATGGGCAAAGTATGAACCCAGGACTGCTGGATCAACGCAAAGCCATCGAATGGATCCATGGCAACATTCATGCCTTTGGAGGTGACGCTGAACAGATGATTCTCTTTGGACAGTCTGCTGGGTAAGATAGCAAGTCTTGAGCTTATATGATGATTGATTAACACTATCTCCAGTGGCTCGGGTGTGGATTTGTACACTTATTCTTATCCATTCGACCCACTCGTGCGAGGATTCATTGCGCAGTCTGGTTCTGCGTCTCGAAGTTATAGCTTCGACGCTTCAGGAAGCAACTTTACCTATATCGCATCCCAGGTGGGCTGTGATGTATCAGGTACCAAAGATGCGATCTTTGAATGTATGCAAAGCAAACCCGCCACCGACATTATTGGCGTCTACAACAAGTACAACGCTTCCAACAACAATGGCGCCCCACTTTCTTTCAATCCTACCCCCGACAACCAAGTGGTCTTCTCCAACTACACCGATCGTCAGGAAAGAGGACTATTTGCCCAGCTCCCCACGATATATAGTACGACGAATGCCGAAGGGTCTTCCCTGCTTGATTTCACACCAGATGGCCCCAGCGGAGGTCAAGCTGCGATCGACGCCGCCACACAGCGAACTCACTGTGGGGCTACTGCTGGTGCTTTGGCTCGTCGCAAGTTCAACGTTCCGGTCTGGCGTGTCCGATACTTTGGGGAATGGCCCAATCTCAATCCCTTCGATTGGCTCGGTGCATTCCATAGCAGTGACATTCCCATGATTTTCGGTACTAGTGATCTGCGCGGACCGGACACAGAGTTGGAAAAAGAAACAAGCAAGTACTATCAAGATGCGTGGGCCTCCTTTGCCAGAAATCCTGGGAAGGGCTTGTTGGATTATGGGTGGCCTACCTTTGATCCAGCAGACCAAACATTGGTAAAATTAGGAAACGGTAGTGCGAAGGCAATTTTTGGGGATCCTAACGAATTTGATGCTGCTTGTTAAAGCGTAGAACAATGAACATGTATAAGCGCTACTAGGAATGGGACTAGATATAAATTGAAGCTCCACTAGCAGGATCGCTGAGTCCGCAAGTACAACAAGTCATTGTCAACCTCAGATGGTCATTGTATTTAGATGCGGCATAATGAGCTTCCTCTTTATGATTAATCGCGTGAAAGTACCCACAGACTCATTGTAGAGCACTTTAAGCTGTTATGACGCGCATGTCTTTATGTTTCATGCTACGCCTGGGTCACGATTTGACGTTAGCGTACATCTGTAGCCTCAAGCCCAACACTCGCTAAATAGGCACCTAAGTCCCGCGCCCCACATCCTCTGCATATAAAGATGAACGTACTAAGTAACTACTCCACTGTTTCTGAAATCACGAAAAAATTCGGATTCCCAACCTCATCGCCTCAATGACGCAAAAAATTGACCTCTCCCTGCCTCCAGCGGCCCCTGCAGCCTACATCTCTAAGTACCAAAGAGAATCTAACGAACTTCTATCGGCACTCTATACTTTGGTCCCACTCTCGGAAGATGAACTGAAGGAAGTCGCAATTACTTGCGAGAATGAATGTGGTCTGGGAGAAGATCAGGCAGGAAACGTTGTCACCCCGGCACCCCAACCTCATCATGTTTCTCTCCCTCTGCGAGCGGTGTATGAAAGCCATATGGATAAGATCTCTCACGGCGAAAGCGGATACAACTCTTTTAATTTCGTCGTTGTTGTTGATCAGAACTGGAAAGAGAATGGGGTTTTGCTGGTCACACTTTATACACAAGATGATCCTCCAAGGATTGACTCGTTCATGTGTCCAGCTGCTGAGGTTGGGCTGCTCTTACAAAATCTATGGGTCGCAAACATGGGTTGGGAGGAACTAAAAGAGAGCTACCAGATTGGGGCCGGCCGGGCCACTGGTGATAATCATAATGAGGTTTACGGGTCTTAGTCGAAGCACGTAATCTTGTTTAAGAATCAGGGACTGCATTGGAAAAATGTACCCAAACGTTACACTTGTATGCCTGTTTTTAGGCCAAATAATTGATCCAGTCATGATGTACATGAGGGCTAGCTGCAGCTTCAACGTCAGCGACATGGATTTATAAGCATTTGAATGTCAAGATCATCATCCTCAATAGATCTGGATAGGAGTTACGAATTCGTTTTACGTAAATACCATCAGTTCATGCCAAGGCAAGTCTTGCCAGGTCTGAAGATTCTGGGATTAATACCGATCTGGCAGGCGTTGGCTTTCGCGCGTAAGACACATTTCGGTCACAGGGAACTCAGCTCATCAAATATAGGAAGTTATGAGTCTCAGAAACAGACTTTGATTGGCTGATCTTTCCTGAACTGTACAGGAAGCCTATGCTAGCCAAGATATTTATATTGCTTATCTTACAGGCTCATACATACTTTCGTAGCTTATACAATGGGCATCAGTGAGTAACGGTAGATGAGCTGTCGTTAATGCAGGCACCCGAGCCGAGACCGCTTCTATTCAAGACAGAAGATTCAGCTGATGCTCCTAATCAGGCATCTTCATGGCATGGGTGTGCTTAGCGATGACCGACGAACGCCTGCCACCTTTAGGTAAGTTTAGCTACTAACACAACTCCATTACCCAGTGTAACTGAACGTGCTGATCAAAGAAACTGATTCCGTAGAAACGAAGTGAAGAGTAGAGGATTGTCTTGCCGATATTGGTGACACTTCAGGAAGGTCCTGGAGACCTCCAAGGGCACTATCTACGCATTGCGCCGCAATAAAATGACTGTATGCGCTCATGCAGGACCGAATGCATGTGAGCAACGACATCCACACTATGTGATTTTCGCCTTCTATGTAAGCTCTTCACGAGTACTCGTCTCCCCGACACCCAGGCGGCTCATACACAGATGTTTTTTGATAATAAACACTATCAGCATCTCGTGTTCATTCCCAAAGTGGAAAGTCAGCTCACCCGCAGACGGCGATTTCTGATTTATCACACCGAAGGATGATCGACCGCAGAAATCCTTCACCTACCATCTTTGGGCGCGGCGCAGTCTGTAAACCACGGATGGTCGGAGCATGATATCGTTACTCTGGGCTTTTGGGCTCTCCGACCGATTTTTGCTGACGATGAATCAGCGTGAATCCTAGTTAGAAGCCCTAAGCTACAGTGTGACATTTGATACTGGGCTTACCGGCAAGTTTAGTGATCCAGAATGGGCAGCTCACAAAGAGGTGTGATGAAAACTCTCGCCGCAATGGAGCAGTGAGAGGTGTATATTCAAGTAGCATGTACTATAGAAACGATAGCATGAGAAAAAGTATAAAGAGGGTCTCAAAATCCCCCCCAATATCAATATCACATCAGTTCCATCAGCTTCTTTCATCATTCAAGAGTTTAAATCACGAACTCCAGTTTCTATCAAAACATATCAATAACCATGCAATACTCGACCATCTTCCTCGCTGTTGCGAGCCTTGTTCCCTCCACTTTCGCTTCCCCGATTGCCGCACCCGCAGTCGTTCATCCCGCCAACAACAACACCTTCAGTGCTGCGGCTGCTCCCAGGTTCATCTCTGGACCTTGCGGAAATTTCCCCAAAATCAGCACTTGGCTTTCCTTCGAGGACATGTTCAACAGGAACAAGAACTCCATGTTCTCCACTGGAGACACCGGTGAAGATGTTGGCAGGATGTCAGTTTTGATCCTATTTTTCTTTATGGCTTCGTTCGAAGTCATACTTTTCTATTTCTGAGTAAATCTCTCTGTGAAACTATACTAACCCAACTTGATAACCTTCAGCTGGAATGCCGTGATTGAAGCTGCTAAGATCGGCGTGGACGAGCGCGTGATCTTCGGTATCATCATGCAGGAGAGCCACGGAAATGTCGGTGTCGAGACCACCATCAGCCCTGATGGCGTTCCAACAGCGGGTTTGATGCAGTGCTCTGGCTGCCAAGGTTTCCCAGGACAGCACGGTCTGAGCCAGGTATATATTCCGTCACCACGTCTGATCTGTGTAGAAGACGTTACTGACACAATCACTAGGATCAAATCACTGCTATGGTTCGTGGTGGAACCCAGCACTTCAAGGCCAACCTCCAGAACTGGGGAAATGCTCTTAGCGAGTGCTCTATCTACCCTGCTCTTCGAGAGTACAACTCGGGATCCGTTAACCCCAACGATCTTAGCGACGGTCGCGGCGCTACTGCTTCCTATGTCAGCGACATTTCTCAGCGTCTCACTGGCTGGGTTGACTAAGAGGTGAAATTCATTGGAAAATAACTGTGGGAGATAATGGACGTGGGTGATATTTAGATTTCTCACTTTTGCAATTTGATGAGTTGCACTACACATTCCTTGGGTAATTTTCCTTGGCTGTCGAAGTCACGCTCGTTCGCCGGATGTTTTGTCCCCGGTACAATCTTTGGATAAAATAGAAGTCTTGAGTCTATCATAAGAATAAAAAAACGTTGCACCCGTGCCATCCCAACTTGGAACATCTTGTTTTTCACATCTTCGCCAAATGCTATGCTATTTTGACTCTCTTGTAGTTTTACGATCTATATTGCTTCATCAGGGCTACGCGGACAAACACACATACATAAATTTTCTATCCGATCAACAATAATTGGCTATGGGTCTGTTACTTCGGCGACCATCTGAAAGTCTTATATTAGTCGGGTATTGCATCCCTGGCCTCTGGTGCTAAAAGCAAAACTCCTTTTTTAAAGCTTTTTGTGCCCGTCTACTTTTTGTTTAACCTTTTTATAACACTTTTTAGGTGTAGGGATCACTGTAACTTCCAATTAAAAAAACTTAAATCTTATATTAGTAGATGAAAATGAATGAGGTGCCAAGCCTCAGAATTAAAGCTAAATGGATAAGCTCGGGGATCGATTGTCTATGCAAATCACACATCTATGTCTCGAAGGGAACAATCACACAAGAGTACATATGAAGCTTCCGATCCGCTTTCTTCAACATCGACCCAGGAAGGTCGAGTCTTTGCGGGTTTGTTGTACCACTTGGTTACAGAAGCAAGTTTCTAACTGGTAACCGGCTCTTAACACCGTTTAGAGGTAGCAAGTGACTAGAGTATGAAATTGCAATGTGATATCGAGTAGCTCGACTAGTAGGAAGAGAGTGAGGGGCTCGCATGAGAGTCTGCTGTGAAGAAGAAAAGTACTTTCGATGATTTCAGAATCACGAGAAACATTTTCTAGTCAAGTTCAAAGGAATGGATCCTGGCTTTGGTCGATGTGCGAGAGATATTCCATTCAAAACGAATCTAGAGACGAAGCTGGGATCTTCCACATAATATCAATTGCAATATCTAACGACTGTAGCTAGTTGGTGTCCAACAATTCCACCGCGCCTCACTTCTTCTCTCGATTACATCCCACTCATCAGGGCTAGTAGACACATCTAGCAGACTTTATTGTTGGTCAGGAAGTCTGATAGACCGGGAACACAAGCGCCGCATTGGCAAACCTATCCTGATTAGCATATCAATCCATCGTTCTGAATCCGGATACGTACTTCACCCAACCCTTTGCTGACACAAGCAATCACAGCAGCGGTACTAGTGCCCCCAGTCTCAGGTTCAGCGACAATCGCAGCGGCGATACAGGCAACATTGGCGATGACCTCCGCACACTTGATGATGCTGCAATCATCGGCGGCGGCGGCGAACTGGATGGCAGCGATGACTTGATCATTGTTGCGGGCAATGAGCTCGTTGGGAGCAGCGCTGGCAAGAGCCGCGAGGGTAGAGAGAAAAAAGGCAGAGAAACGCATCTTGTTTATGAATTTGGGAATAGTGTGAGTTGGTAAATTGCTGGAAGTTGTAATGATGCTGAAGCTTGATGGATACTTTCTTCAACCAGAATTTCCTAGAGCTTTATAATTCTTGTCCCAAACTAATTAACTCCCGTAACTCCCTTTGAAGAGTTTCTGACTGGTCGTCATCAGCTTTCTACCGTCAGCGTCGTCGCCGGAAAGCCGTTTTCTGACCACAGAAAGCTGAAGATATGATTTGACACACCGATAGTACAAGATTAATCCACTCGGAGGCGCAAGAAAGCCGGGATGAGATGATCCCATGAAGTCACGTACAAACGTGAAGGCCGAATCAACTGGTCATTCTCTAAATTGGTCATTGATCTTTACTACAAAAGTAAGTGGATTTCGATAATAACAGTAACCATCTTTGGAAGATCGTGGCACTTGTAATTGTCTTGATGGAAAAAGGTGTACAGAAAGGAGACAGAAGAACTTTTGCTTCAAATCTGGATCGAAATATCGTCGAAGGTTGTTGATCGATTAATTCAGTCTCTTTGTAAGTGCATCACATCTAAGCATTGTGGTTCACAATCATTGGTACCGCGATGAGACTGACAGATGCTTTCACATCTCTTCACTCCCCAGATTGCTACGGTAACTCGGCATGAATTATAAGCTGCTGACGCCAGTTCTAATAAGCTTTTACACTTTTCAGCGGACCGCCTGGGGATAGACGAAAACGTTTAATTATCTGACCACCCTGATACCAAATACGGTAATTTGTTGAAGATCGTAGTGGAAGGTCTGCCCGGCTGAGAGCTTGATGTGACTTGGCTTTTTACACAGCTAGGCGTTAGCCTCAAAGTTTAAGGGTAAGCGGGAATGCACCCCATGGGATTCTTACATGGGAATGCGCAGCTGCTGATGCATGTTGTCTCTAACATTACGTATGGTAATGCTTGAAAGCTAGGGATGGTAAGCACCAGTGCTTAACGAGCATAATTTTCTTGACTTCATACGAAAGCATTAACTTAATCTAGACGCTCGAAGGAAGGGTTGTATCAGGCTGTGCGGCTTCTCGCTGAGATGACCAGTCGCTGCTATCTAACTGTCCACGCAGGCAGTTTAGCATAGCTTTACCTGGTACTGTACGCGTGGCAAGACAGAATATCACCATCAATCTTCCATTGTCAGACACTTCAAAGAAGCCGGGACATGACTGATCATGACTGACTGAGTGGAATGAATCACTACAGGAAGCCTGGGTCGAAGTATACCACGCAACCTTTGAGGCAGTATAAGTGAATAAATGACAGTTACACACACTACTTGTGCAATTATCAAGAGACATCTTCTTTTAATCAACATTGTGCGAATAGATGAGGCTGCGCACAGCGTACCACTTAGTCCAGATTTGTGGGTCCTCAAACTTTCCCATCCACAACCTACTAATAGTGAAGAAGGCTTTGGCAGAGAATCGACGGTGGTTATTATTTGCCATCCACCTAGTGATCTGTAGTTCATTCTAATCCAAATACGCGATATGCAAATATTCGCACGGTTTGAAGTTGGCCTGAGCATTTCGCCTACCAACACTATACAAGTCTAGCCCTTTACAATAGGAACACATACACACCTGAAATAATCGCAGCCTAACTTGCCAGTTCCCCATGTATGCGATTATCGATGATAGGAGATTCTACAGATGGGTCTTTGGACAATAGTGACTCGGCAGCCAGTCAACCAATGGCAGAGCTCTAGTAGCCCCGCAATGAGTACGACCACACCGATGTATGCGGGTAGTAGGTAGTGTAAGCAAAGATACAGCAAATCAGAAGTGTCCAGCAGCATTTAATCTCACGCAACCGAGTTTTTTGTAGAGTCAAGGAGTATTGGAAAGTTGTATCCCATATTCATGAGTAGGGCCGCTTCAACTAATACAACTCCTATGAGTAGTATCCATATACCATAATTAACCTGCTGGCGCTTCTATATTTGTTAGCCCAACAACTGCATACACTTATGAACTCACCTAGACCGGAGTATGGCTGTCATACACACATACATGAAATCTGCATAATACCCCCAGGAATGAGAAGACCCGAGTAAATTGCGCGGCAGTTGTATCTCTGACATGCCTCTTGACAGTCTATATAGGTAGGTGTTTTTGGCCGTGAAAAAAGAACCAACTTGGATTTTTAATTCTCACTTGTGCGAATTCTTATAACCTAGACGGGATATATCTGACCACGTTGCGAATATCAAGGTTTTCGTATCTCGAACGAATCCACAATCTTCATCATACATGATGACTCTTCTCCAAAAGCCTAAAACATCGCTCCGACCAAAGGAACTCTCCTCCCCCTCTTCTATTAATCACCCCGCCCTTCTTTCCATCCCAAACAACGAACACGACCTTCAAATCTCCACAAAAAGACTACTCTGGAAACTCGACACCAGGTGGGTTCCCACCCACCGTATTCCCAATCCAGCTCAACGGCCCCAGAATCCTCCCCCTCTTCACCCTCCTAACCCTCTGCTCCTTTCTCGACCGCACAAACGTCGGCAACGCAAAACTCTTCCATCTAGAATTCGATCTTCATATGACGAATTCCCAGTATAACAAGGGGCTAACCGCGTTTTATCCTCTATATATTGTGGGGTAAGTTCCACATTCCTCACTTCTTTCGCACCATACTCAGAAGAGGACGATCCGAGTAACTGTGCAACAGCGCAGTCCCTAGTAATCTGGTCCTGAAAAAGATCACGCCGAGGATATGGATTGGATTCATGGCGTTTGTATGGGGTTTGCTATGCATGTGCATAGGATTTATACATCCTTTCCCTCAGTTTGTGGGGCTGAGGGCGGTGTTGGGGCTTGCTGAGGGGGGTTTGTTTCCTGGAATGGTGGGTTCGCACTCTTTCCGCATTCATTAATCAGATTGTGATACTGCTCTGGGTACGATTGGAGGGTATACTTACTTTGCGCATGTGGATAGGTTTTATACCTCTCCACTATGTATACGAGAGAACAGCTCGCGCTGAGGATTGGTGCGCTGTATACAGCTACGTCGCTTTCCAGCGCTTTCGGGGGTACGCATATCTTGCAACCTCCGTCTCAGACCTCCCTTGGTAACTGTTACAGGACTTCTAGCTCGCGCGATGGCGGAAATCGGAAACAGAGGAGGTTTATCAGCGTGGCGATGGATCTTCGTTATCGAGGGGCTTTTCGTAAGTATGCAACCTACCACCTCCTCATTCCCCAGCATTTTATATGCTGAAAGGAGAATAGACCATGTCAGTGGGTGTAGCAGTATTCGCTTTCCTCCCCAACTCCATCGAAGACGCAAAATTCTTAACCAAGCCTGAGCGCGAAGCCGCTCGACAACAACTGCAAAGATCGAAAAATAATGCTGGCGATCAAGAAGCGTACGCCCTCAACCAAAACCATCACTCATTTACCTAAATCCAATCACTAACTATATCACCTTCGCATGTATAGCGAAGAAACTTTCACATACTCTGAAGTCCTCAGAGCAATATTCAGTCCGCAAACCTGGCTCTCAGCAAGCGCTTACTTCGGCCTGCTAACCGCCATCTACTCATTCGGTCTCTTCGTGAGTTCGCCCCCATCTGCGCCTTTCCAACTCGACACTCTTCATACTGACGGGGGACACGCAAGCTCCCCACGATCCTCGCAGGAATAGGATATACAGCGAACGCAGCACAGCTATGGTCCGCGATCCCATATAGCGTCGCAGCTTGTACAACTAGTACGTCTCCCCCTCGCCTCGCCTCCCCTACCCAGCTCCCCTAAATCAAAGGAAAAAGCTAAAGCATTCTCCAGTGGCAATCGCCGTGCTATCCGACCACATCGACCTCCGCGGGACCCTGATGCTCTGCACCCTGCCCCTCGCGATAACAGGGTACGCGGTCATCGCCAACATCGGCGATCATCATGCGAGAGTCAAGTACGGCATGACGTTTCTCATGGCGACGGGGATTTATAGCAGTGTACCCCCTGTTTTGACGTGGCTTGCTAATAATAGTGCTAGGCATTATAAGAGAGCTACTGCTGCGGGTATACAGTTGGCTGTTGCAAATTGTGGTGGGATACTTGCGAGTTTTATTTATCCTGATCGTGAGGGGCCGGGGTATTGGAGGGGGCATACAATTGTGCTGGGGCTGTTGAGTGCGAGTTGGGTTTTGTGAGTGTGCTTTCCTTTTTTTTCTGGGAGTAGGATGAAGAGGGAAGAACAGCAAGCTGACTTGAAGTTAGGGTTTTAGCGAATGTGCTGTACTGTGCGAAGATCAACAGGGATAAAGCGAGGGGGAGGTATGACAAGTATGCAGGTTGTGGTGATGATCGAGAGCCTGGTTTTAGGATGGTTCTGTAGGTTTGCAATAGACTATGCTAACAAGGTATTGTGAGGTGATTAGGATGTACAGTTCGGATTTGAAAATGGTTAATTCAATTGATTCATGTCTGCGCCAAATGTTGACGACTAATGACAAAATGCTACATGCAAATAGACAGACGAATATGTCGACCTCTTCTGATAGATCAAAAGCTCATTCGCGATCACAACGGCAACGAAGTCGCCCTACGACCTTCGGTAGATGATGTTGTGACACGCGATCGGCGCAGGGACGCCAAGTTGCCAATCCCCTCTAGCCTGTCCCAGGCGTTAAGATATACGGTATCGGCGCAATCCTCAATCGCCGCCTTGGTTTCCCCAACCAGCTCTATTGTCTCATCGCGAAGATCTTCCATCCTACACTGGAACTCTTCGTTCATCTCGGCAACATGGGCATCTTTCGCCTCCAAAAGGTCAAGTTTGTAGTCGTTGAGTGTTTCAAAAAACTCAACGTCGCCTTGTTTGCGCACTTCCAAAGCATCGTCTTCCATATCTGCACGCAAATTTTGCAGAGCCTTCGAGAATGCCTGATCTCGACTAGACAGGCGGTCGATAATCGCAGGTGCACGTATAGAATTCGTACCAGGACGAGGGGCTGCGTTGGAGCTTTCCGGCGAGTCAGACCCGGCGAATAGAAGAGCGAGCGCATCTGGCATCATCTGTATCAGATTAGCATTGCAAATCAGGCTCCCTTTCTGTGATAAATTCGTACCTTCTGCAGAGCCGCAGGAAGCCTACTCTCGATCAATGTGTCGAATACACGTTCGATTTCGGACGCGTGTCCAATACGGGGTGATGGGGGTTGTGGACTGGGTGAGGCTGTGGTCGTGGTAGCCTTTTCCGTTGGTGAGCCTGCGGACAGTGCAGAGAAAGGTATTGCGTTGCCTTGGACGCGGGCATATTTAGAGGGTGGTGCGCTGGGCGACGAGCTGCCTGCTCTAGAGCGTTTGGCGGACACAGCAGCATAGGAAGGCAGCGCGGATTCCTCGGGGTGCAGATCTGTCCAGTCGAGCTGCCTCCATGTCTCATGGCATCGCTCAGCCGGTAGATTGGCCAGGTGTTGTGGATAGGTGATTATGTAGAAGAAAGCGCTGTGTGACTGCTTCTCAAGTCTTCCCACATCAAATATGATTTTACACGATGTTGTTCGAGAGAGGGAAAGAAGGTGGCCATAACTGGACGAGCCGCCTGGTTTCGGGGCTACGGACTTGATGGACGGGGAGCATCGGATTGCGCATGGTGTAAGTAAAGAGAGGGAGAGGATTTTCGCAGAACAACTCTTGCTTGCGGACTGATTACGCGCAAGTCCCATGAGCTGGTTCTGAGAAAGGATACCTCTAGCAGAGCTCCAAGAAATTTCTTCATGAACCCAGTTGGTAGGGTTGTATGTGAGATCGAAGGGCTGCGGTTCGTCGAACCCATCTATGTCCACTAGAAGCCGGACCTCGACGACGGCTCGTTTCTCGGCCTCGGCGTACCTAACAGTGAGACGGCATGGTATGGGCAGCGCGGTTTCAGGCACTAGAATTGCAAATGCTGGCACATGCCGTAGTAGAAATGCATATCGCATTGCTGCGTATGTATGCGAGGTAAATTGATACTAGTTATTCGATACATAAAACAACTCACCAGGACAGCGCCCCTTGCAAGCAGACAGCTAGGCAAGGCAACCCTCCCACCCGAGCTTTGGTCGCGAGGCGTGCGAAAAGCAGCTCTGACTTTGCTTTGCGGTGCTATACCCAACCACGTTCTGCCCCCGATCGCGCTCGTTGCCTGAAGCTGATCTGAAAGCCACCCCCCGCAACACGGATCTCCAGCGCACGACGTGAAGTGGTGGCGCCAGTCTCTCCGCACTGAAAGGCCTTGTGAATTTCGCAAGGATGATGGCCGGAAACAGCAAACAGGGTCCCGAGGACGTCGAGGCACAGTCAGTAGAAAGGTGGACGCGCAAAGGGTCGAAGAATAGAAATGTACCTGGTATGCGAACGACTCTCGGTGTCCTTTGCGGTGCTACACCCAGCCAGTTCCTGCCCCCGAATCGCGTCCACTATCTGAGGCTAGGTCGAGAGCCACCCCCCGCAACGCAGTTCTCCAGTGCACGACGTAAAGTGGTGGCACCGGTCTCCCTACGCTGAAGGGCCTTGTGAGATTCGCAAGGATGATGGACTGAAGCAAGGCAACAGAGTCGTGGAGGCGTCGAGGCACAGTCGCCAGCGGGCAACACAGACGCGCGGGATATGCGAAGAGGAAGAGAAAGGATGCTGAATACTGAGCAAGGGAGATGTAGGTGTTCGTCGCCGTGGTCGTTGTTGTGGTCGTTGGGTGGTAGTGGGGACGTGGGAAGGGAGAGAGGTGGAGATATAGAGTGGTGGCTGGGAGGCGTGCAGCTAGTGGCTTGGCGCGCCAAGATAGTGTTTCACGTGACCTAGATCACGATCGCTTATGTCATCAATCAGCCATACTTGAATCAAGTCCACAGAAAATACACGCTGCATGTGGCTTTCACTCAGTGAATTCACTTGAAAGCAAAAGAGCACCGCGGCCACACCGCAGTCTGTTCATAAAATGCGAACTTGCTCTTTCTGTAGGTGTGAGGGCAGATCCGACCGATAAGCTCCAGCACAAACACAAGTCAATTCGCTCACTACTCTTATCCCATCATTCCCACGAGCTACTTCATCAAAATACATGATCCGAGTTTCAATGATTTCATTCACATACTTACATCCTGATGATGTCTCACAGTTGCGCTATTGTACACAGCTCTGAGCCTCTGAAGTCCCATCAAGCATAAAGCCACCGACGCCCCGATGGCGCCGACACGGGTTGGTGCGCGTTGGTCCCAAGAACCAAGGAAATAAAAAGGCAAAATGTGGAGGCAACACGTTACCGCTCAACCCATGGTTCCAAGGTTGTTCCACGCATAATCACTTGCATGATAACGGGGCCACCGGGACGATCTCACCGAAGATCAGTCTCACGGCAGGCAGGGTCCATTGATGATTTAGACGGAAGGATTTCGGATGAAGTGAGCATATGGGATGTTTTTAGGTGGGGTATTGTAAGTATTTTGTAATGCCCAGTCCTTGTATACATGTGAATTTCGAGCGCGCAGATTGCGCGACTTCAAAGCAGTACGTCACAGAGCTAGGTTGATCCAAGTGCGACATCTGGAGGCATCAATGCGTGTGGTCGACAAGCGATTTCGTCAATTAACCAATATCTGCACGGCAACTTTAGAGGGGAAAATCATGTTCGAGATTAATATACTAAGACCTAGGACGTAATAACGAACAGTATGAGATGACTATCAAGTGGTACATGGAACGACGGTGAACACCCCAACTGTCGAGCTACATTTGCGCCTCCGTGTCCCTGGGGTAAAGTCTGTTACTCTCCATATCGGTGCTCATGCCACTCACGCATCTATCAAGACGTCACGAGAAGGCAGGACACCCAAGCTTCTCCGAACAGCATTCTTGTCCGTCTACTCGTCGTCGTTGATGTCGACTTCGGTCTTCGTCCACTTGCGAGCCTGAACACGACGGCTGAAGAGAATGTCAATTTCACGGTAAGACCTGCTCTTCATCTCGGGAATCCACTGCCAAGCCATAGCGGTACAGATAAAGGCGGTGGCGGCCCAGACGTAGCCGCTCTTGCCTCCAAGGTGCCATTTGTCGTCATTAAGCATGTAACTGGCAAGGAAGATGCAAGGGATGTTGACAAGATAATAGGCAGCACGTCCAATACCGGTGGTGAGAGGCCTAAGACGGATGGAGGATGTCTCGCCGATGATGACCCAAGAGGCAGGGGCGGGTCCCAAACAGAAAAGCACGGAGACAATTAGACCAAGCGACGCTTGCGCATTACTAGCGGCCTTGCTTTCTCCGACTGAAGCTGCGATACCGAGGGCAACCAAGAAAACACAGTTGATGAGTTGACCGTACACATAGATGGTGCGGCGGCCGAGGTAAGTGGTAAGAACCCAAGAGGCCATGACCATGACACACTGGAGTGCAGAGGTGATGAGACCCAGGGCGAACGCGGTGTCATCGACCATACCGGCCTGCTTGAAGAAGTACACAGCTTGGTTGGCAATGAGATTGCCTGTAAGATTCTGAGATGCGTACACACCGCACACAATCAAAGTGCGGTAACAATCGGTGCCCTTCCACAATTCAAGAAGACTTGGCTTCTTGATAGTCTTCTCAAGCTCGATAGTACGACGGATCATAGCCACTGCATCGGCGGGGTTATCAGTTGCGCTCGCGCGCCCAAGGCGGCTTACAGCCTTCTCAGCCTCAGCGTAGCGGCCCTTTCGTACAAGCCACCACGGAGATTCAGGTGCAATGAAGAGTAGGATGGCGAGAGGGGTGGGGAACATCCACTGAAGTGCGATAGGAACTCTGATCGTGACTATTAGCAGAGGTTCTCGACGGGTCTATGCATGTACATGAAAGAGGACGAACCTGTACGAGGACGAATCGAGCTTGGATTGGTAGTGGTAGGTGATACCACCAACAATGATTGCGCCAATAGCCCAAAACATCTGCAACATCTGGGTTGCGGGAGCTCTCAATCTCATTGGCACGATTTCGGAGCAGTAAGCAGGTGCGTTGGCGATGAAAACACCCCATGGGAGGCCTTCGAGAATCTGGGAGGCGAAGAAGACACCCTGGCTGTTGCCAAAATAGAAGACAAAGATGAATGCGTTGAGGAACATGAGACCGCCAATGGTGGCCCATCGGTATCCAATGGCACTGGTAATGGGACCTGCCAAGAAGGTACCGATGAAAGCTCCAAGAGGTCCACTGCACTGGAAGGCGGATTGCCATGAAGCCTCAATGATGTAGTCGCCGGCGACTTCGCTGTAAACACCGAAATCCCTGGCGAATTGCTTGGTGGCGATGAATTGACCCATCAAGAACACACAGTACGACTCCATGATCTGGGGAGCACGGGGAAGTTAGCACTGAACAAATGACTTGGTTGGTTTGAAGAAGAAGCAGCTTACAATTGTGCAAGACATGACGAAGGCCCACCAACTGGCAGCGGGATAGGCCTTGACGGCCTGGAGCACCGTCATGTCATGTTCGACCCTCTCGGCATCGATGGCACCGGTTCTGTTGTAGTGCTCGCCCTTCTCTCCGGCAGGGTAGCCAGGCTCGCCAGTGGTGGTGTGCTGAGCCTCGACCTCAGCGGTCGTCGACTTCTCGTTGACGACGTTGCTCATGTTGACGTTAGTTGAGATGAATCAATCCAGGTGAGGGAGGAGCAACGAGAAGAGGAGAGAAGCAAGCACACGGTCGGGGGGTGTGTGATCTTTATCCCTGCGACAGCAACGCGCCTCCCGTGTTGGGTAACATGGATCTAGGCTCATCTGAGTGAAGCTCCCTTGGTACCCCGTCCTCCACACGGCTCACCCCAACATCTCTCCACTTGTCGCTAGCCGTTAGTGACGTGCATTTATCCGGGGTAGCAACGGTGCGTGTTCGATTTATCCGGGGTTTGCTGCGATTCGTGCTCCTGATTGGTGCCACGGACCTCGGCGCGTGTTCTTCCGAGCTACGCGTGACGGAGTAATTTTACACTGGACGAGCGGGGTAAGCTGTCACCGTTCGGGGCTAGATCCCCCGGCCCCATAGGCTATTGAATCTCTCTGAACGGTATTAGCCACCGAGAGAAGTCAGCCCAGCTCACCACGCGGTAAGCAAGGTAAGCCAAACGGGGCACGCGGATGCCAGGGGTTCTGCTACCTCTGGCATCCATCTCGTCTGGAGAGTCCATCGTCTTGGAAGAGTCACTGCCTGGGTGCAGACATCCTCTGGCGTTGTTCCTGGTTGCTGGTATCTGTAGTACACGGTGTGGAGCCCCAATCTAAGGATGGATCTTCGCACATCATGTAGGTACTCATGTACAGTTGCATATCACCACACCACTCTTCCCTCAACAGTCTGCCAAGAAAGCTTGAACTTGCAGCACCCTCTGCTGGGCTTGTCATGTTGCCCGTGGTGGGGGAGGACGTTCCATAGTGGGTTGCCGCAAGTTGGTATACATGCATGACGGAGTTGGTCTTTTGTATCTCTGACTACAGATGAGGTACCAGACTGCTACCTCGCCATGTCATGTCACACTGTGACTCTCACTGCCAGGACTCTCCAGTAATAACTGCACTTAACCTCCCACAAAGCTGACTCATCCTGCCACTTCACCTTGTCATCTCGCGCAAGAGGTGCTCATCAACTTTTTATACTACATACTATATGGTATGTGCACCCGTGCCATCAGCTTTTCGTCGCGAAAGCCACGAAAGTCAGGATATATCTGGACACAGTTCCAGCTTTCAGTATGAGGGCAAGCAAGCTTAAAGGTGATTTGTTTGATTGCAAAGGGTAGATGCAATAATGCAACACAAACTGTTGGGTACAGAGACACAGTGAACTGCATGCGCATGTGTACCGGGAGACAATCATCAAACTACATATATAGAGTCTGGCAGTCAACGGTAGCACTCTCGCATTTGGTTCGAAGCCACAGTAGAGGTGAATAGTCGTCAGTATTCCCGGTAATCCAATTCCGAATCACCAATTAGAACTACTACGGTAGTTGACCCAAATACTGGGGACCCGGCCCCGTGGGTTGGACCAGACTGCTGTCACGTGAATGATCACGTGATTAGTGGATATCCTGGAGGGCGGTTTCGAACAAACTCGCGGATGTAGCATGGACGCAGGAAAACATGATTCTCACGTGGAATTGGTGAATGAACACATAAATCCCTCCAATCGGCATGTTGATATGCACGTTGTCCTCGTCAGCCCTGTTTAAGTGCTGGCGAGCAGTGAGCTTGTGTTGTGTAGGATTTATTGATTGCGATGCTCATATATCCATTCAAGTATCACAGTTTGTTTCTTTTATTACGTCCCGCGCAAGCATCCAACGTCCAATCGTGAGTCCGACATCCAGTGCTACCAGAATGTCTCGCAACACTCTTGAGGAGTGGACGTGTCTTATCGCGATCAAGCAAGAATGCTGCACAAACAATGCGATTACGGAGATACAGTGGGTACCACGCTATTCTAGAAGCTTCAGAGAGTCTAACAAAAATTTCAAACGAGATTGAGGCAGAATACTGATGTGTGCAGGAGGTCATACATCGCGAGTCATGGGCAATCGGGTCTTTGGGTGTATTAGCGTATATCGGACGGACTGCGGAAGAACTATCGGCGCCTACGCAGACGAAGATGACTACCTAGGTAGACTATGATGATGGACATGAGATTGGTCAAAGTGGAGAAAATCAAAGAAAGATTGTGATCTTGGTCCACCCATGACTAGAGTTATCTTCCGGAGAAAGGGATGCGTGGTAGAGTTCTCTTTTCCTATATCAGGATGCCCGGGAGAGAACCAGTCTCTGTAGAGTTTGAATTATTCCCGACCAACAATCATTATATCAGCGACAATAGCCATTGTCGTGACAGATCCTTATCATCGACTAATATGTCTATTCACACATTACGAGCAGAGAGTTTCACGACGGGGTTCTGGAAGGGATATGAGGGATGACTTGGAATCATAGAAGGACAGTTGTTTGATGTTGTTTTGACTGGGCCTGATTCTTTTGAAGCCCTTGCCTTTGCTGCAGAAATATCATTCACGGAGATTGATTCCCATCACCGCCAGATTAACGGGTTAATTCCCACCCAATATCATACACGAGCGCTGCCATAAACTGTATGGAATGCGTCTATCTCCAAGCCATACTACTCAAAGTATGACTCTAAAATCTTCACTGAGTGGCGCTGACTTGGTATTGTCCTAAAGTCTTGAAGAAAAGCCATCCGCACCTCTGGATACCCTTGTAGAAACCCGCTCCATTCCTCAGCCGTTCCACCGATTAGGGCGGCGCGACTAAACTGGGAAACCACGAAATCGGTGTAGAACTCCCTGAGCTTTGAACCTGCCAAACTTTTTGCGAACGCATATTTCACATCGCGGGGTAGTATTGGCTTGATTTCAAAATGTCTGAATTCCTCCTCGTACAAGCGACCCATGGCATAGTTTTTGAAGGTTCGACACGATAGATTATTTCCTAGAACCCAGCACCGTGCATGAACATTGACAGTTTTTGGCATGCGAAGCATCTCCTGCGTCAAGTCATAACGCTGGTAGTACATCCATTGCACGAAAAGGCCAAAGATCGTCGCGTCTTCCTCTGGTAGTTTGATCTTGGAGTCATCTTTTCCTTTCAACTCGAGCTTTATAGTGGATAAGAGGCACGGAGAGGTACGAGATAGTAGGGCTTCTGGGAGGCACCAGGTGTTCGCAGCAGTTGTCTCGCCGGGTGCACCAACGACGACTTCGATCCCGGGCCCGCGTAGTCTAAAAAAGACTTAGTTTCTGATATAACTATTATGATATTTGTGGTCTTACAGGTTGAGTTCCAGGTCATATAATCCAAAGACGGCGACGGGGCTTCTCTGCTTGTAGTATACATGTCTCGGCTCTTCGACACTGAAGTTCCTGTATCGCTCCTGTGCAGATATTGACTGAATTTCCCCGTCTGCTTCTTTATATGGTTCATAAGGTGTGTCTTCCGTTCCGGGTTGCTTCATGCTATGTTGTGCGTCAGTCAAGATATTCGAAAGCTCTCAAGCACAATGCCAAGTCGCTATTGATCGGTGGGTTGCGAGGTCAATAAATGCAAGGGATGTGTTGGAAATATCTTACATGAAGCTCATGTTGAATCTTCTCTTTTGCGAGTGACAAGGTGTAGGAGAAAGATTTCCGATCAGTCGTGGAAGTTAAGTATAGTCGTCCACGGATGAGTGTGTACAAAAGTTATAGTAGGGCCAAATTCCGTTAGGCATCGCTGTTGACACTAGCCCAGTTCATCTTAGGCCATCAAACAATCATTCACGCAACCGTCATCAACCCAACAATGCTGACTTGTTGATTGATGTGCTGGTGGTTGATAACTCGCTCCATGTATGTGAACAATGCTTCAACAACCTGTAGTGATGATCATGCGTATATAAGAATGTTTATCAACCACAGCCTTTCATCATGCAAGACCAGAAAATCGCACTCATCACCTTAACAAAGTCCATCGACTATAATGGCCGAGCAACAACCTTTCCCATCGATATTTGCACCCTTGAGTGATCCGTTGTATTCCGAATTGGGTCGAGTGTCAGAGCGGACATTTGACTCTATACGACTAGTAGCATCCACTGCATCTGAACTTCGCTCTTCCATCAGACAACACGGCTACAGTCGACTGAATAACTTATGGGCAGGTCCCATTCCATCTTCGGCTGGTAGCTTTGCCTCTAGGCTTCCTCGAGCAACTAGTCTGCGCGGGGAAGAGATCAATGGATGTTTCTGTCTAGAGGACTATAGCGATACCGACCACGAGGCAGTATGGATGCCATGTGCACATGCCGTCGGTCAACAATGCATTGAACGATAGCGCAATACGATTCAGCTCCGGAGATTCCAGTGCCCGCGATGTACTTTGCAATTTAGTGAATATATGGATCTCACTGATTTTGTAAGAAGCATCAAACAAGCCGAGAAAGGCTGGGCACGACAGAACGCAGAGTACTTCTTAACATTGGCTATTAAGCTTGTGGTTTTCATTGTCATTGAGCTTTCTGCCGCATCATATACCATATTGCACTGCATATGCTGTTTTTTCGTTCTTTTGTTGTTCAATTTCGAGCACCTCATAAAGCATATTACTGCTGCAATGAAGCACCTTTGCTTTCACTTTGTAGTGCATTCTGCAACTGCATCCAAGTTTCTCTGTGCGACTTTAGTCTTTCTCGTGTTTTTAGATCTTGCCTTGTTTATGTTCATTCAGGCAGTAGTATTTGCATTTCCTAGATTGGTGGAATACTGCGTCAAGCCTCTTGTTATGTTTGCGGATCAGATTATTCTTGGTAATTAGTCACCATTCTCTGACCCAGTTCGGACTGGTCTGTTCGAATTCAGCATAGTTCAAGCTCAAAGCGCAATCTAGATATTGATCGCTGCAGTAAAATACCATAATTCCATACCCCAAAATTGTGTATAGCGTAGAACTGTAATCGGCCACGTTGTGCCCTTCACATTTCTCTCGTGGCCGTTTATCCGAATCTTGGTGCAAAGTGATGCACAGGTAACAATCTATCTCTACTGTGGAGTTTGACTATCGATGGAGGACTGGTGTTCGTTGTGTTCATGCATAGGTTAAAGGTATATAAGAATACAAGACGATTAACGACAGTGCAATCTCTGTTTCAGAACTTGACCATCGTGACTTGTCGTCTTTGAAGTCTTTATGATTCTTCAACTGGTAATAATTCCCTGAGTCCTCGGCTATGTTACGTGCGAGAGGTTGCCCAGTCGCTAGTCCGCCGCCTAAATGCACTGCAGTAACATCATGTTATTAGATGAAATGTGACATCACTGGGATGCATTTTACTGTTGCGTCGCATTTCAAAATCTAAATATAAGTGCACTTAACGACCTAAAGTTCTGGCTCTACGCACCTGATACGGAGCTTCCTGTCTCCAACATGTTCAACATGGCTTCCACACACGTAGCAACAATTGTTTACTGCGCCTTATTTTTATCTGGACTTACATATGGAACTGATGCTACATGTTTGTGCTATGCTGGCTCTTAGGTCTGCACATTTTACTGACCCCGAGCAGCGACTCCGTCGGCCACAACTCTCACCACTTCCACAGTATCCGATTTCGCACCTGGAGTTACTCCTCCGCCAAATCAGCCTCTCCCGCCGCTCAAGTGCCCGCGTCCAACACAAAAGTACTGCTATTGGGAGCCTGATGTTTTGAAGGATGAATACTATACATGCTGGCGCTCCGGAATCCTATACACCAGCTCCTCCTACGAAGTGCAGTCTAGCGTGAACCTCAACTGGACTACGAGGCACACATTGGCTTCTACAACGGACTATTCATACTCAACCGCTTGGAATCCAGATGTTTCGTTTTCAACGCTCTGCGACGGCCATGCGCGCGCCCCACCAGGTGCTACTCCTACGATCACGACTATCACTAAAGTCAGCCCCTGTACCACCAATACTGTGCGCTGTGTCTCTGTAGAAGTCAACCCCGACACTAGTAATCTGCCCTGGCCTACTCCTCTGACCTGCACCATCCCCGAGAAAGAGTGCGCATACTTATCACATGCTTATCAATCCATGACTACGAGCTTCCATGGAGGGTGGTATAGTTCGCAGATACCACTGGGACTGTGGCAAGCACCACCTTGCACGGTGGACTACAGCAGCTTTTACCCACAAACAACGTGCGAGCCTCCTTCGCCATCTCGAGTTGCATGCAGCATATATCCTGGTGAAATGACCATGCTGTACTGGCCAACCGCTGCGTCGACATCCCTTTGCAATACCCAGAATCAAACACTGGCGACTGACGCGACTGCTACGAATGGACCAGAGAAAACTGCTGTCTACGATGGAAAGACACTCACTTCACCAACGGCATACATGATCCTCGGCTCAATGCGCAATCTTCAGACTGTTTCTATCTCAGGGCATACGGAGAGAGGCTGGTGTGGCCCTTCCCAGCCGCCTATCACACTCTCCATCCCCCCGGAATCTGTCTCGAAGAAAGTCTGGCGCCATGGAACTGAGCTACATACTGAGTCATTCGATTTCAGAGACGTCAATACAATATCTTACGAAGCGTATGTGGATGAGGTCTGTGGTTGGGGAACGATGAGGCAACGAGTACAGGATGATTGCAAGACCGTATGGGGCGAGTACAGTCCGACCATTGTTGTTCCGCCACGGGTAACTGAGGCGGCAAAGAACTGGGAGGGGTGTGATATAACGCAGTTGTCGCAAGTCAAGGAGTGGGTACCGCTAGATGACATACCGTCAGAGAGGGAAAATGCTTGATCATTCAGTCGCGCCACACACGAACTCGCCATGCTGTGCCGCATTTCATTCGATTCATATGAAAGCTGCACCAACTGAAAGGGACGATATATAGTTGCATGGCAGAAACATGAGTGCGGAAGTCTCTCTCACTCACTCACGACAAGCCATCCTTAGTGGAAACAGTGAAATGTTGGACGCAGTTTTTATTAATCGAGGCACTTGTGTGAGCAGTACGAGACGTTAAAAAGATTCGATAATCTGATATGGAAAAATGCCAAAGATCATAAGTCCGCGACCCACACGTTATAAGGCTGTGATGAGCTACGACAGAACCTAGCGCGCCGCCGACCCAGACACTCGTTCAATGTCATTCCAGAATCCAACTGTTGCAAGCACGAAATATTCATTATTGGTCCAAGCTCTGCCTTTAAAATTGACTGAGACTTCGTGGTAGCATTAAACGCGTAAAACCTGCGGGAGTCTGGTCAAATCATGCTCTAGTAAGCCACTTTGGGAATCAAGCAGCGGTGAGGATTGCTATTGGCAGACGACAGGATCCATTGATAGTAATGGAATAGCCACTTACCTCAGACAGGTGCCCCCCAAGCAGCTCGCAATCTTCGTGCAAGTTGTATATCTTTTTGTTGTATTGTGACGCGCTTAGCATGAATTGCACAAAGATTTGCATCATGAAATAAGCTAACTAGGAATGCCTCGGTGGCTTCTTGTAAGGCGGCAACGGCCTGGCTTTGCCATCGATCAGGACCAGTCACGGCCGTAACATTCTGTGTCACTTCTCGAACAAGTCGCTGGAATGGTGTTTTGAGCAGAAGTAGATCCGTTGACTTCTGGTATCTTCGAATCTCCTGGAGAGCCTTTGTACCAGATTTGTGTCGACGACCTCGTTGACGAGGGGGAGGATGCTCTATACTGACTCTTGCCCCGGCGGTCTTTCGTCCAGTTTGATGACGTGTATTTGAGCCACCGCGGGTAGTTTTTGCGATGCCCCGTCCTGAGGGAGCAGATTTCGGTGGCATTGTGCGCGATCCACTGGGTAAGGTCGAGGGATTGGGGTGCGGATGGGCAGGTTTGAAGTGTTTATTGTTCTTTGGCAAAATCAGCAAGTCCTCTGGTTTTGTTGTTTCGCCTCATCTCTGTGTGACTTCCTTGCATTCCTCGGCTCAATGTTACCCAACGCGTATCAATCACGTGATCCTTCTGTAGCCGCTTGCAGAACCGTGGTACACGCGTTGCACGCAGTCATCCTATTTCGAACATTTGTCTGTTGCATAGAAATTGCGGGTATGCCTCTAAGACTTGGGCTGGCAATCGTGATACATAAAAACATGACGTTCGAGCCGATGGTGAAGTTTAAACTACCCACGGCGCGTGTTGTAGCTCGAAGCACGCATGTGGGGTCCGAATTCGCAACCCCATGATCAGCTAGCAAAAGATCTTTTTGGTCGTGGGTGATTGGGAAGAGCAAATGTTTCAATTGATTTCGTATCATCTTCTATTAAGAAACTCACTCGAAGGATACGAGAATATGTTTCATATATCAAGTGAACTAGATTGACTGCGCATTTGACGTAGTCACGTATACAACGTCCGAACGATCAAGTGGAGATGTACGGATGTGAAACGTGTGGTGTTGCGGTTGAAGAACTATGGTACGCTCGTCGCCTTCTAGTGAACTAGATGTGTATTATTTGGGTATTTTCTTCCACCCAGCATGCCCAACAATGATCTCATAGTGCTCACCATACTCTTCACCATACCCTTTTTTGAGTTTGCTTTCTTCTTCTACAAACCATTTTTCCAACCTTTCATCTTCATCTTCCGTGATTTTGCCTCGTCTCAACAGAACCTCTTTCACCATCTCCAAAATTTCTAACCTACGCTCTTCATTTGTCTTGCGTACCTCGGTCACCGACCCCTGGCTGAGGCGCGAAACTGCAGAACGAATGGAACAAGGACAGTAGTTGGCGAGATCGGCTTCCACTTGTGGTGTTGCATGTTTCCACAGTGGTATGAATGCGTGCGATATTTGTCTCCATAATGCAAGTTTCAGAGTGCAAACGCAACCAGCCTTAAACTGAGGAATATCATCTTCTATCTTCATATTAAAGGCTCCAGTTTTATTATTCCACGGCGGTCGATTGTAGTATTGTTCTTTAGCCTTCGTGCAACGAGCCAGTGCTTTTTCTAAACGCTCTTGGCTGGGTACATTGCCGTTACTATCTTTGTGGATATTTGCTTTATCGGGATGCCATTTCGAGACCATCTGCCTGTATTTCTTTTGAACGACAGGACGTGGCTGTAGAGCTTGTGGGAAGAGAGGTTCGGGGAGTCCGAGGATCTGATCCGGGCTGTCTGCATACATCCAGGTGGGGAACGCGCCGTACTGCATCTCGTAAAAAGGAGCCGGTTGGAGATTGTAAGATAAAGAATTGCAAATCATGAATAAGATGCAAGAAATTAGACAACGATGGAAAATTTTCAAAGTGACTGTTGAAGGGAGCGCACTATATCGTATGGTGACACATAAACGGGACAGGAGGAAATATACTGCTTCGCAAGCAGGCCACAGAACGTGCGAGAGTGCAATTAGGAGCGAAAGCGGAGGGTGGATAGTTCGCCGAGAATAACCTTTCGACGCCCCGCAAATATGGCCGATGACAGTTGAATATGTGCCGATTCCCACTCGTGTTACGGGATAGCCGCTCTCATTTTGACGAGTGGCACCTTTCACGTTCGTTTGATAGTTGGCACGTTTGACCTCTAAGTTTTTATGCAAAAGCAGATCTTGAGCAAGTGGCATAGCGTCTACAGTACAATCGATGGTGAGACGGTGGGTGATTTTCTTTGGTCCCGGGAACCGTTTTTCGACCCTTCGGTATACGTCTATGACCAGGCATGGTCTTGCTGGAAGAGTTTCAGTCATAGAAACTATTTGGAGGGTATATGAATGACTAACGTGTTCGTAGGTGAGCGACTGGAGGTGGTGTCTCCATTTGCAAGCTGCGCAGTAGAGAATTGAAGCGAACACAAATTTCGAGGCAATCTGAAAACAAATTTGAGACAATTACTATGAATTTTTTCGCGCTGGGATCGCGCATTAGTACCAGAGTGTTTATTTGTCTATGAGTATCAAGGAACTGTACGCAAACGGCGACGACCATTCTTTCACTTTAATTATCTTTATCTACGTTGCGATGCCTGTTTCTTTGTCGCAAGATTTTCTGGGTGGCAGAAAACTTCAACTCTTCTACCTATGAAACTATTTTGGCGATTACCATGAAACATGTATCTTGTCTGGAGCTCGGTGGCAGCTTTGACGAGAGATTTCACACCGTTTATTAGTGCTACGAGGAAATGCGATGAAGCAAACCAATCTCAAGTGCGTATAAAACATGGTAGTCTTCATATGCAACATCCCTAAGTTTTGTAGTCATTACAAACAGAATATTGTCATGTGGCTTCTCTCTTCTGGATCATGCAGTTCATTGCGTTGAGTGGGTGAGATTGGTAGGTACTACGGAGCTGAACTGGCACTCTGTGTATGACGATAGTTGAATACAATGTATTAAAGTGTTGGATATCTCGTACGTATGTTTGGGATAAGTAATCAATGCGTTAATTATAGATCACAACTAAAAAAATTCACCTATTGCCATTGCTTTCAACTGAACTGAAAGGTATAATAGCTTACTGGATTGTCATAAAAATACATATCTATTTGTAATAACCGCCCAAGAACAGTTATTACGCCTCTACGCAAACATTTGGAGGGCAAAAAGATCACACGGTGATTCTTCTGCAATGTTCACACATAACATCTAAACAAAAGCATTAATGATTGCGTAGTTCGTAATCAGTGATCGTCGAGAATATTAAGTTTGGATGTACTTATAGCTCAATCCATATCATCCTCCCATACAACCACTCCCTACTCAAGATCAGATACTCGAACACCACGAAAAGCAAGAGCTACTTATTCTAAGAAGATGTTTTGGTTCTTTGAAATATTGCTGCAGATCTTACCGTACGGGATCTTGATATCTTGCACACATTCCCAGGCTCAACTACTCAATTTAATGGAGAAAGAGCTTGCAGAGAAAAATCAGAAGATTTTTGAAATGAAACGAAGGGTGATCGAGGAAAAAAGACGGGTGATCATGGCAGAAGCACAACGTACTGGTAGCGACGCTCATTTCACTGTAGCTCATGTTTTGACACAAGCCGCGATCGAAGAGCGTCGTCCAGAGCTACGACTCAAATACCTGTTGGTGATGCAAGAGACAGTTCGCGAACATTGGGAGAAATTGCGACGCTCAAACCACCTGCGTGCTATAGAACTTCATATGGAAGCACGCGCAAGGAAGATTAAGGACAATTTGAACCCAGCATCACCGTGAGGCCATCCTGCTAGGAGTAAGCTGGATATGCAAGCGGAGTCTCATGAGATACTAAAGGGTTGCTATCTACACTCTTGCAGCAGCTGTATATCACCGTCGTGAAATGGCTTACCCAATATCTGGCCACCCATCGCGGATTAGTCGGTTAAGACTGGTTTCAGTTGTATCCACGTTAAATGAGACATTTCCCTTTTGAAGATCATAACTTTACTTGCATCAACTCTGTAGCATATTGAAATCTAGTTAACTTGAATTATGGTCAACTGATATTATTAGTGCATGAGTAGTCCATATTTTAGTGAGCTCGCGTAGGCACATAAGTCTCGTCAGCGACTGATCAATGACGGATGTTATAGTCTGAATCAGTATCGTCGATCACAAGGGGGTTAGCACCTGTTCAACCCACTTTGTATACGTACGGTATCATCCATTGTTTACCGGCAGCATGAGATTTCCCCATTTTACAACGAGTTTATGATATGATGATCATAACATAAGCATTAACGAAGATCGAAGCTACCCAGAAGCTAATCACCAGAGAAGATAATGCTAGACGAAGGCCTCTAGCCTCAGTACAAGATATTCTCCGTGAACTCGATCAGATATGAAACATATGCAAGCATCCCTATCCGCAACCCAAACACTCTAAACTTAAATTTCTCCCACTATCCCTACCTGCTACTACTACTCCTCTCATGTAGTAGCTTAGCCCTCTCGTCCTGTCTCCAGCCGTCGGACCGTCTCGAACTTAGCATTACTTTTATCAATAAGTTGATGTTTGAGACTGTATGAGTCAGATTTTTGAAGCTTGCTGCTGAGCATCTTATGCTCCGGGAGTTTGGTCTGCGTTTTATAAGAGTCGAAATTGACGATCGTCTCGAAGCAGCAGAGGCGCGGTGCGAGTACCTGGAGCAATTACTCAGACTGGAGATACAGGCACATCAGGAGACCACAAAACAGGCCCATGATGCGCAATTACAGTTACAAGATGTAATGGGTATCCTGAAAATCTCCGCCGGTGAAATGACCGAGTCTGTTACGAAAACCTCGCACGGCATGCATCAGTCGCTCGTGTAGGGTTTACACCTTCTTCTTTTTTTTATTTCAGTTCTTAGGTTTAGACCAATTTCTCATGAAATTTGTCTGTCCCCGGTAAATTTAACCATTGCTATTGCTATCAGGGTATATCCCATGATCAATTCGTGATATGGCGCCGATCTATTCTTGTTTCACGTGATCATGAATATTCATAACGGGTTTCATTGTCCACGATGACACCATTGTCGACTCTGTACAGGCGTGACAGCTCGGGAGGCTAGAGGCTTACATCAATTAGATGACCAGCTTTCACCCGCACATGCTAATTAAGACTCCGTTCGCCCGCAATTCCCCTTCCGATACGCCGCTCACCTGGATTTCCCATTGACATTTGCAGTGTGTGAGTGTCTAGACAATAGCGCAGAAAAGGACCGATTCACGCACCTTCCTCACTCGGCTACGACAATCGGCCCGTCTACGTTCGTGATCATCACACCCTTAAGAGCTCATCTAACAACACTACCAGGGTACGTATCGATTAGGGGACCCACGATTCTCACTCTGCAAATTTCATCTGCAGATGCTGATCACCACATTACGAAAGATGCACATGGACGAGGGATTTTTAGGGGACGCATACTTAGAAGAATCTGGTACACACTATTAAACATTATATTTCTATTACGCGTCCCTCCAGCATAGATCTTCAGTCATCAAGAGTCGTGTAGTGTCTATCCGCGTACTTCCGCCGAGATAGACCTGATCCCCATAGATCGACCCTCATGTTCCGGCGACGCTAGGCCCGGCACATCCTTCCATCAGTATCCACATCCCATTCCTCACTCCCCACCCCTTTTAGGACGTAAAAGACGTTTAGGGGATCGTACCTCTTCTTAATCCGTACCAATTCGTCGTAGTTTTGACCAAAAAATGTGGACTGCCAATTCTTCTGGTGGAAATCCGCCTCGTTCATGTAAGCGCCACTTCCAGGAGTGACAGCCTCGATTTTGGGCATGAAAACATCGGTTATCTTTGCTTGATCGGCTTCCATGGTTTCCCAAGGAGCGGAGGAATCCCAATTGGTGATGAGTTGAAGCTGGGTGATTGTGTCGCGCCATGCAGGCAGCACAGCGTTGTCGGGTGTTCCAGATCGCTTTTCGTAGTTGGCCGAACTTCCGGCTAGAAGAACGCCCTCAGATATGAGCTCGGAATACACTTTTGTTAATTCAGCAGTGTTGTTCTCTAGGACGCTGCGTGGAATCAAGCGGCCACCAAATTGGTAACGATTGACCTCAAAACTTCCACGAGGAAGAGGACCCATGTATCTATCGTAGTGATCGCGATAGGATAGCTCGCTGTAAGCAATTGGTGGAGTAATGCCTAGCTCGACGAGTGCGTCTGAAAAAGGCTTGAGGACGACGTCTTTGACATATGAAGCAGTGGAATCCCAGACAGTGACAGGCTTGAGGACGAGGAATTGAGTGTTGATAAGAAAAACAACCATAGCTCCTGCGTCGATCATAGCAGGCATGAGCTCATGGAATTTAGCCTGCGCAGCTGCGAACTTTTCAGGTGTTGTTGAAGATGCAAGAAGTTGCATTGCTGCACCGCCTACGGTCTTTGACTCGTACGCTCGAACAGTCATGGAAGTGACGATACCAAAAGTTCCACCACCGCCGCCACTGAGAGCCCAGTACAGATCAGAGTTCTCTGTAGCTGAGGCAGTGACAACTTTGCCCGAAGATGTGACTACTTCGAATGAGAGGGTTTGATCGGCAGCTAGACCAAACTGAGTGCTGAGAGCGCTGTGGCCTCCTGCCTGCGTGAAGCCTCCAGCAAGACCAACAGTTGCACATTCTCCTGATACCACTGTCAAGCCTTGCTTCGCGGCAGCCTCGAGGATCTCGTAGCCAATGACGCCTGCACCAACCGTGACTGAAGGGCCAGAGTAGTATTTATCAGACCAAGTTCCGAAAGAAATATCCTTCAGTCCTTGTGTCCAAACAGCAAGAGCTCCAGCGCCGGTTGAGCGCCCGAGGAAATCGTGACCGGTATTGCGCGTGACGATGCGAATGAATTTAGCCCCCGCAAATCTGACGGCAGCCACTACGTCTGCAGACGTGGTACACTTGACAGAGTAGGCCGCATAGTTGCCGAGCGAACAAGGCTTGGCTCTGTCTGTGAATGGATCACAGCTCTGGTTGGCAAAGTAGGACTGCATGATGGAGTGCGAAGAAGGAATACTATTGATGTCAGATCTCCACAATCAATGCGAAATAGAGAGTACATACTGCGTCAAGGGATTGAGCCATTCTGCCTTCAGCTTGTCGCAGGCAACGGCATCGTAACTTGGATCATGGCAAGGAGAGCCGATGGGAGTTGTCGCTACCAGGTTTCCATTTACCGTTCGATTGAGTTGCTCCCAATCATGATCTCTCGGCCAATCCCTATCACTGGGTAGCGTTAAGCACTTGTGGGCTTCTCCAAGCTTGGAGAAAGTTAGAATCCAGAAAAGATTCGTGATGAGGAGAGACTTCATGGTTTCGGAGGCCGGTACGGTGTTGGCTGAGCCGCAGAAAGGGATAGGAATGAGGAAATGCCATCACACTTCATACGCAGTCACTGGTACCTATAGAAACTGACGCTCTCCACATGTGGGCTTTTCATTGCCTCTCATTTCCCTGAGAATCAGTTACAGTGTCAATAGTATCTATCTCGTTCCCCTGGAAAACGTGTGTACAGGGAATAGGGATCCACCGAGGTGAATCCAGAATATCAATCTGGAGAATCGATGCTGCCGCACATCACCTCGGCACTTGAATGCTTGGCTGCGATTGCATAGATGCTCGCTCAATTGGTATTGGATCTACTTGGCAGGGTGGGAATTTGTTAGTACACACGGGAAGTTTCTGCATGTATGGTGGTGGCGCAATGCGCGACTCAAAGTCTAAAAGCACACTAAGGAGTCGGACCACAGCCAGTGACGCCCCTCGGCATCAGAATCCGACGAATCTGCAATCTTGGTGAAACCTTATGATTCAGACGGTTCCTGCACGAATCGCAAACAGCCACGCGAGTCTGTTCGCGCCATTATCCCACCCAACATGTCGGAACCACAGGGTGGAGTATTAAACCTAACAGCCCACGCTGATCCCTTCTCACATCAGGCACCCGATGCACCGGTGTCCCTGCATGTTTTGACAGCCGCTGGTTTACGTTGGGTCTTCGGAAAGTGACATTTGACTGTTCAAATTTAGGTCGCGGTCGCCGTTGAGTCCACAACAGCAAACATGGCCTCCCTACGTCTGCTCCTGCTGCTGCTTTTCGCTCTGTGCGCAACATCGCTCGCGCAGTCTTCCAGTTTGCCATCATGCGCTGTAAGTGAATAACTCGTAAAAATCCCAAAACTTTCTGCTGATTGCCTCACAGCAACAATGTTTGAAGAGTGCTTTTGGCACACAGACTTGCGCACCGACGAATCAGACCTGTATCTGCACCAACCCAGTCTTCCAGCAGAACGTTACGCTCTGCGTAAGTGCTAGCTGCACCATTCCAGAGGCATTGGGTAAACATGATACATCGCCGTTGTTATGAGCCTGAGCTGATATCTGTAGCTACTCGCAATATCTCGCTAGCTAACTGCGGTGTTCCCCTCCGCAATCACGGTCAGGACTATGCTGTCCTCTCCAACGTCATGATATCCGTAGCCGGCGCCTTCGTCATTATGCGCTTTGCATTCAAAGGCATCGTTTCTCGGTCCGACTTTGGCTACGACGATTGGTGTGTCCTCGCTACTGCCATATGCGGGATCCCGAGTGCCCTTGTTACTGTTTATGGTACTGTCGCACATGGGCTTGGGCAGGATATCTGGGCTTTGAGTCCACACGAGATCACGGAGATGCTGAGGTCCTTCTACACCATGGCGATCCTCTACTTCTTGGAGGTCGCATTGTTGAAGCTGACCCTCATCATGTTTTACATTCGGGTATTCCCTATCAAATCAGCACAATGGGTACTCTGGGGTACCACTATCTTTACGGTAGGGTGGGGCATTGCTTTCGTCATCACAGCCATCTTCCAATGTCAGCCTATCAGCTACTTTTGGAAAAGATGGGATGGCCTTCACGAAGGCAAGTGTCTTGACATCAACGCAATCACCGCCAGTCATGCATCTATCAGCATCGCATTGGACTTCTGGATCCTTGCCATCCCCCTCTGGCAGCTTTATGGTCTGCAGATGAGTTGGAAGAGGAAGGTCAGCGTAGCACTGATGTTCTGTGTTGGCACCTTCGTCACCATTGTCAGTATCCTACGCTTGAAGGCACTCGTTCATTTTGCCAAATCCGACAACGCAAGCTGGGAATTCTATGATGTGTCGGTTTGGAGTAGCATCGAAATCTGCGTTGGAATCATGTGGTAGGTCCGGGCTTCAAACTACGTATGAACTCTAAGCTGACTTCAACTTCTAGCGCGTGCTTGCCAACCGTGCGATTGTTCCTCGTCAAGATGTTCCCCATCCTTGGGGGTTCTTCAGCTCGCAAGAGCAACAAGTACTATCACTATGGAAGCGGCAATGAGCTCGGAAATCTTAGTCAAAGGAAGAACACGTATAAGGCAAACAGCAATGTGTCCAGCCCCCATTCGGGTGTGTTTGAGGCAGGAGATGGTGTCACAGTGGAGCACAGCTTTGCTATAGAGTATGGTCGCAAGGAAGCGGATGAGACTAGTCTGGTGAGCCATAAGGGAAAGTCTAGTCAGTAGTGACCTGCTTACGCACACTTCTATTAAATAACTCTTGTGATTCTGCTACTTGAGTACAGGATGGTTTTATTACAACCAGGATCAGGTGCGATAGGGCAACCTGCAGTTATGCTTATGAATTATTCATGAATCAATACGATTTTCTCAAAACAGATTGATCTATCGTGCCGAGCCGAGGTGCTAGTCGAGACTAGATGACTCTGGCCCGTGTTGCTGGATCCTTCCCGATGTTTACTGTATATACCGCCATGCATCTCCGTATACGAGCCACCAGAACGTATCTACGACGCATCAGTGACCCACATATTGGCTACTTTATCCGGAAATCAGTGCTAGTCCTCCTGTCATTCTCGGTAACATGAGCGTTGTTCAATTTCGGTACCGAATAACTATTGAATTATCTGACTCGAAGCCAAGAACAATCCCACTCAGCCGGAATCCCTCCACTTCTCGAAGGTATTAACATAGGGAGGCCCACTACGCAGTTTTCTAGACAATTGCACAACCTCCGCGAATGGCCTGACTATCGAATGGATCTCCTTGGCTCGACTAGTTATTATTCATTCAATACTAGCTAATGAGTCGCAAACCCTAGTTGCGCAATTTGATCTCCAAAAGAGAATGTACACTACCCTCTGGGCGTGTAATCGCCACAAGCTCAAGTCGCTTATCCACCTTTCCAACAAGCGAATACCAATCCTCGACCTCGCGCTCAGGGGCGTTGAAAGCCTGCCTCATCATAAGATCCTTCTGGCGTAGCGCGCCCTCGAAAACTCGCTTATCGCCGGGAGTGGGAAGAACCATGTCCATAATGATGATCCTGCTAGATGGCCCCATAGCCTCGACGACCCTCTGGAGAATCTTCACAGCACCATCATCGGGCCAGTTGTGAAGGACTGTGCGCAAGAAATACACGTCCGCTCCCTTGACTTGTTGCACCTCACGGAAATCATACTCTTGCCATTCCACACGACTCTTGATGGGCGCATCCAGCGCAGCTATCTTGGCCTGCGCGCCTGCTTTGGCATGGCTCAAATCCTGGACGATAAGACGCAACTCAGGATAGGCGTGCACCAATGCGAACGATGCGTCACCCTCTCCACCGCCAACCTAGATCATCTATTAGTGGAAGCCCGAAAACGATAGAATATTCTGGAACTTACGTCAACAATGGTCGCCTTGCCCAGGGATTTCCAGTCAAATCCGTTCACCAAATGTTCCACGCCTCCGTCCGTGGTGGCGGCGGCTTGACTCTTCATGTACTCGCCGAATTCCGTACCCATCTTTGGGTTGGCTTCCAGCCAATCGAAAAACGAGAGCTCGGTTTTGGAAGAGACATTGAACGCAGTCTCAGTCACGGATGTCGTGTTTGGCCAGCGTTCGGTTGCCTCAATGAATCCATATGTCATGGGCACATTGCGGTTGACGACGTAAGAAAGCCAGTTCGCTAGGTCTTGGTCCTCTACCAAGGAGCGAGATAGCTGGCTGTGAGTTGATAATCCGTCTTTTGTTTCAGCTAGAAAGTCCGCTGTCATGGCCATTCGGGCCACTGCTCGGATCGTGTTGGAGGAGATACCAGTCCGGCTGGAAAGATCATCGTAGGAGATGCCCTTCGGTGCGACAGGGATCATCTCCGGGATCTTGAAATGGAGTAGCCATTTGATGGAAGTGAACTGTTGCTGTTGAACCAATAGATCGATCAGGAAGTTTCCAGGCTCTTGTGAGAGTTGCTTGATCTTTGTTGCCGATTCAAGAACTCCCTCTCGCTGCTGCGGGTTTATGGCAGTTGGGGCAGACATCTTGGTTTTGGGAAAAGATCTGATGATAGTGGATTGTAAGTTGAATTTACTGTCATCTTGAAGACGACCATCTTATATTATAGTCGTTTTATCAATGTGTTGTTTCTTGCGCTATCATTCATGCGACAATGATGTTCAAGGGTTGTTCGAGGTGTCGTATTCGGATACGAATCGGTAAGCAATCAAGGGACGGCCCGGTTAGCAGCAACCTGCACCAATAAGCCGGCAATCCGGATATAAGAAGACAGCCGGTAAAGCCTGCCATGCCCAATAGCTTTCATTTGGATCGTCCCGGCCGAAAGAGTACGGTAGGGCTGGAGTGGTACAGGATATTATTAATACCGATGGCATATATATACTACCAGCTGCCACCTGAACTTTGACAACCTGCTGCTCAATTTGAGATCTTTTTGATCATATCCACCTGGCGGACTTCTGAGTACTACACCGCGACCTTCCCGTTTCAGACCTTCGTAACGCACTTTTCGCTCGGATAGACTAACTCGTGAGATCGGCTCTGCATTATGTATTACAAGGGGCGGTACTGCGATATCGCTCCACCAACTCCCAATCTGACACTTTTTCGACAGAAAATTGATGACATGTCAGCGCGAAGGATCGTGTCCTGCAGAAAAAGGGTGTCTTCGGCTTTACTCGCACCCCGAGCTTGTATTCTTTCGGCGCAAGCATAACTTCCGCAACCGATTTTCATCGATGGCTCGATCTTATTCGTTCTAGATAGTGCCACGTTCAGGATCGCATATCCACTTTTAACCGCCTTACGATCTGGTTGGTGGCGTCTATCTGGTTCATACTTCTAAGGGTCCAGCCGTTACGGGTGTCAGATGAGGGGAGGATCTTACCGGCATGCTGAGGTGTTGGGTGGGGTATCTTGAACCAGCAACTCGCATAATCAACCACCCAACAATACTCGCTATCGGGCAGGAATCAGTCCAAAAACTGGCATGGGATACGAAGAACCTTTCCTGGCCTGGCGCCTGAATTCACTACGTCGAATTACCGAGACGACCCGCGGGAGAATTTTGAAAGCAGTTATGCTATACGCAACGAATTCATCGAAGATTACTCAAGAAACTGGATTCGAGGGAGTCTAGCATGCGATATCCTCTAGAACAAGGCTCATATCTCTATACCAAGCAAAATTCTCACTATTCGTAGTTTGCATGGTCTGAAGGCAAAGATACCGCTTCACCTTTCCACGACTCCGTCATAGCCTTAATACCCTGGGTCCCCCACTTGCGAACACCAAGATAAAAATCCTGATTTTCCGGATCCGATACAGCTGTGTCGCTAAAAGGGTAGAGAGCCGGAACTTTCAATGCGCGCTGGAAGGCTGGACGCTGCAGCAGCGCGTCATGCCACGCTTGTACGTGCGGCCATTCTTCAATGTTGACTCCGCACCACTTGGCGGAGTGCGCATAGATGAAAACGGCGAAATCTGCGACACCCAGGTGGTCTCCGCCGACATAGGGAGATGTTGACTGCGTGACAAAATATTAACCTTTGATTCGCTAGATCTCGTCTGGACGGTGCAGGTGGTGTAAAGCCTTGCTTTCTTCAGAGGAGTGATGGTAGCTGGCTGGACTTCTTACCAATCGTTTTTCTAGTACGGAGTGAAGCCGCCTCGCTTCCGCTGTATATCTCCAAACTCCATACGGAACGGGCTCGGGCGTATAGCGATTGAAGTGGGCAGCTTGGCCTAGCATTGGCCCGTAGCCTGATATTTGCCACGAAAGCTACATCCTCAAAGATTAGAGCAGTCTGAAATACGTATAGTCTTTTATCTCCAGATTTTCGGTAGCAGTGCGAATTTCACAAGCTTACCCAAGATAGCTGTGTCCAATATTCCGACGTCCCGACAGCGTACGAAAACTTGTTTTCTTTATCGAATTCGTGGGAGAGGTACAACAAACACGCAGCACTCTCGAATACCGTCACCGATGTCCCGTCCTCCTTGGTGTGGACAATAGCGGGTACCTTTCCGTTTGGATTAATAGATCCAACAAACCAATCTGACGTTGCCTCGCCCTTGCTCATGTCGAGGTTCACATATTTATACTGGATTCTGTAAATCGAGGTAAAAAAAATGTCAGCGAGACTATCAGAAAAGTGTATTCATAGATATCGGGCGCGGGGAACAGCAAAACGACGTACCCTAACTCTTCGGCCATTATAACAACCTTGTACGGATTTACAACACCTGCTCCATAGATCGTGAGACCCAATTGGGGTGCTTTATCATCAGGAATGCTGGCCATCGTTTTGGAGATAGCAATACTCGATCTCAATGGAAAGCTTAGGACTTCACGTCGATGGCGGGGCCGATTAAGTATTGCTGGATTCTGTTACGCCCCGCTATCTAAGCACTAGGCGCCTGTAGTGAATGCGGGGGAACGTTAACCCGAGGATGGAAAACAATTCAGCAACATCAATTGATCACATATCAGGCCCAACAGTCAACTTGAAATGCGGACCATGGAAGAGCGAACCAAGACTGATGACGAAGAGCTCGGGACAAAAACTCGCCGCATTCCATCTAGTTCTTGGTCCAGATTGCATATGGCCCACGGGAATTATCTAATGCAACTGCACTGGGGCGACTGAAAACACAAAATCATGTCTCTGAAGGATCTCTAAAATAATGCGCTCAAGCGGCGCGGTTGATTGAGTGGTGTTGAAGATTCCGTTGCCCAGGCATCCACAACGTTGATCTCACCGCCCGTATCTCTCCAACGCAATTTGACGATGCGGCAGCCACAGCGTCCGGCTCAAAGGCCTGCAACTATCGACCACCATAGGTCTGGTAGCAAAAGACTCACCTATGTTTTCTTCGTACGCTTAGCCTTAGACTCTGTAAAATTGTACAGGTCGTCCTTCTTACTACTAAACATAGAAGGGATGTCTAGAAAGAACGGACGCTTCTTTTGAGTCTCAACTAAAGTGGATGCCGAAGAAGAAGAATTATTCAACCCTAAATGTAGGGACTGAGAAGAATCCGTGGTGCAGCTTGTAAGGCTGCTGGGATTGGTGCCGGTGGTGCCATCTGATCCGCTTTGGATGCACGTGTCGCTATCCGAAAATAACGAATCGTTATACTCTGTCTTTTCTTTGGAAGGCAGAATCGGCACATTGTTCTGGCTGTAGAGTCCGTTGATCTTAGGGGCAGGCTTTAACCGAATACCTAGGCCCGAGGGTTCTGACTGTCCGAAAATCACAGCGCCTTTGTCGACTATGAAATCGGGTGAAAGCACTTTACCAACAGCAGAATCAGGCAGTATTCTCTGAAGACGATTGCATTTGCAGCTGTGTGAGGTGGGCGCATCGCAGGCTCCGAAAAGTGAAGTATCACCTTGGTGCCATCTCAGGCGGGTGGATGTCAGATATTTGCGAGTCAGGCGGCATCCTGCCACATCGTAAAGATCCTTGAGCGATTGCGTCGATGTGGTGAGATAATCTCTTCCTTTAGGAACTCGTCCCCAGGTTTGACACAGACCAGGATTTGCTTCTTCGGCGGGTATAATGATGTCTTCAAATCCATCTGCGAATAGCACCAGAGCGTCGATGTCACGCACGAGTAGCGGCCAACCCCCGTTTGTCTTTTCTATTGGAGACTGTTTTTGTCGGAAGGGAGATCTTTCTTCAACCACAGCTTTGAACTCAAAACCATGTAGAAATTCCCTGAATGTAGCTTTGACGGGTGCGCCTTGCGAAGTTCTTTCTCTAGTTATGTTCTGATCCACAAGAAACTCCAGCAAAGACCAAATGTTCAGAACGGCATCTTTGAATGTGTAATCATCATCGCTAGATAGCGGTAGCGACTCTTTCTGTAATAGGACTTCCTTTGCTGTAAGATTGATGCCAATACTTGTGTCGAGGTCGATGCGCTTCCCGTTTGTCTCGAAAGGCTCCAAGTTATGTCGGTGCTGAATCATGTGAAGTATTACACTCGAGGCTGGAACCAGCCATCCACGTTTTTCGCTGGTGTCGTAAAGAAGCACTGGGGTTTTCTCCGCCGCCGAGACAATATTCCGATACGGACCGCTTCGCTGAAAATGACATTTGCCATCCTTGACACCGAATCTGAAGTCTAACGCCGCTGTCCCGAATTGTTGGAATCCCAAAGAACCTCCGGCGCATCTCAACAAGGTGCTTACGTCCTCCGCACCTGAATAGTCAATATTTTCGTAGTTTGCCAAAGTAGAGCCCAAACGTGATTCTGCGACCGAACACCAGCCAACAATTGCGCGATACTGTGAAAAATTGTCGAGGTTCACTTCTTCGGGCGATGCGCGCTCATCACAAAGAGACAGAGCCTCGTGATATTTTAAGCGTTCATTCGCATTCCGACTCGAAATGGCATGCCATTGAATCTTGTCGTCCTTTTTCCGTATAGGCACAAGCATATGTGAGAAACCTTTCATCACCACTCCACCTTGATATTCAACGGCGTGCCAGACTCCTGCAATGTCGGCAAGAAGATTGACAGGTATTTCTAACCCAATTTCATCTGCGCGTGCGGGGATTGGGAAACCCGCGGCAATCGCGGCCCCGGAGAATAGCGGCAACCAACATGGCATTTCAGTTTTGTGCAGTCGCTCGTGTCGATAGTCAATGAATACCTGCGATGTAGATGAGATGTCACTAAGCCTTGGTTTGCAGTACGCAAAATCATCGCCAAAAGGCGATACGCTCAAGGCTGACCCAAGCCATGCGAGACACTGAGCTAGCTGCACAAGCAGATGGGATGTGCTTCCTTCTGCAGTGATCTTGAGTCTTCCATTTGTCTGGTTGGTGATGCCGATCTTCAAGTCCCTGTATGTGAATTCTATTTCGTTGTCAGCCGAGGCTCATAATACTCGGGGTCACAAGCATCTTCAATTACCATTGATCTCGTCTGTGCCTTCTAGAGCCGCCAGAGGGCAATCCGATAATACTTCATCCAAACAAGCTAGTATAAAAAGCCCAAAATGAGACCAGGTTTGTTTGGTGTATTCCGCACATGTAGTGGCTTGTGCGTAGAGAGCGGATCCAGTGAGCACGATTACTGACCCTATCTTGGGTATATCATCGCCGTACTGAGCGTGCATAAATTTCTTGAGTGTCCAGTTGACATGAAAATGGATTGTATGGCGTGGCAATAAACTCTCCATCCGTTCTTCAATAGCTTGCATCTGCAGAACTTCGTCATAATATAGTGACTTCCTCAACTTGGTAGCGAGCGAATCAAAAGCTCGGCTAGCAATCATAGCATCTCTCACGGTGTTGAGATCCCCATGAAACTCGAATTCGAGATCGTCTTCGGGTATTCCCGTGCCTTTTGTTTCATGGTTGTGAACTGTGCTCTTGCCGAAAAGGGCGAAACGTTCAGAGAGAGAAAGCTGCTGTCCTAGCTCCTTAAGACGCGCAGTAAGAGAGCCTGTGCTGACAGGTGATGCATCTGCGTTCTCGCAAAAATAACGTGTGATTTTGGGCCTATACCGTCGAATCAGATTTGTGGCACTGACCAAAATCTGGCTCTGCATCTGCGCATTCCATTTTCCTGGCTTTCGGACTCCACTCGGATCTGAGGGTTCCTGGGATTGCGAAGCAGTCAAATCATGTGTGTACTCTTTCAGCAGGACATTTAACCAGCTCTCAATATACTCTTGAGATCTTCGTGCGACTACAGATCCTATCCATTGACGAGCGCCAGCTTTCTCGATCAGTGAGTCTCCAAAAAAAGCAACGAATTCCTGTAAGAAGTTATGTGGAAGACCCAAAGAACTACCTGTTGAGTTTGCTGAGCACACAGATGCAGTGTCTGTTCCCATTCCACTGCGGTATCCAGAATCTGATGGCACGGGCAGGTCAGGCTCAGATTCGGGTGGCCATAGAGTTTCCTCGGGTTCTGGAAACCGGCTTCTTTTTAGTGGTGGAAGCAATCTTTCAGGTATTGGCGACGGCACTGGAGGACCCCCATGTTGCATCATTAACTTTGCAAGTCCACCTGAAGCACCCGGAGACAATGTTTCAGGAATTAGCGACGGCATGGGAGGGCCGCCATGTTGCATCATTAACTTTGCAAGTCCACCTGAAGCACTCGGCTCGCTTTTTCCTCGACTTCGCTGAATAGCTTCGGCGGGGAATAATTCATTGTTCCTCGCAGACAGTCGCACGTCTTTATTGATTGGATCAACGTTCTTATCCATTTGCAATTTGTCATCTGTCGTTGAGACACTCAAGTCTTGACGGCCATTCATGACCCTTGTTGCAATCTGTTCAGCAGCAGCTTCTGGAAGCTTACTCTCATCTCTTCGTCGCTTAGAATGACCTTGTCCCGGGCTATCGAATTCTGAGCGGTGAGATCGTATATTTTCTTTTGTGAATGAGCCCACTTCTCCAGCAAATACATCTTTTTGGACAGATCTGAAGTGTTGCGGATATGGGGGGAAGATAGTGGGGGCTGATAGGGGCAGTGGAGCTTGGGAATCACCAGGTTGAGGTAGATAAGGGTCCTTGAACAACGATACAGAATGATCAATATGATGAGGAAAGGCTTGCCTCGATTGAAGCCCGGATGAAGAGGAGTTTTGCTGCTCATCAAGAATAGAATTGTAATTTGCAGGGAGCAGATCAATATGACCGTAACCTGTTGGAGGAAGAAAAACATCCGGATAAAGACTCTGTTCGGAAGGCGGATAAAATCCGGAGGGCAGATACGACGATAGATAGGTTTCGAGGCCTTCAACGGGGGCAGGAGCGGGCACAGAGCTTTGTGACTCTTTTGAAAGAGTTTGGCTTATCCGACTACGAATTTGTGAGCAATCTTACAAGCTTTGACAAGCCTTCACAGCACTTGCCTTGCACTCAGATGTCCAGGCTCATAAGCTTCGGCACTCGATTCATTGCTACGCTTTGTTCGTAACCCTTTTGATTTACGTTAAGGAGAAACTTACTGCCGCTCTTGATGTCTTTGTAAAAGATCTATTCTGTAGAAGAGCTTACCACACCCGGGGTAGTCGCATAACACTGTCGATTCGTGATTTTTTTGGTGACGTCTTATTCTGTATTAGTGATGCTACAGACCATTACATTTCAATTTCAGGAGTACCTCAAGTGCTCTGCTCGGGTGTATGACTGTCCAAGCGTCAGCGACACTTTGATGCAAAAATCACATTCGAGCAGCATAGAGACATTCTCACCCTTCCGCATTCGCAGTTGTGCACTTTCAACTGTTTTTTGGCCTTACTAATACGGCCAGTTCGAGTGTAACGAACTTCCGCATCGGCAGGTGGCACCTGTGAGGGGACACCTGAAGTCTGCGTGGGAGCTGAATCTGATTCTTGGTCCATATGTACGTTCGGTGTAATTTCTTCGCCTTGTAGATTTGAAGTTGATAGAGCAGGCTGAGATTGAAAGTGTAAGACAACAAGCGAGGGCGAATTCCCATTTCTTCAGAGCTGACAGCCAAGCCCTGCACAGCCCTTAGAGCCGCAGATCAAAACCCCGCACCGGTGAGCAAGTGAGTGGCGATAGGTGATTGTGCTCTACTGGGGCTCATTTATAATTGACTGCTCTTACTGTAGTTAATAGAATGCGATCGGAAGACTCGAAGTACACCATACTAATGGTTTGCTGAAAGACTCGGATGTGTGGAATCTTTCACGTGATCTCTATTTCGGACCTCACATCACGGTAACCCAATTTTGTCTGAGGTACGCATTCGTGTGCGAAACCCTAACGACATTGCATAAGTTCTATATTTCTCTTTTCTCTGTCCTATTCAAGCTCATAAGGCTGCGGTCTTGATGAAGAGGAAAAACGCAACAATGGACAGCGGAGAAATTCCACACCGAAGCAATGATGCGCCACTAGAAACGTTTGATCCAGACGACGGACTGCTGTTACTGTCTGTAGATGTAGTCGGTATCGCTGTTCCTGAAGTAGGCATTACTGTTCCCATGGCTTCGGTAGGCATCCCATCCACAGACATTCCGGGTCTATCAGCAGGCGGTCCTGGCACTCCAGCGGACGGTGTGGTTTCGGTTCCTGTACTGGTCGGAGTACCGTTCCCGGCTTCACTACTACGGGTCGTTCCTGGAGCATTCGATGATGAAGTTCCACCAGGCTTTCCTCGTGAATCCCAACTGCCCCAACTGGACCCTCCCCAAGCTTTGTGCCACACGGCATTATCATTCGCTATTGCGAAAATATCGAGACGATTTTTGCCCCAAGATGTAACCACTGGTGGGGTTTTGAACGGCCCACCCAGAGCATTCCATCCATCTTGCCATTTTCCCCATGCGCTGTCATATGCTCGATGATACACATTACCGTCGGTCCCGAGTCCAAAGACATCTAGTCTTCCTGGTGCCCATGAAACGACTGCGGGTGGACTGGTAAAAACACCACCGAGATTTTCCCAGTTTTGCGACCAGCTCCTTCCATCCCATGCCTTGTGATACATCGCAAAATCGCTCCCGGTGCCGAACACATCAAGTCTGTCTTTCGACCAAGACGCAACTGCTGGCTGGCTGGTGAAGCCTCCACTCAAGGAGTCATAATCCTGCTGCCACACCTTGTCCCAAGCCAAGTGATACATTGCCGGATAGCTTTGAGAACTGGCACCGATACCGAAAATGTCAAGACGCTGCGATGCCCACGAGGTAGCCACAAGATTGCTGGTAAAAATGCCCCCATGATTTTCCCAGTCATCTTGCCACTGGCCGGACCACTTAATATCATATCAGATTGGAATTGACTGACGCATAGTTTAGTTTAGATTTACTTACGGACTGATGGTACATAGCTCCATTGCTTGTGCCGACACCGAATATATCCAGCCGATTCGCGTCCCAAGCATCAACAGCGAGCGGGCCTTGAAATGCTTGCTGATTGATGGTGTACCAATCTCGGTCCCAAGCCTGGCCATTCCAGGCTTTGTGCAATGCTCTGCTAGAGTCTCTATCTATGCCGAAAACGTCGAGGCGGTTCTCAGACCATGATACCACGGTCGGCGCAAATTCTTTGAAAGACCCCCCAAGCGAATCCCAGCCAGATTGCCAAGCATTGTCCCAAGAAGTATGCCACATCTGCGAGTCTTGACCTATCGCTACGATATCCAGACGATTAGCTGCCCAACTGGCCACTGCCAGTAGTTGGGTAGTGACTGAGATTGTCATGGTCGCGCCTGAGAGACACTACGGCAATATTGCTGGAATTTAGACAAAACTAAGGTCATAGATTAGGAAGACGGGACTCAGATCTGGGGAAAGTCGCAAACTCAAATTAAGAGTGATTCATCAGGACTGGTAGCCTGGGATATATACCTGCCACAGCACAGAACTACAGCGAGGCTAAGTGAGAGCGGGCCGCATCTGGTTAGTCGAGTGTTCGGGATACGAGATCATGACAAACCAACCACTCATATATCGCGATAGTGAACGAGGCTGAAGTGTAAACGCCACTCAGCCCGTGTTAAGTCAAAAACCAACAGATGACACGGGAGCGTAGCCGTCTTAACTTTGTGATATTTGGGTGGTGGACAAGGCTGACAAAATCCAGCGAAGGCTGTTCAATTTGATGGAGGACTGAGCATCGCGATTGCACATCGAAGGTTGTAAGATAATACCGTAATCGTGTTTGGAATCGAGTGTATTTGGAGCTTAAACTAATGTTGAATTTTTTTCATTCTTGGAAATATGCTATTCTCTTTCAAGCACTCTATTCATAGTTCGGGTACTTCCGGGACACCACTCTCGAGTACAGGATTTTCGTTGCCATCAGCTTCTCCCAACTGAGCTAACAGGTCATGAGGGAGACCATTATCAGAGAACTCTAACCAATTATCCTCGGATATGCAGGTTAATTCATTAATTGATGTCGTCATTAAGAATGGGTCTGGAAATCTGGAATCGAACGAATAGCAATCAGGGGATGTGGTGTCGAATCGATTGAATGGAGATACTACCGGCAAGCCATATACTAGTCCATCAACCGAAATTGAACCACGGGAGCGCTCAATCAACTGGTCCGATTTCGCTAAAAAATCACGAGCAATATCAGCAGCGGTGGGATTGCCTTGAAGATGGCGGGGAATTAGGTCCAGAACCATCATGGCGGTACTCGCCGCCCCACGTGCTGCTTGTGTGGACGGTCCGGTTGGGAAAGCAACGATGTATCCGACCAAAGAAAGGAAAGAATCCCATTGCCATGCGAAAACCCGATGCCAGCTGATCAGATTGTCTGTCTCCCTTAAGGTTTGGTGCATGATGTTCGTCGACGCGATAGCGTGTCTTACACACGATGTGGCATGTCCCATGGCGACTGGAATGTCTAGAATCGGTGTATCTGCAAAGAAGATAAAAGGCCGATATAGAATTATCGCGAGGTGGTGATATTCTAGCTCGAGGGTGATGCTTTGTCGTAGGATCCGGGTAGGCGTAGCTCTGTCAAATTGCAGCAACAACTCATCGCTCGAGGATTGGGGGCTGCCACCCGTTCGAGTGAGTTTGAGAAATCCTGGAGTACTTTCAAGCCAAAAGTTTAGTGCATCAAGCCTCGAATGAAGAAATTGAGCACAAGCCTCCAGAGCAATGCAATCATCATAGATGATTTTGTGTCCACCAGCGCTGAGAACCTCGGCACACTTGTGGTAGAACGTGATGTATATGGCTCGTGTGGCAAGCATCAGCTTGATGTAGTGGATTAAGTAAGCATCCCCGTTCATGGATTGTTGCTGTGAAAAGTGGTGCGATGTCTTTTCTCCCTCGGTAGTGAATTCCTTGGGAAGACTGCATGTGACCATTGAGATGGAAACAGCGAGTGGGCGACCTAGTTCCATTCCCAGGCGTATTTCTAAAGAGTACATAGCCCACCATAGCCTTTTCTGAAACTCTCTGCGAGCAAGAGGAATCGTGTCTTGCGGCTCCAAGTGAAGCCCGAGAATAATGCCAATCCGTATACCTGTAGCCATCACACTATGGGCCAGATTACGGCGAGAGGCATTCAAAAGCCAGGATGCTGTAAGTAGGTGACCCTGGAACGTTCGTATAGAAGGATCCTCGAGCTCATCGGACAAAAGAGACTGGCACCTTTGGTAATGCCAGTGCGCACTAATCCCAGTATCAGTAGCACTCAGGTTGGTGCCCCATTGTTTTTGGTACTCAGAATGGTCGACATTAGTGTTGCTCTGCATCGCAAGCGCGAGAACAATGTCAACTAGAGCAGAAGGCCTACGATACAAATCGATCGTCTCCCATAAACATCCGTGGTACGTCCTGAACTCGACCTCGTCAAGGACGGGCATGACGGTGTGGAAGGTATTGAAGTAAAGTTTTATCCAGTAATTCTCCTGCATCTGCGATTGGTTTTCACAAAGGCTGTGTTCATTTGGATGCGCGTCATTGCTATTCCCGTTGATCCGCGACGTGGACACATGGTTTGCTCGGGAAAGCGTAGGCGAGAAAGGCTGGATGCCGTCATGCCCTTGTTGAAGTACGTCATTCAGGTAAGAAGTCATTTGATGAATAAAGTAAAATGAAGAAGAGTACCCATAGTACTGGTTGCTGTACTGTGATGTTTTCGTTGAGATGCAATCCCAGTTATAGTATTTTCTGTTGCCACCATGCTCCTTATAAGGATCTAGGCTGATAGGCAAGGATGCAGGACCATCAGCGCGCTCTAGGTTGTATTTCATTCTGGAAGCGACCAAATCTATGCCACTGGGTTCTTCCAGTCGCTTTTCAAGCTCTTTGATCCTCGCTTTGAGCATTGCAATCTCCCTAAGACATATCTTAGCCGCTGCCGCGCAATACTAAGCCCATCACTCACTCGGTCGCACCCAAATGCATATGATCTCCTTGAAAATTGCTGCATTTTCTATTTCTAGCCCGGCAGTTTGTGCATGGAAAACTCGAATCGCACTTGATTCGGTGAGTTCGACACCAAACGCAAGCTCGTAAAACCTGCTGCCGTTTGGGCCGAGCGACAGCTTGTAGACTAGTGATCGATCCAGAGGCTTCATTGGTCATTGGTTTAGTGGTGTCATTTGTTGCGAAAGTTGTAAACATGTTGTCGAAGACCGAGTCTCACAAACTTGAAGGCCTGGACAGCAACAACGATGACGTAAGACTGTCTGCGTATCTGTATCAAAAGGTTGCGAACACACCGAGTATTTGAAGCACGCGACGACTTTCAAGGTCTCAAAAATCTTCGATATCCGCTTGTATGAACAGTATGTAATGACTATAGACTTCTTTTGCCGGGCGATTACAACACTTGTGGGTGGTGCGGGGACATTTCGTGTGGCCCACTGTGTAGTTGCTGACTGTGTGAATCGGCTCACCTTACCTCAACAGGACAATCGCTTAATAAATTCTACGGATAAACTCTAAATCCAGTTAATGGACTCTAGGATTTGGATCCATTCTTTTGACAATAGGTGCATACGGAGGTCGAAACTTGGGAGGGTGACCAAACAGAGGTAGTCTTATCTAAAATATTTGGTTTATCACCAGATACAGGCTCCTCCTTTTTTTCGGCCACAATAACTAAAGCGTTTATGAGGCTGTTCAGATCAGCCTCCGTGGATAAATATATTTTCCAGCTTTGATTGCTCGTTAACGCTCGCATTGTTGATCCATGATTTGGATCACGATGGAAGAAGGACTCTCCGCAAAAGTAAGGCGTTTGATCTCATTATTGAATATCTAGACTGCAATCGGGCTACCTGGACTATTTCTCAAGAGAGGGTACAAAAGACCAACCAGCTCATACAAAAACCTCAGTCAATCTTCATGACCAATCGACCCTTTACATGCCCGTCTGCGTAGATTTCCGGAAATTTCGGGACATCTTCAATCGTATAACAAGTAACATGCGAGCGGATATCATAGTTGACAACCGCCTCCATAGCGCTTTCAATACCCTGTTTTGTTCCGACTAAAGATCCAATGACAGTCAGGTTTTGAAATACGAGGTCGAACGCATCACACTTAAAACCACTTGGTGGCAGCCCTAGAGGAACGGTCTTTCCAAATGGACGAAGAAGCTTCAAGCTCCACTCAGCGACAGCAACGTCGTCGTTGCATATGATGGTAGCCGCTAGACCACCTTTACCGGCCCATTCTTTGATCTTGTCTAAGGCTCCAGAGTCTGTCGAGTCGACAACAAGATCAGCTTTGTGGGGCATTTGAGTTGATAGCGCACGGCCTTCTGGTCGATTGTCAATCGCTACGACGGGGTGACCCAGGGCTTTCGCGAACTGAACTCCCAGTGATCCAAGCCCCCCGATTCCAACGATTCCTATAGGGTCGGCGGTCGATAACGCGCATCGCTGGAGAGCTTCCCACACTGTGATCTAAACGAACGGTCAATATTACGCTTCGCAAGCAAATCGAGCAAACAACCTACACCAGCACACATCAGAGGAGCAGCCTGCTCGAAAGGAATGGCGTCGGGCAACAGAACAGTCGTATCTGCATCAGCAACCATGTATTCAGCAAAACCCCCATCGTTGAACAGGCCTGCTACGCCTTTCTCTTGGCAGTGGCGAATATCGTTGAAACTCTTGCAGCCCCAGCATGTATGGCATGCATGCTGAAACAAGTTCACGCCAACTCTTTGGCCAACTTCCCATTTTCCTTGGGCTGTATCACCGACAGCCACTACCACTCCTACGGGCTCATGAGACCCAATGATGGGTGTTGGCGATCCGTAAACTCCTTCCCATACCTGGTAGTCCGTATGGCAGAACCCCGCCGCTTTGATCTTCACCAGGAGGTCATTATCTCCAATCTTGGGAACGGAGACTTTGTTGAGCTGATAAGGTTGTTTATACTATACTTCTGTCAATCATATGGCGGGTGATACGGGATTCATTCTACGTACATGGATCAACTGGATAGCCTTCATCGACTCGGGGATCTCTGAAGCCATGTTTTTTGAGATGTATGAAGCTGATTATTCGAAAAAGAAAGAGAGATGCTTCGTAGGTCGCCGTGTGTGTGTGTGTGTGTGTGTGTGAAGAACTAGTCACATCTTAAATCAGTTGACAGTGATCCCGTGTTTTCTTTCCAAGCACGAGTACGACCAAGCGAATTGATCCAGAATGGGCTCGGAGGTTCGGGCACTAGCCTTTCATCATCTGAGATCGTGTAGCTATGGGAAATATTTTCCATCTTTGTCTTGCGTGGTCGGAGTTTTGAAGAGATGGGCGATTTTAGGGATGGCTTCATTCGGAGTCTCCTTCGAGACTAGCGCTTACAGTAGGCGATCCATTTATCTTATCTCCTCCAAACGTCGCTCACTAATCAAAAGCACTCTTCGTCCTCAGTAATCTTGGTGTTCAGCTTCATTGATACCTCAACATTTCACGCCCAATCTCTCCATCATCCCAAGATGTCAGCTTCTCCCACCAACCCAGCTGCAACAATAACTTGTCTCTATCCAAAAACTCCTAATTTCTTCTTCAACGTCGACTACTATCTTTCTACCCACATACCACTCGCAAAAGAACTGTGGGGTCCGCTCGGGATGACGGGTGTCTCCGTAGCTGAAGTGGACGGAGAGTCGGGATATGCGTACAACATTACCATCCAGTTCAAAGATCTTGAGAGCTGGAAGGCGGTGCTGCAACATGAGTCGAGCAAGCGGCTGGGTGAGGATGGAAAGAATTATACGAACGTGGAGCCGGTGTTCATCGCTTCGAAGATCATTGGGTGAATGGAAATTGCGACTCCATTGAGACCGAATAGGGTTCGAAGGCTCAAGGCTTGGTCGGCGCAGTTGTCGATACAAAAGGTGGTGCCAATTTCATGTATACAAAAGCGTAGCGTATAATGAATGAAGCTGAGCCAGAACATTGAACTGTTGATCGTGAATTCTTCGGGCCTTTTGCTGGAGTGGCGATCACAGTACATTCCTATCGATGATATATTGGCCGGGACGAGCTATTCCAAATCGAAGCGAGGTGACTTTGGGAACTGATGCACGGGTTCATATCCCAAGTTATGGAACTGATATGACTCTCTCGCATCCTTGGTTTCCCCGGCAAGAAGCGGTTTAAGCCCATGACCAAAATTCAAAGTGCATAGCACAGAATTAACGCATATGATAGCATTAAATGCCAATGAAGAGCATGCATAGAGCATCATTTCGTTCTTCATGGGGGTATTTGCCCGGGGGCCGTGACCGCAGAGCAAAACAATTCGACTGATAAGGTACGCGATTTGCGCTACCCGAAGAACCTGCCGTGTTATTGTCAGTCGGCACTCAAATCCAGGTCCGTTCCTCTACTTACTATAACCACCAGAGCCCCTGAAACATTTTCAGTTTTCATGAAGTAAGGTCCAAGACCGAACTGCAATAGCTCAGCTAGCAGCAGGCATACAGTCAAGGGAAATTCAGGCACTTCAAAATGCACGTCGACAAGGCCGTAGAGCACAAGAAAAGCGATGAATAGATAAAGCTCCATCTTTACCATCACTATTAAGACCTGCGCTATGCATTAGATTCTGCATATAGAACCAAAACAGCAGTCGGTAGCTAAGAGAGGGGAAACGTGCCTTGTATGCAAGAAATTTCTGCCTCATCTGTCGGCTTCCACTAACATGCCTGTAGATGGCCCATGCGAACTCCTTGTGTAGCTTATAGCCATAGAAAAATAAAGCAATAGAAACAATGCCGGTGACTACACATGATGAAAGCAGAACTGGGCTCACGTTGGCCCATAGGTCGATCGATAAGTTTACCAGTGGCGTAGTCCCCATCGCGCGGGCAGTAGATAGTCCAGTGATCACTTGACTGGTTTGCTCGTAGCTCATAATCGTGAGCACGAGTAGCAGGATGTTGCCTACAGTCCCCAGCATAAGATCAGCATCGATGGGACAGAAACGCGTTTGTGGATAGGTAGCATGATCACGTGGTGTCTGCATCCGACTGTGTACCCCGGCCGTACTTACAAATGCATATGTTATACATCTGTACATTGTTTCGTGTGCGTAGTGAATCCAATGTTAGAATTGCTTGGTAGATGACTGCGAGGAGCAGCAATCCACAATTGACTGGTATTGAATACGACCGTGGTACCTGGTAAACCAAGGGCGTAACCCAGCCAAAATATTTCCACAGCACCACACTACCGAGTCAAAATTAGTCGTTGCAATGGATAAAGATAGAACGGAACGACAATTTCCATTGCTTCTATAGCAAAATAGACTTACACGTCAAGTACCGTAGCGCACACTGTCTGCCCTGCTATCGCCCCCAGAAACCCCCACTCGTTATTCGTCCTCGGCTTGTAGGCGCCCATTATATGCCAGTGAACGGGAAATTGCGAGCAGTAACACAATTATCGGACGGAGAAAAAATCTTGCAAAGTAAAGATCTGTTATGAGCGGATGTGTATTCGTTTTCCCTTTTTTTGTTCTCCACATTTACGTAGTTTTTCCAATAGTCAACGATCGCCGAGGTTGTGCCTCATTCTATTTTAGGCCAATAGCCTCACCGACGAACTAGACTCAGCACCCCATATCGTATTCTAGTGATCACATAACGTTCAAATAGCTGAGAAAACATCCACCAGCGTGCGGTCTTATTATAAGGTACAATCAAGGAACCTGATTGTGAAAATGCGATTCCTATTACCGCAGGATAACTACTGCGCAGAGCTTACATTATCATCCGAGGCAAAAAAGAAAGGGGCAGTGCGAACTAGTATGGCACCCTAACATATTGGCTCGAAACTTTTTCAATCCCATTGTAGCCAACCAGAGCGAACAAATTCAAAAATCAGCTGCTTTGTGGCAGATCTGTATGATCATTACCGAGCTTGATGATTGACTGACTCTGTGCATCAGGTGTGGCACAAATATCGAGTGCTGAACACTAGCGAGTCTTATTCAGTCCACGGTCGCTCTCTTCATCGACTAAAATTCATTGCGACACATGTTTCTCGCAATACTTGCATTGTGCCAGATCTATTAATCACAATGTCCCCACGCTCTCTAGTCCTTTGTGCGTGTCGCATCCCTATTTTCAGTAGCGCAGTGCAAGTTCCAGTGGCTATTACGATGAACGCAGAGATATCAATGAGATTTAGATCTTGTAAATGTTACTAGCATGATCCAAATTTATATGGGGATTATCCTATAAGGAGTGGTAACGACCCATCATGAGACAACTGAATTTAAAATGGAAAATCCAATATTTAGGACTGAGAAGTCCGCAACTTCCTACAGCCGGATTTTAATGATCTGATATCACCTTCATGCTTTCTCCATACTCATCGTGTTGGGGGTGAAGAACATCTCTTGATGTTTCCCACGTTTGCTATCAACCCACATTTAGGGCAGCACACCTCGAGATTCTCTTCTAGAACGTCTATTGTGGCTATCAGCGTCTATCGAGAACCAGGCGATTAAAAAAGTCTTGTATATATCTAATTTTAGATTACACGTTGGCACACTCATTGGTACCCAAGAAATTCGTGGTAGAATTTTTACCAACGTATTCGTGCATCAGTTGCTCGTGCCGCATCAAGATACGATCGCCACGACCATGATATAGTATCTGAACATTTATTCGAATAAGAGATAACGTTGTGTGTAGGCAGGTAATACTGCAAAGTGCGGGCAACATCAACGCAACGAATAAACCAAAGCAGTCGCTGAACACCAGACAATAACATGATAAGAAGATGATTCGATTCTCAGTTGATAGCTGTACACTACCCGTTGATCGAGATGGGGTAGTATTGAACACGAATCTAAAGTTTTCTAACGAATCCAGTGAGACGATAATATGTGCATGCAAAGTCATCATACCAATGGATATCATGCCGGTCCACCCTGGGCGGAGTAACAGCGTTATCTAGGTCCTTTACGATACGATGATTTCTTCTCACCCTCCAGTCATTTATCTGGTGGTATTGAACGCCTGACAGGTTCGCATGTCAAGGGGGGTGTATATGGGAGACTAACAAGTAGAAAAATACACGACTTGGCTTATCTGTGCTCACGAAACGTGATGCTTGTCGAGATCATCAAGTATACAAATAATGGAAACCTAAGGTTATGCCGCAGAGGACTGGGGCATGGCTGCTATTACTACAGTGCAAGATGATCTGTAAATCAGAACTGACGATAGATTTGTGATGCAGGAGTGACAAGATGCGCCGCCCAGTTGGCCTGTCTCGGTCTTTCGGAGTTCTCGGGACTTTCCAATATTGTCATCGTTCGAAGACGTCCCTGGAGCCGCGTAGTGTGTACGATCTGTATTGACCCACTACGGTGAAACAAAGCCCTCTGTACAACTGCCACTGTCCAGAAGGGCTGTCACCGTGAAGGTCAACGTCTTGACACGCTCTTGATTGCCATCAACATGGCATCGCATTGCGATTCACGTGGGCGATCAACAAGATGGATCTGTCGAATCTAGGACAGACTGCCGTCTGTCCCTACCTGTCCTGATGTCTGGTAGTCCTAGACTTTTAAGGAGTCTTATTTTCTGGCTCACTGCTGCCTCTATGGCAGTCAGTCTCGGTATTGGTTGTTGGCCCAGCCTGTATTGTGCCAAGAGGCTTGCTCGTTGAGAACAGTCGGACATCTCGTCGACGAACCCAGTGTTTCACATATATACGCTCATGACTAACTGCGATCACGTGAAGCTCACGCACCGGATCATGCAGCCCTGTATTCGTAAAATGAGCAGCGACCCCCATCAGAATTTGTGAAGCTGAAAAAGTCGATCGCCGTACAGTATGTTCATGAATGTTCCTTGAACGTTTCATAAACATGAACCACCGGATGATATAAGAAACGTTTCCAAGCACAATTACTCCGAGCCCGAAAACCGCTTTGCGATAAAGCGGGAAATCTTTGATGTTCCACCGAAATTCAGGCAACTAACAGCAGCGCACGGGATTGTGGCCTCGTTTCATGCTAACCACTTACGCGAACCCAAGGCGCTAGGAAATTACAAGATATGCAAGTTTCTTATGCGCGCGCGACTAGTGGTCGCATCTCTAGAACAACGGGTAGGCCCAGAGAAAACCAACAGTGAGCATCCACCGATCGAGTCCTTAGTGAAACGAGCATCTGCAAAACGATGAACAAAGAGCCAGGGACGGCAGTCAATCAGCGCCGCACTCTCCACAGTTGAGTCCAGACGCCGGAATAGTCCCATACAATTTGCTGTTCACCGTCAGGTCTGCCGTCTCCATTAATTTCCAAACGCGCTGCCAATGCTACTTATGTCATTTTCATACTAATACTGGGTTCGGCATATCGCCTGCTAGCCGAGCCTGTCTGCTCTTGTTACCGCGCTTCTGGAATCGACTGTTTGGCCCCATCCACTCCTTATTCCAGGGAGGACGGGAACATCGGCAAGATATGGACCGTCGCCTCGGTTGAACCTTCCATGATCTTGATGCCTCCTATCTATTGCTACAGACATCGCTTGGAACATGAATATGATTCAATCGCCCGCGGTTTTGCTGCAATTGTACAATTATTCTGTGGTGTGGGTAAGGGATATATTGAAAACAATATTGAAAATTCTACTACAATTCTCACTGGAGCAAATATCTCACCTGTAGGTAGGTGTGCTGATGCCTGGATTGCAAATTGCATGCTATCTCATGCAATCGCATCGAACTTTGCACACGCACAGCATGCTGAATGTCGACATTCAATTCGTGGAAACGGGGATACAATCCACGCCACGAATGTTTCATAAGAATTGCTGTTGCCAACAACGCGGCCCACAATAAGCCACACAGACTCATCCCCAACCGCCGTACTGTCAATGCGTTTTTATGCGGCTACCATGCGGTATTAAGCGAGACGGGAACCATCCCAATCTGTTCCTGCCACTAGGGTCTGCGACATAGGGGCTTGCTACTAGAACACTCTTTGCGGTGGGGTGGGGAATATCGAATTGTAGCAGCGGCTGCATGACGATTCGCCTCTCATTCGATAATGTGGGTTGAGATTAAACAAACCCGTTTGTTGTTTCGTCCAAGCCTTGGTCATAAGCTGAAGTCTTGGAACAAACTGGGGCGCTTCAAGTGACGAGAAATGTATAAATCATAGCCATTGCCCTGCTTTATTGTCCTCACCACCATCACCGGGACCAGCTCTTCAGCATTACCTTCGTTTTTTACACACCTTCTTTTCTTCAATTCACTTCCACACTCGTTTTCTGGACAAAATGAAAGCCTCTTTCGCCGCCATCGCTGCTGTTGCACAGGTTGCATCCGCCCATTACTCCTTCGACGCCGTCACCAGCGGCGGAGCTGGTGCTCAACCTTACAAGTATGTCAGGGACTTGACCAGGCCTACCAAGTACAACCCTATCAAGTTCTCTTCCAACCCTGCTGCCGACATCCGGGACAACTCCAACGTCGACAAGGGCACAGATATCATCTGCAACCAGGGTGCCTTCTCCTCCGCCGGTAAGACTGATGTCTTGACTGTCAGCGCCGGTGACGAGGTCACCCTGAGGACCGCCGTCGGCGCGAAGATGGAGCACCCCGGTCCTTCTCTGGTCTACATGTCCAAGGCCCCCAGCTCTGTCAAGACCTACGACGGTTCTGGTGAATGGTTCAAGATCTACGAAGACTCTGTCTGCTCTGAGACCGCCGACTTCACCAAGGATGCCTGGTGCTCTTATGGAAAGTCTTCCATTGGCGCTAAGATCCCCAAGGACACCCCCGATGGTGAATACCTCTTCCGTGTTGAGCACATCGGTGTTCACCGATCCCACGTCAACCAGCCCGAGCACTACGTTGGCTGTGCTCAGATCAAGGTCACCAACGGAGGATCCGGCACCCCTGGCCCCACCGTTAAGTTCCCCGGAGCTTACAAGTCGACCGACGACTACGCCAACTTCAGCATCTACAACGGCCGCAAGGCCTTCAAGATCCCCGGTCCTGCTGTCTGGTCCGGAGGTTCTACTGGTGGCTCCGCTGGCAACAGCACTCCCGTTGACAAGGAGGAGGAGACCACCCCTGCTCCTTCTACTCCTTCTGCCCCAGCTTCCTCTGCTCCCGCTGCTGCCCCTTCGGCTGCTCCCTCATCTGCTCCTCCCGCTGCTCCCCCTGCCTCCCAGCCTCCTACCGCTGGCTGCGCTTCTCTCTACGGACAGTGCGGCGGCAAGTCCTTCACCGGTGGCAAGTGCTGCTCCGCTGGTGCCTGCAAGGAGATGAACCCCTACTACTCCCAGTGCATCTAAATGCATTCTCTCATAGCCTGGTCTGCAGTTCACCTTCTGAGCTTGACCACGCTGCTCCGAGTGGGAGAAAGCCAACAGCCTCTGCACCCTTGATGGCAATTCTTCACTTTTTGAAGTGTTCTGATCGAAATAGAGCAAGCATTACCGTCTTTCATGTATATATATACTTTTACTATCTACCAACAGCTCGCCTGAGGCAGCTCACGTACCCATGTTTGTAACATCGTGGTCATTCAAAATACATATCTTTTTGTGTTAATTTTCCGTCTTCTGTGTCTTTGATCAAACATGATGACACCCATCCAATAACTCTCATGTGAACAATACTTGCGGAGATGCAAAGCCTATTGGTATTTCAATCTATTAGCCGTGAAATTTTAATCAATATCTTCTTTTGTTGACGGATTGTCCGAACTCTATACAGAGATATGACGGGTAGTTGATACACACGAGCATGCGTTCATCAGTAGTGCTCAACCATTTGACGCCTGAGGATACTTGTTTTCAAGCTGAATTCTATGTAGCCTGTCTCCGACCAACGTTGCCCTAGCGCGTGGCGTGCACATGGCTCGAAGCGTGATGACATTGAACGGGCCTAAACCTTAATCAGCCTCGCATCTCGGCTAGTCGGCGTTTCAAGCGCCCGATTGACCTTCTTTTCCTCCGATCTTGTTCTCTCCCTCATTCTCGATCCCATAATCACTCTCCAATGATTTGCGCATCGGATAATGTCTTTCCAAACAGACAAATACGAGTCCAAGAGCAGCGAACGCAATAGCAACCTGCCATCCGACTCGTATAGACTTCAGAAATACATCGATCACTTCCGCTTTCACTGGTTGCGGGAGGGTACTTAGAAAAGACCCACTGGCATACTGATAAGCTCTTCCGTTCCTCAGCGTATCTCGTATCGGCGGATCGTGTATCAGTCCGATGAAACGGTCAAAAGAGGTGTTGAAAATCACCGTGGGAATTGTACTACCCCAGAGAAAGCCGAAACTTCGGGCGAACGAGTAAACGCCTGACGCAGCAGCGACATCAGACTCGGCCAGTGAACTGAGGATGGCGGGAAGGACCGTCGGCAGAATGATGCCAATTCCGATCCCGTTCAGCGCGACCAAAACCGCCCATACCGCAGTGGGCGTGGTGGTGGTCAATATCGTGTTCAGCCCGGAGCCCAACGTGAGGATAGAGAAAGAGACAAAGTGTATCGGGCGATAAACGCCTAGTCGAGAGAGAATTTGTCCTGCCACAGCTGCACTAGGAATCGAAAAGGCCTGATATACTATCGAGTTGACGCCTGATCGAAGCGGACTCGCTCCACGGACAGCTTGCCAATATAACTGCCACTGGAAGTTGATCCAGGTCGTAAGCACCGATGACATGAAGACGAGGACGAGACAGGCGAGCGATGTCCGATTTCCTACAATGCGCCGGGGAATGACCGGAACTTTGCAAATCTTTGAGGTTTCCCAAATATGGAATGCGACCCAGCCAGCTACCCCAAGAACAATGGGGACCACGACACGCCAGGAGCCCCAACTGAATACTGCTCCTCCAAAAACGAGGCCGATGAGCAGAGATGTCAGCGCCATGACGAAGATGATGTTACCGATCCAGTCAATCTGCGACAACGCTCTTGTCCAAGGTTGAGGGGTATGTTTCAGTCGCATGAAAGGAATCATGACTGCGAGGACTACCCCAGATATGGGAACGTTCATGTAGAATATCCAGCGCCAACTCTTCTCAGCGATTGCCCCTCCAATAGGCGGACCAGAGATAGCTCCCACGGCACAACAAGAGAGTGTAATCGACAAATACTTTCCTCTCTCGCGCAGCGGGACAATATCGCATACAATGACCTCCATGAGCAGCATAGTCCCAGCTGAGCCGAGGCCTTGTATCGTGCGGCCGACTATCAGCATATCCTTCGATGAACACGCACCGGCTACCACACTTCCTATAGCGACAATAGCGACGGAGAGAATCATGGGTGTTCGACGTCCGAATATGTTGGAACATTGCGCTACAAGAGGTTGGAAAACCGTCTGAGCTATCCAGAAAGAATTGACCACCCAAACGTACTGCTCCTCCAGTTGCAGCTCGTTCGATATCCGTGGAAGGGCAATGCCGATGATACTTCCGTCAAGAGCAACCAGGAAACCGATGAGGCACATGGAGAAGATCACGAGCCAGAATCGCCAGTCTTTGTTTAATGTCGAATCCGGGGATGAAATCTTTCCCTCTCTCTTGGTTTCATCGATGACCGTAGATTCCATGACTGAGTTGGAGAGTCTTGCTGCTCCTGACTCGTTTGTGGCAATTCTCACAGAGTGGAAATTGACACCACCAATTTGAACAATTTGGATAAAATTGGACGCTGTAGGATCTATGAAAGACCTCGTAGGTTCCGAAAGACGAAGTGAACCTTGTGACAGAGGTACCGGTGAGCGACTCGATGCTACGGCGCTGTTTTGGCGTAGTCATATGTACGCCCTAGCCCTATTTTCCATGCTGAAATGCTCTTCTACCGAGGCTAGGATACCCTGTAGGAGAAATCTACCACTCGTGGACTTCATCTTGCGGTTAGCATGTAAGCTTATTCACGTGGGTAGGTCGGTTCACCGCATCAGCTCGGCACTGATAAGTGTAGTGATGCGAGGTACATCAGCTTACAACATGCAGGCTGCGCCGTCTATGTAACCCATATTGATATCCTGACACGCCAGAAAGAAATGCAGGATGCACTTTGTCCGGACTGTTTCAATCGCGTTCAGTGTTACACGTTGATCTTCCGGTCAAAGACTTGATTTGTGGCTACCTGGATACGGCAATTCTTCACGCCTGCTGTATGTTATAATTGCATAGTGAAAACCAAGGATGAGCTCTACGTGAGTCTGCTAGCCAAACCCCGAACTTTTTCGGGTGGCATTTTGGGCCGACGTTCCTGGTTGCATTTTAGTTGGACATGATATCCAGCCTTGTGCTCCCACGCATGTGATCTCCTATCCCTAGGATCTCCGAATATGGGACCATTTCAATATGGCGTATCTCTAGGCACCCATAATCGGGATAGTGGAGTATGATGTGAGAAGCCACCGATCGTCCTGTCTTTCCAGAGCTCTAGCTCTAGGCTGGGGTTTGGGGGGCACAGATGTATCATTTGCTTCTCATATCAGGCGAACCGCATAGTAAGAGCCCTTATAAAGCTTCTTATTGTGTTCATGCGTTTTATTGTTGCTGTCTCTTGACTCAAGCTATCATTCTTGAAGCTAGACAGACTTCACAGTCTCTGCAGAACCTCAAGATGCTACTGAATCTCGTTATCAGCTGTTTGGTTTCGTTTCTTATTTTCAAGCTCGTCGTGGTCGTCACGACCCTGAGAAAGGACGTCGCAACCGCGAAAGCCGCATCCGTCCCGGTGCTGGTGCGATGGATATCTCCAAACACCGTCTTCTGGCTCGTCTTCGGTGACTTCATTGTCAGTACATCTTACCGCCTTGGCCTTCGCGATTGGCACTTTCAACGTTTCTACCCAGCGTGGGAATTGAATGAGCGTTACAAGATACACTCTGAATTAGGCGACGCGTTCTACTGCATCGCCCCTGGGGAATGCCGTCTCTATCTCGCCGACCATGACGCTTGCATTGACGTCTTGAAACGACCAAACGACTTCGGGCGCGACGTGAAAAAGATGTCTATGCTGAATCTATACGGACGGCACATTGTCACTGCAGAAGGAGCCGAATGGAGAAGATTCAAGAAGGCAGCCAGCAGCGCTTTTGCGGATATCAATGAGTTGGTTTGGCGACAGACACTTTCACAGACAGACGATATGCTTGCTTCTTGGAACAAAGGCGGTCTTGTAAAGACAACCGTAGTCGACTGCAAAACTTTTGCGCTAAACGTGCTAGCGGGGAGTCTATTTTCAATCTCATATCCGTTTGAAGAAGGAGCGAAAGTTTCATCACAGGATCTGGATGGGGAAAAGTCTTCTGCTAATCGCTACAGAGACTCACTGCTCACCGTTACACGCAATCTATTCCCCATTCTGGTCTTCGGTGGCTCGGCGCTGAGATCAAGTTTCTCACCCAAGAAATTCCAACGTATAGGGGTTGCAGTGGAAGAATTTCGGTCCTACGTCAAAGAGCTTGTCGCGAAGGAGAGACTGAAAATCCAGCAAAATCATTCCTCGCGACAAGGCCTCATTGCGAATCTTACGAGAGTCTGCGAAGACCAGACCCACGGAGCTGAGGAGAACGCCGCCACACAAGCCAAGTTCACCATGACGGAAAATGATATTGTGAGCAATACATTCATGTACACCCTTGGTGGGACCGACACCTCAGCTGCTTCCTTGTCGAACGCTATAGTGCACTTGTCAGCACATCCTAGCCTACAGGACTGGCTTGCTGAGGAGATCCAGTATTATCTGAAAAGTGGAAACCCTGAGGATTGGAGCTTGGATAACTTTGCGAAACTCAAAAGGTGCCGGGCAGTGTTGGTAAGCTTCTCTTCCGCGGCCTTACCTAGAAATCAACTGACCAGTGGACCGTAGAACGAGACGCTCCGTATCTGCCACCCCATTGGCAAGATCTTCAAAACAACCAACAGCGCACAAACGCTGACCATAAAGTCTCAGACCATCGAAGTCCCACCCAACACAGCCATTGTCCTAAATCTCGCCGGGCTACACACCAACCCCGAGATATGGGGGGAAGACGCCCATATCTGGGACCCAACTCGCTGGATCCACGTCGAAAGTAACACCGAACCTGGTATAGAAAGCGAGATCTTACTTCCTGACACCACAAGGGGTTTTCTCGGCTGGGGTTTAGGACAACGAATTTGCCCCGGCAAAAGATACTCGCAAGTAGAACTAGTTGCAGCCATTGCGCTTATATTCCGCGAATCCCGCGTTTCCTTTGTACCCGACCCTGACGAGACCGAATCAGAGGCGCGGTTACGAATGATTACCATGGCACAGGATATGGCGTTCAGGATGACACACGAGATTAGGAACGGCGATAAAATCCAGCTTCGGTGGAAGACTGTGGAACATGACTTGGCGACGCTGTAAGAAATTGTATACTAATGTATAGCTAAGACATAGTTGTTACATCGTTTTTTGCACGTGCGCGCGAGCTGAAGGATGACATATAGACAGCCTTCCGCATCTGTGCCCTTAGGGCTTACATCTTTCCTTATCAGTGAATCTTATGGAAGAATCACATGGAAAATTGATGAATGGAGTTGGATGAGCCGAGTGTTATCGGTGATAAGATCCAACTGCATATGTACAATTACTCAATGGGGTCTCGGTCGATCTTAGATCAGCCCTGAGGTTCCTTGCCCCCGACAACAACCTTCCAGAACATGGATCTAGGTATCGCAAGATATGCATGTTTGAGGCGGTATATAATCGGTTCTGTAGGACGCCAAGGCAGAATATAAGCACACCTGAGAATCTTACAAGGCTGCGGTAGATAGCAATGGACAGGTAAGTGTGTCGGTGAGAAATTCCACGGACGTGCAGTCCTTCGAATCACTCCCACAGCGGGCTATTCTGGGTATACATTGCAACCGAGTTCACGCCTTGATTTCTCGTTGAAATCTGAGCCTTGAATCTCGAAGCAAAGAGAAAACAAAAATTCGTTCCAGGATAATTCGTTCAGTGAGTCACTCTCCAGTCTAGATTGTGGGCCAGATCTTACCCATACAACAAGCAGATACTCATCGACTTCTTTCCAGGCACGAACCAAATCCCAAAAGACATCATCTGAAAACCTACGTTAACCTCGGAAAAATGGTGTTCACCCCCGCGGTCCATATCGCTTCCGGTCTCCTATCCCTCTGCCTCCTCGCGGCGTCGATTTCTGGCATGCCTTCACCCATAGTAGACATCGTTACCTATACCGCGTTGATTCTCGCAATAATGGGCGCATGCGCTCTCGTGACTGCAGTCGCGGTTGGGAGGTTTCTGGATATGTCCTGGGTTCCATACTGCGAGACACCGCGAGAAACAGATTTCTTCTTGTGCAGGAAGAAATGAGTGGGTTTGGGCGCGCGAGATATATGGGATGTACTACGACGGTTGCGATGCTGCAGATAACGGGATTTAGAAAGCATTTCGTTGGGAACCTTGGAATCGGTTAAAATGGATTATGCGCGTCCGCGCAGTGGAGAAAGGTGTATTTATCAGACAAAGTTGTTTTCGGTGCAAAAGATGGGGCGAGAAGAAGCAACGTTCAATTACTAGATTTTCGAAGCGAGACCCAGGTATTCAATCCGGGTTTGTCGGGCTTGGTCCGGGGTACCAACACATTTCCGGTGTGCCCATCGCATCGTAATACAACTACAAATGTGACGTGGTTAGGACATACCGGTTTGCCAGCGAGTTGAAATCCACATTGTGCTGTGTCTCTTATAGTTGTTTGCAATTATCGTAGATACTAATAAGTACCGTCTTCTCAAACTCGACCTTTTTTTAGATGCCAAGATAGCAATCCTGGTACAAAATGTGGAAAGTTCGCATGCGTGATGTATTGATCTGGGGGCCGTTTGTCTGCCTTGCTCTGTTCTTCCCCAAGCAGGCCCGCGAGGAGAAGGCAATATGTACCCCGCCACCTCCTCCAAGGCAACAGCCAATTGGGCCAAGAACATACTGCGCAATCTTGTCTAGAGTTGTTATACTACCGCGCGCCCACGTTGTAAAATCAGAGATGGAATTTGTTCTATTTTGTGGCATTGTGTTCATTGCGCCGTGCGCTTCCACGATTCTGTTCGAGAGCTGGGCCTTTTCCTTCTGGACTTTAGCGTCTTTGCTGTATTTGTGGTCAATATCATGTCTACTTTGCATATATTGAATACTGAGCCTGCTTATATGGACGATGCGGCGTTCCAGGAACGAGTCCGTGGCAGTGGTCGGATCAGTTACACAGCATTCCGAGTAAGCAGTACAATTGAGTAATTCACATGGATGTAAGCTAACAACGCTCAGATCGCTGTAGCGGTACTACTGGCTTTTGCTCTGACATGTTTCGTCTGTCGGCTTTGTATCCGCCTCGTCACACGCAAGCGTCTGTTTCTTGACGATGGATTCCTCATCGTGGCCGCGACATGTCTATGCGCATCCACAGGGATTCTTTTCAAAATGCTGTTCCTGTCTTACATCGTCCCGGCTATGTCCCGCTATCCTGATCTCGCGTATACAACTGCGTTCCAATCATATGTCAATCAGATGCATCACAACCAAGTCGCGCGGAAGGCATTTGCATTTCTTAATTTCACGGCCATATTTGCCGTCAAGGGGTGCTATTTGAGCTTTTTCAATCCTTTCGTGAAGAATCAAGGTCGCATCTTTACCTACTACTGGGTGGTTGTCGTATTCACGGCATTAGCTTGGGTTGTCAGCGCTACAGAAGGCTTCGTGTACAAGAAGTACGAGCAAATCGATCCCAACACCACAGACCTTAATCCGACCGAGTTCTACAACATTCTATTCGGTTACGCTATCGCCATAGCCTCCGTTGATATACTCAGCGACATCATGAGTACGCCCACCTCTTCCCATGGCTCCAAACTTAAATACTGAACTGCGCAGTTATCTCTATCCCAATTTTCCTCTTGCACAAGTCCACAATGCCGCTTCGCACTCGAGCAGGATTGATCTTATTTCTCTGCCTCTCTGTAGTCATGATAGCATGTAGCATTGCTATGGTATCGGGGTTCGTGACTGCGAACGCGGACACGACTTGGCGCACTTTCTGGCAAGAGGTGGAAGCTTGTGTTGCGGTGATGATGGCTTCGGTGACGGTTTTTAAGTCACTCCTTGTGTCGCGTCAACGCCGCGAAGACGTGGAGAAGAGACCTACTGCACCATACTTCATTGCTAAATGGCACGCGGAATTCACTTCCTCGCATGGTGAAACTGATGAGGAATCTGAGGTCAAGACACCCACGGTGCCTGGTGAGATCTTCACTGGCAATGGCAAGTTTTCTCGTAAATACGAAGGTGATGAACTGCAGACCCAATACGCTAAATGGGAGCAAGAAGAGGTAGAGGCTCAATGTTATGTCAAACAAGGGGATCTTAGAAGGACATAGAGGAGACCAAAACTTTCCATGAATCATGAATCAGTCTTATTTCTGCTAATTTATGTTTCGTTGCATCGCCATCATATTGATGCTCCTACATACGTACCTATGTTGACAGTGCCACATGCTTACCATTTTCACAGGCGTACTTGATGGAGAACCCACAGCCAATCGGCTCGCCCCACCCCCGGGCCGGAGCCACGTGGCGGCGTGGCTGTGCAGATTTTCCCCTTACGCCCCGTGATCAAGGGGGGGTTGACACATATTCAATAAGCAGGAAATCAGATTCGTCCTCTACAAACTCTGTTCGAATTAGCCCCTGAGCGATCATCCTTTCAGGACTTTAACGCACGAAAGATGGGCAGTGGGAGTCCCGAGCCAGACAAGAAACCTGATAAACTTAACCAAGTTGGAAAGTTCCTGTGAGCCATCGCTACTTACCCCTCCTTCTCGCCTAACAACCCCCCCACCCAATGGAAAACACCCCCTAACATCCTACCCCGTAGACAAAAGAGCTACAACAAAGGAGAACTGGCCCTCAAACATGCCGCGGGATTAGGCAAGGTGGACAATGTGGTTCCAGAAACACAGCCCATCACGAATGGCCCATCGCGTCCTGTCCGCGTCGGCTGGCATCCCGTTGGTGGCCTCGCCGGGAAGTGGTTTGCCGAACAGACTGGAATAGGCAAACTGATCACCGAGAAAATCAACGAGTATCCGGATCCCACGCAGCATTGGGCGGTCCTCGTTGGCGAATATGCGCATCAACTGTGGATGGATGAGAATTTCGATATCATATATACCAATGCTAGAGTGGACCCAGATGAGTGGAGAACCTTCGACGTGGGCAACACGTGCTTCAATGATGATGCTATTCGGCGGACAGGTAATTACATGGAGTATAGCCAGAGCCATCTACGCTTCTAACAATCATGATAGGTGAATATGTCATTGAGAGCATACGTATTACCCGCCCGGGTTACAACCTGATCAGCAACAACTGCCAGACGTACGTCCTGCAGCTTCTCGATGCTATCAAAGTAGGCCAAGCAAAAGAATTCGGAACCACACTGGCCGTGTACGAGAAACTCGTAGGCAAAGGAAAAGTGGCAGATCTGTTCCAAGAAGAAGTGGGAATGCAAGGTCAGCCCAACGTATCGCACGGAACGGCCTCCTACACCGGACAGGAAACGGGCGTGGTTGGGGGCTCAGGCGGTGGGGGTCATGTTCCATACCACCAACCAGAAACCCTGTTTCACGGAGAACAAAACCAACAAACCGTCAATGAGGGGCAGGGCTCGGTGTCGCTGGCTCAACAAGTCATGCAGGCCAACACCACACAGCTCAACACTGAGAACCAGGTGCAGAGGCATATCGAGGAAGAAGACGCAAGCGAGAAGAAGAAGAAAAAGACGAGCTACTCACCGTCCTCGATGTTGAAGAAACTGAAATTTTAGCGAGGCGGACATTGTTTTTCTACTTATTACACGATTGTAACGACTATGCGATAACTGTTGCATCTGAACCATGCAGTACATAAACTTACATATGTTTAATATCTTAAAGCCATTACCGAAGAATGCCGACTCACTTCTATCAGCTGAAAATAGAATGTTGTAGATATAAAGGTGAGCTGGGAAGGTCGACAAGTTCTATAAGGAAGGTACATATGTAGAGAAACCCAGTATACATATGCGTGCATGATAACTAGGCCAGTTGAGCGTCAGAGCTCACCCACCAGTGGACGGAATATCTCCGCCAAGACCATAGCCCGAACCCAAAGACGTCTACATAAGCAAAGGATTTACAGTGGCACATATCACGCTAGAAATTGGCTTCGAAATAGTTCCATTGCATACAACGCTCCCCCGTCTTCGTTCCCCGCATTATGCTACGGGTTCCGGCAACATTTTCTAATGTGATCAACAATACAGAAGAACAACTTTCTATCTCTAATAGATATGGAACAACAGGTTGAGATTTGACTGTAATCTCTGTCCGGTCTTGGTGGAGTAATCAATGCAGATTGCCAACCTGCCCAGGTGCAGCATATACAACATGACCTCGCCACCGCAACATCTCGCGCGCTCTCACGCATTAGTCCTTCTGGATAACAGCACTTTACTAACAAATACGAGGTAATCCTCTTACGGGATCCGCGGAAGATCTACATTGGGTGATCAGCACAGTCGTTCGAGCTCATGACGACCGTTCTAGGCACAGTTCCGTAAACGACAAAAGAGATTTCCCAATCTGAACCACAGGGAGCCTGCTTGTATACGCGGCTGTTTATGGCAAGGGATTCGGTACATTAGCCGTTCTATTCTTTGTTGCCGTCAAGAGCCTGCTTGGTGCTGCGTTGGCGTACTTGCCGGAGCTTTGTGGCCTAACGACGTGCATCTCAACATTGCATACATGTACGAGAAGTCGAACCTGCATCTTCCCGTTTTGGTAGGACGATAGCAAATCATTTCTTGATAGACCCTAAGCGCTGTGTAATCATTCTGCGGCTTGCCTAGAGCTGCCTGCGAGGAGTGCATGGTCAGCATTGAGTTGGATCTTTCGGGCATGAGAGGGCCATGATATCCCAGAAAAGTTCTTGGAACGGAAAATCATGATACGGTCCCAGGGCTTCAAAGCCGCTCCATCTAAGAAAAGAAACATGTATTGTCAAAAAATCTTTATCGGGGGTCAGGAAACTACTCGCGCACTAAAACTCAGGATATAACAATTATCGTCGGCCAACTCATAGTTGCGGTGATAACATAGAAAAAGGCGCATTTTACGAAGAACATTCTTCCCCATACCATACGAGCTGCACCGATGCCGGCATCAGCTAAAGGAAGCGCACTGACTATGCCCATCATCGTGTACTTGCACCGAGTTCGCAACAATACGGCTGTAGCGGTTGATCCCGCCGTTCTGGAGTGACGCTGTATGCACCCTCACTCAGCAGGTACGACATTAACCGATGGTTAAATCCTCACATCTCCCACCTCGCAATCATCCTCATCGTATTTCCAAACAGGCGGGCACTCTTCAATCCTGGAAAAGGGATAGGTTATATTGGAATCAATATATCTCATCGCAATTGCCACTCCACGACATCCATAGACCCGGGCAAGCTTCTGCTATCGTATCTTCAATCTACACCGCCATCGTATCTGCATAGAGTGGTGGGAAATAGGTACGCAGGATTGTAACCTACTGCGCTGGATTGGGGAATTATGGCTTCTCTTGCGTTTCTTATCGTGGTCTAGATTATCTTAGGTGCTGACGACGCCACGGCGAGCAAATATATGACAGCATAGGCAGGCAGAAGTCGTGATATCAACCTGATTAGAAAGAAAATAGAGACAAAAACGTATATAAGCTCAGGATTACTTGATTGTTGAATAACACAATTTTCAAACCGACGCTGCATAAACTTCGACCTCCCTCTCGCTTTTCAAGATGTGGTCTCGTGTACTGTCTGCTGGTGCAGTGCTCGCAACGATTGCGAGTGTAGCGAACGCATTTCCCTTCGAAGGCTTCCTGCAAAAGCGTCAAAGCACCAACTCGATCCAAAACTGGGCCAACGACTTCGCGACTGTGGATTTTCGCAATGGGCAGAATGGTGTCTTTGAGGTGGAGTGGAACAACAGGCCTGGAGGGAACTTTGTCGTAGGAAAGGGATATCGACCTGCTCGGGATATGTAAGTTTTGTAACCCCGGTTACCACGCATGAAAATCCCCAGGAAAGATTAGAGTCAACTGACCGTCGATAATAGGCTTTTTAACTACACTGGAGACTTTTTCGTCGACGGCTGGGCCTATCTCGCACTCTATGGGTGGACTACCAACCCTTTGGTTGAGTACTACGTGATCGAAGCCAGTATGTTGAAACCAAAATTCCAATAGCAGTCTGAATCAACCGAAACCGTGAGCTAACCAATTTCTCCACAGTGGGCGACCACAACCCCTCCGACAACGCAAGCGCCACGCAATACGGTACCCTCCAATCCGACGGCGCAACATACGAGATCTGGCAAAAGGAGCGCATCAACGCACCTTCAATCATCGGCGACAAGACAAACTTCCAGCAATACTGGTCGATCCGCACGAGCATGCACCACGGCGGAACCATCAACACCGGCAACCACTTCCGTGCCTGGGAAGCCGCGGGCTTGAAGCTGGGTACCCAGAACTACATGGTGATGGGTATTGAGGGACAACAGGGCCGTGGATCGGCAACTATTACCGTTGGAACGCCTCCAGCGACTCGCATGCCTGAGACAACTACCTCTACTTATCGGTCGATCAGAAGGACTACGACAACGAGGCGGACAACTACGACGTCTTCTACGAGACGGCCGACTACTACTTCATCCTCACGACCTCCTTCAGTTCCTCGTTCAGGCCCTGCTAAAGAAACGAATGCATCGTAGTGTGTTAATGGAGATTCTAGATAGGGAGATACTGTCACTTGGGGTCGTCAAATTTGAGAAATCATCAGTCGAGCGTATAAACAACACATGGGCTCGTCGGCGTTCATGAGTATTTCCCAGTATCAAGTGTCATGAATGATCATATTTTAGATTATGTCAAGCTTCCGTTGCTCATGATGCAGTGATGCTTCAGCGTCTTATCAGAGATGTGACTTCATTTTAATTTTTTTTTTTTTACTTCTTGCTCGGTTCTGGCATGCGACACGCGTTCCTCGACATCCGTGCACGTTCGTGCTATTCATCACACAATCCGGCAGAATGTCTAATCGGCCGATCATCATTTTTGAAGAGAATCCGGTCTTAATCAATAGCGTGTATTGGAATGAAGATAACTTATAGTATTCATGCGAGAAGAAAAAAAGTGCTGATTTGCCGGTGGTACGGGGAATGTCGCGAGTATATTAATAGCGTCCAACCGGTTTTTCGGTACCGAGAGCACAACATAGCATTATGCGAACAGACCATATCATAAGTAGTATCAGGGAACACTCTACGCTATTTGGAGATTGCGCGCTTAGTGGAGAAGCTTTGATTGTTGGTCGAGACTGATTAAACTAGGACCGAGACAATACTTTTAAGATAACAGGCCCGCGATGGCGCCGTTACGCGCTGAAAGTTTCCAAAGCTCAATTTCTCTCTACGCCAATTACTTCAATAAGAGGTGTATAGCCAGAACAGAAGTGATGATGTTATTACAGTACGGAATTACAACGAAAGGCAGCTGCCAGACTAACTCAAAGATAATAGTCAATGATGTGCTCAGCCAATGAAAGCACGCGCATCTTCCGCAAACGGACACTCTCCCCACTCCGTCAATGCCTCACATTCCAATCATACTGATACCTCGCGCTCCCAAGATCCCCCGCATACTTCTTCATCGTATCCATATCCACTGTCTTCAAAGCCGCTTTATGCGTGCTCTCGAGATCAATCAGCGGGACTCCCTGTCCTCCAGAATCGCGATCAGCAGCTTCCTTCCAATGATCTGCAGCCAAACACCACTTTTGCCCCGGACGAAGACCCAGTTGCTTCAAATTCACGCCGTTCTTGCTGGTGAAGTCGAGGAAAGACTGGGTTAGTTGCGCAGCCATTGGAGATCGTTCGTCGCAGAAGCCGGCTTTGAACTCGGAGGGGAGGGCTTTGGAGGCCATGGGTAGGGAGCTTCGGGTCGAATGTTGGTGGAGTGGCGTGTCAAGGACTGCGAAGAAGGGGTTAGAATGTAGCTTCCATTGTGAGGTCGCGTTCGCAGAATATTCTATCGGAAGCGGGATTTACCATTCTTGTCTTCGTTGTGCTCACTGCCATGGACGTTGGGGCCCAATCTGCTGTCTACTGTGACTTTATCCCATGCTGTTGGCTTGCGGACTTTCTCGGCCATTTCAAGATAAGCTCAAGTTGTCTATACTCAAAAATACAATTTTGAATGTTGTGCTGGTGTATGGTAGTGAAATTGAAGGGTAGTATGTGGTACAATTTTCCGTTCAAGATTGATGTAGCTGGAACTATATACTTTTTGGCTCTGCATCTGAAGCAGTTCTGGACAAAGGTGCAGATCCCATCGCCTGTACACTACGCTCATAGATCGATCTGTGGAGAATTTAGTGCATGCTAGTATACACGTGAATGTAAGGAAGGGGAGCTGTTCTCGGCATGTGATTGGTCGCCTCAAAGTCAAACTAACCGCATCGAGCTTACATTGTGAGTTCGGTACGATCTTGCCCTGACAGCAATGACGTCTTCCACTCTTGGTCAGATCTCACACTTCACAATCTTGATTGTGGGGACCGCGTGGGGATTCAGCGTTCCATGGGCCCTGCTGTCTAGGAGTTTTGGCTTGTGATTTTACCTCCTGCTATGACGGTCTTGTACCCATATTGACCATGATTTTCTTACGGATGTTCATAAGAATCGCCAGATTGGTTTTACCGCGCGTTCAAGAATTGGACTTGAAAGGCATGCTGCCATCGGTATTTTTCGCGATCAACATTATTCTATCTACCGCTTAGAAACACTAACAAAGAGTACCCTTCTCAGGTAACCGTGATGGCATTCGCGACCCCGCACACTTTCTTATTTTATCAAGTTAACCTCTGGAAACTCATCGTTCGGGCCCTTCAGCACATCGTCTTCCAATTCTAGCCCCAACATATATGAGAAGAAGGCAGTAATGTATCTCCCAGGGATGTCTATCCAATTCCGTGTACTAGGCGGAGGCCCAACAAGCAAACTTGCCGTCTCACTCAAATTGCCTCGCACACCCGCCACATCCACCAACACGCTCAGATCCCAGTACGACAAATGAGTCGTATTCGAAATAGTGAACTCTTTCTTGTAGTCGACGTGGGGCGAATTTCTCAAAGCAGCCCAGAATCTATCCCAAGACACATCGCCGAGAGAAACATGCTGATCACTGCCCCACAGCATGAACGCCTGTGGACGCTCTGGCGTTCCTAGTGATCGGTTCAAGACAGGTCCGAACATGGTACCGTCGATATTGACACCCGCACGGATTCGCTTGTCGCCTAGCATCGCCGTTGCAGTCGCTGCACCGCCAAAACTGCACCCGAACATCACCACGTCTTCGTCTGGTTTTACACCGAGCCTGTCCAGTACGAAGGAGGCATCTTTTGCGCGGACTTCTAAACCGAATTCGGCGGACGCGGTGGATTCATTACTTGGCCTTTCAACGCGGCCTCCGATGATGATGTCGCCGTTTGGAAATTCAACAATGTCGGTCTCGTATGGGTGATCCAGATTTATGACCGTGAAACCGTGACTCGCGATTTCTTGCGCGAAGTAGTTTGACAAAAAGCGAGTCGTATTGTAACCTCCGCTGGATATCACAATGGGCCAATGGTTCCCATCGGGGATTGCGTCGCAAGCTTCATGGTAGTATCGGAGACCTTTTGGATATTCGTAAGAGCCCAGGATTTCATCTTCAAGTATGGCCGTTGTGTTGGACATATAAGGTATTTGTACCATTCGCTCGCATTCTGAAGGGAGAATAGGATCGAATCTAGATATCATGAGACGCCTTGCGTGTGTTTGATTGAAAGGATCAAGGCGTGAAGTATCCACCCATTCCTCGTTGACGATAGAAGTGTAGTACGGGCCCGTCCCGCGAGGAATAGCAAATGGTAAACCAAGCGCCGTGCATCGCGCAACAAAAACAGTGGTCAGGATGAAGAACCTCGCCATCTTAGGTGAGGAACATGTGTCAAGGAGGAACTCCTGGGAGATAGCAGACAAGATTTTATTACTGGTTGTCAAATTGTAAGGTTGTTGCGAAAACCGAAATACGAATGTTCTCGTATCCGGATATAGAAGAAAGCGCATTGCTATACCTATGAAGGTTGTTCTGCATCATAACGAGCTTCCTGATAAGGTTAAAATCAAATCCAGCCTTGACGCCACCCGACGTAGCACACTAGTGCGGGGAGCAAGAGAATATTCGCCTGAAATACCTGTCATAGCATGGTGGATAATGTTGCCGAGTAAAACAATCCAACTTCTCATTAGACGGTCTGGAATTTCATTGGTGAGGGATTCGAATCGGACTCGAGTGGACAAAATAAAAGCACTTGCGATTAGGACATATGAATATCATGTTATGACAAATATATTGTACTTTTGTTTCCCACTACTGAACAACATTACTTGGTTTTTGGCTTTCCACCTGCTACTTACTCTATTTCGGCCAGAGAGAACCGCTCATCGCATTGTCCGGGGAAGGACTGTGGGAACAGGAGGACGGCTGGTAGTCCTAGGGAGCTCCGGGACAGGAGTGGTGGGCACGCACGCGCACGCACTGCTGACCTGCGAAACGATATCAGAGGTGGCAGTTCCGTTGTTACCACGGCAAGCCACCCTCGCATAATCGGGAAGAGCGTTCACATTATCCCTCTGCCTGGCAGTGTAGCTGCCACAGAAATCCTGGCTCTCCTCGAGAGTCGCTTCGTTGGTAAGAGAGGTGAAGCAGCTGTCGGATTTGCAAACAGCGGGTTTGGGACACTCTTTTGAGGTCATCTTGACGACAAAAGATCCACGCTCAATCGTGTGAACGAAGATAAAACCCGATTTGAATTTGGCGTATGAGGACCAGGAACCAAGGAAAGCGACAACACCGCCACCAACCTCCTCGTCGTCCTCGGGGTGGATGTCGAAGAAGCCGGCTTCGCATACGCTGTCACCAGATGGGTCTTCAGGGACGGAACGGATGTCCCAAACTGTTAGACCGACGCCTGAAAAGATGTCAGTATGTTTACAAGAATCCAAATGTATGTGCGAGTATCAGCGTCTCAGGTAGTACTGTCTAGTCCCGTTTGAGACTAGCTTACTACGTTCATACTTGAAAGTGTATATGGGAGTCTTACCATAATTGGATTGGTAAAGATAGCCGTCGACAATGTACTGATTGTGATCTATTGAGCGACGCTTTCCGTTAAAGTTGCCAGTGTATAGAGGCTTCTCCAAGTCACGGATGTCGAAGATGTGCGTTGTAGGTAGGCCCTGAGTCATAGGGCCAACTTTAGCATCGCGCTCGTCAAATTCGTCATCGAGGAAAAGGAATTCTTGGTTCTGCTCGTCGTTCACAACACCCTGGTGGATGTACTCGGCGCCAGGAAAGTCGGTGATAGAAATGATGCTGGTGGTATTGCCGACCTTGTTAGTTACATCGAAGATGGTCAAAGTGTTCTCGTTGTACCCATAGCATATGTCACGACCCTGGTATCGTTCGTCGGGGCCACGATAGACCAAACATTGAGCGTCATGAACGTATCCATCACCGGCAGCGCACCCGGGACTCCATGGATTGGCAGGGTCGGTGATGTTGAGGAAGATCAACCCACCGCGGCACGGCAAGTTACCACGGACTCGTACGGTTTCGTTGCCGCCGACTGAACCAGCGGCAATGGCGTAGTTGAGCTCCTCGTTTACGACAATGTTGTGTGTACGTCCAACGGGAAGCTTATCCCAGTGTCCAGTCAAGTCGGCCTGAGTAAAGTTGGTGGGGTTTTCGGGGTCGAGTTCGAGCAACTTCTTCATGTCGAAGAATTGCACGCCGTGCTTGATAGCCTCCGAACCGACGACAAGCAAGTCTCGGACGATTCGGATTTCTCTCCAATTGGAGCCGATAGAATCGTACTGGGGCAAACGGCCGAGGTAAACCATTTTACCTTCGCTGCTGATCTCAGCGAAAGCGGTTCCGTCGTATTGACCAATAGCGACGAATTCTCTTCCGTCCTCGGAAGTCCAACCCCACGACGATGACCCGCGGCCGACACTGCCAAGATTTGCATGAGAAAGGAAGTGGTAGAGATCAACCTAAATGAGTCAGCGGTGCTTCTAGACGGGTCGGATTGTATGCATACATTGTTGCACCTAAAGGTGTTGTTCACATCTCCAGGGATAGCAGCAGCCCATCCGTCTTCACAAGGAGTATAGCTGAGCTCAGGGTATTGTGAGCTTTCCATCTGACCAGCTGCAAGCTCCGCGCTCCATTGTGCCTTCGAATTATGTTAGCTGCTACAACGAACATAGAGGAACAAGCCAGTTACCATCTTCATTCCCATGATGCGCGCATGAACAGCGCCTGAGGCATACTCCTCGTTAGAGCCCATTGCAGCACCTCTGCTCACGCCCAGCAAGGCGGAGCAGAGTGCGACGAAGGAGAAACCATTGACCATTGTGATGCGAGAAACCAAACACAACGTGGGTGAACAGCAATCTTCTTCAGGGGACACAGTCGAATTATAAGTATTTTCATCGTGGGTTTACGTCGCCTGCCGCCAGGTCATACCGAGACCAGGCCAAGGGACGTGGAATTCCAGAAAAGGGAGGTGAGTAACTAACAGAACCATTAAACAGGGTTTGACGCATCTCGTCGAAAGTTAGACCTTTGTGAGATGACGGCAGAGTCTTAGCTGATAACGACAGAATCCAACGGTGAAGGTAGGTGAGGGTTGGCGCAGCTGGGCATGCTGTTCAGCCTCTAGCCCCATCCATCGTTTCCACGGCTACGGGCGGATTGGCCTTTTCTCGACTATCAGCCAAGAATTCTGGCAACCTGGTAAAGAGGGGTAGAATGCGCTGAGATGGAAGTCCAAGCCATCTTAATGGTAATCTAGGTGTTTCGCCGAGGCTAGAGCTTTGTGAAGATGGTAATGCCCTTGGCGGCGGGGGTGGGGTGGAACTAGCGACCCTGGGCAACCATCTGGGCTGCACTTGGTTATCGGGGGGAGTCGTAGACAGTAGCTGACGATAACATGACTTGGCACCGGCGATGGGGCGGAATCAAGAGCTGGGCACTTGATCCGTCTTCCGCTCATTCCGCTATTTTCATGACAAGCGGCAAACCCTCTGGGCGCAGAAGATCCAAAGAGATTTCAAGGTTGTTTCTAAGAAGGCTTTGGAATGACTCCAGACTATAACGAAGCTTGGAAATGATAACGTAACTTAAAATCAACAGTCGCACTATTGCAAGCCTCGTAGCCTGCTATCGTCAGGAGCAAGCATTTCGCTCGTTATCCTTTATAGAAACTTCTTGGAGGCGAGCTCCTCAACCAGGCTAAGATCAATCAATTCCCAGTTTCTACTCGAAGAATCAAATTTACAGCGAGTATCATCGACTGAATGTTGATCACATGCCATCTTCAATGACACTGTAACGGATTTGTGTCCAAATCTTCCTGCGTGGTTGTTGAATTGCTCTCTTCGCCAACTATTCGATCTCAGTGCAAGCTATCAAGTTTTTCATATTATTATCATTTCGCTTTTTAGCCTCCTTACCATCATCAGAGAGCCTTTGACTTATACTTGAATAGTCACATGTTCCCAGCTTGGAAGCGGTATACAGGGAAACGATTCCAGCGTGGTGCAAAGAGTTCAGTAAGAGTCGTCGCATCTTTGGCAGCAGAAAATATCTAACGTAATATCTAATCACGGAGACTTGTCCTCATCCTAAAGAACAATTTATCCGTTTAGCTTAGCCTGTACCGCTAGTTTCAATGGGCTATTACTCATCCTCTATTTGTCCACATAGAATCTCCTTGTTGATATTATGAAGTTGCAAGATAATCCCTGTGACGCAAGTTTGTAATTGGTTTTTTTTTGCTGACAGTACAATATCATTTTCCTGATCAGACTGCATTGGTGCGAAGATAGGTCTATGTTGTGCGCCACTCTCCATCACAATGATGTTGGCTGTGATTGCAACGCTACTAGGCGTTGAACAGAACTTTCCCTTGGTTAGCATATGACGTAATCTGTGGTGTGCACCTCAAGGGGGTGTTCATTATTTATATCACCGAACATATGAAACGTAAACAGTAGATCCTGTACGAACTCCATTCCTGGTATTGTCTCCACTATCCATGGCATCAACAATTCGACTGTATTATTTTTTGAACTCCAGCCAAGCATGTGGTAGGTGTGGTATGGTCGTTTCACATAGTCCCTATGATTGAGAAGGAGAGTCATCCTTGTCCCATGGTTATTCGCCCTGTCTGCCTTGTTTATCAATCAACCTTCCCAAATACTCTACCATGAAACGACTTTCGATCGTCCGATTGGAGCTCAGTCGCCCCAGATAGTGTTTGTTTTTTCCCCTCGAAAGCAAAGAACGATCCAAGAGACTGTGATAATTCTCTCTTTTTCTTTTGAATATAGAATACATTTTATGATTGGTTTCTAGATTGAGTAGAAGGTTCAGTACCCGTCAACGTGTTTCCCCGGTTAAATACCCCACGATTCCCCTCGACAACTGTGCATGAGATCGAGCAGGACACATTACGCCTAATTCCAAAATTAACACTAGGTCTCGCTTATAGCAGTACCTCCTAGCCAGGTTCTTGCTGTTCCGTTGTAGTTCGCTGTTTGAGTACTGAACAGCGGTGTGTGGTGTTCGATGCGTAGCGAGTAAGCCAACCTATTGGTGGATTTATTATCTCACATGATTTACTATCGAATTCATCCATCTATACGTTGCTCACAGATATATGAGATGTGACTGCTAAAAGTATGAACTCGCTGAGAGATTCGACATACATGTACTCCAAACTATGCTCTTCAACGCCGTACTTTTCCTCGCAGCCTCCCTGCCCGTCCTCGCGACACCACCAGTGATTCATTCGGACGCAGGTATATTCCATGGTCGCTATTTGCCACAATTCGACCAAGAAGTTTACCTGGGTATCAAATATGCACAAAATCCAATACGCTTCTCGCCTGCAAGTCTGATTGAAGATTCACCAACCCAAAATTTCAATGCTACCAGCTATGGCTTGGACTGCACAGGCTATGGTTCGGACACGAATACGCTGGTTGCTGGAGGATGGACTAAGATGGGGGAAGATTGTTTGCATTTGAACATCGTAAAACCAAAATCGAACGAAACCGACTTGCCGATCTTGTTGTGGATATATGGAGGGGGGTGGCAGCAGGGAGCGACAAGCGACCCGCGGTAAACCATTGGTAGCGACAAAGCTGAAGTCACCGAGCTAATGAGACTGTAGTTACAATTTGAGTTACATCGTTCAGCAATCCGTAGCAATCGATAAACCCATCATAGGAGTTTCGATCAATTATCGCATGGCGGCTTTTGGTTTCATCAACAGTGCTGAGATTGAAGCCGAGCGAACCCAAAATCTGGGCCTCCGCGACCAAAGGCTAGCCTTGCAGTGGGTGAACAAACATATATCGTCCTTCGGAGGCGATCCTTCAAAAGTCACGCTTTGGGGAGAGAGTGCTGGTGCTTATTCAGTGGGCGACCACCTCAATGTTGAAGATGGGGACAATCACGGTCTCTTCCGTGCAGCCATTCTGGAAAGTGGTAACTCTGTAGGAGCACCTCTAAACTCAACGCAGTGGTATCAACCCATGTATGACAATCTTACCGCTTCAGTCGGATGCTCAGGGGTTGAAGATACGTTGCGGTGCTTGCGCGATGTACCGTATGACAATATTGCACCATATGGCTACCAAGGTCTAGAATGGTTCCATGTTCTTGATGGCGAATTCATCAAAAGACCGGGACACATGGCACTCCGCAATGGGAAATTTGCAAAAGTTCCAGTCATCATAGGCACAAATACGGATGAGGGATTCGGTGTGAATGGCGTCAATACAGATGAGCAGGCGTTTGCTCAACTCACACACTCGAAGCGCTGGAGTATTACCGAAGACCAAGCGAAAAGAATCTTGGATCTCTACCCAAATGACCCTACACTTGGTGCGCCCTACGGATGGGGAAATCGCACGTGGCCGCAAAACGGACTTCAGTACAAACGTTACACAAGCATAGCGACAGACTTGACAATGTATGCTCCACGACGACTAATGGCCGAGGAGTTCAGTCGTTGGGGCAGCCCAGTGTTTTCATATCGATGGGACGCACCCAAGTTCAACAATACGCCAAGCAATATTGGAATCAATCACTTTTCGGAGGTCAGCGACCGTTCACCACATTCTATGACTGATCACTAAAGTGAGATAGATCCCGTTCGTCTTCGGAAATACCGAACAACAGATTACTCCGCTGGGTAACAGCACCGAGAACCTACGACTTTCGAGATTGGTCATGAGGATGTGGATCAGTTTTGTACATGATTTGAATCCTAATGGACATAACGGTATGCTAAACGCACAGTGGCAACTTCAAGTGGCGAAACTAACAGACTTTGAGTTTCGGACACGATTTCCTGGCCGGATTACAACGATAGTGTGTCGAACTTCGTATTTCGTGCAGACAAAAGTTACATCGAGGCGGACACTGACAGAAAGGAAGGTGTGGCATACATTAACAGTATAGTAAGATAGCGAATTTTAGGAATGATCATCTCTTAATTCGAGTATGCTTGACTCAAAATCGGTACAGATGTTCTACATCGTAAGTCGTTCAAGTTTAGTACTGGCAAGTAAAGATAATGGGGGATATGCACGCTCAAATGCAAGGTCGTGTTACAATTCCAGCGTTATTGAAAATTACTGGGTTAAATTAAAAGCTTATGTGCAAGACAAAAACCGCGTATACACAAGTGCCATTCCTATTCCACTGCCAGCGGAAGCATACCATCGTGCCATTGTCCAACATTTTTCAATATGAATGAGGAACGGGGACGCCCTTGTGCCGAAGGTTCAACCGACCAACTCTCCACACCAAGCAATATAGTTGGAACAACTGTCGCAACTGGTCGATTATTTCCGGCTAATCTGTCTTGTATGCACGCTTCGTATAGTCCACAACGTTGTCAAAAGCCGTAACCATAAAGACCGCTTCCTGCGGTGAAGCGATACGCCTGACCTTGGCTTTTAGCCCACCAATATATGAGACAAATTGGGCCGCTTGATCTACGGGCAAGGCTTCATCATCTGCAGCGACACGCTTTACGTTCAACCCCTTGATCGAAGAAATAAAACTGATTTTGTCGGGAGTTGGCTCATCGTCTTCACTGTCGTCCCTAGACTTCAGTCGATCGATGTAGGCGACTACGCTATCGAACGCTGCGTCCACCGAGCTCGCTTCGTCGGGAGAGGTGTTCCGTTTGATTTCAGTCTTTATTCCATTCACGTAGGACTCGAAGCTAGATGCTTGACTGGCAGTGACCTGTCGCGTCGGCAGAACTACTTGGTGGGGTGCCGTCTATGAACAATTAGTCTGGTGTTGTGAGATAGAGAAGGTGACGCATACCTGGAAGGCTGGGAAAGCTATTACAGATGCTGTAACGAATGTGAAGAACGAGTTGATGATTCTCATGATGTCTTTTTCTTGTCTCTTTAAGCCTCCAAACAATTAATAAGATTTAAGCCACGAAAGTATCAGGGGAGGTATGAATGGAAGATGTATAAACTGGCCATCAATCAGGCAGGGCCATTGCCATTTGAATCAGAATAACCTCCGGCACTTATGTGGGATTTCTCTTGCTTTAAGTTTTCTCTATTCATCTAAGCGCTAAGTCTCCGAAAGGATCGAATAACGAGGAATCTGTCTCCGCGATAATCCTGTGAGGCGTAAATGCACGCTAGTACGCATGTAGGATTACCTGGGCAGCTAGGGTGCACGTAGCCCGCCCGGCGCCGCATATAAGCCAGACGCCCCAGGAAAATATAAATATATATAACATAACTGTATAAGACCGAGGGTGGTTCTAAGATAAAAAGACTCAATAGCTTGGTATCTTCCAATCGAGTTAAATAGTAAGCATTTGGGCTATAGTCACGTTGAAGGGATTTGACCGACATAGAGCAGGTACTGAGTATATGAGACCTGAAGTTGACATACTTTTAGAGGCGACCGAGGCATTGGAATCTCTACTCATCAAACCGTGCTTGAATGTTCCAGGCCAACTGGCCGTTAGGTGCGGCGTCAATTGTGCGGCGCGGGCGAATAGGGCGGGCGTATTGTAAGCACTACCACCACTCGGTGTCGGCTCAGCAGACAGTGTTGGCGTAGGGCAACACGATTTATATCGACAGCCCATACCCCGAGTCGATTTAATTTCGGTAGTGTGACAGATGCCCCACGGGCAAACTAATAATCCTATCTGCGCCACAGCATTCGAACTCGGAAACCGAAGCCATCGTCTGGCCCAATGCATTCTGACCAAATCATGCTTGGTAGCGTCAGTTTCTAGCAAATGACCAAATAAGTCGACTTTCAAATTTCTGTAAGCGAGATCGCCCTGTTTCCATAATCTGTAAGATTGCTTGATGTGTGCAATGTTATATCATCTATACTGCGCCTCATGTTGACAGGTTGAACTCGCGTTCGCTTACGCTGCGCAGCATTTTCCCATTTGTCATATATCATAATCAACTCTATTTCGCGGGCACCGGACTCAAGGCGAGCGAGAGTGACAAGAGAATACCAACTGTCGGGGCACCATTTTCCGCACCTTTATTTTGCTCCTTGAAACGTAAAAGTATGCATCACAGAGACCGGAGTTGTTCGGACTGCGTACCATTCCCAACTTAGTAAGAGAGTCGAGCGTTGGTTAACATTCGTGTGATCCAGAACAAGTTATTGTTCGAACGTACATTGCTGTGCGGGGAACCGGCGACAATTGCCTGAACAGCTGTTTTGACAGTCCGTGATATTACTAGATCTGAATCCTGTTCGCAAATTACCTTGACCAGCTTAGTATACTTAGCCCCATCTCGTCTTTCGATAGTGGTGTATAACGAGGCTTCAGCTTTCTACTGTGTACTTGGGCAGTAGTTGGATGAAATCTGAAGGTCATACGCTGTTATCAAGTTACTCAGCATCCTACGAAATGTAGAAGCGTATATCGTCCCTGCACAAATTACCAATAAATTGCATCACCCAGGTACTCCGATCGCCACATTTTTGTGAACACGATTTCGAATCCTGAACCACAAAGTCCCTAGTCAATATACTGAAGAATCGCGGTCACGGGACAGCTCGGCACATGACTATAGGCGATCTAGGTGACGAGATTGTGAGTCGAACCTGCACACCGCTGATCGGTATCACGAGTGTCACTCAGTGACTCAATCTTCATCACCACTGCCTGAACTTCATTCTAAGCTCAATATCTGGAAACAAAATACCGCCAATGTACTATTGTCACTGCCCGACATTATAGAAGAACCACCCTGAATATGATAGCGATCACCCCCTCCCTTGTATGGTATACTCGTGCTCAATAATTGCCCCCATACTGCAATGCAATGAACCCTCAGTCGCCAACGTTTCGCAAAGACTATCAGAGTAGCACCGTCAACTTAGCTTCTATCTGGTATAAAGATCTGGTCTTGAGTCCCACTACGCCATCACTTCTACAATCACTACTGTCATATCCACCAAGGCACCTACCACTCTACCAAAACACTTGGTCTTCAAACTCTATCCAAATACTATCGCAATGCGTCTCCCCGGCTTCATCACCACCTTGATGATCGGGTTGTTGATCTACCTCGCAACAGCCATGCTTCTCGGAGCCGACTCTGCCGTCGTCCCCACCCTGACCGGCCGGTCTACATCCGATTGCTCTCCAAGAACGAGTCAGCACGAAGGTGGCATCTGTGGCTGTGAAGAGAAAAATTGGGGAGGCTACTGTGCCCACTGGACGCCTCCAGATCGCGAATGCGTATCCTTTTTTTCGGCGAAGGGCGTAAGCTGCCTCCTTCTCTTTCCAACCGACACGGACGAAGCTAATATTATATGGTCGCGCAGGGAAATTCTTTTTCGACTCCTGGAACCCCGACAATAACACAGTGTGCGAGATGTTCCTGGACAAGTTTTGCTCGAGAAAGCATAAGGTCAATGCCCCCAATGGGTACGGGCTTTGGAGGCACGACGAAGATTCACAAACTCTGGCATATCCTCCAAGTATAGCGAAGAGTTTCAGATGCTGGGAGTGCAGTGCCGACCGGGAAAGTTTGTCAGAGTGTGGCGCGGATCATCTTGAGGGTACGGTCGAAAGTCCTTGACTCATTGCTGCGAGCAGCCATCGCAGTATGATGTATGATGATTTTGGGATCCAGACCTATGCGGAGGCTCCACGTGGTGTTTGCAGACTTGGGCGTTTACAGGATTCCATAGTTGAGAACATGTCCTTTCTGTGGCGAGATATTCCCTTCAACGATGATGGGACGTATTTGTGACTGCTTCTAGAGCCCAGTGATACGCTTCCCGGTATCTCTCAACCACCTATACACTATGAATCGCGATGTTCAATTAGGTGGGAAAAAGCAATTCACGCTATTCTTTCGAATATTGATATGAATGATGCAGCATTATGATGGAGAGAAGGTGGCAAGCACAAAACGTCTCCTAGTATCCCTTGGCATTGCATTGCGTGTTAGGCAACTGCTGAAGTACAAGAACTATCCTCCATTCGCCGCATGGTTTCCATACGATTCAGATGCCATACTTCAGTAAGCGAAGCAAGACTTGTATGCGCTTCTTCACAACATCCTCCGTCAGAGTTGCTGTTTCCTCGATCCATAGCGTCGTCCAATCTTGACGCTCTAATAACTGTAGTTCATGCTCCCTCAAAATCGGATGGAAGCGAAAGTTTGCGGCCCACACTGAAGCGCCACATTCCATTCTAAGCAGACGACAAGTCTTACCAGCCTTACCATGCCACGAATCATGGAAGCGCTGAATTTCTTTCCAATTGGGCTGAATATTCAGTTTGCACATCCAATTGAGCCTTGGGAACCGCGGTCGAACTGCGGAAGCGATCTCAAGACACGCGCAGAGCATTTGACTCAGATTGCTAGGACGCACCATATAGTGGACCTTCATCATGCGATGTCGACGACACTCCCTTTCGACGGCACGAAGGTTCTCCATATATGGCCAGCTTGGCGGCATCTTATCGAGGAATAGCTAATTTCCCGAGTATTCGTAATCATCCAACACGACCTCTCTGATCCTGTTGCGCCCAGCCTCGCTGCACATGTTCAAGAACTCGAGTAACTGATAAGCGGGCGAAGTTTCAATGAATTCCGAGTTCCGTAGCGTGTGCGATATAAAATGAAGTCGATTAATCTTGAACTCGAGGTTTTTCGTTTCGTTTCGGAGTTGATGGCAGGTGAATTTGAGTTGATTCACTTCCTCGAGCTCATGAGCTGAGCGTGTGAAAGACATTGTGCCGTCTGCGTACTTCTAGTAGAAGAGGCCGCCTGGTTCATAAAGAGCATAACAACATATTTTGTCGCGTAGGTCTTCTCTGAGCTGTAAGAAACGACAGGTGGTCTCGGGACGTTGCATCCTGATGGTGTCGACCGGCGTTTGATGATATGAAGCAATGCTAGGCGAATGAATAATTGAGTTTCTAGCGCCGATTTAATACCGAAGAAAAGAAATGATGGACCTCATGAAGGATGCTCCCGGTCAAAAAGTCAAGCACTTGAGGGCATGGAGGAGAAGCACATCCAGAAGGACGCTAGGCCTAATTACGTTAGTACAAACGTCATAGCAGAGCAGCTCTGCTTCCTCACGCCTCTCACGCCTCCCACACACTTCACCTCCGAGTGATGATTCTGCGAGAACTTGCGACCGGCACTCACCATTTCTCTTCCTAAGCTGTAATCATTAATTCATATTTGTTCAGCAATTGTGCAATCAGACAATCACGACACCGACATGGAGCACGTCACCACACATGGTGCTGGAGACCGCAGACAAAACACATTGATTGAAGAAGTAGTAGTGCTGATTAGGGATTAGGCTTTGATTGCAATACGCATGCCCCAATGATTTGTTTTATAAAGTGTCGCTTCGTTGTCAAGAGTCTCACAACTTTCATGAAAACAAAATTCAGTCCTTGACTCCAGAATGATCCTCGTTGCGAGGTCAACCAAAAGCGTGTGGGAAAGCACCACATCGTAAAGGCAAATACAATTCAATACCCAGTTCATGAATCCAAAGTATCTCAGACAATTGCTGTCATCCGGAACCGAGTACTGGTAAAAGGAGAATTTCAGTGGCTGTCAGAGTCACTACTTATCAGTCACGTTCATGAACAATTCGAAGTGTATCAGACAACATACCGAGAGTTCATATGCTGCTTGCCAGTATGAGTAGCCTTCGCAGCGCGGGAGGCTTTCGCGGCGTTAGCCCGCATCTTTGCAAGGCGGACTTCAGCCTCTGCGGCTTCGAGTTCCAACTTGGTCTTCTCGTCCAGATAGTCCATGTCGATCTCGTTGCCATCATCTTCCACGTAAATTGGCTTGTCATTGCCACCGTTCATATGTTGATTATCCTCGATGCTGACTGCATAATCCTCAAGGCCAGGCTCCTGTTTGATGAAGGGTTGCTGAGGGGGTCCCCACGGGTGTACGAACGGTGAAAAATGGTCTCCAGGGCCGCCAAAATCACCTTGATGGTTTTTGCTGTGTCTAACAGTATTCTGTGGCATTGCAGGCGATGGCGTCATTTGGTGGTGGCTAGCAGGAGGAAAACGATGCATCTCCGGAGTTCCATCTTGTTCTGAACGGGGATCACGATGATGACCTGCTGAATTGAAACCACTATACTGATGGTAGGGATTGAACGGGTAGTAGCCGTAGGGTACCTGTGGGTAGCCTTTGAAGTGCGGGGGGTATCCATACGGCGGATAGCCATAACCACCAAAAGAAGTATAAGGCGGATAACCGCCAGGCGCACCGTACCCGCTGTATGGTGGTTGTTCCGGCTGATTCTGCGTCTCTTCATCCTCCTCATTCTCAACCATACTCGGACGTCGAATTGGTTTCTTCGACTCTATCGCCGTCGGTTTCGCCGGCTTTTTGGACGGCTGCGACTTTCGCTGAATGATCTTCTTAGGGGGATAGAATGGATGAGTCTGAATATACACAACCTCTTCGTCCTCTCCGAGCTCATCGTCCACCTCGTCTTCTTCCTCTTCACTCTGATGGACACGACGATTTTTACGGGGAGGAGAATCCTCATCCGTGTCCTCGTAGCCGGAGTCGGGGTACATGATGGCGTCTACCTCAGCGTTCGACACATGGATGTTTGACGACTGCGCAGACAATAGGTGCTTGTAGCGGAGTTTGAAGCTATCCTGACACTTCCAGCCACCTATGACGATATCTTCGATAACGTCAAAATCTGTCGTAACCAGCTGAGGCTTTCGATTACCGGTATGTTTGATGCGATAACGTACAACCTCATCCATGGCCTTCTTGAGAGCAATCTTATCGTCAGTCTGCTTGGCGACCATCAAAACGGCCTTGAGGACCGACGGCAGCCAATTCTTCGGGTCAGTCTCATGTACACGATACATCGAGCGTTTGCCGTTCTTGCGCTTGGTCAATGGTCGGTGACATTTGGGGATGTAAGTGCGAATGAAGTCCTTTCCCCAGTATTTCTCAATCTCTCGGATCAACTGGATTTTGGCTTGCATGTCATTTTTCGACACCGGTTTGGCGGAAATGGGCTGCGCAGGCTTGTTCCTGTAGTTGTACTTCTGCTTTCTTGACGACTCGCTAGGCTCAGGCTTTGCAGGCGGAGCCGCTGCAGGTTTCGCTGGACGGGTGCGCGCACGCACGGCACGGAGTGGCATGTCGTCCTCGTCGTCCTCGTCTTCCTCGTCAGTACTGATCTCCTGATACACCGGGCGGGAGTTGGACGGTCCTGCTTGAGTGGAGCTCTCATGCTTCTCAGAGCTGCGGAGCCGAGTGTGCATAGCAGAAGGGCGGTCAAGGTCCATCTCGGACTGCTTTGCGGAGTTAGCAAGTGAGGGTGAGAGAGGGAGAGTGGTAATAGCATACCTTTCCGTCGTGGTTTGACCCAAGGTAGTCGTCAACACCGAGAAGGCCCTGCTTCGTGTTCTCGAGCCGCTCCTCGAGGGGCACAGCTGGAGGTGTACTGTTCAGATCGCGCACAAAGAGAGCATTCTTGTCAGAAGATCCTGAGCTGTGGTCAGTCTTGGGATTGTTGTAAGGGATCAAACCCCACGTCTGGCCGAGTGGGTCTGGAGAGCGCGCCATTGTGGTGGCCGTGATTGACAACTTTCGAGATGTGGAACAAGGGGATGCCAGCAAGAGAGGCGGTCTGTATGCTTGCAGGGGGAAGTCGGGCAGAGGCGCGGTGATTTGGGGGTAGAAGAGAACGTGTGGGCAGACCCTTTTATGTTGCTCTAGGGTGGTACGTGCTCACGAAGAAGTGAAAGGCATGGGGTGGGGCAGCAGTCGTGTCAACCGACTGGAAACAAACGACCACTGGTGAGAGAACCGATTCTCAAATCTAGGCTAATCTCAGTTTCCAGCGCAGCATATGCGTGGTTGCGCCACTTCTGAGAGGTAGTCTCTCATTTGTACGACATCCCACGGTGGAGCAAACACTTCATTGTTGTATAAGTACTTGGGACGGCACACAATTGGTCTCTCTGAGGCAATTCACACTACCTCATAGGCATTCAAGCGCAACTAGACTGTGGTTTGAACTCCCCCTTACCACCGAGGAATGAACTATAGGCCACTCCCACCAGACAACGTCAACTTCACAAACTGTACTCGTTCTTTTTGATGTTGTCAGTTTATACATTAGACCAATAGATCTCGCCACCGCTATCCCTATTCCCTTCAATATATCTCTCAGGACTTGTACGCAGCAATGAATGTGTATTATGCGGCCTTGAGACCTCAGATCTGCAGGCCACCGAACCGCTGGGATGTTGAAAACCGTTCCTGGGCAATCATCTTGCATGGCAGTTATCAGAGGAGGAAACAAGTCAGTCGCGAGGAGAATTTGGTGAGATATCTATGATCTCGCAAATTGGGGTAGTGTCTACTACTAGGCTGTGTGGATCCAAAAGTTATGGTAAATCGACAGTTCAAGTGTATGAGGCTCAGGGGTCCGCCAGCCAACGTTCAACACTATCAAATCCCACCACGCAGTGAACAGCAAATGGAAAACTCCGGGATTCAGCAAGTACTGCAAATTGTAAACAGATTCACCTATAACTGAACCAAGTACTAAAACTCCACCAAATAAAGATTTCACATCACTCAACAGTAGCCACGAAGAACACGAATAATCTATCTCTTCCCCAGAAGGATCCCTTTACAGACCGTGCCAGGAGATATCACTCTACCCAGTACCACCAAAGTGAATGCTCCCCCAACTCTCTACTCCTCACACACGACAAAAACTCAATGACATCCACTCCTTCCACCATGCCTTTCCCCTATCTTCCGGTGCCTTTCCTAAGCTACGCTGCTTGGCCAGTCCGTCTTTCACTCGTCGTCAAACACTGCTACATTGCGCGTGTATAAGTAGCTGATCGCTCTTTACTGCACTATAACCCTTCCCATTGTGATTTGTGCACCGTCGCCCAGGCAATAATCAATTGTAAATGAGTATTTTGCACATTGGAGTATACCTAGGTAGATTAGCGATGCAACTTTTCTATCTTGACTCTTTTTACCGAGCTTTCTAATCTGAACTCGTGAACCTGCGAAGGCATAGAGGTGATGGAGAGCAACATGCAGGGTTATGTGACAAGGTCCACTTTTGACTACATAGGTAGATAGATTAATATTCACAAGTCAAGCGCAGAGAAGAAAAACCTCGACTGCAATTACGGTCTACCCTAATGTCGCTACATCTTGTGGTTCGTGTGGCGCTCTGAGTGGTATAAAGATACGAGAATATCAAGTCTATATAAGAGCAAAGGGGATATACCCAGATGTAGCTAAATAATATATGTTGAAATATTGGTATAAATGGAGAATATGAATGTCGGAGCTTGTACACTCCTTTATGCTCGAGGAACAACTTGCTCCAACCCTTTCACCCCGTGCTCGCAAACCGCAACGTGCCACGGCACGGCTCCATTTTTGGTCCCTCTAATTCCCTTCAATCGTCCCAGCAAGCCCAGGCCTCGAAATTGACCCAGAACCTCTTTGAGTAGATTCTCTGCCGCTGCGCGCGTCTGCACGGTGGGTGTCCACGTCAGACTGCTGTGGCTGCGCTCTTGTGGCATTGGGCTGGGTGAAGCGGACATGTTCACGCCGCCGGGCGACATGCCTTCTGTAGCGGCGGCAGCGGAGGGTGGGAAAGGGGAGGTGGCCGCGCGGGTTGGATTTACTGCGCCCATCCAGAGAATATTCACGCTTACAACGGTGGGGCCTGAGGAAGTAGTGGCATCAGCGGCATTGGGTGCAGGAGTGGGTATTGTCGTTGCACTAGTATTATTTGGCGACAACCCACGCTTCACGAGGAGGCCCGATATAAGGGCAGGACGGAATTCGTTGGTTGCGTTGGAGTTGTGAAGGCGATGCGCGAGGATGATGCCCCAGCTCTCGTCTGTGGCATCTACGAGACGCGCTTCGGGGTCTGCTGTGGGGTCCGCAGTGGTTTCGGCGGAAGGCGTAGCGGCGGGGGTGAGCCCCTGATCTGGTGAGACGGGACCTTGGGGTGTGGAGCCTGGGGTGTTGCTTGCTGCCCCTTTCATAGAATGGTTGAGGGTGGGCGTGAATTTGAGACGTGGGTCAGTATCTACCGTGAGCAAGGTTATGAAAAGATTGACTTGAGTTGGACACGAGACGTGAAAAACCCAGGCTTCAAGCTCGTCTCTGTCCATGACACCTGCTTTTGCAATGCAAACTCGCCAGGTGACCCTGCGTGCCTGCAAAATCTCGATGGTAGTCTGCCATATTTCCTTAGCAATATCGCCAAAAGGGCGAGTGGCTAAGCTATAAGACACAACTGTTTGGAATTTTCCGCAGATATCTGTCCACGCTGCCGTCACCCAGGTCCCGTCCAAACTGATTGCGTAGCCAAGGTGCATATAGGAATTTTCGTGGAATAGGTCGTGAGGAGCTTCGGCATTAAGCTTGAACGGGATGGCACGAGGCAATGGCTCTTCTAGTTGGAAAGATCGAGAGGCGTATATGCTGAGGGGAGTCTTGTCTCCACAGGGCGCGCTGGGAGGGCAGCGGTCGTATACCTCTCGAGCAAGGCCAGCATATGTACCTGTATCGAGCATGATTGGTGTTTCGAAAGAGGCAACACATTTCATGGGTACGATTTGAAGAACCAAATCCGGTTTTTGGATCTGGTCGGGACGCCCAGGTGGCCCTTGGCCATAGGATTGGAAGAGTGCCCAAAATGCAGAACAAAGCTCCCAGAGGGCGCTCGGGTTGTCGAAAGGATCGACCATGTAGATGACGAACGCGTTGATCTTGGTATCCACTTTCTCGCGTATTAGAGTGTGCTTCGCAGCCAGCATCTTACCAAGCTGAATGCAGGTGTCTCGAAGTGCCTTGAAGACCGCGCTGGTGGATGCCCGGTTCGACATTTTGCAAGGAACCAACCCACTGTCGTACTCCGGCACGGTGTCCACACGAGCGTGGCTACCCAGTCGGCAGCCATCATAGGCAAGCTGAGTGTTAACCATGAAATTGTCAACGCAGAGCTTCAGGGACTCGCTGTATGGGTAAATGGCGAACGCGACCACATTCTTGGCTGGGCTGCAAGGCGAGAGGCCCAACGGTTCCCAGAATGCCAAGGCAGGTGGAAGAAGATCCCACAGGACGTCTGATCGCCGCACACGTATATAGGGTGGGCTGATCACGTGCATATGATGGTTCAACGCAGCCGGCCCTTCATTTGGTTTTCGGGGCGGTGGTCGTTGTTGCCCTTTGCCTTGGGGAAGATCTGGAAAGACGTCCTGAACAGCCGCGAAATCAGAAACGGTGCAGTCTGTCGCACTAGGAAAAATGTCTTTAACGGCTTCGTGCCAAACCGCCTCCGAGGGTATGTGGTTGCTGAAGTCGTCAAGGCTCTGACTCTCGTGTTCGTTGAGAATGTCCAGCGTTGCTGAGACAATTTGATCGGTAACGATCTGCGCTACAGCGATACTGTCTTTCCCACTCAGCGGTTTCTCGTCTAGCATATCCATGGAGATGTCGGGCGGGGAGATTGGAGTACTGGGCGAAGACTGAATCAAGGGCGAGAAGACAGGTACGCTGAAACGTGTGTGACTGGATGGTATTTCAACGGGCGCAGGCATATCAACCAAAGGCCAGTCTGAGAATGTAGGTTCAAGGCATATCAGAGCGGTTTCATCCGTTTGTAGCCCTGTCATCTCCAAAGAATCTCCGCCGAAAGAGTCTGCATAGGACGTGGCGGAGAGAGGCGTAGCGTTGCCTTCTGTCGGCAACTTGCGCTTCGCCGGTAGGGCCGTGCCTGGCGGAACAGAAGGCGGCCCAAAGACCGCAGGGCTTTCAATATCGTCCGTTATTGACGAAGTGTCGCTAGCAGCGTCGGAGGAATCGCTCACCACATCAGTAGGGGACAATTCGTCCGGCATGCCCTTGGTCGCAACGACTCCGATCGCATAGCGAAGTTTGGTGAGGAGCGGCATATCGCGTATGCTCTTAGGCTGACGAATGGCGGCTTCGTCCTCTGACTGCTTGCGATTTTGAACTTTTTCGGGTGTGAAGTTGAATCTTCCGGCTTGATACTTCGCATCGGATATGCTCATCTTGCGGTTGAAACCGAGGGGGTCGAATGCGCTGTTTCTTGGTAGATTCGGTGCTTTCATTGGGGACTTCGATGTGTTGACTGTTGTAGACGGCAGCAGGGCCTCTTCAATGAGGCGCGGACTGAGCGGCGGAGTAGGCTCCTTGGCCTCGGGATCTATCGCAATGCTTTGCATTGGCTGAAGGCGCTCGGACGAGATCTGCGGGGGCTTTGATTCCGCCTCTACTCCTTGGTCTGTAGTTAAGCTCTGCTTGACATTCTCTACAGTTGGAACATTTGTTTTGGCTGTTACTTCCGAGGTACCATCAAGCATAGACAACGGCTCTTTTGGTTGTGCTTTCACGGCAGAATTCGAAGATACATTGTCTGCTTCTGATTTCTCTATACTCTTTTTGATGTTCTGCTTTGAGTCTTCGCGATTTGATGCATCCATGTCCACGTCCTCGTCATCAGGCTCGTCGAAGAAGTTAAAGTCCGCATCAGTCACACCGTTGGCTTCAAATGTATCCTCTTCTGCATCTTCGAACAAATCATCGTGGGTTCCGGACGCATTATATTGATCATATGCGAGGGCGAAATCGGGCGAAGTCGGCGCGTGCTGGTGCCCGTCGAACTGCAACACGTCTTGAGGGGCGGAGAGATTAATTGCAGGGTTGGTACCACCGGGTGGAAGTATGACGTTGACTCCGGCAACGCTGGGGGTATCGGCGCTGGACATCACCGTCCCTGGGGGGACACCATCAGGCGGTGTCGGATAGACGCCGCTGGCAGCTTGAACGTCTCCGTAAGCCCCAGAGCGGGAGTTCAAAGGGGAAGAAGGCAGGAGATTGTGCATTTCCTCCTTGGACCGAACAGCATCTTGCTCCGCTCTCTTAACCTTCCGTCTAGCTTCCAGAATCTTGTCTCGCTCCGGTTTCCCTAGAAACCAGCGCTGCGCGGAATCTATAGGATCCGTGAATCCAGTCGACGTAGGAGCTTCGAACCACTTGATGCCATCGTCTCCGTTACCTGGCGTCAGCCCTGGCAGGGACGATGGATGGGTGGCGTTTAAGTCGTTGCTGTAGAAGAAGCACAAAGCCCGCGGCCACAGAATTTCCATTGGCGGGCGGGCAACCGCAGGGCTTGATGGCGTTTGGTGGTTTGGCTGCGCAATGCGAACCCTCACCCAAGAGCTGCTATGGTCCGGATTCTTGATGACGTAGCCCTTCCATGCCAGCCAGCGTTTCACTGTGGCTTTCCATCTTTCAATCGCCTGCTCGAAAGGTGACGTTCTTGGTCGTTTCCGCTGCCCTTTGTGGCTGCGCTCATAGATGATCGTTTCCAAGGGATCTTCCAGGCTTACTACTTGGCCTAAACTGCCATTGGGCGCAATACGAATGCACTTGCCCACCAAATTCCTCTGTTCTTCCGCTATGATATCGGCCATGCAACGAAGATCAGGCTGCGGTAGGGTAAAAGTTGAAACCACCACAGTACCGGAGCTAGCCCAAAACACATCTACACTAGTGAGACGATTCGGGGATAGAGGGTTTGCATCGGGTCCGGATGGAGTAGACTCCGTTTGATGCGGTGTTGCCGCTGTAGATAGAACTGTGCGGTAGTTGAGCGCAACCACTTGGTGATCCTTCACTAAGGAATACACTAGTAGTGCGACAATAGCAGATGTGAATAGCTCGTAGATGACAAAGGTGTCATGCTGTTGTTGGTCGGACGTGCTTCCCGGTGGGAAGCTCGCGTGCTGTAGTCTGCTACCGGCCGCGTGAACAGACTTAGGGTGCCCAGAAATCATAGGAGAGGCTATGGAGGCCGCCGATGGCGTGTTCTGATTTGGGCTTCGCATAGGTGGGCGCGCCAGCTCTGAGGCTTTCATGTAACCACATTGTTCGCCTTGAAAGAGTTAGCATCCCTCGAGGCGCATATCAAACAACAAAAACATACGGTGAAATTGGTAGCCCGGCACCACGGGAAGCTGCAAGGGGTTTTGGCCAAAGTTTTGGGCTGGTGCGGACCGGAAAAGCCATAGCCACGGTCTCGAAGCATCTTGCACAACTAGATGCCGAGCATGTCGTATTTCCGCTTCAGCAGCGCGTATATCGTCCGACAAGGACCATTCAAAGGCGGCATGCGCAGTTGCGGGGTCGCGCACGACCGAAATGGCCTGGAAAACAACGGCGTCGTATTGTCCCTGGCCAAGATTAGCGGGGGGTCGGTGAGTAGGTAGGGGTACGAGAGACAGCGTACGATGGCTTGCGCGTTGGTGCTGCAGGATTTGAGGAATTCCATCAGAGCAGCACCGTCGCTAGGGAATGCGCAAGTGGTGTTGCTGTCTTATGTGCACTCCAACCACGGCGCTGTAAACCTTCATCAACCCCGACTCTTGGTGGTGCAACAGCAGCGAAGGGGAGCTTAGGTACGCGATGACTGGTGTAGGAGACGTCGTGTAAGATGTGGAATCAGGCAAATGGCATGGCACTCGTTCGGACGCATACGGACCATGTTGGTCACCACTCGAGGCGGCGGATGAGCTATCGCGGTGAGAAGCTGGTCACCAAAAGTCAAAACACACTCGGGCGAGAATGTTTGGTGCAAACTGGCACCCACCGGAACAAAGAGGGGGAGAGGCGAAAGGTGGCCGGAAGGGGGCGGGGGATCACGGTGATGTGATGGGTTGTTGTTTATGTGATGAACGGATGGAGTGCTAAGAATCGTCGGGATGGATTGGATGGATACGCACTATCTACTTTAGAGTATGTAAGCACTGATGGGAAAGGGCCCGAGCACAATGTTCGGTTCGTTGCCGCCCGTGCCACCCCGGTCTTCTTTTTTTCTTAGACCCATCCATCTATCGTAGCTTTCCATTTTACCGACTACGAAATCGCTGGAAAAAACACCTCCTCCGCTCCACCCTTCGACAAGTTTTTCCTCCTTCACCTATTGGATAGTAGAAGACCTCCTTTGCGACTTCTCCAGGACTGGAATCTCGGCGCAGAATCCTCCGCCTATCTGGCGTTCCTCCCCTCTCTGTCGCATCCTAGACCAAATCGCCGCCGCCATGAAAATCTCCAACGATTCCACCGTACCCGTCTACACCATTTCCGGCGCTGAGGCGCGCCCGCTTCCAGACTGGCTGATTCGGAAGCGCAAGAGGAGCTTGAAGCACGACCCCGAATTCGCGAATCGCGTCGAGCTCCTTCAAGATTTCGAGTTTGAGGAAGCCAGTACGGTCCAAACCATAGTCCTGTACGCTTATCAGCAATTCGCTCACAGATTCTAGGTCAAGTGGTTCGTGTCAGTGACGATGGCCAATGGGTATGTACACCATCATTAACAGGTGCCAATGAATTAAGCTTACCGTTCAGGTCATGTCAACCGGCACATACAAACCACAAATCCACGTCCACAACCTGCCACAGCTATCCCTCTCCTTTGCCCGACACACAAACTGCTTGAATGAGACATTTGTGCTCCTCTCCTCCGATTACACAAAGTCAATACATCTTCAGACTGATCGATTTGTCGAACTCCACACGGCAGGCGGGATGCACCATTCCATCCGCATACCACGTTTCGGACGAGATCTTCTATATGACAAACACTCGGCGGAGGCTCTGATTCCTTCGGTCGGAGTGAATGCGGAGGGGCTCGGAGAGGCGTACCGCCTGAATTTGGAAGTAGGGCGGTTTATGAAGAGCTACGAGATCGATGTGGGTGGAGACGATACGTTGACCGTGGGTGCAGGTTCACTACAAGGTGGAATCCACGCAGGTAGCGTCAATACTGGTGCTATCGCAGAAGACAGCCATGGCCTCGCAGCTTTTGGAACCTCTCTAGGGACCGTCGAATTTTGGGATCCGCGCTCCCGCAATCGTGTTGGTATCCTTTCTGCTCCCAACGACGCATTCGAGGGCCGGTCCGAGATCACAGCCCTGCAGTTCCATCGCTCGGGTCTAGAGATGGCCGCTGGAAACTCTAGTGGACTGGTACATCTCTACGATTTACGGTCACCGGTGCCTCTCCTCAAGAAAGATCAGGGCTACGGTTATCCCATCAAAAACATCATATATCTCAACTCATCAACCTCCACGCGCGCGCAAACCTCAGAGCCAAAGATCCTCACTGCAGACAAGCGCATCATCAAGATATGGGATGGACGGAACGGAGAGCATTGGACATCAGTCGAGCCTTCAGTGGATCTCAACCATGTGGAATGGTGCAAAGACAGCGGAATGCTGCTCACGGCCAACGAAGGCAAGCAACAGCATGCATTCTTCATCCCGCAGCTCGGCCCTGCGCCCAAGTGGTGTGCTTTCCTTGACAACATCGTCGAGGAAATGGCCGAGGATCCCAATGATCCCAACGCATTCAACAAAAATCCCGCTGGCGAAGTGTACGACAACTTCAAGTTTCTCACCCATCCCCAATTACGACAGCTCAACCTCGATCATCTGGTCGGTACCACCAATCTCTTGCGCCCGTACATGCACGGTTACTTTGTGGCTCAAAAACTGTACGAAGAGGCACGCCTCATCTCGAATCCCGATATGTGGCAAGAACAGAGGCAAAAGAGCATCAAGGAAAAGATCGAAAAGGAACGGGAATCACGCATTCGCGGCAACAAGAAGGTGTCGGTCAAAGTCAACCGCAAATTGGCGGAGAAGTTCCAGGAGCGCGAGGAGAAGGCCGAGCGCAAACGGGCCCAGCGCGTGCTCGAGAAGGGCGGAGACGACGAGATGCTCGACGCAGATGCAGACGCAGCTCCGGCCGTGGGCGACGCGGAAGCGCAGCAATCCAAGCCATCCGGCGGTGTACTGCACGACCCTCGTTTTGCCCGCTTGTTCCAAGACGAAGACTTCGAAGTCGACGAGGGCAGTCACGAGTTCCAAGCCATCAATCCGGTCACAAGCACAAAACTACCCAAAGGACTTACCGCAGTGGAAGAAGAGCTCGTCGACGATCGTAAAGGGTCCTCGGACGAGTCCTCGTCAGAGTCTGAAACTGAACAGATTCGTCCCAAGAAAGCTGCAAATGACGATGATAACCGCATCTCCACCTCAACATACAAGAAGGCCGGCCACAACAAGCAGAAAGGGCCGCAGATGGTTGTCTCGTCGTCGATGTCAAAACGCAAGGCGGGACCAGCTCGTGATCAATCGTTTGGATCCCGTGTCACGAAACTCAAAGATAACAGCGCGACTTCCTCACGCGGAGGCACAACCACAGTGGTCGGCGAGCGGGAAATCTCATTCATCCCAGAGAAGAAATCGAAGAAGCCGACAGCTGCGAGTGGTGAAGGGCAACGGCACGAGAAGAAGGATAGGAGAAGCGCGAGCAATAACGTTTTCAGAAACATGTAAGATAGATATAGAAGCTAAAAATCGGCAAGTACATAGCAAAAGTTCTGGTAGGGAAGTTCCACCCCAAGTCAATGATACCCTTTTTTCCAAGTCACTACGCCTCCATAACATATAAATCAATATGAAGTCAAGACGGCACGGGGTCGGGTATACAAGATGCCAACCCAACCACGCCCCTTTCAAAGCATGGGAGATGTTGGCGAAGAAGTATCGCCGAATGAGTGCAACTTGCGCACCCACTGTAGTCTGCAAGTAGAATAAATACGCGGTATACGGTAGCGTGTTGGCGTGTTGAGAGGGGCATTTTTCGGATCTTCGGAGATGGAGAGTCCTTGACCGCCCTGCGCACAAGTGTACCGCAACTCAGCCAATCGGTGCGTGGGAAATTAATAACCGGGGCGGTAATCGCCATCCATTGCAGCCACGACGATTCGCCAACAACTTATCTCTACAACTTTCTCTCTCTCTCTCTCCTGCCTCTGTCTTTCTGCCACCTTGTTCAGTTCCAGTCGGCATTTACCGCTTTCCCTCGACCTCCGTCGTCTCCCGTCTCCCCACCTCTCTCACTCACCTTGCTTTGCTCAGACAGCACTTCTTCATTGAACGTCCGTCCCGCAGCTGCCTGCCTGCCTAACCGAGAATCATCCAGTTTGTTTCCCGCGCCCGTTTCTTTCCCCACCACACCACACCCACGCCATCCACCCATCCATCGATTCTCCCAATCGCAAAAACAAGCAAAATGACCGACAAGACATTCACCTTCTCGGATGTTGCCGAGCACAACACCAAGAAAGACCTTTACATGATCGTCCATGACAAAGTCTACGACTGCACAAGCTTCGTCGATGAGCACCCGTACGTCGGCTCTTGCGCCCTACCTTCCCCGCAGAAATGTTTCCCCCTCCTCTCTCTCTCCCTTCTGTTCTCCTGAACTCGGGGTCTCACCCCCACACATACATCTACGACCCGCATGCGGATATACAACCCCCGCGGGCTGTCGTGCACACAGTTTTATCCCCACCTGGAGATCGAACCTCAAAGTCTGTTCGAATCAAGACTAATCCATAACACAGAGGTGGTGAGGAAGTTCTCCTCGATGTCGGTGGCCAAGACTCAACCGAAGCCTTCGAAGACGTCGGCCACAGCGACGAAGCGCGCGAGATCTTGGACGGTCTGCTCGTCGGTAACTTGAAGCGTGAGGTAGGCTTTCCCCCTTTCCTCGCTTCCTCATCCAAATCCTCCAAGAAGAACCCGCCCTTCTTTCCGCGGACCAACAACGCGCAAAACGATATCATCGAACACTAGCTAACAACTGCTTTTCCTTGTGAACAGGACGGTGACCCCAAGCCAAAGTCCGTAGGCGCCTCCACCGCAACTACTGCCACCACGGACAGCGCCTCCGCGGGCGTCGGTCTCTACGCCATCATTCTCGTCGGAGGTATCCTTGCTTTCCTCGCCTACAAGTTCCTACAGTCGCAGTAGATGAGGCGATGGAAGCGACGGGCGTTGTCGTTCCGGCCTTGCCTAGCTGGCATTGCCATTCCCAATCACCAAACGAAGGTGGGAAGCGGAATGGACGGGATTTTGCGGGGAGTTTCGGAGATTTGCCCCGGGGTGTTCGAAAAGCCTTCTTTTCAACCGGCTTTTTCGATCCACATTCAAGAGGATTAGCTGCATAGACTTTGAGCTCTTGCAAGGGGAGTCGAAATTCGAGATGTTAGTGTCAGCTCTTTTATCAGACTATTGGCATATAGATATGTGTTTGCCGGTGTCAAACTTTCATTTGGCACCAAATCCTTTTCTAAAGCAACTTTCTCTCCACCTGACTTCTTGGGCTGTGCGATGGATTGCCCCCATCGCACATAGATACCTATCTACGTGCGTGTGTTTACTTGAAACTCCCTTTCTGAAAATCAATTCCGCTCCCTCCCTCCAAGTCTCTGCTGCAGATATGGTTGCTCATTCATCCGTGTTCCTTCACCAATCACCACAGCCGCGTTACAGATTTACCTCACACGCGGAAACGTTATACATAAACCCACTTGACAGATATATATACCACACGTTAACCAACAGAGATTATAACAAGCCACGCACACGGGAGAAAAAAAAGAGTCTTCAAAGAAATCAACAATCAATCGCTAGATGCTATAAACCCAATATTCTGTATATACAAGCTACGCACGCCGCTCCAACTTCCAGCAATTTCCAGCTTTCCCTTTCATCTTTTTCATCCCCGTCATAGCCATGGCCATAGTCATAGCCCGACTCGCTCTAGATACAATGGGTAGGAATTCGTACAGAAAGATTCAAGAGTCATTTGTGTGAGAGTGACAGTGAGAAAAGTCATAATTTCGGTAAGCTAATCGTCAAATTCGATCCCATGTGGCATTGATAATGGTATAGAGCATGAACGAAGAAATATAGACAGACGGACAATGAAAGAGGCTTCTATCTATAAAATCCCTCGTCTCCTCCAGGTGGGGCGCTAGGTGCTTGTCCTGCTGGCCGGTAGGGCAAATATCCTTGCGGGGGAGCCTGCTGTTGCGGAGGCGGCGAGCTGCTTGCGCCCGGCGGTGCTGGTGGTGCGTGATCTGGCTGCTGGGGCGCGTATCCCCCATAGCCTGAAGCCTGGGATTGCGGATAAGGAGCTGACGAAGGCGGGGGCGCTTGATGTTGTTGCTGAGGAGGGTACGGCGATGACGCTGGCTCGTAAGGGTTTTGGCCCGGTGGAGCGCTAGACTGCTGTTGTGGCGGATACCCTGGTGGAGCTTGACTGGGGGCAGGCTGCGATGGGGGAGCGTAGCTGTAGTCTTGTGGCGCCGAGGGCGCGTTGAATGAATGCCGCTTGTCCACAGGAGAGTCGAAATGGTGGGTGGCTAATTCTTGCGGACCGAAGCTTTGTGGGCGCCCAGATGAAGGAATGCGGCCTTGAGGAGCATAAGGGTCGGAAGGAGGCTCAGGTTTCGGGGCTTGTTGCTGCAACTGCTGGCCAGGAGGCACCATAAAGAAGGCAGGGTTGGAATTGGCTGGGGGGTACTGCGAAGGCGCTTGCTGGGAGCCAGCTGGAGGAGGCCCACCGGCGTAGTTGAAGCGATTTGGCTCTTGCTGAGGTGGAGGAGAGTTTGGTGGGTACCCTGCATAAGCGCCTGCGGGGGGAGCATTGTAAGCCCCATACGGTCGAGCTCCGTAGGGTTGTTGCGGCTGCGACATGGAAGACTCGAGCAGAGACTCGTAGTCTCGTCGAGCTTTGATGAACTTCTCGTTGAGCTGGGTAAAGTCATCTGTACATCGTTAGGTTTGGTCATATAAAATTCGCGCCATCAGCTTACCCTTCTTCTGTGAGTATTTCCCAATAAGCTCAATCAACTTGGGGCGAATGGACAGCGTCGAGTGGTAGAGCTCCGTGATCTCTTCATTGTCCCGCACGTCGTTCCCTCCAGACTGTGAGCTGGTGCTCAATAGAGCGAGCAGCTTTTCCACGTTTCGAATCTGTGCAAAGACTTCGCCTTCCATATGAGCCTCACGCTCGAGCTCGTCAGGGGTCGGGTCCTGAAGCTTCTCAACATAGTTGAGCGGGAAGATGCCCGTTTGACCTCGAAGCGAGCCTTTCCACCAGTCCTTGTACACGGATTCCAAAACAGCAATGATATCGCCTTTTCGAAATTGCAGCTCTCCCGGTTCTGAAGGTTGAAAATCGAATAAGGCGCGTACTCTGGAAACAGTCGCTGCTGTGGTGCCTGACGGGACGGGTTGCGGTGGCTGAGTGGACTGCGAGGGTTCGGCCGCGGCGTTTTGTGGAGCATTAGATTTGGCGGCCGAGGGAGTAGCACCCTTGGACTCTTTGATAGACATGGCCAGGGCCATTTGCAACTCATCCTCCTCTTTCTGTCGATCGACATCAGTAATTTGCGTCTTCTGTGGCTTTGAAGGCGGTCGCAAGTTTGGGTCTGCGGACGGTCAGCAGAGTGTATACACAAGTCAAAGGCCAACCTACTCTGCGATTTGAGCTTCTCGAAAGCACCTTGCATTATGCCTAGGTCCGGATCACTAGCAAACATTTCGCTCCATTCGGCCATGCGCTCCAATATCTTGGCCTTGACTTGCTGGTGCGTGTTGCGATCTGCAGTAAGTCGAAGCAGAGCGTCTGTGAAGCTCCGAGAAGCCAGCTCTTTGTGCATCTGAATACCACAATTCTGGCTTAGCGCATTGGCGAGCTCGAGGGTGTAGAGTTGGACATTGGCATTGCGGTGGGCGAGACGTTTGATCATGGCCGCGACAGCATCTTTCGCGCCCGTGTCCGATGCGCCGACTCTGTCGCACACGTCCTGTAACAGCAATGCATTAGATTCTTCAGCAGAACACGACATTTTCGATAGAGCCTACCAGAATAAATTCCCAGTTCTCACTTGTAAGGTTCTCGTCCGTTGCCTTCACCACCGCATCATCAAAAGCGTTTGTCTGCGCTCGAAACATGTTGAAATGTGGACAGGTGTCCCTCGGTTCGATTCGGTTGAGAAAGCCAGAGAGAAGCGTTTCTAAAAGCGTAGATTATGGGGTTGAGGTCGAGGTCGAGGTCGAGGTCAAGGTCGGAACGAGGGGATAGTGGAGGTAAGAAGGTGTGGCAGCCTGGTCAAGTACATGTGAGCTCCGACCGGGCTTAGCGAGTGATGCCCAGCGTTCGCCGATGACGACGCGAGTGTGGCGTGGGAAGCAGCAGCCACACACGTGATCAAGCTTACTCATACACGTATGTATGTCCGCTTGAAGACAGCCAACATGTGCAATGTTCAGATGCTGTGTCCGGCGCTCGGATAGTCAATTAAAGTCTCGGAACGTTTGAGGTAGATATTTTCAGAATGCACTGCATATGTATGAATATGATTCGTCATAGGACTCGTGTAGCTCACAGATGCACAGGTGATTTGTTGCAATCGATTCATGCTCAATGTCGTCGGATGGCCTCGCAGCGCTTTCCCGTATTCTTATTCATCATTGCGGCCTGATCGCTCACAGTCATCTACATATGTGTGTGTGTGTATGAAACAATCCACCTTTGGGCGTTTTCACTTGCGCGGTACCAAATATAAACACTAGGGGAAATGTACAACAAGAGAAAGGCGCCCACGTGGTGTCATGTTCGCAAATCCAAAAACAGAGCCCTGAAAAAAAAAATCCCCGGTAAAGAAAAAGGCAGAAAGGAATAGATCCCTCGCCGTAAATGCGCCGCGCAGCCTCCCTTCACGCTGGCCGAGCATGGACAGGCTGTCAAACCGTCCAGGGTGGACAGAATAAGTATGTTGCTCGATGCGTATGATTCGCTGGGTGAATCCGGAAATGGGATCCTAATCAACGGCAAGTCCATCTTTGCCGGCATGGTGCATGCTGACAACTTGGCTGCCACCACGATGACATGTATCAAGAGAACCTCGATAGTCTATAGAACGCAGACGTGTAGCATCATAGAAATTGCATTTTCGGTGCGGACCTTGGTATTCCGGCAGTAGATGTTTTGCCAACTGTCCTTCAGCCATGTTTGTCCAACTGTGGATGGAAAAGGAGAGGTAACGGTGCGCAGCCAATCGTGTGCTTATCGTCCCAAAGCGACTACAACTCATCGACATTATGATACCATTCGGTGTACGAAATAGTTGCGCTCCCTGTTGGGAGATCGATGTCATGACATTGCAGCGCCTCTGGGCCTGTCACTCGGAGATAAGATGCATCCTGCGACTGCTTCAGAAGCGATCACATACCACCTTTCTTGCGTCTCTCTTCCGCCCTGGCTTTTCTGGCAGCCAAGACTAGCGGAGCAAGCGTGTTGAGCGGTTCAGCTGTTTGTATGAAGGGGTGCTGCAGCGCGTCAGTGTTCAAGTTCACAACCGAGAATAGATGACACATACGGTAAGTAGATCATGAGCGCTAGCCCGCTTATCGGGATCGACTTTGAGAGAAAAGTGCAAGAAGTCGCGGAAGACGGACGACAGCGAATGCTCCTCCTTGATGGTAGGTGTGCCATTGGTTGCGATGAGCCAGAGTGCACGGAGTGGGCTTTCGTTGAGGTAGGGGGGTTCTCCTTCAATCATCTCGATAGCCATGATGCCGAGAGACCAGATGTCGACTTTTCGGCCATATTCCTTTCGGGTGACGACTTCGGGCGCCATCCAGTACGGAGTACCTACCATGGTTGTTCGCTTGTTGTGGCTCTCATTGATTTGAGCGCAGAAGCCGAAATCGGCTGTGATATAGATCAGGAACTGCGGGAATCTATTGTCAGGGATAGCGTACTCAGCTTGATGTTGCCTTCCGAGGAGAGGAGAATGTTATCGGATTTGATGTCACGATGGATAACGCCCTTGGAGTGCAAATGTTGCAAGCCATTGAGAGTCTGCCATTATGTTAGCATGAAGACATTTCGAGACGTCCAAACGAGCACGCATTACCTCGCGACAGACGGCAGCTATCTGCCCTTCAGACATGATGTTGAAAGTGACGACATCAGTCAAGCTACCTCCTTCCATGTACTCCATGACCACCCACAAGTCACCTCGAACCAGAAAACTGTCCATGAAATTGACGATATTCTTGTGTCTGCTGTCCTTCATGACCAAAATTTCGTTGATGATCAAATCCTTCTTGGGCTGCTGCTCCAGATTCATCTGTTTGATGGCCACGCACTTGTTGGTACTGATTTCGTATGCAGAAAACACGCCTCCCGAGGCACCCTGCCCAATCTTGTTCAAGTTGCGATATCTCGTGTTGGGATCCGCGTTGGTGCAGATTGCGTTGAGTTTAGCAACGATATCCGGGCCCTGGCTTTGCCTCGGCCTCTGGCGGGCGCGAGGTCCAGGGGGCGCAGGTCCCACGCGAGGTTGTTGCGAGGGCAGTGGGATGTTTTGCGGGTCAGATTGCTGTGCGAATTGCTGCTGCGGCGACGGCTGCGCTGCTTGTGACGGCACAGAAGTGGGGGGGGGAAGCTGGACCTGCTGGGGTTGCGCTGTGGTTTGGCTGGTGGTCCTGGCCAGTTGGGGCTTCATGGACTGCTGAGCTGCTGCAATCGCCTGGGCCTGTTGCTGCTGGTATTGCTGAGCAGGGGACATGGGGGTCGCGCTGGCTGGCGAGTCGAAGCGAGGCGGGGTGCCACCGGTGTTGGCACGACTGCGCGGAGCCGAAGACAATCCATCTGTGGCCAGAGGAGGAGCATAGGCGACTTGAGCAGCATGTTCGTCCTGGCGCGGACTGAGGGTAGGATGTTGAGAGATAGCCGGGCTGGGAGCAGGCTGGACTGGGCGGGCAGATGGTGGGCCAGAGGAGGCTGCTGGAGGCTTTGGAGCGGGCCGATTCGGTATCAGCGCACCGTTGATCTGGGGCGAGGCGGCGGGCGAGGTCAAGCCGGGAGAAGTGAGGCCACCCCGAGGGATTGGAGGAGGAGCACGGGGGTTCTCGAAGCTGTCCTGGTCCTGCGAACGGGGGAAGCGGGGGCTCTGGGGCGGGCTCAAGAGCGGCTGGATGGTACCATAGCCCGGAGTCACATTTGCTTGGTATGCGTACGCTTGAGGGTGGGTGGGGCCCATCTTGTCCCAAATGGCATCGTCGCTGTCCTTCTCGGCTGTGTCCTTGTAGAAAGTCACGACATCGACGGCGGCCTGGGGGTGCTGCTTCTGCTCTTGCTCGGTGATGCCGTTCTGCTGCAGCATACGCTGCCATTCCCTTGGCAGGCCCTAGATCGGGGGTCAGCAACGTGTTATGTGGAGGGAGGAGGGGAACTTGACGTGGCACGTACGGTGAATTCACCCGTCACGTTGTCTATGGCGACGTGGGTGACGTGCATTGGGTTAGTGGGGGTGGAGATGGTGGGCCGACGCGGTGAGGAGAAGCCGGAGAAGAGGCTGGAAAAGGTGCCCTTCTTCTTGCCGCCATCGGATTTGCGCTTGGAGGCTTTGCTGGTGGTTTCGTGCTCGTCGGAATAGCGCTGGCGAGGAGTGCCGCCGTCGGAGCGTGGTGGGGTATCCATCTTGCTGCGCTGGGCGAGGGCGGTGAAGGAAGCACTGGCTCGCAGACCCTTCTGACGGGTGGGGATGTCGGTGGACGAGTGCTGCAGGATGGGGCGAGTGGCAGCGGCAGCGGCGGTGGTGGGCACGAAGTTGTTGTTGGCGTTGGACTGGTATGCTTTGGCCTTGTTGATGCTCTCTTGTATGGCGGCGACGTCGAAGGGCTGGCCGACCAGCTCGGGGGTGGTGCGCAGGGAGTTGGACGAGGATTGCGAAGGGTTGAAGCCGGCCGAGGGAGAGTGTCGCAGCGAAGGAGCGCGGTGGGGAGCAGCAGGGGCGGAGGGTTGGAAGCTTGGGTGAGAGGGAGCACTCGGGGCGCGACGCAGGCTGGTGTGTTGAGGTTGACGGGTTTCGAAGCTGATTGGCGGGCCCTTTGACTTCTTGAGCAACTTGCGTGCTGACTGGGGCGCGAGGTGGTGAGGTTGGGGTTGTTGCTCCATAGCGGGCGGATGGGATGGACGGGGAGACAGCAGCAGCAGCAGCAGGAGAGGGTGCGGCGGCGCGTAGGGAGTGGATTACACAGCGCAGCAGCAGCAGCAGCAGCGAGTGGTGACGGGCACAAAAGCAAAAGGTGTAGGCGGGCAGTCAGGCAGGCAAGCAGGCAGGACAGGACAGGCCAGGGCAGGGCAGGCGGCTCTATAGGCTCTGGGGGTACAGAGAAGAGAGTGTGTATTGGACGAGCGGGCGTGTGGCCGGGATGTGGGATATGTGGGATGCGGGATGCGTGTGTGCGTGCGTGCGTGGCCTGCAGAGTGAAGTCTGTCTGTCCGTCTGTCTGTTGGTATGTATGTCTGCCTGTCTGTCCGCTGGCTATCGGTTTGCAATCATGTATGAGGTATGGAATGGATGGGACGAAACGGTGGGTGGGTGAAGTGGGTGGGTGAGTGAGTGGACAGAAGCAGCAAGCAAGCGGGAAAGAGGATGATGATGGGCGGTAGGCGGGGTGTGTGCCTCGCAGGGCGGGCTTCCGGCAGCACGACGTCCAGTGCAGTAGGTACAAGCAACCGTTAGGTCAGGTTACGTAGGAGTGGCAGAGGGAGAGGTAGGAAGAAAGGGAGAGGTAGGTACATAAGAGGTATGCAGAAAAAACAAGAGGGAGAATTGGGGCTTGGGGTTACGGAGCTATAGGTTAATAATACTGGATAATACTACGAACCTGCTAAGAGTACTTAGCTATGTATGTACCGCTACCTGGAGGGAGGATATAATAACCCAGCCAACAGCACTATACTGCAGTAAGACACACACTCTGGCACCGTCTCCACCCCCCAAATGGCCTTCGCTCTCATGCTGCCAGCCAGGCTGGATGACTTCATCTTTGTCGACGACGTTTCACGCCCACGACTCGTGATGGGCGCCATTCAAGTGTTGCACACAGAGGTACTATACCATACTATACCTAGTGCTACTGTACTGGCTTCTTCCACTCTCTCTCTCCCCGCCCGCATCTTCACACTGGCTGCCGCCGTTGCACACGCGCTATGGGCTGGCTTCTAGCTGCTGCTTACCTACCTACATACATTGTACATACATACACATCTACCAGGCCTGACTTGGCCTGAACACACCGATGACCAGCCTGATGTCCGTTGGTATCCTCATTCATCATTCATGGTGACCAAACGGCGAAACCTGGGACAGTCTGCCCGATTCGGGCTTGCCTTGGTCTGCCTCCTTCTGCTTGCCTGGCCTGGTTCGTGCGTCCGATTCCACCCACCAAGCTGCAATAAACCTCGACTCTCCCACTCTCTCCCTATGTATGCACTGACTTGACCCTCACTCGGTTCCAGCCCCGTCGTGCCACCGCCATGATTCACTGCCCCGGCGAGAAGAAGAAAAATTGCTGCACATGCATGCACGCACGCACGCACGCATGGGTCCCAGCGAGATGAAGGAGCAACAACAGTCCTTCTTCTCCTCTTCCCCTTCTTATTCAATTTGCTTCTTTGCTTCCTTCACACACACACCCCGGATGCCTCGCATCACCGTTGATCGATCGATCGGGCAAAGAAAGGGTGCATGCACATTCAAACAAATGTTTGAGTGGATGTTGCATTGGAACGTACCGCTGCACGTGCTCACTACAGTAGCTCCCACTCTTGATAGCCGACTACTGCGGGAGAACCGTTTGTCTTGCTGCAGCGACGGCTGTTTGCTCGTCTCCCTTTCCCCCCATCCACATTCGCACCAATGCTCGCACACCTTCCCCGCATCCCTACTACCTCCACCTGTCTTCGACTGTCTTTTATCCGTGCCTGTATACATACAGCCCAGCATAAATGACATATCCGTTCAATCATCCAACCAACCCCAAATCATGATCCTCAAATCTCCGCTCGGCACACTACGCCAGCCACATGCATCTGCTCCCACACACTAATCTTAGACTCACCCTATCCGTCGCCCCGCAGCTTGGACGCCCACCACAGTGTGAGAAAGACGACAAGAAGAAGCAAACCGGCAGCTCGCGAATTGACGTGGGCGCCTCACAGATGCTCACAGCTGTGACTGCAGCTGACGGTTGCACCCAAACAGACGTCCCCCCATCCAGACATCCAGGCCGTCGCACCAACCAAATAATAACATCAATCCAACAAAACAAAAACAACCGCAAAGCCAAAGAGATTGGGACGGCAAACTCTGCAAACCATGTCCGATGGCGAGTACCAGTACCAGGCACTGCACTGAACAAATCCTCTTCCGGCTTACTGGCCGGACCGCTGTCCACATTTCTGGGATCGGAGCGAGCTCGCATGGCCAAACAAGCATCATCCCTCCCACCTCGCATATCTCCCGACCTGGCGAGAACAAACAACCACAGCAAGCAAGAAACATGCCTCTCTAACATTCCATGTCGCCGCGCTACCACCGCACCAACGAACTCATGAGTCTCACACTCCACTCCCCCACAGTGTAATGTGCTGCGACAATTGCGTCAAGGCCTACCTCCTCCCCTCCATCCAGGAACTAGTCTGACCAGCCAGGAAATTTCTTACTTCGTCCCCCTCCCAATTGGGGTGCTGCATGACTCGATTTCCCAAACATGTTTCAGACTCTTTTTGCTTCTTTTTTATCCTGAGAATAGAGTCGTCTGTTGTGTTATCTCTCCTTCGGCGAAGTCAGGCACCGGCCCCCCCCAAACAGAATTCAAACACCTCTAGCAGCAGTCGATGAATCGTGACAGTCCTCGACCGGTCAAAGTATCACCCATCCCATCCCCTCGGAGCATCAAGTTTCCCATCTGTCAATTCAACTTCTCTCTCCCTCACTAATCTTGAAGATCAATCGATCGCTTGCTCATCTGCTTGGCATACAGCATTTGTTCCATTGGTACACTAACGTAATTGCTCATCGGAAATCGCCGCTTGCATCTGTGTGTACAAAACTATAAATTTCCAACAGACAGTTTGCAGAAGCACCAAACTTGCTGCAGAAAACAGACCATGCAATTCTGGGCTTAATGTTTCGGGCACTCCATCTTCGCTAATCTCTGATCACTTCACTGTCTGAAACTTACACCAGTGTACGGAAACACTCGCCATCAGAACTATGTCGCAATCACGATGAATCGTCATGAAGAAACTATAGCGGAAAAGAGAGTTGACTACCACCGCAATCAACTGCTACGCCACATGCATATAACTTTGTTGAGAAGCAAAGCAAAGCACCCAACTGTGTAACCTTTACGCTTCCCGCATCCGCATGTCCATCCTACATCATTCCCATCTTCCCCGCCATGCATATTCCTCTTTCCTCTCGAATTCCACCTTCTCAAAACTTACCCTCGATTCGGCTTGACAATTAACTTCTGAGCCCCCACCGGCTACCGTACCATATTCCACCCTTCCATCCTGTTACTGTTTGGGGGAGGGTCCCAATGTTGACTACGTTGAATGACGTATTGTTGGATCCTGTATCTCCTTTGTTGGAATGGGGTTGAGAGTGATTGAGGGTGTAGTGGGGGTTGGTACTGGGGCTGGGGCTGGGGGAGGGAGCTTGCAGGTAGGTAGGATTGTGGAATTGCGATTGGAATCGGCATGGCATGAATGGACGGATGAGGTGTTTCATATTGGATGCTGTGTTTGGTGTTGGGCAATATGTTTTTTTTTCACCTATCAGCGTAATTTTGATTATAGAACTGCCCGGAACGTGAATGTCAGAAAGGAGGTCCATAGGTAGATTGCCTTTGACGGCCAATTCTTTGATGATTGACACTCAATATCATGCATCTATAAGGAGAATCTGTTCTGGTTTGTATCATATGCATGGAGGTTGATTCCAATGCATGCTGCATGTATGTTCGTTTCTGTGTATTGATGTATGCCGAGACTGGAAGCAGTTCACTCCTCGTGCGGCTAAGATTCGTACATATATATGGGAAAGTAAGAATGGGGAGAAACTGGCTTAATCCGGTGCATCTTGAGCTGCACAAGTTCGACTGAATTCATTTGACCAGTGATGGCAGGATATCGTGGCCACGTATTCATCATCATGTTTCGTCTAATAGCGTCCTCATATCGCTTCAAGGCTGCGCTTCCCGACCTTTTGTCTTCCCATACGCTCCGCCAGCAAGCTTCCGCATCTCCAGAGCACGCTTATACGGAGGCGCAGTGGGCGGCTGCACAGGATCGAGACTGACACGATCCTTGGGGAGGTGGTAAGTGGCATCCGCGTCATAAGCAGAGAGGTCTCCACAAGCCAGGAATGGGGCGATCCACCGTTGTCCACCCGCCTCCACATCATCCGCTTCGTCGTCCTCGGGCCCAAGGTCTATCTCCATCACCCCATCATCTCTGATTCTTCTCGATGCCTTGATTTCCTCCCCTCGAGACTCTGCGGAATCCGGGATGAGCGTTCCAGCACCGAGCGGCGTGTCCAAACTTGCTTTGAAGCCGGCGGGCGGGCAGAACCCTTCGCACACGACAAAAGCCTCGATACTGCTCGCGCGGCTGCTTCGTGGCTTGGCCACCCTAACTCGCTCAAACACGATTTTCAGTTGGGCGAACAACAGATCGACGTCCTTGCCTCTGAAGATTTTCGCCACGAATTTCCCGCCTGGTTTGAGCACGCAGAGCGCGAGATTGAGCGCTGCCCATAGCAGCTGACTCTGCACGTAAATGTCCAGATCGTGGAGTCCTGTTACGTCGGGCGCGCCGTCCGAGATGACGAGGTCTACGGGGGTTGATGTTGATGATGATTTAGGGTCGTATGTATCCGGATCCAGGGCTTTAAGCATAAGGGGGATGGTAGACGGATGGGTAATGTCTGCTCGCAGTGTCGTGACACCCTCGAGAGGGCTCATAGGTTGTAAATCGATGGCCACGATTCTGACTCCACCTCCCGATTTAGAATTCTTTCCATCCTTCTCTTTTTTCTCTGGCTCCGCTGTGGCCTGCGGGCTTTGTACAGCGGGCGCTGAGTTGTCTGCGGTGCCCTGTGTGTAATGCCGCGTCTCTTTTTGTTTTTCTTCCCAGTCAGCTCGCCCAAATCTCTCACCCTGAATGAGCACTCGCGACAGCACTTGGCTCCAACTCCCTGGCGCGGCGCAGAGATCTACGACACGAGTCACGTTTTCGAAGAGATTGAATTCTTCGTCCAGTTGCAGAAGTTTGTAGGCGGAGCGGGCTCGCCAACCTTCCTCTTTTGCTAGGCGGTAGTAGGCATCCCGCTTATCTTTGGAAGATTTTCCCATGAGTAGCAATGCACTCTTTTATATCCTTTTTAAAATGGTGCTGTACGTCAATTCTCGATCCCACGCCTTATAGAAGTTTTACATTGGTTGTCAAAATGGAGTCACAATCTTCGAATGCTCGCTTACTCGAAGAGGCTAGCCGCCGCAGCGGGGTTTGCTACTACCGATCCTCCGACCCATTTCCCTTCGCCAGGAAAAAAAAATCCCAGCGCTGCAAAACTCGTAAACAAGAACCACCGAAATCAACTTCGCAGCGAGAAAAGATGAAACGCGATCGCGGCTCTCAGAAGGCGCCCTCCAAAGCGTCCAAGCGACAAAGACTCGACCCCTCGGCTGCGCCGTCCGCGAAAAGAAAGGCTGCCAGTCGCAAAATACGCCTCGACGATTTACAATGGAAAGAAGTGTCTATGCCTGATCGGCTGGAGGACTTTGAAGGGTTTTACGGACTAGAAGAAATTGATGATGTAGAGGTGGTGAAGGATAGCGGAACTGGACAGGTTTCGTTTGCGACGACGCGGACAGATGAGGATTTAGAGCGGGAGAAAGAGGAAGGCAAGAAGGCCGAAGAGGAAAGAATGGCCGAGCTTGAAAGGCTGCGTGCGCAATCTAATGGAGAAGAGCTCGTGCCAGAGGAAAATGGAGACAATGAGGAAGAGGATTCATGGGAGGGGTTCTCGGATGATGATGAATCCCGAGACGATATCTCGCAGTCGAAAGGAAACGGTCACATTTTGAAGGAGAACGATATTGAGGACATCAACGATGCAGAAGAAGTACAACACGAAACTGTGAAGCTCAGCAAGAAGGAGAAGAAGAAGAGAGAAAAAGAGAAGGCTGTTGCAAAGGCCAAAGCAGAAAAAGAAGAGGACCAGCCATCAGAGGAGGAGCCAGACGAAGAGGATTCCTTCGGTAACGGCGCTTTTGATATTCTAGCGAACCGGACGGCTGAGGAAGATGATGAAGAAGAGGTGGATATCTCTGCTTGGGAAGAATTGGGATTATCTAAAAACACCTTGGACGCCGTAGCAAGCCTCAAATTTGCTCAACCAACCCCTATACAAGTCTCTTCCATCCCGGAAATTCTGGCCGGCCGCGACGTTATCGGCAAAGCATCGACTGGATCCGGAAAGACTCTAGCTTTTGGCATCCCGATATTGGACCACTTTCTTACATCGTTGCCTGACTCGAAAAAGAGTACACCTCTTGCTTTGATCATCTCGCCCACCCGAGAGCTGGCACATCAGATTTCGGCGCATCTAACGAATCTCTGTTCTGGTGGTGATTTTGATGCACCATTCATCGCCACCGTCACTGGAGGTCTATCCGTGCAGAAGCAACGACGTCAACTCGAAAAAGCAAACATCGTCATAGGTACTCCGGGCCGGTTATGGGAGGTCATCAGCAGCGGTCAAGGTCTTTTGGAATCGTTCAAACGCGTCCGCTTCCTCGTCATTGACGAAGCTGATCGTCTCTTGAGTGAAGGTCACTACAAAGAGTTTAGCGAAATCCTCAAGATTTTCGAAGCCGACGAAGAGAATGCAAACGCTCATGATACCGACCCCACTGAGATGAATCGACAAACTCTGATTTTCTCCGCAACATTCCAGAAAGGTCTGCAGCAAAAATTGACTGGCGGCAAGCGTCAGAAAGGCGGGGATCTCATGAATAAGCAAGAATCAATGGACTACCTACTGAAAAAGATCCAATTCCGGGAAGAGAAGCCCAAGTTCATCGACGCGAACCCCGCATCCCAAATGGCTTCGGGTCTGCGAGAAGGCTTGGTCGAGTGCGCAGGAACCGAAAAAGACTTATACCTCTACTCCCTTCTCCTTTACCACCCCAAAAAGCGCGCTCTCGTCTTCACCAATTCCGTTTCTGCCGTGCGACGCCTGACGCCGTACCTGCAAAACCTCAACCTCCCGGCTTTCCCTCTGCATTCCGGCATGATGCAAAAAGCGCGTCTACGATCCATCGAACGCTTTACGCAACGACCCGGCTCGATCCTCGTCGCTACCGATGTCGCCGCCCGGGGTCTCGACATCCCCGGCGTAGAACTCATCGTACACTATCACCTCCCTCGCGCAGCAGACACCTACGTGCACCGCTCGGGACGTACGGCGCGTGGCGAAGCCTCAGGCTCCAGCATCCTCATCTGCGGTCCCGAAGAAGTCGCCGGCGTCAGGCGATTGGTCGCAAAAGTCCACGCACGCGCTACCAACCAGCCTTCCAAATCCAAAAAGACTGCATTCTTCATCCGCACCCTGGACATTGACCGTCGCATCGTGTCAAAATTGAAGCCTAGAGCCGTGCTCTCAAAGAAGCTCTCCGACGCGACCATTGCGAAGGAGAAGAAACACAGCGAGGACGACTGGATGCGCGCCGCCGCCGAAGAGCTCGGCGTCGACTACGACAGCGAAAGCTTCGAGAAGGAAGCCAAAGGCAAGCGCGGACGCGGTAGCGGGCGCAAGCAAAAGGAAAAAGAAGCCAGGGATATGACCAAGGGTGAACTGCAGAGTTTGAGGGCGGAGCTGAAAAGTCTGCTTAGCCAGAGAGTCAACGTCGGCGTGAGCGAGCAGTATCTGACGAACGGACGTCTGGATGTCGACGCGTTGATGAACGGGGAGGGGAATCTCGACTTCCTGGGCGATGCTGGTGATTTTGGGTTTGAAGATTAGTAGGCGGGGATATACTTTGTATACGCTGCGATAGATGATTGTTGTATTTAGTAAGCAGTAGTCAAATCTGCTGGGGAATGAACCAAAAAGGAAAAATTTGCTCTGTTTGATTGATTATATCATCCTGGTCCTCAATACCGTGCGTCCTTTCTGAAAACCCAGTCATAACCTATCGAATCCAACTATCGATCAAAACCGACGCAAAAAGAGAAAAAAATGGCGATTTTTCTTCGTCTGAGATTGCTAAGTTACAATGCAAACTCAAGCTAAACTTCGGAATCTGTGTACCGAGCTTTATTTAGCTGGCGGATTCTACGTCAACGAGGAATGGTGTGTTTGAATACTGAGTATGATTGTTTTTTGTTTTTTCCAGCAGCTTGAGAGTTTGATTTTTCGATAATCAGTATTTCTGTGGGACAACGTTGGATGGAGATGTCGGGTGATCAGGCTTCTGATAATATTATCATTGTTACAGAACTTTGATTGTGGGAAATGCGATGTCTTATGGGTTGTGCAACAGACAAAGAATCGTGCAAACTATTGATCCGTCACGTATCATTCCTAGTCGTGCGATTGCGTCAAGTTTGAAGGTATCCCACAAACATCAGTGTATTTTAGTATTTAAAGGTGCTGATCGGCAATCGTAGGATAAGACAAAACTGCGTGGAGGATTACCTTCACATTAGTTCACGCAGATATCTCAAGAGGTCTATCCTAAATCGTCGATATGTCTTATATCTTTGATCTTCTTTGCAAGTTTAAGAAGATCCCACGAGTATTATTTCTCTTCGCTGGGTGTCCTCACCACTTTCTGAAACAGAGTTCCTGTTTAAGAAACACATTACCCTGTAATGAGATGCGCCAAATCCTTACATTGTCGATATATATTGAAGATCAGTATTACAGGTGCCTTCTATTAATAAACAATGCTTTGTTCATTCACAGTGAAAGTCGACTATATAAACTTCGAAGTTTTGGTATATATAACTTTCACTACCAACATTAAAAACCTCTACAACTTCTCAAACAAAAACAAAACCGTTCCAACAACTTTCTACAAGCAACATGGACAAACTCGACAATACCACCAAAAAAGACTCGGAGTATGAGCCAGAGGACTACCTCAGCTCCCACTCTACCGTGGCTATGAAGGCTCCTCGCAACAGCGCGGGAACGGCGACTGTGCTAGCTGCACAAGCTGCTCGTGGGGAAAAACCTCGCTCCACGGTATCTCAGAAAGCTCCTCGCACTTCCCGAGCTCAAGCTCCAATCTGTGTGCCCACCAGCTCCAGCACCGCGGTCGTCGCCACTTCCGAGGACTCTGCAGCTGAAACAACTTCCCATGAAGTTGCAGAGGCCGAAGATCCCGATTCCGACCTTTCGTCCTTGCCATCCGAAGAAGGGCCACTGTCATCTGAGGAGGAGGAGAAGGATGATGATGGTGAAGTCGCAAACCCTGATCACAAGGAACAAGACACCAACGAGGAATCAGACGATGACAGCGACGATAATGAAGGGCTTTATATTCGATGTGTCTGCAACGATAACATCGATTATACGGGGTGGGACATGGTCTGCTGCGATGGCTGCCATGTCTGGCAGCACATCATCTGTCTCGCAATTCCTGGCGCTGACTACTGGCAGGATAAGAATTACTTCTGCGAGAGGTGCAAGCCGGAAAACCACCGTGCGCTGCTCAGGCGCTTGGCTAACGGCGAGTCACTTTACGCTGATTAAGTCCCATGTTGGAGTCTCTTATCTTTTGAGGGATTGGCGTTTTGGGGGTACATAGATAAAAGGCAAAATGCATTCTTTCGACTTTATCACTTTTATGACATTCAATACGTTGCACAATGAATAAATGCGAAAATTGGAATTCAATTCTCATGTTCCAATCCGGGAGATTTTGACCATTTTCAGCACATATCAGCTGCATTCTAAAACTTGGGGGGCGGTTTTACGACTACGGGGTTCCCCACAATTGATGTACTTGACCAATACTATGTCAAAATGTGATTGTATATACTAGTTCTCTACACGACTTTCCAGCCATGTGGTAAATACTCTATTTCGTTTCTCAGCGTTGTTTACCCTTGCTACTTTCCGCATTCCCTATTGAAGAAGCACATCATTCCGATAGGAAATGCAACACCTTTACTTACAGTCTGATGTCAATTCATACCTGGATCACATCACAGAGGTATCGAACACAGTGCTTAGTCCCAGTCGGGGAGCTACATTTCTATGTCCACATTTGTCTACATATAACATGTTAAATGTGGGCACAAATGAATTACGGATATGTTTTCCAAGATTAGTGTCGAACTAAGTACCCATAAGGATTTTTGAAACACCAAGTTTTTCACTTCAGTGCTCACTCAGCACGTAAAAATCGATAGTACTCATAAGGCAGATAAAAAGCACTTCTTGATATCGATGTAGAATAGACTTATGCGTTTCTCGGGGATTGGTCATACAAGAATGTGGCGAAGAATAATCCGAGAGAAATACGTTGGAATCCTATCTTCTATAGTGTGCAGAATACTGCAGCATCGTTTGTAATGGCTCACTTATATCAATCTATACGAGTTTTTGATTTATATAGATCATGATTCGTCGAGAAACGGGACACGTGAAAGAGATGATTAGTGAATTCAATGTAATCTACCTTCCACTAACGTACTGTGATAGCCCCAATAGCAAAGAGTATACCAGACCAAGGAAAATGATGACTGGTCTTTGATCACCATAGTAGATATTGCAATCTATTAGGATGAAGTGTGTGGATCTCATCCGATAATTTGTGATGATCAGAAACATGATCCCTCTGAGCGGTGTCTATTTATAACCCCATCTAATAATCGTCATAGTCGTCGTAGTCGTCGTTGTCGTAGTCGTTGTTGTCGTCTTGGTCGTAGTCGTCATACTCGTATTCAGCGTAATAGTCAAACTCTTGACCATCATCGTCATCCTCATCCCTATCGCCTTGGCCAAAGTCATAGTACAATTCTCCCCGGTCGTTGTCATCTTCCGTGCCTTCACGCCCGTAGTCTTCATACTCGTATGGTTCATTGTAGCTGACAAACACGTCTTCTCGACTACGGGCGTAATCTTTTTCTCCATGCCCCATATTTCTCGTGTCGTATCTTTCATTTCCGTACGAGTACGGCTCCGCTTGACTGTATGCGTTGTCCTGATAGTACGCGTCCTGCTGGTAACATTCCTCTTGTTGGCGATAGTAATCGTTTTCCTGATTTTTCTGGGAATGTTCGTAGTAATTGCTGCGTTTTCGTTCGTACTTGTTCCGCTGGTAGTACCGAACATTTTGGTCGTACTGCATATCGTGATTTTCTACAACTCAAGATCAGCGTTTTAAGACTACAAGCAGTGACGGAGCAACAAACCTCGAGTTCTCGTTTGCGTTTGTATTGTGCTTCCCGGAGATGGCTTGGTTCGAGAATTTCTGACGGCTTTCCGACCATCTTGAATGGGCTGAATTGGATATCGTCCTCGTTCCTGCGGTCGCGGACGTATATTCAGATGTATATCTGGTAGCACGCAAAGTATCCGTGCTTCGTTTGACGGTCATCGCCCTCTTGTCATTGGAATTAGAGAGTGAGAGTTTACCCATCGTCTCATTGAGGTGCGACTTTGTGATGTGCCATTTCCCGCTCACATCCAGACCATAGTCTGTTCGGGAAAGTTCTCGCTTGCTATAATGAGATTGTGATGTCTGTGCCGAGCGAGAACGTTGAGTCCCATAGGATGGTGGCAAAGGTGCGTGACGCATGACGAGCGACGTCGTTGTATGTATGCACTGCAAAACGAGATATTGCTCTTCGAAGCTTTGCAATGATCTGGTGGCCGGTCGGAGAGTCGAGATCAGAGAGTTCGCGCAATGTAAAGAAGAGTGTCAAGCTAATCTGGGCACCTGACGCTACTTTCCGCTTTCGATGGTTGTGCGGAAGGTGCGTCTCAGCGACACCAAGGTACTTCCCATCCTGCGATGAGTGAACGTGGCAGGCACCAACTGAATCGCGATTCATTATAATTGTCAAATTCCTAGATCACCTCTAAGAAACCAATCAATACATACATTTTTGTACGGTACGACGGGTTGCAAACGATGAATTGTGCGCTCATATGAATTATATTAACATCGAAAAAGTAAAGTAAGGAGTGCCGAAAATCTATAGACACACAGAACAAACAACAGCGCTAAAATCTATCCAAATCCCATCTAAACTACTGACCCTAGTCGCTCCCTACGACTCATAAGCCAGGTAAATACCATGATACTGGTCATGTTGGATAAACACCATGTTCTCACCCTCACCCTGATCACTACCCTTTACCTCAACCGCAACCGTGGCGCCACATCTAACATCAACAGGGCGCTGATCCGCCATAGCCTTCTCCACCTGCTCAAAAGGAGCCTTGAACAGCTCCGTGAAATCCCACTGACTTTTCTCCGGGTAATCAGCTGCAGGATCGCGGTACTGATCCAAGTCCTTGTTGACCCACTTCTCGCCCATTGCGGGGTGACCAGTGAGTTGACGGATCCATGCGCGTCCGTCGCCGATGCCCCTGAATCTTGAAGGGATGGAAGTAGCGTTGGTGCGCCACATGAGCTTGCAGTTCTTTGCGTCGGCGGGGAGGTTGTCGAAGACGAGGGTGTTGATGGTGGTGATGACACCCTCTGCGTTTTTGCGGAGGTCGATGTGACCCGTGAGGTCGCCTTCCGCGTCTTCTTGTTGTATGAAGATGTTGTATGCCCGTGGAGTCGCTTCGTTTGTTTTCGGTGCTGCTGGTGTCACGGTGGGATTGCTGGTGGAGATGGTAGGAGTGGTGGATATTGTGGTTGTGGTGCATGGGGGTTTGGTCGAGGATGCTGTAGGGGGTCCGTTGATGCAAGGGTCTGTTGCGAAGCAGCCAATTTGGCCAAAGCAACTATAGAATGAGGTTCCTTTGCTGCATTCTGTGTTTGCGCGTGGCTCAGCTGGAAGCGCTGAAGCTAGGGCGAAAATGCTTGCGAATGCGAAGATCTTGGCTGACATTTCAGATAGTTGGATCGTATGGATTGGCGTAGGAGATGGCAATGAATCGATATTAGGATTTAGAATTATGCAAGGGGAAATTTGCAAAAGGAATTGATATATGTATGTCTTTTTTCTTTCTTGTGATGAGTGTAGGAAAAGTCAACAGCAAGGAAAAGATTAAGGAATAGAGAGATGAGAGATTGTGTTGCTAGTATTGAAGATGGAGTTGATAGTAGATCAAAACACGAGGACGAGATCAAAATATATACAGTCCAGAACAGACATCTGCCAGCAAGCTCACGATACTGCCACAGCGGCGTAGTTACTACAATCACTGGGCACATTAGCAGCATCGGCTTAGCGCAGCACTCACGGACAATCAAAACTCTACGGCACAGTTCTTGTAGGTAAGCCCAACAGCGCAGTACAAAGTTGAGACCCTAAGCCACAGTAGCAACTACACCGCTTTTAGATAATGTGTTTCCAGCCATCTCTCTAGTAGGAGCGAAGAACGGCTTGGGTTTCTTCCGTGGGGTTGGACTTTGAGACTTTGGGGCCGTATAGTAGTAAGCTGCCCACTAACCCAAGATGGATTGACGATATGAATAGATCACCAACCACACTAAGCCCTATACGCAAGGCTGCGCCACATCTTAGTCCCAATCACGTTTCTTGGTAGTGGATATCACATTACCGCTGTGGTCTTCAATTCGGTCAGCTCAAGGCGCAATTTGATTATTCTAAGAAGTATATTTGGTGAAACCCCAAGGCTCAATAGAAGATCGAGGACTCGTTTGGAAAAGTCTCGGATGTATGTATTTCATCGTGCGGAATTTATCATATGGCGCACAAGCGCCAAATTTCCAACGCTGGTAGGTTGGTAGTATCATCAATTCTTCTTCAGGTCGCAAAAAGGGTGGATATCGAGAAACAAGAAGTGCTCATAGACGTCGCAGGCATATAGTAGACCAGAAAAATCTTGATGGCGCCGAAGAAAAATATGGGTTGTAAAGAGACTCGGGATTCATGTGTGTTCTATCACGATCAATAAGGTGCGACATAGCTCAAGAGGGTCAATGTCCACTGAAACAGATGCAAGCCAACAGTACGGTCTAGAACACGCCCTCAAAGATCACGAAAGCAAAGACTTTGACGTTCACACCCAACACGCCCCAGTCTCAGTAACCATAAGCGACATGAACGAGCAACCCCCAAACCAAAAAATCCCGAATCACACTGCTCTAGATCAGTAGTTCTCCCTCCCCGAGAATCTCATCTCGTTCGCCCCAACATCAAACACAGCAAGCACATTCTTCAACCAACTGTCCCCAAGAACCGCATCCCCCAATCCCTGTCTCTGCACCGCAAGTGTGCACAATCCACGGCCCACTTCACCTTCCACCCTACTACTACCGGAATCCTCAAAATCAATACTCGTCCCGTCCTCGGTGACCCATACTTTTCCGCCGCCTCCCACTGCCCCCGGGGCCCTATTCATCAAATCATCTGGGTGGATGTAGAAACTTCTCCCTGCAACCACGACGCCAACTCTTGGAGCAAGAGCTGAGCACGGTACGAGGTATGTGTTAGTGTTGACGGAGAAGATGGCGCGAGGCACGAAGAGCGAGGCGATGCGCTCGGCGATGTCTTCAGGGACGTAGAGGAGCGTAGTGCCGCTGTCGATGACCATAGTCAGGTTAGGGGTGAAGATGATGGTGGAGTTTGGATCGGCGTTGGAGGGTCGGATTGCTTGGCGAGGGTTTATGCGTGGTGACGGCGATGGGGAGTGTTTTGAGGGTTTCGACTTTAAGTGTCTAGATCGGGATGAACGAGTCGTAGAGTTGGGTGCATGTGATTGGAGTCTGGCTTGGGAAGAAAACGTGGGGAACGGTGTTGTGGAGACGGGCAGCGTTGTTGATATGATATCCGGACTATCCGAATTTGTCGTGGAGGACAGGGAAATGTTAGAGATTGGCGGCTGGACATCGAAACCATCTACATCGATTGCGTAGAGAGCGTAGTTCTTGGCATACAATGGTTTTATATCGACAGAGACGAATTCTCCGTCATGATCGACATTGGGAAGACCTCCGATAGCAAGGAGTCCGCCAGCAACTGGGCTCTCGATAGTCGGCCTGCTCAATGCGATGCTGAACACCGCTGGGGTAGTTGTATTTTCAAACCTGCCCGGTATTACTACTTTTCCAAATTCCTCGAAACTACCGTTGGGGCTGTATTCCCCTTCGTATACGCGGAGTGACGCTCAAGGGAAGAACTCACAGAGTGAAGATGAGACTTTTATACCCCAACTCTTTCCCGTGACTGACCAGTGCACTGTAGGCTAAGCCCATCAGTCCACTGCTGATCCCGTCGCCGTTCCAATATCCTCGTTCTACGACTCCTATAGTCTGCCTGACCTTCAACATATCCTCGTTTTCACCGCCAATCCCTAAAACCTCTGATCCCAGCTCGCCCGACAAAAACTCGCCATCTGTGTACTACAGTTGTATAACGTCAGTCGAAAGACATTTTGGGGATGGCCGGAGCCGACCTCGTTGTTTCCCTTGGCAAAAAATCCAAAACGTCTCTACATACACTGGTTCCAAATCGATGGCTCGGAATCCCCACGAACGTATCACTCTGATTCTTGTCGTACAGAATGCCGAAGCCGCACTTATCCTGGGAGATCTGGCTGGTGGTAAATCTGGAAACGCATGCAAAGTTGGACGCAGCGACCCAGGTGTCAGAACTGCCCGTGTCAATGATGACGCTGTACTCGTGGCTGCCAACGCTGATATTGGTCATGTAAATACGGCCTCCTAGCGTCTCGACGTCGCTTTGTATGTCGGAGATAGGATCTCTGTTTTCGTGGCTGAGCATAGGATTTGCGGGTATTCTGGTTGGGTACCTGGAATATCGCTTTCGAAGGTATCTGGAGGATGGGGGTATGGCTTGCGGATGGGTATATGGTGCCGCAATAAGAGGGAGAACATGGCTCGCTACTGTTCCGACTTAGTATGTTGAGCAGAAGTGATAGCACTTGAGATTGTGGAGATACATGTACTCACTGGCGACACGTGACGGCGTCCTCTGTTCGAGGGCATTGATATGCGTAGCGAAGGCCAACACGTGTGTAAAGACCGAACCCAGAATCATTGCGATCATGTCAGCTAATATCCTCATGGGCGCGAAAGAATAAATAGAGAATCGGATGCAATGGTTACACCAAGCCGGCCAATCCCTTGCATGAGGTTTCAGGGAAATGTAGCGATAACATTGTAGCATTCCGGACGAGACATGGCCTTTTCTGTTGAATTATCATAAAAGTCTTGCCATCAGGTATGACGCCGGCAAGGCTACTCTAAACTTGTGATTGGCGAGGACTGAAGTATGACTTTGGTTCTACTTCTATACCCTCCAATAATAACTTAGAACAACATGGACGGTGTAATACCCGATCACAAGGCTCTACGTTGATTTGGGAGGAAATGACCAAATGGTTCATGTCTCAATTGAGTGGGAACGTCTGGGTAACTCTGTTGGAAAACGCTTCTGACCCAAGTAGGCAAATATTTCTGCGAACGTTGCACCATACTCTCTGGAAAATCAACTCCCAGCCGGATTCGGATCTCCAGTATCAAGTTACTCAAACATAGACTTCATTGGAATTACATGGAAATGTCAGTGCCAGGAGCTAGAATCATCGTCTGAATACAGGTTCGTACATGTGCTTCAGGTGATCTTTGGAGCCGTGATACCAGAGGCGGAAGGGAGAGGCTAAGCAAAATAAATGAAAATCACGTCGCCCTTAACCAGCCGAAGAGTGTTCAGAGAAGTCGAGGTTGTATGAAATGTCTCTCATCCGCATACCCGCCCTTAGCGCGGACCGAGGCCGGTACGCGCTCGGATGCTCCCACGATGACATCATACCCATAACAAAAACGCTTTCGACCTCACTGCGTCAACTCAACCTCCCTCCCTCCTACACACACTCCGCAGCGCATCCTTCTATACCCAATCACAACACAGTTCTCACACTCGGTATCTCCTGCATCGGACCGTTTCATCCCAGTTCACCCGAACCGAACAAGACAAACACACAAGAAGCAAAATGGTTTTCCGCCTCCCTTCCTCCACTCTCCGCGCAGCGCCTCTGCGAGGCGTCATGGCAGCACAGCGCAGGACGCTCACGAGCAGCCCGCGCATGCAGATCAAGGAGGATGCGAGCCGATCGGGAGAGGAGATTGAGCAGAAGAAGCAGGAGTCGTTGAACAAGCAGAAGAAAGGTGATTAATCCTTGCTCCAATGCATCCTTGATCAATAATCCTTCAATCAATTGATTCCCTATCAACGGAATAGGTTTTTCTCCGGAAAATATGAAATGGCAGACGAGGATATGAATTGGAGAGGTTGCTGACGTCACACAATATAGGCGAGGGACACTGGAGCGAGGCATTGGGCAGCGCGTCGGAGAGCGGAATTGCTGCAGATCGCGAGCAGGTAAAGGACCACGACAGCCACATCAGCAAGCTCCAGCAAGAGACGAAGAGCAAGGGCGAGAAAGGCGAGCTGTAATGGACGTACGTCGCGATCAGTGTTCCTCGATGGTGGCATGTTTAGACTGACCTGCCTAGTAGGGAGCAGTTGCCTTTCTCAATGTTGAATAGATGGACTGGATACGTTGCGTATATATGTACATATTGCAATCGTCGTTTGTGTTTCCATGGTCTCTCGATTGGGGGACTACTTTGAGTTTTACAGTAGTCCCCCAATCGAGAGACCATGGCAACACGAACGACGCTTGCAATATGTACATGTATACAATCCTTGAGCTTGACTGATTTTTTCCGGGGTGACTGTGCATTGCATTATACAGCGGATTATTACTTAGCCATTACCCGTCATGTGGGCGGGGGAGTTAGTTTATCGGAATGAACAGCCGTCAACGCCACATATGTATTGATTCAGCGCATGTGCATGCCGCAGCAAAAGGAAACCTGATGTGTTGTTGCAAGTTCTGGCCCGCTGCCCTGTCGACGCGGTTCCTGGAGGAGTGGACGACAACGGTGACAAGGAGCGGAGAGAGGACCAAGCACCGGGTTGGGCCGCACGTGGAAGGGCGACGGAGCTGGAGGATGCGAGCGGACAGCCAATAACGGCAGGAGGAGGTCCGAGTGAGGACTAGAGGAGGATGGACGTCGAGTGGTTGCGGAACTGGTCCCGATGGCACCGCAAAGGTTTGGGTAGGGGAGATCGAATCGGCTCAAGACGATGGCCTCCCCTCCTCCCGCCCCTGGCCGCCGCTTGCTCGATACGATTTTCCTCGTCGTTCAAATTTCCCTTCTCACCCTACCCTCCCGTCCAGACTCGAGTCCGTCTGTCCGTCTTGATATCCACCTCGGGGGTGTGCAGAACTTGTAGCATCCACGCATCCGTCGGTCCAGTGATGCCAAAAGCCCAGCGTTCACGTGCCTGTCAACAATGCAGAGAACGACGGGTCAAGGTACGTCTGGCTGCTCATTCGCCCGTCCATACACTGTGTCCACCATGTATGCACAAATGTCTGCTTTGGTTGTGGTGCTGTGTTTGCACTCAATGCTGCTGCTGCTGCTCCACATGTGCACCTATTGTATTCTCCGACTCCCATCCCTCCCTCCCTCCGCTCGTCCGTCCACCCACTCTCGCTTGCCCGCCTGTGCCGGCCCATCCAGACAGATGATTGACGCCCTGCTACCATCTAGTGCGATGAGACGCCCGAGATCTGCCAGCAGTGCCGCCGCCTGGGCCTCAGGTGCTCAGGGCCCATCCAGGGCTCCGTCATCATCGACATGACGGACAGGGTCGCCAAACCCCGCCAGCGCAAGAAGCGAGAGCCCTCGACGGCCAGTGCGAGCACCACCACCGCCCTCAGCCTCACCACCGTGGACCTGCAGCAGCACCACATCAAGCCCGAACCTGCCGAAAGCCCTATCGAAACGCGCGCCGATCTGGCTGTGCGCCCGTTGTCAACGTCGTCGCCGCACGGGAATAACAGCACCTCCGGCCTGGTCTTTGTTCCCGACGCTGCGGGCCCACCCCCATCCTCGGCGCTATCCGTCGTCCCGCAACATTGGAAGCCTGCTTCCAGCCAATGGAGCGAGGCCGACGCCGACAACGCCATCGCCACTATCCGCCTCCAGTACAGACTGACCGCCTACTATCGCCCGTCCAAGATCATTCCAGAGGCTTTGGACGTGGCTTTCATCACCCACTTCGTCCAGCTGAACCATGGCGTCCGTCCCTACAGCCCCGAAATCCCATGGATCACACATCTGCCCAGGTTGCGCCAGAATGCCATCAAGCCCGCTCTGCGCCTGTCTATCCGAGCCGCCTCCATGGCCTTCTACGCCACAATACACCAGGACGCTGCCATATTGGTTGATTCCTATCGCTGGTATACCATGAGTCTGGAATGCCAGCGCCAGTCCCTTCAAAGATTGGGTGTGCACGCCATTCCCAATGAAGAGGAGATTCTCGTGCCCATAATATTGAGCCTGTACGAAGTCTTTGCAGGGACCACCACCACAAGTATCTGGCACCATCTCTCCGCTGCCATCCGCATCATTGCAATGCGGGGGCCACAGAATTGCAGAGGCGTTACCTTTCCCATGTTCAAAGCCATGCGCGTGTCTGATGTGAGTGCCTCCTTCCTATACCCATTCCTCCTCGGCTGACGTCTCGCCAGGCCCATCTTTCCATGGTCTTCAACAAACCTTCCGTCTTCTCTAGTCCAGAGTGGATGACCATCCCCTTCGAGAACCAGATCAAGAACGCGCCCATGATTCTAGCTGACATCCTCCTTCTCACACCATCTTGTATCGGGCTTTGCAATCCTCGAGCCGGCAACATGCGCTCCTTTTTCGCCTCGCCAATCCCACCGGGTACTGACCTTGGGCCCGCCGAGCAGCGCACAAGGCAGCTTCTCCGTTCCCTCGATGACTGGGCCATTCGTTTTCCGCACCTCCTTGCCGCTACTGGCGCAGATCAAACCGTCACAATTGACATGCAACGCCTCGCCATTTCCAGCCCCCGCTCCCCAACGCCCGAAGAACCCCACCTCACGCTGCCAGACAGCTTCGTCGCCTTGACAGCCGCCACGTACGAGGCGAACCGCCTCATTCTGACCATGCTTCTCGACAAGGTGTCGGCAGACTGGTCGCAGTCCCCGACTGAATCTGTGCGATCTACAACATCCACATCGCCCATCTCACCCGCTACTTCTTCGCTTATGGATATGGCTTTTGCATCTTCCAAGTCCATCCTGGAGATTTCCGAGTACATGGAATCGAAGCACCCGGTGGGGTTCGACTTCATGCGCAGCGTGTTCCCGCTCGTCGTTGTGGCGTGTATCGGACCTGGAGAAGAGCGAATGCGCACAGGAAGGCGGATGTTGGAACGGTGGGGAAAGAAGAGGGGTATGGCCGGATTGTGTGCCGCGTGGCTACAAGAATCGATCTGAGCCATGACTTTTCCATCCACTGATAAACCCAATAAGAAGCGAAGAGAAACTGAATCTAGAAAAAGGAAATTGACAAACGCGGTGCAGATCAGACTAGACGGGGTTCTGATCCCCACCGTCATTTTCTGAATCACGGCGCATGTGTGATTCAGCCAGGAACGGTTCGACGGAGTCTCGGGGTCTAAGGGGGATCAACTTCCGGGCAAGCAGGTTGCAATCACTACAGCCGGATCTAGCTGAGTACATTATACTCACCATCGGTACCGCACGCCCGGCTTGCTTCTTCAAGGAATATCCCTTGCTTCGTGCAAGAGGCACCGAGTGAGACATCATCGCCTCAAACACAATTAGCCAATCCAGACATAGAAACTACCGCGCACGCACCTACACAGCAATGCAGCCAAGAAGAGAGTTTAGGACCGGGAGTCTTATGCTCCCTTGGGGTGAGATATCTCCTTGGCAATCAACCCTCCAATCCCTCACTTCCTCGGGGTGGGTGATTGCGTTGAGCAGGTGGATAGACGTAAGGTACTGTTGACGGGGAGTCGGAGAAGAGAAAAAGTCAACTGAATCAAGGATTAGCGTGAGCGTATGAGTTGTATAAATATGCTTATATCAAAATAAAATTATGTACCTAGTATTAAAAACCAAATGATTCAAATCATATACGAATCATATACGAATCAGCAGAGATTGTAAGAGTTCACTGAGCGTGTTTTTCTTTGTACACACACACTCTCTCTCTGTCTCTCTCTCCCTCCCTTTCTTTCTCGATGATTGAGGTTTAAGATGGACATTACATATAGGCCTTCATAATTCATTTGGTTTTATTGTGGGCTTGATTATGAGCTATATTCCTACATATTCAACACAAAACAAACGTGCCTCTCTCCCCTCCCTACTGATTGGTTCGTCGTCGACGTTATCCAACTACCGGCCGCAATGCTGCTTGGCCGTGCTCCAGAACATGGAAAATGAGAGGGGCTTATTTTCTGGTGTGTGTGTGTAGGGGGCTGACATTTCGATCGTTTTACTCGTTCAATTCTCGTCCATGATGTTTAGAGCTGTGCTTGTCTACAGTTCATCGCGTGGCACCGTTGTACCGGCGCGACACTATGCAAGTGCACAACGCTTAAGCACGGCTGAGGTTCGCGCCCTCTTCTTCCTTCTGCAGACCGTACTTCTTGAGTCTAGCATCGATACGTTAGCACACGCCTTCTGTCAAAACTGCAAGGCAGCAACCAAGGAAAGCTCACCTAATGCTCTGGATAGCAATAAACCCAGTCGTATCCATGGGGCTGAAGTTGTCGAGGGTATCCATGCTAGCCTCCTCCTCCGAGTACAACTTCTCGGTCTTACTGCTCCTACCCAACACATACGCGTTGCCCTTGTAGAGAGTCATACGGACCTCGCCGTTGACACGACGCTGCGAGAAGAGCAGCGAGTTCTCGACAAACTCGCGCTCGGGCGAAAAGTACATGCCGTTGTAGAGCTGGTAGCTCCAGTTGTGGGTGACGAATTGGTCGCGGATGGCGCGGACCTGGGCGTCCATGACGAGTCCCTCGAGATCGAGATGGGCGAGCTTGAGGATCGTCATGGCGGGGGAGTCGTAGCAGCCGCGGGATTTGAGGCCGATGAAGCGGTTTTCGACAATGTCGATGCGGCCGATGCCGTGGGTGAAGCCGAGTTTGTTGAGCGCGGTGAAGAGCTCGACGGAGTCGGTGTAGGTCTTGTCGGGGGTGATGAGCTTGGTAGGGATACTGAGGGCGTGTGTTAGCTAACGGCTTTTTGATGTGGTTTTGATCATGGTGAAACTGACCCCTTCTCGAACTCGAGAGTGATGTTGGTTGGCTGGTTAGGCGCGTTTTCGGGGCTGTCAGTCATGGTCCACATGTCGCCGGGAGGGCTCTGATCGGGATCTTCCAAGATACCCGCCTCGTAGCTGCAGTGGGCCAAGTTGGCATCCATGCTCCAAGGCTTCGCCTTGGTGCTCGTCACCGGAATGTCGTGTTGAGCAGCATAGTCGAGCAAATCCTGGCGGCCCTTGAACTTGTCACAGAACTCGGGCAACCGCCAGGGTGCAATGACCTTGATGGAGGGTTGGAGGGTGTAGAAGGCAAGCTCGAAGCGAACCTGGTCGTTGCCCTTACCAGTGCAACCGTGAGAGACGAAGTCACACTTGTACTGCTGGGCGACGCGGATCTGGGCACGGGCGATGACGGGACGAGCGAGAGAAGTGCCGAGGAGATATCGGCCTTCGTAGCTGGCGTTGCACTGGATGGCGCGGAAGCAGAGTTCCTCGACGAACTCCTTTTGGAGGTCAAGGATGACCTGTGTTCAAGAGTCGGATGTTAGAAAAGTTGACTCAGAGCGCAATTGTAGGCGGATTGCAAGTCACGAAGCATGCTGATACGTACCATCTTCTCAGCACCAATCTTCAAAGCCTTCTTCTCGACCTCATCCCAGGGCTCATCCTGACCGACGTTGGCGAGGAAGCACACGACCTCGTATCCCTCCTCTGAGATTCGACTTCGGCATTAGTGACCAGGTCAAAATAACATTGGATCGCATCGCATGGATATCAATCCATCATTCAATTGGAGACGAGATGGCGCAAACATACCGATCAACCATTTGAGAATGGTCGAAGTGTCGAGACCGCCTGATGACTCAATGTTAGTCTTGCTGGTATTCGCTATCGCACACCTGGGTGGACGGCCATTGCAGAGTTATGCATACCAGAGTAAGCCAGACAAACGCGTCCTTTGGCCATGATTATTGCGTTTGTGTATGGGAGATTGAATTGGTGCGAGAGTGGAAGCTTGTATAAGAAAGGTGTAGAGAAAGAATTGAAGGCTGAAGTGATGAGTCCAAGCTGTTTGCGGGGAGGATCCCTTTATCTATCCGATAGACTAGCAACAGACCGCCTCGATAAAAAAAAGTTGAGTGGCCCGAGCTCCAGACGAATTGGAATCCCTCTCAGCCCCTCCGATGTTCGGGCTTAGCGCCGCCTTGTAGAACCACCCCTTGCACAAAATATCACCCAAGACCTATGACGCATCTTTGGAAGAGATCAACCGAGCATGGGGCGAAGAGAAAAGTGTGCAAAGATTTACAGCACCACGTGTGTTATTGGAATGACCACAATGCATCATCGAACGTTTCAATTGAGGGTATCATAGGTAAAGGTATGTCCACAATGCCCCTCCTCACGAACGCCGTACCTTTCTTCATCGCTGCAACACTACTTCCTTGCAGCATCTATCCTTGAGAGAGGCTGAAATCGCTCCCTAATAAAAAAAAAGCCTCCTGAGAGACAAGCATCCTCTAAAACGGCTTATAGACTTGGAGGGCACCCCAGCATGAACAAGAAGTGAAAAAAAAAACGAGAAGGTGAATCTCTACCGACAACACCGTACTCTTAATATAAAGCTCTGACGGGAATCATGCTAAAGTCAACAGAAAGAAATCGGTGCAGAATCGCCATGGGGTGCGCAACTAAATAAGGTTGCGCAGGAACGCCGGGACATGCAATATCTCGTCTCGTCTTGCACTTGTGCTATTGTCGACATGCTCAACGGTCTGAACGCCGTTTGTGTGGTTGAACGTTCGAGGACACATCCTAGATGCCGCCAGCAACTCGCTCACGTTCGTAGAAAACGACGTATGCCTTCTCATTCTGTAGCCGTTCGCTCTCGTGCAGGTTAGCCGGTTCAAAGTCTCGAATCCTGTCATCGTTGAAGTCGCGCCAGCAGCCTTTGGACCGGTCCTTAACCAGGGCCGTATAGTGGCCGCTGCCAATATTCGCACCGTGATGGCGTACCACGCCGTATGCATTGTACATAAATGGGCCGTTCATCGCAGGATCCGTTTTCAAAGAGGCGAGGTTCGCGTGCGGCTCACGAGTCTGCTGTAGCACTTGGGCTTCTTGATCGGGCGTGATTGGCTTTTCCATGTATGGTCCCATATCTAGGCCTTGGAGCGGAAAGTATATGGGAGTGTGTATCTTGCGCGCATTCTGACTGCGGGATGCACTGAAACGCTTGAAGTGGATGACCAGGGTGTCTGGCGCCCGTGTGATGGTGATTTTCTTCATCGCTTCCCTGTTCGTCTTGCAACGGGGGCAACGCCACGAATCCTCCAGCCCAAGTCGTTCGGTCGAACAATAGGATCGCAGGCAGTCTCTTACGTCGCAAGATCGGTCGTGGGGTATCTCGACGCTGATACTCCAAAATGCTTCGTAGGTTGTACTGGTGAGCCCGCATGTCGTGCATGTAAGCATAGATGCGTGTTGCCCGGCGAAGAGGTTGCCAATAAGAGACATGTCGCGGTGTTGATAGCGATTCCACTCAATCTTAGCCGCATACTGACGCGGAAGCTGTTCACGGGCCTGTTCGTCAGCGTCTGTCAATGCTCGTAGTGGCGTCTTATTCCACGTAGCATTGAGATCTTCGTGGAGGGAATCCAACGTGAATTCGAGGAACTCTTTGGCGTCTTGCTGCTGGTCAATGGCCCACTGGCGGTTGAAGAGCCCGCAAACTCTCTGGTTCTAGTTAGCACCGTATACCCGTAAAGGCCAGAGAAACATACCCTGAAAGTACTCGGGCGAATAGCGCTAGTGTCACCCTTGTACAGGTTGGAGAGTAACGTCTCATAAGCTTCGGATAAAATGCCTTTCGTGCCTTTCCAGTTTTCTCTCTGTAGGTCTTGTATGTATCTGCGAGTCAAAAATATGTTGGTTAGCGTCGGATTCGCACTTAAACACTGAACGATCGAATTCATATAACACGTGACGCCAAAGTTAATGAGCCCGGTGCGGTGAAGACGCAGCGAGCCAGGACGGCCAGGAGAGATATAAGCTGGTGGCTGGTTTCCACTGCTTTGACGGGCCATTTCTCGTTCATGGACACCACTATAGCTGACTCGGGGCACAGCCGGTGCCGGCCGAGACGGTGCGGCAGGAATTGGGGAGGGTGCTTGTTGCTCGTATTGCGGCCGCGAAGGGGGAAACATCATGGACTGTTGGTCTTCGACGTCGGGATAGCGTCGGAGGAAATCTTCGGCAGTACGATACACTGGTGCTTCGTCGTCTTCCTCAGGTGGACGCTCCATAACCGACCTGCCACGCCGGACTTCCTCCAGCCACTGCCGCTGCTCCTCGGGGTCCATAGCAAGGTATTCGCGTTTCCGCCGGTTAGGAAGGGTCCGCTGACCATATCCTGAGCTCAAGGGTCGGCGAGGAGCGCGAGACCTTGGCTGCCCATTCGGAGCCATCGACAATGTCTGGGACATCTTCAACGACTGCGGTCCTACGAGGTCTTGCCACGCTACAATTCCTCCCATTAAGAAAATGGGCGGACGTTTCAATGGCTTCTCAGCATTGAATTCGTGCAGGATGGTGTACAGTTGTTTGAGTGCTAGTTCGTATTCATTTGGATTGTACTTGTCCAAGAATTTATTGGTTTTTGTCGATTCGTCATAGTAGATGACCACATCAAACTCGTGTCGTCGTTCGTAGAGAGCCAACTCTTCGTCGGGGGAAATAACGAGGCGGTCTTGCAGCTGTTCAGCAGATATGCCATCCTGTAGACTTGCTGGTTCGATGCACATAGAAGAGCGCACATAGATATGTCCGGCGTCAAATTCAGCCCGGTCCCGCACATCAATGAGGAGCACGTTGTACAAACGAATATAGTCGTAGAGCCTTTCAGCGGTGATCTGCGTCTCGATCGGTTTGTTGACCGACGTACTCCGGATCAGAGAAGTTTCTTCGGGAATAGACTTGGTCGGAAAATAACCATCGCCGTTGCCGTTGGGTGCATGGCTAGATGCGCTGCTGGAAGCTGCGAGGGAATTACTGCGCCCGCCTGTGCCCACCATACTCCTGGCCGTACTACGGGGCGGGTTAATGCTGGAAGGCAATGATAGATTTCGGGCGGGACTATAGGTAGGGCTAGGCTCTTTGGGCAAGGAAGCTGCAAATTGCGTATTTAGAGGTAGCGTCGGTCGCGAAGCTGCATGGCTATGAGGCATATCGCGTGGTCCTAAGGGCCGACTGGACGTGTGGTAATCCGAAGGCGAAGGCATCTTGACCGAGAGGTCCTGGCTGGAACGCGGGGAGGTGGTATCCACGGTCGATATGCCCCGGAGCTTCGCGAAGCGATCTGCCAGGTCGGTTCCATTCGCACCGTTGGCGCCGTTGACCGACTGGGAGTGTTGGTGCATAGCTTTCCCATGTAATGATTGGGGCTTGGGCTGGACTGGAGGTTTCCGGCGAGAAGGATCGAGGTCTACAGGCGAGGCGCGGCCGAGGGGAGGATTCGTAGGGACGCTGGGAAACATAAGTTCATCATCTCGTTTCAGCGAGCTGGTCGCGTGAGGACTCGGTGAGGGGTCGACGGGGTAGGACTTGGAGGATGGGGCGTAGGCGCCGTTCCTTCTATTGTCGTTCGTGATGATGTCCTTGATTTTTTCGAATCTCCCTTCGAAAGCATGCACGTCCTGTACAAGTCAGCAGCCATATAGTGAACAGAGAAGAGCTAGTGTGGTGAATGAGTACCTTGAGGAGCTTGGCAAAGTCGCGGTGCATCTGACCACGGGTCATGTTGATCTTGTCATGGTAGTCTCGGTGTTTTGGTATCTCCTCCACGACCAGCTCGTACGCAACAAGATAAGCCCAGTATGCGCCAGGAAGCGGGGCGCGGGTGTCAAGCAAGTTTTTGGCTTCGGTGAAATGGTGTCTGGCTGTATCCAAGACTCGCCCAATCTGGCTGCTGATCAGCGCTTGCGCCTGAGGGGTGGACAGACATAGTACGTACCGGTGCATGCCTGAACTCGGAAACCCTCTCGCTCGCATTGGCAGAGATGTCGGCGATGGGTGGGTAAGGACCCGTGGGCGTTCGAGGAGCGGCGGCGGGAACATGGCCACCCCCCGCGCCATTGGGGTAGCCGTTCATGGCGGACGCCGGGGATGTGAGGGTCGAAGGGACAGCTGAACTCTAGAGCGCGGGCCAAGCGAAGGATACTGTGTTCATGGTACTGTGGAGGTGTTAATTGAGAAAGACGGTGGACGGAGGTGCGGCTTCGAATGGGTGATGTTCGGCGGGGATGAGGCAAGGCGAGACAAGACACCAGACGGCGGTCGGAGCGGGTGCTGACGTAGCGACAGAGGAGGTGGCGGGGGTGTTGCAATTATTCCCAGTGCGTTGGGAGGGGAGAATGGAGATTCTTGAAAGAAGGGAGCGGCGGTGACCTGTATATACGTATGAGTGTTTGGAGTATGTAGGAAGAGTCGGTAAGGAAGTATGTATGTAGGTAGGTAAGCTAATGGCCTATTCACGTTAACGTGGGGAAAGTCGGGTGAGGATGATTGCGTAGTCCCCCGCCAAGCAAGCAAGCCAGCCTAAGCAAGTAGTCTAAGAACAAGGATCCATGCATACATACGTCTTGCCTACTCCCATAGCTAGGCCGTCAACTACCAGCAGCTCCGACGTCGACATACACTGCTCACTTACATTGAACGATATCCCCCATCCACCCCCAACCGCCACCACCGTCTGAACGGCCATACTACATATCCTCGTAACCGTCCTGCTTAGCTAGCACTCGCACATATACGCACGCGCCGACCGCTCCGTCCATCTCCTCCTCGATCCCCGGCCGATAGGCACCCGCCTTCGACAGCAAACGTCAGCTCCAGCACCAATAATTATACAATGGCGGGCTGGTTTGGCGGCTCGACCAACAGCGCGCTCGATGATCAGATCGAGCGCGCCACCTCCTCGAGCCTGTACGTCCTGTTGCGGTCCTGCATTTACCCATATCGACCCTAACTGACACTGACACTGCACAGGGAGGACATGCCCCTCAACCTCGAAATCTCCGACGTCATCCGCTCCAAAACGGTGCAGCCTAAAGATGCCATGCGCTCTCTGAAGCGGAGGATAGGCCACAAGAACCCAAATGTCCAGCTGGCTGCCTTGCATCTCACCGACACCTGCGTCAAGAACGGCGGCGCCCACTTCATCCAGGAAATCGCATCGCGCGAATTCATGGACAACATGACCTCGCTCCTCAAGGCCCCCGTTGCCTCCCCGAACCAGGACGTGAATAACAAAATGCTCGAGCTAATCCAGTCGTGGGCCACTGCCGCAGAAGGTCGCCACAACTTGAACTATATCCAAGAAGTCTATCGGACTCTGCAGAGAGAAGGCTACAGGTTCCCGCCCAAGGAGCACGTTTCCAGCAGTATGCTCGACAGCAGTGCGGTAAGTTCTATCGACTTCTAACTCTACAGAATGGCCACTGACGGTTTGCAGCCCCCGGAGTGGACTGACTCAGACGTGTGCATGCGATGCCGGACTGCTTTCACCTTTACCAATCGGAAACACCATTGCCGGAATTGCGGCAACGTATTCTGCGGCGCGTGCTCGAGCAAGACCATCCCTCTACCTCACCTAGGAATCTTGGATGCTGTTCGTGTCGATGACGGCTGCCACCAGAAAATGACGGACAAGAGCCGTCCTTTACCCGTACCGAAAGGCTTCGATGCCTCTAAACCGAGCCGCACACTCTACCAAGGCTCCATGGAACCACGGAGCGCGCGCGTCGAGGATAGCTTCGACGCCGACCTAAAGCGAGCGCTGGAAATGAGTTTGGAAGACGCAAAGGGGCAGGGTAACGCAGGGTTCGTTCCGCAAGCGCAGCTACCATCGCAGAAGGGCCCGGCCACAACAAGTGCTTCGAAACCCGAACCAGTCGAAGAAGACGACCCAGATCTTGCGGCCGCTATCGCTGCATCACTGGCTGACATGGAAGAGCAGAAGAAACAGCATGCGGCCGTACTCAGGAATCAAGCTTCGACATCTAACGGAACCCCCGTCGTCGCACCCAAAAATAATTATGAACTCACACCAGTAGAAGCCGAGAACATCAACTTATTTTCCACACTCGTCGATCGCTTACAGCATCAACCGCCAGGCACAATATTACGGGAGCCACAGATACAAGAGCTGTACGAAAGCATCGGCAAGCTGCGACCGAAACTGGCCCGAACCTATGGCGAGACAATGAGCAAACATGGTATGAGCCCGTGGACTTGTAGGAAACGTTCGCAACTGACCAGAAACAGACACTCTTCTCGATCTTCACGCAAAGCTGTCCACTGTAGTGCGATATTACGATAGGATGCTCGAGGAACGCTTATCCAGCACTTATAATCAAGCTGGAACCGCATATGGACTACCGCAACCCCCCGCGTCTTCCCTATATCCAAGTATTCACTCCGGTGCGCCACCGGATGCTTCTGGCGAGAACTTTTACACAGGAAATGCTGCTCCTCTAGATTCGTACGCCCCGCCACAGCAAGCCTACTACGGAGGCTACCAAGCGCCACCGCAACCACAACAACAACAACCGTCGTACGCTCAATATGACCATCGCGCATCTGTGCCACCGCAGCAATTTCAGCAAACTCAGCCAGCGCAACCTTACCCGAACCTAGCCCAACGACCTTCGAGCACCACCGCGTACCAACAACCCTCCTCTCCACACCTGCAACGACAAGCGTCCGGCCAGCAATACCCCCCTCGAGCGCCGCCCGATGCTGAAACCGCAAACTTCTACTACGGTGATGCCGCATCGGCCCAACAACAACAACCACCTGCCTCTACTTCCGTCCCGCCACCGCCCATGCAGCGGACGCAAAGCTTCGCATCGCAAACATCGCACCCCCCGCAATCTTCTTCTCCCCATATGCAGCGCACCGCGCCACCCCAGCAAACTCCAATGTCGCCCCCTGTTCCACCTACATCCGCTCCGCAGCAACAGCCGTACTGGCAGCAACCTCCACCTCAACAACAGGATGCTAACCAAACGCCGCAGCAACAACCTTCCCAGGTCCCTCAGATTCCCCAAACCCAACCTCAGGCCCAACCCCCGCCACAGCAACAATATTGGCAGCCCCCTCCGCAACAGCAACAGCAGCAGAGACAACCATCCGGCCCTGCTCCCTGGCAGCCTGTCCCGTACGCAGCGGGCGGTTATGGCCCAGAGAGTTTCCCAGCCGCTCCGCAGGGAACCCTGCAGAGTGCGCCATTGCAGCAGCAGCAGCCGAAAGTTGTTGATGAGCCGTTGATTGATTTGTAGTCTTTATAGGAATTCTTTATTGGCTGTGCAATGGGTGGTGTGGAATTTCTTTGTTTTGGGAAGAGGAGGAGAGGAAGCATTGACTGAATTGTACCTATAGACAGGCAGGCAGGCACTCTATCAAATGGAATGGGTGGAATCAAATGAGATGCATTTCAATATAGACTAGCCATGATCACGATCATGGGAATTTTGATAGATTTCGTACATGTGTCTGCGTTTTTACTGCTGTTATTGTGGTGTACCTATATTCTACTTCGTCCTCTGTGATAGTCATTTGAGAGATTATAAATAGTGTATCTTTGCCTCCAGCGACTTCAATGTATGCATGCTATTCTCGATTTCAAAAAGGAACTTGGAAAGTATACCTACTACATCCTCCCAGTCTGACTGTGTAAAATCTATGAATTGTAAGTTGGAGTTTGGATGATGCTACACGCAGCGGTAGAGCTATAACATCCAAAGCACCGAAAAAAGAAAAAAGAAAACAGGCGATAACCAAACAATGTACGATCTATATGTAGGCCGTAAATTTCAAATTGAAATATCAAGCTAAATCAAAAGAGCCAGGAAGTGGCGCCTCGTCATTTCCTTCAAAGCCTCCATATGAGACCAGCGTTTTCCACGGCGGATCCAAGAAGGTTTTCGGAAGAGGAGCCTCGTCAGGTCCCTCCCAGCGCCCACTCCGCACTGCGTCTTCCCAGGAAGTAGTCGGTTTAAAACTTGCAGGATCCAGTGATCTGTAATGCGCGAGAATATCTTCGTGCGAAGCCTCTGGTCTAGCCCGAGTAAATTCCAATAGTCGATCGGAGATGCTTTGCATGGTGGTCCAGATACGTAGCGAGGCGTTGCCGACCATGACGAATGGTGCCCATATGCGTGGTTCACTGAAATCGATGATGTTTATCCCGGCTTTCCAGTCTCGGATGACGTTCAGTAATTTCTTCTTCGCTGTTTTGCCTGCGAGACTCGTGGGGTTCTTGCCACGGTCTTCCAATGTATCCCAAACAGTCACATATTGTTCCAAGTAGCCGATAGCCTCTTCAGTAGTCAGACTATATAAGATCCTGGTCGAGAATTGCCATGCTTCGGAGAAGGAAGGCTTGTCTTGGAAGAGGAAGAGGTTGGCGTAGAAGAGCCACATGTGGATCATCGTGGCGATGTCGTTGACTTTCCATAATGCGCCCAGGTAGTTGTTCGCACCGGCTGCGAGCACAGAGTGTGAAAATCCTTGGATATCGCCCGAATCAGCAGCATGCCCCACGCCGCTATGGCATGCGCTGAACGTTACTAGTGAGACGTTACCACGGACAGCCAACATGTCCAGCACACGAAACTTCTCTTTGAGAATGATTTGAGAGTTGAAAGGGCGATCCGCGTCTTGGATGCCGTGCGTGCAGATATGAAGGAATTGAGAATCCTGAATGAGCCGCTGGAAGTCCTGTCGATCGACATCTTTAGCGTTGATAGCTGGGGTAGCACACATGGCTCCGATCAACAATGCTTCGATACCAGCCATTGGCAACCACTGATCCCTCGGGTTTCCTGGACGCGCAATGACACTCATCCTAGATCTTCCTTGAAGATTTTTTGGTGGTGGTCTTGACTGCAAAGAGTGGAGTGCTCGAAGACTAGGAACTTGGGATACCTCACGATTCAATATGAGGAATTCCCCATTATAACGTAACGCAGACACTGGAAGACGGGTCAGAATCCCAGTCATGACAAAAATGACATGCCCTCTTTTCGCGATGCAGTTCTTCAACGGCTCGATTAGGATGCCGCTCAAAATCAAGCCGAGATATCGTATAGCGGCAGTATCATTGTCTCTGATCGCGTCCACATACATGATTACAGTTTTCTCGAGTACAGCGAGAGTTGCCTCAGGATTAAAGGCTGCTATTCGGATCTGTGTATTATCAATAGCCAGCAGGATACAGCCATCCTGAGTTGCGAAAATGTACAGAACGATGGCAATCTCAGGGACACTTCGAAAGAAGGCAGCCACAGACTGGACCGAGAGCTCTCTCGTCTTTGCTCGGAGATGAGTGGTTTGGTTGAACACGGCGAAGTACTTTTCTCTGTCAGGATGCAGTTCTTGGAACTCGGTTTCTTCTTCTGGGGTCCTGTGCGTCTTCTTCATAAGCTCTTTCCAGAGCTCGTACTTGTATTGCGCTTCTACTTGCTCGGTTGTGAAGCCGTCGCCATTTCCACTCCAGATGTACTGGGGTCGAGCTGCTTCCAAAAATACTAGTCCTTCAATGAAATGCTGGCTCGGATCCTTGTAAGGTACTGTTATTGTGAATATCCGGAAAACGCGGCAATTGATGGCGGAATTTGAAGTTGGCCCCAAGGTCGTGAGTCCAGGAAGTTGCTGTTTCCATAGTAGCGCCCTTCGTGCGGCGGCACCCAGCAAGCGAGTTACTTCTGGTTTTGCTAACACAAGTCGGAAGTCGTCATCGGCCATGGTGTAGGCAATTTCAAGCAGAAAATAACGTGCTTGCACGAAGTACAGGTACGATTCATGGTAGTCACCTTGGCTTTCGAGAACTAGGCCTGCGTATAGGCATCGCTGCCAGGGCCAGAGATCTGTATAGGACGAAACTGACGTAAAGTAGCCGGGCGAGACCTCTTCAATAGAGGCCAGGAGTCGGGTCGCTCGTTGCCAGTCTTTGACCTTGATGCAGCACAGGAAGATGGCCTCTAAAGACTGTATTTTGCGTTGTTGCATGGCGCGATCAATAACTTGAATAAAACCTGCAGGATCTTGTATCGGAGGGAGAATGACCGGAAACCTGTCTTCGTCACCCACATGAACGGACAGATACTCTTTGGCTTGGTCGAAATCTCCAGCCTGATAGAGCACATCGATGTTTTGCAGATTGATGACCAGCTTGTCTCGTACCTCAGCTTCTTTTTCCTGCAAATACTTCTGAAGCGGAGACTGTGCAGCTTTCAGTTGTCCGTCCTGGAGATTTCTCTGGTAGCTATACATGGCTGCCGCATATTTCAGTCTCATCCAAGCTTCTTGCGCAAACGGGATCAGCAAAGCATCGTGTTCAAGAGACTCGAGCATTTGTTTGGTCAGGTTGTCCGGAAACTCCGAAGATTCATCATCCACGGGTCCAAGTAGTATGACTGCGTCGACAACAGCTGTGAGTATATGAAGCATGGTATATATACCAACTCCTGGTGTCCTCGGTGCTATTGCATATTCTTCCGCCATTAGGTGTGTGTTTTGCTTCAGGTGATTGGCCCATATGACGGCATGGCTGCGGTTACCCAGCGACAGGGACAATCTGAGCTGGGCAAGCATGGCATGATACCAGACTGTCCAGAATCCTTGGATCTCCTTGGTGATCTGCCGACAGATCTCGTATCCTTGAGTGCGCGCTGGTACAGCCAATACGTAACGGTGGTAATGACCCAGTCTGAGCGCAAAAAGCGCAAGACCAAGGGCGAAGAGCAGATTGCCACAGCCACGTGCCCAATGCGCCATCTGGTGGACCTCACTCCGCATTTCTAGTGTTGGATTCCTATACGTCAGTTGATGAAGCTTAACCAGAGTTTCGAATTGTTTGTCTCGACTATCTTGCGCCATCATCGCTCCTTCGTGGAGCATTTCGATGACCTCATTGTCGCGAGACGCTTCTCCCCAAACTGCTTCTGGCTGCATGTTGCGCATGCGCAAAACGCAGGCTTTACGAAGCGTGACATGAGCCACGCCGCGAGCTGAGTCCGCGAATTCAAAATTCTCTACTGCTTTAGCATACCAGGTTTTGCTGGTAGAGCATTGCTTCTCGATACGTTCGTCCCAAGGAAGTGTTTGCGAGGCGGACACATTGTTGGCTGGTAAGTATCAATCATGACGAAGTGAATACAATGCTTTGGGAGTGTCTTACAACACTTAGAATCAGCAAAATACATGGTGCTGTCGCCGCCAAATTCGTCCAAGTTGTCCACAATGATCAAGTTCAATACCAAGGGCGAAGTTTGATATGCGGACAATGAATGGTCGCCCTGGATCAAGTAGTATTGGCCGAGACCAATGTGATCTTGCAGTGTAGAGTAGATGGAGTTCATCAGATCAAGATACTGAACTGCGGTCGGGTCTCCACTGGCACGGACCAGATCGTACTCGATCTGAAGTAGATAAGCGGCGACCAAGGGAAGATCAAGCCGGAGGAAGTTCTCGACGAGGTCGTCAATCTCAGCTAGGAGTCGAGACAGGCGAATATAGTGCTTTTTATGTTGGGCTAAGTCAGTTTCTCCTATAGTATTCTTGGCCCGCAACTGGCAAATGACAGGAACAAGGTGATATGACATGCAAATAGCGCGAATGACTTTGTATTCGAGCACGTCTAACTCAGGCATCTCTTGAGCGACTTGTGCACAATCTCTTAGAAAGCCTGCGCCATTATTGTACTTTCTGTTGTTCATCCAGGTAACCAATGCTGGGCCACGCAGGTTGCAGGGCCGTAGCAAGGGTGGGTAGTCTCTCCACACGCTGAGAAGGGCTGAATATGCTTTTGCACGGAAAGCCCATCGAGGATGTTGTTGCGTGTACATGTCATTGTTGTGGAGACTGGTAAGGTAGTTTGTCGCGGACTTTAAGTCGCCTTCCAGTAAGCAGATGATTGCGCGCAGCAACGTAATGGACGCGTCCTGCTCGATTGAAGGTTCAAAAGCATCTGCGACACGCGCATCCAGACTTTTATGCGCAGCCTTGATATTTGTGTGTAAATCATCGTAGAATGGGGTGCCCCCGAAGATGTTGCAGACATCTCTGAAATCCATATGGGTGTGTCGCACACTGTAGGCGACTTGAAAGCGAAGTACTCACTCGGAAACCGGCGACGTGAATTGATAGAAAAAGTAAGCAATGATTCTGATAATTGAGTTTAAAACAAAAACCTCGTATTCAATCTGAGGCTGTGCTGCTGCCACCAGTTAATCAACGCCACACTGACGTGTCGGTACCTGACCTGTGGTAAATACGAGCTTCGATGCCTGGCTCAGCCTCATTCTATGATGATACATAGAGGTTAAGTCGAAGGAAGAACGGATGCAACACACAAGTTGCAAGACCCAGCTCTGGCAATGGCTCCAGTTGAAAGGATAACTTATTTTGCGTACAACGAGGGCATTGACCCGAGTAGACTACCTCTGGGCACTATCGTTTTCGATTATGCGAACGCCAGGTTATCGCGACATTCGTATCGGCCTAGCGAGGACGAGTGAGTTCTTACTGGCTGAACCCATGTACAGTCTATTGTTTTAACACCAAGCAGAGAATCGGTGCTCAAGGAGTCAAAATATATCGATGAGGATAAACGATCGTTCTGCAACATGCTATGGACGCAGAAGTCGGACGGCTTGCTCAATATCGACCTGAAGAAAGTCATTGAAGCAGGCCATAGCACGTCCAAGTCGGATACCCGACTGATTGTAGGCAAGGCAGGTTCAAAAGTCGAAATCATCGAGTAGGCTTACGACGCCATGAATGATGACAAAACACTGACTGATTGCATCAAAGCTCGGACAAGTTCTTCGATGACCATTTACTCAAGCAAGAAGCAGTGCGCCAATGGTTCGAGACCAGGTTCTCAGTTGCCCGATCGATCACTGCAGCAGTCAACAACCTCGTGAAAGCACCGCATGTATGGCTGCTCACGGGCAAGTATGTCATTGAGGACGGAACCGTGTTCTCAGTGCGAAAAGAGAGTTCGTCGAGCCACACGGCCGCGAAGGTACCCGTTCCAGAGCCCTCAGGCCTATCCGATCTGGCGGGTTTGAAGGTAGGCGTGACAGTTCGCCTTGGAAATGGCGTAGAAGCACAAGCAAGCACCCAGATTGAGGGCAGGAAGGTTTGGGCTGCACAATGGATCAAGGTTCGATGGCCCTCTGCTATCCATGTAAGATCATTGACTAACAATTCTTTCAGGTGAAAGCGCGTTATGTCGCAAACTCCAAGGCGAAGTCGGATTCTGCAACTGTCGTGCAAACTTTGGAGCTGCATGACGTTTGGAGTACAGGAACGACGCGAAGATGGGACGATGAGGCGCCAGCTCTTCAACTAGAGAAAGTCCTCGATGATACCGCAGAGATAGATGACAGTAGCTCTTTTGATGAAGCATGGTGGGATAGGTTTGAGGACAAGCTCGCAGAACATCTCGAAGATTTGGAGATTGAGGAATGATGCATGGACAGGCACGGATCAATGTGGGTCCCGACACCCGCGGTTTCCTCAGGCGCCCAGTCTCTCGAGCGTCAGCCCGTCACTTTAACTCGACTACATTCAATCATGTCCTACAGCTTTGGTTTAATAAATTCTACAATACATGCTACACAAGTATACTGAAATAGAAATAGTTTCACCTGCCCTTGTAACTCTCCATACAAAACTCTTCTGCAGTAGTTGCGACAACATTGTGTAAAAGATGCTGCACGTGGCAAGGACAAAGGGAGCAAAGTTGCAACGCCGGATCCAGATAAAACCGCAGAAAATCAACAAGTCCACAATGACATGGAAAATATGTTCGTTGAGAGACCCAAAAACAGGGTGGGGCATAGGACGGGACAAAGGAAGGGCGGCGTGATCGCCGGAGATGGTCAACACACAAAAGCAAACAACAAACTTCGTTCACAAGGCAATCACTATACAAAGGACACTGGCCGTAGACCCAGATCCTGCCTCCTTGAGACGTCTTCACTGAAACTTGCACCATTCTTTTCACTGCGTCTTTAGCTTTCGATTGCTGGCTGCTGTGCTAATCTATTTCTAACAAAAAACGGCGTCATTTTTGTCTCACTTGCGACCAACATTCCACACGAAGAAACCGAGACAACTCCTAGAAATGGAGAAAAAAATTAAGCACACGGCGCGTGCACTTCGCGGCTCTTTTATACAGGCCCAGCTACGCCATATGACTCCAAGCAAAGCTAGGGTTCTGCGCTTCCTAACGTGTGTCACCGTTACCGCGATCATCGTCTCGGTTATCTGCATCGCATCTCCATGGTTCCGCAGCGAGTGTATACATCTAGGCGGTACGGTGCGCACCTCCCTGACCCGCGGAACATGGTATACCGCACTCCTTGTATTCGCTACCTTCCTTGCATTCAGCCTTGTAGGGGAGCGACGACGGCGTGAGTTCGAGGAGAGGGAAGGAGATAGGGCTTGGTTCAATTGGGTGTGGGATAGCCCGCGATGGATTGTGGTCGCTGGGCTATGCGAACTGTTTCTGTTGAAGGCGGTGCCGTTTGGGTTTTGGGGGGCTGCAGAGGGGAGGTCGTTGCAGGAGTGGCCCAACAAGAATCACCTGAGACGATTGCTGCGCATGGGGATCATTCCTCTGCATATTCAGGAGGGCGGATTGGAAACGAGAAATGAGGAAGGGGGATGGTACGTGCAAAGCAAAAAGCAGGCTTGTTTTTCGTTCATGGTGCCTGATGAAACTGAGGCCCGGAATGAGCATCAACTTGACAGGATTTTGCTATACAACGACTTGGTCAAAGCGATTCGCCGAAATGGTAGAGGGTACAGGGTGTGCGTGTCCAAGAGACTCAGAAATGGATCCTCCCCGAGACCACTTGAGCCCCCGCGGGATGGAGACGAGCACCTTGAGGTGGGCGCTAGCTCTTGGACTGAGCTTTCCCTGCCATTTCAAAAAGACACAGTGCTCCAGGAAGCAAAAGGTTCTCAAGACGTTTTCGAGGACCTCACCAAGGAACAGGTCCCTCGCCTGCTTCTTGGGAACGCATACTACCGTGTCATAGTGAGAGGGGAGGCACCTGGTTATGAAAAGGCCCGGTTGGACCAGTGGGTGTGTGAGTTGGCAGATGATGCGGGAGTGGAAGAAATCTGGGATGCTGACGAGATGCGCTCACGCACGGTGAGATGGTGCAGACATTTGAGTTTGAAGGTGCCGCGTCAACTGCGACCACCTCCCAGACCATGAGATGGTGTTGTAGCGAGCGATGTTTCCTTTTTTGTCTGTTTCCAGCTTTTTGATGGAATGAGTCACTTCGTTTACAAGAATCAAAATTTTGGCATTAGTTGCTCCTTCATCCACAGTCCGACATCTGTCACATTGCTTTCCCACGTGGATCCAGGCCCCTGCTCGGTCCACAGGCCTATGCCGGAGAGAGTGTCTAGCTGCACTCTATCATTGGCGAGGGCCTTGTACCGTGCTTTTTCAGTATCATCAAACCAACGTGCCCGGCCTGTTGTGCTTTTCAGGGCGGCACGAGCAACGCTGCGCCTAAGTAACTTGGACAATTCCGAGGCCTGATCCAGAAGCGGGCTCTCCATGCCTGCAGCCACATGCCAAGCGGGCAGATCGAGATGGACGCCGGCAGGTGGATAGAAGCGTGCATATGCGCGACACCTTATCAGCATTGGCGGCTCCAGCGGGGGAGGAGGGGTAGCGTCGAGTGCTTCATAGTGGCTGATATCCATCTGGGTTTGCAGATCGATGGGGGCTTGGGGCTCCTGGGACGCAAAGGAATCATCGTTCTGATTAGGGTACACCAAGGTGCCGTGGGGGGAGCGGAACATGTGAATGGGGGATGCAAAGCGATCAAAATAGTGCTCTGGTTTACGGAACAGCACATCCCGCTCAGCCAACAAGGTCACGGTGGGAATGGTGGGGTTGTCGGCGTGAAGCTGCCATGTCGTCTTGGGAGGGGACTTTGCCGCTCGTTTCGAGGGTTTGGCAAGGTGTGCCTCGCTGGCGATGGACATGGGATCTTCCTCGACGGGAAACGCAGTCTCCTCAGGCGCGAGTGGTTCAGGTAGCTCTGATACGGGCACAACGGGCAGGTCGTGAGGAAAGACCCAATCTACAATAGGGTTGTTGACTGACACTGCAGCGATGCGATGGTGACGGTGGTGGTGGCATTCGGTCAAGCCCAGGGTGACGGCCAGCGATGCGCCGACCAACTCACCGCACACGCCCATGGTGGAGGCAGTGGGTGCATGTTGGACGAGGTTCTCTTTGATCCAGTCATAGGCCAGGGTGGTGTCGTGAATGGGTGTGGGGTACGGGTGGGCTGAGGAAGCGCGGTAATTGACACGAACGATGGCAGCCTCGCTTGCGCGGGCTAGCGTGGTGAGGATGCGCAGCTCTTCATCATGGTAGTCTGGGATGACAGGGCCAGATGGCAGGTAGAGGATGACGGGGGCAGCAGGTTTGGTGGGGTGAAAGATGCTGGATAGAGAGTGGATGGTTAGCCCGTGGCCCGATGCTCAGCGTGTTCATGTTTCTTGGAGATGATGTAACAAGGCCGAGTACAGTAGAGGGAGGCCTTGCCAAGCGAGACTGGGTGAGAGATTGACGGTTCGTATGCACCATGGGTGCCGGTTAGCGGACGACGGCTGTGTTGTTTGATCATCTCTCCGAAGCGTGATTGGCGTAGCGCTGCATGTAGCAATGTACAGTTACTTTACCGGCTGTGCATGCGTGTGCTGCGCATGTATGATTGTACTGCATGTGTATACAGACAGACAAACGGGGCAAGGTGGGGGTTGATGAACATGTATAGAGGGGATAATTATAGAGTACGTGCTGACTTGGATGACCAACAAGCACGAGCGAATGGCTAAAAATGCTGTGCATGCACTGTACCGTACATAGTACAGTAGGAGGAGGAGGAGTAGGAAGCGAAGCCCAAAGAAGATTAAGGGGATGCAGATTGTTGAATATGACCTCATTGGAAGCGTTGCAGGGCCAACAACAAGAGACAAAAACAAGGAACAGCGACAGCAACTTACTCGATGGTGAAGGAGCCGTTGGAGCGAGCCGGCACGCTGATGCGCTCCACGCGCGGGGAAAAGAAGGCTGGGGAGGAGGACGACGACGATGATGATGATGTGAAAGCCGTGGATGAGGAGAATGCGCGGCGCAGTTGGCGCAACGGGGGACCAAGTTTAGACATCATCTTCATCACTACTATCACCACCACCACCTCTTGCGAAGGAATGAATATCTTTTAAAGTGATTTTGCTTTCTGGAATATCGGACGATGTAAAAATACGAGAGGGTAGAAAATAGGTGGGGAAAAAAGAGGGTGGGGGGCCTGAAAAACAGAGGTAGCAGTAGTAGCAGCAGGGCTGTGGCACACAGAGTGTCCAATTGAGAAACCACAGCAGCAGCAGCAGCAGCAGCAATAACAACACACGTTGATAGAGGTAGCAGATGCACAAACAACGGGTGAAGTAGTAGCAGTAGCACGCTGTTAGCGGCAGCAGAAGAAGAAATCAAATGGCTCAACAGGCAGCCTGATGCATGTGAAGGAAGGCAAAGGAAGGCGTAAAGCTGGGGGAAAAAAGGGATCGCGAGAAAATTAGTGGCGGTGTTCGGGCGTGTGAGTGGCCCGCAGCCCGTCAGGGGGCGGCCCAGGACCCCCAAGTGGCCCCGGCGCCCTCATCTCGTCCTCGCTTGCCCCCAACGCTAGGCACGCTGAATCGTCTCTGCCTCTCTCTCTCTTGTCTTGTCTTGTCGTCCCCTCTCGTCGCTTTGCTTGGTTCGGTGTGCTTGCTTGCTTGCTTGCTTGTCGCTCGTTGCTATCCACTCTCTTCTCTCTCTCTCTCTCTTCCTCTCCTCTCCTTCTGTCTCGGACCGTGTCTCTTTTTGTCTCGTCTTGCCTGCTCAACATACGTCGACTCAGTACCGCCCAACACCAAACACCACCACATGCTCCCACACCACTCACCTCGACGCTAATTCCAATCACACCCTTTCTCCACGCAGTCACCGCCCACCGCCCACCGTCGCTCCTGCCCTCTGCTGCTTGACCATTCACTCACCAGCTTCAACTGCTCAATCACACCACCAGCAATCCCCCCGCCTGCCCGTCGTCGACTGCTGCGTCCTGCCTGCTCCTGATCGGCCCCCGACTCCCCCTGCGCCGTGTCGCAGCACTGCCTCCGCTCCTGCAACCAACGCACACCGGCCTGCTCCACTAAACCAACGCCAATTGCCCGCCTGGCCTGCCGAGAATCGTTGACACAAACACCACCACCACCACCACCACCACTTCTGCGACAGGAGGGGATCTGACTCGCTCCACCACCCACAATCATCAACAAACCCCCCTTCGCGAACGAGTCCCACCCCCTCCAACTACCCAACCCACAGCCATGGCCGACATGTCGAGGAGAAGGGCCTGCCTCACGCTGGTCCGCAATCTGACCCTCGCCGCTCTCCTGTACGCTGTCATCTATGGCTCTGTGAGCATGGTGACCGATCCCACCGTGGCTAGCAAGGGCAAACTGGGCATCCCCGCCTTCCTCGACAAGACAGGTCCCACCGAGCTGATCAAGACCACAAAGGCCGGCGTCCAGGTCAAGTTCACGAGCTCGCCCAGAACCGTCACCATCAACCCACACGCCAACGTCTTCAACCGCCCCGTGACTGCTGTCAAGATCAAGGACGACTTCTACGGCCCACGACCCCATGTCGACACCGAGGCCGATCTGCACATGCTGGTCGAAGAGTGCAGAGGCACCTATGAAGGCATTGAGAAGATGAGGAATGTCTTCGACTGTCTCAAGTTCTTCGCCGAGGAGGAGCACCGCTACTACACCCTTCCCGACAAGGCTCACCGTGCCAGTGCTCAGGACCCCACCAAGGCCGAGTACGTCAACGCCGACGGCCACGGGAACACGCTCAAGAGCTACCCCTCGGTCGAGGAGGCGAAGCCCGCTAATGGTTCTGATATTGGTACCTGCCCCGGTCCCATCATTCCCTACCACGTCTACTGGACCGGTCCTGCCACTTGGCGCGTCGAGGCCTTTGTCAAGAGCTACCTGTATACGCAAAACCTGGCTTGCTCGCGCCTCTGGATTTGGCTGGATGCCGACCGCAACCCTAATGCCGTTCGCAACATGCTCACCAAGGATGCCTTGTTCGCTCGCTTCCTCCCTCTGGTCGAGCGTGGCGACATCACCATCAAGGAGTGGAAGTTCCCCTCGAGGATCCCGCTGCCCAAGGATGAGGAGCAGCGCAACGGCTTCGGCTACTACAGCTCGCCCGGACGTGCCAATTCAAAGGGTGAAAAGGCCGTGGCCGAGAACATTGTCGAGGACAAGGATGGCCAGCAATGGCTCGTCCTGACGCCCAAGCAAATGACCTTCCTCCCCGTTGCCGTATCTGACGCTATGCGCTTCATCGTCTTGCACATGCACGGCGGAGCCTACTTCGACATGGACGTACTGATGCTCAGGGACATGCGCCCGCTTCTCCTTCCCAAGGAACACGCTTTTGCCGAGCGTTGGGCAGCCCATCCTCACCCGGGAGATTACAACACCGCCATCATGTCCCTCACTGCCAACTCGTCCATCTCATCCTACCTTCTCTACGGTGGGATCCGCATGGGCCTCAACTTCCACCCCCGTGTGCTTGGCCGCATGGCCTGGAAGGAGAACCGTGACCAAGAGTTCCTCATGTTGGAGACGGCCGCTTTTGACCCCATCTGGACGGAATTCAACTGGGATCGTGAAGGCCGCTGCACCGTACCTTGTCTTAGAGACTACAGCGCCGCTTTCAAAGGCAAGCAGGATGCTATCAAGGACGAATGGGAAAGCTACGATGCCCCCCAGCTCGAGGCTCTCAACCTCACAGATGCGCAGCCCAGAGAATTGCGATCTATTCCTGCCGAATCAGCCACTTCGCTGGACCGCCGTGACCGCGCAGAGAATGAAAACATCCCAGCATCTGCCGCCGCCCCAACTCCGAAGAATGGCGAACATGCCGATTCGTTCCAAACGACCCCAAACGAAGAGGTTGAGCTGCGCAAGGCCGGCATCATCGCCGAATACAATCTTGCCGAGGACAAATTCCCACCCAACAACCGCACAGTTGAAAACTTCTTCCGTGGAGCCTGGACCTATCACATCCACAATCAGGTAAGCCGCACTTGATGGTTTTCCCTTGCCCCGCAATTGCAGACTCGCTAACCGTTTCACAGTGGATGAAGCACCCGGAACCCTCGTCGTGGATTGCTATTCTCGAGCAGGCTCAAGACGGCTTCTTCGCCGGAACGCGCACTAACGCGCATGGCGAGAATTGGACGGGTCCAAGTGTGATGCCGTACAACTACTGGCCTGAATACGTATGAACGCCACTGCACGGCTCACTAGCCCCCCTTCGCGCTGTTCTGGCCCCGCCGGCCGAGTGAAGGTTGCCGCGCCGCGCCACCTGGCGCATAGCTTCCATCGGATGTCACAGGTTTCATGCATCGGCTCAGCTCCACAGACAACAGCTGGCTTCCGGATCTCGTAGAGGTCTTGCAATCAATAGTCTTTGCAACATTTCCTGGTGGAGCTTCACGGTTCCCTCGAACTGCATCTTATGACCACGGACAAATGCGCTTCGGCGTTCACGACTAAAAAAAACGGGATATCGATAGCGGCGTCATCGATTCGCTTCGGCGGTTGTTTATTGCTATGAGCGACTTTTCCCCCTCATTGGGATTATATTACACACATTCGCTTCTTGTACTCGACTTCGGACACATCGGCGGGAAACGTCGGTTGGCTCCCCGGTTGTGATTCCGCGTTAATTCCTTCGCTTCTCTGTTTTAGACTTTGACCTTTTTTTTTTCGCTTCCTGCTTCTTGCATATCAATAATTTGCGTTGTTATCGGATACCCTCGCTCCACGGGCCATTGTAAAGATGAGAGTTGATCAATCGGGGGGATGTTTCATCTTTTTTACATTATTGTTTCCAGCTCAGTTGCATAGCAGCATAGCCTACGGGCTTGGCGTACTTATTTTTTTAGACTTCGTCGACAGTATTTATAAGACGGGTCAACCGGAATCAACTATTATACATAATGGTCGGGGTATTGGTGGTGGTAGCTGCCTTTGTTCGTTGGCGGAACGGTGATTGACAGAACTGTATGACAGCATCAGTTATTCTTGTTTGTTGCATTGTTTGTATGCATGTATCTACCTAGATATGTATAGAGTGAGTGCGAGGCAAAGAGAGAGAAAGAGAGCGCACAATGATTGCCTCACTTTTGAAATGCGACATATGATATTGTTCAGACGTATCAATTTGCTTGGATGGTTGTGCATGGCATGTGATTTGTGAGCAGTGGCAGTTGGAGTTGTAGGAACAGGAACAGGTAGCAGACGCACTGAGAAAGCTGTGCAAGTGGGACCATTGTACTTGAACCTTTTGCGCTCGTCTTTTTAATCCCTTGGTCGCATTTCCAATCCCTAGAGACAGGCGCACCTATATAGAAACTGTACATATCTAGGTATGTTGTCTTGTCTGAACCTCGTATGTACCTGCTAAGTACAGCCAGGGCAAACGCAAATATTACTTCTCAACGTTAGCATTGTTTCCCCACAGTGAGGCGGGAGACGGCCCCACCTTGGCTAATCTACCCATCGCCAGCTTCTCCTTTTCTTTTCTGTTGTTCTCTTCCGCCGTGCGCTTTGTGGCTATCATCTTCTACGCGTGATGCTGGCAATTGCAGTGTGTGCAACAAGAAAGCAGTAGGATATTAAATTATCAGTGCGTAACAGGTAAACAGTAAATAGGGAAACATGCATGCATAAATGCAGTTGTACATATGTAAGCAGGTAGCGGGGGTAAGAATGACAGTGTTAGGTATATAGGGTGCTGCATGGCGCCATCTAGCTACATGCATAAGCAACTAGTTTGGACAGGCTGACGTGTGTTTCTGGTAATCTGGTTACTATAAACATATATATGAGCCGGATTCGTGCGGAGTAGTACAAGTATAAAGACTGTTTGATCCCCCAGATTATTGACTTGGAGAATCTCGCGTTCAGTTGGGATTCATTCGTCTGGCTGAATTGATCTTCGCCTACCCTGGAAATTTTCTGCCCCTTGTCCGGTATTCCCCTCTTCTCCGGATCGGCTTGGGATTTGTCGTGTATGGGGTTTGAGCGAGCGACGACAACGACACCTCGACGGGTTATCGGCATACTTGTGAGGACCTCTACATTTTCGACGACGGGATTAGCTTCTGCATTGCTTTGCGCACAGTTCTTGAGTTCCGACAAAGTCCAGATTGGAAGGGATAGGCCTCGGATATTCCCCCCTGGATCCTCATAAGCAGGAAGAGATAGAAAGAAAGAAGACAAAAAGAAGACTCCAAACAACAAACCACCAAAAAACACCACAATGGGCCTCCTACAATTCCTCGTATCCTTCCCTCAGGCCCTGGTCCACGTCCCCTTCTCACTCCTCCGCTACATCCTCTCCCCACGCTTCCGCCCAGACAAAACCTGGACCTTCGCCCAAGCAGCAAAAGTCCGCTTCCTCCGCGCCGTAATCCACCTCTTCTCAGCCCTCCAGCTGCGCACTCCCACGCCCCTCGACGCCGGCGCCGAAGGCGACGCCTGGGTCCGCATCCGCTTCCAAGACGAATGGCGGACGTACCTCAAAGGCGACCTCCTCACGGGCGAAAAAGAAGGCGTCAAAGCCGGAGATGTAGGAGGGACATGGTACACGCAACCTACCTCGTCCATAACCCCCAAACCATCGCCATCCAGCAACGACGACTCGAACCTCACGATCCTGCATTTCCACGGCGGCGCCTTCGTGCTAGGCGACGGCCGCGCAAAAGCAACCGCATTCCTAGCCCAAACCCTCCTGGCGCCATTCCCCGCCTCGACCCGTCTCCTCGCGCCCCAGTACCGCCTTTCCACGCTCCCGGCTTCCGCGGACTCGAATCCTTTCCCTGCGGCTCTCCAAGACGCGCTCGCCAGCTATCTCCATCTCATCCTCGACTGCGGCATCCCGCCCGCCAACGTGATCCTTAGTGGCGACTCGGCAGGTGGCAACCTCGCCATCGCTCTGCTCCGCTATCTCTCCGACTACGGCGCCGACCTGGGGCTCCGAGGACCGGGCGCCGCATTACTATGGTCACCCTGGATCGACCCTTCGCTCGTCTCGCCTTCCATCCTCCTCGCGAACCCGAATTTCGCCTCCGATATCTTGCCCCCGCCGTTTGTGGTCTGGGGATCCGAAGCTTACTGCTCTCCTCCTTCCTCGTCCTCTGCTCTTCCTAAACCCCGGGAAAACCCGTATATCAATGCCAAGATATCGGGTTTTAATACTGATACGCCGTTGTTTGTCAATGTCGGCGGTAGGGAGGTGCTGTGTGATGATGGGACTGAGTGGGTGGATGCGATGAGCAGGGTTACTGGCAATCGGGTTACGTTGGATGTCGAGGCTAAGGCGCCGCACGATGTGCTGCTTTTGGGGGATCAGTTGGGGTTTGAGGACGTTGCTGCGAGGCAGTGTGCTAGAGCTGAGAAGTGGGTTGGTGCTGTTAGGGATGGGAAGTAGAAGTGGGGTAGTGGGTGGCTTCAGGGTAGGGGTTGTATGACAATTTTCTTTTTTCTTTTTTTTTTAACCTGCCAGGATTTCAAGGGATGAAGCGCGGTTGGTGAAGTTTGTTGAGTTTGCATTACGGTTGAGCAGATGCTAAGCTGGATATACGTTCATCTGAAATCACATACGTGTCGAGCAATGCTCAACTCCCTCTCTTCTAGGCTAAGATGAAACCTACCATTTATTTATTTTGAGTTGGAGTTTAGGTGATCCTACGCACAGCGAAGGAACCTACCATATCTTCGAGACTCTATTGTTAGTACCTACTCAAGCCCTCATACTCACAACATCAACACCGCTTTACTCCAACTCCACGTGTCCCACTTACCCTTTACCCAACCCATTCCCCCATCACTCATTACATCGTCTAAACGTAGATTCGGCTGTTTTTCACCGTCTGCTTGAGATCCACCAGTTACAAATCGGCAGGGTCTACCGGCAGCAGAGTAAGATATATATTTACAACGCCTATCAAGCCGATGAAATCGATCCACAAAAAAGCTTACGTTGCGGAATGCTCAGTGTGATAAAAGTCGGAGCCTCCGAGTTGGAAATAAGCGGATATCGTAGGTTTTTTTTTTTTTAAAAAAAAAAAAAAGACGAATGCATGACTTCAAAACGTCATGGACCAAGTATCGAGACCAATAGCTCGGGTATTGCGGGTATAGCTGGAGGGTCATGGTTTGGATATGCAGTTGTGTTACAGATGTTGAGGTGGTAGGCAACTTTGTGAACTTGTAGATTCTAGCATGTTTGTCTAGTTCAAAAATTGGTGTGTTCTTTTTTACCGTGATGGAGAGTGTAGACTTGGAAATGTTGAGATTCAGGTAGGAAGGAGGCAGAAAGAACTGCTAGAGGCGCAAAGTTGGAATTCGCAGAGAACGTTTGAGTAGATGGAAAGAATGTTAGTGGATATAAGCGGAAGCAACACATGCTCTAGTCGCAGTTAAAAAAAAGGGATTATAAGCACTAGATTGCTTGGATATTCGAGGATTCACTAGATCTTGTGGGAGGGGAAGGTTGAGCAAGTTGAAAGCGAAAAGTGGCAAGCGGAAGAGTAGTCAAAGCAAAGTGATGGATTGATTGATGGATTTACGAGGATAGCATCATTATTCCGTTAATTGTAATGGGCGGTTGCAATCACTGCTACTGCTGTTTGGGCAATGGATGCTCACTGAGCAAACGGAGTCATAACAATGATCACACGCCACAGCTATATCGTGTAAACAACAAAGATTGATGCCCGCACAAAGGCTGACAGTGCCCTATTGGAAGCCATGGCTGTTTGGTGAATTTCAGGACGTGAAAGTGAAGAAGGGGGTACCCATACCACCTAACCTTTAGAAAAAAAAAACAGCAAACAGTTTTTTTCAGCCTTCCGATGAAGCAACCTCGCATGTACAATCCTTGCTGGTAGAAAGCTTCCCATTGTCTGGTCGAGTGAACATGGCGCTCTGCTCGGTCGGGCCTTCGCCGAGGAATCGTTGCATTGGTGTGAGGTCCTTGGGTTCGGTCTTGGTCTTCATGGAGAGAACTTCGGCGTGGTAGGGACAGGGTTTCTGCACGGGTGTGCTGGTGGTCTTCTCGGAAGAATGCTGGGGTTGGCCTCTGAGACTGGTGTGAGTGTGGAATCATAATGGATTGAAGGATCGTAGGGAGTGCTCACTGGGTGTTTTGGCTTGAAGACATGATAGTCGATGGTATGGATTCCGGATGGGGGCAAGATATAAGAGCGAGGGTACGTTAAAACTGGTAGGTCGAATACGTGATTGTAATTGAATAACTGAGCGATGTTGATGGGATATGCCTATGATGACTGGCGATGGGAGTAGAGATTTATACTTTTTGACTGTGTAACATAGGCAGTCAGTGAGAGTCCTGCTGCGTGATGTGCTCTTTCCCCGGGCGTTTGCTCATCGATTCATTCACTGGCTCGCTTAGTAGTAAAGCATTGATTGTTGGAGGCCGCTTCATAGAAGAGCTAAGACCTACCACCGTGATGAATGACAAAACCGGATCCAAGATTGGGCTCTTGGGTTGCGCCCGTTTGCCTTGCATGTCGCTTTTCGCGAATGAGAAGCATGTTGTGATTTGCAGGATCGCGCATATATCATGGCTTTGCATTGGATTCTGGCAGGGTAGTAGAAGACGTGGAGGGGAGGTAGAATGGAGTTTGTCCACAGTGCATGGGGGTCAAAATGGACTCTTGTCCATAGTGCAGGGGGGTCAAAATGGACTCTTGTCCATAGTGCAGGGGGGTCGAAGTGGACAATGTCCATGTGCAGGGGGGTCGGAGTGGACAATCTGCCATGTACAGGGGGGTCGGAGTGGACAATCTGCCATGTACAGGGGGGTCAAAGTGGACAGCAGGGGAGGTAAGAACACAGAAAACATGCAAGGCCGGTAAAGATTCTAGCAATTCTCGTATGACTACGCCATGAATGGTGTCTCAGGCATTAAAATTTCATGCACCTATGTTCCCAATGCCCGAATAAGTTTCGTCTGGCGTGCGGGTGATTTGGTCCACCCTACGCAGGGCGGTATCTGGATTATCAATTTCTAGTTGGGATTTATCGTCAGTAACGCTACACATGCATACCGCCTCAGCTTTCTTGGGATATATGAGCTGTTCTTTGGCTGGTGCTCTTTTGTTCGACTTGGCAAAGTAACCCAGACTCTTTTGCTTATGCGTGTCACCGCAGATTTCTGCAGAGAGCAAGGCTTGTTGGCATCCGCCTTCCCCGGTGCGCACGGTCAGTCGTGATACAGATCATTATTTGAGGCCGTTGCATGGCTGCTACCATTATCGTGGGCTTGGATCCTGCGACCGCCTCATTCCGGCCTTCTTGTGGAGCATCATCAATTGCATGCACGCTCCCTGACTTTGACCTTTGCCTCCTGGCTTTCTCATACACAATTTGGAGGTCTAATTTCGCTATATGTCATCAATCTCTCGTATTTTAGTTCGCCATTTTCCTTCATTTGTCCCATCGTCTTCGTGAACCTCTACTAGGCTTCGCACAGCTCATCTTCGCATAGGTTCCAGAATCGGTGAGCAAGTCTCAGGCCAGCCGTTGTATAGCTATATTTTATCTCAAGAAGAAGAAGAAAAGATTGCTACGTAGCATGAATCAAGAAGAACAACTACGGGTTTGATGCGCTGTAAGTGGAGTTCCATGAAGCGATTGAAAGGTCAGTGCTTTGTGATATTCTTCGTTGATGTGAAGATATCAGTGACGACAATGAGAGGGTGGAGAAAAACGAAAGCTATGCGTTCATTCATGACTTCACTCATCATTTGATTGAGTCAACGATGTCAAGCTGTGATCTGTATTACTTACGTATCTTCCAGACCCATTAAGAGCTCACCATTCTGCGGGCATCAGTTCAAGCAGAACTACTCAGTTATCGCCGTTTGGGCAATGAGCTGGATGTTAGTACTTCCAGAGAGAAGAATTTTAGTCTTGTCTAGGTCGAGGGAAGTCTCTTTCAGTCCGGCCCAGAGAACTTCATCTTCTATAGCCGCACTGTAACCGCGCTAGATTTATGGCATTTCTTGTGTCGATGTCGTCTGAACTGATAGGTCCCAATACCGCCAATCTCTGTGGATATGACAGAGAAACTAATGGAGTTGCTGAAGAAGATGATGGAATCCACGAATTTGGATACTCTATATATGACGCGTACATAATAACTGCCGTATGAGCCAAAATTATAGACGTGCATATAAAAGCTTCACGGTCACAATGAGTTGTTGAGAGGAGTCTTGAAAAAGTGGATGCATCTTTTATTAGAGTGTAGAATGAGAAAGAGGTGGATGCACTATCCCCCATCAATAAGATGGGAAAAATGCAATCCTGGCTCATCGTGAAGATGGAAAAGGACAAGTATATACTGTCTCCAATACCAGAACTAACCCCATTCTTCCCATGTGGAAGAAAGAAAATTCTCCGCAGTTCTGTTTGATGATCCATGTATTCCGACCATATACCTTGTTGCGCCACCAAACGCACAATACGAAGCTCAATAAAAGCTTTGAAGTCGCAGGGCGATGTCAAGTAAGAACACTCGAAACGTCAGAAATCGTAGCCAGCGACCAAATAGCTCCTCACAGGAGACCACATGCTTGCTAGTTCTCCAAATCCTCAGCCAATTCATCGTTCTCATCCGCAGCGTCCTCTTGCTCCTGTTCCTGCATATTGGCCAATCCGTATTTGTGATCCACCTCGTCGAGATGTGCCAATGCCTGTTTAAGAGTGCCCTGAGTGCTGAGCAACTGATTGCGCATATCAAGGCGGTGAGAATCCTCGGCAAGTAAGTACACTGCTTGCTGCCCACCCGTCATGATTTCGTTAATACCCAGATTAGACTCAAGCTCATCCCGAAGATCAGTGCGGAGACGCTTAAAGAACTTGCTCTGCACACGAATAGCAATAGCTTCGTAGAAGCGGCGACTTGCTATTTCATAGTAGCTAGTCACTTTAGCGATCAAGTTGATCTCGTTCTCATATGGCTCGGCGGTAATTAGTGACCAAACTTTCTCATCCCTCCGCAATTTGTCAAGGTCGACAGGATGGCGGTTAGTGTACTCCCTGTATTCTTTCTGGTAGATAGACGATCGGTATCGTGTTCGTGCGTCCCGATACAAGTCACGCATGCGTTCGTGTTCTTCCGAGGCAGTAGATTCGAAGAAGACAACCGGGCCTTCGCGCTCGTCGTTAAGGCTGTGTAAAGCCATCATGTGTAGTTCGGCGAGACTGCTCTTCAAGATTTCCAGTACAATCTTCCAGCTTTCATTGTAGATAGGCGAGCTGCTCCAACGACCAAAGTGATGTTGGAATATGGCTTTGACATTGCTCTCAATTTTACGACCAAGGATATAGAAGAAAGCCCTCAAGGGCTCTTCCCAATGCTGGAGAGCTTCATGAATCAGGTCCTCGACCGCCCTCGGATCCAGCAGATCTGGTAAACGAGACTTCGACTGATTGAGATACTTTGCCATGTCATCAAGCATGAAGACCATCTTAAACTGGCTATACTTCTTATCCTCTGCATCGCCATCTGGAGCTGCTGGTCGCTTGAACGGAGAGGAAGTTTCAGACGTAGAGTCTACATCCCACTTCCGTTTCTTGGGGGTTGAAGGCATGCCGGCAACAGGAGTCTGGGCAGCAGGGGATGTATCACCTTCGTCGTCAGTGATGAGAATAGCATTGTCTGCCGTATTGTCTGCCGAGACAGGAAATATCCCAACGTCTCGGTCGCCCCTAACGCGCAACTTCGGTTTCATTGATTCGAGATCCTTGAACAGTTGTTGGTGGATCTTTTCCCACTCGTTATGCCAACTTCGATTCCGGAGGTCGGCCTGCATCTCTTTTCCGATATGATTAGAGAAGTTCAGTATCAAGTCGGTGACAGTGCGCATCGGATTCGCCCTGGTGAACCCCAATTCACGTCAGCACATCCAGTCTAAGACTTGTATTGTATTGTATAGACGGTAATTCAAGAATCAACAAAAGTTTGAAGATAGGTAATACTCACGGAGGTTGAGGTAGATGGCTCAAGTCGGTCTCCACTTGTGCAAGACGCTGAATTGTATCCTTGCGGATCTGAGGCAGATTGCCCAGAATCTGCGCTGCTAGTTTGTCCGAGAGATACGCCCGGAGATTATTGGTCCCAAATTGATCGTGGAAGCCGCCGAAAGTTGTAGCCCAAGGTTCATTATTCGTGAAGAAGTGGTCTTCCATCGATCGAGCTTCGCCGTGAGTGAGCTTGTTGTCCAGATCACTCTGGCCGGGGTTTTTAACCACAAAATATCCGTGTCCCAGCTTGAAGTTATTGCCTATGCGAGAATGTCAGAGGGGAAGTGCTTTGAAGGATACCAGCAGACACATACCAGCTAATACCTCTCGTAACTTATCTTCCCGGCTGCCCACTGGAAGGCGGTCGGGTTTGGTCAAGACTCTAATGCAATCTATAGCGAAGCTTAGACATTGATACTAATGTAAGTGAAATTTGATACGTACGATTCGTGACTTTATGTGTGCGTGCTAGACCGGATGCTACCGAATTCGCAATATCATTCTCCAGTGAGCAGACCACGAGAACCTGCAACCCCAGTTAATAGAGGAAGGTGACCCGATAGACATGTTGTACGTACCAACGAATCCTGGATGTACTCGCAGACCAGATCCTTCACGAACTTGACTAGGTATTGATTTCTATCCTCCTCCGTCTGACCAATAATGCCAGGGAGATCGTAGAACGACAGAGGTTGCTCCAAAGTGGGACAAGACACGTAGATACAGACTACATTGGGGCTGAATTCGCATGGCTCAGCGCCAGAGTACGGAGTCAGTGTTGCCAGTTGCGCATCAGCAATGATATGCTCCAACTCTACCAGTGAGGTGGTAGATTTGAACTCCTCTTCCACGATTTCGGTCTGGCGCCAGAAAGGAAATCGAGTGCGCTTCTTGCCATCCCAAACATATGACTTGCGAAGACAGACTCGAGCATGCCACTGATCTTTCGTCGGCTGCAATTGAATATACAAGGCACAGCGAGTGCAAGTATCCGTTGAACGCGGAGTAGTGATGCCGGAGATGGCCTCGATCACTGAAGATTTTCCAGTCGACTGTTCGCCCAAAACAACGCAGCGAGGCAGCGGAATTTTCTCGCGCTGTGAAAGTCCAAGAGCCTCAAGCTTTGCAATAGCGGAGTGGGCTTCAGTTATAGCTTCACTAAGTGTGCCGAGAGCGGGGTTGGTACAGTCCGCGTGGTCAGTACTAGGTATGCTGGCTTTCTCTTGCGGGACAGTCGAAGTCGAAATCGGAGCAGAACCATCTCCATTGCTCTCCATATGACGAGCGCTGGAGCGCGTTGCCCTCGCCATGATAAGAGCAGTAGGCGATGGGACGGCGAGAGTGCTACCGACTGGATGTGTGGTAAGATAGGTGGGTAATGTGAGATAAGAGAAAGGTCTCCTGTCTAGACAGCTGTCTATGGCAGGTGGAGTGGGAGTTCAAGTAAAGGTGAAGGTGAAGGTGGTCGCGCCATGAGCAGTGCCAAGACAATTTGCGACGACAGCAATGCCGTCGCCACAGATTTGGAAACCGAAAGAATGACGTAGAAATTCCGAGCTGGCTTCACGCTGGCTAGGTGCACTATTGATGCTGCTGAGGATGTAGTCGATTGACGACGCACGTGATATGTTGAATTATGGGAGCTTGTCGAGTAGAATGCAGATGAAATCGTCGCTTGCAGGATTGCATCGGACGAGGTTTATTCTCACAGAGATTGAACAGCCGTCTAGTTGTGACAGAGAGACAGCAGCGTGGCCATGAGGTAAACAATCAATTGATATTTGTTCAGGTTGTTAGGCATATCCGAGTGCTGAAAACAAGAGCATTTCCGTGAGCACCTGAGATACTAGGACAAGTGCCTGATGATGGCCAGTCCCCTTGTAGCTCAGCCATCCCGCGGTTGCTACGACGGGACAGCTCGAACACAGGTACATGTGGGAAGTAGATACATGTACATACCTAATTTGACGAATGAAGTCGAGGTTGATCGGGATGGCGGTTAGCGTGATTAGATAAGCGTCGACTCTTGGCATGTTGACCCGCAGGGGTTTTGGGAAAAGTTTATGAGCGCATCGCATCTGGAATCATCCCTCGCATCACACCCGACCGACGCCGCATCCGCCCATCACCACCCCGTCTCGCCCTTCATTTCCATACTCGCGTCTATTATATACAAACCTCACATATTCAGTCGTAATGGATCACACACGAGACCCATGCCCGTAAGTGGACCCAGCCGGGGAGGCAAGCGTTTGGCAATGCCTCGCGCCGCCTCCACCCAAAGACAATACCGCCGGAGATAACTACTGATTATCATCAGATGGATCATTCTCAATGATTTCGGTGGAGCGTTTGCTATGGGGGTAGGTCTTTATCATCCCATCTCTTCACGTGCACGAGCTGATCATTCTACAGGCTGTCGGCGGTGCCATATGGCACGGTATTAAAGGCGTAAGCAACTCGCAGCGGATCGATTGCTCCATCATTGACGTTTCCAGTTCCGCAACTCCCCCTACGGCGAGCGACGTATCGGTGCCATCACCGCGATAAAATCTCGTGCCCCCGTTCTCGGCGGCAACTTTGGTGTCTGGGGAGGTCTTTTCAACACATATGACTGTGCAGTCAAGGGCATAAGGAAGAAGGAGGACCCATGGAACGCCATCATCGCCGGGTTTTTCACTGGTGGATCCCTCGCTGTGCGAGGCGGCTACAAATCTATGCGCAACGGTGCCATCTCTTGCGCGATATTGCTCGCTGTCATTGAGGGCGTCGGTGTCGCGTTCAACCGCATGATGGCCGAAAATATGAAGCACGAGGCGCCGCCACTGCCTCCATCTCAGCCAAGCGAACCATCTGGTGGCGTGGCTGTGGCAGCATAATTTTTGGTCCATTCTGTTCGAAAGTCTAGTCTTTTTAATGCTAAAAAGAGGTCTGTCCTGGGTTTAGGGTGGAGTGGTTGCGGGTTATTTGCATATGCTGCGCCATGTTTGGGCTGCGGTCGGCGTTTACACTCTACTCAGGCTTCTGTGCTATACTTGTACTATAATCATGGCTTTTTACCAGCCCGGAGTCGACAAAGTGGGATATGAGATGTTGAAAATTCCATACGTTTCGACAAGGGCACTGCAGCGCCACTAACTGGTCAAAAATCGATGACGTTCACTAGACTTGCGTTCATCGCGTTCAATCTGGCTTCTGAGGTACCTATCCTGTTATTGAACACCCGACGTCCGATTTGTCTTCGGGATTCGCGCGACTCATTGCTGGAAATGATTTCCCCATTCATTGCAGAGATAATACTACTATCGATGACCGACTGTCGATAAGTCGTACATTTCCAGCTCTGTAATGATTTGCAGACTACTGGTAAATTGCTACCAATTTTCCCCTCACCACCATAGGCAATTCTTCACCCCAATGTCGTGGACAGTCCCCCAATTTCTGATCATAATCATACAGATCACGCGGCATTCAAGCAGATGTTCCCACCACTCACGAAGCTGGTCGAATTGAAGTCAGGATATGGAGAACCCAGACGCTCGTAGACTTCAGAAAAACTAGTCGGCCATCCATGCGCAGGTACAACACTAGATTTGTTAATCGATTCGTTCACCAAAGCTACAATTCTCGACTCACATTGTGTCTTTGCTCATACCATCTCCTATCGCCTGTAAAAGCCACGAGTTTGCAAGGTTGGTGTCGGACTCAAAGTTCGTGCTGTAGGCGTCTGCAGTAAATGCAAGCATACTGGTATCTGCATCTGGGCACGCAGTGGTCACAATGGCGTACGTCCAATCAGCTGAATGCGGTGTGTTGGGTCGCCAGAGAAAGCGGGCTTGCATTTTGCTATCCGAGTATATGAAGGGCTTGTCCTCACTGCCCGGGAGGTCAGTAATCGCGTGGTTTTTGGGAGCCTGAAACTTACGTGAAAGTCAATAGTTGTATATCGGGAATCTTGCTCCAGTATGGCGCGGCCATCTCAGGAACGATGACTGATGCGCCAATGGCGGCGAATTTAGCCACATCGAGATTGTGATCATGATGGTGATGGGAGACCTGGTTGAACTGTCAGATGCGTGCATGAGCATGGGCGTGTTTCAGACTCACCCAAAGATGGGAGATTGGCTTTTTGATGTTCTCTTCCACCCACTGAATGACGAGCTCCGACTGGTGGGGAGGCGCTTCAAATACGATGACAGACTCCTCGAACTCAAGCACAAGCTGGTAGAAGTTGGTGTTGTTCAGGAATGCGAGGTGGTGCGCTCCCGGTAAATCGTCTGCAGGGTGGGAAACATTGAGGAACTCGAGACTACTCGTATACTCTCCAGCCCAGAGCGTATTCGACCAGTACTCAGTCATTTCCGCATGTCCATATCGGGGATCCGCTTTGGGAGGCGAGGGAGTAGTTTCAGTCTCATCTGGGGCAAGTCCATCAAAGAAACCTTGTTCGAATGCAGGATTGACGTATACTTGTGAGACTATAGTATCTTCGAGAATGGCCTCATCTCCATAGATGATCTTCTGGGTCCGGGGAAATTGGAGTCCTTTCACTTGCGTGTAGTTGTAGAGCTGCAGGTCGTTGTTTGTTCGTCCTAGAATGGGATGATCTTCGAATGCGCGGATGAGCATAGGTAGATTGGTTTTTGGGTCGAAAACAACCGTGAGATTTAATTGTTCATCGCGAACTGAGACCAAGTCAGTAAGAAGCTAGGACACCACCGACGTTTACCAACCTGCTGGAAGCGTGGATTCTCGGTATTCTACTGTCGTTGCGGTTGGGTCATGTTTCTCTACCTGTGGGTTTCGTGTGAGAATCCTAGCGAGTGCAACTGGATGGGGTTCAAACCTCAAGCAGAAGCTTTGGTGAGAGTTTCTGAGCTTGCAAAAGGAGATACTCCGTCATGATTGCTAGGATTTTCAGCAATATATTCAAGCATGAATAGGATCATTTGGATAGCATACCATCGACATATCCGTACGTCTGGTTTTTGGGGAAGAAAACGTTGTTGTTGCCTTTGGTAAAGCAGACGAAGCCATCGCTACCGCTTTTCGCCACCATCGAGAAATCGCGCGGAGAAACCTCTGGTCGGATGAAGGTGAAGTAGTCTGGGAATCCATTAGCAGTGAAAACGCATATGTCGTTCCCTTGATGGAAGCTTACCCGAGGAGACCAAATTACGGTCGATCCTTTGCGAGAACCCTTGCTCTCGGAAAGAGAAAGAAATATTTTGAAAGCCAGAGCTGACGATATACCGGTCTGTCTCGAATAGATGGTAGTTCTGCATGACAGATCGGACTCGAAATACACTAATATGTCAACTAAGTTTGCGTATGAAACTTCAAGACCTACTCATTGATCTGGTATGTCACGCCCTTCAAGTTTGATAACGCTTCGTGCCCACCCAAGCTGTCGATAGCAGCATTGATAAGTTGGGAGGCTGTTGAATCATTTCTGCGTGCGTAACGACACGATGAGCATGCATGTGCGAAATCGACTGTCGCAGCAAGAAGCATGAGAACGAATGAGAGCGCAGTAGCCAAAGAAGCCATCGAGAAATTTCAAATGATGATATATGATGTGAGTCCTTTCGTTGCTGCACTTGAACACTTTATACCGTTGACCGCGAGATGAAGCTTCGGCACGGGTCGAGGTGAGTGGTTCACGGAGGCTGTAACAAAGCAACTATCCTCCAAGCTCACCAAAACCCGGTTAAAAAGCAACAACATCTTTTGGAATGGGCTATGCCTCAATTCTGTCTATCCTATTTCTGAAAGTGGTTATTCCACTATTTCCGATCGCTTAACGTATTGGGAAATACGTGAGCCTACTTCGCACACATTTCTCCTTTGACTTTCCCATGTGTAATCAGAATACGGCGGAAAGCCGGATTTAACGGCCGTATTGTAGTCATTACCTTCTACTACGCCCCTTTGATGCATCCGGACCGGTCACTTCGATGTGAACCCTCGCACCACCACGCCGCATTAAACGATCAAATAGTCACTTTAATTTCCAGAGCAGGTACAGAAACGTACGGAGATCCTTCGCAGCTGACAACTTATTACGAATTTATTAGCAATCAGTTAGGCATTGTCTAATTGTCTGTCGCGTCGAACATGCTCCTAGTGCGAAAGGGATGTTTGTAGTCACTAAGCGCGAATTTGAATGAGCTTACATATGCATTGATCTTGTCCAAGGTGAGTTTCAAGGAAGAGACTAATGAATTTCTCATTTGAATCTCACGACTATCTTCCGGGGTTGTAATGATTATTCAGTGGAATGAAGTCGAGTATTATCGAACACATAAGCACGCTATCAAGGAGTTGAATGGTCTGATAAGACCCTCTACCACCCGTGTTCAGATGAAAACCCCAAATACCATTGTTTGTTTGTCCATAGTGTGCGATCACAACTTTCTATCGCAGAAGTCCTTGATCAACGGTTCGAGTTTGATACGAGACCGGACCGTCTCCCTTGATCTCAGTATAGACCCCAAAATCTCATTTGCAAATGGAATTTTGATTCTCGAGGTGTCGGTCATGCCAGTTCCGCACCGTATGATCAAGCTATCAAGCTCGGGATCAGAATATTTCAGCTTTCCAGGTCCAACCCGCCTGAGAGCGTGAATTGTGGCGCCGAAATTAACAATGTCTCGCTTTCGCAACTGCTCAACAAACTCTTGGTCGTTACTATCTAGCTCTCCGAAATTGTGGTGAGAGCTACCGAAATCTCCAAGGACGATGCGTGGGTATGGGCTGTCGGTAAATGGGGTAGTTATGAAGACGTTCCTCTCGTGAATATCACCATGATAAATTGGATCCCAGTCTTTCCGTGGGGCCTCGATCCGATCTTCTTTCCAAATACCCATATGGGTGGTGCAGAGCGCACGCATCAGGGATTCGGCTACATGCCAGATAAATGAGTCCGGGATGCGACAACACGCCTCTTTGTAAGCATCTATGATGTTCGCAAGATCTCCTCCTTTGCAATATTCCATGTAAATTCGGTTTTCGGAATATGTGATACAGTGCCTGTACATATGAACCATGTTGTCGTGGCCCTGCAGTCGACTGAGAATGCCAGATTCACGAAAGGCGTTTCGTGAGCCAATGAGTGGATAGAGCATTTTGCAGATTGCAAGTTTCTTGGAGGCTTCGTCACCAACCAGGAAAATCCCCCGGTTCCAGGCACCGCCATTATACAATCGCTGGATCATTATGAACCCGTCTCGGCTGTCGGGAAGCCTCTCTTCTTTCGAGGGTTCCCCCTTCAATTTCGAATTATTGTTCGTCATACTTTTGGGTTGTGTGTTCCTGTATGTTGGTTGATCCATGCGGGAGTCTACCAACTTCGGACAAATTATACAGAATGTCATGCAGCGCATTGTGAGAGTATGTGAATAATTATCAGGTTAGCTCACAATGCCAGTTTGCAACAAACGAGTTTGATTATTAGCGCATTACACTATTCACTTGCTACAGTTTTCTGTGCTGCGCCTGATTACAATGCCAATGCGTTACTGGACTCAAAATGCGTGCTTTCTCTATTCATGTCGAATCTATTTTATATTCGAATACTCAGACCACCCCATAACATGGAATGCTTTTCAAAGCGACGGTTTGAGCTTTTGTGGTTGTTGAGCTCAAATTAGGGGTTTCGAGTTGATGATAGCCTATAGCAGCACATCAAAGACCTGATTCTTCGACCTGCATTACCTACCAACCTCAGCCATACATTCCTTCCGTTTGACCAAAAACGAAATAATGACAGTGATACTTCAGCTCGGGTGTATGAACTATGCCCTCTGCCATGACCCATGGTCTTACATAATTTTCCACGAGCATTTACGGGGTGCACCGTCCTATCTTGAATCACGAGTAGACTATAGTATGGGCTTACAGCCGATTCATGCGTACATGCTATTCGTGTCTGAGAGCTTGGATGCGCAATGTATGTTTACGTAGGCTAAGTGAACACAAAGAAGTCGGCAAGTGGTGATTGAATCTTTTCCTTTTGGGGTATGAACTGTCCAATCATCAAATACTGTTGTTGATCACTGACTGGCCCAGGTAAGAGTCGATCGGTGACGTCATTGGTCGGTGTCCAGAAGCGGTTAGTCAGGAGTAGACCAAGGCGGTTCGACGTTACTATAGAAACTCGTTACTATAGAAACTGGATATTGAAAGTCACAGGCTACGTCCCACGGCATCAGATCATCAACTTCTGATAAGAGTCATAGTTAATACCTGGAAGTACTTCCCTACAAGTTTAGCCATCACAGCGACTTTTTTTCCAGTTTCGATCGTCCTACCACGCGCGAAAACCCGTACCCAACCTTCATCCAAATTTCCCCTGCCCATCTAGTCTACTCATATGCGAGGACGCATGTCCCTGCCACAATCATGCCAAATCCTATCGATGAATTCCCATTTGAGATCTTTAAAATGGTCGTGGCCGACCTTCAAATGGACGATGTGAGCCGCCTCATGCGTGTATCAAGATCGTACCATGCCCTTTTAGAACCTCTTTTCTGGAGCAGGATCGAGGTTCACACTATCGGTTATCACAATTATATGGAGCATGAATCACTTCGAAACGAAGAAGCTGCAAAGATCCGACAGCCGTTGTTCAGGGTGGAGGCGATTCAGAAGGACGTAGGGCCGTCAACTACTTAGCCCTTCTATGTATCGCAAATGTTCGCGAAAACGCTTTCGGCTAGCCATCAGCATGGGAAAAGGTTGAGTGAACCGAGAATACGTCAGCTGGGTTCATTAGTCACATGGCTCTGCCTGTCTTTCTGCTCTGAGAGACTAGAAATTTGTGATTTCTGGAATCCTTTTAGAAACTTCGTGAACCTGGAACATCTGGAATTATTCGCAGACTGGGGCCGACCGAGAAAGCTGGTTCCATTTTCTGCCCCAGAATACGGCCTCACTCAATTGCGAACGCTGAAACTGCGCGGATATCTGCCAATGGAGTTCGTACAATGGCTTTTGAACGAGCCCGCGCACGTGGAAGAATTGCAGTTGTGCGTTCTAGACTTCCCCGGCATTCATTGCGGTGGCCATGGGGAACCGGAGCAATTTTTTGAAGCCATACCGCCTCACATGCGGGATCAGGTAGTTATGGATGCCATTGAAGACCGTAGACGACTGCGAGGGCTTGCAAGATTTGCGGATTATCAAGATAAAGCGATTGCACCTCGATCCCTAGCATGCTTGTCATTCGATACAATTAGGCGTTTCAAAAAGCTCAACAAGTTATACCTTTATAAGCCAGCGGCTGGACGTGATCATGACGATCTGGAAGTATACTTCTCGGTATCATCAGAATTTCGAATTCTCCTGGAATGGAGAGATCTGATACTCGCTACACGCAACACTTTGGAGTACATCATATTCGATCAACGCCCAGTGTGCGATCTTCGCGAAAGTGATGACCAGGCGGAAATCGTCTGCGAGGTTTCTCACGGTGATTCATACAAGCGCTTTGTCGACATAGTTCTCCCTACTTTGATCCAGGGTGAAACATTCCCAGCTCTGCGAATGATCCGGCTATTTGGTTTTGAACCGTACGAAGATGACCCCTGCAAGGAAGGCCCTCAAGAATTTGAATTACTAGGAGAAAGTGAAAACGTGCCCGCTCTGCTACAGGCCGCGTTTCCGGAGGCGAAAATCACAAATCACATTGGCCGGCCGATATTCATACATAAAAAATGGGGAGAGCTTTACGGTGAGTGTAGCCGTACCTCAAAACACATATTGACATGTCCTCTATTCACCAAACATTGTACTGACTGTTCACTGAATCATAGGTGGGGGCGATGTGCTTAATGACACTGCTGGCTTGCTTACAATTGGGGAGATGATTATGTATTGAGTTCACACAATATTCGGGGATTGAAGCACCCTTAAGTGACATCAAGAAAATGAAAAGGGGAGCTCTCATCATATACTAGGACATGGTTGTCCATAATGGGGCAGATTCATAAAGACCCAACGATAACTACAAGATAAAGCTAGCCAGGAATTCACTGACATTGATCTATGACTTGTCACATTAAACCCGGCATGATTCCAGAGACCACCAGTAGAAAATCTGTGGAATATAAAATGTCATTGTTTGGTTTTTGCTTCTACGGTTGCATGATTCGATCCCTGACAGAAGTACCCGGTCGAAGAACAAGGTATTTTGGACGACGCAATTAGCAGGGGAACCAAGCGACAGAATAAATCATCATCGAATGCCCATGATGATGTGAAGACGGATGCACTCTGTCAGAAAAAGAACTGGACCACATCCCTAGCATAGTTCCGCTCCATCCTAGTCTAAAGACCAGGGAGTTGGTTGTCCACTTGCAATCTCTAATTCCCATGGTCATTGCGAGCGATATAGACCTCGATTATTATCTTGACCATGATTTCCAGCATGACTCAACAATGAGACATGAATTTGGTGACTGGCATATGTAAAACGCCTCACTTCAGAGATTGTACACCCAACTGTGCAATCTTCCAAATAAATTGGCGAAACTGATCTTCTTTTGACATCATGTCCTTGAATGGCGTGGTCCTATCGAATGAATCGAGATGACATACGATGTAGTGCGCTACCATGTCTGCCAGCGGACTCATGCTTCCGTTCGGAGCCATATTCGCTGGCAAGAATGCAAACCTCGCCAAGTCCATTATGTCTCCCACGCGCCTTTGACATGGGGTGAAATTCACGAGCGCCCGCATCAGCTTGTGGAGAGTGAGTTGTTGAAGCCTCGGAACATCGTTTCTTATGGCGAACACGTGAAGTAGGGCATGGGCCATCAAGACGGGCGTGTAGTCTCGAGATTCCTCAAAAGGCGCCGCGACATCGGCTGCGTTGACAAGTTGAGCCCAACTGTTTTCTAGATAACTTCGAGAGGAGAATTCAGATTTGAGCGTATGCCAGTAAGGCAGCCTATCCCAACGATTGGGATCCGTGTCGAACCCTGGAGTGGTATTCGGTGACGATCGTCGGCAAATTTCCGCAGCGGGTGAGGTATAATCGGCTCGATATACAAACTGGCAGAAACGGGCAAACTCTTCCGGTGCAAAATTCCTCATTACGACATATTTATACAAATCTCGCCTCACCGACATATTCATGAGCTTTTTCAGTGGCTCACTGTGAGCTTCGACTGCTGCTTGGTGCACGACGAAACTTACGTTGCCGGGTCGAACGAGGAAGACGCATGGTTCCGAATGTATGATCCTGAAGGTGTCAACTTACATATATCCTTGTCAAGAGTCTGAGGGACAGACTTCGCATACTTCTCGTAGTACTCAGGCCAGGATGGAAATGTCGCCATTTGTGTAGTTTGAGAATACAATAGTGCTTGAGAACAATGAGTCCGCGTGGGAGCGTTCGTAATAATGTATCAACAGCGGAGCGGGGATATTCGCCGTGCAGTATTGATATGGAGTATTGCGGAAGGGAAAAGATGATGGGCAATGATAGAAAGCTGCTCAAGTGAACGAGAGACAAGTGACTTCGCGGGATCGAGCCGTCGGGTAGGAAGTCAGTACCAAGAGTACCTGCTTATGTATCTGCCTGTGTGTAACTACCGAGTTATTTAAATATATGTCCATCGCTTGGAGTGGAAGTGACAATAGAGATCGAGGAATTCTATCATGCGGCATATACCCGATGAAATACAGGAAGTTCTCATGTATTCATGTATATAGGCACGTCACGTCGATGCGTCCCAGGAAACGATAAGAACAGTAAACAAAAAGGAAGCGATACCATGATTTTTCTGGGAGGCTAAGATATCTACCTCTTGGGATCTACTGCACGGAGCTCATTACCTCTTCTAACCACGGAAAAACAACGCCATTCGCTTCAGGATACCCCATGTGCGCACGCTCCCTGATGAATCGCATCTCCTTCGGACTCCCATACTCAGCTAACAACATACTATCCTCAACCGGCATGCACCCATCAAGCACACCATTGATTAGCAGCAGCCTGCATGACGATAAACCCTGCGCTACAACGGCAACTCCCTCCCCCTTCCCACTCACAAGACTGAATTCATCCTGACACTTCTCCTTCATCTCTTCGAAATCGCGATAACCGTACTTGGAAGTGTACGCACGTTCTAGTCCGAACGGATACTCGTGTTTTGAGATACGTGAAAGCCACTCACGGCCGATGTAGTGGTGTGTGCCTGCACCGTGTCCGACGCTTCCGAGGAGCTGGTTGCGATGTGTGTGTGCAAGGCGAATCGCGTAATATCCACCGGCGCTCAAACCCCATGCAATGACTTTACGTTCATTGAGAGATGGCTCGTCGCGAATCCATGCGAGAATCGAGGTGAAGAGCCGATCCGGGGAGAGTGGATCGCGGCGGTCAGCGGGGCAGTCTTCAGTTGTGCCGGGGATGTCACAGATGACTGTTGCCCAGCCGCGTTGGAGATGCTCGGTAGTCCGTTCAGTGTTATCTGGGCGGTGTCCGTCTAAACCTGTGATGAGCAAGATGGTGGGAAATGGGCCTGCACCGCTTGGCTTGCGAATGTAGAGCGGAATTTTAGGATGTTCGTTCCCGACGGCCTGAGTGTGGGGAATCGTAACTTCTTTGATGGGGACAGTCCAGAGGGAAGAGCCGCGGAGGTAGGTTTCTTTTTGCTCGGAGAAGACCTGCGTTTTGAGCGGAGTGTCAATGTAGGGGAATCGCGCGAGGCGGTACACAGCGTTTGCTCGCAGATAAAGTGACTTCGCTTCTTCAATCGATCCTTGCCGTGCGAGTTGGTCGGCTTGTTTGACCAGGTTTTGCGCTGTAGGGAGAAAAGCGTTGGTATAGTCGTCGGTATAAGGGTCATTGATTTTGTTGGCGATGATACTATTGAAAATGGGCTCGAAATCCTCGAATTTGCCATCGTGGAAGGGGTACACGCCCCGTCTACATGGAAACTTCCATCTCATCTCCCATAGCTTCTCGATGGATCCCGCGTGACCGTAGTCTTTCTCGAAAAGGTCACCCAGAATCCAGTTACCGTCTGGCATTGTAAATAAATTTCGTCCGTCAAGTCGTTTGATGCAAGATAACAAGCTGCCTTGATTTTGATTAGGAAATCTACAATGCTGTATCGCATTCAAATGTTATGTTTTACCGACTAAAAGATGTTAAATATGCTGTCGAGACCCTTCGGCTGCGGGGCCGTCCCTGCGTCAACGAGCACCCGAGCGGACCCCCGCTAATCACTGTTCGATGGAATGATTGCAGACACTATTGTTTGTGCTAAACAGTATCAGAAGCTCATGGAAGATCATCGTCGACTTCATCTATCTGTTCCGCGTATGACCGTATCACATCGCACAACTTCTGCCGCCCGTCTGCCCGTTCAAACACTTGTGCATGATCGCATGACGGCCACCACACCGTTTCCAACCCATTCCCCGTCCAAGAACGCTCTTTCCACGCCCGATCCTCACTTTTCAAGTCAACACCAACAATGTATTTACCAATTGTCTCGGTGTCGACGATCAGGTCCCTGCCTCCCAGACTAACCGTCACATCTCGGCCGCTCAAGTCCTCTCTCCAGAGAATGTTCTGCACCCAAAAGAAATGTCGGGCTAATGTATGTGATACCATCATATCGGTGCAGGCGAAATAATGGAGTTGATACTCGTTTGAACGTCTCGGCTTTCTGGCCGTGAAATTGTAACACACATCGGGTAGATGCAACAGGAATGTGACAGGATCGACCATGAGAATTGGCCCAATCTTGGCCGAAGTGGTGGGATTACGAAGCAGGTGTGTCGTGACAACGGAACCATATGAGTGCGCGGCTAACACAACTTTCTCGAAACCATGTTTGTCAAGAATGGCATTGATCTGTCGGCATATTTCATCCTTGTCCAGGATTGGTGAAGTGATGCGAAAACTGATCGGCATCAACTCGATAGCGATGATACCAATATCACCGTCATCAGACCCTGATCTGCTCTGCTTGTTTATCTCTGCTAGAAACCGTGCGTACGGATAAAGCCCGATTCCGATCCCGTGAATGAACAATACAGGGAGGCGCGTTTTGGATGTATGCGGGCGATACCAGTAACTGATATCGGCAGCGGCAGAGCGATTACTCGTGACGAGGGAGGCTATGCGGGGCGGGAAAATGGACATGGATTGCCGGAGGGACGTACGATGAAGGAGGAACGAGTTGTAACGGAAGTATGCGGATGTGAGTGTGTCAACTAGGAAGACAATCTACATGATATTTAGTTTTGGAAGTTGTATGAAGGACAGACGCCATACCATATACCAAAGAAACGGGCGGTGGAGCATGGTGACCTTGTTAGTAGTCAGGCGTAGGCTCTGCGCTTTGCCCTTTCCAGGTTCCAGTCTCCGTCCGAGCAATGTTTGCATGCCATCCACGTATTCGTCGAGCTCCTCACTTTCTTCTTGTCTTCTTTGCGCATCCTGAATTTGAGCTTCATCGATATCAGCTTCAACTCCACTGCCATTCTTGGGCTTCGCAGGTTCGTCCCCCTTGTTGAGCAGCGCCCATCGATAGAATTCTGCCACATTGTCCCTCTTGATCTCCCAAACCTTGGCTCCTGGAAACCATCTATTCAGATACCACTCTGGGTTCGGAATCTGGTCCCAACATCTCCAAAAAAGAGCTTTCCTCTCGTCCTTGGGAATCAGTGGAGGATGATTTGCGGCCGCTTGCAGTGCTCGCTTTCTGGGCAAGAAAACTAGGAGCCAGAACGCTGTTTCTATGATGCTCCACGCCAGAAGAAACTTTGTGAACCCATGTCGCGGGGGGTCTGCAATACTAAGACTGCAAAAGAAGATACTAAGGGGTGTTATGAGGCGGAGGGCGAAGATGCACAGGCGGATGAAGATGTATTGCGGGATGCCGTGGTCTATCATGGCGCCGCCGAGAGCGCGGAATCACCACGTTTGTTACGAGGAGTAAAAGGGTTGAGACTTGGATACGTTCATCCGTGTTCCATGGCAATAATCAGGTGGTCGGGGAGCGAGAGGGCCTTCATGGTGTATCTCGGGTTGAGGCTGTGGGACTTCCAAGTTTCAGGCGCCCCCACACATCGTCATCCGCCCCATGTCCAGCAGCTTAGTCATGGCCAGACTCCGGCTCTCCGTGGATTGGACAAATCATTGCTATGTTCCCCGCATCCCAACAGTCCTCTGCGTCAAACTACCTACATATGTAGGTATTCACTTCGATCAATCATCCAGATGCCCCCTCCAAAATGTCTGGGCCGCCTGTAGAGAAACCACCCCCGAGGAAACGGGGCCCGAGACCAAAACCACCACACTTGAGGAAGTCGCAGGTCAAACCCGGGGTCAAGAGACGCAACAAGTACACAGCTGCATTCAAGCTGGAGGTTATCCGATGGCTGGAGGATAGATCAAATTGGCGACACGATGATTCCGTTCCGCGACAGCAACTCCGCAGAAACCAGGAATGAGAGGGCAACATCGGGCGTTCCCCCACGACTCAAGATATCACTGCAGGTCTGAGCATAAGTTCTTCACGGGTCTGCGCCTTTTGGACGGATCGCGACCCTGCAACCTAGACGATCTTATAAGAACACCACAGCTAATGATTCGTTGACTCTGTCTTAGTTCTTTCGTCGTCCTGGCATGCCAAGCCCTGTCCCCGCACCCACGTCAGCTCGGGCTTTCGGTCTCTCTCGTTCCATCTCTTTACGGTTGGAGCCCCGAGTCGACTGGTTTGTATAAAAGCGTTTCATTTTTGCTATATTTCCTCTATCTCAGAGAGTCTGAGTCTTCGTCCGGTTCGTTATGGCCTCGCCTTTACAGAAAGACCCATCTACAACATCACTATCGTTCACCTCATGGAACGACGATAAGCCGACAACGATCGTTCTTCTTCACGGAGGCTTCACGTGCAACCTGGAATTTGCTCTTGTCCTACCGCATCTATCCGACTTCCATATAATCCTGCCCGACCTCCCTTTGCATTCCAAGTCACGCCACATAACGCCGGGCACGACCGAAAACTCGGCCTTCCATGTCTCGGCACTCATCCGATCACACGCCCACGGTGGAAGAGCTCACGTCGTTGGTGTCTCCATGGGTGGGTACATAGCCCAGTGTCTTGCGTTGGACCAACCTGACCTTGTGCTTTCGCTATTCGTCTCTGGTGCTGCACCAGCTGTGGGAATCCGCTCTTTCATGGCCCAATGGACAGGATTCACCTATTATTGTATGAAGCTGATGTTTCAATGGCTTCCTGTATGGTTAATACAGTATCAAATATCTTCACAGGGCCTAAAAGTCAGTGAGGAGTTGATAGTCGAGATGAGAAACAACATCACATGGCCACTGTTTCAAGACATGTTTCCATGGATTGTATCATTCACTTTGGATGATGTACGGCAGTTAAAAGTACGGATTCTTTCCATCGCGGGTGCGAAAGGAGATGATGTGGCTATGATACAGAAAACGGCGCATGTCTTGAGAGATAGACGGACTGATCAGGACGAAGCGTGGCCAGAGGATGGATCGGGAGCAGTGGTCATAAGGGAAGCAGCGCATCCGTGGGACATGCAGTTTCCGGAGCTCTTTGCTCGAGGGGTTTCTGCTTGGGTTAATGGGGATAAACTGCCTGTGGAATTTGAGAGACTTTAATCCCTGTCAGTTTTAGTCTTTACTGAACCATAAAAACAAACGCAATTGTAGTTTTCCGCGGTAGTGTGTGAGCGATTAATACATTTTCATGGTTCCAACGTGTCGCTTTGGGACAGGATACATGAATGCGTAGATAAGCACGCCTCCAAAACAGCGCAAAGATGCATCGCGGTTGACCGAGTGGTGATATCCAACATACATTCGACTGGCTTCAAAGTCGATATTTTGGTCAATCGATGCACTTTCGTAGCTCCTTTGTTTAGTATGTGCTAAACTCGCGGCATTCACTCGTGAACAAATATCATGCATCAATCAACCTCTTTCTTTCCAATATATCGAAACAGTTTCATATGGCATAGGATGGAAAGTGAGATGTCATGGAGCAAGTTTGGTAGCGAGGCATGCCCGGTTCATGCGTATACTCACCAAGAAGCTTGCAAGCGAGCGCATGGAAAATTATCTGTCAGTTGTGCTGAATCTGTCATCGCAACAATGTGCACATCTTATACTCCAGAATTGTATGCCATGATTGATTAAGTTCTAGAGCACTCGTTTTTTGCGTGCTTGACTTGACAATTTACGTCAAACAGACACACTGCATTTGAAGAAATTTTATTCGGGTATCGCGGTGTTTCGAAGCACAATTTCGGGTAGCGTAGCGTAGAAGTCAGGAATGAAGTTCGTGCTTCGTAGGCAATGCATTCAAATTCGCGTGTTGCAGACTGCAAATTGAATCCTAGATGTAGACCACCGAAATGTGTAACTAGATCTTTGATTGTCGATTTGGGTTGAAGCCCAGACATGGGGGCTCCAGGTAGCTTCTTGTCAACAATCAGAGCTAGCTGAAGAACATAGCGGCAGAAGCAATTTGTGAAGGGACGTTGATATTGCTCCGTTATGTCCCACGCTTGTTCTCCACGCTACAAGAATTGTGGAGACTTCTTGGTCGTTCTTACAGGGGAATATGCGCATCGTTGTGGAGACTAAATGTAATCTTCTCGGCGATCCTCAAATCACAAACAACCATCATCTACATTCGGCGCATGAGTACTGTATTTCGTGATGCACCAAGTAAATTGCAATCAATATCTGCGATGCATCATGCAGTACAGGCTTCTAGGGGCGTTATGGTCTTCTAGAAGACGCGTGGAACATATTGTGGTGCGCTTGGTGCCCGGGTAAAAAGACGGATAGATGAAGTCGATCACTTTTCCCCGGGCTTGCTGCTCTTGGCTTGTTTATTCCGCGGCAGCTAAATGGACAAGTTCCCGTCACAATATACCTAAAGAACGAATGAGAGCTGCTTTGCTGTCTGTTCGCGACATGGTCCTCGACGAACGTGATTTCACGACTGGAATTTCCCAGCCCATAACTGGGTTCGTTGAGCGTGACAATTAACCACCTTGCAATACATCTAATGCATTGACTTGAATGTTCGAATTTCAGGGCGAGAACAGCACAAACTGAGTAAACATACATAAATATCACGCGTTTGTGGTCACAGCTCGCGCGTTTTCCCAATTCGCGCAATGTTGTCATCATAGGCTCACCTCTCGCAACGAGCCTCCGATATATGGCATTCTCTGGGGCAAACAAATCGGCCCGGCGGGACCGTTGAAGGCTCCAAGAATTGGCGTTTGCGAGTTATGCATCCAAGCCATTCAAATATTAGGCCATAACGCGCGCGTTATACCTGGCGTGGGGAGGCCTGTGGCTATTTTTCATGTATATAAAGACTGGTGGTGAGCCACTTCTTTGGACAGTCCAGCCGCTTCAACTATCTCTACCTAAACTACTTACAGGTGTTTCATCATGGTTCAATTGACTCCCCTCGCTGTGCTCACTGCTCTTGCAGCCAGTGCCTCTGCCGTGCCGGCACCGGCCCACTACCTCGTCCCCAGGAATGAGACCAACACCACGGTGAACCCATGGGCGGGCAAGGACCGATATGTAGTCCAAAGCTTTGGAAAGAAGCTTGAACAGACTATCTCAGCTTTCAATGCACAAAACGACACATTGAACGCAGCACGAACTCGCACTGTCCAGAAGAAGATCTCCACCTTCACCTGGATAACCACTCGCTCTGGTCTCTCCGGCATTACCACTGCCATCCAAGAAGCCCGCGCCCAGGCAGAGATATCTGGAAAGCGCGTTATGGTCGGCCTTGTGCTGTACAACCTGCCCGACCGTGACTGCTCTGCAGGCGAATCCGCCGGTGAGCTTTCTAGCAAGAACGACGGTCTACGCATCTACAAAGAAGAATTCGTAGACGAATACGCTCGTCTCGTCTCTGACGCCGACGACCTCGACTTCGCCATCGTTCTCGAACCCGACAGTCTCGGAAACGCAATCACCAACCTGGGAGTTCCCTTCTGCGCAGAGGCTGTCCCCGTCTACGAGGAAGGCATCGCGTATGCCATCTCCAAGCTCCAGTACCCCAATGTCCATCTATATATTGACGCTGCCCACGGAGGATGGCTAGGCTGGGCCGACAACTTGAAGCCCACGGCACAGATCTTCGCAAAGGTCGTGGAGATGGCGAAGAAGTTGAACCCGCTGGCTAAGATCCGTGGCTACTCTACCAACGTGTCCAACTACAACCCCTTCGTCGCCAAGGTGCGCGAAAACTACACCGAGTGGAGCCCTTCATGGGACGAGTCCAACTACGCATCCTCGCTTGCGCCGTACGTTCTCGAGGAGGGACTTCCCGCGCACTTCATCATCGATCAGGGCCGCGTAGCCGCACCCGGTGCGAGGGAAGAGTGGGGCGAGTGGTGCAATGTTTCCCCCAGTGGCTTCGGCCCTAGGCCCTCGGAGACCGGCTACAACAACACATATGTTGACAGCTTGGTTTGGATCAAGCCCGGTGGTGAGAGCGACGGTCGTTGCGGTCTTGAGGGCGCTCCTGCGGCTGGTGCTTGGTTCGATGAGTACGTGCAGATGTTGGTCAAGGAGGCTGACCCACCGCTTGAGCCTACTTACGAGTAAATAATCGGGAGTGGTTCCGTCGCGGGCTGCATCCACAGAAAGAGGTTGCGGCTTCACTGGTTTTATAGATTCTTCTTGTGTATATTCTTTAGCCCTGTACATACTCGTGCTACCATATCAATCTTCATACCAATATTTTTTCGCTTACTTTTGTTTCGCTCTATGTGATTAGGTGGCAGATCCCCCAATAAAGTCCAAACATCCAGTCTGGAAAGAGGTCAAAGGTGACGCTATCAGGTGCGATTGAGTGTCATGATAGTCAACGCTATATATGTATAGCCCTGGCACGTTGCAGATTGGCACATTGCGGTAAAAACGTAAATTTTCTTCCACACGTGTAGAGCTCTCGCCCCCATTAATAGCTCTACATTTGTTCCCAGGATTCAGCAATTAAGCGAAACAGATTACAGCTACGCAGTATTAGCGACAATGATTACAATTCTACAATGAATATTCGTGCCGACCATTGTCTACTGCTTCGACTAATCTACACATTGAACACATCAAAGTTACTCAGCAGCTGTCATTTCGATATTTGAGGGGGATGATACAACACGCTCTTCTCGTAGAGAAACATCAAACACTCTCTATGCAATCGTATTAGCTAGGTAAATGACTTGCAAAGCGATGTATTGTGACCGATGAAAGAGATGTGTCTGGAATACCTAATCACATTCTCCTATGTAGGGCCTTTTGTTCCTACGAGAAGGAAGCATAGCTGTACAAAAACGGTATATTTATCGTAGAATCTGATTATTGATAGCAGAGATCGACATCAAGTTTAGACGGGAGGGACAGATAGTCCTGAGGCCGCTTGGGAGACTTGGTACTAATTGATGTGAAATGAAAGTGCTGTAGTATATCTAACAGATAACTTGGACCTGAGGTCATTGTTTAGTGCCGAAATGCACGCAGTTTATTTCTCTCTTAACTATTAGAAAAATGCCGGAACAGCAATTTTGGCGCTTTCGCTTGAGTGGGGTTTGAGCTACCGCAGCATGGATACGAACAAGTGTCACGACAACTATGAGGAATATACCATTCCACATTGGAACTGCGACGATTCGACTCGGTGTCAAGAGAACTGCCATCTACCAAAAATATACCAATAATCAAGCTCTCATGGACGCTCTCGGGCCAAAACGAGCGTTTTCATTAATTGGAAACAACTGCGCAATGCTCATATCAAATGTCTTGCGTGATTCACAGGCAACCAAACGTCGTGATACTCCAATGTCTCGCCCCAGGGCAGATTTTCGGCCTTAAGCGCACCGTTGCACAGAAATTGTCGTCGCCTTAGATCACGTACATGAGCGCATATAAGCAGTCATGGTCGCACTGATGCGGAGGCATCCTGTACCACTTTGCGCTGGCCGTGGTCGCCGTGACTGAGTTAATCAAACACAAACAGAGTCGAGGTTTCTGCCTACGACGCTCTGCATGCAGACTCTGCCTGTCACTTGTGGTGTAGCATCGAAATGCAATGCTCTCTTTCTTGCGACGAGACTAGACAGGTTCGAATTCTGGACACATCTGCTCCTACTGAAACATGACCAGGAACCCCTTTTGGAGTCAACCAGTGGAGTGTCTTACTCATAGGGGCGAAATTTTTTGAGTTCTGAGAACTTCTGAGGCCGAGACTTGGGTTCTGGGGCGAGGAAAGAAGGACGCGAGGCCTAGATGCGCAGGTGACTGCAGAAGAGTCCGAATGGCAGATAACAGAAATCTGGCGACACCGACAACAGCGAAAGCGATGAAAACTCTGCAATCGCAAGTACGAGAAAGTTAGGCTGCTATCCACGTGGTGATTTACGAAGGGGAACCTTCCTATAACATGTTCTGATCTACTTGTTGGGAGGCAGAAGTGTCACTGAAGCATCGGATTCGGTGATGGGTATCATGTAGAATGCCGAGCGCAGTTTCCGCTTCTGGACCGTCGCCACACGGCGCACGATCATCCTTTCCCTCGGTCGTTGCGCCAGCGTCCATGTGTGCTGCTGACTCCCTGGGTCGCCGGTACGGGCCAAGCGGTTCCTGTGCGCGAAAGGTCGCTCCAGAAGATCTGATTTCTACCGGTGACTTGGGGTTTGTGGACCAGGACATGAAACGGACGCAGGGCAAGCCGCGTGCATCCGAACGGCAGAAGCGGATTGCATCGCATTGGACACCCGCGGCATTGAACTTCCCTCATAGGAAAATTACTGCGTTCCCCGCATTCTGGACGCAGAGAAGAAGATGCTAAACATTAGGTGTGATGCTAATTGGCGGATGGCTTCGGGAGTGGTGTGCGCATGAGTGTGTTCTGGAAGAAAGTTCAAGAAACCCAGACTTGGGTGGCTTTTCGGAACCCGACTTTTCACCCCTCCATTCCTCAATGCGAAAGGAACGCCACGCGAAGAGCGATCATCGCATTGAGAAAAGCATTAGGGAAACCCACAGGCCAAGCATCGAGTTCTGGAAGTTCCTTGCGCCATGTAGTGGTGGAGGTGAGTCGAAGTCGCACGCAAAGCGTGGCTGGACCCGATGGCGAATGTCTTTCTCGAACAAGGAAGAATGGCTGGGGATCTGCACCGTTGCCTTGTGCGTTCCATGCAAAGGCTAGGCAAGAGTCGAGTACGAGGCTGTTTTGTCAGGCAGCGTTGGGGCCACGAGTTCACCGGCTGGGGCAGACGACTGATTACGCATCGTGGGTGAAGGGTACTCAGCGCACTCTGTGGTTATCTAATCTTCTGAATTTCTGTTTTGGGGTAGTGCAGTTATTATTATACTGACTGACAGCAACGTCGTTGTTAGTAGTTAGTTAGTAGGCTGTACACGGCACTCACAGTAGGGTTCGCACGAGGCGCGGGCGCTAGGGAAGCCACGCGTGCCACGGGTGTAGGCTAGTGACGCAACCATGGCGAGATATCGACTAGTATCCGCCCTGCTATTGGCCGACGCATATACTTTTGCTTAGGTGTGAGGTAAGCGTCGACGAGTAGTATACTTGGAAGTAGTATACATAGTATGAAAGAGTATTGATGATGCGATATAGATTGCTTCCTTGCCAGCTATGGCGGTTGCGAACCGATGGTCAAAAATACTGGCATCTCGACATGATGAAGCCGGCGGTCGGCCGGTCGGATGAGGAGGAGGGAGGGCTGCCCTGCAGGCATACTTTGCAAGCTGGAGTATCGAGCACTGCATGCATGCATGAATCACACTTAGGCAATCATCACAAGAGCCCGACCGCGCATTATCACAGCAGGTTTACGCGTGAGGGAACTCGAACAGCCAGAACCTAATCCAGCATCGAATTTGAACTCTCTTCCAGCAAACTTTCGGCCGTAGAGATGCTCCGCTATGCGCATCAACCTCGCGTTCATCCATGGTGATGCTCCATGCGCAATCTTCCAGAGAGTTGCCTCTGCGCCCCCTTCGCAGTCGAATCCCTGCCCGACCCCATGCTTGATGCATGTCAGCTACGCCATCCATCCAACCTCAGCCCTACATTCGAACAGTAAACGCCCGCAGCTAGCTGCTTCTGGGAATTCTGCATGTTCTCGAAAAGTCCTGACCAACCACAGCCCCTCTGTCTGTCGTACCGCTGAGCACCTTATTATGGCAACAGGGCGGAGTCGGGACTGCAACGGGAATCTACCCGTCGCTGTGATTTGCTGCGCCGCACCTCTTCGCAGCTTTTGGCTGCAACAGGAGAACAGGAGAGCCAAGACGAAGATACCTTCTGTATGTTTAGGTGGGCAATACGAGCAAGGTGCTGGTAATAGTTTTCTGGCTCCGCAGAGCCTCCACCCATTGGCAGCGTGACGCGAGCGCGGCAAGGTTCCGACATGGGACGTTCGATCTCCCTCTTACAACGCTGCTCACCCCACCCACCATTCCGTCCGACCCATGCTCTCCCAACACCAACGCGCTACCTTAACTTCCGCACCCGCCCCTAGATCTGACTTGCTTTGCTCATTTGCCGGATTTCCTGCAGACATGTCGGCTTTTGTATTGTGGTCAACATAACTGATTTCTGTCTTTTCCTTTCGTCTTTTCCTTAACCTCTCCACTCACCATGAGGATACCGTCCTCGGCGATAACGAAACGAGCAACCAACTTCACCACCGGGAACAGGAGCGATGCAATTACGGTCGCAACATGGGTCTCTCTCGTTGTTCTCGTGGTATTCTTCCTATCGAGGGAGGTCATCAAGTTTACCGTCGTACGGAAGTTTGCAATTGACGACCTCTTCATCCTGGCCGCAACAGTAAGTTCACTCACCCATCCAATTGCAGAGTCAAAGGACTGACCAATGCAGATATTCGCAGCTGGGCTCACTGTTACCGCACTCAGGCTGGCATCGGATGGCCTGGGAGTAGACTCTGGATCGTTAACCGTTCGACGGGCGTATGTGCTCATGAAAGCATACTACGCATCCAACTTTCTATACATTGCGTCACTCGGCTTCGCGAAGCTTTCCCTCGTCGTTTTCTTTTACAAGATCCACCAGGTTCAGCGCACACAGCGCCGTGTAGTGCTCGGCTTCGGCATTTTCATTCTCGCATGGACAGTAGCATCGCTGGTTGCTATTGCCTTCCAGTGCGGTTTGCCACAACCATGGGAGATGTTCTCACTGCATTGCTATGACCTTGTAAGTCATTTATTCGTCAACCCTGCACCATGCGCATGATTGTTAATGTTTCAATAGGGATCCTTCTGGGTCGTGTTTTGCATAATCGACATGACGACGGATGTTTCCCTCGTCATGCTATCCGTCAACCTGGTCTACTATCTTAAAGTCAAGAGTTCGAGGAAAGTCGCCGTCGTCGCCTGCTTCGCTCCGCGCATCCTCGTCATCGGTGCATCACTCACACGACTGGTCTATCTTTACCCTATTACACCACACACCAATCCTTCTTTCAATCTCTGGCTACCGGTGATTTGTACCCAAGTACAGGTGTCTCTTAGCATTGTTACGGCATGCATCCCCTACATGCGACCGTTCTTCTACAGCAGCGATGCACAGGTTCCTGGAGATGTAGGCTCACGGAGGCATATGATGGCAGCAGACGCATCGTACACACACTTTTCGTCGAACGATTATGCAAGGGGGCACAAGAGAGGTCAGGGACTTTCGCATGATTCGACCCCGAACAGTTGGGAATGTGGTCGTACACCCGACGTCTCTCCCAGAATCCCCAGTCCTGCTCCACTGAGCCCACTACTACCCCCGAGAGTTACGACTCCAGCGAGCACAGTGGCCAGCAACTCAAGAAGCCCCAGCGAACGAGGATTACGATTACAAATTCCTACCACGAATAACGCAACCTTGCATAGAACGACTTTCATTTCGCCACAGACAGCAAGTTCCCATGCATTGTCGCCAGACTGCATGTCACCTGTGCAGCCATTCCTACCCAACACCACGCATTTTACTTCCATACCACTCACACCGCGAACACCAACTCCACCGCTGCCATGCCACACCCCGCCCAATGGCGCGGCATTCTCTGGTGATGAAAGTAATCCAGAGCCGCCCGTCCGAAATTCACTCAAACGATTCTCTCTCTTTCCCCCACATCAAGCACAACGATACTCTCTTGTTCCCCAATCACAAGCACAACCGCCGACTTCAGCACCAAATGATGTTTCCCAGAATCCGCGGTCAAATAGCCGATCACCAGCAGGCGCCACATCCATGTCACGCATAACACCTCATGTCGGTGCATCTGAAACGCACACGACGTCACCCGCAACCCCTGCTCCACACACGAACCCTCTCGTACCCGCACCAATTCTGATCCCGACCACGATGCGGAAATCACCTCCGCGAGCCAACAACCCTACCGTGAGCTTCGCAACAATCGTTCACGAGGACCCTCTGCGCAGCAAATTTCCGCCCGCAACCGCATTAACAACGAGCGCACCAGTCCCGGCCCCCATCATCACCGCGCCTTTAGCACCTGTGCTCGAATCTCCGCCTCGCACTTCCCACCAAGCACTCAGCACACCTCCACGGCCGATGTCGTCAGCGCAGCGGCGGCGGATGAGATCAGATTCCAGCCCTACAGTGCACACGCCACCTCCGTCTCGCCCACCAACTGGTCCTCTACCCCAACCACCAACCTCGTCTCCATCTCGACCACGAGCAAGATCATCTCCGTATCGGTACCCGAGCACGCAACCGTCCCCGCCTGTCGTCAGTCCCACGAGTCCAACGCGCCAGCGCAACCGCCGCATCCTGACCCCGGGCAATTCAATGAGAGACTTCAACATGTCCCCCATCAGCCCTGTCAGTCCTCCGACCCCGATGCAGTTCTGGCGCGAAGACGCGTTTGGGAATGGCGCGGGACGTACGACGGTGCCGAGCGTGCTGTGGGAAGAGCAGGATTTGCAGACACGGGAGAATCCAAGGATGATGGTTTCGCCGATGAAGAGCCCGCGCATTGTGTTGCAGCGGTTTGAGCGATGAGTTGGTTTTTTCTTTCTTTTTTTTTTCTCCTTCTTCCTGGCTCCAGTTATGCGGCCGACTCGGCGTCATGCCCCTCGTTACGATTCACGTCTTCCAATATCCCCTATTTTTTTTTCTGAACGCATATTTTTTTCCCTTTGTTGTTCTGTATATCACCATTGTATTTGTACTAACCGCCAACGTCGCGATTTACGCATAATTCCCTTATCGTTCTGGAGCCTTTTCTTATGCTTTTATCTGGCTCACACAACATCACATTCACTGTTTTGCATTTGCGAAGGCGTCACCATTTCTCATAACAGTCATTATTACCAACACGGACAGGAACACGGTGCATTCACTTTATCTACCTCGTTCCTCTTTTCCCATCGTTCAATTGCATTTCTCGCGGCGCTTTCCTCCTTCTGTACAATAGAATCGCTTTTCCATTGTTCTCTGCATCTCTCGGTCGGTCTAGGGGGTAAATTACCTGATGAAAGGGTTTTACTTGGGTCTTTTCATGGTTTCGTTTATCTCGAGCTGTGCACTCTGTGCGGCTGCTATATACCCCTTCATATCAAGACGAATCAATTTTTTCGAATATCAATCTCTCTAGTTCTGAGTTGCTTTTTCTGTGTTTGACTTGTTTAGACAGCTCCTTATGGGGTGCCACACCTTCTTCTATCTTTACAATGCTTTACAAGTATGGATATATCGTGTTCATTAGACTTATCCTATAGATGAATAGATCACTAGAGATCAGTCTCATTGCCACATTTGTTCTCATTGAACGCCCCACTTGGTTTGTTGATTCTGAGTTGGAGTTTGGGCGACCCTACACACAGCGAAGGATTTATAGCGATAAATAGACCGAAAAAACGAGCGATTACCAAGAATGCTTCGCTTGGTTTATGTATTCTTCGTATCACGCGCCAGTCGGACTGTAACTTATAGCGAATGGGCTCGCCACCGTCACTGCAAGTACCACAGAAGCGTGTGAACTCCAAACTTCTATTAGGACTAGAGTATATACACTCTAACCGACGCAAATTGGATTGTTTTGCTTTCTCTAGCCCGTATTGCACTGTATGTCAGCACTTGGATGTAACAAGAATGCTATTGTAATGGGCGACAGGGCTTAGTGATATTCTTCAGTATAGGCGTGTAGAATTTTCCAAGTATATGCACGCTTACAATATTTGTATGTTGAAATGAGAAAGCGGTCTCAGTGCTCAGCATTCAGGTGGTTCATGATCGAGGATGATCACGTGATATACATCCGCAGCAAACAGCTACGCACGCGTACCTAGGTATATACTTTGATGGTTTCTCCTGTCAACACGAATAGTCTCAAATATTCTATATAACTTCGGGGTTTTAAATCAGAAAGTGAAGTTTTTCCCACACTTAAAAGGCTAATGGAGGAGTTTAATAAAAGTAGGCAGTAAGAAGAGATTTCACAAAAGAAGAGTTTTGCTTTCGGCGACACGCCAGAGTGCAACACCCACTCATATATAATCCCAATGTAGCATCAATGGTTGGTCTCTCAATCAAGCACTTTTGTCTCAATCCTGTGTATGTGGATCGTACACTTGTTTGTTCTAGGTTAGCTTATGGACCCCACTTTTCCGGTCAACCTGTCCAACTGCGCGTTTCAACCTTCAGCCCGCTCATCAGGCATTTAAGTTATTGAGCTTTGCTGCTCTGCCATCAATTAAAATAATTCCGAGCATTGCTCTGCCGCACCATTGTGCACATCGCAAAGATGGCGGGATCTAGCCTTACGTTCATTCTTCACTTGTTCGCTTTTATCTCAGGTGTTCACGGCAAAGTGAGCCTGAAAACGCCGGAGGAACAAATCGCATTATGCAAACCACAAACCTTCAAACACCTCGACACGAGTCTAGGGGTCAATGTTCTTTCCACAGAAGCCACTCCGCAAACGAATTATAACACTACCAGTCCTGCGTCCTTCATCAATGCTTTCGAAGGCCTCGACTTCTGTCGGGTCGAAATCGTTTATAATCCTCCTAACAGTGCCCATGAGGTGCGTGTTGAGATTTGGCTTCCGTTGACAGCTCACGCTTGGAGCGGACGCTATCAAGCAACTGGCGGAGCATCATTCAAGACCGGACTCGGGAGTTTGTATTTCGGGCAAGCTATCCACGATGGATATGTTGTCTCTTCTACGGACGGCGGGAACCGTGGCAAGGACTTCTTCGATCTTTCATGGGCTCTGAAAGCCGACAAGACAATAGATTGGGATCTTTTGCATATCGCTTTCACTAGCAGTGTTGCGGAGCAGATCATCATCAGTCGAAGTGTAGTCGCAAAATACTACGGGGAATCGCCACGATACTCGTATTGGCAGGGCTGCGGACAAGCCGGGAGACAGGGATACATGCTTGCCCAACAGTATCCTCACTTACTGGATGGCATTCTTGCGAATGCGCCCGAGATTCATTTCACAGATCTTACAATGGGCGAGTTCTGGCCGCAACTGGTCATGAAGGAAGAAGGGATATGGATGTCGGAGTGCCAGTTCAACTTTTTCCGGCACAAAGCCCTCGAAGCTTGTGATATGCTCGATGGGGTTAGCGATGGAATTATATACGACCCAAGTATATGCGACTTCGATCCGCTACACGTGGTGGGAAAAACGTATTACTGCGATGGAGAAGAGTCAGAAGTGACGATGGCAATGGCCAACATTGTGCGACGGATTGAAGAGGGCCCGCGAACATCCATGAATACGCCCATCTGGTACGGATTCCGTCCAACTATAAGTATGGTACGTATTTTCAAGGCCTTAACGTGCAGGTTGTCTCACGGTGCTCAATTTTCTCTAACTTTTTTTTTTTCATTCCCAGGACTACGTCGCCGCAACGGAGCGCCATTCTTCGGGCACTCTCACCTCCAAGCCCTCCAACCAAGCTTCAAGTTTTATCAAACACTTTCTTCTGAAAGACCCCACAGCAAACCTCACTAAACTGACAAACACCGACTTCTTTTCCCTCTGGACACAGGCCAAAACGACCTTCTCTTGGCTATGGGACTCCTTCAACCCTGATTTGCATGCTCTGAAAGCCGCCAACACCAAACTTCTCACTTTCCACGGCATGGAAGATGCCATGAATCCCTGGGAAAACATAGCGCGCTATCGCGAACACGTCGAACGCGTCATGGGCGGCGCAAACACTGTCGACGAGTATTACCGTCTCTTTCTAGCTCCAGGCGTTGGACACTGCCATGGATGGTGGGGTCCAGAGCCAGTTGATCCGCTTGCGGTGCTGGTGGATTGGGTGGAGAAAGGTGAGAAGCCCGAGACTATGGAAGCTAGTATGGTGAATACAGATGGAGAGTTGGTTACGAGGGATCTATGTGCGTGGCCGGGCAAGGCGAAGTATATGGGGCTTGGGGATGCAAAGCGCGCTTCTAGTTGGAGTTGCGAGGGGGGTACGGAGAGGGGTGAGGATCATGCGTTCGAGAATCAAGAGCAGCTGGCCTTCGGGGATTCGCCGGCTGGGCGAATTCTTGGAGGTTTGAAGGAGAGGTTTGAGGGTATGAACTTGGGGCTGAGGATTGGATGATGTGGATTCAGCATTATATGAGGGAATCGGAAGCTATTGCGGCACAGGATCTGGATTTCAGTATGAGGGCCATTAGACAACATTAAAGGTGTTGGGAATGTCTTGATATAAAAAACGGATACGAAATTTTGATGAACTTTCAGCGCAGTTCGCTATACGTATTCTGTTGCGCACAATATATGCATGTGTATCAATGACACTCATAACAATTGAGCAGTTCCCGAAACACGCCAATATCAACGAGAATCAGCTCAGCATAGAGCAAGGCTACTGCCTTCCAGGCTTCGGACGAAGACGAATTAGCACCATTTTAATACTACCAAACTTAAAAGGAAACGCAGCAGGATTCATGTTATTCAATGTACTGCCATTGATTCCGGTGAGCGTCAGCGCGATTTTCCTCCGTTCTGTTGCACCATGAAGTCGTTACCACGTCTCCGGCGTCCATCAGAAGCTTAATAGGATTTGTCTCTATTCAAACACAATAATAGAGGAAACATGGAGAGAAGCTATTATCTTCGCCATCATATTGTATTACCACTGACAGTAGAACCTTCTAAAATTTGTCGGGACATAATTCAAAAATGAGTCTTTTGATAGTGAGTAGATTGATGAATGCATGATAGATCTACCATTAGACGATAATGATTGTTCCCACAGAGAATCTGACGAATTAACACGCTCGAAAGCAGAATTACTGCGGAAAAAGTTCTTAGAGTAATACGTGATTGGTCCAAGCCTGAAATTTGCAAGTTTTGACGGCTGAATGCGACTCAACGTTTTCTGGGGGATGATTTCTCCATTGATGCGGCTACAAGTGGACTGTTATCGCAAAACAGACTAGCGTTAGCCTACTGACTTGGCAGCACTCGCCGATCCGACTTTTATCTCGGATAACCTGGCTTCTGGAACATTTAAAGATTGCCTTCTTGCTGATGTTCTGACAATGCGGTAATCCTCTTGGCTTTATCATTGATAAGATGTAGCACCAGTATACGCGTCGTTTGTGCGGGTGCGTTGAGCTCGAGTGCTTGATATTGGAGTTCAATATACGCTAGTTGCTTTACGCAAGGACACAATGCGGTTTCGTTTTCTTTGCCTGTCAGGGAATAAATTATTCTCCTGGTCTTAATTCGGAAACACATGGCCGGATGGACCCGAGTTTCCTAAAAGCATGATAGAGATTTCTCCTTATATTTATGTGGCAAATTGCTGATTCTTGGTACTCTTAGTGTTCGTGACGCGTCTGATAGACCGCGACGAAACACATCAACCTCTCAATCTTCAACAACAAAGTCCGTAGTCCGGTGACTACTTGGCAAGATTTGCCTAGAGTTGCCTGCCTGCCTAATTCACGCCCGTCCGAGTAGTTCAGAAGACACTTCAAGACTACCAGTATGAGGCGCAGCTTGGTGGCTCGTGTGGCGAGTCCCTACTACCTTGGCAAATCTTCTACTCCTGATTAGGTTTGTATACCGCATTTGCGGGTAATCGGCAAGACAACAACCATCACGTTACATGCAATTGGTCATAATGACTACCAAAGGATTGGAGAATGTCGTATCTACTACAGCCTCCTTTCCCAGATTCTTGGATCAGGTATTTGCTAATAATTGCCATCTGACGCCAGGCTCACAAGCAGTGGCGCCAAGCTAGTCCCCACACTTTTCAGAGGAGTCGGTTCGAGGACACAAGAGCTCAGCAAGGACAGATGACGTGGGGAACGAGCTACTAAGAGATTGAGTTGGCATGTAGTAATAGTTTCCCCTGACATTATAAGTGTTGCGCCGTCCCCCTTGTGACATGTCAACCTGATTTCTCCTTGGAGCATCATCAGCATCTGGTCACTCCAGCATGAATCATTCGGCGATGGAGCAGAACAATACCCTCGAGAATTCAAATCTTCGCGATGCTCGAAACGAGAAGGATGATTTGTCCTCCAATGGAAAGCAATCCTCCCCACCCGTATACCCCAACGATTATGACCAGCAAACTGGAGAGACATTCGATCCGTATGGAGGAAAGAAACTTGGCATGGTTCGAGTACGTTTGCATACAATTTACTGGCTGGCATGATGTTGACATGATGTAGACGGCTTTGATCTTCTTCACGAACCAGGTCGGAATCGGTATCCTCAGTCTTCCTTCCATGTTGCACACGATCGGCTTGATCCCGGGTATCATCACAAGTGAGTTTGACTTTCTCTGGAATTCGATAGGAGGACTTCGCTAAGAATATTGCAGTTATTGCCATGGGTGTGCTCGCTACTTACACGGCATATATCTTGATCCAATTCTACCGCCGTTACCCGATGATCCGAGACGTTGTCGATGTTGGCCGAATCATGGGTGGGAAACCACTGGAGATCATCGTCGGAATCGCACACGTGCTCAACTTGTGCCTGATCTGCGCCTCCGCAAACGTCACTCTATCGATCGCTCTCAACACCATCACTGAGCATGCTCTTTGTACCGTCGGTTTTATCGGAATTCCCATGGTCATGTGCTGGATCTTATGCATGCCTCGCAGCTTGAACTTTGCCGGTTGGTTCGGCATTCCGGCTACGATTAGTATCTGTAAGTCATGTACAAAAGCTTCCCAATATCGACTGGCGACTCACGAAGTTAGTCACTGCGGTCTTCATCGTCATCATTGCTCTGGCAGTCGGTGGACCCGATTATAATGGTACCGTGAACGGTGGTACAGGTTACTGGGGCGAGCCGCCTAATGAACCATTGAAGATGCGTCTTGGTCCTAATCCAGGAGCAACTATGAATCAACAGTTCGAATCTGTTCTCAACGTCGCCTTCGCCTACGCTGGAAATCAAGCATTCATCACTGTCATGTGTGAGATGAGGAACCCGTATGTCAATTATCGCAAACGTTTGACCACGCAAGAAATGCGACATACTGATACTTGAAACAGGAGCAAAGATTACACCCCAGCCATTATCTGGCTCAACGCGATCGGAGTTCCAATGTACGTTATTGTCGCGTGCGTAGTCTACCACCTTGCTGGTCAATACGTTGTATCCCCTGCATTGGGTTCAGCTCCCGGTGTTGCCAGCAAAGTCGCATACGGACTTCTCTTTCCTACTCTCCTTGGATCGGGACTTGTATTTGGTCACACCGGTATCAAGTACATGTACAACGTTGTCATGGACAAGATGATCAAGACACGACACAAATTGACTGACAACACCCCAATCACATGGGGTGTCTGGCTCGGTGTCGGTACACTGTTCTGGGTTACATCTTTCATCCTCGCCAACGCCATCCCGGTTTTCGGTTCCATCCTTGGTATCTCCTCTGCACTTTTCGTCACATGGTTCACTTTCGGTATGGCGAATGCCCAGTGGATCTTTATCAACTGGGGCAACCAGTTCATCAACTGGAAGAAGACTTCTCTAGCGCTATTTAATTGGTTCATGATTCTTGGTAAGTTCCTTCCATCACCAACTTCCTAAGAGTATCGACTAACAATGTGGTAGCTTCTGCCTTCTTGACGGTCTTTGGCCTGTACACGTCAATCTCTGATCTCTCAGCAAGAATCAACGATCCTGACGATCCTCTAACTGTATTTACCTGCGCCAACAATGCTCTCTTCTGAGTAATGATAGCTATCGTTCGCGTTGAGCTTAGTTTCATCAGTGTGTCGCGTTAATTTTCGAGTCAGTCATTGGATTTAATATATATTTTCGAAGTTTATTTTACTCTGCATCAGTCAATACTTAATAGACATGGATTTGGAAGTTAAAGATGCCCTCACAAGCCCATTCAATCATCCCCCACCAACATTTGATGGGCAACTATTCATTTACTCTTCCTTCTGACAGTACTAACGCAATCCGCAGAGGATTTGATGTCAAGGAGACTTGTATGTGATTCGAGAAATTCTATACCTTGTTTCGTGCTTATATATGTACCTCGAGACACTACTCAATACGCCCATCACTACAGTTTCGAGTTGCAGCACTTAATCGCTCGTGTTTGTACATGCTTGATGACGATTCTAGAATCATAAGCCTGCGACCTCAAATTAACCAATAGGATGTGTGATTCGAATTTTTTTTTCCTGAAGAGTATTAAGACCGACCGCGGGAAGGGCACTTGAGATCTACGAGTGAAAGATCACGTGACATGTCACGTGATCAAAGCCTCGCATAAATCCATACCTCCTACCTATGTATGTATATCTGTACCTACATATGTAGGTAGCCAAATCATTGGTACTGAAAATATGCATCGGGCCGTATTGATCATGATTCACACATTTACAAGTGAAAATAGTTGTCGCAATCCTCCAATCATATCGAGTCATTGGATCTCCTGCACGATTATGGTGTGGATCGCTGCTCTAACAAGGCACATGTATTTAAACACTCCGTGGCCTTGAGGAAAATCACGTAAGTCTTGTCACCGTGGGTGGGAGGCAGAGATGTGGTAATGAATGCCATTATACCTAGGTAGAGTTTCTCGTTTTGTCCTTAACTGTGTGTGGGAAATTTTGGGGCGTGACGAGATCAACAAGAATGGCGTTTTATAGGTCGCGAGCCTTCATGCAAGGACTGGCTGCAGCTGAAGAAGTTTTGAACATTGTACCTTATAAGAGCCTCCATCTTTGACAGGATGAAAAGCGAATCGTTTAAGCTTATCATTATAGTGTCCAAAGAAACCATCTAGGTTGTGATCTCTCGCACTTATGACAATAATCAGCTACACATAAATGATGTTATACAATAGGATAAATGATATAAATAGAGACAAAACAACTAGATACACTTGCGTACTGCATGTGGGGTCTCGACCGTTCTTGAATTCTCCTTTTACAAATAGCGCCCATCCATAAGCGGTTTAGCTCGATACCCTTCGACCAGCCGCTTTTCCATGAGACACTCGCGCTCCTAAGACCAACGTCTTCACCATCGGGGTTCTTATCCTCCCACATCACTATTATACAGCCCGACAACTCTTATACTCTAATTCGGCTCCCTATAGCATCCTCGGGTACTACTAACAGCACACCTCTAAAATTGGCCAACTACATAATCGCAAGAGGAGGGGGTAGGTCACCAGCTGTATTCGGACCGATCTGTCATGTGTCTGCGGATCTAAAACAACATCCTTCGTTGTCTCGCAGGAATTCCCTGAACATCCGCCATAGCGATAACAACAGGAGTGGCAGTCTAAGCTTCCCAATCATCGATTGTTGAGTTGTATCCAGCAGAGTGCTTGAGTGCAGGAGGTATCGATGCATCAACAGGCTCTGTCAATTCTTTGAATTGCCAACTACAAAGAAGGCAAAGGAACTCTATCATGGATTCGAAGAAAAAGTTCACCAGGACATTCAGCCGCAAAGTACGCACTGGGTGTTTAACTTGGTAAGGGAGCTGCCTTAATTGGGGAAACGCAAAAGCTGAACCGCGCTAACGTTCTTTTTCTCTAGCAAGTAAGCATTCTCCACTGCATCCTCACAAGTTCATGAAGGTTTTCTAAGTACGGTTAATGTTAGGGTGCGACGAAAGAAGTGCGACGAGGAGAAACCCACGTGCAGACGTTGTCGGAGCGACGTCTTCAAATGCGATGGCTATGCGAAGAACCATGACTCGCAAGAATCTTCACAAGCACTGATGGTGCCTACCAATACCGGATTCACGATACCTGATTTTTTCATGAGTGACATAAGATACAATTCACCAACGGAGAAAAATTTCGTTCACTACTTTCGGCAATGGACATCCAGCTGCCCACCAGGTTCAGCCCTCCTCTGGAAAGAGTTTGTTTTGCCTCTTGCGCACCAAGATGAAATGATCAAGCAAGTAGTAGCAGCTGTTGGTGCAGCATATCACTATTTTCTAGTCAATCGCTCCTCAGACTCTTCTAAGGATCTAGGTGAGATGGAGACAATGACAATACGACATTACAACAAAGCCATCTCTCATATATTGCGACGTACGTCATCCGATGAGCCAGAAGATCTCCTTATGACAGTGTTGAGCTGTTTACTTTTTGTCTGCTTTGAGGGAATGATGGGTCGCCGCGACGAGTTATTGAAACATCTCAAGGCTGGCCTAAGGATGCTCGAAAGTTCCGAGGACTGGAAGACCATAAAGGATGGATCCCTCGCACGTGTAGTCATCGACCTTTTTGGTCACGCCGGCGTCGATATAACCATGTACTTGGAAGAAGACTTGTTCGACGCAAGCCAGTACCAGAAGATCATGCCAACGCTTGGCCAGGGGGATAGGCCGTTCGTCGACCTACAGCAAGCTTTTTCCGTTCTAAAAACCATAGATATGGAGTTGATCGTTACTTGTGGTGTAGAAGGTCCAGGCTGCGGTCCTGAGTTCTCGCTTGATCAACGTATCCTGAACAAATTTTACCTCTGGAACCGCCAATTCGAACTCACTGTTGCTGGATTGGATGTGGAAGCTTTCGATCGATCCGCCATGATCCAGCTAAAGATCTTGAGACTGGAACAAAAGCTGTGGCTCATTATGACAGAATACTCCAGCCACACTTACCATTTGGTGTGGGGAATACTGTGGAGTTCCTATCTGGATGAGGCTGAGGAAGTGGCGCGCATGTTGATGGTGGGAGATTCACCTGCATTTTCACTCGATGGAGTTCTTGTGTCGGGGCTTTCTTTCGCATTCGTTGTTGCCGAGGATATCACTATAAAAAACCGAGCTCTTTCGCTTCTGCGCACATTGAACCGCCGAGAAGGAATATGGGATAGCAACGAGATGTTCGAGATCCATAGTGCTGACCTTGCTACGGGCGAATACCCCAAACCATTGCCCTACGCAGTAGCAAGGCACAGTCCGCCAGATCACTCTCGCATGTCTGGTCTAATTTATGATTGTCCTTCTGACAGTGACTCGGAGATGGTAAATGGCTATTTAGGAGGGTGAGATTGAGATGTACTCGGCTGTTTCTGCAAGTAAAATAATGCTGTATGAAGAGGCTCAGGCACACGCATTCCCAAGTTCTCACTGCTTTTGCAAACCATTCCGAAATTGGATGGACGCAATAGAAATCGAAAACAATAGAGACGTGGTGGTTTGACGAAATTCGGTATTTTACTCGATATCGGTTGTCTCCGCGCGGGTGTGAGCCCGGTGATGCTAGGAAGGTCTAGCCCTATGATGCCATGTTCTACTACTTCCTGCTGATACTCATAAATAATATCTGCGCACTAATTTACATTCCTGGTTTTCTCCTGTTCAAGCAACTTCTTCTGTTTCTGTGCTAATCCTCTGAGCGCTCTTGCCCCCCACAGTTGCGCTGTTGTGAACAGCATATGCATAATGGGCGTTACAATCTTGAGCTCTGCACGCCAGCGCTTAAACAACGCCACATATATCCAGAAGACAATTGCAGTCTCGAGTAGAGTGGAGAGAAGCATCACGATCGTGGCGATAGTGAACCAGCGATATAGAGTAGCGTGCGAGGTGGGATAGAGACGATACATGATGAAAGTGGCATGCGGTATGGCTTCAGACACAATGTCGAACAGTCCTACAGTATGTCAGAATTTTCCTTACCTTGTCATATATTCAGTCATGTGCTTTTGTACGTACCCCATAGTAAGCACAGAATCAGCTCAATGCTACCGTCGCTATGGCGTTTATCGCGCGACAACAAAAGCGCGTATTGTGCCATAATAGCCGTTCCAGTATGGTGTAGCCACGCAATCGGTGATATGCCCGTCCGGTAGCAGAGTTCGAATACATACATGGCGGTATATATATTCGATACTACAAACATCATGTCGCCGACAGATATAGGTGAACGTGGTATGGGGGAATATGCGAACTGGCGACCGGAGACTATAATCATGAATGGAACTATAGCTTCGGATTGTTAGAGAGTCGTTGGCGCATTAAAAGCCGATAAATATAGCCAAAGGGTATCCTTACCAATGATAAGTATGAGTGACTTTACTCCCAGCGAAAGATGGTGATTGACCAATGTTCTTTGGTCCCGATGGCTTAACCGTTTCCATGTATGCTTGTATAGTTCTTGCTTTCTCATCAGGTATTCCTCGAGCGCAAACTGTTTGATCAGGCCAAAGATAATAAGGCACTGTCGGGCCGTATCAGCATTAGCTTCCGCGATACAAAATTCTGGAAGTTTGTTCACTTTGAGAACGAAAAACTAACAGTGGCAAGCATGATTCCTGTATATGGCAGTCCGTTCGAAACGGGTGCACCTTTCTCGAGGCATGCCCATTTCAATCCCATGGGTGCTTGGCACTGCGCCTTCACTGCTAAAACAGTGCTGTTCGGGGTTGAAGCCATTCGTATTTCGGTATCGGAAGTATCAGGGGAGAGTCCGGATCTTGGTGGCTGTTGGAAGGAGGATCGTGCGGGGTGATACGTAACCAGCGATACTGGTGTCCGTGGGCTGATCGCGATGAACGGGCTTAGATACAGTCTTTCGAAGGAAAAGAGAACGAAGGTTCCAAAGGCAACGAAAGGAGGGAAGCGGGTAGCGTAACGTAGGCGTCAAACCGAAAGACAGGATCAATGCTTGAAAAGTGGTAGATGCAGCCAAAAGAGAATTGAGTTGCGTCTTATATCTAGACACTCTCTGGGCCCCAAGTGGTCTAGGGGGGTTTGGTATGAACGCGGGGAAAGCCTGACCAGAGATACGCACGCAGCCACCAGAGTCTCAAGGTCCCTATACTGAGGATAGTGGCGCAAGAAGATTTCGGTAAACGAGAAGAATCCTAGACAGCATATCAAGCTTGACGCCCTATACGGATGACCAGCTCTGCTAGCCTGGGATTGCTCTTCAGTTTTTGTCGCCGAAATACGTCCAGGTTGTCCTAACGATTTTTCGGGGGGTAGGCAGTTTATGGCAAAGTGGTTAACACGTTCAGCGCCGGCCAGAAAAAGATATCTATGCCCACGGCTGGCGTCGTTGAGGCGGTTGAATGGAAGGGTACCATGGTTCAGTGAGGTAGTCCATGATGTGAGTGACATCTACGAAATTCATGAATCATCGATAGCTCAACTGATGACTTCTTGAGGGACTTTCTTCCCCAAATTTTCCTGTTATGAGGGGAGTTGTGTGTTTAATTTGCCATATTTACAATTCCTGGTCCCGCAAAAGCGTACTCGCTACACGAGATTTCGCTCGAGCGCGATATTGCCAGGCATAAAAATACCATGAGTGGAAGATGGACTACGGGATGGGCTCCCCGGACTCCGACATATTTCCCAATTATTCGTGGCGTTCGTCGACTTGAAGCTCATAATGGGTAGGTACGTGGTTATTGGATTACAAGATTGCCCGGTTCTGGTGTAGTTCTCCGTTGACATTGTACGCTTCATCCAATCAAGTTAGTTGCTTGGTTCCGCACTCATTACTCGAGTGTACGAACCCTCATGGCAGTGCAATCCAATTCTTTGATAACTTAGTAGCAACTACTTGCACTGCCACATCATTCAAATCGACAAAGGTGTATATAACTAAATCTTATCAACATCCCAATACATGGATATCCAGCTACTTCAACACTGCCCTTTACACAATATTTGTCCCAACAGCTTCCCGCCTCATACGAAGTTTATAGTCAAGTGAGCGTCTCAAATATGGTAAGAGCAAGATATTCAATTTTTCTGTCATTCACGAGCCCAGAAGTTTCACGTCCCCGCGATTTGCGGCAACTACGCCACACATCTCAACATAGTTACCAAGACCGAATGCTAAGCACATATTGTTTCTAGGCAAACATATGGTACTATATTCTCGCACTATTCCTGCCTTTTCTACCGGTCTTGATGTTACGCGGCTGCGGCGCAGTGGCCCTGATCAACATCGCGTTGTGCTGTTTAGCTTAGCTTCCCAGAGTCATTCGTATGTACCCAATCAGTTGATTAAGTAGGTGATAGTCGTAGTAACTCTCACAACAGATTCATGGTATATTATAGCCAACAGTCCGAAGAAAGTTGACGCGAGTGTCACATGAAGGAGCGCTTGATAGTTGTAAGTGCGACCTGCAATGTTGTTCAGCAATACCAATTGGTCGCGTATGCAAAAAATTCGGATAATTTTTCCAATTATGAGACACCATACAAGCAGCAAATGCAGTCGAGAACAATGAAAGATGTGATCAAAGAAGTGAAACAACACTCCGCGTGTACAATTTGATTAAATCTTTCTCCAGCATTTCAGCATGAGCAGCCCCTAAGGTTCGTGTGAAAAGACTAATCCTAAGAGGCATACAAGCATGCAATCTACCTTCGAAACCAAACTAAACTCACAGCCACAGGGTTCTGTGTGTACCAATATGTGAGGCTGTGATTGCTGATTGCACTGGGCGATCTTCCATAGATCAAAATTTGGGATAACGGTCGGGATGCGCGGAACGCGTGCGCATTGGGATGTCCGATCCGATAGGGCCGAAATCATAGTTCGCGAAATGACTTGAAGCGTGTCATGTCTCCGGCCGATGTCCGTATTGAATAGCGCTAAAGCTTGTACAGCCAATATCACTAGGGTGCATACTCCTCTCCAGACGGCCCCGGCTATAGTATACGCTCCCGCCAATCATATTGTTTCACCTGTTTTTGATACTGAGACAGTCCAAAAAACGATTAAGGCCCCATTGCGTATGTTAAAGCGTCGTCAGCAACGCTCTGGACTGTTGTGAACCATGTCTCGTATTGGCCGGCGTATGAGGCTGGGCCTCGAAGCTTAAGTTAATTCAAATGCAAGCAAGATCCGTTCGGTACCTGTGCGTCTACAAACAAGACCGAATTTGTTTGCCCCATTCATCACGCTCACGATGGCCGTGGATATACTCGCGAGTCTCTCGTGCGATTGTCTCATTCTTTATAAGTACGCCCCCACTGTCGCTTGCAATATTGAAAGTTCGCAAGGACTCTCATGGCGCGCTGCGCAGTCATTTGCCTCTACGCATAACCTCTACATCATCTTCGCCAGCCAGAGAACTGCAACTGAAGTTTTTGAGGTTAAGCAGCCTTTACCGACTAGCGTTCTTATGAGCATGCACATCAGTTCTGTACCGCGTGAAATTGGAAGTGCGGTGGTGTGTGGGAAAGGAAATGAAAGGAAGATCGATTACTCTATCAAGGGTCGTGGATCTAGAAGATCTAGTGAAGTCGAGGAACCAGCCACAGGACTCATGAGTGCCATACTCGGCGTATTCATCTTGTTTATTATTCTTTATGCTATTATGAATTACCTCTGGTCAAAGTAAGCTCTGAAACTGTGCGTAAAGCTCCACAAGCTGACGGTTGCTAGGTCCTTGGCAAAACGCAGCCGAATCAAACTCGACGGTACAGAGCGCAGACTGAGCGCACACGCTAAATGAAGATATCGTGAAGGACCAAAACCAATTGGAAAGAGTTGATGTAGCACATTATCCCCTGGGTTGGGTCACTGCAGTACAACGGTGGGGCACCCATACACAGAGCATACTGGGCATACATCGGACCACATCGGGGCTCAATCCACGTTCCGCGAAGACACATTTGGATTGATAAGTCTCTCGTATAGGGATAATTAAGGCTATTTACTTCCGATACATCGAAAGGAGAAATGTGAGTGTCGGTAGTGGATAAAATAACAGCATAAATCCTCGAGGCTAGAATGAAATAATTCGATTCTCAATCAGCATTAGTTCCTGGTGAAAAGGAGTGCAAAAAGAGGGTTGTGATTACGGACTGAAAAAGAAGGAAAGAAAACCTTTCATCCCAACAGGGGCACCGTAATGTTGAGAATAAGCGCTCGGAATCTACACCCAGGCAATCCAGCTTGCTACTCCACCGAGGAGTTTGGTATCTGCCCAACAGCCAACTTTCCAGTTGAAACCCTTCTTAGTAACGTCAGCAGAGTCCACCTGCAATCGAATATTTTCGGTGGTATTTCCAACAACGAAACCGCGTAGCGCTAGGAAAATCCTAGGTGGACTCTTGAATGCGCGGTTCTTAAATCCAACGTGGCCGGAATATGATTCTTGCGCCTTCAATCCAGCTAAGCCGATGATCGGAGATTTCTCCCATGGCGCATCTGACGTGCCACAAATGATGTTGGGTGCATCGGCTGGGCATGCAAACCAAGATACATCGATGGTTCGAACACTGTCGAGAGCGGTAACGACGACTGTGAACCCAGCCTTGTCGACAGCCTCGGCTGAGACCACTGCATTTACAAAACCATTCGAGCCAATGTCAAATCCAGTCAGAAACACGACAACACTAGGTGGCTGATTGTCATACGAATCCCGGAAGTTGATCCTTTGACGCATGACAAAATACGACGGCTCCGCACCTGTACCAGGAGGACGTGTAGGCATGCTCCACGCGCCCCCCTGAACACCTTCATCGTTGATTGGAGCCATAAGAGATGTCGTACCGAAACCAAAGTTTCTCGTTGATGCGCTCTTATCTGCGGCAGTCGATGTGGCTATATATTTGTGGGTGTTTGCAAGCTTCTGGGTGATAAAAAGCCGAGCAATTTGGCGTGTAGAGCCGCTCAATACATCGACTCGGGCAAGGTCCACTTTGGTAAAACCAAGTACGACATCTGGCGGCACAGTCTGGTTGGCATATCCTCCCAATGCGCCTTCACCACCGCCTTCTCCGAAAGGAATGTTTCCCGACACGAGATTGACGTTGAGAGGAGCGGCTGGAGCATGTACAGGCAGCAGGAGTCGGAAGATTTGAGGTCGAAGATAGGCGATAGGTCGGTTCACATCAACGGCAAAAGCGGGATTATTACTGATGGCATCGTTCTCAGCAACTATGCGCACCATCGACTTGCGGCAATTTCGCAAAGCTAGATCCAGTCCTTCAAAAGTTGGTTCATATCGATCTAGAACCGGACCATCGACCCACTTATTATTCGCCGCATCCCAAGTTTGTGGCATTCTGATTGGGTTTTTCAGCTCTGGTGCTTTCATCAACGCGTGAAGATAATCGTCATCGCCATCGAGATCCTGGAGCATCTCATGAATTTCTTTCCAGATGCTTTTGTAGCCCATGTAGACATCGAGAAGTTCCGACGTGTACAAGCTAGCTACTTCGTAATCCAAAGGCTGCAGAGGGTTACTGGCACGCCACTGTAAGTAGCCTCGAAGCGCAGTGTATTTGGTCAAGATGGCGTGTGTACGCTGAGGCACATTGGCGACCAGGTCAGGAAACTTAGCAGCTACTTCCTGTAGGGTGTCAATCGTCCACGGCTTATCGCTTTCTTTCAGTTGTCCTCCACCAGACCAATTCACAGTGATGTTCACTTCTGAACTCTTGTTCAAGTTCTTCTTGTTCAAATTGACGTCCGCGGTGGCCTCGACAGAGCCAACACCAACTTGAAGTGCCAGATGCGCATTTGCTTTGATATCGGTCAAATTGGACTGGTCCAAGGCCTTGATGCTCACGATTGCAGAAAACTGTCCGCCCTCTTGAAATCCAGATATGAAACTGTCGCCGTATATATCTGTGAATGACTTGGAGTCATAGCTGCCGGCACTTTTTCCCTGCAAAGGCCAGAACTGTAGTTGGTCTTTGACATTGATCGTCTGATTGATGACTTTGACCGTCACGAGGAAATTAATGTCGGAAGATTGGAACGTTTCTGTATTGACGTAGGATCCGGAACCTCCACCAGATATCTCGCCATACTTGATTGATAAAGATCCAGATATGTTGAGATCGTTACTGACATCACTCAACTTCGATACATACTTGGAAGAGTATGTCACAATTTGACTGGGGTATCGCACGATGGTAGTGCCGTCACCAGCGTCGATAATCTCTTGGATTGGTTTCTTGTTGGGAGGCGACACAACTGAAGCCGGGACATCTGGCCCGGCGATCGGGATATAATCTTCGGGCGTTATTGGTTGGGAATCCTCTCGGTCCGATATGCCAATAACAGAGTTGTCGACGCATATTTGCTGCGTAAAGGAATTGAATCTGACGGGACTAAGTTGAAAGCAGGAAAATCAGATATATACTACGTACCCCTGACCTAGAAAGATATGTGTTAGCAGTTGAAGAGCAAGTCAGATACTGGAGAAGTGCGAGTTACATACCCAATCGCATGGAGTTGTTGTAAGGAACCAGTTGAAGAGCCATTCTTGCTGTCGTCAGATTTGATGCTTTGAAACTTGAAAAGGGTAATTCTAATCATTTCCTTCTGGCTTTTATGATGATTTGCAACCATCAATATTTTGCAAACGCCACATTCACATATATGCCAAGACTGCACTGAGCTAGCAGAATCAGTCATCGTTTTCATTCAGCCCGCCCAAACCCTGCATATGAGCCAGCCTCGCGAACTCCGCAGCCAGCCTTTTCTTGGAGATTGACCGTTATACGCATTATAGTGGATTTATCACGACTGAGCTAAATGGAGTTACGACCGAGATTGTGCATATCCTACATACACTGGTTTCAGTTCCCAGCCAGCCTCCTTCAGCCCATTGATAGTGGAAATTGTACCGTATACGACCGGAAAGGACATACACTATCCATTTACATACCCTCTGACTTCCCGATGCGTAGAAAACGGCAGCAGTATCAAGTTACTGACCACATTAGACTGCAGAACGCCACCAACTTGACCCCATGACAACGGCTTTCTTGCGTCTAGAATCGTGCCAAGGCTCTTTACGCTCTCTTCTATGCGTGCTGGCATGCGATCGACCCTCCATCCATACTCCACAGCTAGCTTCCGTGCATCCACAAATCTCAGAGCAGTCCCGTTTGCAGCAGAAAATTCCACAAAAGACCGATCGAGACTATCGAATGCATAAAGATTCAGCTCGACGTCAAAAGAGCTGGTGCTAGTGTCCACTTCGGCAATCGTCTCGGTGTCAGAAAAACAAAGCACGCGTACTTCGAGCTCAACTTTCAATTTCTCCACATTTTGCGATTTTGATGTGGCTTGGCTGATGACCACTGAAGCGTCGCCTCCTATAGTGAAACCTGATACATAGAAGTCGCCGAATCGCTTAGTGAATGCGTCAAATCCACCATTTTCAGGAAGCAATAGCTGTCGAGCTTCTTCTGATAATGGTGGCGGCCTCTGGAATTGGACTGCCCCCGCTTGGAATGAAGTCTTCCGCGACGTCTTACTTTTCTGGATATAGTATTTTGTTGTCAGCCAGAACTAGAATATGAATGATACAACTTTGGACGCTTACCGATCTATCTTCAAGGACGGACTTGTCATAGGAGCCAGTAACACTGGCGCCCAGGACTGCATTTCCTACACTCACCCCTAGGGAAAGACTGAGATGATCGTAGGAAGAGCTTGAGCTATTAGTCGATGACGACAAGTAAGTACCACGGCAATTATCCTGTGTCCGGTAAATGAAGTTGCTTGACTCGAGACGGTCGAGGTCGAACGGTGTATGCTGCGAGACGAAAGGATTCATCGCCGGCGTAGCTGCTAATGCAGTGCTGAAGCATGTTGCTGGGCGAATTGGTGTTGCAATTGGGGGAAGGAGAAGATAGCCCTGTGCGGCTGCACGCTGAACCGAAACCGAAGTAGGATTGTCTTCCGCCATTTCGCGTCTTTTCTCGTTATCAATGTTGTTTTTCACTCTCCATCGGTCTGTATTCTCTGTCTCTAAATATTAAAGCTTGTAACAGTGGCAGCTGGAGCCCAGCGTCTTGACCGTTTGCATGACCAGTTTGGGGCAGCCCCGTGCCCAGACCCACCGTATCCGTGGTTATGGTTCAGCTCGTCACATCGAATACGAGGCAGGGATAGTGTATTCAGCAAGCCACATTGTACTCAAAGAGCGGGGTCAAAATCGAAACTCAGATAGAATCCTGCCGTTGGAGATTTTTCCGTGGTAGCGCAACAACACAATAAAGCAAAAGACTCATTGAAGGTCTGAACTCGTAATGTTGATGTTGGATTCGCGAAGCGAAGCAGTTGGCGTTGCATTCCTACGCCAGCCACAAAGATGGCAGATCTCGCTATATGCTTTCTACTCTTGGCAACAGCTTCGATTCCAATGCCATGTTCAGTAATGGGATGGTGTCTTTCTAGCGGCCTGTTCAGCGGTGCCAAAATTGCCGTCGTAGAGATTATTTATCATGTCCTTCCGCAAGCGCCCTCGACAAGTTCTCATTGATTTTAAGTGAGGTTTAATTACATATAAGCCAGTTTTATCTACTTGCCGTTCAGAAATCGCCCCTCAAAACTTGATACTTAGATCGACCATACAAAGATGCCTATCATTGCTAGGAATGGCGAACTAGCCGATCTGAACAAAGTTCCAGCGGAGTGGGACGAAAATAGATTCGATAGTGATAGCCAGCCTGAGCGCATTCGGTATTGACCCGTCCATTACAGCTCATTGCTGAAAGCGATTGACCAAAAAAAAAAAAAGGGTTGCAGCAGAAGCTATCTGTGCCTTGGTGCCCAGCCCTGCACTTGGGTGGTTTGGCAAGCCTGTGCAGACAGTTCATGACGCGACAATCGAGAAAATCATCGAGGCTGCTGAAGACGCGAAGAAAGCGCTCAAGCAATTCGCTCGCTGGGACATATCAGATAAGCTCGAAAAAAAGGTCCATAATTTGAGTGTCGCGCATGACGAGTTAGAAAAATCCACAACAGCAACGGCAAAGCAGATCAAGGATGCGTTGGATGAGCATAACCATTGGGCAGACATTGGCACAGCATACAACACGGTGAAGGAACCAGCGATGAGGGAAGCTTTGGATACTTGGACCTGGCCAACGAGCGAGACACTGGCAGCCGGACGTAATAAACGTTTTGATTGCAAGATCAAGTTTGGTGCTCAAGCTTCACTCGCATATGGAAGTGGATTCCGATTTGCTGATGGATATACCATGACAGCAGATCATGTTATCTTCGGATCCATACCTTGGCCCACGCTCAAAGCGTACTTCAATCTCCGTGCTAAACTTGTCAATCGTTCTGGCAATATAACGGATTTCTTGAATCCACAGTTTGATAAAAGCTCGGTTCACGAGCTCAAAAGGTTACCCACTCATATTCCATTATAACACTTTCGATTTGAAATCTAACGGCCGCCAGGGTTGTACTCCGAACGAAGCCAAAATTGTACAAGTCAGGCGAATCGAAAGCGAGTGATTTCTTCTACGATGCGATCAACACACACGACATTGCAATTATAGAATATGAGAGAACTGCAAAGTCTCCTGGCTCCAGGGTCAAATTGAATCTGGCCACTGCTTGCCCGAAAACAGGAGATACACCATTGTGCATGTTTGGTCATCCGCACACCTCTCCCCTGAAATATACCAGTCACATCGCTGGGGGAACGGCGCCAAAAGTCCTGCAAGCCCCTGGCACGAGCGCCGCCGACAGGACTATGCAGTGAGTCACCAGTATGAAATCAAGTGGACCATCTCTGATCTCCCTAGTCCCTGCGTTTCTGCCAACATAGATGTATTCACCGGTATTTGCTGTCATTCTGGTATGCATATGCATAGTGGAAATTCCTGATCAAGCGAATAGGAAACTCGAGGGGTCCTTTGATCCTGGATAGTAGTCCGACCAATCCGCCTTTGGATGTCATTGGTGTCGTCCGCCTATTCAATCCCCATATCGACTCCACGAGAAGGGCAAAAGGAGCCCTTCATAGACGCGTGGATGCATGGCTCATTGAACTCTTCGAAGCGACACAAGTCTGGACTGACGCCGAAATCAAAGAGGAACTCAAGAAATTTGACGGTTTGATGTCTGGTTTCTACATCGACGATAAAGACGTCATAACTCGCGAGCAAGTCTTGCCAGAAGATCCACCCCTCAAGGACCAACTCATGTTCAATCGCGTCGACCTCTTCTCGCCTTTCACCAAACCGATTTCCAACTTTCTCAATCTGGAAAATACAGGCGTGCGCGTCACCATTAAGATCGATCTAGGAGTCATTGGAGGAGAGTTTGCTCTTCAACCTAGCCTTACAGTTCAGAACGATGGGTTCCTTCCCGACGAAGTGTTCAAACTCGGCAAGGAAGAATCTTACGCTTCTACTCGTCCGGCATCAAAATCTTTGTATCGGTGGGTACGCACATTCAAGTCTCAAGCGGATTTGTCCGCTCCATTTGTAGCCGACAACGGTGTATTCGGAACAGGAGATATCGAGAACGGCGCTTTCAAACTCTCTGGCGGATTCTGTCCTTGGAAGGAATTGGATATCAAAGCGACGCCTCTCCACGGCTCTACCACTGCGAAGATTACCAGTATGAGTGGCAGCATTCACGTGACGTTTTGCTACGACATTGATAACCCAAGCGATGCCATTGAATTCCCCATCGAGCTTGAATTCACCGCAAAGAACTCGGATTGGAAGGTATGTGACATAGATTTGCGTGCGCTGGTGATGTGGAGACTAATTATCGTATCTAGGCCTACATTGGACAAACAGTTATAAACAAAAAGACCAAAGCAACGGCAGGGACAATGTGGCAAGCTCCAATAAAGGCTGAACTGGATGTTTTTACGCGATGATTATGCGACGGCCTTCCCTTGAACCCTGTCTCATTATCTCATTTCCTCTGAAACGAATTTGGTCGCTCTTCTAGCACAGTCCGGCTCTGCAATGTTTCTATGTATCCCGGAGTTATGATAACACTGCACGATTTCAGTGACTCTAAGAGCCTTCTCCTCGCGGGCACGTGGGTTCGTGTTGTCGCTACCATCGGGTCAAAAATCAACATTACGATCGCGGCGAATCATGGGCTAGTTTTTCTAATCGAATAATTTGAAAAAGCTTGAAATCTATCCATTTCTCAGTGCCCCATCTGACCCAATCACTTCAAATGCCTCTCCAAAAACTCGGACCTCTTCCTAAGCGCCGACATATCAAACCCGCCCACACCATGCCCTTGCCCCGGCATGAACAAAAGATCATAATCCTTATCAAGCTGGTTGAGCCGGTTGACGACCTGCATGGTGCTCGCCGGATCCACATTCGTATCCAGCTCCCCAACAACCAACATCAAGTTCCCCTGCAGATTTCCCGCGTTGACCATGTTCGAGCTATCCTCGTACGACTGGTCCACGGGGTATCCCATCCACGCTTCGTTCCACCACAGCTTGTCCATGCGGTTATCGTGACACCCGCTGTCCGCGACTGCGGCTTTGTAGAAATCGCCGTGGAAGAGGAGAGCTCCCATGGCGTTCTGGCCACCGGCTGAAGTGCCGTAGATTCCGACGCGGGTGGTGTCCATGTATGGGCGTGTAGCGGCTGCTGCTTTCATCCAGGAGATGCGATCTGGGAACCCTGCGTCACGGAGGTTCTTGTGGCAGACGTCGTGGAAAGCCTTTGAGCGCCAGTTGGTGCCCATGCCGTCGATGACGACGACAATGAAGCCACGGTTAGCAAGTCGGTGTGCATCGCTGTCGAGGGAGTATTCTTTGGGCACCGAGAAGTCCTGGGGTCCGGCGTATATGCGCTCTATTACTGGGTATGTGGCATTGGGGTCCATGTCCAGGGGACGGAAGATGAGGCCGTAGATTAGGGTCTCGCTGTCGCGTCCTAGTGCCGAGAAGCGCTCTGGGATTGGCCAGTAGACGGAGTCGAGGTTGCCTTCTTCGAGGACGCTGGTTTCGTTTCCGCTTTCGGCGTCGCGGGTTACGGTTTTGGCGGCCATGTCCATGCGCGACCATGTGTCTGTGAAGGTTTTGCGGTCGGGGCTGAAGGACCAACTGTGTGATCCATCGCCTTCTGTTAGGATCTTGAAATCGGTGCCATCGAAGTTGACACGAGCTAAGTGGGCGTAATAAGGATCCTGGTTGGGCACAGCACCGAAAACCTTGAGCCAGATACGCTGTGCTGTTTCATCCACGTAGTCGACAGATCGCACGACCCATTCTCCCTTTGTGATCTGGTTCTTGACTTCACCAGTCTTCAGGTCGTGGAGATAAAGATGGTTCCACCCATCTCGCTCACTCGCCCAAATCATATCGCTCGTGTTCGAAACCTCCCGATAGTACAATTTGTGCGCATAGTCGATGAACGTCTTACTCGTCTCCTCTATGATAGCCCGGACATTTCCTTGGGTGTTCATACCAATTACACGTAAGGCCTGGTGCCCTCTTTCATTGAAAACGAAGCGAAATTCGGTACTCTCATCATTCCATCCACCCCCACTAAGTGCTGAAATACTGTAAGGATTCTTGAACAGTGCGTCATCCGTAGGAATCTCCTTCTTGGTAGTCAAGTCGAACATTCGCGGTCGGTCAATACGCATTCTGTCGCCAGGCTTCAAATAATGGAATTGCTTCAAACGGGGTTGGAGCTGGTCGTATGGGCTGGATTCGACTTCGTAAACGATGTGCTCTTGCTCCGGCGTGAATTGCAGTACAACACCGAACTTCATGTCCGACGAGTAGTATGTGTAGTTGTCGAAAGAACTGTTGGGGGTTCCCGTAGTTGACATCTGCGTCTCTTGTCCATCCGCGTCGCGGAACCAGACGTTGTTGTCTTTGATGAACGTTCCGCCGGGCCCCGTCCAGTTCGCCTGGCGTTTTTCAAGGTCATCGACAGGCTCTGCCAAGATTTTAGGGGGTTGAAGGCCCTTCTTGATCACAGCCGTCTTCTCTTCAGCTCCAGCGGCGAAACTCGCAATCACCTCGCCAGATGAAGTATCTCGCACCCGCCAAACGTGACCCTCATACGTCTGTTGCGACGCCTTTTTCCCAGCCTGAACATCATGATAATGTTTCTCCTTACCAAGCGAGTTGACCCAATACACCGAGACTTTGCGATCCATCTCATTGAGAAACTTAATCTTTGTCTCTTTAGAGCCTTCAGCTGGCGGTTGCTCATAAGGCACAGGCTTCAACTGGCCCACGTCGTCCACTTCACCCTCAAACGCCACCAACGTTCCGTTCTTCCTCCACTCCCAACTCTTTTCTCCTGCGCGAAACTTCACAGTTTCGCAATCATCTCCCACTTGGATTGAATCGAAAGGAAGCTTCGCAGCATCCGCCTCAATACCATTAAGTCTAAGGGCCTTTGCCACACCCTCGTGATCGAATGCAGGCTCGTGCACGCCGTGGTCGGAATCCACATACATGAAAGTGGAATCCTGGCGGCGAAACCAGAAGGTGCTGCGATCGGATGTCCAGTGAGGCAACCATGCTGCTGCTGCTTGTGGTTGTGCGTCTAATTGATTTTGTTGGACTGTCGGATCGACTTTGTACGCGTCCGTCATGGCGAGGGAGGAAAAAATGGAAAGCGCGACATAGCCAATGGAGCAAGCGTTTGCTCGCATGATGGTAGAATTTATGGCCGATGGGCGAATATTGTTGCCTGGAGGTATGGGCGGCCTCTTCCGTATACTTTGGCCAGATTAATTAAATAATTACGTGATAATAAAAAAAATGTTGAAAACGAGGGTGATTCAAAATATGTAAAAGAAAAAGAAAAACGAGTGTAATGTGAGATGAGATGCAGAAAGTGAGAACATGAGAGGGATTGACACCTTATATCTTCCCACGTTGTCAAACATGGCTATAGTTAGACTTGGGTGACATCTCCACCCACTGACTAGAATTTCGCCGACATTAGACAGAAGAATACTACCTGAATCGCTGTCTACAGGACTTAGAGCTAAAGAGGGCTGCAGCTATACCGCATTGGCGCAACTTCGTTGAATATTGAACGTGGAGCAATCAATGCGCCCCTAATTCTGGAAACCGCTAAGCTCTCTAATCCCTGAATGCTCCGTCCTAGTATCAGCCCTGCAATCTTCTTTATTGATTTTGGAAGTTATTTAGTTCAACACTTGCTACGGGACTCTCCGAGAGCACGTTCGTGAAAGCTTTCTCATTACGTGATGTTGGCATGTTGGCCGAGGGGAATTCATTTAGAAAATATGTTGGTTTCGTGAATGCATAACTATCCGAGAAAGACCTGGCTGGAGTGGAAGACGTGACAAATAGTTGAAATGGACGAAGTAACCTCGATCGTTGTAGACGCCAAACCGATTTAGATCGTTATATGAACAGGAAGGCAGTTGCACCTTTCTTGTCCTGCGTGGGAGATCAGAATAGCATGACAGATAGGGCATGTTTGTATTCGTGTAGATGATTGAAGAAGCAATAAAGAGCTATTATGCATGTATGTACTTATATATATGTATTCTAGATGCAAAAACAAACGATCAATGCAGGTACAGCAATGCAGCATGCGAGACCAGCAACTCCAAAAAAAAAACGTATGTACTTGATAGCAAAACACGTGCACAGTCAACACCTCCCTACCCTCCCCGTCTCCCACCTGCTCACATCCTATAATTCTCACTCAAGCCCGCCTTCCCGAAATCCTCCAAATCTTCCACCTTGTCAGGACACGTCCACTCCCTATCCGTGACCTTCTTGGGCAGGATCCCGGCCTCGATCCCCCTGCGCCAACTCCACTGCGTTGCGCGCTCCGTCTCCCATGTCCAATAAAACCACCCCCACCCCGCCTCAAAACTCTCCATTTGCGCAATCGCAAACTGGTATAGAAAACGCTTGTACGCGTCCGAGTAGCTCCCGGGGTCCTCGTTTGCCTTTGCGCACGAGCAGGAAGCGTCGCGGGCGGGACACTGGGGTTTGAGAATCGACGTCGAGGAGTTGCCCGTGTTGTATGTGCCTTCCCACCGGGTTCCGATGTTGACGTTGTTGATGTAGGTGGTGCAGTCTGTGTCTGCTTGGGACCATTCGCCGCACATGGTAGGGCCGAACCCGGTTTCTGTGTCCGAGGAGCGGAGAGATTGTTGGGTCCATGCTTTGCACGCGAAGTTTAGTTTGTCGGTATGGGTGAGGGAGAGCTGGTCGATGTTGAAGATGACGTATTGGTGCACGTCAAGCAGGAGGTTCTTGTTGGATTGGAGTTGGCCTTGCCAGTTGTCGAGGCCGAGGAACCCGTCGCCGAAGACGAGGATTGCGGTTATGCCGTCTTTGCGGATTTGGTCGATGGCTTTTTGCGTCCAGGAGACGACGGTGGAGGTGTCGAGATCGACCATGCGCGGCTCGTTTACGAGGCCGTACATGGTGACAATGTGTTTGTAGCGGGGCTGAGAGAAGAAGACGGAGAGTTTGTGGTGGACGTCGAGCCAGCGTTGTGCGTTGGTGTCGCCGTCAGTACCGTTGAGCCATCCGATCACCCCTTGTCGGCCGGAATGGTTCCAGCCATTTTGTGAGCCAGGAGCGCCGTGCATATCGAGGTTTACGCGGAGGCCGTTTTGACGTGCGTATTCGATTCCTCGGAGGAAGTAGCGCCAGCTCACTTGAGGAACGTAAGGATCGCCGTCATAGGTCTCGACCATCCAGTAGCCAAAGGGGATGCGGACATGATCGAAGCCTGCGGCACGGATCGCGGAGAAAGTCTGCTTATTAATGAAGGTTGCGTAGTGTTTTTCGAGTGTTTCTTTGCATTTGGCGGCACCGAGTTTAGTGCAAAGCGTCCACTCGTCGATGATGTTCTCCCTGACACCGTACTTCTCGAAGAAGCTGGGTGTGATGAAGGGTTCGATGTTTAGCCATCCGCCTACGTTTACACCGCGGACCTTCATCTTGCCGTACTCAAAAGTCTTCTTTAGATTAGGAACATCGCCGTTGGCTTGAACGTCGTCGTTCCACGTGGAGTTTAGGCCCATGATGGGGAGTCCGCCCACTTTCTCCGATGTGTAGGTAACGTTGAAGTCGGTGGTGTCGTACCAAGACCAGGGGTCTAATATACCTCCACGATCAGCTTCGGGCACACTGTTTCGATCTTTACCTTCCAAGTTGCTGTTCGCCGGCTGTTCGGTGCCAGTGGCTGCTGCTCCCGATGCGTTTTCAGCTGGCTCCTTCTTCTTGCCTGCTATTATAGCGGCCGGTATTATGATGGCAAGCAAAGCCACTATAGAAACCACAGCAATGACTGCTCAATCGTTAGTGGAGGCCATGTCGGATCACGTCAAGCTAGGACTTACTTATCCACTTTTTCTTCTTCTTCTTTCGTGCAAGTTCTTCTTCCGAATACTGCGACGGAGCACTCCCAGCACCTCCTCGTTTCTCCATCATATACCGATATTCACTATCATCGTCCACACCCCCTTCTTCAGCCAGAGGCCCACTGACTACCCTTCTTTTCCTCTGCTCTGCTTCTCGCTCCCTTCTCTTTCTCTCCATCTTTTCTGCCATTTCCTCAGCCGAATAACGATTCTCTTTTGGTCTCCGTCTTTCCTCCGTGTCCGTCCAGCTCCCCCTTCTCCTCCTGACCCTCTCATCCCCAGACTCTACAACACTACCTCGTCTTGTCTTCCCAGCCGCCATCAAAGCTGCAGCACCGCCAGCACCAGCGCCCGCAGCTACGGCCGCACTCTTTCTTTTCTCCCTCCTACGCCTCGCTTCCTTATCCTTCCCACTCTCCCACCCATCCACTCGATCTCTCTCCTTCTCCTTCCTCTTCTCCTCCCGCTCCTCTCTCATCCTTTCCTTCTCCAATCGCTCTTCCTTTCTTCTCACGTCCTTTAAATAATCTTCATCGTAATCATACCCCCTATTCCCCATCCATCCTCCAGACTTCTTCGCATTCGCTTTATCCAATTTCCCCAGAGCATCCAAACTCAAAGGAGCCTGTTGCTCAGCTCTCACTCGACTATCCCTTCGCCCCGCACTCCCCGAGTCGGTTGTTCGCGTGCGCGATTGGGAATGTGAGTGCGACTCCCTCCTCGCACGCGGTTTCCGTGGCGATTCGCGCTCCGAGTCACTTTGGTACCGCGATGCGCGGGGTGTGCTGCGAGCATGTGGGGACGGTAGTAGGAGGTCTCCTTGAGAATCTGTGGCGCGGTGGCCTTTCCGTCGCCGTCGCTCGCGGTCGCGGGCTAGGTCTTCATCGGGTGCGGGTTGGGAGGATTGGGTTTGGCGGCGGCGACGGCGACGTTCGCGGTCGCGGTCTCGTTCACGGTCGGACATTGATGTGTGAGGGTTGTGTGGTGGTCGGAGGTCGGATTGATGTGGTTGGGCAGCGAGAGGATCTTCCGAGGGAGGGGCAGGTTGGATTGTTTGTAGCGATAGTGGAATTGAGAGAGAGTAAGGTGACCAAGGTCGTGATCTGCGATTTTTGCGTATGTAGATACCCGACGACTCGCTTCAATGCAAGAGTTGCGAGGGAGCAGCAAAGACGGGAAGCAGCAATCAAACAACTGTATCGCTCACCGTCGGTCAAAAGGAATTATACAGAAAAGAAGTCTAAACAAGTCCGAAATTCGAAAATGCAACAACGCTGACAGCTCAAAGCGCGCGAGATATGTACAGAAAGTAAAGGAAACGTTGGAACGTGCATATGATGTAGATGTGTGTGGCTGACGGCATAGGGTAGAAATGGTTTGAATCCAGGTAATGTTGGGTTAAACGGTTGCTACGGCGACCTCTCTCTGCCAACCTCCAAGACGAAAACCAATCTGGCGACCGCGACGACAAGGACCAAGATACTTAGCGCCCAGCTCCGCGATACTCCACAATTTATTGACTTGCTTTTCCTTGGTTTTCATGATTTGTTTGGGCTTGGGGGAATTGTGGCATGATTGCGCCAACACGGAATCATCAATGTAGCGCCCTGTTGACCCGGGCTACCAGCGGAAATGTACCGAGGCCTGCTCTTGTCACCAGAAAACAGCAAAGCATGTGTACATCTTGCTCAGATGCTGGAAAATGTCTTTTGCCGGGTTTTCCTTGGTTGAATGTAGTAGGACTTCGCCGTGTAATGATTGTATGCAGCTTGAATAACTGATCGGCCCCACGGCTCCGACTCCCCGCGTATGCGCCATGTGTGTGTTTGTCGATGCACACATATCCCGCTTCGGTTCAGCATGCAACACTCAGTTCAATGCCGAATGATGTCACGTCACGTGCGCCAATCTCAGTTGACATCAATTGGTTGCACCCAGGAGGCCTGTGCATGGGACGACTTGGGTGATTACCTAGGTAGATGAATAATATATGGATCAAAATACGAGCAAGCACATCATGTACACAAGTTCTTTTTAACATTTCAACGGAGAAGACGACAGGTGAACAGAGTGAAAGCGAAAAAGCGAATCTCGTCGCTGTGTTATTGGTATCTCTATGGTATCATTTCGGGGTATTTATAATCGGCGCTGACATTTGCGGTCGTCGGTGCTGCCCGTGAGGGTGTGCAGTATACAAGTATCGTCACCCATGCCATCCCAGGCTGCAAATGGGAATCAAGAAATGACAAGAGTGGAGTGTGGATTCCGATGGGCCTCCTCCGGGACGCTGGCAGACCCGGTCTTCTACGCAGTGTCGTGTTCTAAGACAGCCGCGTGTCTATCAGAGAATCGTGATGAATGGCAACAATTGGCTGCGGGGGGCAACTGTTTCACTGTTGGTTTCATGCTCCAGCTCGCAAACCAGTGCATCAAGTTGTGGCCACTGCTGAGCTGGACATGTCGCTAGCGGCCTTTTCCTTGCCCTTGCCGGCCTGCTTCTTGTCGTCGTCTACATAGAGATTGTGTTCGTAGATGTATTCAACGACCTTGTCGGGAATGTAGTAGCGGATGCTCTTGCCACGCTTGCGGAACAGTCTGATCTTGGTGGAAGACACATCGTTCTGAATCAGTTGTGGGATGACGCGGATGTTGTCTCGGAACTGTTGAAGAGTGAGGAGAGCATCATCTATGGAAAATTAGTATCTGCACAAGCTATTGAAATTCGTAGCGGTACTGACCAATGTCGGTGCCGCTGCGCTCGAGAATGAAAGCGCCGTAGTGACCCAGGATGCGGTTCAAATCTTCCTGTGCCCACAGGCCTGGGGCACTCATGGTCTGAATCAGGTCGGCACCAGCAAGGAGGGCGACGTGAATACGCTTCTTCTCGCCATCAGCCGTCTGAGCACCACCCAAGACGTTGTTCAGCTCGTGATCGAAATGATCCAGCACCTTGACGGTAGGCAGGTACTCCTTGTGCAGCGGCTCCCAAGGGTCTACACCAATCCATTTGGAACTGTCCTGGACAGCAATCCGAGTCATGTTTATCCGGTGCTGGGCCGGAGCCAGGCCAGCCTTCTTGTAGGCATCGCCAACAGGACTGAAGAAGCCACCAAGGACCTCGTAGTTTGTTTCGAACTCGCAAAAGTCGGCAGCCTCCTCGAACATGCGGAGGTGGAGATTGGTCGGGGGAGAGAAGGAGCCGCAAGACACAAGGACAAGAGGCGTCTTGGTGGGATCGGAGAGGGAGGTCTTGAGGCGGTCGGTAGGGAAGATGTAGTTGTCGAGCGACATGGTGTGGGCGCCGTCCAGGCTGGCGCTAAAGGCAGGCTGTTGCGATGCGGAGGTCATGGTGGGGTGTGGAGGAAGAGGACGAGGAGGGAGAGCGAAGCCGGTGCCTAGCCGGGCGGTATGATTTATACTAAGGCTAGGGCGAGTGGGGGTTGAGTCAACAATGGATGGTGTGCTTAGACAGCCTGATGGACGATGGACCCAAGGCAACAACCGCGGCACAGCGCGGATGCGACGAGACAGGACGGCGGCGGGAGAAAACGGCTCGAATAGAGTGATGAGTGGGATAAGGTGCGTGGGGGGGACAAGAGGCAGAGGTTGGGGGAAGAAGGAGATCAAGAAGCAGAGGGTGATTGAGCAGGAGCAAACACGGAGGTGGTGAATGGTTGGAGTTTGATATCAAGACGGCAGGAGGTGAGTTTAAGTAACCAAGTACTCAAGCAGAGGATAACGCTGAGTGGTGAGTGGGTGGCTGAGTGGAGAGGGACAAACGGCGGGCCGGAGGGGAGCGATGGTTCTTATTCTTTGCTCAAAAACTAAGCACATCGCGAACTAGCTCGCCATGGTGCTCAACATGTTACAACTATGTCTTCGACGCCAGCCAGTGCTGGGCCAATGGGTCCCCGTCGAGGCTGCGAAGATCCGCCGTCAAGAAGTCTTTTTTGTCTCTCGCTCGTCTCGCGGCGGGGTTAAGGCACGGTCGAGATGTTTGGTGGCCATCCGTCCCCTGTCATGCGGGTAAGATCCACCCTGCATTTGAAACCTTTTCCGTCGCCTTATCCTCTCCCAGGCAAGCCGATAGCCGGTGCCTATGTCCTCAATCCATCCTCTGAGTCTCTTGCTGCGGGATGGATTTGCAATCAGGCCCATTAGTTGATTAATCCATCAGTCCATGAATGATCCGATCGGGTGGAGATGAGCGAATGTGGGCGATACCGCCCGTTGAGGCCAATCTCAATTGGAGCGGGGCTTCCTTTGGATTCTTTGGCGGAGTCACGTGGTGGCGAGGTTCCGTTTTCGGATTGTAGGTTGGAGTGAACTTCAGTTATCCAGCCTCTGCACCTCCACCACGGTTATTTCTTGAAGAATCATCTGAACAACCAGCTCGTCCCTCCATCTACTCCAGTACATATACATACATATATACTGAAGTAGATATGTGCAGCAATACCGTACGTCTATGCATCATCACGTCTTCGGCAAGTCGACAACTGCCGCGGCCCTGACGCAGTGCCCATGTACATAGGGACTTGGTATAATGTCGCGGAAACGCTCGTCCGCGGACCTCGTCAATATATGTTGTGGTCTTGTACAAGGGAAATTGGAAGGCGTGTGAAGGAGGGTCTGGGATGCAATTTGTTTTTCTTCCAAAAGTGTAAAAATTCAACTCTTCCAACCATACCTAGGTATGTAGGAGAGACAGGAACGACCGCCCTGGTCTCAACTTCAACCATGCACAAGTTCATGCCGGGAAAACCCCCCACACAGGCTACCTGGAAATCAAAAAGCACTGGTTCAATACGAGTGTCACAACATATAATTAAATATACAATCAGCACACCATTTGTAGGTGGTGGCACGGTGATAGCTCGCAGATGTCTCATTATCAATCACCTGGGCTGAAAGCTGAACAGTCCAAGTGTTCGTACTTTGCCTAGTGAAGTATTTACATATATAGTCATTTTTGCATAAAAGTCGCCTTTACTTCAACTCCAAGATTTCTTCTCATACACCATCTTGTCCTCATCCGAACCCATCGATTGATCAACATTTCAGAGTTTCAAATGCTAAAGTCCCCACAGACCGACCCCTGTCACGTTACCTCCGCCATCCTAGCTGGCGTCCTCACCACCGACCGGCCGACCATATCTCCAACCTTCAACCTCACCTCACCTCGCAACCCCGCTCAACAAACACCACAGTCACACCCTTTCACCCGCGACCTGACCAACCAAGTACCCCGATCGATATAAAATCGGCGCCGCTCGCTTCCACCCACCCAGCCACCATTCGCACCCGTCACGTACATTGCTATCAAATCGCATGTAACAAACGGGTAAACTGATTGCCCGCGCCGCTGCCCTCCTCACCGCAATCGCTCCCGCCTGCAACGCAACGTATGGCACCAAACTAAAGCCGCGACTGCCTGCTCATGGAAACAAAAGACCGCCCACTGGTCCAAACTCCATCTCCTACTTCGTCTGCACCCAGGTAAACACCTCTCCAGCTTTCTGCTTTCTTTCTTTCTTTCGTCACCACAATCCAATACCCTCGCCGCTACTACCACTGCCACCACCGCCTCTGGCCATCTGCCTATTCATTCTTTCATCCATCCATCCCAACCCACTCCAATCCAACCACCAACGCACAACCCGATACCCCCCCTCCTTCACCTTATCGACAAGCGAGCCACCGGCAACAGGTGCTCGGCAACAGCTCACACCGCCGCCCGCCTTTGCTCTTGCCGCCTGCCACACCACCCACCTTCCCACCTCTCCACCACGCCATCCACATACCACCTGCACACCTTCCATCTACCTGCCCTTTCTTTCACCCCCTCTTGTATCAATCGTCCTTCCGGCGGACCTCCGCTGCCGCCGCGTCTGGGCTGATCTGGTTGCATCCACAAGCTGTTTCCCCTTCATCACGTCACAACTTGAATTCTCATGTCGTCCAGGGTGACTCGCTCTGCTGCGAGGCGCTCAGCAGGTTCCACCGACTCCCCGCCCAACCATCCTCCCGCTCCTCCCGCTCCTCCGCCACCAGCATCCTCGTCTAGAAAGCGCAAAGCTCCCGCACGCGAGCCCACCCCCGAGCCAGCTTCCGAGCAGGTCCAGTCGCAGGCTGTCCGTACTGGACGTGCTAAGCGCACCAAGACCGACCCCCAAGATCTCCCCCCCGCCACATCCAGCTCTTCGAGAAAGGGCAAAGCAAAGTCCACCATGTCGGCGCCTGGGTATAACAATCCACCCCAAGTCGCTGCTACCAATGGGACGCTAATGCCATGCAGACGATCGACGGAGGGAGACGAAGCTAAAGCTGCCCCACCGGCGCGCCCTTCGTCATCAAAACGCAACAAGAGCGGACGCAAATCCGCGAATCCTGATAGCGGCAACTCTCGCAGACCCTCCAAACCATCAAACACAGACGTGACTGCGGATGGCTCACCATCGACCTCGCGAAAGCCCCATAAATCAGCTCCCAAATCGGATGACGACGATGATGATGTAACAATGGCAGATGCGTCGGAGACACACCCTGGGGAGGAATCACAGCCTTCTGGCTCAGGTCCTGGTCGGCCTTTTAGGAGCGCCGAGAGCCTCGCTGAAGCACTTCGGGCCGTCTACGATGACGACGACGACGAGGATCCAGAGGAGGACGAAGAAGATGACGAAGATGATGATGGAGGTTTGGGCGCGAGATTTCTGGGCGGCCGGCATATCTCATCAATACAAGCCCTTCGACAAATCACGGGTATGATGGGCGGTGGCACCCATCAGAAGCTTCGCGGCGTCCTCGAGCAGCTACGGTCGCCCGATGTCTCGGAGCAGCTGGTAGGGCTCACCGAACTTTCTCACACTCTGCTCATGTCGAGCGAGGATTCGCTGGCTGGCCACTTTTCTCCAGATGCCTACGTAAAAGAGCTCGTAAACCTAATGCAGCCCAACGACTTTGGAGAGGATCATCCCGAAGTTATGCTCCTTGCCTGCCGCTCTCTCGCCAACATGATGGAAGCTCTCCCTGCCTCTACGGCTAACATTGTATACGGAGGTGCTGTCCCGGTTCTATGTTCCAAATTGTTGGAAATCAACTTCATCGACCTCGCGGAACAGTGCCTAAGCACCCTCGAGAAGATATCCGTTGACTTTCCAAGCTCCATTGTTCGGGAAGGAGGCCTTACGGCGTGTCTAACCTATCTCGACTTCTTTGCTACTAGCACTCAGCGAACAGCGGTTACGACGGCCGCCAACTGCTGTCGCAACATCCCATCCGATTCGTTCTCCACCGTGCGCGATGTCATGCCCATCCTCAAGGATATTCTAAACAACAACGACCAAAAGGTTGTGGAGCAGGGCTGTATGTGTGTCTCGAGAATTGTTCAAAGTTTCAAGCATCAAGAGGATAAGCTCGAAGAGTTGGTCAGCCCTCAACTTCTGCGCGCGATTCTGAGACTTCTTCTCCCTGGGACGGCCAACATGATTGGTCCCAACATACACACGCAGTTCCTTCAGGTACTAGCCTACACGGCGAAAGCAAGCCCACAGCTGTCTGCCGAACTATTCAAAATGAATGTGGTAGATACACTATTCCAAATTCTCACCGGCGTCTCGCCGCCAGCTGACGGCGACAATGTCGCAAAGCGGATCGATACCGTGGTGATCATGCAAGCTCTCGTCCACCGCCCCAAGGACCAAGTTTATGAAACGCTCAATGTTATCTGCGAACTGCTCCCTGATTTGCCAAAGGAGGGTTTGACTTATGTGCAGGATCTCGTCGATGCAGGATACCCAGGTTCTCGACAGCCATCCCTCTCGAATGCAGAGACATCCACCAACGAAACCCGCATCAAGCTCTTGGAGGGTTGCAAACAGGAAGTTAGGCGCTTCGCAGTTGTTTTGCTGCCCACGTTAACCGACGTTTACTCGAGCACAGTCAACCTCAGCGTCCGGGAAAAGGTGCTGACAGCCCACCTCAAAATGTTTTCGAATCTGGACACGGACATACTAGAAGAAGCACTTCGCTCTGTTCCATACGCGTCGCATCTAGCTTCCATCTTCTCCCAGCAAGATCACCCAACTCTTGTCACCTACGCTTTGCAGGCTGCCGAGATTCTCTTGAAGCGCCTGGAAAAGGTGTATCGATATCAATTTTATCGAGAGGGTGTCATCTCGGAAATTTCTCAACTCGCGAATCGGCCCGCCCAAACATCGATTTCCAGCACAGACGATTCCAACAATACAATAGACGTGGAGTCGCCGGGCTCAGGGGGCAGCACCAGCGCTAGCTCAGGTGGAGATGCCGATGTAGAACAAGATTTGGCGGACGAAATGGATGCAGACATGAATTCTGGGGATGTTGAGGACCATGATCTCGATAACATGCAGATCGAACAGGACGACGACCACGACGACGAGGATGATGACGACGACGATGATTCCGATTCCTCCTCCTCATCTGGCCGTTACGCTCCGCCTACGCGCGAGACCACAGAAGACACCATCACGATCCGAGCCAAGAAATTCATCGAACTGCATGAAAAGGATAATTGTAAAACGGTGCGCGACAAATCTGCGCAGATTCTTGAAGACATCAGGTCTCTTGCAACGGAGATCAAGCAGTGCGTGCTGCAAAAAGGATCTGGTGACTGCGCCCAACTCTTTGCCCGATTGGCCACGTACTTCCAAGGCGACGCCCTCGAGAGCATCACTAGCTATGAGTTGATGACAACCAACGTCGTCGACGTGCTACTGGAGATCTTTTCCAAGCCAATCTCTGCAATGGAGGTTGATCCCCGTCCTATATTTTTGGGCGCCTTCATGGGCTCCAATGTGCAGAGCCAAGCCGGTAATGCTACTCCCTTTAGTGTACTGGTTGGCAAGCTCCAGGATTTGCTCAGTCGCTCGGAACACTTCGAAGTGGTTACTGTCCATCAACACTCTTACGACAGCCGAGGCAGTGCGACATCCATGTTGGCCAAGCAGTTGCGATTGAAGCTCGTTGCGGACGAAAGCTCCGGGATCCCAAAGACTTATCGAAACATCATGGTGTCTATACACGCCATTGCAACTTTCAAAGCTTTGGACGATTATCTCCGGCCTCGTATTGCCATCGCCGAGCAACCTCGCCCGTCTAGAACTCGAGACCACGTTGCTGCATATGCTCAGGCGCTTGCAGAAGGCCGCCCATCACACCCGCCGCCTCCTCATACGCCGTTAGAGTCCACCAATCGATCGCATTCGCAGAGAAAGAGCTCCAGATCGAAACCATCTAGCTCTTCCACACCCTCACAGGCTGGACCCAGCTCCACTTCACAAGAAAAGCCGCGACGTTCTACTCGACACCAGCAGACTCAAGATCCTCCACCGCCCCCACCACCCCCAATGCCACGCACAACCAGCGACCAAGATCCGGTGGAGTGTGCTGATGAGGAGCGGCTATCGGACGGAGATTCTCTCGATGAGAACAGTGCTTTGAATACCATTGTTGGCGAGTTGGAGGATGAAATGGAGGAGAGTGAGGCTGACCCCTCTGCCGTGAGCGTCGAGGTAGCATCCACGGGTAAAGTGACTGCCCATAAAGAAGACGGAACTAGGGTCAGTACACCGCTTCAAACCCAGCCCGTGACCAAAGCTCCGCCCTCTCAAGATCGAACATCCGCACGCTCCGCCCTATCTTCGTTGTTGGCGCAGTCCTCTGGCCTTCGAGATTCGGTTGGCGCTCTGTCATATGCAGCTGCTGTGCAAGCCATCCCTCAGGATTGGCACATCGAGTTCAGTATCAACGACGAGCCCATCGTTAACGATACTACCATATACCGTGCTGTGCATTTCAGTCAGTCAAGCGATGCCTCGCAACGTACCGTGTGGAACGCCGTCCACACGATCAAATTCAAGCGTGTGTCCGGTCCTCCTCCTTCAACAGACAAAAAGTCCGTCTCTCCATCCCCAGAGTCGAAAGGAGAAGGAGCAAAGATGCCAGGCTCTCTTGACAAACACCCGGCGACGTCGGGCATTCTGAGACTGTTGGGTATCTTGCACGATCTGAATGCCAACCTGGACGATCTAATCACCGATCATCGCGAGCAACTCCAAATCAGCAAGGAGCCCGCTTCACAGTTTGTCAATACCAAGCTCACTGCCAAGCTGAATCGCCAATTGGAAGAGCCACTCATCGTAGCCAGCAATTGTCTCCCTAGCTGGAGTGAGGATCTGGCCCGTCTGTATCCCTTCTTGTTTCCATTTGAAGCGCGCCATCTGTTCTTGCAGTCTACTTCGTTTGGCTACTCCCGATCGATGACTAGGTGGCAGAATTCACAAGCAACAAGCGACTCCCGCAATGACCGTCACCGGGATGAGCGACCTTTCCTTGGCCGACTTCAACGTCAAAAAGTACGCATATCGCGCAGCCGCATACTAGAATCGGCCATGAAGGTCATGCATCTCTATGGACATATTCCGAGCATTCTCGAGGTGGAGTACTTTGACGAGGTTGGTACTGGTCTTGGACCGACTCTGGAGTTCTACGCCACCGTCTCCCGGGAGTTTTCCAAGAAGAAACTGAAACTTTGGCGTGAGAACGAGTCCAATCCCGACGACGAATACGCGTTTGGCAAGCGTGGTTTATTCCCGGCTCCTATGAGCGCCAAGGAAGCCGAGGAAGAGAACGGTAAGAAGGTGCTCGAGCTATTCCGAGTACTGGGTAAATTCGCCGCTCGCTCGATGCTGGACTCTCGCATTATCGATGTGTCGTTCAATCCTACATTCTTCCGCGTGGGAGACGGCAACACCGCTGTCGCGCCCTCTCTTGGAACAGTCAAATCGGTCGATCACGATCTTGCCCAGTCTCTCCAGCTGCTGAAGCAATTCGCGGACGAAAAGAAGCGAATTGACGAGGACGTCAAGTTGGACGCCGCCCAGAAGGCGCAGGCCCGCAGCAATGTTGTAATTAGTGACTGCCGCATGGAGGACCTGGGCCTGGACTTCACACTGCCCGGATATCCAATCGACCTGATCGAAGGGGGCCACGATGTTCCCGTGACTATGGATAACGTGGACCAGTATATGGAAGCGGTGCTTGATGCCACACTTGGATCGGGTGTCCAGCGTCAAGTGGATGCTTTCCGTGCAGGCTTTTCTGAAGTCTTCCCATACTCGGCACTCAATGCATTCACGCCAGCCGAACTGGTGATGTTATTTGGTCGCGTCGAGGAAGATTGGTCTCTAGAGAGTAAGTTCCTCGTGTTGCTCATGATATGAACTATACTGACGTATGCCAGCTTTGATGGATTCGATCAAGACCGACCATGGCTTCAACCTTGACAGCAAGAGTATTCGGAATCTGTTGCAAGTGATGAGCGAGTACACGCCGTCACAGCGCAGGGACTTCCTGCAGTTTATCACGGGCAGCCCCAAGCTCCCCATAGGAGGTCGGTTCACAATACATCATCTGATTGGATCTACCGCTAACTCTATTCTAGGCTTCAAGAGCTTGACTCCGATGTTCACCGTGGTTAACAAGCGACCCGACCTACCCTACACACCCGACGATTATCTCCCCAGTGTCATGACGTGTGTCAACTACCTCAAAATGCCCGACTACAGCAGCATAGATGTCCTCAGGGCGAGGCTCGGTGTTGCAGTCAACGAAGGCCAAGGTGCCTTCCATCTTTCTTAAGCACAAATTATCACAGCAGGGCAAGGCCGGAACCCAACCCTTAAGATTTACGATATTATCCCATTGGGAAACTGGCGCGTGGGTATCATTCCGCAATCCACCTAAAGAAATGGATTTGCGATCTGGGGCATCTACTAGGCGAATGTGTATCTTTTCCCTTGACATCAGGAAGGCGGGTGGATGCATGGATGGAAATGGGCAACGGTTGTTTCTTTCGCTTTCTTCGCTCGCCATGGTGCGAGTTTGTGTAAAGGGCGATTTGCATCTGGACGCAAAGTTGTCCCCGGCGTTCTCTTTACGTACTGTGTACATTCCAAGGCGTACATAGATACGAATGGATCTCTTTCTTTCCCGAATGATGTTCGTAAGCATGGTGCCTACATGAATCAAGGGCTGATGTGATGGACGTGTTGATATTCTTTGAACTGACGTGGATGTATTTAGTGCCAGACTAAAGTTTGCACTACCAGCGTAGCTTAGCAGCAGTTGACATGAGCCTGGTTGACGCGTGACGTCTTTGATTCTCCGGGACGGGGTGCAAAAAAATATTCCTTGCTGTAGGCATTGAAGTACTCAGGCACAACAGCCCAACTGCTGCAGGCCGGTCGACATCCAACTGCTTGCGCTTCCGCCAAGACTGGCTTCGGCAAACCTCACCCACTGAAGCGCATGGTAATTGCATCCGTCGCCTTGTACACCACCCGCACAACCAGCTGCTCCCGTCTTTCACCCTTGGGAATAAAGACAACTTTTCCCCGAAGCCCTTCAGTCTCTAAAATATCCAACTCCCGAGTATGCAATATATCCAGCATCCACGGCATCGCATACAACATCAGACGAAATATGGTTGATACTCTTGCCAGCCTCGAAGTATGCGCATCCAGACCCGACACGTCGGAATAACTTGCATTAGTTAACCCTCCGCAGAAGGAATATTGCCCTCCCTTGGATCCCGCACTCATCCACGCGCTATACCTCGATTACAGCGAACAGCCCGATGGCGTCAACGCTCTGCGAGCGATACTGCACGATTTCAAGCACGCTGCGGCTGCCGAACAGCTCACCGACTTCGACCCCTCAGGCAGCAGCGGGCTGTCACCTCGCGATCTCTCCTCCCAGCATGGCTCCGATGATGCGCAGTCCAACGTGAATTCGTGGGCCTCGCAGACCACAGAAACGGATTGTACTGGACTTTCCGCCGAGCTTGCTTCGCTAGACCTTAGCCAGCGATCGGCCTCGGGCTCTGAAGACTCGTGGAGTGGCGGGTACTACAAGGACAGTGACCATTTCGACACACCAACCAAGGAAGTATTGCTAGCGGAAACGTTTCCGAGTCTACGACTGCAGCTCGTCGCCTATACGTTGAAAAAATGCGGCAACGATTTGAGCCGGGCCACAGATGAGTTGCTCAACCAGGTATATTTAGAAGATGCGCAAGCAAGCCCAGGCGAAGAGTCAGCTCCCAGAGGCATCGATGCTTTTTCTGAGGAGTTTAACGTGTCCAGGCGCGGCAAGAAAGGCAAGAAGAAGAATAAGAACGCCAGAAGGGTGGCATATGATGAGAATTTCGCTGCGTCGGAAGCGGGCTCGTACTCTGCGCCGCCACTCAATAGGTGGAGTGATGCTGATAGGGATGTCGAATTCATCGTTTCCAGGACCAGCCTGTCCGCCAAGGTCGTCACTTCCCTTTACCACAAAAACGGCGCTTCACTTGCGCTCACCATCTCCGTTCTGATTCAGAAAGATGTGACCGATCATGCCACGCAAGAACCTCACGCCAGCCACATTCAATCAGCTATCGATCTTGCTCGAGACTTTCCAAATGTCGAAATGCCTCGTGCGATAGCCCTTATCCGGCTCACCGACCCATCCACGTCCAACGCCCACCAGCTTGCCAAAGCTCTAACCATTCACCCTTCTACTCGACTCCCTTCCACCTCACAACAGCACATCATTCCCCGTTACACCCCACTGAATCTCTCAGACCCAGAACCTGAAGCAGCACCTCTACCGTCCCTTCCTCTATCGGCCACGCCCCACTCCACGACCTCTCTCGCCACAACCCGCAGCCAGGCCTTCAACCAAGCGTCAGTTGCATACCGCAAAGGCCGCTCCAACCCTCTCATGCGCGCTGCTGCGGGCTACTACTCGCAAGTTGGCCGCGACGCGTCTGCGAACTTGCGCGCGCACCGGGAAGCCGATGCCGACGCCTTTGTGACGCAGCAATCCTCTTCTACAGTCCTCGACCTGCACGGCGTCACCGTGGCAGACGCGACACGCATCGCCAAACAGGCCACCCGCGCCTGGTGGGACGCCCTCGGTGAGCAACGTATCCCTGGTGGTGGGAGGGCCGGCGTCGGTGATGGGTACCGCGTTATCACTGGTGTGGGGAGACATAGTGAGGGTGGCAGGGGCAAGTTAGGTCCTGCGGTAAGTCGAGCATTGATTGCGGATGGGTGGAGGGTTGAGATTGGATCGGGCGAGGTGCGCGTTTTGGGAGTTGTGAGGAGGTAGCGAGATATCCTGCCATGTCAAGACTGGAAGGGAACAATGTATGGTATCTATTCAATGCTGAATGGCCATGTATTGGGCTTTTGTTGGGACAGATGGATAAAACTCCAAATCAAAATACTGCGGGGGCTACATCTCCGTATGTATGTATATATCTCTGTATACACAACCAAGAACATGCATACATAACACAGAAAAAACCTCGATCGACAGCAATGCATATTCTGCTGATTTCCTGTTGCTTGGTATACTTGTCATTCATGTACCTACCAATCAACCCTTCCGTACCTCATCTGATCGATGTGTCTGTGATACTCATCATTATGGCAATTCAAGCACTTGACCGTCTCTTTGTTGCGCTGGGTACATGTAAGTATCTGATGCTGGTGAACCGAATGAAACTCCTAATCAGAACCCGCTGAAAGTATTTCAATTAATCTGCTTCAATCTCACCTCTTTTGCCTAATTACTATTCCTCGTTGCAATCTTGTTCTCAGTGCTATCCACTCAATAGTTTCAGCCTCAAAGCCTGAGTTAAGCGTTGTTTGTTGAGCCCCAGACCAGATGGTTTCGAAGCTGGCCAACTAGCAGCACCCATTCGGGCCTAATGCCAACCTTGTTTCTACCTACCTACATACACACTCCGATCACCACCCCAGCAAGGACCCATCATCCCGCTTCCCTCCGCTTCGCTGTCCTCCCGTTCCTCCCGTTCTCGGTTCACAGGTTTGATCGTCGAAATGAGCCATTCATGCGTTGGTGACGCGTCGTGCACAATGACAGCGCGCGAATCGCAGTCTATGTAGCCCGCCGTGGGCCATCACAGCCAAGATGAAACGACGCACGTCCAGGCCCTGTCAAATGGCGCCAGTGATCCCAAACCCAAACAGTCACAGGCCGCCGTTACGTCGGGTAACTTACATGACGTGCTTGGTAGTTTGAAACGGACTCCACCGCCTGTGACGGTGGTAAATCCTGGTGTTGCGGGATACCTGGTTTCATCCCAGGTTAATGTTCAAACAACGCGGCCTAGCCCCCCGCTGCTGCAGCTGTCTTCTCCGATCTCTATAGGAGAATATGTCCTGTTTAGGCTGCGATTTACACCAACAGCAAAAGGCCTTGTATCGCCTTCCGTTTGGCATCTGTTTTAACGGATTTCACACATCTTGAACAACCGAAGTAGCAGACTGGCGGCAACGGAACCGGACATGTACCACGAATCCAGCACATGTTCATATGAGTGGTGGACATTCGACAAGATGTGTAAGCCCTGCTCTACAGCCCCGTCACGGATCGACGCATAGTTGCCGCTGGCGGGTATACTTTTCTGAGGAAGACAAGCCTGCATCATGAGACGGCGAAGCCCTGTGATGTGGAGAAAAAGCTTATTTGTGCCAAGTTACGTGTAGGACTCCTGCTCCGTTTGACTTGCCCCGTGGAGTTGGGTTCCGCGAGACATGACCCTGTCCCGTCTCTGTTCTAGATTTGCAGATGCCTCTACATCGATGGATCCATCTCCTTGATATATATAACAACGGATCTTCCATCCTCACAAGCGATCATTCAATTCATCCTTTCCATCCCTCCCCCTACTCTCAATTCACCGGGTCCTTATCCTACTGCTGCTAGTCGGCCGGATACTTCTTTTCTTCAAACCCTTTTTTCAGTTTCCCTTGTAAATACCTATATCACTGCAGCGCAGTCATTCCTTCAGTTCTCACATTCTCTACTACATCTTCACATCTTCATCATGAAGTTCTCAGCATCCGTCGTCGCTGCATTGACTGCAGGCGCCCTTGCTGCTCCCGCACCATACGTCCACAGCCGCCTGTCCAAGAAATATGTCGATCCCAAAGGCGACTTCACCGCCAACGCCAGACGTCAGATTCCCGGTCTTGATGCATTGACAGGAGGTGCTGCTGGCGGACAGGGCAAAGATGCTGGAGCTGGTGGCGCGCTCGCTGGTCTCTTGGGTGGCCTGGGTGGTGGTGCGGCAGGAGGTCAGGGCAATGGAGCCGCCGGAGGTGCTGGCGGCCTGGACGCTCTTTTGGGTGGTCTAACTGGAGGTGGTGAGTTAAACATGATGTTGGAGGCTCGAGAACATTGAGGCTGACTTCTTTTCGATGTAGCCGGCGGTGCGAACGCTGCCACTGGTGCCACAGGAGCGAATGGGAAAGGAGCTGGAGCGGCTGGAGGAGCGGCAGCTGGGAACGGTAAAGCCAACGGAGCTGCTGGAGGAGCTGCTGCTGCTGGTAACGGTAAAGCAAATGGAGCTGCTGGAGGCGCAGCTGCTGGTAACGGCAAAGCTAACGGTGCCGCCGCGTCAGGTAAGTCTTTTCCTTACTACCAATACCTACATTTCTAAGACCTCAAACTAACATATCATAGGTGTCACTCCCCCAGGTTAGTTCCCGCTCTTGATGGCCCCAATTATACTCGAAAAAGAGACAGCCAACTAACACATGTCTGCTCGATAGCTTCCGGTACTACTGGTACGGCAGGAGCCGCAGCTGCAAACGGAAAAGCCAAGGGTCAAGGAAATGCTGCCGCCGCCGCCGCCGCTGCCCCAGCTGCTGTAAGTCATCATGAACATTAGACATATTCAATTTTTCTCATGCTAATTCCTACAGGCTGGTGCTGCCGCCCCCGCTGCCGTGAGTCAACACCGCTCCTGATTTGCTCAACTCTCGACTGTATTCTTTAAAATTATCCTCAATACTAATACATCGACAGGCCGGTGCCGTAGCTGGTGCTGCTGCTAACAACGGCACGGCTGCTGCTGGTATGTACAATCGCCTGTTCCTTCTCGCTTCTTCTCTTGTATCACGATTTGAAGAAACAGCACTGACTCAAATGACAGCACCTGCAGCAGGAGCCGCAAAGGGCAAAGCCAACGGAAACGCCAACGGAAACGCTGCCGCCGGGAATGCTGCCGCTGGTAATGGGAAAGCGAACGGAAACGCCGCAGCTGGTAACGGAAAGGCTGGCGCAAACGCTGCTGGCAATGGAAAGGCTGGCGCAAACGCGGCTGGTAACGGAAAGGCTGGAGCAAACGCGGCCGGTAACGGAAAAGCCGGAGCAAATGCTGCTGGCAATGGCAAGGCTAACGGTGCTGGTGAGTGACAGGTCTATCCTTCTCTAAGCAACTCGCAGGTCAAAGATCTTTTCTGACATATTCAATGAATAGCTGGTGCCGCTGGTGCGAACGGTGCCGGTGCTGCCAATGGTGCTGCGGGAGCTGGAAACGCCGCCAACGGAAACGGAAAGGGTGCGAATGGAAATGCCGCTGCTGGTGGTGAGTGATACTTTCATCCAGGCTATGTCATAGAGTTCGAGAAATCTTGAAACTGACTTCGTTTCTTGCATTCATTTAGCCGCTGGTGCGAACAATGGAGCAGCTGCCAACGCGAACAACGGAGCGGCCGGTGCCGCCACAGGAGCAACTGGTACAAACGGTGCGGCCAACGCTTAAACGCCTTGCCTCGCACGATCTATCCGCTCTCTCACATCTCTATAATCGATTCACGCCGCCTATCACGCTCGCTGTATCGGAACCCTGATACCCCAGAGATATCCACCCTCACTGTGAGACACCTGTACACACACTCAAACCCTTATACATATATGTATCTACCTGCAACATCGTATTTAGAAAAGTGCCTTGGTTTGTTCTTGGTTTTTGGAACTGGAATATGACGAATGGAAATTTGAACATGAACATGAATCATTCTTTCATCTTCCTACGAAGTCTGTCGTTTACTCGCAGGTTTATAGATAGATATCTAAAATTATTAATGGATTAAATGAATATCCTGACTTCGAACCTCTGTCTTTGCGATATTATCACAGGATTGTGCTTCGTGCTATGTCGTGTTCAATGGTTTACCCAGTAATAATGGCTATAAAATAGGACCAAGCAGAGCAGGCTGTTATCATGAGGTATCATTCAATGTTCAGGAATGGTTGTGCAAGATAGCACGATGTTTTTTCGGGGGACAAACAAACTGTAATGTTATTGTCCAACCAATTTTGCAAATAAATCAAGAAAAAGAAGGTCAAGGCATCACCAAACGCATCACATTTCGTCGTTTATATGCCAGAAAACACTGTACCTGCGTCCACTTTGATAATAAACGCATGCTGCTACTCATCAGAGTTGTGACCCCTCGTCAATCTTTCCGTTTTCACGCAACCTCATCCACATAAGCCCCACACGCTGGATACCGATCCGACCTCGTGATCGCACTTACGAGGTTTGGTTTAACTTCGTAGTCTCTGATATCTACATCCCGCCTATTTAGCTCACGAATATTTACTTCACTGCCTTCGCGTTTCTGGGATACGAATACTTACAGCAGAAATCTGTAGTGAACAACATAATCGTGAAACTGAGGTCGTCGTAGTCTTTTACAGCGCACTGGATATTCACGGTGTCGTTTTGGTGGTAGACGTGTGTGCTAAAGAGTTTTGGGATTAAAGTCAGCAGTATTCGAAACAAGCAGCGGTTTCAAAACGCTATCCAACCCCAAGAAGCTACAACATATTTTCTGCAAATGAAAAAAAGCTGCGACAAATATACGTACACATTGGTCCATCGATTATAGAACGACGATCCAGTCGTGCAGTTGACAGGGTAGTCTTCCTTGATGATGGTAGGCCACAACCAGCGGCGCTCCAACGACGAGCGTTTTTCTACGTCGTTGCTGCCTGGGTTGCTTTCTACTGTCTCGTTCTCGGGGCGAGCGCCTTCCCAGGAGGTTCCTGTGGATGCGACGGTGGAATTTTCTGGATCGGGGAGGTGCCACTCTGGCTCTATGGTTTCGAGGACTGGGCCGCAGTCTTCGATTGTTTCGGCGCCTAGGAGTACGGGATGTCAATTGACTATTTCTACCGTTTTTGCGGGAGGGTTTTAATTGGTATTCTTGTAAATTTGAGTGATGCATTTGACTGCGTGTTCAAACGGACCGGAATACAGAAGTAGCATGAATGACGTACCAGCAATGGGATAGAGAGAAGCTCCGTAGACGAAGCAGTTACCGGCTGTCTTATACCAAGTTCTGTAGCTATCATCAGCATCTCGCCATCACATCTGATCCAACTTCCACCACTCCAGATAGCGGCATGGATCATTTTCGAGCGGCATAATCATCCACTTACGTTGTCCCATTCTCCAGCGGATCCGAGCCTCGAAACGGCGCATTCGGTACCACACAAGTGACTTCCAGATCAACCTCGCTCTTATACATCTTGGTGGCTAGTCTCTTTTCCGTGCCAATCGGACCGTACGATGGGCCCGTCCAGCATTCGGTGTAGAAGCGCGTGCGTGCTGGAGTGCGGGTCACGTGTTGTGGGATTCTTTCGCAGTATGGCAGGCTTACGGAATCTAATGGGATTTCGAAGACGCGGAGTCAGCAATTTTTCCCAGAAATAATTACTTGCAGGAGGAGAAGTGAGGATTTGGTTGCGGAAGGACGAACAGTCGCCATCAAACTCTACAAGATCGTATTGCGTCACGTAGCATACGTCGTCAGTTCTGAGCCATGTGCTGAATCATTCGTAAGCATTTAATCGTTCGGTCTCGCGAACGTCGGCAACTGACGTATCACCAACAATCTCGTCGCCCTCGGTGTAGCACTTCAAAGTCATGTTCGGTTTGGTCTCGGGATCGTAGATTACTTTGTTCGTGCAGAGATTGTAGGGGCATCTCTTGCATTCCGTCGGATGGTCTTCAACTGTACTCGGAATATCCGCTGCAACGAATGCGACGGCACATAGCCCTGTAAGAAGAGTGTGCAGCAACATTTTGCTTCCTGTGAAAACTGCGTTGAATCGAGTTTCAAAGCAGATAATCTCAACTAAAATTGAGACGCTTATTTTTTCAATGTCCGATATACAAACATATCTTATATTCATACAAACCCCGCTGCGAGGATACACAGCGGATAGATTCCCAAAACAAGAAGCACAGCGAATCCGTTCTAAGACTTTGCTCTATGCGCAAGGCTCATCTACGCATATTAAATCGATGAAGTTCTCCTGGGCCTTATGCTTGTTGGTGTGGCCGGTTCCCGGCTATTATACGTTGATTAGCTGGGCCTGCACGCGTGGGACTACTACGTATAGGATCTACACAGACGCGTATGTAAGACGTTGCTATTTCGGTCGAAGCGTTCTTGGGTGAGAAAAAAGGCGGACTGGACCTGCATATATTATTTAGCCGGCAGGCAACAACACCTGTCGTTGATGTCTTTTCGTACATTTCCTTTTTTGAGGTTCCGGGGTTGGGGCGGATATCCGAACATGACCGCATTTTCATCCAAGACGACGGGAACATCTCCCTCGACAGCTTTTAGGAAGGAGAATAGTGGAGTTCACGTCGAGCATGATACCGCACTATACGCATCGCATGCGATTGAGAGAACTGGAATCAATCGATTCTACGCAACACGAATAACTGAACGGAATAGTAAGTTGTGAATCGACCTCCATTAGTGAACATATACAGGCATGTGGTCTCCAAGAAAAAGGTGTTGCAAATCGACATATGAGTATCACACTCTAAGTTGAGAAATGCTTTCAATTACAAATGAGTACAACGAGATCATTTATTTCGATATTCCATGAGCTTTATAGGTCATAATACCACCGAAGATTTTCCTTACAATGAATGCAAAGAGTAAAAGATCCTCCTCTTACGCGAAACTATCACAAACAAAGTTTTTTTTTTGGGAGTTACAGTGTTTCCTACACTGGAAAGGGCTGATAAAATGACAAACTAAACTTGTCCTCCTGATTCAGGACGCGCAGCAGACTTGACTATGCCCCGCTTACCAATCGGTCACGAATCTACAATGTAGCTCTCGGTCCCTCCCCACCAGTCTTACTCGCCATCTTCCCAGCCTCGACCTGCGTCCAAACAGTGGTGAACCCTGTCCGGACAGCCTGCTTGACAACCTCTACAGTTGTCGTGACGTGTGGGTCCGCTTCCCATAGGGGTTCATAGAGAAAACTACGTTCTGGGTGACGTTTACCGAATTCTGCTCCGCCCCATACCGCAACCACGAACATCGCAATAATAAGCGCCCCTCCGACAAGGGGAATTCCCCAGGACCTGAAAGTTTCATTGGCCCAGAGGCTTTTGATGGAGTTCTTGAGACGGGACGCTGCTGGTGGGCGTGGTGGGAGTGTTGGAGGGATGTTGAGTGGACCTTGGTGGGGGTTGAGGTCGTGGAGGGGGAGAACGGTGGTTGCCATCTTGCGTTTTTTAGAGACTTGTTGCCTTGTGTTGTATTTCTAAGCTTGTTTTGAACCTCGGGGTTTATGATGTACCCGAAAGACAGCCGTGTTGAAAAGATTGTGGGGAGAAGTCGAGGAGAGTGGGCAGAGCTATAGTTATGGGGGAGCTTAGTCTTCACAATGTGCGGGTATGGTGACTCAGTCGAGTAAACATTGAAGACTGGTGGACATTGTGCGAGGCATAAGAATTCTCGAATGTGCTATAGGCTTGTTGAATGATCAGAAACGATGCGCTGTATCTTTATTAGCTTGCTCGATGTGAAGAGGTGTTTGTTGTGGACAGAAAATGCACATGTACTGCAAGTCGGCGTGAAATAAATTTTAAATACGAAATTGCTTCTTCTCTCAACTTTGGGAAATGGAATGTCTGATCACGGCTGACATGTCATTATAGCACAGCTGTATGTTTTTTGAAGAACAAGTGATGTACTGTTTATCTCGCGCTAGATGTACGCCTCATTCAATTATGTCATCCACATGTCTGTTACGCAGCCGTCGCCTCTTATTCCCATAGATGTCTCACTGGTCTGGCATCTAATAACATACAGTCGAATATCAAATAAACCGCCTGATAGCGTGCAAACACCTATAGTCTCTTCGCCAACACAAACTCTTCAGAACTTGATAAAAACGCCCATTACAAAGAACCAAAAATGATCTATACTTATATTTAAAATCATCGAGCAAGACTCCATCTGTATATCATGTTGAATACAGCACGCACCCGTCGAGACCCATCTTCGAAGAAGTTGCATGTAGCAGATAGAATGTGCTAGAGAGGATCAACATTTCACGTTCTCATCCACCGCCCCATCCAATACCCCAAAAATATGCTGGGGATAATAAGGAGGAATGATATAGTGGGAGAAAGCCGTATGTCCGAAGATTCAGGTGGCGGAGACGATGGCGATGGAGTCTGGAACTGGGAATCAAACGAGAATGACATTTCATCGAGTAAATCCAAGATGTCATCACTACTCAGAAATTAGTAACGCTAAGAGGGGAAGGTATGTGGACTTGCGCTGAAGAGTTTCCCCATAGGCTATCAGTATCTCTGGGTTCTGTGGGCTCTGCAGGCTCGTTCTCGCTTGGTCCTGTTTGGTTTTTGTCCTCTGGCTCGGGCTTATTGTTTTTCTCGGAATCTGTCGGCATAACTTCATCGGATTCTTTCGGCTCTTCTTCTTTAGGTTCTGGGGAGTCGTGCTCAGGTTCAGAGGTTCCTTCTGGTGTGTCAGACACTGTGGACATGGTCTGTGCCATCGTTGGGGTTAGCTGCTACTAGACAAGCTTGGATAATAACTGAACAGGAGTTGAATTACTCTAGAGAACTACAGGCGCGAAACCTGCTTTCTATAAGCCGTGATATGCTAGCTATCGTTTGCTTGAGGATGATGACTTGCTCTGCTGAGAAGTTATCCAACAACAGGGGGTCAGCTGAGACGCAATTAATCGTGCTGATATTTGTTCTCAAAACATAACTGCATAGATTCAATGGATCTTTCTGGTTGTTGCTGCTGCACGCTTGCATATGCTGAAATACAACCTTTTTTCGTGCTGAATCACGATATCAATGTTTGCCCACCCTAGGATCGGCTATCAACAATCATTCATGGCTGTATATTATGCCTTGATCCGATTAAAAGCCTTAAAACTATGTTAAGATGCTATTAAATAAAGAACTAAAGTAGAAAGAGCAGTTAACGTCCTGTCCTCGGTTGGGCCCTCCTCAGCAATGAGTACAAAGAAACGGTGGGCACCCTCGCATCATCTGGGGGTGCTTCAAGGGAAGAAAAACAAAAGCATAATCCTGCAAAGAAACAAGAAGAACTAAGTATCATTGGCTATAATGGGGAAGGGTCATATCCATCAGCAGAGCTTGGATTGGGAAATCACAGTAAAAATTGGAATGCGCACGTAAACAGCTGCATTCAACCTTCCTTCAAATGTTTTCGCATGTAGTTATGATCTTGTAGACACGTAATTCCTAAACATTGTGCATTGATCTTTTCATTGATAGCAAATCACAACACATCATGTTGCAATACAAGAGATATCCAATTCAGTCAATAGAAATGACCCCGGAAAAATAATCGATTCCTGTGTCCTTTTGAACGCCGCCATCTGACCCAAAATGAAACACCCTCCCCACCTTCTATACAACAATCAACACCCAAAACACGTCCAGAGCCCCTGTCGAACATCACACTTCCACCCCACCCCCTTCCCATCAGCCCTAGCCGAGCACTGCTTCAAACAATCGATTTTGTTCATAAAAACACCCAGAGGCAAACACTTACCGCCATTACCCTGTGTCGGTTTCGGCGGCGCGCTCGATGTCTTCGTAGAAGACGACGCAGGACGTTGAGTCGAAGACGGCGCTTCCGAAGGCTTTGGAGTAGCGCTAGAAGTGGTGGAAGGTGTAGGTGTAGGTGTAGATGTAAGTGTAGGCGTAGGCTTAGGCGTTACTGTCCTAGTCCTCGTAACCTCTACAACGGTCGTGGACCAATTCGTCGAAAACGTGGTGGCCGTATGCCAGTGCGTGACTTTGGTGCTGTTGTTCCGGGATTCCATTTGGACTTGTTGCGCGTGCGAGGCTAGTTTTTTGCCTAGGAAGAACGCGGCGACGAGGGCGAGGGCTGTGAGGATTATTCCGGCCACGGCATAGAGTATGATGGTTCGCGTGCGGGATTTTTTGGGGGGGCCGGATTGAGATTGAATGTATGCTGGGTAGTGGGGGTGGTTTGGGTCTGAGTGGTCTGCGGGGAGAGGGTAGGGGTCGATGTTTGAGAGCTCATGGAGTGTGAGGTCGGAGGCGGTGGAGTCTAGGGATGGGGAGCGGGTTTTTGAGATGGACATTTTGTTTAATTCTTCTTCTTTTTTTTTCTTGCGTAGTTCAGCGATGAAGATGAAGAAGTGATTGTGGTTCTTTAGGGGAACGTTTATCATGTTTATCGATGAGGGTATAAGGAAGGATGGGGGTGGGGAGGTTTGTGACCAAAACAATGGATGCGTTGTGGTGTACATGCATTGTGTGTTTGCTGTGAAGCAAAGTTGGAAGATTCCCTGACACCGTGCTTCACAATTGGGACCGACGTCGTTCAACTTGTCTAGGGCTATTCCGCCCTCGTATCATTCTATCAATCCTTTTGCTTTTAGCTTCAAGTAGTTTTGCTCTACTTTCGCAGTTTTCGTGAGGGAAGTCCGGTCTCCCTCGTCGATGTTAGACTTAGGAATAATATCTTAAGTGCACACGCGCACAAATAATGAACTCGCAACTACCTCTTCCCCCTCCTACCTAATCATCACACGGCAGACTACACTTCCTCGAAAACTCTCTTGAAAATCCCTTTACTCTTACACAGGTTCAGCAGCCTCAGCCGCTCGTTATCCAGATGCGCAGAGTCGCTTGCTTGGCCGCAAGGAAGGTGTGCAGCGGGGGCGTCGAACTGCTTTTCCAGAAAGCGAATCGAAGGGATGGATCCTCCTTCGCGGATATACAACGGTTTCTGTGGGGTGGTTTTGGATCCCGCTTCCGATGCGGGTGCGGTGTGGGGAAAGTAGGAGGCTGAAGGGGACAGTGTTTTGGGGTTGGAGTTGTCCGTGGTAGAAGTGGTGGAAGTAGAGTCAGCAGGGCCGTAGGCGAGGGTGCTTGACGTGGTGGGAGAAGGACGGTGATCGGTTGTAGTGATAGGTGACATTGGCTCGAGTCCATTAGTTTTGAGGGGATTGGCGGATGAACGACGGCGTTCAAACTGCTGGCTTCCAGGAACTTGGGCCCACTCAGATATGATTGCGCTTTCGAGCGTTTGGAAGATTTCGTTGTTGAGATCGCCGAGCCAGGGCTCTGCCTGGTGGTCGATGGTGACGGTGATTGCATTTTTGGAAGCAAGGCTGAGAAATTGGGATTCGAGGAAAGATTTGAGCGTGGCGGCGACGGCGGAAGCCTCTTGATTGGGCACGAGACGGAGCGAGAGCGAGGCGCGTGCCAAGCGGGGGATGATGGTGGAATTCTCGGGACCGGAGGTCTGAAAGCGATGGATGGTGAGAGAAGCTTCGCGCCATCTCCGCATGAGTGATTGGGCAAGTTCTTGGGGGCTGCCCAAGTCTGGATTACTACGAAGAAGCGATTCGGCGATCTCCGCATACAGGTTTTCTTCTTCTTTGGTGAGGGGCAGAATAGGGTCGTAGAAGCCGGGGATCTCGACTTTTCCGTGTGGTCCGGTAAGTCTGGAGAGCAGCATGACCAAATCTTTGAGCGGCTCGTCCAGCAATGCACTACCGTCAACACCGCTGTGGAGATCTGGATGCCTACTTTCAACCTGAACAGTCGCGTGAATGACTCCACGAAGGCCGTAGGTCAAACATGGCACATGATCGTCAAGCCAGTAGCTGTTTGCCAACAATATCCAATCCACATCACCGATAAGGTCTTTGTTGGCTTGAATTGCCTGCGCAAAGCCGCGAGAGCCGCTCTCTTCCTCACCTTCAATTAGGAATATGATGTCTGACCCGAGACGTTGTTCGCTGGCAAGCTCTTGAGCTGCGTATATGGCAGCCATGATCGGTCCTTTGTTGTCTGATACTCCACGACCGTACAGATAGCCATCCTCCCCTGTCAGTGTAAAAGGATCATGCATCCACTTGCCGTGCTCGTTCTCGGCCGCAATCACATCGTAATGGCCGTAAAACAGAATCTTCCTTCTCTTTCCCGCTGCTGCACGATTGCCCTTGAATTTGGCATAGACAATGGGATTGTACGGCTCTTCGGTATTGAGCATTTGCGTGGCAGCACCAAAATTGCGGAAGATGCTACGCAAGAATGAGGCACCTTTCCGGCACGCGGCGCGATACTTTGGTAACGAGGATACGGTGCGGTGACTGATGAACTCGCTGAGTGACTCGACCATGAGATCATTGTTGCTCTTTCGCAGGCTTGCATTTGACCCTGTGCAGTCTTGAATGTGCCCCAAGACAATGGTGCTATCGTTGCCGCCCGTCACAAGAGTCGCCTTGCCGTTAAATGTGGTGTGCGCGGAGGCCAGAATCAGACCGGCGTGTGCTCGGAAGCTGGACAATGGCTCATAGTTCTGATTATATTTTTGGACATGACCAAGTTTTCCACCCGCGAATAGACAGCCGGATCCCACGCTCAGGGTCAGAACGTCACCGATGTCTGATTTCAGACTGCGGACGAGTTGGCGGGTCTCGAGATCCCACACATTGACCTCACCATCGAAACGACCACTGTAAAGGAAGGAACCGTCCCGCGCAACAGATAAAATGGACTCTCCTTCCTCGCGGTCGTCTTCCAGGGTGTAAATGTTGGAGATGGCTCCGCCATTCTCTTTGTCAATGCGCCAGAGCACAATACGACCGTCTCCCCCACCTGACACGAGCACTTCTTCGAAGGGGTTTTCGGGGAGTATACCAGTGCCTACGAGCATGCAATGCACATAGCCATAATGGGCGAATTGAAGGACGTCTTGCTTGTCTATTTCCAAGTATTGCCCTCCCACAGCATCCCTCGATTTGCCGTCTGCGCCGTTTGGTTTAGGCGTCTGTACGCCGCCTGGACCAGTAGAGTCGAAAAAGCGGTTTTTGCGTTCGGAAGGGTGGGATGCGAGGGCTGGGGGTGGACGGGCGTCTTTCTGCTTGAGGTCATACCACTAGTAGGCGTTAGTGCACATGCGCTGGGGGAAGAAGAAGGGTGGGTGGTACCTGGATACTAGTGTTTTGAGCTCCAAGATAGACAACTTGGTGATAGGAAGAGTATGCGACGCAGAAGATATCGCCGACATCGTAGGGCGACCATAAAGCATACAGACGGCGAAAGGTGGTGGTGCACCAGACGTTCACGATGGGATCAGTAGCGCTGGAGAAAAGCAGTTTCTGGTCCTGTGATAGACAGAGGCCCAGCACGCTGCCGCGGTGGGCTTCAATGACTTTGCGGCGCTCATACGTGTCGAGGCTGTAGACGAGGATCTCGCCGCCTTGGGTACCCGCGAAGATGAATTGGCCCGACACAGCGAGGGCGAGGATGGACTTGTCGTGCTTCATGCGATGGGTGATGGCCGGTGTTGATGCTGTCGCCGTCTCGTCGGGTTGTTGGAATCCATTGGAATCCATAGCGGCGCCTTCGTCATAATGCTGGTGGCGAGGGGGAACTGTCATGGACGGTCAGATGAGATTGAAGTCGGTCGTTGACTTGCAAGAGCGTAATGCGGATGAACATGGGCATCGCGTCGCGTGGGTCATCCCCCCGCCATTGGGCCCCTCGATCCATCATCGTCTGGTCCCTGGCTAGCGGGTGGGGTCCTCGTTCTCCTCCTATTTCCCCGACTCCATCTCCATCAACAACACCAGACAAATCCAGCCGGTATGCAGCTATACTTTCTGCCGTCGTTATGTGGGTACGTATCACCAGGATACGGAATGGGGCAACATGACCTCTGTACTCCCCATTGGACCGCATTCAAGGGACCATGTGAACAGCACGCACGCGACTCCAACACTCCGATGAGAAGACGGGTAGGTATAACAACCTCCGCAAGGAAATGGCAAACACACCTTTCAAATCCTGCCTCCTCGTAACCCTCAGATCCGCCGAGGTAATTGAGCGCATGGTAGCAACGCCCCTACCAGCCGATCCGCAAGCCGAAAGGAGTTGCAGCGCCCGAATCGGAGTCCTTCGTCGTAGTAAAGATGCGCTGTCGCCCACCCGCGACAATTCGGAATCTACACCACCAAGATGATTGTCACCATCGATTACAACATCAACGTGGTCGTCTATCAATGTTGATGATGCGGCGGAATCAGATGACAATGCTATTGTTGTTGTTGTCGCAGGTGGTGATCTATTCGAGGAGGGTCCAGGCGGCGATGGCTCGTGCTGTAGCGATAAAGGTAGAGGCTGCGATTGCGGATGTTTTTGGTGTTGGAGTGGTGGTGATGAGTTGGTGGTGGTGGATAGGGACATGTATACGTCTGCGAATCATTAGGCGGCTCCTCACACCGCTATCTCTCTTCGACGCACCCACGCGAGGATATTCTTTCTTTGGGCTGCGGTGCCCAAGATTGGACATTGGCGATCCGTGCGTTTTGGGATGGCGAGATTGGACGATACGATGGCGAATCTCCTTGCCCGATTCTGTTACCGGTCACCGAGAGTCTTGGGTATCGTTATTCGTATTTTCCTATGGCTGTGGGTTTTGGACGGATAGGTTGGAGGGACTACATATGCCGATATTCAGGAATGCGTGTTGAATATATTGCTTGTTCTTCTCCCTCTTTCTCGAATTTGCCGTTGCTCTCTCCGTCGGTTGCCCTTTCTCGAGTACTGCGTCGTGTGTTTTTATACTTGGCTGCACAGAAACCCTATGTGCTACCCTCATCTCCTTCACGTCTAGTCCTCGACACTTGATTCGCCCAGTCTTGCCAATGCGTGCTCAACAAACGCAATTCCGCCATGTCCAATGGAACCCCTCGAGTCTGTGTAACTAGATGTTTTCTCTCCATATGGGAACGCAATATCAATTAATACCAGAGGGCACTGACGTCGCAATCAAGCATGAGGAAACTGCAACAGCAGCAACTATCCGACGGTTGATGCGTAGCTGCATGTAATTGCACGCCTGTATAGTGACTTCCGCATCTTTTAATAATGTAAGCGAGAGCCGTCATCTCATCCTGTACGATCGCGGAAAAGGACATAACACGAATTTACAACTTCAACGGGCTTGCTTTGGGAGAGTACCATATCAATTCGAAGCGGAAGCTGGTCTCCATGTCTGTGTCAATGAAGGTAACAGGGCAGAGGCTCGACACTTCTTGCACACTATCACCCCCTCGAATACCATCGTCCAATGAATCCCCGCAGGGTGCTTCGCCAAAGTATCCAGCATTTCAAAATCTCAGCTCTGACTGTATCGCCCATCTACCTAGTTTATTGTTGTCGACGTATCCGCGCTGACAATCGCGGGTGTCATCATGGCTGGCTGGCTGGCATGACAGCATGCAAATGTACATGTAGCATGACATCCAGAATAGCACTTGCGGAAAAAATCACAAGAATCCATGCAATCGGCTCAAATCAGTACCGACGATATCGATGCCTGTGCCGTAAATATCATGGAATATCCAAGCCGAAACTCGACGACATGACGACAACGGCATTGTCCGGAAAGTACTGCCTTGTCCCCACCGTAATTTCCCCCCCTTCTTCTCTACATTACACATGTTTTGCAAAGAAAAAAATTATCGGGTAGCGATGCGGGACAAGCAGGGCATGCATGCATTCATGCATGTATATGCAGGTGCTCTGAATTAGCCGAACGTCGTACAACAATTACATGCGTACATGGTGTACCTATGCGCTGGCTGAACACTTTCCGGGGAATGCGGAGCCAAAAAAATGGCGTGGGCTCTTTGCGGTCGGATTGGACCGGCTCACGCAATGTAGTTGGGTAATGGGCATGACAGCCGCTCGTGGTGGGTGACACATGGCCTTTTATAGTGAGGCTTACCCACCGTTCTGGGTTTTCGGAGTTGATGGTGTCATGTGAGGATTTGGGCTTTTTGTTTAGTATGGTGACGCAGTTGTTGGGCTGGGGTTGATTCTTATAGTGTAATATGTCTATGTGAGTTGTTTTCTTGGTTTGTAGGTGGTGATGTACGGGGGGGAGTGGCATCGACTTGGTCGGTGTACTCCTTTGGTGGCAGGCTGGGCCAACGGTAGAGTACTTCCAAAGTGGAACTTTAGCTTGTTAAAGTATTACCGTCAACTATTATCCAGTTGTTTGTCTTATATCATCTACCATATTGCAATTCTCCTCCTGTTTATTTCCACCTCTGACTAGTTGTGCACGCGGCTTTGTAAAAGATATCTAGATGATACGGAACAGACTGCACAGTACTGATATTGGTGGTCTTCATAGTAATAAACAGATGATGGCCAATTGAACAGCGGTGCGAGCAGGCCGCGGGAGAGGAGTGGATAGGGGTGAATGAGCTATAGTCAATTATTACACGTGGAACAGGGGTTTAAGTACGAACGAGGGAGATCTATCAAATTCTATGTTGGAAACAATTGGGCTCCGATAGAAATGATCTATAGGAATTGGTTAGTGGATCAGTGACAGGGAATCGAACACGTATCTGAACATCGATTTTAGATAAGGGACACAACTTCGATGGCAATGAAGACACGGAGAATGACACGGAGACCGGGCTCCAAGGGCTTTTGGGAGACAGTTTCGATGTAGGAACATATGACAATCATCAAGGAAGGTGCTCATGTGGAAATTGTATCGATGATAGTATCAGCTCTGGAATTACTTTCTACCCTTTCGGTCGTGGCGGAGTTGTTATATGGCTTGCTCGGTGTAAAAGTGCAAGAGTTTTGAAGACCTGGGAAACAAGACCAATGCTACGTGGCTGAAGCGCAACACTTCTAACTTTGAAATTGGCGGCACTATCATTGCTGTTGGGTGGGCTATATGCAAATCTGCTGAAGAGCGATATGGTTGACTAGGTGGTAACGGGTCTATAGAGGATGACTATGGGGAACAACTCTCCAAACTGTCCGCTTATGATATAGACAGAGAAATCGATGCAACAGGCTACTGTTGCGAGCGTGAGTATAATGTTCTTACAGAAGATCTTTGTGAATCGAAATTTCGAGTGAGGGGAGTGCAGCATTGGGAGACACGGTGCGTTGAGGGGAACCTCGATTCCATGGTATGCTAGAACAGCTGGTGTAAAATTCTCTCTCATTCTCTTGGTATCAGTCAGATTATGGAAGCTGAGTAGAGATTCCTTCTCCCTGAGAAAATAGCGTATTGTCCACATCTCTTTCACTCCGCCTGTAGATTGCTGTCTCAAGGCGGCTTAGCGCGTGAACTCCAGCCATGATGCTAGAAAGGGCTAGACGTCTACGTGCCTTCCCCTGTTGGTAATGGCAGTCGCGACTGCTTCCAGTCAGTGCTTGCTCTGATGTTACCTGTCTGTGGCGGCAATCCGCTCACCATACACCATCCTTTCCTCCACCCCAAGTTAGCCCAGCGTCACAGTGCAACGGCGGAACCATCTACAGATGGCTCCTCAGAAACGCTGCGGGAGCAGCTCCGTAAAGGATGAGCCACCAGCAAAGATGGTCAAACATGAACAGATGCCGAAAGAGCACGAAGAGTTCAAGGTTGTGGTCAAGATTCCTTCCGAGGTTGAGCAAAGCGTCGAACCCCAAGGCTTTCCAGAGGCCGGTGACAGTGACGATGAGTTTCTGGCTTACCCTGCTGCGATGGGAGAGGTCGAGGTCGACGACTATGATAGGGCCAAAAAGCTGCCGTGGTTTAAAGAAATTCGGAGCGTCGTTCAGACGAAACAGCCCACCGAGAACGGCGGCCCGAGCGAAGTAGGCTCCTGCGTCAGCGCTTTGATACAGCGTGACAAAATACGCATGAGATTCCACAGTAGTATCGACATGTCAACCCCAGAATCTTGGACTATGGGCTACGCGCTGTTTGATCGATATGGACGGCTGAAGCCGGTTTACAAAAACCATCCATTCAAATCGGGCTCCCGCATCTGGGGCAACGAGCTGAGCACCGGCGACATTCTTCTCGTGGATACATTACGCGTTCAGAGAGAGCATTGCGGGAAGGGTCTCGGCCAGAAACTTGTCAAAGCGGTCCTCGATGAAGCTCGTGCTAGGACGGATCCTCGAACATTTGTGGCAATTGCTCGCACGGCAAACATGGATTCAGAAGTCAGGGCTGGATTCCAAGACAAGGGAAATGAGGAAGGCACAACCTATTCTGACAGACAAGAGTTACCTGCTCGATGCTTGTTAAGATCTCTGGGGTTTCGACGCATCGGATCCTCGCAGTGGTTTGCTCTTGCGGAAGATCCAAACCACGCTTGCCACTCGTTATCCGCCAACGACGATTTCGATGCGCCCAAAATGGAATACCACACCAATACCACCATGATGGACCTTTTCCGACAGTGTCGTTTCGCCCAGGGCGATGGTGCTCGCCTGGAGAAGATGCAGCGCATTCTTGGGTCCTATGGGGAAGAAGATGACATATGGACTTCAGCTGATGCGCAAGGAAACAACATCCTGCACCAAGCAGCGGGTAACGAGAGCCTCATATGTGTGGAGTGGATTCTTTCAAAATGTCCCAGGCTATGGAAGAGCCGGAATGGGGAAAGGGAGACTCCATTGGAATGCTGCGAGGCGGTTCATGAGAAGCGTCGTACTCATTTCTGGGGCGGGAATCTGACCCTTGCCCGTTCGGATGAGTTCGCAGGATACAGTGAGGACTATGTGAAGGTGCTCTGCCTGTTGAAAGGGATGGAAAAGCCACAGAAGATAGATTTGCTTCGGCTCAAGTATGGCTGCACGTGCGGACAGTGCCTCAAAGGTATCCTGAGCTCGCGCATGCGATACATTCTCCAGGCTACAGCAGAGAGAGAAAGGTACAAATTGGATTTTTGGGTTTGCCCTGTGCAGCTTCGCATGTACCTACCCCTGACGGTCACGGCCAAGCTACGCACCGACAGATCAATATGGCGAGGGATTGGAGCTCTGTTTGATTCCTTTGCAAATTGCCTGCGGAACGACAAACTGCCCACTACTAAAAACGCGATGGAAATGTGTAAGGCGTCGAACGAGTGGGTGTCGAATACCAGGGATTATCTTGGGGGTGATGAAACGATCCAAGCTGTGGGCTCTGCCTTGTTTGAACTGACGATGGAATATTGGGTCCAGGGCAGTGAAGCGTTCACGCGGATGTGTTTGTCTGATGATTTCCGGGGCTTGCCAGTGTGCCGCAACGACGATGAATTTGGGTTCGTCAGTGGTATGTGTGGCTACAAACGTGTTTCGAAACAATATGGTTAGTCAAGAAAGGGTGATTTTGTTTTCTTCTTGTTGGTGTTTCCCTCGGGGAGGATGACGTGGGACACGTTTGTCATTATTTTGCTCTGGATGATTTTGTTCAGTGTGCATATGCATGGGTGGAGACTTATGCAGAGAATGATGGAATATGAGGCGAAGAAGGAACAGCAGGGCGGGATTTTTATTATTGTTTTGGTCGCGGGGGAATGCAGAGTGACGTGAGCATGAGCAAGCAGGAAAAGGAGATGGATCAATCAGCCAGCATTGCAGGGAGTTATTTTTTGTTTTTTTTTTTTCTGATCTGGCATGAGAGCCTGCACGTGCATATGCACAGGTGCAAGAGTCGGATCGCTACCGAGAGCGAGGAAGAAGGTCACACAGGCGGACGGGATATTGATATGGATAGAAACGGCGGTAACTGTTAGAGCAGGAAAATAGGAGGGGAAAAAATGGGGTGAGCGAATAACCGACTCAGGTGCAGAGGAGGTGAGGCATGGCGATACGCTGGCGGTCGGGGCCGCTAGGGTCTTTGCAAGTTAGCCGGCCCTTATACCATTCATCTCTGTATGGACTATGTACACATGCGCTTAGTCGACATCGCGGGATGAGATGGATAGGCGAAGGACAGGGGATTGCCATTCAGCCTCTAACAGCGCGACACGCTTTCTTTGGAATCTTTGAATGGAATCCTTGGTGGTGACGACTTTTCCGATTCCCCGGCGCATCCATCCATTCAGCCACCGTGTAGGTATTCCCATGATGATGATTGATATGATTGATAGATACGCGCCCAACCCAACGGCAACCCAACATGCATCTCACATTGGACTAGGTGCTACACGTAGACTGACCAGCTTGCCAACTTACAATACAAGGTCTATACATGCTCGAGTACATGTAGTACCCAGGTGCCCCTCTCTTTTCTCCCCCCTCTCCTTCAATTCACCCCAGACTACTGCTACCTGCCTACTTAGCCACAGCAGCCAGCCAGCCTTACAGCCGACCACTACTGGGTACATACTCACTTACGTACTCATCCATCCCCCATAGCCACACACTCTTACACACGCGCGCGCGTCGTCCCAACTTCTTCATCCCATCTCTACTATCCTCCAAGCAGTCAAGTGCCCTGTCAATCTGCCGTGCGCGCCGGCAGGAGTGGATAACGCGAGAGTGGAGCAGTCAGCGCCGCCAGGCCAGCCATCGTGGAACTGGTTCCGAAGCATTGACTCGTTTCTTGACCGCCTTCCACTTACTCACCTACCTCTTCCTTTCTTGCTTGCTTGCCTGTTGCGACTATTCCATTTCTTCTTCTTCTTCCTCTTCTTCCTTTCTTCTTTACATACTATTCCCCCCGGCCGCTTGTTGATCGAGCCTTCACCGCATTTCCCGCCCTCTTCTTTTCACTCTTCACCCATCCATCCATCAAATACACATCTCCGTCGCTCGCAACACTTTCCTCGCCTCTTGTCTTGCGCCATCTCTGTCCCTGTCTGTCTGGTAGACCCCAAAGGAACAACCTTCATCCGGCGCCATGGGCATCGGCGAGACCATCACCGTCATCAACAAGTCGGGCAAGGTCGTGAGCAGCGTGAGTGCAGTACCCCCACCTCGACTTCAATAATACATGTGACTAATGGCTGAATTCCATTTCGATAGAGCAAGCACATTGTTGGCGTCTTCAAGGAAGCAAAGTCGGCTTATCGCGAGCGCAAAGCCGAGCTCAAGGCCGAACGCGATGCCGCGGCCGCCGAGCACAAGAAGCTACGCGACGACATGAAGTCGCTGCAGCTCGACGATGACGCGCGATCCCATGCCTCCAAGCATTCCAGAGCAAACACCCACCGCTCGTCCAAGTCACGACGTCACCACTCGCGTCCCCCGCTGGAGCGCGGTTACACCGACTCCTTCTTCGCAAACGACCCCGAATCCCCGCGCTCCCCACGTTCGCGCTTCGAGCAGGATCTCGCCAGCCATGCCAACCAGGCCCACGCCCGCGAAATGGTGCGCCGCAACACAGAGGCCTACGCTGTCGCCGCCCCGCAGGAGAGGACCACGCGCTCCCGCTCCGAGTCACATATTGACATGGACCTGGCCTACGGTGACTACATCCCCCCGCCTCTGCCTGTCAAAAGGTACGAAGACGGTGAGCTGCGCGAGCAGGCCTCCAAGCTCACGCGTCTGCTTGAAGAGGCCAATTGCCTCCAGCACTCGGCTGTCACCACCATCGAGAACCTCCAAAAGAATCCCGACGCCTTGGCCGCCGTTGCCTTGACCCTGGCCGAGATCAGCACCATGCTCGGCAAGATGGGGCCGGGCGTCCTTCTCTCATTCAAGAGCGCTTTTCCGGCCATTGTAGCCCTGCTCGCTAGCCCGCAATTCATGATTGCTGCCGGCGTCGGCGTCGGCGTGACCGTTGTCGCCCTCGGCGGCTACAGAATCATCAAGAAGATGCAAGCGAACAAAGAAGAGGACCGCATGCTCGAAACCCCTCTGCAAGCAGCACCTCCCATGTCCGTCGAAGACTCATTCCACGGCCTTGACGAGCTCGAGCCTCCAGAGCTGGGCCGCATCGAGCTGTGGCGCCGCGGTATCGCCGACGTCCAGGCTTCCAGCAACGGCACCTCCGTTGACGGCGAATTCATCACCCCGGCTGCTACCAGGCACCTCGTTGCAGAGGGCATCTTGGACGAGGACGATATCAAGTCGCGTCGCAGCACGCGCTCGCGTCATAAATCCCACCGCGCCCCGGAGTCGGTGCGCTCTGAGAAGACGTCCAAGACGGCCAAAACGGCCAAAACGAGTAAATCAACCAAAACTCGCAAGACAACTGCTTCTACCGCAGCCAGTGGAACTACTTCGCGCAGCCATACCGTCAGAGAGAAGCGCGAAAAGGAACCCTCCCTGGTGAGGCAGCTGTTCCGATCGCGTACCGTTGCTTACTAGTTGGGGGACGGGCTTCTTTCGCCTGATTGTCCCTGTTTTTTTCTCGTTCTTCTTCTTCTAATCATCATAGCGTAGGCGTTTTTCCTCTCTTGATTCCTCCACGTCGCACGTTGGTCTTGTTTCTTCATCTTTCTCTGTGTCTATCATCATCTGCATCTCGATAAATTTTTTCTTCTCCCTCTAAATTTTGACATATAGCACGCACTCAGCTCAACTCAAGTCATAGCGCAAACATCAGCATCTGCATAGTACCCCATGTTTCCGCCTATTTACTTTACATTTCCTATAAATGTTCGTCCAAGATCTCTACGTATCCATCTACATCTACATCTTCGTGTATGGGAGGCGCTAGGGGGATGGACGTTCATTTCCCACCGAAGCATGTCCCTCTGTTTCGCACTTCATCGTCCATAAATTTCTTGCTTGCCTTATTATACGTTTAGACAACCCAATTTCCATAGCGGAAAGTGATGGATTCACGCCAATATCCAATCTTATACGTTCATGCACTACTTTATTAGCATCTTTTGTTTTCAATGTAATACTGGGTGACGAACTGACTACCGGACTTAGGTGCATTCGAGAACTGACATCCAATGCAATGCAAGCTCTTTGTGTGTTTCTTTGTCCTTGGAGTGCCTGGCACAAGGTATGATATATTGACAGGTAAGTTGAAGCTGGTACGCATCACCTCGATTTTTATTTTATTTTCTTGGTTTATTAAATGAGTAACCAGGCAGTCTCCCTCGGCTGAGATGAATGATGGGGCCTTTGATATGCATTCTAGCGATTCATTACTGGATTGCAGGCTGGGTATTCATCATACCCTGTGATGAGGGGAATTCGACTGCGTTGTGAAAGAAAATGGTTAAGACAAATCCGGCGATCATCAATGCCTTTCTTCGTCAAAGAAAGAAACACCAGGAGCCGGCAAGACAGTCTTACACCACTCCAACACTGCGAAAGAACAAAACAATCTTCCCCCTCATTGTAACTTTACACAGTTTTCACCTAGGTTCAGTTCACAGATTTTGACAGACAAGATGGCGGCAATCGGCACCCACGTCCAAAACATTCCACATCATCTCACAGCAGAGCAGCTGGATGCGAACATTTGGGAAATGCTTCAAATGCGGAAGGACGATATTCCTGACTACCTGCACAGGGTGTACTCTCGGAACCCTCATCTTATATCCGCTATCATGAGACACATCAACTATCGAGGCGAAGATTGGACGCACTGGAATATGCAGCCGGGAGATTTTAGGTTTTTTGCATTTTTCAGGGTCCTAGAGCCTTTCTTAAGGGAAGTTTACGTGCCCGTTCGGACGAGAGTGGAAGAGGCAGGGGCTTCTATTGATTGGGGGGCTCTGACCAGCCAGCTAGACCGCGTACGGGAAGGCCTTCAGAGGATGTATTACGAGCGCCACGCTGATATAAGCGTGGTTGGTTTTCGGAGAACTCTGAGGTCGTGGTATGGAGCAAGATCAAATGATGTTCTTAGACAGAATTCTGCTGCATGGGCTGGGCCGGTTGAGTATTTCTGGAATACGATCGATCGATTACAGTGGTCCAACCAAACAGACGGGCAGAGCGACAACTCTGGAAACACACCTCTGCATGGCCAAAAGTTTCAAACGCTGCCTCTTGAGGACCGCATCCAGAACTGGCAACAGTCTGTCGACGAGGTTGGTCGGCACAGTGAGTTGGTGCAAAATCTCGTCAGAAGCGAGGCGTATGCGGTCTTGGTCTCCCGCGACCATAATGCAACTCGTAGCGGAGGACGAGTTGCTGAACATATCACTTTCGTCAATCGGGTCTTGGCCATGTTCAATTGGAGTCTGCGAAACATTGGGCCAAATTCGTTGAATGAACCGGAAACCGGCCGTGTGGATATTCGAGCGGGGTCTAATGCTCTTGAAGAACTTCGAACAGGGTGGCGCCGCCGTATTCAAGGGATGCGACGGGTTGAATACTCACGTGCAGATCGACGCCTTCAAACCCTCCGAGACCTCGACAACATGTTGGAAACTATGGCGATAGTGGAGGACGACGCCAAAGTAACTTCGTTGCTGACTGACATCGTCGATGACGAGTTCTGGAGTTTCACCACATTCAATGAGCAAGTGTTTGAATCCGCCGTCGAGGCAAACTCCATGTTATTCGTCATCAATCGTCAAGCCGGTCCTATAGCGCAGGCCTTGAGCAGAGACTTGTACTCCAACACCCCTCAGCGAAGGGCCGTCGTGGATTATCTACTTGGCTACCGCAATCCACGGATTCGATACTTGTGTGCGATTGCAATCGAACAGGCGTACCCTCCCAGTCAATGGAATCAGCCTAAGAAGCTGTTACGAGTCGAACAGCCCGCAGACCCCGGACAGCCTGGGCAACCTGGACAACGCAAAAAAGGCAAAAAACGCAAACAAACCCAATATAACAGCCCCGAACCTTACCCACAAAGCCAGCTCATAGCCTACAGCGATGGGGAGGACGACCATGCAATCCGTTTCCATTCGAACCTCATTAATGAGTACCTCGATACGTTCCAAACCGACGAACGCGTCCGCTGGTTCGGCCACGACAGACCAGGAGAAGTCACGGAGAGACGCCTACCAGGTGACTTATTCCGAGATGTACGTGCAAGAATCGACAGGCTGAACTCCCCCGCCGCGCCTCTTACAAATTCAGTCTTCATCGACCCTACGCGTCTCCCAGGCCTCGTCTTGATGCGACGTCACTGGCACCTAATGACTGTAATATCCGCCTTCCCGCCCGAGTTCCTCGTCCCAGACCCAGTCATCGCAGATCACGCGTATATGGGTCCCGTCTCGGATGCAAGCGCAATAAACCAATGGAACCCCAATCTCCTGCGCGCACTCGGTCAGTTGGCGAGGCGAACTAGTGGTCGCCCCGAGTTCGCAATGCGACTTATTGCTGATGCCATCGAGCGGAGGGCTCATGCTCCAAGGAGCGAGAAATCAGAGCCTATAGCCGGCGAAGGATTCTCGTTGACCAACGACGGGGGTGCATTGTACTGGATGGACCTTAGAGACGTTATTGTGGCGATGAGGCTCAAGGAAGGAGCGGCGAGCGCAGACCGCCGACGGTTGACGGTTGCGGCCGGGCTCGTTGGCGACGAGATGCCTGGAGTCAACGTGATTGATTCCGATCATGACGATCAGTGGTCTTACGAGGACTTGGAATCGAATGATAAAGAAGATGACCGTGAAGCCAGTCCGTTCTCGACGAGCGAGGAAGACGGTAAGTTCACTTCTTGTCCTGATAGCAGGGTAAACACATAGCTGACTTTGAACACAGACTCTGACGATGGCTCTAGCGGGGCTCCTCTACGCAGTAGTCGTAGTCCTTCTCCTCGGAACAGTTATATTCCTTCTCGGGCTGCTCCAGCAGGATCGCCAAACAGTCCACGCTGGAGTTGGCGACGCAATCCAGAGCCACCTGTACCAGATGACAGTGACAAAGGTGAACCAAACGAAGTGGCCGGAGAAGAGCCTGAAGATGATATACCCAGCTCTCAAAAGACAATTCCAGATGATCTATATGACGAGACTGCTCACAATGTCTCATCTGATTTCCTGGGAGATGGCCCACCGCGCGATTTAAATACACCTTTCTACCATCCAATTGTAGACGAACCTACCCGTGGAAAACGAGGCAAGCAAAGCAAGAGGAAGAAACCAGTGGACAAGAAACCTGTGGACAAGGAGCCCGAAGAAGATATTCCCAGCTTCCAAGGAGACGGTCCACCACAAGATCCAAACACCGCCTTCTACCATCCATATGCGGATATTGACCCTGGTGATAAACGTAGTAAACGGGACACAAGGGAGGAACTTGTGGACGAAGATACAGTGGGAGATGTAACTAGCTCCCAAGGAACTGTTGAATCTGACATCTTCCGCAATACCCCGCATGTCACAGAAGTGGATGAGGAAGACGAGGAGGATATAGAAGATGACGAAGATCCAGAAGACGACGAAGACCCAGAAGACGAGAATCCCAAACGTGGTCTGAACCGTCTCGCGTCGCCTCCAGCCTTCATCGAAACACGTACAATGCGCTACCCAAAGCCCGATACGCGCTATGCGTTCCGCGGAAGACACGCCAGTTCTATCCATGGTCTCTCGCCCATCTCGCCTAGACTCGAGGCCGTGATTCAGAAGCGCAGGAATCGGCGCCGTATGAGTTGGGGAACAAAGTCGTTTCATCCGCCATATCTAGGATCAAGAAGGAGAAAAGGGTTCATGGACGATGGCGACGATGGGGAGTTTACGCCTGGCTCTTCATCTGGCAGCTCTCTTGGCTGGCTTGACGACTATCGGCCTGGTGGCCCTAACGACTGGTCAAAGAAAAAAAGGAAGCGAGATAGTGGACACTCTGATGGGGAACCTACATTTGATCCCGCTGGTCTGCCTGTCGACGGTACTAGTGACGAGGAAGATGCTTACATTGGCGGGATCAGTGAAGTGGTAAACTCATCAGATCGCTGGAAGAGGGCGAAGAAGAGAAGGAAGCTTGGTGAGAAAGACTCTGCCTTTGTCCCCCAATTCCCGGTCACGCTTGGCCCAGGGGATTCATGGGAGGCCCCGGTGGACGAGGACGATGTCGTGTCTGACGACGATAATATCTATCCTGATGAAGTGAGGCAACTTCTAAACAAAGATAAAAGAAGAACCAGGGCAAAAACTGCGAACCCTGATCGATCTTATGTGCCTGATCCTCTCGAGGATGCTTCTACGGATGATGAGTGGGATGTGGATAATGCAAGAGACAAAAAGGGGAGGCGACGTGTGAAGGAAGCCGACAATTCTAAACTGGTTTCTGCCGTCAAAATGGGTAAACCAGTTGCGATTAATGATGGGTTAAAGACGCCTGAAGAAGCTATCATCCGCGAAGTCCCTGAACCGAAACGACCCAGGATCAACCGACATCGTAAGCCTTCGCCACTCACTCCGTTCGCCGACAATGAAGATGCACGAGCCTTCCAATCACCAGGAGACACTTCTCCCACACCAAAGCGACGCAGAACGAGTCGCTCGGGCGCTGTGACTCAATCTCCTTCTAATAAACCTGCTGGATCCAAACTGCACACTACCACTTTTCCTATGCGTTCAAAGATGGATAGATCTCGCGCACCCTCACCTCCAAGCATATCGTCGCCGTCTTCTCGCTCGAATCTATCCAAGATCCCATCTCTTTCGTTCCTAGACAAAGTCTACACTAGCCCCGACATATCAGAAGACGAAGAATACACAACCGACTCGGCTGGTTTTGCATCCCCTGCTAGTCTTAACTTGTCTGTTCCTTCAGCAGATAACGCGTCGCAAAGTGAAGACGGCGATGCTTTAACACCTTCCAACATCTTACATCCAGTCAGCTCACACTCAGGATACGCACTACGTCCCTCGGCCGACACTGCAGCACCTCCTTTAGATACAGACAGCAGCAGCGAAAGCCAGCGAAACAGCGACGGAGACAGTATACCCACAGCTAGCACCGCTTCCACGGATCCAAATAGCTTTTTCAACAATCTGCCATTATTACCTCGTCCCGGCTCCCCATCTCCGTCGCTGGAGGTCAATCTCCCTTTATCGCCGCCTGAGACTGTTGTAGAGAATCATACAGGGTGGTTGGGCAAACAGGATCGAGAAGACGAGGCTTTGCAGGATTCTCTGGCGCAGGAACAGTTTCTGAGTGAGGAGAGAGAATGGATAAGCAATAATGGTGCTGTTAAGAGGGGTGGTGGTGGAGAAGCCGTGGCGACGGAGTTGCGTGTTGTGCTGGGGAAGGGAGTGAGGATCAGGCTTACCTCTGAGCCTTTTTAAGCTGTCACTCTTCTTTTTTTTCATACAGTATAATGTTTCGATCCTGAGATGCGCGGACTATCCGTTTCTTCAAAGTATTTAGTATACATTGCAATTAGTTCCTGTGTCTTAATGACTTTATTGATTTTCATCTACCTCGACAACAATTGTGAGAAATTGTACAAGATGAAACACGCATACATGGAAAATCGATCTACAATGCATAAGAACTTTTGCGGTAAAACATATACAGGAAGATCTTTGATCCAAATATAATTGATCGGCAAAGTTCTTTCTCCTCAGCCACATGTTCCTACAGCATTCGTCGGCTGCGAATGCTTGGGGGGCGAATAAGTAGCGGTAAGATCTACCCAAGTTTTCGCTTACGCGGCTTCCAAACAGGAAACCGTGGCTGTGCATGTCGTGTCGCTCGCATCTTACCTGTCTTACATCTATCGAGGTTTGGTCCAAGGTTTCGTCCCTATATAGCCGCAATCGGCTTGATCTGAATATTGCAGAAAGAAAAAAGAAGACAAGCTCTACATGGAATGATGGAGATTCTTCATTTCTCCGTTGGTCGCGTGGCCTCGCGGTTTCTCGCCGCTTCAGAGTCGATTAAAACACCCACTCAACATTGTCTTCGCTCTTATTTGCAAAAGCCACATCATAGCACAAGCCGAGTGCCGTTGTCTTCCTTACGCTATCAAGTTCTGCGACAGGCTGAATGTTTCAATGTATCGCCACTAATCAATCTCTCCCGCGATATACAACTGAGACCTTCTGCCACCCGAGCTTGCCTTCGCAGTCAGCAGCTCCAAAGTAGCACGGGTGGAATGGAGCTTGCAGTAGCATTGATGGCTGGTGTTGTGTTAATTGCTACCGCTTTACCGGATCGTCGAGGCCTTCAGTACCCTCCACTGCACAGCACAAAAGACAGTATCCGTGTACTTAAACTACATCCTGGCTGTGCGCGGGACACCATCAAGTGCAACCTCAATACAGTCGCTTTCTCCGAGAAACCCGAGTACGAAGCTCTTTCCTATGCATGGGGAAACTCGGGCAGCACGAAATCGATCATGGTGAATGGCTCGAGAGTGAAGGTCAAAGAAAACCTCTGGCAAGCTCTAGGACAGCTGCGCCATGCTACAAAACCGAGGGTGCTATGGATCGACTCGTTATGCATCAATCAGGATGATTTAGCCGAAAAAAATCGGCAGGTTCCTTTCATGGCTTTTATATATGGTCGGGCCCAGCGGGTGGTGATTTGGTTGGGGAACCATGAACCCCCTCCACGCGTACAGCACAGGCTCGAGCACGTCCAGGACTGGACCGACGATTCGACGAGACGGAGAAAATCAGAGGCTTGGAAACAGGTGGAGCGGCTCCTTCGGCAGCTCGCGCATCAAGAGTATTGGAAGCGGACGTGGATCATACAGGAGATCACCATGGCGTCGAACCTCGTGGTGTGCTATGGGAAGGAATCTCTGACATGGGACGACTTTGTAGCGTGGGTGCAGCTCTACCAAGACCTCAACGCTGAAGACCCCGCGCTCAGATATATCTCCACGCTCGAGTATATGCGGCAGTGCAGGTTCGAGGACCCCAAGAAGTTTTCGTTGAAGCATCTCATCGACGTCTTTCAAGATTCGTTTTCTTCGGTGCAGTCGGACAAGATCTACGCGTTCTTGGGCATGGCGTACGATGATTTCGATCATAGTATTCAAGTAGATTACGGCAAGTCTGTGGCCGAGGTTTACAGGGATGTCGTTCGTTCGTTTTGCGTTTCGTCGCCGTCGGAGACGCAGGAGAACGAGGCCGATCTGGTTTACTACAGTGCTCTTGTTAGACGGTTGCTCACACGGAAAGCGATTCAGAAGCCAAAGAGGGAATTGCCCCTTGTGGACGATGTTGATGAAGATGGAGACCAAGGGAGTGGCGAGGCAGCACAGCTGGCGCGAGTTCCTAACCAAACGCAGCAAAGCTTTGAACCATTCTCTAGCGTCCAGAAGTCATCGGAAAGTCATTCCCAGGATGGGAAAAACAAGAATAACTCGACGTTTATTCTCAACAACTACTTCCCTGGACAGGCCCCGAAAGTTAAGTCAGCTCCGATGCCCGAACAAACACTATCGCAATCGGAAGAGGAGCGAAAGAAGGAAGAAGAGGAAAATTCGAAGAAAAAGCAGAATCAAGAAGAGCTTCTTCTTCTAGCTATTGGGGCGGCCGTCGTCATGGCCCTGGGGACCGCGTATTACTACCTTACCCGCCGTGCTCCAGACGTCCCCAAAGAATGGCACTGGCAAGCTTCGGAGCCCGAAGACCTCAAAACCTGGACCTCCATCCATCACGATTCGAGCTGGGAAAATGAACAACTAGAACTCAGAGGCCGCATAGCTGGACACATCACTCACGTGGGGCCCTCCGTACACGCCGTACTGGGCTCTCGACAAGAAACCAAACACTGGACTGCAAGCCTCGCATCCCACTTCCCGGACGTCTCTGAATTCGCCAAAGCGAGAGGCCTCAACGAGAAAATGCTGCAGTTGGTGTATGATTCCAACGACTTGCAGACTCGGAATATTGGGCCGTTGCGCAGCTCATCGTCTTCTGGACTCGATGCTAGCGCCCAATCGGGATCCGACGACTCACCCCGTTTGTTCGCCGGCTCGAATACGATCCTCGGTCTTGTTCCGCCGGATTCGCAGAACGGAGATGTCGTTGTGCAGTTTTGGAATTCTAGGGCCTGCGCGGTGGTGCGTGAGATGCCGCATAGCAGCGGGGGACTACGTGAAGAGGATCCAACACCTCCGCGATACGAATTGATAGGGAGAGCTTCGATTGTCACGAGCGGGACAGATGCGGATTGGGATGTGCCGCGAGACAAGAGAGCCTTTGGGCTGTTTTCTCGAGATGTGCTGAATCTCAACGTCACTCTGGACGAATTGACGAGGTTGTCCCTGGATACGGTCAACCTCGATGGCTCGTAAGCAAATATCTTTAATTTCCTCGAGTCGAATACGGAATTAAAAAAGGCGAGTGGATGGGAATAGTAGCAGCTGCAAGGCGCCACGGAGAAACAATCAGCCCCACTCGCCAACCATCAGCAGAAATGCCTGCCTATTTTTTAAACTACTTTCCCGCTTTCCCCTTCGACTACGCGCACGTCCTCGCGTGCTTCTTTCAATCCCATCGCTCCTGTATCCCAACCTTCGGCCTCCAAAAACTCCCGGAACCTGACGTCCTCGGCATCAATAGTATCTTGCCCGATATGTGGAAGCAGCAGAACTAGACCTGCAGCTACAAACGCTAGAGCGGACGCGACGAAAAAGGGGTTACGGCCTGCTGCGATCGCATCGTCGCCAGCGGCGGTCTGGATAGCGGAGAGGGCGTAGGATCCAGCAAAGGCACCGATCTTGCCGATGGCGGCGGCGAGGCCGTAGTATTGTCCTCTATTTTACCGTTAGAAAAGAGACAAAGCAAATGGATATATGGTTGAGGAGAAAGAAAGAACCTAGGCAAAGGAAAAGTGGTGGGTTGAGTGTGTTCAGACAGACATACCTGATACCCGTGGCGCACGTTTTACTCGCAAGCAAACCGATATTATCACCGGGACCGAACTCGCCTAGAGCCAGAAAGATGCCGTACACGACGGTGAAGCCGGCGACGTTCTCGGGTTTGCTGAGTAGCGGGTAACACCCGGCCATGACGAAACCAATCACACCCTGCAGCGTGACACCAATGAAGAGCGTCTTCTTCGGGCCCATACTCGGCAGATCGGCGACAAAGGCGCCCGCGAGACATCCCGGCATGTAGAAGAAGTTGATGAGGATATTCCAGGCGAGGGACTTCCACAGCGGGGCTTCTTCGCCTAGGAGGTTGGATAGGATGTCCGTGGCGTAGATGCCGAAGGAGTAAGCGGAGAAGTCGTAGATGAACCAGATGAGGCTGACGACGGTGAGGCGTTTCCAGTAGAAGCGCGCTACGAGGAGCCAGGGGGTGCGGGTCTTGGAGAGGGATTCGCGCGTGAAGGCTTCCGGTTCGCGGAGCTTGAGACGCAGGTAGAGGAGGGAAAGTGGTGGGATGATACCGATTCCTAGACAGATGCGCCAGGCGGCTCGGAGGTGGCTTTCACCTGTTGCTAGGACCTGGATTTCGAGGGTTGGATGGTTAGCTGTGAGATTTTGACAGAGATGGGGAGGGCTGAGGGGGATGAAGGACGCACTACGACGGTGGCGACGATGGCGGATATGAAGAATGCGAGGTCAATTTGCACGTTGGTGAAGAGGATGAACCATTTGTTCCTCGAGCCTTCCTTCAAGTCTCCCGTGTTCTCTGCGCATCCAACACTTCCAGCTGGATATTCACCACCGATTCCTGTAAAAACGTGATCAGTGTTTGTTCATGTCGTCATTCCGAACCCTATAGCTGATTACCATGGCTTGGAAAATATACGTACCAATACCCAGAAAGAAGCGATAGACGACCAAAGCAGTGATGAGCCCATTCGGACTCCCACCAGCTCCATACGAACCCGTACCTAGGGCGGCAAACAGGATGATTATGATGGTGGACACGAACAAGCTCCATTTCCGGGAATAGTGGTCGCTCGTATAACCGAAGAACAGCATACCCAAGACGGTGCCGGCGAAAGTGATGCTCGCAACGTTTGCCTGGGCCGACGAGTTTTTGTAGGCATCAGGGTAGATGGTCTTGAGCATGGTGTTGACAGGCCCGATGATCTGTCCATGAAATGGTCAATACAATAAAAAGCATCATGTTGCATTAGGGTTTGGTTTCAAGAAAAGGAAACTACAGGGGCGGTTGTCGCTTTGTGGGAACGGTAATAAGAGAAGGCGCATGTGGGGCATTTGTACGGACATTATTGAGGTAGCCATCAGAAAATCTATGCGCAAGTAGAGAGTTAGCATCAATAAACGTGTCTTTGAGCAGAAAACGATGGGAGTGAACGAGGTACTTACAATCCAGCACCGCATGCGATGACGCCGGCGTATTTGTCCCAGCCCGTCTTTTGGGGCTTTACATTGCTTGGGCTGCGAGCCACTTCAGCGTCTCCAGGAGCGCGCGAGTCGAGTTTCTCGTTGGACATGATGGACGCGTGAGGGCAGGGCACAAGAGGGTATGCGGGGTCGCGTGTGGAGGTTTATATCCGGGGATGTTGGTTGTCAAGTTCAAGTCAATCACCTTGTCGTCGTCGAATCATCCGAGCTACGGCTGTTCGCAGTTCTAGATGGTAACGGCTGAAATGGAACGAAGCCAACGAACGAAGAAAGAAGAAACAGAGAGACAGACAGGTGAGTAGGTGAGTGCATGGGTGATATATATTCCATGAATGCAGCTGCAGGGACCGGACTTTGCCAGCACGTGCCGTGTTCCTTTGCCCCTCCCTCTTTCACTCTTCCTTGCATTGGTTTGCAGTTTGGTAGCGATGAATGGATGCATCGCTCAATCAAATCAATCAAATGGCATTGGACTAAGTCACGACGCACAGGACAAGCCTCGATAAGCTACCGCTAAGCTTGTCTTGGGATATTCAGCCTAACCATTTTTGGTAATGGTGAATGTAGATCCTCGGAGCTCGGGGGAGGCTTGGATGGATCCTCTGTATTCCACCTTCCTCATCGAGTAACCCATCGTGCGCAGTGACATTGGACATGGCTGAAGCCGACGAGATATATTATTCATCATGAAACAATTTCGAACGACAAACAGATATCGTCAAAGTTGCTAGAGTGATGAGGCAGCTCATCATCAATTACTCCACCACAAGTTGTTACCAAGGTAAATGAGAATCAGGCTTAGGAAGACACCAACATCTAAGGAGGAGAATGTATAACCTACCCCCATTGCTCTATTCATATTCATCTAATCCCATCGATCCCCAACAGCAACCGCATCTCTACATCCATCCACCTTGGCCTCCACAACCCCATTATCTCCACCCTGCCATACAACATCACCGTTCGCCTCTCGTCTTACGTATTTGTACTCGATGCGCGAGCCAGCCTGCACCCCTTGGAGTTGCCCGAGCCATAGTGGGAAGTCCGCGTCGCGGTACCGACTCGCTTCGAGCTTGAGTGCACGCTCCACATTCCAACTTCCCAGTGCCTCGACGTCACCAACCACGACTATCTCCTGCCCGGGCGCCGTGCGCGTCTGAACGTTGAAAGTGACCGCGATGCTAGCCGCCGGCGAGCACGGGAAGTCGGGCCATGTAGGCGATGTTGGGGCAGCCGTATACGACCCTGCCACCGACGAGGACTGGCAAGTCGAGGGAAGAGAATTGTTGGATGCACCCCAGGAGGCAGGCACATCGCCGTTCCGCGCTGATACCGCTGTGAGCACTGACGCGTATGACCACGTGAGGTGCTTGGCGGATAACGGCGCTCCCGATGTGCGTTCAAATTGCTCGGCGAGGGCACCGTCGGTAGGTGTGTACTTCTGGGCTACAGCCACGTACCCGTCTGCGTAGCTTCGCAAGGCTGCTGTGAGAGTCGTGTAGGTTTGAGAAGATGAATCGTACGTTCCTTCGGCCGCAGAAGAGTCGAGAGCTCTCCAGAAGGCGAGGGACGTCGATGTGATGGTGAGTGAGTTCTGAGCGCTGTACTGGTGAAGAGCAAAGTAGAGCTGTTCGGCAGCTGCAAGGGTCGCCAGGTACCACGGATTGCCGTTGTAGTAGACATCTTCTGGGTAGCGACCGACAGCCACTGCGGCGCCCTCTGGAATTCCGTTGTTGACACCATAGATGCTGCGAAAGGAGTCGGTGACAACTTTGTGATTCGCAAGCGCCTTGGGTGAGCATGGTTGAAATGTCACGTCGTCACATCCTGCCTGTGGGTCGAATGTGTTGACGCTGGTCAAGATGGAGTTGACGTCTTTTCCACTTCTCCCGTTGTCCACGTTGGTGTTGGACACAATGTACTCGCCGTTCCAGTACGTCTGGAAGAAACACAGAATTTGTGGAGCCTGGCTATCGCAATCGGGACACGACGACCCAACTGCTGCAGCAAAGGATGAACCTTCGACCAGTGCACGATGCTGCGCAGCCGTGGTGAAGAAAGATGATCCCTTGACTTCTTCCCACAGATCAAAGCCCGTCTGGTTCCAGTACTGCGCCACATACGCCAAATCGTTCTTCACTACAGGCCATACAATGTTGGTAGCAGCATCCTGGTACCCGTTGGAAATGAGCCACTTTCCATAGGCGATGAGTGCTGTGGCACGGAGCGGAGGTCCGTCTCTCTGCGGTCGACCCCAATCTCCCGTGAATGCAGTCCCGTCGGGCTTATACTTTGCTTCTCCCAGGCCGGAGCCGTCTTGGAAAGTTCCAGATGGATTCGACACTGTCTGAAGAGCCGCTTGCGCAGTGATGAAATCATTGATGTGCGTCTGCAAGTACGCATCTTTGGTGACAATGAAGCGATCAATCAGCGCCTTGAAGGTCAATGCCGCATCTCGTGTCCAAGTGTAGTAGTCTGTATATAAAAGTCAATTTGGATTGCTCCGACGGTCCAAAACATTAATAACAACTCACAATCAGGATCTACCGTGGAGGGACTGGCCAAGACCAAGCCTCGCCCTGCACCGTACGACCTGGCTCCTGCTTCTCCGATGTTTGCGAGGATACCGGCATACGAGATGGGCTCCTGCTTCGCTATCCAGTCATCAAGCGCGTCGCGCTTATGCCCAATAGGCGCGGTTGCAGGAAGTCCGCTGACGGGCGCAAACAGCGTAGCCGCCACTCCACCGACGAGTACCGCGCTACCCAATATCATGATGACGGCGGTCTTATAATCGATCAAGGGGGCAGTACTTGGATCACGGCAGACTTGGGACGAATCGACCTTCCGAGGGCCGGGCGATGAGTTGAAAGCAGTGAAGTGCATTGGGCACCAGCGATATCCCCCCCAACCTTTATATTATTCTCGACGACGATCGATCTCCACTCCGTACCCTAGCCTAAATGGCAATCCTCACGGTGGTTCATTAAACAAAGAGTCGTGTGGACCAGCACCTGGCCTTGGTACGGACGTCAAAGTCTGGGGTTGCTGGCACGGATTAGGAAGGTTGCTCAAACGATCGCAGCGTCACATGCCAGAGACGAGCGAATTCAAGACTGTGCACGAGCAGAAAGGGAGGTGCAGGGCTATGCATTCAACAAGCAGATGTGTAAAAACGAGAATAGAGATGGAGAAAGGGGATGCAGGTATCATGGTGAGAGAGATGCAGTGAAGAGAGCATGAAGAATGCGAAGCAACCGCGCGTGGTTGTTGTTGTGGTGGTGGTTCGTCATTGCTCGAATACATCAGGATGGAACGCTAGCGACCCCACCTGCGCTGATTGGACGCGGGGAAAATGAAGTGATGATCACGTGGTGGTGAATGTCCGGGGCCAAGTGACATCCTTCGCCTCTACTCCACCACGCCGCTATCCTCTTTCTCAGCTTCAACTCTACTCGACCCATTCATGTGATGGCCGCCTGATCTGGGGTCCAGCCGAGGATCGCATGTATGTTTGTTTTGCGGTTGACCGATCGTGCGTGCCGCGTGCACTGTCGACTATCGGCGCTTCCACCGAGCTATTGTAGAGTATCATCGGTGTATCTTTATCTCATCTTTCCTTTTCTCAAGCAGCTTACGCTGAGCATTCTGAGGTGTTTCTTTGGTTTGTGGTTGATAGAGGTATACTACCCTCATACACCGGAGAATATCCAATCATGGGAGCTCCATCGGTTTAACCTGCGGAAAAGTCAGTACACGCATCAACCTTCACCGCAACACCATCCTGAGCGCTTCAACGCGAGAGGTGAACATATTAGTGGCAAACAACCAAAACAACTCACCGCTTTCCCCGTCCCATCCAACTCTCCTAACGCATACCCCTTACCCCCACCACCACCGTCCATCTCCCCAATCCGATATCCATGCCCATCATCAAGCTCATTCATACCAACAGGCGCATACTGCCCTCTCGCCCCGCCACCACCAGGAAACACACCTCCTCCAATCCCACCCCCATTTCCATGCTCGTAGCTGTTATTCCCGTCAAATCCTCTCCTAATCTCTTCCTGAATCCTCTGGGCTTCCTGTTGTCTCTTTTTGCGCTTTGAGTTCGTGCGGCACATGCACACGGCGATACCGATGCAGAAGATGAGTATCACGAGAAGCGATATGCCTGTTATGATGCCTGTGAGTTGGAGCGTCGTGAGGGCGTCGTCTGAGGCTGTGGAACGGCGCGATTTGATGGTCGAGGTGGATGTGAGTGCTGTGGGGTATGTTAGTTTGTTATGTGTCTAGGTGTGTAGATTTTGACGGTAGGAAGGACGGGGAGTCGTACTCTTTGGAAACCGGGGAGACAGTTGGAAGGGTGCCATTATTGCACTTGTGTCGCGTTGGTTGCTGTTGATTAGGAGGTAATACCTCAATTCGTTTCTTCACCTTCTCAACGTTCGCAGTTCGAGATCGCACCGTTTATATCCTCCCTTTGAATGCGCTTTTCCCAGCAATCCTTGTCGCTCGCGGAACTCGCAGTCTCCTTCAGTTGTAATTATGTATTTGTATCTCGCTCGTCTGTTCGTAGAGTGTGTTGCCCGGTCGTCCGCGTATTATCGTATATCGTTACTCGTAAACAATAAAACAGAAACCCTAAATCCACCCGTCGATCTTCGAACACAAGTACCGCGACGTGGGGCTCAAGGCAATTGCTTCAGTAGAGAGTGGCGCAATGGTACCCTTTCTCGCGCGACCCGAAATCAACAAATGGTACACAGAGAACTATTGCGCGAATATCTTTGTGTACTAGGGTTGCGGATGCGCGTGTTGTGTTGTGTTGTTTGGTCAGCGTGACGACGGAAATCGGAATCGCACAGAAATCAACAAAGAGAGAAGTGACAAGAGAGCGAACAAGAGGTGGAGTTTGGAACGAAACGGAAAGGAAAGTATTGACTCGCTTTCGCGTCGAGGTAACCCGGGATAACTGTTGGCGCTAATGAGATGGATGGATAACCGCCTTTTGATTTTGGGGGCCGCGTTTCAAGGGGGTTGTGCTTTCGGTGTCTCACGGGTTTAGGATGGAGGCAGGCCTAGACTTCTGGACTTTTTGCACAGTTCAGTAAATGACATGAAGGCAAAGCAAACCCCAATACATGAGATTCCGAACCCCGATTCTTGTTCTTGTTCTTTTCTTTTCTTTTTCAATCCAAGAGCGATAGATCAGTGTGTATATTTTGTATATCTAACGTATCTGCGACGATATATACGTTCAGCTGTGAACAAAACTAGATCCTCTCCCGCAAATATCCAATCATATCAACCAACGCCCGTCGCCATATGGTGTATCCAAATCGCGCAACTGTGACTACTTGAACTCCTTCATGAATTCCTGGTGGAACTTGACGATGCGACCAGTCCAGTCGGTGCCAGGTGCGAGGAAAGTGGTACGGAAATGCAGCGTGTTCTCGCGCTGGCCGAAGCCGGAGCCAGCGACAACGCAGATGCCTGTAGCGTCGAGCATGCGGAAGCAGTAGAACTCATCGGGCTGTCGGCCCTCCTTCTTGGCTTGCTCAATAGCTTTGGCGGGGAGCGTGATGGTTGGGAAGAGGTACATGGAGCCCTGTTCAAAGAAAGGTTAGAACAAGAGTTTCGTAGATACCCAAGGGACGTAAGGGAAGACATACCTGAGGCTCCTGGCACTCGACGCCCTCCATCTGCTTGAAGGCCTCGTACAAAGCGTATGCGCGCTTCTTGAGACCTTCAAAAATGCCATCGTACTCCTTCCTGTAAAGCTCGTAGCTAGGTTCACCCTCCTTGGGCGGGTTCACCATGAGCTCAACGATACATTGGCCTAGCACCGGTGGGCATAATTGAATGCTGATGAATTTGTAAATCTCGGCCGCGACCTCGGGGTCAAAGCCCACAAGCTCAAAGTAGCCACCACGGTGTCCACACTCGCCCACCATGCCCTTGGATACACTGTGTAGGGAGGCCAGCTCCACGTGGTCGAACTGTCCCGGTTTCTCTTTCTGGAGGTCGCGTAGAGCTTTCTTGAAGGAAATAAACTCGCCGATGAAGACGTTGGTTTGGTAGACCTCGTCAGCGATTACGACAATGTTTTTTTCGGCCGCGAATTCGAGGACAGCCTTGATATCAGCGGCAGGGAGTGATGCGCCCGTGGGGTTGCCCGGGTTGATGATGGCAATGGCCTTGACATCGGTGCCTTCAGACACAGCTTTTTCATAAGCAGAACGGACCTCATCGAGGCTGGTTCCCCAAGCAGAGCTCTCGTCGAGGTAGTATGGTACGCAGCGAGCATTGAGGACGGCGAGGGTGGCTGTGTAGAGAGGGTATTGCGGGATGGGAACCATGATTCCAGTCTTTTCCGAGGCGCAGATGACATTCAGAAGAGTGTTGACTCCCGAGGAAGCGCCATTGCTGAGATAGATGTCGTGAAAGTTGGCAGGGTAGCCGTCTCGTCCTATATGGCACCAGCTTAGAAGGATTCATCCAGAGTTGCAGAAGTTGAACGGGGAGAAAAAGAATACATACGCTCAATGTATTTAGCCACGCTCTCTCTAATACCTGGCGCGCCCTGGCTCTGACTGTAAGCACCCACGCTCTTGACTTCCTTTAGAAGAGTTCTTGCGCGCTCCAGAACATCCTTTTTGTAGCCTAAGCTACCAGTCAAGACGTCCTCGTGCTCCAGCAACAAGGGGTTTTCCAGCAGACTGGCTACCTGCCTGAAGAATGTGATGGGTTTCTGATCCAGTTGCTGGGGATTCCCGATGTTTGCGGCGATGACAGTGTCGAAGGGGAGGTCGTTGGCTTCACGTTTCTGAAGCTTCGCGCGATACTCCTCGGAGCGCACGGCAAGCTCACCGCGGACGGCATACTTTGCTTGCTTGACGTTCTGGTTGATGTTGGCGTGGGAAAGGGCACGGCGGGGTGTGGTGGAGGACATGGTTCGATATGGCGGGGCTAGGCGAGACCCTGGAATGGATGATGAGTATACACAGCAAGTCAAGATTGCCACTTGGGACGGAAAGCAAAGGAAAGCCGCTCTATGCAAAACGAGAAAGCATACGAACAAGAGTCAAGGCGAACGAGTAGACTGTTTATTCAACACAATGAGGGGTAGTCGGTCGTTATGTAGAAGTGGGCTGTCTGAGAATAGTTTTTCTATTGCACGCGTGGGAGCCCCACTACATGCAAGCTACGCCAGGTAGTGTCGAGGTAGATAGGTATGGGGTTAGGATACGATGGATCCAAGGCTGTGTTCCAAAAGGGGCAACGAGCAGAAAGGCGGTGGGGGCAGAACAGAGAGGACAATGGAGAGCAGAGAAGAAGACTTGGGGAGATGGAGAAGAAAATAAAAAAATAAATCAGAAACAAAAGGTACCTCCAAACCCCACGCCAAGTGGCCTGGTCGCGGAAATGCAGTCATTGATGTTGCTCGTCTTGAAACCGGACCTGGCCGACGCGGCGACGGCGACCATGGATGACCGGAGGGATGGCGGCGGCATAGCGGGTGTACTGGATCGAGCTTGTACGCCCTCTGTAGCATGCGGAGGCGATGAGACGGATCGATGGGTAATGGCGATAAATGAATGAGTGGATGGATGGTGAATGACCCCGGTAGCTGATCACAGCTAACGCGCCGCTATCCCACGCGCCTGCGGCCCGTCGTTCGCTACGACTTGCTGGTCTAGGCGGATTCCTTCTCTTGTATTATGTAGTGCATGTACGTGAGTCGCCTGGCAACTGGCGCTTCTGTGTGGAGGCGAGATAAGATGACAATGGCGATTGCTGATGGCACGGGCAAGCAACGAGGCGAGGGGAGGTGGGAGTGTTTTTATAAACTTCCACCATCATCACACTTCCCGTCTCCACCCGTCCAACCAATCCCCGACATCCGCCATCTGAGCTAATACATGTACACACACCACATACATACACCATGTGCATCATCCACCTTATGCAGATGCACATCGCAAACATGTTCATCGTACATTTCAAGCTCCAGGGGTGGGCCCTGCAGGACTCCCGGGCACGCTTCTTGACTTCACTGGATCCAGACCCATCACGAAAACCATGCGAGCAATCATCCGAATCTCGTGTCTGCACTCTGCATAATCGTGGCATACGTAGCGTGGCTCGTTATAGGCTGTTGCGTTTGCGCCTGGTCAACCGCTCTCTAGATTATATATTCTACAGTTGCATTTCCTTTTCTAACCACGCTCGCTTCCCCGTAACCTCACAGCCTGCCCGTACTTTTGTAGCTTCGTGATCAGCTGGTCGCCCTGCTTCACTACGTCTGCATACTGCTTATTCTTGTCGTCGGGTCGGTTGGTCTCGATGATGCCTTTGACACGGTCAATTGTGCAAGGTATCCGATCCGCAGCGATGAACTTGGCCAAATCCCTATCGAGTATTAGTATATGTAGAAATACGAGCAACACCCGGCAAGGGCAAGGCAACATACTTATCAAGGAAGTCCACGCTAACGCCAAAGTCGTTGGCCATGCTCTGCAGACCCACTACGCGGTACGATTGGAGCAATTGCTGGTAGCCCCGCAGACGCATCTCCCTCACATACCAGCTCTTGTGCTCAAACAGATAGCGGTCTTGACTCAGGAAATTAACCTCGACTTCTCCGAGAGCACGGAAGAAGTTCTTGTAGTCTCCTTCATATAGACTCTTCACCAGCCGGGAAAGCGGTGAAAAATCTATTGACACCTCAGCCGTCTCCTGCTGACTACCGAGCGTCGTGAGGTTGACAGCGGTAGGCACCGGCGTTGCTGTGGAAGGGGCGTCGGACATCTCCTCGTCGCCTGCAGCAGGCCCCGCAGAAGTTTGTCCAGTGATGGCGGAGAGCTTCTCTTCGGAGCTACCTACAATGGCCTTGATTTCGGGAGCATCGACGACCTTTGTTTTGAAGTCGACTCGCTTGAGCGCTACGGAACCGGCCAAAATGGCATAGATGACAAGCCACGAATAATTGCATAATTCGTAGCTAGTGAAAGTCGACAGACTGTCAAGCAGCAGCGGGGCGGCTTGGGAGTAGGAGCGCACAGTGATGGCGTGCAGGCCGTGGTATGCCTTGAGACGGTTACGGCGATCCCAATCGCCTCCGCTCTCTACCAGCGCCGTTGCTCGCTCGATCGTCTTTTTGGCCAAAATCTTGTCGCCGAAGAACATAGCAATACGTATTATGGCCAACACTAGATCAATCTTAGTGCCCAGAATGCCGGTCTTCTCGAAGATAGCCTCGTAGCTCGCAATCGCTTTCTCCTGCCGCACGATTAGATTCAACAATGCACCACAGGGTATGCCGGTCCTGAACTGACCTTGTCACCGATGCGGTTGTACAACTCAGCCCTCTTGCCACGGGCAGCCTGCACTTCAGTCTCGCCCGCCTTCTCCGCCGCCTCGTCTTCCTCCTTCTGTATAGCCTCAAGCTCCTTCTCGTTCTCGGCCGTCAAGCTTGCGAAGAGCTTCTCATCCCATGGAAGCGGTACTTCAACGTTGGGGTTTTTGGTGGCCAGCATGGTCGCGGCGCTGGACGACGGTCTCCGGTGGCTCGTGGGCTGCTGTGCCGAACCCTCGCCGGGTGCATTGAGGACGCCTTCTACCGGATGAGCCAGATAACGGTAGAGAGGAGCCATTTTATGCTCTTGGATGGCATTCTGAACCGATTTGAGCGATGATTGTTTGGCAGATTTGGAGGAGGCGGGGTTGGTGAGCTGGAAGATGTGCTGGGCGAGTTGGAGATCGGGATACTTTGCGAACTGGGGGTCGCCCATCTTGAGAGTGGGCAGCGAGGTTTGCTAGAATACTTTCTCGAGTGCAGGATAAGAGGGAGATGGGAGGCGGTAAATCGATGTGACGTGGTGAGGGATGTTGCAAGCTCGTGTGTGGGAAGAAGGAAGCTCCGGTCGCCACTCACTACGAACTATGTTGACTTACCACTAAGCAGGTACCGCCGGCTCATTCTCGGCAATCGCCCGATAGCTGTGATCCGTGCGCCTCAATGAAGTCAATCCCATGTAGAAACGACTCTTGCTCCGACTAGCTTTGATTCATCTACAAGTTCTTTACCTTTGTTCCCTCCGGTTCACTCACTTTACCTTACTTTTTCGATTCTCATCCATCTTGCAACAATTCACCACTCTACTTCATAATACAACACGACCCCCAAATTACCATCTACGACACCTGACCGACCCTTGCAGACCTTCACTACTACCAATATGCCAGACGATCGAGGCATGAAGCGGCAGCGCTCCCCCTCGCGCTCCCCCTCGCGGTCGCCACCTCGCCAGCGAAAACGACCCGGCGCTGGCTCACGCATCTCGGCCGCTCAGCGGGAAGCTGCCCGACAGCGCCAGCTCCAGCGCGAGAAGGAAGCTGAGGAACGGGCGCATCAGGAAGCTTCTCAGCGCGGTGTGCATGATGTGGTCAAGCAGCACTACAACTCAGTGCCCGAGCGTGGTCGTGACTGGCGTGTAACCGAGTCCAAGATCAAAGGCCTACGATCCTACAACAACTGGGTCAAGTCGGCCACCATCTCCAAGTTCATCGGCGACGAGCGCAATCTCAAAATCTTAGACATGGGCTGCGGCAAGGGTGGTGATCTGCAGAAGTGGCAAGCCTCCCGCAAAGTCGCCCTGTACGTTGGTGCGGACCCTGCCGATGTCTCCATTAAGAACGCGAGGGATCGTTACGAGCAGATGCGCAAACGGTCCAAGGGCCGTGTATTTCATGCTGAATTCTTTGTCAAGGACTGCTTTGGGGAGCGCATGGATGACATCAATATCGTCAAAGACGTGGGCTTCGACCCCGGGGTTGGTCCCGGCAATGCAATGAGCCAGCGGTGGGGCGGAGGCGGATTCGACATGGTTACAATGCAATTCTGTATGCACTACGCCTTCGAGAGTGAGGAAAAAGCTCGAGGCATGCTCCGCAACGTATCGGGCGCTTTGAAGCGGGGAGGGCGCTTCATCGGCACGATACCCAACTCAGATGTGCTGTCAGACAAGGTCATTGAGCATCACAAATCCAAGGGCACTGCCGTTAGCAACGGAAATGGTGCTGCCGACGAGGAAGACGACCGCCCGACATTTGCCAGTGACGACGAAGACGACTGGGACCCTGAGAAGAGTCTCGACAGTCCAAAGCCCAAGGAGAACAATGCGGAGGAGGAGGCCATGGCAGCTCCAGACAAAGGAAAAGAGAAGGAAAAGGAGGAGGGCCAGGTGGAAGACGAGGGCTTTCAGTTTGGAAATAGTCTCTACACTGTCAAGTTCCCGGGTAAGACTCCTCCTGACGGCACGTTCCGACCACCCTTTGGCTGGCGGTACTTCTATCACTTGGAGGAAGCCGTCGAAGCCCCCGAGTACGTTGTGCCGTGGGAGGCATTCCGTGCACTGGCAGAAGATTACAACCTTGAACTTCAGTATCGCAAGCCTTTCCGCGAGGTATGGGATGAGCAAAAGGATGATCGAGACTTGGGCCCGCTCAGCGAGAGGATGGGGGTGCGCGACCGCAATACAGGCAGGCTGTTGACCAACGCGGAAGAATTGGATGCAGCCGACATATACCACACGTTCTGCTTCTACAAGGTGTGAACTGGTGGTATTGATCGGAGCTGTTCTTCATTGATTGCCATGGGATAATTAACATCATTCTGGCCTGCATGTGGGGCATCCTGGTGGAACATGGGAGACCAGAAAAGGAACTGCTCCCCATAACGTGCCGTTTCAACGGCGAAAATAACATTTGAATTACCCAAGTGCAAGTTCAAACATTTATGAATAAGATGCTGGGTTATCGATTTGTAGCAAAACGACATGATATTGATTATTACCTACTCAAGTACTAATCTGTTCTCGTGCGCATCTTTCCATTTGCCGTTGTTGGACAATTCACGACCTGGACGCTTGGACGACAGGTGATGATTTGCCGAGGTCCTTCGTCGGCTCCTCCTAGCATTTAGCATCCACCCATAGCATCATTATCACAAGCTTGCATTCTCCGCTCATCCACCGCGACATCAATCACACCAAAGTCTCACATTGACTCCACATCTCCCTTTCCCACACTCCTTTCCCTCACAGCTTCTCTCATCCACCTCCACACCAGCCGTTGTGTTCTGGACTCGCGAATCAACCATCTCCGAGTTGTGACCGTCATCAACTTCGGATCTGGATCAATCCCCATCAAGACTTTTACTCGCTTTACTTTCCGGCAACACCAGTCCAACAGAAATAATGGTTGCTGACGCTCTCGTATACCACCCGTCGGTGGCGCATTACCTCAAGTTCGTCGCGACAACAGGTACGTCTCGCGACTCCCAACGATCCCCTCCCTCCCGCATCACCAGCCCTACAAATCACTTCTCTGACCTTTCAACCTCCAGTCGGCCGCGATAAGGTCCTCCGTACCCTTCAATACTTCTCGCGCTTCCTTGCATGGTACCTCTACCGCACCAATCACCCCACCTCGTCCATCTCTCCCTTTGAGACCACAAAGAAGCAATTCGGCCTAACCCGCAAACTCATGCGCGTTGGCAAATTCGTCGAGCACTTCAAAGCCGCGGCGGTTGCCTCCGACGCCAAATCCCTCGATCCCGTTCTACGCTACACTGCCGTGGGCCGCCAGCTCGGGTATGCCGGCTACATGCTGTGCGACAACGCCGTTGTCCTCGACGCCACGGGGATTCGCAAGTTCGCTGCCTCCCAGCGCGTGCTCAAAGAAGGGTACCGCTTCTGGTTTGCGGGTATCTCGTGCTCGGTCGCGAGTGGGCTGTACGCATTGTACAAGCTTCGGGAGCGGGGAGTTGCGCTTGCGCAAGAGGAAGGAGAGAAGGGCAAGGCCGAGGGTGTCGTAGAGCGCAAGAAGATTGAGAAAGAGGCCAATGCTTTGAGGGTTCAGCTTGTTAGCGATTTGTGCGATCTTACCATCCCTGCGAGTGCTTTGGGCTGGGCCAATCTGGATGACGGCGTTGTAGGGCTGGCGGGTACGGTCAGTTCGTTGTTAGGAGTGTATTCTCAGTGGAAGAAGACAGCGTAGGTGGAGAATTGGTGTCTATATGGTTTTCTGCTAGGTTGTTCTCGAACAGTTTTGTTTCACGGCTGATATTGACTGGTATATATGCTGCATCTCAACCAAATTCTTTCACATACGACCATAGGAACTTGAAAACAAGGCTTCCCGTCCGCTCAGCCCTATTTAAGCAAGTTACCGGCGGATTAGTAGTCAGGTGGGTGACCACTGGCGAATACCTGCTGTTGTATGTTTTTTGTTTTGTTTTGGTGTTGAGTCATGGCACATGGTCCAGCGGTAGTGGAGTCTCTTCGCCTATCAGCTTTGTAGTCTGATTGTAGTAAAATTTCGCAGACTGTACTTTTCCCCTTCATCTATTCATCCAGCATTGCCATAAAGGGCCGTGAAAATTAAAGTGTAAGGCCGGACGGGGAAGGATCAAGTACAAGTAAGAAGAACAATGGATAGTCAGTGTACCAGAGGGAATGGAGGACCAGATTAGCCTGGTTCTTTTCGTTTGTGCCTATTTCTACGGTGATCTTGCATTATAAAAGATTAATGTTTCTAGGAGCCAACCTCATGGGTCAAGCAAGTAAACAAAGATGGAGTGGGATGAATTGTTAGACAGAGTGAGGGTAATCTTACACACAACGATATGGTCATAACAATACAGGCACTAAATTAATAGGCGATTACTGGAAGTAACTTGTGAATTACGCCGTTACACAAGTTTGTTGCAACAAGCAAAAGCAGTGATTCAGGGGCAGCTACAGGAAATTGAGAACAAGATTTCCTTCCTAATCCGCTGTTTATTACTGTTCTGTTTCTAGAATCTTATTTTGTTTACACAGAAGGCTTGGAGGTACCGTTCCAGTCCGAGCAGGCACGGTTGATTGGTCCGTACATGAGTGCTTCGTAGTCCTCCACGACTGTGGAATACAGAGACTGTCCTAGAATCGAGGATATGACATTGCAATTAGAGCTAAGTTGGGCACTCTCGAACAGAACGCTCTCGGAATTACTATCTTAGAGCATAAGCAGCTCTCTGCATAGCTTCCAAGCGTCAGATAGTAGTTCTTGATTTACTGAGAAGGGCGCCTGCACACGCAACGCACGAACAAGTCCGATGATTCATGGGATCCTTATAAAGAGCTCAACGCCCAACGATTTAGTCGGCACCGATGCCTGTAGGTAATCTCGCTGCTTGTACCAATGTAATATGCGCTTGGGATAGTTTCGAATGGTGACGGAACACCACGAATATGTGCTGTGGTGGCAGTGTCACACATCTGAAAGTCAACGATATCTTTTGCAAGCTGAGAGACTAGATAATTCTATATGCCGCCCTTGATGATTGCAGCTAGACCTTCGATGTGAAGACGTGTGGGAATCCTATGGTCCTTGAGAGTGCGAGTGCTTGGTAGCAGTCGCGAGACGTTACGTATGGAACTTTGCGTGCAAAGGCGCAGGCTGCGACTCTGGCTTTGACTGAAAGATCAAGGCAGGGGAAATGGCCGACTTGGGCAGGGAGATGACGGAACCATTGATTCTCTACCTTGTGGATCTGCACCGTGGAGCGGGTGTAAATGATGAGGGTTGCATCGGGTGACTGTGGGTTGTGAATCAGTGGTTTGTGCCCTGGGGCCTGCTCCTGATCCGTCGCAAGATTCGATTCAGGCCGTAGGACGAGCTCTTTGGCTGGTTGTAGCCTTAGTTTTCCATGCCAAGTAGGCACTTCAGGCACTACATGAGAAGGTTGTTGGTAACGAAAACTCAACGACGATATGCGAAACGACGTTGCGAGCGTGCTCGAGCTTGGTCTCTAACGAGATGTTCAAATCGGTTTGCCCAACCCCTGGTCGGTTCAATATTGTCTGTGTAATTCTGCATGGAATAGCCAGCCTCTTGCATCGATAGTACGGCGTCTTAGCTGTCGAGGCTTCTCCTGGATTTGGGATCTCCACGTCGTTCGATAATTCACATCGAATGCGCCTCTCACTACACCCTAGACAGAATACTCGAGAATATGCACTTCTCTTTCTTTTCTCTGGAGCATTTGCTCTTGGTACAGCTAGAGCATTGATCATAGTGTACTTAAGTTGCAGAGTTGAAGAGAAGGACTATGTATCTTGCAAAGTTGCTCCTGACGACGAGGATATCGCAATCGTGAGTGGCTGAGCGCGTTACGTGGCGCTGTCTGAGCAGTTTCTGACTGTTAGCCCTGCTAACGCAACAAGGCGAGTCGCAAGACCTGCTAAACAGAAAGCTTTGAGATTGAAATGCTTTCCTGGCGCATGTACAGGGGTAGCGCGAGACGTTGAACCGCGCTGACACATCCACGCTCTCCGTAGTGTGGAACCTCAGCGATCGAAGTTGCGCCTTGGTGAAGGTACGCCTGAACAACGGTATGCCCGTAGAAGATATTCATCCTTTTGCTCCTCAATATGTTACTTACTGGGGGCTGATAGACGGAATGGGAAAATCTCTTTATAGCTTGGCATCTACACCGCGTCACCAGGAACTCGTAGTAAAGTATATATAGCCTCGGACTGTCACCTTCTAGCAACAATTCTCCAACAACAATTCTTCTACAACAGTTCTTTCTTTGAGCATCTTGTCGCAATACTTTCTTCCTCGCAGCAATGAAGTCCATGCTCTCTACCGTCCTTACCATTCTTCCAAGCATCACTGCTGGATTCTCTATACCAACCCCACCAGGAAAATATAATATCACCATGTCAAGCGGCGTTTTGATTGATCACTCTCGCGGTGATCGAGCGTTGATGGTCTCCGTCTTCCAACCGGCAGAATGCAGATCTGTCGTAGATGTACCCTATATGCCAAATGCAACGGCCGCGTACCAGGGGGCGTATATTGGAAAACTATTCAAATTGGACTTCGACTTTTCACCATTACTACTCCAAGCCCGCCTTCCAGTTTGTTCCGTCAGTACTCCCAGCAAAGATCAGATTAATGACTGCTCGCCTGTCGAGGATGACCTCCCTGTCATCATACTATCTTCGGGATTGAGCTCTCCACGTGGGCTCTTCCACATTCTTGCCTCCGCCCTTGCCAGCGAGGGCTTCACCGTCTTCACTGCAGATCATCCAGGTGAAACCAATGTCATCACCTACCCGGATGGCCATTCCGTCACCTTCGTTGGTCCTGACCCCGTAAGCCTCGACATCATTGCGCCTTACATACAACCTCGCGTCTTGGATACACGCTTAATCCTCGACCAACTATCAAACGCAACTGCAATGGGAGAGCTCTTCCCTCAAAGAGGACCTCGGTCTTTTCCAACTGATCGCATAGCCATGGTGGGCCATTCACTTGGTGGGGTAACTGCCGTCCACGCCGCAGCTCAGGACTCACGCATTCGCGCTGTAGTAGATTGGGACCAACAGCTTTTTGGACCGGCTCTATCCCCTAACTTTACCACTCCTGTAATGTTTTTCAACAGACCAAACAGCACAAAGCTAAACTGGCTCGACGCTTGGCCTCAAATTCAGGGTCCTATGTTTTGGGCGGAAGTTGCAAATACTACGCATCAGACTTTCTTCGACCCACCAATGCTCCTGAGAGCAGCTGGAGAGGATCTAGCATCTTTTGCCGATTTCGCAGGTACAATTGATGCCGAACATATGTTGAGAATGCAGGTGGCTTATGCTTTAGAGTGGGTGAAGGGCGCATTCGCTGGCAAGATTGGAGGACCGATATTGGAGGGCCAAGAGCAAGACAAATTCCCAGAGGTTACCGTGATTGAACGACGAGGTTTTTGAGCATTCAAGAAGATTCACCTAACATACCCTGCCTCTTACTTAGCATGCTTATCATGTTTCAAAGTCAATCCACCAGTAGCGAAGATCACCTGTGCTGAAAAAGCCTACAAGTACTGTAGCTTTCAACAACTATAACTTTGTGCGCAAGTTGAGCTTTACAGAGATAATATGCTGTAGCTACTTCCAGTTATTCGGAGACCTAGGTATGTGAAAGTCATGACCCGGCGAGCGCCATCGTCGGGTCCCTGTTCTTGTTGCAGGTAAGATCGCCTTTTGCTTTTTACTTTTTACTATTTTTTAATTATATTAGTAATAAATAAAATTTATTAAAAATATACTATTTCTTTAAGTAATTATAAATATTATATAAAAACTTTTTTTATACTATATATTTATTACTAAAAGCTATATTAATAAAAGTTTTTTTTATCTTAAGTTGCTTATATGCCTTTTACTTTTTTTTTAATATTTTTTTTTAAATTATAATTTTTTTTTCTATTTCTGTCTGCAAAAAGCTATATAACTAGCTATTTTTTACTTAGTAAGTAATTTTAAATTATATTACTAACAACACTAAGCCTTTATAAAAGCTATTTATAAAAGTAAAATAATAGTTTAATTTATATAGTTTATAATTTATTTTTATTCTTAATTTATTGCCTTTTATTGCTATTAATATCTACTATTTTTTTTATTACTTTTACTTTTTAATATTTTAGTTTTTACTTACTTTTTAGTTTAGCTTAGTTTATTAATATTATGCTAGTTTTACTTTATTTACTTTTTAATTTTACTTAATTTATTAATATCTTGCTATTTATTTTAGTTATTTTACTTAGTTTTTTAAAATCTTTTTTCTTTTATACTCTTGCTTTTAATATTTTTAAGTTTACTTAGTTTAAGCTACTACTACTACTATATCTAAAGCTAGTTTTAGTAGCTTATATTTTTTATTTATATATATAATTTCTAAAACTCTTTTTACTTACTATAGCTTTTTTTTTATTATTACTTTTTACTAAAATACTTGCTTTAGTAAATAAAAAAATTACAGTATTTTATTTATTTTTTTATACTATTTAAGTATAATAAGCTTACTTAAGTTTAACTTTATAAGTATATATAAAGCAGCTTATTTTTTATTAAGTATAAAGTAAAGTTATTTTATATTAGTTTACTAATTAAGTTTTATATAATAGCTATTATTTTTAAATATTTAATTTTAGTTATATTAAGTAAGTAAAGTTAAGTAATAACGCCTTTAGCCTTTTAGTTTTTAGTTATTATAAGCACTAAGTAAAAGTTAATATAAGTAACTTTAACTTTAATAGTATTAGCTATTTTAATAATCTTTTAGTAATTTTAAGTAGTATTTTTATAGTATAGTAAGTAGTATTTTATTTTTATAAAGTTATATAGCTTATTATATAGCTTAATATTTTTAAGTAGTTATAAGTAAAGTGCTAAAATTCTAAGTAGCTTACTTATAAAAGTTTTTATAAGTTTTATACTTAAGCATATAAAAAGTAGTAGTATTATTATAAGTTTTAAAATAAAGTTTTTTACATTAAAATAAATAATAGTTATAGTTTTTATTACTATTTTAGTAAATAGTAATAGTAGTTATATTACTTTTTAGTAAATAATAGTTATAGTATTAAAAAGAACTTTTATAGTAAAAAAAAAGCTAGTTTTTAGTACTAGTACTTAATTAAAACTAGCTTTAAGATATTTTAATTTAAACTAGCTAGTACTAAAAAGTGCTTTTTAATTTTACTAGCTAAATAAGCTTAAGTAAAAGTAATAATTATTTAGTTTTTTTAGTTATTACTTATTTTTTTAGTTTTTTTTATTATAACTTATTACTATATGTAGAATTACTGTAACTTTATTTTAAAAAAAAAGTTTTTTTACTATATTAATACTTTATATACTAGTACTATTTAGCTTAGTAAATAGTATATATATGTTAGGATTAGAAGAAAGCCTTTAATTTAGCCTCTTACTCTCTCTGCTGCAAGCGCTAGTAATAAGAGAAATAGAGTTGCTAGCGCCTATAAATAACTATATTTATAACTTAGCACATAACTGCTTACTAGTAAGTAATAAGTCTAACTTTATACTAGCTCTTTAGTAATATTATACTTGCTAATAAGCATGCTTACTAGTAAGCGCGCTTGCTAGCAAGCACTAAATAACTTTATATATATAATTAGTAAATAAGAAGCCTTTATAGCCTCTTATATTTACTTTAAGTTATAACTTACTTTTTAGAAATATAATCTAGTTGTTACTTTATACTTTTACTTTTATTACTTTAGTGTTACCTGCTAGTTATCTACAAAACTTAACTAGAGATTTTTAAGACTTTAACATTATAAATACTCTTAAAATGTCTAGCTTTAGTACTACTAACTAGCCTACCTTTACTTTTAATATAAATAACAATACTCTTATTAGTATTAAGACTAAACAACTTAACACTTACTATAGAGAACGTGTTAAGCTTAAGAAATAGATTTTATAACTTAAGTTGCTTTTTAAGTTTAATAAAAAGATTAAAAATAATAATAAAGCTACCTACGCTGCAACTTTTATATAAGGTAATGCTTATAAATAGATTGTGCCTTAGCTTACTAAATATCTAGATAATAATATTAAGAATAATAAAAACACTACTCTATTTAAAAACTAGAGAGTATTTAAGACTAAGCTCTGCTAGGTCTTTAGAATATTTAATAAAAAAAATAAGGCAGTGCGTAAAATTTAACACATTAAATAGTTTAAGTCTGCTACTAACTATGCTGCAAAGTTCTAATACTATACAGTATAAACTAACTAAAATAATAATACACTTATAGTATTATATTGCTAAAAACTTAAACTTAAGGTTAAAGAAGAACTTATAAAGTCTAGTATAGTTATAAATATACTAGAACTGTCAGATATCACAGTGAATTGCTGTGATGGATAAGTTGATGATTGTATTTCTTATAATGTGTTCTGATGATTGTGTGTTGTCGCCCACCCCCCTAGGGGGGTAAGGGATATTATCTAGTGTGGCTGATCCTTATGCCAAGCACCGAGTTTTTCCTGGTAGCTGGTCCAACTGGGCGTCACTTTGAGACCTCGTAGTGGCTCATAGTGATTTATAGTGCCATATTTGACAAGAACAACTTTACAAGAAAACTATTTGCATTAATAATAACCTGTTTAAGCTTACTAAAGAAATAAAAGAGATTTATAGTTATAAGTTTGCTTATAGAAAGATATAGAAAGCTATTTACTATTTTTTTTAGAAAAGAGGCTGTAGCGTCCCTGTGCAACCTAGAGTTAAATATACTAAAAAAATAAATTAAATATATAACATTAATATAACGTTTCTATTTAAGGCTAAAAATAATAATAGAAGAAAGAAGTATAATAAGAAGAGTAAGAACTTAAGAGAGATTACTTGCTATAGATGTAGTAAAACTAGCTATATAGCTAAAAACTATTAATTAAAAAATAAGGTTACACAATTTGTTAATGTAATAACTAAGTTTTTATACTTTAGAAAAAATAAAGGCAAATTAGAATAGGAAATTCTAGAACCTACGCTAGGTAAAGAACAACTTATAGTAGATAACCTAGATTTAGAAAGTAGTCTTAAGCATTACAAAGATATACTACTACTTAAAAAATATTAAGTAAAATAGAACGCCTAAAAAGCTGCTGTAAGAAGTAAAAATAATTAATAAAAAAAGTAATAACTACGTCTAATATAATAGTTCTAGGCTAAAAATTCTATATTAAGAACCTACACACCTCTAAAAGCTAAATAGATGTATATTATAAAAAATCTATAAGAATTTAAATTAAACTTAAAAGAGGAATTTCTATCTCTAAAAGAACTAAATAGCTTAAAAGGATCTATTAAATACAATAATAACAAACTTGCTAAATAAATTAAAGAACTAGATTTACTAAATAAAATAGCAAATAGTAATTAGAAAAAAAACTAACTTAAAAAAAAAGTTTTAAACTTATAAAGAGACAACTATATATAATATATTTTTAAGTACTAGCAGAATTATTAGAAGTATAAAAAAGATAGCAAGAAAACTAAAAAACCTAAACTACTATCTATGCGTTAACTTATGTATAACGTTAACTTATAAAACTAAAACTATAGGTAGCTATACTTTAGCGCTTACATGTATAACCTTTACTAGATATATAAGTTAAATAAAAATACTTTTTACTATCTAAAGGACAATCTGTATAAGATTTATAAATATAATTAAATAAAGTACTATAACAACTTTTATTTTATCTACCTATTTAATAAAAGACTTAGTTTTAACTTTTTAAGCAAAATACTAAAGCAAATAGTAAATATGCAAATTGCAATAAACTAATAATATATTAAAAATAATATATAGTAAACCTACTTATATAATAACTATAAATGCTACTACAATGCTAAGTGTACTAATAGATTTAAACTAGTTTACTCTTTTTTAAAAACACGCCTAGCACTAAAAATATATATAGAACTATATATTTAATAAATATAAAAAAACTAGTTAAGCTATTAGTTAAGCTTAACAGACACTATTTTAGAGCACTACTTAATACTAGCTTTTTAGTTAATTTTGTGTTAAGCTATATAGTTATAAAAGCTAGACTTTTTATATAAAGTAAGCATAACTAGTATAGTATTAGAGTAGTTACTAAGAAGTGCTTACCTAATAAAGCATAGGTATATAAGAAAACTAACCTAATGTTTATAAAAATTAGTAGACACTAGAAAGAGATTATTCTAAACATCTTAAAGATAGCTACTTTTAATGTTATATTAAGACTTTTCTAGTTATAAAAGTATAATTTAGTAACAGATTAGTTTAAAAAGACACTTTTATTTATAAACTATAAATATATATATAGTTTAAAGCCTACGCACTACGCGCTATAAGTAGTAAATAAGAAAAGTGTTAATATAATAATACTATTGCTTA